GTCCGTTCTATGGTCTATTATGAGACTCTATCGTAACATTGTTGTAGAATGTAGTTCCGTCTACAATAATATTATGTTTTGTAGTGTCAAAGTAGCAATTCTAGACTACGTAACTAGAGTATCAATTAGGTATCAGACTACGTTGTGTCTAACAGATGAACTGTTAGTAAGAACTGCAAACTTTTAACAATTTTAGCTGAAACCAAAGGAATTTCCGGCTGCCTCTAACGCCAGTTCTTATCATTAACACCCTGTCGCTGCTAGGCCTCTAGTTTGTCGCTGCTCAGACAAAACCCTTTCAGCTACAACCTTCACATCGATCGGTCAAAGTTACAAATGGCTGTCACCTATTTATAGCCACCACATCAATGATCAGCCTTGTTTCATCGTATGTGTTGTGAACCGATGTTACACTGCCTGTAGATGACATTACACTCCAGCATAGTAAAATTAAACTCATGCAAGTCATTTATAACACCAAGAGTAGTCATTTACAACACCAAGAGTAGTAATCTATAATACGAAAAGTAGTAAAAACTCATCGATAACACGGTGACTGTAATGTAGCTTGTCGACTGCGTGACATAGTTAACAACGAGAGATGTAGATCAATCAAAACAACTTGTTTGTGCTCGATTTTACTGTGTAACGTAGATGCATTACTGTGTAATGTAGATGGATTACACCAATTCCACGTGGGAATCTATCTTCATTAAGTTTCCGTTCCATTTAGAAGTCAAGTAAACACAATATCACTTCTAGCAGACTGGTTGTAAGGTTACAGCAACAACAGGTTTACAAAAAGGTAACAAAACTTTCTTTACAAACAAAGTAAGGTTGATTGCAAGACATACGACGACACAAACTCTAAGTTTTGGGCTATTTTTACAGATCAACAGACTGACTACTATAATATCATAAAAGTACCACAAACCATAAAGATAAGTCAATAACATCATCAAAACTACTATTCTATCCTATACCTACATAACTACATAGTATAATATAAAGCGTATGCTATTAGTAGGTCTCCTATGCTAAAACAATCAAAAAGTCTTATACCGCATATCAGATATCTTGTTGTAGCTGCAAATATGAATTATTCATGTTCGTATGTTGAGTATGTTTGTTCGTAGCGGGGGAAACAAAAAAGTGTACATAAGCAATCAGAAAGTAACTGATAGTAGTTGCACACATGAATATTATACACCTTGTACTCTTTGTATTTAAAAACCTAAAAAAGTAAAATTTTAAGAACAAATGATATGCAAAACTGCCATATCTTCTAGTATATATACATAATGTTTTGATCTTGCAAGTTTTTTAGACACTAGATAAAGGGCCAAAAGTCTTGTCGCTTTTTTACTTATAAATACACATAAATTAACGACAAAACTTTTTTTCTACCCCGATACCTACCATAACAAGCTGCCTACTAACACTACAGTACCTAATGAGTATACGTTTGCCAAACATGTTATCAAGCGTATTTAATTTGATGACATCTTCAAAGATAAAGAATGTAAATTCTCTCGAGAATCTGGAGATTAGGCGTTGTCATTTGCAAATACCTATGGTATTTGTAAAAGTACAGTAATCCCTTCAACAACATAGCCCTAATCCAATGAAACAAACACATATCAGATTAGAATAACCTAATCCTTATGTCTGGGCCCAACCTTGTACCAAATACAATTCTACAACAACTCTAAGTCTCCAGAAGTTATAATTAGTACCTTTTTGTAGACACATTTAGTACGTTTCGAACGCAGTCATCTGAACATAGTCATCATCTTTAGACTGTCTTAAGTATCTACTTAGTGTCTTAAGCACCTTGAGTAACCTTTTCTACTTAAAGGTTGCATCCAGACCTAGAGTTACTGTAGCTTGGACAGAACAACGTCCAAGATTTCAAAATTTCAAAACTTTATACTTTGGAATTTTCCGAGAAATTCTGTTCCTATCAGACACTTCTTGTGTTAGTTTACTTGTCGAAGACATAAAGGTTTTGTCCAGTAAGTGTAGGTAGAGAATCTATATTCTCCATTAAAGATTCTGTAACTTCTACACTAAATTAACCACCCCCCCCCTGAAGAATATCAAAAAAGCTTCAGACAGTCCAAGAAACTAGCTAAACATAAGATTCTATCCATTCATATTGCAACAAAACCAATATTAAACCATTCTTACCCAAAGTAGCAATTCTAGTTTTAAAAAGCTACAGTATCTTGGTATTAAACCAAAAAAGACCAAAATACAACAAACCTTCCTGGTTTAACACCTATTTTATTACTATTACGTTAGCAATAAGCTTTAAATGCCATAAACTATAATTTACCATGTAAATACCGGCCATCAAACATTAAAACCCCTAAACTTAATGTACCTTGGAGATAGCGCCTATGTCATAGCAGCATTTACGACACGGCTTTTCGCAAGCTTGGAAGCTATAATAATATAAGCTTCGTATAATAAAAAGCTTTCACAACTGAACCCAGACGATGAACCAGGAACTACGGCAAGTTTGTACCGCTGTTTACGGTAAAACCGTACGTACAACTTATTATAGGCTTAAGCCGGCGGAAATAGTGTTGTGACGTTCCCTAATTAATCCCGAAATAAACATACCAAAACGTGAACATACGAAAACCTTTAGCAACTACTACGCAATCTGTTTTTGTGTACGTGGGATCACTGAGCGAAAGTACGACGCGTTACAAAAGGAAACACGATGGTATTCACCGTGAAAGAAAGTACGTGACTTTACAGTAAAGACTGGTGTGCCGAGAATAAAATTGGGAAGAGTTCAAATATACAATAATATGTATTAGCCAAGTTACTGTGAACAAAAATGAACAAATTACATTATTGTTTAGATGCAACTGGCTTGTGCACTACATAGTACCAATACCTAATACAAACAGTACCATACAGCTATGACAGCCTTAAAACAAACATCTCTCTAAGAACAATGCCACTCCAAGAGTACATCCTCAAGACTAAAAAGTTGCATTACTGTACGCAAATTTTCAGCTACAACAAGATATCTTCGAAGTACGTTAAGTACACGCACATTGAGATTATTCTACAAAACAACTTGCAAGATCAAATACAATGTGTCAACTACAACATTGGTCTGACAGCTTTCAACTAAAACATTCGTCTGACAGAGTAATGTCGTTTCAATACAATTAGAACAAATGTAGTAAAAGGTAGTAAACAAGTCTTTGTCAAGGTACTACAATATAATAACTACATTTCTCAGAGATGATATTGTTTTGAATACAAATTAAATGCTAAGCAGTCAAGATAGAATACAAATTACAAGTGCTTTCTGCACGTACAATACCTATACAACATGTTTTTACATTTTATTGTTTTTGCGTCGTAAAAACATATCATAGTGCAACTGACTGTAAAGAATATTGTAGTACAAGTTATTGTAAAGAAAACAAGATAATACAAGTGACCGATATTGTAAACATGTAGTATTGCATCTGCATAACATATAAGTTACTACATTGTAAAAATTCATTATCTTATTGATGTAGCAAAACAAAGTTGTTAGAGTAATCAACCAAGTTTAGATGTTTCAGTGATATAACCTTTTCGTTAAACTCCAAGAAAAAAATGTGACATTATTAAACGATACATCAAACTTAAATCGATCAACAAAACAATAAATAAGACTCGAAGAGATCAGATTCTGAAGCAATTGAAACATTGTGACCAATCAATTACCGCTCGCATCATCCATCTAGAGAGCGGCGGAAACGGCTGTAAAGAACAGCAATATTATTCTGCACACGTCATCCTTAATTTAGGCAATAACCATCCTTGACCCATCGACGACAACAACAACAACCCCACTCGCTAAGTTTGAAAAGGTCAAAATACAAGTTCCTGGTCAAAAAGTTTGTAGAATCTCCTACTAATCACAGCTCACAACTATTAATAATAATAATATAAAAGCACTCTGAATTTTTTACCTTACTAAAGCATAACCGTATCAAAATCAACCCTTATGTTAACTTATACCAAGATTGAACTTTCATACATCAACTTTCAAAAAGATTTGCAAATTATGTTACACTGACATTACGTATATACCTATTTGCGGTCTTTACTATGTTCCAATCTTTGTGTAATCTGGTTTCTGACGTCGGGATTAGATGTAGTAATTGTTGCACTCCATCTACGTCTGACAGTAAGACTAAGCCAGACCAATTACAATATTATCGTCAATCCCTAGTTTTGTAACATTATCAGGAACATAATTTACATCTACAATAACATTAATCCAAATGGTATTCAAGTATACTGTATATTACAGTAGACTACCTTATAGACCGTTCTTCTTGCAATTAGCATAAAAACAAAGAAGTACTTGGTATAATAACAGCCAGGATCTACCTCAACAAGCCCTCCAGCTATTTCAAGTACTAATAAGACCGAGATAATACTATTAGTACAACCTAAAACCAATCAAACTACCTATTTACCTCCACTTGTGGATTGCGTAAAGGGTATAATAACATAATAACTTGAATTTCAAACAGACAGCTAATTAATCCTACTCGAACTTCCACCACAACAAGTTATTTCGAGTTTGTATTAATCTCATCAGATATTGGTAAACATTGCTAATTCACCTTGTGACCGAACGGGGATTAGATGGTGGATAACACCGTTTCGGGGATGTGTTTTTGTTCCCCGTCCCAAAGCCGCTCAACAATACAGTAATCAACTGATAAGGAGGTACATTGTAAAGATATTATACATTTGTCTGAGCTTGCAATCTGTTAAAAACCATGCTCGTAAACCGAAAATATGCGATAAACAACGTCGTAAAAGTTTCTTACCGTCTTCATGAGTTTCCAATCGGAAGGAATCAATTGTGACACTTCGCCGCACGCTTGAAACGAAATGCCAAGCGTTTTCATGGGATTTTTTTGGACTTTTTACGGCTTTCTGGTTTCGTCCACTTTGAAACAACCAAAATGGGCAAAAAGGACAAGTCTGTGGACCAGATTCCACCTACTAACGAAACTGAGAAGTTGAATGCTAAGAAATGGCCACTCTTGTTAAAGGTAAGTCGATTTTGGGTATATTTTTATTGCTTTTAGAACATTGACAAATTGAACATCCGCACTGGACATTATACACCCTTGGATGAAGGATGCAGTCCCTTGAAGAGACCTATCGCTGATTATGTTGCCAGTGGATATATTAACCTTGACAAACCGTCTAACCCTTCCAGTCACGAAGTTGTGGCTTGGGTTAAGAGAATTCTGCGTGTGAACAAGACTGGACACAGTGGAACTCTCGATCCTGCTGTCTCAGGTTGTCTGGTTGTGTGTATTGACAGAGCTACAAGATTGGCGAAGTCTCAACAAGGAGCTGGTAAGGAATACGTTGCTGTCTTCAAGCTTCACACACCTGTGGAGAGCGAGGCTCAGATCAAGCAGACTCTTCAAAAGGTAAGGATTCTTTTTTATGCTTTTTTTGTATCTTTTCTGATTGTTTTGAATATTTCTTCAGCAATACACTTTACAAGAAACTAAGTTATGTTGTTTTAGTTAACTGGAGCTCAATTCCAACGTCCCCCATTGATTTCGGCTGTCAAACGTCAGTTGCGTGTTCGTACAGTCTACGAAACTAAGCTGTTCGAGTATGATAAAGACAATGGCATGGGAGTCTACTGGATGTCTTGTGAAGCCGGTACCTACGTTCGTACTCATTGTGTACATCTTGGCTTGTTGTTGGGAGTGGGTGGACAGATGCAAGAGCTTCGTCGTGTTCGTTCTGGTGTATCTGATGAAAACGAGAACATGGTTACGTTGCACGATCTCCTGGATGCTCAATATGCCTATGATCACTACAAGGACGAGAGCTACTTGAGATGCGTTGTCAGACCATTGGAGGCTTTACTCACTAGACACAAGAGAATCGTCATGAAGGATAGTTCGGTATGTCATTTACGTAGTTTAGTGTTGTTTAATTACTTGCTTAATGGTCACTTTTATCTTATCAAATTGGTTTTTGAGGAAGTTACGAGATCAATAATAATATAGCCAAAACTTCACTATATATAACTTCTTTGACATTTTATTGTAAATTGCAAGTTTAGAATCTATAATTTTAGGTAAATGCTGTCTGTTACGGAGCCAAGATCCTGCTTCCGGGTGTTCTTCGTTACGAAGATGGAATCGAACTCGGCCAAGAGGTTGTAATTATGACCACGAAGGGAGAAGCCATTGCCATTGGTAAGGCCACGTTTAAATGTTGTTATTCAATGCGTCACGTTTTAAAACATAATAACTTATTTTAAAACGCAACAATCTAATCTTTAAATGAAATAATTGTTATTTTAGCTTTGGCCGCGATGACTACTTCGACTATGGCTTCCACCGACCACGGCGTCGTGGCCAAGATTAAGCGAGTCATCATGGAGAGAGACACCTACTCCAGAAAGTGGGGTTTGGGCCCAATCGCCACCAAGAAGAAGGCTCTGATTCAACAAGGCTTGTTGGACAAGTTCGGCAAACCCAATGAGAAGACCCCAAATGACTGGAAGACTGCCTACGTTGACCTTAAGGCTTCAGCTGACAATGGTTCGGGAGATGTGGAGATGACAGAGGCTCCACCGGTCAAGGAGAAGAAGTCGAAGAAGAAGGCCAAGGAATCGTCATCGGATAGTTCCGACGAGGAATAATAAGTTGATTGTTGTTGTTGTTACTTGTTTCTGTTGTTTCGATTCATTTTTTCATGTTTTCCTGTTATGTTTCAATAAATAATTTTGCATATTTTGTATCGAAATTGTACTTGAATGTTATTAGCCGAATGTTTCGAAGTAGGTAATGTTAATCTTGAAGGATAAACTGCTTTTGAAATAGTTTTACTTTTGTTTCTCCTAATAACTGTGTAATCGGCTGGACTGCGACTGTTTCATCAGATGTTTTGGAGATAAAAATGTTTCAGATAAGTACAACATTGTTTGCGACTTATAATTCTTTTTGACAATAACACTGATAAACAATTATTTATATTGAGTGCCATGTGAGAAAACAATTTTTTCTGATAACAATTAACTTGAGGAACTTGAATTAAAGAAAACAAGCATAACATTCTCATAAAGTAGAAATGTCGTCTTAAAATTAATAAAACAACGTGATAAATACCAAAACCGAGAAACTTTTGACTGATAAAGCAAGCGAACGAACTGATTAAACAAGATATTATAGTAGTTGCCTCTAATTATCCGTTTTCGTACTTTCGAATACAAAACGGTCCCTCTGGTTTTATTGAAAACGAATCGAAACTGTTGGCCCAGTCGTGTTTATTATTCGATATACAAAGAAAACATGTTATCTATGATCAGATGAGTAACGGGGTGTGTTAAGAGTTATTCTTCGTCCAGCGCAATAAAAGTAATCGGCTTTGGAATTCGGATTCGACCGAAACTACGCTCTGATTTCAATTAGTTTAGAGGAGCCGGAGGGGCAAAGGAGGGGTTTAATAATATTCCCAGCGCTTTCGATTCTTACCGTGAGAACTCAAGCACCGTGACTGACGGTAGATTCCGCGTTACAACACTTGTTGTTGCGCAATTCTTTTTTTTTGTATGGTAACGTTATTATTGGTGATCACTTCTTCGCGAATTTATTACGTCGTTTCGAAGTTTTTGAATGTAGCCACGTCCTTTAAGCTTTTGATTTGTTGGTCAGTCGAGAATCGCCGATTCTTGTCTAACATGTTAGATCTCAGAAGTCAAGAATTTTGATTCTTATGGTTCTTGTCTGAACGCTAGAAGAGAGCATGCTGTCTTGTCGCAAAAAACAACGTCTGGTTTTCTCTGATCAGACAAGAAATTAAGATTCATGTCTAAAAAGCTTATATACGATAATTGGCTATTTTTGGCTGACCAGCAGTCATAACTGTAACGGACGTGACATACTATCTGATGAACATGAAACGTGAAAAAACTTGCTCTGAAAGTTTAGAAAATAAAACCTTGTTAAAAAAGTTTTTTTTTTTCATTTCGACCTCCCGAAAATATTTTTATAATGCAAATTGCAACTTTCTTAATGCGAACACAACAACGCCGCGTCCCAGCACGAAAACCCGGAATCTTGAAATTGAATTTTGAAAAAAGAAAATAAATTTTTGCACAAAAATATAGCGTTCGACGATAAACGGTTGTTTTGGCCGTCTCTAAACATGTTAGATCTAGGCAGAGCTCTTCGACGTCGGGTCTCCAGATCCATCTCTTTACGGTAAATCACATTTCGATGGTGGATAATATAATCTCGTTCAGAAAGCCTTCGTTCCGTCGTCCGATGAGCAAGAAAGTGCCCAATGTTCAGCCCCAGATAGAATCCGATTCAGATGCGCCGGACTTGGACGCGGAACGGCGGCGTCGGAACATCAGATTGTATGTGTATCGTCTGTACGAAGTGAGGAAGTAAGTTAATGTCACGACAGCCGTGTCTGACTGTTAGTGTCAAACGACCCCAAATTGGATGTTGTTTACCTATTAGGCAAGTGTTAGGCCAAGTTCGGGCCAAAACAACCATCTGGCTGTAGTATATTATAGTAGGTTTTATCCTCTTATCGTTGTTTTCTCTTCCAGTTGGCTGGCTGAATGTCTGACCGAAGCGGATGTGCCTTCTCCTATCGAACTCGAAGAGGCCCTCAGGAGTGGAGTGTTGCTAGCTAAACTTGCCAATTATTTCGCGCCTGATTTGGTGCCCTTGGAGAAGATATTCGACTTGGACCAGGTGCGTTTCTTATTTTAGGTATGTTTACAGTTTCAGAGTCGGCTCCGGGACGAGGGATACAATTATCGTCACACTGACAACATAAATCTCTGGCGTCGGGCTTGTTTATCGGTCAGAATCAAAGAAGTAAGTGCAATATTGTTGTAGATGATGTAATTGGGTTACAGATTTTAGATAACATTTTTGAAATGTAATTTATTGTGCATTCGATCGAAAAATACAATATTACAACGAAATATCAATTATTTTTTACTTTATTTTTTTAAATAACTTTATAAAATTGTAGTAGTTTATTTTAATTCAAAAAATTGGTTTTGTTACTTTAAGTTGATGCTCATTTTAGATCGTTCTTTCTGACCCACTTGATGTATACGCTGGGCGTAACGTTAAGACGGTCTTGGCCTTGGTGACATTGGCCAACCAACTATACAGACTCAGAAAGTCACCACCAATTCGCGATCAGACAGGAAATGTCAGTTTTACTGGTAAGTTTTCTTCTATCAATAAATGCTTATTGTTCGAAACGGCATCAAAGTGCAACCTGGAAGTCTTACAAGGCACTATTACTGTAACATGAACTACGAAGTTTAATTTGCTATTGATGGGTTTGATTTACAGAAGAAACGTACAATATTGTTGGTTCAAAAGGTATGTTCCTCAACGGAAACTTTGCTCTTGGCCCAACGACAGCTCAAGCCATTGCTCTACCTGACTCTCCTACCGTGGAGATGGTGTTGAAGGCTGTGAAGGACGCCATTTTGGAAAAGGTAGACAATTATAATATATTTTTGCTTATTATAATTTAAAAAGTAGATAACAATCATTTTACGATATTTTTTCAGAACTTAACGGCATTTAAAAAGGCTTTGACATCTACCACCTTCATCGTCCATGTTGACCAAGACTATTTGGACGAGTATTTTGGAGTTTTGGTGACAAATTTTGAAAACAACATTGATGCTGTCACTTTGGATGAAATTCAAAGCATTATTGTCAGTATCAACAGGACTAATGGCCTCAGCAAGTTGTACGAATTGTTGAAGACGAAGGAAGTGGACTTGAACGTGTTTGCTCATATTATTTTAAGTTTGGACGTTTGTGACGGTCGGATCCTGGAGGCGTACTTGACGGTTTACTTGGATGAGTTGAGGATTCTGTGGGAAAAGGAAGAGTTTGATCTCAGGAGCATTAAGAAGGTCATTGCGAGTAGGTTTTATCTCTTTTTTATAGTTGGTTTTGTAGAAACTAACTTTATATAATTTTTGGTATTATTGGTTAGTTTTAAGAAACATTACGTGGAAATTTATAGTCTAAGGAAGATAATGGGTATCTAAAGCAATATAGAGAGTGTGAATGGCGGTTTGCAGTAGGCGTTATGGGTCTTCTTTATTACTTTTCATAACCAGGCGTTTATATTATAATTCGTTTTAGTCGTGAATGCAGCAGCAGACCTTCGCGAAGCTACGTTTGGAAGACATCCGACTAGAATCTTTGAAGTTTTGAAGGATCCCAATCTGCATCTGAAGGTCAACATCACGCCAGAATGTTCGGAACGGTACGCTGCTAATCTGATTGAATATTACTCGGAGCCAGAAGCTCCGTTACTCTACGGTTATGGTCTTAATTGTTTGCTTCAACAGGCCGACTTGTTCCTCTGTAAGTTTTGTAGGTATGAGGATGTATTCTTGAGGACTGTTATGGGTTTTTATGAATTTGACATGTAGGTATTGTTAGTTTAGGGCAGTTATTGGCTACAAGGAACTGGATATGCTTTGGAATGACTTTAAACGTTTAGTTCTTTGAGTTCCGGTGTTTAGGTAACATTATGCATGATTGCTTATAACAAATAATTTCAGTTAGAACCGCTGTCTCGGAAATGGATAAAACTTTTATAGCGACGATTCTGAGACGAGCATCGCCTGATTATGTGGACGAGAACACTCCCTTCTACCTAAACCAGATCTTTCTGTTTGACGAGGAGGACTTGGACGACGCGTTTGCTCACTTGGCCAAGCTTGTTGAGGACGTGAATCATACGGTGGACGTCGAAAAGAAGATTGCCCTCCAACGTAGGTTTCAAGACTAATTAGTTTAAATTTGTTTAAACTTTGGCATGCCTATTTGTTTTCATGGTTTCCATTTCAATTCCAGTGTTCGCCTTGAATGAAGCCCTTCTCAAAAACAATCGTAAAGACTTTGACCAGGCTGTGGAGGAGATATTGCTCCTAATCGATTCCCCGGTCAAGCCCTGTTGCCAGCTGAGCAACGTGTTCAACCTCATGGACGCCGAACTGATCAGAATTTCGGAGGGAAAGAAACAGAAGCGCCTCTACTGTATGAAGCACGACTTTGGTCTAGGGGAGATCAGAGTGCAGCAGGTGGACGAAAATGGCAACGAACAGCTGGTCGTGGGTTCGGCCGATACTGTAACCGCTAAATTACAGCCATGGGCACTGACTTTGGCCGAGTTTCAGGTAGGTCCGGGCTGCTTTATTATATTTTATAATTTTATAGCTTGACTAAAAATTTTAGAATCAGTAATTTAAACTAAACCTAAACTTTTTTATAATGCAATAGAAATAATTTGAAATTCTATAAACTTTTCGACCAAAAGAACCCTTAAAATCGAAATTTGTTGTTATTAGTAAGCCCGTTAAATCTTTACTATTTTTATAAAATTGTTACACTTGAATGGGTTTAGGGATGCATCGAGAAGGCCTTGGAGCAATTCGAAGATGACAACATTCTTGTGGACACTCCAGTCACGCAAGCCCTCAAGGCGTTGAATGATAACGAAACTCTGTTTGACTTGAGTAAGTATGATATATTTACGTTACTTGTAGGTGTCTTTGTTACATATTATTTCATTTATATTTTTTTTATTTTTGATGAGGAACTGTTTTGGCTTTAGTACCGTAGACATTGTGAACAAAAACAGCTCTTTGGTTAGTATTAGACAGTTAATCCCTTTTACTTTACATTTTCAGTGAATTCAGCCTCGCCCTCCCTCGGATCGTTCAGAAAACTGGTACAGGTTCTTCAGAAGAACTCCAATATATACGATGAAGAAATATGTAAGTTAACCTTTACTCAGAGTAAAAGTTTATTTTTTATTTGAATTTCATTATTTTGTAAGGCTGTATGGTGTATATTACAGTATTGGAAGACTTGAAAACCCAAGCGAGAAAGATAATCGAGAGTAACATGGAAATGCACCATCGCCTCAGGGAAACGGAGCAAAGCATTGGCTTGTTGGTCAAGAACTTCCGCAGTTTAAATGTAAGTAGGTTATTACACTAATATTTAATTGTCCGTGGAGTGTATGGCCAATGTTTGTCTGAATATTGTTTTTGTGACAATTTGCGTTTGAATCTTGTTTTTACGCAATTAACTTAATTTATCTGTCATTTAGAGGCCAGAGGACCCAAAGGCGGTCAAAAAACAAAAGGATAACAGTGTCAGCGAACCTAATGTAACTTTGTCGGACACGAGCTTAATTGATTGGCCTGATGAGAAGTTGGCTAGCGACATTATGTTGGAGTAAGTAAACAAATTTGGATAAAGATATAGTTTTGTACTTATTCTATAATAAGATTTTTGACAATGTTTTGTATTCAAGCGTTTAATGTGATGATAATAACTTTTAGGACAAAATTGTTGGTGGTCAAGTTGTTGAGAAGCGGACTTGAAGGAGAAACCGTCAAAGATCTGATGGAGAACGCCGAGTTCTCTGGAGTTGACGACGACAATTTGGAAGAGGTGAACGAACTTCAAGCGAAACTCAATATGAATGTCAACTCGTTACTGAAACAAGGCCTTTTGACTAGTACTGGGGACTTTTCTGACATCCTACGTTCTATGGCGGAGGTAAGACTGCAACATTTACCCTTTTATATTACAGTAAGGGTTATGTCAGGGCAAAAAAGTTTGATATATCATTATTTGTTGTATAAAGTTATCGAAAGTTTTAAAAGTTGTGACTTTAGGACATTCGGGAAGACCGTGAACGCCGAGAAAGTCGACTGGTCGAGATCAGGGATCTTCAGAATCTTCTTGGCTACAGCGAGAGACAGAAGAAGGAAATGCAATCCCAGATCGAGATGTACGAAGCATACGAACATGGTTGCATTGAGAGTATTGTTGGAGGGTATGTCAATGTGAAACTAGCTCTACTAGTAAAAGAATGCTGTTTTTGACAGTTTTCAAGTTGTTGAGGTTTGAAATCTTGTAATGGTCAATTCTTTTTGTAGTATCCCATCAATTGCTTTGGCTGACGATGGAAGCAGGAAGGTCAAGAAGTTTATCCAACGCAAACTGAAGGCCGTCGGTAAGCGAGAAGCCATCTCACTCAACTCTGACAAACTTATCAGAAAGAAGTTGTTGTTCATGGACGACCCCACCACACCCAAACAGTAAGTTAACCTTGCGAATAATATACTACTTCAAAACACATAGATAATAGTGTTACATTCAACGCTTTATATATTTTTAACTATGCCAGTTTTTTAACGAATATCTTTTCAGAGTATCGAAATACTCGATCAAAATTTCGCCCGCCGACGAAGTTGGCCACTACAAGATCGAGTGCTACCGTCAGAACAAGTTCGAAACTGCCAAGACGGTGGACTTTGAGAAGTTGCTACGCCGTGAGGACGAAGAAGAAGTCCGCCTTCGATTCCACGGCCCCCTCGTCTTTAATTGCTCAGAATTAAGAAAGTTCATCGATCTTAAATTCCACTACAAGATTTCCTCATAAACTCACTTTAGATCGATACACCTCGTTGCTCTGGAATGCCGGTCTTTTCCATAAACGTTTGTTCCCCATTATTGTTTCGATTTGAATTTATATGGCTAATATCCTTACGTTGGTTTTATGTGTACAATAAAGTAATAAAAGTTCTAAACTACAGTACCCGGATCAAGTTTATACATTCAGAATTACACTCACAATATAAATACATCAGTTAGTGGCCTCGCTTCCCATTACCCACCACATTCTTGGATCGTTTGTAGGTTCTGGCACTCCGTTCTTCGTGCCTCACGTTTCGCGAGATAAACTCCATGCCATCTCTTTTTGTCTCGATCAACTTCTCCATCCTTTCCTCCTCGTCTTTCAGCGCCTGTGCATCAGCATTCGATCTGAAATAATGGTTTTCAATAATTAATTATATAAATTAAGCAAATCTTCAAGAAAAGGTCACGATATTTAAATTCTAATATGCATGCATGATGAAAATTTTAATAGCGGTAAATGTGTATCCCTAATAACAAAAAGAAATAAAAGATACTTACTGTTTTGAGACATTCTCCAAAGTGCCTAACAAACCACGACAATGATCTCTCCAGTCGGCCAAAGTCTCTTTGATAAAAGCCAAATCAGTTGGAACAGTCGCTTGCCAATCTTGTACCTCTAGAACTCGTTTCTTTGGATCCAGTTGACCCTGAAATTAAATCCTTAAGTTTTAAGCAATATTCTTAACGCAACACATAAGAATGTTTTCTCTATTTTTAAAAAGATTAAATTCAATCCAACTTACAACAATAACTCCTTCGTAAATGGCGTCAACAATAATATTCTCCATAACTCGGTCTCGATCGGTGCCAAAAACCTTGTGAAGCTCCTCATAGCCAATAACTGGAGATTTTTCGACCAGTTGGATCAATACTTGTTTATTTTCTTGGTCCATAATCGACGATAAATTGCAATAAATCTGCAAAAAAAATATAAAAATATAGAAAAAAGCGAAGTCACGTTTCATCGTATAAATTGACGTCGCAACGGATTTCCAAAAAAAATAATTTGGCAAAAATTGGTACAAGTTCACGTAATAACTTGTTATTTACAGCTTATAAGCATGAATGTTGGCTTTAATGCTTCAAAGAAATGCCTTAATTTACTAAGAAATCAGTTTAAACTGAAAGACTTCGCCAGTACTGTGAGAACTTCTACAATCGATGTGAAAGACACTAAAGTAAGTGCTCTAACTTATATATTATTGTATTTAGGTCGCCTTTAATACAACCAAGTTGACAGAGAAACAAATAACGACGTTAGAGAGGATCTCTGGACTCAAATTTACTAATCAAAAAGAGGTTTGGAGTCTAGAACAAGATATTACACTTGCCAATCAAGTGTTCAAAGTCGATACTACGGTAAAACAGTTACCTTATTTTATCATTAAGCTACTTTTCAATTTATAAATACTGTATCTATACCTATCTATATTTTCTACAGCGTTAAATTACAGAATGTAGAGCCACTGTTCAGTATAACAGAAGAATCAATAAACTGCCCATTAAGAGAAGATATTCCTGTTACAACTGACTCAAAAAAGGTAAAACTACAATGACATATATACAATCTGTTTAGATTTTCATGAACACGAAAAATTCGATGGAAGGTTTCTTCGTATCTTCAGCAGTTCAGCGAAAACAAGAAGAATAATGTTATGTTAGTTATTAAGTGTCAGAAAAATAAATATGGGTAAAAGAAGCATTCAAAACTTAAAAATATAAAACAAAAAGCTTGTATAACCATCAGCGCCGGGCGGGGGACATTGGTTTGGGTGTGTGTGTGAAAATTACAGTAGTTTACAATAATTTAGGGTATTTTGCACTGAAAGGTGGTGTTATGAGACTGTCTTATCCTAAAACGTCAGTACTAACCCCATAACTGTTTAGATTAACCTGTAGCGTATATTTTGACAACAAAAGACAGGATTAATAACATAAATCTTCAAATTTTTTCTTTCTTACGGCTGCGCCCTATATCAGAAAAAGATTTTTTATTTTTCGGTATTTGAAGAAAAATCGTAAGTTTGTTGGAGGTGTTCTTTAATTCAGTGCATACAGGGAAGAAAAACACATGAAATCGGTAAGATTTGCGTTTTCCTGCTGTATATCTTAGTTTAGAGCGCCAGGGACCGACCGTCTGGTAAGATTCGCGAAGTTGGACCTTGGAGTGAACAGACTAGTTCAAGTGGCAAAAGGTACTACTACAATCATGAAACCGAGGTGTCACAGTGGGAGAAGCCAGCAGTCTGGAGAGAGCACGAAAAGAAATTGAGTGAAGAAAAGGAACGACAGAAACATCACGGTAAGGACTTTATTCATGTTATTCTTACCTTTCCTTGAGAGGTTTAGATAATTTTTTGAGATTTTAGACTCTGAGAAACCATCAACGAGCAGTCACCATCACAGCTCGAAAGATACACACCATTCTTCACCGTACAATAGAAATGGCACAAGTATTATAAGATCTAAGGATCGAGCAAGTTCATTTTCCAAAGATGCTCCGCCAGCTAAGAAGCTAAAGGAGGCTGATCATAAGGAAAATCATGAGCAAAATAGTAGCCATCACAACGCGACGTTTGACGCTCCACTGATCCCGCAAGCCCCTTTACCTCCTTTGTTATCTATTGATACAAGTACCTCGAGGATCGACGAACCTATGGATGTTGCTAATAGTCCTCCTCCAGAATCCAAGACATCAAAGGTAAGGCTTTATTCCTTTGGTTTTATAGTAAGATTTTAAAAAATAATTATCTTTTTTTTGTGCTTAACACTACATAATTTACCTTTCAGTCCTTTATAAACATTCCGTTACCCACCGTCCGCCCCTTCGACGATACCAAATACAACTTGTTTTACAAACCGAGCAGTGTGTCATCTTTAAGAAAGAGTTTGGGCAATGAATCTACCTTAAATGAAGTCAAGAAGAACCAGGAGAAGCTTCAAAAATCACAATTGGGTTTAATGGAGCTCGAAACATCTATAATATCTATTCAATCGTTACTGTTTACAGCGGAGGCCAAATGTGCATTACTCAGTGACAAGTTCAACTTCATTGACAGTCAGGTTGATGCGATACGGAACGTTCAACATAGAGTGGACACAGATAACGGTCCAATTTCTCCTAAAGCAGAGAGACTACATCAACCAGCGGCCGAAATAAAAGTCGAAGAACTTAATGGGAATAATAATATGGAGAGTAAATTATGAGTTGTTAAATTATATTACTTAATATTGTACCCATTTTAGTTTGTTTGGTTTATTCCTAACAATAAATATATAATAAAATACAGATTGAGAACGGTGTATATCTATGGATTTAGCTGTGCCTTCTTGCATCGCTCAGCTGCAGTCTGGTCGGTCTGGGCTCTGATAATCTCATCAACAGTTTCCTCATTTCGTATGAACCTCAGGTTTCCCATGACAGTAGTGAGAGCCGGCTGTCCTGGTTCTTTGTCCTTCCTCAAGTTCACAAACTGCTGATTCTCGCGCAAACAATTGTACATCACATTCAATCTCTGACTCCGAATCGCTGCCAATTCCTTTTGAAAATTCTCACAAATCTTTGTAGCATTTTTGGGGAAGGAATGGGTCGGAAGCTCACAGTTCAATTTGAGAACGACCTTATCTTCAAGGTCCCTCAATTTGTTCAGAACCCTCTAAAGAACACGAAAACTTATGGTTATGCTAAATTAAATATAAGTAAACTAGTCATAGTGATCGTACCTGGAAGTCACTCAGATCCAAACAATTAATCGGAGGTACATCTGCCATCTGAACAACGAACTAAAACGACGCCTAGATTAACACTTACAGCTCTCATCTACATGGATTCAATAAGAAAACTCAAAATGCATTTGTAGACCGTCTACACGGATGCTATCTATTCTTCAAAACAATCAAGATGCCCAAAATTATGTGAAAACAACTTTATAAAACCGCAACAAGTAACAAACGAAAATTCAAGTTTATTCGTCACCTTCCATCTCCTCATCTTGGTTGATCTGGAAGTATCTGAGTTCATAGGTGTCCTTGGCCGAGGAGACTACACGGAGCCAATCACGGAGGGAGTTCTTCTTCAAGTATTTCTTGGACAAGTACTTCAGGTAACGCTTGGAGAAGTCACCATCGGAGGTCAATGTGACAGCGGTCTTGGTGGAGGTGATAGAGACACCGTTTTGGGACAACTGACCGGTCTTTCCGTTGACCTTCACGCGGTCCTTCAAGAACTCTTCCTGAAATCAAACGGGGTTTACTAGAGGAGAGATCTCTATACCCATTTGAGGAAATAACTTTCCATCTTATTATACATTACTAAAAATGAAAATAGGTATGAAAACTTACAAAGGCAGAGGTTTTGAGGATACCATCTTCGACGGGGTTCTTGCACTCAATGACGTACTTCACGACCTGGCGCTTCTTCTTTCCTCCGGCCTTCTTCTTCTGTACCTTTGGCTTTGGTGCAGCTGGCTTAGCGGCAGCTGGTTTTGGAGCAGCGGCCTTTGGAGCAGCTGGCTTGGCTGGGGCCTTAGTCTCAGCTGGTTTACCTGGGGCTGGAGCAGCCTTAGCTGGAGCCTTAGTGGCGGTCTTGGTGTCCTTAGCGGCCTTTGGGGCTGGGGCTTTCTTACCGGCAACCATGATAAACCTACAACAATAAAAATTGAATAAACTAATTTAAAAAACGAAAAAGGCTTAAAGTTGCGACAAAAACAAACGAAAAATTAAAAAGGGCAAACACGAGAAAACAGAGACTTCTTTTACATACAGTAAGACCGAAAATGCCATTTTCGTTTCGGGACCCAAGCGCTGTTAATGTATAACTTATTTCTAATCGCATATTGTTAAAAATAGCAATGATCCTGAATTTTTTTGTTTATCCTCATTATTTATTGATCCAAATTTACAAATATACACTTATTTCAATACTGTTAATCGATATACTTATCAAACGCGGATCGTGGACGTTTTTCTGGATTCGGTTCTTCGTTCTTGACTAGTTTTACATTGATGTGGTGAACATGGGGAGCAGTCGAGGCTCGTCTGCTGGCTGATTTTATTGGTTCGGTCGAGGCACTTTCCGATGGTACACTTTTCCTGGCCTTCATCTTCCTGTCCGACTTCTTCTTGTCTTCGGCCGTGGTAGACAGCTGCGGAGATGGGAGATCGCTGTTCTCCTTGTTCAGGGTGGATCTTCGGCGTGGCTCCATAACTATTGATATATGCGAATCGCGTCTTGGATGCAGATAACGGTCGTTGAACAGAATAACGGCACGGTAGAACTGAAGGGCGATGATTAATGCGTTTTTTGATAAGAAGAATATCATGGTGTAGGTGACCAGCTTGTAATGAACTATCAGATATACACGAACGAGGAAGAATGGTATGTCTTGTAAGCAGCTGGCGACAACAATGGCCCATATGTCAACGTCGTACATTACCTAGATGTGTTAGAGTTAAGATTATTCAGTTGTATCAAGACTTATGTTATTGTAATAAAAGTTCGTGTTTACGTATGACAAGCTTACCTGAGACATGTCTCGTTTGCTTATGATTGTTTCGTCGTCAGTAATGGCAACTCTCATTTTTCTGGCACGACTCACAGTTAAGATAAACGGAAATTGCAGGAGTGATACCTAAAATGATATTATTAAATAATATACACAAAATTATAACAAAAAGTTTATCAGTTAAATATACCTTTCCAAATAATGACAAAACGACAACTATTAACTTACAGTCCAGGCAAGAAGTACCAGCTTCTGAAGGTGGATATTGTGATAGACAACTTTTTCTTTGAAGACGTCGAAGAACTCCACAATGTCTGATGATATAGCCTGGAAATGTGTAATTGGTCAAAAAAGAGTCTTACCAAATAGGCTAATAATATCTGAGAGAGCTGTTCGCGACTAATGTCTCCTTTAGGCAGTAGCCATCGGCCGACAATGAGTACGACCAAGAGTAACTGCTCTAGGATCTGATACTCGAACATCTTATCGAGTCTTTCATCTGGAAAGGTTTGGATTAGTAATGCTAATTTAACAAAATTTGTCATCCCTATGTCGGGTACAGATTGTTTTTGTCAAATTCAAAAGTCGTACCGTTTGTCTGTCTCCATTGGCACAGTTTAGTCTCTAGTAGCCATATTGGCGGAGCTGTAGCAAGGATGTACAGTAAGATGCTGGGCGAGAACCATTTCCTTTCATCTCCTACTCTCATCAGGATGGCATGAGCACCTTCCAGCACGATACTCACTGAGATCAGTGCGAATCCCCATATCGAATTGTCTACTTGCACCGTGACAGCTGCCCAGATCGTGGCCAACGAGTGTAGGATGAATATAGCACGTGCTGAGAGGGCTCGGAGGATGTTGATCAGGACGCTACTTCCACTGGTGGGGCCTTTGATTGCCTTAGCCGCTGCTCGATCTCTGGCCACTGCTGCTGCTTCGTTCTGTTCGGCTGTTGGCCGAAGCGAATGTCGCTTCTGGGTGGAGGAACTTCTGTTCTGCTTCGACGGTTTGTTGTCGGAAACCATTTTCTCCGCCCAGAAATACTACAATATTGGTAAGATTAGTATCCCTGGTATTATAGACATGTTTCAATACAAAACTAGTATTAAAGCTACAATAACACCGTATACTCAAATTAGAATACTCAAAACTCACCATGACTGAAACCTTTGACCCGCTGTGAACTGGCTTTGAATCCGTGTGTGAAAGTTTGGGAGAGCTCAAACGCTCCGCTGCCCGATGGGACCGGCCGGTTGGAGCGGCCCGTGTTGAACAAAGGCCTCGAGGGACCAATCGAATGATGGTCCCGTCAATCTCTTCAAATGGCCTTATTTGGCACTTCGCAGTAGGACATGTGATTACATTGTAGTTGCGATCCAGTATTTTGCTAATTCATTGTGCAACTTTTGTCACTTGTAGCGTTATGTTGTGCTGATACAGCTACCGTTACTCAAGTGAAATGTCAGGAAATATTTAGATACGCTTAAAGATAAGCAGATGTGTTCAAAGATACGTTTATTAGATACGAAAGAACCGGGCACAGTTATGTACAACTCTACAAAATATCCCTGATGTTATACTATGATAATACCGTAACATGTACTACAATATCAAACAAGTACTGAGAACACTGACATTAACAGTATTCTCAGTACTGTAACACTTCTGATACGATTATACAAATCTCAATACCTATTATAGCATCAAATATGTCACTTGACTATCACATTACTCCCTGACAGTGTACCAAAAGTCTCATCAGTGATAACCACAGGGCCAATCGACAACCGAACATCCACCTGCCAGTTAGCCACAGTGTTATATAGGCTGTTATGTTGAAGATGACAGATGGTATGATGGTAGCTGCTTCCGCTCTCAAGTCAGGTTCGTAAATGAGGACGTTGTCTATCATGTGCATGAACCCGTTGATGCCCGCGATCTCTCCACCTTCTATCACTCGCGCCACCCGGTTGCCTCGAGGCCAATACAATTCAAAGTCTGAATATATAGGATTAAGTATAGGCTTGTATAGGCTTTTGTGATATGATATTGATAAAGATACTTTACGATAGTTGCAGTCGTATAGATCTTATAGTAACAATGATAAGATAAATGTCCCATATTGTCAATAGTAGAAAATAGATGTAAGAATAATAATGAAAAAACTTGAACTTTCCAATGAACGTAAATGCGATAAACTTACATCGGCCCCTCCTTCGTATGACCACTTTCTCATCATTCATCATGATATAGGTCCGTTCTCTCAAGTCCGTGTACATCAAGGCTTGTCCTTGTACAAGATGTCGTTTGTAGACGTACTGTAACGCTAGCCAATGATTGCCATCTGTCATTCGATTCCGTAAGGCTGGTGCAACCTATAATAATATGTTTTAACTTGTAATACTATGGTTTCTTGTCATGATCTATCTAACTCTGGATTAACGCTTGTAGCAACTCTCAAAGTATTTTTACATAAAACAGTTTTCAAAAGCATACAATTCTTATGGTGTTATACTTATCGAGTTCCAAAGCTTCAAAAAGAAAGCCATCACATAAGATATCGTAACAAGACCTACCTTTTCCCAAGCTTCGTCTGTCGGTACGAAGAAGGTGAAGTTCTGTTCTGGAGTCAAGACTTGCCATGGATCCAAAGAGTAGCGCAACTGGATGTTCTCCATCATGTTTTTGCTTATTCTAAATAAATATTTATTCCAATTATTCACATACTACATATAACTATGTAAAAACAAAGTACTCATTGTACCGCCAAAAACTGTTATCTGTCTCCTTATCATTTTATAGGACTTGGTGTTTATGTTACAGTAATTATTGTGATGGCTTACTGTAGTCGAGATTCGTTTCTCATAATTTCCCACAGCGACTGATACGGTACGCCCAGTACCCGATCGATGTAGTGAATAATGCCGTTTGTAGCAGCGATATTGTCCATCTGAATCGCAGTCTTCACTCCACCACCTACCACATAGTACGCTGAAAACAGTCGTAGTAATAGTAAAATAAAACAAGATTAAAATAAAATTATGAGTTACTATTGTAAACTGTTTCACATATTACAATTTTTTATAAAATACGAAATTTTCTAAAAATTCATAACAAGTTATAACTACATTACAGTAAACTTACTGATGTTGTTTTTAGGCCACTCTCCTCGGATAAAGTAGAGATGTCGCATGTTGTCAATAGTAGATACTATCGTTTCATTAGTAATTTCATCCGTAGTCAACTCTTTAGCCGGCACAATGTGTAACTTCAGGACCTGCTCCAGCCAGATTCTGTCTCTCAGAAGTCTTCGTTCGATGGCTTCTGGAATCCGTTCAAATGCTTCATTCCACGGAGCGAAGAAGGTGACCAGACCTCCTGTAGCCGAGAAGTAATTCCTCACGATCTGCCCTATCGTGTTGATGTAGCGCATCAGCGTGGTACAACGGTAATTGTCAGTCAGCATCTGGTCGATAGTCATTGAAACGATGCCGAGAACGTTATCGATAACGTGAGCAACGCCGTTCTGGACTGGAATGTTTGGGACAAGAACTTTAGCCCAGACGGCACCACGTCTGAAGTGGGAGTACCGTTCGTAGACTTCTGATACTACGTACACTGGAATCGGAAATGTAAGTGCCAAAGTAAACATAAAAATATTTTAAAATATTATAGTTTAAGCCAATCTGCAAGAGTTCTAAGAAGACATCAACAACTTACAATCCCACCGTCCCGTCCTGTGGTCTGTGATGTTCCTCATGGTCAACTTCACCTTGAAGTTGTCTTCGATTATGTTGGACGAGAATCTTACTGACGGATAGAAGTGCACTCCTCCATCGTACAACCAAGGCCAAGTGAACAAGACTCGATTCATTCCTGTCACATGGGCCAACAGAACTTCACGGTCGATTCGATTACGGTCGATTACTTTGGCGAACGCTTTGTTACTCGGTAAGAAGAAGGTATGGAAACCATTCCACGCCGAACTACCGTATATCACTAATGCTATGTCTGGGACTCGGTTGAGGATGTCACGGAGTTCACTGAAATTTGATGTTGTAATGATGTTGTAGACTCATTGATGAGATCAGTTTAACAAATTTTAAATCAATTTTAATAATTGTAAACCTAAGGTTATCATAAGATTAATGATAACATTGGGTAAGAACAATTCAGTCTATTATAATACTACGTAAGGCTACTATAACTATCTAAAACTAACGTCAGATCTCTGTTGTCGTATTGTCGATCCACAAATATGGTGTTGTCATCATCTCTAATGAACGACAAAGCTGTCCCCATGTAGGGTCGATGTCCCATGGGAGTGCATGTCTTGTAGAGGTACTGTTCTCCGCTGATAATTCCCCATTGATTCGATTCGTGGTTACAAAGTCGACCAGAATTCGCAAAGTAGGACTAAATATCATAGTTTTGAATTTTTAAAGTTGTAATGATACTTCGAATTATAGTTTTTATTTAAAAACAAAAAATGAAACTCAAAAACATTTTACATGCAGTTGAAATGACTTACAAAGTTACCGGGATTGTTCTCGAACTGAGTAATGTAAACGTAGCCACTGTTGATGGTACTTCTGATCAGAGTCTGCTTCTCCCACCGCTTCCCTTCACTGACCTCCACTACTTGAGTGTCTATGATATGACTCAGCGTTTCCTTCTGATCCATCGCTCTCAGGTCAGGATTGTACAAGAACACATCGTTTACCGGCGCAAAGACGGTTACCCTGGCATTAGAGTCTTCCATATAAGCACGCGACACCTGATACCGGTCACACAACATCCTCCACTAAATTAAAAAATTTATATTAACGATTAAAACAATTTTCAATTTGATAAATGATTAAAAAGTTAGTTTAAATACAACAGTTTTCAATTGTAGTAACAACCATTACTGACAAAATACCTTTAACAATCAATTTACCTGTTGCAGATCTGCCATTCGCGCCGTTTCCGACCACAAATTGCCATCGACATGATGCAGAAAGAAGAACACAGCCAGTAAGCGGTCTATCATAATATGAATTGTGAGTCAGTCGTCCTTATCAGCCAAAAACCATAAATAGGACCGTGTAAATGAGGAGGTAAGGAGCGACCAGGTCGCGCGGGGTCCAGCGGATTGTTCCTCACTCTCGAAACGGCCTCGGACTTAGCAAACAGGAAAGCGGAGAAACCACGCACCATGTCCATTGCCATTAGCAATATGCAAATTAAACACTGTTCGCGAGAGCAGGTAATAATATACGCCGCAGAGTAAGAAGTGCTACAAAATGTTATAAAATGTGATCATAATAGCCATAATAACAATTATATTAGCATGGATTGAAATAAGCAGCAATTTTTTATTAATCTGCATGCTTTCCTTTCCATCGATAATTTTGATTCTATAATGGTATTCAAACATTGTCTTTTCCGCCAAATTTTGCAAATAAAAATAATTTTTATGGAAAACGAAATGTCAAACATCCCATTTCTGGTAAAATGTCACAATCAAAAATAATTTTATTTACTTTTTTTTCGTTTCTACTGTGTCGTCCATAAAACAGTCAATACTGAACAATATATGTTTTGGTCATAAGTTCGCTATACGTGCTGTTTACACTGCAGTTCGTTAAAGAGTTTACCGCACAAAGAACTCGTCTGGCAGAAGTACGAATAAGTTAATATACAAATAACAACGAAACTTATGATACACGACATAATTTATTTTATTTTAGCCAACATTTTACACGTTATTCGAAGCACTTTGGAGGGCCAGTTTGTTGTCAATGAGATTATGTAGGGCAATAACAGTACGAACCAACGAACCCAGGTATACACACATCAACTCATCATTGGTCTGGACGTTGTGAGAGTCCACAAAGTCGGGTTTGGTGACATCAGGCAGAAGATTCAGCATCTCCTGAATGTAGTAGACAACAGAATGGTTGATAGGCAAATTCTTCTCGCTGACATCTTTAAGGTATCTCTGGATTTCGGCCAATTGTTGACTGAGACCTCTTAGGCCCATCAGTTGATCAGTGATTCTTTGGGACAACGTGCCAGCGGTTTGGTCTTTAATGTCTCTGAAATTTATTAACATGACACCAATATGATTATCAAAATTCTGCGTTCGGTTTAAAAAAGAATAACGATCTCACCTGAGCAAGTGTTCTACACCAACTTCCTCTGCCTCTTCAGCTCCAATCTCGCTTGGAATATGTTCAAAAGTCTTGATTGGGGGAGTACCATCATCGTGGACCTCTTGTACTTCGATATAAGCTTCTGTTGGAAGACCCAAGTCTTTGGGAACAGCTTGAATAACAATGAGAACGGGGTTTGCAGTAAATTGTTTCATCAAGTTGTTGATATGGACATCATTCTAAAAAAAATAAAATTTTATACAGAAAGTAAACTTTTTAAATCAATGAACATTCTATACCTTGCAAAGCTTTGGCCCGGTGTGATACCAACCAACGATCTTCTCCTTGGCAGCGACCTTGAAGAACATTCCATACATGTTTTCGAGGTAATCTTTGTCCAAAAACCAAGTCTCTTTGTCCTTATCATCTTCGTCAAACGGAACTAAAACAAAAATAATCTACCGTAAACTAACATACCTGCAAAGCTGTTGGCAATGTCCAAAGTCTTGTCGCCTTTCATAGAACCAAGGAGAACACCGACAACTCTCTTGACACTCTGAGTTTTACTGACTCTGTTGAAGTGGTCCACAACACTCAGCAGCACTAATGGGTGTACAACAACCTAAAAAATTATTACCCAAAAATTATTTCAACTTTACCTTTTTGACAGGAAGATTCAGCTGAACGGAACTGGCACAATGAACATCTCCACCTTGAGAAGAGACCTTCTTGGGTTTGTTCTTGTCTTCAGAAGCCTCTTTCTGGTTCAAGTTAGGAGCCATTTTTAGTGAACAACCGAAATTTCTTCTTTTCAGTATTTCTTTTCTATTTTGTTGATGACAAGCGTGGGGACACTTTGTTTACCCAGTATCGGCTTTTGATTTGAGACGAAGTGTCATTTTTTTTCTTTTTTCCGGAAAATGTTTTCGCGTAATTTTCGTCAGTTATTGTTGTTCTTTTTGTTGAATATTTTGACTCTTCTAAAAGTATTCAGTTATGTTAGCATTACCTTCTTCAAAAGCATCTAATGACTTTGTTTTGGATGCACTACCTTATATTGATGATGCCGAATACGACGAGTCACACAGGAAGTTCGCTTTGAGTATGGTGGAAGAAGAGCAGAAGCGGTATCCCATGACCAAAGATTATCTGAAGAAGTTTCCCAAGCCAAATTATGGTAAGTTCTTGACACCTTTGCTGGAAGATGAATTCAAAAGGATATCAGAAGGAAAAGTAAGTTCATTTTATTGGTTTTAGGTAATATTTATTGATCTATAGCTAAAATTAACATTATCGTACAAAATATTAAATGTAATTAGTGCAATGTGATGTTTTAGGCTATGCCTGAATTTGATATGAGCAGATATATGGTTCCAGTGCCTTCGACAACTGCGGATCGTCAGACATGGGTTAATGTAAGGTTATATTCTGATATATGATTGTGTTTAGGCGATTGGAAATTGTGATGCTCAAATCGAGAACATGAGGTTGAAGAAGCTGAATCTGGAGCTAATGCAAACTCACGGAGGACCAGCTTTGGTCAAGTGCAACAAAGTATTGAAGACATTGGCAGACAAAGAAGAGCAAACCGTGTTCAAGTTAAGATCTCAATTGTTCGAGACACATTCACGACGAAAGAGGAGACAGGAAGACGTACGATCACAGTTGTTGCACATGGGATCACAGTGGATTGTTTTGGTGAACAAGAATATTAAACTAGACGATGCCATCCAGAACATGGAAGCGGAGTTGAAGGCAACGGCCAAACGGATCAAAATCGAATATAATGTGGATCCGGATAGTATCATGGTATGAATAATGTTTTGAATAAAGTATTAATCTGAATTTTCATCTGAGGAAGGGTTCTGGTGTCTAAAATAATATTTTTCAAGTTGTTTTAGCTTTTGGTTTTTTTAATTTTGAAAATTTAGTGTAAATGTTGGATGTTTGTTTTACGTTAATTTTATTGCAAATTGAAAAACATTGCAGTCCTTACGTTCTTGTAGGGGTATATAATGTTGTCTAGGCACAGTTTTTTAGCCACCATAAAGCCAGCACTTTCCCCACACATAGCTGGCAGAACACTGCTGAATTGGTGGTTCAATTCGAATGCCAAGACAACCTTTTCAATACCTTTAACTGATGCATGAGAGTCCACAAACTCCGATTTTTTGCTGGTAATTACTGAAAGTTAAATATTATGTTTAATACTATAGTAATACAGTGTAAAACGTTTTAAACCATGTTCTTTTTTATATAAAAAAACTTTTGCGTAGCAGTATAATCAATTCTACAAAAAATCAGCCATCAAACGCGATAGCAACTTACCATTAGTCGATAAACAGTGTGACAGTAAGCAGAACACTAAGATCGCGTTGGAATGTTTACTGTATGGAGGTAAAGGGGTGACAAGGTTACTGTAATCCAGGAGGCCTGCCTTCTCTAATGTTTTTTCAAACTTGTCGTTCACGTTAGAGTCAGCGTTCCCTTTTGATTCTATTAGTTGGATGTAGCTAAACGTTTTGTTATTAATTTAATAAGCTTATCTTAAAAAACTTATGTTACAATAATAGTTTAATTGGCATAAAACATATACCACAAGCTTACTTTAACGCTGTTTTTGCCGTGGCTCGTAGTAGATTGACTTCAGAGGTGGAATGTTCGTTTATAGAGACTTCCAGAGCTTCGTTTAGAACTTCGTATTGTCCGATCTGTAAACATAATATAAGATAACAACAAACAATGTAAAATACGTTAACAATTTGGGTGATTTCACAAAACTGCTAATTATATTAGGTGCCGGCAAAAGTTTTTTCACTATTTTTCTAAAATTTACCAAAAACTTATGGACAGTTCTAGAAGTTTCTGTTGATAACCTATATAAAGAGTTGTCCAAGGCTAAAAACTATTGCATGTTCAAGCATTCTGTTGTTTACGATGGTTCAGGAAATCAAGGTGAAACATGACCATGTTTGGGCAGTGTTGCTTCTCAAATTCCGCAATCCCGGCAACGCAATAAGAACGACGAAGGAAATATGCAGTGCTGTAGGGCCTTCAGTTGTCTCTTACGACACCACAAAAGTTTGGTTCCACAAGTTCCAAAACGGTGACTTTGACATGTAAAGTTCGATATGGTAGACCATCAGCGTTGAAGAAACCCCACCTTCTGAAGCTGATTGAAGAAGACCCCAGACAAACATGTACTCATTTGACTGTAGAGCTTCAGTGTGATCCTTCTACCATATTAGCTAGACTTCACGACCTCGGAAGATCATGGAAATATGGTCAAGGGGTTCCACATGATTTGAACAGCGACCAGCTGAAACGCTAAGTGGAATTTACACTTATTTGTTGATTTCCCAAGGACCTTTGCATGGCTTGGCAATTTGGTTACTGGGGATGAGAAGTGAGTACTGTATGTTAATCACACCAGAAAGAAACAATGGTACACCAACCCCAAAACCTGATCTTCACTCACTGGATAGGATGATCAGCGTTAGCTGGAACTCAACAGGTATTGTGTACTAGGAAATGGTACCACATGGAACTACGATCCCTGTGGATGTCTACTGTAGACAAATTAAATCTGTTGCGGCGGCATTGCATGGTGTACAGAATCGCACCTTCTTCATTCATGATACTGCTCGCGCCTATGTGACAAATTTGACCCAGCACAAGCTGAAAAGCTTCGGCTGGGCTGTGATGCTATATGCACTGTACTCAACTGATGTTGTGCCTACAGATTATAATATGTTCCACTCTCTTCAAAACCACCTGAACGCAAGACACTTTAACAATCGAGAGTACCTCAAGAGATGTTGGGCTAACTTTTTCAATTTTCAAACACCAGGTTTTATAGAAGTTGAATCCAAATGCTGCCGAAGGAATGGCAACAGGTCGTTGATAATAATGGTACATATATTTGTTCATTAGTTGTTGTTCTTTTTTTTAAATATTAAATTTTGTTAAAAACAAAAATCGTGGAAAAACTTTTGCCGGCACCTAATATTAATATTGGCATACCTTGACTATGATAGGCAAGCATTGATTGTAAAACTGAACAAATTCCTGAGACTTAGTGATGACATCGACAGAGTTGTTGTCAGTAGATACGATGTTCTGGTTCTTCATTAACAGTGCTCCTAGTTCGTTGATGTGGATGGACATGAAGTTCTGTATTATCCTTCTCAACCCAACCAATAAGAAGGAGGGGATCCATTTGTGAGCAATTAGAAACATTACTGTGGTATACTCGAGCTTGTTCTTGGCTTGGTTCCACCACTCCGTCGACTTCATCGAGAATACCGTAGCCCTGCAGAGTAAGAAATTAAAACTATTATAAGTTATTAAGTATATAAAGAGTAAGATATGTATGACTTACCTGGGATTGGTCGATTGCAACATCTTGATGACAAACGCGTCAAAGGTAGTGGTTTTTAGTGGCATTGACAACTTCTCGGATCCCAGCTTCTACAATAATAAAATTTTACAATAAAAATCAAAAGCCGATCTGAATAGTACGGGTTAACCAAGCCAATATACCCATAAACTTACAGCAAAAGCAGAATTGAGTGATTCTACAGTAATCTGTGCTATCTCCGTCTGCCATACTTGAACCCCATTGATGCCGATCTGCTGACATACGAAGAGGAAGGCCTTCCTCAACTTGCTGATCTCTTCACGTTGTTGTTTTATCACCGTGAAGAAGCTACTGCTGGGTACTACGGCCTTCATCATCGACTGTAACTTCTGTCTCAACTCTTTCCTCAATCCATCGTATAACATGTCTTCTGGCTTTATTTTGACCGGTCCCAGTTTGTTCAGACACATGTTCGAGATACCTGAAGGTTTGTATGTTTAAAACTACTGAAGCACATCGTTAAATTGAGACGGTAAAAAAAGTTATAGTCACAAGATTACCGTGATTATACTATTGAAAAATATGTTGTTATAGGTCCTTCTGGAACAAAAATATGATCAAATAATAAAAATAATTAGTAATTGTCTTACCCAGTGACAACTTGCTGATCTTGCACGTTTTCTCAGCCAACTTTCTGCGCTGTTCTGTTTGGAATACGGCTTTGATATTAGCCTTTTCGATAAAACAGGCTTCATCGTCACTTAACAGTGCCTGAAGCTCATCCAATTCAATGAAAACACTTCTCGGGATGGCCTAAAATGGTTTTAAATGTTAAAACGCTAAAAGTAAAGGGTATTCAACCCTGTAAAATTAAAATATCGTGTTCATACCAAAAATAATGTAACCATAAACAATGTAACACAAAAAAGATCATCAAGACAATATATTGTACTACTTACCTGTACAACAACCTTCAGGTAAGATTCCAGAATCTTATGATAAAACGTAGATACCATTTCCTTTTTCTCATCCTTAACACCGTGTAATCTGACATTGATCGACGACATGAGTTTGAAGAACAGGTACTTGACCATGACTGGATCTGCTCGTAGCAGGTCTTCTAACTTCTCTGTCCACATTCTCATACACTTCCATAGGTAATCAGAGTTACATAGGGTGTCCAGGTGCCCTAAAGAGCTGTTGTCCAGTTGGTATACTGTAGTTAAGGAGTCTAGCTGACCAAGTACTGTAGTCAGGTACTGGCCGATCACTTTTTGGTTTTCGGACGTCATTTCGGATATCTAAAAGGTAGCTTTCAAAAGTTGAATCCCAAAAAAAAACACAGAATACTGTAGTGTTTTTAGGTACAGTATTATGTGTTTTATATAGTAACAATAAACTTAACTGTCTATGTACTTTAATATTATATTAGAGAGAAATGGTACCTCTTCAATCTTAAGTCGCAGCATTTCGATGACATTCAGGGCTTTCTTGCTATCCACCTCCAGATCTGACAACTTGCTCTGAATCTTCTGTAGCCAGCTCTTGATCTTGTGCTTCTGATGATCTCGAGCACTTTCTACTATCATTACTATCTGCTCCAAGGTAGCCAAGATACGATTTCTGTTGGACTCGAACTGTTGCTTTTTGTTCTTGACTATATACGATGCTGACTGAAACGATTGAATTAGTTTCTCCATTCACAAAAAATTTAGATTTAAATGTCATTTGTCATAAATTTAAGTCAATTATAATGTAATTTGATGACATAAATGAGAAGCAAGAATCAAGGACCTACCGTTTTAAATTTGTACTCAAATCGTACTAGCTTCATCAAGTGGTTGAAGACATCAAAAGTGACATTGTGTTTCTTACATCGTTCATCTAAACAAATCAGTCACTACAATATTTATTACGCCTACTTCTACTCTATTACAAAATTTATATAGGTATAGTTATTCTAATATAGTACGGCTTATTTCTACTACTCTCCTACCATACCATGACATATTCATACCTTTAGAGTGCAGAATAATCCATTTGATGGCATGATTGTAACTCAAGATGACCTTTTTGTAACTGTCAAATTCATTTAACTGTAGTAATCCAGATGGAAGCTTGTTGCTCTTGATCATCTCCATCTTCTTCTGTAAATTTACTGTAATGTCATCGTTAGTTAACACTCCATTTAGTGCTGTAATCGCTGCTTTACAATTCTTCCACTTTTCAAACAGATTTGCTGTCAATTCGAAGTGTAACGACACGATCCACTCTTCTGAAAAAAAGTAGTCGACCAGTTGTCGCATTAGAGGTAGATCCTCCCTCAGGGCATTTGGCAAAAACCAGAGACAAATGTATATTAAGGCATTCTTCTTGACAGCGAAGGTTGGGTCACTCTACAAGTTTTAAAAACAGTGAAAAATGATGACAAACCCTATTTTTATGTTTAACAGTTTAACTTTTACCACGTACTTTACTATAAAAATCCTTAATTTCCAAAGATAACATCTATAAGTTTGGAACAGTATAAAACTACAAAGTGTATACCTGTACAAGATTGTAGGTCCTTGTGTAATGGATAACATTGTCTACAAACTTCTTGTCAATACCAATGTACACAAAACAATGTTCAAATGAATCTTTCCGTTCCCGTAGTAAAGAAATCGAGGTGTCAAAGTATATCGAGGTAAACTTCTCTCTATAACATTACCTTTTACTTCAATGTTAACAATGTAAAATAAATGAAAATCAAAAACTTTTTCCTTCTAATAAAAGCTTTAATACCGTACCCAAACCTTTGGCTAGCTACAAACAATGTCTCACGTGTAGAATGCGAAAACTTTTGGTCCAAAAACACCAAAGTCACTCCAATATGATACAGTATTTCCGACCTCAAGGTATGCACGTTTCCCCACGTGAGATCAAAAAAGTTTTCTACCACCGAATACTTTTGAGTGTACCTAAAACATAAGTATAACTCATGAATAACAAGTATATCATCACTTAGTAAGTAAGCCTACTCTGAGAATTCAAATATCAAACTGCAAAGTCGACTCATAAACTGAGAAAAGTGATTAATGTAATCCTTGAATTGTTCGCCAAACTCTTCATCCAAGGCCTTTAATGTTGAGTTATCCTCGATCTTTTGGTCAAATTCAGCTGGGTTAGCAAAGTAGGAAAAGTCCATAAACACAGAGCGATAATTGCTTGACTCATCCTCAATATCTGACGGTAATATCGACTTCAAACGGAATACTTCAGCTAAAACTGATACTGCTTCTTCCAGAAACGACTCCAGAACAGCCGTCTGGTGCTCCAAAGAAAGAGCCATCTGAATTCAGTTTGCATTAACTCTGACAATTCATATCAAAGATATTAAACTCTCGAGTGGAAGACCAAACAATAATATATAATGCCCAATATTGATATTATCTCTTGTATATATAAACGAAACAACGTGTGTTATCAACTTTATTCAGCAATCCCAATAGTTTATTCATTATGTACATTACACCAAAAAGCTTTTCCGGAGTTCTTGGAGTCTTTTTCTGGCATCAACCACTCGTTTTTCCTGTAGCTGAATGTCGTGATCGGATATATCGGGTATCTAAACATAAAGATTATGTAGTTACAGCGAATCTTACCGTAACAAATGGCTGATTAAGGTTGATGCCAGTTAGGTTGGTGGAAGCTGGTACCTTATTGTTTCCTGTGATCGGAAGGCCGTTTGACAGATGTAGTGCTGCACAAAATGACGCTGTAGCACCTTCTTCAGACAACGCACTCACTGCACATTCAATCTTGTTGGCCAGCTTCAGCCGCTGATCAATATATTCTTCATCTCCAGGAGAGTAATATACACCAGACGGGAAGTGAATAGGAATCATCGCTTTAAGTCCTTCCAGCCTCTTCGACCAGAATATCTAAATTAGGAGGTTATTTATCAGGATGTAATTTTCTTTTTTAAGTTTGAATGTAATAGTTTTAACTTTACCTGTTGTGGCTTTCCGGTCTTTTCCTTTACTGAAGAAGCGTATTTTTTCTGGATAGCTTCTGGCATTTTTTGAGTATTCTTGGATGTAGTATGTACAAGTGTGACTGGTTGTTTAAAGATCGATGGCGTCTTCCTCCATGGGGCTTCTGTTAGTCCATCAAATCCATTTTTAGCAGTAAAAGCGGCTGCTGCAGCCTTCGCATTCTTTCCCGGTCTTCGAGGTCCAGCTTCGGAGAACTTTGTTCGACCCATAAGTAACTACAATGTCAATCATTTTTTAATTATTATAAAATAGGTCTACGATAGTTAATTGCAAAAGTTTTCAACAAATTTTAACGTATTTCATGGATCGCCTTTACCAATATTTTTGTTTCAAAAAACCGACATTTAAAACCCGAGATAAGTTTTATTATAAGGAGTTCATAAACGTGAAAATAATAATAAGTTAAACCATTCCGTTTTCGCCCTATGAGAGCCAGAGATGCCTCAAACAAAAGGTAAAGATTAACAAGAGTTTAGGAATGATGAGTAGTTACTTCTTGACGGGAACATCGTCGCCGGCGTCGTCTTCTGCTTTCCTTTTAAGGCCGTTCTTCTTCTCGGCGACGTAGTCTTCTGAATTGTCATCTTTTAGCGCACTGGAGGAGTTGAGGTAGTCAAGACCGACATCTTCAGCTTCGTCTTCCTCCTCTTCTTCATCTTCAAGATCCTCAGCATCTGCGTCCTCTGCGTCTTCTCCTGCGTAATCTTCCAAGTCTTCCAATTCTTCGTTGTTAACATCGAATCCGTCCAGGTACTCCAAGGAAGGAATAATAGAGAAGATCTGTGTACGATAGTCCTCCTGTTCGGCTAATGGACAATCGAAAACATCAAGTACTTGAAGGTTTTTGAGGGCAGAAAGAGGTTCCAGTTGTTCCAGCTTCTGCAAAAACAAATTGATTACAACATTAAAATTTTTATATAAATCATTAGCAATGTGTTATTACATTTGAAAATGTTTAAAAATCATAAAACCATAACGAAAACGTACCTCAATTTTGTTACCGCATAGGTTCAAATGGTAAAGTTGAGGGCATTTGTCAACCAGAGGAGTAACATCAGAGATCTTGTTTTCAGACGCGTCAATGACACGAACGGCAGGCAGAGATGGCAAACCTTCCAACGTCTCCAATCCACAGGCAATCAAAGAGAGATGGTTGAGGTTATTAAATTCGTAGCCGTCGAGGCCTTCGAGTTTGGTAGATTGGATGTTGTCTAACAACAATTCGCTGATTTCATCAGCTGAGCTCTTCTCCAATTGCTTTTCGACGTATTCCTTGATGGTGGAAGCAGCCATTTCGTCCTGTAACACGATAAGATAATGGAAACTGAACGAGGATATCTATAAAAGCCCAGAATAGAGAAGAACGCCAATTGGAGAAAACAAGTAAAACGCGGGAAAAAGCGAACGTAAATAGTATAAAACATGATAAGTGTTATTATACAAGACATTCCTTTGCACGAAAGAATAATATCGTCCTATAAGACCACACAATTACAGACTGACCATGCTAACACGAATGGTCATTGTTTACTTTCTAACTCATAAAAAAGCGTCCAAACCTCAAAAGAAACGCGTTTTCAGGCATAGACTAGCAATTAACAAAGCCCAAAACATGGATAACATAAACCTGATATTCAAAAAAAACTTGTATATGCTCACAACTAAAAACGCGTTTCCAAAAATGTTTTCGCGATCGAAAAGTTTACAACTTTTTTTGCATAACAAAAAAATAAAAGCGCCATTTACATTCGTTGGTCCTGAAAAGAAATGTTTTTGTGGCTTAACGTGAGAAATAGCGCATATTCTGCTATTTTTGAGTTCTTTTTTGATTTGGTAAATGAATAAAGAATCCTAGACAATTTACGAGTTGTATCTTTTCTTGTAGTAGATTTGGGTTCTTTTTATACGATCTTATTCATAAATATTGATTAAATGTAAATTTATAGGTTTTGCTACGCGTAACTATAACGACTAACTTTAACGATGTTATGAATACATGATATTTTTTGTTTAAATTAATATTTTAATAATATTTGTGTTTTTAGAACATGAGAACCAGATCTCGCAGTCCTATCGGGCGTCAGGACGATCGCCGTAGAAATGGCCCCAGTCAAGGTACGTTTTCCCACATTTTTGTTTTATATTTAGGCAGTTCGCAAACGGAATCGTGTTTCTCTTTATAACTACTTTCTCGAATATGATTCTGGATATATTGATGTGCTTTTTCGGGTTTTCGTTGAAGGAAAGGGTTGTTTTCAGGTGGTAGGTTTGATCCTCATAGTGATAAGATGGTTTATTTCACAAATTTATCGTACGACATGTCTTGGATGGACCTTAAAGACGCGATCAGAGAAAAAGGAGGAGAGGTGTGTTTGTCATGGAATATTCGGTTGTTGTAGCAACGACTAGTGTTCGGATTGTCTTACTTTAACGTTACTTGCAGGTACAATTTGTCGAACTTTTGAAAAACAAGGAAGGAAAGTCAAAGGGTGTCGCTGTTGTTGAGTTTACTACACGGGAATCGGCCCAAAAGACCATTGAAGCGATTCATCGTGAGAATATTCGTGGTCGTGCTGTTTCAGCAAAGGAGATTAGAGTACGCCTTTGAATAAGATTGTGTAGATCATAATTGTTTCATGTAGAATTGACAGTTGTATCTTGATTAATATAGTCATATAATATAAGTTAGATTAGTGGTTCTTGTAACGGCGTATTGTAACTTCTTTTAGGACCCGCAAGCTTTCTTTCGTAAGATCAAGGAGGAGTCAGGCATCGATTTCCTGAAAGATACTGGCAAACGTGATCGTGTCCCTGCTTCGAGGGACCGTCGTTCTTCACCTGTGGTGAGAGGACCAATCGAAACATACGGATTGAGTTCTTCTTTCTTGGACAGTTTGAATTTGAAGCCCCCTCTCGTTAATCGTGTTTTCATTACTAACGTAAGTGTTGGTGTTTTGTGGGTTTATCTCTGTTTAGGTATCGTACAATTGTGGTGTCGGGAAGCTGTTTGATGTATTTTCTATGGCAGGAAAGATCATGTGGTTCGATCTTCAACTTGATAAGGAAGGCAAATCCAAAGGAATGGCTGTCGTGGAATATTCCCATCCTATCGAAGCCGTCCAAGCTATCTCTATGCTTAACAATCAGCGGTTGTTTGATCGCACAATCACGGTGAAGATGGACAGATTTGAGAAGGATGCGGACAGAGATCGGAATGGTCTTCCAAACGGACTGAAAGGAGTTGGAATGGGCTTGGGTGCAAATGGAAGTCCGTTAAGTGACATTGCTTCAGTTATTGGGCAAATGGGATCTAATACCAGTACTACTCCAATGAACAATTCTTTTTCTGCGAGTATGTTGTCTCAGAATTTCCCATTCAATCAACCTCAATCGGCTTCGATTTTCGACAATGCAGGAGCGTATCAGTCGCAGCTTTTGAATTCGAGCTTGAGTCAACGTCAGATCTCACCTTCTCCAGCTCAGATTTTTGGATCTGCATCCTCTGGATTTGCTAAGGAACCGTCACAACAAGGCCTGTTTTCTTCTCAAGGAGGTTTTAACAGCAGTTTCGAACGGAGATCTGCAGGAGGTTTGGGCCAAAACGGCTTCCAGTCAGCCAGTCGGGAGCCGTCGAGACCTCAGGGTTATCACTACGACACTCCCAGTCGGGTTATCTTGATTAAAAACGTAATTTTAATGTTTTCGCTTATTTTTTAATTTTTACATTGCAGTTTTAGTTTTAAACTAATGTTTCCTTTTCAGCTTCCACATGACTACACTTGGGATGTGATTGCTCAGCGTGTTCGACAGTTTGGAGATTTCGAATCTGTTGAACTGGTCAGTTCTGGCATTGCCAAAGTTCGATTCCTGCACGTTCAAGACGCCGAAAGAGCCAAAGCTACACTTAACCAAACTCTGGTGGAGAACAACATGATTGCTGTCGAATATATAATGCAGTAATAACATTGCACTTTCTATTGTTTTAATATAATATAATTATTTCACATTTCTCAGTAAATCAAATAATGTTTCTGACTTGTAATGCTTTTATTTTTGGTTTCGGGCCTTTTATCTTTGAATTGTAATGTTATAAGTAAAAACAATGTTAAGATGTCTTCAATTTTGCAATGGTTAGGTTTGAGCAGTCCAGAAAGTTCCAAAAAGGAGGAAAAGAAACTGAAGCCTTGTTGTGCTTGCCCTGAAACAAAGAGAGTATGTTTAATATGGTAGTTTTGTAAAACAAACTCAAAAACTTAATTTTTAAAGTAAAAATTGCCATCTAAAAGTACATAAAGCGTTACAAACATTGAAATTTGTATTTTAGGCACGAGATGAATGTATTGTTATAAACGGCGAGGAGAACTGTGGGGCATTGATAGAAGCTCATAAACAATGTATGCGAAGTCATGGCTTCAAAGTTTGATTTGAATCAATTTGTTTTTTTTTATTTTTTAGGACTGGCAATTGTGAATAAAGTTGTTTTGTTTATTATCTTGGTAGGGAACGGTTGGAATGTTACACTTTATTTACACGAGTGATCCTAATCCTGTGGTCAAAAAGTATACCGTCTTCAAAGTTCATGTATGTTAAACTGTCGTAGTATTATTGAAAAACATGACTCTTTGATTGATAATTTTTTGGAATTACAACGGTTTTATATGTAATTTAGATTTTGGCTTTAAAATTTAAATACGAACAAATTTAGGTAGGGGTGTTAATGCTCGGAGCTTTGTTTTTTGAGTTTCTGAGTATCGTGACGGATATCAAGGTTTTCCACTTTTGCTACGATTTGAGTACGAACCCGATATCGTCGGAGGTGTCTTTTAATGAGCTTCTGTATATCCACTTTGTCATTCACTTGTTTGCCATTCTTTGTGGCTTCTATGGTTGGTGGATTTGTACTGGTGCATACATTGTACCTGTTCTTTTTTCGTCGTTTGGTACTTTAGTGGCTGGCTTGGTGTTTATTGGTTACGCTTTCAAAATGCCGTAAGTTTTACTAATTGTAATATTTTGGACGAGCAATAAGTAAAATTGTCTTAGATTCTAATATTTTTTGAGTTATGTTTAATTTTTGATCATCATGGTCAGGTAAAACATAGTTTTACATTTCTGCGACGTTTTCTGTTTGATAATATATCAGTTAATTTTTCAGAATAGAACTTGTATTGTACGAACAACCAATATACGTGGCCCTGATGTTACCATTACGAGTGACCTCCTTGATGATAATTTTCTACTTCATGATGTTTGCTCGAGAACTGACTGATAATCAAATCTACGAACAAGAAATCATCGAGAATGACGTTATATTTCAACTGGGCAAGCTTCAGATGATGCACAACTTCATCTCGTCACAGCACATGATCGAACATCTGAATGTTATTTTAAAGTAAACCTACTATAATATATTTGTGATTTGTAATCAACTGCTAACTTTCTCTTGGCAGTCTTCTTTCAACTTATTCTATACGCTAAATACCTCAAATCGGACGAATACAAGGAAATGCTGGTAATCTCTCCTTCGTATAATGCAAATTCGATGCGCCGAAAGACGTGGTTTTCTTAAAGCGGGTCAAGACTTGCTCTCTGCTTCTTCTCTTACAATTAATGAAAAAGGTTGGTTTCAGATGTCATTTTAAATTGTTGTTTAGTTTATGCGTTGTCTGTGTCTTGGCGCACCACAATGTGGTAAGACCAGTGTCATGATGACCTTGAACATGGTCGAAAACGTTCTCAGCAAGCCCTACGTTCCCACATTGGAAGACACTTACCTTATCCAGACAGGCTTAGATGCATCAGAAAAAGCAGCAGAAAATCTTGTATTTTACGATTCGAGTGGTTTAAAGAAGGATAACATAGAGCTGAAGAGGTCGCTTCTACAAGTTACTGATTGTTTTATTCTCACCTTCTCCCTCACCAACTATGAGTCATTCGAAGTTGTAGATGCCGTTAAAAGATACCTCGATAAAAACGTGTTGAAAGACAAGAAAGACGTAAGAACTTTCTTTACAAAAATTATTGCTTTAGGCACAAGTGGTACTGTTAGGAACGATGGCAGACTGTAAGCAAAGAGCAGTTGGTACAGATCTGGTACAACAATGGGCGGCAAGAGAAAAAAGTAAGTTGATGTAGGGTTGCATATAAATGAAGTCCCTGTATTTAATTATTCAAATAACTTTGCATTTTTAAATTACAGTACGATACTTTGAAATGTGCACAGCTGATCGAACGGCGGTGACAGAGATGGTACATTACATTGTAGGACGACATTTCCACACATCGAGTAAAATTTTTAAAAATTAATTTTAATTTGCAAACATTGACGAATACCGAAGAAGTATACTGTAATGTTTTCAGGGGAACCCAAATTTTCACTTTCGAAAAAATTGAAACCTGAAAGGTCGAATGCCCAAATACTCATGGACTTCTAAATACCTCAACTTTATTTATACATATTTATCCGAGTTTTTAATATTTCCAAATTTTCATATTATTGTATTGAATTATTATTATTGTATAATTCCATTGCAATGTACGTATGTTTGTGGTAGCTAATGCTGAAAGTATGGGTAACGAAAATTTAATATTAAAGAACTTAATAAACAAATTTGTGTAAAAATTGGTCGTATTTATTTTACCGAATTATCACTATTGACAAAAATTAATTATCTTACAATCAATTAGTTTTTTTGCAGTTTCGTAATACTCAAAAAACACTCCCGCCACGAAAACATTTAATAGCAGAATATTATTTCGCGGCGAATTTTTGCAAAACATAAAATAATGTTTTATTGTTTGAAGATTTATATTGTAACAAAGAATGTTTTCTTTTAGCACCTTTAAAAGAATTTAATTATAATTTTTAATTTTCAACTCAATAAACTTTATACTTTTACAGGGAGATGTTGTTGTATAACATAACTCTGCAGAATAACACAAGTATCAATGCTGCAGTTCATGGGTGTTTTGCTGGAAATAGTAAGAGTCAAGTAAGTTAAACTTAAGTTATATACCAATTCTTATTTTAGGAGATTTGTATAGCCAAAGGAACGACACTACAATTGATACAATGCGACAACAAACAAGGAAAGATGGCAATTGTCTGTAGCCATGATGTGTTCGGAGTTATCAGGTCTTTGTTGGCCTTCAGGTTAACTGGCAGTAGCAAAGGTATGTTTGAAAATGTTTTTTAATGTATTATTTGTTTAGATTATATTGTGGTGGGCACGGATTCTGGCAGAATTGTGGTTCTGGAGTATAATGGAGAAAAGAAATGTTTTGATCGTGTTCATCAGGAAACATACGGCAAAACCGGAGTAAGAAGAGTTGTTGCTGGGCAATATTTAGCTGTAGATCCGAAAGGTCGAGCTGTTCTGATTGGCGCGGTGGAGAAACAGAAGTTGGTTTATGTTATGAACAGAGATGCACAAGCCAATCTTACCATCAGTTCTCCGTTGGAAGCTAACAAAAACAACAGTATCTGTTTCGCTGTCACAGGAATTGATGTTGGTTTTGAGAATCCAACGTTTGCTTGTTTAGAAGTTGATTATGAGGTTAGTTTTATATTGTTTTTGGTATCAAAGGCTTAAATGTCGTTTTAGGTAATGAAAATTCGAGTAAAGATATTAAAGTATATTGTTTTAGGATGCAGACTATGATCACACAGGTGAAGCAGCCAAGAATGCGAAACAGACTTTGACCTTCTACGAACTTGATCTTGGTTTAAACCACGTTGTAAGAAAATACGCTGAGCCAATGAAGCAGTTTGGAAATCACCTTATCTCAGTTCCAGGAGGTAACGATGGGCCAAGTGGAGTATTGTGTTGTTGTGAAGGATATTTGGTTTATAAAAACTTTGGAGAACAGAACGATATTGTGTGTGCCATTCCTAGGCGAAGGGTAAGTTGACATTATAGTTATAAAGTGTATTTTCGTTTTGAGAATATATTTTAAAACGGATCACAAACCTTTATTATTTATTTTGAAAATTTAGAATGAGTTGGACGACAGTGGCAGGGCGATGTTGATCATAGCATCAGCTACACACAAGACCAGGACTTTGTTCTTCTTCATACTTCAAGCTGAGAATGGAGATTTGTTCAAAGTTAACTTGGTGACTGATGGAGACGTTGTAACTGAGATGAGGATAAAATACTTTGATACAGTTCCACCGGCTAACGGACTGTGCATTCTTCGGACTGGTTTTCTATTCGTGGCTAGCGAGTTTGGAAATCAGTGAGTTTTCAGCTATTAGATTTTAACCACGGACGGATACAATTATTTTAAGTTGTTTTTGGACCGTATATTTAATATTTTAGCCATTTGTACCAAATTGCACGTCTTGGTGAGAATGATGATCAGCCGGAATTCTCTTCTAAGATTTCGTTAAGTGAGGGAGAAGCTCACTTCTACGACTGTCGACCCTTACACAACTTGATCATGGTCGATCAGATGGACAACTTGTGCCCGTTGATTAAAACTAAGGTATGTTATATAAGTTTTGTTGTTTTATGATATTCACACTATGTATTGTATGATTGTTCTAAATTTAGCTAATAAGTCTTGCTAACGAGATAAAATTTTTGCTTTTATACAGTTTTAAAAGCATTTTGATACCTAAAATTTAGGTGGAAGACATGGTGAATGACGGCGCTCCTCAACTGTACTCATTGTGTGGCCGCGGACCAAAGTCGACGTTACGTATGTTAAGAAACGGATTAGAAGTGTTGGAAATGGCAGTTTCGGAGTTGCCAGCTAATCCGACCGGTGTGTGGACAGTGAAGAGAAACGTCGACGGTAAGTGGAAGATTAGCGCTGAAACTAATGTGCTTTAGACTTGTACCACTCTCAGATTGTTGTTTCCTTTGTCAATGCTACTTTGGTGTTGGGGATCGGCGAGACTGTGGAAGAAATCGCGGATTCTGGATTCTTGTCTACGAGTCCAACGCTGTCTTGTGGACTGATTGGAGATGACTCTACTATTCAAGTAAGGTTTTTTTAATGAACATAAAGTTTCAACTTTTTAGTTTTTAATGTTTACTTTGATTGTTTAGGTATATCCAAATGGTATCAGACACATCAAAGCGGACAAACGTATCAACGAATGGAGAACACCAGCCAGAAGAACGATTACCAAATGTGCTCTGAACAGAAGACAAGTTGTTATCTCTCTAAATGGAGGAGAAATTGTTTATTTTGAGTTGGATGTATCAAATCAGCTGAGAGAATATTCCGAACGTCGTGAAATGACTTCTGAAGTCTTGTGTTTGGGGATGGCTGATGTTCCAGAAGGGGAACTGAGATCTCGGTTTTTGTGTGTTGGACTGGCTGACAGAACAGTCAGAGTAATATCACTGGATCCTGCTGATTGCTTGGCTCCGTTGAGGTAAGTTTTGTAACTTTCAACTCTATATTCATCATGTTGCGACTTATTTTTAAATTATATCATTGTATTTCTGTTTATAGCATGGAGAGTTTGCCGTCCGAACCCGAGAGTTTGACGATAATGGAGACAACGGCCGAAGGCTCTAATTCAAGCGTCCTCCATCTGAATGTGGGACTTCAGAATGGGTGCCTGCTTCGAATTACACTGGATCAGGTTACTGGGGACTTGTCTGACAACCGAACGCGTTATCTCGGCGCCAAACCAGTAAAAGTGTTTCCAGTCAAGATTCAGGGCAAGGATGCGGTACGTTATTAGCAATTGTGATGGGGCATTTGTTTGTAACTATTACAATCTCTAGTTTTAGTTGTTTGCGTGTTCAAGTCGAGCATGGCTTTTCTACAATTACCAGAGCCGGTTTCACTTAACACCGCTCAGTTATATGTCTCTCGAGTATGCGGCCAGTTTTTCATCAGAACAGTGTTTCGAGGGGATTGTTGCAATCACGGAACGCGCTTTAAGGTATGTTTTGATGGTTTTTGGGTATTTAATGAACTAAGTTTGCGTGTTTTGCTATTATATTACGGTAATTTTTTATATTGGCATAATTTGGTTAACCTAAAGTAATCTGTATTCAGGATTCTGGCATTGGAAAAGCTGGGAACGGTGTTCAATCAAATGAAGTTTCCTCTCAAATACACTCCACGTCGCTTCGTTTGTCACAAGCCCTCTGGCAACATTGTGATTATCGAGACTGACCATGCCGCCTTCACGGAAAAGGCCAAGCGCAGGAGAAGAGAAGAATTGGCAAAGGTGGGCAAATCACGGTAAAAACTAAACTCAATTTAGGAGGTGAGAAAGTTGGCAACGTCAGAGGAGGAACGAGAAATGGCAGAGGAAATGGCCAACCAATTAACAAATTACGAGCCTGATGAATCAACGTTTGGAGCTCCGTCTGCTCATAACGGTGCCTGGGCGTCAGCGGTTCGTATGGTCAGCGCGAAGAACGGAGCCACACTTTGTAACTACGAACTTCCGGAAGGCGAAGCAGCATTCAGGTATTAATATTGTCTTTGTTTACTAGGTTTTACACTTTTTCACTGTTTTTAAATTTTACAGTTTTAGGTAACAAGTTTTGGTTTAGTATAACAATTTCTAGAAATAATATTGTTTTAGTGTGGAGTTGGTTCAGTTCAAAAGCCAAGGCGACGCTACTTTTGTCCTCGTTGGCTGTGGGGTCAACTTACAACTGAGACCGCGGAAACACGCCGGCGGGTGTATATACACGTTCTTGTTGTCTGCAAATGGCCACAGGTTTGACTTCATTCACCGCACCCCAACTAATGAGGTATGCAAAACAAGTAATGCACATGTGTTATGTATAGAATTGGCATAGTTATGGCGGTTGTTTTGTTTTCTCTACGATATATTCTCGTTTTCACAATATTGTTTTAGGTTGTAAACGCTATTCACGACTTCAGAGGAATGGCTCTCGCCGGCATTGGCAGCCGTCTGCGGTTGTTTGACTTTGGCAAACGAAAACTGTTGGCCAAGTGTGAGAACAAGGTAGGTGGAACTTATTATTTTTATAATTATTAGTATTTAACAATATAGACAATATTATGAACAACAATTAGGCACCATTATCACCTCGTATCTTCGTTCGCATTGGGTGGGCTTGATCGGTTGGGGAGGAGATAAGGTGGGGCGGATACCACCGAACTGTATCCGTGAGGTTTACCGGGTCGCAAAGTGGAGTTGTACGAGTTATACTGAAAGAAGGGCCACTTGAGAGTGTCTCAAACTTTAAAGATTGCAAAGAACAGCTGTGCCGGCTAGACGGGTCAGCATAATATATTAATCATGACCTACCGCGTTTTGTGTTTGAGATCGAGATCCGAAAAGCATATTATTACAAGTGAGCAGACGTTTGAAACAAGTTCGGAATTCACGGTTGAACACTGTGTATATAACTGGATTCAAGGCCGAATTTAAGTATCCCAGCCAGAATAGAATCGACCACACGACTTCGTTTGTCTGGATCGAGAACCCGTAGAGAATGCTGAAGCCGAGCCAGCAGAAAATGAAGCACCCCGTCACAATGGCCACGGTCTTGGCCGCTTTGATCTCGAGTGACAGTCGCTTCTCGTAAGCACAACCGGCGCGCTTCCGTGGCCCGCGTCGCATTATCTTGGAGAGCATGTTCACACCGTAGTTGGTTCGTTTCTTGGGTTTGGCGTCTTTGGTGGACTTTGATTTGTTGACTCCGTTTATTACTATGCCCGGGTCTTCGCAGCCCTCCACTGGCATCGAATGAGCATCTCGTTCTATCATTACTTCTTTTCTGAAAGTTATTTGGTTAATTTCTTCTTGTAATACTAGGTCTTTGTGAATTTGAGCTAGTAAGTAGAATAACTCTAATGACTGTAATTGATATTGTTAAATGACCACAGGATATAGATTATTCGAAACCAATTTGACTTACTTCTTTTGAGAGTTATCGAACGCCAGGTTGACAACGGATTTGGCATTGCCTAGACCTTTGTTTCTTGTTATTGGTGTGGAACAAGCACTCGGACACTTCTCCGATCCGATTTCTTCTGTACTTGCACGCTTCGGCAACGGGCTGTTCTTGGAGAGTTGTAGGCTGGGCGTGCTGCCATTCAATGTGTTATTATAACCCGGAGATATTTGTCCGCATGGCGGCGTACTGCACAACAGCGGCTTTTGTGTCGAGGTGGAGTACCTGAACGGAAGTGTTTTGACGTTTTGCAGACACCTACCTCATCTCGGAGTACGTTTTGGGGGTTTTGATCGTTGAGCCCCGATGAATTCGGAGAATCGGAGCGTTTTCGCTCCGGGAAAGAGCCGAGGGATTCTGCATTAACAAGTTCTTCGGATTCTTGTTAGCGGTGGCCGTTACCTGCAATTAGGGTGGATTGTGTGTGTTTATGTTTACCTGCATCATTCCTGAGTACACGCTTTTCGTTGCCGCACAAGCTGCTATGTAGATTCGAACATAAACAAAGATAACCACGATCATGGGGATGTAGAAGCTGGACGATGCACTGAACACGATGTAGGCCATCCCTGAGTTGGCTGGTGTGCATCGGCAGCTGTCCTTACCCGCAGCCTTTTTCTCCGACGATGCGAGCAGAAAGCTGGGTGAGCAGATTACAAAAGAACTGATCCACACAATGGCAACGATACACCTCGCTCGGAACTTTGTGATTAACATGGGGTAGTTGAGGGGCTTGATTATGGCAATATAACGATCAATTGATATGGCTACTAAGTTGTAAATCGATGCTGTGCACATCCATATATCCATCGTCAACCACATTGTACACCAAGTGTCTCCGAAGATCCAGTAGCTGTGCAACACTTCGTTTGCTATACTGAATGGGAGGACCACTAACCCGACCTGCAAGAGATAAGATTAAAAAATTGATTATGATAAATTCCACGTTAAATTTATCAAATTATTACCATTAAATCTGCGACGGCGAGCGACAGAATCAACAACCCGGTAGCGGATCGTAGTCGCCTTCGTAAGACGACAGCCGCTATTACCAAAGCGTTACCCAGTACCACTAAAACAACTAGTATCGTGAGGACCGATATGATGGTGAATATTCGAAAGAAGCCGGGTTGATTAGGCTGTTCGGCCCATTTCTTGAAGGTGCAGATGTCTTCGTCGCCGTCGTAGTCGGCCGTAGTCGGTGTTAGGAAGGAGGTGTTTCGCGTCGAATGTAGCTCCATTCTGCTCTGATTGAGCGTTAGGTTAACGTGTAGTCACCTCGGGCTGCTACTAATTTCGGTAGCATTGAATTGGGAATCTGAAAGCAAAGGAATGTACGACGAAGGCGCAATTATTTATAAAGATCATCCACACGCGGGAGTTAGGATTAAGAAAAAACCTAAAACGAGAAGAGGGAGTCGTTTTCACTATCGGCTATGTGAAGGAACGGCCCAGGCGTCGTCCGGCTTTTCACACCGGCACTCTGTCACCTGCTGGTTTTCCAGAGCACCGGAAAAACGACACTTTTGTTTAGTGGCATTGTAACGGTGAAGCGTTTTCTCCAAAAACTTCCGGTGGCCTTTCATTCCAGGATACACTGATCCCGGCGCGACGCCATTGTTGTTTTCCTTACATATTCCTATTTCCCGAGATAATTCCCCCCATCTAGTCTATATATGGGCCGTCGGACAGACACTGACTGTAAACCAAACTTAATATGTTTATAATCTCGTTCCTGGAAAGGGGGACGAAACAGGTGGAGAGGTATTTCTTGGGAGGCTGAAATAGGCCCTACGAATTAATCACGGAGTCATAGGAATAACACAAGGTGGAAAACAGTCGACTAATTATAAGAGTCAGGGTAATCGCCGCGTTCCGCAAATGCCGAATCCCGGGTTTATGGTTATAATAAAAGTAGACATGGGTTTTGTAGGGCCGACAACGGGGCTGGAACTAATTTGGACCGGGGAGAGGATTGTTTGCGTGTTCCCTTTTTTGTACTTATATCCTGAAGATAAGGGAACGACTAGAGACGTAGGGCTTTTAGTTGTAAGACCGAAAAGAGGGAGCCGACGTGTGGACATTGGCATTAGGGCCGCAGGCCCTTTCTTTACTGAAGGGAATGCAGGGCCGGCACTGTGTTATTGGCCGCCCGGCCGCTGGTTCTTGGGCGGGCGTATCTACTGGAGCGGAGGAGTGTTGGACGTGTTTTACCCTTCGTTCCCTTATGTTGGGAAGAAAAGGGAAATTATTTCATAGCTTCACGCTGTCCTACTCAAACAGGGGTTTTAAGATTCTAAGGAGCTGAGTGTGGCTTGGTTAGGTTAACTCGAGTAAATAACAAATTTGTACTATCCCAAAAACACTATAAAATACAGCTCCCCGCCGAAAACAATCTCATGCCGCAAGTTGATGTAAAGCGAAAACTCAAATAAATAATTCACACGATTTTGTTTGGAATGGCACTGGGACTAGATAAGAGATACTAACACATCAGTCTTCTGGAGCCTAATCGCGTGCTAGCACTCTAAGACGTTGAACGCCCTTCCCCACTAACAATAGCCGTGAGTGGGAACGGAACCACCGTTCCACCTAGCCTACTAAAACATTGGAACCAAGACAAGATAAGACCGCTTCTTTTTTGTATAATTAGCAAAGGGAGAACGTGGTCTACCAGAAGCGCGAACAAACTGACGTGTAAATGATAGTCAGATGCCGGATAAAAAGTTAATTTGGGGCGCCTTAATAAAGAATTCTTCCCATCGGTGTCACAAAATCCAATACTCTTAGTGGTGGTTTGGTTGACCTAAACTGCATTGGAATTTATTAGAAAGTCGGCTGAGTTCCTAGTTAGGGTAAACAAAATAACGACTTTATCATTTTGGATTAATATGTGGAAAATTGTTAGGATTAAAACCTCGAATAACGTGAAAATATGATGAATTACTAACGAATCATGAAAAATATCCCCCGGATTAGTTACACACGTGCAACGAAAACACAGTAAAAGTAATCACAACGCTAGGTGCTGTTCTTGCTAATAAGCGTGGAAATGGTAAAGTGTTCCTTAGAACAATTTGATGGAAAAACAAATCTTGTTTTGAATAACCACGAATTAAAACCCGTACGAACAACGTCGCCGCATAAAGCTGTATATAAATACACGGCGGTCAGAGTGCGATCCCACTTATCCTAACGTCGTTACTCTGATTCTTTCTTTTGCCATGCCCTAAACGAAGTTATCGAAATCAAGACGGGACGAAAGAAGCGAATGCCGGAAAAAGAACAAATTTCGAACGGAAAGTCGACGCTTCTCCGGCTGATATGATTTCAATGTTGGCCTCCATATAAATATAGTCGTCAAACAATATTTACGCCAAATTGCATTAACACTTGAGTCCAGTCTAACTCTTTTCGATTGTTCATACTAGCGTATAAAAGGGCATGTCACAATATAATATATTGTCGTTTCAGCAAATACCTAACCAAGTGGTCGACATCCAGTCGATGGGACAGCGGATCGTGGTGAGCGACATCAACGAGTCAGTCCACTTCTTACGGTACAAGAAACACGTGAGTTCATAACTCCAGCTTGTGTTACTCTCTAGTAATTAGATTAATGAATTCATTTTCAGGACAACCAGTTAGTGGTGTTTGCTGACGAAACACTTCCAAGATATGTCACATCAACATGCATTTTGGACTATGACACCGTTGCCATTGCTGACAAGTTTGGAAACGTTGCTATTGTAGGTTGTTTTTCAATTTTAGACTGGGTAAATGTTGAATTTAAGTAAAGTATTATATTAATTACTTTTAGGTAAGGTTACCCAAAGAGATTATCGAAGAAGTCCAAGAAGACCCAACGGGTGTCAAAGCTTTGTGGGACCGAGGTAATCTGAATGGAGCTTCTCAGAAGGTGGAGTACTTGGCCAACTTCTACCTCGGTGATATGGTGACCACTCTTCAGAAGACCAGCTTGGTGCCTGGTGCTGATGATGCCTTGTTATATACGACGATAAGTGGCAGTGTCGGAATGTTTGTGCCTTTCCTATCTCGAGATGTAAGTCCCCATCAAACCGATCAAATATAATGTTTTTTAGGAATTCGAATTCTTCCAAACCATCGAAATGCATATGAGAGTAGAATTCCCACCGCTCTGTGGCCGTGATCACTTGGCATATCGATCGTACTACGCCCCTGTCAAGTCAGTAGTCGACGGGGATATCTGCGAGCAGTTCAGCATGCTGGATTCTGATAAACAACGAGAAATCGCCCAAGCCTTCGACCGAACCGCTCCGTTCATTCTCAGAAAACTGGAAGATCTCAGGACTCGATACGCCTTCTAGGTTGTTACAGCTGTGTTCGTATTGTTTTATATTATTAACAGTTATTCCGAATATTCGAATCGTTATAAACCTAATTTATAAAAGTTTGCTTTATTTTCAAAATAGAATTTAACTCTTCTTTATAACTAATTAGTCATTCTTTACAATATAAATATGTATTCAACATTTTTACGCGGCATAGAGATTGTTACACTTAAACTCGGGTTTAAAAGAGGGAATTTGACAAGTTGGTGGTTTACAAGTGGTGCCATTCCTCTTAAGGTTATAGGGATGACCAAAACAATATAACAATAGGTGACCAGAACGACGGTTTCAACAACGGGAGTAAAAGCAGAGACTAGCTTACCAATTATCCCAAAATGAAAATGTAAAAATTGAGCAATTAGAGGCACTGGGATGTGTAGTGTTGGAGGATTAAGACAGTTGTAAGGCACTCGGTCGTTTGTCATATGTACAAAACAGAAGAAAAAGGCCAAAACGATTACTCGTAGTTTCCAGCAAACGTTCCACCCATAAAAGAACGTCGCAAAACACTGTAGATGTCGTCAGTGTGGGCCAGCTGTTCCAATAGAGGGAGCATATCCAGTAGTTCGGTGTCATTGGGGTCGTCAAACCACGTTCGGACGGCAATCTAAAATACGCAAGTTTTAAAACAAGCTGTATATTCAATTGAGCGTCAGCAAAACGTAAAATATTAAGAAACAAGTACGATTTTGCAAATTAGGTATTAAAAAAAGTAAAAGCATAAATTTAAATTTTCTAAAACATACGGCATTTTCAGGATGAAAAGCATAACTGATTGGAGAGTTGTCCACAATGATCACCTTGTCTACATCTCTGCCCAGCCGTGTCAAGTCCTTGACGTAGTTTCCAGCAAAGAACACGCATGCTTCACGGAATAACCTCGACTTGAATACTCCTTTCCTGTCCAGTAAGTCTGCCACCGGATCAGCGTACATGTCGAGACTGGCGGTGAAGAGCACACATTCAAAGAGCTCTCCTATTCTTTCCAGAAAGGCGTCAGTGTGCGGCCTTTTCAGAACGTGAACTTGATGTACAACATTGTCAATCTCCACCGGAATGACGAAATCAGCGTTCTTGACGGGTTTGAAAGACGAATGAACTAACGTTTCATCCAAATCCACTATCAGACACTTCTTCTTGTGGTCCAGTGGATGCAACGGCGGCAACAACGCGTTACTCTAAAAGCGGAATCAAAAACATTACACAAGACACTTACTTGGTTTATTTGGGGCTTTTGGAGACGATTTCCCGACACAATAACGTTGTTGTCAACACCCTGACCACGAGGCTGGAGCTGAGATGCATTGTTATTGTGGTTAGAGTCATCCGGGCTAGGTATTTTCTTTACGATTGGAGTGGGAAAAGTGTCCGTATCCTTAGAAACTTGTGTGATAATCGAAGTTGGCGGAGCCGAGGTTGCTCCAGGCAGACTGTTGCCATTTTGGGCGTTAGATTGTCGATCAGAGTCAGAATTAGCTTCTGAAATTCCATTATGAGTAATCGAAATAAACACAAATTTTTAAAACAAAATGAAATCAATTGAAATATTTTTGATAAATTATTACCTAAAATTAATAAAAATCGTCAAAAACCAAAGCAAATCAACTTACTCTTACACCTTTGGGGTCTTAGACAGCAACACAGCTTTATTAGGAGCTTCGGCATCGAAAAATGATGTAAACCTGTAGAAAGTTTCACAGATCAGGTACATCGGCCAACATAAAACCAAAAACCCAACTTTGCTTACGATGGCCAAGCAGAGTCGTTGAACGACGCTGAAACTCAAGTAAATAATAATGTAGTTAACAACCAACGCAACATTAATTGCTTCGCAATAAGCAAAAACAAAACTCGCAAATGACAGCCGTCAACAGTCAAAAGAAAAGAAGATAAAAAACCGCTGAGTATACGAAAAACGAGGCCGGCGGGCGAGAGACGCACTAGAATCACGGGTTCTCTGCCGCCCTCTCCAATCTACACGATCTCGGTACGAATTAGAACCGGTTTCCTCGCATTTAACGTTTACTTTCGGCCCTCAGGTCTAAAAAAGACTAAACGCGTGCCTCCGAGGGCCATATAAATAAGGAAACTTAAAATAAACAAAAACATCAATATAAACTCGAAGAAGGTAACGCGTCCCAGACGGCCCTTTCCATGAGTTTGCCGATCTGCCTGTTGTTACTCTCGGCCCTCAAGCACCTTTTGAGCAAAAACATGTGGTGAATTTAAAAAAGAGAGCAGAGGGGGCGGCTCCGATTTCTCCAATTATTTCTTTCACGTCTCCCAGACGGCTTCCTTGATATTACGCTGATCGTCTTTAACACATACTTGGTGACCACAATTCAGCATTTAATTAAATCAAGCGATTGTTTGATATAAAACATAAATAACAGTCCAGATTCCGATAAATAACAACCTGATTTCCGATTAAAAGGGCAATACAATAACAAACATAACGAAACTTATTGTTATACATCACATTGTCAAAAACTTTAACAATTCCAAAGCAAAATTGCAATGTTACACATTTTATTCTTGCCACAATTTGTCAAACCCATTGAAAAACTTGAATTTCAACTAAAAATCGTTGAGAAACATTTTTCAGAAAATTTTCTAATAATTCGATTTGAAAGAAGGAATGATTCGCAGCGTCTCGAAAAAAGTCGAATAGAGAAAAGAGTCCCGCCACGAAAACAAACGGTGTACGATACGTGTTATGCGGACACGAAGTGGGTTGTCCCTCACCATTCGTGCTTCGATAGGGAAGACTGCGCTTTCACTTTTTTTTCTCCTCAGTCGTGCCATTGTGTTTTTGTCGTGATGTCGGTTTATATATTCGCGTATTACCTAAACTTATTTTGTTATTTCAGGCAAATTAAGTTGCACTACAACTACCAACATGGGTAAGGAAAAGACTCACATCAACATCGTCGTTATCGGCCACGTCGATTCTGGAAAATCGACGACCACTGGTCACTTGATCTACAAGTGTGGTGGTATCGACAAGCGTACCATTGAAAAGTTCGAGAAGGAAGCCCAAGAAATGGGAAAAGGATCTTTCAAGTACGCCTGGGTGTTGGACAAGCTGAAGGCTGAGCGTGAACGTGGTATCACCATTGATATCGCTTTGTGGAAGTTCGAAACCTCCAAGTACTACGTGACCATCATCGATGCCCCTGGCCATCGTGATTTCATCAAGAACATGATCACTGGTAAGTTTTTTGATTTTTAGACGTATTTTTTTTAAGTCTAGGCTTTTCGAGAATTACTTTGAAATTTGGGGTTTTAGGCCACTTTTTGGTAAATTGTTTTTGAACTATAAAAATTTATGGTTGTATCATAGTTTGGGAAAATTATATTCTAAATTATTTGCTTTTAGGTACCTCTCAGGCTGACTGCGCTGTCTTGGTTGTTGCTTGCGGAACTGGTGAATTTGAAGCCGGTATCTCCAAGAACGGTCAAACTCGTGAGCATGCCCTCTTGGCTCAAACCTTGGGTGTGAAACAACTCATCGTTGCTTGCAACAAGATGGACTCCACCGAACCTCCATTCTCAGAGGCTCGTTTCACTGAAGTCGTCAATGAAGTTACCAACTTCATCAAGAAGATCGGTTACAACCCAAAGACCGTTGCCTTTGTCCCAATCTCTGGATTCAACGGAGACAACATGTTGGAGGCCTCTTCCAACATGCCATGGTTCAAGGGATGGGCTGTTGAACGTAAGGAAGGTAACGCTACCGGAAAGACCCTTCTCGAGGCTCTTGACGCTATCGTCCCACCAACCCGTCCAACCAACAGACCTCTCCGTCTGCCACTCCAAGATGTATACAAGATTGGAGGTAAGAAACGAATATTTTTTTTAATTACTGTTGGGTAATTTGATATATTTTTGGTGTTGAGTTTTTCTAACTATTTGTTCTTTAGGTATTGGAACTGTTCCAGTCGGTCGTGTTGAAACTGGTGTCATCAAGCCAGGTATGGTTGTCACCTTCGCCCCACAAGGTGTCACCACTGAAGTCAAGTCCGTTGAAATGCACCACGAATCTTTGGCCGAAGCCGTACCCGGAGACAACGTTGGTTTCAACGTAAAGAACATCTCAGTCAAGGACATCCGTCGTGGTTCCGTCGCTTCGGACTCTAAGAACGACCCTGCCAAGGAATCTCGCTCCTTCACCGCCCAAGTTATCATCATGAACCACCCTGGACAAATCGCCGCTGGATACACTCCAGTTTTGGATTGCCACACAGCTCACATCGCCTGTAAATTCGCTGAATTGAAGGAGAAGGTCGACCGTCGTTCTGGAAAGAAGGTCGAAGACAACCCAAAGGCCTTGAAGTCTGGTGATGCCGGTATCGTCGAACTTATCCCAACCAAACCAATGTGCGTTGAAGCTTTCACCGACTACGCCCCTCTCGGTCGTTTTGCCGTCCGTGACATGCGTCAAACCGTCGCTGTTGGTGTCATCAAGTCCGTCGACAAGTCTGAAGGTGGTGGCAAGGTCACCAAGTCTGCCCAAAAGGCCGCTGGTGGAAAGAAGAAGTAAATTTTCATTTGGTCAATTATTTTGTTCCTTGTTAAAAATTTGTTTTGGTGTTATAATAAATCCTAACTGAAAAATACTCGAATGGCTGCTGTTGTTTTGGAAATTTTCTTTAATGTTAGAAGCCTCGGGATGATCTCGGTTGTCGAAAGACGATTATTTCGTCTGCACTTTATTAAACTGTTACTTGTACTTGCATGTTGACTTTAATTCGCAACGCGATGCGAATTAAAGATGCATCGTATTGGTGTAACTACAATACAGAGCTCGGCAAATGAGGTACCCCTTTGAGGGTGCCATGCGTGCATGTTTGCGACTAACTATAGTCCAACCTTAAATTAAGTGGTGGCCGGGCCAAAGCACATTTTCCGTTCTATTTTCAAAATTGTTACGCAAGCCGTTAAAATCTGTACCGCGGTAAATTTCACTATAACAACATGCTGCAGCATTACAAAAACACCTGTGTAAACCATTCGCACATCTGACAACTTTAGATTTTAGTCCTGTATAGTATAGTTTCAACTTGTATTCTCTCTCTAAACTGGAATATAAGAGTAGATAGTACTGAAATTCCACCAATTTTGCTTCAACCCGTTAATCATGTAGTTTTAAATTAAAATTTTAATCTTTCTACATTTTTCAGCTGTGTTATTAGAACAAATGTCTTTTTAACTTCAACGTTACGACACGTTTTGCAGAATTTAATTATTAAGTATAAAATATATGTACCCATTTTTAACGGAGTCTAATTCTATTGTTTTTAAGAAATGATCAAAGCCAATAAACTCAAGAAACAAATGTTTATGGAAACAAACAACAAGTTATAACATAGTATTTATTTTTTGGAGACGGAATGTTTTGATTCCGACTTGGAGGCAGAGGCCGATGAGCGGCGACGGGCAGCCTTTTCGGCTAATCGTTCCTTGGCGTACTTGGCCAAAAGCTTCTGGTAGTTGGCGGCTTCCTCACGGTTCTTGATGCGTCTCTTAACCTTTTGGGCAGCAACACGACGTTTACGTTGAAGACGAGCTGGAGTGACAAGTCTCTGGATCTTGGGGGCCTTGGTACGGACCTTCTTTCCTTCTTCCTTGGGCTGGATTGTTCGGCGGATAACGTACTTTCGGACATCATCTTCCTTAGTCAAGTTAAACAATCTGCGGATCTTGGTGGCTCTCTTTGGTCCGAGGGATCTTGGGATAGTCTTGTCAGTGAGGCCTTCAATTTCAGCATCTCCTAAAAAACACCAATAAGTTTTCCAATAGATAGAAGTCTTCAATTTCCGTTAAAAATAAAAAACATCCTAAAAAATTTAAAGACCAATACCTAAAAAATAATAAAGTCTACTAAAAGTTGCTTTTGAATATAAATCATGATTTACCCTTCTTTACAATGATAAGAGAAAGAGCGGACAAAGCGGCATCGACGACACATCCTCTGACGGACTTTCTCTTGCGTTCTCCCTTTCTTCTTTGACGGTAACATGAGTGGCCCTTGGACAAAAGAAGACGGACACGGCCGTTGCTCAAGATACCTTGCTTCATGGGGAAACCTTGTTTGTCGTTACCACCGGTGATACGGAGAATGTATCCCTAAAAGCAAAATAATGTTAACGAAAAATTGTCTTACCTTCCATTCGTCACCAAGAGCATCGGCTTCAACTTCTTGAGCCATACGCTTCTCGTAGAAGATTCTGAGCTTCTTTTCATCATCAACTTCGAACAATTTTTGACATCCTGTAGCCGGGTAGGCAATGTTGAGTTTCATGTTACCCACTAAAACAAAAACAAGTTTAAAACCTATATAATCAACAACAAAAAATATAAACGATACACGGTTAAAAGCGCAAATGTCAAATCACAAATTACAATTACACAAGACCCTAGAAGCCGTCGAAATTTTAAAAATTTATGTAAAAAAGTATTTTCAATATTATTTCTTTTGACTGCCTAAACCCCGAGCGAAAATCGTATCGTATACTAGCTTTTCGTTTCAGAACATAGTCGAAAAACAGGCAAAGTGTGGCATTCCGTTTCATTTTTTAGTGGAAAAAGAATATTGAATAATTTTATTTTCCACTTTTGCCAATATTGGGAAAAAAGTCGTGATATTAAAATTTATCTTTTTAATAATTTTTTGGATATGAAATATTGTTTTAATATGTGTACATAATATTTTTAAGGGAATGGTGTTGTGATAGACCAAGTATGAGCTTTCAGTGGCCTTGGCATTTTGACTTTCCTCCTTTTTTCACGTGAGTTGTGTGTTTTTGTGGTGGGTGAACGCTTTTGTGAACGGTACTGATTTGTTTTTTAGTATTCAACCTAATTTGGAGACACGAGAACGACAACTTCAAGCGTGGGGACAGCTGGTGATTGACTATTGCCAATACAACAAGATCTTTATCGTGGATATTGTTGAGTATCGGAAAAGTGAGCTGTTCTGCAACTTCAAGATAAACAGTAAGTGAAAATAAAGTTATTTATTGTTTTTTAGGAAACCTTGACGAAGACGGAATCCAGGCAGTGTTTGACTACTTGGAGAAACAAAGTAAGTTGTTTTAAACCTTGCGGAAGATTTATTATTGAAATGAGCTTTGTTATCGTAATTTTTTAGAACACGTTGAGTGGATAGATAACACTCGTAAGCGTTGTCACATCTTCTGGCGTAGAGTTGACGAGTGGGCTCAGTTACTTCACGATTGGGCGGTTGGCAGTGGTCTAGTTGGTACTGTACTGACCTTTTCCGACATTACTGAAGACGAGGGTAACAGAAACGAATGTATGTTTATTGTTTTTGAAATTTTCCTTTGGTTTTAACTTTTTTACTAATATTTTTTAGCTTTTTACAACCTTGACCAGGACGTGTTGTTGAAGTCTTTGGCTGCTTTGGAACAAAAAGGAAAAGCTCAATTGATCGACATTGGTGGTGTAAAAGGAGGTGTTCAGTTCAACTAAAATGGGTGTCGAAGTTACCAGTAATAGTTTACGTAAGTTTTGATATAAAAGTTAAAATGTTATTGTTTTATGTTATTATTGTCTGAATTGATGTTATTGATATTTAATATTTCAGCTCAAAGTTTTGTGAATAACAATGACTTTATTAAAGAAGGAGATGAAGTGTTAATTTATTGTGATTCTGATAACATTGTGGCTGTGACCGTGAAGAGAGGGATTACTGTAAACATGAAGGCTGGGGCTTTGCGGCACGAGTTTTTGATTGGGAAAAGGTAAGTTAATCACAAAACCACATTTTTGTTAAAGTTGAGGATCTTAGTTACGTTTTTTGAGGTACGGAACAAAGTTGTCTGCCACTGCTGGTCAAATCTATGCCCTTCGGCCATTCCCAGCTGTCTGGACGAAAGTATTGAAGAGGCATACCCAGATATTGTACAGCCAAGAAGTGTCCATGATCGTCAACCTGTTGGACATCGTTCCCGGTGACATTGTTTGTGAATCTGGAACGGGGTCTGGTAGTTTGACTCATGCCCTTGCCATAGCCGTTGGACCATCAGGAAAAGTTTACACTCATGATATTGAACAACCACAAGTCGACAAGATTCAGAAAGAAGCCAAAAAACATGGATTGGGAGATCGTGTCATCGCGGCGTTAAGGGATGTTACGGTTGATGGTTTTCAAGTTGAAGGTGGTTGCTCAGCGGTGTTCCTCGACCTTCCAGCTCCTTATTTGGCAGTTAAAAATGCGATGAAAGCAATGGATCGATCACGGATTTGTCGTCTTGTCAGCTTCTCGCCTTGTATTGAGCAATCGCAAGAACTGTGTAATGCTCTGACTGACAACAACTTCATCAACATCAAGACGATCGAATTACTCGGAACCACTTATAAAGTAAGAAATTCATTGTTTTTAATGTTATTCTTTGTTTAGGCAGAAACCCCGATTGTCTACGATATTCTGGACATGGAGAGAAGCAAATCGTCGAGAAAGACCATCAGAAGGAACGCCAACAATGAGATTGTTACTGTAGAAGACAATACCACCCCCAACAATGACAAGAGAATCTCCGCTCTTACAGCCTCCCCTGACAAACAGCCTACTCACGCTGGATTCCTCACCTCAGCCACCTTGTTAAGTATTTAGATAAATTTATTAGTTGTGAATCTACAGTTTCTTCTTTGAGGTACTCTGTCCGTTTTCTGCTTGTAATTGAGATCCGAGATCTTTGACCGCCTGAATCCCGGCGTGTCGTACCATTCTTCCGGCTATAGATCGTGGGCCCAGGTCCCATAGTTGTAAGGTTGACAAAGTCGTGTGTCCAACAGCATGTAAGGCCTGATGTGAAGTCGTTGAAGCGTCGTCGCCATACTTGACCTTGACAATGTGAACAGTTTCGTCCGAGAAATTCTTAAATAATTGTTTTGAGGCATCTTCTAATGCTATCCAGGCTACACTGGCTCCAGTAATTCCTCCTCCAATGATATTGGCTGATCCACTGACTATTCGGTTTGATCCTTTTTTATTTCCTCCGCCCAATCCACTGGCTAGTCTCTTTCCAACGTTAACTCCAACTGCTCCGACCTTGTCCACTGAAATTTAAAATTATGGCTTAACAAGAACAATTTTTAAAATTCTATTACTGTATTATGATGAAATGAACGTACATATCGCTCTGGTTAATTTGGCAAACGCTTTGCTTCCTTTGTAGCCGACCAGAACCCCGTGTTTTATGACCGGGTTCATGTTGACCGGTCGATCAGTTGGTGTCATTCCAGCCCTTATCCTCTCTCCTTGTCCTGTTATGATTGTGCCAGCTGAAGTAGAGGCCTTCTTCACTCTGACCGCAAACTTCTCTCCACTTTTGTGAAGAAAGTCGGCTATTTTCTCGCTAGTCCGTTCTCTCTTTTCCTTTGTCATTTCACTGACGACATCACTTTCTCTTACTGTAGCATACAGTCGAAGTACTTTGACAAAATCGGTTTCCAGGTTCAGGTCAATGTCTCTGGGCAAAATAATACCCACACACAAGTCTGAAGGTAGGTTTTAATTAAAACTGTTTTAAAATGTGCTTTATAAAAATAAATTTGGTAAAGATGAATACCTGGAAGCTCGTCTGTGGGGTTAGGAACAACATAAACTCCGAGTTCGTTCTTCATGATTATGCTTTGTCCTTCGATTAACGGGTATGCCCAAGGCCCAACTTGAATTATGGCTTGAGGAGCACATTCATGCAAATCTGGATACAATTTAGACTGTTTTTCAGGTGCCTCAACTTTGAAAATGGCTAGCGAGGTTGGCGGAGAGGGTGCGGCTGCTGTTTCGGCACCCTTAAATTTAATTGTTTATTCGAAATTAGTAAACACAATGACTGTCTTCTGAAATTATACTTACTTGTACAGTGACAAGTTGGACTCCATCTGGTAACCAGAACAACAGCTCAGCATCAAGGGTCTCCCTGAAGTCGCACGATACAGAATTCTTCAAACAAGCTTCAGAACCTAGCTTGTCCTTCAACGAATTGACCACATTTTCGGTCGAAGAATACTTTTTGAGTTTCTTTCCCTTCTCGTCCACTAGTTCCAAGATCTTCTCGGCCAAAGACAACATGTTGAGAGCTCCTTCCTAAAGCCTTTGAGGTAGCAATGTTACACTTACCTTATCACCTTCATCCAGAAATAGTAGTCCTTGCTGAGAATAAGCCAAAGCCTCGTTTAGCAATGTTTCTGTTGAGCTCATTTTTTACAATGAACCGAAAAAGTACGCTTGAGTAAGGCGGTTAGGCTAAGGGCTGACGAATCGAAATGAAATTGTTTACAAAATCAATTGTGAAATCTTGGAGACATATGATAGAAATGGCTCGACTTTGTATATTATGTATTCCGAAATGTTGTGTTTTAGTTATACAAATGATGTTTTAAATCTTCCATGTGCATAGAGACGTCGAACGAGCACTTTTGTTTACCAGAATTTGTTTTGAAACAACACAAAAGTGAGTTCAGCGTATAAAATGGTTCTGCGGCCTGCAACGACCAGATGGCAAGCTGCGCACAAAAATTAATTTATTTTTGAAGATCTTCTTGAGATTTACTGTAAATTCTTGAGCAGGACATTCTGGGCATTATTTATAAAGTAAAAAGGGCACTTTATTTTTTTTGTTACTAATAATTTATTTTTTTTAATTTTTACAATATTATACTGTGGCTATGATTCTCGAAAGGAACTACAAGTTGGCAGCAAAGGGTCTGAATGGTAAGTTTGGTGGATTGTTGTTAAATTTTGTTTAGCGCAAGGCTCAGAACGCAAATATGTATTTGAAACAGCTTTTGCGAGAGATCCACGAACTGGTCTTTATGGATTGCTTACCTTCAAGAACGATGTTATGCAGATATGGTCGATGTAAGTGCATTTGGTCGGTTTATGGTTATTGTTTAGAATAAACTACGAACAAGGTTTGGAAATGATGTTGAACAGAACAATCGACGTATTTGATGGTGCATTAACTGATGTTTGGGTTGGTGGATGGGGAGATGATCTCAGTGAGTTGTGTTTTGTTACCTAAAATATTGGATTTGTGTTCTTTAACTTAATTTATATTCTGTAACTGTTTAAAATCTTTAATCTTTTTTTAGAAATATTGGCAACAACTTGTTTCTCTTCAATTTATATTATGAGACCAAACGAAGAAACAGAGCAGCTGGATATCAAGAAAATTACCATTTCAAATGTCGTCTATGCTCGTCTGATGAATGATAAGAATACTATAATATCAGGTATGTTTGTCTTTGCGGAATAATGTGTTTGTTTAGTAACTGTCGATGGTACTGTTTGTAATCACACGTTAGAAGGACAACTGGTCTTGCAATCTGATGGTACTGAAACCTTTACTCCAAGTTGCATGGCTGTGGTACGTTTTGTAGTATAATTATGTTAAATTAACTACTTTTGTCGTCTTTATTGGCTTTATATAATTTTATTTCTTATTTTAATGTTTAGAATCCAGCTGGCAACTTTATAGCCTTTGGAGATTCTAAAGGCTGTGTCCGTATCTTCGATGGGTCTAGATTGTTCTTAATTTCAAAGATTGAGAGTTTCTTTAACAGTATAACACAACTTGGGTTTGTAGGTAACAACCAGTTGGTTGTTGGTGAAAGCCGTGGAGATGTTCAATTATACGCACTGTAAGTTTCTACAATAATATAATAGATACATTTTCAAGCTCGTAAACAGTTTGTAAATTTGTTTGTTTATGTTTTTATGGCTATTTGAAATAAAGCATATTTATGTTAAATTGTTAAAAAAGCAAATTCGATGTATGTGATTTCAGAGAAGACCTGGGATCAGAATCTACATGGAACAAAGTCAGACGGTATTGTGCCCACGAATGTAATATAAATAGAGTAGCAGTTTGTTCAGCTTCTAATGGCGAACGGTTTGCGACAGCTTCAGACGATGGTACCGTCTGTATCTGGGATGTAAACAAAGAAGAATATCTCCACAGATTCTCATTTGATAACGAAGCGGTAGGTCTTCAAGCTATTTATAATGGTTTATTAAGTTTCCAATTTTACAATTTAACTTTCTTAAAACAAATTTAATAGATTAACTTTGATTTTTAGGTAACATCGTTAAGCTTTTCTCCAGATGGACTTCATTTGGCCGCTTCGACAGATGAAGCTAATACGTATGTCTATACTGTGCCTGAGCATGGGGAATTCAACGAAGAACAATATTTTATTCCGTACGAAGAGTGTACGAATAGCTTTTGGATGTTGCAGGTAGGTTATATAATGGCATTTTATACTTAATTTTGACACATCTGCAATATGTTCTTTTTAGGGTTTTACTTTGTTCGATGCTCAAAACCTTCGGAAACAAATGGGACTGTACAATGAAGATGAAGAGTCCTTGGTATTCATAAAACAGAAGCTGAATCCAGATGTTCAGCTACGTGAACTTTATACTGAGTTTGCAGAAGAAATGGCACAGAAACAGCGTGAGGAGGAAGAAGAATTCAGAGAGATCAGAGAAGAGAGAGAACGGCAGAACAGATTGTTGACTAGGAAGATGGCCATGGATAAGATGAGGGAAGAAGCCCAGAGTGAAGGTCTTAACTTTGAAGAACCTGAATTAGATCCAAGTGATGAGAAGTACCTTCAAGAACTCCAGGATCTACAAGAAGATGGTGAACAACTGGTCGAACAAAGTTTGGCAGCTCAAGCCGGTCTCTCTGACATTTCTGATAGTGACTCAGATGCAGCAAAGGGTTCTGACGATGAAGCTGTTTTGAATAATGGTAAGGCTCAAGGATCAGACAATGAAAGCGATCAAGGAGAGGGTGAAGGTCAAGAAGTTACGGAAGAGGTGACAAATCAGTTGTGGGCTACAGACGACGAAGAAGAACAGCCGGAAAAGGCTACACAAGACGATCCAGCCAATCGTACCAAGACCGAGGAAGAGCTGCGGAAGATCTTCGACGAATGCATAGATACGACCGCCGATACGACAGCCTTGGAGACGACACAGGTCCTGGAGACCACTGAAGTTGTCGAGGAGGCCGTAGTAGAAACTGAAGTTACGGAAGAAGGCATGGCTACACCCGAAGACCCCGAAGCCATGCCAACATCAGAAATCATCGACACGGACCAAACCCAGCACACCTTTGGGCCCGACTCGACTCCCACGTCCCCACTCTTTACGGATGCCTCTCCTGACAACTAGACTGACAAGTATCGTTACATTTATTGAAATAAAGTGTCGTTTAAAAGCGTGATATAAAGGATGCCTGGGTAAGAGACCAATGATTTGTTTAGCGTCTGTCGGAGCAACAAATGCAGTTGAGCAACGTGCAGACTAGCGACAACAAGAATGATATGACGATGAATGCTACTACGGCGAACAGCCACGGCTGAAATCAGGGGTGCATTAGGTAGTGTATGAAGCTGGGAGAGGTGGGTGTAAATTTTATTTCCTACCGGCGGACTTTTATAAGTTTTCGGTCATTATCGAGCTATAAATGTCTTCATATACTCTTCCATATTACCTACTAAAAGTAATGTACCTGCAAATGGAAGTCGCACCGCGTCTCATTACAATTGTAGTAGTGAAAGTAGTCGGCCTGAGGGCACTGATCTCTGACACATCGTTCGTCACTCTCCAGATAGAACAAATTAGCGTGAAGACAGGGCGCAAGCACGGCAGCCAGCACCACCCAATGCATGTTCACCTCTCTATATTACAATCAGTTCGACTGTTTTGCCCCTCTCTTCTGCTGGATTTGCATTTAAAAGAGCGGAAATCAAGAGATGAACTAGTGGAATAGGGACATGTTATCCGACACTACTCGAAAACACTTTGATTAATGAGCCTCTATCAAACTCAACTGACTCGAAAACAACATGTTAATGCTGTCATGCCATTTGAAGAGCACATTGTTGCCAACTTCAGATGGGGTCAAATCGAATCATTCCTGCCGATGATGTAAATGTCATCAAAAGCATTAATTACAATGATTTCATTTTGCAAATGTTAGTTTTAGGCTTACAAAGTTGAGTAGGTTCGTTCTTTGAGCCAAAGTTTTGTTGTTTACAAGTAAATTGAGTAGTTCAAGTTGATGTATCTGTCCTCAAACTGGCTTCAAGGTTTTGAAATGACATTTAAATGAATTTGGAAAAGTAAGAAACAAGCTTTGGCCTACTTTTTCGAAAAACACGTTCACAAAAAACATGTTTTAAGTTACTACCATTGTTTAAGTTACTTCTACTTTGGTACCTACCAAAGCAAAGACACATACTTTAAAATACAAACACTTATTTGCATTGACTTTGTTTGAAAACTGTAGTTTTGCAGCTATTGTAAGAATGTAAGAGGTAAAAAAATCATCAAAATAAGTTTTAAAAATAGTAATTAAACATTCAGGACTTTCGTGTCGGGACCCAACACGAAGTAAATAAGGAAAAAATTGAATTTTTAGTTGTAAAGAAGGTTCTTGGAAGTGTGTGTGTCATTTCTTCAGAGTATCACAGTACTACGTACCACAAAATAGTATTTGTGATAACCATAACTTTATTTTACATCAACAAACTTTGTTTTAGTTACCTTCTATATCAAACCTTACTTTTAGACCCAAACATGCTTTAGTAGATCAGTTCAGTTCAATTAAGCATTCCTAAAATGGCACAAGTTCTTGCAAAACTAATTCCAGTCCAGACCGGGCGATTTCTTGGGAAAACAAAAAGTCGGCTAATCTAAAATGACCATAATTAAGCGCCACTACTTAAGCTTGTTGACATTGCAAATAAAAGGTCTACTTTCAGAGTATTTCCGGTGAATTTAAGCATAGCATGTTGGTAGTGGTACTAGGAGTACTGGTCTCATTAGTACTAGGTGGTAGTGCATATAAAGTTACTGTTAAGGCTTAAAGTTAGAATCTTTAATCATGGCAAATAGCTATTTTTATGTTATAGTAAGCTGATGTTTTACTTAAGTTCCTTGTGCAAGAAGTTATCCTACAGAAAGCTTGCAGGACTTTTGGAATGAAGCTCATTATCGTCTTCAGAATCCGCTGATTGGTTTTGGATTTCCCTAATTCCACGTTTCTCACAGTTTCAGATGTCGCTAGCTACTTCGGGAAAGAAAACTGAAACTTTTGTCCATTAAGTTTATTAAAAGCCCGCTCCCTTTCGCCTGAAGTGACATCTCGGAACAACTCCCATTAAACTAAACTTATACCAGCTAGTCTCTTTACTACATAGCCCTTTATACTACAAGATGCTCTAACTATAACACCTAGGCTTCTTTACTACTCAGCCTTTTCTACTACAAGATACTATAACATAATAAGAGGCATGAATAGCTGAATAGCTGAGAATATATTGTTGTACTCTGGATTGTTTATGCAAACGTAACATAGTACAGACCCGTTATGTTTTTGTTGGGCAGCCTTTTAAAATTTAATTTGGCGGTCCTAATTACATACACGTTACATACAGTAAACAATTATCGCTGGGTTGTCATCGTCGTATGTTTGGGATACTATTATAAATGCGTTTCGTTATGAATTCCACCTTCGAATGATGTCGAATTTTGAGGCTGAATAGGGGATGATGGGCACCATTCAAGGGCCTTATTTACCGCAGTAATTGCCGTTTCGTGCCGAACAAAAACCGTTCATCTTATCCTTGTTTACCTCGTAATTGCGGTCTGATTGCCGCACTCTGCCCCCACCTCTGCCCCACCCCGCCCGAGGTGGGGAAATCGGACTCTGCACGAACACATGTCGTCACGTGCTGAAATAGTACCCTGGTCCTATTCGATTATGTGATTTGATATGGCGGCAAAACAAATCTCGTTTCGAGGCGAGAAGGAATCCGTCAAACACAGAAGACCAGCGGCTATCCCCAAAAGCGGGGAGGGGAGGAAGGGGCGGGCCTCGCGTTCGTCAAGTTTCCAACAAGTCTCCCCAAGATTGCCCTCAGGCGGTCGCATCCCGAGCTAAGCTACGGCCTCGAGGCACGATGACTTTGGCGCAGCTGGAGCGGCCGATCCACTTGAAATGTAATTATGGTTCGGGCCGCCGACTTATAATTTGACTCATAAGGTTTTACGACGAACATTATGTTATGGGTTATATCTTTCTGTTTGAACTCAAACGCTTTGCCGTGCTACGGTACTCTTTCTGGGCTCACGGCTATAAATATAACTTTAGTTTAGGTCTTTTTTAAATTAGATTAACGTTTTGAGGTAAAGTCATTTACTTGCTTATATGTTATGTTGGTCTTACTAACCTTTTTATATGTTAAGATACTTTTTAAAACAGACTTTTTACTATAACAACATAGTAAAGTACATAAAGCTTAGTACTTCTTAACTTAACTTCACACGAACTTTTGAACTTCATGTTACAGTATGTTTTCAAGTATTTAAAGCCCAAGTCCAAAGCCTTGTTTTGTGATTTTTATCACTTGATGCATATTTCATTACCGTGTGCTGACGTCCCCGTCTATTTACACTACTACATTGACAGGAAGACCTTAAGGCCTTATAATTGTGGATGTGAAGCCGAAATGTTTATTCGAAACTCCGGCACACTAGGAACGTTCGCAGCACGACACGTCAGCACGTTGTGACCTCCGGTGAGATTATGAATTTCCGTCTCGCTTTTAATTATCGGTTATTGGGTTGTTTTTACAGTTGGTTGTTTATTGTTGGGGCCGTTTTATGTTGCGATTACCTGAGGGCCTGCCACAAGGGCATCTCAGCTTTTGACTGATAATTGACGGATCGGTCTCACCTGTTGCCATTACCTGTGTTTTGTCTGTGCTTCCGTCGTATCTTGACATGGCTCTTGAGCGTTTGACATGAATGCATGGATAATATAAGAGGGTAGGTAATATCTTGAGGAAGATGAGAGTAGTAAAAGATACTATAGACAATATATAAGTGATATGATATACAATAGTCAAGATATAAGTTATATGACGTACCATAGCAATATATAGATAATGTAAGATACAATAGACAGACGATGCCATATATTGTGCTCAATGAGATTTACTGCACGGTAAATGTTCATAGATTGTTGTGTTCATATGTCACCTTCAATGTGCCTTCTCCCGATGTTCTTTGTATACCCAGCCTAGGTGGATAAACAATATAGGTAGAAATGACATTATCCATGCAGAGGCACACATTACACTCTGTTTATTTAGTACGTTACTCTGTTATTATCGGCGCTACAAGTAGGAAGTATTAGTAAAAGTAACATTTATTGAGTTTTCCTCCAAATTACATGTACATATCCACGCAGCTTAACTATATATCACTCGCTGGAGGCCTTAATTTACTATGTAATCATATTTGTAGTATATCAGTGGTATAAGTATATGTTTTTGGCATTGCAATTAGGTGGGAGGATATTTTGTGGTGATGCATGTTATTGTAAGATATTTAATGTTATGTTAGGTATTTGCATGGTATTATATGTTACTTTAGGTTCATGTAAGGTTTTTCTGTTGTGTTAGATCTTTGTATAACATAATCTATTATTCTGATGTTTAGTGGTCAAAAAATATGTAGAATGTACGAGTTTATGCCATTATCTATCGTGTATTGTCTTTTCGTAACAACATGAAGTCCTATGACAATGTTTTTTAATCCCCGGTGCCATATTGTATTACAAAATTGCATTACAATACTTTCCATCCCTCATACCCATTATCTTGTATACATTTCTCTATACAACAACCTACACACTCTTCCGTACCATTATCTACCCCCATTTGTCACACCTAATGTTCCCCTGTGCTACACTAGATGTGCTACTTTGGGTATCTCGGAAGCCTTATAACGAATGCAGCGGGAAGTGCATACGTTATGTGTAATAATCGTATGTCTTAAATCGTTTCACACCGTTCATCAGGCCCCGAAGCACTTTGGCGTCCCCCTGACCCTGAGGCGTCTTAACGTAGGACTTGTCATAATTAAAGGACGTTTGTTTCGACAACTGTCCCACGACCTTATTCAGAAGCCTCCAGGGCTTAGCGGGCCACATTTCTGGCCCCGCTTTAATTGTGGTTGTCGTATGTTAATCGACCTTCGTACAGGCATCGGCATCACGCAGCGTATGTCATTATGTCGGGGGGAAGTCACGTCTGATTTACAGTAATTCCTGACACTTCCAGGGTGTATCAATGTTTGTGGCTCTGAATTATTAATCATCGTCGTCGTATGTTCTTTTACATTCATGGTTATAAATGACATCGTATCTTTTTTTTAGTCATCGTATCTTCGTATGACAGTTCTTACGTTTAATTAATGACATTTTACATTTACTTTGCCAATGTTTATATATTTATCACTACTTTATCATATCTTTTAAATCTTTTTAATGTTTGATCCGAAACCCCACATTTCGTGGTATTTTACCGTAGTATGTTTGTCGCGGCTTCCCTTCCTACTACCGGGTTTAATTTGCATATTATGGCAGGATTGAATGAGCAGATGAATGGGAATGGGAACGTGCAAAGACCTGACTCCCGAGAAGATGGAGCAGGCCATTCTACATTACGAGGAGGTATGCCATTCATAACATTACTGCGCTTTTAAACTTTGAAATGGGAAACTGGGTTGTAATAGATATAACTAATCATGTATAATATATACAACTTAGTAATATTACAGTAGTAAGGACTTGACAGTAATATTACAGTAGTAAGCCTAGTCTTCAGATAAAGATACTAATTACATCCTTACCATGCTAAGATAGACTCACACAGTAATGCTGCAAATGCTCACATACTCCGCTACTGTGTTTTACATTACCGGTTGTTGTCTTAATCAAGTTTGTGTGATTTTATTTTGGCTCCCGGCGGGATGAGGCCGGCTTTATTTGAGTACTCTCGGGAGGCAGTTAATGAAGGGCGCGGGTCCCTTTCTTTATGTAATCAGCTTCATCTGGGCTTCTAATTGCACCCCTTTTCGGTATGACGTTCCGGCAGAGTTACATTCGGTTACACTTTTAATGTACAGGCCCGCACTTCCCCTTCCCGGAAGCACGCTTCAGAAGCGGAAAGTATCCCTCAAGTAGGCGAATAAGTATTTATACCCATTTAAATTATTCACCAGATAAATCAACACCCAGTCAACAAGGCTAGGCATCGCTAAGCGGCTATTTACTGCGGTGGAAAAGTAGGCATTTCTCTACAGCTTCACTCTGTAAATGTAGCCCTTACTGCACTAAAATAAGCATAGTAAAAGAGCAGTATCATCAACACAAGAGCTATATCTAAAGCAATAATATCCATAGAAAGAGCCAGTTAAAGCGATAACACCCTCATACTAGGAACTATGGTCAAGCCAGTATTGCTTATCAAATCTTTTTCCATGTAGTAGAAGCTGTAGTCAACAAACAGCTATACCACAAACATACCAAATCAGTAGACAATAAGAATAACATTGAATCAGATACAGTAAATAAACCGATTGTTTACCACAACATAACTAATGCAATTTGCAGCTCCTCACCCCGATCCTCTCCTTCTACAACCAGTTCCACGTCCTCATCTACAAGTTTCTGTGCATCCTCGGCGTCCTCTCCAACATCTGCATCGTGGTGGTGCTGATGCGGCCGCCAATGAGGCGGAATCCCTTTAACGTCTTCCTGGTGGCCATCGCCATCTGCGACATGACGCTAATGGCTTCCTATTTCGTCTTCAAACAAGTAAGTACTCAAAAGCTGGTTAAATTAGTCGGGTTTGCAAGAGGAACGAATGTGTTTGGCACAAGATGTACTTGGAGTTGATACAAATTTGACAAAAAGAATGGCAAATGGCCCAAAATGTAATCTTAACACCATTTTGACGCTCATCTTTGACATAAAAAAATATTCGGCACACTTTTTGACCAACCTAAAATGTTTTGTAAACCGCAAAAATCATTTTTAAATTTTTTATAATATAAACAACAAACTACTATATGCCCCAAAATAAGGCTTGAACTCCAACCTTCAAACCTACAACAGTATAACTTTAGGTGGAAGACTGCAACCCCATCTACTTTACCTACGGCTGGGTGGTGTTCACATTGGTCTACGCTCTCCTATCGGTCTTTGTACACTCGGCTAGTCTATGGCTGACCGTGAACATGGCCGTGCTGCGGTATTTCGTGCTCAGAGACAGTTCCAACACGGGTTCTAGCAGATGGAACAACTACCGTTCCGCCATCACCTCCGTTCTCCTGGCCCTACTCTTCTCGTTGGTGGGGGCAGCACCGAACATGCTCAGGTACGAGATCGAGGACAAGGGCATGGCACAGGTGCCCAGTCATTGTCTTCGCAACGGGTCAGCCTACGCCAAGTTCTACCGCGACGACGAGCTCATCAACTCCTACACCATCGGGCAGCCCGTCTTCTGGAACTGCTCTTGGGAAAGGTTCAGCTTCTGGGTGGCTGGTAAGTATTATGTTGTTTTAAGTGTTGCGGAAGCAAGTTTCCATTTAGTAAGGCTTAAGTTTTATTAAAATATCTTAGATATTGTAGTAGGTTGGAACGTAATTGTACTTATTTCTTTTGCTTTCTATTATTTTTTAGCGTATCTTTATTTAAAATTTAAATGCTAAAGCTTTCTTGATGAATTATCGAGATTATTTTTGCTATTTTGAATTTTTTGAAGTATAGATATATACACATATATTATAGTAAGTTCTTGTTCGCTTTTGTAAAGTTTAATATATCGTTTTAGCGTGATCTCTCAATGCCTTTGGCAGTTATTTTTTTTTACAAAATTATATTTGATTTTATTGTGTTTCTTGCAGGAATCGTGCTCAAACTGATCCCGTGCCTTCTGCTGACCGTGTTCATGACACTGTTGGTTCGTATGTTGGTGGAGGCTCGAGATCGCCGCTCCCGACTGACTGCCAATAACAGTGGGAGTGCAAGTGGCAGTAACTGCGGCAAAACAAGCACACAGGCCGAGCGGACCACCGCCATGTTAACAATGATCGTGGCGTTGTTTTTAATAACCGAACTACCACAAGGTAAATAACGTCTGCTTTATTAGTTATCTCGGTTTGTATACGGGGACACGGAACAATAACTTTCGCGTGATTTACAATTACTTTCAAGACAACCAGACAATAGCATCATAGTACAGCGGCGTTCAAGGTTTTAATTGAGTATGATAGGTTTAGATTGTGGATATTACACTAGATTCGTATAGTAAAGCGATAAAAAACAACAATATTGTACTAAAAAGAAAAGTCTACAATAATATGCCCTTTCCCACGCGAGATTATCCCAAATTAATCGGTAGAGCATAGGAAAAGGCAATAAAACATCACTCATTAGACCTAAAGCAATATTAACCAGACATTGCCCGCTTAAAATGACAATATTATTAGAAACCAAAAAGACGAGCTTCTTATTATCTTTATATTAACCTAAACACTAATCTTTTACATTAACTTAGTCTATTCTCAAAAGGTCAAGCTTTATATTAATATTGATATTACCCACAACATTCTGATGTTAAGTAGAGCGTAACTTTCGCAGAATACACTGTGATTACGTCAACTTAAACATTCGAGTACTAAAACGGATTATCAAATCTTTTCCATGAATGGCGACAATTTGACACATTGCGGGCGCAGGTTGTTAACTTTTGGCACGGGGACATTTTATACTTTCAAAGCTGCTCTAATAAAAAAAATTGAATTGTGAGGAGAAAACTTATTGTAAAGTTTAAATATTATAAAAAATGCTAGCTCAACGTAATTCTATTGCTTTAGGCATTCTGGTATTCGCGATCGGCATAAAACCTGAGATGAGGTTCGCGATGTACTATTTGGGTAACATTCTGGACCTGCTGTCCCTGCTCAACTCCTCCGTCAACTTCATCCTCTACTCCACCATGTCCAACCTCTTCAGACGCGAGTTCCTCGAGACCTTCGGCTTCTGCTGTCCTCAATCGCTTCGACAATGGAACTCGCGACGTCGCCTGGCTTCGGCTAAGGCCTCGATCAAGTCGAAGAACAATGGAGCCATGCCGGAGCCGGTGAATGGGGCCAGGAAGGCGCAGCTGAGGGAGATCCGGTCCAGCGAGCAGATGCAGCGGCTAATTGACGGGGAGAGCGAGGTTGTCTGTTAGTTTCATTCTTTCACACATACGGGTTATTTCACTGGTCTAATGCGATTATTCGGCTTTATTTAGAGTACTGTAACTATACAAAACATAATAAACATATTAAGAGATCTAGTCTTCTGGAATTGCTTTCTGAGAACAGAAAGCGACATATGTCGGTGACAGAGAAGTGAATGTATATGTATGTCAACAAACTTGGAATGTATGGTATACGGAAGTAAAAACTGCAATATACCATAGCTTTCAATAATAATACACAAAATATGTCATAAAATGTCTAAAAAAACGAAATAGAGGCAGATATAATTTTTTCAAAGTCCTTTTCAAGTCTAGCATCTAGTTGAACTGGACTGACACTCTGGTTGGACTATGACCTTTTCGGCTAAAGGCTCAATGGTCTGGTATTCAATATAGTCTACCGTGGACGTAGCTGTTTCTACTCCGTTGTCACGTTTGGCTCTTGACATTGGCTCCAGGGATTCCATTTGAATTGGACGCCGTTCCGTTGATACTTGGGCGTTCCCACTGTTCCTTCTGACTAAAAGCACATATAATTAAGTCAAGGATTTACTATAACAATATCTTTTTAGATACGTTCTTATTAATGTTAAAAAAACTACCAAAGAAGCTTGTAACATTGAAAAATTACCATTCAAAGCCATGCCAGGCTGATTGTAAAGAACATATCCAAAAAGCCCTAAGGCTACGATAGCCGAGAATATGGCTGCAGTAGCCAGAATAATATTCAGAAGGTAAAAGTTGACCATATCAGCCACGGTATGACACAAGAATGAAGATACGACGGAACAGATGCCCTTAATACGTGAAGGTCATCGTGCGCCGTTCTACTTTCACAAGGTGACCAATAAAATTAATTTAATCGTCACAAAAGCACAGGATGTAACAGTTATAAGATATGTTTTTCTTTTATAATATGACAAGATTCGGGGCTAATGTAGTGTAATACACCCCGTAATATAATACACTACATGGGAATATAATACACCTAGATGAATTTATTCAAATTTTGATTTGAATAAATTCATATCATTTCCAAATTATATCTACAACCGAATTGGTCGTAAAACAGTCGAATAAAATCCACCATAGCAAAAAAAGTGTACCTAAATAAAATGGGGTGTACCTAAGTAAAATGGAGTGTAACTAAGTAAAATGGGGTGTACCTAAGTAAAATGGAGTGTACCTAAGTAAAATGGAGTGTACCTAAGTAAAATGGAGTGTAACTAAGTAAAATGGAGTGTACCTAAGTAAAATGGAGTGTAACTAAGTAAAATGAAGTGTACCTAAGTAAAATGGAGTGTACCTAAGTAAAATGGAGTGTACCTAAGTAAAATGGAGTGTACCTAAGTAAAATGGAGTGTAACTAAGTAAAATGGAGTGTAACTAAGTAAAATGGAGTGTACCTAAGTAAAATGGAGTGTACCTAAGTAAAATGGAGTGTACCTAAGTAAAATGGGGTGTACCTAAGTAAAATGGAGTGTAACTAAGTAAAATGGGGTGTACCTAAGTAAAATGGAGTGTACCTAAGTAAAATAGAGTGTACCTAGGTAAAAAGTAATATAACCGAAGAATGACTTACCTAGCGTTTTTGTGAAAAACACTAAAATAAACTGAAATGAATCGAATACCATCACATTGGGCGTGCTATTATACCGTCTTCTATCATGTTGTTGATCAGTCCATCGCATACGTGCAAAGATTGACGCCGGAAGATGGTAACCGTAACATGATGGTGCCCGTTTGCCAAAATAATAAATTAAGCGACCACTCGCCAAGTATAAAAATCAAATAATGAAAACGCTTTTGCTCTCGACCATTCTTAAAAATTTGCATAACCGGGTAGTGTATTATATTCCCTCACAGAGTAGTGTATTATATTCCCAAAGGATGTGTATTTCTTTACATTAGCACCAAGATTTCTACTATAATATGACAAGTTTAAGTTTCCGTTGATTATGGAAAGTAATATAAATAACTGATGGGATATTGACATGACATGTCTTGTCTTAAATTAAAAAATAACCCATTTTATAGTTTTATAAGCACAAGAATTAAAAGACTACAACAATACCATAAGCAATATAACACTACATTATCATACAACTACAAAAAGCTGCAATATTGAAAAGATAAGCAGGTAACACGATAAAGATGTAAATAGATAACAAGATAACCTTGTTGTTTTAACAGTCTTTAATGCGGTCCCATCGCAACTGTAAAAACATTTTAATGAACAGTCTTACTACTTAAGAGAGGGAAACAATTAAACTCATTAATATTCTCCATCTGTTCAAACATTTGTCTGCTTATTTTGCTTCTTCATGTACGTATCTCGCTTTACTCTGACAAAACTGTTAGCTTTGTAACTGTTTGTATAACAACTTTCTTTAGATCAAGTGTAACATAACAAAAGGTAGTGTAATATTAATATATCTTTGACAAATTCGCTTCAAAATATTAATTTTACTTTTTAAGAGTTGCAAAATGTCAATTAATGTTAGGTAAGAGTAACTTAAACTTAAAAAAGTAAGAATAATTTGTAAAAAGCCTCTAAACCAATTACTTTTTAGTCAAAAACCTCGCATAAAGAGCAAGAAAAGGTAAAATTAGGTATAAAAAACGTTTGTTTTAACTTTCGGAAATCGTATTAACAGCTTATGGTCTTTAAAAACAGCAAACAAAGGCATTTACAGTACTGTAAACGTTTTTATCATACATTTTCCCTCTTTAAATCAAATTTTCGAAATTTCTCAAAGCATTTCAAACTACATTTCACGCTAAAAGGTTTACTTTTAAACAGTAACTAATTTTGTTAGAAAAAATAACGGATTTTATTTTTTTTAAATTATTTTAGAATATCAGATTGCACCAAAAGTAGTGGGACACTTTTAGTTGAAAAATAAATGAATTGTCCCGCTACTTTTGGTTCAACCTTACCAGTTTTTTTTTGTACAAGAAGCCATATCATTCGGGCTCATGATAAACCTTTTTCTATATCTCATAAACTTTGTCCATGATTTTATCTAATCAAAACGTCCCGCCAACTCAAATTTCAAATTCCGCCATCAGTTATGAACCATGTGGCGAATGAAAAGTAAAAAAAAAATCAAAAGATCTCCAAACTCGGAATTAAAGTGCATTTTATAACTTTCTGGAAGTTTTCTGAAACAGTTATTCATGCTAAGCAAAAGACTAATTTAAAAAAAATTGTCTATAATATTATTTTGGAAAAATCGTTTATTATATTAGTCGTCATTATATAAAAGCTGACCTTTGTAATCTGAAAACATTATAATCTCTTATATGTTATACAAACGTAGAACCTTTTGAACCATCTTCAAAACCCCCACCTCAATGTTTAACCTTTGCTAAATACGGATCGTATCAGGTATTGTTGTCGTACAATCAGAAGGTCTTCTCTCCCTGCGACGGCGCTACACGAAACCCGTTTCCGACGTCGCTTTTCGGCTCTTTTCCGTTTCGAGATCACGGCTTTGGGGGGTTTCTCCTGGAACGGCGTCTAAACAAACACAATTTTATACCTGGCTTTATCTCTGACCGAGTGGTCTTTATCTATCACAACACTTCCGTTGCTTTTTCTCCACCTTGCCCTTGGGCTTTGTAGTTCTTCACATTCCTTGAATGTTTATTTGTTTTCGATTAAATGCGCGGGTTTACAGCCCGATTGGTTTTACAGTCGATTACACAGTAAATTACTTTTATATCGTTCCGTTTTTGTTTTACTTTACTTTGACACAATGCAGGGGAAGATGTCCGCAGTCTTGCGGAAGATCCTCGGCCTCCACAAGAAGAAGATCACCAAGAAGGACTCCATTACCGGTCGAAACAACAGTTTTGTAAGCTTTATCCGTTTTTGGGGTCAAGCTATGGGTTTATAATGATGACTTATGTAAAATATCAATTATTTGGTAAATATTTATATGATTTTTAACTTGATATGATAATTCGTCAATTGTATTGTAATATATTAATGTGTTAGTGAATGTGATTATTTGCTTTCAGCCGGTTCCATACTTGGCCAAGCTTGAGGGTAATCAGCTCCAGCCAGGACAGTCTTTAATTGTACGAGGAATTGTTGTAGGTATGCGTTTTGTGCCTTTTTACAATCTTTTTGAAACCTTTTTTAAAATATTTGCAGCTTTATGTATCATTACATACAAAGGCTATAAAACAACATATGAGAGCAGATTATTTAATATTGCGCTACTTCAGGCCGCCAAGACTTTGTCATCAACTTAACCAACGGCCCTCGTGTAGAATTCGACGATGAAGTGGACGTACTAGATGACCGCCTTCTGTGTGTCCGAGTAGACATCGAGAAGCGGAAGATCCACATGAATGCCTGTATCAATGGCGAATGGGGCCGAGAAGGCTGTGTGAAGCACAAATGGCAACCTGGCGACGAGTTCGACATCCGAGTACGATGTCACGAAGACGAATTCGAGGTGTACGTGGAGCACAAACTGGTGGCCCGGTTCGCGCACTACGTCCCGCTAGCCAAGATTACACACATCTACATCAACGGAGACATCGAGCTGTTCAGTTCGTCCTGGGAGGGCATGTATTACGTAAGGGGGAGGTTGACAATATTCGTTTTGTTTTTAGAACGTCCCTTACTCGGCGGATATACCGGGTAATTTCTATCCGGGAAGGAAGCTGTACGTCTCGGCTTTGGCCAAAAAGAAAGCCAAACAGTTTTTCGTCGAGTTTTATGCCGGCTCCGACGTGGTTCTGCAGCTGAATCCCCGGTTTCCGGTCAAGGTATGTGGTGCCAGACTTGTTTTGTTTGCTGTTCATTCCGAATGCAACAGAGTAGTGAGAGTGTTCGGCATTGTGAACAGTGTTTGAGCAGTGCAAAGACAATTTTAAAGACTGCTCAAACGCTGTAGAGCAATATGCTTGTCTAAACGAGTAGAACAAAGACAATATTCACGTAGACAAGCCGGCAATATTCATGTAAAGCAGAAAATATTAACGTAAAACAGAGAAGACTAACGTTTAACACACAATTTTGATGTAGAAAAGACGATACACTTGCCAAAACGTAATATTCATGCTGTAAACGAAAAAACGTTTACGTCGCAGAAGAATATCCATGTTTATGCCCTTTGAGAATCCAATTTCAGAAGCTGGTTTGTAACAGCAAATTAGAAGGCAAATGGGGCAACGAAGAAATCCTCGCCCTGGAGCCATTCCCCTTCAAGAGAAAGCGAAACTTTGACCTTCTCATCTACTGCGAGGAGACCAAGTTCCTGATATACGCCGATGACTGCCTCGTCGGCACCTTCGACCACAGGATAAACCCACGTGCCGCCGAGAAGATTCAAATTAGCGGCGACATTGTGTTGCAAGGTGTGCATCTTAAATAATGTAAATAAAACTACGCGATTCAATTAGGCTTGATTGTGAGGGCGAAGTAATTGTAACAGAAAACGTAATAGCAACATAAAAGTCCATTTGAAGTTTCTGTTTCCGCAACGAGTACGATGGGAATAAGTAAAGTAGACTTATATTTTAAACTTCCTTCCCCCAGGGGATTAATCAATGCGGCCAGCTGAAGGGCTACAATTACACAGATTCCTTTCACGTTTGACATCCGCCACTCCGTCCGGCTTCCGAATTTCACAAAATAAATTTATTTTGGGAAAAGATTTCGACGCAAAATCAAGAAAATCAATCGTGACACTTCGTTCCGAAGCTAATTTTAATAAACGATTTTTCGGAATTCTCCTCGAGATCTGATCAACTATAATATAGCGTGATCAATTCGAATTGAGTCAAAACGATGTTGATCGTGAATAAATTGGGGAGCCATTAGGGAAATGAAAACATATTCCACATCCTGTTGATTCCAAACTTGTGTGCACTTGCAATTCTCAAAAAATAAATAATTTATGCATGAAGGAGCATTAAGTGGTTGGAACACCGCACTCTTTTTTGTTATCGGATATTTATTTGATTTTGAGGGGAAGAGTCTCTTTAGGCGTCGAAGCCATAAGAGAAGCATACCAAAAAGATGCTAACTGGTTGGCGCCAGTCCTGCCCGAATTCTTTTGGACATCACCAGGACAGGGGCGAGAGGGGGGAGGGAGGAGACTGATGCTTGGCCACAACCTCCAGAGCCGTTTATGTGCGGGAGAGGGCTTTTCCCCCGGCCTTCCATTCTCGTCCGGTCCTGTTTATGCGCTGAACAAGAAAAAAAAAAACAATAATCTAGGTGGAATTAACCGCTCCTCCCGCTCGCCCGCCGTCTCGCAAAGTGCTTTTCTCATCTTTCGGTTTTGGAGTCGTTTATTGAGACATTTGCAATGTTGTTATCGCTGAACTGGCACATTTTAAATGTTTTTGTTGTTCCACAGGCAGATTTGCCATGTTTTTTGTTTGAGACATTCCTGGTTTCGTGATTAAAACGATAATTTGGCGATGGTTTTGTGGTTATTAAGGTGGTCAGAAATTACGTGGAACTATATAGTCTCTTACGTTATTATATCTCATTCTTATGGTTTTACTTTCCTTTTCACCGAACCAGTAAACGGAGACATTTACTATGTTTTTATGGTTAAAAAGACATTCGCGATGTTGTTTATGGTGTAAATGAAGTTTTTATTGTCAAAACAAGTAGTTTCTGTTTTCATAGTTAAAACAAGTAGTTTATGTTGTGATAGTTAAGTATATGACAAAATGTTTTATTTTTAAGACAACGTTTTTATCAAAAATTTCAAATGTTTCGATATCTTTGAACGTGTTTATTATATCAAGGTGAATAAAACAATATATTGCAGGCCATGTACAAACATCTACATAGTGGGTAAAGCGGAATCACAAAGTAAGTGATTTTGTCATTCTAAAACTATCAAGGAAGCTACTTTTGTCTTTAGTGTTTTGACTGAACAGAAGGGTATTATTCCGAAATTTCAATGCTTTGTAAAGAGGTGATCTTGTAATGTCTTTCAAGTATTGGAATACGGCTTTTGGTCCAAAGGAATGTGTGTTATGATATATGTCTTTACCTCGGAGTATAAATTGTTTGAACACATTCCCCTTGATGGAGGGGATCATTTGTGGGAATTGCTATTAGGGAAAGAGCTTAGGTTTCCGAACCAATAAAACGAGGGTCGGGTTTCCCCCCCCCCCTTTTTTTCTGACAGTTTAAGTTGGTTTCTTTTTTTTGACTCGGCCATTTTCCGGATGATCAGATTATGGCCCTTCTGTAACCATGGTCTCCAGCCATATGATTAAAATTGTTTAGCTATGGAAAGGGCCCGGAAGAAGCTGGCCTCGGCCATCGACGGCATCAAGAACCTCACCATCCGCACCGAGTATGACGTGGACGAAGCCCTGTCTTCCGAACACTTTTGTCTGTCAGAGGTAGGTTGTTGTTGTGACGTCTGGAGCGAGTTCGAGGACAACGGCACGCTGTGCTTTCACCGTGTTAATAGGTGTCTGTCCGAGAACTTATGCTTTTGTAAATCTTGATTATATTTTTATTAAATTTGGTCAAAAAATAAAGTTAAAACAATAAAAAAAATTTTTTTTGGACTTTAACCAATAGTAAATAGATAATGAATCTCATAAGGAAATGTTGTGGCTTTAATTAGTTGTAGTGCTTTTAAACCTTTGATAAAAGTATGGTTTTAGATCGTCAGACACGGGTTTCCGGACGATCCACGATGCATGGACTACGACCCAGTCCAGCGACTGGTAGCTATTGGGGCTGGCCATGGCTGTGTAAGGTTACTAGGCCAGCCTGGAGTGGACTACCATCTAAAACACGAGTCGGACGAACCAGTTCTCCACGTTCAGTTTCTTGTAAATGAGGTAATGTTGATTAAATTTTCAATTTGATGTGACTTTTGATGACTTAAATTAATTTAATGCCATGATTAGGTACATTAATATCCTTTTTTGCTCAAATTAAACCAAAATGTCATGTTAACATTGAGTACCATTACAGGGAGGGCTAATCACAGCGCTGCGCGATGACACGATACACTTGTGGAACTACCGACAGAAGAAGCCGGAGATCGTGCACTCGTTGAGGATGACCAAGGAGCGTGTTACTTGTATTTATCTGGCGTTCCAGAGTAAATGGCTACATGTCGGCACAGACAAAGGGAACGTTTACTTCGTATGTCTGGCCAATTTCGAGCTGTCGGCTTATGTCATAATGTGGAACAAAGCGATCGACCTGTAAGACATTACCGTAATCTTGTTAATGGCCTTTCGTGAGTTACAGTAATCTCATAGTGTGTTACAGTAACCTCGTTATGAATATGTAAGCTGTTATCATAACTTTTTGCTATTTAGGAGTTGCCGAGTTCACCCTGGATCAGTCAAGGACATCAGCATGTGTCCCACCGACCAGTCGAGACTTCTGATCCTGTTTGAGAAAGGCCAGGTCGTGCTGTGGAACGTTGTGACAAAAGAAAGTGAACGTTTCGCTACTGACACATCTCCTGTCAAATGTATATCATGGCATTCTGATGGTAAACAGTTTATGTGTGGCCACAAAGATGGAGCACTCACGGTGTGGAACATCAGGAAGCCGAAAGACGTACAGCAGAAGAACGTCCCGCACGCTCCGGGAGACAACGTGACCTGCCGTCCGATCACCCATCTTCACTGGGCCGTGAACGCGGATGGAGAACAGCTGATCGTGTTTGCTGGAGGAATGCCTTCAGATGAGGGGGTACTACCTGCCATGACTCTACTACGGTCCAAAGGGTCGATTACCGTACTCGAGATGGATCACCCCATCATTCAGCTGTTCCCACTGATGTCATCTCCTTTCAACACGTGTCCTCAACATCCATTTGGTACTGCCGTGCTACTGAAGAACGACTTCCTGATAGTGGACATGAGTGGTACCGGGGGTGGATACCCATGCTTTGAGAGTCCCTACTCTACCGACATCCATGAAAGTCCAGTTACCTTACTCACCTACCTATCTGACTGTCCTTTGGACCTTACGGCCGCTCTTACTTTGGTGGGAAGGCATCAGAGGAAACAGGGCGTCAGGTTGAGTGATAAGGTAAGAGTACTAGCAATCTTGTGATCTAATTGTACAAGTGATCTTTGTTGATATTATTCTTTTCTTTGTTTGCTTTGTATAATATATTGATGTACACCCATTATTATGTTGATTTAATGTCCCATTAAACCGCTTTCAGGCCTGGCCAATCAACGGTGGGGTAGGGCGCGACTGTGCAACGGGTCACGAAGAAGTCGTAATAACGGGTCACGAGGATGGGTCCCTCAAGTTCTGGCAAGCCAGCGGGGAGCACCTCCAGATATTGTACAAACTCAAGACGAGCCGCCACTTCGAGAAGTCCACCGCCGAAGCCCGCATCGTCAGTTTCGCCGTCCAGAAGATCGAATTGTGTGCCCAGTCTAGGCTGCTGTTGGTGGCCTCGGCCTGTGGTCAGATATCACTGTTTCGATTCCTCAAAACCGAAAATGCTCAAGAGATCGCGGTAGGTCTTTTGCTTATGTTAATATGAGTTTAATTCATCACTTTAACAGTTAATGTTACCTAATGTTACTTGTTTTATCGTTAACACGGTTTCTATTGACCTGTTCTATGGTTAATATGCGCTTTATCAACCAATTTTAAAGGTTTATATTACCTAAAATTATATTTTTGCCATGCCTTAACGTATTATGCCTTCCGGCCATAAACCTTTCAATTTATGTGCTCGTCAATCATATCCACAAGACAAGATGAATTACTTTAGATTTTGGCATTACCTCGTTTATCGTCGGCCGTCCCCTCGACCAGTCCTAGTCCAAAGACTGGTAGCGCGGAAGGATCGACCGAGAATACGACCAGAGTCGAGCTGAAGCGACAACCAGACCACATTCCAGAATCCACTGAGTCGCTACAGAGCGTGGAGACGTCGTCCGTGTCTTCGGATCAGATGCCCGTCAAAGTGCGTAGCGGCGTCTTCAGAAGGCCGGCTGGTTATCAGGTGAGTTAGGGTTTGAGGCTTTATGTAAAGCTTGAGTTTGTTCGGGTCAAAAAGTATATAGAATGCATGAATTAGTATACAAAATTTAATCAATGATAATATAAGAAGACATTCACATTATTTTCGACCAAGAGTTACCTTTCAACTTCTAAAATGATGTTGTTTTAGCCAGAACTGGTCTGCCAAATCCCCTGGAGCGCCTCTCAAGGCCCGGAGAAGATCACGGCCATCGCTCTGAATTCACAGTACGGTCTTTTAGCCGTGGCTACGCCGGGCGGCCTGGCTTTGGTCGATATCCTGACCTTGAGTCTGGTGTACTGTTGGAGTACGGCGGAGTTGTACAACAAGGATGTCACTTCTTTTGGCGATGTATCACCTTCTGAGGTCAGTTTTACAGAGAATGTCATAAGCAATGACATATTAGTTATAATTATGATATTCAAAACAATATTAAGTCACTGACATCCTCAAGGTAATGTCATCAAAGATACCGTGTGAGCACACGTTTGAAGTGAAGCTTTCTTTAAACTGCTTTCCCTACTATAACGAAACACTATACGGACCTACTTACAGTAATTTCTGTGACGTTACAGTAGTTTCTTACTCATTACAGTTGTTTTACACAATACCGTAACACGATATTGTATCCCTCTTACACCTTATAGTACTGTAACATACGATTAGATATCATTTTCACACAGTACCGTACTCCTTTCACACTATACCCTAACACATACCGTATGACCTTAACACGTACCGTAATCTATTGACATTTCAGTTGCTTTCACGCAAACGTAGACAGTTGAAAGTGAGTACGTTAGTAGTCGGTTCCCTTAGGTGTTGTGGGTACTGTATTTATTTATTTCGTTAACAGAGTGCCGTGTGTAGCGTATCGTACAAAGAGCCGTCGTCTGTAGCCCCAGAAGCACCGTTAAGGCCTATGCAAAGATCGTCGCTGACTTCAAAACGTCGAGAATCCGCGGAATTCAGAAGCAAGACGCTGTCGTGGGGCAGTCTGACGTCGCGAGAAGACAACAGTCTAGCCGGTGAATCCTGTACCTCGGTGTCTACATTGGGCACGATGTCTCCAGGGTCGTCGATCGTCTCGCTTCTGAATAAGGAGCCTTCAATCGACTTGACTGAGGATTCTGAATACGACAAACGACTGAAGAAGAAGCCGAGTCTGGTCAGAAGGCTGACTAAGAAGATGGCCAGAAGCCTGACGATCAACACCAGCAACAGGGACCTGAGGCCTCTCGCCTACTCCAAGTCCTTCGACATACAAAGTGTGACATGACTTTAGTTTTGTGATCTTACACTCGCTTTTTGATATTACACCTGCTTTTGTGCCATTTTACTTGTCTTTTGTGATGTTACACTTGCTTGGTGGCATCTCAATTGCATTTGTGGTTGTTTCTTGTGTTACCGTGACTGTTATCGTAACGTTCCCTCCGTTAACGTTCCGTTGAGCACGTTTTCAAATTTTAAAATTGGAACTTTCTGATCGGTTCTCACGTCCTCGCTGTCCACAGTCTAGCTAACCCTGAGCTTGTTTAGGCCATCCACTCCACCCAGACCCCGCCCCACTCCTCGAGCTCACAGAAGTCGTTCATGAGGTTGAACACCGACTTCAAGCAACGGTCTGCCGAGCGTGCCAGGCCAATATTATCAAAGGCCCAGTCCGTAGCCGTCTCCACACACGACTCGTACCTGGAAGCGCCTTCTAACGGTAATAAAACCTTTCCTTTGTCGCTCTAACGCTCTCTCTTCCTCTGTTATCCCTCACTTTCATCAACTTTGTCATTGAATTTAGGTGAACAATCAGCACGGAACGGCAGTCTACTGTCTCACACTCCATCGTGCTCTTCCTTAGAGAAGACTGAGACCAGTGACTTCATTACCACCCTCAACTTCATGCTATCTCCGGCTAAGAAAGGCCGTAAGTCATTTGCATTGATTTGAAGAACATACCATAAGTTATATGATATAAACCTTCACTTTACTATTTTCAGAAACCCAAGAAGATCCGAGTCTGTGGCTGGGAATGTCGACGGGCGTGGTGGTTGCTTTCAATCTGAATCTACCCCATAATCGACTAGCCAATTCGATCGTAGTAGCACCATGTAATGGTGTCATCAAACTACAAGAACAGATCATAGCTTCAGTATTCATGGACAAGAACTTCGCCATCATCGAAGCGGCTTCAGATTCCTTCCGTGACTCCAACAAGGACTCTCCCCCGACCTCAGCCAACCGTGACAAGCTCTACCAGAACAAGGCCCAGACCAAGTCCAGTATGACGCCCAGCTTTGCTCAGAATCCGGATTCTGGAGGCCCACCGCCTCCAGAAGACCTACAACAACTGGGGATCTTCGTATCGGAACAGGAGATCAAAGTGATCGCTCTTCCTACCTACAACCAGATATTCCACTACAAAGCTGACATTCCTTTTGTCAAAGTAAGTGAAGTCAAGGATTCATATTTTAATCTTTATACCTCAGCTTTTAGGTATGAAAATAATATTTTCAAATTTGTCTCAACTTCATTAAACTTGAACTTGCAGGCCAAATCCACGCACATCAGAGGCTACCCTGCCTTGATCTGTTTAAGTGCCTCAGGGCATATTGTTGTCTTCAGCTTGCCATCACTTCAGATGCTTTTCACCGCTCAACTATTCAGAAGATCAGTCGAAATCGAGGATGCGTAAGTCTTTTTCCTTCCTTTTTTATCAATAAGTCAACCGACCGGTCGGTTATGAGCTGTTTCCCCTTTTCCGAGCTATGTCATAATATCTTCAGCATCTGCTCCAAAACCGACTTCTCCGAGCACGGCATGGCCATGTACATGGCGACCCCTTCCGAGGTAAGTTCCGAATCCTGATTCTGAATCCGGCTTCAGATGCAAAAACTGACGGTGTGCGCGGAGACGAGGGCGCAGGTGGAGGACAGCGCGGGGGAGTTGTTTGTGCCATGTGATATGCCTGAGGCGCCCAAAAGTTCCTTCTTCAAGGGCGTTTCCACTCTATTCTCAGGGGGCCAGAAGGAAGTCGTCGACATCGACGCTATCTGTAAGTAATACTCTAAATGCATCTCTCAAGTCATAGTTCAAACATTCAGTACTGTGGTGCAAAGTTAAGATAAGAAAAGCTTAGAAAGTCCAATATCATCTTAATTATTAAATTCAAAATTGTAAAGTGAAGTTACTATAAGAACAATTTAACTTTGAGACAAAAGAACTGTTACCTAAAACAATATCGCTTTAGTTGCCGAAAAGCCGAACACAACAGCTACTACAAGTGTCAAAACTGTGGCCAAACAAATCCCGAGCAGTTCTAATCAATTGAATATGGAGAATGCCCAGCGGCATGGAATCAGTGCTGGTCAAGCGGCCGCCATGGCTATTCAGGTAGGTAACACAACATATTGACTAAATTCTGACTACTGTTTTAAAAAGTCGCACTTTTGTGTGTATTTACGAAGTCAGTGTAAAGCGGGTTACCTTTTAGTAACAAGCAATGCCATAAAACTGCGAATAAGTTCATTATTTTATGACGTTTTTGTGGCGTGGATAATATAAAATTATGTAAACCGTTTTTTCAAGAAATTTTCTCGAGAAAAATAGATAAAAACTTACTTTATATCATTGTAAACAGCTTCGTAGTCTAAAAGGGCATTATTTCACCTGAAAACGTTATTTAACAAGGTTTTGTCGGCCCTGCGACGTGCGCCCTACCACGCTGCAGCCTGCACACAAGTGGTTTTGAAATAAATAATTCGCGAGCCGTATTTTAGCTTTTTAACCAAAATATAGCCAAAAAAAGAAAAGCGAAAAAATTGATAGATTTTTTTATATATGTGACATTTTATATTGTAGAACCTGAACGAGAGAGGCGACAAACTGAACGCGACCATCGACGCAACCGAGCAACTCCGCAACAACGCGATGAGCCTGCAGTCGCGGTCGTCGAAGCTGGTGGAGAAGTACGAGAAGAAGAAGTGGTATCAGCTATAATCGAGTGCCAAATCACAAGCAATAAGCCAACCTTGGGTATCTCTTGGCATAATCTGTTGTTATTCTAGTCCAGTCCACACGTGTGCCATCTCGTACACGTTGGTCCTATTTGTTGCATCATTGTACATTCCCGTAGTCTTACTGTACATACCGTAGTCAAACTTCTATTTTGGGTAACACTTGTCGCTTACATCCAACCTGGTGAGATTAAATAAACTTTTATTATGTTCACTGACTTTGGCATCGACCGGTCGATTACTGATGACTGACAAATGGCTGCGGGTTGAGAAGCCTGTCAGCCTTCAGATTCCCAAGAACCTGATTCCTCACAGTTTCTACACTTACAGTACCTCTTTGTCCGGGAAGGTAGGGGTGGTGGAGGCTATGTTAATATGGTTTATATTGTTTTAGGTTTAAAAAATAGGTTACAAAAACCTTAATTTGAATTATATTAAGCATAACTTTGGACAAATTAATTTAGAGGATCTATGTAGTCGGGAGTTCTAAGGAGGTAGTAATCACAAATGACCTAAGGGCCTTGAGGAAGCTCTGCCTTCTGGAGATTGACCTCGAGACTAAAGAGATCAGCAGTTACTCAGTAGACGTGGGCGACTTTACTGGCGAAGTACTTGAACTTTACTTCCTAGCCAAGGACCTGGCTGTTCTACTGACATACGATCACAGGAAGAACGAACTACTACAATATCGACTGATTATCGACCGAGTGAGGAAAGAGTTGGGGTGTGACGTCGTGAGGTGTACCAGCTTTGATGGTAACATGGGACTGAGAGTGGGCGTGGGTGCGGTGGTTCAGGGCTACATTCTGGTGGTGGGGAGGACGTCGAGAGAGATGGGTGACGTGTGTAAGGTGAAGATGCTGGCCTCGGACCCTTACCACTACGAACACTTTCCCGACTTTGAGTTGGACAAACAGGTACTGTCATTTAGGGGTTCGTAATTTGTGAAATTTACTGATATATTGTGCTTTAGAAGTATGTATACATTTAAAACGGGTTTATATACGTATTTATGGATAAGTTTTTTCTGACCTCATACGAAGGTGTTGTAGATGATTGAGTTAGAGAGAATAGCTCACATGCATCCAGAGGAACTGTATGTGTGGCCAAAGTCGGTGCCATTACTGTACAATGAGTCGCTGTACTTTCTGATGGCAAAGAAGGAAGATTTCTCGTTATTGTTTGACACATCTCATCTGGGTGTCATGACATACGATCATACCTCCAACCAGTTTGTCACCAAGATTCAGGACGTTGACAATTCAAAGATTAAAGAGTAAGGTTCTTTTAATTTTACTATTTCTAATAACGTTTACATTGCGATAAATATTGTTGTTAGATAAACGTATTTATGATATTTGGTGACATTTTGACTGTAATCTTGTTTAAGGCTGATAAACCACCGTGACATGAACATTAACTATGGCTGTATGATCGCTCAGAAAGGCAAGAACATGTGGCTGACCTTTATCAGTCCAGCACCAGCTACTCACTGGCGCTGGAAGCTTCAGATGGTGGCTACTGTGGTTTGTCAGTAAGTTTTTATATCTTTTTAGTATATAAACTTGTTATGTGTAATACTCTAAATTTGGATATGATTTTATATTATAGTTTGCCAGACTTTTGGTTTTACTTTTCACTACTTTATACCTACAGTAATTTTTTTGTCCTACCGTATTACCTACAGTAGTTTCAGTATGTTTCTGTTTGTCTTCGGTCGATTCTTCATTTGGTTTGGGAACTATGACGGTGGCTACATGGCTACAAAGTTCATGCACTTTTACTTGTGGATGATGGGACCAAGCATGATTCCTCAATTCGGACCATCACCTACCTTAAGATTGGTCTCATTGGACTTGGAGAGGTTTCAATTGAAAGCCGCCAAGGTCAATGTAAGGTTTAAATTTTTTTTTATTTTGACATTTTAGGTAATCACAAACATTAAAACTGGTTAAAATTCAAGCTAATATTACATTTGTTTAGGTGATGAAGTCAGCATTGAGCAGATTTGGTCAAGTTCTGATCGACAGTACTCCTCGAGGTGACGTCATCATGGCAGAGATGCCACCACGATGTTCGGAGCTCCGAATCTCCAGAATCTGTAACCCGTTCGAGCCGGAACCGTTGTCGAGGATGAGCAAGAAGACAGTGGAGCACACGTTTCCTCGACTGTTCCTGGAGAAGCGCCTGCCCGGCTACGTGCTCCAGTCCAAGAGTTCCACCATAATCGGTCCGACTTGGAATCTGCTTAAGTAAATTCTGGAGATTAGCTTCGTTAAGCCGGAATGTTGTTTTAATTAAGGAGCGAGGGGAGGGGGCCTTAACACTCATTTGCATATTGTGTCGAATGTAAATGGACTTGTAACGGGTAACGTATATATACTTTACTGTCTTTGGGGTAACGTATAGTATAGTTTACTGTCTTTGAGGCTACTTATAGTCACTTTTCTATTGTTGGGACAACTTATATTATACTAGGGTCTGTATATCGTAATCTCTATTATATTAAATTTTATTTATATTGTAGTATACTATTGTTTTGGCAATGAAACAGTAAAAGTGAAGGTAAAATTTGTTATGTAATAGTACGTTTTAAGGCCCAAATGAGAAATAGTAAACTCAAAGATATAGGCAAGTGTAATATAGTAGAAAAAAGAAGATTTAAGAACTCACAAGATGTATAGTATACATAATATAAGTAGCTTCATAAGTAATGTCATATAATGTAAACAGAATTGTATACGGAGTGAGGCAGTAAGTAGTATTGTTACCGAGTAAAGTAGACTTTTAGGTATTAGAAGATTATACTCGAATTGTAAAGCCCGTAGTAGTGTAAACCATTATGTGTAGAGAGGATACGAAGGTGTCTTACAGAGATACAAAGGTGTCTTTTGAAGATACGAATATCTCTTATGTTAACTTACTTTCCAAAACTTTGTGGAAGTATTCTTGCCATTTTTATTGTGCTTGGGGCTATATGTGTATTATAACGGTATTATTGTTTGCAATATGATTACTTTGCTTTTATATTGTGATAAATAATTAACCATAAATTTTTCTATAAATTATATTTAACTCTATATCAGGTTGTTCAAATAATTTTATGCCCCTAAATCCGAGAACTTTTTTTGAGAAGGGGCACATAATTATTTAAACGACCTAATAGTAACATTTTTTTTACTTTGTGATGAACTGTTTATCTCACAATTGGTAAATCTTGTGTAAACATACTATGTAAATACTAAATGTTACGGTTTTCATCTCGAGATTATCACAAAATTTACAGTTTTGGGACGAGATGGCTTCATAAACATGGCATTACTAATATTTGTAATAGATTTTGCTTTTTTCAAAATTTTTTAATTTTACATTTTCTATCTTCGTACGTTATAATTTAAACTTTTTCCGTATCCATAAGCAGGGCAGGGTAAACGGAGAAGGAAAAAAATATTTCCCCAGACTACTCCATGGCAGACAATTTTTTTTTCGAAAAAAAAGTTTGAAAAACTTAAAATTACTTGCAAAAAATGTCTTTCGTCCTTCCAAGTAACACCAGTCTAAAGCCACCCTTACCCTGGCCGTTATATATGTAATACTGAAGTATATACTGTGCTGTAGTGTATTTAATACTGTGCTGTAAAGTAGAAAAATAAAACTTTAAAGCCGACGAAGCTGAAGGGCAATTCTCCGTATTCTGGATCAAAATTAGAATGTTTCGAAGAAAAAGCCAGAGGGAAAGTTTAATTTAAACGTGTTTCGAGCGTTTTAAAATGTCATTGTGCTGTTTTTGGCTAGCCTTATTTTATAGCTTTGGCTTGGTTTTGTAACTAATCTTTTGACTATTTTAAGCTCATGTTATACCTTTTCAGTTTGTTATACCTTCCCTTTACCTTTATCTTTACCCTTCTTGGCTAGTCTTTTATCCGGCTACTTCCTTTTAACTTAGCCTTCCTTAACTTGCCCTTCTCCTGTCCAAAACTGTTGCCTTCCACCTTCGCCGGCCTTCGGACACACCTTGAAGAGGCGCCACGTAGAATTAGCGTGATGTGGTTACACCCATCACCGCCTTATTTACTGCGGCTTCAATTTTGTTTTGGTTTCAATTTTCGTCCCGGCTTGACACTCTCTGGATTCTGGCTTTCTTTCGGGCCAGAGTTTGTGTGCGCGAGGCCAAAAAACACAGGCCCTGAGGGTTAATTAAGCCCGCGGCCCTTTGTTTCCAACATTCGACTAGTAATAATCCCACAATTAATCCAAACGTCACATCGCCCCATCTTCCCCTTCTTTGACGCTTATCCTTTTGTTGACTGGAAGCAAAGTTTCTTCGCACAAACTTTAAGATGTCTTCGTTTTAAAGGTTCGAGAGGGTATTAGATGATATTGTAGTAGACACCTGAATGTTGGTTTATATATAGTTGTCACAACATATTGTTGTAGGGTGACCTTATGATAATATTTGAAGAGTCAAATGTTAATTGTCCTTTTAGTCTGCTTTATATAGCTTTAATCATGATGTATAAGATGTTTTAAGCCATAGTGCATATTATAGTATCTGTCCATTTCAGGCGTATTACTCTCGGATATTATACATGGCATAGTACCATCCATTGTCTCCGTTTCACTTTCTTAATATCTCAAAAAGGTTTTTCTCACATTTGTTTTAAGGGTTTTTTTTTATTTTAACTCTTATTACACCCCACTTTGTACCTATTTGCACCATTATATACAGTATATCTCGTTTGGCCCCAATTTGTACCAATTTACACCAAAAACGCGTATACCACAATAGTCGCGATGTTACCAGCTGGTGCTAATTGTCGTGCCTAACGATCTGACACTTGAGAGCGTTCTTCGTTGCGGATTCAGAGGAAAGACGGCGACTTCCGGCTGAGAGCCGGTTTTGTGCCCGAGATACTCAGACGATGCTATAGCCATGTTCTACGCCTGCCTAGCTGTCCTAATCCTCTTCGGAATCATGTGCTTCTGTGTCACCATCGCCATCATCGATCTCGAGGCCTACAACTTCGGGCTCTACATTGTCTTGTTGTGTATTGTGGGTAAGGTGCTCTTATGTTGTTGTAGATGGTATGGCTTTAGGTAACAAGAATTATATGTTAGTGTAAAGAGGCTAAGGTTAAATTAAGAAGCGGAAGAGATCCCAGAAGTAACACTTAGAAAGGAGATTAAGTTTTTTAACAGATTTACAACTATTTTTAAAGATGATGACATTGCTTTAGGTACGATGCTGGCTTGTGCCTTATGTATAGCAAATCCGAATGCCTGCCCCAATCCTGTTTGGTACTCAAACTTTTGTCTAATGTTACAAGTAAGAACATTATGTGTAAACATAAGAATACTGACGTACAGTAAAGTAATATTGCAAAGTAAAATTTATTTTTTTTTAATTCAAAAATTTTGAAAATTTGAAAAAACTCTTTCATATGACCCTTGATGTATATACTTTTCATTCGTAGTTCAGACGAAAACCTTGAATTTTTGTCCACGAAAAATCTCTCATAATTTTGCGCGTTCTCTAGTTTTTCTCTAATGCCGACGACAATCAGACAAAAAGAGGGAACATACAAAATTATGAGAGCTTTTTTCGTGGACAAGAATTCAAGGTTTTCGTCTGAACTACGAATGAAAAGTATATAAATCAAGGGTTATATTATTGTAATATACCTTAAATTGAGTATATTTGGCCAAGCTCTGATCATTGATACAATCATTTCAGGAAATGTATCCAGCCCCAGACGGTACCTCTAGTCCCAAAATGACAGGTCTGAGGTCACGAATGATGGCAATGCAGACAGCCAGTGCTACACATCATAGTACGACCGGCGATGACGGCAAACTTCCTCTCAGGCAAGGCTTTTCACTTTTAACAGCTCTTATATTATCATTGCTAACATTATCATAGTTCCTTTCATTTATCCAGTATCAAACTAGTGCCTAGATAAGTATTATAATACCCAAAAATATGTTTTTCCAACAGCGAAATGAGCACAACAGAGTGTTTACGACTATATTGTTTACAAAGTTTGCCCAATTTCCTCAAAAATAGAGAATACTTTGAATAAGATACTTAGTACTTTTATAGCTATCTCATATTCTTTTCCTTGTTTGTTTTTAAAATTCAAAGACTTTTGACACTGTGCAGAACAATTCGGAGGAACTCTTCCTCCAGTAGCTTCCAAATGCCTTCCGGCTGTCAATAGTAACATGAGAATACAATATCACTCATTATCATAGCGGATAGTCATTATTTATATAGATGTATTTGTCCTTATTAAACAAGGAGCCAATTGCTTGTCATCATTTATATAAATGCCATATCAATAACAGCTTCTGTCTCACATACTTCTATGACTAAAACAATGTCATCATCCTAAGGCTACCTTAACACAACCCATTACCTAGTCTTAAACTATAATTTTCTTTCCAAAATTACAATGTTACAGGAATGAGTCACGAGCTACTGTAGCCATGTTGGCACCAGCTGTACATATCATGCATCAGGTATGGAAAGGAATGGCATGGGTGGCAGATGGCATTGACGAGGAGGAAGAAGACCCTACACGAAGCTACGACAACTTGGAAGTCGGACAATCGAGTGATTCCGATGCCATCACGATGAAGAGGCTGTCTACTGTAATCGAGCACGATCCGGTAAGACAATATTGTTATACATGTATGATTATATATTGTTGAACAATATATGATTGTATATTGTTATTTGTACAATATATGAATGTGTATATACGACAAAGTAATATAGTAATATAAACAGTAATTTGACTACATTTCAGGAAGGCAGTGACTTCGCTTCGTGTCACGACGTCATGGTATGACATTTCTTACCTAAATTGCTCAAATACCGCTCAATCTGATGTCGCGTATTCATACCCAAACTACCTCATCCAACACATCAGTTGTTCAACTGCTACTGTGCCATAATGGTAAACCCGGCTTGTTTATATTTTGTTAATATTGTTACAGTAATATGCAATATCTTTTTAATAAAAAGCAATTAACACAACATAAGCATAGCTATGTTATCATGTTACCATGTAAAAAGGTTTGGTAACAAAGTGAAGCTCTGTAAACACGTGCAATACTTCATAGTACTCATGTATAAAAACATAATTTATGTCTTATTAACATGGTAAAAACAAAACAACTTGTTAAACAATGGTATTAACATATAAATAACATTAACATAACAAGTATATTGTACATGTCGATTTGCGGCAAGTGAAAGAACTAAGTGTATATACAGTAGATAATACCCAAAATCACGTCGGAACCTTCAATTTAGGTTTATAACTCTGTCGACCGTGCTTCTCCTCGCTTCCTCTGTTGGCTTCTCTTATCAACGACGCCAGATGACTCGAATACATCTCATCGTCACCTCCAGTAGCCTCCCCCAGATTCACCGATCGTCCTTCTTCACCCTCCCCATCGCTCTCAGATGTCTCTCAACCGTAGTGTGACTTACTCGTAGCTTTGTAGCCAGTTCTCTTGTTGTTATATCTGGCTTCTTCTCCATGGCGGCCTTCAGAACTTCTTTACTCAGTTTAGATGATCTTCCAGCTCGATCGTCGTCTTCTAGTGACTCACCTCCTTCCCTGAACCTCTTGTACCACGCATGAACGGTGCTCCTCGTGACAGCATCGTTTCCAAGGGCTTCATTGATACTTTTGAGACATTCACTCGCTTTCAGACCTCTTTTGAAGTCGTACAATATACAGGCCCTTAATATCGTCTTCTCCATATACCGAAATTAACGCACGAACACTATAATAATGTATAACATTCAAGCAAAAGTAAAATTGTAAAAAATCCAGAAATTTTCCGTTTATTCAGTCTCGTAATAAAAGACGCGGGCTGCACGCTTTTTCAGAAACTGGGCGCAGCTCGCGTTTTAATTAAAAACAATATTTTTCACGCGACAAATTTGGCGACACTCGAAGCACCAAACTATAACGGACATAGATGTACTAATGGACAAGCCAAAATGTCTTTGAACTGTCATCAACGGAACGTTTCAGTGGCGGAACAGGTAGGACAATATTATTCATACCAAAAGAGCTCTCACTGTTTATATTGTTTAAAATAAATAAAATGAATCATATTCGTAGCTGATCGGAGCAGAAGAATCACGGAGCGAAAGTCCGCAGAATCCCGTCTATTCTAGTCCCAACACCGTGGAGCTCGGGGTCTCCAGCCTGAGGGGTGAGGTCATGTTCTCCAACTTCAGCGATTGTTCATCGTACTACGGTCTTCCGAACTCGAGAAACGAGAATGAGACGAGGTGAGGCATTGTTTTTGAATTTTTATTATGAGGTTTAGGTACATGTTCAAGAATCCGTACTTGCGAGCGAACGTAAGAGTTGTGGTGGGATCTATCATATTAACCATAGTTGGCTTTGCTCTGATCGCATTTGGCAGCGTGGTTACCTTCGTTCCAAACGAGATGGGTGAGTCATTTGTGTCAGAAACTGTTAGCAAGACTAATGGCAATGACAGACTGTAAACAGTAGCTAAATTAACGGGAAAATTGAAAGTTTATTACCTAAAAAAATAAAAATTGAAGGCAACAAATTTAAAATAGCTTTTGTTGGAAAATTGAATTAAACTGATATTCTATGGTAAAGTACGGCTAATCAAGCACAAAAATATTAGAAATTACCTGTTATACAAGCTATAGTGAGGTACTTCTAGATGTCCATGGGTGGATATTCTTCGTGGTTGGAATGTTGTTCTTCATCCCCGGGTTCTACCATATTGTATATATAATATGCACGTTATGTGGACGGGAAGGCTATGCTTTTGACAACCTACCCACGTTCACAAAGCCCTTGACCACATGATATTAACCATGCGATAATAACCGACCTACCTCAGATGTACATAATTTGTTTTCTGGCATAATTCTCTAAGAATCAGCATCTCAGTGTAATATATCATTCCTAGCTTTTTTCACTTTTAAAGTTTTAAGCAATAAATGTAAGTATGTAAGGAGTTATACGCTTTTTAATAAGGTAACGTTAAGATAATAATGTCAATATTTTAATAAGCTGTAATAATTTTTAGTCTTAATACTACAAGTTAATATAATAATAAGCAATATCAGTATGATATCAATAGTGTTATCCGAATTGGATGGGTTCTGTGTCCACATTCTGGCAGATTCCTTTGACCGGCAGAAAGGGTGGACAACATGCATTGGAGTTACAATCATTGGCTCGTTTACTGAGGGCATTACATACTGGATCAGTGATGTCACACTTCTGTGATATACTGATTGTTTTGTCACATCCTTTATCTTGAGGACACGCTTGCATATTACAGGTGGAGAACTCTTGGTTTCTGCCTCTGAAGAAGGTTATCGTGAGGTTATTTTGAAATGGTAGTCAATCTCATTATATCATAAATAGATATAGGTTGATGCTTTACTGTACATATTGCTCTAACTGATCATAGTAATCACTTATTTAACCACAATAACTTGACTTACGTGCAAGTGGTGGTTTGGCAGGTCCGTTTCCTCGACTGAATACCGCATCCTCCACAACTTTTGGAGCACTTCGACCACGACCCCCATGTGCTCCAGATGTCGACTCCGCTCACGGTAGTGGCTTCTGTGCTCATGGTAATCGACTGTTCCGTTGTCGTCACTGATTCTTTGTTCACTAAAATGGTTAATCAGTTAGAGTAGAGTTTACTATAGTGTTGATAAGAGGGAGATGATCTTATTACAATACTCTCCAGTACCTTCTTATCTTTTAGTTGTTATAATACACTTTTCTTTTGATATGTTACAGTATATTAGCTAAACCAACTTACCCGCCTTCAAACTCAGTTTAAACCCGACATCTTGAGAGACTTGAGATCGGAACACGACCACCATCTTGTTGTCTTCTGAAGTAAACACTTGCTCAGGCTTGTTGTAGCAGCAGAACCTGGCTCCAGTCCGCTTCTGATCTGACGAAAACTTTATTTCCACGTAGTCTAGGCATACTGTACTGCAGAACAGACCGAAGTCTTCCACGAACTCAGCTTGTATCAGTTTATCAGGTGAAGTTGTGATAACCCAGCTACACTTTTGGTTCTGACCGTAGTCTTCTTGGTCTTTGTAGCCAGGGGATTCTACTGTAACTTCTTCATCATTCAGTGTTATCATACCTCCACATTCACTGTCTGAAATCAGAGACATGAGTGGCAGAAAGGTGGGTAATATGATAGTTAATCCGTCTACCTACTGATGGCATTCTCGTTGGTTTTACAGTACTTTCCACCGTATCCCTCGGGACATATGCATTTGTCACACTGTTGAGGATGAGGGTATCCTCCGTTGGCACATCTGTGCTTCTTTCGACTCTCACAGCGATCTGAATGATTGTTACAGTAATGAAGAGCAGTATTTACAGTAATGACTGTGGTCTACTCAAAGTAATCTACTTAACTCAAACAATAGTTAATAGATTACTATAATATAAATGAACAGAGCTTTGCCTTACCATTACAGTATGCCCTGTTTATGATGGCAATGTCATAAAAGGCCAGCTTCTCCCTCTGTCCTATCGTATGTTGGTACAGTTTCTCTTTTGTCACCAACGTATAGCTCTTTCCGTCGATGGAAAAGGCAGTAGGACCGTAATGCATGACAGAGCCGTAGTCATACGGTATTCCGAGTGTAGTTATCTCATCGTTACCGCGTTGTTGGAAGTCGCTCATGTATGTGGGTAAGACGAAGTCCTTCTCGAACTCGATGTACTCATCAGCATCTGGACGAGACTGCTCGTGCCACAAGCCTAGAGCATGGCCAATTTCGTGCTGAATTACTCCTGGCTGAAAGTAGGATAACTTTTAGGTAATGAAGGTAACTAAATTTAGGTAGAGGGCTGATAGGTTCTTGTATTTTACATAATAGTAGCATTGATGGTTACTGTAGTTCACTTACCCTTTCACAACCAGCTCCAATTGACACTCCTTGACGTCCTCCATACTTTCCTATCATCGAATAACAACTGAAACCTATGTTATAGTAAGTTTTTACAGTATATTGCACGTCTGCTAAGAATGTACTACTCTTACTAGCTGAATAGGTACAACTTTGTACCGAAAAGTAAAGTATTGTCTAAAAGGCTAATACCGTATCGATATTATTCTTCTCTACAAACATAAAGTAGTAACCTTACCCCTGTCCTTTAAAGAACTCAATGTAATCTCCATCTTGCACGTCGTCATCGTGTTCGAACGTGATACAGCTGTTTGCTTCCCAATACTCGACGGCCGCGATGATTTTCTGTACGGTAACGAGGTCTGATCCATTAAGTACGATGGGCTACTTACCTATGGAGTCGTGGAAGCGGTATCGGATGGGGAACTTGATCCAAAGAGCTCCGTCTTCACTACTCAACGATCGGGTTGACCGTTCTCTCTCGAACCGTGCCAGAATAGAGTGTGCTTGTTGATGACTCAAGAAGATGTCACCTTCGAATAGGTATGGTGCCAATGGGGCTGCGTTCGTGTCTTTCTGGGCGTCGACTTCGAACTAAATTGATATTGTAGTCTAATTTATACTGTTTACAATCATATTATTACTTTTTACATTAATATCGTCATCATTAAACATCAAAGTTTATAGTAACTTGTAGCCTTTCTGAAAGATATTGGACTAGCTTAATTCAAGTATAACTTACATCGTGTCCTCCCCGCGGAGCGAAGTAGTCGTGGTGAGCAAGACGCTTCAGTTTGTCCAGAAGGAAGCTGACTTCTTGCACGGTGTTGGTGTCTACATTGAAGTGTTCTGTCAGTTCTTCTGTTTCTTCCTTCGGCGTCTCTACAGAAACATTCAGTTTGATCAATTGAGGCTGTTCATATTCTGTTTTTGTAGCTTCAGTAACCTTTGTAGCTTCAGAAGCTGATGTTGTAGCCTCGGTAGATGTTGTAATATCATTAGGTGAATCAGTGACTTGGCCAAGTGATATAGTCAGATCACCGTCGTCTGTTTCGTTTATCACATTGATAGCAGAAGAAGCTGAATCTTGGTCCAAGTTTGTAGAAGCTCCAGAAGTCACATTTGATTTAGAATCTGCTTTGCTTTCTAAATCTAGTGGGGCATCTGTAGAAGCTTTTATACCTTTTGTAGTCGAGGATTCTGGACCTTCTGTAGCCTGTGTAGCTAAGTTTTGTACCTTTTCAGTAGCTTCTCGTTGAGATTCAGAGTTTTTAGTAGTTTCTGTAGTACCTTTTCCACTGCCTGTAGTCTCAGCAGTATCCACTAAGCTGGGAGACGCCTTATCAGTATCCACGAAGGTGACAGAAGCTTCTGTACTTCCTTCTACGTTGTCTTGAACTCGAGTATTACCTGTTAGGTCGGTCTCTTGTGTAAGAGTGGCATTCAGTTGAGAAGCGGAACACGAAAGGAGAAGAAGCGACAAAAGCGTCGCGGACTTACACTCCATCCAGAAATAAACGTCTGAAGTGATCCGATCTTCATCATCACATCCGAAATCAGTGCGGCGCACTATTTCTAATCGATCCTTTGATAAGCGCGCCGGTGGCTACAAAAAACAAATGTTACAGTAAGACAGGTCTGAAATTCATGAAGGAATGTTACAGTAATACAGCTTCGAAATGTTTTGAGAAAATGTTACTGTAAGACAAAATTTCGAAATTTTTTGAAAAAAAGTTACAGTAAGACAGAATTTCATAATTTTTGTAGAATTGTTACAATAAGGCAGCATACACAAATTTCATTCGAAAAATGTCATTTTTACCAAGAATTTTTAACCAGCCGGCTGCATGTGAAGTGAAATGTCAAGCAAACCTAATTCAAAGGGCTCCAAGCATCCGTCGACCAGTACCAGAGACTCCACTCGGCATGTGAGTAGCTCCAGCCAGAGGTTAAGTCGTCGGAGCAAAAGTAACCGAGTCAAGTCACAATCGGACGGTACTCATACCGGTACCAGGGTAAGGGGAAGTTAAGGTTTTTGATTTAAAAGGACAAGTTATACGCTGGCTTATCGACCTTTCTCGATTTTTGGGTAATTATAAGGAAAGTTATTGCCATTTCATAGTTTACCTTTTCCAGAGCATGTCCAGGTTGCGCCTTCAGAAGACTAGTTATCTGCTCCAAGTTTATAAGTCCTCGACATATGAGGACTTGGCCATTCAGTGTGAGAACATCATAGACGACGCTCACGAGCACATAGAACGACTGTTTCTTGTCACATCGCTACGAAACTTTTCGGTCGATAACGATGAAAAGATCAGTCTGGACTACGCCGACTTCTCCAACTGCTCCAGTAGAGAAATGACTCCGTAAGGCTGATCTTGTGTTATGTTCAGGCTTCGGAAATATAGTTTTCAGCTATTATTTTTTATTTAAAGGTACGAGGGTTTAGGATAATATAAATACAATACTGTGTTTCTAAATGTCATTTTAGTCCGACATCTCCAAAAACTCACCAACAAACCCGAACACCCTTCTCAACCCCCACACCGTCAATTAGAGAAGGTCCTCACACCCCAACATCAGACTTCGAAACTCTGAAACACGATGGTAATATCACTACACCGCCTAACACTCCCAACTTTGACCTGTTTCTGGCTGAACTGCGTAAGGAATGCGAGTCCAGTCCAGTGCATCGAGAACGTTCGGCCAAGGCGGCTGCTATGTGTCTGCTTAAAGGGCTTGGACTGTTTGGACAAAAGATACCACATCGAAGTCCAGCTCAAAGTCTGAGGCTTAAACGAGCACTTAGGGTAAGGGTTTAGTGTTAGAATGAGACCTGTAGAGGGGCTGGGCCTAGTGGGTTCTCTTTTAGGTCTAGTTAGGAATGTTTTGGCCTTTCTAGGAAGTTTTTGACCGGAATTTGTAATTTTTTGCAAAAATTCGATTTTTTAAAAAATAGATATAAAATACGAAATTTTAAGGAAAAAATACTGGAAGAGAACCACTCGACCGAACAGATAGTACCACTGAAAAGGGAAAGCCTGGTCTCATTTCCAAAAGCTTACAGAGTCCAACAAGGAATGTCAGTGACCAAATGTGACACTTCAAAGGAACGGTCGAAGGTCAAGTCTAACGGTAAATTTAGTTTAAGATTTGAATATCAAATTAAAAATAAAATATTTAAAAATACTGTATTTTAGCCACCTTGTCCGTCACAGAACTAGAAGATGGTATGCAGATTTCATTGAAGTTGACTTTAAACGTTGGAGAATACTGTAAGTTTTTTAATTCAAAATTTTAAAAACTTTTAGCGACCAAACCAGTCCATCTTGTGTTCAAATGCAGCGGCGCGGATAATCGACCGGTCGATCTGACCCTGAATGGAGTCAGTGGATGGAACGATAAACAAGGACCACTCGCGAGCAAGGATAACTGATTATGTCAAAATTTGAATAAATTTGAATAAAGACATGTTATGTATTTGGCTTGAAAACAAAAAATGTTACAGTAACCGTTTGATATTTGAAAACTCGTGTTATCCGTAAAAGTATTACTACAATATCTATTAGTTAGACGTTTTATAATTTGTAAAAATTTCTTTTTGAGAGAACACTTGACCCAACTTTCCCGCCAGAAAAAGTTGACTCACCGAGAGGAAGTGTTGACCCGTAAACAAGCCTGCCTCGACTTCCTTCCGGCCCCATAAAAGTGGAATAAATTTAATTTCGGGGGGTCGGGGTAAGAAAACAAACAAAGTAATCAGACGTATCAGCTTCGTATCTGGGTCGTATCACAAGTGCATGTTGAGATGTCATACCGCCTCGCACCGCCCGCTCCCTGGGGCATTTTTGTGAGGGGCCGGTAGGAAAAAAGGAGAAGAGATTGGGCCGTTTGTCATGAACGGGAGTGCGAAAACGCCTCAGGCAATTTCTGAATTTTATTCGATTACGGGGCGAACAAGTGCGGCTGAGAAGTGGCAGTAGTCGCCCTGATGCTCCTGCCCCTCTTCTATGCCCTCGGGGGATTGGCGGCAGGTACCCAGGACTCGATCCGCCTCTTCGACGACCTCATGTTCGACTACAACAACCACCTTCGGCCAGCGACTCGACCTCTCAATCAGACCGTCGTCCATGTCCGGTTGAGTTTGTCACAGATCATCGAAATGGTAGGTCAATCACAATATCTTTTTAGATTTTGAGGGTTCGAGGGGTGAGTAAGACCTACACAAAGGGGTGGGTAAGATAACCAAGTTCGAGATAATTGTATTAGGGTTTCTTCGGAGAGTATGACAATATACTTTTGCTCGGAAATGCTTTTAAACTTTGAAATGATTTGACAAAATAAGCTTGAAAGCAAGGTTAAGATGACAATATTGTTATCCAATTTTACAATATATAAATGTTATTCAGGACGAGATCAACCAGGTAATGATGTGTGCTGTCTGGCTACGACAAACCTGGAACGACCGTCGCTTATCCTGGAATCCCAAAGAATACGGTAACATTGATCTGCTGCACGTACCGTACGAGTTACTTTGGGTGCCTGACATCGTATTATATAAGTAAGTATAACTACTGTCATTTTTACAGTACAAATAAGTTATTTATTGTAAATGTATATATTAAAGCTTAATTTATTTTGTAAAATACAGCAGCTTTTACTGTAAAAACGTTTACTGTGTAAAAAGATGTATTTTAGTGCAGAAGCCGCGAACAATATTACGATCAGCACGAAAGCCACAGTATATTACACTGGAGATGTGGTGTGGGAGCCTCCAGCACTGTTCCGAACGTCGTGCCAGATGGATGTGCAGTGGTTTCCTTTCGACGAACAACGATGCTTTCTCAAGGTATGTTACAGTCTATATATGTATGGTTTACTATTGTACATAATACAATCTGTGTTATGTGTTACCATCTATAATATAATATACATCGTTTTACTATCGTACATGATAGTGCTAATACTATGTAGTGTATTACTTTAATCAAGAGGCAATGAACTCACTGTTAGGTACAGTAACTTTGTTTACAGTTTGGATCGTGGAGTTTCCCTGAACGACTGGTCGATTTGAGAGTGATCGACAACTACGGCTTCTCGAATGATACTGTAACATCAGAGGTGGGCATCGACCTGTCGGATTACTATCCCTCAGTAGAATGGGATATCATGTCCATCAAGGCTATACGAAGATCCAAGGTATACGGTGGATGCTGTCCTGGGAACGGTGACTTTGTGGATCTTACTGTAAGTGGTTACCGTAGTTTTATTTTTTAAATTTTAATAAAGCTTTAATTTCAATTTAAAAGACTACAGTAACTTGTTACAGTACGAAGTGTCACTCCGTCGGAAGCCGCTCTTCTACACCGTGAACCTGATCATGCCCAACGTGTTCATGGCGTTCCTCACCCCGTTCGTCTTCTATCTACCGTGCGAATCTGGAGAGAAGATTCAGCTGGTCATCTCGATTCTGGTGTCAGTAGCCTTCTACTTCCTCATCCTGACCGAGATCATCCCGGCTTCTGGCACCACGATCCCTCTCATCTCCAAGTACCTTCTCTTCACCATGCTCATGGTCTCGGCGTCCTCTGGCTTCACCGTGCTCGTTCTGAACACTTATTACCGTAAGCCTACTACACACGCAATGTCATCGGCTACAAAGTATGTCTTGATGAAGTGGCTGCCGAAAGTGATGGGTATGAACCGAGATCGGCTACCGACCAAGAAGAGCAACATGCAGACCGTCAGTATGCTTCTGAATCCGGAAGAAGGGACTACGCAACGGAGGAGGAGAGGCACAATAACCACACTAAGTAAACAGTTGTGTAGAGACCTGGTGAAGGCTCCACACGATGATCGACTGACCGATCTGTACTACTCGAAGCCGATAGTCAAGTGTCTCGAGAACCTCGGCTTCATCTCTCAGCTCATCAGGAAGAAGCGATGTGACCATGAGGTAAGTTCTGAATACTATAGAAAGACATTATTTGTTAAAAGAAGAACATATATTACTACAGTAATAGTTAATTTTACCATCAGTTACATGTAGGTCATGGTGAATATAAGTTTAGACAGAAGAAGACTGGAAGTATGCCTCAGCTGTGCTAGACCGCTTCTTCCTCTGGCTTTTTGTACTATTATCAGTAGTCGGTACCACTTGGGTATTCATCGACACTCCCTTGTTCTATGACAGTCGGGTACCAATCTCATTTCCTCAAAGCGTGGTACCGTTGGATGAGCTGGTCAGAATGAGATTGTCCAATAACTAGCAATAACCATATATATTAACTATTAAAATAATGTATAAATGAATAGAAACTTCTTCAAAAGTGTTACCTAAAATAATATGTATTATAAAGTGATATCTAAAGTAATATCTGGATGTTTACATTTTGTAAAAGCTGCTTCGAATCTAAGAAACTATAAAACTAATACATTTTTATCCATTTTAATCCGGAAACAGCCATAGGGTAGAATCAAACAAGATTCTACACCTTTTTGCAACTTGAAACAGAATGCCAAGCTTTCCGGTTGGGACCAAGGCGGTGGAGGAGTAAACAAATTCTAATTTTTTATTGTTGACCACGTTATTTGACATCCATCAGTCGAATTCTGAAATGACAAAATATTGTCAGAAGCGTTAAATTGCGTGCACGTTATGCCAATGGCGCGAAAGCAAACATTTTAAAAGTTCAAAATGATATTTTAGTTTGGATTTTGAATGAAATAAGCTGCTTACAAAATGTTGTCATAATTCGTGGATTAAAAGATAATATGTGTTCAGAAACCTTTAATCATTATGGCAGTTTTATGAAACTTGAAACATAATGCCAAACATTCTTTCTGGGACCCAAAGGCAGCGATTTTGTAAATCTCATTTTTTTCCTCTATATCTATTTTTGTCCATAAACCTACAATGATTGGCCCAAACCTACCAGGTAAACCACAAATTATAGATCAAGGTGTACCATACTAGCCCAAACCAAGCGTTTGGTGCAGTTGTGACAAAGCTAGGTGAACATCGATACGGTGGGGCGATTAATCAAGCCACAAACCGAGGGGTTTCCCTTCGGTTTGGGGCTCTTAATCTTGACGTTGTTACATTTCCTGCACGAAATGTCTACTTCTATATTTAATTGGTTGGCTCTCGTCGTATCTCGTGCCCCCATGTACTTGTCTTTCTTTACTCAAACAATTTATCACTTAACAATAACAACACCACAGTTGTACCCATGTTTCTATTGTCGGCCGCTAAGCCGTCTTTTGTCATATTGAGGATGATGTTATAGAGCTTGTTCCTTTGTCTTTGGCGTATTTTAGGCTTTAAAGGGCATTTTTTGTGGGTTTGGGCTCTTTTTCTTGTAGTAATTTCTCAAATAGTCGAATATGAGGTTCGTTATTGAGTAATACTAAGATAACTTTGTAGGTATAGGTATAAACTCTTTTTAAATCGACTTTTAATTTAATAAGCCGTATATAACCTATACCTACATACGTTTACTTAAATTACCGTACCCAATCCACTTAAAGCGGCCGTACCCCAAGTGTGGGACCCCAGCTTGGCCCTAGTCCAGCGCCCAGGCCGACCGTGCCCTGAGGGTATTTGGCGGGAGAACGTCGCGCGGGAGAGCCTCCGGACTTTCATTTACTTGCCAAAATGGCTTCAAACCGGCTTCATGAACCTCTCTTCCTCCCCTTTTTGTGGCCAACAACATTGGCCGAATGAGACTCTCGACTTTTATATTACGTTAATTCGAGAATTCTCGAAAGATGCGCCCAAATTAATCCGCCTAATAATTGAAACATTACTTTGTTCGGCGTATGTTCGCCACGCCCGACCTACCACAACATCCCAAATGTAATAAGTGTAATGGTCGAGTTCGAGGGCGGTAATTGGGGTGGTACGATGGGGCTACACCCCCTCTACCGCACGGTAATCGAACGTATTGTAGACTTAAGGCACTGGAATTGTTTTTGCACCCTTCCTGCCAGCCGTTTGGTTTCAGGCGTGGAGTGTTAAATTTAATTTCCTCTCATATTCTGGCCCGGTTTCCTTTCGCTTCCACGCCCCCCCCCCTCCCTTATACGGTCATCTTGTGTACATCACCTGTTCTGGTTGTACGATTTGTTTTTTGTTTTGTAGCCAGCCGACTCCCATTGTCTCAGCGGGTCGGGGTGGGGAAACCGGCTGTCAATTAGTAATTAATCGCATTGCATGTCGAGTTATGTTTCGGTTTGACCAGAGTAATTTAGCCTCAATAGTAAATTTCCGGTGAGAGGCGGAGGGCAGCCGGCTGCCATCTGACTTTTGAGAAGGGCATTCTTCACATTTCATGGCCCATGTGGCCGCGTTCCGCGACTACTCCGAGCTCATCATGAAGTCGGCCGGTCCGCCGACTTCCACCGACGGCTCCACCAACTCGCTGAGGTCGTTGCCTCAGGGTGCTTCGACTCCATCTAGTGCCGGCACCTCGGGATCCACCCCGGCCGTCGCCATGCCCCCAGTCCACGCCTTACCTTCGCTGGTGGGCACTGGACTGGAGCGGGTGTTTCATCTGCTGGCCTTTGGGGGCAAGTGTGGCCTACATTGGAATCACTACACGGCACAGACGATCCAGAGCTCCAAGGTGAGGTCGTGACACTTCTGGTCATAAATCATTTCAAGTGCCACTTTATTTTATTTTTAGCCTCATTTGACGTTTTTAGGGCAAATTTTGAAATTTTAAAGTTAGTAAGCGGTGTTCATCTTAAAATTTTACTTTTTGTAGCCAGCTTCAGTCCTGATGTTCAACAAGAAGTCGAACGTCAAAGCGCCAGCTCGGATCGGTCGAATCAACCGGCTGGCACTGGTCGATTTACTTAAATACGGCTCCAGCCAGCTGTCAGCCCTGTCCCACCCTCGCCTTCTGAAGTGTTTGGGGCCACTGACCGAGTCGAAGTAAGTCAAAGAACATTGTTTTAGATATTAATGCTTTCCGCTTCTATGGATACGTTTGGTGCACTTTAATTCGGGGGATTAAGTATTACAACAAACAGAGAGTAACATTACAAAACATTAATTTAGTACAATTGAATTCGATTAGCTGATAAGGTGATTACAAAGGAATGAAATTTAGGCAATACCTACTACAATATGTTTATATGTTATGACAATATTGTTATAGGAAACCTGTCAAAGCTGCTCTAAGATATTTCCAACAAAACGCTGTTCTTAACGTTAAGGGAATTTAAATTTATGTTAATTCGCGAAATTTAATTTCTGTTATCTTCAGAGATGTCATCTGTCTGCTCATCGAGCCAATCCTCGGGAGTCTCGACACTTTCCTCGAGATTTACACTTTGGAGCGATTAGAGATTAAGCTCGGCATCTTACAGGTAATAGCTCCGCTTAGTTTGGCCATAAAATAGTTCTTCTGGCCTAAAAACGTCAAGAATTGACCGAAAGCAACATAAATTGGGCGGAAAATTTGAAAATAAATTGTGTTTTTGGGAGACTTATGCCTAAAATAATATTAAAAAGGTAGTTTTTGACTTAAAACAATATTTTGTTACCTAAAATGTGAGTTTTTAGCCTAAATTAAAGAAAAACTTGCTCTGACTGACCAAAATAAAAAACAAAAACTTAATTTCCAGCTGATAGACGGCCTATCATACCTCCACAACAGTGCCAAGATTCTGCACGGCAATCTGAATCCCCAATCCATCTACGTCAGCTGCTCCCAACAGTGGAAGATCGGAGGATTCCGGTTCTCCGTGCCCGCCAAGAAGGAGGACCTGTTCCCATGTTACTCGTGGAGCAAGAAACTACCTCCCGAGCTTCAGCCTGACCTCGACTTCCTGGCTCCAGAATACCTCGCTCCCAACAATAATCATGTGACCACTTCGGCCGACGTCTTCTCGCTCGGAGTGCTGATATGTTGGATATATTCAGGTGGAACTAAGATTATTGATGCCAGGAATAACACTGATAGCTACACGATCGTCGTGGATCAGTTGGATGCCGCTTTGGAAGTGATTTCTGACAAATTGGGGCCGAACCTGAAGGAATCTTTGTTGAAGGTACTGAGTAAGGAGGTGGATCAACGACCTCAGGTTCAGATGTTGGCGCTGGTGAGTGATTGTAGTGTTTTGAAAGGGTCATGAGGAGTATAGGTCTACTAAAATATAATTTTTTCGGAATTTGTTAAATGAGAGGTATTAAAATAAACTTTTCAGACAAAACATTTCGATGATAGTGCCCTAACAGCGATGCGACAGCTGGATGATATTGCTCAAGAGTTCGATCCCACTCACAAGTCCCACTTCTTGTCACAAACTCTTGTTGCTGCATTGCCAGACATTCCTGAGGTAAGATTAATGTAAAATACGGTCTAAATATTAGCATATTGATATCCAAAGAGATCGTTTTACTTTGAAGCATTTCCTTTCTCACGTTTCAGAAGATTTGGTTCACAAGGATAATGGCCAGATTCACAGAGAATCTGTATGATTCTCCAGAAACCTTCACGGCTCTACTACGACCTCTAACGTGCATGTTGAGTCACTGTGAAAGTCATAACATTCACAAGTTACGACCATGGTTCCGGCACATTCTGGAGAACGTGACCAACGATGTAGCTGTAAGTACTCGATTATATTGTTGTAGGTTTAGTTTGCAGCGTTTCTATGCTTTTTGGCGTTAGTTATACCTAATTATCTTATCTATATTAGTGCCTAAATTTAAATTTAGGTAGAGTACTGTCTTTTACATTATTTAATGACGTTATAGTAGCTATAGTAAGACTTCTGAATTTATGTTATATCGTTTTCTATAGACACTTTTGACGTTATGTTACTTTCAGCTCACTCAAGCCGTCTTCGACAACATATCCACCATCTTTCGTCGCTTGAACGACGAGATGGTGGAAGACAAGTGCCTGGAGATCATTCTGAATCTGCTACGATGCGAAGATAACCATCTGAAGCAGTCCGCCTTGAGAGCCATACCTCACATCGCCGAGTACGTGCCCTTGTGGTACATCAACAAGAAACTGGTGCCTATCTTCAACGAGATGTCTGCCTTCTTCGATAATCATGTGCCGGTAAGACGCGATTAGTAATGTTACTGTAATGAGATGGTTAATATAATTCTTGTTATTACAGGTACTGCCATAGTTGTTTTATTATGTAAGCTATGTTATACTACTACAATTATGTTACTGTAGATATTGCTGACCTAACTTTATCTTTTTTCAGCGTCAAATCGACCTTCTAGTAGCCATAGCCCATCTGAGTGATCGTTGTGACTCTCTCACCATGTACAACCTCTTAAGCGTAGCCTCTATCTGTACCAAACATCATCCAGCCATAGTTCACAGTAAATCCAGGCTAGTCCAACGTATCATAACGTGCGATGTTGGGCGACTAAAGGATACGAATGTGATCACAACCCATCTTCTGACTCCACTCGCTTCTGGATTGGCGTTACCTGAACTAAGCTCGGCTCACTTCGACGACGTCATGAGCTCGGTCAGGATCTTGCTGGACATTATTGAACAGATACGATATGAGTCTGACGATCACAAGATGCGACCGTCGGATGGAGGGTGAGTTAGACTTTGGAATGTTAAATTATATTGTTGTAGGCTTATCGTTTGAGAAGCGATAACAATTTCTTTAACAGTATAATATATTGTTATAGGTGCTTTTATATGTTGTAGTAGAGTCTTTAGTTTGATTCCAATCAATTTTTCGTATAATTCTAGAAGACTGTGTAGCCGCCGAGTCAGTATGAGCAGCAATCACCTCCCCCGTCTCCTGATCACAGCTGCCCGACCCTCATTCAGTGGTGATGGTCGAAAGATGTCGTTTCTCTCGGCCGACGGTCGATTAGAAGATCCCAGAAGGCGGGAGTCGAAGGATTCTCGCGGCTCCATAGAGTCGGACGTGTCTCTGAAGATAGGGAACGGTAGCGACGTGTCAGACGAGAGTCAGGTCATGTCGTCTACAGGTACGGAGACGAGGAGGAAGTCGTGGCTGGAAGGCTACATGCACACCGTGTCCTTGGAACAGAGCTCTCAGTTGGATGTGGGGTTGAATACGTAAGGATATAACTTAATGTGTTCTTTATATTATACACTATTATATGCATATATACACTTTTACACGTAGTTGTTACCTATTTACCTCCATTTTGATACTATTTGGTCAGAAACTAGATAGAAAAGTCAATATAAAATCAATTTTTTATCATAACTAATAATTCTACAAACTTTTTGACCAAGTATTTATATATATTAATCTGTACTTTAATTGGTACAAGGTTTCGCTCAAACGGTTACATAATGTAAACATTCAGAGTAAGAAAACAACGCCAAAGCGAACGAAGGTCAAGGACCAGATCTCCAACTAACGAAGCTTCAGATGCCCGACCGGCTCGACCCAACTCCTTCACGAATCTGGGTCACAATCTGGTAGGTAACCTACTGTAACATCTGGCTTTTTACATTTCTTACTACACCTATAGAGCTCTTAAAGTACATGATTCGTGGTAAAGGTCATAACAACTACTGTAGGCTAGCTATCTTTGATGGAGTACTGTACTTTTTGGGCTTTATATACTGTGCCTTTTAGGCTTTGTTTAGCTAGCTTGGATACTGTAACTTGAGTACTGTATTTTTAAATTAACATACTGAGCTTATATCATTTTAGTGCAAGATTTTTTAAAACTTACTGTACTTTTATACTGTAACTTTCGATTTACTGTACTTTTACTCATTGAAACCCTACAGTAAGCTGACTACGGTAATTGCAGGCGTGCACTCTGTGGAAGACGTTCTACTGAAAACTACGGGTTGCGTTACCATATCTGATTATTTGTTCACAGTGTTATTATTAAAAGGACATTATGCATGGGAATGGGTTTAATCGCGTCGTTTAATGGGCAGCACGGCTACACCGTGCCCTTGACTGAACGGTCAACAAGTTAATGGTTAAATGGGGTTAGGGCGGGGGGTTTTTGACCCTGCCCCATCTTCCCCATGCCAAAGCGGACCTCGAGCAGTGCAAACATCCTTCAGCTGAAACACCCCTCCCGGGCGGGGGGAGGGGGCGTGGTCTCGGCCTTCTCGAGATCGTGCACTCATCTATATAAAGAACGCACGAAACCTCAGGCTCCACCGACGGATTTCTCTTGAGTAAACACTCGTTTTCCATTTTGGGCATGTACAATATCATTGTTTACCTTTTACTCGGTGTTACCGTAATTACAGCGGACCCCATTAACTTGCTGGACAATGGATTACACGGTAAAACTTGACATTTTGTGGTTGTTGGGGGATGGTATAGGGTTTATTTGAGTTGGAAAGGTCTTAAGCCTTAGAAAAGTGTATTTTATAAATTTTAAGATCAAAAGCACATCTTTAGGCTTACCTTGTAGCTATTTTTTAAGTAAAAAAGGAATTTTTTAATAAAAAAGGGGCTACTCAGTTTAAAGGTCGCACCCCATTATAGGGTCCCATGACCCATTTGAAGGTCCCATGCAAATTTTATTCATTTAAATTGCATTTTTTTACAAATTTCATTGTAAAAAAATCGCGAAATCGAATCGCGGTTGCTGTACCTGAAAATGGTCTCGAAAAAGTAACTTGAAATCAATATTCTAAGAATTGGGACCCATATCTAAGAAGTGGGACCCATATCTAAGAAGTGGGACCATATCTAAGAAGTGGGACCATATCTAAGAAGTGGGACCATATCTAAGAAGTGGGACCACTACTAAAAAGTTTGAACCAATATGTAAAGAACTATACTTACCGTGTAGTAATCAAGTGGTGGGATCCATCATCGGCAAGTGTTTCTCAGGAGAACCATTCATCAGACATTGATTGTCTCAGGCAAAACCTACGTCAAGACATGGTCACGGACCAACAAAAATGACACGACCATCCATGGTCTTTGCAAAAAATAAGAATGAAACAACCAATACAACCGATTTTCGGTTCTCATAAAATTAAAATTTAGGGACCTTCTATTGGGTCAAAAATTGGGACCTTTTATTGGGTGGCGTGGGACCTTTAAACAGAGTAGCGCCAAATTTTTTTAAAATTTGAAGTCAAAAACATTTTTTAAATTTCCCATTATCGTAATTCAAAGAATCGAAATTAAAGAATGCGCCATTCTTTTTGAATCAGCTTTATAACGATTTGTTTCACCTTGTAAGAAATAGCTTTTCATAGGGTTACAGATCATGTTATAGTAAATTTAAAAGTGATTAATTATGCCACTTTGGTCAGAAAGTTTGTAGAATTTGCCATTTTATGTTAGCCTTCTTCAGCTGGGCAATATTATGTTTATTTTTTGGTCTAAATAGTAAAACATTTATAGTGCTCGACCGTTTTTTGGCTAAAATATTGTGTTTTATCTTAACTAGTAGCCGTAAATTCAAAGTATATCATATTTGGTATAAGGTACTTTCATTTAAAAAGCAACGTTTTCAAAACCTCAACACTAGCTATAAAACAGTGAGGACAAAGCACCTTTCATATATAAACCATCTTTTACATATTAACCATGACATTTGAGGCGAACCCTTGGTCGATTGCATGGAAGACCGCGTCAAACTGACATTCAAGACAGAGAAGCCGTTCAGTGGTCGTATCTTCGTGAAGGGGATGATCGACAACCCCAACTGTGTCACCAAGTACGCCTCCAACAAGAACAGTTCAGTCCAGTTCCAGCTTCAGAATGGTGACTGTAACATGCGGAGGTCGAGGAAGGTAGGTTACGGTCATTAATAGTTTACCGTGGTACTAATATTTTAGTACTAACTATGGTTAACTAGAATATATCTTTTTGATACATTAATCTCAGAAGTACCTACTATAACATTGAAATGTCTCAAAAGATGGTGGATTTTGTTCATTTTGTCCCGCCATACTCAATATCCTTTTAAAAAGGTGTCTTCCCGACCATCTTCCTCACTAATTGCACGATATGTCACTGTAACAACAGTCTATTCACCAGACTTAATAATCCATCTTCAATTAACCCTGAGGGCATCTTGTTACGTCAGAAGTGTTTTTTGAATTCTTTTGAAACAGTTCGGACTAATTACTCTCGACCCTTTTGTACTACTAATTACCCCGCTCTTGTTCTACTTTCTTCACATCTAACTGTACCTTCAGCTAAGTCCCGAGCATCGTGGCGTGGAACAGTCCATCGTGGTGGTCGTGTCGTTCCATGATACCTTTATCACCAAAGTCGACCGTGCTTATCGATGTACTTGCTTCTATATGGAGGCGGACAAAGTGGTGACTAACAGATTTGATGTTAGGTAAGGGTACTGTATGTTCGATGGGTAATAATACTGTAGATGATAGCTGATAAGGTTAAATGATATCACTGTAATACAAGTTAAGGGAGAGAACTGTAACATCTAAGAGCCATGTAATAGTTATGTATAAGTTTAAAAAATGCTATCATAAACTATAGCAAAGATCACTATGTTTACCATTAACCATGTCCTCTTACAGTGCCCTACCGACCACAGAGTTAGTAGACACAGCCAGAATGCCTCAATGTACATATTCGATCAGAAGAGGCTCTGTGAATGGTCCTGTGGTTAACTATGCCCAAATTGGAGAACCAGTGTTCCATGTGTGGAAGTGTGACAGTGGTAAGTAATATAATCAATGGCACCTACAGTGTTATAGACACCTTCTCCATGCTGATACACAACTGTTTTGTGGACGACGGAGCAGGAAGAGAACGGAAACCAGTTCTGGACGAGAATGGGTATGTTTGTCTCAACTTAAAGCTACTTCTGGACAGAAAATGACGTTTTAAAATTGTTTTTTAAAGTTAAAGTTACTTAATTTGTCATCTTTGATCTTCTTCAGCTGTTCAATCGACTCCATCATCGTATCCGACCTCACCTACAACAATGCTGCCAACATGGCCTACACGGAAGTTAATGTGTTCAAGTTTGCTGATAAGGTGAGCACCTACTTCCAGTGCTCCATCACTTCGTGTATGATCTCAGAAGGCATGTGCAAAGGAATCACGGTAAGCAAATGAATATAACTGTTAACCCTATCATAATATCAGCCTCCTCGTTGTGGAGCTGCTGCTCGTAAGCGGAGAACGGTGGGGGAGAACGCTACACGAGATGACAGAATGACCATGGACATATCGGCCGAGAAGATAGTCGTACTCGACCTCGAAGATACGAAGGAAGAAGCAGTCATCGATGCTGTGATACCGCCTTCAGCTCTCAGCAATGACAATATCCAGGAGAACATACGACAAGTTAACGCCCTTTACCACAGTAAGAAGGTGTGCTTCAGCCAGCCGGCTATGGCTTTGTTCGGAGGACTGCTGGCCTTCTTGTTGTTTGTCGGAATCGCGTCCTTCGTCGTGTTCACAATGCAGCTACGGAAAAGAGGAAAACTGTAATCAGAATCCACTTACGAGATTCAGAATCTATCGCTTTAAAGATTCAGAAGCCACGGGTACATAACACGGCACTGCTATGTGATAATATTAATAATAACTTGTATATGCTAATAATAATAAAGTACTTTATTGAGTAAACCTATTTGAACTCCAAGTTTCCTTTCTCGGAAGGCGTCCACCTCCTCACCTCGTTCTCGATATGTTGTTGTTGGCTGGTGTGTTCCTCGTAAAGTCGTTCAGCTTCATTCACCTGCTTCAGCAACGTCACGATCCTCTTCCCCAACTCCATCTGTTCCTGTTTCCTGGCCAGGGCGGGGTAATTTGTGATATCAGGCTTTCTGCCACCCACTAACGAAAAGTCTGGACCTTGATGTAGAGGATGAGTCACTGGAGCTACGTAAACACTGAAGATGTATGTATATAGTCAATGGGACGTTTCTACTCAAAAGTTTACTATATATTATCCATCATACAATTTATACCTCAAAATGTAAAAGCTTACGGCTTCTTCCACCATTGATATCGACCTCTGAACTTCTGTAAATCAGTAGGATGCGACGAACTCTGTCGTACCACTACCGTACTACCAGCCTTTACACTGCGTAGCATCTACAAATACTATTTTAGTACTTTTTAAACTGTTGTTGTTAACTCTATAGTAAAACAAGGCTTTCAATCCGCACATAAACAAATGAAGTTTCCAAATAATGATAGGATATCCAATAAGAAAGTGTCAAAATAAGTGAAAAATATTTATTAACAGTGAACTTCAATCAAATCCACATCTTAATCAGACCATCCCAGCCAGCTGACAACATCCTCGACGGTTCGTGAGGATGCCACAAAACTGAAATACAAACATTTTCGTGAGCTGCCCATCTGGCCACGATCTTGTGTGTCCTCCAGTCCCAAATGAACACTTTTCCTTGAGAGTCTCCAGAAGCAAGGTAGCTAAAACAAATATTATACTTAAAGTTTTTAAAGAAAATAATAATAAATAACATAAAATTATAAATTATTCGCCATAAAACTAGTAGGCTTACCTCATATCGGGCGAAAAGTCTGGAGAACAAGCGTAGCCAGCCACGTTGTGACCTTTGAAAGCCTTCTTTCGTGCGAATCTCAGTTTGTCATCTGTCAATTGGAAAAGCACAACTCTGTTATCCATACATTGTCCCACAATCCATTTGTCTACAACAATGTTAGATTAAAAAATTATTTTAAATTAACATGTCGCTCATTCATAACATAAACTATATAAACATATATCTTTCGTAATAAATAAAATATGTACTACTTACCAGTAGGAGCCTTTGTCATCACCGGAATTGAATGTAACCCAGAGTTTTGAATAAGCTTTGTGTCAACAGGAATTCCCCTAAAACACGATATTATCAATATCATAAAACATTAGTAAAACAAAATTAAATTTCACCTCCTAAATAATAAAGTTAACATACCATTCCCAGATACGAATAGACTTGTCATCAGAAGTCGTGCAGAACCTTCTGTTCTGATCAAAGAAAGTGATCGAATTGACTGGTCCCAGATGTCTATCATACTCCTGTTCAATCTCGCCTGTCCTCGTGTCCCATTGTAATACTTTCTTGTTCTGCATACCTGACAAGAAGTTAAACTGTTTATCTTCATCAGGATTGAACTTGACACAAAATGGTCGATGTCCTGTGTGGAAACGTTGCTTTACTTGACCAGTTTCTGTGTCCCATAACTTCATGTAATTGTCGAAAGAAGCTGATATAAACTCTGTTCCATCATTGTTGAAACACACATCTTTCACCGGCAGTTTGTGACCAGCGTATGTTCGAATTAGCTTCCTATTACCGTAAACTTCCCATAATTTTACCTAAAATTAAAAAAAAATAAATGTCAGTTATAACATAAAATAGCAAAAACCCTGATCTTTAATATACAAATGTAAAACACAACTTTACATATAACAAAACATACCTTAGAATCCATAGAAGCAGACAAAAACATGTGTCCGCTCTTCGGGAACCATCTGATAGCGTTGACAGCTTTAGTATGACTCTTGTAGGTATGAGCCTGTTTGGTAGGTGCATAACATTTAGAAGGTACAAAGTCAGGCCGCAAGTTAGTACCAGTAAACTTGGGTACCTCCATGAAAGATCTGTTCTTGAACTCTTCGTCGTCTTTGACTAAAACAATAACAAATATTACAATATGAAACTTACTGTGTAATGTAGTGATCTCTTCAATCATATGTTCTTGATCTTGAGCCGCCTTTCTGCCAGCTCTAGACTTCAGCTTTCGCTTCCTGACAATCTCATCCATCTCCTTCTGTAACCCTGCGTCTGGCTTGGCTACAGTCTTCTCGTCCTTGTAGATGGCCCACGGTCCAGTGTAGCCATCGACGTCAGCAGCATCGTAATTCACCATTCTTCTTCGTTTCTCTCCTCCTGTCTTCTTAGATTCAAACAAACTGGCTCCATTCTCTTCTGTAGCTTTGTTGACGTCTCCAGTGAATTTGTTTCCAGCTTCGGCCGAGGGATCTTGTGCATAGCCTAACGTATCATACGATCTCAAAGCTCTGTCAAAGTGAAATTGGTCTACATGAGCTTTCTCCACAAATCCAGCCAAAGTGTTCTTCTTGGCTAACTGTTTCTTGCTTTTAAATGGATTACTTGGTCCAGCCTGAAACCAAATTTTTGAGTAAAAGTTACCTAATTTTTTAGTTACTTATTTTTGGAAAATATTCGAAAAAAACTTACTTCAGGCTGAAACAATTCTTCGTACCTTGGATTACACGATAGTTCCCGGCTCTTTTCATCAAACACAACAACAGCTGAAGTTTTAGGAGTAGATTCAAACACCGATGGAGCCAAATTTACCAAGGGTAAGTTAACTTTTGGCTTGTGGATAGCAGTTTCCACAATTTCTCCGTCCTCATCAGACGCCGAAGATCCGTAGCCGTTTAAAACGTCCATAGCGCCGAAATAACCTTATTATACTTACACCAAAATATTATTTACAAAAATAATTTTTCCAAAAAAAAGATTTCAAAAACTCAATAGTAAATATAACGAAATGTCACAATCGAGTGAAACTTTGAACAAATTTCTAAAAATTCCACGTCGTTGTATGGTTAGTTTGCTGATCCACGACGTCAAGATTGTAATTCTGAATGGGAAATTCTGAAAGTACACCGTTGCCTGGAGGAGGATCTCAAGGATATCACGTTTTAAGAGTAAGTTTGAGGGTTTTATGACTTGCTTTAGGTCTGAAACAATTGGTGAAGATTTCGGAGTGTTTATTTTTGTAATTCGTTGTGTTTATTTTTATGTAAATATTTATTTTTTAGGTACAAGACAACTCTCCAGGTCAGTTAGCTGGACTAGAAGCCTTCTTTGACTTTATTGTGGCTGTTGGTAACAAACGTTTGGTAACTTTTTATTTCTTTTATAAACCTTAAAAGTCCTGCTTTTATAAAAAGTCTTGAAACTTAATATTAACGATACAACTTTAGGATCAAGATGACGAGAGTTTCAAGCAGATTCTCAGCAGCAGCATCGACAAACCCTTGGAGCTAACTGTCTATAACAGGTAACTCGACTTTATATTGTTTTATTTGTTTAGTAAATCACAAACCGTCCGCCAGACTCAGATCGTGCCTTCCAACTCGTGGGGAGGACAAGGAATTCTGGGCATTTCGATTCGTTTCTGCTCATTTGATGGAGCTAACCAGAATGTTTGGCATATCATCTCAGTTCACCCCAATTCTCCAGCTTATCAGGCTGGCTTACAGGCTGAAGCTGACTACGTCCTTGGAGCGGAATCTGTTCTACAACAAGCTGATGACTTGATAGCGTTGGTTCAGGCCAATGTTGGAAAGGCTTTGAAGTTGTATGTCTACAATGTCAATACAGACGCCGTTAGGGAAGTAAGTAAACCATCACTTTTCATAGAATTTGCTATAACAGTAATACGAATAATACGTTTTTAGGTAATAAAATTTTCATTTTGTGTCATTATAGGTAACTCTAACTCCAAATGACGGATGGGGAGGTGATGGGTACCTTGGATGTGACATTGGATACGGTTATCTTCACCGTATTCCTGCTTCTGTTGATCGTTCCAACGCTCCAGTAGTAGCTCCCGAGAACGTTGCTGTACCAAGCAGTAATATTGCACAACCTGGCTTCACGGGAATTCCACAAGTAGACCAGATTCAGTCGAGCTCGGCCAATCAGGTAGCAGCTCCTCAATTCCCTGACCCTAGTCAGTTCTCCATGCCACCTCCAGCTGATGTCACAACTTCAGCTGTTCATGTTTCTTTTCCAGTTCAGGAAAATGGGGCTTCTACTTCTCATAATGTTGTAAGTGTTTTGTTTTTTATCAACTTTAATACCTAAACTATGTAAATTGAGTATAAATCTTAAGAATGTTGCAGTATTTTACATAAGTCTGTATTTCCAGGGAGTCAGCTCACCATCACCAGTATCTACGATACCCCCGGTAGTTTCATATGAACCACCAAGTGTCCCAAATCAATATTCTCATCAAGCTGTTTCCCAGGAGAGCGCCCAAATTAATTACCATAATGTCTCTTATGATAATACGGCTCCACCTACTGTAACATCTCCACCACAATCGAATTATCCTCCTTCTAGCTACTACAATGCTCAATACCCTTACCCACCTCAAGTGAGCTCGCCCCCAACACAACCGATGCCACCATCCAACCTTCCTCCATCAAACCCTCCACCATCAAGTGTTCCACCTCCAAGTATTCCCCAATCTTCAGCGCCTGTGAATCCTCCTCCAACCCCAGCTGAATCTGTTGGACAACCTTCTTACGCTCCTTCTCCGACATTCCCCCAGCAAGTCTACTCTCCACCCAACTTTGCACAAGGAATCAGTCAAACACCCATCCAGAACCAGCCAGAAGTCCCCATTAACACAAGCAGTTATCAACCTTACCTGGCATATGGTGCTCCAGTACCCCCTACCTATCAACAGGATGCATACAACAACACTGGTTAGTTTTTTACTACTTTATGTAAACCATAGTTAGGAAAATATCGAATAGTTAACATTTTTACAGAAAATTACTTTTCAGCTCCTCAACAGCCCCCACAATCTTATTATCAGTACCAGCCCCCAACCCAACCACCATCCTCTCTTCCCCAACCCCCAATGGTACCACCTAGTCTCAATTTCCCGATGCCGCCCTTGTCATCGCTTGGCATCAACACGTTAGTACCGCCAGTAGGACAATATGCACAAGCGGATCCCAACGCGAAACCACAATTTTAATGAAATACCCAGATATTTATTTGATAGTAAAATAATTATGTTGTTAACTACGTTATCTTCTAGAGTAGTCATAATTTATAAAGTTTGATAATAATTTTGTGCTGGTCGTTATATAATGTGTGAGAAGGAAAAAATGCAAATTTTAAAAGGCAATTTGAATATAAAATGAATATACTTTACAAGTATATTCACTCCTTATACCGATATTACACTCTACAACTTGGCAAATCTCGAAAAACCTTTTCATTTCATTAACAAACATCCGGGGCGGTCCACTATGAAGAGCCAAGAGAAAGGCGAAAAGCTCGAAAATCAAGTCTACTATCACGGCATTCGGAACAGGGAAGATGTCATGTAAGTTACCATGTTCGTAGTATTATTGATTTTAAAAACTACGAAAGATGATTTAAGTCTGAATCTAATCCTAACGTTTAGATCTGAGCTCGAACACAAGGGTGACTTCATTGTCCGTGCCAGTATGGACTGTGGCTTCCCGAAGCTCGTCCTCAATGTTCGTGGAAGTCGTGGCCCTTGGAATCTGCTTCTGGATGTTGTAGACAAGAAATACTGTCTACGGGTAGAACGGAAGAAGGATTCCTACCCTTCTTTTGAGACAGTGGTTCAGCTTATTGAGTACTACAAGTCCCACGGCCTCCCACACGGCCCCAGACTGCGTCACGGAGTGCCTAGACCAGAATGGTTGTTACGACATCAGTCCCTGAATTACGACGAGAAGATTGACTTGCTGGGATCCGGGAACTTTTGCTCTGTTTATCGAGGAACATTGACAAGAATCGGCGTTTGTAAACAGGTAAGAGCCGTAAACGGGTTAAAAATAGTGAAAATAGATATCCCTAATCGTTTAACATAGTTATATTACAAAAGATAAGTCGACAGCACCGTATGTAGTCCTCTACAGGTAGCCATAAAAGTTTGTCATCCATCCGACAAGGAAACGAACCGCCAGGAGATTCACGAGGCTACACAATCCATGCTGTACGAAGCCAAGATCATGTCAAAGTATTGGCACGAAAACGTCATCGAATTCATGGGTATAGCATGTGATCACCCTCCCATCAGAATCGTTCTCGAATTTTGTCCTGGGGGTTCGCTAGAAGACCACGTCAAGAAGGACACTGACATTCCTCATATTGAACTGGTTTTGTACGCATTTGAAGTAAGTCGAACAGTTTTGTAATCATATATGCAGATTTTACTTCATCTGAACGAATCTTACATCAAAAAATGTTTAGGCAGCTCGTGGAATGAGGTATCTACACTCACAGCGATGTATTCACCGAGACCTGGCCGCTCGAAACTGTCTGATTTCTGCCCAAGGCATCATCAAGATTGCCGACTTTGGGTTGTCGAAAGTGGCAGAGGAGTTTGTTCAACAAGAAAAGGCTTTGAAGCAGATTCCACTTCGGTGGATGGCTCCAGAAACAATCAAGAAACCACCTCTATACCTGGTCAACAGCGACGTCTGGTCTTTTGGGGCTCTCATATACGAACTATAAGTCAGTAGTCCAAAGTCTACAAGATGCAAGAACTACTTTGTTAATCTAATTTTCTTTAAATAAAATATAAGGATTTCAGCCATGGAGTAGCACCGTACGCTGAAGAGAAAGACTTCAAGGTGATTGCCAAGAACATCAAAATTGCCAAAATGCCTGACTTTCCGACGACGACTCCAGAACCTATTCAGAAACTAGTCAAAGAAGACATTTGGTAGCAATTTACATACTTAGTGCAAAAACAACATGAATACTATTAGTACTTACAACATACCACTCAAGACAACAAAGACGTTTCCTTTTAAAAACTAAACAATCAAGTATGAAGGTAAAAGAAAATGACTTTTCAGGGTGAAAGAACCGGAACGAAGGATCTTGTTCGACGAGATCGCAGTGATTCTGTACAACTATCTTGAACAGCACATGGACCAGTTTGGGGATGTCAAAGCAATGGCCGTCAACAAGATCAAGGGAGTAAAACGGACATCGATAATGATGGTAAGACTATTTGAATGGCAATTCTTAATAATTTGCCATGAACTATACATTTGAAATGGTTGTTTTGTTACCTAATTTAAACAAAAACAAGTAAAATTTCAGGGCGACAAAGATACATTGCTGAAAGAAGACGAACGACGGTACAGTATGCAGCCTAGAAGCAAAACACGAAGAGCTCGGTCAACATCTAGGTCAATATCAGATCGCGACCGTCGAGGCGGGGCCAAAACCCGAACTTGTCGAGGATTCACTTCCAGAAGCGACTACAACCGTCCTCGTCGAAACTCACTCAAGAAAATCATCAAAAACCACTCCGTCGAAAAGGAAAAAGACACTCGATCAACCGGTAGCAAAGAAGCGTCCAGTGATGCCAAAACCGATCCTCAAGCATCAGGGCGGAAGAAGATGAGTAAGGAAGAAGATGAACTCCGAAATGAAGACGCAGAGAGCCCAGCGGAGAAAAAGTGTCCCAGTTAGAAAAATAGGCCCAATAAATGATTTAACTTCTTTTGAATATCAGTGACGTTGTTTTGTGTAGTAGACATGAGCAACGGGCCGGGCCCAATTTTCAAGCCCGGCCCGCGGGCCGGGCCTAAATTTTAGGCCAGGCCCGTTTTTGATTTTGGTCAAGCCCGGCCCGATCAGCAAATTTCTAAGCCCGGCCCGGCCCGTTTTAAAAAATTTAAAAAATTTTAAAACTTAAAAACTAAACGGAAATTTGGCTTTAAATTGTTTTTTTAGGTCATTTATGGATCATAGAATCCAAAAAAATCAAAAAACATAAACGGGGATTGAAATAAAAAAATTAAAAAAAAAAAAAATTTTTTTTTCGGGCCCGGGCCCAATTTTCAAGCCCGGCCCGTTGCTCATGTCTATTCTGTAGTATTAATTTATTATTACCAATTTAAAGTGAGCGGAGTGTCACTATTGATCGAGCCGACGCCGAAAAATATTACAAAAATTTGTAAATTATTTTTTTCTTATACGCAGATCTCGTAAATAATGTCGTCAGTAGAGATAGAAGCAGCAGAGTAAGTTTTTTACCTTTAAATTGTATATTGTTTTAGTGTTGTTCGGCTGATTGAACAATATTTGAAAGAAAACAATTTACATCGAACTTTGGCCACTTTACAAGAAGAAACGAATATCACGTTAAACACAGTTGACAGTCTCGACACCTTCCAAACAGATATCCTTTATGGACACTGGGACAAAGTTTTAAAAGTGATTCAACCTCTAAAATTGCCAGCAAAGAAGCTCATTGATCTTTATGAACAAGTAAGTCGTTGGTAGCATTAAAGTTATCGCTTTTTAGATTGTGATTGAACTTGCCGAAATGAGAGAGATTGGTTCAGCCAGATTGGTGCTAAGGCAGTCCGATCCTTTGTTATTATTGAAGACAGCAGATCCAGAAAGATACGACAAATTGGAATCATTGTTAGGAAAAACTTATTACGATCCTCGAGAAGTGTACCCAGAGAATATGAACAAGGAAAAGAAACGAATAGCTATTTCACAGGTATGTTTATTATTCATTTTATACATTGTTTTAGTCTTTGGGAGCTGAAGTTAATGTTGTACCACCATCAAGACTGTTAGCACTGTTGTCACAATCTTTGAAATGGCAACAGCATCAAGGTCTACTACCTCCAGGAACACAAATTGATCTTTTCCGTGGTAAAGCAGCTGTGAAGGAACAAGAAGAAGAACATTACCCAACAATTGAAGCTCGAGCCATTAAGTTTGGGGCCAAAAGTTATCCAGAAAGCAGTTCGTTCAGTCCTGATGGTCAATATCTGGTCACAGGATCTGCTGACGGTTTCATTGAAGTGTGGAATTACATGAATGGAAAGTTGAGGAAGGATCTTAAATACCAAGCTGAAGACGACTTTATGTTGATGGATACCAGTGTCTTGTGCATGTCATTCAGTAGAGATTCAGAGATGTTGATCACTGGAGCGAAGGATGGAAAGATTAAGGTGTGGAAGATACAGACAGGACAATGTTTGAGGCGGTTCGAAACAGCTCACACACAAGGAGTAACAAGTGTTTCCTTCTCCAGAGATCACAGCTACGTTCTTTCGTCTTCTTTTGACGCTCTGGTGAGGTATGTGACCACATGTAATAACTATAATTCATATAATCAGTTTTATGGTAGTTATAACATCTTATTTTAGAGTTCATGGTATGAAGAGTGGCAAATGCCTGAAAGAACTCCGTGGTCACAGCAGTTTTGTGATGGATGCCAAGTACACTGACGATGGCAAAAATTGCATATCTGGAGCCGTTGACGGTGCTCTCAAAATCTGGAATCTGAAGACACTCGAGTGTTTGAACACATTCAGGATCGCGGCAGACGTCCCAATCAACAGTATCCTACCGATCCCGAAGTCAGCTGACCAATTTGTCATCTGCAATCGTTCCAATACCATCTTCATCGTCAATCTACAAGGACAAGTAAGTTGAACTAGTCAATGTTAAGCCTTTTTCAGCTTGTGAGGTCGTTTACGACCGGTAAAAGAGAACAAAGTAATTTGCTCAACGCCTGTCTGTCTCCCAAGGCCGAGTGGATCTACTGTGTGGGAGAGGACATGGTACTGTACTGTTTCTCGACATTGGCTGGAAGTCTGGAGTCTACGATAAAAGTGCACGAGAAACAAGTCATTGGACTAGCCCACCATCCCCATCAGAACTTACTGGCCACGTTTGGAGAGGACTGCTTGTTAAAGTTATGGAAGGCGTAATAATTTGTTACCTAATATTAACTTAGTATCACTGTTTACTTTCAATCAATATACATTATTGATAGATTTATATTCGAAATAACCGAATAGAAAGACGAGGTACAGGGTTAAGTTAAATACAGAGTTACAAAATATTGATAAAATGGCAGATTGACAGAATATTATACATGAAAGACTATACACCGGTGAGCATGTTACACGTATTGATGTGAGCTGGATATGTTATGTCGTTGATATACGGCGGAATCGTTAAGTCTCGAGCTCCTTGATGTTGACAAGTGAGGGTGGGGTTCAGGGAAGGGAGGGACGCCTCGTTCGAGGTCATCTTCCTCGTCGAACGAAAGTTTTGGCCTTCGAGGAGTACTGGACCCCAGAGGTCCTAGATGTGGTTGTACGATGCGTTCCTCCATTCGTTGCTGTCGTCCGTACCAACAGAATAGTGCTAGAACGACCACCGTCACGGCGCAGACCAATCCCAACGCTATGGCAATGTAAAATCGCATCGTTTCCACGTCCAAGGTGTCCTTGACCACCAAGTCGGCGTCGATCTTGTTGATGTCATATGGAGCAAAGGTTTCTTGTTCGACGCGAGTAAAGTTGGGCAGTTTCTTCATGATTTCGTCGATTGAGAGTTCAGGCTGAAAAGTAATCATTGACATTATTAAATGAAGGTAAACTATAACCATCGTGGTAGTTGTCAAACAAAAGTATATTAATCATAGAACCTACAGTATTGCCCATAGACTTGATTAGTGAATCCAGGTTCTCTCTGATGTGATCCTGGAGGTCCTTGGGCAAGTCAGACAAATTAGGCATTTCTCCTCTCATGACAGCTTTTGTCACACTCGGAGGAAGCTTGCTCCAATCGTATCCTGGAGGCAACAGCTTCAGCATGTTCAATGTGTTAGGATTCATTCCTTGAAGACTGTTTCCACTTCCGTTCACTGGGTTTTCTACTGTCATACCTTGAGTGTAGAAACCCTAAAAAAGAGTTGATATAACAATAACTAAAACTTCACAGAATTTTGTAAAATTTACAGAAACAATCATCAATATCATATCAATGTGACAACGTCAAAGGCCCTACCTTGATGACGTCAGTTTGACTTGGTGTTAAGTAAGGCAAAGGATCTCCCTTCATCACGTTCGTCACGAACTGAGCAGGCAACTCGTTTAGAGGCTTCAAGTACTTGTCTTTGTCCAAATTGGCAACATTGGGAATGTCTTGGACAACGCTTTCGTCCAGTGGCTTTCCTTGGGCTTGGGCAGCAGCAGCATACACTCTCTGCATGTACTGCTTGACTACACCTTGCAAAGTCTCCTTTGGTACTCCAGGGATTTGGCCTCCTTTCAAAACGTGTTCAATCAGACTTGGTGGTAGCTGAAATCAATAAATATAGGTAACCATTTGCTAAGATTTCTCCAAAAACTTAAAAGTGTGTAATAAAATAAAGCACGCCCCAAAAGACAAAGACCTACCTTGCTGATGTCGACATCCCCAACTCCAGGAATGTTGACCACCAGATTGGGAATGGACTTAATGAAGCTGTTGATGTCAGATGGCACAGCTTGTCCACCAGCAGCCAATCGTACCAATGGCTCCGCAAATTGTTCTACAGCTGAATCCAGATTCCTGCTAGCAGGGTTCGAGTTCTCTGGTGCTGGCAACATACTCAAGCCAGGAATGTTGCGCAGAGCTGGGATGGCTTGACTTAGACTGTTCAAGACAGGAGAAGCGTCGCCTCCAGCTCCAGCACCCATGTTTCCAAGAGCTGGCAAGATTCTGTTAAGAAGATCGTTCTTGGCTTGGCTGTTTTGGTCAAATCCAAGATGCTTCATCGATTCTGTCAAAGTGCGGTTAGCCTTCTGAATCATCAAATCCTTCAACCGGGTTCCATAGTATTCTGGAGGCGAATTACACGTAACTTCTGGTTGATCAGGAAGGAACGTTCGGACATTGTTGGAGACGAGGTACTTGATAAACCAATCAAATTTGGCGTCACAGTTTAATCTGTTACCTAAAATCCCATTTTATTGAAAAGACAAAAATTTCAATTAGCTTTAACCAAACTTTAGGTGACAAAACAATTTAAACGTACCATTTAGCAAAATGTTAGCAACCGATGGAGGTAACGCTCCCTCTTCAATGGATTCCAGACCGTTGTCAGCCAAATTCAACCAGAATAACTTGGTATTACTGGTGAAAGTTTCCTTTGGAATGTTGTGGATCTTGTTGCCATCTAAGGTGATTGCTGTTATCTCGGGAATGGCAGTAAAGGAATCTTTGTTTATTTCAGTAATTGTGTTGTTACCCAAAGAAATCTGATGAAGAGCGGTCAGTCCATCAAACATGCCCTTAGGGATTGAGGTTAGCTTGTTGTTGGACAAAAGCACGTTGTTGATGTTAGGTAGAGCGTCGAAGGAGTTCCGAGAAATCACAGAAATTTCATTCATCTAAAAATAATAAGTTTGCATAGGTACATGACTAAATATTATGTATACAGATAGATCCAAGTATGATTATACCTTACCCTCAAATCAATCACTTTTAATTCTGGACAAGAACTGAACGTCATTGTCTCAATCTTCTGGATTTTGTTTCCATGTAACATTACTTGTCGAAGATTGGTCATGTCTTTGAACGGTGGAATCTGCAAATTAAACGTAAGGCAACGCAAAAATGATATAAATCAACAAGAATACGTGTGAAGAAGTTCATGTCTCTTTCCCATGTGGTTTTCAAAGGAAAATAGGTACAAAAATAGACCAAAAAGTAATAATTTACCCAAAAACAACATAAAAGATAAAATTAGGTATGAAATAGAGCACAAAAACAATCCTACCTTCTTGATAGCGTTATTACTGATGTTCACCACCTCAAGATGTTCAAATGCGTTGAGCATAAGCACTTCTGACAGCTTGTTGTCCTGTAGATTGAGATGAGTGACACTAGGAACATTAAGGAACGCTCTTGGATTCAGATTGGCCAAGTTGTTGCCATTCAACCTCAACTCCTTTAGCTTGACCAAGTTGACAAACTCCATCTGTTCAATTGATGTGATGTGGTTGTGGGAGAGGTCAAGATACGTCAATCTTTGGGAGTTTCGAATATTCTGGACTGGAACGTTGGCCAAGGCATTGTGTGAGAGGTCCAAAAGCACCAGATGAGTCTTTAGTTCCAATAAGGATGTCCTGTAAATTGCAATTATATTATTTTAGGTATTTTTTGACCTTATAAAGCTAACAACTATGGAAAATTTCAGTTATTAAAAAATAATTTTGAGGATTGTAAGTTTTTTTTCCTTTCCAAGCCGGTTTCAATTTTCAAATTCGAAATCGAACTCTGTATCCAGCTGTCACTTTCAGGTGCGCATTCTTCCTTCTATGGCTGAATGCATTTCGGGTGATTATTCTGGATCCCCCAAATCGCTCACTCTAACCCCTGCGGTAAAAGTGAAGAGATCGAGGTCAGCCCTTGACGGCTTCTCAAGTCGCATGTTGTAGACGAAAAACCGGAGGATCCACGAAATAACCGTCTGTAGCAGAAAAGCTAATTCCCTTGACCGCTAACACAATATACATAATAAAACACTTACGCCGGGAACGATGAAATGTTGTTGTGCTTCAGTCTCAAATGAGTCAATTCATCCAAGCCGGAGAACGAGCCCTCTGTGATCAAATTCAGCTAAACAACAAGTTCATCAACGATATAAGCAAATAAAGAAGGTTTTAAAAATATTTAGATACTATTTAGCAGTGATACAACAGAAAAATATTACCTAAAAGCTACACCTCAAAAAGAATCTAAGGAAAATAAAATTTTAGGTAACAAAAATTTAAAAAGTAATATTATCTTACCTTATTTCTGTTGAAGTTGAGAGTTTTGAGCTTGTTTAGCTTGCCCAACAGCGGAATCACTTGGAAGTTGTTGTTGGGCAGTAAAAGTTCCTCCAATCCATTCAATTTGTCAAAAACTCCGTTCCCAATCTTTTGAATTCCACAACCCGAGAGCTCCAACGACTTCACCTTCAAGGCGGACGGTAGTTTCACATTGAATTCCTTGATGGCACTCGAACATCGTGTGATAACAAGCTTGTCCAATTCAGCTCCATCCTGAATGCTAACGATTTCGTCGAAGAGAACGTTCAATGTGGCTGGATCAACATCTTGGCAAGTGACCACCTTGTCGTCGCACGAGCATTGACTGGGACAGTCGAGGACGGTGGACCGGACTGGGACCAAAAAGAACGGCACCAACCATAAAAGGGCCAACGGCTTCATTCGAAGTCGGCTCAATTCGACCAGATTCCCCAACAACGATCGGTCGCGGAAAAAGGAGGAAAAAGTTTTTTCGGGCGCGCGAAAACCTTTTTTCGTCCTGATTTCATTGGCCTTACAATTGCCAGAGGCAAGGCTCGAAGTGAGATCGGGGAGCCCCGTTGGTTCAATAGCTGTAAAAGTGCAATTATTCTGATTGTTTTCGAAAATTAGAATCTGTTCTGCTACGCGGATTACCGGAAATTGTGGCATCAACGGAAACAGGTCACTTCCAAGTTCGATTTAAAAATTATTTGCGGGAAAATTGAATTTAAAATGTCAAAAATAAATCTCCAAATGTACTTCCACATTTTACAGATGCTAACTAATAAGAAAATCTCGAAATCAATACGAAAACCTTAATATTGACTTCAGAAGATGTCAATTTCAAGAAGCCGTCAAATTATCAGTGATATCGCGAAGAACTGATCGAATAATCGAGATTCGTATTCGTAAAATTTTAAGGCATAATCAAGGATATAATTTACACAAAATTAATGAATATTTGGGGTTGCGCGATTGAGTAGCGCCGAAAGTCCTTGAAGTGACACCCTCAGGCAGAAGCTGCAGGAAGGATGGACGGCAGAACCTCGGCGCGCTAGAAATGGGGGCACAAGTGCGCGACCGGCGGCAGATATCGGGAAGTGGAGAAGACAACGCCCCAAATGTCTTCCAGGTAAATCCGCGGCTTATCAGCTGTCGTCGCATCTTCCGTTATCCGCAAAAACCTTCTGTGAAGCTACAGTAGAAATTTGTTTACTGTATGCTTGGTTGTAAAGTCTACTGTATGCCTTGTGTCTTTGTTGATGTACTTCGTATGGTTCTTCTTATGTTAATGAAGTTAAAGAGACAAGATAAAATACTTTTAACTGTGATTGTTGTTGAAACTTTACAATGTCTTACTTATGACCGCTGATTAATCACGAATTTGTTTTGAAATTGAATTTAAAAAGCGATTCACGTTAAGTACAGTAAAAGCTTTTTGTCGTTTTCCGTTGAAACGGAGTCGCGACCTTTAACGATGCATCACGGGCGAGCCGTTTTTTCTCGAAGTTCCACGGAGTTTTAATGTTTTATAATTAATCGGAGCGAATTGGGATACATCAGCAATGTAATCAGAAAGATTATCTGATGCCCAGCCTTGTAATAAGGAAAACAACGAGATACATCAGGAATGCTGCCAGAGAGATAACGTGAAGTTTTAAACAGAACTGTCAAACATTCGATTACAATTGTAAAATAATCTTATAGTATTACATATTGGTAGCATATTATTATAACGAGTGATTTATTTGTTGAAAAGTGATTAAAGTATAAACTTAATTGACATAGTAACAATATCGCCATTAATCATCGTATAACATTTCGAAAAGATCAGATGGGTAATGCTTGTAGTTTGTGAAATTGCTGATACGAAGATTGACTTCTAGGTTCACATAAAGTTGTTAACAGCGTACTTCAGTTTCTAATTGAACAGAGTTCTTTCTTATCACTTTGTATCTTATGTTATTCCTTTAACAGCATGGTCGATAAATTTTGGGTCAGGATCACCACGGTTTTATGGATTTAGAACATATTGTAGCAGATACTGATCTTTCTCTGAATTTTCTTTTTATATACAACAGATGTCATCGGCAACTTTTCAAACTTGACTTTTCCTGTTGTAATTGGTTCCTTCTTAAGATTACAACGCTTTTTACCGTACCCACTCTTTTACTTTACTTATTGTCATCAAGTTTAAAAAAATTAAACAAACACCAGCTCAAGACCAATCTAAAAAAGAATTTGTTTGTTTTCCGCTACAGTTTTAGAAACGTGTGACGTCGGAGTGGAGATTCCACAACTTTTTGTTTTCAGCTTGACTCTCGGCAATTCGTAAACAACCAACGACAACATACCATAACATAGCTGACCCCTTCCGCTCCTTGTTTTCGTATGGACGAGCAAGTAAATATCCCCTACAACAACTTGCACTTGATAGTGCCTGTTTCGATGCGATTATGGAAATGATATAATATTAAAATACAAGTGATAAGTAGCTTAATCACGGCACCACAAAGTCGCCGTTCCGATTTTTGGTCTCTTGCCTTTTCTTTGGGCGTGAACAACATGTGACATCAGTATTGTCTTACTAAAGCCCTTGCCATGGTTAAGATATGATTACCGAAGACATTTTTAACTTGTTCTTGTAACCGTCGTATGACAGTCAATTAAAGTACAGTTATGGAATTAAAACGCCCATAATTAATAATGTATTCCCTTCTCCGCACGGACAGAGATCTCTGGTTTTGCTCTCTAATGTCCTTAGCCCTTTCCAGATGTATAATATGTTTTCTCTCCGTGCCTTGATCTTTGATGCACTGTTTGTTTAAAGAAGTTTCAAGAACAGTGGCCTCGTTTTAATACCATTGCAATTGGGAATGGCGCTAGACGGTGGACTTCCCTCATATAAGGTTATATCAAATTCGATTTAGGCTACATTTTAATTGTGTTCATTGAACACTAAGACGGCACGTTTCGTTGACAACGTGCCCGCTTTATAAGAGGAGTAGAGCCAAGTGCATTCCCATAATAGTATGACACTTTTTGTAGGCCTTTTGTAGCTATGAACAAATGAGTTTGCTCCTTAAAGTACACCCGTAATGTTAACTTTAATGTCGTTTTGTAGCAGAACATTGGTTTGTATTTCCAATTTTATCGCCCATTCATGTCATTTGACAACGTTTCTATTTTTACTCTTACGTTAACCATTTTAATTGTACCTTGCGGTTACTGTAATTCTCACAATCGTGTTGCATTAATTAGAGCTCTACTTTAATGTAATCGTGGTCCTGAACATTCCCTTGAATTGGTCGAGCTGAAAAACAAAAAGTGCAAAAAGAGGGGAAAGTGTTCTGTTTTCCCCCACCAAAACACTCGTGACCCGCCATTCCGAGCGGCCGTTCGAATAAAATCTTCAGAAAAAACATTTGCACACTTTCTTTGACCAAACCGAGCAAACACGGAACAAAGGTTCATCACTCCATCTGTGTCCCATCGTTTGACTTGTCTTACGATTCTGGTATAGCCAAAACAAAGCTATATAAGTTTCTTCAATCGGAATCTGTTACTTTTCGCCATAAAACTTACTTTTTAATTGTTTTTTTCGTTTTGAAAAGTTTAACATTTTGTAAATTCTGTTTAAAGTTAAAATTACTTGGTTTCTTAAACATTTCAATTTTTTCAAAAATCACTTCAATTTACAACTTATTACAGTAAATTAAACTCCTGTTACGTTCCCTTATCTCGAACTGCGTTTGAAAACACTTTATCGGCCTTCTTTCAACGATTCCGGGGTTGATAGTTGGCGAGAAACATCAAAAACCAAGAAGACGGAAAAGGTGACACTTTTCGATTCAAGCTGACTGATTTCATAGACGATTTGAGAAAGAAACCGCTGTAAATGACATGTTTTCTAGAGATCATGATGCATTTTCTGGAGGCGCGGAACAAAATCCGAAGTTATTCGAATGCGCGTTACAGTACGGTTGAAACATTGGGATGTGGAAATTGTTTACAGCCGTATGTTTCTCCACGTTTGGGCGTCCAAAACGGCCGATCTCTGGTCGGCTGACCCGAGTGCATGTGCGGCTTTGCAGCTCCCCAGCCAGCCCTCTCCGCCGTTTGCCGACCTCTCAGCGGTTTTTTCCTATGTGATGTTTGGCCTTGAATGTGCGGCCGGCCTTCTCTCCGTTCTTTTAAAGTCTTTTCACCAGTTTTCACGTGTTTTTGGGCGCTCTTTCTTCTTATTGCTTTGTAGATGTGTTGTGCGATGTTTTTGGGCGGAACGCAGAGTTTTGAGATGGAGGAAGACCGGCCAGGACAGATCGATTGCCAGTTGAAAACATTTTGGAGGCATTTTGGAGGGAATGGTCTTTCCCCAATATCCAACTGATTTCTGTCTTCTGAATCCCAAGTTGAAATGAAGCCCCGTCCTTGCCGTACATCCTATTTGCGCTTATTTTTCTCGCGTTCCGTGTGTTGATAATGTTGGAAGTGTTTATGAGATAATTTTAGAGAAAAGCAAAATCGACATATTAAACTTTTGGGTAACAAATACTGATTGATTGGATACACACCATCACGGAGGTTTTATGTGAGCAAGCACGGTCTTCCCGACTGGCTTCTGATTCCATGATGTCCGCTGCATTTGAAAGAGTGGCAGTAATGCCAAATTCTTGTTCCGATTCACTGCCATGTTACAAAGCCTCGGATTTTGATCTTCCCACTTATCAGAATCTGCCAGTTGTGACAGATGACGTCGTTTTTTCCAGTATGTTAATTAATGTTTTTTTAAAGATTTGGTCTCAAAACTATTTATACTTCTGCCAATGAAAGAAAAATAACTATAACATAATTAAACATCTACTACAATATATATAAAAACCGTATTTTAGACCCAACCTTTATTATGAACGAAATTGAACAAATTAACTGTAATGTGAACAGCCGCCTCAACCTCATCGACGACATAAGCTTGCCATCACCTTTACTTTCTGATACCTTAGCAATGTCCAACAACAATAACCTTATTTTCTCTCCAAAGGAAGACTTTGTTAGCATAGATAACGTGGAGCCAATGTCTCGAGATCGATGCAACACATGGCCCATGAGAAGACCTACAGAACCGCCTCAAAACTATTCTCTGCCACAAGAAAAGATCGATGAGGAAATGTAAGACCAAAAACAAAGTCTAAAATACGGTTTCAGAAGCTCGTCGAACTCCTCGCTGGAGAAAGTGGATGGAGATCTCGATGACTACATCCCACAGTAAGTTCTGACCTTTAGTTTACAGCTGTTCTAATAAAGGGCAAAAAGAATTCAATGTTTCGAAAATTCCCTTGCAAAAAATAATTTTTGGAAAAAACAAATGGGCGCAGGCCCAAAAAGTGTTCGCAGCTCGCGAAGTCAGAGATATACGATGAAAATGCATTTTACCTATAATTAGTCATTTTTTTTTATTTTACTTTATTAAATGTAAATCAAAAACATTTATTAAGCATTTTTTTAATTTTTATTTACAATTATACGTTTAGACAACGTTCACGACGCCAAAGTCTATACGGCCAAGAATCGCCAGAAGGCGACCTCGACGACCCGACCGGCAAGAAGTCGAACAGTCGACGAAATGCCTGGGGAAACATGTCTTACGCTGATCTCATTACTCAAGCCATTCTCAGTTCGCCCGAAAAACGACTGACATTGTCTCAAGTCTACGAATGGATGGTCCAGAACGTGCCGTACTTCCGCGACAAGGGCGACTCGAACAGTTCGGCCGGCTGGAAGGTAGGTGAACGTATAATAGGCGAAATGGGGTTACAAGTATTGAACGGCCTTGAGCGCCGCTGAAAACAAGGTCAGAACGTTGAAAGGAAGACGTTTAAAGACGCCTTCATGGAAGAACGTTAGGGAGTTAAACAACATTCAAAGAGGGAAGGATAATATCTGTGAGAAATTAGGTCGCAAGCTAACGCCTCGCTCGAACTGGATGCGCGTTGAACGGGCGCTTGCAGCTGGAACGGCAAGAGCGTTCGGAGAGAGTTGAACTCTTGTTCTCAGCCTCCGGTCAGCGAGTAGTGGACAGCCAGTTTTATTTTGGCCAGCCGGTCCGACATTGTTTTTGTGAGTCCCCGCCCGTCACCGTTCTCTCGCGGCATGAAATTGTAATGTTTTACGGTGGTCAGTGGTGCCATTGCAGGAATGACCAATTTTGTTCTCCGTTCTGGTTGTGTTTGTGCTCGGAAAGGAAAGCCGCATCTTGAGCCCGCAGGAAGACCTTTTTATAAAAGACAAGACGAACGTCGCGCCTATTTCCATCACCCCCAATTGTGAGGAACGGAGGGAGAGGGGGGAGAGAGTGGGGGCGAGGGAGAGGCTTCAGAGCTGAGTAAGGAGAGAACGGAGCGACCCGTGCGTGGACGTGGTGAGCACGGGGCTGGCTGCTCGATGGTCTCCCTCCTAGTTTTTTGGGCGCTGTCCACTCCTGCCACTCGGAGCCAGTCTGTGGCCGGTCTTACATTCGTATTCGCTCCCGGCTCTTTGCGTTCCCTTTTCCCATTCAGTCCCGCCTTTGTTCCATATAGGCGAGATCTTTACCTCCTTCTTTTACTCGCTTTTTCGAACACCTCACCTAATTTCCATTATTTTATTTCCGGCGACTTTTCCCATCGATTTGTTGTCGAGTTCGTTGCGCTATCTCGAGTTTTGCATACCTGCTGCCAGTTTTATATGTTTTTGTTTACCAGAAATGGATGAGCTGGACGATGTTGCCGCCGAAATGCGAGGTCGTTGTTACACATGGCCTATGCAACAGTACACCGTTCCACAGACGTCGGCGCCCGGCCCCAGCCACGGTCTCACCCTGAATGATACTCCGTCGAGCTCCTACCAGTCGATGACGTCCATCACGAGCTCAATGTGCACCGGATCTCTGTCGCACGGTCTTCCGTCGATCGCCTCGCTGGAGCCTCCGTGGTCTTCAGCTGAAGCTCATATGTTTCCGTATGGTTATCACCAACAGCCTTCGACTTCCGGCTCCATGTTACAAATCCACGACTTGGCTCCGCCATTGCGGAAGAAGCGGATCCGACGCCGGAACCCGGATTCGATACCTCAGAAGAAGCCGAATCCCTGGGGCGAGGATTCGTATTCCGATCTCATTGCTAAAGCATTAGAAAGCGCGCCAGGAGGTAGAATGAAGCTTAATGAAATTTATCAGTGGTTTTCCGAGAACGTTCCCTATTTTAAGGAGCGTTCTAGCCAGGAGCACGCAGCGGGTTGGAAGGTATATTTTATTTGGTTAGGTTAATATAACTTTGAGATTACTAGGTTCATAAATTTTATGTTTATGTATTTACAATCATTTTACTTCCTTGCAGAACTCCATCCGCCACAATTTATCCCTCCACAGCCGCTTCATGCGGATTCAGAATGAGGGAGCCGGGAAGTCGTCTTGGTGGGTAATTAACCCAGATGCTAAACCAGGCAGGAATCCACGACGACGAGCAGCCACGATGGAGTCGGCTACCAAAGTAGGTTTCATTCGAAAGATCTTGTTTACGGAACGTTTATGAAACTAATATTAATCAGAGAAACTAATGTGTTTGTAAAGACTACAATAATATCATTGACTTCAGACGATCCTGGACAAGAAACGTCGCGGTGTCAGGAAACGTATCGATATGATGAATGACTCCTCTTTGTCTTCCCTAAATGAGTCTGCCCAGTCGCACCGGGATCTGCTGGACCGGGACGAAGGTCTCGGGGCATCGGACTACGAAACCTTCCGCTCCAGAACCCAGTCCAATGTGTCCATGCCAGGACAAAGGATAACACCACCAATGGAGGGCTTCGAGGAGTACAAGCTTCCTCCATGGTCAGGTCAGCCACTACCGCCTCAGGCGCCCTCAGGCATGATTAACGAACTTCTGGACCGGACTGACCAAATTCGTCTGGACAGTGAAGAGTACCGTCAACTCCGACCCTCAGGGCAACTAGTCCAGCCAGTGAAGTCAGAACAAAAGGTAGGATGAAGTTTGTTGTTACATTGAAGTCTTCTGAAGATTAAAGGTTTTAAACCCCTTATTTGTTTGAATTGGCTAGCCAGACGGTTGGAATTAATAGTTACGTAAACTTGTTTTGTCTTTGAAAATTTGAAAATGCAAATTAGGGAACATGTAGAACACATTATTAAGCTTATTATATCTGACGGCTTATCGAATTAACATTTTTATTTTGCAGACCGAGCCCCCGAGCCAGCACCAGCCTTTTTACCAAGAATTGTGCGTCGTCCGCGGGCCAGACAATCTTCAGAATCCTTTGTTATGTAACCAATTTCCGATGTCTGTTTCGGCAGCGTCGAAGACGTCTGGGATGCAATGGTGAGTTCCGAATTTCATTTCGTTACAGTAGAATGTAGTCGTGTTACTACAGAGTAGAATTATAGTTTTGTTGCGTAAGTGTTTGTCATTCGGCTACAATATGTTGAGTATGTACAATAACTTTTCGAATTTTGACTTTTTCTCAACAATTCTCTTTTCAAGTGACTAACCTTGTTATAGTAATTGGATTTAACTTGTTTAAGACTTATTAATGCTTTTTTCAGCTCGAGCAGCGAGCCCTTCTACCCGTACGGCGTCCACAACGTCCAAAACCAACAAGGCCAACTGTGGGGCGGGGCCCTACCGCCCAGTGGAATGCCCCCAAACTCAACCGGTCTCCCCATCGATCTCGAAAACGTGAGCACGTTCGAGTCGGCGAACCTCGACTATGACATGGAAGCGGTCTTGCGTCACGAACTCAACTCGGCCAATGGCCTCAGCTTCGACTTGTAAATACTCCTTGTACTATAGTCTTTTTAGGTCATGTAGATCTTTTGTTGTGTTGTTCCTACCTCCGTTCTTATATCTGGCCCCGTTCGCACAGTGCATTATGTTAAGCTATGTTGTTTTATCCGGTTGTTTTGAGCTAAATTGTTTGATCCGGTTTATTTAACTTCTCATATGAATGTACAAACACAAGTAGAAGGTAATAAATGTTAATCGAAGTAATTCGGGTGAGCAAGACAGTGCATTTCAAGGAAATGAAGCTCTTATGCTGTGTTACACGTCCCCTAACTTCTCTCCCCTCCTCCGGCGAATCAGTGGTTACACCAATGTACTTTTAGGAAGGACAGGTCGAGAGACCTGAAACGTTCGAAATACGGAGAGTGCAGAGAGATTGGGCCCCCCGTTCCCCGACCGCACGCCACCATCAGCTCAGATGACACGCTGGCTGAGGGAAGGACGGACGGTCGGAGAACGTGGACGGCGTTTCGCTTTCTTTCCCTTCCCCCCAAGGCTTATCGGGCAACTGCTCGTCTCGACGGGCCGCCGCTGGGGCAGGCTGCAGCGATGACGATTTATAATAGTTTGCCGACCGACTCCATCCCCACGCTATCTCCCAGCTCCCGTTCCGTTACTGTTCACGTTTTCCACCGAGTAAAGGCCAAACCTTTTGCAGTCGCTTTTTCGTCTAATCCCCCTCGGAAAGAGCACCAGACCCCGGGTCTCTCGCCCGCCTTCTTCCCATTCCCTTGTGGTAATAGTGCGCCCTTTGGCCGTTCTTTTAGGGCACTTTCAGTTCGTTGATCACTACTGCCTTAAACTTGTCATCATGCATATTTCCACTTTTATAATTCATTCGTGCGCTTGGCTCCTTTTCAAAAGTAGGAGCATCCCCAAGTGCAAAGTGTAGACGGTTTGGTTCGAATGTAGACGGTGGTCCCGCCGCCCTTTTCGTAAAAAACAGAAAGGGGGTTCTTTGAAAGGGTACAATGATATTGATAAACGTTTGCTACAATAAGGCGCTTGCTCAGCCTTGTTAAACCACCCCACTTGTGAACTTTTATCGTGTTAGTATGTTGTAACAACGTAGATGTAGTCTTCATCTACATCTCTACCAAACTACAACGGGCTGACATAGTATCAAGTTGGCGTCCCATGCAGTGCCGGGTAGTAGAAAAGTGAAGATTTCTGTAATTGTATCTTAAAACATTGTTATGTCGTGCTTGGGGCTTCGATTAGTGTTTTGGGCATGTGGAAGCCCTGATTTAAACTACGGAGACGGAGTGAAGGACGGTTGCACTTTCGCTGCTGCCCCTCCCGTCTCCTTTACCTTTTCGTCTTCTTGGTTAACTTTTTCGACTATATAAACATAGTGTGATTGTTTCCCACCACCGACGAGCAGATAATCCCCCCTACTGCCTTCCGAGATATCAGGAAGGCCGTGTAGCCCCAAATCCGTCCAAATCACAAGACTTCTTCCACTTCCAGGGCGGACCAGCCAGCAATCGCGCTTGTCAATGCTCTTTTCGCTTTTATCAGCCCAATCAATGAAACTTTTTACTCCCACGAATCTAAAGGATCGATGTATAGGTCCTTATCACTCCCTTCGCCCCATGTTGAGGACGTCAGGATTAAGGGTTCGCACTTTCCCAAATCGTTGAGATTATATATCGAACTAATTACTCCATTTAATTACTTTCCTTTTTCATACCAAAGGTACATTTTAACATCTTATGCCCGAAAACAATGTGACAGACACTCGTATGTACTTTTACCTTTGTGAATAATAACTATGACTTCAGTTTAACACTAGCATGGGGCTTCCAATGGCAACTAAACGTAGTTTTCCCCGAGATTTCGAGAAAAACTTTTACTTTAAAGTAAAACCTTATTAATAAACCTTTGCTCGCGAAAGATAGGTAATTTGTCTGTGAAAGAACAGAAACATCAGATAAAACAGTTAATTCTCGTCTGAACTGACACTCTTTACGTAAAACATAAATCCTTTGCGTAGGAAAAGCAAAAGTTCGTCTGTCATTTCACAAAAATATTATTTTAGATGTTATGAGACACTGGTCGGGCCGGCCCGCGCGGCACTTTTGATCTTCTAGAGTCGGGCCTGAATTTAAGACCCGGTCCAAGTTTTTTTTTGAGTCAGGACCGGCCCGTTTATGGCTAGTTTTTAAAAAAAAAATTAATTTTAAGTGTAAGAGTTGACCCCAAATTTACAGTGCCAATCTTGTCCTCAGATTTCGCAACATCTATTGTGAAATCAACAACCAAATGTTACAACTGCAACTTCTGTCTGTTTCTTGGCCTAATTTCTCAAGGTTTGTATCAAAAACTTGTGAATATTTCGTTTAATTTCCTCTAAAGTGTTTCCGAAAAGTTTTATGCAATTTCCGTGATTAATTTTGATATTTGTGTAATGTTAAGGACTTTTTTAGACGTTTGTATCCATTTAAATGAGCTCAGCTACATTCGACGCACACAACCCCATCGTGGTCTCGTCGTCGCCCAGCACGTCAGGGGTGATGAACTCCGGGCAGTTGAACACTAACTGTCCGGTCAACTTCTCCCCCAACATGAACAACAACATGTTCGCGCCACATCCGTACGGCCAACAACACCTGGGGATGAGTGCTATGCAATACCTGAATGGATCTTCGAACAGCTCGTCCAGCCTGAACGACTCGCCCGTCATGCACAGACAGAACATGATCCCCAATCCAAAAGAGCCCAACACCTCTACGTTGTCCAACAACTCGGTCACAGAACAAGTTCTACTGATAAACTCTGGGCAAGGGACTGTATGCACAACCAGCTACGTTCATCAGAACAATGAGTACAACAACACATCTCCAGATCAGGATGAACCCGAGCCAATGTCCAGAGACAGATGCAATACCTGGCCATTAAGAAGACCAAACTTGGAGAATGGGATTCCGAACAAACCTATGATGCCCGAGCAGATTCCAGAAGAAGAATCGTAGGTTTTGTTGTTATATGCTGTTTTAGGTATTAAATTGATGAAAACACGGGTTTGTATGTTTGACAATATCCCTTTGATTAAATATTGTTTTAGATTTGATAATGATGACCTCTTGAACGGAGACTTAGGAGCTACAGGCAATGATTTTCCTCAAGACAGCTCTCCGTTGCCATTTGGGCGGTAAGTGAAAGATACAAAACTTAATCGTAGTTTTTAATCTTCTTTGTATTTGTTAAACTAATGTTTTGTAGGTAACTTTATAGTTTTTAAATGTAGATTAAAGGTTAACTCATACAAAATTATGTTGTTTTAAAATTTGTGTTACAGGAGCTCGCCAGGAGAAAGCCTGCTTGATTCAGATCCTAATGGCAAGAAAGTTACCACACGTCGGAATGCCTGGGGGAATATGTCGTACGCCGACCTGATCACTCAGGCCATCCTTAGCTCGCCTGAAAAACGACTGACACTGTCCCAAGTGTACGAATGGATGGTGCAGAACGTGCCGTACTTCCGCGACAAAGGCGACTCGAACAGTTCGGCTGGCTGGAAGGTATGACTTCTGGTTTAAACTCAATTCAAAATAAGAAAAAGCTAATAAGCAAAAGTGAATTAAAGCCCTCCGGTCCGGTCTGTTAATTGGCAATTAAGTTGATGTGGCATAACCAATTAGCGGGTGTCGTCGGGTCAGTAGTTGCCGGCCTTGACGAGTTCAAGGATTTGCGGGAATAATCCCGATTGTTTCCACACGCAGCTCCGTATCGCGGCCGTTCGCCGCGGCTACGAATGCTGTCGCGGTGTCTGGGGTCGCGGCGTTCCGCGTGATCTCTCGCCGACGTCTACTCGTATTCTTCTCCCACTCATCCATCGGGAATGCGATGTCCGCTGGAAGCAAAAAAGACGGAGGGTGACTGCTGTCCGAGAGAACTCCCCATGTCTGCTCTTCTCGCGAGATTCGAAGGTGCTGCCCAAAATGAAAAGTAGTGGGGGTCGCGGTAGAAGAGTTGGAGGTGTATTTCTCGAGGACCCCGTTCCTCTCCCCATATTACTTTTTTCTTTTTGTTTTTCATAGTTTAATTAGTCGAGCTCTTGTTTTTCTTGCACTTTTCTCGTTAACCCAGCTCTGTATCCGCCAAGTTTTAGATGGAGGGTCAGTATTTCGATCAGCCGCTTGAGTTTAGGGGTCGGTGTCGCACTTGGCCTACCAACCCAAACCTTTTGAAGCCGACTGAAGCCCCAACCCGCTATGACAGCATTCATCAGTCGAGCTCCTCTTTGGTTTCTTCTGTTTACCCCAGCTCCCAATGCTTGAACAACTCGTGGAGCTCTGTGAATAGTAGCCATGACTTTACTGACAGTTATGTCATGAGCTCCTATGATAACATTGAGTCCTCTGATTCGTCTGAGAAGCGACGACGGATTCGTAGGCGGCATGCTGAAAGTATGGCGCAGAAGAAGAGCAATCCCTGGGGCGATGAGTCTTATGCAGATCTCATCACGCGCGCTTTAGAAAGCACTGACGACGGCCGGCTTCGGCTGAATGAGATCTATCAGTGGTTCATCAACAACTTGGACTACTTTAGGGAAAGATCGGGACCGGAGGAGGCAGCCGGGTGGAAGGTAATTAATCTAAACATTGTAAAAACAGCAGTGTAACACAACTCATTTCAGAATTCCATCCGCCACAATCTGTCATTGCACAGTCGGTTCATGAGAGTTCAGAACGAGGGAGCTGGCAAGTCATCGTGGTGGGTCATTAATCCAGACGCAAAGCCAGGAAGGAACCCACGAAGGAGGGCCGCCACCATGGAAGCCTCTACCAAAGTAAGAACAACTAACTTTGACTGCTTTTTGAGGTTCCAAATTAGATATTGTTAACGTAGGGCATATTCCAGGCTGCTTTGGAAAAGAAACGACGTGGAGCCAGGAAGCGGGTGGAGCTGGGGATCCGTGGATCGATGCAGAGCATCAACGAAACGGCTTCTCAACTGTCAATCAACTCGCACGACAACTTTAACGATACTGATGACGGCTTTGGCTCCCAATTCGAGACCTTCAGAGGGAGAACACAATCAAACGTGTCCATGCCCGGAGGGTTGTCCCCTCAACAGACAACCTTTGATGACTTTGAGTTCCCTCCTTGGGCAGCCACGAATGGTCCCATTGATATTGGTCCACCTCCACAACCAACACCTCAGGCCAATCAGGCAGTGAACGAGTTGCTGGATCGGACTGATCAGATGAGACTGGATTCAGAGAGCGAATCCAGAAGGCTGAACAATGGTCTCTCGATGTCAGCTCAACATTCTCCTCAGTTCATGCCTCAAATCAAAGAAGAGCCAAAGGTAAGGCACCCACATCTTGATTAATATACGGCTTTTAGGAAGGAGGTCAGTCCCACTCTCCAATGTTCCATGATATTTCACAGCAACAAATTCGGCCGAATATGATGCACTGTCCACAACCTCAACATCCCATGATCTCACAGCACCAAAAGCCATCTTCCAAGTAAGATTTGACAACGTTTTTTTTTGTGTTTTTTTTTAATTTATACCTAAAAATATGAAAGTTAAAGGATAAGATGATGTTATTCATTTTCCATATACCCATAGGTCGTCCTCGATCTTTGCACTGATGAAAACCTTTTCAGCAACTCTAGCCCATACTACCCAAGCAATGGGTATACCCAACAACCGACGATTCAGCCGCAAAACCCGACCACCAGCCAGTGGACTCCATACAGGATGAATCCACAGCCTCCCATGCAGACCAACGTGTATCACCAACGGCCTATGATGATGGGACAGGGATGTCCGATCAACGACCTCCCCATGGACCTGGAGAACCTCGCGACCCTCGACTCGAGGATAATGGACTGCGACGTGGAAGCGGTGCTGCGACACGAAATGTCCCAGAGCGACAGTCCTCAGCTACAGTTACATTTTGATATCTAAGCCAGGGTGGCATGTAAATTGGTTTTGTTATGCCCACTTTGTCTTTGCATTGTACAGTTCTATATTATCCCTACCGTCCTCCCCCGCCCGGTGAATCGTTATATATATATTGTTACACCCATATAATCTCAAAGCGCCATGTTTGGGGGTTTTCTGCAAACTGGTTATTTTGTTTCCATATCCATGTTTTCCCGTTTCTGAGACGCGCTCAGTTCTCAAGCCCCCGTGTATAAACTCAGTTCAAGAAGTTGTTACACATAATACGCCGGATTGTATGCTCTCGTGCTAAGAGACACCACGATTGGCGTGCCGATTATGTTGTGATTTCTATTGAATTTCCAGTTCTTTCTTATATGAATTGATGTTATGTTAGCATTTATTCTATTGCGCCACGAATGTATTATACATGCGGTCTATTAAATACAGTTTTGTTAAGATATAATGTATTTGTTGCAAAAATAAATGTTGTATAAAATCCCAGCAGATAGCAGATAAATATTTATACATAGTAAAAGGAATTATTTAGCGAGCTTTCTCCTGTTCGAGTTCTGTTATCTTCTCGTCAATGTAGTTGAACAACGAATCCATGATCTTCTGCTGTTTCGAATGCACCGAATTCAACCTAAAATGTACTTGAATAATGGGTTGCGACCTACCCAGCTAAAGTCACATTTAGTTTTGTGTAATTTTCTGTAAATTCGTCGATCTTGTCCTCTGATTTCACAACCTTGGTCAAATCGTCGACTTTAATGGAACTTTTCAAATCTTCGATGCCTTTCATAACATCTAATCTGTGTGTGATAAGAGGTGTTTGAGCATTTATAGACTGGATCTTCTCTTGAATGCTGTCATCAGAGACCTAAACACAAGAAGAAATAATTATATACCGAATTTTAGGTACCTTTTCAACAAAATTGATAATGCCATTCAATTGTTCGATAGGCCTTTTGATAACTTCATCTGCATGTTCTGGCTGTAAACAGTAGTTCCTCAAGGTCTGTTTTAACCGTTCTATCAAAGCAATTACATCTTTCTTTGTAGAGCCAGTGATAAGCTCGGCTTCTTCAACCTGCTTCTCTAACAACCCGAGCTCTGTTTCCATCACAAAACTAAAAAAAAGTTTGAGAATAAGTATACGTAAGCATCATATTGTGTATACAACAAAATATAAGAAAAAAGTTATCCTAAATGTTTCCTGAATATTTTGATTTGTGTTTTAAAAACACAACAGCAGAATTGAAAATCAAAAAATGTTCACAAGGCAAGTTTAGGTTAAATTTACACGCCTGCAATTTTAAATAACGCAAAAAATACGAGAATAAAAGATAGAAGTACCTTTGCGATCTTTAAAATTGACAATTTTCTGAATTTGAAAAGCTGAAAAAAATTATATTATTTTTGGTTTGCAGTGTGGGCTTTAACAGCGCCCGACTTTTCGCGGTATAAAATATTTTTTTGTTAAAATTTCTTGAATCACGGTTGTTTTTTCGCGTCCTTTCGGGGTCTCCCAAAAGGTTTTAGCGCAGTTAGCGTGGACATTTTATACGAGCCCGAAAACAACGGGCTTCAATTGACCACTAAAAAATATTAGTTTTATTTTTTGCGTTTGGAATTAATTTTTTACTTCATTATTAATATTACTAGTTTGGTCAAAGTGTGTGGAATTTTTTATAGGTAATTCTACTTTTCTGTTCTGTTTACGTTTTGACCAAATTACGTTTTGACCAAGCAGCCTGCGTCCTCGCTTCAAAAAAGGGAACATGAAAGGACGCATTTCTTTAGCTTCAAAACAACTGTGTGAATGACTTTTCGCGAATTCGTTTTTGTACCAAAATTGTGCATAGGCGACTAGAGAGGGAAAATGTCGGTCAACTACAGCAGTATGGCATTTGAAGACAAAAATATTGACTACATAGCTTCAACCCCAGTTGGACGTAAGTGAAAACCGAAGTAAACTTATATTTATGTTTAGCTTCTCGATGTAACGCTATGTCCGTAGACCTGTCGCCAATTCAGGATGCTCTTGGTGGCAAGTAAGTAATTGTTTGAGTATTTTTACTTTTTAGTGACACACCAAGAACAGCGAATACCACTCGGATCTCCAACGAGTTTGTTAGGATTCAATCTAAAGTCCACTTTGGGTTTGTTAAGCTGGGAGAAGAAATTGACAGGGATTTGGACATATTTTCAACTGCAGACAGGAACTTGTGGGTCAAAATACTCAGGCCAACGTCAAATGTGTTTTCTGTAAGTTGGTATATGTCTTCTAAAGGTTTTTAGGTAGAATTTACAGAAGACTTTTTATTACAACCTGGATCAAAACAAAGTTTTCGATTGACCTACAAGCCTAACAAAGCCAAAGTATGTGATACTGAGACTTTGTTTTTAACTGTGAGCTACGACGAGCAAGGAGGAAAGAAAATCAGGTTTAAGGTATTACCTTTTATCTTACGTTTATACTTCACAAGTGGCTTTATCTGTTGTAGAAGTTGTATATTTTTTGATTGATTTGTGAAAAGCTTGGTGTCTACATTGTTTTGTAGGTTTGCTTAGTCGGATTCTCCGGAAAGTCAGAAGTTGTTCCAGAAGGTCTTCCTGTTGTCGATGGCAGCAAATGGGAAGCCTGTATCAAGAATCGCCGTTCAGAAGTGACACTGAAGAATGTTGGCAACAGAGCTGCGTTTGTTCGCATCGTAGTGACTGATAGTAATGGGCATCCTTCTGCCAAATCTGATATATGGGTGAAGCCAGATCAGTTTATATTGGATGCTTTGAACGACTGTCAAAAGGCAAGTCATTTACTTTTGTAAGCGGGGTAACACATGGGACAGGCAGTTGCAGCCAATGTTCTTTTGTCTGCAAGTGGACAATTGTGGGCAGTGATGATAACTAATATTAACCTTATATCCCTACCCTAATTCTACTACTCTGTACTTTTGGGTATGGAAAATTACCACGTTTGTACTAGATGAAATTATCGTATTTTATTCCCTACCATCAATTTATATTTTCAGACGGTCACTGTAAATTTTTTAGCAGAAGAGGCTGATGTCAATTTGGTGATATATTACGGCGAAGAGAAACAACGACTGCGATGTAGAAAGTAAGTGTAAATATCGTTTACAGAGCATCTTGTTGTGTTCAAAGAAGTTAGTATTACAGTAACAGAGTGTAACAATGTATAATTACCTTTTTTTGACAAAAAATTTTATGTTATTGTTTGTGTAGGTAATAAGTGTTTTGATGTTATAGATACATGCAAATGCGACAAATTACCGGTGGGTTTACTGTAGAAGCCTTTGACGTTATGGCGCTGAAAGTTAGTGGCAGTCGGCTATTAGAATGTGACAGTGAACATCTGAGTAGTGAAGACAAACGAGTTCTGGCTCAAGACATGAACATGTTGACGATAAAGTTGGTTAAGGAGGCTGAAGACTCTTTCGACGAAGACTCTACTCTCACTAATACCACCATGTTGTTCACAAACTCTGAGGTCCGCTTGAAGCCTGCTAGGTTTTTGAATGCTGATGTTGATGTAGTGGACGACGATCTGGATACATGCATAAACCAGTTGCAAATGAAAAACTAAAATCACGATGAATACTTAGCACTTTTATTTGTATATATTACTGACAATGAACCATTACTTACGAGGGTTGGTCTTTACTTCTTCCGGTGTAAAGAAAGCCGTTTTCCGATATTTTGGGTTAGAAGAGATAACAAAAACAACTTTAAGAAACAGTTTGTTTGCAATGGGTGTCGGTGGAAAGAGTTTGGTGTTAGTTACAGGTACGTTATGATAATTATGTAAAGTAAGGTGTTTAATAGGAAGAAAAGCAGAAATTAGATACATGTCATTTTTTTATACTTGATTTTAAATATAGAAGTTAACTAAAAAATATTATAAGAAGTTAAAATTATATTGAGTTAAAGGTGCGAGCAGAGGAATCGGAAAGGAAGTAGCTATTCAGCTTGCCGATTGTGTAGATGAAGGATCAGTGTTCGTTTTGACAGCGAGGAAAAGAGAATCTGTTCGTGATACCGAGAAAGCCGTTAATAAGTATGGACTAGCTTTACATTATAGTCAAAGCGAGTAAAAATATGTAAAATATAGTCTTTCAAATGATATTACTTTTTACAGCAACGGCAAGTTTAAAGTGCACAATATTGGTCATGACTTTTTCTCGAGAGATGACTTTCCATTGGACGTCATAACTAAAGCATTAAGTGTTGTGGATTCTGTAGTCCTTATTCATAACGCTGGAACGGTTGGAGATGTAACTCATCCTGCTGATGAGTTAACTGATCCTTCAGACTGGAATGATTACTTACACACCAATCTTGTTTCGACCATCGTACTCAACAACCGGATTCTGGAGCAAGTTAAACAGCACACTAATGTGAAGCAGGTCACCGTTGTCAATGTGACGTCTCTTTTGGCGGTGAAAGCGTTCCCTTGTTTTACGCAGTATTCAGTATCGAAGACAGCACGAGAGGCCTACTTCAGGTCGCTGGCTTTGGAGCGTCCGGACATTAGAGTACTCAACTATTCCCCTGGACCTGTCGACACTGATATGAGGACTGACATCGCGAAGCGGTAAGCCAATATTCTATTTTACATAACTTGAACTTAAGTAATGTGGGTTCTAATAACTTGTAGTATATTGTAATGTGTCGTGTGGTTTTTTAGAAGCTACTCTGCTGAAATAAGATCAGCATTTTCCTCAAAGGACAGTATGGAAATCTCCAAAAGCGTAGTCACAACGAAGGAGACAACATCAAAACTGATTTCCATTTTGAAATCGGATACCTTTGAAAATGGTGGAAGGGTGGACTACTTTGACTAACATAATCGTTTCAATCATGCAATCTCACAGTTATACAGTTTATTAAAATCTTCGCTAGTAAATGAAAAATATAGAAGTCTGGATAAAAAGCTGCAAAAATAAGGCATGAAAATTGATTGCACAAGACACGTATATAAAGGAGAAGGCAACGTGAACATAGACTAGTAGATGGGTGTTAAGTAACTGCTGACTACTACGATTTATTATTACAAACAGACCAAGTTGTGTAGGTGTTTTTAAAGCAAATGCGTAGACATTTCAATTAAAATGCATGATAAGTAGAGAATCTTCTGGTAGATGTACAACATAATATCACTTTAGGTATAGGACGGTCACTAAATGGAGCAGTTAAGGGGAATTGAGCTGCAGATTTGCAAGTTCATCTGCGAGAGACGTCGTGCCACTGCTTATGGCACTGGTGGACATTAAGTTAGGGGAGCCGCGCGATTTGCGGTTTATCAACTCGCGAATCCGTTCCATTCCATCGACGGCCGTCAACGTTGGCGGGGCCGTAAGCACGGATCCGCTTCCGTTGGCTTCTCGATTCTTGGACATGATTTCAGCCAGCTGTTGGCGTCGGTTCAACCGATCTTGTTCTTGTTTGGCCGTCAGACCAATCACGGCCCCGCCTTTCAACTGTTGTAAAGTTGGGGTATTCTAGAAAGGTATACCACATAAATAATTTACATTACCTTTCATATTTTAGGTTTACAAAGCCAAAAAAAACTTATAGGTTTTCAAATTTAGTCACTTACATTACTTGTGTTTGTTAATTGAGGTGTTGAGTTAGAATTAGAAAGGATAGTGGAAGTGTTCTCGAGAACTGGCACTGACTGTTGTTTGCTGAGTAATGATTTCGTGGCCAAATCTTTGAGAAACCGATTCAAAGGTCGTTCCTCTTCCTCCAACTTTAAGTCATTATTACTTGAGTTTTTACTATCATCGTGGGTGAACGAAGACAGATCTATTCTCTCATCGTAATCTACTATTCTGTCACTCTGCAAACTTAATTCAATGAACAAGCAGCTTCCTGATCATACAAAACTAATCAATCAAATAAAGTAAAACATCTTTTTAAATTAACTTCAGCTTACATTCTGATTACATGGAGTTGAATTGGAAGGGAAGGAGTTGTTACGTTCTGGAGAAACCTGATCAAAGCTTTTACTAGCCAAGCTGTCAATAAACGAGTCTAAAGGTTTACTACCAGCTTCCTTATGCTCAATTCTACTGTCAGAAGGATCTTCTGGCACTTCAGGTAGGATAGAAGCATTGTTAGCATCAGAATCAACAATGGGGCTAACCTAAAACAATAAAAACTAAGTAGTCTAAACTAAACATTTAGGTATCAATAATGATGATATTGCAAGAAGTTCCTTTTGAAAAGTCTTACCTTAACTTGTGGTTCGGCGATGAGTTTAACTGGAGACGATTCGGGCTCTTGTACTGGAGAACTTGAGACTTGAACATCATTTTGAACCAGCAGGTTGTCTTCTTCTTTCAGTTTTTCGTCAACATTAGTTTCTTCCGTAGCTAGTGGAAGATCCTAAAGTCCATCAAAATTACACAAAATTGCAAGATAAATCGACAAACTTTAAAAATCAGGTTAAAATAGCTAGAAAAAAAACTACTTACTTGACGTTCATTAACCTCATTGAACAATACATCAGTCGGTTCCTTTGGTGCCACGATATCATTTTCAATGGGCTGTTTGTGGGCAAAGAGGTCAGCAGTCATATCAACCTCCTTTTCTTCTTCTTCAACCTTCACTTTGTCATCCACTTTACTTTCTTCTGTTACATCTTTTAATGGTTCTTCCTAAATAAAACTTTCATGATTGTTTATAATTTTTGTTACTGTAAAAACGTCCAAGTAAACTTACATTACTTTCCTTGGCCAATGTAGACGCTTCAGTAGGAGCCAAATTTTGTTCTCTACTTTCTTCCTCCATTGGTTGAACGGTGGTGACTGCTTCGACTTTTTGAGTAGGAATTTCTTCCATTGGCTGAGCAGCGGTAGTTTCTTCGACCGGTTGAACAACGGGTGCTGAAACCTCAATTGTCTTTTCAGAAACTTCTCCAACTGATTGGATCTCCTCATCAGTCTTGACATGGTCGGTCTTCTCGATCTCGGCGATGTTATCCAACGAAGCATCCATCAATTTGTCTAAATTGACTGTTGGGTTAGCCAAGTTGACCGTCCCACTGCTTTCATTATCACTGTCCTTATACTCATGTTGATGAGGTGTCGGGACAACAATAGACTCTGTAGAAGCATTGGCCGACGTTCCAGCCCCTGAGTCGTTGCTGTCTACGTTGGTGATGTTCTCAGAAGTCAAAGCAACCTTCTCCACAACTTTCAAGCTCTTGGCATTCGGTGTCCCGGCTGACTTTCGTCGTGTAAGGAAAACAGGCTGAAATGTATATAACTATATCATACAATTTTCATACCGACAGTGTTAAACAACAAATACAATAAGTTATAATAAAATTTACCCTGACATTAAGCTGGTTTACCTTCTTGACCGGTCGTGATGTAGAAGGTGAGTACATAGACCTAGTCATGGAAGCGGGCAACTTCTTAGGCTCCGACCTTACCACCGGACGCGACGGTGGAGAGTATACAGAAGCAGTCATCACGTTCCGTGTAGACGGTCCTGCCACTCTTCGTAGCGGTGTCTTTGCTTGTGCTGGTGATGACTTCTGACTACCTTGAGAAACCCGCGAAGCCGATCCAAAGTCTAGTTTCCTTGGTACTCCAGACCCAAACGCCACCGGATTCTTTGAATGACGTTGTGGAGACACACGAGAACTCGATGATTTCTTCTGAATCGCCTAAAGTATTAGTTGTTAAGTCCTGCTTTATTTTAAAAAATTTATTTTTTTGCTCACTTTTTGTTTTTCCAGTTGTCGTTTCTCGTTCTCGGCCCTTTTGCGCTGAATCTCCTTTATCTTCTCCAGTTCTTGTGCTTTGTTTTTTGTGATCTTCTCCTTCAGTCCTTGTTCCTTTCGCTGCAAAGCACGCTGAGCACGTTCTTGTGCCAGTCTGATTTTTTCTTCCCTTCTAAAAAATAAATTAGTTGCAAATAATATTCCACATAAATCTTTTTTTAATATTCAGCACTTACTCCTGATTTACTTGGTCTTCCCGTTCCTTACGTCGTCGTGCAACTTCGGCCTGCCGATCTTTGGCGCTCACGTAAAGCGAACGCGTCATCATCGACGCCTGCATCGCAACCAAAACCTACTAAAACCATATAAAAAATGATTGAATATGATAAGGTACGGATCTCGTCCATGACGAATAACGACGAATTACAGCAAAAATAAACAACAACTTTATTCAACAACAAACAAACAACTCAACGATGCACTCGCAACTTCTGTTTCCGCTTCTTTACGTGTTTAGGTATCTTAACTGCTCGTTTCTCCTTCTTTTCTTCTTGTACTGCCTTCTTCCTGTTCTTCTTGTCTTCTGTAGTCTCTCCTTTCACTCTGACATACTTCTGATGCCTTTGAGTGAACGGTACCTTCTCTCCACTGTCCTCACTATCCGAATCTTCTTCCTCCACCTCTTCTTCATCTTCTCCACTTTCTGAATGTTCCTCATCTTCATTTACTATTACAGTTTTGGCAATTATTTTTTGGAAGGGGTTGTTGAGTTCGGTTCCCTTCTTCTCCATCTCGTCATCCCTTTCAAAGTTAACAATACTGTCCAGTTTGTGAGGAATGAAGACATTCAAAAACAAGTATTCACTGTCAGTTAGGATCTCTACACGCTCGTTGTCCAACATCTTTTGCATTTCTTCATCTGACTGACAATTTGGATCCACAATCAGCTCGAATAACCTCCGAGGCGGCAGAACTGCAGCTCCTTTTTCGTTGAAGAACCGTGTAACGTTAGTAATGTCAGACCTCAGGAATTGTAACGAATGTGGATGGTCGTGCTCCACGGATTGAGATACGTCAATTATAACAAGGGCATTATCATGAAATAAGATGTTGTACTCGCTAAGATCTGAAAATTAATTTTTAAAACATATCTATAAGCACTAAAGTCTTACCTGCATGAACCAGTTTGCATTGATTGTAAAGTATTTTCACGTACTTGACCATGTCCAAGTACAATTTATTCGCCAGTTCTCTATCGAAAACAGCGTGTTTAAGAAGCGGAGCAGGCCAGCCATTGCTTCCCACAAAGTCCATAACCAGTACATGACTCTAAGCACACAAAATATCAAAAAAATATCAACTTACCTTCAAAAGTCTAGATTTAGGCACTGGTAGTCCAGCTTGATGCATTCTTTGAAGATTCCTCATTTCCTTCTCAGCCCAAGTTGCTACCATCTTTCGTGGATTATGTCTGCTGTATCCATTCCGATACCTTTAATAACCGCAATTACTACCGAAACTTCTAAAATAATTATAAACTGACTAACTTTATAAATCATGCATAATGGTAATCTTATTTACAACAAACTGACCTAAATTCACCAGTTACGTATCGATCACGATCTTTGAACGTCAATATGCTAGTTTTGTAGATTTTGACGGCCAACGACCCTCCTTCGCCATCCACAGCGTGATATACATTGGCTTCTTTGCCCGTGCTCACACATCCCTCGATCCGGTCAAAGAAGCCCCGTTGTACCAGTCGAAACAGAATTAACCGAGTCCGAGGGTCAAGAACCTGCTCAACAGTAGCTCTATCAGACCGATCTTTGCTCCTCTTTCCTTTCCGGTCGCCACTTGAGTCTAGATGGAGCTGAATTTGGTTTTCGCCGCTCCTCATACCTTTGCTTGAAAGGTTTAGCGAACCCAAAGTGACTTGACTGTTAGGCTAAATCAACAAATAAATAAACCAAAAAACAACTTACCCCGAGGCCGCCCACCCTCATCGAGTTCAGGCGTTTCGTAAAATCTGAAATTATTCAGGATAACATCAAGTGTTAGAATAAGATTTGAATAATAAAAAACATAACCCAACCCAGAATATTCAAGCATTACTCACTTCCATCAGCTACATCTTCGAAAACATAGGCATCATCGAACTCGTCGGAAGAGAAATCTGAACAGTCCGACTCGATAACCGTGGTCATTCCTCCTGTAAAGTAAATTCCTTCAAATTTCAAAAAAAAAACGTGACGAATGCAATTCAATCCACAAAAAACCAATGCAAAACTTCTTTTTTACTCAAAACGAGCTAAAACCCTCTAGAATTGAATGTGTAAAAAGAAGGATCATTTTAGACGACCTTTTTATACGCTCAAACGTCTCCGAAAAAGAAGTCGGGAAATATTAAAAGTCTCGATGTTAACGAAGAAAGAACACAATTATGATGTCTGTTGGGAACAGTTTATTCACAATTGATAAAATATGAAACTGAGTGAAAACGTTTTGAAAACGCTTTAGTGACTTAAAGCAAGTTTAAAAATAAGAAACAATGTACAATATATTGTTATACCTTCCGTTGTGGTGCCGCTTGCTTAATGTTAAATCGATTGGCCTTGGGACAGTAAAAAATGATTGGCTTTCTTCCATTTAATTCTATTTTGTCGGGATTGTGAGCAAGATGTGTGATAGGCCCTGCTTTGAATGATGCTGTGCCATCCCTATTCATACTGCATGTTGCGACACTGAGCTGTAACAGACTTGCCCTTAATACTGATGTTTAACAACATACCATAATGAGACCCGAAGATTTGTCGTAAACGGAAGCAAGGATTGCAGGTGGCAGATTTCTCTTGATCGGATTCAAGGCAAACAAATGACCATTGATATGCTTGCAGGTATTGAACCTAACCCAATATCCAGGCATCAGGCTCCCCTTCTTTCCAGGCATAACACCAGGAATAAGATAATGCCTTTCCGATACAAAGATGGCCACATCTCTTTTATCTGTCCACACAACCAGACCATAATCATGAGCGTGAACAGCAGGTAGCATCCACTAAAAATAGATTTACAATACTAAATGGCAGATCCATAGCAATGTTATACTAATAATAACAGTAATACTACTAGTATTTACAAACAAATTGTGAAGTTAATAATACCACTGACCTGTTTAATGTCCAAGTCCATGACCTTCATTGAATCTTGATAGGAATTTCTCGCTATCCACTCCGTCCCCGTAGTACCAAGCATCGTTTTCATATCAATACTCAACCTAAAACCTTATCCAACTAGTTAAAAAAGCAAAAAAAAATAAAATAAAGTTCTATTAAAGAAATTACACTAAAATCTCACCAAATAATTCATAAAAACTAAAAAACGTACCTTTTCACAAATACGTAGTAAAACAGGTACTTCATGTAATGCAGAGTTTCATTTTGAACGACAACCGGGCCAATCCAAGGACTGTGAGCTACGTGATAGTAAGGTTCTTCGACTGGTTCCTCTTTGGCCTCGGGAAGACATATACCTATTGAAGACTCGGCTTTTAAAGTGCACGTTGTTAATGGTACGCCTTGTTTAGAACATGCTAAGCTCATAGTTTCAGGAGTCTCCGTAGTAGCTTCTGACTCTGTAGGAGAGTTCAGTTTTCCTGACACAAAAATGATCGGAACCATGATCTGAAAGACAAATTGGATAAAAAAAGATAACAAAAGTGTTATATATATTAGAATACCTAAACTTTTAAAATACACTATTGCGAAACCTTAGTATCTTAAGGATACTAGACTTTTACAATGTTTTGTCTTAACTATGTATTCAGACATTTTTTCCCCTAAACCAATTCTTAGTCAAAACTCACGTAACATTCACCCTCCTTGACATAGTGATTGACCTGTCTCCAGTTAAACATGGTTTTCGATTCTTCAGGAGGATTGCTGATGTTGAACAACTGATAAGGCTCGTGATATTCTGGAGAAATGTTGTCAATTTTCGTGAACAACTTGAACTCGCAAGGCTTAACCGGCTGGGCTGGCACGAAAACACGACTCAAGCTTCCCGGGAGCATCTGAACTTCTAATAAGCAATACTTTGCTCTTTTCTGAACTGAAGTGATAAACCCGATAAACTGGCCCTTCAGATTTACATTGTATGGTTTTGTAAATGAGGCGTCGTCCCAGAAGATACTCTTATGCTCCAAGACTTTGAATGGAATGTCTCTGCGCTGAAGATACCATTAAAGCTTTGAAGTAATTAAGTTAGTTAAAAAGCTCCTATTTTACTCAATATTTATAAAATTGGCTTATTCAAATACCTAAAACAATTTCATAACAGCACTCACCACTCGGAAGTTGCTTGACATGACTGCATTCCAAAATGTTATGTTAGTTTATTCAAAAAAAAATTTTATCAAATTTATCAATTATCTATAAAAGCTGTCATTGAATGATGACACATTTTTTGAACATTTTTTTATAGTAAAGTTTCGGTTTTGCGCGCGGGTTCTACCACGAAGTTAAGACTGGCATTGTACTCTCTAAAATAAAAATTAAATGCGTTGTTTTATGGCCATATTATTGTAAATTTATTGTGGATGTATAAAAATTTTAATTTGTAGATTAAAAATGTTAAACGACAGCTGTAATCTTAATGATGTAGGTTTTTAATTTTGAGGTTTTAGGCTTTTTAGAACGTGGTAAACTCTTTATTTTCAGTCTTTTGATCTGCATGCATTAGAAAAATACCGAAATTCTGTATATTCTCTCAATTCAAACGTTTACGAATTGCCGGAAGAAACAAATGACGTTAACGTTGATGATGGGATACATTTCGATCATAAAGCAGGGACAGAGTCAATACTGGGCGTTGTATCTGCACACTCAAAGTAAGTTCCTTCTGTCTTTTAATATTTGAATGTTTAGAATCTTGAACGAAGAATGTGAATACCTTAAAGGGCTTTTAAACAAGAAAAGGATTGAGAGACAGCTGAGAGACAAGAAACGGGAATTGCAATATAAGAAGCTGCGGCACAAAGAACGCTGCACCACTTTTGATGCCAATGTGCACAAGGAAGCCCTTAGTGTAGTAGTAAGTGTGACATTGTGCTTTACTTTTTAACTTCTAGATCAACAGACACGAGGGACATTTTCGATGGATAAACCGGCTGAATATTCAAATTGACACAGAACGACAGTTCAGAGAGGCGCTTAAGTTGCCTAAAAAACTGCCTCTTTTTCTGTCTATAGAGGAGAATTACTTTCCTGGTAAGCTAGACATATTTTGGTCTATTTTGTATTATTATTATCATTTTTTAAAATAATTTTGTAATATGTATTTATTTTTTTGCATATTAAAAAGGACTTTTAAGTAGATCAAAATTGTTTTAGAGCTCTCTGAAGAAGCTTTACGTCTGGTAGAAACTGTCTGGTATGGTCAAAACGACAATGAAGTGTTTTGTGAAGGCTTTGGAGCGAAAATAACAAGAAAAGATCTCAAAACTCTTGGAGGATTGAACTGGTTGAACGACGAGATTATAAACTTTTACATGAGTTTGATTATGAATAGAGCTGAACAGGACACCTCGTTACCGAAGGTAAAGTTGAATTGTTTTTTAATATTTAAAGGTTACTTACATTAGGTAAACAGGCGTTTGCTTAAACAAAAGTTTATTGTAATGTGGAAACTTTAAGACATACGTGTTCAACACATTCTTCTACAAAACGTTGAGCGAAAGAGGATTTGCTGGAGTAAAGCGATGGACAAGGAAGGTGGATGTGTTTTCTTATGACGTTATCTTGATACCTGTGCATATGGGCAATCACTGGTGTATGTCGATGATCGACTTTACGAGGCAGGGCATCTTCTACTTTGATTCTCTTGGCGGCAAAAACACGACTTGCCTACGGTTACTCGGGTAAGTTTTAAGTAAACTTTTTAATTTATTAACCTACTTTTTAATATTAACGTTCTATCTGTATTTTTAAATATAGACTTGAAGATGTAAGTAATATTTTTAGTAACTACTTGATGGAAGAGCATATGGACAAGAAGAAGAGTAGTTACGATGTCAGTATGTGGACTTTTGAGTGTCCGGCTGTGCCAATGCAGTTAAACGGATCAGATTGTGGTGTATTCTCTTCAATTTTTGCTGAATTCTCTTCTCGACTTTGTGAATTCAAATTTGATCAGAGGGTAATGCCGTATTACCGACAACGGATGGTATACGAAATTGTGAATAAGAAACTATTGATATAAATAATATGATATAAAACTGTGTTTGTCGGCTTTAAATTGTTATATTTCGATAATCATACTTGATCTTTTGAAAGCGCGATTTTATATTTTTTAATATTATTATGTCTTGTCGTTATTAGCATATTCGATTTTTAGTTTTTATGTATGTATAATGGGAGACCATGTAAGCTCACAGCAGTTTAAAGCCCTTGTCTACACGTCGATCAGGCAGCGGATAACTCCATTGGCCTTCTTTCAACAATATAACGAGGCTTTGTCGGTGACCGGACCTCAGCTTGATGTCCTCAAGTTCTCAGAGTTGTTGATTGAAGTAGCGTGCTCAGATCAGGAGGCGCATTCACTCATCTTTCAGTACGTGGACGTTCTGATCAGTAACGGAGCATTCTCTGTGATTGGCTTTGTGCAACTGATAACAAAGTTCAGCAATGTCAACTCGAGTGGAGTTACTACCTCTTTCATCAAGAAGGTGTTGCAGTACCTGAAGATAATAAGGTAAGTAGTTAGACTGTTTATTGTTATGTTAAAGGTGTGACTTTGAGGATGAGAAAGACCGTCTAGAACTCTGCTTCATCTACGTTACCGTGGTCAAATGGCTGGTAGAGTTGGCTTGTCGTTCTGTTCAGATCAAATCCAAGGAGCATTATATTGTGATCGAAAGTTGTGTGGAAGCATTAAAGTTCTTGTCGGACGACGTCTTTGCTCGTACTATCATGTACTTTGTGTGCAAGGATGATAACGGTATGATGCTACAAAGTTAGGAACTTGAGGTTATATTGTAATAGATTTTGTTGAGTTTATCTTAGGTTATATTTCAGAGGCACTAAACGAAATGCTGGAAAGTATGACTGTCGTGGAAGACATGTTCAACGAGTACGATAACTATGATGGCTTTTTTGACAACCGCACTCAGGACATGTTTGATCGGCTAGAAAACTTGGTTAAAGAGTAAGTATTACTTTTCAAGCTTTGTTAGCTTACTTTTATGTTATATATAACTCATTAACGTTTTAGTTTTGCGACCAAACCGGAGTTTGCTACCAACTTTTTGTCTACATATCGATTTGGTACTAATAAGGTTTGTGACATATGTTTATGTTTTTTAGTGTTTACTATGTTTACAAACTGCAGTTAATTATAAAATTATTCTTACAGCCAGAGCCCGTGATTTTATCTATGTGTTCCTTCTACGCCACTTTCCGACAGCTGGACACAGCCGCTGATCTATGGCGATCGTTCTCTAATATGGGCCAGATCCTTGGTTACAGTGTGACAGAAGTGATCAGACAGTTACTTCGAGGAGCATTTGTGGCACAGCTAGACGCTTATCGAAATGAGACAAGAACGGCCGTAGCCGATGTGTTTGTGTTGGAACGGGTTCCAGAAGTGTTGTTGATAATCAGGAAGGAACAGGTGGTAGATGTAGATAAATTGATGGATTGTCTCGCAGAGTTGGCTTTGAACAGAACGGTTTTTAATGGCCTCGACTTCTACAGGAGTGAAAACACTTTGTTCAACTTCTTGGAGGCTTTACAGGTCAGGAAAGTAATTGACGCTGAACAGGCAGAGGGCATCCAAATGCAAAGGTAAGACATTAATATGCTAATATCAACAATAATAATAAAATTACTCAGCTAATTGTTGATAATGCTTTTTGTTTAAATTTAAATTGAATTTCCTATTTTCAGGGACGGTAGTCCACCGCAAGGAGACTTGTTCCCCAACTTCTGTAGTTTGTCTATGGACACTACACAACCCAGCTCGAAATATGTCTACTTCCAATGTGCTGTGACATACGCCAATCGTTTCAAACCCTTATACTTTGCTGAAGATGATCAGAAGTTCAGAGCAGTTTTGTCAGAGTTCTTTGCTGAGGTTTCACTGGATCTCCTTGACTTCTTTATCTCCGTTTTGTGTAGCCGATCTGACATTTACACGTTTTTGACGGTTTTGGCAGAGTAAGTTTACATTCATATATTCGTAATTTTTACCAGGAGCGGGGGGAGGGGGGTGGAGACCCAAGATTTTTCAAAAAAAAATTTCCGATTTTTCGCGTACAGTCTTTGCTACCTGTGGAATTTTTTTCGGATCGGTTCCTCTGATTGTTACCTAATTTGTTTCCAAACACAGAACAAATTAAAAGTATTTATTTAAAGTTAATCTTATCTTATTTCAGTATTCACAAAGAAAGCGAAACAAAATGTGGCGTAGACCCTGAATCCCTGCATCTGTTTGACCTGACCTTCTTGTTGATCTCACGAACCAACTGTTTGGCGATGGAAATGGAGATGGAAGACCTTTGTGGAGGAATTGATCACTCCGTCGTCTTCAGGTTTATTCAGAATTACAGAGAATCTCTGAACACCGACCATCCTTGTCAGGTCTCGAACAACATCTTACAGATGGCAGCTTCTTACAACATCTTCGAAGGATCGTCGTTAACACATATGACCAGTGATATCGACCAACTAGTTCAACTAGTCTCAGGGATTGGTGCTCTCATCTTGCAGGAGTTTTCAAAGCTTAAAGACAGCGAGAAGTCTATAGTCTGCGAGAAGCTGTTGGAGTCTTTTGGAGATATCAGCTCGTTGTTATCCGTTCTCACACAGTATCTTCATGTCGCCAAGTCTTACTGTAAATATGATTTTGCATTTTTTCTGAGAGACGCGGTCAAAAAACATTTGAAGAAGTTACATTCTACAAAGGATGCAAAAGTTCAACGGAGGTAAGGTTGTTTTTGTTAATAATATGTAAATATGCTTCGGAACGATCTACATTGTAACAATTTAGGTGGCGATTAGCGGAAGAACAAACCTCTGAGCTCCTGAAGTTGATCGCCGACGGCCCTCCACCACACGAACCCATATATCCAGTCCTCATGAATTGTGCCATCGGAGAAATAAGGCCGCTACGGGTCAATGAGGTAACTTCTTTTGACAATCAATTCTCGGCGTTATTAAATTCTGTTTTTTCTCTAAACTATGTTTTCAGACTCCCGACATGAACATGTTGAAGTACGCCTTCTTCATTGCTTCCCAGAAGAACTATGCCTGTCAGAACGTGCTGAGCTATGTAGTGGACCTGAATCGCAAGAGAATGTACGAGAACTGGATCAAATGCTGGCTTCAACAAGTTTGCAAACACGAATCCGTCGATGAATTCGAAGCCGCGGCTGAACTAAGCATTGGAGCGGCGTTGTCACTGCCTTCTGAATGCTTCCTCCGATTGGCAGAGCTACTGATCGAAGACAAACACTTGTTGTCCGGCTACAACCATATCTGGGCGTTAGCGAGGCTACTGGTCAGAATCTTGTTTGTTCTTTGCTGGACGAAGAAACAGAACACAGAAGTCGTCTCCAGATTCGCCGAGCGCAGAAGGATGAGGCGGAAACGGAAAACTGCTCAAGGTGGCTACAGAAGGATCCCATCGTCTCCAGAACCACATACTTACAGTAATGAGATCGATGCCACGGTCAAAAGAATCATCGAGAAGTTTGAAATCTCTTTGATGCAGACGACCCTCGACCACAAGAAGACTTTGGCCAGCTTTTTTGTCAAGGAACTGACGTCTTGCACGCCCAACCCCTTCCAGAAGCAGATTTTGCAGCTGATCCCCCAACAAATGGCAAGTTTAATTTTAAGAATCAGGTCAAATTTTTTACTTTAAGAATTGAAACAGCTAAACTTATACAAATTCGTTTTCAGTTCGTGAACACAATCCACCGAGCATTCACGGACATTGACATCGCCGCCTTCTTGAATGCCTTCGGGATGGAGGACGAGAACAGTCGCAAACTCTGCCTACACATCGCCTGCCTTCTCCGAGGACTGGGCAAGATATAACCAACTATGTACATTGACGAATTTTGTATAACCCTTTGTTTTTATTTATTTTGTTAAACTTTTTTGTTCAGTTCTCCGACCACTTCGCTCGTTACTCGAGCTGCCATGCTCAACGCATGTTGACTGTACGCCTCGAACATGGCCCTATCCAACTGGAACTCCGGGTATTCTCTTCTTTTTGTGTTCTTGCTTTTATTCCAGATGTTGTTATTGCTCTTGTTGAGGAGGTTGTCCTTACTCACGCAACGTATGCTCTTGTCAAGAGTCTGTTGTTTTGTATGTTGTTTCTCATCTTTTATGGCTCTTATTCTTTCCCTGGCCAGCTCCAACTCCGGCGCCAGCAGGAAACTCTTTGGACTGGATTGGGGCCTCTGGTTACTAATCTTTAACTGAGGCGACTTGTTTTGTACATTTTGGCACTTTTCAAATTTACACATTTTCTAAAAATGGTTTATTTTGTTTTGCTAAAGATAAAGTGACTTACCACTAACGCCTTGATGACATATTTGTAAAAGTGGTCGATTGTGGGTGCGATATTGTACTTCTTTACTTGGTCAGGATAGTACTGGTCGAGGTGTTCTTCGTATTTGTACATCAACTCACACAACGTTTTAGCTAGTGATAACGCTTTTCCATTGTTATATGCCCTGTAGAAGAATTTTAAAGTTACAAATATCAATGATGATGATGATGAAGGCCAGCAAAATGTTTGACCCAATTTGTGACTAATATGGTCAGAATGACAACGTACTTTAATTAATTGTCACATAATTGTAATTTTTGAAATCAACCTACTTTGACACGATGATACTGAAACTGTTAAGAAGCCGTCCTAGTCGTTTTCCCAGGAATAGCCACCGTTCCAATTTGAACGATTTACTTTGTGATAACTGTGATATGTTAAGAGAAAGCTCGAAGGCCGAAGACACTTTTGAGTCAAATACCTGGTTTTCCTTTTCATTATGGCCAAGATGAGCTGAAGCATATTAGGCATTAAAAGAAAAAAAATAAATAAATTGAATAGAGTGATAAACTGATAACCATCAAAACCCACTGTTATTGACAAAACACTTGACTGCCATGTCACAATTAGACTTTAACTCCCTCAACATTGCCTTAATTTCATTCTTGGCCAATTCTCCACTTTTAGAAGGTGAAACACACTCTTGATGGGTCTTCAGGAACTTGATATTGCGCAGAGTATCTACAGTCTCTTCGATCCACGCCTTCTGGAACTGTCGAATCTTCAGAATCTCAGTTAATATCAAGTCGGCCTTTGTTTGGCTGTCCATTTCGATGTCCGAAATGTCCTTTTCTCATTAATACCCTTCAACCCACCTTGTATTATATTGCGTAAATCGTATAACGCTGCATTAATTACTACGTCGGGCGCAGCTCGCGCTTTGTCCCACATTTTATTTTTATTTTTTGGAAAAACTTTTGTTTTCGAATATTCTAAACCCTTTTTAAAACTAACACATTCTTGTAACCTTTTACGATGGATGAGGAAATGGAAGTAGCCGAGATCAGGTTCGCCGAGAACCTATGTTCATGTTCTCCAAAGATCAGACGGCGAGCATTGAACCGGCTTCACGATTTTATCAAAAATCAAACACAGAAACGAGGTAAGTGATTGACTTTGGTTACCATGTGTTTAGAATTTACTCCAGAATCTTTTAACCGGCTCTGCCGAGGTCTACATTATGCTATGTGGATGCAGGACAAGATGTTACTTCAAGAAGAGTTGTCTGATGAATATGGATCGTTGGTAAATCTGTACAACACTCACGAGGAAGCTATAGAGTACATGAGGTCAATGATGTATACCTTATCTAAACATTGGTTGAATATTGACAAATGGAGAATGGACAAGTTTTTACAGGTAATAACATAACCTTCCCACCTAAATTTGAAGACCAAAGTGTTGTTTATTTTAGGTAGTATTTTCTTGACCTGAGTTTGTTTTAATTTTAGATGATGAGAAGATTGTTCAGAGCCTTTTTCGTGTATTTGAAGAACAAGAATTGGGATGAAGAGCTGGTGGAATCTAGTATATTATTCATGAGACAAACACTGATAACTGGCGAGGAATCGGGGATCCACGAATCTTTGAAGATGCACTTTGCCACACTGTATATTGAAGAGCTTGACTATGCTGGAGATTTGAGCAAGAAACAAGTTATTACTTTCATCAAGCCTTTTGTTGAATTGATGAAGAGGACATGCAGGTATGATAATATCTTGTTTTGGAAGTGTATTATTTTTATGTTTAGTTTATATTAAAATTATATTTGCAGCGATTCTTTGATGAAGTCCGTGTACACTGAGATCTTCCACACCATCCTCGAGGGTTATGCTGCTGAACTGGAGAAGAAAGAAGGTAACAAGAAGGTGGAAGGAGACTTGAAAGGTGATGGAGCTCCGATCGAGTTTGACTACGCTGCCATTATTGAGCTTTTGAAGGAAGCAGTGACATCAGAAACGATGAATTCGAAGAAAAAGAAGAAGCTACAGCCTTTGATTGCTCAGTAAGTTGGTTTAGATATAATTTGATGTATTTAGGTTTGAAGAAGTGGCCAGAGGAGAGAATCCCTTCAAAGATATTATGGAACCAGACAGGAAAGATCCTTTGTCAAATGAGATGATCAGCAAAGCTGTTGATAAGTTGCATTCCTTGGAGAGCAAGATGAAGAAGGATAAGAAGAAGTTCAAGGCGGTCAAGAGGACTATTAAAAAGGCCAGGACTTGAGTTCACTGTTTGAATTTATATTGTTATTGTTTCAGAAAGTTGTTATTGTTATGATAAATAATACTTTTAAAGCTGATTTGATATGTTTTGCCATTTTATGGTTACTTATGCCTATAATTTCTTACGATTTTAAAGTATTTATGTCTTTATATCTTGTCAACACTTTGGATTAATCGTTTATTTGTGTTTTAGATGTTTGGTTCAGGCTCGGCTTTTGGATCAAAGCCATCTGGTCTGTTCGGTTCTTTTAACACTCCCTCTTCTAATGCTGCTTCAACCACCTTTGGAGCTACTAACACCCAGAATCAGAATACTTCTATCTTCGGCGCTACAACCACTACAACACCTCAAAACCAGAACCCTAACAACGATATTGAAGTACCTCAAGCACCAGACGATGCCGTACAAGCATTGAAGTTCAATCCGGGTTCGGCTGGCACTCCTATGTTCTTGGCAGCCGGCTCCTGGGACTTTACGTGTAGAGTGTGGCAAATCAGCGAAACTGGACAAGTGGAGCCAAAGGCCATGCAAAATGTTGGAGCACCAGTATTGGGTTTGGACTGGTTTGATGACAGTAGCAAGATCTTCATGGCTTGTGCCGACAAACAAGCCAGAGTATGGGATCTGGCCTCGAATCAAGTTGCTGTAGTTGGTACCCACGATGCCCCAGTTAAGACTTGTCACTGGATAACATCTCCGAGCTACAACTGTTTGATGACTGGAGGGTGGGACAAGACAGTCAGATTCTGGGATATGAGGCAACTTCCTACTCAATCATCTCTGGCCACCTTAACCTTGCCCGATAAAGTATATTGTGCCGATGTTTTATATCCATTTGGTGTTGTTGGAATGGGTAACAAACGAATTAAACAGTACAAGCTTGATGGACAGCCACAAGAGTTCAGCGACATTGAATCTCCGTTGAAACATCAGAGTAGATGTGTGTCTGTCTTCAAGAACAAGATGAACAACCAGCCGGCTGGCTTTGCTGTTGGATCTATTGAAGGTGAGTTTTGTTATTACAATGTTACATCAGTGGAATGCAATCAAGTTATAATTTGAAATGCTTCAGGTCGTGTTGCAATTCAAACAATCGAAAATACAAATACCAAGGACAACTTCACGTTCAAGTGTCATAGGTCGCCAGATCTAGTTAACGGATTCCAGGAAATTTATCCGGTAAGCTTAATATTGTCCGAATTAAGTATTGTTTTAAAGTAGTTTGCTATGTAATTTTTTATGATATTAACATTTGGTTGTAGATCAACGACGTTTGTTTCCACCCTGTACATTACACTCTGGCCACTGTGGGCGGAGACGGTCGGTTCATGTTGTGGGACAAAGATGCCCGAACTAAACTGAAGAATTCCGAACAGATGCCACGTCAAATCACAAAATGCCATATTCACCACAGTGGCAACATTCTGGCTTACGCAACGGGTTATGACTGGAGCAAAGTAAGTGTTACCTATATTATAGTTGTCCATAATTTATGATTTTTACAATTTCATTTTTAATTCTTTGTGAATAATGGTTAACTATACTTGTGTTACAGTTTTATTTATATTTTAATCCATTTCTAGGGCCACGAAGGCAACACCCAGCCCGCCAACGCCAAGATCTACCTCCACGCGGTGGGCGAGGAAATGAAGCCGAGACAGAAGAAGTAACCTACAACAATCACTGCTACCACTGTTAATCACTCTCTCATTCCGCCGGTATGGATCTCTGAATAAATATTTCGAATCAATCGTTTATTGATGTTCATATAGACATTCGGAAGCGTCCTTCCACAGTTATAAATAATATAATCGAATTTATTTTCATACATTTGCAAAATAAAACGAAACACTCCAATAAAATATATATTGAGAGGTTAGGAGGAACCCCTTGCCCTAAGGGGGAAAGTGTGGTGGGCAAGAGCCTGAAGGAATGGAGGAAAGCCGAAGACGTGAGCCTTCTGGAAAAGGAAGTGTTCTATGTTATCTATGGACCACAGAGTGCACAAAAGAGACAATAAAATGCGGGAATAGATTAGATGTGCAATAGAGAGATAGGGGAGGAACGTTTGAGTGAAGAACAGGACTCAAAGTCAGACCCGCATTCACCAGAATATCTTTTCGGGTCCGGCGGCTTCGAGTCGATCCGAAGCCGGCGAACGTATTATTGACACTAGGATGAATCTAATCTATAAACGGGGGAAGAAGCTCATCAAAAACATTATTATACAGTTTCGATAGAGAATAGATAGTGTCCATCACAAGAGCAACACACAAGAAGTCGAGATTATGATATTGCTGAGCCGCGCACACCCTTTTACCCTGAGGCAATGGATCATCATTTCTTGACCTCGTTCGTCAGGATCTGGAACAGCTCCTTGTCCGCCAGACAGCCGTCCACGAACTCCTTCAGGGTGAGCTCTTTGTCGTTATTCACGTCCATCTTCTCGAAGATCATCTTGGCGCGTTTCCGGGGCGAGTCGTCCGCCGACTTTGTCACCTCCGGGCCCAACATCTCGTAGATGGCCTAAAAGTAACATGTCTTATTACAATTACTTTAAAATTACATGGTAATATTAATCAATCTAAATGTCCGAGAAGTCGTGACGCTAAATCAGCGGAACCAAACCGTCGTATGATTACAATAAATAATCCGTGATGGCAATTAGGGAAATGAAAGGGTGTTTAATCTCATCGTAATGTGAATCGACCAAATTACCAGCCGGTTTTTGTATTTTCTCACACTTAAGGCCATGAGAACTTTGGAAAGGCAGAGATATAAGCAATAAAGAATGCAAATGAATAATGTCGTTTAAAGAGATAACATCATGAATATCGTCACATGATAACATAACTTTGCCCAAAGTTTCAGTAACTCCCGGATATTGTATTAGAGAGAGAAACTTAACCCAGTGGGAAAAGAAGTCTTGACACAAATGTTGCCCTTTATGGACAAAATTATGTCTGTGATAGTATTCTAGTGTTTACAGATGCTTTGATTCTTATTTTAAAGCTTTTTCTATAAAATTATGGCTCAGGATTCTAAGGATAACTCACTTCGATGATCTTGATCATCTCCTTCTCGTCTATTGTCCCGTTGCCGTCGATATCGTACATGCGGAAGGCCCATTCCAGCTTCTGCTCGGGCGTTCCTGATGAGGTCACATTGATAGCCAGTAGAAACTCTTTAAAGTCGATGAAACCAGAGTTGTCAGTGTCGAACGTGCGAAAGACGTGCTCGCAGAACCCTTCTGCACTCCCTGAGGGGAAAAAGTCTTTGTAGACTTTAATGAACTGTTCCTTTGTCAGATGGCCTTTGGGGCAGTCTTGCTGAAAGTGTTACAATTCAGTCCTAATCTTGCTGCTTTTCAAAAAACTTTGTTGTTTGGGTATAAAACTTTCGAAAAAAGCCTGGTTTTTGGCCGAAAATTTTGAAATTTCAGGTAAAACTGGGGGTAGGTGAGGAAGTGGCAGCACATCACGTTTTAGAAGGTTCAAATCAATTAGGTACCTTTTAGAAAACAACCTGAGGAGAGAACCTACCACGAAACCCTTGTACCACTCCTTGATCTGCTCTTCTGTGAAGTTGGTGTTCTTCTTGAGAAACTCGAGGTCCTCCTTCGAGAGTTTGGGCTTGGAGCCTTTGATGCCCATGATACACGCCTCAAGTGTACGGGGCCTCCGCTCTCGAGTTCAGTTTCGACCGGAGCGTGGGGAGAGTCGATAAGCGGACCGGGCTCGACCAGTCCAGCCCGTCCAATGTTACAAGCAGGCAGATTCTTCCCCGAGGCACTGAAACGAACCAAGGTGCGTGAGTCAGGCGCGTCACGCACAGAAAACACGATTCATGCGAAGTTAACGGCCCTAATTAGAGCTCGTAAAACTGCCCTTATCTTTTACGACTTCATAAAACAGATAAAATCCATTAACAAACAGACGATGATAATCACAACATCAAACACAGCACAATGAGATGTTGGAGTAGGCCAGAAGGGACCGGCCCTCAGGTCACGCACACACGCACCGATTGTGTATAAGCGGAAAACGGGAAAAGTAAGAGGAAAAGCAATTTTCGCGTTATTCTTCGCGGGACAAGTACGGTGCGACGAAAAAGGTTATAGGATTGGAGTTGGGCACGCTCACCGCAATCCGCGGCCTAAGCTCCAGAAGCACGGGTCTGGCCACGAGTTACCTACAGGACGAACTAACGTAACATCACGGCCTAATGTCTCACTAGCGAGTGGAATCAGCCCTCAGGGTCAATCACATTTCTCACTTTAATGGCCATATTTGAGCCTCCCCTCCCGAGCTCAAGTACCCGAATCCGGCATTCATAATCGGGTCGAGTGTGGGGCTCTCGAAAGGGTCCAGGGCTGCGGCCAAACGAGAAGGAATTGGGGTGGCCGGCCAAGTTCGAACGACAACGCACTCTTTTTTTTCTCCCCGCCCGTGTTCTCCCCCCTCTTGCCTGCCATGCCGTCGGGGCCTCTTCTTCTTCTTGGGCCGCTTCGTTCGGCAATTGCCTTAAGGCAAAAATAGACCGTTTCGAGCAGAAAATGCAAAAATAACCCAGCGAAAAACGTGATAAGCCCGTCCTAATTCGAATCCCGGTTTCGTGGAGTGACGTCGGCTGTTGTACGCCGGCTACCCCACTTCCCCGGCTACACCGGCATCGTGCTCCACCTCGGAATAAAGACTTGTTTTGGAAAGACAAACACGCCTCAGGCTTTGTCCCCCCCCCCCTTCCGTTTCTGTAGTTTCGGCTCACAAAAAGAGGTTACTCCCTTGTCGGAAAACACTTTCAAATACTAATAACTTGATAGTTTGTGGGCAAACAAACCTCATTTATCAGTACTCGTTTAGTGTTTTCGGATGAAATCACAGTTGGTACTACCGGAATTGACGTGTAGTGGGGAGATACAAAGGCGACTGATATAGTTATGAAGAGACTTTATATAGTGTTAGCAAATTAAAATTAAAAATACTAAATTGGGTATTAAAATCTAATAAAAATATGAAAAACTTCGATTTGGAAAGAGTAAAACTGCTGTTTCTCAATTAGAGAAGGTAAAGCAAAGATACGAAGAACGTAACCAAAGTTTACAGTAAAATAAGCTTTACTGCAGTTTACTATCAAACCTGAGCATAAACACACTGTGGATTAACTTATAGTACCCCACGAACGGACTCTGTACTCTCAACACACGTAATTGAATTGGAAGACAGAGTTTCCAACTGAATATACTCTAACAACCATCACCCACAATACCGGTAATTAGGGGAAGATGGATGTTGCACAAATAAGAGCATTAATTGATGGTTAAGGTCAAAGAAGCGTCTCGAAAAGACTGATAGTGGGCAGAGAGCAAATTTAAATAATGTTGTTGACGAAACAGTCAACAAATATAAAACAAAAAACGTCGAGAATCGACACACAAAGAAGGGAATCTGGTGGCGCCGTCCGTTAAAGCGTCAACCCCTTCCCCCTCCCCCTGGCTGTCCCACCACCACTCTCACTCTGTCTCTCTTCGCCGCAGGCCTAATCGAGCATGAGGCCTCTCCAAGGTTTTGTGTTGCCTCAACAGATGCAATCCCCTCTGGCCAAGGCCTTGTCCAAACAGGACGCACCACAAACATTCAGTTGTACTACAATGCAACTCTGTAAGTGAATTACAGAGTTGTGGCATTGTTCACAGTCACAACCCCACCACGTACAGCCGCTGCCCCCAAAGGTCATACCCAATTCAAGGTGTCAAAGTTGAAAGTTATAAAAAATTAATGGACTTTCTTCATTGAGTCACTTAAAAACAATGGCCATAACCGTTTCGTGAGCCTACATCAACATACGGCAAGTCCAAATAGGGGATTGTTCGGAAGCTGTTGTGATTGCCCACTATAACAATATAAGGATAAATTGAGGTTGTGTTACAATACAATCAATCAGACATTCACTAGAGACACACAAAGAGCAATCATCTATTCAAAAATTAATAGATATGAATCGAAAGTGTCTTTTAAGTACAAAGCAATTGTAATGTTTACATTAAGGCCGAGGAAGGCGAAGAAGCGGCCGCAAACAGCCGGCTTCGGCCCCAACGAGATCTGAAGACAGAGATAATTCGATTTAGGAGCAGATCCATGAACATCTCGAGGATTCGCGGAAACTTGGTCTCGAGAATAAAATCTTCTTCGGAATAAAGATGTCTGCCCCCTTTCTTTAACTTTGTCGGCACTTTTCGTGCGCACACTTTCAACAACAACATAAAAGGAGAAGCGTCCAGTAAACGCAATTGGTCGCCCCCTCATCCTCGGCCCTCCCCCGACCACTGGTCCACTTTCCCCCACCTTCTTCAGGCCTATTGTACCGTACCTTCATAAAGGGTCGTGCTCTACTTACTTCAAAATAAAGTTTACTGTATTTCTTTAAACAGTACTTTACGGTTATTGTAAATTAATATTTTCAAGTTATCATATTATTATACACTTTTATAGTGTTTTTCAATCCTTTAGAACCTTTTTCTTTTGTAGTCCCAAACCAAATTGGCCTCCGTTACAGTATACAAACAAGGTTACTTAAATAAACGAGTAACATAATCCTATTGTCTCTTCAAAACAACATCAGTTTGTGGTCAAAGTAATCCGATAATCATTACCAGTAAGCCTAGCTTCAATCCAAAACCTTATATTCTGAATATTGCCTAGGGCAGTACAACCCTACAACTTGAACTACAATTAACAACGAGACAGAAACCATCAGAATCGAATATTCAACGTGTAGCACGTCAAAAAGGTTTATCAAGGCTTGTGCAAACACTGAAGGAAGGTGGATGGATGTGAAAACAAGAATCGGCAACTTGAACTTGCATTCCCAGTGGAGTCGGATTGCGCCTCGACAAACCCGAAGCCACATTTATAAAATTCGGTAGACATTCGTCTTCTTTATGACAACAAACAACGTATTAACAACAACAATAACAATTTATAACAAGGTGTCTTCGGATCGAATGTATTGTCCCAGGTCCGCCTGATGTAGCACCACTAAAGTCGTGGGATCGGCACGACGACAGTCCGCCGTTCCTTTGGCCGTCACACCAAAACCCAGAGGCTTGTCATCCATACTGTACACAACCACTCCTTGGCGAGATTCTGTGCCTTCAGTCATTCTGCCCACGCCCGACTTCAAAATGTTGTTACCGTACAAGAATTGTTGCTCGGCCGATGGCTTCAGCCATACCTTCCACTAAAATTTGATATTTTAGGTATTAAACATAAAAAATACTTTAAAAAATTGATTAAAGCCAGCCTATACCTACAAAAATTAAAAAAGTTCAAAGCTCCAATTACTACATTAACATACTTTAAGTAACAAATACACTTACCTTGGCATATGGAGCGAGGTAGTCCAAGGCGGTGATGTGCAGGAAGAACTTGCCTCCTTTTGTGAACTTCCCTAGACAGGTGCCAAAGCTGATTAATTCTTTACGGCCCACCACCGCTGCCGTTTTCATTAACTTTTCGCTGCAGTAGAAAACTCTGTCCTTGTGTAATCTGAAGCAGTACGAGCCGTCTTCCCTTTCCAACAACAATTTTATGTTCCCACCAATATACTTGGCGAGCTTTTCAAACAATTTAACCGTCTCGTCTTCAGTTAGTGGCCTCATCTAAAATAATATAGAGAAGTAATTGTTAGTATATAATAGTTAACATTACATAGCGGGCCATATGCTTTAAAAATGCCGTTTTAAACATAACCTATATTCAAAAAAATTCGAAACAATATCATTTGTCTGAACAGTAATATAGATACAATAAGCTTCAAGTAACATAGGTATCAAAACCAATAAACCTCGAAAAACAAAGTCAATATACATTAAGTTATATTAACAACAAATAAATTACAAAATATACAAAATGTGAGAGTCAGACTGTGCTGACTGATTTGATCAGCTCGTCGTCCTGGATCTTCCTCTTGGCTACGTCCAGATCGACTTCAACACAGATCTTGTCCTTTTTCATGAGGATCAATGAGTTGTTAGTCAAGGTAGTTAGTGCATCCCTTAAGGCCTCGTGATTCAGAGCCTCCACCTTCATCTTCTTACAGACCTTATCATAGGTTTCCAAGAGTTTCGAAAACTGAACTGACTGAGTCTTTTTCTTCTCAGTCCCTGTCTCTATCAACCTCAATATGCACGCCAATACTATACGTGGTTGTAGAGGTATTTTGGCAGTAACGGCAGGAGATGAGTAGATGTTCTGGAGAGATGATAAGATTTGTTTGTGAGTTTTGGGTGTTCGAGATGGTGAAGATTGAGCTGACGTTGAAGGTCGAGACTTAGACGGTGTTGAATGAACGTCAATTTTTGGTCTTTTCAAGACAACCGGTTCTTCTTCTTCTTCCTCTTCTAGTTCATCCTCGAACTCGAGTTGAGTTCTGTAACATGATTTTTTAAACCATAAAAATAAAATGTTATAAAACCAAGCTTTAATTTAACTGATTCACAATGAAAGTCGTATATTATGGTAAGTATAGAAAACATACGAAAGTAAGCTCAATGCTCGCCTGACATCTCCATTCATAGCTGATATCTTTCGTGCACAAAGTTTGATCGCATCCGACGTTACATTCTAAATCAAAACATGCGTAACATTTCTTACTAATTTGCAAAAATTATAATTTTGTTGTTAATAAACTAATTTATGTCAAAACACTTGTAATATAAGTAAACGTAATAAACCTAAGTAAAGACATACCTCATCATCAGAAAACCTTTCTGTTAGTATGTCAATTAGTTGATTTACGGTGTACGCAGTAAAAAGGACAACTTCAGGCATGATAACTCGTTTTTTAGGTAACACTTTTTCGGAAAAGTCCAATTCGTTCGAGATTCCAATAACAACAACCTTTCCTCCGCTTTGTAAAGGCCAATCAAATACTTTCTTTACAATACTGTTAGCCAAGCTAGTCCTTGCTGTGTCAAGATTAGCAATGTAATCAATCTCGTCCAGTACAAGTACCCTAAATAGAATATACATATAATATTGACATTAACTTACGTATTTTGTTTGAAAAGTACTTTTTCCGTCTGCTTTAGAGCTTCAGACGCTGCTAGCACAACTTCCTTCTTATTCTGTTCCTTCTTCGTAGCTGAGCTAACTGTTACAATGTTATGGATACGTCTATAAAGATCAGTCTTTGTTGTTATTGAAGTACAGTTTATGTAAGCATATACAACCTGAAATTTTATTTTATACCTAATTTGTTTTATAAATTACAATATATTTTGAATAATAATCATAAAATACAACACAGATCAACTAAAAACACCGTTACTCTTATAAATTCACCTGATAAACACAAAACACTTTAATATTCTCCTACCTTCATGGTCTGCTTGAGTTCTGCCACAACTGCCTTGATTGTCTCTGTTTTTCCACTTCCAGGCACCCCTCTAACCATAATTGATTGAGGATGTCGCTCTTCGAGAGCAGTAGATATCAGTTCATAGATGCGTCTGTGTTCTTTTTCTCGTCCCTTCAACATCACCATCTAAAACATATGTTATAATTAATTAAAAATAAGTTAAAAATTAACTTTTATTCATTATAGCGAATAACTTAGCCTTGTAATTTATTCAACAAGCTATTTTGGCTCTCTGTTATAAAAAATATTTTTCTCCCATTTATTCGAATTTGGTCCCGATACGAAAACGTGTTTCTGCAGAATTTTATTTATTTTTTTATTTTTCTCAATTCCATGTCTTTTTGCTCTCGATAAAGATTGGCCAAGAATTAATGTCTATACGATTTAGGAATGCCAAATGGGAAGGACAAGAAGCAGAACTTCCTCAGGCGCAATTCATCTGTCAGTATATCTGATGCCAGGATCGCCGGACTGTACGACTTGGAGCACACCATTGGCAAGGGTCATTTTGCGGTTGTGAAATTGGCTAGACATGTGTTTACTGGTGAGAAAGTAAGTTGTATTGTTTTTTTAATGTCTGTTATATTGTTTTAGGTCGCCGTTAAGGTTATTGACAAAACAAAACTGGACCCTGAGTCGGCAGCTGATCTCATGCAGGAAGTAAGTGCATTCGAAGTTGTTTTGATGTCAATTTAGGTGCGATGTATGAAATTGGTGCAACATCCGAATATCGTGAGGTTATACGAAGTTATTGACACCAAGACCAAGTTGTTTTTGATTTTGGAGTTGGGAGACTATGACATGTACGACTATATCATGAAGACATCGGAGAAAGGGATTAAAGAAAGTGATGCTCAACAGTATTTTAGTCAGATAACCAAGGCTATCGATTATTGTCACGCTTTGCATGTTGTTCATCGTGATTTAAAGGTAATTTTAATTTCTTATTTTTATTATAGGAGTGTCTATTTTAATATTGATTAATTAAATTTATATTTAGCCTGAAAACGTTGTGTTTTTTGAAAAGGTGGGTATGGTTAAATTGACAGACTTCGGTTTCTCCAACTTGTATACGCCTGGCCAGATGTTAACCACATCTTGTGGTAGTTTGGCTTACTCAGCGCCAGAAATCTTATTGGGTGATTCTTATGAAGCTCCAGCTATTGGTGAGTGCAATGCATTAAAATTAAAGTTTTTAGATGTTTGGTCTCTGGGTGTTATATTGTACATGCTGGTTTGTGGAAGGTTACCGTTTCAAGAAGCGAATGATTCGGAAACCTTGACAAGGATACTCGATTGTAGGTACACTATTCCTGACCATGTTTCACCAAATTGCAAAGAGTAAGGTTTTTAAATTAATTTGATTTATACCTAAAATAATGTTGGTTTCTTGAATTTTGAGTTCAATTTTTTAACTCTATATTATTATTTTAGTTTGATCCAGAAGATGTTAGTACGTGATCCCACGAAACGTGCTTCTCTTCCCGACATTCTGAATTCCCCTTGGGTTGTAGCTGGGGATCGTGGTCACGCTGAAGCTCTACCACTCGTGTTCCGTGACCATCTTCCGGATGTAGCTCACTCGACCATAATTGAGCAGATGGTGGCCGGAGGCATTGGCACGGAAGAGAATATATTAAAGTATGTTTTCGTTTTAATTTATTGTACCTAAATTTAGTTCGATCGAGAGAGGAGAGTACAGTTACCTAACAGCTACCTATTACTTGCTGGCCGAACGAATACTCTCTGGTTACCGTGAAGAACAAGCCCAGAAACTGAGGAAGATATCTTCCAGTACTAACGAGGATGTGGAGTACAATTCAGGACCTGTTACCGCGAATAATGCTGCCAGAAGTCGTAGTAATTCGTTCCGTGGGCTAAACAATCGCCGAGCGTGCACGATACTCAAAGAAGAAAGCGAAGAGGAACTGTCTTCGTACTTAAGGTCTTCTTCGAGACAATCGTCAAGGTATGTTGTTGTATCTATTTTTCTATGCTTTGATGGACTGTGCTTACGTTGTATGGTGTTTTGGTACTTTTGCTTTGTTAGGTACTTCAATCTGAAGAAGGAGGGGTCGTTGAGGCGAAGTTTTCCAAGCCGAGCGTCCAGCGCAGAGTCTTCCAGAACCAACAACCCAACCATTTCGGAAGACCTCGCGGTTTCGTATCGAGAAGATGAAAAAGTGCCATTAAACGACAGTCATCTGTTACCCAAAGACCACACCTTCGAAGAGCTGAGTCCCATCAGAGAAATGATGGAGAACCAGGCCTCCACGAACGGCTTGTCGTGTAGCGGTGTTGTTGGTGGTCGTCAACCAAGCACTGATCCTTCCTTTAATAGAACTCCTTCTGCTCCTATCCCTATTAGCTCTCTCGCTCAACGAACCAAACGACAGCACAAACACGTACTGTCACGAAGGTATTTCTTCAGCTCTGTCCGTGCTTTCTCTGTGAGACCTCTGTGCCCAATTATGCTTTCATTTTCAGGAACTCTTCTCCTTCCGTGTCCATGTTTGCTAAATGCAGTATATACAGTTCGAGGGACAGAATCAGTCCTCATGCTATCCAAGAACTACTCGAGCTTTCACGGTATTCTAGTATGAAGAGAGCCGCTTCGCCTGATCGATTGGATTCCCCAATTAGCCGAAGCTCGAGTCCATCATCCAGCGGAAGGACGTCGCCGGCTGTCAGTGTTTCTGGTATCACTGCCAGACTTAAGGCGTCGACTTTGGCGTCATCTACTGGAATGCGAAAGCTGAGCTCATCTCCACATTTGCTAGGCATTTGTGAGGTATGTTTGATCACTTATCTTAATATTTTATCTCTGTTTGGAAGGTATTATCATATTGTCACATTGTACCATATTAATTATATGATTTTAGGAGATCGAGGATTCAGAAGAGCCTGCGTCATCTTTTAAAACCGAAGCGGCGCCTGTCTTCTCTGTTGACGGTAGCCTTGGTAAGTCCGGTAGGGACGCTCGTTCGGCTTCTACAGGGTATTCTGGTCACAGATGGCAGATAGACCCTCATCTGAAGAACCATTCTTTTGGAGAACTGAACAAGAAGTCATCGAGCTACGCATCGTTACGAGCGATCCGGACAAAGCAACTGCAGTCGCCAGATGTCAGCCGTTTGGAAAATCATTACCGTATACCTGGACGGTCCAGGAGATCAACCAGGTGAGTTCTGTCACATCTGGATTTCTTAATTATATTAGTGTTTCAGTTGCTCTTCCAGTGACACATCTGATGACGACTGCAACGAGCGACGACTGAACTTAATCGCCATGAAGTATTGTAAACGGAATTCAGATGAGACCAATTCCGACGACGATCCTCCGGCTTCTGGCTCCGATTGGAGGCCACAGCTCACGCATTCCAAGTCAGAGGGTCGTCAGTCCAGTGACACCACCAAGGCCAACGACGCTCAAGGGACTTCTTACATGGTCGCAGATGATATGTGTCAGAAACGGGTCAATCTACATCCCATCTTGGAACATCCCACAAATAATGATAGCTACACGGAAGAGCGTTCGGCCGATCGGTTCTCCGAAGACGGCTCTTCCGAGGACAACTTTTGTCGCCACCTGAGAAGATCGTGCTCGTTGGAAGGCAGGTCCAAGAAGCGCATCGAATGTCCTGACGAAGCTCCATTGTATTAACTGGAGAATATTGGTGGAATTCGTGATAACACATTAGAAGATACTCACTTTGGCCCTGATATAGTTGAAGCACCGAACTCATAAACATTAGGCACCGGTGAAAATTATTGGGAACAAGCACCGCTATTCATTTTCTTATTTTACCTTTCATTTTTATGTTTTTCCCAGTGAATTACCAATTTTTTCATTTTTATAAAAGCGGTGCTTGTTTCTTATATTCGGTGCCTAATGTTTAGGAGGTGCTTGTTCTATATCGGCCCCCTCACTTTACATTCATGACTTCAGTTTCCGCTATAGTATTGCACTCTTTTCAACGAAAACTTTACATAATGTCTTTCGGTTCTGGATCTTGCATGCCGCCTTTTTCTCAATAAAACCACCTTTGTCAACTGCTTTCACTACTTTCCTTTTCATGGGTTAGCTGTCGAGATATTCTAGCATTTGGAAACATATTCAATGAAACTTTACTAGTCATTAACTGTTTGTACACATATATATCAACCAACTAGTCTACAATTTTAATTTGAGCTTGGCATGATTGTAAATAAATAAATGTTAGATGCTAGCGACGGGACAAACAATCATATTCATAAGTTTATCGTTAAAAAATTAAAAACAGAGATCAGAGAATATCGTAATATTAAATAAGTATTAGACTTTACAATTAGGTACTCGTTTTGTTCTTTTCCCGATACTCGTTCATGTACAAGGAAGAAAGGCAGGAGAGGGCAGGGTCAGGGCACTCCAGTTTCGCGAATTCTACCATTAACGCGTCGTAGTTCTTCTGAAAATGTAACATTGAATATGTTTTCTGATACCATCCCCGGCTCTAAATATAAATGCAGACAGATGGTATGTTGTGACAAAAAAGTGAAGCCGCTAATCCGGACATTTTGTCAAAATGAACTTTATGGGAAAATGAAAATTTTTAGTATTAGGTGCCGGCAAAAGTTTTTCCACTATTTTTCTAAAATTTACCAAAAACTTATGGACAGTTCTAGAAGTTTCTGTTGATAACCTATATAAAGAGTTGTCCAAGGCTAAAAACTATTGCATGTTCAAGCATTCTGTTGTTTACGATGGTTCAGGAAATCAAGGTGAAACATGACCATGTTTGGGCAGTGTTGCTTCTCAAATTCCGCAATCCCGGCAACGCAATAAGAACGACGAAGGAAATATGCAGTGCTGTAGGGCCTTCAGTTGTCTCTTACGACACCACAAAAGTTTGGTTCCACAAGTTCCAAAACGGTGACTTTGACATGTAAAGTTCGATATGGTAGACCATCAGCGTTGAAGAAACCCCACCTTCTGAAGCTGATTGAAGAAGACCCCAGACAAACATGTACTCATTTGACTGTAGAGCTTCAGTGTGATCCTTCTACCATATTAGCTAGACTTCACGACCTCGGAAGATCATGGAAATATGGTCAAGGGGTTCCACATGATTTGAACAGCGACCAGCTGAAACGCTAAGTGGAATTTACACTTATTTGTTGATTTCCCAAGGACCTTTGCATGGCTTGGCAATTTGGTTACTGGGGATGAGAAGTGAGTACTGTATGTTAATCACACCAGAAAGAAACAATGGTACACCAACCCCAAAACCTGATCTTCACTCACTGGATAGGATGATCAGCGTTAGCTGGAACTCAACAGGTATTGTGTACTAGGAAATGGTACCACATGGAACTACGATCCCTGTGGATGTCTACTGTAGACAAATTAAATCTGTTGCGGCGGCATTGCATGGTGTACAGAATCGCACCTTCTTCATTCATGATACTGCTCGCGCCTATGTGACAAATTTGACCCAGCACAAGCTGAAAAGCTTCGGCTGGGCTGTGATGCTATATGCACTGTACTCAACTGATGTTGTGCCTACAGATTATAATATGTTCCACTCTCTTCAAAACCACCTGAACGCAAGACACTTTAACAATCGAGAGTACCTCAAGAGATGTTGGGCTAACTTTTTCAATTTTCAAACACCAGGTTTTATAGAAGTTGAATCCAAATGCTGCCGAAGGAATGGCAACAGGTCGTTGATAATAATGGTACATATATTTGTTCATTAGTTGTTGTTCTTTTTTTTTAAATATTAAATTTTGTTAAAAACAAAAATCGTGGAAAAACTTTTGCCGGCACCTAATAAAAATTTAGAAGAATTTTTAGCAAAAATTTTGAAGAATTTTTGAAAAAGTGAGCGGTCGTGGAAATGAGAATTTGAAAGTGAAAATAAAAAGCGAGCGGTCAGTTGCATTGAATTCTTTGGCGGAGAGCGGTCGTTGTTCGAATATGTTGAGGAAGATACGATGGCAAAAGGAGACGTAAGTATGTTTTCTGATAGTATTTTGTGTATGGTACTGAATTTTGTGTATGATTTTAGAGTTTTCATTTTAAAATATTTTTTACAGGCGTAGGAAAAATCAAAGGGTGTGTTAAATGGAGTAAATTTTAAGGCGTATCATACTCAAAATAGTTTCAGGATTCATGCTGCGTTTCCATTGCAAAAATGTGATTAGCAAAAGATTTTAGAGTTTGAAAACGTGCGAGGGCCGCAGGCCCGAGCATATTAGTCCATGAAATTGCAATGTCCAGATCAAAAGCAATGCGCGAGGGTCACAGGCCCGAGCTTATGATATGGTATCTCCAAATGAAAATTAATTTTATTGGTTTGTGACAACATAAAAGTCAAAAGAGGCGTGCGAGGGCCGCAGGCCCGAGCTTATGATTTTGCATATTATAAATTGTATTGCCATTGGTATAATAAGAATGAAACATGAAATTGCAATGTCCAGATCATAGGAGATCCTCCGTTGATCTGGTCCCCGGCTCTAAATGCAGAGCAGGTGGATGTCTGAAGCACAAAAAAGGGCAACTGTACTAAATGAGAGAGCCATGCAAATTTTTGAAAAAATCAATTTATTTATTTTATTTTTAAAATAAATAAATTTTATAAAATTATGAATAAAAGAGACCGGTCAGTTTCATAGAAATTTTTGAAAGAAAGCGGTCGGATTTCAATAATTTGGAGGAAGATACGATGGCAATGTAAGTATGTTTTCTGATACTATTTTGAGTATGATACTAAATATTTTGTAAGCCTTAAAAATATCTTTATAAAATTATTCATTTTATGATGAAAAGTATGGCTATGGGTAATGATGGGTATGGATTTAAACATGGGTAAGGGTATGGTATATATGGGCATAAGTAGAGGTATAAAAATGGGAATGAGTAAAGACAATCATTTAAATATGGGCAAGGGTATATAAAATGGCTATGAATGTGGGTGTGGATATGGATATATTGATGGATAAGGGTATGCGTATAAATGTGGGTATAGTAAGGGCGCAAAAAACGTAACAGCATATTAGATTGTTTCAAAACAAAAACAGTCGATTTTAAAATTAAAATCAAGAGACGCGCGGCGGCCGCAGGCCGGCGCCTTTATTTGATAAAAGGTTTGTTTTCAAGCATAAATATATCAAATCACTTTTGAGTTGAAGCGTATCATACTTAAAGTAGTTTCAGGATTCATTTGCATTGAATTAGCAGAAAATGATTAAAACAAAAACATTCGATTTTAATGTTAAAATGAAAAGAAACGCGCGAGGGCCGCAGGCCCGAACCTTTTTTTAAACATTCTAACATTGAATTTTATTATAAAATAATTTTATACTAAAATAAAACAAAACTAAACTATCCAGACCATAGGATGCCCGCAGGGCATCCGTTGGTCTGGTATTACACTTAATTTGAACAAAACTCACTTCCAAAAGGGTCAGATGTTGAGGGAGGACCTTGACACTCTTGTTTTGTTCAATCATTTCTTTAGTCTCCTTGATCCAATCGTTGATTTGAGCGCAGATTTCGTCTCGTTTGATCCAGAAATGACGTTTGATGACGTCTTCAAAGGCCTTTGGCGGGTTACGTAGGGCTTCAATCATCGCCCATCGTACACATTGGTGTCTGATGTTGGCGGTGTATTCCCGATTAGCTTGGTCTCCGGTGGCCGTTCCGCGAGAACGTTCGAAACCGGGCTCGTTGAAGTATGGCTCTGATACCAGAATGAGCGACTGAATACTGACGAGGACTTGCAGGAACGATGAAGCTGTTGGGTTCCAACGTTCTTCTGGTCTTCCACTCCACGTGTTCAGAATTGACAAGCAAACCTGCAATCAAAGATTAGTTGTTTCAATAATGTTTTTAATTGAAAAGGCAACATTTTAGTAACAACTCACTTTTCCTTCTTCGTACAAATTGGGATTGAAACGGACGGTGCGGTTTCCGGTGGTTTGAAGGTTCATCATCATTGGCACAGTGGGATACTCGGCAGGGAAGAAGACATCGAATTCGAAACATCCGCCCGAATATGGAGTATCAGCTGGACCAGTTATTAGGACTTTCATAACGTCTAGCCTCTCATCAGCCGCCCTAACAAACACAGAGCTACTCAAAGACAAGGGAAGAGAGTTGGACAGACTGACCACTTCTTGTGCCAGCCGTCTGGTTCTTTTTCCGTTGCTGATGGCAGAACTGAGATTAGCTTGATAGTGGAAGCCGAACTGCATGTTAGTGTTGTTGTCAGCGCGGAAGAAGGGGATCGACTGGAATTGATGGCTCTCCAGTACCGACATGTAAATCTCTTCGGTTTTCTGGATTGCAGGATGTTGGACCTCTTGTTGCTCCTGTAAAAGTCGATTTAATAAAGCGTACAGACCTTACTTACATTTGTTTAGACTTATAAATTTCTATCCACTTACGCTAACATCCATTCTGTTGTCTTCGATTCGTTGTTTCTCGTTGAATAACTGTTCCATGTAGCCGAGTGCTCGTTGTGAAATGAGTAGCAGATCAGGCAATGCTTCTTCTTCGTCGTTCGTCGACTTTTCTTGCTTTCCAGCTGCCGAACTGTTGTTGAGTCGACTCATGTAGATACCGACCACTTTGCAGATCTTCTTCAGGCCTTCGTAGATCTGGCTGGCATTGGGACTTGTAATCAATTCGGCAAAACTATATTCATCACGACCGTTCATCGACTTCAGAAGTGGCGTCTTGCACATGGAAAGAAGAAGTGCTACAACCGATTCGTACACAGCAGAATGGCAGGAGATATCCAAAACTAAAATAAGAGATATTAATCACATGCAAGATTACAAATAATGTTCAAAGATAGTCAAACTAACCAGAATCGTTCAACATGTAAGCTGACAGAGTGTTGATGAGACAGCTGTTGGCCAAGACGTCACAAAAGTCTTTGGTGTAGACTGACAGTTGAACCTGTTCTGGTCCTTGGAGGATATTCGACGAACACGGCAAATCTGGAGTCTCGTCTGCATTCTTTTCCGGATTCAGAAGTCTGTGGAGGCGAGCTTCTGAGGTGGCCGGCATTGGGTTGATGATGTTAGTCAAAATCTAAAAAACCTGTATTTTACATGATCTAAACTTACATTGAACAAACAAGTCACGGTGACTTCGTGTTGTTTCTGCTTCAGAACGTGCTGATTCAGATTCCAGTGAGTGTTTGTGTTTCCACTTCCAAATCCAGTACCCTTGGCCCAGAAGTTGTTGTCAGTATTGGGTTTGCTCGAAGACGGACCCATGGTGGGTATGTACGAAGGCATCATGACCGAAGAGACTGGAATAGCAACTGGTTTCGGTAATCCAGAAGAAGTCGAGTTTTGAAGCCCGGCTCCAAATTGCTTCAGCAGCTGAGACGTGGCCGGACCGACCATCGGCAGAGTAGAAGCTATCTGATCCAGCGTTGGTCCCGATGAGAAACCTGATGTTGTCGTAAGCGGCTTCTGAGGCTTGGAGACCCTAGAACAAATGTCGATAATCTGTTGGTACTCCTCGTTGAATGAGATCATCTGCTCCAGAAGTCTAGTCGAAGACAGATCTCCGCTCGGTCGAATCGGTTTCTTGTTGGCATTCTGATGAGAGTAGTAGGACAACAGTGTCATCAGGACGTCGATCGTTCCATTATTCATTGTCTGAATTCTCACAGACTCGGCTTCCTGCATGGTGCAATTAGGAGGATAATAGGTTTCGAAGCATTTGGAGAGTACAAAGAATGGTACCAGAGCAATTTGGTCCAAGCTGGCTTCGTTCTTGGTGTTGCTCTCCCGAGCATTGAAGCCCGTGAAGATGTGATCTGACAGTTTGAAGGCCAACTTCTGGAGAGCTTCTTTGTGAGGAAGGTGACTTTGGACCGGTTTGCTAGAATCTGTAGTTCCGTAGGCTGACTGGGGTAGTAGAGGTGTTAATCCTTCAATCGACTTCTTTGATTCCTCTAAAATTAATATGATTTTAATAAGCAATACATTTTTTATATAAATGCCTTAATATCAATTGCTAAATCTATATAGGGCTTACCAGGAGGGTTCAAGCCAAGCATAATATACATCAACTTCTTGGCAGAAGCTTTACAGTATTCCACTAGAGAAGGACCATAGACGTCAATTTCCAAGAATACACTCAAGGCGATTACGATCATGTCAAAGTTCTCAACGTAAACATTCTTTGGTTGGTTCGGCTTCAACATCTACAACAAGTTACGGTTAAAAAATAAAATCAACCAGACGCCTTTGGCCGTTTTTAAAATTTGGTTCCCTTAATCATAGATACATTTGGTTCCAAGTATTAAGTCTTTATGCTGTTCCTTTGTTAAATGTTTTAAATTACATTTGATCGAATAAAACTTACCTTGTCGAGCGAAATGACATTCGGTGGCAACTCATTCAAGACGTCGACTTGGGAGTTGAATGATGGAGAAGACAAGAAGATGTCGTTAGCTATTTGGTCCAGTTCGTCTGGGTCATAGGTCGAGAAGACTGGTACTGCTGCTACCAACTTGGCTGGTGCTGAGGTCGAGGAACCAGGTTCTGTAGTTGGTTGTGTCATTATGTCATCAAAGTCGTCAATGTTGGTGAATATGTTGTCATCAAAGTCATCGTCGAAAACGAGTCCATCGAGGTTGTAGTCGTCTTGGATGAGATCTGCAGCTGGTTTTACCTTTGTGTCTTCGCTTTTGAGCTCGCTTTCACAAGTACTTAGAATCCGTAGAGCATCTGAATGTTGACATTGAAAGCATTTAAACTACTTTTTTAAACTTAAATCTTACAAGATAATAAAAAACTGTAGTTACTCACTCAATACAGCAAAGATCGGCCGTTGTAAAATGGCATTAATGGCAGAGAATCCTTCTTGATCCATAACCTGATTCTTTGACGATGCGAATCTGACCAACGTTCTTCTCACTTTTACAATCTCATCCTTGATAGACCCAAGTTGAGGGTTAGTGAACTTGTTCAGTTGGTTCAAAACACTAAAAATCAAGATATAAACAGTCTTATTCAAGAATGAATAAAAATAATTTCAAAATATTTAAAAAAGCACTTACTTTTTGAGTTTGCTATCAACACGTCCAATAACGTCAACGCAATTAGACAGAGCCTTAAGGCCACCAGCTCGTGCAAACTTCAACAAAGTGGAAGCTTGAGAAGGCAGATCACTGAGGAAGTCAGTCAACAAAGGTTCGTCCTCCACCATGTTCAATATGTTGTTGTGAAGTGAGGCACGGACCTTCAGATTCAACATGACATAGCCATCCGTCAACTCTCCTTCGTTCGCAAAATCAGAGGATTCAGCTGAAGTTGATGATGTTCGACTTCTTTTGGCAGCAAACTGTCTTCCAGATGGTTTAGAAGGCTGAACACGATAGACCCGCTCTGTTTCCATCGTTTTGTGTTCATCACGCAGGTACTTCTCCAACAACGTTACATCTTGGTTCTGCTTGTGATTAAACCTTTTGATTGCTCTGAGGCCATCCACCACTTTAGCCAAAGACCATTTGTTGTTAAGAGCGTGCTTTGTAGAATATGCCCCACAAGATAACTGGATAGCGTGATTCTGGTAGCTGAACGGGTATTCTTCAGAGGCTTCACTCGATGATTTGGGCTTCAAATCGCTTTGGGAAACAGATTCTTTTTCATCTGAGAATTCGTCCACCATATTCAAATGTGATCCCAGGAAGAAGTCCTCGATGTACTGTAAGAAAAACAATAAAAATTCAAAAATATATGGTTTAACAATTTCAAGAAGTCGTTTTCACAAAACCCATAAAACATACGTGATCCATAAGCTTGTGAGCCTTGGAAGACAGCGTGTTTGATGCCGTTGTAGCCTTCGAATCCGAGTTCTTCTTGCACGGTAACAATTCCTCACACAACGTTCCCAAAGATACCTCCATTACACAGTCATCTTGATTACAACCGAACAAAGGATGTGTCATTCGATCTGAAAGTATATCATTAATTTTATCATAACAGTTAAAAAATCTATAAATCTGCATTCAAGTACTGTTTACAAAAACACAATCCATCGTATAACATTCGCGCAACCTGCAATATCATTGTTTTGCAAGCTGCGCCCCATAGATCTGGTTTTAGCGGCAAGATTTTCTTTGTAATTTAGTTTTTCGTCGAAAATAATTTACCTTGGAAGTTGACACTGTGACGGTCAGAGTTGGCATGGACAACTCCTGTCAATCTGACTGGGATCGACTCGTCGCAAATAACAAGTTTGATCACGAAAGTCTCCAGCGTTTCCGGCAATTGGATACCCTTCACTCCAGACGACGAAATCTGGTTGATCATATCGGAGAGTATCAATGCAATTCTTTCCCGATGTCCCCCACCGTACGCGAGGCACTTCTTCAACGTTGATATTGAGGAATCGACCAATCTCTTGCCAATTCCACTGCCATTCTGGTCACAGCCTCGCAGGTTGACGTTGCAATTCTTGACGACGTAGTCGATCAACAATCGGAACACGGAACCTCCTTCGTTCGAATCAAAGTACTCGATCACGGTGTCGATTGACATCAGTTTGCTCAGACAATCAACGTACAAAATCAACTCTTTGATGGACGATGATGACGAAGAGGTACAGATTCTTCCGACGGAGTCTATGATCTTCTGAATGAAATTGCGTTCGATCAGGAATTTGACGGCCGACTGAGACTGACAGACCAAACTCAGTGCTTTCAGCATTAGAGGAGACATCTCGTCTCCATTGGCTGGCTTCAGATGGCTGATTATGTTGGTCAGAAGGGCCGGAGAAGCTCGGACGAGGGTACACAACAACCAACATGATGAGTCAAAGATGCATTTGCCAGAGTAATTTGAGATAGTATTGCACAACAACCTATAAAAACCAAATTGAGAAAATAAAAAGTAATATCAACAATAAAAAACTGAACTACATAACTAGGAGCACAGTGACTTACGGTATTAAGATGGGCGATATCTCCATACAAGCTGCTACCGTGTCCGCCTTAGTAGCCTCTTGACTGACGTTATTCCAGATGGCACAAGCAGTCGCCCACAAGAAAACTGACACTTCTTGCCACACCTCGACCCGTATCCATCTTGTGGACTCAAGATTCAACTGTTCGGCGTGTAATACTTCCTTCAGAAGCCGTTCAACACCGTGCAACAGCTTCTTCTGTCTATTTGTCACAATTCCATGGATAACATGGATTGGTCGGTTTGCATCAAATCCTATGTTTTTAGTCGAAGAAGATGAGTAAACACAGCTCACGTACAACAACTCGGCCACGCTGAGGTAGGACTTTGAAGAGATTCGGCCTCCGTTGACTGAAAGAAGCAAAATATTGTTTTACAAAGATATAACATAATTTGAATAATGAAACAAGTCTTACTTAGATGGTCTACAATCATTGAGATCAGAGTGCTCTGACCAGGTTTGTTTTGATTGTCTAGTCGAAGCAAAAGTTCGTGAATCTGTCGGATCACGGTTGGCTGATGTTCTCCATGCAAATAGACTCTGATCAAGGCTTCTGACAGAGATGGAGCATACTTCCACAATGGCACATCGATCCGAGCACAGAGTCGAGAGAACAGCGACACCCAGTGGTTCATGATCTCATTCTTGAACATCTTGGAGTCGTGCAGAGACCGCATCGCAGAAGCCGAAGTTGAGCCCAAAAGGTAGACTTGAGAGATTTGCAAGTAATTTCCGACCGATGGCGCCTTCATGTGTATTCGAGCAGCTAAAAAAATTAAATAAATAAACTTTGAACACGAGTTTAACTTAACAGTAAATGCCACATTTACTTACCTGTAACTGGGAACTTGTAGGCGTAAGTAGGGATTCTGATGTGGTTGACAGGTTTGGTGATGATGGGTGTGGAGACAGAATGCCAATTGCGTTGACCTGAATCCGAACAAAGCTCAACTTGGACGGCCGAGGGAATGAGATGTGTCATTCCTTCGGGTATCTTGATGGCGATTTCGTAGAGTACCACCTTGTACGGCAAAGTGAACGTCAGGTCGAGCCAGTTCTTCTTGTTGACGAACTTGTGTTGGAAGGTCTGAACTCGGCCTCGTTTGTCTGTGGTCAAGTTCAAGGCTGATAGTTGACCGATAGCGGCCGTATCTGACTTGATCAAGCACGTTGGCGTGAAGTTGCAGGCGTCAAACGGTAAAGACTGGGTGTTCTGACTGCCACAGGTTCTAACCGATATTGACAGCCGGTTTCCGAAGACGGGGTGGTTTTGCATCATTCCTGCATTCGGAGTCAAGTGTACGAAGGGATAGTTGACTCCGTATTTTACTTCTTCTTTTAACGGCTCGGATGTCTGAAATTTAAATATTCGTATTTGAATTTTAAATATTAGCCTTAGCACCATTAAGTAAACCTACCGTGTGAGTGTTGAAACCATCCTTTGCTTGTGGGCCCAAAATCGTAGGATTGGTGACTTTGTCATCTACGGCAGCTGCAGTGTGATTGTACGGTAGATTGGAGCTGAGAGGCTCAACTCCAGTGAAGTGTGTCGACAACATGTTGAGTTGGCTTGTCAATTGTCTGAATCTCTTACTTGGTGGCCAATCCATCGTGCAGGCTTCTAATGCCATATGAAGTTGTTCCGCGACAAAAGTGTGTCCTCCTTCGTCCACAAAGATCTGGCATCGTGACACACCCTTCAACAACGAATTCATCAGCACCAGCACTGGAATGGGCAAATCCATGAGAGTTTGGCTACTGGAAGCATCGCCAACTCGGGACCTCAGGGTCTTCAGAACAATCCGGATGAACAAACGACAACATTCAGGGTCTTCCATCGACGTTTCTGAGATTATCAACAACAAGTGAACCACAGCATCAGCCAATGTGATGATTTTGAAACTGAAATTTATATCATAATAAATATCTTTTTTAAACATTATGCAAGTGAAAATCTTGTGCCACATACCTGTCCTTTGTGATCTGATCCAAGTTCTGAGTGAATGAAACGAACATGAACAGCATGTCGATCAGCTTCTTCACCGAATTTCCTTGGGAGTGCAACAAGCTCTTGAGAATGTGTGGTCGATACTGTGACACGTATCGTACGGCCATCCTCATCATGGAGTAGGCGCTGTTCATGAACAAGTCCGATATGTTCACATCTCCATCTCGTACCGGGTTCTCCAGAATGTCGGCCCGTTTCACAAAAGTGATGTTCTTGGAACTTTTGCTGCCAACATTTGCATTCGCATCCAGGTTCTTCAGCTTTTGATTAAACATGTAATTCCGCTCCTTCTGCATGTTTCCGTTCAGTATCATACTAAAACACATGTTGCTCGGGATGTTTGATGTCTCCAGAATCGAGGAGATTAACGGTGGAGGCAAGTTTTTGAGAGATTTCATTCCAGAAGCACTTTCAGGCAGACACGACTCCACCTTCTTCAACTCGCTGAATAACTCTTCGGTGAAGTCAATGAAGGCGGCCAAGAAGGTAACAAACACACCTGGATCACACGATCCCACCTTCTCCATTGAGTCGAACAGACTGGTTATCTCTACAATCACATCAACAGGTAATGCCAGATACCCGAATTGTCTGGACTTGTTGAACTGATCAGTGAGAGCTTTCAAGACAGAGTCCATCACTACTTGAGATGGCTGTTTCGTGAATACTACTTGCATGAACTTGCGGAAGACTGCACATACAGATGGTCCAAACATAGGCAACTAAAAGTCACAATTATTATCATATCAACAATATAAAAAGGAACATAATATTAACACCTACCGTATTAGTTACTGTAGAGAATTTCCCGAGTGAAGATGACATAAACTTTGACAAAAGCTTCCCGAAGTACACCGAGTTCTCGACACAGTGAGTGAACTTGTAGTTCTTCATCTCCAAGTTCATCGTGTCTTTTCCTTCCAACGGAGCGTCAACAGCAATCAGAATCTTGAACAAATTCACCCAGATGTCAGCATTAGAGTAGTCGTATTCGACTACAAACTTCATCAAAGAATTCACGGCTTGTTCAGACAACACAAACAGTCGCTGGATGGCCTTGTGCTCGACCATGTTCATCTTGTTGGACAGTACATTCCCTTCCAGTTCCGAGAAGAACCCGACCAAATACTCCAAGAAGTTGCCTCTGCCTTGTCGGTTCGTGTTTCCTATGTAAAGGTTGGCTTCTTCGACGTTCATGTCCACGATCAACAAACTCAATGCCTGACAAATCCATCCACAACATGTAATATCGGAAGTGAGAGGAACCGAGGAATCGTATATTGTAGATGACTTGACATTTCGAGGTATTGATGGACTCATGGCTTGATACGACAGTGTCGACAAGACCTTCCTCTCAATTTCAGTCTTCCAAAGCCTTGTCATAGCACGGTGTTCCATAAAGACATTAGACAACGACGATACTCCACGTTGGAAAGGGCACAAATGAGCATTCAGACAATATAGTTCCATGTCGACATCGTACTTCTCGATGGCATTCTCCAACTCTTGTTTCAGATTGGCCGACTTCTTCAGGTCCGCATTGACAACAACATCGTTGACCGGCTTTACGTAACTGCTGAGAGTCACGTTTTTGAGAAGATCGCCCAGGTTCTGACATTGTAGTAGTTGAGATCCTCTTGCACATCGTCGCTAAAACAAAACGACGCTTTATTCATTTGTTTTCCTGTTTAAATAGACTATTTTTACAGAAAATGTTTTCATCGTATAACATTTTTATTTCCGCAAATTGCAAAACAATGCGGCAAAATGCGCCCTACACATTTCAAAATTTTTCATTTTTAGTAAACTTACAATTTGGAGAACAGATTGGATGAAGCGTAACTTGCTGAACGCGAATATACTGTGATTTAACGACAAAACTCGATGTGAAGCGACGTACTGCAGAACTTCATCATTACAGTCGATGGGCAGGTAAGTTGTGTCACATTCGTCGTAGAAGACCGAGGTTTCCTTGCTGATGCCAGAAAAGTCGTCTTTGGTTGTCTTCTTCCTGATCGTGTCTTCCAAGTCTTGTTGTAGGCTGCCGAGTTTGGACGTGCCGAGTACTATTTGGACCAGTTCGTTGTAAACTTCTTCGAATCGGTCATCTAAAGGCAAGAACATCTGCTCATCGTCCACGTCCATATACTGGTTCGATGACTCGTACATGGAGTAAAAGTCGGAGTAGAAGATGGCACAGTCCAAGGCTGAATGGGAGGGGGTCTTGTGGTCGGGGATGACGTTCTTGTTGTTGGAAAGGTTGAATTCTCGTTCGATGAAGTCCTTCGAGTTGAGGATGGACATCAAAGCCCACTTCATGTATGTTCCTTCCTTTAAATGTGGTTTGATTAGTTAGTGTACAGTAGTATGTCTATTTTCAGTCATTTTTATGTTAATATTTGGTCGTATTTTAAACAGATTCAAGAAACTTACACTTGACGATGCGTTGGCTGCTTCCATTTCTGCCCCCATCACGTAGTCGAACCAACGGAAGATGTCTGACAAAGGCTCCCCTCTGTCATAATGAGCACGGGCGACGTTGTAAGCGATCATCCTCAACACCGACTGCCTATAGTTGTTCCAGACTGGCGGAGTTTTCAGTTCCAACGGTTTCAGAGGCAACATGGTCATGAATATGAGTAGATCAACCTCTTCTTCATTCGGATTGTCGAGCAAGTTGAATGAGAATGGGTACGGTGGATTCATGCCAATAGAAGTTCGTGTGTCACACAGCCCGGGATGGAAGTCGCGTTCCTCGTTGGCAATGCCACAAGAAGACGACGGATCGAGTAGTCCTGATGTCACTAAAGTTTTAGAGTAAACGGTCTCTTCAATCCTTTCAGCCGAACTTGATGATGCTTCTGAAGTCGAAGCGTCTCCTTCTTCCATCAAAACCTCAGCCGGATCGTCCTTTCGTCTCTTGATTTTAGCTGAAATATCAATTCATTTACATTGTAATGTGCACTTCAAACACAAAACTTATAATATAAGTACTTACCTTCAAAATTCGGCTCAGACTCGAACATATCGTGAGATGGGGTACTGAAAGCTCCTGATCCAACGGAAGCCGTTGCTTGAACCGAGTTTTCTGATTCCACAACATCCAAAACGAAACACAAGAAGGCATGTCGAATCCATTCGTTTCGGTCCGCGTTTTCGAATACTAAAAATGGTTAAGTAATACATTACTTACTGTGTATATAATAAATATAGTATAAAACACAACAAGAGTAACAATATAATTTACCTGTAGCCAACAACTCTTTGGTCTTCTCGACAGAAACCATAACTTCTCTGAAGGAAATCGGAAGCGCTGCACCGTGAACACTTAATTTGGCGCACAATTTGAACAGTAACAGCTGAGTCTCGCGTGACATGATGTTACTCTTGGCACAGAACATGTTGGCTAGCAGTTGGATCGTCTTCACCACCAAATCACCCCTTAGCTTCATTCGGATAGCAAACCGGCGTGACCGCGAAACACCATTCTCGTTCATCTTCTTCCGGGAGTTGTAACTGTATTCTAAAACAAATAAATGTTTTGAGTACTACATATAAATATAAACATTATACTACAACAACTTCTAACTTACTGATCTTTTTGAGCAATATATGCAGGTTTTTCCTCAGTTTTATAATTCGTTGCATCAGTTCAGTGTAATGTGCGTTGTCAGCATTCGATTCTTCGTCTTCTTCATGTGTAGCCAGCGGAGCCTTTAAGGTCGACTCTGGAGGGGAATTCAAAACGGTTTCAAACAGAGCGTCGAAGTTGACTGGTCCTTTTGTCAGGAAGGTCTGGGAATTGTGGTACAAGTGATTTAGTTGTTTCTGCTCCTTCTTCAGCAAATGGTAGTTGTCAGGAGAAATGAGATTGTTGTGGAGCTTGGTGTCCATCTCTTTTCCAATGACTTTAATGTCAGAAGCCATTCTGCGAAGCTCTAGATATGTAGATTGTTCAATTGGAAGGTGGCTGGTCTTGTCAACTGGCTGTGCTGTAGTTCCTGAGTAGAAGAGATCGGGTTGGGAGAAGTAGTTGTTGTCTTTGACAGCTCCGACCTTTCTGGCATAACGTCTATTGGCGTTGGTGACAGATTGGAAGTTTGAAGTGTAGTTCATGCAAGATTGGCCTGACAGAAAAGCCCATCTGTCCATGTTTCTCGTGTTTGGTACTACAACATCAAACACGTTTGACAGCAGAAGCAAAGTCCACGAGAACTTAGAAGAGTCGTAGCCACAAGTAGAGTCGTTGTCAATCAGAGAAACAATGTAAGTCAATATCTGTTCCAGCACTAGTGTTCGCAGTTCCGTGTGTTGTACGGTATGACAACATAAGTAGACCAGACGAGAGAAGGCGTCTTCCATCTGATCGGTCATGCCATTAACAAAATACCTTTGGATCACTGCTGGGAAGAATTCTGGCCACCAACAAACTCTGCTTCCCTGATGGAAGAGGTAAGCACACGCCTTGGCTTGGACTGCTGGATCAGCGTCGGAGATTAAAGAGCCGAACAGAAGCACAGCTCCGTTTAGATCGAACTTCAGATGATCCAGACGATCCATCTTCTTGAAATTCTGTGACAAAACTGTTATGTCATTCGTCAACTGCATTAGCCTAAGACATATCGTTCTCAATTCGTCTGGAGAAGCGTCGTTCCAGTCGCTGTGCTTGGCCCACGAATACTCTAACAACTTGGTCTTGTTGCCATGCCAATCAACACTTTCAGAACTGTGACTTTCGACTCCATTACAATTCTTTGAGCTGATAAAAACTTCACTGATCTCTTTCATATCGACCACAGATCGTTGTAGGATGTTGTTAAACGTATTGAAGAGAGTACGATCAGCCATGGCCATGTTATACAGTTTCCTGCCTTCAAGGCTCCCTTGTTTCATTAACTTCTTGGCTCGAACCACCAAGTTGTCAAACCGTCGCCGTAGCATGGTGATAGCATTCTCCACATCACGAACGTTGAAGATGTTCTGAAACAAAGCCTTATCAAACAAATCAAAAAACCTTTTTTTTTAAAAATAGTCTCGACATACCTTCTTTAACGCCATATCAAGTATTTTCTCATCTGTGCAACTGGAATACAAATGCCAAGGTGACACGAAACGAACACCGTACACATTACCAATGGCAAAAGTAGTTTTTCCTTTCCTGGAGTCCCTCATCGTGAACGACAATCGTAGGTATCGTACAAAGTCGTTTGTTCGCAAGTCATTCAACATCAACGTTCTCCTTTCGATCTCCGTACTGTAAGCGTACCGTACTTTGTTTCTTTCGTCATCCAACCAGCCATCGACCGCCACTGCAGACAGGATTTCGTTAGCCGGTAGAATGAAGTCTGTCACTAATGCAGGAATCTGTAGATCCAAAGTAATCTGAAGCATCTGGCCAGGATGACAGTTCTCGAGTTCGGCAACAAAGAACGGCGGCCGTTTGAGTATGACGGACTTGTTGACAGTAGCAGTCGGTCGTTGTGGAGAGCAGTCCATTCCTTTGTTCGACGCTACATCGTCGTCCGTTTCGAATCCGATCCCATCACCATCTGTATCGGGAGTACCTCCTTCGTATAACCATTTGTCATCATTTCCAAGCGAAGGGTCTTCATTACCGGTCGTATTTTGCACGAATTTGTTATGACATCCCAAGACGTACATCTCGGCCAATCCTTTGAACATTTCCGCCTTAATAATCATATATTAGTTTAAATTTGAAATTTTAACACAAAAATTGATTAAAAGAGTACCTTTTTGTCAGTAGATCTAGCATTTCCGTACATGATTTTGAGGTTCTTACTCTGAGACGGCATGAAAGCTCGTTTTCTTTCAAACTCAAACCGCGTCTGCATCCCTCGTGTAAGGTCATCAAGTTCTGGTTCGACGTCCATCGGTAGCGGGGTTATAGATTCATGCTTGACGTCAGCATTCACCTTGACATCGCTGTTAGCATTCAAGTCGAGTATCCTGACATGATGAGTCGAATTGGAAACCACGAAGCAAAGTCTCTCTGACTCCAGGAGTCCAGGAAACGTTTCTCCACCCATTTCGAATCGTACAACATTCTCTCTACCGTAGAAGACTTGAAGGGCGTGATAGATAGAGTAGGAGGTAGTCAGAAGTTCTACCAAACTCTGATCTCCAGTAGCCTCCGGCCGTTTCGGTGTCGACTGCATAGCTGGAATCTGTTTGAAGGCATCGTCCATGGCTGCTCCAGCGTAGACAGCTCTTCGTGTGGCACCAATCGCTGATAAAAACTTCTTCTCAGTAGCCTTTTCTTTCGCCTTTTGAGCCTTGAATTCACAGATTCCAGCGTGCTCGAACCATGTAGCCTCAACCTAAACATTGTTTATTAATATTTCACTTGTTGTAACTTACGTCTTTGCTTTCGTCGTACACAAACATCGTACTCAAGGCCGTGTTCACTGTGAATCTGTTGTTCTTGTCCCAATTTGGCTTCTCTGAAGTGTTCGATGAATCGCCAAAGTTGGTCTTGTAGCTGACAGCAGTGGGCATTCGCTTCCTTGTTTCAGACAATCCTTTTTCCACATCTGATTGACTAAAAACGGCACCAAAAGTACCTTTTCCTGCGGTCCAGGCTGCTTTCATCTTCTCTGGATGTACGACAGTGGCAATAAACGAAGGTAGTGAGTCAAATGCATAAATGTCATTCAACTTGTCGTACCGTGCCGAAACAGATTCCTCCTCGCTCTTCTTTGAATGCCACATTTGAGAGAGCTCCAGCACAGCATCGGCCAAAGAGTTTTCAAGCTCTCTGATGCTGTTTTCGTACTTCTGTGTAGTTTCTTTGGTGTGTAACAACTAAAAGCATACTGTTAGTAATTCACAAAAATAAAAAAAGCATTTAAGTTTACGAACCCACCTTAGCCAGACCGTAAACAAATGTGTTGAGATATTGAAGAGCACCCGCATTTCGATATCTCTTCTGATACTTTAAACAACTTCTGTATTCCGTGATAAAAGTACATAGAAAGTCTTCGACGACATGAGCGTAGTCTGTTATCAGTGTGTCGGCCAACTCGTTTAACATAGCAGAGAGCTTGTGAGCTACAGAACGTGGAGCAACCACAAATCCGTTATGTAACAATGCACCAGAGATACTCGTAAATCTTTTCAAAATACCCGTTGCTTCCTCTCTGAAACAGCAAAACATCATACAAATCTGGATATATAATACATAAACAATAGTTCAAAACGATACTTACAGTCTACCCAGAATCCTCAGATTTGTAATAATCCACTGTAATGTGTCAAGAGCATACAATTGTGCCGTGACGGCCTTGTAGTACATCTCGTGAGCTAAGCCGCCAGACGTACCACAAACAAAATCGACCAAATCCGTGTGGAGACTACTGTTCAGACAAGCTAAGCATCGCTGATAGTTCAAACGTTGAGCACAATTCGAGAATTGGAACAAAGATACTGCCACATACTCTAAGGCCGACAAACCATCCCTCTTTTGGTTAACTGAACATACAAATCATATATTTTCGTTTTTGAATTGAAAGTAAAACAAAAAAATAGACCAAAACTATTATTTCAAACACTTACCACTGCAAAAAGGGTCGAGGATGTTGGTGGTCACCATGTCAGCCATCATACTCAAAGCTTGACTTCGTTTCCGAGTATTGAACTTTGTTTTAGTGTAGAGTTTCCTTTTGTCCCCGGAGATGGTCAATCTTCCTTGAGGTAAAGGAATAATACTGCCAAACGGTAACTCTGAATTCCGACTTCTTTTCGATCCGGCCAGATACACTCCATCGTTGTACTGATAAACTCCTGATTGCATGTCACAAAACTCAGTCTGCGTCTCACTCATGGTTTCGTTGACTTCGAACAGAATGTAGAATCTGTAGGTATCAGCCAGCCAGCCTTCTTTGAAAACGCCATTCTTTTTACTCACAGCAGCAGCAGCCAAAAGTAGCTGGACAGTGGACAGCTGTACAACTGCTTGCTTGCCCTCTCCGTCGATGAAATCTGATGCATTTACTGGTCCAAACAGTTTCTCACACTAAAATTCAGAAGATGACAAAACCCAATATACTTGTAACAACAATATACTTACATTATTCTCCAAGATGTTCTTGGATTTACTCAGAAAGTCCAAACAATGTTCGATGGAAAAACCTGTGCTTGGCCCGGGAAGCGATTGCAGTGATGGTAGAGCATCCCCCAAGTCTTCTCCGATGTTCTTGTTACCGGAGTTGGCAATGTACAATGTCATCTTTATATCTGGAGTCCCCTTCACAAATCCCGAAAACCCCATGTTAATGTTGACGTGACTTAAGTTGAAGCCAAACTGAAACGATATGAAAATAAAATATTATATTTGTAAAAAGTAAAAAAAAAACATTAAAAAATAAGTTAAACGCATAGTAACATACAGAAACCGTCATTTCCATGACAAACAGTCGCAGTTGTTGCTCTGTTGATACTTTACATTGCCATACTCTGGTTCCATCGACACTGTTGGAGAAGATCTCATTATAAGGGTATTTGTTGACAGCCGAGAACTCTTGGCAGTTCGTAGCTGATAATACCTCCAAATTATGCGAACAAAACTTGTTTTTTCCCGGTACATATTCTACCAAGTCTGATGATGTTTGAAGGCTTACGCCTACCGAGTTTTGTCTGAAAATTTAATATTTATGAACAAATAATCAAAAAATGGTATGAAAATAGGTATTATTAGGTGATTGCGAAATTATCCCGCCAATTTTTCAAAAATTTTTTTAAAAATTCTGGATTGTTCTAGAAATTTCTGTTGTCAACCTATATAAAGAGATGTCCAAGCACTAAAAAATATTGCATGTTCAAGCTTTCTGTTGTTTACGGTGGTTCAAGAAATCAAGGTAAAACATGGTCATGTTAGGGCAATGTTGCTTCGCAACTTCAGTGAGGACGGCAACGCAACAAGAGCGACGAAGGAAATATGCAGTGATGTAGGGCCTTCAGTTGTCTCTTACGACACCACAAAAGTTTGTCTCCACATGTTCAAAAACGGTGACTTTGACATGTCCGAAAAGTTCTATATGGTAGACCATCAGCGTTGAAGAAACCCCACCTTCTGAAGCTAATCGAAAAAGACCCCAGACGAACTATTACTCATTTGACTGTAGAGGTTCAATGTGATCCTTCTTCTATATTAATTAAACTTCAGACCCTTGGAAGATCATGGAAATATGGCCAAGAGGTTCCACATGATTTCAAGAGCGACCAGCTGAAACGCTAAGTGAAAGTTGCACTTATTTATTGATGTTCCCAAGGACCTTTGCATGACTTGACAATTTGGTTACTGGGGACGAGGAGTGGGTACTGTATGTTAATCACACCAAGAAGAAACAATGGTTTGGACGTGGAGAAAAGGGTGGGTCAACTCCAAAACCTGGTCTTCACCAACTGGAGGAGGTGAAAGGATTTAGCTGGAACTCAACAAGTATTGTGTACTGGGAAATGGTATCACATAAAACTACGATCCCTGTGGATGTCTACTGTAGAAAAATTAAATCTGTTGCCGCTGCATTTCATGGTAAAAAAGACCGGGTCTTCTTCATTCATGACAATGCTCGCGCCTATGTGAAAATGTTGACCCAACACAAGCTGAAAAGTTTCGGCTGGACTGAGATGCCAAATGCGCTGTACTCCACTGATGTTGTGCCTTCAGATTATAATATGTTCCACTTTCTTCAAAACCATCTGAATGCAATACGCTTTGACAACCGAGACGACCTCAAGCGATGGTGGACTAACTTTTTCAATTCTAAAACTCCAGGTTTCTACAGAAGTTGAATCCAAATGATGCCGAAGGGATGGCAACAGGTTGTTGATAATAATGACACATATATTTGTTAATTAGTTGTTGTTGTTTTTTTTAATATTAAATTTAGGTAAAAACAAAAATTGGCGGGATAATTTCGCAATCACCTAATATCATAAAAAGGCTAAAATACGTAACTTTTCACTATAAAAACAAAACAAACTCACAGATTAATTGCTGTTCCAGACGAATTCCTATCCGACGTTGATAAGCTTTGCTGGCACAAAGGCTGGCTTTTGACCAGATCAAACAAACTCTTGAGTGAAGAGTATGTTTTAACTCCACACGACGGTGTTTCCGATATAGCGTACAATAGTTCCTCCTTAATCTTCTTCGCATCAAGTTGTTGTACAGTTTCTGTTAACTTTTGAACCATTTGATCACAATGAAGAGAACTCAACTCGCTAACCAGGATTTCATCTACTCGATCACTGTGGCACGTCGGGACAGAATTCTGGATATCGATCATGTGGAACTTTCCGTCTTCTGTCAACACCATCAAAACTCCAGAATTCTTTACGGCAACATCGTGCACTACTCCAACTTCGATCGGAACACTGCGTCCAAAGTCCAGATCCATCAGTTCGAGCGTGCCATCCGTGTAGTGAATCAGAATCGTCTCGTTCAACGATTCACTCGACAGTGCAGATGTTCGAGAAGTTGTTGAAGCTCCAAAGTAATCACAACCTAGTAGACGGACTTCCTTGACCGTCTTCCTCAAATGAAACTGAACAGCCGGAGTCAACTTGAACATGTACAACGATGGAATTCGACTGTAAACCAGTAGAGAAGAAGGTGACGTCATAGTAGTATCTGATGGATCAACAACAACCAACAACTGAGTGCCATTCTCAGAAAAGTGCATTTTAGATACCTAAAATACAACATGTTATAAAATAACTGACGTACCTTGAAATCAGTATTGTCATACTCTGCAGGTAAACGAATACATTGGATTCCGACAGCTACAGTCTCTTTGGCATTGTAGTATACGGGCACATTATCTGATTCAATTCCTTTTGTGATATCGACTAAAAAAATTATTAGTACTATACTTATTTAACAATTTTATACTAAAAAATGACACTCTAGTACGTATTTTATTAAATAACATTCAATTAAAACTTACTCAAACTTTCCTTTTCATCGTCTGGCGTCTCTTCCATTCCTAAAACAACGTTATCTTAGATATACTTAAACGTACTTTTTCCAGATGAAAGATAGACAAATGTCAGCGGTTCAGCGGCAGCTTCTCCAGGAAACTCGACAATATGATGTACTAATATAAACGGTCGTCTTTTGATTGTGGCTTCTGCGTTCATCTCATCGATCCTTGTAGCTTCACAAAATGTGTTTATGGCATTTAAATTGATTACTTCTTCACCAATCGTTTCATCAGACAACGCTGAAATAAAATAAGCATTACAAAAAATTAATTTAACTATAATGCTAATGTCAAAACAAAAAAAAGATAAAATTAAACTTACACTTCTTTAGGCGAAACTCATCAACCAACACTGACGTGCATAACATGGCCACAATCTTGTCATTGTTAGTGATTTGAACATTGTCATCCAAAGAAGAAGTTGTGCAAAGTGAAGTGATGTTACACAACGGAGTATCATTCTTCCGTGTATTATCCATCATGTTGGAGATGTCATTCACACTGTTCAACCAATCAAAAGCCCCCGTTCCTTTCCTCAAATCTTCAGTATTTTCTAGTGAACCTGCCATACATGTTGCATACAAATCTAGTAGAATTTCAATCGGTTTTTGAGAAACTTTGTCCATCTCGAACAAAAAGATGCTTGGCTTCGAATGGCCGGGCAGTGGAGACACGGCCGTGGCCACCCACGAACAGTTGGGATGTGAGTTACCCATAATCACATCGTCCACAACAATGTCGTCCTTACTGCCTTCAATCTGCGACCAAGACAACATTGGTAGTATGGCTTTAGTAGATTCGTAAGGAATGTTCCGTTTGTCGACTCCTGTCATGAATGCACAATTTGGGTTATGTTCCACATGTTCGCGTATCGGCACGTCCTGCGGCTCCCAATTAACAAGACAAACTCCGCAAGAGAAACAACAGACTCGATCCAGATTACCAGCTGAAGGTCTGAGAAAGAATCCGGCATTAGCGAGATTCCTGGGCTGAGCAAACAGACACTCGCTCTTCGGCCATTTGTAAAACGATAATCTTCTGGCCGCTTCTGAATTCATCGTGCTCAGACTAGTCACATCTTGATCCATCTTCAAGTTTTCGTCCGCTATATTAACATTGTACGCTTTAAAAGGATCCACCAAAAACTGAAATGACATTAGGTACAAACATTTAATAAAATGTAATTTTAACTCATGTCTAATAACGTACTCTTAATTTTTCGATGACAAGTTGTCCATGTGAAAATGAATGCCCAAGTATAGCAACAGCTGACCGTAGCTCTTGAATTAATTCGTTTGTGACATTGATCTCAATCAAAAAACTCTCTGTTTGACATTCATGTAATTGATATGATACCCTTTGTTGTAGGTCTTCGAACTCTGCTGAGAACTTGCTTTCTTTTTTCAAACCACTCAACTCCTCGGCCTAAATAGGTATAAACTACGACACTTATAACGTACCTCGTCTTTTGTCAACTCTAAGAACACACGACCCAGTTGAGCGCCATTGGCCGCCAATTCCTTTATTGAACTGTGATTAGTCAGCAGAGAACGATAGCCAAAACCGTTCCTTGAAACGAAAGATATGCAGCCGGAAGAAAAAGCTACCTAAAACCAGGTAAAGTTAAATATAACAATGTTGATGTAATAAAAAATATACCTAAAATCAAATTTATTGTCCTTACTTTAATTGGAATGCGAAAGTCGGCGACAGGATTGATAACAAAATCATCTGTCACACTGGATATCTGACCATTTTCCTCCACCAAAAGATAACTGCCGATGTTACCCTCAACAGCAAGGAGCTGAGTGGACTCTTGAGGTTTGTAGCTACATTCCGATCTAAAAGCAAAAGTCAACAAGATGCAACAACTTACATATCTCTGATTGTAATATGAGGTGTGTGCAACTCTGAACTTGAAGACAAATTCATGCGACAAATCTAAAACAAATGTATAAACTTTACATTTACACATTACTTTGTGCGAAACGAAACAAAAAAAAACAATCATCCACGATAATGTGAGAAATTTTATACCAAATATAAACAATTACGAGTTTATTTTGTAAAGCGACTAACAGGTAAATTTGTTACTTTACTGATTTAATTCCATCAAAAAATTAAACTTTTAAAAACCATATAGAAATCATGTTTTATTCGTTTCGAGCGAACAAAAACTATAAATATTCCAACGGAATGCCAAAAAACATCTTCTTTTGCCTATTCTCGCGAAGATTACTGATTCAAAGTATCGAAACATCTATTATTTGAGCTTTGAGTACCACTTTATAAAATTGTAAAGAAAAGACAACAAAATTAAATTGATTTTTCATCCAGGAATTCTTGTTTTTATGTGTTACGTACAATTTCACAACGTTATCTGTTAAATATACTCAAGAATTCCATTTCATTGTTTCGTATACTAATTTTGTTCCAAGCAATGAAAATCAATTGCAAAAAAAATGCCGAAAATAGATTTTAATCTATAAATTTGTATTTACGTTTGGCCATCTGTGCTGATCTTGTATTTCATTTATTTACTTTGCAGGAGCATGTTTCAAAGTATAAGGTGTCTCCTCGAGTCCCGCAGCGAAAGATTTGAGCTGTTTATGCAGCGCGTCCGAGTTTCTAGTGGTTGAATGCAAACTGCAGTGGAAATTTTATTGTGGCGGCAGCTTGCATTATGAAACGAGGACGGAGACCGCAACAAAATTTTGTAGCACATCGTGAGTTCAGTATTGAATTTATAAATAATATTGTATTACTGTTAGAAAAGAGTTTCTTTGCTTTTGGAATCCAAGTTGATATTGGTTTTTAGGAGAGTATGAAGAGCATGTTCCTGGCTCATCAAGGGATCCGTATCAACAAGTTGTAAGTTTTAGAATTGTCGTTTTAAATTGATTTTAGAATCAACCATACCGAATGTTTCGTCAGGTAGAGCTAACACGCCTTAAGGCACCTATAGCACTGCCTAGGTGGTCTCGACACGGATACAAGATACAACCGGACAGTACCATTGTTCCACAACTTGCTCCTGAAATCCACCTAGTGGCTCCAGACGATTTTATATACTCGTGTGATGTTGATGATATGGATGAAAGTGATAGACAAGTGGACGTTTGTGCTTTAGAAGAATCTGAAGTCAGTGGATTTCAAGATTCCCCAGATACAAAGAGACAGAAGTTTAACTTGAAGACAGAAGCTCCTAGCCCTGTACCTGAAGGAACTACTAAGGTAATCAGCAAAGCTCGTATTCTCAAGGATTCAAGAAAACGAAAGATACAATGTATGTTTTTGGGTTTGTTTATAAAGTTATGCTTCTATGTTTTGTAACAAGATTAAAACTGTTGTTTAACTTATAGATGACGACGAAGGTTCTGCTGTTCAGGAAGAAGTTGAGGTTGTGGATACATCTCAGGTCGAGTACTACACTCCATTGCACGCAGCTTTACCTCCGCCGCGCAGAACCATCAGTGACAGATACTCGATTAACGTTTCTGAATTGTTCGACGAAATTCAGAAGCATGAGCCTCAGAATACAGTAGAAAGCTTGAATGAGTTGTTCACTAACGATCCATCAATCCAGTATCCTCTCAATGTCAACATGTTGGTGCAGGGTGTGAAGACTGCTACAGCGGAACAGAACGCTCGAATGATCGCCGGACTTGCTATGCAAATAAACTCATTGAAGAAGGAGGTTCAAAAGTTGCACGGTGATATCATAGACACCAGGAGTGCCAGTCTACACAGACAAAACAATGGACTAACAAGTCGGCAGTTCAACTTGAACGGAGATGTATCTCAAGAGTGGATTCTGGTGGCGCAGTCGCCGTTGAGGTCTGTGGATCTGGTAGGAATAGCAAGAGCTTTGGGTGAGAAAATGGGACGGAAGAATATGAGGAACCGCGACTTGATTACTCGCTACATTAAACACGTCTTTGAAGAGGTAAGAAATATTAGTATTTCTTTGTTTAAGTTTATATAATTGTACTTAAAACGTTAATTTTTTTTGAATGTTTATATTTTTTTTATTTAGATGATACCCAAGGAATTTATCCATCAATTTACTGTCCGAGACCGGCCGATGACAAAGGGAAAAGTGAATGACATTGGAATTGACGTAAAGGAGCAGATAACAGGGGTTGTGTTGGACCTTTTGGGTCTGTTCGATGTGTCAAAGTTGAGCCATAATGCTCGAATTGATCGTGCCCACTTCTCTGACTTTATTAATCAAGCCATGAAGAACGTTATGTAAGTTTAGAGTCATATGTTTTAATACTTTACTTTTTAGGTACGATCTGCGACGGACTTCCCCGAAAAGCCGAAAGTCAGAGGTAGTGGACACCAGCGGAATAACACTGAGTCCGCTACAAGGCCAAGTCCATGAGGCAAATCCCGAAAGTTCGATCAAGGTCGACTAATACCTTTTTTTATAATTTATATTTGAAATAAACGTTTTTACAAAATTTAGACCCGTATGATAATATGAAGTTTGAAAACGATATAATTATTCCATAAGTTGAGAAGATGCAACATGACCAATGACTTCTGGACGTACTTGAGCCGTCGTCCTGGGGTTGCTGTGAGTCCGTATGTGTTTGGATAAGTGATCTGACCTCATGAACTTCTTGCTGCACTGATTGCAGACAAATCTTTTCTCGCCGGTGTGTGTCCGTCTATGCCGTTGTAGCTCATCTGACCTCGTGAACTTCTTGGTGCACATGTTCCAGTCGCATGCAAACGGTTTGTTACCTGCATGACCACGAAGATGTGCACGTAGATGGGACGTTTTGCCATACGTTTTGTTGCAGATATGGCAAATATGAAGGCGTTGTCGTTCCCCGTTTCTGAAATTATAAGATTAACAGTTTTTGCCGTTGATAACAATAGTGAGAATCTTAATTTCCCATTTTATGAGAAAATAAGTTTTTAAAAATAAAATTTCGAATCGACAGAAACATACGGTTTGTTCTGATTGCTTTGGCAATTGGGACAATTACAAGCAATGCGTTTGGCCTGCTTTTTGGTGCCATTCACTGAGTCGGGAGGTGACATGAACATTCCTCCAGAACTGCTGGGTGTGATCGTCTGTCTGGCTGGAGGTGTGTTCTGGACCGGTGGCGGGGCAGAGTTGTTTGGCTGATCAGAGTCATTAGTGATGATCCATTTGAGAGGATCATTAGGGTCCTGCTTGAAGTGGAGGTTACCTAAACAATAAGATTCGCTTACTTCTTTGCTCACTTACCTAATGTTATTCTTTGCTGTCCGCCAGAGGAGCCTTGTTTGCTGGGAGATGGGGGTTGAGGACGTTGAGGGGAGGGATTCATGACTTGAGGTGGCTTGTGTATCTGAGCTGGCTGCATAATATGCACGAACTGGTTCTGGGGTTCTGGTTTACTTTCCGTTTTGGCGATGTTTATGAACCGTTGTTGCTGTGGAGGAGGTTGTTGCGCCTGGATGGGAGCTTGTTGTCCGGCGGGGGCTAAGACCATTTGGCTAACACCAGTAGTGGGAGCTCCTGACATCGAAGTGGCTACTTGCACAAGCTGGGGCTTATTCGGTTGGCTGGGAATGACAGGTATCAATATCTGAAAAAAGATTGAAAAACTTGATATTAATCAAAATAAGAGAAAAAACCAAAATTAGTTAGGCTGCGGAAGTAGAAGTGATACTGATGACAAACGCTTACAGGTTGGCTGGACTGAGACCCGTTCTGGAATAGATAAACTGGTTGGCTGGTGTTCATGGGCTGGGTGGCAGAAGTCTGCGGTCGATTAGGTATGAAGATGATTCTCTGCTGACTATTGTTGGGCCCACCATTAATCACTTGACTAACAGGCGTAGCGACCTGAGGATTCTGTACCAAAACCTATAAATAGTTGGACTAGCTTGTTTAACAATAGGTGTTTTCTACGTTTCAAACTGCTAACTAACCATGTTGGACGGATTGGATGAGAGCTGATATAAAGTTTGGCCTGTGTTTGTGATTACTGTGTTATTCTTGGGACCGTTGGCTTGGCCATTGTGTTGATTTTGACGATTCGGCGCCAGCTTTACTATAATTCGTAAGTAATTTACTAGAGTATACTGTACTGTGAGATGATTTATGTCAACTTTCAAGTTGCTATAATAAAAATAATGTTCAAACGCATAAATGTTCTCGACTACGTCTCGATTGTCAAACTCGAATTTGAATACGAACGATACCTCACGAAACCAAACTTAAAAAAACAAAACCGAAAGGTCCACCCCCAATATGCAAAATTATAAAAGGAGGGTTGGGCCGGGACAGAAAAACGAGAAAAGACATACAAAGTCCGTCCCCCTCGACGACGCCGAATGCACAGGCAGGGGCGGTCGAGTCGGACTGAAGGAGGTGCTAAACAGTTTCCAAAAGTGCATTTTTTGCTCTCTCTTCCCGCGTTTCACGCAGCTCGCGGAGCAGAGATGCGAAGGTCGCGTTAGACAGTGGTGGAGGAGCACTAACGAGCGGGAGGAAGAGAAACAGGCTCTCCCCGCCTCTTGTCAGGACGCACCATGCCTTCGTCGACGATGATTCGCTGTCGGCCGCCCGTAGGCGGCGACGGAAGAGGAGCCGACCGCACAGAGTTTTAAGACAATCGAGAGACAGATCAAAGAAGTCATACTCTTCCCCTCGAGGAATTTGATAGCTAACGACAGATCAAGCCTTCCCTGTTCTTCTCAACGAATAATCAAAAGTGTATTGGAGATGATGAACATAGATAATAAAACTAAATTTCACGTAACTCACGGCAATACATACCATATAGTAAGCATGGCAATGTACCAAAACACGACCAACATTGTAAAGTAAAATTTTTATCAATTTAAAAAGCATTAACAATGATAAACAAGAAACGTTATCTACTTCTTTTTCCCAGTAAGACCTGCACCAGCGTTGAATTTGAAGAAGATGATATCACCATCTTCTACAGTATAGTTTCGTCCTTGTTGACGGTACTTTCCGGCACTCTTGACAGCTTGTTCGGAGCCAGCTTCCTTCAGATCTTCGAATTTCATGACTTCAGCCATAATGAAGCCCTTCTCGAAGTCGGTGTGAATACGACCAGCGGCTTGTGGTGCTTTCGTACCGACCTGCAAAAAATATCTTCATTGGATATTGAAACTTACCTGAATGGTCCATGCTCGCACTTCATCTTTACCACAAGTAAAGAAATACTCGAGTTGAAGGGCTTTGTAGCCAGTCTTCACAATCTTGTCCAAATTACTCGTAGCCCCAACCTGCTTTTGGTACTCCTCCCTCTGTTCTGGGTCCATCTCAACCAACTTAAGTTCGAAAGCTCCACTGAATGGGATCAATGTGGCACCTGGGTCATTAGCGTCGATCCAAGCCTTGATTTTAGGTAAGTACTTGTTCTTCTGAAAATTTCAGGCCTTCATATATGTAAATTTTTATACTAGCAAAATTAATTTAAACAGGAGTAAAAGATCAAAGTAAAAAAACCATAAAAACCCACTTTACGTATATAGTCCTGTTCACTTAAGTTAACCAAGTACACTATAGGCTTAGCAGTCAAGAAAAGATGTTTGTTCAAGAGTTCAACGTCCTTTTCGTTCCAAACATGATGTCTCACAAACTTGTTTGAGTCCAACAACTCCTTAACCTTCTGTAGACAGTCGTACTCGGGCTTCTTGGTCTTGTCATTTCCACGAATAGCCAGCTTCTCCAGTTTTTCAAGAGCACTTTCAAGATAAGCTTGATCCTTCAATACAAGCTCTTGGTTGATGATTTCCAGATCACGGACAGGATCCACCTCACCTTCAACGTGAGTTACGTCGGTGTCATCAAAACCCCGACACACATGGAACAAGGCATCACAAGCACTGACGTGAGAAAGGAAAGCGTTTCCAAGACCTTGTCCCTCAGATGCGCCCTTGACTAGACCAGCAATATCCGTGACATTCAGGTACGCGGGCACACGACTTAAAGGTTTCCAGTTTGCCAATAACCAGTCAAATCTGTCATCTGCCACGGCTACACGAGCTTCATTCGGGTCGATGGTACAGAAAGGGAAGTTCTCGGCTTGAGCTTCACTCTTAGTCAACACATTGAAGAACGTGCTCTTCCCCACATTTGGCAACCCAAGGATACCCATCTAAAACAAGAATAAACAAGGAAGCAGATTTATTACCTTCAAGTTGGTTCCCATACGGCCAAGAAGAAGTGCCGGTTTCTCCTCTTCTACCTTCTTTTTTGGTGGCATCTCGCTAAAAACGAGTATAAGACAAGAAAATCAAGGGAAACAGTAACATACATGATGGTCAGGACCTTCACAAGCAAAAACAATGTAATATGGAAAATAATTGTTTATGAATAAAATAAATAACAATGTAGAGATCAAAAGATTAATAAGGACGTTGGCCCATTGGAGGAACTCCATAAGGCTGTTGCATGTTCGGTACACCATGACCTCCGAGAGCACCTTGCATACCAATTGGAGCACCCGCAGGGACTTGTGGTACTGTTCTGTTTGCAGGTCTGGCTTGTCCAGGACCGCCAGTGCCGCCGGCCTTTGGAACTCTGGAGTCATCATCCTTCTGTGCTGGACCATCGACGCTGATAGATATGATTTTGTCACCACGAAGAAGGATTAGTCCTAATGTGCGTTTTTCTTCTTCATTAACGAGTTTCTTTCCTGGTTTTGGTTTGATTTTCCTCACTTCTTCACAGTCAGATAGAATAACATTCATGTGTTTGTCAAAAGCTTAAAAAATGTAATTATAAAAATAAACGTTAAAATTCAACAACATTATGTCTATTTACAATAACATTACAGTAAAATAAGCAACATACCTTTGAAATAGCCAACAAAAGTTCTGCTATCCTGCACAATAACTTTCATGCGATAGCCCAGATGAGCCATCATCTTGTTGTTCTTTCCAATAGTCTAAAATAACCATTAAAATTTATTAAAAACATACTAAACTTACCATTTTGGGTGTCTGTACCAAACGGAGAAAGACTTACGAAAGATTTTCTTCTTATTTTCCGTAAAACAAAACCTACGCTCGAATGGTCCCGCCACGAAAGCTTTTATTTTGTGTTTTTGTTTCATCAGTAATTTCGAATATTTACAAAGAGAAACTCCGTTAAAAAATGAAATTTATTTACTATAATTATAATCTCTAATCTTTTTGGTATAATAATGTCATACTTGCGCTTTAATTCCTGACATAAACAACACGTTTGCGTTATTCAGTTTATAAAATCTGAAAGTAAAGAGCGAAATATTTTATTTATCCATTAAAACGATAAAATTGTAAGTATCATGAGTAATAGATTAGACTAAACACAAGGCATTGTGGAAGAAGTTTAACATGTTTGAATGGAGGTATTCTACAGCATCGGCTTTCCTTACTCCGTGTCTTTCGTTCGGGAATAGCTGAAAACAGTTATCACTACAAACAGAGGCGACATCGACTTACGAGTAGTTGATGAGGTTTTCCTGCGGCAATCAGAAGTTGAATAAGTTTTTCAGTGTGAGCAAAATGTACGTTTTCATCGATTAACCCGTGGACAATTAAAAGACGGTTTGGCCTAAAATAACGTATTACAATGGAAAGAAAGTAAAAGCATCGATTCTTTGGTTAGAAACCTACTCTTCTGGTAGCTTGTCCGAGATAGACATAATATTGGCGTTCCAGTACTTGGAGTCATAGTCAAACTCCATGTATCGTTCGGTGTAACAAGTGTCATATAGCTTCCAATCTACTACAGCACCACCGGCGCAGGCACATTTGTATACATCTGGATGTAGCGCTAGCATCCGTAAGGCCATGTATCCACCGTACGACCAACCCGTAACCACAACCCGGTTCATATCCAAGAACGTGTTCCTCAGAGCCAACTTTTTGAGGACAAAAACTTGGTCAGCAACTTCTGTTTCTCCCTGAAAAAGAAAATTTTAAAACTATTATACACTTTGTTTAAGCATAAATTGTGAAACTGAGAATACTAAACTTACGAGTTGGCTCTTGATATAACTTTCAAACTTGATTCCTCTGTTTGAAGACCCTCTACCGTCAATCAGAACCACAGCATACCCAGCGGCGACAAACTTCAAAAACTGTGAAACTCTGAAACAATTACAAAAATTATGGTACACCAAACTTACGTTAACCAGCTGTCTTTCACAATCTGTAACCCTGGACCCGCATAAACATAATGTACCACAGGAAATGGCCCTGGAGAGTTGGCTGGTGTAAAGACAAGACTGAAAGCTGTCTCTCCACAAGGCAGTTTAGTTTTGGAGAACTCGTGATGGTAGAGTTGGTTGATCGGAGGTGAAATTGGGCGATCAATTGACATGGCAGATGGTGACATTGGGTTGAGACAGTCATCAGATACATTGCTACTGTTCGGAGAGGTCGGGTGATCGATGGAGAATGTGTGTCTCATAACAGCTGAAGGCAATCCGCCGTCTTGAGGGTGCATCAGTTCATAGAATCTGCACTCAGGAGTTTTGGACACGTTACTCAGCCAACAAACAAAACCAATATCTGGCCATAAAGACAACTCTGTGTCACAACGGTCGTACCTAAACTCTCCATTAACATCGAATATTAACTTACTTGTAGCACAAATCAGGTGGAGTAAGTGGCTTTGGTTCCGCATTCTTCTGCACTTTACAGACACATCTAAAACATACTGTAAAGCTGTTGTTAATTAATCCTATTTCATCCAAATATTAACATACAAAACTTGTTTTATCATTAAAGCAGCAAACCTTACAACTGATTCCGAAAAACAGAAGAATAAGTAGCTAAGAAGTATATCTGCATTCTTTTAACGTCAACAACAACAGGCACGTCCTTGACTACAGTCCATTTGCCACTTGTAATACGTCTGTCACGCATAGTAGAGCTCTCTCCTAAACAATAACTTTAGAAGATGCCATAACTTACCATCGATCACGTTTTCAGAATAGTAAAGATGACATTTATCATCCTTCTCAGATCCATATATCATTAACACAGCTTTTGGATCTTGGAACGGCAAGACATAGGTTAAATTGTTGTGCTAAAATAACTTTATTTGACTCTAAACTAACATAGAACTTCCCCAAAACAAATTTTAAGCTTACGTTAACCCATACTGGTGATTCCTCTTCTCTGACAATAAATAATAGCAAGTTATCAATGTTATTAGTAGACGAAAAGCACTCTCTACCCAATCCTACTACAGTCAACTTCTTTTGAAAGCGATTCAAAAGGCTCAAGTATATCCTAAAAAAGCATATATATAATAAACAAACTAACGTACATCTTGCCTTCGGCATCCCAATTGACTCTTGACAAGTACTCAGCACATGACACAATATCGTCCAAAGCCACCAATAAAGGATTGTCCTCGAACGTACCCGTTCTTTTATCTAACGTGACTAAATGTAACGCTGATCGAGGGTTGGGCTGACCCACGCGAGGATACCTCATTGGACTAGATGGCGCTTTACCCGGGACAGCAAAGTTTAAGGTCGTCACATTTTCTTCATCGACCTTCTCGTAGACTAGTTGAATTTCTCGTGGATTCCACCAGAATCCCTTGTCTCGTTCTAACTCTTCTTGAACAACAAAAGATGGCGTACCCCTAGATATAAAGCTATCGCCTTCTTCAGGGGTACTAAATGCGTGTTCTCCATCTCTTAAAATATATGTTAATTTATAGAGATGCAACATACCTATCAATGAAGAATCTGCCATGAGAAGTAAATGCAACATATCGGGAATCTATAGGAGCGTATTGAAAATTTAATGGCTCAACGTCAGTCCATCCACACAATTGGGTTAGTTGTCCTCCCTAAACTATGCTACTACGATAATGAGAACTTACTTCATATTTGTACAATTTCGAAGCTGTTGAAACGAACACTTTTCCAGAAGCCATGTCAACATCAAAGTTTGTGACTCCGTTCCCAACTTGTCCTCTCATCCGTTCATAATGCATCTGAAGTTCGGCCGATGGTCGACCGTCGGTGGAAGGTCCAAAGTTGTCGGCCAACAGCAACGGTTCAAGTAGAATTTTTTCGTGTTTGTACAATTCACCGTAAACAATGGTATTAAGCGCTGAACCGGACGTGTTGACAGAACCCATAGCCAATATAACATTGTACTTGTCTTCACCGTTAACGCGTAACTTTGGCAAATACTTTATGTGGCTCAAACCATCGCCAAACAACTTCTTGACCTTTTTCCTCCAATAAGTAGAATGTTCTTTGAATTCAGCCCATGATTTTGGATAGTCAGTCTGCGCCATGAAATTCTCCAATCTATAGTATTCTATTTATATATTTACATACCAAAATTATTTTCCACAAAAAATATTATTATTTATTTATTTGGTCCTACAGCGACAACACTTTGGCTTTCTGTCCTAAACGAGCGCGCCAAAATAGTTGCAAAATTTAGTAAAATCGTTCTGCAAATTGAAAATTATGTTATTCCAAGGACTTTTGCATCGAGCTGAAAATTTTGGGAACAAACTTGAAACAAAGAAGGTAATATTAGTTTGTACTTTATTTATTATTATCGTAATTTAAATTTAACGTCTCTGAATTAACACTTTTATGCATTGAATGTTTGTTAATTGAAGGTAGAAAATGCTCAACCGTCCTCGGATTTGAAATCCATTTTTGTGGCCAGTGACAACATTTGTAAACGAAGGCAGCTGAGGCCTGATCACGAATGGAAAGAGAGTGAAAACACGACCGATGCTAAGAATAATGTTTCTGCAACTCTTTTAACTACTGATTCTGGATTTAACGCTGAAGATGTTCGGAATATCGTGCAAAAAACTTGGGAGAGAGCCGACGTCGAAGCTGAACGAGCTTTTATTAACCAATACATTTTAGATAAAACTCATTTTAATTCAGATGCCAATGCGATTTCATTCAATGGCTCTTCAAACCAAGGTTCTACCGGAAGACTAACTAACAGGTCTATCAATCGACAATACGAGTTGTACGCAAAACACGTAAGAAACAATATATTTTTTCATTTTGTGTTTAGGTAACAGAATCATTGACTGCCGACTGCAAGAATAACATCAAAGAAGCTGTTGTCCAAGCTGTGGAAGAAATGAATGATGAAGAAATTACACAGATCTGGCGGAAGGTGTTGCCTGTTTTGACGGTCGAGCCTTCTGATATTGAGGAGACTGAGGCTTATCGGTCTTCTGACAAATGGATCAATCATATATTTTTGCGTTCAACGGCTTATTTGCAAACATTGTAAGGGTTAGAAACTTTTTGTGTTTTACTGTTGCGTTTAAGCTCTTTCTATGAAAATCTCGATAAAGTTTAAATTTACGGTTTAGGTACAAAGAATACATGGAGATGGTAGTAGAGAATAACATGGAACAAGCGAGAAGAGGTGGACGACCAGGCGTCTTGTCTTTAGTGGAAGCTTTTTTGAATGTTGTCTGTCCTGATTGTGACTTTCAGGTTGGTTTTCTTATAATTTAAAAATATTTTTTATTTTTCAATTTAGTTTGTGGTAATTAAATGTTTTGTTTCAGGATGGACTTTCTGGAAAGCACCCAATATGGGCCATTGTGTACAATTTACTTCGAATTGGAGAGTTTGCGGTGGCAGCAAAAGTTGTTAAGACTTTGGTTAGCGTTCCGAATTGCTCTGTCATTGTTAACTGCATCTCGAATCTGTCAGACTCCGGGTAAGAAATGTCAATTAATTAGTTATTAGAATTTTAGGCTGTTTAAGTATTTTTAGATAATATTGTTTTTTTATTCGTGGTTATTACTTATGGTATTATAGACTTGATGCTAATAAAAGGATGAAACTGAATGCAGAATGGAAGCACGAAGGTGGAAACTGTACCGACCCATTTAAGAGAGCTTGTTATGGCATCTTCTTGGGCGTGGACTGTCCGGAAGTTACGGATTCTATTGAGAATTGGTTGTGGGTTAAGTTAATGCAATGTAAATTGGATGGACAACATGGGAGGTCTCAGTTCAGGAAGCTGCAGAACACTGTTTGTGTGGATTGTGGAGAAGACTACTTTGTGAAGAACGGCGGAAACTTTTCTTTGTATTTTACTGCTTTATGGCTAACAGGTAAGTGCTCTTTGATGTTATTGGTTGCTTTTTACTAGTTAATTAACATTTTATGTAGTAATTATATTCTAAATTTTAGGTCAAATTGAGAGGAGTATTGAGGTGTTATACAGGTCAGGTATGATTCACCATGCTGTTCATATTGCCATACTCGCAAACCAGAAACGCTTGTTGATGATTGGTAAAAAGATATCTGAGTTTATACGTAAGTTTATATAATTTATTATCGTTTTTGTAATTTTTTTAAATAAGGAATTTGTATTTTCAGTCACTCAAGACGAGAACGATTCAGTGTTTTGCAAATTGAACTTCGCTCGCCTAGTCTTATTGTATGTGAAGAACTTTGAACTGGACAATGTGGAATATGCTCTAAGTTACTGTTTCTTTTTGAAGGACTTATATTTCGAACAAGAAGTGAACGGAGGCAGGTTATTGAAATTTTTAAGCATTTTTCTGGATACTCTTATCAAATATGACGTATTTTTGATCAATAATTACAGGAAGGACAATATTGGAAGGCTGTATTAGTCGGCTGTGCTTCATCAGTCATCAAACTGACCTTATTCTGGGTCATTTGACAGAAAGTGGAGATGTGAAACGAGGTTTCATATTCAGATTTGAGCCGGTAGTGAACACTAACGACATCATAGATAGGGTGGCCAAGGACAGTGACATATCAGGCGAGACGCTAACGGCTTGTAGGCTTTTCTTGATGATCAAGGTGAGTTAAAGTAGATTTAAAAAATATATTTTGGAAATTACAGCTTTTAAATATATTATTTTAGCGCGGAAACGATGCTTTCCAACTTTGTTCAAAGCATTTGGTATCCTTGATTGCTCATGACAGTTTTGAAGACGTCTCAAATAGAAAGGAGTCGGAGGAGACTATCAAGCTAGCCTACTGGTTGTTGAACATATCCGAGAAGAACCAGGAACTATCATTCGACGTCAATCTGAAGAAGGAACTGGAGATGCTGGTCAAGTTGAACATGTTCTGTAATACTGCTGTGGACGAACCTGACAAAGCATTGAGGTTTATTAAGGAACTGAAACTACTGCCATTTGCTAACGACGAGTTATCTATCAGAGCTGCTGATTACGCTTTGATTCCAGAACAGGTAATTATTGTTATTTTCAGTCTTTTATTCTTTGTGTGTTTTATTTACACCATTTCCTTTTCAGGTTAAACCAGTTATGCATAATGTGGTCATCGCCTTGTTCAAGGTGTTGGTTCGTCTTTCTCGCTTGGACAGTGGGTACTCACGAGCTGAATTGAAGCAAATGTCGAAGACCGTGTTATTGTTTGTGGCCGAAGTTAACTGCTGGTTCCCTGTGCATCTTAACACTCAGATTTTACAATTACAAGCTCAGATTTGAATTTTATCAATAAATTATATTATTTTAGTTTTGGGTGATGTCTTACGTTTCTTTCGTTTGCTATTGCTGTGATGTGGTGGTTTGTAACTTTAAAGCATTTAGATGTCACGCACACCAAAAGGGAAGAAGCCGATCCCGGTTGGGCCTGATCAGCCCAGTTTGTTTTCGTATTTTAAAGTAACCCCAAAACAGACGGCTGAATCTGACAAAAAGGAGAATTTTCTTCAAACCTCTAGTTTAAAGCGAACCAGAAGTGACAGTATTGAGGTTGAGCCACAGACACCTAAATCAGTGAAGAGACGTCGAGTTATCATATCTGATGATGAAGACGAAGATTTTGTCATTGTGGCAGCAGAGAAGGAGGCATCTCCTCCGATGACTCCAACCTCGGCTGCCAGAAAGGCAATATTGAAAGCGCAGGGCCCAATCACTATCAAACGTATTCAAAAGCCAGCAACTTTTACTCCAGGAAAGAGCGCTAAGGTAGGGAATACGTTTCATGTTACGTTTGTTCTGTTATAGACTCCTGTGAAAGTCAAGGAAATCAGAGGCAATGCTAGTGACAAAGAGAACGATGTTGACTTTGTTCACTTGACCTTTCCCTTTTTGAAGCCAGAAAACATTAGAGATGCTGAGAAAAGGAGACCCGATGATCCTGATTATGATCCCACTACTTTGTATGTGCCTGAACAATTCATCAAAGATCAGTCTCCAGGTATCTTATTGGTGTATTTTACCTAATATTGAGGAATCTGTTTGTTATTTACTTTGTTTTAATATTTAGGACATCGACAATGGTGGAAGCTGAAGTCAGCAAACTTTGACACGGTTTTATTTTTCAAAGTAGGAAAGTTCTACGAATTGTATCACATGGATGCAGTTATTGCTGCTGAAAAGCTTGGAATCTCTTATATGAGGGTAAGGAATGTCTTACTTTTAGAGATTTCTTTGAATATTGTTAGTTTCTTCTTGTTTATCGTTGATGACATCGTATTACTCAATTTTTGTTTTCAGGGGAAATTTGCTCACAGTGGATTCCCAGAGATCGGATACGCCAAGTTTGCCGAAGGTTTGATTGTTCAAGGCTACAAAGTGGCTCGGGTGGAGCAGACTGAAACTCCAGATCAGTTGGCCGAAAGAACCAAGATTGAAAAGGTTAAGGATAAGGTTGTCAGAAGGTAAGACAGTCTTGGTGTTTTGTGACATTTACTTTCAGAGAACTTTGTCGTATCACTTCTGCTTCCACAAGAGGGTGCACTGTCATGGATACAGAATCTTTGGAGACGGTGGCTACAGAACCAATTTACTTGATGGCGGTTAAAGAGAGTGTAAGTTAAAAAATTCGTTTTTTGTCAACTTTTGGGTAACAAATGGCTTTGAAATGTGAATGTTTCTTTGATCAAGTGTAACATTTTTAGTCTGTTTGCATGGAAGAAGGAGGAATGAAGCCTCGGTATGGTATCTGTTTGATCGACTGTCAAATTGGGCAGTTCTTTGTAAGTTTACGTTAATTGATACTGTAACCGTTAGCTAGGAAGCCTGTGTACTATCATTTTTAGTTGTCCGAGTTCACTGATGACGAAAGTCTGACGTCATTTCGAACTTTCCTTGCTCACAATCAGCCCAAGGAATACTTGTTTGAACGTGGGCATATTACATCTAACACTTCTGCCGTGTTGGCATCTGTTTTGGGCAAGACGAATGGCATCGGCTTGTCTTCAAAGAAACAGTTTCAAACCAGTGACGATACTTTGAAACAAGTAAGTCTCTTTTGTAGCTTTATTTATTTAATGTCTAATATAATTACAGCTAATGAACTCTGAATATTTGGGTAACAACGTTAAAGATTGGCCAGAAGCTCTTAAAGCAGCGTTGAATGATGTTGAAGAAGCGATTCCAACTGCCAATTTTGATTACCAGTTGTGCATCTCGGCATTAGGAGCTACTTTGTGGCAATTGAAGCGATGTTTGGTCGATGTGGACATGGTTACAATGAAGAAGTTTGCTTTTGTCAACCCTTCGACCTTGGAATTCAAGAGGAATACTGTAAGAGTTTAAAGTGTTACATTATCATTTTAATTTTTTGTATTTAAATTGTTTTATTAAATTGCTTAATTGTAGACGATGAGCAGAGAAAAGTGGAAGGGTATCAAGATGGTATTGGACAGTTATGCTTTGAACTCACTCCATCTACTTCCTCCAAACGACCCCTTGAGCCAGAAGAAGACTCACGAGAAGAAAGATGCCGCTGGCAAGGACTTCTCATTGTATCATACTATCAATCGGTGTATCACCCCATTCGGAAAGCGGGAACTCAGAAGATGGATCTGTGTACCTACTTGTGATCCTGACACAATCCAGGATCGTCAGCAAGCAGTGTCATATCTATCTTCTTCTGAAGGTCTGCAACTGGTCAACAAGGCTACCGAATTCTTCAAGAAGATTGTTGATTTAGAGAAGTTGTTCCAGAGCATTCACAGTATGGGATTGAAGTACAGGTCTACCGAGCATCCTGACAGTCGTGCGCAGATGTTCGAGTCGAAGAAGTACGGTTGTAGAAAGGTGAAGAACTTGGCGTTGGCATTGGATGGTATGGAGATGATTGCCAAGTTGAACAACTACTACCATCAGAATCGTAACAATCTTGGGGACGTGTGAGTTTGATTTTGATCAATGTCTCTTACGAATACCTTGATGTTTACTTTGCCGAATGTTTTAACATTAACCGGTTTCAGTCCAAGTTTGGTAGAAGAATGTTTGTGTGACAAACCAGAAGCTTTGTTAGCTGATCTGAAGCACTTCAATACCTTGATTGGAAACCGAGCCAAAGCTCTTGAAGAAGGAAAAATCATCCCTAAACCGGGAATCGACACAGACTACGACAATTCTTTGAAGGGAATCGAAGATGCCAAACAGAATCTGGACGAGTTTCTGAAGGAGCAAAAGAAAAAACTCAAATGCACTGTAAGTTTATCGCTACTTAAAGTTTTTTAAGTTACATGCAGTACCTAACCTAATATTTGTTTTAGCAACTTAAATTCCAAGGCGCTTCCAAGACACCGTATCACTTGGAGGTTCCTGAAGAATTGTCCAAAACCTTGGATTTCAGCTACGAATTGAAGTCCAGGAAACAGGTATTGCTTTTATCGTTAAAAATTAAAATGGTTGTGATAAATGTTTTTCATAAAAAAGCTTTAAAATTGTAATTTGGAACTTAGGGATGGCGAAGATTCACAACTCCAGAACTGGACGAATTAGTCATGAATTTGGACTCAGCTTTGAAGGTAACCCAGGAATTCAACAACGATTATACTCGTCGAGTGTTTGAGAGTTTCGATCAAAAGTAAGTTAATAGTGACTATCCATTATAGTTTTATAATCGTTTCATTACCTAAATTTATTTTAGGAAAGAACGATGGGTGTCCTTGCTGAAGAAGATGTCTCGATTTGATTGTTTACTGTCATTGGCGTTGTATGCCTCCCAATCTCCGATTCAAATGTGTTTGCCAGAGTTCGACTTTGAGGCTGAAAAGGTAATACTCACATACTTGATGATAACCTGTTTTAGCCTGTAATTGAAATCACTGAGGGTTATCACCCAACATTGGCAACAGGCCAGTTTCAACTGGGCCGAAATGCGAGTGAATTCATTCCAAATGACACTACTTTGGGATGGGAGAAGCCGGCTTTGCTGCTGTTAACTGGTGCCAATATGGGCGGAAAGTCCACTTTGATGCGCCAAGTTGCTGTTTTGTCTGTTCTGGCACAATTGGTAAGTAAAAAGACTGGACATACAGTGCTTTTGTAGGGTTCAATGGTACCGGCCAAGCAGATGAAGATCAGCCCAGTTGATAGGATCTTTTGCCGCATTGGAGCCAGCGACTGCTTAGCTGCTGGTAGGTTTTTCGATGCCATGCAACTGTTATTAATATGAATATTATGCTCTTTAACCTGCTTTTAGGCCAGTCTACCTTTTACATGGAGCTCAACGAAACCAACATTATCTTGCGGTCTGCTTCACCTCATTCTTTGGCCATTGTCGATGAACTTGGTCGCGGAACTAGGTACTCTTTTGAACAATTTGTGTTTTTTTTGTCATAACTCTATTATAAATTTTTATTTTAGTACACACGATGGTACAGCCATTGCTGGAGCAGTCCTTCGTTACATGGCTGACAAAGTTGGCTGTCGTGGGGTTTTCTCTACTCACTATCACAGTTTGTGCCGCATCGCTGCTGATAACCCAAGAATTGCTGAGGGACACATGGTATGTTTAGTGACATTTAAAGTATTATGTCGCAACATATTGCGATATTTACTTAACAGTAGTATATTAAATGAGTTGTAGGCTTGTCTGGTGGAAAAAGATGAGAATTCTGACGACCCATGCATGGAGAACATTACCTTTTTGTACCAGTTGGTTGAGGGTTCTAGCTCCAAGTCATACGGATTCTTTACCGCAAAGATGTCTGGTCTGAAACCTGATGTAAGAATTTACTGTTATTTATATTTTGTTATGTCATTTGTTTGTCTGTGATCAAGAATGTGGTGTGAAATGAATATTTTAGCTTATCCGAAAAGCTGACCGTGCTAGCAAAATGATCTTTAACCAAGAAATCACGTTGGCCAAGTTGAAGTCCCTTAAGTTGGATGTGGAACGAGGAATCTCTGACGAAGACCTCATTGACAAGGTCGGGGTCGTATATTGAATTTCGTACTAATATTTTGAATGATACTCATGTTAAAATCATATTTTGAAATCTAATAAACTTTTATTTGTTGTTATCTATTATTGCTGGTTTATTGTACATTATTCAAACAACATATTATATAAACGTTTTATTGTACAAAGAATCGAGATACATGTTTGCTGACACTTTGGGTAACGCTGGGGACAGAATCTTTTAGAATATCCTCACGATTCGCAAACGGTGGAGCAGTTTGGTACAATGACCGCAACGCTGTCATTGAAGGGAAACGACTTACGACGTCCTTGGCCTTGGAGCTGCTCATTCCTGGGCATACGGTAAGTTGTTTGAGGAAACAGTCGGCTACTGTAAGCACTTTTGTTTTCTTACTTTCGTCTTGGAAGGCGGCAAATGATTGTCCCGAAATCTGGAAAAAGGTCTTAAAAATAGTAAATTATAAAGAACTCACAACAAGGCCACATCATACTTAAAACTATAATTAGAACAGTATCGATTCGTAAAATCGTGTACTTAATTAAATAGCAACATACCTCGTTGCTGTTCAACCGCTTAACCAAATAGTTGGTCAAATCGCGTAGGAATTGGGCTGTATCAGCAGAATTCAGAGTTCGCTGAACCAGGAATCCATCTTGGATACAGGTAGAGACAATAGCTTGCTCCAAAGACGAGTCCACTTTACTCGTCGATCCTTCCACCAACAATATAATGTTCTTGATCTCGGACTGTTTCAGTCGCTGTTTTTGTTCGTGGTATCTAGACTGGCGCACACTAGTCTAAACAGTTGTAATCAATAACAAAATGTTACTGTTTATTAATATATAATAATATTACTTTTCACAATCGTAATATATGTTATTTCTTACCTTCAAGTCGTCCCAGGTTTTTCGTTCGATCACGAAATCCATGACCAGCTCGTTCTCGTGCCCTGGTCCCATCTGCAGAACCCACAAGAAGTCACCGACCGCCAAGGACCGAAGATCATATTGGACTCCTTTCTTGGTCAGATGGTCACACAATCCGTTGGACCGTCCATCTCTCCGGTTCTCTCTGTTATCAACAACTAACAACACTTGAGGCAGAATTCCACTGTAAGGCTTGTACACTAACTGCGAATCTGTGGCTTCGCTATGAGACGTAGTTGAAGCTTGAGACGATGTTGGAACACGATTACCCGGATTATGCGATTGTGAAGGGAAGGAAGGTTGTAGTACAGAAGATTGCGTACTAACACCAGAAGGACCTACAATTCCTGATGCTTCCGGAAGAGGTAACGGGGAAACATTTGAACAAATAGACGACAGAACTGTCTTCGAAGTTGAAGCAGCGTTTTGTGAACTTGATGGACCTTTTGTCTGCTGGGAAGTACCAACCATAAGGCCAGTTCCTCCGAATTTCGACATCATTCTTAGATTCTGTCGTGCATCTACTGACAAGAACGGAATCGTTTTCTTGCCTCTGGATACTGTAGATTCACACAGAAACTGTAGAAACTCTCCGCTTCTCAAGGCACGAACTTGGGAGAGGTTCACTTCAGAGACGCCATTAACTTGTTTGAAGTATTTGTAAGCCGCATCCAACCGTGTAGCAAAGTCTTCTCCGATACCTAAACATAATTAAAAAATAAAACAAATCAATATTTAAAAGTTGAGACCTACTAAGCACTAACACTTACCTTTGATCATCTTGAGATCAGCATATCCGTTGATCTTCAACGGGTACTTCTTGAGGTTCTCCAATGCTTTTTTGACGACAAAAGCTCCATTCTTGTCGGAGGCATTGTCCTTCCAGTCGATCAGAACCTTCTCGTAGAAATGGTTTTCCGGATAAATTAAGTTCACTTTCACCGCCTTAGGGGGCATACTTCAATAAAGTGTAAATTAAACGTTGATTCGATAAAAAGTGATTCTTCAATATACAACAAGGATGTAGAACCGAAAATGAATTGGAGAAATAAAATAATAACGTTTATTAAATAAATAATTAAAAAACGACGGTTATCTTCTGGTCTTGAAGAACATAACTAATAACTATAATGTAAGGTTTGTCAATCTTTAAAAGGGTTGTATCGACCATATTTACATCAACGACTTGGACACGGCATCGATGTGCTGAAATAAAAAAAATCACAAAAGGCCTTAAAAACTGTCATCATCACTAAATTATAATATCAAAATTTGTAGACGTAATACCTTATGTTTAATATATTAATATCAGCCGTTCAAAGACATAAACTAATTTTTCACAATAGCAATAAGACTTACCCGGTCCAACAAGTTTCTATACTGCTTTAGACTATTTGTGTAGGCCATAACACTAGTGGAGTCGACGTTAGAAGGCGGCAACGGTGGAATCGGGATTCTGACAGTTTGATGCTTCTTCGCCGAGAAGGAAGCCTCTTCTGACGACAACTCCAACTTGGTGAGTTGAGACTTGGGAATCAGATACTTGCCTTTTTCTTCGGATGGGAAAGTCCACTCCCTAGTGCCCCCCTCACTCTTTACTGTGACACTTTTCTGTACAGTAGCCTTCTTCTTGGACACGTTGAACTTCTTCATGATGTCCAAAGCCAAGGCCGCACTTTTTGGTTGACCAATATGACTAACTATGAGATCGTACAGATTATCGACTTCCGGGCAATCTTTAGGTAACGATGGCGCGTCATCGGTTTGTGAAGATGTCGAGCATTTACTGAGTTCAAAGGTGGTTTCGTCAATTTGAGAGTGAGGGGTATAATCAGTTGAGGAGGCTTGATGTCGGTCTGATTCACAGTAGAAGGTAACGACGATATGAACGGGGGCATGTTTGGTAGTATTGGAGGAGCTGGTGGAGGTATATACTGAGGGACGGGCAATCCTGACAGAGTAGGGTGCATGAAGGAGTATGTGGGATGGGGCGGATACATACTGTACATGGGCATTGGACTAATGAATGCTGAAACAAAGAAAACATGTCATAGACACAAAAATATTGTAAATGAAATGAATATGTACTCAAACCTTACTTTGGTCAGTACCGCTCCCCAGATGGACGACAGTTGTGGCTCCAGGAATGGCGGGGAAGGATATACTCATTCCCGACTTCCGATCGTCCATTTCCTTCTTGACAAACAACTCTGAACTCGAGTTGGCCAATATGATGGGGTCATGCTGGGGTGGTTCCGCTGGTACTTGTGGTGCAGGTTCCCATTTCGATCGTCTTTCTTGTTTTATAACTGGCTTTCTAAAACATTGACTAACAATTAAACCACGTTTTAATACAAAAGGCAAATTAAATTAAATTTTCAAACCTAGACATGAGAAACGGGCCGGGCCTGAATGTTAGGCCCATCGAAATTTTGCTCAGGGCCGGCCCGGCCCATTTCCCATGTATATTCAAAACTTTTTTAATTTTAAAAAATCATTGAAACGTAAAAAATTTAAATTTAAACTTTCGAGAAAAAAGATGAAACGCACAACTTCTTGGGTATCCTGTACTCCTCCTTAGGAAGGTAACTCCAATCCTCGTATAACCTGTAAATGTTTCCTTTGATTTGAGCAGCCATGTTTAAGGTATCCGGGTCGACCTGATCTACCCGCGATACAACAATATTAATAATGTCAGCAATGTCATCGTCATCTTGTTGAACGTTTTCTTCGCTAACAGAGCAGAACTTCTGAAAAGATTACATCTTCTGTGGAACAATTCTTTTTAACCTAACATTTCTTATCATTTCTATTTAACCTTATCTACCGCTGTGTTCTGAACTTACATCAACAACCTTCAAGAACTCTGTGAACAACTTCCTTGTGCACTCCTTAACTTGTTGTTGACTCTTCAATGTTACCCTCAGTAAGATGTTCGTGACCATCAAGACAACACTGAACTGGCTGGCATTGATACGGTTCTCGAAATAGGTCGTACTCAGATACCAGATGGCATCCATAGCGTTTCTCTCACTAAACTTCTTCATAGTGTTGTCGTCAAAGTCGTTTATAAACTTTATACATTGTTTGGCAGATCCTGGGAAGTTCAATTCTGTCAGCCTCCTAAAAAAACGTTACATGGTAAATTAACCTGTATTGACATACAAAAACGTATAAAAGAATTATTTTCACAACTTCACTTACCTCTTGAAGTGCTCCAAATTATGATACAGCTGATTGTTCTCTATCCATTTGGCGAACTGTGACAGAATACGTTTCTCGAGGGCAATGGCCTTCTGTTCGGCCAGTCTAGCCTTTGAGACCACCGTGGACACCTTGTTGGGTAGGGAAAGTGGGGGTGGAGCAGGCTGAACAAAGTCGTCATCGTCGTCCTCTTCTTCATCTGAGGACTCAATGCTTTTGTCTTCTTCATCTGAATCCGTCTCCGAGATGAGATCTTCCTCTTCTTCTTCAATGATTGTGTCTGCTGCATCTTGTTTGCCAGAAATGTACCCACGACAATTATGTGCTCCACAGTAACACTTCTGGGCGGTCTTACTATAAAATTAACCTTAACAACAACTAATATAATTTCTATTACTGTTTCAAAAATACCTAATAATAAAAATAAAACGTACCCAAATCTCTCGAAATTGTAATCAAACACAATTTCCTGACCAGCAGTGATCTCTTTGATAGAGAAGAATCCTATCCTGGTTCTCCTGTTGATGGTCCACTTGTCTGTCGCCGCATTTGGGTCACAACTGTGGTTGACAAAACGGGATATATTACCCTTTCTTGTAGCATCGATAAAAGTGTCAGACGTTAAGGACATCAAATAGTGATGTTTGTGGTTTGGATCACTCGCGTATTTACGTGATCGACGTCGACATTGATGGCTGTCGATGATTTCTCCGACGTACTCGATAATAAACGAACCACTGAAAATGGAATATTATAAAAGTAAATGTAAGGTTAATCATTTAAATTAAAACTTACATTCAAATAAAATTGAAAAATAATAGTTTTACCTTGGAATGTTCTCCAACGCTCGTATACCCCATCCTTTAGCTCCAGCAAAGAACGGTTCAATCTTAGCGTACTCTTTCTAAAGTGGTATAATAAGGAAATTAAACAAATTGTACAAACAATTGTCAAAGACAACACTTACATTTTGAAACCTCCTATTACGACAATATTCTCCTGATGGACACTTCAAAGGGCATTCGTATCTCATGGCTCTGTTCAAGCATTGTTCAGAAGAACAAGCTTTACCTTGTTTCATCTCTTCTTCCGTGTAATTACACAAACATTTGTCTGGTCTGTCGTTGATCAACACATAATCAGCATCACATCTTAATTTACAATCACTTATAGGTTTAAAGTCAGGTAACGTAGCTTTCGGTTGTACCTTTTCAGCTATTGGTTCAAGCTGTGCTTCGGCTGGTATTGGCACCTCGACTTCTAAACACCAAATAATTTAAATAACAAGAAAACTTACTTTCCACCTCCTCCTCCACGCTTTCAGTGTTACTTTCGGATAGTACCAATCCACTGTCATTTAATAAAGGTGTATCTTCATCCTCGGTTTTAAATTCTGAACTGGCCAACTCCTTTAACAATGCATCTTCCTGTTCTTCATCTCGTTCACAAGAGTCTGAATCTTCATCTTCTTCGGTGATACGATCCGTGTCGATTTCAATTATTTTACCTGCATTTTTAGGTACCTCTCCTTCATTTATGGCAATGCAAATCTCTGTTATCACATCATTTTCGTCATGATCCTCTCTTAAAATTACATATTTTCCATCTGTCTCGTCTAAAAAAAGCGCCCTTTTCGACTGGTTGGGCAAAGAATACTTTTCCGTGATTTTGGATAATATTTCCTCCTCATAATAAGATAGATCATTAGATGTGCACGGTTTCTTCGCTGCCATCTCGTCTACATCATTTATATGGCTGGCTGCTAGTGCAGTTCGTTTTATATTATCTAAAAAAGGATAAAAACAATGTTATAACATGTTACCTTTCACGGCCTTAGGCTTGCGGCCTCTTTTGACTTGTACCATAAGATAAGACGTGAGAGATGCTCTCAAACACTAGAACAAAGTATGGTCGTATACAGGATAAAAACGAAAATAATGGAAAATAAATGTTTTAAAAAATATTTTCGCTAAATTCTTGTTATAACAAAGTGTCAAATTTGAGGCGAAAAGCCACAAAGTAGCGCAGTGAATATTCAACAAAGATCTTGAATTTTATATAATAGATCCTTGTCATTAAAAAATGTAAAATTTTCTAAACTTGTTTAGTGTATTTTTGTTTTTTTTTATTTTTAAATCAAGATGTTTCAAAAATGTTTCAATTCTTTGAATTAAACCATGTTTTATCGTTTGTTGTACATTATTTTTGAGATTTTAGACAGTAAATGATTGATATACAAACATATTCACAGTTCGTAAACTTTTTAGTGTGCTAGTAAGCATAGTATCAAAAACAGTTGATAAGTGGCAATTTACTATTTTTTCAAACGTTTTTAGGGCAATATGAAAGATTTAACCGTCGTATGATGATTATCACAATGTCGTACTAATAAATTGGTTGCCGTTTAGATGGTTTCGAGACTTTGGTGACATTATAGAAGTGAATACCGTATTCCAAAGAGGATTTGATTTTCGGGAAAAGGCGAGAAGTGAATCACGAAGAAAGGGTTTGGAGGGACAAACACTTCCCAAACAAGGTGGGCTCAAGATAAGCGGCTTCAGTGATGAGACCGTATTTGCACACAAATATACACTAAATGCTCCATCTTTTATTCGTGATTCCTATGATGTGGATATCACCGTCAATCTCAACAAGTGAAGAGTGAGATACCGTAACATCACTCTTGCTCGTTAGAGGTTCACAGTTATGTCCACAGGATGATGATAAAACCAGTCTATCATATTCTTCTACTTTATTACCAATCAAACGTCACTATATTACTGATAACTAATGTAAAAGTTAGTGTAAAAGTTTTCCAATTTATAAACTTTGATCACAATCGAAAGGATCCGATTTTGTTCAAAAATATTGTATACAATGAATGTAAAACTCTAGAAATCTGTACACAATCAATAACTAGTAAGTGGTGAAATATGACACTTGTGATTATCATCGTGCCAAGGCTCCGATCAAAGCTGCGCACATCTCAAAGAACTGCATCGTCTGCGATTGCTTCGTAGCGTTTGCGGCTTCCAAGGCTTGTGCTGCGGCTGCTTTTTGGACCTAAAACAATATTTTTAGGTAAAAACTTTTTGCAATTGGCAATCTTTAGTCTGAGACTTATTCATTCACTTACCTCGATTGGCATGGGTAATGACTGGGCCCGATGATTCCGTAACGATGGCTTCACCGGCATTGAGACGGACGCGTGCCTCGAGGCAAACGAAGGGTTTTCTGATATAGCTGGACCAGTTTCTTCATCAACTAGATTCTTAAAGTCCAACAGATAGCTCCGTTGGTCAACTTGATATAACTGCAGACTCATTTTAGGCTAAAATACAGTATGTTGTACATAAAAACCGCCTTACCACTTCTGTGTTGGGGTCGTCCGGCTTTTTCCGAACAACAACATGATAAGCGTTCAACAGCTTCCATTCAAAGTCCAGGTACTTCATGGCCCTGAACACTTCGTACATGATGTCTTCCGGCCGACTCTGTGATCGAATACCAAGATGCCATTTAGCCCGTTTAACATGAGGAGATTTGTGATTAGTCTGTGGTTGATTAGTAGCATTATCTTTGTATTCAAGCGTCGATGTTATCTTTGAGCTTTCTTAAACAGACTTGTCATGCTTCGACAAAACTTACGATTCATTCGTTCCGGATGTCGACTAGTTTGGTCAGCATGGTGCAGTTTGCTGGCTGGGGTTATGTGATAGAACTCTTCGATGGACAGTTTGGCAGCTGAAATCATGACGTTTAGACAGTTAAAGCGACGGACCGATCACGCAGAGTAGTAGAATGTTACGTGCACTTAGACGCATATTATCTAAGTAGATGCCATTTTAAAGCGGTATTAATTTCAGTTATTAAGGCACAACAAAAACAGAGGGTAAAACAACTACACTAACATCGTTGGCCGGCTGGTGGGACGGCGGCGGCTTCAGGCTTGTGAAAGGGACATCCCTCCTCCCCCAGTTTAGGACACATGTCGCAGGCGTTCAGTTCCCGTCGACGCAAGCTGAACAGGCATTCTTTGGCGCCCCATTTGGGGCACTTGTCACAATCGGGGGAACAAAACTGTCCTCGCGGTACTTGGTGCACCGCCGCGCAAAGACCCACAGGCGCCGTGTCTGGTTGATTCGCATGCCGCATAGCGTGAATCAGGACTGTGCCTGGCTGATCGACAACCGGCCCAGTGCCTTGCTTTTGCAGGATAGCCAGAGGATGCAATTGGAAGCCGTGTTCAACTGCAGACCAATCATATTAACCCGAGACAATTTAAAACCCCAAGTCACCAAAAGACCCAACTGGCTTCAGTCCTCCTTAAACCAGGTCTTAGAGTCCCTACGTTAATGAAAATGTAAACCTACTCTCATCTGCAATCCGCTTGTTGTCTACTATCAAATTGTAAGCTATGCTCAGCTGATGATGGGCATCGTCACTTAACAAGGCTGTCGTTACCTCGTCCTCACTCACATTGTATCTCTAAACCATTACGATATTTTACAGAATTATTACGACTTACACAACACACTTCCTTTACAGCATCGATATCAACAATAGAAGCCTCGCTTTCATTTATCGGGGGGAATAAGTAAGCAGGTAGGTCAACGCGGAACCATTCGTGGTTTCTAAAACCAAGCATTTATATGAATCTTATAAATAAATTTTGAAAAAGAAAGTTTAAAATCTTACACGACATCCTTGATCGTTGCTCGCTTCATGGGATCCACCTGTAGCATGTGAAGAAGCAGGTTAACTACGGGTTTGTCTAAGTAGTCAGGAATGGGGAAGATACCAGCTAAAACCATAATATATTACAATTAGACTTATAAGAGTAATAAAACATAACAATTTTCCATCCCAAATATTGAAAAACAACTTAAATACCTGCTAAACCTACATTTTATCTTTCTAAACAAAGAAGGGACATGTTCATCATCAAACGGTAGGGTACCACAAAGAAGAGCGTACAGGATAACACCACATGACCAGACGTCTACTTCAGGCCCAGCATACAATCTATAAAAATGAGTAATTACAAGTTTAATAAATTTGTATGAGTAAGCTATGATTTTAGGTAACATACTTTCCAGAGATCACTTCGGGTGCAGCATAGTTAGGACTACCACAACTTGTCCTCAAGAAATCTCCGTCCGTCATTATGTTTGATAACCCTATAACATGGTTTTAAATAAATAAGATTTTTCTTACCAAAATCGGCAATCTTGACGTTGTTTCTCTCATCCAAAAGCAAGTTCTCCGGCTTCAGATCTCTGTGAACAACCATGTGACGATGGCAATAGTCAACTCCAGATATTATTTGCTGGAAGAACCGGCGAGCTTCGCTTGGCTTCAGCTAAAACAAAAAAAGTAATCAAGAAAAACATAATCATACATAATTAAGTTTACTTACCCGACCGTGCTTCACGATGTATTCGAAGAGTTCTCCACCAGAAACGTACTCCATTATCATGAAGATGTCAGTCGGTGTGCTAATTACTTGATACCTAAATTTGGAATGTAAAATTAAAACAGAAAACTTACAGTTTGATAATGTGAGGATGGCGGAACAAAGAAAGATTCTGAATTTCTCGTCGAATCTTGCCGACAACATCCAGAATCTTGATTTTTTGTCGATTTAATACTTTAACGGCAACTTTGTAGCCAGTAGCTTCATGAATCCCAACTAAAAGCCAAAAATATTATAATTAGACAACAGCTTACCTTTCACTTTTCCAAACGTCCCTGTACCTAAAGTATCCTTCAGAACATAATGTCCTATCTTTATTTGGGCCTTCAGCTCCCGATCTGCCTTCGACAACTCGGTAGATGCCATCTTCCTACAAAATACGACTTAGCCCTCGACTAACATGAAATTAAAGGCAATCGTCTGCTCCATTCAGAAGAAAAAAAACTGGCAAACGTGACCATGCGAGACAACTTTTCCTAGAGGGAAACTCGACTCAAAAACAATATTGCAATAGATGGGTAAACACGTGATCTTTGGCGCTTTTTTGCGACCGGCAAACGATGGCATTTTGTTATCTTTTAATTTCCGTTGATAAGAAAATTACTAACAGTTAATATACTGGCTAACCCGAAAGTGTAAACAAACAAGGCCAGAATGGTCAAGTCTTCCCTAAATTTAAAACCAAAGACTTCCCTTTTTATCAGTAAACAAACGCATTCTGTGTTAGGTTTGCCGTTCAATAACATTAAAACATATTTACAAGTGTGTTCCAGATTTTCATATTGTTACTCACTTGTATTTTGATGAGAATCGTCGTTGAATTGACCGAACTCGGTCCAGCCCTGACGGCTGGCTTCGGCTGTTCGATCGCAAATAACTGTCCGGTTCCATAAGTTTAATTTACAACTGTAGAAATAGCGGATGGCCAAGATAAAAAGGCCGCAATCACGGTCTTCTGACCATTTTTTGAATAAAAGAGGATTAAAACAAGAATTTCAAAAAATCGATTACTCTTGATATTAATGTATGTACGGATTTATTTAAATACAAACGAATATCAGTCGGGCCTTTGGTTTTGGTTTGCTTCACTTCGCTCCAGCTCACTGAAAACGCCGTATAACAATTTGCGAAGGCATCGGCTTAATATTCCGGCTAAGTAGATCATTGCTTTGGTAGAGAGGTAGAGAACGGGGCCGAAGATGAATACGATTAAGATCACCGAATGTATAGTGGGAGCGAATTCGTAGCCCGAGTCAGGTCCCATCTTATTATTGATGATCTTCCAGTATAAGAAAATGAATTGGGATAGGTTTCTGTCCCTTGAGATGCACGTAGTCCGTGTGTTTGATTAGAAAAATGGCTGCAATTCCATACAACAAACAAGGGATACCTGAAAAAAAAATACTTTTACATTTACAGTCCATTGTAAGGTTAAGTAGTAGGTAGTAATGTAAGAGTAAAAACATACCCAAATTGAGGGCGGTGATGACTTTGAACAAATTGTTCTCCAAGTTAAGGTCTTGTGGCGCTCTTTTGGTACAGTGATACTTGACGTACGGGTAGCAACCTACCCTTAAGATGTGGTAGTTGCAACTGTCCACGGGAAAGTTAAAGTGCTTCTCTCCGTACAAATCGTCTTGAACACACCTGAAACAGTATTATATACTCTACCATATTGATCATGCAAATTATTTAACGATACTGACTTGTACGGTAGGAAAAACGAGGTCCAGCTAGGGTGATCCCTGTTTCTAATGTACTCAGCAACCACTTCTGAAGCCAGTGGGAGCTGTCGGTAACAAGGAATGCACAAGTTTCTCAAAGTTGTGACAATTCTCTTCGATAATACCATAAACTAATGACTAAACGAGCTATACCAACAATCTACGTAAGTAGAAATGGCTTGACGACCAGTAAGATACTTCTTCAGCTACATTATTATACATTTATTAAGTTAACAAAAGTGATATGTAGAAGATAAAAGTTTTCAAACGAATTATGTTTTTGTTTGCAAAAGTAATGTTGTTATTGTGAAAGCAGTATTAAATTATTAAATAAGTGAAGTTTGACATAGCGTGTTCAAAGTGATATAAATAATGGAAGGCGTATATAAAACGGCATAAATAGTGAAAAGGTTGGCGCTTAACGTAGACTAGACTGTTTGACGTGCTCGATAATCTCGTCTTGTTCATCTGCACTGTCATCACTCTCGTAGTGGTTGCCATTGTAACCTTGTGTTGAACTGGCTGAAATTTGTAAAAATAGAGTATGATGTTAAAGCTTATTTTGGATTTTATAGAGTCATTTTATAAATAGATATTCCCTGACCATAGCAAAACCCTACCTTCTTTATAAGACTTCTGCAGTGTATTCCGTTGGTTTGCAGGTTTAATGGTGATAATAAGGTTGTGAGCGTTGGCGATCATCATGTCTGTCACTTGATCTATCGTTTTACCATGTACCTAAAAACAAACAAAAATATGTATGAAAAGGAGCAAAAAATACTCATAACTAAGATATCTCACGTCAATTCCATTGACTTCGACAATCTCGTCATTGGCACTTAAAAGGCCGGTCGATTCTGCCAGTCCACCTTCTACCAACTTGCTGATGACGATGCCTTCCATCTTGACTGGTCCTTGAGCTGTTTGTCTTACAATGGAGCTAGGTCTGATGTAGAAGCCAAGTGGCCTGTCCGACGTGTATTTACATAAGCGCACTCTTCTGTGAGTGTCAGGGACGACATCGACGTCGATAATGGAAGACACCTGGCGGAAGTCTTCTGGATTAGAAATATTGTAGTGTCTGGTTGGCGCTTTGGAAGGTGCTGATATCCATGAAGACAATCCCTTCTTCTTTCGATCCAACGTGCTCACTCCGTAGCCGTACTTCTCTTCCCACGACTCTCCCTTTCGTTGTACTAGAACCCGAAGAGTTGGATGCGCTGACTCGAATGCCTTATGGAAGTTCTGAAATTTAAACTTCCTATAATCTGCCCAATACTTCAAAATTCGAACTTTGAAACAGTTGTTGGTTATTTAACCCACCTCGTCATTAGTAATAGGCAGCAAGTCACCTAACGTACTAGTATAACACAATGTAAACGCTGTGTTCTTCAGTACATGCTTCTTCTCGATACATTTTCTGAACTCTTCGTATGACATCAGGTTATCAAGGTTAATATTGATTAAGAAACGCCGGAATTCAGAATCAAATTTCGACTTGACGTGAATTGAGGACGGTATCTTGACACCATTGTGAAAGGATGATCTTCCCTAAATTAAAAATATTATAATGGAAGAAAATTAGCACATACCAACGTCCTTAAAGAAGGATTAAAATAAGTAAAAATGGTGAAAAACCTACTCGAGGAACGTCAGAACGTTCACCATGCTTGAACGACATCTAAAAAATAAAAATTGTCAATAAATACATACAACAGAATAACCAAAAATATTAAACTGTGCTTAACAGTATGTTATAAATTATCATCAACGACGTTATTCGTAGAAAATATTTAATAACACAACGACATAACAACAACAAATCACAAAACTAACGCATTATTCATCTTCTTCCTCGTCGCTTATTTCTAGATCGCTAAGTTCCTCCTCAAACAACGACTGGTCGATTTCGACGTTCTCTCCGGGCTTTTCGTCCTCTAACATACCGAGATCGGATATACTCAATGTGGCATCTCTCAAAAACTGCTGTTTCCCAGTCAACTTTCCTGCTAAAGCGGCTTCCTTCTCCTTCTTAGCAGCTATTTCAGCGGCCAAGAACTCTTTCTCAAAGGCTATCCTCCACTTGTTAAAGGATTCTTGTGTTACCCGGTTTCCTAAAAGCATAAAATGAAAATTACAAAAGCTTACCTTCAAATTTCCTTTGCTCTGCAGCCTCTTTTTCGTCTCGTATCCTTGTTTCTTCCTCGTCCTTCTCCTTTTCCAAACGTTTTAGTATTGTGGGAATGGCATTCTAAAATAACAAACTTGTTTAACATAACTTTGTTTAGAAATCGAGCAACTGAACAAAAAAATCCGAATACTTACCTGAACCTCTGAAATGAGAGTAATGATCACTTGAAAACCCAACATTGATTCAGCTGACGTCCTCATGTTCTTATACACTTCCTCGATACATTTTAAAGGAAAATCCATTGGAAAACCAGATAATTCAAACTCTGGACCAACTTCTGGATATTCAGCCGGTAGTTTTACGTCCAAATCCAAGTAAAAGTCTGCCTCCGGGTTCTCCCATTTCTAAAGATAGCTTTTATAAAAAGACAATCAAATCACTCACCGGAACGGACGGAATATTTATAGAAACATTGATATTAGGATATTCTCGGTTTATGACATTCAACTCATCAGGGTACGCTGCTTCTAATATCTCCAACTCCTGCTCCTGTTGTTCCCGACAGTCCATTTGAATCACTCGGACTAACAATTGAATATCACAAAAAAAGAAAACATAAAATTATTATACAGAGTGCAGCGCGCGCCCTATACTATGCAAACAGCGCGCGCGTTTTATATGAAAACCAATTTTTTGGCAAAAAACTGCACCACTGTAAGTTTTAGTTTCCTGGCTAATGTAAGTTGAATTTTTTTTTAAATAGCAACATTTTTGTATATGGTATTCACAATTTAAAAAAGAGGGTTCTCATGAAGAATAACTCCCCAGCAGGTGAATAATAATTCCCCATGGAAATGAGCTACAATCATTCCCCACTTATTCAAATTTTAAGATTTTTTTTTCAATTTCTCATTCTTTCATTTTGTTTGCTAAATTATGGTCGGTCCGCGAACTTACGAAGAAATCACTTATGAAATTGCCAAAAGTAAAAAAAACAACCGTTGTGTCCCACTCGGTGTTACTATCATGCCCCACTTGTTTTACTATCGTGCCCCACCTGTATTACTATCATGCCCCACCTGTATTACTATCGTGCCCCACCTGTATTACTATCATGCTCCACTCGAATTGCTATCATGCCCACCTGTATTACTATCATGCCCCACCTGTATTACTATCATGCCCCACCTGTATTACTATCATGCCCCACCTGTATTACTATCATGCCCCACCTGTTTTACTATCATGCCCCACCTGTATTACTATCATGCCCCACACTTAGAAAAACCCTTATTCACTTTCCCATTGCACTTTGAAAGTGTATTCATTATTCAAAACTTGGTTTACGCTTTCAAAGTTTATGCAAAAAAATCCTTATAAAAGCAACCGATTTCCCCAGAAATCGTCATTCGAGCCGAGTTCCGAGGTTGTCTGCCGGTTCTCTCTCCAGCCCCTAGTCGCGCGATGGTTCAACAGCTCCAACACTTGGATCGTTCCCAACCCTCACCTGAGCCAATACCTTCTGGACTAGTACAAGTTAAGTTCAACTTAACTTTGTGGGGAATGATTTTGCGCTTGGGGGAATGATTGTAGCTGGGGGAATGATTGTTCATCGGCCCCAAAAAGAGTTTTGATTACAACGATTTACCGCGCAGTACTGCGATATTAAACACTAGAATATGCGATCCGATTGTTTCAGGTAACAATTTAATTATTTAAAAAGATAACAGCCTAACAGATTTATTTAGATTGCAAACTTGTAGTGGATTGCGTGAAACTGGTGGCCAACAAACTCTGTGCCATACTTCTTGGAGATATACTCATTGGGTGAGATGCAGAACTGGAAGGTTGCACGATGTCGGTAGGCTGTTGGATGACGTCTTCTGCTCCAATCATCTGTCTTTGGACCAAAGTGCGGTAAGTTCCCTCAGTGTTAGATAGCTGTTCGTGACTTCCTACTTGTTCTACGACTCCCTTGTTAATAACGATGATCTTGTCGGCCTTCTCTACCGTGCTCAATCTATGAGCAATCAGAATGACAGATCGACCCTTCAGGTTCTTGTAGATGGCCTCTTGTACAAGATGTTCACTTTCTGTGTCAAGAGCAGACGTAGCTTCGTCCAGAAGAAGGATTGAAGGCTTTCTGACTAAAGCACGAGCAATAGCAATTCTTTGTTTCTGACCTCCTGACATCTGACTTCCCTTCTCTCCAACATTGGTTTCATATTGACTTTGAGTGTTGACAATGAAGGAATGGGCGTTGGCCAGCTTGGCAGCATCGATGACTTCAGCCTTCGTGCAAGCATCTAGACCGTATGCAATGTTTTCGGCTACAGAACGGGCGAACAGAATTGGTTCTTGGCCAACCAGGGCGATCTGAAGTCAGGATGTGATAATTAAATAAAATAAATAAAGGTAAACCATGTTGGTGCTTGGATATTGTTGATTACACTTACCGTATTGTGGATGAATCTGTGGTCGAATTCCTTCAACGGAGTTCCGTCTACTAATACTTGGCCACTGTTTGTGTTGTAGAAGTGTTCAAGTAGCGCGATACAAGAACTCTTTCCACTTCCACTTGGGCCTACCAATGCTACAACCTCTCCTGGCTCTACAGTAAAACTCAAATTCTGAAAAGTTTTAGTTGTTATTAGTTTTGAAAGCCTATAATAAAATAAATGTTGTTCCACATGGCATATTTGATATAAAGATAAGTATGAAATGGGGCCATCAGGGATATATTCATATGACATTACCTTAAGGATAGGCAAATTAGGCCTGGTTGGGTAAGAGAACTGAACATCTTTGAACTCGATTCTGCCCACCACCTTCTCGGGTATGTAAGTGCCAGAAGTGTCGATGTCGGGCTTACGGTCGATGTATTCAAATACCTTCCGCGACGCTCCCACACTTTGCATCAGGCCAGTCCATACCTCTCCGAGTTGCTGAAAACGTACTTTAAATACCTGAGGCTGCTTACTCGAATGTTATCAGCCAATTGCATCTGATAAAGGAGGAATGATACGAGTAGGTCTTTTTGTAACTGGTTCGTGAGCACTAAGTGACCTCCATACCAAAGGACCGCGATGTTGATGATGGCTTGGAACAACTAGAATCATACTTATTGAGAAAAGATTCTTACTACAAAGTAAATTAATTTTAAATAAGGTATACCTCACTGGTCAACAAGAATCCGACGTAAGCGAAAGCCTTCTGTTTGGTGACAGACAAGGTTTTGGTCAGCTTGGCGTAGAATCTTTCGCCTTCGATGTCTTCACAAGCGAATGACCTCACTGTTCTCATCGTACTTATCACTTCTTCAGCAACATCGTTTGAGTGAGCTACGGCTTCTTGGGTCTTCTCACTGAGGAACTAAAACAGTTTCATATTTAAATCATGTTTCACAATATTGAAATGCATAACTCTGCAAAAGTTACGCAATATTACCATGAAGCCGTTATATACTTACATCGTAGTACACACCAAAGATCTTTGAGGCGACAAGAATTACTGGTACAACAATGAAAGGTACCAACGACAACTTCCAGCACAACGTCAACATGAAGATCATGGATCCGCCCATTTGAACAATATTTCTGAAATTTGTCGCAATATACAGTAAACATACGTATAATGTTTTTATACCGTAACTAAAATGATTATTTTGAAAATATTTGAATTTCATACCTCAGGAATACGTTGATGTTCAAGGCCACAGTATCAGACATGGTTTGGGTATCAGCTGTCAGTCGAGAGGTGATCTCTCCAGTCTTGTGCCAATCAAAGAACGCCACATCTTGTCGTACCAAAGAAGAGAACAGGTTGTATCGTACAGCACGGTTGATTCTGGCATATGCGTACTCGAAACTGCCTCCTCTCAGACCTCCAGATACAGCTCTAAAAAGTAATGTCTCTGTAGTGTAAACTTACGAAACGACTGAAATCACGATCATCAACTTCACGGCATTGACAAGGGCACCGTACTTGTCGACGCCTTCGGTCACAACACTTGCAATCACTTGTCCTGTGTAGTACGGTACGAATATACGAGCTAAAATCAATAATTTAATAAAAGTACATATGATAGCATAAACACTATAACCAGGTAATTTGTAAAAGTAATGACTGCTTACTCAAAGAGTAAATGAAAAGCCAAGTGAACCCAGAGATATGCCACAACCATTCATCTCGACAGTACTGTAGCAGTCTGAAGATGACCTTGACTGTTTCGGCCTCGTCAACTTCAGCCTTTTGGTTCTCCAAAAGCTCGTCGCTTTCTTCTTCCAACGATTCGTAGTGTTCTGGCACGATCGTAGCGTTGACAAAGCTTTTCCATACCAAGTGGGTCAGTACAGCAAAGGTGAAGTTCTGTACGAGAATAAAGTAGTCAGATGCTGCTGGCACATTATTATTCTCTGTTAGTGCCAACAACTTCGTTGGTGAATATGAACAAAGTAAGATACAAATGGCGAAAGAAAAGTGTGACAAGTTAGACAAAAGGCCGTTAGGACTTTTGTGGATGATTACCAATGCTAGGCCAAACAACGTAAACAATACTCTAGCAACAGACATGTAGAACAAGTCCGACACGGACAATAAGAAGTTGAAAGGTAGTGACAACTCGGCCAAGAAGTTGTTCCAAGCGAAGCCGGCGCCATGGGCACAGAGTATGGCTATACAAGAGCCCAGATCTGCGGCGACCAAAAGCAGGGAATTTATTAACGGAGGCATGTTCCTAACCCTGCACTGTTAGGAATAATTTTGGTATAAAGAAGACGAGTCGTTCCAGTCGAGATAAGAAGCATCAAGACTGTTTGAATGGCTGATAACGTAACAATAAAGGCCTACTTCGTTTGTTTAATTTATTAATTAAGTATGATACAATAAGTACATGTTATTATGTCGGTAGAGTAATGAATTCGGAGAGAACGTCGTAATCAAAGTCGTCGGCACTTACTCCGATGGCTTGGTGTATTTGCGGGGTGGTTACGAGATCTTTTGGAGCAGCGCCGTGCTTGACAATGTTAGTGAACTGCTGGGCCACATTCACGGCCAAGTCGCCTTCTGCTTGATCTGGCCTTCCGAGATCGTTGAGAGAAACTGGAGGATCTTGGTTGAGTCTGTTTGTCTGGACATTGTTCAGTTCCCGAAGCAACTCGCCCGCAACATTCAGCATATGTTCACATGATCCCTCGGGAGCAGCGAGACCAAGTTCCTTCTTCAACTCATCAATGTATGTTGAATCAGCACCCAACTTAGAGATTTCGGCCAAGGTTTCTTCAGCTTGTGTTTCAGCTTCCTGAATTTTAAAAAATTGTTTTAAAAAAGTAGAAACAGTTCTGATTACAAAAGTTTTCAAAATGTTACCTTTTTGGCCTCTTCTTCTGTCACTTCACTGTTCAACTCTTTAAGTGTTTTTGAGTGTTCACCATCAGTCAGGATGTCCAAGATACCGTCCACAGCCTTCACCAAACATCCTCCGGCATCTAAGGCCATCTGTCTCAATGACACGGCGTCAGATGTATTGTTTTTGTCGCCGTAACAAGACAACAGTAAGTCAGAGTCGCGTTTGTTCAAACTAGACCAGGTAGAATCATATTGAGGAGCAAACGAACAGAAAGGACCGTAACTGGTGTAGTTCACAATACTGTCAGCAGACTCTAGGGGGGAGTACTCTGGCAGGAAGTAGGACGCTCCTTTTTCCAGCTTACCCACGAAATCACTCATAGACACTTTGGTTTGTCCACTGCCCACGATATTTAAAACAGTCCCACTATCCTTCTTGTCAATGTATCCCATCGGCCAAGGCGGTCTTTCTTCGGCAAGTCTCGACTGAAATCAGGAATAATTATTAAAATAAACCTGACATAATAAATGCATTACTACCTTACAAATATTAAAAATAATAAAAATGAAAGATTTATAAGTACACTTACTCGTACTGCAGGCGCAGCAGCACTCATGACATCTTTTGTGGATACGTTGTCAATGACAGCCTTTCTGATAGCCATTGTCCGCTCGTTTCTCTTCATCGGCAGCTTCAAGGGAACCTTTGGTACCAACCCTATTTGGTCATGAGCAACACCAGCTCCAAATGGCAAGGAATACTTGACGTATTCCCGGTAGCCAGGAGAAAAGTAGTAGCGTATACAGTTCTGTAACTTTGAAGCAGCGATATAATACACGGTGTTGGGATTGTTGTATGTCATAGCGTTACTCGTTACGAGCATGAAGTCGTTCTTCAGCTCGTTTATGTGATTATAAGCATTTGAATCAATCTTCTTTCTTACTGTTGTAAAATCCATCGGCGTAGAGATTATGGTAGCATAATCTGGAGCATCTTCGGCACTTACAGGATACAAGAAAAACTCTTCTACATCTTTCTCCATTACTCTTCGAAGGATAAAGTCACAGAACAGTTGAAACGGTGTGTAATCCCTCACATTTACCTTCTTTACTTCTTCTTCATCCTCCTTTTCCTTCTTAGGCGAACCTTGTAGATCAGGGGACTAAAGTATCAAATAAATGTAAAGGGTTGTGAAACTTACCTCTTTCTTATCTATTTTCCTCTTCTTAGGTACAACTTCTGACTTTCTCTTCTTTTTTCTCTTACGACCATCAGTTTCAACTGTTTCAAGCTCAGATTCAGAATGAGAAGACTCTATGGAAGCCTCCTCTTCCGGGGCTCGCTTTCTACCTTTTGTGGATCGCCTTTTATCGTCGCTCATGGTTATATACCTAAATTAAAAAATAAATTGATACATCAAAAAATCTATAAATTCACAAATTCGAAGAAGAAATCTTTACACAAACGATATAATAATATAAGTTATGCCATTCTTTGCGAAAAAAAAGAATAAAGCGACGCAGAAAGACATGACTCCTGTCAAGTTTCTTCCTACGTTAGTTTTTTCTAATAAAATCTTGTTATCCTTATCTCGTGAATTAAAACTCAAAGGGCTTTATAATTTCAATTTTTCATATATATTTATTAGGATTAATTGAAGTATCACATATTATTGGAAGAAATAATGAATTACAACGGCTACAACAATAACAATCACAACAACAGCAGCAGCCTTGCTAAATAAAGTGAATCTATGAGATTTTGTGGTCTGTTCTTTTGAGAATTCTTTCATCATCCCTGAGTAAAACTTTTGTAACTTTTGTTCCTGCTTACGACCTTTTTCTGTGCTCAGACCAATGTAGGATTGAATGTACTAAAATTACAAATTAAACATGTTATTGTTTCCTTACCATGTTGGCCTTGTCAAAAATTAATGCATGCTTAAATTCATCTATTGCTTCATTGTACCGTTTCTTGTTATATAAGGCCATTCCACGTCGGAACTTTAATTTACTCACAATCTGCTTGTCCAAACTGTCAGGAATCACCAGATCATCTGTAAGTTTGGTGATTTCGTCCCATTCTTTCAACTAAACATTGAAGTTACAAACTGTCAATAAAATTACCACTTCATAAATCCTGTAAGTCTTACCTGAGTGTAACAAGCACATAAATTTGATACCATCTTTGCCTTGTACTCATCGCTCATATTGAAAACCAAAGCATGTTTATAAACCTGAGCTGCTTTAGGATAGTCTTGTGCCCGGTAGTACTCTTTTCCCTTCGACTGGTACAACGAACCGTACTTTGTATCGTCAAAATCTTTGGCGATGGACTTCAATGTGATGATGTACGAATCAGATCCGGGAACTTCAACGTCTCCAAGTGTAAAGTTACTACATTTAAATCGCTCCTCTTCCATTCGAATCTGAACCTTTTCTTCACATTTCACCATCAACAACACAATTTCGAACGCTGAATTCAATTTTAAATCAAATATTTAAAACTTGCCATCAGGAAAAAGACCTCTTCCAAGTGGCGCTTCTAATTGATAATGTTCATGTTCACACTCCACTGTTACGCATACCAAGTCTCCACCAATGGGCTGGATTCCATCTGAATCTGCCAAAGTTCGTTTAAAGATCTCTCCATTTTCAAGAACATCTATCCAATTGTCCTGTAAAATTGATTACACTAATAATGAAGACGTTAAACATTTTTATTGGAAGTAAAAAAGACAGAATGTTAAGACATCTTATGGTACATACCTCTTCAGACATTTGAAAAGATTCTTAAAATTTGATTCAAACAAAAACGACTACAAAAGTATCTTTATCAAAATAAGGTTTGCAAAGAAAAGAAAAGTCTGGAATTTAAATAGTTTATCGTATATCAAATTAAACACAGGCTGCAAGTTTGAGCGCGAAAGTCGGCCGCAGCTTGCTGAAAATTAAATAAAACATTTTTTGGATAGGGAAATTTACAAAAATTTGCCAATTATATCTTTACACACTACTTTGCATATTATATATGTATAAATATTAGACACTATGTTGTTTTATGTTTCAAAACTTTACAAAATTTTAATATTTGAAGCGTGGTTCAATATAATTAACGTGAAAATATGTTAGAAGATTTTTTAAATTAACATTTTAAGGAGAACAACATGGGGACAAAACGGAAAGCTACGCTGTTAAGGAAAGAGAAGCGACGTAAATCACATTTTGATGCCCAACTTGCTGAAGCCGTGTTGTTGTTATCTAAAAATCGTTTTTTACTTGTTTCTGTAAGTAATTCTTAAATTAACTCGGCTTTTTACTGTATGGATTTAATATTTTTTATTTATAGGGTCCTTTGTTTTCTGGACGTTCTACATTAGCCAAAGACATTGCCAAGTGTTATGAACCAGAGTTGAGCACAGTCATTATCTCATTCGATGATCAGATGGATTCGAAAGTAAGCTGTGTAAAGTTGTATAGTTATTCTTTAGACGTTGTTCGGGTGTTATCAATCTTCTGGTATTCCTGGAGACTTTGTATGGGAATCTTCAGCGTTTCTGGATGCAGTAACAACAGAAGGGACATTGTTGATTATTAAATCATGGGAAACGGCTAATTCTGACACACAAAACGCTGTGGTAAAATTAGCCAGAGATGGCTTTATTATGCTCCCGGGTGAAAGAAAGATTGTTATGAGTTCTACTACACGAATTATCGGCATTGTGTTAGATTCTGCACCTGTAAACAAAGAATTGTCATTTCCATTGGTTATTACTTGTCCTCCGTTGACAAAACATGATATTATAGAGCGATTGGCGGGATGTGTTGTACACGGAATCAAATTGGATCAACTATACGATGTGTACATTCAGATAAAGCAACACATTGATACTTTACCGTACACAGAAAGGCGGTTGACCACAAGGTAAGTAATATTATTTTAGGTATAAATATTGCTTTAGGGATTTTTATTTGATGTGCTCGAGACTAAACGGGAAGTCCTTGACAGTCACTGATGTGTATTTGGATCTTTCTGATGTGTTTATTGGACATTTATGTAAATTGGCACACAAGGAACGACCTCTACAAGTGATATCATCGTTCTTGTCTATGGCCAACAATAGTGTGGATTACATTGAAAAAGAAAGAAATGTTGAATTGAAGTTGACGAAAGACGAATTTGTTGTTGGTAGAGTAGCATTGGAGGTACGAAAGCATAATGTTTCGTAAGTTGTTACCTAAATTAATAGTTTTTTATTAGGTTGACTAATTCGTTGCCATTTGCTCCAACAAGATGCTACCGGATGTTAATGGAGAAGATTGCCAAATGTGTGGAAAACAAGGAATTTGTCCTTTTAAACGGTGAAACCGGTATTGGCAAGACACGGGTAGTTCAAGAGTTGGCCAATCGGATAAACGTCAAGTTGGAATCAGTGAATCTTAGTTTGGATTCAGAAGCTGTTGACATAATTGGAGGGTACAAACCTGTAAACGTGGGTGTTATAATACGACAATTGGTGGGATCGTTGTGCTTGGCCATTGATCTGACAGAAGATTTGAAACAACGATTAATGGTGAGTTAACATAACATAAATGTTACGAGATTTAGGAACTCTTGAGCAAGAAGAAGTACAAGGCCTTCTTGAGAACGATTTCAAAGTCTGTTGAATATCTGTTGACTACAGCTTCAGAAGAAAGGTTTCTGGTTTTGTCCAAGTTGCTAACAAAAATCGAGCAACTTTCAATGTTTCTGGCTTCGAAGAGCAGTAACACTCCATTCAACTATGCGATTGGAGTACTTACACGTGCTATGAATGATGGTTGTTGGCTGTTATTGGACGAGATTAACATGGGCACGAATGAATGTTTGAATGCTTTGGCTTCTATTGTCACGGAGAAAGGGGCTTCTGCTCATCCAGATTTCAGATTGTTTGCGTGCATGAATCCAGCTACAGACACAGGAAAGAAGAAGCTACCAGTTAATGTCCGGGCGATTTTTACTGAATTCTTCGTAAATACTCCTCGCGATGAAGCTGAGATTTGCGAGATCATCAATCAGTATTTGGCCACTAGCAAGACTCAGGAGCTGGCCAAATATTACTTGAACTTCATCGACAAGAATCCTCACAAGTTTAGGTAATATTTGCGGTATTTTTATTTTTTATATTGTTTTACACAAAGTAATTTTGGTTTTTTAGTTTACGTAACTTGTGTCGAGCATTGTTGTTGGCCAAAGATGACGTTTTTCGAAGTTTTGAAAAGTCGATGGAAATGGCGTTAAGGTTGGGATTCAACGACGAAAACGAAGAAAACTGGAAGCTTATACAAATACCTCAAAACAAGAGTTTAGGAGATCAGCAAAAGAATTTCGTGTGAGTTTTGATGTTTACTTAACATTTATGTTTTAATTGTTTAAAGATAAGTTTAAATAAATATTAACCAACTAAGGCAGATATGTCAAACTTGATTTCTTATTGTAGGTTGGTAGAAGGAGTTTACTTCCCTCGAGGACCTCATCTTGTTCAAGAAGATTCAGATTACATACGAACAGAATCAGTTCAAAAGTACATTCAGGCTATTGCTGCTGCTGTTGCATCTGGAAGGTTTCCAGTGTTGTTGGAAGGAGAAACTTCGACCGGAAAAACTTCTGTTATCAGCCATTTGGCCAAGGTCACGGGCTACACCGTACACAGAATCAACAACCACGAGCAAACGGATGTGCAAGAATACATTGGAAGTTACGTGCCCAACAAGGACAACAAGCTACAGTTCCAGGAAGGGTTGCTTCTGAAGGCGGTTAGGAATGGAGACTGGGTCATCTTGGACGAACTCAATTTGGCTCCTACTGAAGTTCTGGAAGCTTTGAACAGGGTAGGCTGGGTTTTCAGTTTCTTTCTATCTATAATAATTAGACCTTTATGAATGGTTATAATGTTTCATGTTGTTTTAGTTACTCGATGATAACCGAGAGTTGGTGGTCCCAGAGTATGACATTTGTGTCAAAGCTCATCCGAACTTTAGAATCTTTGCAACTCAGAATCCAGCTGGTTTGTACGGCGGAAGGAAGAAGTTATCTAGAGCTTTTTTGAATCGATTTGTTGTCATCAACTTTGTGCAACCTCCAAAAGGCGAGCTCGTCCAGATTGTCAGTAGAAGATGTGGCATTGCTGAGTCCTCGGCTAAGTTGATGGTGCAGGTTATGTTGGAGCTGAAGGTCAGAAGATCGAACAACGCTATTTTCAACACGAATGGCTTGATGACATTACGGTACGGTTTTTATTTTTTATATTATGTTAACTTTACGCGGAGTTACGTATATCAAGTTTTATTGGTTTTGCTGCAGTTTATAGTATCATTTGTCTTTTTAGTGACTTGTTCCGCTGGGGAAACCGTCTTCAGAAGGCAGAAGAGTCTCGTGAATGGAGACAAGAGTTGGCCAATCAAGGTTACTTCTTGTTGGCTTCAAGATGCAGAAGCCAAGAAGATTCACTCAGAATCCAAACTATCCTGGAGACTTGTTTGAAGAGGACAATCAACGTGGAGGAGTTGTTTTCGATCAGTTCATATTACTTTCCTGGATCTATGAAACAAAATTGTACCGAAAAGGACGGTGTTACTGTTTTGTACGACTACATGGTGCTGACTCCGTCTCTGATCAAGATGATTATATTGTTCAATGAAGGATTAAAGTCAAACGAGCCTTTGTTGCTGGTGGGAGAGACGGGATGTGGAAAAACTAGTGTTACCTACTTGATGGCTAACGTATGTTTTTGAAAGCTTATAATAGTGTGTATTTAAGTTAAGAACAAATCGAGTTTTACGATTATTAGACTTTATATGTTTAGAACAAACTGGAGTTCATCAATTGTCACGAACGTACTGACGTCTCAGATTTGCTGGGAAGTATCCGGCCGACTTCAGATGGCTTATTCCAATGGCACGATGGAGTGGTGACACGAGCCATGAAGACAGGCAGCTTGTTGTTGATTGATGAGATATCTCTGGCTTTTGATTCTGTTTTGGAGAGGCTGAATTCAATGCTGGAACCTTCTCGGACTATTCTTTTGGCTGATTCTGGAGCTAGTTCTGAAGTTGTTACAGCTGTTTCCGGCTTCCAATGTGTGGCTACAATGAACCCTGGCGGAGATTACGGTAAAAAAGAGGTGAGAGGCAATTTAACTTTAAATTTGGTTTTTATTTTTTTTATATTACCCTTGTTGTGTTTTAGTTGTCTAAGGCGCTACGTAACAGATTTACGGAGATCTGGTGTGTCTTCGGAGGAGATGAACAGGAAGTGTTGTCGATTTTGAGAGCACGGTTACTAAAGGAATTAACTACGGAACAAACGGATTTGGAGTTGATTACAAGATTCTTGGCACGGTTTTTGGTCTCATTCTTTAAAGAAAACTCTAAATTCTTACGGTAAGTATTCTTGACCTGTTAATATGGAAAACTTTTTAGTCACAAACTGTGCGCGAGAGATGTTGTTGTAGTAGCTGAAATGATGACTAACTTTATCAAATCAACGGAGTTATCTTTGGCCGAAGCTTTGTATCACACAATCTCGAGTGCGATACTGGATTCTCTGTCTCATATCTGCAACTCTTACCATACTAACTCTGTGGGACAACTTACAGAAGCTGGAAAAACATTGTTCTCCCGTCTTTACAAGGAGTTATCATCTGAGTCTATTAGTTTGGATACATTTGAAGATCTTTCTGTTCAAATCAGAGCAAATCAAGTGCAAATTGGACCATTTAAAGTGCCTTTAGGACGATTTGAGAGGCAAGATCTACAAGAATTCAATCTCAATGCCAAATCGACTGCTTTAAATGCTTTGAGAGTAACCCGGGGGTTTGCTGCTAACAAGCCTATCATGCTGGAAGGAATGCCAGGAAGTGGAAAGTCTAGTCTGATTGGAGCTTTGGCTAAATTAAGTGGGAATAAACTGATACGATTGAATCTGTCAGATCAAACGGTAAGATACTGACAAAGAATTTGATTAGTAATTAAAAGTTTCTAATTTATACTTGATATTGTTTTAGGAGGTATCTGACTTGTTTGGATCAGACGTGCCAATTACTCTGCCTAATGGTACTGTATCGTTTGAATGGAACGATGGACCAGTATTAAAGGCCATGAAGGAAGGCTGCTGGATCTTGTTGGACGAAATGAACTTGGCTCCTCAGGCAATTCTCGAAGCTCTCAATTCATGTTTTGATTTTCGAAAAACTCTGTACATCGCTGAGCTTGGACGGTCATTCAGTATTGACACGGCCGTTCCAGCCAGATTCTTTGCTTGCCAGAACCCGGAAAGGATGGGAGGTAACAGACATGCGTTGCCAAAGTCCTTCATCAACAGATTCGTCACCATTTTCACTCAAGATCTGAGTTTGGAGGACTTCAAGGTGATCGTCGAGTTTGTGGTCGAAAAGGAGGGTCTTAATGATAAGGCCGAGACTTTTATGGCCATTCACAGATTGTGTAATGACGTCATTAGTGTTAGAGGAGGTAACAGAGTACCAGGTGCACCAGTCGAGTACAACCTTCGAGATTTGATGAAGATGATCGATTGTGCGAAAAAGGTAAGTTTTAACTATATTTTTTAAATAAAAATCTGGTATTTAATATAAATATTAATTTTAGTTTGGCATTCTGGAAGCATTTGAATTGATTTACTTGGCTCGACTTCACAAGTTAGATGACAAACTTAAGGTGGGTTATATATTTGATTTTACAATGAACTTTTTCGTTTTAGTTTAAAGAAAAGATTTCTACTGAGGTTCTCTACAATGAAAACTTGTCATTGTCAGTAAAACTAAACTCTGCGAATGATAAGGTTTGTATTCAAGACATTGCCTTCAACAACATCGATACTAACAACTTTTCTGTTTTGTCATCACAAGTTCGTTTAATCCAGAAATTGGTTATTTGCATTGAGAGTGGAATTCTGACGTTGTTAATGGGACCCAAAAGTAGTGGAAAGAAGACAATGGTATCTTTCTTGGCTCAGTTGTACCAAGTGCCCCTTAAGGTGATCAGCATGAGTAGTGAGACTGACTCTCAGGACTTACTTGGAGCCTATGAACACGTAAGTCAAAGTAGTGAAGACTGATATTGTTTTAGGTGTTGGATGTGAAGACCTTGAAGAAGTGTGTTGATGAAGTTGTTCAACTCTCAGTCCAACATGATTTCACTGACAAGGTCAAAAGTATTGTGGACACTTTGAAGATGGTGGTGACAAACTCGGAACGACGCACTTTGGTCAAGTTGCTGGTTAAGGAGACTGAAGGCATGGGTAAGTTATGAAATTAACTTATTAATAATTATATGCTTTACCTAGATTACGTTGTGTTAAAGTTCAATTACTGATAGTTTTTGAAATAAATCAAATTTTAGAAGTAAAATCAAGACTGGTCGATATTTTAAACGAAATTAACCGAGCTACATTGACTTTTGATTGGCTAGACAGCGAGTTTGTGAAGGCTTATAGTCAAGGAGAGTGGGTGCTGATTAAGGATGTCAACTGTTGCAGGTAAGATTAATATTGTTGTTGTAATTGACTCTTGAATTATGTTTAGTGCTGCTGTACTTGATCGACTGAACAACTGTTTGGAGCGGGAAGGAGAACTGGTACTGTCAGAAAAGGTGGATGGAGAGTTCCGAGTTTTGAAACGACATAAAAACTTTAGGTAAGGCAACGTTTTTAATTTTAACTTGTTTTTTTTAAATATTATTTGTTAAGCTTATGTTGTAACATTCTATGTTCTAAACTGTAATATGTGTTATTGTTTAGAGTATTCTTCACAATGCGACCAGAAAATGGTACGATTTCGAATGCGATGAGGAACAGAACGGCCGAAATCTACATCTCCAAGGACGAGTGCTGGACATCTGCTTGGTTGGACAGGTTACGAGTACTGGTACCCAACCTTCAGCCGTATCTCTTAAAGTTGCGGCGACTTGATGTTGCTGACAACTCTGTTTTACATTCAGATGCCTTGAAGTGTCTAAAGACGTGTAATCTCTCAAAAGAAGCTCGACTTAATCTAGTTGGTCTAGATGGTGTAATCGAGGGTAATCAGACTTTGAAAAAGTCTATAGACACCTTCTACAATGTGTCATGGTTTGTCAATATGGAGGCATTTGATGTTAACATGCTGTGTTTCTTTGCTCGTGTTGTTTCTGGCATTGATGGAAATCTGGCAAAGATATTGTTGACTGATGTTAATAATTCAGTTTCGACATCACAACATTGGAACGATGCATTGGCATTGGAAGGACGAAAAGACTGGTCGATAATTGGAATTGGCAGTTGTGAAAATGAAGACAACAAGTATGGTTAAAATATACTTTAGATAATAATACTTATTAACGTGATTTTAGGTATCTATGTGAACATATATTGTGTGTTGTATTGGCTGAACTGAACAAAGTGCCTTCACCAAACTCGATAATGGCAAAGCGAAGTCAATTCGAAGATTCTCAGACAGTCACTGGCTACTTATTGGACATTTTCGACAGTTTTATGGTCAGATTGAAGGCGAAAGAGTTGCTGGACAAAGAAGTGAGTATTACCTACGTAATAGTGACTTTAATTAATAGTTTTGATTTTTGGTACAGTAGAAGAGTGTTTTTATATTAATATTGTTTTTAGATATTATATGCAGCCTACCTGTTTGTCCAAATCATGATGACTGAGTGGAATCCCAACATTGTGGATGTAATTGGTTTGGAGTTTTGCAAATATCTACACAAATTGTGCATCTCCAAGGACTTACCGTAAGATTTCAATAGTTTTGGTGACGCATTGTTGATTATATTATTAAAGATTAACTTAAATAATGTTGTTTTGAATTCTAGAGAAGGCGTGTTCTTGACAAAGCTGGACGAGCTAATGAGTATGATGAACGTCAGTGGAAACAGAAGACAAATACTACAGTATAATGATATTCAAGGATTCACTGATTTTAAGCAGGTTGAAGAAGCCAGAAAACGATATTCTTCGTTGACCAGCCATGTTAACGATGATGAAAGTTGGTTGAATTCCGTGAAGACTCAGCTCACGACGTTAAACCAAGCATTGTCAGGACTTGCCAAACCAAATGTAGGTGTATCTTTATCATTATATTGTGTTTTCTCAGTTTGAATTTATTCATTTGGACAAATTCACTCGTATGTTACCGTACTTCCCTGTCCAAAACGACGAGATTATGCTGAAGTTTGGAGTTCTGGCTTCCTACAGAATGAAGATTCTTCTCGGTCACCAAAGTCGTATGATGACTGACATCTCTCAGTCAGATTCCTTGAGTCCGATTCTGAATGGCTTCTGGAAGCGTCTGAAGTACAAACAGAACGTCTCTAACTTGACACTGTCAGATCTGGTTGGTTTTGATCAAATTGTGCAGAAGATCACTAAGGATGTTACTCAATACTCGGCTATCGAACACGGAATCGCTGAAAGCGCACGGTAAGTGATGTAAAAGTGTATAAAGGTTGTTTAGAAATTACTTTGAACAATTTGGTGGAGATCAGAAAGTTTTTGCCAGAATCGAGAACGTTCAGAAGAATGTTCCAGAGGAAATGATCGATCCGGTATTACGACTACATGCTGGAAAGGAAATTAACTTGAAGTTGGCACAGATTCTAAAGCTACAGTACGAGCTTCTGAAGACGTACAGCTGGAATATTCTTGGTCCTTATTCAAAGTCGAATAGCTTGGCATTTGATTTTGCTGATGACAATTCGAGTGGGTTCAGTAGAGACTTGTACTCTATGGTCTTGTCGAACAAGAAGAAGCTGGAGAAGCTACAGAAACTGGGGGAGATCATTCGACCTTCAAACACAAACGTAAGAATTTAACTTTTTACAATTTAGTTTTGTTATAATACTAAATTTAACAAACTTTAGTTTTTTGAACTGTGTCAACTAATGACCATCTTTGTAAACCAATTGGAGCAACTTCTGAGTCATGGAGAAGAAGTGAAGAGGGATTTGTTGCACGATTCGATCAGCAGACATGTTGATCAAATTACCGCCTCTTATTGGGAATACCCAGATGTCTTATCACCTTACTTCTACTCTTTGTTTGATATGGAGATTTATCTTGCCTTGAAGAAACCTGAGGTTTCTGAGAATAAGATGGAGAAGTTGTTGAACAATTTCGACTGGGTCGATCAACAAGATGTGTCGTCGTTGGTTACTGCAATGTCACAACTGATTGCCTCTCTTCCAGCTCGATTACAAGTTCAAATGATCAACGAAGCTCTATTCATAGAGAAGACGAGACCAGAGTCTACAGTATCCTTGATTCTGGAATGGCTGAAGGTACAGTGGAAGGGATGGTACGATAACATCAGGAAGAAACAGAAGGACCTCTTCGAGTACAAGACCACTCAAAGGAAGAGACGAGAAGAGAATGGAGAGACTGTGGAGGAAGATGCTGGAGTGGACGAGGAAATGGCTCAGGTATGTCAGAGTATAACTGATGTATAATGTTTCTTCTTGACTGTTTCTTATTTAAACGCTTTCAGATTGAACAGATGCTTCCCGACTTCTCAGACGAAAGCCAAAGGAAGTTCAGCGAAGAGATGCACGAAGTGAATTCATTCACAGAATCTGAGATGCTGTCGTTAATAAGGTCTGTCCTGAACAAGAAGGTAGAAGCAGACGAGACAGCTGTGTATTGTTCATCTCTTTTTGTGAATTCTGATGAATTGATGTCTTCCACCACCGCCAACTTCAACACTCATGCTCTCAACTTGATCAAGCTTCGAGAGGATGTACAAACTGGTACCACTGGTGCTCTAAATGTGTACAAGTTTAACGATTCCAACCTTTTGATTGACTGTGTGAGTAAGATGCAGAAGGTGGAAGAGAAAGTAAACGAACTGTTGGCCTTGTTCCCTGAAAACAACATTTTGAAAAACATCATTGTGTCATTAGAGTCTTTTTACAACACTACTGCTTGTCATCCTCAGATGATGTACACATCCATGTTGGAGACTGTTTTGGGTATGTTTTTTTTTAAATTAATATTGTTAGAAGTAGTTCTATTATATATTAACACTATTTCTTTAAATCATGTATTTTAGAAAGAGCGGAGCTATGGGAAGCCAATACCTGTCGAGAATATTCACTGGCCGACCTTCTGAACCCCTTAAGACAAGTGATCTTGAACTGGCGGAAGATGGAAGTCGTGTGTTGGAGTGATATTATCCATGAAGCTGAACGAATCTCCCATCAGAACGCCTTGGTTTCATCGTGGCCTTTGTTTGAATCCTTTTTGAATTCGGAAGAGGATTCTGAAGACTACGAACGCAAGCTTATGGTCATGTTGATTCAGTGGCTGAACGATTCTTCGCTGAACGATCTAAATGCACGATTGGAATCTGGAGAGATGGTGTTGTTGTGGTTGAGATTGTCAAACCAAAGAAGTCAAGTCACCGAGAAGATCAACAGTGTGTTAATGTATTACAAACAGTTTGGGGATACAGTAAGACAAAAAGTAAAACCCCATTTGGACGAGACTAAGGAGAAACTGGCCAACTTGGTGAAGGTAGCCAAGTACACTGATCTGAACCTTTGGAGCGTCAAGGACAGTGCTCAGAGAGTGCACAATCAGTTGTGTCGGCTGATTCATGGTTACAAGGTAAGTTTTGAAGACAGTAAATCACTTCTCCAACATATTATTATAAAGTAATAATTGACTTTCAGGTGGAACTGAACAAACCAGCCAATTCCGTGTTTCTTGATTCAGTCTTGTCTTTGAACGAGGATCTGACCACGTTCTTCTCGAACATCGAATGGGAATTGGCACTAACACCTGGAGACAACAATTTTGAACATTTCACTGTTAAACTGAATGACGTTCTGAAGTCAGCCTTCTCATCTGACGACGGTATTCAACTAATCGAACTCGGAACCGCTTTCCTTGATCAAATCAGAGAAAATGTAGATTATTCCAAGGCCAAAGAACAATGTCAAGAGAATGATAAGGAAGAGCTGGAGAAGGTCCAGCTGAAGATGTATTCAAGGGAAATTGCCAAACGGCAACGAACCTTCGCCGATCTCAGAAAGAAAGTCATTGCCTACGGCTTCAATCATCGTAAGGGAATCACGATGGAGACAGATGCCTTGACTGAAGCCAGTATGACCAGTCTGAAGGCTACGAACTCGCCATTGGTAAGTTGAGACAAAAGTTATTTCAAAAATTGTGTAAAAATAAACAAAAACAGGGCGCAGCTTGCAAATAAAATTTGCAGGCCGCTCAATATATTAGTTGGCAGTTTTTAATAAACAAAAAATTGTTTCAGCTGGATCAACTTGTCTTGGCGAGTGCAGCAGCTCGAAATGTTGTTGTGAAGTTACTGGCAGCCTTCAATCACCACGAGAAACAATATGTTGCCAACCAGATATCACCTGAAATGTTCGCTTTCGTCAGAGGAGTTATCGAATATGGACAAAACGGATTTTTAAAGCTAAACAAGGCTTTCTCAGACATTGAACAGCTTCAAGTGCCAGTAGAAACAACCATTGCTGCTCTAGATGATGTGAAAGAGGTAAGAATTGTGTTGTACAAGGATTTTTGGGTAATAACAACATTGTTTTTAACTCTTTTTTCAGAGCAAAAGGACATTCAATTACAAAAAGCTGAGTACAGTGCACAGTGAACTTGTTGCTTACTCATACATTTTGAAACGGAAGTTTGAGACATTCAAAACTGTGGTCAGTAGCCCGGAATTGGGCGGAGATGGTCAGTTTAGTCAACATTATCCATTGTTTTTGAAATCGGAAGAAGACTTTAAGAAGTTGGAAGTTTTGAACAAGGAAATCGAAGATATTTTGAGCAGAAATGTTTTGAATGAGGACTTCGAAGAGCTCAAGACAAGGTATGTTGTAGTAGGGTTAAGGTTTCATAGAGTTCTTAAATTGTGTTATTTAAAACTATTTCAGTGAGCTTAATGGTTATGTCTCAAAAATACGAGAAACAACAGAAGTAATGACATCAAAGTCAACGGATCTTAAAGAATTGGGAGGAAGTTACAGTAACCACTTTGTGAAGGCATTGGAAAAGTTTAACGACAAAGCGAACCACTTCATCGAACTGTTCGATACTCACGATGTTGAAGTTAAGATGGTGGAAGTGAAAGTCGAGTCATACTTACTGAAGGCTCAATCTATTTACCGTTACTTTGAGCGTACTGTAGAGAAGCCTGTCTTCACAAAACTTGAGACTTTGCCGTCTTTGTTTGAGACAATCGATTTGAACGAGGTAGGTTTTTAAATCTTGTCTTTTTAATGCTTGAAGAACATAAGATAATATCATATTTTGTAGCAAACACGGGTCGTTACGGATCTCAAACACCAACTCAAGCTTGGTGTTATACCTAAAAATTACATTGTTCTGGCGAGCACGTTGAAGGGGTATTCTACTGTACTCAAAAACGTGTACGACTACTTATGTAAGGGAACAATGATGGCCACCAAGTTCTACTACGACTTTTGTTGTTCGGCTGAATGGCTTCTGAAGAACGGCTTCTTGAATCCGATTCCTACTCTTGAGAAACAGAGTGGAGAAGGTGAAGGAGAAACATCAGGTGAACCATCTGGAATGGGTGAAGGAACTGGTCAGAACGATGTCGGTAAAGAGATCGAAGAGACGGGACAGGTGGAGGGTCTTCAAGATGAGGAAGCTACTGGAGACGATCAAGGCAACGACGGTGACAAAAACGAAGCCGAAACTCCACTTGACATGGAGGATGACTTTGCCGCCGATTTGGAGAATTTGGATGGTGAGGAAGGCGAAGGTAAGTGTATATAATGTTGTCTTTGGAAAGGTTTTAATTTACGTTACAATATGTGTTTGATCGTATTAATATTTTAGATGAGAAAGACGGAAAAGAGGAAGAAGGTGACGAGAAAGAACCTGATTGGGACATGGGCGACGTGGCCGAAGACGAAACTAAACAAATCGATCCAAAACTCTGGGATGAAGAACAAAAGAAACCAGAAAACATTGACAATGAGGAGCAAGGAGCACAAGAAAAGACTGGAGAAACTGTCGCACAAGCTGAGGAAGCTTCTGGAAAGGAATCAGAACAAGATGATCAACAAGAAGGTGATGAAGAAGAAAGTGCGGAGAAGGAAGAGGAGGGTCAGGAAGAAGATGCCATGGAAAACGTGGATGAAATCTGTTTAGATGAAGATGAGCACGTTCAAAACGAGCGAGATAATGAAGAAATGGATGTGGATGGTGAACAACGAGTAGTCGAACAGCCCAAAGATGAAGAAACTGGAGAAGAAGAAGTTGATCACGATGAAGATAATGTAGAGGATAAAGGAAGCCAAGAAAACAGCGATCAACAAACTCATGATGATCAACAAGCTGATACTGTCGATGTGAATGGACGCGGGGTCAGAGACGATGAAGCAGAAAGGAATCAAAATAAGGAAGACGAAGAAGGACAAGAGATGGAAAATAAACAGAAAGGACCTGCTGGGGAATCTGGACTGGAAGGTGTCGAGAATCAAGCAGAGTAAGCAAATTTAATGAGTTGTAGTGAAGATTGTAGTAGGTGATTTCATAATCTTTACTTTTTTTAGGGAGAACGAACACACAGATGTCTTAGAGAAAAAGAATGAAGAAACAGCTGAAATGAGTAGACTAAACAAGGCTGACGATGCCATGGAAGTCGACGAAGCCGATATCGTGCCACGGAACGATGACGATGTAGTCAAGGAATCTCAGAAAACTTTTGCTGAACAAGAAAATGATGATCAGAGCAACAATAGTCATTATGTAAGCTTCACTATAATCTAGGATGATTTAATTTACTTCAGGATATAATGTTGATTTTACTTTTTAGGTGCAAAAGTCTACAACGGCGGACAAAGCCAAAGAAATGGCAAAGCACAAAGTCAAGGATAACATCACTGATAAGGCTGAAAAGGAAAAGCAGAGCGACCTATCGAAACTTAAGGCATCTAGAGACCATGAACATGTTTTGGACTCGTTCTACTTGAATACTACAGTAGACGTGGGCAAAGTCATCAGAGCTGAAGGTAACATGGATTCACTGAAGAAGTCGTTGGCTGAGCTTCAGATGGACGGCGACGGAAAGGCGGAGTTGGAGAAGAAGTGGGAGTTGATCAGTAGCAGTGTCAGTTCAGATGCTTTTGAACTGGCAGAAGCTCTTCGGATTTTGATTGAACCGACAAAGGCATCCAAGTTTCAGTAAGTTTATTAGTTTACTGACTTGTATTACGGCTTACTGTATGTTATGTTTCATGTGTTACGTTTCAGGGGAGATTACCGTACTGGAAAGAGATTGAACATGCGTCGTCTGATCCCTTACATTGCCAGTAATTACCGTAAGAATCAGATTTGGATGAGAAGGACGAAACCTGCCAAAAGAACCATTCATGTTTGTCTGGCCATAGACGACTCCTACAGTATGAAGGAGAATATGATGACGGAAGTAAGTCTAGACAATATAGTTTCTTTTTGAATTGAAATTGCAAATTTAAATTAAACTTACTTTAGAGCACCTCTCAAACTGTCTGCTTGTTGGAGAAGGCCTTCAAACAGCTGGAGATTGGTCAAGTGAGTATATGCAAGTTCGGAGCTGATGTGAAGATGTTGTGTGAGAGTGCAGAAGAAAGTAACATGGATCAACTAGGGCCTCAACTGTTGGAGAACCTCAAGTTCGACCAGTCCAAGACCGATCTGTCTGTCTTGTTGAACAAGATGGGTGAGTTCTTCAATTACTCGAGACAAATGGCCGACGCCTCTCATCAACTACTTGTTGTTATTGGTGATGGCAGAGGAACGATGGTCCAAGGAACAGCACCCGTCAGGAGAGAAGTGGAGGAGTTGGTCCAGCAAGGAGTGACCACGCTTTATCTTGTAGTAGACAACCCGACCTCATCCGTGTTTTCGATGAAAGTGGCCAGCAAGACCTCAGGGAAGATGCAGTTGTCCAACTACATGGACTTGTTCCCCTTCCCCTTCTACACCGTTGTCCAAAACGCGGCAGTGGTACCGTTGGCTGTGTCAGAAGCTATGAAACAATGGGTGGACGCGTTGATGATGTAGTCAGTATTGTTAATAGTACAGGATATATATATTATTGTTGTTGTTTAATTTGTTTGTTGTTGTTATTGTTACTTGTTTATTGAAAAGAAATACAAAATTGAGCAAAATATGATTGTAGCCATTGAGCGTGAGCTTCTATACTCGTTGTTCGAGACCAGTTTTATTCTGTTTTTGGTGGAGAGTTCTGAAGTTGTTAGTTGGTTACGTAAGTGTTCCGCGACGACTTACGTGGACTCAAGAATTGGTAGTACACGTAGAAGCCGGTCGCGTCGAAGATTTCGTTTGTTTTAAACTGCATCCGGAAGTAGCTGGATTCGCTTTGTATTGGTTCTTTCGGCGGTCGGCTAGAGCCACAGAAGCGGCGGTTTGTACGGTCGACAGTCTTGTAGTTACTGAAGAGCACGAAGTCACTTTGAGACGACTCTTCGCACCTGAAGGTTATTTTGTCACATGCTATTATATGACATTGATTTACAGTGTAATATTTTTATGAAACAAAACGTACTGTCCGAACCCTTCGACGTCAAAGTACTGGAAGTGGATCACGACGATCTGGCCTGGTTTACCATTAAAAGTATACTCACAATCCAGGTTTCGGGGATAGAATCCTGGATGATTGGGGCTCCACAACTCTCCAGAAGTGTCATTTTCACCGTAGAAAGCGAATGAACAGTCTGAAGAGTAAATATAGTCAGAAGACTAACGCTCCTCACAAGAACAGCACCGTGTGCGAGAAAGCAAACTAATTAAGCTATTTTTACATTATTGTAGGTCCTTACCTCCATTCTGCTTGACTGAGAGATCGGCTTTGTGCTGACTTCCGAAGCCTTTTATGAAGTTGTATTTTAGTTTGAAACCGAGGGAATGGGGAATTGGGAACTGAACATCACGGACATTCAACTCCATCGTCAGCAGATTCTGAGACGAAATCAAGGGGGCGGGCAGCTCGCGGCCACAAAAGTCTTGGATCTTGGACATTCTTGATCCGACCAGCACGTTGACCGAGATGTGCGTGGATTCCTCACATCTACATGTGAAATGTTGTCACACCCTTTTTTGCAATTAAAAAAAGATAAACAAGAGAAGAAGGAAACAATTATTCTACGGATTTCTTGACCAAATTACGACAATCATAAAAGGCAGCTGTTGAAGTCACCAAACAACTACTTGCTCTTTTCATGCCGGACTAACATTGTTTTGGCTTCTGAATACCCTCGAAAACCTACTTTCTGGAGGAATTAGCATCGGACAGATGGAAGTCAATGAAGCTTATCTGGACGTGCTCATCTGGAGCGCCCAAAAACAGAAACTGACACTTGTAGCTGGGTTTAGTGACGGAATAATAATGGCTACTGACTAGAATGCCCGAGTTCCCGGCGACGGGCTGTAGCCGAGAGCCTTCCGAATCGCTGGGGTCGTCGTCGCCCGGATTCTGGACGTACTGACTCTGCACGTTCTTGGACAGAATCCGAACCGGACATTGTCTCTCGGCCAGAACCCAGTGACATACGATAGCGAAAGCAGCAAAGATGAGCATAAGAGCAGCGTGAACCACTTTGGGGCCGAAGCCGTTTCCTCGCCAATCCCTGACTCAATTTATTTATTTTTCGGCCGTTTCCCCTCGAGGAACCAAATTTATGTTTATACAAACACGTCCTTCTTGTTGTCTTGGGGCAGGTTCAGGGACTTGTCGAAGTCGCTAGTCGGCATGCCAGCCTTCATCGTCTTGTAGTCATCCCGTTCCCTGGGCACGGCGCCTCGTTCTCGAATCTCCTCGGCCCGGCCCGCTTCCTTTACTTTGGGTTTCCGGCGTTCGAATGAGTCGTCTTTGTCTTCCTTCTTCTGAAACCATGTGTATAACATTACAATCATATTATTTGTCCTTTTTACGATCACATTACTTGAGATCTTTCGAAAAATTGAGTGTAACTTCAAGAAAAATCATAAATAATATAATATTTAAGTGAATTTAGGCCCTTTCTTAAACAGAACGGACAAATAAACAGCATTGGCTGTACAATTGAGTTTCAAAATATTTCTACTGATAAACTTACATCTTCCGTGGACCGTTCCTTCTCCTTCTGTGACTTGGACTTCTTACTCTTCTCTGACTTCTTGGAGGCACTCTTCTTGGACGACTGCTGAGTCTGCATGCTCTTCATCTCTTGTTCCTTGACGGCCGGCGACTGGGTTGGGTTCTCGGCAGCGGCCGCTGGTTTATCTCCAGCCGGTCCAGGAGGATCAGTCGCATTGGCCGCTGGAAGGGCCGCGGGCGAAGCTGGCGAAGACGCAGAAGTTGGCGGTAGAATGAGAGAAGGCTTTGCAGCCGGAGCTGAAAAAAACTCAATTTATCTGACAATATAAACAATATGTCAAAAGATATTTTGGAAAAGTTATGCTTAGCGGTATATTCAGAAACACTACTACAATATACCTACAAAACATTAATAGTCAAACTTACTAGACTTTTTACAGCATTGAATTGATGTATGAATGAATATAAAACAGATCGCGAGGTTGGTCACGATCAGGGCCTCCAGCCATTGTAAGTCAACCAAGTCGTATAACCTTGTCATAGAGAACGACTGTCTCCGAGCGATTAGAACTTCAAAATGACACAACTCAGCATTGGTGCTCCAAAAGTGTATTCGACCAACTGGGCTCTCTTTTATCATTTGTACAACTTTTACATGCGACTGGTCGTTCCCGTGGAACGATGCTCCTTATGGTTGGTGTAGTATGCATGGTAATATACGGAGTGACCTGGGTAACCTGTATGAAATCTCAGAAACCGAAGAAAAGGAGTGCTAAGGACTCTGGTAAGGTGTTTCTGTCGCGACACGGCAACGATAATAATATTTTTAAAAAGGGGCGCAGCTCGCATTTCCCATTTTATACGATGAAACACTTTTTAAAAGTTTTTGTGATTGTATATCGACACAACTTTCCTCTATCTTGTAATACCAAAGGATGTATTTTGTGCTGTTAAATTGGAGTGCAGCTTGCTGTTACCTTATTATACGATAAAAGGTGTCCTAATTTAAGAAATCGAGTTTGCCCGCTTGAGGGCTGATCAGGAACAGCAGATGAAGAATAGGCGAAAGAGTGTAAACAAGCACAGGACACACACCACCAGTACCACTAGTGAAGATAGGAAGCGAAAGAAGAAGAAAAAGAAGAACAAGTATCGAGATGAAATGACTAATGTAAGTTAATATGATCTGTTTTGCAAGATTTAGGTAACAACAACTTGTTATAATGTCATTTTTATTGTCAGAAAGGTTTTCAAATTATATTTTATATTAAAATCGTTACCTAAACATAATGTCATCTTTAGGACACATTCGAAGAGCACAAGCCGGTAGTTCGAGAAGCGAAGAGAGGGGCGGAGATCAGAAGGAAGAAGAAGGTGTCCAGAGACCGTACTGACTACAAGACCTTTGCCAGCGAAGAAGACAGTAGCTTCGCACCCGATTAGTACCTGTTGTCACAGTAATCCTTGAATAAACCTTGTCTTACGATAACTCGTTTATTGATATTGCTGTTCACCTTCAGCCGTTACCTTCAAGAACGCAGTGATATTGTTATTGACTTGATTTGAAATCGATTAATAGATACTATTGTCTCAGTTAACGTCACAACCAATGAATACTGATGCTCTGATTAGGTATATACAGTAAACAATGTTGGGTTGAACATTCTACTCATTGTGTAAAATCTAAAAGTTACTGTTAACATGGTTAACATCACACGACGGAATGGTTTCGGGAGGAGTTCCGGCTTCGACTCCGTTTCAGCAACGATGCTCGGACGAACTGTTTGGAGCACAGTACCTTGAACGTGACTTCTGTGTCGTAGTTGTCTTTGCCTCGAGAATCTGTAGTCAATGTGGATCGTTTCCTTCTGAGCGATGGCATTCCGAAGCCGAACAACGATCTGCAGGGACACAGAAGCGTGAGGAGGGTTTGGAAGAAGATGAAGATGTACAGTCGCAGCTGAAATTCAAATTAATTTTATAACTTTGGGTACGTTGTTTGATGTTTCAGATTCTAAATTGTACCGACACGATACTTTATTCAAGAACGTGGTCAATCACTGGTCTCGTACTTACTCGTCTTCTGATCGTCGGAGTTCGTACAGAAACCAGAAGCGGATTAAACAACGGATCCACGAAGGACGCCATCCTCGCCCACTGATAATACGTAGCCAGATTCGCGATTCCAGCACGATCGTCCACCCAGAAGACGGCGATCTCGATGAAGCTCTGACCTGACACCGAGATGAAGAAGGCTCCGATGGACAGGAGCAGCGTGTTGAAGAGGGTCTCCCGCCTCTTGTAGGGACTGTGCTCTCTGAAGCTCGTGCTCAGGAACATGTGCTGAGATCGTACTCTCCAATGGTACACTACGGTCAACGTGAATACGATGATTGAGGCGAGGAGGAAGGTTAATGTGAACAAGGTGTGACCTCGCAGGAGGTACACTCCAAAGGTGTGGAAGATGGCTACACCGTCACATCGGCCTCCTACTTCTATGTAGTCGGACTTTGGAGCTCTGAAAGTGATGGTAAGCTACTGTATTTTAATGTAAAATAATATAAAGTGGTTAACCTAACAGCATCATAGTATAGTAGTCTCTAAATATAGATGACTTTGACCCAGGCTTGGACGTAGGGCAGGGCAGGGCCCAATTTGCGGCCCTGGGGCCGGGTCCGCTTGGGCCCTGCCCGGTACAGGGTTTTAGTTTTCAGGCCCGGCCCGGCCCTGGGGCGGGGTCGGGCAGGGCATTTACAGGGCTTTACAGGGTTTTACAGGGCATTTGTAAATTAAGTTTATAAAGCTAATAACAAGTGAAATAAACTGCTTTATATCTATCCGGCTTCACCCATGACCCTTTTCGCGCTACCCTACCTCACCCTTGACCCTTTTAGCCCTACCCGACATCACCCGTGATCCTTTTAGCTCTTCCCGACCTTACCCCTGACCTTTTTAGGCCTACCCAACCTTACTTCTGACCTCTTTAGCTTTATCCAAGTCTACCTTTGACCTGTTTAGCTTTACTAAACCCTACCCTTGACTTTATTACCCTACCCTACTATACCATACCCACCCTACATAAAATTCCATACTGTACGGTACCATGCCCTATGCTACTTACTATATCATACTCATCTTACCAAACAAAACATACCAAACCTTACAATACTTTACATTACCATATCATAACTTATCCTATCTATCATACCAGACCCTGCAATACCCTACCATACTATATGCTATCCTATCTACCATACCAAATCCTACAATGCCCTAACATATATAACATGCCATACTCTACCTGACTATATTATACCATTTATCTTGCTTTATTTACCTATTCTACCCTACCTATAGGTAGTACACAGTAGTGTTGTATAAGATTGGATAAGGTAAGATATGATACAGTATAGTATATGTAGTATGTTATGGTATGGTAGGATATGATATTGTATGGTAGGGTATGGCATGTTATAATATGTTAGGGCATTGTGGGGTTTGGTATGGTAGATAGGATAGGGTATGGCGGGGTGTGGCATATTAAGTACAATATGGTAGCGTAGAAACGGGCAGGGCTACAAAGGTCAAAGGTAGGGTCGGGTAGGGTTAAAAGGGTCAGGGGTGAGGTTGGGTAGGGTTAAAATAGGGGGGCTGAAGTCGGGTAGGGATAAAAGGATCAGGGATGAGGCCGGAAAGAGCTAAAATGTTCAGGAGTGAAGTGGGGTAAGTAACATTACTTGTTAGACACTCAACAATTTTAAATTAATTTTTTTTTATATGTGAAAAAATTATTACCGGGCGTTTACAGGGCATTACCGGGCACGAAGCAAGCCCTGCCCGGTTAGAATCATGGGCCCGGCCCTGTAATTGATCGTAAAAATGGACCCTGGCCCGGCCCTGGGGCCGGGCCGGGTCGGGCACAGGGGGCAACGCCCTACGTCCAAGCCTGCTTTGACCACTCTTGTCATTATAAGTGTTTCCTTTGGAATAACTTACGAATCGCTACACTTGAGAGACCCAGGTTGCTTCTGGAGCTGCGAGAAGAGGTGGTCGAGGTTGGTAATGGCAGAGAATTGTAGCGCCGAGAAGATGACGTGTGTTACGATTAGGAAGATCCAGACACACGAAAACACCGAGATGACGCATTTCTTGGACAGTTTTATGGCTTTGCCAGACATCGACCGGTTGATGACCACCAGCACCAATACCAATAGATGGGTTAGTCCCAAGAGTGAACCATTTTGAGCCAAAGAGAAGAGGGTTTCTTGTACCAGATGCTTCAGGAACTCGCGTGGAGCAAACAGTTGGGTTTGTAGTGTCTCGGCGACGTCTAGAGGAACGTCGGTCGAATATTGGATCTACAACAACATCCGTTCTTAACTTAAATCCGTTATTTTACATAGTGACCCTACGTCGTCCGTAGTTACAGTATCCTACTTCATCCGTAGTTACAGTAACCCTATCCCCTCTTTAGTTATAGTATTCGTACTCCTCCGTTGTTACAGTAACCCTACCTCTTCAGTAGTTACAGTATCCCTACCTCTTCCGTAGTTATAGTGTTCCTACCCCTCCGTAGTTACAGTACCCTTACCTCTTCTGTAGTGATGAAACGGAGATCAGTGAAGAAGTCGGCGAACAAACAGACGAACGAAGCGATGAACAAGAGATTGGAGAAGAGGATGTTGAAGATGAAGAGGATGGTGGCAGTGGACAGATGCTTCCGAGTCTGCACTAGCAGAATCGACAGTACGAAGGTGTTGATGGCCACTCCTGACAATAGGCCCAACTCTAATTTAAGGCCGAACCAAGCCGAGTTTCCAAGGTCTTGGAAGTCACTGAAGATCCACGATTACAATATGTTACTATGGTTGCTATCTACGTTAACATACACTTACTTCTGGGTCTCGGGCTCCAAACTATCGTACACTCCAGCATCACCCACATTGCACTGCTCCAGGTCGAGTACGGGCACTTCCATTGGCATATGGTGAATGTGTGTAGAGTGTGTAGCATTAGAGGACGTCTCGTCGAACGTGAAGTTACCGTTCTCCGCCATCTTACACCGTGCTGCCATTTCCAACTTTTGTGACATCTTGACTGCAGCTACAGCAAAGTGTTGAAGTAGAAGGCGAGTCTTCAGGACAAGGTACGGTAACTGACTGTAACTCTTTACTGCGTACTTTACGTAGTTACTGAAACGATTACCATGTAATACGTGATATATGTATTGATAATTATGTTGTAAACAAATGGTCAGGCTGATATAAGGTTGTTCAAATAATTCTGTGCCCAATGGAAGTTTGCTTTGGGATGGGCACAGAATTATTTGAACAACCTAAGAGATAGCTAGTAGGAATGGTCTACTGTAATATAACAACAAAACTTTAAAAGGTCGATTACCTGAGAATATTCATAAATACAGTATCGTTGGCCAAGGCTTGGCCCACACTCAGAGACTGCTTGGAGTAGTTGTCCACGAACTCTGAATAAGAATGGCACATTCTGGAGAAGCGGGTGAAGAAGGTTCGAGGGCTGATCAAAGTCAACCGTTGTTGTAGAGTGCATTTCTAAAATGGCATTGATTTAACTTTGGTATGTGAATATGGGTATGAATATAAGCTTTATATTCACATAATTTTAGCCTTATATCAACTAACGTATTACTGCTCTTACATTTCGTATAAAGTCGAGACTGTAAGATGTGCTCTCGACAGAATATTCAACATGACATCTCTTGTACAGGTCTGTGTAGTCCATGATCAGTTTGTTGCATATTACACTAAAAATATCATAATATTTCATATATTGTTATTACTAAATTAGATATAAAAACGATGAAGATACGGCCAAAACCTTAATATAAGGTCACATTTCACCTCACTTGTGTCATTATATTAACTAGGTTCACTTACGATCGATGTTCGTTTTCCTTTTCGTATATTATCTTGAACATCTCGGCATGACCTGAGAGGTGGAACCGCCCAATGTCATCAGTACGATGACATACCAAAGCGAAGGCTGCTCGTAGCAGATCCAACTGGAAGTCACGTTTGAACTCAATGTTCTGATTGTTCAAGATGTACCTGTTGACATCACAGAAGCCGAGAGCTTGCATAAACCATATCAGACCTTCGTACCTCTTACTCTGTATGGTTGTGCTTACATTGCGACGACAGAGAATAGGGTGCCGGACTAGGTTGTTTAACTGGAAATGGGGCAAATGGGTTTTGATAGTAATATATTCATGACATCACTTCTCTATTATAGTCTTTATGAATATTCACATTAACATCAAGTTACGATTAAACGGTAAATTAATTTTTATTTTCAGGCCGTATCTACACCTAATATCACCTAAAACAATATTAAAAAAATACCCACACGTCCCCACCTACCAAAGGCGACTCCCTCCCCCGCATCACATCGAAGTGATTGTTGTCCGTGCACAACATACGAAGCTTGTCCTGATTGTGGGCATCGAATGGCGCCACCCATTGATCTACCGGTATACCGTGAACACGTGGTAGAAGATACGAAAGCAGAAGAACGAGGAGCATGTCTGGAGACAATGACAGCTCACTGAGCCGAACACTCTCGACCGGAAACTCGAGAGTCACGACAACATACGGAGGCTAATTACGCGATAAAATTGGCACAGTTTATTCTGATATATGATACAAATGACAGCGTATTATGATCACTCGTAGCGGCGATGTCGCGACGCCAGAAACGCGCTTACGGCGTACAGAATGGCGAGTACGAACAACAGAAACTGAAATAATGTTGTTTACATGTGGGGTCACGTTATCGTGTCATGTTATAGTAGGTTTATATGGAAATAGTGTTGTTTTGTAGTAACATTATATTGTTGTAAACTACATTACTGCTTTTACAACATTGTTTCAATAATATTACTGTTGCAATAATAGTATGCTAACAAATAAATTGTTTTTTATGCTATAATAATGAAATTTTTTGTAAAAACGGCATAATTTAGCTTCATAATACCTTACTGTTACAATTTCAGTTACTTACAGCTGAGAAGGCCCATTCAATGATGGTCCTACATCCGTTGTGAATCACACCGTCACCTCCGATGTCGTTACAGTTATTCGACCACGCTCCAGTTGAATAGTAGGCTTCGACGAAACACAACACCAGGAACACGACAGCGGCTAGGCCAGAGAAAAGAAGATCCTAGAAAATTATTTGTTCAGCCATAATGAGGTCCTCCCCTTTGAAAAATAATCCATTTTTTAAACTACCCCCCCCCTTCTACATTGACAGCACACGTCTGTCTGAAATAAAACAAAAATTGGAAATGGAATTTTCTGGCTTTTCGTTACATTTCAACGCAAAAATTAAAATAAAATTTAAAAACAATTCGCAACGAACGAAAAGCCACTATTGGTCATTTCCCATTTCAGACAGATGTGCAGCACCTTATAGTAATACTATGTCCAATTACTATCATACTAGGACTATTAAGAGCTTACCGAGGTCTTCCAAGGCCAGAAGCTGAGGTGAGAGAGGTGCATGTTCAAAAAGTATCCCAACAAGAACATGAAGGTGACACACAGAGCGATCGAAGTGAAGATAATCACAAAGGTCTGGCCAAACAAGACCCCTTTGAATGGACCTGGGCCAAATACAGATGAGATTAAAGAAATCACGATCAAACACAGTATCTACAAGCAAAGTGGTGACCAAATCTGTCTAATATAGTTAACATAGATAATTAACTTAAAAACTCAAGTCATTACTGTAATTTTAATTTTAAAGTCTAATTTCTATAAACCATACAGTAATATTTTAGCCTTTTGAACAAATCTTTAAGCCCATTTCCTATAATATTACCATTTGAACAACCCTCAGAATGCCTGGAGGTGAACAACAATATCTTTTGTCGATCGTTCCAGGGCCACAGCCAAACTCTACATCTTCTTCGTATTTGGTACGAGTGGTCGTCGTGACCACGGTACCATCAGGACGCTGGGTTGTGTAGACTTCACGATGGTGATCCATCTGTAAACAAACTTTTGACCTTGAGCAAACCAAATCCCAACTTCTCGAGCGAATTAAACAAGCAAGCTCTAATAGGCTCAAAACAACAGAAAAAAGATTAAACTAACTTTAAAATCAGCTAAAATAATGCCAAAATAAAAAAAAATATTTAAAAAGCGTATTTTAGGTATGTGACATGAGTTAAAAGTCAAATTGTTTCATTACACTGAGCAGAACCACAAGATTTTGCTGTTTTACATGTAAATAGACCATGTTTATCAATTATTTGTCACATTCATTTAAAAACGCAGCAAAATATTATCTAAAGGCACAATGCCAAAAGCCCGCGCAATTCAAAAATAACTTTTTTATCGTAATTTTTTACAAGATAATATTAAACAGCAGCTAATGCACGAAACAACTAAAAACTGTATGTAAACTAAATTTTAAAACTTTTGAATTTTAAAAAATGTTAAAAATTTTAAAAAATTTTGAATCTTGTGAAAAACATTAATTAGGGTCCGAGAACTTTTGGAAACGCCTAATCAGCGGTGATCTAACAATGAAACCACAAAGGCCATCTTCTCCTTGCAATCGAACCAACTTTGAAGCGAAAAAAGTCGAGTAAACACAAGTAAACATCGCCCCTTCTTCTCCACCCTTCAAAACCGTCAAATAGGTCATCATGACATAGCTATTTGTTTTCCCTTTACTTAATATACCTTGTTGAAACTATGGTAAAAGTAGCCACAAACAATACAGTAATGATAGAGATAAAGAAGATTACTCCTACTACTGTAACCCAAGAAATGTCCAAAAATAGCAAGCTCAAGATATAAAAAGACGTTACAACCAAACATACGAAGACAAAGAGATGTGTTTGTATTCATCAGGATGGCTGTCCTTTCATCTCAGCCATAATAAAACAAGTTACATGACTCAGCGAGCCATCAAGGTTAAGTCAAATGCAAAATACCCCTTTATACCTAAACATAGCATAAAATACATCAGCAATAATAAACATAACATCAAGTGTAAGCTAAACACTACCAATAATCAGTTTTTGTACAATATACGACACAACAAAGCATTGCCTAAGAATAAAAACTTTCAAAAAATATAATTTTAAATATTCGAAGCCAAGCTTCTGAATCACATCTATCGTATCCTAACAAAGGATAAACCTTAAATATTAATTTAATCATAGTAACAACATTTACATTACATCACACCACATATACAGTACACTTAACAGCCAATACTACCTTGAGATCTAAACAATCACAGATATTGAGTTAGGTAGACGTAGAAAGAGAATGCAACGGCTGTGTAAAGTAGTCATGGCAGTCCTTGAACTCTTCGCCTTCTGAATCCGGTGCTTCTAGGTGAATCCAATCACAGCCGGCTGCCATTCTGTTCCAGTTGGATTGGCTAGACTCCACGGTGAAGTCAGAGTAATCCACCGTAGCCAAATCACTAAAATAACATAATTACCATAGGCTTCAAACCCTTAATTGCCATGATAAGCATGAAACCGGTTCCTCTTCACTGTAACGTTTGTCAATTGTAACATTTAATTACCTTTTCGAAAGTTGATCAAACGAGGATTCTGAAGCCGCAAGAAACGGATTGTCTGATTCCTCCTCTTCTTCCAAGCTCTCTCGTCGGAACTGTTTTTTCTCTGCACTCTCTTCGCTCTTCAGCCTCTCTACTCTTTCAGTCCATTCGTTACGGTAATTGGATCCCCTTATCATCTTCATCATCTCAAGTACAGAATCCGAAATGTCTTCTACGCTACAATCCTCAACGTAACCATCTTTAAAAATGTAATCTTGAACTTTACAGCATTCAGAATTGCAACTGTCAATGTCACACTGTTTAACGTCACTATTTTCAAATATCCCATATCTGCGGTCTTTTGTACTACAACCTTCAGTAGAACCACAGTCATCATTATAACCTTCATAGATACATTGTGAACATGGATAACTCGATTGGCTTGATCCTGTTGATTTCACAACTTTCAGTGGTCGACAAAATTGTAGATGTGCCTCGCTTGAGTCTAAAATAAACTGGCTGGATTCTGGAGGTACTTCCCTTGATTCCATCAACACCCGGTTGAACTGTGAAGCCAGCTTGTTTGATCCTGGAAGAAACTGGCTGCCTGCTGAAGGCATCTTGTTCGATTGTAATATAAGGCTAGGATCTGATAGTATTTGACTTGTATTCGTGTTCTTCCCCAATTCAGAAGCATCAGACGCGTTTGGATACAATTCATCGTACAAATCACACTTTGAGCAACAACTTTGTTTACATGTCTCATCGACCAAAGTGTCCTCACTGTCATCTTCATCATCGCTCTTTTCGTAATTTACATTCTGTCTGATAAAATCATCCGTGACACTTTGTCCTATCAAATTTTGGGTAACAATTCGTCCATTTGCCATCAGATTGTCAAACTTCTCTCGAACAGGCATTGTAAGGCAAGCTGTTGTGTTGTCTTGAGTAACATCATCATATCGACCACCTCTAACATCATAAATCCCAGCCTTACCATAATAGTAGTCATTGTAAATATCGGCTTGATCATCGCTGTACCTAGAAAAGTTGTACAATCTCCGTTTGACATCAGATTCGTTGTTATGGAGAGCCAATTCTCGAGATTTTTTCTCTGATATCCACTGATCCAAAGCCTTATTCAGTCGATTTGTGAGAGAAGTATTGTCATTTTCTGGTGGATCTTCTTTTAGGTAACCTCCACAATCCCTCTGCTCAGATTCTTGGCTCTGTTCTTGATCTTCTCCTGATTTAAAGACTTCGATCTGAGAGAACAGCTCTTGAGTTAACAAATTAATGGCTTCTTCCTGAAAAGATCATGTTTAAACTCGTTTTCGAAGTTTAAAAACACCTAAAATAATATTCTTTCAATCAGAAAATTTATTTTTGCAAATAATTTGGACAAAATTTTGTAAAAATAAGGAAGCGAAATGCCACAAACTTTTATCGATTTTAGAATCAAAAATGGAAAGGAAATTCCACTCAAAATTCAAGTTTTTTGCATGAAATTTAATAGAAAGCCAATAAATTTATCTAAAATATAACTATTACCTTCAGTAATAACAAAATCAAAATGTTATGACAACTTTTTGTCATAAACCAAGGAAAAAATGAATTTTGCCCAACTTACTTCAATGGCATCGTCATTATATTCATCTTCACGGACATAAAATACGAAACGGATCTCGTATCTGTTCATTTCTACGTCAGGCAGGTGATTCTTCTTTAGTTGGAGCACCTTGCCTTTATTCGCTCTAAAAACAAGGTTTTTATAACGAAAAGAAGAAATAGAAGACTAGTGTAATATAAAAAAGGTGAAAAATTACTGTAACTTTGTGATAATAGTAGAAAACTTAGTGTTGATAAAAATAGAAATAAGTTACACAAAATGCAAGTAAGTTACTGTAAAATAACTAAACGAATATATTACTGTAAGTTATTATAACTTACACTTTCTTCTTCACCATCTCTCTCTATCGACCACCAACAGCTGAACAAAACAAAACAAATGAAATTGTACAACTACAACAACATGTTGCAACACTCGGAATTACATTTACCTTTACTGTTTATGCAAATGCGAGTGAATTAGCATTGGCGGGAGACGGGCGACGGAGAGAGATGATTCACTTTCGGTACTTGAGGGGAGTGATAAGCTTGCACTTGATATTGTGATAGACCCTCATTTCGAATTCCAAATATTTATATGTCAGTTATTTACCATGCTCAAATACGCGACCAGTAGCTACAGCGGATCACTCAGTTCGACGGTGGCGCCAGTAATTACTCGCAAAACCTCGTTTTTGTAAGCGTTTTGTTCTACTGATAACGGGTTATTGACACTTCATAACATTACTGATATGTTATTCATAATACTAGCGATATAGGGGTAATAACTATAGTGATATTGTATGTGTTATTACTGATATCTTGTTAAAAGCCTTAGTGATATCTTGTAAAGACCAGAGTTGTTTAGTAGTAATTGCAATGTAACTTTATTTACTTTTTCAAAATCAACTTCAAAATTTTAAGGAATTCAGAATGCGGCTACAGCAAGTCCACGGTGATATTCAAGCACGTATCACTGCCCTTGGTGTGGCCTTCTTCAGAATATTACGATAGTAGAAGAGGCAAGTGCACTATATCACCTTTATTTACTCTTGCTTAAAAATTGATAGAATTAGTTGAGGCTACCTACTGATGCCATATCTTTGCCCTAAGACAATATTAATGTTACAGAACCCCGCACCTTTGCCGTGCAACTGTTGTTCAAGACTTCAGACGGCAAAGAAGTGTATTCGAAGCCAGTAGAAGGAGTAGAACGAAGCCAGATTGACATTTTCTTTGAGCAGGTATTCTACATGTAAGTCTACATTACAGTAGGAGTAACGTTTCAGAGAGAACCAAGGACCAGACTTTGAGATTGAGATTCTGGTACTCTGTAAGAGGACCGATCGCTTTGCCGAGACTATCTTCCACACAATGTCAAGGTCCATCAGTAGGAGTATGGGGCATTCGTTTGTAAGTAGACATAATACTCCACAATATTTAAAATGACATCAACGTAGCGCGACATTTGGAGAAATGAAAAATAAGGACACGATGAATAAGGAAACGAAATAATGGGAAATACACTAATTTACAAAATTCGTGTAGTGCCACTTTGTTTATCTCTTCTTATTGTCTTCCTTCAGAAAAAGTACATGACAGCTTCAAACACTTTGGCCGAGTTTGACCGTAACAAATTCGAAAACTACCGTAACCCCGGAAGCATGATTACGGTAGCCAGTGCCAGTTTCAAACTGTGCAATTGCAGTATCTCAGGCCAGACACACAACTACACCCTCCATTTACATCAACAACCTCCAACCGTACCTCAATCTCACGTGTTACCATTGTTCGGTCGCATCGTATGTCAATGTCTGATACAGCCTTTGTCATTGGCACAGCCGCTAGGCCAAGGAACGCTGAACGTGTTCTACGAAGATGGCAACATCATACTACAACAGTTGTTCTGTGTGCTACGAGGAACCTTCCTGAGGTGCTTTAACTGTGAACCGAGTAGAATCAAGGCTACCACCAAGCCTGACATGGTATTACCTATTGATAAGGTGACTTTTAAGTTTAAGAAGGTCTTTTGGTGACTTTGTTTATATTGTTAATAAATTTATTTTCAGAATACCAGAATAGAACCAACTCCCTTCCCAACGTCAGTCAGGTTAAAGCTACTTGATGTGTATACTCAGAAGGTTCAGAATTTTATATGTATCGCTTCTACACAGACCTCGTTCTTGGGGTGGAAGAACGCCTTAAAACTACAGATTCGAGACTCAGGTACGGCAACAATGTTCTTTAAAGCAATGTGTTACAGTACCTCTAAAACACCAATGTACAGTACCATAAAACTATTTTTCATTTTCTGAATTCTCAAAATTGACATATTATACAAGGTAAATTCAACTTCCAGAAGTATGGGACAGTTTTGCCAACTCCAAAATCAACGTCCACGGAGCTTTGTTACCTATATTACCTCCAAAAACCGTGCGATTTGGGAATACGGTATTCAGTTCGACTGATACGGCTCCACCTCGATATGGCTTCGAACTCCAATCGATACGGAAACGGTCTCAGCTACAGATCAATACCTACAAAGAAAATGGCACCACAATTGCTACGAAGGACAACGCAAATGGCACTACTAGTCCTATAAAGGGGAATACGGTAACCAAAACTGATATGCCAAGAGCAGAGCTACCAAGGTCACACTTTGAAGCTAACAAAGCTATAGGAAAGCCGATTGTACCGCCCAAACCCATAGTGTCACCCAAACCAGTTGCAGTGTTAACTAACCCCCAAGACAAAAGTAAAGAAAGTACGAGACAGCCGGCTCTATCATATAAACCAGCTGTACCTCTAAAGCCAGCTCCAAGGTATCATCAATATACGGTAAACGACAGTGCCCCGTACGTGTTGACATTGAAGATAGGAGAAGGTAAGATAACTTTTGAACAGTTTAATAGCTTTTCCTCGTTTAACCTACCTGACGTTGTAGGTGTAACACGTAACCCTTCAAGCGTTGTCCACCCACGAGGCCGTTCCCAGACATACGATGTCAGCTCGCCTTTACACGAATACACCCGGCTGTAACCTTGCAATTTCGATGTAAAAAGGATAATTTTTACGGTTTCTTTTACTAAAACAACATAAAATGTACACGATTTATTCCTTGGATTCATTTGAGCACGATACAATGGCTTTGTTCGTAGACAGCCGGGTAGAAGACTTGGCCAGAAACTCGTAGTTATTGTCCTGATCCTTACCGTTCTTCTGGAAGATAATGTCCGTTCCCATCGTTTCGTTCCATTCTCCTGCAAACACCGACTGTCCCACTTGCACCAGAGGTCTGTCTGTATTAGCGAATCTCAAGGAAATATTGCCATTTCTGAAGGCTCTATTCACACTGTCCACGTCCAGAACACCGTTCAGATCGGCCACAACAATCGTCTCTTCGTACTCGTCGTCTGGAGCTTGGGAGGTTTGGGGCTTCTGTTCTTGAGTTGCTTTTTTCGGCATCTACAATATAATAGTAAACACATTACAACGTCCACAACATTATCTTACGGGCACTAAAAACATAAAAATATAAACAAGTAATTTGAACTTGAATAAAAATAAATCACAATCCAAATCGAATTATCACATTTATTAATTCACAGAGTTAATATAAGTTTTGCTACGTAATGTAACATTAGATGGCCCGTTTTTGAACATGTTCCAGAGCTAATTCCACTTGGCGTTCCGTTTCTTCGTATTCCCACTGGGAACAAAGGACAACATGGCTTCTTCGGATTCTGTCTTCCGTCTTCATCTGGCTGTTGATCCGATCTTCCGCCTTAAAACATAAAATAAACTATATCATGATTAACATAATCTGTGTCACAGTCAACATAAACCATTATCGTCATCAAAGCAGAGCTTTTACAATCTAATGATGAAAAAACGATAAAAACTGTCATAAATATCAGAATTTCTATCAAAACTGACCAATTCTTTAGACAATTTGTCTCGGTTCATTACTCTTTCGACCACAAATTCCATTGGTACCATCGCTGTCCAGATCTCATGCACAAACTTGTCCCATTGGGCTTCTAGTAAAACAGCTGCATCTACAATAACAATCTTCTCATCAGCTCTTCTGATTCTGTCTACAACGCGATCTGCCATTATTGGCCACATTATTGCTTGAAGTTTGTTTAGACGCTCCTAAAGTAACATTTTGATTTCAACGTATAATATATTATAAATTTTGCAAAAACTATCAAAATTTTAAATTACCTTGTCTTTAAAAACGTAAGCACCCAGTGCTTTTCTATCAACGACATTATCCTTCACCATTTCTTCTCCAAACTCTCTTCTTATACCTTCTCGTACTGCTTCGCTATCGGCCATCACTTCATGCCCTACTTTATCGCAATCTATTACCTAAAATAATGTATAAAGAGAAAAAACATAACTTAAAATCATATATATAGTATAAAACACAAACTTTAGTGTCATTACCAATATAAGACTTACAAAACAACCTTTCTTCCTCAAAAAGTCTGAAATGTGAGTTTTTCCTGAACAAATTCCTCCAGTCAAGCCAATCACGTATTTGTTGTTGACATCAACTTCGGGTTTCAAAGGACTCCTTAACAAATGTCCTAGAGATTCCCGTCGTCTAGCTGATGAACTCAGCTTTGTTTCATTCATAATTTTGTCTTCCCCATCCACCAAATCTATTTCGAATACCTCCAACTCAAACAATCCCTTTTCAATTCGTCGTTTGTTCACAGCATCTCCTCCTTTCCTGGTTTCCTTGCTTACAACAATACATTCCAAGTCTTTCTCTACTATAGACGGTCCGAATGGATCCACGATTGGTACAACATTCAACGCCAAGCCTTCAGAAACATCGTTAATAAACTCTTTTACAGATTCAATTCTCTTCTCATAAGGCTCAATCAATTCCCACAGTTTCTTGTCTAAAACAGAAATAAAATAAAAACAAATTAACTTACTCTTGATCATATCCTTGTCCGTAACACCACATGTAATACGTCCATTTGCCAGTAAAATAGCAGTGGATAACAATACCTTATGTCCATTATGGATACGATCAAATGTCCCACCCAAAACAACGTTCTGATACTTCCTCTTCAAAGGAGAAACAGTCGCATCTTCCTTCACGTTATCTTGAAAAATAAACTTTGAATCGGGATAAGTCTTCCCCAGAAGCAGTCTGACGTCTCCTGAAGGACAATGTTGAGACACGGCAGCGTAAAAGATCGGGATAACATTCAGAAACTCATCAGGCTGTGGTTGAGGAACCAGCTGAACGTAAACACGATCATTGGCAGACAAAGTGACCGATTTCAAGGCTTCCACGATCTTCTCTCTCAACGGCTGCCTCAGTACAAGAGTGAGCCGGTCCTTCATTAGAGGGGGCTGAGACATTTCGATCAAATAAATCAAACAAGACGCGGAAAATAAATAAAGAATACAACATCGCCAAATTTATATAAGAAAGATTATATCTTTTCGTCGCAAAACTGAAAAAAATCTTTCGAAGACAATATAAACAGTCTGCCATTTCAAATTGTTGTAATGCTTCGCAAATGTACTTTAGCTTCTGTTCCTAATCCAAACTTTATTAAAGAGCAGTTCCTAGATAATTTTGTAAACGGAATACGCATTTCTAATATTTTATAAAACAGTTTTTTGCTTTGTATTCAAGAAAGCGCGCAAATTTTATCAAAAAATATAAAAAATGTTGTGACATTCCGTTACTTCTTTATTTTATTATTTTTGGCAATTAATTTTTATTTTCCCATTTTTTCCAGTTTTTGATACAAATCTCTTTGTAATTTATAGTTCACATAATTGTAATAAAATTTATAGTTTTATCTTCAGACAATGGATCTATACGACGATGTTCTGATTGCTCGTTACTGTGGCAAAAGCAAGCTTCGTGAGATCTTTTCTGAGACTGCCAAAACACAAACATGGAGACAGTTGTGGATCTGGTTAGCTGAGGCAGAGAAGGAGTTGGGGTTACCTCAAATTACAGATGAAATGATTCAGGAAATGAAGGATCAGAGGGATAACATCGACTGGGACATGGTTACCAAGGAAGAACGTCGGCTTAAACACGATGTGATGGCACATAATCACACTTTTGGAGCGGTGAGTAGTTATTAATTTATATTTTCATTGTTTAGATATGCCCAAAAGCTGCTGGTGTAATCCATCTTGGAGCAACGTCGTGTTTTGTTCAAGATAATGCTAATCTGATCGAACAAAGACAAGCTTTCGATTATATTATAGGGAGGTAAGTTGAAACATACACATTCATAAAATTGTACTCTTTCTTTGATAGGTATGCTATTGTGATGAGTCGTCTGGCAGAATTCGCTGAAAAATGGAAATCTACGGTAACTGTAGGTAGAACTCACTGGCAAACAGCTTCTTTAGTTACAGTAGGCAAAAGGGCTGTCCTGTGGCTTCAAGAATTGAAAATGGCATTTGATACGGTAGGTATTACCTATTAAAACCTAAATGTTATATTGTTTTATTTATTTATTTACTCGCTATTTTGTAGATTGTGGAGACGAGAAACAAGGCCAAGTTTAGAGGAATCAAGGGCGCTACAGGAACCCAAGATTCGTTTTTGACATTGTTTAAAGGAGATCACGATAAAGTTCAAAAGCTTGATGAATTGGTGACGAAGAAGGCTGGGTTCGGGCAAAAGTTCAGTATTACGGGCCAAACTTACAGTAGACAACAGGATATTGACCTTCTCTTCTGTTTCTCAAAGTTTGGAGCTGCGGTGGAGAAGATTGCTAAAGACATTAGATTCCTTCAAAGCCAAGATGAACTTATGGAGCCGTTCGAGGAGAATCAGATCGGAAGTTCTGCCATGCCTTACAAACGGAATCCCATGAAGTGCGAGAGAGTGACCAGCATGGCCAGACGGCTGCGAAGCAGTGTTTTGGTAGGTAGTTATAAATAAAGTACATTAGGTTTCAAATTTACCATACTTAAAAGTTTGTGTTAAGAGCTGTGAACTTTTCTAAATTTAAAGCTTAAATTTGAATTTTTAGGATGGCTTGAACACATTGGCTGATCAAGGACTTGAGCGTACTTTAGATGATTCTGCCAACCGCCGAATGGTCATTCCTAATGTCTTCTTCTTGGCCGATGCCATTTTGAATATCATACAGGTAGGTCTGCGAAACGATGACTTTTTATTGCAAAAAGAAGGGTATTTCAAACTCAATAGTGCATATGTATTTGTAGAATGTATTCGAAGGCCTTCGTGTACCAGTCGAGAGTGTAAAGAGAAAGGTAGATGAAGAATTGCCATTTTTGGCGTTGGAAAAGGCCCTAATGCTCCTGACCGAGCACGGTGTGAGTCGCCAAGAAGCTCACGACCATATCAGATCGGCCGCTCTCAGCTGCAAGGAACGTCAGGCTTATGGCAAGGTCAGTCTTCAAGATACACTGGCCGGAGACTTCTTTGCTGCAGTCAGAGAGAAGGTCCTCGAGTTAGGATCCAATCCTTTGAACTTCGTGGGCAGGTGTCAGGAACAACAGAAGCAGTATCTAGAGGAGGAGTTCTATCCATCAGTGAAGCCTTATCTCACTGGAAATAACACTGAACGCTCACATTTGGATGTTTAGTTAGGTTCTCGAAGATTGTCACATTTACAACACATATCCATAGTTGTGTCAACATACAATAAATCGTGTCTTTGTATTGCCCTTTAAAATAAGCCTAGTTGATATACCGTTTCATAAGCTTTGGTCATTATATGAGTGAGATATTGAAACCTTGTATAACAATATAAACTTATTTTGTGAAACATCAACAACATAACAACAAAAAAGAGTAACAATCAAACTCGAGTCTTAACCTGCTTGTAATGCTTCATGAGCAAAGCGAACAACTGCTTATCATGAGCTGGTAGGTTAGTCGATAACAATGAAGTCTGTACCTGATTGGAGTGCTTCAAACCCATCAACATGGGTAACAACGGGTTCCTTTGTGCCTTCAGGTTGTTTGACATTACAAAAGGAAGATCCTGTAAATTATTATGTAAAAAGTAAATTAGTTTAATTGAGCAGTAAAGTTGTCTATAACATACCCACAACATCTTCTTGGATTCCCCAATCGCTTGTATCAAGAACTTTAATGAATGTTCGAGTAGAGCTGCGTTTTCTCCTGCTAACTCAGACTTTTTAACCAGGTACAAGAACGATATGAGATCTGATACGTAGCCAGAAATTATTCCATGTTGACTTAGATACCCATCAAATCGCGTGATTAAGGTTGTTAAGAAGTTACTCTTGGCCAACGCGAACTCTAACTTCTCTTCTGTCACCGTGTTCGTTAACAGTTCTGGACAGTGGGTAATTTGGATACAGAAGTTGAGGAAAGAAGGGTGGATCATCACTTTTGAGGACTTATCCTATAATAAGGTATTACTGTACTTCTACTGACCAACTACTTTAGTAAGAAACATCACTTACTCGTGCAATCGCTGTGAGTAGTTTCATCGATTCTGTCCTGTAGTTTTCTCGTTCCATCAAATCACACAATTTCTCTGTTATCGAAAACTTGAATCCTGGCCTGTACAATACCCACGATCTGATGACACCAAGTATCTTGTGGAAGTCACTTTCAGAGAAAACATCCAATACTAGGTCAGCTATTAGTTCGGTCAGCTGAAATATGAAGTAACAAAATAAATCAATACGCCAACAATCGTACAACTTAGGTCTCAGACATCATAATTCAAAAACGATTACCTTATTGTTGGATAAAGACGTAGAAGCAGCGATCACCGACTTGACTCCGCCATTACCGTAAGCTTCGATGAGAATGTGAAAACTGGCTTCTCCTTCTGATGTCTTTTTTTGTGGGATCTCAACTTCCATTTTTTCTGTGTTTGCTTCATCTGATTCTACATACAGCTCCAACACTTCCGAATCGAAAAACCTCAGAAGTGCAGTTTTGTAAGCTGTTATAAAGTCACTTAACAAGTTTAAATAATCTTCATCAAAGCTCTTTCTATTCTTAAGTAGCTTTAACGCTTCCTTCTTGTGCTTATTCAAGACTTCTTCATCTCCTCGCAGCAATAAACATGTCGCTAGCTGATACACCAAGTTTTTCTTGGAATCCTAAACAAATTATATGTTAATGTTTTATAAGTTTATAGTCTTATAATCCTTTTTCTCACTCAAAACTTACATGTACTTCATCCAAGACTTCCCATAACGTCAAGTCTGTCCCAAACCCATAATGGTGCTCGAATGCCACTACTTTGAACAATGAGTAACACAACAAAGCCGAGACAAACGAAGATGAATCTCTCACAACATAGGTCTCAAACAACTTCGGAAAACGGAACTTCACCAACTCGCGGACCTTTGTGGAGTTGAACAAATTTACTTCCGAAATTATTTCATCCATCTTGATCACATTTTCCCTAAACTTTAATAATACAAACCAAAAAAAACTTACTTTACATCCTCTTCTTTGTAAATAATGTCTAAACATTTGCGAATTTCAGAAAAAGCAGCGATCGAACTCATTGTAGCCGCCGTTACATATAAAAATATAAAATTAAAATATTTTAGAATAATATTTTAGCCAAAGTCGGCGACATTTTATACGACGAAATGTTTATTAGAGTCATGACTTTCTCTGCGTGTCAAGATTTTTTGATAAAATATTATTTTGCAAGATTTTGTCAAACTTTATCTATAAATATTAAATTTTGCGTTAATATTGTCAGCTTCTAATTGAGGATAACATGGGAAACGGTTTTTATGATATCTATCAGAGTTTGAGCTTTGGGACTGTGAAAAGCAAGAAAACTGGGCCAAAAACGGAAAATGCGTTGATAAAGAGGGTTCTAGTTGACGATGTAGATGAGCCAGTAGTAAAAACTAAGAAGAAAAAACAGGATAACAACTTAAATGCTCAAGAGTTGTTTAATCAGACTAAAAGTAAACCGGAAGAAGTTAAGAAGATGGTGGTCAACAAAGAAGGAAAGGTATGTTACCTAAAATACTGTTTAACCTTTTAGGCTGACAAGTTGAGGAAGGCAAATCGAATTTTCACTTGGGGTGATGATATACCTGATCCTTTAATTGAGTTTGATGAGCTGGATTTGAATAAGAAGTTGAGAGATAACCTGGCTTTGTTCGACATTAAAATACCAACTCCAGTCCAGATGCAGTCGATTCCATTACTTTTTGAGAAGCGGGATTTATTAGTCAGTGCTCCAACAGGCTCTGGAAAGACGATCGCTTTCACGTTACCGATAGTCAAACAGGCGCTGGATGCTGACTTGGAGGAAAACGAATTGTTTGCCATCTTTGTTGCGCCTACGGCAGTATTGGCTGAACAGGTACAATTTAAATAGTTTTTTGTGAAATTTTATACTTGTTGATTTTATTAATGTTATGTTCTTTAGATACACTTGAACATAACGCAACTGATCAAAGGGCTGCCATTAAAGTCATTTTTGGTTACAAGTGGAGCAAAGCCAGACACAGGTAATTTAGTTTAAACTAAGTATTAAGTATGTAATAAAAATGGCATTTAAAGTTTGAAATTATACTATTCTAAGTTAACTGTATCTTATAATAAACTCTTTGAATGTTTCCAGGTAACTTTATTGTGTGTACCCCAAGCAAGTTTATAAATTGTGCCAAACACAACTTGCTAAAACGAGACGATCTGGCTACTGTACGATGGCTGGTAGTCGATGAAGCTGATCGATTATTTGATACGACGGAGGGAGATAGAAATTTCAGAACTCAAGTAGGTATTAGATAGTTTTATCGTTAGTATGATACGAAAATACATGATTTTAACATAAGCTTACCAACTAAAATTACCGAATTTAATTTTAGTTGGGGAAGATCTTTAGAATGACAGACTCTGCTCACGCGAAACGCCTTTTCTTCAGTGCTACTTTCTCTTCTGAAGTCGAACGGTGGTGCAGAGACAATCTGCATGATGTAGCTATTGTTTGTATTGGTGCAAGGTAACTTTTTTTAAAGTTTCAATGCCTTTTTGGTTACAAAACTTTTAGTGGACTAAAAAACCTTTTAATGAAGGATTTTTATCTTTGTCAAAAATACTCTTAACATTATTTTAGGAACTCGTCCAACACTGATGTTGTACAAGAACTCAAGTTCTCCGGAGATGAAAATGGGAAGATAATGTTGGTAGAAGAGATCATGAGGAAGGGTTTTGACCCTCCGGCGTTGATTTTTGTTCAAAGCAAGGAAAGGGCAGGGGAATTGTTTGTGGAGCTGAAAAGGAGATTACCTGACATTCCTATGCGACTCATGTCAGGCGAATTGACCGTAGAAGCTGTAAGTAGCTTTTGACCCTTATTGGTTTCATTACTGTAATGCTATTCAATTTGTTTTACAGATCAGTTCTAGTATTGTTTGCAGTTAACAAACTATGTATAATACAATATTTTTAGCGAACAAAGATCTTAAATCAGCTGAAATCGTTGGAAGTATTCGTTCTGATCTGCACGGATATGATGGGACGAGGCATCGACATCCCCGAAGTCACTTTAGTCATCAACTTTGATCTTCCAACCTCGATAGCCAGCTACATTCATCGTGTTGGTCGAACTGGCAGAGCAGGCCGAAAGGGAAGAGCCATCACCTTCTACTCTTACGGTGACATCAAGGTACTCCGACCCATAGCTACAGTAATCAAACAAGCCGGCTTTGAAGTGCCAGAGTATATTTTCGAAATCAAAGTGAACAGGTAAGATAAGATCAGCTTTAATAACCGAAATCAGGGATCAGAAACGAGGTTTAAAGACGAAAGCGCCGAACAGAGAAGCGTTGGGGTCGGTGAAGAAGTGGCGGAAGGTGAAGAAGGAGGCCATCTGCAACAACATCATCTCCAACAAGCCCAAGTTCATCAAGAAGAAGAAGGGCCAAAAGACGAAGCCAGGAGATCAGAAGGAGAAATAGATATTGACATTGTTATAGCTGTTTGTTGTTGTCATGTGTAATGTCCAGTGACAGATGCACGTTGTTACCATTGTTAAATAAACTTATCCACTAGCTCTCGACTTCTTCCTGATGGCCAGAGCTATCACTTCGTACATGGCGATGTATTGTTCTCCGTTCTGCACCATGTTACTTCTCTGTTTCCGTAGCTCTGTCACCGTCTTGGCTACATCGATCACAGTTTCATCGGCCAAACAGTCCAGTAGCATCTCTAGGCCAAGGTAGACACCGGTTCGGCCGACTCCAGCACTAAAATTGCAATTGTGACCCGGTTATAAAGTGTAAGTGAATATGTTAGGGTAATATGTTATAAGTATTTTAAGTTTCACAAAAATATGTTAACATTACCTGCAATGGACTAGAACAGGGAATTTGCGGTTTGACGCTCTGACAGTTTCTATGAATGTCAGAAGACTTTCGGCTTCAGCGGGTACGGTAGCGTCGCTCCATTCCTTGAATTGCCATTGCATTACCTAAAATGGCATCAATATAGCTGTCTATAAAGCGATATATCTTCAAAACAAATTACTATAAAACATTACTAGAGTTTGATATTACAAAGTACCTTTCTGGTGCCATGTCCCTTCTTCTCGAGCCATATCTCTCTCTGGAAGCAGATCTCGTCTTCAGTGTAGCAGTACAAGTTCATACTCATGTCATCGCTTATCTCGACATCTTCTCCCGCATATTCTGGCCAATACATGGCACATTTCGGCTGAATATATATTGTAGTTGAGGTAATGATGACTTACTCTGAGGTTCTCGACACATTGTGTTAAACAAACAATACAGTCCACCTTCTGCTCCCAAACCAGTCTCCAGAAGTCAGATACTGTAGCGTCTCTGCGGCCTCCGATTGTTTCGGTCTCTCCGATTGGCCCTTGGGCCGCGATAAACTTGACGGTACCATTGGCATCTTTTATATACGATGCGTTTATGTAGTCTTCGTTACCTTTTAGGAATACACGGTTGTAGTCATCTGTAAATTTTATATAGTAACTCATAACATATTGTGATTTAATTATGACGTGTATAATTAAGGTAATATCCGATATCGATAAAAAGACATTAACCTACATGGTAGAGCATCAAAGAATCTGTTTTTGCGCATTTGGCTTCTAGACTGAGCTACATCCATACTGTAGTTGGTAGATACTTTGGACAATTTCTAAAGATGGCATTACTAAATCATGGTTTATATCTTACCTCGTACTCTTCGTACAGTCGCTCGTTCTCGTTCTCCTGCACCTTCTCCATCTTCTTGTTCATGTTGAGGTTCTTGAGGTGGGGTCGCGGGTGTTGTTTGGGTTTGTCGTCTACTCTGCAAGATACATTTATATATGTCATCTTCCATCAACCTTACTTTATGGACAGAGACTCAGCGGGCGGTGGGGAGGGCGGTTTGGCGGGTGTGACAGCCGGCTCTTCCTCTTGTACCACAACAATACTACACAACGCTCCGGCTGTGTTACTCGGCAGTTTGGGGGTATCCGGAGCTACCTTATCAGGTAATGGGATGGGGGAGGGTAGGTAGTAGCTGGGGTTGTCGTATGTCTTGTCGTTGTGAACTGATTCTATATCAAACTTCCGTGGAGTTGATGACTAAAAAGCTTGCATCTGTAGGTGGCATGTTTAAAATGGTATGTTTACACCTACAGTAATCTGCTACAATAAATAATTTTAATATAAATTACAGTAACCATATACACAGCTTAACGAAAGGTACCTCGCTGCTGTGGACCCGCTTGCGTTGCCGTTGCCAGGAGTAGAAGATGATGCCGACGGTTACCAGCACCACCAGCACCAGTCCCAGTCCGACCAGCAGAAAGATGAGGGCTAGCTCTGAAAAGATGTTATACCAGCCTCGACAAGATACCTGTGTTTTCCGACATGAGAGTAGTTAAATACGACAAGATATGTGCCTAATCTAAATCAACAGAACTCATCTGAAGCCGGCTGGAGGAGGAATGAGGTCAGCAGTTGATTACTGCGGCTGATATACTCACCTTCCATCTCGAGGGTTACGCGACAACCATCTCACTTGTTTGTAGGTTAGATATGATTATTGTAGGTAGGCTTCCTTGGAATAGTATCAGCGGTTGTTGTTAAGGCTTCTGGGCATATAATGGAGCTTTATAGCTAATTATAGTTCAAAGATAATAAGTTAAAATCAGTAAACTCGTGCAGCTCGGTTATGTCCTTATTAAGTATCAAAAAACGAACAAACAAGATTGAACTGTAGCAAAAAACAGTTAAACAGTAATGTAACGTTGTTATGACTCAAGCCTTAAATAATCAAACGTATGTTCTTTTTATAAGTATACCTTTTATAGGTATAAACGTTTCATACGCGGTGTAAAAGACATTATAACTGCTAAGAACTTGAAAACACTTCCGGTCAGTACGAGCCGCACATAAAAATATTTTTACTCTCGTACTGACCCTTTACTCTCAACATCAAAACCGACCCCCAGGGCGTTAAGCGACGCCAAAGAGCGGATTTTACAGTCAAATCCCCATAAAGCCCTTAAAACAGTTTCGTTTTGGTTGTTTATGGTTGTACACTTTCCCCATTCCTCCATCATGAAGGTATCCACGTAGACACGGGTATCCGTTAAAGGTCGGGAACAAGAGTCGCGAGCAAGATCGAGGTTGATAAGCGAAAGCCCCGAACTTCGAGAGCCTCTTCAACTCAGGACAATATGGAACGAAGGTGGAACAATATTTATTTAATGTAATTAAAGCTATGAGACCTGATTATGTAAACATTTTGATAATCCCGTTTTGCGAACATCTGAAGGCACGATTGCAGGTATGGCAACATCAACAACAACAACACTCTACACTTTTTGTTTGGCAGGTGACATGGGTATGGCAACGAGGGAGTTGGAGCGTGTCGACTTCTCCACGGAGTATTTACGGAGCACCGTGAAGCAGCGGAGTACTACTCGGAAGCACCAAGTTTGGAAGAAGATGGCCAATGCCATCACTATCAACAAGGTCACCAAGAACAGGTTCAGACTCTTGGAGTCCACGGTCGACTTCAGCGGAGGGTATTTGTGCAGTTTTTGGAGACCTGAAACGACTCATTAAGTACCGTAACAAAAATTTTAAAAATAACATTATGCCAAAAATGGCGGGAAATTTGAAAATAATAATATTTTTTTTCTATTTGTGAGTATTTTACTCATGTTTTATTACTCGTACTATCGAAAATGGATGCTAAAGGTCATTTTGGGTATAAAAATAATTTTTTCCCATCAAAAAACTTACCCATCTCTCCCTTTTTGGAATCCTCATATACAACAACATCGAGACGGACTGACGTTCCTCCGACCAGAAGCAGCGTTACGTAACCGACTAAGAACGCCCATGAAGCGATTACCGTGAACTGAAAAGCAAATTCGATTAGGGCTGATCATCCTTTAATCAAATCACTCACCTGCATCAGAAGATGTGGGATCAGGAAGAAAGGAGAATGTCGCTTGATTCCGATCAGAAGCAGTATGATGGCAATCACGGCCAAAGACAAACTGAAGATGGCCAGGGTGAAGGCGAACGAGTAGTCTTCATCCACTTTGTCGTATTTGCAGATTGCGACTGTTACCTAAAATCTTTAATTAAAAAAGTCGAAAAACAAAAACATTTTTGAAGAAAATCAAAAACTAAACCTGAAACAACAAGATCTGCAACAATATTCAAAGAAATACTGTCAAACAACAAAACTCACGTGGTACAAAATGATAACGATCTCGAAGATGGCGATCAAGCAAGCTCCCGTCTTGACGTGCATCAGCCCCAAACAGCACCGTTCCGCCGGGACGTCGGACCGTTCATCGGAGGCTTTGTCCGGCTCCACACCCATGGAATACTGAAGACATAATAATATTGTTTTGTTCGGAGAAAGCGAAAACGTTTCAAAAAGCGATCAGAAGACGAGGCCGCCAGCTGACGAAACAAAAACAGTCAAAGTGACACTTAAAACAATAACTCGAACCGCTCTTAATCAACAGCCTCTTAATCAGGAGACAAAAGCCACCTGAAGGGCCCTAATCAGATAATTCCGAGGTTATTCAGGGGGATATGGGGATGGGCGCGGGATGGATCGAGGGAGACGACACCTCGCGCTTCTCTTTTACCATGAAGAAGATGACCTTAGATTCGCCTCTCATTTCGGACCCCCTGCAGGAAAGTTGGAACGAGTCGGCGGAGATTAATTAATCTCGATGGCATCGGATTCACGCCTGGTTCTCGGCTTCGAAACCAAAACAAGTAAAGAAATAGGTTTTTTTGAGGCCGAAAGTACAGTAATAAGCTGTCTTTAGTGTCGAAAGACGGAGGTAACGGTTCACAGGTTTAAAGAAATAAAAAAAAACTCAAAACCCTGATTTTTAAATCTCAAAACTATTTTAAAACATTTAAATAGCCTTCTTTTGAGGGAGAAACATAAGATTCTCATAAAAACAAGTCCAAAATACCCTAGATCAATATCAAACGAAAAGGTAAGCCTGTTACCTAAAGAACAACCATCAAAGAACAAAAGGTAATTCTGAACGAAAAATGAAACAACGATACCTCCTCCTCCTATATAATACCTCAGCGAGAGTAACTTGCAAGTCTCATTTCAACCAGCCGGAAGGAATCGCGAAACCCACTTAATGGGTCGAAAAAGAATTACATTACTCCAGCCGAAAGAATACAGGGTTGTTATCACGGCGATGATCTGAATGGCTGAGAGACTGATCGAAGGGGTGATTATTATAACAAAACAACCTTGCGTAATCTTTTCGAGATTTTAAAGTCTTTGATATCGATAATCTTGGTATCTGAATATTAAAAGCGAATATGAATTTTATTGGCGTGATTAAGAAGCTGTTTAGTGTAATATTAATATATCACTGTTGAGCATTATCCTTCAGAGCAAGTGCGAACAAAAGGTAACAAAATATTGCTCGTGTTCCAAAGAATTTTTAAGAAAAATCGACTTTTTGACAAAATTTAAAATAAAAATTCTATATTCTCCGATAACACAACGCCAACGACCGGGAAAAACAAGAATTTAAATTCCAAGACTGACAAATGGCAAAAACAATATAAAAAATGAATTTTAAGAAGAATAACATTACATATTATGGCTACGAAGTACGGTAAAACTAAAGTAATGCGTAATTTCTGCCATAAATTTTAAAATATAAAAACTTGACTTACTTTGGCACATCTCCACCCTTCTTTGAGACAAAAGTTAACGCTAAAACTGTCGACCATTCTACAGAAAACACTCACAACTACTGGAAAGAATGACCAACAATGAAACTCCCTCTGTAACAACACCTAATTTTCATTTCGGAATCCGGAGTAAGAAGAATCAGAAGTATGCTACAGGCTTCTCAGAGTCGCAAAGGATGTAGCGCGTTTCTGCCACAGCCTTCTGGCAGTAACAATTATCGTTAAAAATGTTTAAAAGCCTTACTGTCATGACTTAATGCGTAATTTATGCTAAGCTATCAATTATATTATAATTTGTTGTAAATCAAGGAAACAAAGACCTAGGTCATGCCAATACTTCTTACAAAACCGACATCTCGTGTTCTTGTACTTTCCAAAGTACAATAGATTACTCCGCAGTAGATTTGTAGAGAAATCGAACAAAAGTGTTCGTATTAACGTCACAAACAACAGAAGTTTTGAAATAAAGTGGTCAAAACTTATATTTTAACTATGATAACATCTTGTTTTGATGACATTATAGCAATAATATCCCGTTAATATAAGACAATAAGCGTAAAGTAACCCAGAAAAACATTTAAAGCAAAACTCACTCGATTACAGGCCAAGCTCGTTGCAAATTCATCGCCAATCCGAAGCAGCGGCTTTGTTTGTTCGGCTTCGGAGTTGGAGATGCTGCTTCTGAAGCCGGACGAGTCGGACGACTCCATGAGCGACCAGATGCCGTGTACCGGAGCAATTAAGTGTACAATATAATTAATTTGAAAAGCGTCGATGGAAAAGCGATGCCCGACTTCTTTTGCGAGATTCCTCGAGATCCCCAATTGATTAGAACTATTTCTCCGTTCCCCGTTTACCGCGAGAAGGCGACTCTACTTTTATTATCGTCATTTATGTACAAACAGTAAAGTTTTATGTGATTAACCGGTCGTGATTTGAGACATGCAAGTGCCCAGACTGTAGGTCGACCATCCGTTACTCAAACACGTTGAAGTCGCGCTTCCCAGGGCGTAGAATCCGATGTGACAGTGAAGACTGGCAGTGGTACCCACAGGATAAGTACCAGAGAAGGAGGGGAGGTTGGTATAAGACACGATGCCGTTGTTACTGTTGGGGAGGGTGTAGCAGCTACCTACAACAACACAATTAAGCACCCACAGCTCCCACACATACTCACTTACTGGAACCGGTACCCAGATTGTTAATGCCAACACCGGTTGTCGACGAGACACAGGCACCAAGGCTAGTAGGAGTAAAGACCCCATTCTGACAGTACGATGTCGTCTGACCGTACGAAGTGTACCCAATGTCACAAGATAATGTGGCACTCGTACCAGAAGGATAAGGACCAACTGCACCACCTTGTGAGTAGGTGATTCTACCGTTCATTGGTGCTACAAGACCAATGACACATTGTGTACCGCCCATCTGAGAATTGAAGGTGTTCAGTCCATTGTTTAGCCCATTATTTAGTCCATTATTCAGACCAGACATCATACCAGTCATGGTACCAGTAAGAGACCCTTGACAGGGCCCCAAACTGGCAGGAGACCAGACTCCAGAAGAACAAGTAGACGTAATGGAGCCAGACAGAGGTTGACCAGACGCACAGACTAAGGTCGCAGTAGTACCAGACGGAAAAGGTCCTACATTACTGCCTTGGGAGTACTGTAAACTGCCTCCCATGGCTACTGGACCGGTCAAACATTCGTTTCCGCCCAGTCCATTTACAACTCCGATCCCGGACTGAGTGTTCTCACAGCCTTGGAACGTTGGCGGCAGCCATTGGCCGTAGGAACAACTCGAACTGGCTGAGCCTAAAAGGTACCAATAACTAGTACGATGCAAAATTTGAGATTTTAAAAATACTAAAGCTTGCACATACCAATAGAAACACCTTGGTTACACCGCAACGTAGCTACAGTACCCTGAGGAAAAGGCCCGACTGATTGACCGTTCGAATAGGACACTTGACCATTCAAAGGTGGTGCAATGCCAAGTGGACAAACTGAAGAAGTGGTGCCAAGCCCATTGATCAGATTATTGGCTAGCCCATTCTGAAAGATACATTGGCCAAGGGGAGGGTACCACTGTCCGGAACGACAGTACGACGTGCTGGCACCACTTATTGTAGTTCCTAAAAAAGTTACAGTAACCAAAAAACCATTAATGAAAGAAATAGTCCAAAGGTTCAAAGATTATAATTGAGAGTATAAGTAGTTATCCTATCAACAATATTGTAGTAGCCCTTACCTGACTGACAAATCAAAGTAGCCGAAGCACCTTCGGGATACGATCCCACCGTATTCGTTAAACTGTACTGTATTTGACCGTTCAAAGGCGTGGCCTCGGCCACACAAGTTAGTCCAGTCCCCAGTCCGGTTCCCAGTCCAGTGCCAAGGCCAGTCAGTCCGTTCTGAAGACCAGAAGTCATACCTCCAAGAGTATTCATCCCAGTACCACTAGCCATGCACGGTCCTAATGTAGCCGGCGTCCACATTCCACTCTGACATGTGGATGTTATCACACTTGACTGTGCTGTGTATCCAACATTACAGATTAATGTAGCTGTGGTACCACTCGGGAAGGGACCCAGCATACCACCCATCGAGTAAACAATGTTCGAGTTTAACGGAGCTACCATGGCTACACAAGTAGCGCCAATAGTGCCCAAGCCGGTTAGTTGAGGATCCATGCCTACTTTGGGCGTGCATTGGCCTAAAATTTTAAATTTTGATTTGAAACCTTTCTTATCCTAAGAGGTACAACAATATAAATCCTTATTACGTCTGACATGAGAAAGAATTTGTTTTAACAGTGTATTATAATATATATAGTTTTTTTCACTCCATATTCCCACGAAAATAAACCTGCCTAAAGTGGGTGACCAAGTTGACCCAGTACAATATGAATTGGCATTGCCAGCTAGTGTAAAGCCAGGGTTACAATTGAGAACAGCCGTACTGCCAGATGAATATTTTACATTATTTGCCTGAATGTAGTCGATCTGCCCATTCAAAGTTGACAATTCTAAACATGTCCCTGATCCAGTACTCTAAATTGAAATAAATTAGACTAGTTACATAGTAGACATAAACATGTTGATGTAAAAAGTTAGATGAACATAAAATAAGAAAAATTAATAAAGTAGCATTATGAACTTCAAAGCTAATTAAATTAAACACCATGACATACCGAGATCTGTTTTTTGTTTCGAATCATAGCATCGTCCTGAACGTTAGTAATGTTAGTGAAAGCGTCTTATTGTTATCATAAAAATAATAGTGCCAACACAGTGGTTAGTTTAACATTTACAAAATAAATTTTACTTACTTCTTGACATGTTCCCAACTTCTCAGGACTCCATCCACTTTCACCACATGATATACGACCATTACCATTCAGAACATACCCAATATTGCATGTCAACTCTGCAATAGCACCAACACCAAAAGGACCATTTGAATCACTCACGTACGATATCTAGATATATAATTTTTATTTTTTTTTGCATTTTACATATCGTATACATTTGATGTCCATGTTATTTCAAAAAGATCCCTGGTCAAATATAAACTTTAAACTTTTTTCTACCTCAATATAATGTCATCACTACACAAAAACCACTAATCTCAATATAATATACAAAACGATTTCTTGCAAAAATTGTAAAAATAATCGAAAGATTGCACACTTCTTACCACCACACAAAGCATACCTGTCCGTTCGCTACTTCAGCTTGAGCCTGACACTTCTGACCAACAGCAGATATGCATTCACCTATAGACGTCCAATCTCCGTTCTGCTGGCACTTGGCCACTAAATTGCCTGAAGGCACAAAGCCGAGATGACAAAGTACTGTAGCCTCAGTATCTGGTCTAAATGGAGCCAACCCCAATGGAGAATATACGACAAATCCATTGGAAACATTCGATAACAGTGGACAGCCACTTGATGAAGATACCACGTTGTGCGGTTGTTCATCTAAACACATAATACATTTTAAATTTCAATTTTTCAAGTCAAAATGAACATTTTAAACAAAAATAGTTTTTAAAAACGGAATTTAACGTAAAAATCTGATCTAATATGTTTTTCAGTTATTTTCGTATACAAACAACTGCGTATACCTACTGTCATCGTACGGTTTATTACCTCTTGCAATTGGTTCGCAAGGAATGAACTCCAGAGGTCTCCATCCATTTACAGTACATCTGACTCGTCGTAAGTTACCGTTATGACATTGTAAAGTAGCTAGAGTCCCTACTACATGACCTGCTTCATTTGTATCTTCTTCAGAATACACTATCTACAACTGGTTTTAAAAAATACAATTAATAGGACTAACAATTGTAAGGCAACCAACATTTGTATTATGTGAACATTTTTTGACATTTTTTCCAAAAAAATATATATTTGATATAACCCTTGAATTATATACGTTTAATTTGTACCTTGGACGAAAACCTTAAATTCTTGCCCACGAAAAAATTCTCATAGTTTTATCTGATCCCTTTTTTTGTCTGATTGCCGTCGGCATTAGAGAAAAACTAGAGAACGCACAAAATTATGAGAGGTTTTTCGTGGACAAGAATTTAAGGTTTTCGTCCAAGGTACAAATTAAACGTATATAATTCAAGGGTTATATGTTTTACAATAAACAGTGATAGCACCTAGTACAAATATCTTCAAAACCTTTTATTATCATTCCTCGAAACAGTAACAATCACTTGCCTCTCCGTCATGCCTGTCATTAAAGTAATCACATCTACGAAGACTATCATCAGCCACTACGAAACTAACAGTTAATAAAACAAGAATGTGTTTATTCATTTTACGGTTACAATGGCAGCGGTAGTTGTTTTAGCACAGAAAGGAATTATTTTGGTTGAAAAAAGAGAGAACCGGATCTCGAGGGTAGCCTGAGGTGAAATAAGCCGTCGAAATCCGGGAAATCCCCCAGGTTTCGAAACTCGGGTTTTAATTGTCACGGTGAATCAACAATCCGTTAGTCAGTGATATCAGCCGGCCCTGCCACTCGAACTCCACTGGAATCCCATCGTCACCGAACCTGAATCGACGAAACAACGCCTCCGCGATCGCTGATCTCACCAAGCCATAGGCTTCGAACGGGGATGGGTGGTACAAGCGACCGTTAGGGAACATACACAATTTGGACGGCTGAAACTTATGATTCCACTTGATAGATATTTGAATACAACTTGAAATGATAAGATCAACATATCCAAGAAATAAAAAACATTCAAAATTACCTCAAATGCAACTTTTCTATTCGAATTATTGACGATCCACGTATTCGATTCCTCATCCAGTGTTGTGAACACATAAGGTCGATCATCACACTTCAAGAAGTTCAGTTCACCTTGACATTCACTGATATAGGGAAACTCTGGGTATTGGCCAGAGTTATTCAGAGCTAGCCGTCTTAAGAAAAAAGTTAAAAATTTTTTATCTGAAATAATATCAGATAAAACAATAAAACTATAATATAAAATAGAAAAAAGCTTATCAAAAAATAATTTTATATTGTAGTAGAGAACGTCTCACTACTACAATAACATAATCAAAACTAACAAAAATTTACCAACTAAAAACACTAAATAGAAAATTACCTTTGTAACAAGATGTAAAATTTTTAATCCTCGCATCTTCCAAAAACAATTGTCCTTCGTGATCGAGAAAGTAGAAGTAATGCCTGACGTTACCCACATATTCACCTTGAGTGTGAGCCTTTCTGATCGATTTTAATAAATACGCTGAACGTTTAAACAAGTAATTAGAAAACATCTCGATAAGACTTGCTAGTTCTTAAAATTAAATAATTCTTAGAAAAACAAAAACACTTGACCGGCTTTCAAACTTTTTCAATAAACAGCTTGTTCAAAGTTGATATCAAAGTTATTAATTTCAAAATAATATACAGCTGTATGTCCATTCTAGCATTATTTCTGCTTCAAATCCCTTCCTCGAATACTGTTTTCTGGAATTCGAACATTTTTCTTGAAAATGCAAAAATTTGTTTACCTTTTTGTAGACGTTTGAGCGTATAAGATGTCAATTAATTCGTAAAAGCACTCGATTTCGTTTACTTTGCTCAAATTATTCAATTCGCAAACGTGTTAGATTTATATGGGCGTTAATTGGGGTTTTGGAATTAGTTTAGTCGATATTATTATAGAGATTCCGGCAGATTTGAGGACAATTATTAAGATGCGCGGTATCGGGGTTCTATAGTATTCTGAGGGGCCGACGTTGTGGGGGATACAAGAAAAGGGAAAGGGGCGAAAAATTGGGCCGCCGCTGGCAGAAACGGCAAGAAAAGCGGCACAGCTACGGCCAATATTGGACTTGGGGGTCGACGTTTAGAGTAGACGCGTAAGCCACTTTTTTGTGCGTGTTCTGCTTTTTGGTTTCTCTGATTCTACATTCCACCGCAAAACTGGAGCGATTTCTTGCAGCCGCACCTGCAACCATGCAGACCCTGGAGAAGGCTTTACATCAGCCTATGCCATTCACGACCGGCGGCCAAACCATCACAGATCGACTGATCGCGGCAAAACACTCGCTGGCTGGTTCCCAGCTGGGCAAGACCATTTGCAAAGCGACTACAGAGGAACTGATGGCTCCAAAGAAGAAGCATCTTGACTGTAAGGCACTTTTTGTGTTTTATATTCTGTTATAAAGAGATTTTAGCAAACATAAGTAAATTTATATTTTCAAATTTAGGTATCTTTTTTAAAATCAAACTCTAAAACATTTTTTTTTCAGACTTACTACACTGCACCAACGAGCCCAATGTGTCGATTCCATCGATGGCAAATCTACTTATAGAACGAACCCAAAATCCCAATTGGATCGTCGTATACAAGGCTCTAATCACGATTCATAATCTGATGTGCTACGGAAACGAGCGCTTCTCTCAATATTTGGCATCGTGTAACACTTCTTTTAATCTGACGTCGTTTTTGGACAAAGTTGCCGCTCAGGGAGGTAATTTGGCATCAGGTGTGTTACGTGTTTGCGTTGATTACATTAAATTTAGGGTATGATATGTCGACTCATGTGAGAAGATATGGCAAATACATCTCGGAGAAAATATCTACTTATCGCCTGTGTGCCTTCGACTTCTGTAAAGTAAAGAGGGGACGTGAAGATGGCTTGCTTAGAACTTTGCACACTGACAAGGTAATTTTGGGTAGATACAGTAATATTCTAAATGAATTTTAATTTAATTTGTTATAAGTATACTTGCCAAAACTAATATTTTATTTTACAGTTGTTGAAAACCTTTCCAATCTTACAAAACCAGATTGATGCTCTTCTCGAGTTCCAAGTAAATCCATCAGAACTCACTAACAGTGTAATCAACTGTTCCTTCATATTGTTATTCCGAGATCTGATACGACTTTTTGCGTGTTACAATGATGGAGTTATCAATCTTCTAGAAAAGTATTTCGATATGAACAAGAAACAATGTAGAGAAGCTTTGGACTTCTACAAGTCGTTTTTGGTAAGTAAAAATGTGTTTTCATATTTAAATTTGTTTAACAATCAATCTTGTTTTATATTTTTATTTAAATTTTTGAGTTTTCAGCTTCGATTGGATAAGGTTTCCGAGTTTCTGAAAGTAGCAGAGTCAGTGGGGATAGACAAAGGCGAGATCCCAGACCTGACAAGAGCTCCAGCTTCATTGCTCGAGGCTTTGGAGGCCCATTTGTACCATTTGGAAGGTGGTCGAGGTCCCCCACCATCAGCTCAACAGGTAAACTTTTAAATTTATATTTTTTTTGTTTATCATGACGTTTTAAAACTAATGAATTGTGTGGTTTAGATTGTAAGTCAACAACTCGGAGCTCAACAAGCTCAGCCATTCCATTCGTCCAATATGTCTGCTGGAATCGATGAAACAACACGACAAAAGTATCTAGAGGAAGAGAAAGAGCGTCTCAGACAGTACGAGGAGCAAAGGAAGAAACAGTTTGGGGACGGTCCAGGTAACTTTAGTTGTTTTTTTACCTAAATTAATAAAAAAATATTTTTTATTTGAAAAAATTTTTTTCTACATTTTTTTATATTGTTGCCTAAAATATGTAAATTTGTTATAAGATTCTTTTCTGTACTTTTACACTTTTAGATCCTAGTAATCCATTTGGTGCTCCAGCTCCATCTAATGTTCCCTCAGGGCAGGCGGATCTTTTGAATCTCTTTGATCCTCCCCAAGCTCAACCAGCCGCTTCGCAACAACCGGCTCTAGTAGCTCAAGACCCCAACAATCCGTTCGCGTCGCTTATGAGTGGACCACCAGCACAAGTTCCCAAAGCCCAACCGGCTAGCTCAGTGAATCCGTTTGGTCAATTCCCTCCACTAAGCCAGCCGTCCCAACCCTTATCAGCTTCGGGACCACCCCCGCCGGTTCCTCCACCACCAGCGGCGGCATTTAATCCGTTCGGAAATGCTGCCCCAGTATCTCAGCATTACGGAATCTACAATCAGACGCCATACACTGGAACGGATGGCAGTTATACTGCACCTTCTTTCTTCGATACGCAAATGGCCAAGAATGAGTCGAAGAATGACCACCAGAACGTCGATCACGCCCTCTCGTCTCTGGTCAACAACTTTTCAATAAGCCATCAGCAACCAAAGTAAGTCACTTCAAATAATATTAATATCGTTTGACATTATTATTGTAAGCAATATCATTTTATGTTGTTTGGGTAACATTTAAAGTTTTATAATTACGAGTTTTAGCCCTGCCGGAGGTGTTAACTGGACTGGCGGTCCTCCCCCACAAAGCTTTGGCGCTCCAGGAGCTTACCCCGCTCAACAACCACAGTATCCACCGAACTCATTCAACCCATACGCTAACCAGCAATGGCAACAACCCACCAACCCCTACGGCCAACCTTTCCAGCAACAACCCCAATACCCACAGACCAACCCCTACAGTCAGCCCCAAGCCAGCCAGCCTCCATTTGGTACAGCGAGTCAGCCAAACGCCGCGAAAGATCCGTTTTCATTCTCGTAAAGCTTGTACTCAATGCAAATAATCTTGTTCCTATATTGTATTTTAGTCTTAGTCTCTTGTACTTTCAGAGTCACTTTTTAACAGAACTTTTATTTTAACGAATTTCTTAACCAGTAAATTTTTATTTTTTCACTCTTCACTACCTTCGTGCAGTTTTGTCAAAAGTGAGTATAAAAGTTCTGGACATTGTTCCAGCTCCTCGATTGGTACGTACTCATGTTTGGAATGGGCGGTGGTTATGGATCCACAACCGATCAGAAAGACGCCATCCAGTTGCTTGTACTTGTCAAAGTAGGGAATGTCTGTGTTGAAGGCGACTACTTTGCTCTCGAATGGCTCAGGTGGTTCTGCAAGTATGTTATCAATTTGTATACTGTATTAACTACTCTACTTAATAAGGTCTTTACAACGTAATAACTAACTTACTCGTCAAAATGACCGGTTCGTTGAGCCCCAAAACCTTTATCTCGACTCGTCCTTTGACTATTCTCTCAACCTCCTCCAACAAATTCGACGCCGAATCGACCACTCTGAACATCAAGCCGGCTTCAGCGTGTTCAGCCAACGCATTCATGGCTTGGCCTCCATTCAGAAGACCTATGTTTAATGTAGTCTCACCAAGATCATTGTGTTGTGGCCATTCGTTGGCACGGAGGTTTGCAAGTACATCTAGAAGCAGATGGACCGCACTGTGGCCTTTCTCTGGGTATCCTGAATGGGCAGCTTGACCTCTGGCTACTAGTTGTATCTAAACTGGTATCAAGATGAGTGAAGCGTACAGATAAAAAATTGTTTGTAAAAATTAAGTTGTTGTGAAATTTCACAAAAAGTCTAACAAATTACCTTAAGTGCTCCTTTCTGTGCATGACCAAAAGTGAGTTCAGTCGGCTCTCCAACCACCAGGTATTTGGGGTGAATGTTCAAATTGTTAGCCTCTGTCATGCCAACATGGTCCGTTTCTTCGCCAACGACTAGTAACAATGCCGTTTGATCACTCAGCTGCTCGTTCTCACCCTTTAGTTTTCTCAAGGCGAATATCATAGAGGCAATTTGACCTTAAACAAGCTGTAAAGAAAGGTTCTTCCAAACAAACCTTTGGCATCATTAGACCCTCTTCCATAGATACAACCGTCTCCAATACGAGGATGGGTATAAGGGGGTACCGTGTCCAAGTGAGTGTTCAAGAGGTATTTGATATCTTCAATCTTCGTGTTGGGCTTTTTAATCAGTAGGTTACACCGCGTATAATTTGGTTTCAACGACTGCTTCACAACTTCGAAGCCCAAAAACTCACAAAACCTTTGAATACAGTCAGCGACCGCAGCTGAAATTGTACTGTAACTTGCCAAGCTTCAAGATACCATACCTTCCTGGCCAGTTGTGCTCTCGATTTTCATCAAGTGAATAAGGAAGTCAGTGATGGGTGCGTTGGAAAGTTGCTCCATGGTGATTGGGAAGACTGACCACGATAAAAACTCGAGTCAAAGTTAAATTTTTACTTTCTAGAGTTTACCTAAATTTAATTTGCATGTCTCGAAATAAAAACACCTTCCATAATTAGTCACGAGATTTGAGTAATTTAGTTTTTATGAATTTCAATACAGAATTTAAATTAAATAACCTTAGGATTAGTACTTAAATTACCCTACCGTTTAATATTTATGAGCCGGGAAAAATAAAATTTAAAATTTGAAGCAAGTCTTTGATCAATAACTAAAAATCGACGCCAAATGCGATTCGATGACCAATTATTTTTATCACTTGAGACCTTAATATAATAAGCAAGTGCGTAGCGCCAAAACAAAAAAAGATTAAAGCAAAATGCAACTTTTAAGAGTTAAAAACACAGTATTAAATTTGCAACCTTGGCAACAATATTTATTTTCAGTACTTGGAGGTGCGTAAGTATTGATGTAAAGTAAAATCAATACATTGCAAGAAAAATTCCTTGTTATATTTATCAAAAATGTCAAATATAAAAATTTATATGCAGTTTTATAAACAATGGTTACATAATGCTTCACCAAACGTATTCATAAGTTTCTTCTTGTATAAATAAAACCTCGTCCAGTAATTATTTATTCGCACGTATCTCAACAAAATCAATAGTTGCACCCCGTCCCCTTTCAACAAAAATTTTTACTCGGAGAAGCCATTTATTGGATTTTTGCGAGATATAACGTCTTAATCCTTGTTAATTACAGACGGGGATGAGTTCAGATGAGGCTCGAGACCTGAGCAATGAAGAGAAAACCAAGTCCGAGTCTTCATCTTGTTCAACTTCATCAACGTCCGTGGAATCGCCTGAGAAATGTAGAACATTGACTATTAACAGCCCAGCTGCCGGCGACCCTTTAGTCTTTCAGTACAAATCACCTAATGCAGAGTTTGTGGATATTTTAAAGTAAGTTAATATAATAATCTTATCATTTTTTGATGAATCTGTTTGTTGTGATCGGTTTAATAATCTGAATTTAGATTGGCTGTGGATGAGTTTGAAGGATTAAAGCAAGTCGTTGCAATGTCTGTTGGCAATCTGGATCATTTATACACGGCGGAGTAAGTTTTTTAAAGTATTATTAGCATACTTGTTTTCAGTTATGAAGCATTAGATGAAGTATGTTGGAGGTTCAACAAAGCGGCCTCAACGATTAGCAATTTGTGGAAAGGGGCCACGAAGCCAGGTTCAAACACAGAGTTTGCGTCCACAAAACTGTTGAATCGGATTTTAACACATTCGTATAACAAGGCAGTAGACAATGAGAAAGCTCTGAACAAACATTATGAAGCCTTTTCTTCAGAGACTTATGGTGAAACATCTTTCAATCGGATGCAGATGATCATCGACGAACTGAAACCGACGAATCAAGATGTTTTTGTCGATCTGGGAAGTGGAGTAGGACAATTGGTAGCTCACATGGCTGGAGGATCTAAAGTTAAGAAGGCGTTTGGTATTGAAATTGCTCAATTACCAGCAAAGTTTGCTGCAAAACTGGAAGAGGAGTTTAGGAAGTAAGTTTAAACGTTGTTTATGTTTATAGTTTTATAATTTTTAACTTAACGTTTATATTTTTAGACTTATGAAGTTCTTTGGCAAGAAAGTTAGGCCATTCAGTTTAGAACGAGGAAACTTTTTGGAGAGCAACTATAGGGAGTTGATAACTCAAGACGCGACCATAATATTTATTAATAACTATGCTTTTCAATCTGATTTGGAAGCCAAGATCAAACAGAACTTGTTAAGCGAGTTGAAGAATGGCACTAGGATTATCTCCACAAAACCTTATGGTGCTCTAAACAAAAACATAACTGAAAGACAGTTGAATGGTAAGTTTTTTTTTCTCTTGACTATTTGAATTTTAGATATCTCTTCTATCTTGGATGTGGTCGAGTTGAAGAGGTGTCCAAACCCATGTTCGTGGACTTCGAACGATGTGCCGTACTATCTGCACGTTGTTAATCACGAAAAGGTAGGAAACATTGAGTTTTTTGAACTTAACATTGTTATTTTAATCTCATTGTATATTTTTCATAATTCATGTTGAATTTAGCTTGAGAAATATTTCTTGAGTCTGAAGAACAACAATTTGAAGTTGGATTTGCGTCGTTCTGCTACACCGTCATCGAAGAACTCTGACTCTCGTGAATCTAGTGTACCTAGGAAGAGTTTGAAGAAGAAACAAAGAGAGTATGATCTGTAAGTATCTTAAACTAATAAATACTGTCTTTTGTTATAATAAGAGCGTTAGTATGTTGTTATATGTTCGTATTTCAGCCATGGTCCTACTACTCGCAGAAAATGGCAAGCCTATGTCTCTGAAGTGATGCCTGAACCGAAAGTAGAAGCAGTACCATCTAAGAAGGACGAAACCATGAGTGACAAAGCCTCTAACGACTCTGACAGTGACTTTGAGGAGAAGAAAAGAAAGAAGTCAGTTACAGTTAAAGTCAAAGGAAGACCGAGACGATCTGCAGACAAAAAGGACATTTCGAACGACGCTGAAGAAGGTATCGAACTCATGCACAAACTGATATGCGAAGCTACTGAACTCAAGCCTGAATCTAATGGACAAAGCAAAGCGGAATTAAAGCCTCCGAAAAAACTGAACAAAAAGAAGGAAAAAGAGAAGGAGAAGGTTCTACCTGAAATTTCTGTGCCGTTTCCGAGCGTCGGTGTCAGCGGTTCGGTGATCAACGCATTAACCAACGATACTGCCAATGGAGAGTACAAGTATCCAAACCTGGAAGTGTTCTTATGTAGGTCTTTTATGTTTTTATATTAATAAAATTTCATATTATGCTTATTTTTTATAATTTTATATTGTACTTACTAATTGTTTTTAGCGGAGCTTCGAAGAGTGTACGAAGGTTTCTTGGACAACGTCAAACCAAACGGATCTAACACAGACAATGTAAGTCGATATATAATACTTTGGTGGTAAAACCATCCTAATTGATATTCGTGATACCGGGTAATACTTTTTGTATAATTTAGGCAATAAACGTTCCAAAAGTGCCCACCAATAAGTTGGGTCATTGTCTTGTTGACATAACGCGACGAATGGACACTTTGAGAACCAAATATCTTGAATTGGGCAGTGAAATTGATTCCCTGAGAGCTGATGTTATCAATCTTGTTACCAAGTTCTCTCACACGGATATGCCCACTTTGTCCAAAAAACTTAATGGTGACATACATACGCCTTCGACAAGTAATCCTCAAGTGATTCCAAAGCCGTATACGTAAGTTGTTTTTTAATTAGTGTTTTTCTTTTAGTGGTATGATCTTCAATCAGTACTATATAAAGGTTAGGCTAAAAATGAAAAATTTTTAGTGGCCTAAACTCAACGGACAACAAACTCCCTACGGGTATTGAAAACCAGAGCAATCCTCAATTGAATGGTGCTTTGAAAATTGGCGTTCAGAACGGGAATATGAACCTAATCAACGCCCTAACATCGCTAATGGCAACAAACTTGAATGAAACAGTTGATCTCAATTCATTCAATCAGATGCCTACTGCCTCGCCTGTAGAGCTGAACCCAATGACAGCGGACTTCACACAGCGTAATCAGCTCATCTACAATCTTCTCTCCAGCAGCAATGCCATGGGAATGGCCCCGAACTCGTTACTGGCCCTACGATCATTGTCAGTAGGCACCCCTCAGGCTTCTTTCGACACTTTTTCTAACTACTCCAACATTGCAACCCCCAACATGCTGCCTCAAAGACCAGGAGGATACACGAATGACTCGAGTCATGTAAGTTTTCTTTATCTTGACCTTTAACAACTCATGCTGTTGATTTGCATGATTTTTTAAATGTCTGAAGTTTATTTTTTTCGTTTGATTTATGTTTCTAAATTACAGACTGACCAAAGAAAGAGGCAGGCTGATATGCGCGACGACGGAACATCAGCCAAACGATTCCACGAGAACGGGGCATGAGCAGGGAATACACATTTTTGTTTTATCCATAACTATATTGTCTTATTTCAGCGAACTTATATTTTTTGTTACTTATGGGCTTTCTTAATTATTGAAACCTCAGGGGTACTGAACCCTAATTTCTAATTGTTAATAAATGGTCTCTGTCTGTGTGGATTTGATTTATTCGAATGTATATTACTCCTTGAATTCGGGTCGTCTAAAGCTTTCAATTTGAGATTACACCCAGGGCATGCGGCCTCCACGGATTTCGTCTAGGTTTTTCTAACGGTGCCAATAAACTGATAAAGTCAGAGAATCGTATTTAAAATTATGGGTATCAAAAGCGACCTTTATATTTCTAAAAGTTTAACACAAATTTATACCAATTATTAGGTGGATGTCACAGAAAGAGACGTTTCCAAAGCTGTACCGAATCCCGAAAAAGGCAGACCAGAAGCTTAGCTCGAAGGACCAAGTATTAACTTCACCTCTAGTAAAAACCAATGCGAACCCACCAGCAAAACCAAAACGTAAGTGTGGAACTTTAATCCCAATATCTTTTACATTTTAGCTACGCCAAAGATCACAGAGAAACACAAAACAAAGGAAACCAAACATGAAACGACAAAAAGGAAACATTCACAGGCATTCCACAAGTAAGTGACATTATTGTTTACTAGTTTTTTCACTTGATATCAGTACTAAAGGCTCATTTCAGACAGCACAAATCAAATGCCAACAAAGACCCAATCGAACTGCTGGACAGTATCTGGAAGGAAATGGAGGAGGATGATATGAAGAAGAAGCACAAAAGATCGGACAAAGGTAAGGTACAGTACAGTTAATGCAACGCACGTCAAAAGAAAATGAAACGAAAAACTTAAAAGAAAGCAACTTATTCTAGACGGATGCACCCCTAACGGAAGCCCCTTATATCAGCATGCAGCTACACCAACTCCAGGCACCTCTCAACCCAAATTTACAAAGTACGAGCTGCTAAGTGCCCCCAAGGACGACACCGTGCTGAAGCGATTGATGAACAAAAGTGGCCTTATGGAGAGGATACTCGCCTTCAAAATCAAGCATTCGAAGATGGACAGCTACAGAAACATACGAGTTCATGGAAGGTTAGATGAGTGTGTGATGCCGGACGTAAGTTTATACTAATGACAGTAAATAAAGTAAATTATACTTAGAAAAAGTAATTCAATATTCAATCAAATACTTTAGGACCAAAGCGTAGACTACGGCACTCCTAGATTTCAAACTGAGATTAATCAACAAAAAGGGCCACAGACACCTCCTGGAAGAGGACCTCAAACTCCACCAGGATCGCCTGATATGGTATCAGAAGGTAGTCATGGGGCAGATTACGAGCGTGCAAAGACGATCGTCGATGACATTTTACGAGCCGAGGTTGGCAACACTGTACCAATGGAAGAGGGAGACAAGGCCTCTACCGCATCCAGGATTAACAACTCTTCTTCATCCACGAAAACGAACGAAAACAATAGTGGATTCTTCTTACCACCACCCCCGCCTCCTCCGATGATATCAAAGCCATCTACACCTCCTCCGGCCGTTTCAGTAGCAACAAGCAATTTCTTCTCGGTCGATTTGACTAAAAATCAGCCATCAATAATGTCGATCAACCTGGCCAATCAACAACAGCCGCCAACTGCAATCAACTTGGTAACTAGGTTACCACCGCCAAGTTCAACAGTAAACCTTGTTTCTCGGCCACCACCCCCGATTGCATCGGTCAATTTAGCGATCAGGCCACCTCCCTCGACTAATACAGTAAATTTGGCAGCTCGACATCCACCTCAAAATACGCTTCAGCCACCTCCCATTAAATTGTCCACCCCACATTCTATCAACCCTACTACGATCATCCATCCGACAGATCTTACAAAACCTCCACCCATCAACATATCCCAACCCCCGCCGAACTTTCAGAACGTTTATCGCCCTCATTTTATCACCCCTCCGCGACGTGAATTCTTACCTCGCCCTCCTGCAGGGTTTCCACTGCCCCCTCCTGGTTCTACGCCAGCTGCCTTTCCAAGACCTCCTCCCCCAGAGCCTTCGGCAATGAGGTTCCTACACCCTCCTCCCCCGGAATTCATACCAAGAGGATTCCAACGACCACCACCCTCAGAAGTTGTGCCAGTTGCTTCAAGAGCGCCACCTCCAGAAACTACAACAACAAAACCCCCATCGCCTAAAACGAAACCCGCGGATTCAGAAGCAACCGAAGACGATGCCCCAAAACAAAAGCCAAAGCCACCAGTCTGCTTTGGGCCGCCGCTGTTACCTCCAATTGAAAGAAGCGTAGGTTTTTGTTGCATGACAACCAAATGAAACTTTATTAAAAACATGTTTACAAAGAAGAATGCATGGAACAGCTTTATTACTTCAATAACTTGTAGTTTTCTTTTCAAAAACGTTGTTCATAAAATGTATTTCAGGGCGCACCTAGGTATGGACCTCCTCGCTTCCCCTTCAGGCCGGGATTCAGAATCCCTCACCCTCCGCCATACAGAATGCCTCCACCCCTGCCTCACTACAATCTCCGACCTCCAAGGCCGTTAGCCCCAGGCTACCACAGATGATTGGACTTTGGATTCAACTTTTTTCATTTTTAGTCATTTCATAACTGTATCTTTATATCCGGGTTTTTAAGTATTCAAATAGTATATATTGTCTTCTAAAATTATGGTTAGTAAAATGTATAATAAAAACATTACTTTATGAGACAAGAATAATTAAAATGCGAAAAATTTACTTCTAAAATGGTAATTAGATTTATAATATACGTCTTCAGTCACTGAGTAATAAAAACTAGTATTTAAATACCATGTTTTGCTACAAATCAAAAAATTAAGTTTTTGACAAACGATGGATAAAATCTTGTAATTTTGGGCTCTCTTGCATCATAAGCAAGGTAACTTTTGGCAAATTTTATATTTAACCGCGACTTGCGCCCACCCTGTATAATGTATAAATTTTGGTTTCGGTAATAATAAATAACAAATTTAATGTTACAACGACAAATAAAGTTCCTATTTATTAGAAAAAGTAATTTATTAACAATATTCTGAATTAATAAAGACCCCACGAGAAAAGTACAAATGTTATTTGCCGTATAAAAGTAGAATTGCCGTTTACGCGCTTCAAAACTCATTTTGGGCGCAAGTTGCAGAAATGTTTCATACTGGCCTCACGTCTATAGACGTCTGTTGTACTTATCCTCCTAAAGAAGTATACAGCGAGCTGTTGATGTGAAATATATGTTACTTGTGTGTTATTTTTTTTAAATTTATTAATTTGTGAGTTTTTCAGAATGGCTACCGAATTCTACGTAGATCCAGAAAACGGTTGTGACGAACAGGGAGATGCTAGTAAGGAAAAACCTGTCAAGAACTTGTTCAAGGCTATGTTAATAGCCGGTTCTATTGACAAGAAGTTCTTTGTGGCCGCTCTTGAGGATAACAAGCTTGAATGGAAAGAAGCCGCCAAGGCAGCTATCAAGAAGAACGCCAAGAAGTTCGAAGCCGAGAACAAGAAGCTACAAAAAGCCAACGAAAAACAAGCAGTTCAACAGGCTGCTAGTCAGTTGACTGACCTTCATCTCGAGGAAGCCAAGAAAGTTGTTATATCTCTTGATAAGACATTGCCATTTGAGGATGTTAAGTTGAGGAGTGTATCCGATTATGTGGGCAAAAGAGTTCGCATCTCAGCTTGGGCACATCGTGTTCGAAGACAAGGTAATTGTTTTTTTAAAGATTTGAATTAGTTTTTAGGTAAGAACTTGATGTTCGTAGTTCTACGTGATGGAAGCGGATATCTCCAAGCCGTATTCAACGACAAGTTGTGTCACACGTACGATGCTTTGACTCTTCAAACGGAGTCTTCAGTCATAGTCTACGGAGTTGTCAACAAGTTACCGGAAGGAAAGGAAGCTGTTGGAGGTGTAGAATTATCGGCCGATTACTGGGAACTTATGGGACCTTCACCTCCAGGAGGAGTGGAGCACGTCCTCAACGTGGAAGCTAATGTAGACATCAAGTTGGATCAACGACACTTGGTGATTCGAGGTGAGAATGCTGCCAAGGTGTTGAGGGTGAGAGCTGCTGTCACCAGAGCGATGAGAGAACACTTCTACAACAGGAAGTATACCGAGATATTCCCTCCGACTTTGGTTCAAACGCAGGTATGTCAGGTATTTAGTGATGTATTTTGCATTAAACGAAGAATATTTTATTATCACTTTTTTTAAATTCGTTAATGTTACATACGTTTCTTTTGTAGGTTGAAGGGGGTTCTACCTTGTTTGGATTAAACTACTTTGGAGAAGAAGCCTTTTTGACCCAGTCTTCTCAGCTCTACCTGGAAACTTGTGTGCCTGCTGTCGGCGATTGTTACTGTATCGCTCAGTCTTACAGAGCTGAAAAGTCTCGTACAAGACGACATTTGGCCGAGTACTGCCATGTGGAAGCTGAATGTCCCTACATTACTTTCGAAGATCTTTTGAAGCGTGTAGAAGACATTGTATGTGATACTGTGGATCGTATCTTCGATGATCCGGAAGCAAAGAGGTTGGTGTTGGAGCTTAACCCCGTAAGTTATAATATTTTGAGAAGGTTTTGATAAAAATATTTTGTTTCCTTTTTTATATTATTACTAATATTGCGTAAATTATCTATACTATATTTAGAACTTCAAAAAGCCATCAAGACCATTCTTGAGGATGACATACGCTGATGCCATAGAATGGCTGAAGAAGAACGGTGTGAAGAACGAAGAAGGCAAAGACTTTGAGTTTGGAGAAGACATTCCAGAAGGTCCGGAACGAGCAATGACTGACAAGATCAACCAGGTAAACATTGTGATACTGACTTTTATACTCATTCTGATGGAAAATTATAATTAAACGTATAGTAATAATATATTTAATGTTTCAGCCAATCCTTTTGAACCGCTTTCCTGCTGGCATCAAATCCTTCTACATGAGCCGATGTGAAGATGCTTCTGACTTGACAGAATCCGTGGACTTGTTGATGCCAGGAGTCGGAGAAATCGTCGGAGGTTCAATGAGGATCTGGAAGGAGCAGGAGTTGTTGGCTGCCTTCAACAAGGCTGGAATCGACCCTAAGAACTACTACTGGTATGTAGACCAACGTCGCTACGGGGGCTGCCCTCACGGTGGCTACGGTCTTGGTCTGGAACGATTTGTCTGTTGGTTAACTGGCACTGAGCACATCCGTGACGTTTGTCTGTATCCTCGATTCGTGGGAAGATGTACACCTTAAGTGGTTATTGTTGCTTGTTTTGTTCATAATTAAATAAATGTTTGGTAATCTATAGACAAGATACGGATTGAAATGTACTTGTTCACCTTTTATTTTTTAAATATATTTTCGGCACAAACAAATGACTTTAGAGCGAAACGTTATGCAGGATTTAAAGTAAGTTCCAAAGAATGGAAAAGTCAAGTTGTAGAGTCTTGACAGAATTAAAGGATGACCTTCTGGACGCCTATCAAGCTTCTCCTAAGACGGTTCTTCAAAATAAAAATGTCGAAGTTTTGAGACAAAAGTGAGTTTTAAATTATAAAGTTCTCCAAAATGTAACAGCTATCTATAATCATATTCTTCTGGTTCACGGTAGCCGCAGAAGAGTTTCTGCTGGATGCCAATCTTCAGGTTCGAGTTCTGGACTTGTTGTGGGAAGCTGTCTGGTACAACGTGATCGACTGTTACTGCAAAAGTACTCGCAAGCCAGATTCCCAATTATTGTATCAGTTTTTGAAAAATGGTATTACGTACTTCAAGAACCTAAAGGAGTCGTTCCCGAATGTATCTTACAAGATATCAATCATCTTGGGTGATATCTACCGCTACATTTTCAAGCTTTGTAAACAAGATACGGTACAAGATTCCATCCGAGAGTATCAGAACTCATTGGAGAGTAACAGAGAACACGCCAACACCTACTTGAAGTTAGCTACCATATACAAAGAGACTGACCTCGACTGTTGCATACTGTACTTTATCAGATTCGCCTACCTAAAACAACTTGATGACATTGAAAAGAGATTCCCATTGAAGAAGAATATCACTAACAGTGTCTTTGGCAACATCGCCTTCAATCTGATATTGAACGAAGGGTGAGGTGATTAAGCATAAGAATCAATAATGATGACATTACTTTACAGAGAAGACAAGGCGGTACTCGCGGAATTGGAAGAAGAGTTACAGAAACAACTGGGTACTAGTTCATCAGTGAAGGAATTCTTGGCCTCGAATTACAAGTTTATTGCCTTGGCTTTGTTCGTCTTCTCTTTGAATGGTATGTTTCACATTGTTGTCTATATTAACTTTCATTTCCTTTATAGAACACAAGAAAGTAGAACAGAACGCCGCCTTGTGGTGTCGTATCTTCGGAGCACTTGTGAAGCGACAGTTAAAGCAGTTATCTGACCAAATGGAAGAGTATTTGCCTATGAAACACAAACATAGTGTACTGACAGCTCTTAAATATTGTGAAATATCTCCTAAATTGTCGTTAGGCGTCGACGCTGTTCACAACATCGCTCCACTGGTAGTGGTACTAAATGAATGGCTCAAAAACTTGGCTGGATACTTTAGTCAACGTCAAATCTCTGTTGGCCTTCGAATGGTAGGTTTTGGGGTAGAGAACAATACGGCGCCTGATATTGTAACTACAATATATAAATCAAAGTGTAAACTTAAAATGAAATCACTCATTTTTAGGTAATACATTCATTCCTGCACTGTTATGTCAATTTGTTAAACCGCATGGAGCTGTATCTTCCACCGATCATAGAAGAAGCCGATCCAGATCTAAATTATTCGTTGGTTTTGAATGACTTCAATGGGTTGAAGATTGACGATTCAGAAGACGACACGGCGATTAAAATTATGGCATCTGGGTTAAGAAGAGGTATAAGTTCGGATACGTTTCCTATCGGCTTTGAAGATAAGTTTATCTACCAATGGCCGATATCTGAAGGCGGACCGAAGCAGATAAAAGTTGATGTTACCATTGAAGCAAAGAAGGTAAGCACACCTAGAAGTCCGTGTTGTTGTAAATTTGTGCCAACTGTAATAATGATACAAATTTTTGCACAAATTGTTCAATATTTGTTTTCAGAATCCTAACATCACGGTTGCTCTATGTTCTCAAGATGGATTTATAAACAACTACAACATTATCGAGAACCTGCTTACAAACACACCTTTCGTTTGCATTCTTGACCGGCAGACAGTGGACTTCATTATAAAAACCAGCAACTTCAGAATCTCGAAGATCAACATTGAAAACTTTGAGAATTTCCTCAAATCAGAGAAGATCGTCACTTTGAAGTCTGAAGACTTGAATCCGTTAATTGAAGCTGAAAGACTGGTCAAAAAGATTTCAGGGAACGAAACTCTCAACATTGTTCTCGATGAAGCCGAGATGATCGACGCTTCGGGAAATGGTGAGTTTTTGTTAAATTCGACCTATTCATAATAGTAACGTTGTTTATATGATGTACTAATTTTTATTTTTAGTGGTCGATGCCAAAGTCTTTTCTATCGACGAAATTCGAAACAAAATTTCAGAAGAATCAGGCGTATCATGTACAAAAACTGCATTTGGAGTATTGTAGTATTTTATATTTGTTTATATTTTGCAGATCATTGTATAAAAGTTGTAAAAATAAACAAACCTATCAAAATACGATTGGCATGTCCGTATGTAAACGCAGTTTAATAGTAATCAACTTATTTTCCGATCGTGATTAGAGGCAAATGATTAATTGTCATTTTGTCAATTTTTTTGTTTTGTTTTGGCGCTTTTTTTTTAATTTGATTTTTTGTCCTGAAACGAGAAGTTTCAGCAGTTTTTTGGCGTTGTGCCATATAAAACGATGTCGAAATATTATATTTTACACTAATTTTTCCTAGCATTTTTATAATAATTTGTGCGAAACGGTTTTTTGAACCAATTTTCAACACAGGGATATAAACATAAAAAGGAATATTAAGGATGGTCGGAGCCGTTTTTTGCGAAAAAAAATATTAGCAATTGACGAGCAGAGATAGGTTAATTTCTCATGTTTAAGAAATGGAAATGAATAATGCCAGTTCCGACAATAAAGCCGAAGTGGCGCGTTTCCTCTGAACGCAGAAAGAAGGAGAAGAAGCGAGGCGAAGGAGAATATAACCAAGAAGCGAAGAGAAGTGCGTATATGCCCATTCAAAGTGGTTTCGTTTTGCCGGAACGGGTGGCAGACAGGGATGGCTGGCTGCCTAGCTGGTGGGGGAGAAGAGGGAGGAAGGAAAGGCTACTCGCCTTCCCATTAGCAGCCGAGGGATCTCTTGACATTGTCTTGTTGTTGGTCCACTTGGCCCCGCGCATCCATTTCCATTTGATCACTCCCCCCTTTCAGCTTTTATTTGAAAATGCTTCGGGACTGAATAAGATTCGTGTGTTTGTCGCGCTTCGTTTTTGTTACCTAAAGTTTTGACGTACTCGGTTACCCGATTAATTAAAGTCTTAAAATTTATTTTATTAATTCTTATCACTTGCATCTCGTGTGTTTTATCTCCGTTTTTGAGTTCCTGAACATTGACAAGAAGTCGTTCTATACATTTCTTTTGTTCTCAGTCGCGCCTCTCACTTTTATAAAGTTATTTTTTGGACCGAGTTATACTTTAATAATATTAACTATGCTTTCAGTATAAAGTGTTGTACTCTACTGTGTAGCCCGCATCGACGGGGCGACATTCGTTGATTGTTTAACAATGTTCCAGAACAGACATCCGGTATGTTTACACAAAGTTATATTTATCTGTGTTTAGGGGTCGTCAAACAACCAGATGAAGATACCAGCGATACCTGAGTATCTGGATCGACTGAAGGAAGAGTATACCCACATGCAACAACAATTGCAAACATTTCGCGTAGATGTAGAGACCAAGCAAAAGGAGCTAGAGACGTTACAACGCCAGATGATGAGCTATGCCGAATTTATTAACCAGGCCCAGTTCGAAGTGACAAAACAAACTGAAATAGCCAAAAGATTGACCGCGATTTTACAACATTTTGTCAACTTTTTACCTGTTGAGCAACAGGCAGCTGCTATGCAGGCTGTTGAAAAAGCCAAGAATATTTCACCTCAGGCAAGTTGTTGTAAAACTAGTATTACTTTTATTGTTTTTATGGAAGGAGAAAATTCAGATTTTAATTTTTTTTATTATAGTACGTGTTTCAAACCAAAATATTCGTTATATATATGTAACTATATTGTTTTAGGAAATGATACAAATTGCGAATTCGCATCAGAACCCCCTAAACATGATGGGTAACATGGGCGGCATGATGCCTCCCGGCTTCAACCCTTTTATGCAAATAAAGCCGGAAGATATGAATGCTTTTGCGGCTCAGTTGGCTGCCATGAACAAGTTCCCGTTCGTACCTGGCATGCCTCACCCAATGATGGCCGGGCTACCTAACATTACGGCCAGTACCTCAAACGCTCCTACTTCTAGTGTCGGACCGTCGTCTTCTTTAGACAACCACCACCGTGCTACCTCTGTGAACAATTCAAGGCCACAGTCGAGTGTAGGAACACCAATGTCCAAGAAGGCAAAGGCCGAGATTGATGACACAGAAGCTGAACTCGAAATCGATGTTCAGAACGACGATACCTGTAGTAGAATCAACGGGAACACGAATAAGAAGGATGGACGGGAAAGTGCCCACTCGATGTCGTCTCGAGATTCTTCAGTTACTCCGAAGTCACTGAAGCCACAGTCGTCGTACCAAAACAATATGATACCAGCTTTGGGAGAGCTCAACAATCTGTTTAACTTTGGTCCTAACTCTCAACGCAACCTTCTTCTCGGCAACTCCTTCGGTCTAGGAGCTGGGAATGGCAAACCTCCGTATGCTTTTAAAGTGTCTGAGGGACAGCCGGTCCAACCTGTACAGTTTCCTTCAGATGCATTTGACGCGCCTGATATTCCAAAGTAAGTTTGTTTTATTACCTTTTTTAAATTCATTATAGTAAATTTATTATATTATGTTACCTATTTTTTAAGTATTACGTTAGAGTATTTTATGAAATAACATCTGTATTAATTTTAATGCTTTTCGGCACCTTACATTACTTTTGTTGCAGAACAATGAACAAACTGGCGGATCTTCCACATGGAGATGTTGTTTGTGCCGTGACAATAGCGCCCTCTGGGAATAAAGTTTATACTGGAGGCAAAGGATGTATTAAAGTGTGGGATATTACCAAGCCTAAGGAGACCACGGCGTCCCCGTTGGCCAAGTTAGCTTGTCTCGAAGATCAATACATCCGGTCGTGTAAACTATTACCAAACAAAAGCCAACTTCTGGTCGGCGGAGAATGCAAGAACATCTGCATCATCGATATTGAGGTATGTTGCTATAGGGATATCTGACCGTACTCTTTTAGACCGAAACAGTGGTCAAAACATTGGACTGTGAAGCTCAAGCATGCTACGCTTTGGTGGTATCTCCAGATGGGAAAACATGCTACTCGTGTTGTGCTGATGGAAAGGTTGTTATCTGGGATCTGGAGACCTTCGAACGTGTAGGAGAAATGAAAGGACATGACGATGGAGCGAGTTGTGTGGATCTGGCTTCAAATGGCACCAGTTTGTGGACCGGAGGTCTGGACAACACAGTTTGCGAATGGAACGTAGGAGAAAGGAAGAGCATCAAGAAGTTCGAGTTTGATACGCAGGTAAGATATTAGTTTTTTCAGATTTGTTTTAATTAAAACTGGCATTTCTTCTATATATTGGTGTTTGTATTTTAGGTATTCTCCTTGAGTTGTTCACCAACAGAAGATTGGGTCGCTGTAGGAATGGAGAACTCGAAGGTCGAGCTAGTAAACCCCAATGACAACGACAAGTACATCCTACACGAGCATGAGAACTGTGTTCTGTCTCTCAAGTTTGCACACTCTGGGAAATGGTTTGTGTCGACCGGTAAAGACAGCTCCTTGATTACATGGAGAGCACCGTACGGTGCCAGACTCATCAAAACGAAGCAGGAGACGTCGGTGTTGTCGTGTGACATCTCATCTGATGACAAGTATATTGTTACGGGAGCTGGGGATAGGAAAGCGATTCTGTACGAACTGGCGTGATTGGTACCTCTACAGTAATGTGCCGCCCACTTTAAGTGTTTTATTTGATTTTGGTTGCTTTCACAAGCAAAGTAGGTTGTAATAAGCAGTTTGTAATACCTTTTACTTATTTTGTAAAGTCTTCCTCCGATATGTTCCTCAGCCTTAGTCGGAGTGCCTTTAGCTATGCTATTCTAACCCGTGCTTCGTTTGCCATTTTTGTTTATAAACTGACATATTTATTACCTTATAAATGAGATCTGAATTCGATGGGAATGTGTAAAGTGAATGGTTACTGAGTTCGAGCGGGGATCACCGGTCTGGGGGGTACGGCTGGGAGGCGGGGGTTGATCACGGGGGACGAGGCCAGCTCCAGCTTTTCCATCAGCTTGGGGGCGCACAGGTTCAGGTCCACCGGACAGGACCGATCTTTCAATATGTTCTTGACAAGCTGGTCCGCATATCTTTGCACCCAATTCTGGTTGCGGAGTCTCACAGAAACCTTTTCCCCCGGGGCCAATTCTATTCCATCCATACTCAGCGCTGTTATTGCATCGATATTGTTTTGGAAGTATAGGACAAGACCGTTTGAGCATTTTCTACAACCAGTGAGCAACGTTTTCCGGCACATCAAATAAAATAACCATAAAAATGGCTAATTTGGTTACCCAAATATAAATGTTACAATTAAGAGCAACATTACTCTATGAAAGTAAAAAGAAACCTACTTAGTAGAAACAGGAATGAGCATGAGTTCAGATTCTAGCTTTCTGAGTATTGCAGTCGTATCAACATCTTCACGTGACACTGTACATACGACAGTGTGATCTGGGGATCCCAGAGAACTAAAAGAAGGTAATACTCGTTTAACGAGAGACTTACTCCAATATATCTTCGAGGGTACTCCTGAATTTGGTTACATTTGGCGTTTTGGAATACAATTCGAAGATGGCTGCGACTGGTCGATGGTCAGAAGTCTTCAGTTCACTCCGTCCGTAACTAAAACGTTTTTAGTCAATATGACAATATAATTTTAAATTTATATAGAAGGTTAATATAAAACAATGCTTTAGAGTCAAATTTAACTTTTTAACGATGGACTTACTGTATCTGTTGCACATTGACATCCTTTTCGCAGCTCCATAACACACGATCAGTCCAGGCTGGTGCGCGACACTTCTCGGAAGTGTCATAGTCATCGCTAAATGTGTCGTACTTGTAAGTGGGAGCGAAGTTGAGGGCACCTTCTTTGAATTCGTTGAAAACTGCTCCACTGCACAACTGTTGAATGAGCTGATCGTTCTGTCGCAGTACTTCAAAGTCACAGTTTCGTACCAAAGTCTTTACTTCTTCGCCTGGGAGGTTGATGCGGTAGTTGAAGTCGCCGAACCAGAAGACGGAATCGTGCATTTGAAGTTGTCGACCCTGAAAACGTTATTATGATTATTTCTAAACGTTTGCTAAGTAATCAAACTACAATTATGTAACGTATAAAATAGAATTTTGGATATTCAAGATAAATAATGCAAGCTGCGCCCTGAGTGTTCGCTACCTTTTCAAATTTAAGTTTCCTAGTTGCAGTATTGTAATCTTCGTTCCTCTCTTTTACTTCGTTCTGCCCTGCAGCAAAGTGGGAGGTGATAAAGCAGATGGACGTGGAATCAACCACCATTCTGGTCGATACACTTCCCTTGTTTCCAATGGTACCACCAGCACCAGTCTTAACTTCGTCGATGTCAAGTTGCTTGATTCGAGGTGTCATCTCTTGTCTGGCAAGAATCATGGAACATACTCCGACCAACTGTTCACAGGCCAACACACAGTAATCGTGTTGTGTTACTTCCTTCAGAACTTTCAGGATACCTTCTAGCCAGACTCGCTGATTCGTTGTACTAAAGGCAATATTATATAATTTTAAGTTATGATACTTTTGTGTCCCCATATGTACAATATACAACAGTATCGTACATATAATCTCAGTTTTATACTCCCAGTACCACTTCTAATGAAACCCCTTACCCAGCTTTGACAATATTCGATGCATTAAGGTCAACAATCTCTTCTAGTCCAATGGCTACAATGTCGTAGGGACGATGAATGACTTCTGGGAAAATCCACGATACCAATGACTGTTCGTGTTTGAAGGCCACGTTGTACATGTTCTTTCCTCCGTTAACGTTCCACGTCCCCACGAAGATACTGACTGGACTGTGAGTTGTGTATTCGTTGCGACGGTCGACTAGCTCTTGAACGAATGTTGAATCTTCTGAAGAGTAAAGGTGATTTCTTTGTCATTTAATATTATAAATTACAAATCTACAAAGTATTCTTCTTCAAATTTAATGTAGATCAATAATTTATGTAAACATTTTCTTACCGTTAAGCAGAGAATCCTGGTTGACGAAGGAGTACTCGACCAGATTCGAGAGTTTGTCGTAGCTTTTGTTGCCGAAAGTATGTCCCATCAAAAAGAAATCGAACGATTCTTGCTTGGCCGTGTCCATCACATTACCTTGGATCGTACGAGCGATTGATCGGCTAGCATCTTGTAGCTGAAATTATCATAACTTTTTTAACTGTAAATCATTGTCGCGGCAATTGTCGAGAAAACATTGAATATTGTTGTGTTTAAGTATTAATAATTCTTACTTTTGACTTTCCATCCAAAGCCCCCGTTCCAGTGTAAATACAGGAACAATGATCTCCATTCTTCAGCCATATTTCCTTAAAAACATCTTCGAAGCGTTGTAGAATACCTGGCTTCAAGTCCAAGATACCCAATGTCCGAAGCAAAGCTGTGGTCATCTGAAAGTAATGTAATTGTTTTAAAATCTCAAAAGCTATCGTAGTACCTTTACATTAGTAACATCAAGTTTTAAAACCATTACACAATCTATGACATACCTCAATCCCGATCAATGTCTGGACACTATTGGTACGATCCAAGCAGTCAAGACAGTTGGTTCGAATCACTTTGTCCTGTCTCGACTTGGCTACACCGTCTTCTGCATAAAAGACACAAAATCCGAAAGATGATAAAAGATGTTTGACAAAGTCTTTAGCAGCTTGTTTACTGCTCTTCATACTTGTATGGTAATCGAAAGAAGTTAGAGGGAAAGCAGCATAGTTGGACTTCTTGTAAGTGTGCTGGAATAACACAAACAATTTCATTACAAGATTTAAAACATTTCTGAATTTCAAGTAGTTCTGAGAGCGATAATATTATAATCAACTGTATAAATCACCTGAAATGTTTCAGAAAGTAGTTTCTCTCCCTCTTTATGGCCCAGTAAATTCACCGTGGTGACACTTTGGTATCTTCCAATCAAAATGTCGTAATGTCTGTAATTTTCTTGCATTAGTGTGACGTGATCATGTACATGATGTTAAAATCGGCTTTTGGATGACAAAGCTTACCTGTTCAATGCAATCAATGAACTTTCCAAACATCGCAACTTGACCTTATGAGAACCCACGTTAATGCCAGGCTGTTCCCAAAACAAGGGCACAGAACCTCTTATTTGGAGAAACGACACTTCCTTGTCGGCATAAGTGACAATCTGTTACAAGGTTAATTATATTGTTCATGACCAACCTGTTCCGTCTCCACAAAGTTGGCCACATATCCTCGATCATCTACTCCTCTGATATTAAACCTTGTACCGACTCGTTCATGGGACAAACGTGACACTATGGCCACTTTGGCTGTTATATGAGACACGTAGATGGTTCGTATAATAACAGAACCACATATCAATGTCTGAACCCAAACTCGAGTGTCTATGCCAAACTTGTGAAACAAACACTTTAATCTCAGATTCCTTAAATTTTAAAAATAACTATTAAAATCCCAATAAAAGTATTTTAAAAAATAATATGCGACATACCATATGAATATATTGTTTTGTGAATTGTTACCAGAATTTTGCCGAGATTTAGTCAAATCGAGAGCATTGGTGTTATCAGAAGATGAAGCAAAGTAAAAGTTACCAGACGACAATAGCCTTTGTATCTACAAATCAAACTTGCTAATGCCTGATTAACCTACATCAACTAATTTGACGTCCAATCTCAACGGAGGTTCGAAACTCAATGGAATGAACTCGACTTGCGTCACCTTGTAGACATCACTGTTTAATATATTGCCTTCAGAAAAGGCTCCAGTGATCACCAGCAAGTATGAATCTGCTGCAAAATATTTAGGTAATATATTAGTACCTTTTTATGCTATTTTACAACATTTTCCTTAATATTTTACCTTGATCTGCCTTCAAAACTCCAGCCAAACCATAACCTGAGCTAATCTTGTTGTAAGTCGACTTCAGAGTACTTCCTTCGCCTGATTCTACAAAAAAGTATGTTTATTGGGAATTTTTATTACCGATATCTGCACAAACACCGTTCTTCAAGTACAAGAACTTGTTTAAGTGCGAGTTTTCGACCAACACATTATAAGTACCATCTTCAGATCTCTTAGAGTAAATGTTGAAGCCTCTTAGCGCCATCTTAGCTTAGGACGTCACGATATCAGTGACATGATAAGGAAAAGAAACTGCAAAAAATAAATTGTTTCGATTTATTGGATGTGTTCTGCAGCCTGCGCGTATCGAGGATTTTATCTCGGCTCGCGCCCGCTATTTTCACAATATTTTTCTTTGTTTTACTTATAAAGAAAGCTTTACAGATTTTTTGATAATAAAGAGATTAGGTATTGGCGCTTGAGTTATTTTAAAGGTATTTTATTTGCTATACTTTAATATAAAGTTGTTTTTTAGATTCAGATTTGGACAGTACCATTTAGAACACAAAATGTCGCACAAAGCACAAAATTACAAGGATGAAGTTGCTATGCAAGTAAGTGAATTCCGTTAATGTTTTATTCTGTTTTTAGGACGATAGAGATGAACTTCAAGAAGTTTCACGCCAGAAGACGATTGCTGATAGACAGAGTGATTACCACAGTAGGGCGAGGAAAAGGCCCATATCTCCAGAGAGAGTAGACATGTTTTTAGTTGAACAGACACCTGATGGCAGAGACTACGCCAAGATTATGCAGGAAAGAGCATATGAAGCTGAGAACCAAGAAGTTGAACGAGAACTTATGAATAGGTATAAAGCTGGGGAACTAAAAGTGGTAGATGAACCGATGGAAAAGAAGAGTAAGGTCGAAGAATCTACACCGCTGCAGGGGCCGAGGAAACGACTCAATTTGTCACAACCGTTATCTGCTACAGCTGTGGTAAGTTTTAAATGAAATTTTTTGTTTTGAACAATGTAAAGTTTAGTTTTAAAAGAAATTAGTTAAATAATACTGAAATTCTGGGCTTCAAAATAGTAAAATTCTTTTATAGGAACAAACTCCTATGGTAAACCAATGGGATGAAACTCCGGTCAGAATTGGAAATGGAGATGCTACACCTGCTGCTGGTCAAAACTGGGGAACTACACCATCTCAAAGCGTCAGACGAAACAGATTCGACGAAACCCCAAAAGTGGACGGTGGCCTGACTCCAGGTTGGGGAGCTGAAACCCCATACGAATCAAAGATTGATACTATTGAGAACCGGGTTGATGCTACTCCAGGCTCTAAACGTCGCTCTAGATGGGACTTGACACCTGGACAAACTCCGTCGATGGAGACACCGTCGATGAATGGAAACGATGTTGATGCGACTCCTCGAGTAAGTCAAACTCCATTGTTGACTCCTGGTGGTTCTACTCCAGTTGGAGCTAACGCTATGAACATGAAAACTCCTGCTCAACCCATGATTCCAATGACTCCAGAACAAATCGCTATCTACAAACACGAAGCCGAATTGGAAAGCAGGAATCAACACATTACAGACGAAGAATTGAATGCTTTGTTTCCTCCAGGCTACAGAATCCTGGCCCCTCCACCTGGCTACAACCCAATTAGAACACCAGCTCGTAAACTTCTGGCTACACCTACTCCAATGGGAGGTGCAGCTATGGGTGGATTTAGTATTCCTGAGACACCAGAACGAGGTGGAGCAGGGGAAAAGGTTGGGGCTGGAGGAATATTGGATACACAACCGAAGGACAAAGACCTTCCAGCTTTGAAGCCAGAGGACATTCAGTATTTTGAAAAATTGTTGGAAGATGTGGACGAAAGCACGTTGACGAAGGCAGAGAAGAACGAACGTGAAATTATGGGATACCTATTAAGAATTAAGAACGGCACGCCCCCACAAAGGAAGACAGGGTTGAGGAAAATTACCGAAAATGCGAGGAAACTGGGAGCTGGACCGTTGTTCAATCAGATCTTGCCATTGTTGATGTCACCAACGTTGGAGGACCAAGAACGGCATCTGATGGTGAAGGTTATTGACCGTATCTTGTACAAGTTGGACGACCTTGTTAGACCTTACGTTCACAAGATTCTGGTTGTTATTGAGCCTTTGTTGATAGATGAAGATTACTATGCTCGAGTGGAAGGACGAGAGATCATTTCGAACTTGGCTAAGGCTGCTGGACTGGCCACAATGATATCTACGATGAGACCTGACATTGATAACGTTGACGAATATGTTAGAAACACAACAGCTAGAGCTTTTGCGGTGGTCGCTTCAGCTTTGGGCATTCCAGCTTTGTTACCTTTCTTGAAGGCTGTTTGCAAGAGTAAAAAGAGTTGGCAAGCTCGACATACAGGTAGGTGTCGTTTATTATATTTTAGGTAATACTTTAAACATTTAGTTTGTATCTTTGCTACCTAAACTTAAAAAATTTATATTATTTTTACAATTTTAGGTATTAAAATTGTTCAACAAATCGCTATCTTGATGGGATGTGCAGTTCTTCCACATCTGAAGGCTTTGGTGGAAACTGTTGAAAACGGTCTTGTAGACGACCAACAGAAGGTTCGTACCATCACAGCGTTGTGTTTGTCAGCTTTGGCAGAAGCTGCTGCTCCTTATGGAATTGAAGCATTTGACTCTGTTCTGAAGCCATTGTGGAAAGGTATCAGAACTCACAGAGGAAAAGGATTGGCAGCTTTCCTGAAGGCCATTGGATTTTTGATTCCATTGATGGATGCTGAGTATGCTTCATATTACACAACGGAAGTGATGATCATTTTGATCAGGGAGTTCAATTCGCCGGATGAGGAGATGAAGAAGATTGTCTTGAAAGTGAGTACCCTTTTTTATTTTTTCAATAGCCATGTGTATTCTTTCTATATCTTCATATTTTTTTTTCAAAAATGTAATGTTATCATACTTTTAGGTAGTAAAACAATGTTGCTCTACTGATGGTGTGGAAGCTAAGTACATTAGAGACGAAATCCTTCCACCGTTCTTCAGAGCGTTCTGGAACCGACGAATGGCGTTGGACAGAAGGAACTACAAACAATTGGTCGATACCACGGTGGAAATTGCTCAAAAGGTAAGTGTAATACTAATGTACAACTGTTGATTTAGGTGGGATCAGTGGAAATCATCAACAGAATCGTGGATGATCTTAAGGACGAGACTGAACAATATCGTAAAATGGTGATGGAGACCATCGAGAACATTATCAGTTTGATGGGCGCTGCAGAAGTTGACCCGAGGTTAGAAGAACAACTTATTGATGGTATTCTCTACGCTTTCCAAGAACAAACTCAAGAGGTAATAATGTTTTTTGTTTACATGATTATAAAGAGGTAGAACGAATCCTTTAAGATTTAATAGGGAAAATATTGAATGATTGATAAAAATCGTTTTAAACTATTTTAGGACGCTGTAATGTTGAATGGATTTGGCACAGTATGTAATGGACTGGGACTCAGAGCCAAACCTTATCTACCACAAATCTGTGGTACCATCTTGTGGAGACTTAACAACAAATCAGCCAAAGTCAGACAACAGGCTACTGATTTGGTATGTAAATTTATTTTAAATTTAAAAATTTTCTTACTAAACTGTTTTTTCAAATTTAAAAACATGTATTTTATGTTGAAGTTTATATTTGAATGATTTTTTTTTCAGATTGCTCGTATCGCCCCGGTAATGCACATTTGTGACGAAGAGAAGCTAATGTGTCACTTGGGTGTAGTTCTGTATGAATACCTTGGAGAAGAGTACCCAGAAGTGTTGGGATCAATTCTGGGAGCTTTGAATGCTATTGTTACAGTAATCGGAATGACCAAGATGAATCCCCCGATCAAGGATCTGTTGCCTCGACTAACCCCAATCCTGAAGAATCGTCACGAGAAGGTACAGGAGAATTGTATCGAACTGGTGGGTAAGATCGCTGACAGAGGAAGCGAGTTCGTGTCAGCTCGTGAATGGATGAGAATCTGTTTTGAGCTACTGGACCTTCTGAAGGCTCACAAGAAGTCGATCAGAAGAGTAGCCATCAACACATTTGGTTACATTGCCAAGGCCATAGGACCACATGATGTGTTGGCCACGCTGCTGAGTAACTTGAAGGTACAAGAACGTCAGCTTCGTGTCTGTACGACGGTAGCTATTGCCATTGTAGCTGAGACTTGTGCACCTTTCACCGTATTACCGGCTATTATGAACGAATACCGAGTTCCCGAGATTAATGTTCAGAATGGTGTCTTGAAGGCTTTGTCATTCATGTTCGAGTACATCGGTGAAATGGCCAAAGATTACATTTATGCTGTCACTCCCTTGTTGATCGATGCTTTGATGGAGAGGTAAGCTATACATTTTGATGTTTTAACTGCTAAAGTTGTGTGCTTATTTTTAAGGTGGAACTGTAACCCATGTTGTTTTTCAGGGATATCGTGCACAGACAGATTGCCATCGACGCTGTAGCACATTTAACCCTGGGTGTTACTGGATTCGGGTGTGAAGATGCTCTTGTCCACTTGATGAACCACGTCTGGCCCAATATGTTAGAGAACTCTCCCCACGTAATACAACGATTCGTATTCGCTTGTGATGCCATGAGGGTGTCGTTGGGTCCTATCAGAGTAATGCAGTACTGTATCCAAGCCTTGTGGCATCCCGCTCGGAAGGTTCGTGAGCCAGCCTGGAAAGTGTTCAACAACCTGATTCTGGGCTCTCAGGATGCCCTTGTAGCGGGTTACCCTAAGTTCAATGATACCGAAACCAACATGTTCACGAGATACGAACTTGATTATGTGTTGTAAAGATCTCCTTGTTGCCGTTATTAACTATTTGAATAATAATTAATTGTAAATTATTGTTTACGAACACCCAGTCTATTTGATGGCGGGAAATTTTTAAGTATTAAAAGTTACAAATTCAACAAGATTTATTTAAATTGAAAATCTGGGAACAAGCCAAAGTAACAGTTTTATACATTCTCCTTGGATTCGGGAGAGGGACCGATAAAGTGCAGGAATTCAGAAGACGAATTCACACTGTGTTCTGTAGATCGTGGGGAGGCTTCGTCCTCTTTTTCGAGGTCCGAACCTGGATTTATTTTGCTGGGCCCAGGCATATCACTATCGCCCGCAATCTCCTACAATTCCAATTTAAAAAACTAATTGGGCAAAGATGGCTAACAGTAACACTGCTACAACTAACTAGCTATCTATCCTTACAAAGAACAGTTTTGTACACTTACCTCCTCATATTGTCGCATCAACTTGTTTTGATTGCGGATGAAGGAAGACTTGGCCCTTCGGAGAGTCGTGTTGGGAGTGTCTCTTTGTTGTAGATAGTCATCTTCGTTGTCTTCTCGTTGGGATTGATATTGGGGGTCGTCGTAATATGCCAGCCCTTGTGATGTTGACATTACAACTTCATGACTCTTGGAGTCATCGTGTGCATCACCTTCTTCTTCTTCGTCCGATAAGTAGTCTTCAACTGAAATAAAACATTCCAAAACTTATTGCAAAACAGATGTAAACCCAATAATATTGACATACCAGTGCTTTCGATGTATTTTTCTCGTTCGAAGGTTTTTGAAAACTTGTGGGTAATGGTCTGTTCAGAGGGGTCAACCTCTATCGTGTCAGTAATGGAAGTGTACTCGTTCCTTTGAGGTCGCCGAATACTGCTTCTGAATCCAACTAACGGACCGGCACTCAGTTTCTTCGGCGTCTTCTGATCAATCATCAACAAGTTTCCGAAACTGGTCGAGGACTTCTTGCCGATCAACTTGGGGAGCTGGGAAGATTCACCAGCTATCGTGGTGGTACGACTTCGGTTTCTTAGTTCTACTGGAGCTGCGTCGAGTGAGTACTAAATAACAAATGTAACTTCAACATTGGAAAACTATTTTTAAAGGTATTGAACAAAACTTACAACTTCTTCAAAGGTCTGTTTCGGTTCAGGTTCTAGCTGAACTTCAATGTCACCTTCTTCTTCTCCACTCAGAAGTTCGTACAGTTTGGGCAAGGTTTCTGATAAATGCTTCAAGTACTTCAGAGCTTCTGCCTGCAATTAAAAAACTTGTCAATGAGTTTTGAATATTATGGGCAGGGGATTGATGCCAAAGATAAGTTATTGGCAAGAGGAAGTACTACCATTAATGTTAAGTAACAAGAGTACAAATTTATTGTTAGTCGTACCTGTTTGCTCTCGATGTGTTCCATCTTGTTCTCAAAGTGATGTACAGAGTCCGACAGGTAACTTTCCTTCTGTGTCAGATCATTGACTCTTTGAAGGATGTTGTCTGTCCTCTCCACCGTTCTCCGTAGCCTTTCCTCATTGGTCCTACTACTGAGAAACTCCTTTTCTCTGGCCAAACTCTCCATGCATTCTTCTTCGAAATCGTGCATTTTCTCGATCTGCTCTCGGTTGAAGAACAACTCTGCAAAAGTGTTACAATGAGATTTCGAATCCATTTTATGATGAATTCAAAAATGCAAATTTTAAATCGTTAACGAATACAACTTAATATTTTACTAATTATATATACGCCTGACTTACTGAGTGTAGCATCGAACAACTGTTCCCGTAGCAGCCTCACTTTCTGTTTCCGTTTCTTCTCGGCCGTCTGAAACTTCTTGGGATCGTCGCCCGAGTTAATTTCGTGTTGTGATATCCTCTCTTGTCGTATTTCATACCGGAACCTCAAGTACTTGTACACTAAATGTAGGTGATATAAGGGAGTGAGAGGTGGAGGTAATATGGACGTGTTCTGGTATTCCATTACTTGTCGATACCTTTGGAACAACCAGATCTGGTGTGATATCTTGTTGGCCGCGTCGAATATGTTGCTGGAAAAGATTAGTACTTACAAAGTTATAACAGATCATGTTACCATAAACATCAGTTAACAACCAGAAACCATTTCTGTTAAAAGAAATCGACCCAAACCAAGAACTTACTTAAAAATGGCAATCAGCATACTAATCAAAAGGATGTTAGCGATCAGCAAGAACACAGTCATCAACAAAGGCGGCACCCAGTGTCCCGGAACACAACTCATAGCTAAAAACAATGGTCACCATCCCTCACAACCTACAGGTATTGGCCAGAGCATCCACCGGTATCCGCTTCTCCATGTGTTCGTCCCAAGCTTCGTCTCCACAAGTGTCAATCTCATCAGCGTACACTTCTCCGTACAACATGAAGTAGGGCTTGTAGAAGACGTTCCGCAACAGAAGCCAGCTCCATTCCTCGTTTGGGTACGTGATTGACTGCCGAGCCAAGCCAAATGCCAACAATGATATACCCAACATGACAACAATGGAAGACATGTTCATGATCTACAACAACATACTGTACAAAAATCAATGAGCCATAAAAACTAAACATACGCACGCTTCAAAATGTTTTGAAACAAGCTTAGTAAAAGTCATGTCGTACTATGATTCACAAAAACATACCATTTTCCCAGCCATAGTAACATACGGACCAAATCTTGGATGCACACTCAAGAAGTCGAGTAACTTTATCGACCATAAGGTCGAGTTTGTTGCCAAAACAACTCTTCCAGCGTTCCTAAAGCACGTTACAGTAAATGTCATGACATGGTATCTTACCTTGTACTTGGGTTACATCGAAGCCCAAATCCCACCAGATATGTTATGATGGCTACCGTAGTCAAAGCGTTCCAGTAATTCAGGAAAAAGTATTCAAACTTTTCTTTAACTGCTTTTGGGTCGGACATGCACAGCTATAAACATTATATTAACATATGTATATTACTTTCAGAAAGAAAATTGTAGAATAAGTTAAATAGATTAAAGACTAACATGTCATGATGACATACAAGACTAAAACATTCAGTACCAAAAAGTATAGAATTTACCTTACGAACCACCTCCATCCCGAATGCCACAACATAAGAGAACAATATCCATTCTAATATCGACGGCTTGGCAGGTGTCTTCACAAGCAGAACGTAGGTGAATAAGCTCAAGAAGATGGCGAAACTCAACGTCCACGACCAGAACGTTGTGATTGGAGCCACGAAAAACTCGTAAATTCGTCGCTGAAACCGGATTTTGTCCTGCAACGAAAACCTTTTATTATTTGTTTTTCGCGACAAAAATTTGTTTCCAAAGACACGTTCGGTCCACTTTTAACAAAAAGGGAACTCAGAATGGCGGGTCGACCTGCGCCCAAATTATGAAATCTGCGCGTTTTTTACGTTACAATATCATACGTAAGCAGTGTAACTTAAAAACTACGATAGTAATTAACTATTCTTCTACACAATTTAAAGAAGACACTATCAAGACCTCTGATAAAAAAAATAAGCCAAATTTATTAAAAACTTCGCAAGTTCTCACTGAAAAACCAAAAATTTGCACTGAAATCACGGTAAAACTACTGTAACTCGGTTTAAAAAAAAGATATCCAACATCGTTCTACACGAATTGAAGGTAATGTGATTGTGTGTAATCTATGAAAAAATTAAGATCATACGCTATTTGGTTCAAAAGTTCTCACTGAAAAACCCAAAATTTGCACTGAAATTACGGTAAAACTACTGTAACTCGGTTTAAAAAGAAGTTATCCAAAATCGTTCTACACGAATTGAAGATAATGTGTTTTTACGTAAATTGTGAAAATATGATGATCGTACGGCATTTGGTTCACAAGTTCTCATTGAAAAACCAAAAATTTGCAATTCAAGTAAAACTAAATTTTTTTAATTGTGCAATGTAATGAAAAGGAGTCAATTATAATCAAGTTAACTACTGCTTAAGGCTTAAATTTTAATTTTTTTAAAAAATTGTCAAAATTTGCAAAATAAAATGTCGATTATGGCCAAGTTAGGGCCAAAACTTTCAAATTGAATAAAACTGATACAACTGTTTTAGCTTTTCAGCCCTACCCGACCCTACCCTTCCATGATATACCACCATACCCTATTTTACCATACCATACCATTTACCTTCCCTTACTTACTTATCCTACCTTACCCATTGAACGTATACGACGGTGTTGTATAAGATAGAATAGGGGCACGTATGGTATATTGTTGTTGGTAGAATAGAAGATGGTATGGTGAATTATATTAGGATAGGGTATGGTATGTTATAAAATAGTATGGTATGGTAAGATAGGGTATATTATGGTGGAGCAAAATTTCGATCGGGCCGGGCCTGAAAATTGAGCCCGGCCCGTTTCTCATGTCTAGATATGGCAGGATAGGCTAGAGTATCGCTTAAGAGAGCAGGGGTAGGCTTGCGTAGCGATAAAAAAGGTGGCGGGAAGGGGGGTAGACTTGCGTAGGGCTAAAAAGGACAGGGATAGGATCAGGCTGAAAAAGGTGGGGTTAGACTTGGGTAGGGCTGAAAAGGTCAGTGGTAGGGTAGAGTTGAAAAGAGCGGGCTTAAATCTTTTGCTTTCATTTACTTTGTGCTAGTTTGCTCAAAAACGAAATAGACTACTCAAATAAGACGAAAAAACATAAAATTTAAAATTCTACGTATTTTTTGACCAAACTAGCAATAATAAAACGTTTTTGTGACTAAAAGGCAAAAACTATTTGCAAAAGCAAGCGCTACAAATCACTTTCCGTTAGGTCCCGACACGAAAACAAACAAACGCAAATAGTTGATTGGCATTGAGTCGCCGCTGCTCTGAGTTCCAAACGGACCGAACGTGAAAGAAATAATAGAGTCCCAGAAGAGGTAACCACTCACGTCCTTGATCTTCCACTTCCCTGAAAACATCGACTTTCCCTTCTTCAGCGGCCGAAAGCTCTGATGTCCGTTGAAGCTGGCGGAATCGGATTCCGCTCTCAGATTCTCGGTCGATTTTAGTTTGCTTTGAGCTCGACTGGTCCTGGGTACGGTAAGAGAGTACTCCTCCTTCTCTGTGGGTACGGTATTACTCGTGATGGAGGTCTGCTGCTTCGGCTTCTTTCGCTTACTTCGGAACAACTGAATGTAAAATGTTACCTATTTTATGTCAAAGCTCACACAAAATATAAATAGAATAGCTTTTTGAAAAGTAAAAACATTTTTTCATTATTTTCTGACCAATTTTCAGTTTAAAATTTACCATTGACCCAAAAGGAGGACCATGTTCTTCGATAGAGGAATCGTCATCTGAACTGCTCGACGATGAAGACGAACTCGATGATGATGAAGAACGACTTCCAGAACCAATAGAGTGAGAATCTGATTCAGAAGACGAGTCATCAGCGTGCTCAGCAGCTGTTTGAGGCTGTCTTCTCAGTTCCTCGGCCGATTTGAAGTCGATGAAGACTAGTAACGGTGGGAACAGAAGTCCCATTATCACCTTCAGATTGGTACTGGATCGGATCCTCATACCACCGTGCCAGAGGTCTGCCAGAAGAGCCTGGCAGCATGGATGAGCAATGAATTGTTTGTTGTTCACCATCACGGCCAAGGTCAGACTCGTCTCCCGACCCCAATTCGACATCTCGTAGGTCAGAAGTTCGAGTGTCCTCATCTCGTCGTTCTTGTAGCAATGGTCCAATAGGGCTACTGATAGTTCTCGAAATTCTCTAAAGAACATAATTAGGTAACAAATGTATTTGACGTTTTATATGATTGAGAACTTACTCTGCATTAGTTCTAAGTTCTTCAACAATGTCGAGGTCAAGGAAGTCTTCAGATGCTTCTTTGGCCAAACTCTTGTACAACCTACAGGCCACGAGCGACTTGGCCAAGGCTTCTTCACCGTGCTCCCACATACATAACGCCATCTTGTGACGTCGAGTTAATACTGCCCACATCATGAGATCGCTGAATGGATATTCAAAGTCTGGAGACCCGTTTTTCGACGTTTCTAAAATATTCTACAGTTACCGTACTGACCTGTTGCCCTACCTGAGTCGTCGTCGATGTCAATAACAACTGAATCTGGCAGAGTCGGTAGCTCTGGTCGATTGAGAAAGCCGTTTCGGTTGACGGAACGCCAGGCGATGTGATTGCTTAGTGCCCGGTTCCCTGAGATCGGAGGAATAATGCCCAGTTCTTGGCTCAACGGCCCTTGACTCGTGCTCACCGTGCTCAGAACGTGCTCGTCCCTCATGTTCTTCGGATTCAGAAGCACGTTCTTCCTGTACTCTTCGTATCGTTGGCGGAACGATGTGTTTGTGTAGGACGATCGGAACCCGTTTGCCATCAGTTTCTCGACCACCAACCCAATGTGAATCAGTTCGTAGCGGTCGAAATGGGATTTGATCACGTCGTCCACGATGTACGGTAGCGTGTTCTTAGGTCCTTGACTTGAGTTGTACAAGTTCTCGAGTCGAGCTATCGTCAGGAACTCTTTCATGTTGACCCCGTTCTCCAGAAGTAGACGCACAAAGTCTACACGGTTGTGAATCAGTGCATCCATCATGGCAGCGTACAAGGCCTTCTTCGGAATCTCCTGTAATAGACTTCACTATCTTTGATTCTATATAAAGATTTACTATGTTGTTGTACATAAAACTGTTGAATGGTTACCTGTCCCATAACAAAGATGTCAGACCTCGCAACATCAGCACGGTCCCACGCTAAAGCTAACGTGAGTTGCTCGATTGGCGTCAGATTTTGACCTTTCAGTAGCGCTGTGAGAATAGCATTGTCAAGGTCTTGTTTAGGATTTTCGCCCAACCTGAACACGGTCACTAACTCCTTCTGTCGCACGATCCTCAGTAATTCTGAGATCAGGGCCTTTGCTCGTTTGGCATCGTAACCAAAGACTTCCTTGATCAACATGGTCAGTTGTTCTCGAATCGTCTCTCTTATATCACTGAAGCAATTTTACATTACAATGACACAATAACTCGATTTTACTATAAATTCTCATTTCATTTTACAGAACTCCTGTATAACAAATCGCACGGGGACTTGAAATTTGTTCGTTATAAAGGAGTTTCGTTATACAGGAGTTTTAAATGCACTGTGCAGTATACGAGAGTTTTGTTATACAGGAGTTCCACTGTAGTATCATTTTATAGTAATCTTACCCATCCACCTTTATTCTCTTATGAGCAAATGATATCAGGTCAGAAGCCCTTCCACTGCCATCACACACAACTACAGGAATCTTGGGTACACTGGTGACGTAATCAAGCACACACCGTACAGTACTACGACCACCTTCCAGTACCAAACACACAACTGGTACTCGTCTGGAGCCAATGTCTAACGTCTGTTTCTCTGTGATGTAAGACTCTAAGCGTCTTCGTAGGAAGATGTCGGCTCCATATCTATAAAGAGAAAGATAAGTTACGCTTCTGCAATCGTTTCTTTTACCTTCCTGTAGTACCATTATCAACTAGTAGAAAGAAAGCATGTTTTCGATTCAACTCAACAAGACCGTCATCGTTCCTTCGGACAGCACGGTAATAAGAAACAACTTTGTCCTAAAATTACAATATACACTTCAAATAACTGTAATAAACATGACAATATTACAATGTAAAATTCATAAACAGAGCACTCACCGATCCAACCAAACTGTTCCTTTGTTTCAACAACCCCCAAGGCGCTATTCCGATGGTTATAGGCTTAGCTCTGCCATTATACGACTGGCCATATAGTGCTTCTGTGACGTGATTGACAGCACAAGAATCAATGCCAGAGGTGAAGATCCAGGTACCCGAGATGCCGGCTGCCTTCATCAGACCTTTGCGGAAGACGCGTGCCAACTTAGGCTGAAGTCTAAACTCTCAATATTAACTTTGCAGTTAACCTACGGGAAGTTGGTCATGCCACCGTACACCGTAACGACCAGTCGAGGCGGCTCCACCTTCCACACCTTCTGAATGTAGTTGATAATGTCAGCCGGGTTGGAGTCGAAGCTGCATCTGAGGTACTGTGCCTTCAGGGGATGGGGACCGCCTTCGAATTCAATGGTACCAAATGCATTTGTAGGAAAGAATCGACAATTGTCACTAATCGACCACAAGTGTTTTCCTTCTACTGGAACATCGTGCACAATTTCGGAGCCGCTTTCATGGTCGATTATGTTCAGTCCACACATACATCTAAACATTGCAGTTTGGTTTTGTAACAATTATTCACATAAAACACTTGAAGTTAACTCACTTTCCGGGGTTTCTTCCACTAGGTACTATCAATGTGCATTCACGCCTTTTGAACTTGTTGGTTACTGTATTTTCGAATGACTAAAAATAAAATTCTTTAAAATTACTACTTACCACGTGCAAACTCCTCAAACTTGACGTCCTGCTCTTGGAATCCAACGAAATTTTGCTAACAGTTCTCTGAAATTATTCATGGCTTTGTTAATTCAAAAGACATTAATCATAATTCAATTACTAATAATAGGCTTATTACTGTAGAAAACGTCAAATTAAATACCGTATAACCTTACATGATTTTGCACGCTTCCTTGGCTGACAGATACGGTCCGTTTGGTTGTGTTGTTGTAGGCAATATCACACATTTCTCGCCAATCAGCTCCAGGAACGTTCGATGGTATATGGAGCTTGGCCGAGCGTCTGGCCCGCTTGTTGGCCTTACGTTTGCGGTGCTCCTCGGTGGTCAACGACATCCTCCTAGTTCGTCGAGGACGATCCAACATTGCTGTCCAACGCACCTAACGCAAATAAGACAATCTTAACCCCACGAACTTTTCGCACAAACTCGCCCCAAAATCGCGGCCATAAACCCCCTTTGTCGCGAAGCTAATCGTTCATTACGAGTGCTCTTAAATGGTTCGATATTATCTCTGGTCCGAAAATGATTCCAATCCAAAGACCGCTTGTTTTGTTATTATGAAGTTCGCAAATTTATCTCTTCCTGTTTTTAGGTAACAATTTCCTCCTGAATCGGTTATGTAAACAAATATAAAAAGTGTCTCAGTGGAAGGTTGTGTATGATCAAGATTCTTTTATCGTATTTCGCGTAATAGTACTGCCGAAAAAATAAAAAAAACCGGCGGGTTGCAAAGGTTTGGGCGTATAACATGTCTATTCTGCAACGAAATGCCAGAAGCCTTTTCCAAGGGCTAAATTCGAGTCTCGAAGCACCGAAAATTTCTGGTCAGAGGCTGGCTTTGCGAAGAGAGAGCAGGAGCAGAGAGAGTCGATTATGCGAAGGGAGATATAAGTGAAAGAACAAGAAATGTTTAAACGGAAGAGAGGAGGATAGTGAAGTTGGGGGGATGTTATGTCTATAGCGGCACCAGTGTAATTACAGCAGGTTCCATTGCCCAATTGTAGTGGGAGTGGTGGCAGTTTTGACTTGTTTGGCTATTAATCTCAGATTAGGACGCGTATTTTATCTGTTTCGTTAATCGTTTTGGACATTGACGTTTCGTTGCCTGCATTGTTCTGGCTAATATAATATTATTCTTCAGCGTTCCGTCAATTTGTGGAGGCATCTGCTTAGTCAGAGGGGCTGATCCCAACGGATCCTCGAAACTTTGGTTAATTTATATTCTTATTTATATTATTCATCATGGCGAATCCACGAAGTGGAGGTTCTTTCACGCCTTCGACGGTTTCAGGCCAAAGCGGAGTGTTGATGGTCGGGCCCAATTTCAAGGTATGTTATCCGTTGTATTTTATGACTTTGTTTTTAGGTTGGCAAGAAGATTGGATGTGGAAATTTTGGGGAATTGCGTCTCGGGAAAAATTTGTATAATAATGAACATGTAGCTATCAAGTTGGAGCCTATGAAAAGCAAAGCACCTCAATTGCATCTGGAATATCGATTTTACAAGTTGCTTGGTTTGAACGGTACGTTCCCAGCCGAAAAATTGATTTCCTCCTTATTTGTAATACAGTCTTACCGTGCTTTTAATTGGATTGATTTAACTAAAATATATAATGCTTTTCAGAAGGACTTCCACAGATTTTATATTTTGGACCATGTGGAAAGTACAACGCTTTGGTCATGGAGCTTCTGGGGCATTCTTTGGAGGACTTGTTCGACTTGTGCGACCGAAAGTTTACGATTAAGACCGTTTGTATGATAGCTATGCAGTTGATCAGACGGATCGAGTATGTTCACTCCAAACATTTGATTTACCGGGACGTGAAGCCGGAGAACTTCCTCATCGGCCGAACATCCACTAGGAAGCAACACATTTTGCACATTATTGATTTTGGTTTGGCGAAAGAATACATAGACTGTGATACGGGTAAGGTGGCCTACTTTTATGTTAACTATAATAGTTTTGACGATTGTTATCTAAAATATGGATCTCCATTTTTTCACACCAATTATTTCCAGGCAAGCACATAGCGTATCGTGAACACAAATCTCTTACGGGTACTGCAAGATATATGTCAATTAATACGCATTTGGGCAAAGAACAAAGCAGAAGAGACGACCTGGAGGCCTTGGGACATATGTTCATGTACTTCTTGAGAGGCTCTTTACCGTGGCAAGGACTGAAGGCGGATACCTTGAAGGAGCGGTATCAGAAGATTGGCGACACGAAGCGGGCCACTTTGATCGAAGTTTTGTGCGAAGGCTTTCCAGGTATCGTTTTCTAACTTGATTGTTTTAAACTTTGATATGAAATTTTATTGTATTATACGAGGTTTTCTCTATTATTGTTGTTTCACTTTTTTCTTTTCAGAAGAGTTCTCCTTGTACTTGAGGTACGCGAGAAAACTGGATTTCTTCGAAACCCCTGACTACGATTACTGTCACAACTTGTTCAAGACAGTCTTAGAACGACAGGGGCACACTTACGACTACGAGTTCGATTGGGTTGCCAAGCTAAACCAGGCAGTAAGTGTTTCAAGTTTTATTTCTTTGTTTAGGATAGTTTCCTTTTACATATTACCCAAAAAGTTTACTTGACTTATCTACATTTTAAGAGCACACCAAGCGGATCTCTTCACACAGGCGTTGATGCGAGCAAGTACAACAAGAAGGCTGGTGAAGAAAATAGTCGCAGAGCCAGAGCTGGCAGACACAATGAAGAAGAGGTTCTGAAGGCCAACCAGACAGGACCATCGGGCACACACCAAGGTGGATTTGGATCAACACAGGTATGTTTTTACCTTCAATACACAAGGAATCTTTACTTTACCTAAAAAATAATAATTTTTGAGTGATAATATTATCCTCAAATTTAGGTAATCAACTCGAACACTGGAGAGATCGGAGAAGACTCACGGAGGTTGCCGACGCAGAATCAAGACGAGGAAGACCACAGTGAAGTCAAGTAAGTTGTTTTCCCCCCTTTTGGCTTTTATTTCGCCTGCTGTTCATTTTAATTAATTATGCAGTTCTGGGTGTTGCAGATGTTGCTGTTTCCGACGCCGTCGACGAAAAGTGCCGCAACAGAAATAGACGACCGACCGATCCTCGATTTCTATTTTTCATATTTAACATTTGTAACCAAACGTCTGATATTTCTGTTTATTTAACGAAATCCTCCGGGGTCGAACCTTGTCTGATGTCTAATACAAGAGCCCGGCTTATCTGACATTTGTTCTCTGTTCAAAGTAAATATAATTTTTATTTCAAAAATACACGAGATAATATTATCACGGACATGCTTATTATTAACCCGACCGCCGAGAACAGGAACTGAGGCGCGAACACCTTGTACATCATCAGGTGTTTGCGGTGGGCAATGGCGGCCGAGCATGAGATCGCGGTCTGAAATTTGATTTATTAAAGTAGCCTGTCATTGTGATTTTTTTTCTGGTTTATTTTAAACATACCTGTAATGTCGAGACTAGAACAAATATTGGAGCCGCTGATTTATGGGTCTCCTGAAGATCGACGACGCTTAATCCGGTGAAGACACTTCCACAGAACAAGTGTAATATCACGAACAGGCCTTGGGCACTCCTCACAAGGGATTCGCCTGAGAAGAATACAAAAGCTGCTCGGAATGGAATGTCCGAGAACACAGGATTGTGGCCTGTGCTGTAGAATATTACCCAACTGAGTAGGGACAAAGATGTTGCAATTGTAATGGAATCTGCAAGAGTTATAGGAGTGATGATTAATATTAGGGGATTACCTAGTTTCGGTGACATCTCTTTCAAAGCCATAAGGAACTCTCTCGTAGCGATTAGTTGTACTAATATTCCATCTCCCCCAAGAACCGACAGTAGGATAATGAACAGGTCTAACACCCTAGGTACCAGATTACGCCTATTCTCGTGGCGATAGGACAACACAACAGATACGACAAACAGTAAAAGTGCTATCTGAGCTGAATATAAACCGTAGTTCTTGAACTTCTGGTCTTGTTGAAACCCGAACATCCAGTTGAAGTAGGTAACGATGCACATCACCCGTTTTAATATGTGAACAATGTCGTTCCCACTCTGTAGTCGTTTGGCAAAGAATGTTAGAGCGATTCCACTGATTATCATTCGTGAAACTTTTGTATAATCTGAAAACTTAACTATGTATTCAAAATTGTATGGCTCAACACATTGTCAAAGGAATGATAGAAAGGATCTTACCATCAGACAATTGTGTGATATGTTTGGAGAAGAAAGCTTCTTCACATTCTGGATGCTCTTCCCGACATCTCAAATTCAGAGTTCCCAATCGTATGCCAATCAATATAATTAAGGTGCTCATGACGTAGTTCATAGGTTTCCTGACAATATATATTCAATTGTAATATTAACTTACTTTTCCCGTAATACGCATCGATATCCTACAAAGATCGCCATAGTAGAAGCGAAATACCGTGCACAATCAGCACCATAGATGATGAAGCTATTTGAGAACGGCAGAAAACAGTAAATAAGGTGGATGACTAGTGGAATAATGAATGTAATTGAAGGCAGTTTTCGAGGTACTACAGTTCCCGCAATAAAAATACGGTAGCATATCGAGGCATACATGGCGAGGTTGAGGATGAGATCGCCTCCTCGGTTTCCAAGATACGATGTAAGGCGTAGTAAGAGTATGGCACTGTGGAATATGGCAAAAGGTATAGTGTCATACGACTGGTAAGAGAAACACAAACTCAGGTTCAAGACCAGTGACTCTAACAACGAGGTTGTACCAGTCCTAACTGCTCCAGTATCGAATCTATTCATGGAGTGGATCAGCAACTTCCGTAGCTCGTCGATCGTTTCGAATTCGGCGTTTTCCGTTTGTGTGCCACTAGTTTGCTCGTAGTACATTATCGTCTTTTTAGCCGCCTTCTGAAAACATCACTGTCGTATATTAATTAATGCTCTCTTAAGATGATGTTTTAAAATAACTTACTTCAACTTCTGAATTCCCTTGCATATAGTAATCTACATATCGTATAACCTGTCGCACATTGATAGAACCAATCGATGGTAAAGCTACCGTATCAAAGAAGTCTCTGATTACCATGCCCAAACTGGAAAAGGGAATGGGAACATCCAGTAGCAGAGCCAAGGTTGGCACGACGTCGATTTGTCTGACCGTGTCGCTGAAGTAACTGTGGAACCCTTTAGGTGAATATATGAACAGAGCTGCGTTCGTTTCTAGGAACGAGTCTCCACCGTGATCACCGTGAGTTGTCATTCCGTGGTCCCCAAAAACAAGAAGTACAGTATCGTCGTCCAAGTTGGTGACTAATTCGTGGACCACATCGTCCATTTCTCGCAACTTTCGGACCATTTCTGGGTGGCTGGGACCATAACTGTGGCCACAGTGATCGACCCCGAGGAAATGGCCAATAATTAAAGAAGAATTGAGTAATTGTCTTTGAGCGTTCAACAGGAGCGCTGGAAATAAGTTTTAATAAATTTTAAAATATTAATCCGAATATGTTTAGCTATAAATTACATACGTTTTACCGCGCTATCTACGACATCCAAGTCCTTGACATTGAAGCTGTCCATCGGCACGGCTTCGGAGAAGTAGTTTGGGAATAACTGAGTCCTGAAACGTTTAAACAAAGCACGTGTAATAACATTCAGAAACATGTAGGAATAATATAAAAATAACAAACCGTACCACGTGTCATCCCCGTAAAATACGACATGTTTAGCCGAATTGTTCATTTGAGACAGTAGGTTATCTTCCTCTACCTCGGCCGCTGCAAAGTTGGCTCCCGCTTCAATGAAGGCTGGGAAGGAGCCGGTCATCATGGCTGTGATCCTCTGCATGGTTGTAGTAGGGGCATCAGCGATGAACTTGTACAAACGAGCATGCTCTGGATCTTTGTTCAGTGTTTGCATGGTGTTCTCCATAAACAAATTGTCATCTTCGCTTGTACGGTTTATGAAGTCATACCTAAATTATAATAAACTTGAAATTTTAAAATGAATTAACAAGTTGAAACTACCATAATATTTTAAAATATAAAATGATCTGACATTATCTTACCTTAAAGCGTCAATCAAGACAACGATTGCTCGTTTATATAAAGGTTTAGTCCAACAGTTAGAACCAGCCAAAACATCATTGCACGAACTTCTAGCAGTGATGACACTCTTTTTGGACAGAAACGAGTTTTGTAAGATCAATAACGATACAATGTGTCCAGCGCATACCAACACCCAATATACGATGTTCATGTATCTACACTAATATTGAAAATGTCAAATTAAAGCTTCACAGTAAACAACGACACAACGTTATCGACCAACAAGAACAAGCATAGTTAATTAAGTTTATAACTTGTAAGTTAACAAAATTTAAAGTCATAAAAAACTGGAAAAGACTGAGGCAATGTTCAGCTTGGTCTTCTTCGTAGAACCGGGATTCGTATCTGGAGCCTTCCGTTTTCTGGAGTCTGTCTTCTTGGACGCTAGCAGGTCCCCCATGGCCGCCAGGTTGTTGGTCTTGGTCATCTGTCGTATAGGAGTCTGCTCGACAATGCCGTTGTCCGCAACCTCAATTGTCTGTTTAGTCGGAGTTTCTAGAACACATCGAGCTGGTCGTTGAGTCACCGCTGAGCCAGCTATCGAGCCAGCTTTAGCAGACTCCATAAATGAATTGTTCAAGGTGTCACTTGCTGGATTCAAGGTATTCAGATCCTCACCTTCTCTCATCAAGGCAACAGTGCTCAGTATATTTAAAAGACGGCTAGCAGAAGGCTCAAAGTCATTAAATACTTCCATTACATATTCTGTCGAACGGTACTTGGCCAAGTCTAGTGGAGCTGTCATCTCTAGATCTTCATATAAAGCAACCAAGTAGTAAGGCAATGTTAAGAAGAATCTGAAATAAACCGAGATAAACAAGGATACACAAACACACTGAATATAAAAATGACTTAACATACTCATCACACAGCACTTCGTCCATAAATTGTTTTAGGCGGCTTGGGGAACCCATAAGATAGATAAACCTCAAAATAGGAATTAACTTTTAAAGTTATTAAAATTTACTACACCTTACTTTAAGCTTTTCATATAAACAAGGCCTTTGAGTTAACGTCTGAAGCATCATTATTACATAAAACTCTCTTTCTATTAGTGAATTTCTCAGTAGTTCTTGGTCAGCATGTTGTGTCATTTTGGATAACATTTGTGGAAGGAATTGGTTTGTGAAGTAGTCAACAATCTGTCCCTAAAAACATAATACAATAAACAAGTCAACTTACTTTATAATTCGAACCATCTTTAGCTTTAAAGTACATTAGGACAGAATTCCACACTGTTTTCGCAAATATTATAATAGGTTCATTAGAAGTTAAGTATGCTTCAAGCTCTTTATTAAGCGCATTTGTCAGTGCTTCTTCTGTGAGATCAGGGGACAACGTAACCAACTTGTCAGCCTCCCGCTTCCGTCGTCTGTGCAATCTTAATTTAAATAATTGTTGTTCCCTCTCAGAAAGCGACTTGATCTCGTCCCCATATAAGCGATCATCTTCTTCACATAGTTCAATAGTCTCGCTAGGTCCTTCCATTAAATTAAATACTTAAATACACTATATATACACTCGTATATAAGAAAAAATGTCGTTTCCAACACCTTCAAAATGATATTTTACTCAAAAGCTTACACACGACTCAGCGTTACACTTGACTCGAAATTTCATTTTCGGAAGGACGGGTAGAAGCATTCTTCGAATTCTGTACTAACGCTTGCTCATACACCTCCTTTTTTCATGTACAATATTTTTTCGTAACTAGATTTTAATTATTTATAATGGATATTGTTCACAAAGGAGCTGGCGACTTGATTAAACAGTTCGAGGAACATGAGAAGAAAAATAACTGGGGCAGTTTATTTATGGTGAGTGAATATTGGTTATGACTTGGATTTTAGGCGATTCATGAGATCTCCGAAAAGCAAGAACGAGAACTGGAACTGTCCTGTGATGTGCCATTAGCTCCAAAAAATATTCCTAAAAACCGGTATTGTAATATTGTACCTTGTAAGTTCATTTGTAATCTTATTTTTAAAGATATTCAAAACTTTACATAATGTTTTGCAATATTTACGTATTTTGCTGTTTTCTGAATTTACTATTTAGATGATCAACATTTGGTCCAATTAAGCGACATCTACATCAATGCATCCAAGTTGACAGTCCCACTGACCAACAAAACGTACGTTTTTACTCAGGGACCCTTAGAGAACACTTCTGAAGACTTTTGGCACATGGTTTGGGAACAAGATTGTAAAATTGTTGTTATGTTATGTACCTTTATGGAAAGGAATGTCCCAAAGTAAGTCATCAATTCAAATTTAAATCAACTTTAGGAACTGTGAGATTGGATGTATTTAATAGTGCAAAATTATGTCTCTCGAAGTGATTATGTTGTGTTTCAGATGCTTCCCGTACTTCCCATACTTTGACGAGAAAGTTCAAACCTTTGGAGACTTCAAGTTGGAACTGGACGATGAAGAAGACAACAAAAACTACATCGTTCGCCGTCTCAAGATCACAAAAGAAGGCGAAGAGGATCACAAGATTGTCCAGCACTACCAATACACAACCTGGCCAGACTTCGGTGTCCCTGACAACGTGTTCGACTTCTTGGAGTTTGTGGAAGCCGTCAGAAACTTTGATGAGACCGTTAATTCCCCGATTGTGTGTCATTGCAGTGCTGGGGTGGGTAGAACGGGGACTTTCACTGTGGTTGACGTTCTGATCTCTGCTATTCGGGCAAAAGTGGATGAGGCTTTACCGTCCATCGACGATTTGGTACTGTACCTACGAAAATATCGGATGTCCCTCGTACAGACGCCTGCTCAATTGCGTTTTTCATGGAAAGCTATAGTAGAATATATTAAATCAAAAGCAGCTATGATTGATAATGAAGAATCTGTCGAGGACGAGGAAAACAACGCCGTAGAAGACGTGAAACCCGAGGCCACGAAAGCCCGCAAGAGAAGATCCGAAAACAACTCCATCGCCGAGGAGGCAGCCGCCCAGAAAAGGTAGGGTAATGACATTACTAACTGCGTTATTGGTTGCCTGAATTCATGCTTAAGCTTCCTCATTACCTATGTCTAACTTTAAATCTTGTTGGTTTAGGAAGTCGGAAGAGCCATAACCATCCACATCATTCATGGTTATTAATAACGCGGGTCCATTTTGTCGCAACATTCAATTCTATTGTACATTTTCTTTGTTTTTACCACCTTGATTCTTAGGGATCGTCAAAAACGTATCGATGCCATGAAGCAACGTCAACTCGACTTCGAGAGTCGGAAGAAGGCCCGAGACTACTGGAAGACTGTGTTTCTGTCCAAGCCCGTGGTAGTGGGCGCTGTAGTTGGCGCAGTTTTGTTGTACCGTTACTTCTTGTGAAAATAAATATGTCCCTATGGTTTTTGGAATGAAATTCAGCTATTTATTCACGAAGCCTATATAGATGTTGTTATAGATGGATGGATGGCTGAAAGTCATCTCGCGAGAAGCCCTTCAAGTTCGCTGTGCAAAACGGGACTGTAACCAATGTTGACATAATCAAACACGGTCTTTCGTCCCTCAAACGAACGTATAAAACAAGAAAAGTTAAATTCCCAAGGACTGGCACTTGGGGCAATGACGTTCGCAGGGGGAGGAGCGAATGGCTGGCATAAACACACTAGGGCACGCGGGTTTTAAAAGGAAAGGGTAATCGATAAAGCCGGGTGTTGAGCCATACTCCACTGTGCTCGGCCATAGCAAGTTTGATTCAATGGGGGCAACCAGTCGATTCAAGGCCGAAGGCTCTCGGCACACGATTCCGTTAGGTAGGGTTCAGGTTGTTGATGATGACATAAGTAGAAGTCTACTGGGCAGAATATCATTTAAATAAGTTGCAGTAGCTAGTGTAATGGGTACTTTTCTTCGACTTGTTCAAATGTGTAAACTTTCGGTTTAGAAGCCCAACTTCTCGCTGCATCGTGCGGTTTTGTAGCCTTGGTTCTGGCTTCAGCTATCTTCATAGCAATCCGTAGACAACGTGAACGCCGCACATCCCGTGACTTCTCGCCGCTGATTAAGAATGGCTCGGTCAAGCCCAGCTACTTCAAAGGAGAACGCCTCAGTGATCACAGTGGCCACAGTATGTCGCCGATCCAAAGCCCGGGCTCCGGATCTTCGGCTTCACCTCAATGTACTCCGATGACCCCGTACTCTTCGTTTGCTACACAAGATGTGCTGATTGCCAACAAACACTCCAATAACAATGACGACGACCGTGGCTCCATTTCTTTGAGCATGAACTACGATAGACACAGTAACATTCTCCAGGTAAATAATACGCATTACTGTGGTTTTCGAAACTGTAAAGAACAGTAGTTATAAAGATGAATGTAAATACCCATTAACTTTTTTCCGTTTGAAATATTATGGTAATCACGCGACATTATTTTTAGCTCTCCATTCTCGCGTGCCACAATCTTCCGAATCTGGTGAACGAAGTCGGACAATGTACCCTCAACTCGTATGTGAAGCTCCGAATTCTGCCTGACAACCAGCACCGCGTCAAGACCCGCGTCCTCCGCGGCACCCAGAATCCGTTTTACGATGAGCAATTTACCCTTTACAACATTACCCCAGTGAAGTTGGACTCGTTCTCTATCCATCTGGCCGTGCTGGCTTCTGACCCCTACAGTCGTGACGTCGTGCTGGGTGAAGTGTTCTACAGTCTCCGAGATGCCAATCTCAGCAAATCCAGCGACAAACAGAATGTCGACTTAAAGTTGTCTCCACGACCTTCCTACATCGACGTGAACTCCCAAGTCCTCGTCTCCATGGCCTACAACTCCCACTCGAATAACATCAACTTGGCCATCTTAAAGATGAAAGATCTCCCCACGTTCAATGGTGTTGGCCAAATAGGTAAGTGAAGCGGAACAGATACAATTGACATGTGGCTATTCTTATATTTAAACGAATTAAAGTTGTTATAAATTAATCCTTTCCTCATTTCGCTATAACGTTCGCGCACTTCAGATGCCTATGCCAAAGTTTATCTGCTCCTGGACGGCCAGCGTGTGGCCAAGCAGAAGAGTCATGTGAAGAAGAAGAGCGTGGAGCCGGTCTTCAACGAGTCCTTCTCATTTGACATTCCCTCAATTAACGGCCAAAGCGCCAACCGTCTCAAATCCACCGAAGAGATGTTGTCGTCGCTGTCCTTTGAGGTATTGGTCCTGAATCACGATGGAGTGACCCGGAACGAGATCGTCGGTCAATGCTTCATTCTGCCACGCTCGGAACACTGGAAGGCGATGGTGGAGAGCAACGGCCAACAAGTGGCCGAATGGCACAAGATCAACTCAATCTAATCCAAGATAATCGACATCATCATAACTATAATCATCTATTTATAACCCTATATTGATAACCATAGACTTAAACCCGAGTGAATCTATTTGTTTGTATATTATCGTAGCTGCTGTTAAGGTCGTTGGAAACGGTTAAATAAACTATGTTATTCTATCTCTGGTGTCTTTTTACAGAAAAAGTGTCTTGACTACAAAGGGAAAGCAATTACTTCCCTTTCAGTAAACAAAGAGCTCTTAATTAATTCGAATACCGTTAATTGGCTTCGATTACCGTAATCGTAATCTTAAATTACTTCGAAAAGTGATTATCTTAAACCCAACTCATTAAATTACAATATTACTGCGCGATCAACAAAACAAACTACTAATTTCTGCTTTCTCATTTCTAGCATCGTCCATTTTTAAAAACAACTGCCGTTCTCAAGTGAACGAAGTGTCACAAACCCATAAATAATCTTGCGCGCGCTTGATTTTCTAAAATATTTTCAAGAAAGTGTTGTTAAAGCTTGGCTTTCACTTTTTATCGTCGATTTATTGTTATTCCTTATTCTGCTGATCAAAATGGACTACGATGCTGCTTATCTCCAGATCCACGGCAAAACTTTAGCTGAAGAGCCAACAGAAGAGAAGGGTAAATTTAATTTGGTTGATTTTACTCTTTTTAGAAATTCACAATACGAAATCAAAAACGAACCATTGTGTCTCCCTGAAGCCGAGTAGTTCCTTCAAACTCATCAACATTGACCTCAATTACCAGTCGCCAAAGAAGGTACCTCGACCATCTACATCTGATGTTGTGAACGCCATAGGAGAATCTCCATGCCGTTCATCCAGAAATAAGATAACTGACTCCGTTAAGAAACGTTTGAACGTGTTTTTGGAACCAAACACACCAGGTAACGTGAACTTTTATTTAATATCCAGTTAAAAATGAAGAGATAACAACATTAGCATATATTGTTACAAGATAGTTACTTTAGAATTTTGGAAACGAGACTTAACAAAAGACGAAGACGTAGAAACTGAAGAGGTGGAGATCGAGACTTCCGAGTTTGTGTTAAAGAAACAAGGTGGAACTCGGAAGCGACATGAAAACAAGGAAAACTTCGTCAAGATCAACATGAAGTGCAAGAAGTATATAAGCAAGAAGAAGACCAACAATAAGAAGTTGTTTAAACGAAAGTTCTCGCGTGTCTGAATATTTTTATTGGGTCCAACTAAAAGATTTCGTTGGATAGGGCGTGGAACTTATTGCTCTTCAAGTTGGCACCAATCTGAAAGTGGATGTTGTAAATATTGTAGTCAAGTAAATATTACTTAATGACAAAATTTTATTCTTTGCGTTTTTTTTAAATCACGCCAAAGTGTTGACTATTATGCTACTCAAACATACATCAGTCTTCTTTTTATTTTTCTTCCTGTTCTTGCTCGAGTTCGACGTTGCTGGAGCAGGACTCTGATCTTCTGTCGAGTCGTTCCGTTCTGGTGGTTTCTTCTCTTCTACAGGTACTTTTGCCGGCTTCTCTTCAACTACTGGCTCCGGCTTCTTGTCTTCCACTGGAGGAGCTACCGGCGGCGTTTCTTCCGTAACTTCTCGCTTTGGAGGATCTGTCTTTTTGGGACGATCTGTACCTTTATCTAGATGTCTCTTTATCATGGTAAAGTCATGTTGGCTTCGCTTTTCTGGTACAGCCAAAGATTCACTCGACTTAGTGTTACTCCTGTTAGAAACTGAAAATGTTTTGTGAATATTATCATTATGATTTTTCAATCTAGGCTACATACTTTTTTGTTACCTAATTATAAATCATTAACTGACAGAGAGAATAAAAATACATTTCCGACGCAAAAATATTAATAAATCACTGTTCAACTTAAATACTAACAACATACCATTATCGACTAAGTTGGGTTCTCCACGATGTCTGTTATTCTCATTACGATTCCTGTTGTTCATACGACCTTTGTTTCTCTAAAAGCATAAACATTCACGTACAAATGCTCTTACCCTGCCATGTTCCCGATCACGTGTCTTTACCGTACTCGTAGTGCTCGCTGTTTCGTCCAACGTACTGTCATATTTATTATCTAAAAAGTAAAATTATTACCTAAAATTTAAAAGGTAATGTACACTAAAAAATGTTTTAAAACACCCAAACACACCAGTTCATACACCTATATTAACAATAGTCTTTAAATATTAAATGTGATATTAAAACATAATAGTAAAACCTCACTTGGCTTGTTTGGCACAGCGACATCTCGTAGGCTTACTGTACTCGAGACGCTTTGTTTGTGCTCTAATCGAGGTTTCTGCAATTTCACATTTTATTACACGACTAAAATATTTTAATCGTTAGTAAAGACAAAGAAAGAACTCAAAAAACGTAAAAATGAACAGTTGAGGTGGTAGTAACTCGCCTCACATTCTTCTTCTTCAACTCTTCTGGCTTCCGTTTGATCTTGAGACATGGAGACAGTCGTTGAGGAATGGAAGGTCAATACCTTGACATTATTAAAACCTCTTTTATTGTCAGACTAAAAGAAAGACAAAGGATATCGTTAATTAGACCATTAGTTCACGTTTAAAATATTTTAAAAGCAATTAATTAATTTTAAAAATAACGGCTTTTTCTAATTCTAAGTATTACCTGATTTTCGTTAGCAGCCTCGGTTTTAGGTTGATAGTCATTGTAGTTAATATTCACAGGTTTGGCATTGCCAAAGGGATTGCTTTTAGGGACAGCCGGAGGAGGTGGATGATGTTCGACCAATGGAGGAGGTGGAACGTTGTTCCAGTCTCGTCGTGGCTGAGCTTCGGTTCTGCAAAATAAATAGTTTGAAATTTAATTCATTAAAAAATCATTATTGAGTCACAATATCAGTAATTCATACCTAATTTCACAATAAAAATATCTTTACCTGCTGAACGAAGACTGTGACGATCTGACATCGTTCGAAACACGGTTCTTGGGCTTGTTATCGCGCCGATAGTTATTCCTGACGTTGCTCTCCTCGTATTGTTGCACTGGAGGATTCAGTATGTCAAAACACATGCACATGGCTGGGTCTACATATTCCACACAGATCTTCTTCCTGTAGAGTTCAGATCCATTGAGCAGAAAAGCCTTAATCAAGTCCTCCTTCTGTCGTAGCTCAATCAGTGCATCATTCTTATAGTTATCGTTGTAGAAGTAAACTTCCACAACCTTATCTTCACCTCCAAAAAAGAAGAATAAGTCCTCGGTAGTCACTTGATAACTGAGTTCAGACACGTATATTAAGAATGGTGCATTCCGTTTCTCGACCGCCTTCATTAACCGCTTCTCCATCTCACTTGGCTCATTCTAAATCCAAAAAATAACAATACAAAAGGGTTACCCCACCTCTGGCTCCTCGGTAACTGCCCAATCGGCCCAGTCATCCATCTGAGCCGTAAATAGTTTAAGGGTGTCGGTGATGGCATGATTCTTGGACAGGTTCTCCGGTTCACATTTCGCTTTATCTTTTTGTTCATCCATTTCGATGTAAAAGTCGGTAAAACACACCGAATAATGCAAAAACAAAGCCAAGAAAATCGGAAATGGAAAGAAAAATTGTAAAACTTGACCCAAAACTGGGTCATGTGTTTTATTATCGAATAGTTTTCGGAATAATCGTTCAGGTCGTACGAACGGAGTATCTTTATTCACTGAGCATAACTGACGTCTGGCTGCTATAATGTCTACCGCCGAGAAGAGATTACAAAGGATTGCCGAGCTGAGGAAGCAGGTAAGATCAGTGGCCGTTGTTAACACGAAGATTAGGTATTAGTTGGTGCTTTACCAGATGACTTCCTGCGCATGCCTACTAGTTCCAATGCTGATGCCAACGCAATGCCTTTGGATCCTGCGGTAAGTAATTTCAAAAGTTTTCAATATTTTTTTAGACTCAATTTTACTCGTTTATTCCGCCAAATACTCGCGGACGGCTGGTGTTGAAGATTGTTGAGGCAAAGTTGACCAAGAACTATGGATTGGTTAGGATGGATCCCTACATCAGAGTTCGCGTTGGAAATGCGGTTTTTGAAACCCATACCTGCATAAACGGTGGGAAAGTGCCTGTTTGGAATCGTGTTATCAATGCTTATCTTCCTGTCGGCGTCGAATCCATCTACGTCCAAATATTTGACGAGGTAAGCAACTTCTGATATTAAATTTAGACAATTGTTAGTTTTCGAATAATTACAACTTAATCTAATGTCTTTTCAGCGTTCTTTCACTCAAGATGAATGTGTAGCTTGGGCTCATATTATTCTTCCTGATGGTGTATTCGGCCAAGAGACTGTCGATGAATGGTACTCGTTGTCCGGTCCTCAAGGTGAAGGAAAAGAAGGAGTTCTTAACATTGTGACATCATTCACTCCTGTTGTAACAACTGAAGGGGCTCCAGCTCCAGCAACGACAGGTCAAATGGTTGAACCACCAGAACCGGTCGATATTGGTTCCATAAAGGAAATGTTTCCAGAAGTTGATGAAGAAGTCATTAGAACCATCCTGGAGTCCAATAATAACAACCAGGAGGCTACAGTCAATGCTTTAATTGAAATGAGCAGTACTTAAAGTATTTTTCATCTTCTAAAATTGACCATGTTATTTGTAATTGTAATATATTGTATGCTGAAACTGTGTTAATTTACTTTATTTATGCTTGTCATTATAAAAATTTGGGATAAAGTTATATCTCGATGCGTGGTATCTGTTTGAACGGAAAGAGTACTTCGATTAGGATCTTTTCGGCGTTTCCACGTGTCGCCCTTGGAGTAAATAATGAGCGGAATGAGAGTTGGTTGTTTTTACCGTGGTATATTGTACTGGTTTGTTACTGGATGAGTTGTGGCAGTTTATTTTCTTATTTCTGTTAGTTTCGTAATCAATATACTATTTCAGATGTTTTCTTCACTTTCCGTGTTTGGTTTTCCTTAATTTCTGTAAATGACATTCTTTTCAGCACTAGACATGATGGCGCTAGGTTGGTGCTTGGGTGTGGGGGTTTTAGTTTCGCTTCTTTATGCCAAGTTTATGTTTGATTTGCACGAGAATACCCTCTGGTTCTCTAACATAAAGGAAGTCGAGCGCGAGATCTCTTTCCGTACTGAGTCTGGTCTATATTACTCTTACTACAAGCAGGTGGTGAATGCTTCTACCGTAACCTCTGCTTTCTATGACCTTATTCATGACACTAAGACAGAATACCCTCGAGAGATCAATGTTCTTCAGAGGTTTAATATAATTCCTGAAGTGTTGTTGGCACTGTTTTACCGTTTGTCATCGTCGTATGTTACTATCACTCCTATCATGTTTTATGTAAATTCTAGCTTCCTTCTGGCTGGACTAAGTGTTCTGTTTGTATATCTATTGACATATGTGATTACCGGAGCCTGGAGCGAGGCGTTCATTGTGTCTGTTTGGATGCTCGTGAACTACGAGGACAGTTCGCGGGTTAACTTCGCTGTAAATATGCGTGAAGTGTACGCTCTACCGTTTCTGTGGGTTCAGTTTATGTATGTGTTCAAGTCTCTTGACTCTGTGGTTTACAGTAAGCAGATAGTACTGTACACAGCCTTGTTCTCCATTTCTTGGCAGTTTAACCAGTTTGTTTTACTGTTACAATCATTATGTCTGTTTGTGTTTGCTCTGTTTTACTCCCAGTTCAAGGATAACATAAAGAACATACTTTTTTGTCAATCATTGGGCTGCTTGATCACAGGTGTACTTCAGTTCTTCCAGCCTATGGTTCTGCTTTCTCCTTTGTATTTACTCAATGTTACAGTAGTATTATTGCTGTATAAACTCCCGAAAACCTTCCACCTCGTTAAGTCAACACTTGTTTTCTTGTTCGGAATTGTTGTCATGTTGCCTCTGAATGTTGTTGTAAAGTCTCTGGTCTCTGATAAGTCAGATTCTCATATCTGGCACTTCGTGGCTTCTAAATTAGGCGTAGCACAAGCCTCCGTGCCGTTCGAAACGACGCTGTATTTGTGTCACGGAGCCTTCGCGTTTCTCGGTTATGACTTTATCGAAAGAACGTATAAAAACGGATCCGTACAGTTGTTCGTGTTTGCTTTGGTCGTTTCGGTCTTCAATATCGTCAGATCGTGGTGGAAGGGGGAACAGTCTTGTCCACGGTTGTTCCTTCTCACCGTGAAATGTTGTGTCTTCGGCGTTCTTGCTTTCAGCACGATGAGGATGAAGTACATCTTCCTTCCGTTGATGCTCATCCTCGCTTCCACCGCTTTTTCCTTTGTTAATAGACTTTTGGGCCGCTTTGCCAAACTAACCATAATACTAGCCTTGGCCATTACTGTCTTGAGGTCCCATTACTCGTTCTACTTGAGAGTCATGAGTCACGAACAGGTATGCCCTCCCTTCTCGTCTTAATACCATCTTGATAGGAGTTCTACGACCCGGATACGGTGAGGTTGATGGAGTGGATCAATCAGCAGAACGAAACCATGGTCTTCTCAGGCAGTATGCAGCTGATGGCCGGGGTCAAGTGTTGTACTGGAAGGCCGATCACGAACCATCCTCACTTCGAGGATAGTTACCTACGTGAACGGACGTTGAGGATCTATCAGATGTACGGTCGTCGGCCGGCGGACGAGGTCTACGGGATCCTGAAGAACGAAAACGCAACCCACATTATCCTCGAGGACAGTATCTGTTTGGCCAAGTCGACCGGCTGCGCGTTGAAAGACCTGGTCGACCAGGCCAACGGACAACAAACAGAATCCGGTCGATATCCGTTTGTCCCCAGCCGAAGCCTCCAGAATACCGTCCTCCCGCGCTTCTGTGACGTGTTGCGCAAGAAGGGTCATTCCCAATTCGCTCTCGTGTTCAGAAATCGCACGTTTCGTGTTTATCGACTGCTGCTTTCTTAGGCGGATTCGCCAAATTGTGATATGCCCCCTCCTTTTCTGATTTCACTTACTTTTAACGAGCATTTCCCTTCCTTTTCTGACTGTTTTTGAAAATAAACTCGTTGTAGTATGAACTTGGGACTATGTTGCCTTTATCTGACTCTGTACCTGGTGCAGGCGTCAGTACGTCGAGTGGTGTCGAATGAGCATCAGATGGTGATTCAAGTGCCTGGCTACTCCCCGAAAGAGGTAGTTCTGGACATTAATATTCGAATGGTTTTTTAATAAATAATTACTTTAAATTTATTTTCAATAGAAAGGAGGAAAACTTTTTAAACCAATTTCAGACCATTACTCTATCTTTAATAACTACATTTTTACAGAATGACGCGTATATTGGGGTAAGCATCAAGGCGACGCCTGGCTACATTGGTGAGTGATTCAACTACATTAATATAATATTGGCTTAGTGCGATTCGAACCCTTTGCCCACGCTGACAGGATACATCACATGTTATTGTACGGATGTGACAAACCCGCGTACGATTCCACCTTCTGGGAGGGTGGTGCCACCTGTGCTGGGTCCAGTCATATTCTCTATGCCTGGGCACGGAACGCTCCGTCGTTATCACTTCCAGAAGGCGTCGGATTCGCGGTTGGAAACAAAGGAGATCCAGTACAGTACATCGTACTACAAGTTCATTATGCTCATCCATTCGCGGGCAATGTTAGGGACTTTGCAGGTATGTTATAGTAGATTATTCAAGATTTTTAGGTATAAGCACGCATTTTGATGAAGTAAATAGAGATATTAAATGGTTGTTGTGGTAAATTAGATGTAATGATACATCGATTGTTGTACTAATCAAGGTGTTTAGGTATAACAATGCATTTGGTTGACACTCGACCAGCTAACCTGGCGGCCGTCTACCTGTTCGTATCAGGAGAAGCCATTCCACCACGAAAAGAGGTATCTCTCAACAACGTCAGCTGCACATACGAAGGAGATGCCGAACTTACTCCGTTCGCCTTCAGAACCCACACTCATCAAATGGGCCGAGTGGTGTCAGCCTTCTACAAAAGGGATAACAAGTGGACGATGATCGGGAAGAGGAACCCACAGTGGCCTCAGGTAAGTGGGGGTGATATTATCATGAGTGGTGGTATCTGACAATCTTATTGAGGTTATTATTTTAGCTTTTCCAAAAAATCGACCATCCATTGAAAATCAAAAAAGGAGACTTCATGGCCGCGACCTGTCGATTCGACTCTCACGACAAAGAAGAATACACGCCTATGGGGTAACCACTTACTTTTTTCTTTCAAAGCTTACAAGTTTTGACACATTTTAATGTTATGTTTCTTCATACTCACATGATGTTCACCAACTTGATGTCATTACTTATTCATTTCAGGAGCATGGGTACGGCCGAGATGTGCAACTTCTACATGATGTTTTATCGAAGCGCCGACAGTCAGGACCCATTCCCCTGGGGCGGTGGCTGTGGCGGGAACGAAAACGAAGAGCTGGTGGCTAATGAGTACCCGAAGGAGGGTATCAGTCTACTCCCAAGTCATCCGGAATGGGAGCACGTTGCTCATCAGATGAGCGCGGCCTTCGGTGTGAAGCAGCGTGTGAAGACCTCGAAGATCGGCGACTTTACTCTTGGCCAGATCTCTGGCTTGGCCTACGGAAAAGACGGTTCTTTGTTCGTTTTCCACCGAAACGACCGTATCTGGGATGGAAGGTGAGCATATTATCATAGCTTACCTACTTTTAAAGTTGTAATTTTACCATTGTATGTCTAATCATAGTTAGAGGGACAAAACATGTTTACATTACAGTACTTTCGACTCCCAGAATCGACTGACTGATGAAACCCCCATCAACAGTGATGTCATCCTTCAGGTCGACGTTGGAGCAGCTTCTTTGAAACTCCGTAACAACTACGGAAAAGACACTTTCTACTTGCCACACGGTATCTTCGTTGACGACAGTAACTACATTTATACTACTGATGTTGGATCTCATCAAGTTATCAAGTGGAAGGTCAAATCAGGTAGATCTTGTATTATATGTTTCTTTTTAGAACAATGTTAATTTTTCTTTACTGGTTTATATTTTAATGCTCATTATTACGGTAATTACCATGCTTTAGGTACCCTTAAGCAGGTATTCGCTCTCGGAGAGAAGTTCACACCTGGCTTCGACACGAAACACTTCTGCAAGCCTTCTGGAGTCGCTGTAAGTCGTAACGATGGAACCATCTACGTCAGTGATGGATACTGTAACAACCGGGTTATGGTATTCGACAAGAACGGTCAATTCATCCAACAATTCGGAAGTGCATCGTCGATTGGCAGAGAAGGAGGCAAGCCCCAGTTGGGCACCTTCTTCCTTCCCCACGACGTCACTTTGGACAACAAACAGCATCGTATCTTCGTGTCAGACAGACAGAACGGTCGAGTCCAGATCTTCAACCAGAACGGTGATCCACAGCAAGACGTGTCCTACCCCAGCTTGTTCAACGATGTTTACTCAGCCGACTACGATGAAGGTAACGTTGCTTTTGCTGCTGTTTATTGTAGTTTAATTTCACAAAAAATATTTAAAATGTATTGTTGACAACATAATCAGCAAAACTATATTCAGACTACGGCCTGATTCTGATTCCTGGAACCAGCGTAGCTCAGAATGCTCAGATCGAAGCCTTCTCGTGTCCGGCTCCATCGTTCAAGCTACAGTTCTCGTTCCGACCTACAGACTCATCGTTCGTACGACCACATATCATTAGGATAAGGAACGATCTGATTGCCATAGGCGAGATAGCCGAGAGTGGTGGTCAACTCAGTCTGTTCGATGTCATAACACAAGGTCATCAGCCTCATGTGTCATCGAAAGAACTGTACGAATCCCCAAACGGCGAATCCGACACGGGGTCACCTGTGGTGATAACATTGTTGGTGATAGCGTCCATCCTGATAGCGTGCTTTGTTGCCTTCATGAGGTATCGCGACGTTTCTGATGGAAACATTGTGGACAGAACGGTAAGACATTGTTTTGAAACTGCTGTTTGAGCTAATTGTGCACCTTAATAGTAAGTAATATTGTGGTTTCAGGGCTTCAAACCGCTGAGCACGGAAGATATGCAAAGCGACAACTCGGACGACGAAGAGTACTCGAGAGACCGGCCGTGAACGATTATAGTCTTGTACATTTGTAGTCATTGTTAATTATGTATTTATTAATGCCGTTTAATAAACGCTTTCCAACCTAGAGGCGACGTAATGGAGGGGGCTGAGTTATTGCCATGGTATACTCTCTTGTTTCTGTAGTAAAGTTTGCAAAACCGGTTGTCAGAGCAGACAGTTTGGGAGCTGTTTAATATTTACCTTGGTCTACCTTGACTAACTAGAACAACATGGACGGTCTCGTAACCAAGATGGACTGGTCAAAGAATGAACAAAGTTGAGGGACAAAACATATGCCGGTTTACTCGAACAATCATCTGTCGTTATAAATAAAAGCGACGCACCCGTTCGTGTCCAGGACGAGAAACGACTGGTCCTTTTCTGTGGCCGTCTCTTCCCCCGCCGCGCTCCATCGCTACGAGCGTCTCCGTGGTCCGCACTCACCACTTTCCCCACAAACTGCAGCTAGGCGTTCGCGCGATTTTCCCCCCACCTACTCCCTCTTCCATTACGGGCCACACCGCTGTTATTAGCCTCAGTTTTTCGCGTTTTTACATATTTATAGAGGTGTCATGGCTCCCAGCGGTATTTACAATCACAATTACACTTATTTCCCGAGTCCAATGATAATATCACATTATGTTTGTTTTTAATTCAGTCCATTTCAGGAATGATATAAAGTGAGGAAGAATTGGGAAACAACATGGAGGAAGGGGACGAGTATGTTCCCCAAATATCCCAAATGGACTACAACCTGATCGACAACAATGGCACCAACCGATCAGGCTACTACAACCACGACCCACTACGACAGATGGGCGACATGTACATGCAGCAGACCTCACAACAACTCCCACCCCAACAACACATGAACCATCAGGGCTACATGAACATGCACGGCTACCCACCAGCACAAGCCACCATGCCCTGCCAGTCCGGTCTACAACAGATGCCCAGTGCTACACCGCCGGCCAAGAAGCGAGGCGGTGGCCGGAAGAAGGCCAACGCCGCTACACCAGCTCCAACAGAACAAAAGTTCCCGGCCAATCCACCGCAGAACATGATGTACCCCGCCAACTACCAGATTCCCGGCCAGCAACAGGTACCTCTCCACGCAAATACCCCGCCCGGGATGAGGATGCCCACCCCCGGCTACGGGAATTACATGGGGTACCCACCCAACTCGAAGTGGATGGAATATGGCCAAGTTCAACAAGGGCCACAGTTCAGATGTCCACCACAAAATGCGTATCCTGGCTACAATGGTCCTCAACAGGTAAGTCATATCTTTTTATTTCATTTTCTGTTTAGATTAACATCTTCATCGTCGACTTACCTATTTTTAACTATAGTGCACTTACTATTACAACATCTTTTAGAATTACTACAACCAAGGAATGCCCCCTGGACAACAGCAGCCACAACAACAACAAATCCCACCTCGGCCACAATTCTACGGCCAAGGATACCCCAACATGAACTACCCCGGGCAACAGCCAGCACGGTACCCAACTCCACAGCAAAATTACTACGGAGACCCCAACTATCCCGGCTACAATCCAGCGTACGGTCAGACGCCCCAGCAGCCAAGTAAGAACACCCCCTCCAGCACAAATCAGCCTGGAATGCCCATACCTCCAAGTTCAGCTGCCCAACAACCTTCCTACCCTTCTGGCCCGCCCCAATCCAGTAAGTCTTACACATTTTTAGTCCAATTAACAAATATATTGTAATATCTATAAAGACTGTGGTAAAATTACTGTGAACATGACGATGACTAAATGATTTCAGTCCCTCCAACAAACGGTGCATATCCTTCGGCTACACCGTCGTCGATTCCAAATGCCCAAAGGCCTGGCTTCAACGGCATGCCGGCACAGCCACAACAACAGCCACCTTCTCAATCTACATCACAGTATCATCCACAGGGCTCGTACTATCCCCAGATGCCGAACCCTCAGATGCTACAACAAGGAATCATGGAGTTAGAACGGCAGCTACACTTCTTGGTGCAACAACCACCCAATCCAGAAGTATCCAGCAGGATGGAGCAGGTTCAGATGAGGTTAAACCAAATGAAGTCCCAACATCAACAAGCTATGTCGGCGGCTACGGCATCAAACGGAAAGCCAGTCCAGATGCCACCCAGTCAGCAACAACAACAGCCTCACTCTTCTCCACTAACACCGTCACAACGGATGCCCGCTACACCACAGTCCGGAATGTATCCTTCATATCCGAACCCTCAGGAGAAACCGACTCCAGAATTAAGTAATAGTATACATTCTCAACAACCTTCATCAGTAGGGTCTGCCTCCATGGGACCACATTCCATTCCACCCTCTAACTCAACATCGTCAGTCTCGGTTATGCAAACTGCAGCTAGCCAGGTTCAGGTAATTACTATATAATATTCACGGCCCTTCGTAGTAACGCTTATATACTACTATTTCAATTTCTTACTCATAAAAAACAACTTTTCAGGTCAACATTACTCCAGAAGCCACGGGACGCACCCTTATCAGTGTGTATCACCAATATCCCTCGTCAGATCCCACGATGACAGAAGCCAACGCTCTCCAGAAGGACTCTGTCCCTCCAGAACCGGTTCCCTCCTCGGTGTCCAACGGGTATTCCAAAAACAGCTCAAACTCCAAAACGGCATCATCCCCTCCCGCCTCAGCATCTCAAGCATCATCAGAATCCTACTCGAACTCATTCCTAAACTCCAACTTCCCTCCGAAGGAACAGGAGCAGCCAACATTCAACTCTCTCGAAGTAAAACCAGAAATCACATCACAACCGACTACACAACAACCTCCGGTCCTCGCTGCCGTCAACGATATTCCTCTAATGTCGACTTCAGATGTCCGTCAGGAAGTCAAGCCGGAATTTACCGAGAAACCCGTATCACCACCAAAGCCTGTGTTTGAAGAACACGAAACCGACCTTTTGTCCACATTCAAAAGGCCAGAATCGACTTCAGAAGCAGAGTTCACGGTGAAAGCGAAGCACCCGAAAGAAGTGGTAGAAGCTAGTTTTGATGAATACGTGAAGCCGAAGAAAGTAGTGGCTCCAAAACCACCACCCAAGAAAGCACCGACGCCAGCCAGGAAAAGGAAAAAGGCACCCAGCGACGTCAGTTCAGATGAAGATCACGACTTCACGGTGGAAACCAAAAAGTAAGAATCTGAATTCAAATAATTATCTAAATTTTAGGAAAAAAGGGAAAGCTGCCCCAATCGTGAAACCAGTGGAAGAAGTAGATCCAGTATTCACTGATTTTGTAGAGGTAAGGTTTCAATACCTTTTACCAAAAAAATTCCGGACAGTTTTGTTGAGAGAAAATTGGAAAAGTTGTGGCAAACTGCAGGCTGCGGCTGAAAAAAAGTATTATTTTATACGAAGAAACATGTCCACAACAAATTTTTGTTTTTCAAACATATTTTCTGTAAAAGAAGCAAAATATAAATAAAAATTACAGAAACGACGATCTGGACGGACGAAAAATGAACGAACATACGAAGATCGTATGGATACCGACGAAGAACTCATGGAAGTTATGGGGCCAAGCACCAGCTACATGGAAGACACTCCTCCTCCAGCTACAGCTGAGTTTATCGTCGAAAAGATTCTAGGATTAAGGCTGGCGATGAGGAAGAGACAGAAGAGCGCCAGCGTTGAAGATGAAACGTCAAACGGAAAGGATGGTTCTGAAGAATCCAAAGATAACGTCAAGACAGAAGAACAGAAGCCTGCTTCGTCAAAGAAAGTCGAATCAGAAGAGGAGGAAGAAGAAGTGGAGGAGTTCTACGTCAAGTTTAAGAACAAGTCGTACCTTCACTGTGAGTGGAAGACGATGGAGGAGCTGGAAGAGTTGGACCGCCGGATATTGCCTAAAGTTAATCGCTTCAAAGCAAAGTGGGTAGAGGACAACGAGTATTTTAACCCCGACTACACGGTAGTCGATAGGATAGTGGACGAACATGTAGATGAAGATGGTGAGCAGTCTTACCTGGTCAAGTGGAAGAGTTTACAGTACGAAGATTCAACTTGGGAATCTCTAGATGTGGTCTCGAAGAAGAAGATCGATGAGTATCATCGTAACAATGAAGTAGATCCAAGCAAAACTGTAAGATTTTAATAATTAACGGTCGTTTTTTGTTTTTAGAAGTAAACGGTATAATATTGTATTGATTACAGAAAGAAACGGTACGACCAGACCCTGAAGATTGGGAGGAGATTAAGGATACTCGAGAGTACAAGGACGGAAATACCCTGAGAGAGTATCAAGTTGTTGGAGTTAACTGGCTTTTGTTTTGTTACTACAACAGGTACGTATTATTTACGTTTACTATATGTTATAACAATATCTTTATAATTACAACGATTTTTAACAAAATATCAATGTTATTATAGTGTATATGTATTTGATTTGTACTCATTTTAGCCGAAACTGTATTCTGGCTGATGAAATGGGATTGGGAAAGACAGTTCAGACCATTACCTTCCTTCAAGGTGTGTACGATGTAGGTATCCACGGACCTTTTTTGGTAGTAGTACCTTTGTCAACGTTACCTAATTGGGAACGAGAGTTTGAGACTTGGACTGACATGAATTGTGTTGTCTACTACGGTACTTCAGTCAGTAGGGAAATGATTCAGAACTACGAGATGTACTACGACAAGAACGACGTCAAGGTATGTTATTTGTTACAGTAGGCTCAATATCATGGATCTCTGGACATTTTACTCTTTTTTAAAATTCTTTAACTCTATTTTAATGTCTTTCAATTTCAGAGACGGAATGTAGCCAAATTTGATGTGTTGTTGACCACGTTTGAGATGGTAATATCTGACGTTGACATCCTGAAGAAGGTCAACTATCGTGTCTGTGTCATTGACGAGGCTCACAGACTCAAAAACAGAAACAGCAAGCTCCTGACCAATGGTCTACTATCATTTAACTTCGAACACCGCGTTCTTCTGACAGGAACTCCACTCCAGAACAACATCCAGGAGTTGTATTCTCTGCTCAGCTTCTTGGAGCCAGAACAGTTCCATAGTTCAGACCTGTTCCTTCAAGAGTTCGGGCAATGTCAGACAGAAGAGCAGGTTCAGAAGCTGCAGGAGATTCTGAAGCCCATGATGTTGAGGAGGCTGAAGGAGGATGTGGAGAAGACTTTGCAACCAAAGGAGGAAACCATCATTGAAGTATGTTTTACTCTTTTGTTTCAATGTTTAGGTATCAAACACTTTCATGAGTCTGTATTCAAAACATTAATATAATTGTTTAGGTACAACTGTCTAATATCCAAAAGAAGTACTACCGTGCTATTTTGGAGAGGAACTTTACGCATCTTCTGAAAGGTTCTATGCCGTCTTTGATGAACACGATGATGGAGCTACGCAAATGTTGTAATCATCCATTTTTGATCAAAGGAGCCGAGGAACAGATCATTTCCGAGCTGAAGCCGTTGCACGCTAACAAATCTGAAGACGAATTGAATAATCTGGCGTTGATTCAGTCGTCTGGTAAACTGGTACTCATCGACAAGTTGTTACCTAAACTACGACAAGACGGCCACAAAGTGTTGATCTTCTCTCAGATGGTGAAGGTTCTGGACCTTCTGGAAGAGTTCTTGGTCCAGATGAACTACTCCTTTGAGCGAATCGACGGTAACGTACGTGGAGACCTCCGTCAGGCAGCTATCGACAGATTCAGTAGAAAGGACTCTGACCGCTTCGTCTTCTTGTTGTGTACTCGAGCTGGAGGTTTGGGTATCAACTTGACCGCTGCAGACACTGTAATTATCTTTGATTCCGACTGGAATCCGCAAAATGACTTACAAGCACAAGCACGATGTCATCGTATTGGACAGACCAAGATGGTGAAGGTGTACCGTCTGATCACAAGTAATACGTACGAAAGAGAAATGTTCGACAAGGCCTCGTTGAAGTTAGGCTTAGACAAGGCCGTGCTACAGTCTATGGCTCCGAAAGAAAACAGCCAACAGATGACGAGACAAGAAGTGGAAGACCTTCTGAAGAAGGGCGCCTACGGTGCTGTGATGGACGAAGATAACGAAGGCAGCAAGTTCAGTGAAGAAGACATCGACACGATCCTTAGCAGAAGAACACAGACCATCAAGTTGGAGCCAGGGGTAAAGGGCTCCACTTTTGCCAAGGCTTCATTCACATCGTCAAGCAACAGAGAAGACATCGACGTCAACGACCCCAACTTCTGGTCCAAGTGGGCCAAGAAGGCGAATGTGGACGTTGATTCTGGAAGCAATGAACTGATCTTACTGGAGCCTCGAGCGAGGAAGAAGCGCTTTGAAGAGGGTTACAAGGGATTGCACGATGGAGGCGAAAGTGACGGTGAAGAGGGAAGCGAAGGCCGAAAGAGCGCCGACTTCTCCAAGAACAGAAGTGGCAAGAAGAGGAAACGAGGTGACGATGACGACGACTACATCACCTACGTGCCAGACGAGCTCACCTTCAACAAGTCCGAGTACTTCAAAGTGGAGAAGCTTCTGAATACTTGGGGTTGGGGACGGTGGAAGGTGATGAAGGAACAATCTGATGTTTCTCTCAGTTTGAACGACATTGAACACATTGCTCGAACATTGTTGTTACACAATATCAGAGAACACAAAGGCGACGAGAAGACCAAGGAGTTCGTGTACCATCTTATCACTCCCTCTGGAGAGACCGCTTCCAAGAACGACAAGAAGTCTCACGGTGAATACAACGAGGGATGGGCTAGCCTACCTGAGTATAACCCTCCCAACTTTGCTATTGATGTCTCTTTCACCAGACACATCCACCGCCATGCCAACAAACTGCTTCATCGTATGTTCCATCTGTTTCTGCTTCAGAATCACGTTGTCACGAAAGAGGATGCTGTGAAAATCTACGAAGAGAAGGACTACAAAGACATTGACCTCAAGGTACCAAGTGTTGGAGATCCTCCCCTTCCCAACTGGGACGCTGACTGTGACAAATGCTTCATCATCGGCATCTACAAACACGGAATGGAGAACTACGATATCATCAAACGGGACGAGAAGTTGTGCTTCATCGACAAGAACATCGAGGAGATGCCGACCACGCTGGAGCTGAACACCAGATTCAAGAGAATCATGCTTCTGGTCAGCCGCCAGCTGGAGACTGCCATGTCTGGTTCCACTAGTACCACTACTACAGTCAAGTGGTCCAAGTCCGAGGAAATGGAATTCATGCGAGTGCTACGCATCTACGGTGTGAAAGATGACAATGAAGGTCAAAATGTGATCAACTGGAACAGATTCCGAGAACTTTCCGTGAATCTTCAGCAGAAGACAGACGCCCAGATGCTGGAGCAGTTGTACTGTGTACTAGCCATGTGTACCAAAGAGCAAGGCCGAGAGTTGTCTCCAATCGACATGAGAAGGGCTTCAATGGTGGATCCGATTCCTGTACGGAAGGCAGAGAAACTGATGAACCGGCTTCATCTGATGAGGAAGATCCACGCGATCGTTTCCGCCGGGATTCAGAAGGTCAGAACATCGTTGAAACTCTGTTCTTCGGAAACCATGTATTCTGGATGGGAGGAGAAGCACGATGAACAACTTCTGGTTGTTGTTGATCATCATGGACTCGACAAGATTACCCAGAAGTTGACCGCTTTGCCTAGCTTCGAGAAGTTCGCGAAACAAATCGAAGAGAACGACCTCGTCAGACGTGTAGTCGAGATCTGCACCACGTTGGAGACCGGTAAATGGAATGGAAAAGGAAGTGTAGACCTGATTGATGACGAAGATGCCATGTCATCGCTTGACGCTCAAGCTTTGGCGATGCTACAAGCTTTCGGTCAGTCAGTTTCTACTCCAAATGCTTCCAGAATATCGTCATCACAACAGAAGCGGAACAGGAAGAAGGCCAGTGTGTCTGGGAGTTCCACAGCTCAACAACTAGCTAATTTGGTAAGTCTTATATCGATTTAGTAAGAGTAATTATTTTACATACAGTAATATAAATGCCATATTGACAATTATGTTTTCAGAACGATCCAGCGTACTTGCTTTCCATGCTGAACGCTCTGGGTGCTACTGGTGGAAGTGGATCGTCACAACAACAGATGCAGCAGCTGAATGCCTTGCTGAGTATGTTCACGTTGATGGGACCCATGATGAACAACGGAGCCAACGATCCGGCTTCGAAGCAGGCCATGCAGATGTTAATGGCAATGATGGGCGGTAACGATGCTCTCAACCTGACCACATCTGCCTCCACAAAGCCAACCGCCTCCATTACTAAAGGAACCTCTCAGAATTCAGCAGCAGCTACGACAGCAGCCGCTTCTGCTCCTACATCGATACCAGCTGATGTTACACCGTCTCTGCCATCTACGAGTGCTACGGCCACGGCGAAGGTTAAGGAGATCACGAAGCCAGAAGACATGTCCATGGTCGAGATTCTCAAGTGTTTGAATTACACAAAAAGTAAGTCTAGTTTTGTTGTAAAGCTATTTTCAACAGCTTTATGATTTACTGTCATATCAACCATGTTATCCTTTCAGATTCCCACATACCTGTCATTCACACCGAAACCAAAGAAAAGCTTTCTGGATCCAAGGCTCCATTGCTGTCGAACCTGGAGTCGTGGCTAGCTGCGAATCCGAAGTATCAGGTCGACAGTGAAGCCGCGTTAAATCCGGCCAATCAGACTAGTGCCTCGACTTCAGAACCGTCGACTTCTGCCGTCAAAAAGACATCTGTTGTAGCTCCAAAGGTCGAGAAACCGACTCCATCAACCTCGAAGACTACAGCTAAGACCGAAGACCCCAAGATTGGAGTGGTAAACAGAGTTACAGGGCAGTTACTGCCTGAGGACAAATGGCCAACATTGGGAGAGTTGGCCAGCTGGCTGGACAAAAACCCCGGAAATGATGTGCAAGACACATTCGGGCTCATTGTCAAGGTAAATTTGTTTAAATATCTTTTCAAAATTAAATATTTTATTTTTTATGTTATCTTCATTGCATACCTTGTTTCTAGGCCATCTTACCATCCAACTACCATCAAAGGATCAGTAAGGTCACCGCTCCGAAGACAACTACAGCCAACGCCAACTCTCTGAGTGCTCTCGAACAAAGTCTGATCCAAAGCATGGGGCTGGGCGGAGCCAATTCAATGGAGAACCTCCAGATGCAACTGATGCTACAACAACTTATGATGGGATCGTCGATGCAGAACGCCTACAACCCTTATATGCATCTGATGGGAGGAAGCGCTACGGCGACTTCTCTACCTTCAACTACAGCCAATGCCAACAATGTTGATGCCGCGATTCTAGCTATGTTCGGCAGTGGAGCTGTTCCCACCACCACGGCTACAACGTCCAAACCAACCGCCGCGACCACTGCATCTAATATGGCTTCAGCATTGGGAGCGGCATCGACGTCGGCTTCAAATCAGGCCATCAACGACATGTTAACCACGGAATTGTTATCGAACCCAGTCCTACTGAACCAACTGATTGGTGCCAACGGTACCAACGCGGCCGCCCTCAGCTCTTTAGGCCTGGGCTCTCTGAATCCCATGGATTTGAATGCGGCGCTCCAGATGAGTATGCTGACTTCTGCGTTGGGCGACCTCAGTCAGACTACACAAGCGATGGCTTCACCTTCGTCGTCCAAGAAGCCTTCTCAGCCGGCTTCTGGGAAAGCCAGCAAACTGAACGCCGTTGTGGAGAAACTGGCTTCCTCGTCGTCCCAAAACACGAATGGGAACCACTAACAAACAGTACCACTAAGAATAGGACTACTCACAGAAGGAGACTACAAAAGCGGTACCAACGACCAATAGATGACGTATTATGTATTTTAATTATTATTTCTGATTGATCTCTTTATCCGGCTTCAGGGCCGTCTTTTTGAATGCTCAGCTTGGCCCCCAGGGCAAGAGTTACTTATTTTATTTATTAGTTTTCTCTTCGGGATACGGTGTTTTGGGGTACTGTAATTAGCCTTAACTAAATATATTCTTGTTGACTGACCTCTTTTCTTATGGTCTCTATCCTCTTACACAAGTCGAACCAAACATACCATTTTTTGTAACCTTCTGTAATATTAAAGTATTGTATTTCTGTTTCCCCTGGTGAGATGCGTTACGCGGGATTTCATGTTCAATCTGGCCATGTTGATTGTTTACTATAAATAAATTCATTAAATATAGCTTGGTTGTCGTGATATGACTATCGGTAAAACAATTTAATTTAATATGAAACACAATGTATTTTAAACGAAAGTCACAAGCTTTCAAGAATTCATGTAAAAATTAACAAATACGACGTTTTATTTGCTCGGGGAGAGGAAACGAAAGATAATAGCCCTGACCTCACACTCATCCGGCCATTTGGCCGAGCTGAGCTGGTCCTTGGCTCTCTCATGATTCGTTTTGTTTCTCATTTCCATGGTTATATTAATTTTGGTTGATCAAACCCCCTGTAAATAGCCATTTGCAGGTGGACTTACCCTGCCGCGATGAAGTAAACCATATTTTTTGTAAAAAACTATTTATAATGCTTCAATTTTAATATCGATTGTACTATTCTTGTTTCAATCGATATTCAAGTAATTTGTGTCAAAATCTTGTTACTCAAAATGTCCTTGTCCAGTGTTATCTTCGATCAATTAAAATAAAAAGGAACACCCAGTTCGACGTTCTTCAAAGTGTCCCTAATGTTTTTTCCTGTGTGACTAGGGCGCAGTCTGCTCTCTTGTCTAGAGTTTCGTCACTTGATGTATGTATTTTATGCGTTTGCGCTCGTTGTCGATCTCGATTCGAGCGTATATAACATTAAAATAACAATTTTTAGCGTGAAGACTGGAAATAATCGAAGAGTAACTTTTTCGTTATCATTGCATATGTTTTTGTTTTACTTTTTAGCATTTATCGGTTATTTTGTATCTAAAATAAGTGAAACTAGTTCGACTTCTAGGGATGGACGACTTGAACGTGATCACAGAGCGTCCACAGCAGTTGCCTCATTTCTTGGCCAAGTTGTGGTCCATCTTGGATGATCCTCAATATGAAAATGCAATTTGTTGGGACAACGTAAGTGTTTAGTTGAGAATTGTAATTTTAGGTAATAGCCTCTAATTTATTAGTCGGCGCCACATCCTTATTTTTTAAAGCGTTCTCTAATTTTCTTGTTTTTCAGAGTGGGGAATCTTTTCACATAGTTGATTCGTATCTGTTCAAGAATGCTGTGTTACCGAGATACTTTAAGCATAACAATTTAAATAGTTTTGTTCGTCAACTGAATCTCTGTAAGTTATTCTCTTTCTGTTTATATACATTTTTACATCAAATGGCTCATTTATTTTGTTCAGATGGCTTCCGGAAGATCCCGATTGTTGGCAATGCTTGTTTATTAAATGAAAATGGAGATAATCTGCACTTCTCTCATCCCTTCTTCATTAAGGGGAACTTTCATCTGCTTCAACACATTAAGAGGAACGCTGTCAAAGGAACAGGCAACTCCAAGGTCAAACAAGAACAAGCAGCTGAGAAGCGACAAGTCACGGTGCCCGAGGAAGATCTGGTGGTTCTGTTTTCGGAGCTGAAAGTAATGAGGGAGAAGCAGAGCACCATGAAGAACACGATAAGACAGCTGACAAGGTACAAGATTTAAACAATTTAAAAGATCAAAATATAACTGCTTTAAAGCCATTTGGATTTAGAAAAATTTGTAGTTACTAAAGTCTGCTAAAAATATTATAAGCAGGCGAAAGCATTAGTTTGTTAACTAAATTCTGCCATAGTACGTTATAAATTTTTTATGTTTTAGAGATAACATTCTTTTGTGGCAAAAGATGGCGGCTCTTGAAAACGGCCAAAACAAGCAACAAGAAAACGTGAGACAGTTGGTACAGTTCATGATGGCACTAGTACAACCCCAAAAACGCCTTTCCAGCTCCCAACGTATCATGCAATTGGATGAAATGGACGAAAGAGGACGTCGGAACGTGTCTCCGAAGAACGGCCGAACTTACAGTCAATCTCCTGTCAACGCGTTGGCTCTTCAACGAGGCCAGATGGTGAGACCTGCTCTTGACTTTGGCATTCTGGATGCAATCCAACGAGAATTGAATGAGAACAACTTTGACATTGGATCAAGTTTGTCAATGAATGCCGAGAACGCTCTGCTTGAAGGCCTCCAGCTAAGACAACGTGCTATTGAAGAGGGAGGACCGTACCTGGAAGATGATATACTTCAGAACGTCGACGATGAACCTCGTCAACTGAGTACGGCCAGGTCTTCTTTACAACGTTACCGGTCGAATCCGGAGCCAGGAATCAAAAGATCCTTTAAGCAATGTTTCCCATCGTACTCGAACAGTGTCGTGCTGACTCCAAAGAAGTATGCTCATGAAGCCGTTACTGAGTACGATAATCCATCCACATCTCAGCAAGTTTACGAGGAAATACCACAATCGGTAGGTTCTCTATGAATTCTTTTAATTTGTTATATAGTGTTAAGTTGGAGCCTTTGTGCAGTTTATTTTAATAAGCAATTTAGGTTTTATATATTTTTTAAATATTGAAATATATTTCAATCAAAACACGTTTTGAACGAAAAGGTGGTGACTAATCTCTTATCAACGTTGATAATATTATGTTTTAGGTGTCTGACAATGCCGCTTTTGAAACGTACGCAAGTCCAGCTGGCATGAACGATCAAGAATCCTACTACTACGTGGACGAGCAAGGAAACCAGTGCATGCCCGAGCTTGACTTTGACCAGATTTCGAACGATTTCCTGCTTGATAATGAAGTCGTGATCCCCCAAATTGAGGGAACCGATCAGCCGGAAGAGGAGGAGGACGGTCTCCGCGTCTGATCGGTGTAATAATAATATGTTTGCTTAACAAACTTGTTGTATCTCCTTGTTATAATCGCCCAGTAAAGGTTCGCCACTTGTGGAGGTCACGGCCGTGCTTTGTGGCCGACGGAACGATGCGCTGGGGTCATTTATCACACGTCGAGAACAGTTGGGGGAGAGGAAAGGCGGTGAGAATGAATGCCGAAAGTTGCGACCGAGGTTTGTTGGTCCTGTCAGCGCAGTCATGTCGAGCCGGTCGGTCGGGGGAAAGGCCGAGATGGCCTCGCGCGCGCGTTTACTGGCGTTTCTTCCCTCAAATCTGGCAATTTCCCGTTTTTTGGGATTTTCTGTTATCTGAAGTCGGACTTGTTTTAACAAAGAATATGCAAATTAGGGCTGAGTTTGTTAGTTTCATTTCTTTCAAAAGTTTACATTTCACTTGAATACTTTTTTAAATTTTCAGAATTGACTTAAAAATCGAAAAAGACTTTCATTGTGATCTTTTGTTGGAAAAGAAAGGGATCTACACGTCCGATTTCTTTATTTGAAGCTCCACAATACACTTTTTTGTCCCAAAAGTTTCCGCGCATTAGTACCAAAGTCAAAGGTGTACTAAATCTTTAATTGTGGTGCTATTCAGTACGTTTCCAATTAGTGTCTTTGATCAATTTTTTAAATTTAAAATTGAATTGCGCAGCATTTGGTGTTTCCTTTGTTTATAAGTAGGTCATCTGCAAGTTTTACGAAAATCTTTTTTTAAATTTAAAAAATTGTTATAAATTATAAAATTCGTTTTAAACATGAGCAGATTAGACATAACGTTGTGCATAGATTTTAAAATTTATTCTTTTTTTTCACTTTTGGGCAAGAGAAGGCGATTCTTTTAAATACTGGCTAGACAACCTAGAACGTTACCCTAATTAACAAAAAGTTTTGAAAATTTATTTATAAGTATATAATTATTACACAAGGCAAAGCTTTTACCTTCATATTGTTAACAGTAAGCAGCTACACAGCGTAAAATATAATGCTGAATAGATTGACTGGTTCGGTTATAAATAATAACAATTCTTTCTGAGACCTCAGCCCACTGTACCTTCTACAATATACGTTCTAAGAAACCACATAATTTTTTGTAAAGGTAATAAGCTGAAAGTGGAATTTTCCTAAAAAATCACAAAATTATTCAAAAATGAAACTATTGTAAAAATCACCTACGGCAATATATCTATATAACACACTTTTAACATGCAATCTTATTGATACAATGTAACCTACTATCATTCTTTCTACAAAAAGTAAAATACAGTCATAACGTTCGTGTCGCGCGACGTGTCTTAAACGGTTTATAAATGTTTTGTCAAGACGGGCCGCGACCAGTTCAGTGAGGGAGGCTGTTCCCGGCTGGAATGGAAAGGATTCCAGATGTGAGTTCAGATGAAGTGCGTGAAGAAGAGCTATCGGTAGGTGGGGTGGGGGGAGGAGGGCAGGGGTCGCTTTTATTACACTCCGATTATGAAGTAGCCAGTTGTCTCGATTGTGACCCCTCTCCTGACCTCAGCTTTCAGACCTCGGGGACCCACGACTATCAACGCGGCGGCAGTTGGCAGTTGTTCTCTGTGAATTTGGTAAAGGTGAGTGACCTACTTCCCCACTTTATGTTTTGTTTTATATTTTATTTTTATCGTCGGTTATAATGCTTGAGGCCGGCTTCGAACAGGTGACGGCAATTATCCGAAATTTGTTATGAGATCGTGAGCAGATTCGCTCGGTTTTTAATTTTTAGGTCTTTAATTAATCTATTTTTGTTTTGGTTATGAATTAGCTTGATTTTCGTCTTCCAACCGATCTTGTTTTAGTCATTGGAATACGGATTTGGCATCGGGATCTCTGGAGGTAGAGACAATCCCAATCTAGTACGACTCAACGACTACTCGGACCTTGTTATCACTGATCCCTCTATCATCGTCACAGACGTCCTGCCTCGAGGGCCTGCGGTCAACTTGATCAGGTAGGTCACAAATATTGCATACATCATAAAGTATATTTATCACGCTTATCTGGGCAAGAAATCAATATCCTCAATAAAACACAAAGGCATACCTATTTCAAAGGCATTTCTAAACGCTTTTTAACTAAAATACCTCTAAGAACTCTTTAAAATTGTACTCAAACCTCAAAATATATAAAAAGTTCATGTTCAATACATTCAAACTCTCAACATATGAGATTTTCAGGACGAAAGATCGAATCGTAGCAGTTAACGGCATATCTCTAGAGAATGTTGACTACAACACGGCTGTCAGTGTGATGAAGAGCTCCGACCAGTTGAATATGATCATAAAACGACGGGTACCCGTGCCATACCTCGAGTATGAGCAGCGAACGTTGAAGTTCACGTTGTCCAAGTCGCGGAAGAAGGACGACTTTGGCATTGTGCTCGGATGCAAGTTCTACATTAAGGAAATCAACAATCCCAAGCTGGCGGAGAAGGAACCGGGCCTCAAGGAGAACGACAACGTCATCAGAATCAACGGACAACTTCTGGAAGGTCTGAGTCTGGAAGACGCTTCACGGCTTCTGCAACGATCTCGAGAGAAGTTGTCATTGGTTGTGCAGAGAGATGTCAGGAGAGGAACGGCCGGGTCACGGTGGCCGAGCCAGACCACGGTAAGCGAGAATCATAATTTTAGTATATTTCTAAAAAAAATATTTTAATTTTTTAAATCAAGTGTTATAAATAGTTTTTGAAAAATTGTTAAATAAAACGGAAACAATCGGCAACCTAACATAATATATTATAATACATATACATAACATACCTCATTCCAGGTGTACGAACGCCTAGGAAGTGTACCAATAACACCTCGCCAAAGCCCCATTCCCACATCGTGCCTTCCAGAAGCCCACATGTCGAGGAAAGAAGACATGGAGCTGTCCAAAAGGTATTCAGAGCCGATCGGATCAGAATTCTTCAACCAGAATCTGATTCCTCACACGAATCCTTTTCCGACTCGAGGCAGGACTACTTCACAAACGCCTTCAGCGTGCTCGTCACCTCGACTCAATCACTTCCCCGTAGCACCTCAAGCTTCTTCTGTAGTCACTGAGTCTTCCACAGAGACCGTCAGATTCCAGAAGTCAGAAGGATCGTCGTTGGGGATTCGAGTGATCGGAGGAAATCAGGTCGGAATCTTTGTTTCGGCCGTCCAGGAAGATTCTCCAGCAGCCAAAAATGGCTTACGGTAAGAAAAAAAAAATTTGTTGAGTCAAGTGTTGTATTTTGCGTGAGTCAAGTGTTTTTCTCACAAAATTATGAATAATTTTGTGAAAAAGTCTCAAAATTTAAAAAAAGGCCTAAAAACTAAAGGAGAAAAGAGTTTTTTAAACTAATTGATGTAATATGTACTGTACTATGACATTTTTAGGATCGGATGTCGTTTGAACGAAGTGAATGGACAAAGCTTCAAGAACAAGACGAGGGAAGAAGCCGTGGAGATGTTGATGAATCTGGGCGACAATGTTGTTATAAAATACGAAAATAGCTCGGAAAACTTTTATCTTGTTAAAAATTATCAATTGGGTGATAGCTTCTATATCAGGTAAGCTGAAAGATATTGTTGTTGTCTGATCAGATATAAGATTTGTATTCTGTATCTATTAATATTGCTGCAATACCTATTTTATTGCAGGACTTTGTTTTCTCACCTAAAGAAAACAGTTCGAAACGAGATTTGTTTTTCTGAAGGTGACATCTTCCATGTCACTGATACCTTACACAATGGCTCTGTAGGTATGTGGCAAGTTCAGAAGGTATACTCTTCGCTGGATTATGATCAGAAGCCGGAGGAGGTCCAAGGTGTTATACCTAACGCTAGAACGTAAGTTGTATTCACATAATCGTAGTTATTTGCATTGTAGTAACTATTATTTTAACATATATACTTCTGACAGTGTTTAATTTTTAAAAGTTTAACTTACATTTGTCATTCCAGAGCCGAAACCTTGTCCAAACAGGAAGGAGGTGACTACTCTACTCTTGGCCGAACCCTCTTCCGAAAGCGAATGGGGCCAAGGAAGTCGAAGCCGGGTGATGCTCAGACCAAAGCCGAACTAGGCTTGCCTCCTTATGAACGAGTTGTCCTCAAGAAGCCAGCCTTCAAACGGCCTTTGGTCATTTACGGTCCGCTAGCCGACGTTGCTCGACAGCTCTTGTTGTCTAACTTCAGGCCCTACTTCCAGTCGGTCGACGAAGACAATCCGATCAGGATAGCTGACATCAACCGGGTGATAGAGGCCGACAAACATTGTGTTCTCAACATTGGACCGTGCTCTGTCGAGAAGCTACAGGCCGCTCAATACGCTCCCATCGTGATTCTGATCGACGTCGACTCCAGAAGTCGGATTCGTGAGCTCCGATCGAAGGCTGGAGTCACGACCAGTTCAGCTAGGAAGCTACTCGACCAGTCGGCCAAGATCAAGAAGCACTACCCTCATCTTCTGACGGCGACGTTGGATGCCCTGAAGGAAGACGGCTGGTTCGATGCGTTGAGAATGCTGATCGCTCACCTACAGGACAGAAGGGTCTGGATACCTGAAGTCGCCCACTTTCCGGCCAACGAAGTTATTTTGTTTCCAATGCCTTCTGATCAAGATGACATTTCTCGAAGCGACTACGGTGTTTTGGGATCCAAAAGTCCCTCTGATTCGCCAGCCATGCAGTCTTCGTTGACTTCCACTCCGATGTCAGGGCATCACAACTTTGTCTACATTGGGGACAACAACTTGAATCAGGAATCCAAGTGTAATCTGCTTGACCAGGTATAGTTTTTATTGACTTTACTTCAACTTCTGATATAAGATAGGTGGATTTTAACTAAAAATGCATTACTGTGTGTGACTATCAATGATAATGTAGCTAATTTTTAAAATTTGCTTTCAGACGGCCAGTCCTTCGTCAAATGTGTCTTACGAACAGAGTCGTACTACAAATGGCACACACGACCAAGAGAATCCTTATCACTTCTATGAAGACCAACGATCCAAACTCCAGAAGCCATCGTCGAACGTGCACAAGAGTGATACCTACATTAAGGTCGAAGGGTCGTACGGTAATGGAAGTGTACCGTATATTGACGGTGAGTATATTTATACTAATCTAACCCAAATTCAGAATCCAAATCACGACAAAAGATCTGTCCATCTAAAGTCATAGACGAGGTCTACGCCGTACTGGACTGGAACGGTGGAACGATAACGTGCCCGGAATCTAGAGTGGAGTTGATCCTCCCAGCCATGGCTCTACCTATAGGGAAGTCGCAGAAGTTGTTCATAAAGGTGTTGGAGGAACAGTCCAAGGCTGACGAAGACCTCCTCAGTCCTACGGTAACTTGCGGCCCTCAGGGGCTGAAGTTCAATCGGCCGGTCGAACTGCGTCTACCGTACAAACCAAGTCGAGACCCCAAGAACAACAACATTGTGGATGGGATGAGTCAGTTCGTGCTGAAGACGGGCTCGGAGAACACCTGGAAGAACATCGAACTTCTGGAGCCGCCGGTTCAAAACACTCAAAACAACTACATCTCGGTGTTCACCGACCATTTCTAGAGAATATTTATCTGTAAATAAAGTTATTCTATCAAGTACAATGCTTAACATCAAGTGAGGCTTCCTGTAACGTATTTTGAAGTCTGGTCAGAAAGTGTCTAGGTGGTCTAGTTTTATATTATTTTTTACGAAATTTGTAGTAATGATTATGACTCGTGATAGATAATAATTTACGACGCGATTTCGAAGTTTAATTTCATTTTCTGACAATCTCATGCTGTACCCTTATCAGTCTGATATTTTAGTATTATTGGTGACAAATATTATTAAAACTCTTCGACGATCGGGTCAGCAAACACACAATCTTCCTCGATCTTCAGGTTCAGCTTGGATCCGGAGTTTTTGTACTCAGAAGTGACGATCCTGAACCAGCCCGACTCTCCCCACCCGTTCACTCCCCAACTGTTCCTGCCAATCCAGTACGGCACACCGTCCTCCTCGCCCCAGCCGGCCACGGAGATGATGTGATTGATGTCGATGTTGATGTCTTCTTTGTAGATGCCTCCATTGTAGCCATCCAGCTTTTCCGTCGCCGAGATTCCGCAAGCAATTGGACCGTGATGGTAGATCTCGGCCTTCATCTTGTCGAGGCCAGACACCTCACCGTAGTCGCCGACCTTGTATAAGGTGAAGTTCTGGATGGCGTAGCACCTGTCTGGCCAGCAGGTTCCACAACGGTTTTGTTCGTTACATTCTGAAATTGTATTTCGTAAGCAAGTTGCGCTTATGATTTGTAAACTGCGCCCTTGCTTCGCCATTCTGCTTTTTTATACAATATATGAAAATTTTAAAAATATTTTTAGGAAATCGTGCTTGTGACTTCTTCGTGTTGTTCAACGCTAATTAAGGTTTAAGAGCTTTTACCCATATCAATTTAGATCTTACTTTGGTTGGTAGCTTGGTAGTTGTTGCAAGTTTCGTGAGGAATTCCTTTTTCGTGAGCATACTTGTACACAGGCAGTGGGTCACCTCCGAAGCAGCTGCCGGCTCCGGCACAGTCGATGACTTCTTGGACTGACAACAAAGGTTGAGGCCATTTGTTCTTCCTTTTGATGTTGAAACGGTCGGCCAAGGCTGAAGTCGATCCGAAGGCCCAACACGATCCACAGTCTGAAGGTCAGGTCTCAATAGAGTAAGAAAGCTCTAGTCTCAATAGTGATAAGGAAGCTTGTTATCTTATATCTTTTTTTATATTTTTAAATTATAGTTAAGTCTTATTATATTTTTTAAAACTATATAGATGCACGATACTTACATTGAGGGATGTGTTGATTACGGTCTACTGTAACATAGTTAACTCCGTCAACATTCCTCCAGTCCCATTGTTCTGGCAGAGCCTCGAAGTCGTAGTCGGGGTCATCGTAGATTCTGCGAGGCTTCTGTTGTGCCATCAGGTTCCGTTCACGGTGCTTGACATAGCATGGGCCAGACCGGCTGACTCCGACGCCATCGCCCTTGTTGGCTAGCCGATAGTGCTGGTTATGGTGAAGATGGTGGGAGTGGTGGTCGTGGCCGTGAAGACCGTCCACGAGAAGAAGGATACCGACTAGCCACAAGACCTGCATTTGAGCCAACTGACCAGAGGAGTGGAATGGCGGGTGACCTTTCTGATAACGCTTATCATATCAATTTAAACTGACTGATGGGTTGTGGTCTCATGTTTTTCAATTAATAGACATCAACAGGAGTTGTTCCACAAAGAGCATCAGCAGTCAATCAATCATAGTTGGCATTTTGCGGGCTTTGTGTTGAAGGTGATACCATTTATGTAAAGTATATATCAATTCGCGAAGAAAATGTTATTCAATTACAAGGAAAAGCTCTAGGATCTTATTGTTTGAAAACTTAAAGGTCATCGATGGTAGGGTCAGAGTACACACAAAGGTTCTTCACAAAGAAAACGGCAAATACCGTCTCTTAACAGGTTTTTTATAAACTTCCATGAATACAGGCAACTAGTACAATATAACAAAACAATATCTGGCTGAATGCACCTTAAGAATCCCGCCCGGACATTGCTACATTTACTTCAGTTCTTAGAGTTGTACCACATTACAATATTTTGGTATATAAACTCATGTCTATAAATGGCTGATTGACAAGGCCTTCGATATGTAACTTTATTCAACCATTAACAACAGGACTATCTATCACAACATTTAAATTTAAGAGTTCCTGGGCGCTACCTTCTCTATGAAATCCTTGATGTCGTCTAATTCCTAAACTTATATTTTAAGTTATAAGTGAGGTTGATTGTTTTAAAATGTCTAGTTTAATGAGTTGTAAACTCATATTGTGAACAGTATCTTACCTGATGATTAATCTCGTGGTCGAGGTTACGGTAGACATGGAACTGAATGCCATCTTGAAACCCGTCAATGTAATCGTAGCTCTTCTTCATCAAACCTTCGTACGGCACGATGGAATCAGAATCTCCGCATCCGAAGAAGATTGGCGTGTTCTTGTTGGCCTGACACTCTCCGGGGAATCTATTATGTTGTAGTAGATAGCCTGACAAGGCAATCACACCAGCCAGCCTTCTGTGATACGTCAGGCCAGAGAAAAGAGAGACCGCGGCGCCTTGAGAGAATCCTCCCACCAGAATCCTGTCTCCTGGAATCCCATTCTTCACTTCCTCGTCGATCAGATCGAACACCACCCTTCTGCTGGCTTCAACGTGATCTGCGACCTCTCCACCGTCCCACGCCAACGCTTTCGAGTCGTACCAAGCAGGCATGGCAACACCTCCACATCTGGCTAGTCGCCGTGTGGGGGCGTGGGGTAGGATAACCTTGAAGTGGGGTAACCTTAGCTCTCCTTCAAACGTGTCCTTCCATCCGAAGCCTGTATCTCCTCTACCATGCAAGAATATTAACGTAGCCGTGTGATCGGACAACGGTGGAATTATTAGAGGTCGGAGTTTGTTCATTCCTAACTATTTATATTGCACAAGCAATCTGGTGGACGACAGCCTGTAATTAAGACCGTACTTGAATGCGCGAACTATCTGAACCTTGTAATCGGCTCGAGAGTGTAATTAATATTCGAATGAACAAACATCGTAGACACTATCGCAGGTTTATTGGCAATTTATTGTAAAGAGCACTTGATTGTAGTCACATATACACATATATATACAAATTAGTAAATCGACCAGTAATTATGAAGATTGAGAGTCTTTTGAAATTTCGTCATCGGATCGGCGGTCATTCTTTTGACTGAGGCCAGCTCGGTAAAGAGTCAAACTTGATATGTATCCGTTGTCCAGCACCTAAAAGGCATGGTTTATATTTTAGAATCTTTTAAATTAGTAATTTATCAAAAATATATTAACAAACAGAACTGTAATTTTGTCTAAATTTTTAAGATTTCAACTTTTTCCATTACCATATTTAAAATAAGTTTACAATATTACCCTACCTCAATGATGGTTCCATCAGTACCGTAACAGAAGGTGGATCCAAATGGATTCTCGCCTTCACTGCCCGGGGCTCGGTTCACTACAACCGGAGTCTTGTCCTCGAATATGTTGATGAAGTCGACCAGCTAAACAAAACCTCAATTTAGACACCAAAACCAACCTTTGAATCGGTTTTAATCACAACCGAATCCTCTTCAAAGTCCTCCGAAGCAACGCATTCAATCTCGAAGAAGGCGCGCGAGTAAAAGCCAAAGTTGTAATGGCCGGGGATGTTCGTATGCAGCACCAGCTTGATGACTTCTCTTGTCTTGGCGTCGAAGAGCACATCCTGAAAAGTTGCAATTAGCGACCAGATCGAACTCACAATTACCTAAATTAAGAACTGATTAAACTCAAATTAAGGAGACAATCTTACACAAAACAATCCCAGATCTAACGAATTAGGCAGAAACAATTAAAGATTAATTATTCTCGACCCAATCGAAGCAATTTATTGCGCGCCATATGTCGTTATCGCCTTGCAATTAAATGCAACCTGCACAACAAAGTGCGTGAGTTCACTTGCTGTGCCGCCAACCGAACACGAATCTGGCGTGTCATTGTAACCCCTAATTAGTTGAAACAAAGCAAATCGAGATCGTACAAAACCATCTTCACTGTAGTGAAAAAGTTGATATAGATCAATGGCAAAACATAAATTATGACAAAATTGTGAAAAAAATTAGGTAAGACTAATTTAAAATGAGCTGGCCATAAAGTTCAGTCAGTCGAAACAAAAATAGTCAACAAAAGTTGAAACAAAAAATTAAATTTAAATGGTTTTTAGTGTTTGTTGTAACTGATAAGCAAGGTTTGTTGTAATGTTATGCAAATTTCCAACTTTTCCTTCTGTTATAATTCAAGTTGTGTAAACCGGCTTCGAATCCCTTGAGGCCAGTAATAAATGACTGTGATGTCTTGTCAATCTGCCGCGCAAATTCGCAGCCGCAAAACCATGAATTTTAAACGGATCTTTTGTCACATTCGAGAATGCCTTGCATTAATGTTCCAGCCCTTTTACAGTAGCCTTTCAAAATCGAAAGGCATTTTACCAGCGTAAAAAGATAAAACAGTTTCTTAAACAAACAACTTCCCCAACAGCCGACCGTAGCGACCAGTCGATTGGCCACTCTCAATGACCGTTTCAGGGCCACCTGTCATGTAAAACTAATAATAATATGTAAACCGCAGCTGTGGTGTTATTAATGTTTGCGTATTTAGTCACCTGAAGCGAGTGTCCCCATGTTTTGGGTTACAGATCGAGTAAACGCATCCTACTTATGCACGCACATTTGGACAAATCCCACCCGAGTGCCATAAGCCAACCGCTCTCGAGTCGAGGATAGGGAAGAGGGATTGGTTTCCCGCAATGACTTTTGGCGTAAATAGACACGCCCAATTCGTAAAACATGTATATCCCGGAGTAAATGAGTATCTGGGATCGCGGTGGTGTTACATGTCTCTTCCGACATGACCTTGTTCATATTACTCTACCTGTGGGTAGGGCTAACGTCAACATACGCTCACGTATGTCCACGTTACTGTGAGTGCGATGACAATGTCACCCGAGTCTACTGTTACACCGGTAGCCTTAACACAACACATTTCTACAAGATACTGCAACAGTTGCCCGTCAACATCGTCGAACTTCACATCTCTGCCCCGAGCAACAAATCCAACTTCTTCAAATGGAATGACAACTTGAATCGACTCACAAATCTACGAAAACTGTCTCTGATCAACTGTAACATACCAGCCATCAGTCAGAGACTACGGATACGATCGTTGGTATCACTGAATCTACAACACAACAAGATTGAGACGCTTCAGATGGACTCGTTCAACGGGATTCACAACTTGGAAACTCTCGAGCTGTCGTACAACAAAATCTCGATTCTGCCTTCAGGCTGTTTTGTCTTCTTGAAGAATCTGAAGTCACTGTCAGTATCTCACAATCCCATCAAAGACCTGCCTTCTAACTTTCTTCACGGCCCAAAACAAGTCCAAAAACTTGAACTAGATGGTCTGCAAGTTCCAATCGACCAGTTGAATCAACTTCTGGAGACTCAGCAGAACCTAGAGCGCCTGGAGCTCAACTTCTGTTCGATTGACGACACCAAAGTCTCGAGGCTCTGGCTACACAAAGTACCCAAGATTGTACGCTTCGGGCTCGGAGGTAACAATCTGACTACCATACCAAGCCACAAACTTCGAGATCTACCCCACCTCCAGACAGTAGACCTATCCTACAATAAGATCAGAAAGGTTAATGCTTGTGCCTTCTGCTCTTGCAACATAACCACCATCTACCTAGGACACAACCTCCTTGGTATTGACGATGTCAGCTTGAACGTGGAATCGTTTGCTCATGTCAAAGTTGAAACATTAGATCTTTCGTTTAATTTCTTCGACAACTTTCATTCTGACCTACTAGGTCGAGCACGGTACTCGATAAAATCACTTGACTTGTCTGGAAACACTCTTACCGTACCCAAATCTGCATTTATTGAGAAGCTACCCAACTTAAGAGAACTTCATCTAGCCAGCAACCACCTAGAAGTACTACCTTCAGTATGGCCCATCGAGTACTCGTCGCTTATCTTCCTCAACTTAAGTCACAACTACATCAAGCACGTCCCGTCATCGTTCTCTCACTCTTTTCCCTTCCTCAAAACACTCGACATATCAAACAATGAAATAAAGTAGGTTTAAAACATATTTACATGTTTAATACCTTTTATAAGACAATAAGTATAAAGTTAAACGAACCGTTCTATAATAAAGTTAGATTTTTCTTAAATTAAAAAGTTTTAGCTACCTCGACAGCCACTTGACAACGTTTTTAACAGAGATGACACAGACTATTTACTTGGACAACAACCCATGGGATTGTAGTTGTGCTGACAACGGAATACAAAAGTATTTCAAACTGAGAAGGATAATATCACCAAGAACAGAGTTGACACTGTGTGCTTACCCAGAAGAAGTCAAGAACCTGCCAGTCCACAAAGTCAGCAAAATCAGCGATTGTGCTCTACTCTTTGGAGGATCTTATCAGCTCACACAGGTAACACTTATTTTCTGACCTTTAGAACCTTTTCAAAATAAAAGTTTTCTTATTTCGGAAACCTTCTGCTTCATTTTTTTGTAATTCTTTTGCCACTAAATAATCAAGTTGCAAAAAATATTAATATTAAAGTAGATAGTATATTTTTTTTATTTTAATTTTTCAGTTGAGTGAACTGGGCATTCTTTTGGCTACCGTAGTAGGCCTTGCTACTGTGACCGGCTGCATTCTATTCATCTGCATATCACAAATGCGAAAAAGTTCAAAACTACAAAAATCGCACGCTCCAGAAGCGCGAACACCGTTCGCCATGGACGCCATTACCTTACCTCTCAAAAACCGGTTTAAGGACGAAGAGATGATAGATCTCCCACCTCCGCTCCAACCTCTAACTACATTCCGCCATGTATAACATAATATTTGCTAGACATATAAAATAAATTTAAACTTACTAGACCGAGCGAAAAGTAGTTGTAGAACATATCTGTGCTGTCAGCATCGCCAAACTTTTTGGAATCAGAGCCTTTCTGGATCAGCATCTTCTCATCGGACTTGTAGAAGACTCGTGAAGGAGCTCCAAGTGATGACAAGACGTTCTAAAACACAACTTTAATCAAACTATCACCTAAATACGTATCAGGCATATAAATTTGCAAAATAATTTACCTCTTCAGAGTCTCCAAACATTATCCTTTTCTCGATTTGAGGCAGGTTTGATTGTTTTCTAGTCTCCAGTTTATTATCTAAACAAAAAATACTCAAAACAAGTTAAGATCCCTTACCTTCGCCAGAAATTACAATCTTTACTCCAAGTATTTCATTTCCTTGGTATATTGAAGTGATTCTGTGAGCGAAGATGTTGCCACAATGAATTGAAATCGGGGTTTCCGGCACTCTAAATAAAATATTAACAAACGTTATAAAGTCATTTATAACAAATTAAGAAATACATTCTTTGTTATAGAAAACAAACTTTGACACACCTGATTTCATTAGGCGAGTTTCCTTGGTAAATCTCCATCTTTTCAAGATGAGGCAAAGATGAGAAGTTCAGAGAACTTAGTCCATGAGCATAAGCCGGCTGAACTGTTGAAGGTTCTTTAGCTGGGAAACTAAAAGATACACCTCTCCAATGGAGAAGATATGTCTTATGCTTTTCATCGTACACTCCAGGATGTGTAGCCCCAAAACAATTTTCAACTTTGGACACATCGGCCAGAAGATCAGGAGACGAAAAGGTAGTGTTTCTAAAGAAATAACCAAAATAATTGACAATATACTTACCCATATCTTAATGAGATCTTTCGAAAATCGTATACTTCAATCAACTGAAAACACAAAGAGTTACTTCAGAAATACAAACATATTAACTATATACAAATCACAATGTCACCAAAATTTTTTAAAAACATAGACTTCAATTAAAAATGAAAAACTGCTTTTTACCTTCAATAATTGTGTTTCAGCGTCAAACAGTAGCCTAATGCCATCATCCTTTAGTAACAACGTTATATCTTTTCCAAACGGCTCCTAAAGTCATAATGTTGTCTAAAGTAATATACCTTACCTTATTGCAGTATATCAGCTCCACGTTTTTGATAGCCTTTGAAGCATTTCTTATTGCTGTTAGCACTTGATTGATCGGAGCACCTAACACAAGTTCAACATGTTCATTTTTAAGTGAGTTCTCTGGATTAACCTCAAATTCCAAAACTGACATGCCTAAAACCACATTACTTTAAAATTATTAAGTTTCTGCTAACAATATCGACAAATAACGTTATGAAAATATTGAGAATGTTAAAAATCAATATCATAATGTTAAGTTATGAACTTAAAAAAGCGTTAATTAATGTGAAAAAAATAAAATAACGACAAAATAAAGAGAACAATAATGTAAACTTATATCCAGACAGTTTTAATGTAATTAGATTAGTAGTTTATGATAAAACAATGAAGAAGATGCGCACTTCTTAAGTTAACGTTAATCTATCACCTCAGTTTTGTCGTCTACTTCAGACCTTGTGTTTTATGTCACGTGTTTAACAGATTTCAAGTGAAATATTGTTTTTGTTGATAAAAACCAAAAAAAAATAAAATTGAAATAATTGTAGATACTTTCATATATCGGTTAAGATTAGGTTATGCCAAACGATTGTGACAAACCCAATTCACATGCAATCTTGTTATAAATATTATCTCGGATTTATTGTCTTATGACGAAATGTCACAACCGATTTTCAAATTCTTGTTTTTTTTGCGTGTCCAAGCGCAAGCAAATGGAATTGCGGTTTCGGCTTCGTCTTTCCCAGAAGTTATGTCTTTCTTTCGATCGGTTCTTGTTGTAATACTCGCGATTTCCACGTTTTTCTCAAATTAATTTTATTTTGCAGGCCGGCCGTTAGAAAATGCCAGCCCAAGCTCCGCGGAAAAGAAATCCCACCGTGGACTCGCTACACAAGCTGAAGAGCTTACACCGACGTTCTTCGTTAGATGTTTCACACTCGGAACTGGTGAGCTTGTAATCTTGGTTTAGCGTTAAGTTTTAAGCCGTAAAAAGCTCAAAAGCAACTTTAATATTTTTATTGTTTGTATGGCCAATTATAATATTTTTTGAAGGTTCAAGAAGAATGTAAAGTGTTCGAACTGAGTGATGAAACTCTGAGAACCCTTATGGACTTGATGGACCAGAGTTTTGATGAGGGACTTCACCCAGACACAGGTATTTACTCTTGATTATGTTATTGTCAATTTAGCTGCTACTGCTGCCGTGAAAATGTTACCTTCGTTTGTGAGAGCTGTTCCAAATGGCACAGAATCCGGTGATTTCTTGGCTTTGGATTTGGGAGGTACCAACTTCAGAGTTTTGTTGATTAGACTGGAGGGAAACACGTCTCAAATGACCAGTAAGATCTTCCGTGTCCCAGATCATATTATGAAGGGCACAGGAGAAGGTGTAAGTTGCTTTACTGCATGATGCAATACTTTTTTACTTTTATTGTGTGTGAAGGTTTAAAATGTTTTTTAGTTTTAGGATTTAAAGATACTTTTTACAAAGCTTGGTTAATGTAGGGGTGAGAAAAGGGCCGGGCCCACTTTTCAGGCCCGGCCCGTTTTAAAAAATTTTAAAACTTAAAAAATAAACGGAAATTTGGCTTTGCATTGTTTTTTCAGATCATTTATGGATCATAGTACCCAATAAAATCAAAAAACATCAACGGGGATTAAAATAAAAAACATTTTTTCGGGCCCGGGCCCATTTTTTAAGCCCGGCTTGTTTCAATTTTAGCTCAAGGCCGGCCCGATCGTAGGGCCCGGCCGGGCCGGGCCTAGACGGCCCGTTTCTCACTCCTATTTAATGATGGTTTGTAACATAATGTCAACTTATTGATTTATTTTATTACAGTTGTTTGATCACATTGCTGACTGTTTGGCTCGATTTATGGAAGAACACAACTTGAAAGATGCTGTTAAACTGCCTCTGGGCTTTACCTTTTCCTTTCCTTGTAGTCAAGAAGGTCTGACTTGCGCCAAATTGGTTACCTGGACCAAAGGTTTTAAGGCTTCTGGAGTTATTGGTCAAGATGTTGTTCAAATGCTGAGGGAAGCTTGCATTCGTCGTGGGGTACGTTTGATAATTTAGGTATTAGTTAATGATGTAATTATTGCAGTTCACTTTAATTTAATTAGTAATGTAATAATTAGATGTGAACATACCTTTGACATTTTATAATTATATCTGATATATGATAATTTTATTATTCAGGACATAGACATTGACGTGGTAGCTGTTTTGAATGACACTACAGGTACTATGATGGCTTGTGCTTTCAAGGAGAACACTTGTAATGTCGGAGTTATCTGTGGAACAGGTTCGAATGCTTGTTACATGGAGAAGATCTCTAAAATCAAGAAGTTGAATGGCGCCATTAACCCTGAAGCTGATGGTCTTCCAGATGAGGTTAGTTTGTGTTTGATTGTATTGTTTTATGATTTAATTTATAAATAAGGATTAGTTAATTATGTAAATATAAAAATGAGTTGTTTGCTCTATATAATAATATAAAGTTGGTTGTACTTTAATCATGGCTAACTTTGTTTGTTCAGATGTGTGTCAACACAGAATGGGGTGGATTCGGCGACGATGGAAAGATGGATTTCATTCGTACAAAGTACGATAAGTGCCTGGATGATAAGACCATCAACCCAGGCAAGCAACTGTACGAGAAGATGATCTCGGGAATGTACCTTGGAGAACTGGTGCGAGAAGTCTTGGAGAGTTTGGCCAAGGAAGGACATCTCTTTAATGGAGACTCCGATGCCATTGCCGTCAAAGGCTCCTTCCCCACTAAGTACGTATCTGAAGTGGAGGCAGAAACCCAGTCAGACGAGGAATGTCAGTTTGTCAAGACACAGAACATTCTCGAGGAAATCGGGATCGCCAACGTGACACCAACAGACTGTGCCAATGTGGCGTACGTGTGCTCAGTAGTATCCTCCAGAGCTGCTCACATCTGTGCTGTTGGTATTGCCACTATCTTGAGAAGAATGAAGAAGTCGTATGTTACAGTAGGCGTGGACGGTTCCGTCTACCGTTTCCACCCGACTTTCCCTGACCTTTTGGACAAGAAAATCGAGGAGATTCTGAATGATGACACTCTAGACGTAAGTTGACGAATTTTTTACTCTAAATCTCATTCAGTACCAGCTCATGTTGTCTGAGGACGGAAGCGGTCGTGGAGCCGCGTTGGTGGCCGCTGTCGCTACCAGAATGGCTCTAGAAGCTGCCAAGAGAACTAACTAGCCGCATTTATTATTGGGATTGGACGCCGTGCCATGGATGTAGATTATACGAGTAAATATTACCTAGGATTATATTGTACTAACAGTGTAGATAGATTTTTACCGATTACTTGTGATAAAGGTTCAAATAGAACTTAGTTTAATTATATTAATAACATGCAGTAAATAAATGCGTAGAAGATATGAACATTATGGATACCAGTTGTTGCTCGTCCGTCAGTCCCCAGTGGAGTGGGATACTGAAGTGACACCCGAATCAGTTTGCGAAATTCCGTTGCCAATGCCCGGGTTCTCTTCGAACGGTGCGAACAAGTACAGGGGAACGGTACGGTAAAGCACGTCTCTCGCATCTTGACGACCCATCTCGTCCAGGATCGAGCACAGTCGACCAATCGACGCCACTTCAGGACACTGTAGCGCCCATTCGGCCAGAAGTTGATCCGTCCGTGACAGACTCTGACCAGTCGAATCAACTTCAGGCAATTGGTCAGTTAGATTCAGTTTGACAGCCAAAATCGACCAGTCCCGTCCCATATTGTCAGGTGGGTCAAGAAGCGAAGCCAGTTCGCACCGTGCATTCAGTTGTAGCTGTGATACCGAAACGTCGATACCCAACGTGAGCACAGCAGCCACGTCCCTCGATCCGAAGCAGACCACATTGGTGAAGAGTTCTTCTTCTCCATCAGTGTTCACGATGCTTAGGGATTCTCTCTGCTGCATCGCCATGATCTCTTCTGGAGGGAAGGAAGCCGGACTCGGCCGATGAGCTGCCAGATGTTTAGGTGACAAGAAGTGTCTTTCTAGAGATATTCCGGGTGCCACTTCGCTAGCTGTCTGTTCTACGAGGTTAGCCAGGTCCTCCATAAAGTACACACAAGCAGGCACGTTCTCTTTGGGACCTCTGACTTGAATCTCTACAGCATCCCCATGTAGCCTCACGAGTGCCTCCATCGATCCGCTACAGATCTTGCTGCAGCCACTCCATTGTTGAAGGTCGGCGTCGATTGGGTCCTGGAAGTCATTCATGCTCCGCCTCATGGCTACTTGAATTCGGGAAAACGTGCTTTGTAACGACCGTTCCATGCCTCTCATCGGAACGACACGTAGCCCACCGTACACGTAGTTATGTCGATTATTTGGCCACACATCCTTGGGCGGGTCGCTCAAGATGAAAGCGGGGAACTCGTATGTCTTCTGCTCTCCCGTCTCTATCGCAACGCACAGCTGAAAACGGATATTAATAACAAGATAAAACTGTAATCGGCTTATCAGAAAAGTGATATTATGAAATGATAAGATTCCCAAAGCGACTACCTGCAAAGTGTCTAACATGTGGAGCAGTTGAGCGGTCTCTTTGATCTCCGGGAAGATGGAGGCGAACTGAGCCACCGTGTAGCAGCCATCAGGCCTGGCTTGGGACAAGAATTGGGCCGAAAGAAGAGTGCCGAGGATGTGAGAGCCTAGCCATTCTGGCACCAAGACAACATAGTCCAGTTCGGAGGACTCGTCTCTCAGGTACACGACCTCTCCCACCAACTGAAGCTGTTGAATCAGCTGACGACAGTGGGAGTCAGAAGCCAGGGGATTCACTTCTTCTCGTATCACATTGGTGAAGGTGAGCCATGTTATCACAGGGAATGTGGTATATCTTTGTCGTAGCACGCCGAGGAAGGCGACGCAGTCGTCCAATAATGTCAAGGGCCGTTGCAGGCGCTGAAATTAGTTTTTAAAACAATATTATTATGTAATGGCAGTTTCAATTTCTAATTTTAAACGTTATATTTGATAAAACATGTAAGTAAAGATAAAATATACTGTTATATCACGAAACCTACTTCGACGATCGAATTCCTGGCATTATGGAAATAACTCCTGAGGGACCTGAGGCCGTTACACTTGGAATTGGCGGCGTCAAGTAGAATTAGCTTCTCATGAATATCAAAATGAGTCTCGAACCTCAGTCGTATCGTGTTCATCATGGCATCAGCATCCGAACTTATGAATTCTCCATCTGAATTCTTCTCCGGATACTGTTGTACAGTAGCGTGTGTACCTACTACAACCACCTTAGACCTCCGAGACACAACTCCACAATGTCCTATAGGCTCGGAAGGAGTCACTCTTCCTTTGAGAAAGTTCATCCAATACAGTACCTCCTTGTACTGTACTTCTGTTGGATCAGACCCGTTGATGACAACCACATGTATACAGTCCGTGTTCCCCACAAAATGATCGTATATGATGTGGTAGCTCTCGTAGCCTCCAAACTCCCACACCGAGTACTCCCCACAGTTGGGGAAGTTAACATTGAACACGTCGATACCTCGGGTGTAATTGGGGTGAGTGGGACGCTTGAAGGCCGTCGTTCCATCCACCGTTCTGTCGTTGAAGAAGGCATCGTGACAGGATACAGAGCTGGAAGAACAGCTGTGAATCCCTTCATCGGATACCCTCTTCTCCTTTCCGTTGTGGGTAACGCCAAGGTTGTCAGAGAACCGTCGTGAGACGGCCGTGATAAAGGAGTCGATGACACCTTGCTGTAGGGCTTCAATCAATCGTGACTTGCCGACTTCTGAATGTCCAAACAGCTTCAACTTGATCCTCCTTAAGCACGTGTTCATGGGACACAGCTGTTGGATGCACTTCTCGCGCACTTGATCCTGTATTTAAGATAACATTACTATCTACATGAGTAAGGTGACTTACAGATGAGACTTTGTTCAGAAGATTGTGCACGGTGTCGTGATTCTTGGTCATCGCCAGCTCAGAAGCCGTCTGATTCTCATCGTCTTTGATGGTGACATCAGCATTCGAGAGACTCAGACATCTCACTACCTCAATATGACCTTCTCGAGCCGCTTCGTGAAGTGGTGTAGCGTGTCGTTTGTTGACGACATCTACCGCTGCTCCAATATGACACAGCGTCTGGACGGCGGCAATCAAGCCAAGTCGGCTACTGATGTGAAGCGGGGTATCTCCTAACTAAAATGGCATTAGTAATTAGAGATAGCATGAAAGAAGAGAATTCAATAACAATATGTAAATGTATCCATCATACTAAATGCAGATAGAGTAGTATGATGTACCCACCTGATCTACCAAGTCAAAGCTACATCCTTTTGTAATCAGATACAGAGCAATGTCAAGATGTGACCTCCTCAACGCCAAGTGTAGAGCTGTTTGTCCAGTCTGGTCCTGAGCGTCGATAGGTGCTCCACTCTCCAGTAGACTCTGGACACATTCCATGTGGCCACGTGTGGCTGCACAGTGCAGTGCGGTTTCGTCATCCTGAAGTAATCGAAATGAAATGGCACTCAATAATATTTAAAGGCTTTCTATACTACTGTTACAATTACTATATTGTAGTAGGTATACGTTTTACAAAACTTTTGTCTAACAACCGGGTATTGTCGTTGCTGCCACATTCACACCTACCGTGCAACACCCATCGGGATAATACTTTCCCTCCGGATGGACTAGGCCAGCCTCGAAAGCGCTGTTCACCAGCTGAATAAACACAGAAGTCGAGGGATACGATACAGCACACGGCGCTGGCTTTCTGGAAGTGGCTGGAGCACTAGAACTCAGCATAACATTGTAGTCGGTCTCGTTGAAGTCGGCTTCTGTGAACTTGCCGTCTGGAACGGTCTTACGTTCTTCGGCTGCTTCTGGCACGTTATTTGCTTCATCGTACCCGGGACGTGCTGTGTGAACGTATCGTTCCGGCGGTTGCCAAGCCTCCGTCCTAAAAGGATTGTTGTTGGACAATCCTAATAGCACATCGCTAGGCTTATATTTAGTCTCCAATTGCCACAACGAAGGCACATGAGGGCCAGTTAAGGAGTGGTCTCGCAAGTCCAAGGTTGAGGCTTCAAATGGCAAAATGGGGCCTTTGGTCTTCTGATTGAAGCCATTATATTGAGGATGGAAAGGATTAGTCCTCGAGTCGCCAGCCTCTTCCTCTGACATTCCTTTACTCAAGGATCGTGTCACCGAATGGACTAGACTGCCAAAGTCAATCCGAGCCACCTTTTTGGGATCGGACAAGATATTGTGAACGATGTTACGAGGCTGATCACCACGCGAAGACGAGGGTTCTTCTGAAGATGGAGTGAATACGGCTTCTGGGAACGATGAGTCATCTAATTGGTCGTCCAGACTGACGTACTCCACATCCTCTTCGGGTTCGGGCGTTTTGGAGTCCAGGTTCTCAGCTTAATCCAGAGATATTACTCCTCAAGTCCGCCACGCTACGTTACGAAATGCGTCTGGAGTCAGCACGATAGTTCACGCCCACCCCTCCCCTCCTCTCGACGACATTACAAGAGCATTTAAAACTACATCGCGCAAGGATGGTAAGTAATCTGACCATGAACGTATAAGGCACGCCGCCCCACCCGAGCGTGTCGCTCCGAGTGTGCATTGAAGCAGGTGTGCTATTTTTCTGTTACCTCGCCCTTTACTTTCCTCTCCATAATTCCCCTCACCATGGAGACCAAAAGAGAGTCATTTGCCTGGAGCCGTCTAATTTCTGGTCCAATCGCGAGTAGCCCCCTCGCCTGCCCCGATATCCCCCCTTCGGCTTTATGCATTCAGAATCCCCGAGTCTCCGGAGAGCACTAACTCAATATCTCGTGTCACATCCACAACCTACCTGATTCGTGACGTCCACTCGGGCGTTAAACCGGCACAAGATGCTCAATAGAAGCCCGTACCCATACCAACTGGCCACGTGAATAGCTGATTCACCGTGCTGAAAGTACAATAGTTAGGCAAACATATCATGGTAAACATACTCATGATGACGAAACGATTAAAAAGTCTTTCAAAAACATAACCATAGTCAATAATACGTCTAACTTAACATACTTCGTCCTGAATATCAACATCAGCACCGTTCTCTAAGAGGGCAAGACATGACTCCACCTGTGCGTAACGAGTGGCAGCGTGAAGAGCTGTTTCTCCGTTCTAAAGCCAAAGTAATCCATTACAATAATATATTAATCCATACAGTATAAAGCACAAACAAATATCAAAGTTGTTTGCTCAAGTACTTATAATAATGGTCAACCCCCCCCTTATTTCTTCCTCTTGTAATTCAATAAATCAATAGTGGCATTCCGTCACTTTGCAAAGCCTTACCAAATTGACTTTGTTGACTTCGATGAACTTGTTTCTGGGACAAGTTAGGTACCTGACTAGGTGAGCATGACCGTTTCGTGCTGCTGCGAACAGTGGAGTTTCACCTCGAGAGTCTACAACATCAACTGGACATCCACGACGTTGGAGATAGATCAACAACTTCTCGGATCCAGTGGCCACACAAACATGGACTGACGTCTCTCCTAGCTGCAAAAGGAACATATACATATAAAAGGTAATACAAAACAGCTTATTAACAGTATTTTTAAAAAGATATTAACTGTAACTTTTGACTTTTGATCTACTTCAATATCAGAGCTTCTATTACTTATCGGTGTCATTTATTCTTGACTAATAACTCGATGGATAACGATTATTAGATAATCATGACCCATATTGTCTATAATGACTTTACACTCCCCTACAATCGACTTACCGAGTTGGCAACGTTAAGACTGAACCTGTAGAGACTTCCCAACTGTTCCAGAGCTCCAATGTTACCTTCTGAACAGGCGACGAGGATGGAGCTGGTCAGTATGTCATCCTTATACAAGGTGTAATGAGTAATGTTATACTTACCGTATCGTATTTGGAGTCTCCTGGAGAGATCTGCTTCAGAAGCACTCGTTCTCGTTCAGTTTGTGTTATCCTTACACACAATCGCACGATCTCAATCGCTTTCTGTAATATTCTTATGCTAATATGCCTTGTTTTACTAATATTTGCTTTAACTCTCATTTGTTGTCTTTTATAAAACTTTTGGCATCTTACCTTTCAAATTCTGGCAAAATTTAGGATATTGTTATAGGCAATATCAATATAATCAGACAAATACAATTGTTACCTATATTATGCACGATTTTATGTGTTTTATACGACATTATTAATGCCCGTATTATTACAGAAACCGGGAGTAATATGGTTTGTAAAGTAACTGCGAGAAGAACCGGTTTCGAATCCCATAACATATTACTCACCCTCCACTTCTGCTTTACTTTGAAAGAGTGAATGTGGGATACACTGATGATGGATGACCGCCTGATGTCCTCGATACCGTTGTCGGGCTACAAATGGTTATGTAATTATGTGTTAAACAGTTATTGTAGGTAAAGGTCATAGGAAGAAAGTCACAACTTATAGTTTAAAAGCATAATCTTACTGATAAGAATTGTTTCAAATAGAGTGTACCTCGGCTTAGAATGTAAAAAGTAGTGTGAAAGCAACAATATTGTTTTCAAAACCGTAAGACTTCGTATGATACGTTTAAAACTAAGTTAAAATATGACTTTTTTTCATTTTATGTACACTAGAGTAATGTAACTCAAAGATAAAGTACTATAAACATTATCTTACCCCTCTGATCCAAGGATGTCGCAGACATTCATCGACTGTCGCTCTCTTTCGTATGTCACGCACGAACAGTCGGCTGATGAAGTCTTTGGCATGAGGTGACACTTTTCCAAAATACTGAGTAGAAAAGTGGTATTTGACAGCCGTGATGTTACAAAAGGTCTCATCTCTGCTGGCACCAAGGAAGGGAGAACCTCCACTCAACCTACAACAAGATAAAACATAATTATGGAGACAATACGATGTAAATGAAGGCATACCAACATATTATTAAGCGTAACACTATAATACATTTGAAAAAGCCTACAAATGAAAGGTTGTAGTCTATGAGATTTTATATATTACATACATTTTCTATACTATTCCAAAGTAAAATGATTACTTACAATATATAGGTAACGACTCCGAGAGCCCACATGTCAGTTGCTGGTGCCAATGGTTCATAGTTCACGACCTCCGGTGCTGAAAAGATCATTTTAAAAATAAATTTTAAAAATTTAAGCCCATTTTAAAATTGGTACTTACCCACAAACTCGGGAGTACCAATCATGTCCTTGACTTGTTCGCCCGGTCGAATGATCCTTGACAGACCAAAGTCGATCAGTTTGATCTGGGGCTCGTTCCTCCTTCTTAACATTATATTCTCTGGCTCAAAGATGGTAATGTTAATATAGTGATATATTTATATATAATAATATAAAAGTAATAGTTATATAAAACCTTTTTATGACATTGCATGCTCATATTACCTTGATATCCATATGTACAACATGTTTCGAATGTAGATGTTTAATGCCGAAAAGAATCTGTTTGATGAATGCCGCTGCTTCAACCTCGTCAAGGTACTCGTTAGCACATACGTGATCAAAGAGCTCGCCGCCAGATACTCTAAACAGCATTATTAGTAATTTAATAATAATATTGTGTAACAATGTTGTTATAAAGGTACAATTTTGTACAAAAAATGCAAAAGTTTAAGTTGGAGTACCTGTAAATTTCAAAAACATAACGACTTACAACTCGAGGATGAGCACAATGTCAGTCAGAGTCTCGTAGACCTCGTGCAACTCGATGACATTCGGATGTCCAGCGATCTTCTGAAGCACCCTGACTTCTCGTTCGATGTGCTCTCGAGGCACTCCTCTTCTGGAGGTGGTGTAGCGTCGCTTCTTGATGAACTTGGCTGCGTAGGGGGTACCCGTTGATCGTTTGATTACCCGTCGTACTTGAGCGAACTGGCCACTGCCCAGCTCCTCGCAGAACTCGTAGTTCTGCTCCAGTGGAGTGTCTATGAACTTGAGGGGAGGTCGGCCGTCATCTGGTGTCGCGCCTGTCGCTGACACAACATCGGCTGCCATACGGACTCGGACCGGGCATTAACCGACTGTCCCAAGGCTCTAAAACGACTGAAATTCCATAAAATCAACTATTTTACAGTAGAAAAATATAGAAATCAGAAAGAAATTACGGTAAAAAAGAACAGTTTTATAGTTATCTTATTGATAACAACATTATAGGTATAAAAAACAATAAAAGTATCAAAATGGAGCAAAAAAGAAACAAAAACGTGTCGCCCTCTCCCTTGATTTAAACAAGGTAATGGAGACAAGGGTAATGTAGACGTCGTATCAGTAATCGATAACATCTATATTATATGAATTTTGATTGAAATTCGTTTTTTACTTTTGCGCAGAAAATTGTGAAAAATGGAGAAAAATGGAAGTGGGGGGCTGTCGTCATCACAACGGCGCTGGAGAAAAAAAACGAAGCGCGATCCTAAGTCAAGATCCTCGAACAAACTTGTAGATTTCAAAAAAGGTTCGACGATCCGTTCCTGGCCATCAGAAGCGATCGGAAGCCTCGGTTCGAAAAGCCCTTTAAGTGTGTGTCTCTCTCCTTCTCTGCCTATCTCTTTGTTTAGTAGTTGTGGTAGTTGCAGTATAACGCATCGATTGATTTTTGGAGCGACCCATCACAAGAAAAGGTTGACGAGCTATTGTTTGCACACCGCCCGGGGGGGGAGGGAGGGGAGGGGGGGGGGAGCGTGACGACAGGACTAGAGAAAGGAATAAAACACCCCAGGGGTTCACGCACTTCATACCAAACTCAGATTCGAACAAACTTGGAATCCAGGTTAGCCAGGTTGCTCCATGCCTCAGGGATTTCCCGCTCTTTTTTGCTTTTCGAGTAATTCTTTAAAGAGAGGGGGGGGAGGAGTAATGTGAAGTAAATGAGAGCGCCCATTAAGGTTGACCCTTAAATAGTACCCAGACCTGGGAAAGAGGATGAACCGCTTTAGATAACGAATGTTCTGTCTCGGAACTTGGACTGAACCCTCAGGGGAAGGCTAATGCTGAGATTGGCATAATGCATTTCGAATTCGAGAGACTTATGGACCTGTCACATACACATTACTTGGCCCTCAAGTGGTTGTCACCGTAACCGCCCTTTCAATAAAACAAGTGCTTGTCAATAAGTGTTCGGAAAACAATATTTATTTAAAAAGGTCGAAATTTGAATATTATAAATGCAAAAAATGACAAGTAGCTCCTTAAACAACATTTTCAAAATGAATATTAAAACCTAAACCAAGTTCTTAAACCTACAGCACTTTTCGTTATCTAAACAAATAGAAGAGTTATCAAAAAGGCAGTTATTAATCTACATATTGACAAGACAGGACATATAAATATGACAAACACAACCTCTACAACACCAACACCCATAAGGTGCATATCAGGAGAAGACAATAGACAAGTGTTATATCCGTCGAACACGACTCGGACTGTCTCTAGGTTTGCGATGATCGCGAGACAGTTAGAACATGAAGATGGTGTTGGTGTGGTTGTTCTTACCTCTGGTGTCATGTTTGGATCTCTCGGATTGGCCTGTCACAACATACGACGATGACATCTCCAACTTTACAGAGTAATCTCTTTTACATTGTTTTTGATTAGTCATCATATCACATTTTACTTGTAGTTCTACTGTAGTTACCGTAGTAAAAACTATTTATGGTCAAAACTTTGTCTTTAAAATCTTAAAATGTTATACAAAAGATTATTGTGTTTTTAGTTACCGTGTGTTTCGAATAACCCCAAGCAAAGCGGACGTCCTCTCCTTCCTCAGGACCTTATACTGGGGTCTTCCTCACACCACACTAGACTTCTGGCAGCCTCCAACTTCTCTTAATCATACTGTAGATGTGGCTGTAGCCCCTGCCGTGTCACAAAGATTCTTCAATGAATTGTACTACAGACAGATACCGTACCAAATACTCATCCCTAACCTTCAACAGTAAGTGATACATACTGAAACTGCTGAGTATCACCTCCAGCCTCTAAAACTTGTAACTATGTCAATGTAATCTATTTCTAGAGCAATAGATGAAGAACGAACGATCCAGAACGTCCAGATGGACGCCCACCACATCCATTTCGACCGGTATAATACTTTCGAACAGATCGAGTCTTACCTATTCGATATCCACCAGAAGTACCCTCACTTGGTCAAGCTACGGGAAATCGGAAAAAGCTATGAGAACAGAACGTTGTGGGTAGTCCAGGTAAGTCAGCAATACTGCGACAAATTCTTGTAGCTAGGAAAGCCGAGAACCGAAAAGAAGGCCAAACTCTGGATCGACGCTGGAATCCACGCTCGGGAGTGGATATCACCAGCTGTGGCCTTAGCCTTCATCAACAAACTGCTGACAGGCTACGGTAAGGACGAAGAGATCACAGAGCTAATGGACTACATGGACTGGCTAGTGTTGCCGGTCATGAATCCAGATGGATACGTTCACACTTTCGCTAAAGTAAGCATGTTATTAGTCATCGTTATGTGACAGAGTGAAAAGACTATGTATACCAATATTAAAGGAAATGTAAAAACAAATACTGTCGCTACAAGCCTTTTTAATACCATAGAAAGCGTAATGTTACAGAACCGAATGTGGAGGAAGAACAGAAGACCGTCATCGTGCTACAAGACCACGATGTCCACAATGTGTTGTGTTGGAGTTGACTTGAACAGAAACTTCAACTGGTTTTGGGCAAGTAAGTCAATAGACTCGGCCAAACTATATTTACTGAAAAGAGTGCTTAATGGCACCCACATAGCGTCGTGCAACAAACAATTGCTGTTTCAAAACAACTGTAACTAACCCTAACATATGCCTATTGTATAACAAACTGTCATTATTTTAGCTACGGGCTCTAGTACTGACCCATGTCACGATACCTATCACGGAACAGGCCCCTTTAGTGAATCAGAATCTCGATCCGTCAAAGAATTCCTAGAGAAGACAAAGGTCGATGGGTTTATGTCATTTCACAGTTACTCTCAACTCTGGCTCATACCTTATGGCCACAAGAAGCGAACATACCCTGAGGACTACTCTACCGTACTCAAACCTCTCGCACTACAAGCTACTAATGCTCTGGGCAAACTGTACGGTACCAAATACATTGCTGGTACTGGTGCTGATCTCATGTGTAAGTCAATAACAATATGTTATTTTTAGAATTTCATGTTACATTTAGGAAAAACATTCCTATTACTACACTTACTACATTACATATCTTCGCAAAATTGAAGTCGTTTCGCGAATATTAAAATAAGTTACAGTAGTTAAGTACCTTTCAGACGAAGCTTCAGGAGCATCTCACGACTTTGCCAAAGGCAATCTGCAAATAAAATACGCGTATCTGGTAGAGCTACGCCCTCAGAATACTATGTTCGCCAATGGATTTCTACTGCCAGAGAGAGAAATCGTGCCAACGTGCGAAGAGACATGGGAAGCTGTAAAGGTTGTTGCTCACGCTATTATAAATGACAGCCAAGAAGGTCAGTTAACAATGAACTTTGAAATATTTAAAGAAAATGCCCTTGCATAAAAAATATTTTAGGTATTACCACTCAAATACGACAGACCATCACCCCCGCCCCCTACACAGAACAAACTCAAGTAACCTTCACAACCAACGGACTCATAATATCCACCAAGGAGGTCACAACCGAGCCCACAGTAATGCCCAACAGGATCGTGCAATGCGTGGACCACAGCCGGTACTGTAAGTGGTGGAAGGTACACCACTTGTGTCACAAAGAACGGGTCAAAAAACAATGTCCATTGAGCTGTCTGGCTGAGTGCAAGATTTAATTTAACTAATAAAACATAAATTGAAGAAACTTAAAAAATATATACAAGATATCGTCGTCACGATATTCTTGAGGTATGTATTTTCATTTGAACGTCAAACAAGGCATCGCGAACCATTTTTTGGAACTTGTAGTACTCTAGCTTACTGTAGTCGCCTATTTCTTTTAAGGGGTGTATTAAGGAGTTGCCTAAAGATATTTTATTACTCTATTTTTATATTATTAGCGTACTTTTTATTTTAAACCATTTTTCTTTGAAAACGACTCAATTTTACTAAAAAGTACCTATGTTAATTAGTCTGGTACTTACAAAATGCTGTATATTCATCCATCAAACCATCATCCCTTTCTATCTTGGATGAACTTGGAGTCATAACAGGAGGAACTTTATTTTTAACTTCAGGTGTTGATGTGGTGGGTCGGGGGACAGTAGATGTAGATGGTTTAACTACAACTTTCTCTAATTTCATTCGCTTTTTGGGCCGTTCTATTGGTTCTACTGATAACTCGAGTAATCTGTTACTATTGTCTGATATATTCGACTTGCAGTTTTCTTGGTTTTTGGCTTCAATGCCATGCTCTTTCCGCGCGAAAGCAATCTCCTCCATAATATTAAAACACTCCAGATCTTCGTTGTCGATGAAGGCTAGACATCGGAAGAACTTCCATTTGGGAATCAGGAGATTTCCCTGCTCATCAGTGGTCACCTTCTTCTTCAGTTTGATGTACGTATCCTAAACGACTTGTATTTAACGCTCAAACCCTACCTTTAAGTTCTTCCATTGTCGTTCCACATCAGCCGCCTTCAATCCGTTTTCCTGATTTCCGATCTTAAAAGCAATCTCACTGTAGGCACGTCTTCTTTGTAGCATCGTGATGCGCTCCGTATTCCCCGGGTCCCATAATATAGGCTGTTTGTAGACCTCTTCGATTATGCACAGCCTGATATCGTCATTGTAATGGGCAGAACGGCTTTTTTTCACTGGCCCAAACAGTTGACTCAAGCCGTTACCAGAATCTAGCTCGGTTATGCCGTCCCCAACATACCCACTATGCTCGGACATCAGAATCTCGCAAACTCAAGCCAGCTCGGTCAGAAACTAATCAATCGCGGCGATGTCGCGTGGGTTTTGTTTCGTAGCGAAAGAATTTTCGCTTGCAACGGAATGCCAACACGGAAAAGGCGAAAAAAGAAAAGCGTTTTACAAAGCTTTGGAAACCTTGTTTTATCTTCTCCTCCCGCCATTTTACGGGTTATTTTAAGCACCGAGGATGAACTACAATCCTAACTTTGAGCAAATTGGAAATGCCTTGATTCAGATCTACTACAGCAAATTTGACGTTGGAGATGGGGCTACAAGAGCCGCAGGACTGCAAGATTTATATGATCCGGAAGGTTCCATCATGACTTTCGAAGGAACTCAAGTCCGAGGACGACAAGCAATTCTTGAAAAATTTAGTGTAAGTTGTTGTATATTTATATTTTTAGATTTTTTGTTATTTTTTCACTTTTTTAATCAAAAATGTTGTTTTAGTCACTACCATTCAACAATATCCAGCGAGCAGTAACAAAAGTCGACTGTCAACCTCTAGCTGATGGATCTGTGGCTATTTCTGTATTTGGACAGCTAAAAGTAAGTCTTGTTGCTTATTTTTCATTGTTTTTAGATCGAGATGTTGATGTTGTTATTGCTTTCAGACTGACGAAGATCCTGTGAATTCTTTTACCCAATTCTTTGTTCTCAAACCTAACGGCGAATCTTTCTTTATTGCCAACGAAATCTTCCGACTGGTACTTCACGACATGTAAACCAACAATACCTGTTATCTTATTAAATTGTTTTATTTTTTAAAAATAGCATAAACTTCGAACTTGTGATAGGTGCTTTGTACGAACAACTTTGATTGTTTAATATCTGTAGTGTGTTTAAATTTTTCATGCTTGTTTGTTATTTAATGGTTTAGATGAAGTCGACCAAACAGGCTACTCGAGGTCAAGAGTTGATACACTTAGAAAACCAGGAGACTTTGTTGTACTACTCATTGGCTTCGGTGATAACAGCTCTTGCTAGTGCTTTAGTTTATTATTTTGTTTACGAATCGTCTTGGAAGATATGGGTAGGTTATATTTTGTGAGGTATTATCTTATACGGTCTTTGTATTAATTATTATATTGTGGTATGTTCTATCATACCCTTGCGTACACGCTTTTTAATAGTAACATTTTTTTAGACTGGCATCTGTCTATCTATTGTTGGTCAGTTTGCCGCGATATTGTTTATGAGGAGTGGTGTACGTTGTATCAAGGGTCCGCGAGGTCAAATTATAGATGCTGGTGTTGATTTAAACGATCCAAATGCTCTTGGAGAGTAAGTTTATACTATTTTAAATAAGTTATATTTTTTGAAAACTTTTTAAACTAATTTTCATGTTTTTAAACTCATGTTAATTTATTCTAATTGTAGGTATTGTAAGGATATAGTTATATTGACGGTGATCTGCCAAGCGCTTAGCTTGATCACGTCTTACTTCTTGCTGCTGTTGTTGTCCTTCCCTATCTACGGGGCATACAAGTTGTGGGTACTAGTGATTGCTCCATGGATCTTTGCCGAGCCTCCAGAAGAAGATCCGATGGATGATAAACGGAATCGCAGAAGACAGAACAAACAAGTAGTGTACCGTCGTTAACTTATGCTAGCATTAGCTCAGTTTAATAACTTTATTAAATCCCAACGTTTATTTCACACTAGGCAACAAAAGGCGAGTGTATCTCGATATGAAACAAAAATATTGAGTAACGGAAATGTGAATTATAATATGTATTTAAAACAGAACCTGTAGGTTTGGAAGAGAGCTCAAGCGTTCGGTGCCCTGTCGTATGTGAGCAGGTAAAACAAAACATAGATAAGACACACGTTGAAGGCCACAAGTATGAGAATGCCTTTGTTTGCATGGATCCAGTTCTGAAAGTGAAGTGATTAGAGTTGTTCTCGAGTGTTTTAGAAACTGATATTAGAAGAAAATGAAGAAAAAGAGGTACCCGGAGAGCTGGATGATAGAGGTATCGAAGGGGGTTGGCGCGTAGCAGTTCTTCTTCTTCCTGAATCCGCTGCGCCTCCTGACGCCGTTGAGAAGCGAGCCGGGCGGCGTCTTCTCGGCGCAAGCAGAGACCGTGCTGAGCTAATTCGTCCAAATTAGGCAGTGATCCTCTCTCGTCGACTTCAGCGGTGGTCTCGGGTTTGTACAGAGAGTTGGTGGGTTTGGCGGCGTTGTTGCGGTCGCGGGCCGACGCCAACGTCGAGCGTCGGTTTAGTTGCTACAGAAAAAGCGGTTAAAAAGTGGCAGGCGGGTTATGAAAGGAAAAGTAAAACTAAAACATGAAAATGGCAAAAACTCACCACTCCATCAGCCAGCACCTCGGACTGCCGTGTCAAGGACGGTCGATTTCTTCTGAGTTGCGGGCCGCCGGAAGAATTGGACCGGTTCATTGCGTACTGATCGTAGTGGTCGTCGCTGATCGACATTGTGGAACAATGTTCTGTGTTGGCACGACCTTTCCGCAGCCTCGGCACGGGCTCGGAAATAATGTGGTTTTCTTCGATGGGATGCGAAGTTTGGGAATTGTAACCAACGTGATTACCTAGCTGTTCCAGCTCGGGGATCACGTTGGGCACGTCGTGTATGTTGTTGGGGATATGTGAGATGTCGTTAGGATGTGAAGACGGGGTAGGGTAGGCTGGATTGGTTTGGTTCTGTGATATAGGTGTGCTGTTTTCCTGTTCCTTGTAGTTCACAGGGAAGTCGTGAGCTTGTTCTTGAGGTTGTAACACCTGGTGTTGTTCATAAGCAGCGGCATGAGGCTGGAAGTGTTGAGGACGCAAGTTGTGGGTTTGATTAGCGTCTTTCGCTTCTTGTTGATAGTAATATTGGGAGTTGTTCATGCCAGAATAGCCCGGTTGTTGGGCGTCTGGTTGCAGGTATTGTTGTGGGTGTTGGTGTTCGTAGGCTTGTTGATGGGCGCTTCCTGTTGATTCAAAAGAAACATGATTCTGATACACCGGATCGCCTATACGTCGTCTAGCTTGTCGTAGGTGTTCTATACCAGGCTGCCTGAAGGCAGGGTCGATTTGGGCGGCACTAATCCTGGCAGTGTTCGCATCGTCACGAGCTCTGGCAGCGACTCCAATTGCCGCTTCAGCTCGTTCTTGTGCAGTGGAAGTTCTTGACAGAGCGATGTCGACTCGTTGTTCAGCTGAAACAGACTTTTTAGTTAAAACTTTATTCAAAAGGGTCTTATGGGATGACCTGTTGTCGTTGCTTGGATTTATTTACTGTGGCTACACTTACCCATATCGGCTGCACGCTTCGCCGCTTCAACACTAGATTCGATACGCTCTCTGAGTTTCGCCGATCGTACGAACAACAGACCCTTCCTTCGGGTGCTACACACCAAGATGTTGTTTTTGTAGCGGCCTTCCTCTTTCCTTAATCAGCCTTTGATTACCTTGTACATTAACTTACGTTCCGTCCTTGAAATACGTCACACCGTACCCGTGCTTCCGATTGCCGGCCCATTCACCGGCAAACCTGACTCCATCTGACCGTTCACAGATTCCGAACCCGCTACGTTTGTCGTTCTTCCATTCTCCACGATAGCACTCCACCACATCGTCGCCAATGCGTTCTTCCTGCAAGGAAGAGGTAATTGTCTCCAATGTTTAACCTACCGGAGCCATGTAGTAGTCGTTCAGATGCCTTTCACCGTCCTCGTCTGACGTGCAGCTCATCGTGCTGCCACTGGACTTGAGGCTACCCGTCATTGAAGTGACTCGTTGGTGGATGTCACCAGTCGAGTGTTGTTTCTTGATCCTCAAATTGCTGAGAATCGTCCTTTTCACCGCTAACGACCGTTCCGACAACGATCGTCGTCGCTTCGTCGGGGCATCGCTGCGAAGCCGCAGGACGAATCCTCCTCGGAACTCGTCATCGTTCTCGAGTCCGCCTGACTTTTCTCGTTTCTTCTTGTCATCGACCTCTTCCGGACCCAGATCAGATCTGAGACTCGAGAACGATGCATTCGTGTGTGATCGGGCGCGGTATTTGGCGGCGATGGAATAGGCTGCACTCGTCCTGATTCCGTAGCCATGTCTCATCCCACGCAGCCATTGGCCTTTGTACGTTCCTGGAACATATGGCGTTATTAAAACTTTGAAATCGTTAATTTGTTTCAGAACGTTATGTTAAACCAAGGAAAAAGGCATAGGAGGCTTGAAATGGCGGATATAAATGTTAATGGGCTCTAGGCCATCTAATAATTAGCATTACTTTTAATTAAAAAATTTGCATAATTTCTCACCTCCGTCGGCGTATGTTTCTGTACCGTAACCATCGTTGAGTCCACCGAACCAGGTCCCTAGGTAGTTGGCTTTGGAATGTCGCGATTGTCGCAGTCCGTAGCGGCCTTTCAGTCCTTGCGTCCACTCGCCTTGGTAGATCCACCGACCTCGAGACTCGACGCCAAGACCGTGCCGCTTGCCGTTCTGCCACTGACCTTCGTAGGTGTTGCCACAGGGCCACGTGTACGTTCCCGACACCTACAATGAGCGTGGTCAGGGTACCTCGCACTTACCTCAAACCCATAGTGCCAGGCTCCGGCGTACTCGCCTTTGCCTTCGGGACCGGTACAGATACCATGACCGTGTGCTTTACCTTCTTCCCAACCGCCACAGTACGTGCCCCCGTCGTCGAAGTCGAACCGGCCCCCGTTCATGACAATTGGTGATGGTCCTATCGAGTTCCTCGAAACTCAAAAGCGATTCAAAATAGTTGGGCAGAAGGCAGACGCATCTGAACCCATCCGCCGGACTTTGTGACTGTGAGGTATTCGCAGCTGAAACGTAATAAATTAGACAAAGTTTCTATTATATTATAGTTTATTAACAATTAACAGCTTCGCGATCAGAATTGAAGTGAAACCCAAAGAAAGCTGGGCCAGCTGTTCAACGGAATTTCGGCCTGAAATCTGTGTGAAGGCCACGGACTTTCCATAAAATGTTGAACCGTTGAGAGTTTATTAAAGCCCATGTTCTTTCCAAACCAACACCAAACATTTGGAGGATCTAGATCGCAAACATAAGGCCAAGTAGCCTATATCACTTGTAAACGTCCTATTTCTCGTCGCGCCGCCCACTCAAACGCATTTCGTCGCCCTGAGGCCATAACGCGACATTCACGCGGATATTCGATTTGGCATAAAAGAAGTTTACAAAGTATAAGTGAGATACGACTTCCCCCGTTTCTCAAAGTTAAGAGAACAGATTCCTTCATGTGTATTTGTGTCCCAAAACCAGGGGCCAAGTAGTTTAAGGGTGGGGGAGAAGAGGCTAAGCTTGAAAGCGTGCTCAGCTGCAAGGGAGACTGGATGAAAAAGAAAGGGGAGGCTTCGAGGACAAGCAAGAGTGAAGTTGAGAATGCTTCTTGAACCAGAACACAGCGAGAAGGACGGGACTGACCTGAGGCATAAAAGAGAAGCGGAGAAAGTCTGGGGACCGATTTTATTCTTTTCTTTATCTGCATAGACCCAGCAAAAAGTTTACGCAAAGTCAGGAAAGAAATGGCGGCGTGTCTTTGGAGGGAGATTCGTCTCGGTAAACTAGTGGCCAGAGAACAGCCGGAGGGAAGGAGAGCTCAGGCAGACGTACTCCCTCCCTTCTTGTCTCTGCACTTGCGCCTTTCGTTTCCTATCCCGCTGGTCCCACTTTCCTCTTGTCTTGAGAGAATCCGCCACTCTCCCTGCGTACTCAATTGCATTTTTTTCACTTTTGCTCTTACTTTTGTCAACAAAATTATCCTTTATCTTCGCGCATTCAACTTCAACGGATCCAATAAATTTATGCAACAAACTTGCTAAATCAAACAACAATAATCTTATTCGGTGACGGGTGTGATGGTCACGCCTCGTCTGATCGTGCCCCATCCGATCAGACGCCAATGCTTCTCGATTCTTCTGCTTAAGGCAATCTTTTCGTTCACTTCGGTGCAGATCGGTTCTGTCAATGCGATTTTAGCAGCATCGCCTAAAAAATAATGTTAAATACACAAAAATTATAAAAACATATTTTATTTATTCCATAAAAATAGTTAGATAAAACAAAATCTTACCTTTCACGGCAATGACACGCCCTCCAGTTGAAAGCGACCCTATGTTCACCATCAAAACTTCTCCCTTATCCAACTTCTGCACCTTGGCGGCCTTCTTTCCTCCTTCAGTACGAACTCCCAACAAACGTCGCAGCAAGAAGTAGGAGATTTCTATTTCTATGAACACGTCGGGCAGGGTACCAACAGCCCCCAAGATATGTCCTACCAGACGGTCACCACGACAAAGTGTGGGGTCAATCTTTGTACCAACACCAATCAGACCTCCAGGAACGGCGTACTGAAGCTCGTTTTGTTCGGCAAACAAAGAAACAATCTTGGAGAAGATCGGACGACATTGAACTCGGCCATCGGCAGTCTTAGTTACAATACCTGGACGTACTTCGATCTCTTGGCCAACGCGGAGGATACCTAAAATGACACAATAGTCAAAAATTAGTTTTAAAATCTGCCTCTTCGGACAAATTATAAAAAAGATCAAAATGTCACAAAAACTTATTAGCAGAAAATTAAATATCCAAATTTCCTATTCAATAAAAAACGTAAACAGTCAAAAAAAACTTTACCTTTAAGAATAGAACCACCAGCTACTCCACCTTTAAGTTCTTCGACTTCTGAACCTGGTTTATTGACATCGAAAGATCTAATGACGATCAATCGAGCGTCGGAAGTAAAATCTCTTGGTGGAATTGGCACTTTCTTACAAAGATATTCACAAACAACCTAAAATTACAAATAGATAACTAAAATTAAATAGAAACGACATTTTATAAAAAATAACACTTAAAAAGACGATAGTATTATTGTTAGCAAATAAGATTAACTTACATCAATGTTGTACTTAAGCTGAGCAGAAATTGGAATAATCGGAGCTGAGTCAGCAACGGTTCCCTGCACAAAGTTCTTGATCTGTTCTTGTTGATCTTTGGCTTGCGACTCTTTGATCAAGTCAATTTTGTTTTGTAAGATCAACAGATTCTTCAACTGCATAATTTCAACGGCAGCAAGATGTTCAGAAGTCTGAGGTTGTGGGCATGGTTCATTTCCAGCCACCAACAAAAGAGCGGCATCCATCACAGCAGCACCGTTCAACATTGTAGCCATGAGAATGTCGTGACCAGGACAGTCGACAAATGATACGTGTCTGACACAGACAAACTCGCCGCCACATCCATCTCGTCTACATGGAATTCTGTCAGGCTCACTTGACCCACCCGACCTAAATTTTATTGTTTATCAACTTTTTAGAATAAAACAAAAAACTAAGATGAAAATTAAAAATAAAAAAGACAATACCTACCTGTAGCATCCTGGACGTGGACATTCCTCATTGGAACACCGATAAATCTTAGCATTAGCGTAACCGAGCTTGATGGTAATATTCCTCACCAACTCGTTCTTGAACTTGACAGTGTGAACACCAGAAATAGCCTTGACCAGTGTGGACTTTCCATGAGCTACATGACCAATCGTACCAATGTTGATAGTGGCTTGACGACTGATAACCTTAAAAAAGAAACTCAAAAAGAAAACTGCCAACTTACCTCCTCGGTCAATGGGTTCAACTGTGTAGGATCAAGCTTGGACAAATCCTGTGTCGCCAACCAGCTCTGTTTGGGTTCTTCAGAAGCCACCTCGGGCATGATTCAAAAATACAACAGAATTTGGTCCACAAAACAATAATTAGAAAAAGAATTGCATCAATTGCCACAAAATAAAAAGAATGTTTTCGTTGTGGGACCCTCTCGCCAGACCAGACGTCAAACGGGAAATTGGTAAAATCAAGTTATTCCGCTGCGCGACAGAGAAGTGAGAACCCACCAAGTAGTCGTGATTTTATAAGAGAATATTGTTTTATATGCTATTTTAGAGTCTGTTTGTTAAATTTGACAAAATTGTATTTTTACAGCTTTTTATCGAGCTTTTGGCAATTTTGGTAAGAATTTGGGTACCATTTGTCGAATACGGTAAAAATTTAAAAATTATTGGGCTATTTTTTTCTAGATCGCTTTATTTACATCAAAACTTCCTCTTTTTCAAGCTTGAGTTAGTTATAAATTATATATCAATAAGTCTGCTCAAAATGTTTAACATTGCGTTTTTACTGATAAAAATTGTTAAAGTTAAGAACTCATGTGTATCTCTTCGGAAAACAAATTTTCAATGTGTTTTACAGTCTGATTTGAAATTCATAATAAATCTCGGCGTTTTATATTATGAAACACAAAAGTGCTTTATCGATTTTGTTATTTCGCTCACTTTCTCATTAAACAAATTTCATTTTGTGAATTGCAGGTTGATGGCGTGTCTACAGAAACTGAAAGATGACATCAGGCTGCTGAAAGAGTTGTTCCCTTCCGACCATTCCCGCTTCCAAATCAAGTCGGCTTCTGTTGACGAAATCAACGTCAGATACCTTGTTAACGACCAAAAAATTGATGTCATTGCTAACTTCCAAGAGAACTATCCACGAGCTCCACCAATATGGTTCAGCGAATCCGAGGAGCCTGTAGTTTCTTCAGTGCTGGAAAATTTGACTAACGGAGAGGTGGAATTTGCTATTCTCTACCAAGTAACGTACCTGATCACTCAGCTGTGTAATTTTTACAATGTCCCGCTTCCCACCGAAATTCATCAAATTGCCCCGGTAAGTTTAATAATTTAAAAACATGTTTTGTGATTTAGAGTGAAGAGCTGAGCGAAGAGAAGGATGAAGGCAACGGGAGCGACATTGAAAGCACTGGAGATGAGGATATGGAAGAAGATATGATGTGCGAGATGGAAGAACAAGATCCCAGAGCTAGTCGGCAGGCCGAGGAGATTGCTCCAGAAGCTCGGGATGTTTTGAACCGTGTCACTAATGTCCAACGACAGCAGCATTTGCAAGGAACGGCTACTGGTTCCGTGACAGCTTCGGACAGACTGATGAAGGAGCTCAAGGAAATCTACCGCTCCGAGAACTACAAAAACGGTAAGTTCGCGATGTTTCTTTACCACTGACTGTTTAAAATTTTATTTTTTAGTGGGAATTTTACTTTTATTGGCTTATCTTTTACTTATATCTTCTTATTTTTACATTTCTTCAGGTGTGTACAGCATCGACTTGGTGAAGGACAACTTGTACGAGTGGAATGTCAAGCTGTACAAAGTTGACCCTGACAGTCCATTGGCAGGTGATATTCGCCAGTTGGAGAACACTACTAAACAAGATCATATTCTTTTTCACTTTATTTTCAACGAAACATTTCCGTAAGTTTTTTGACTTATACCTAAAATTAACCAAAGTTATCTAAATCTTAATATTGCTTTCTTTGGATATAGAATTTAATGTACTATTGTTGTAGATTTGAACCTCCATTCGTCCGCCTTGTCTCTCCAGGCCTCATGAACGGCTTCGTGCTGTCTGGTGGAGCTCTGTGCATGGAGTTGTTGACCAAGCAAGGATGGTCAAGTGCGTACAGTGTGGAGTCTCTGATAATGCAAATCGCTGCTACTCTGGTCAAAGGAAAAGCGCGGGTGACTTTCGATGCTAAAATTGTAAGTTTTCGTTGATTTTCTTTCCGTTTTAGGTATTTAAAAGTGAAACGTTTATTTACATGTTGTTATACATTTTTGTTTCAGAGTTCGTACAGTCTGGTAAAAGCCCAACAGTCTTTCAAATCTCTTGTCCAAATCCACAACAAATCGGGTTGGTTTACTCCACCTAAAGCCGACGGATAATGTAAATTCCCACTACTAACATTGTAAATTTTTTGTTTAATCAGTAAACAATTTTTCAGTCATGTTTTATGCATTGTCTATCTACAGTTTATTCGGCATCTGTCTTTATGATACTTATTCATTAAGTTAAGAAAATGATAATTTTGATATGCTAGTGGATATTATTTTACGCGTAGTTTGTTGGAATGTAAAGCAGATGTTCGTGCAGGCAAGGGAGGGTATTTTGAGGTTATGTTAGACTGAGCTTGCGATATGTGGTCGGCCAACTTGGCCTTGTAAGTGTTAAAGCTTTCAACGATAAACTGTACGAAAGTCGACTCCGGGCTATTTCTTCGGCAGACGTCAACACTTTCTTCCAGAATAGAGAGGTGTTGACATATTGTGGTTAACAAGTCGTTCAGTTCTGTAGTGTGTTCTTCTGCGTTGATTTGGTCGAAAAATTTCTAAAATTTTTATTTTGCTCAAATTTTCGTAATTTTTTAAGTGCAGCTTAAGAAACATAAATTATTAGATGGCGTTTTGCATTAAAACCTACCAAATAATTTTGAACGCCACCACCGACGTCGGCTTGCAAGATACCACGGACTTGACCATGTAAAGCCATTTCGAACTCTTTAAACTGTTTTTTGAGCATCTCTGTGTAGTAAAACAACTTGTTGTTCATCTCCTTCAAGTTGTAGCACGCCACCTGAATAATGTTTTAGCCATTTTGAGTAATATAAAGGGAATTGAAAGGAAATGTATCCTGCTAACTTACTTGAATGGGATTCATGTGATTGAGTACGGTAAATGTAGCCAATTGGCCGAATGGAAGTATACCAGGCAAAGTGTTGTAGATTGAGAACCGAAAAGGCTTTATCCATGTCGAGTTTGTCTCCGACACTTCCAATGTCGTGAACTCGGACTGTTTGAGCTGGAAGGGTCGATGTAACTCGAAGATGGCCAAGTCGTTGTGTTTGTAGTACCATGCCAACAATGGGTTTTTAGCCAGTTCTTGGTTGTACTCCATAGAAGAGATTACAGGATTCAGGGGAATGACCTGAAAGTTAGTATTTTAAACATAATGTAATACATCAACAGTGACTTCAATTCAAATTATTGATAACAGAACTTACTGCGATATGTCGGCTATTCAATCGTGGCGGATTTAGAACGAAACCGGCTTCGATCTGCTTCATGATGTCCAGATATTCACCACCCATCGTATGTAGAATATTCTGTCGGAACTGATCCCACAGTTCCAGCTTCTCTCCCTTCATGATGAAGCTCCTGTTCCGTAGCGGCTCCGGATGACCGATTCCGTAGAATCCCACCAAAAAGAAGTGGTACTCCATTCTCTGCTTCTTTGCCACATTACCGTACAACGTACTCAACTTTGTCATCAGTTCGGCTACACGGTCATATTCATAGAAGACTGATTCGTAGACAGCCAGAAGCTCTTTGTGTAGCCGAATAGAGAGTTCGTATAACTCTTCGGCTTCAAAGTATTCTACCGCCTTCAGGAAGAAAGTTTCTTTGAGTTCTTTCTGGGACGATGTTGTAGTACCGAAAGCAATCTGCAACTGTTGGTGTTTCTCACTCAGTTTACTGTTACACCACTGTATCTCTTCTGTAGCATATTCTAGAAGCTTTCCAGCTTCATTAAGGTTCTGGTTGTAAATCAGAATATCGTGTGATTCTTTAACTACAGTAGCCCAAGACTTGTGAAGTCCACGTTGAGATGCGAAAGATCGTATTTGTGATAGAGATATCAATGTGTACATCCATCCCTCGTCCAACTTTTTGTATTTTTTGTACTGAATCAGGGCAGCTACGAGAAGAGAGAATACCTCCATCGTTTTGTGCTCCAGTGAGGAGGTGTGGTAGGCATGATTACACAACTCTTGAACAAGATCCATATGGCTTTCTGATGTTGGGAGCTCCCAGAAACACCTGAAAGTCAACCAATATACAAGGATAGAATATAGATGTTAAGATATATAGGAATTGCATTGTATCACTTACATGAATACCGTATCCATTGCTTCAACAAAACGAGTCGACTTCATAAAGCTGATCAAAGTATTCCTAAAATACGGATTCGAAGCTTCTCCAAAAGAAACGACAAGATTGAGTTGCTGGTGGAAGTCTACTGTAGATACATAGTCTTGGAATACTGTAGTGAAACGTTGTAGTAACAGACTACTGTGGCTAGCATCGGAATCAAGATGTGATTTTACATGGTTGAGTAACTGTAACATATTACTACTGTCCAAGATGGTAATTCCTTGTCGTATGGCAATGTTTTGTATAGCCATAACTGACCCCATCATGATGACATACATCTGAGACACGAGCAGAGTCCATGATGCTGGGATACTGTTGTTCTTACAGATGACCACAAATGCCTCCAGAAGGTTGTTACAGAAAGTTGAGAAGTCAGAAGCCTTCTGTCGGTAGATACTCCAGATCTCGGCATTACACATGTCACACACGGCCATGATGTAGATGATGAAGCTACGTTGAAGGCCTGTAGCTGACATGAGCAAGAACAAGTCAACGATAGGCTCGAAGCAGTTGTTGATAAAGAACGTCAGAACTTCCATTCGGAACACCGAAAAACGTTGAATCAACTTGAGAACATCGTACAACGTAGACAACAATAGCCGTAGCAGCTCAGCGTTCTTGGGTTGTTTTATGGCCGAATTGAGTACGTTACAGATGTAGTTGATCATGGTCTTCAGAATGCCCAAGTTGCAATCTGTCTTGAAGAGTTTCGACTTGAGAACGTTGCCCAGGAACCCGATTTTGACTACCGTTCTCTCCTCGGACAGCGTGAGAAGGACCTTCTCCACGAACTCGTAGATAACATCACTGTCGAACACTTCGTACTCCAGCAGGGGATCAATCATCCTCGCTAACTCGGGGATGTGTCTCCAGATTTCATTGTCCGCAGCTACAGACGACAGTGCCAGAGTCATGACCTCCTCGAACTCTTCGGAAAGACCTTCCAGACCAGAAACACCACACGTTCTGGCAGCTGTGATGAACTCGATGAGTTTGTGGATGGAGCTACACACTTTGATGAGGTCGAGTTTAGCGTGTCCGTACTCAGGGTGGTCGTTGAATGATTTGAACTTGGCCTTCAGATGCCGCAGAAGTATTTTGTCAGCGTGCGGATGTCTGAAGTTGGCAAGACAGTCGTTCACGGCGTCTGTGATATGATTGTAGAGTTCACTGTCGTACCAATGGAAGATGCAGGTCAAGAAGTCGAAGGCCATCAAGGAGACGCGTTCGGAACTTCTGAGCAAGAAGAAGGTCTTGTCCATGATCTGAGGCATCAGATACTTGAAGTCGAATGGGTTGGCGCCAGAGAGTGTAGAAGTGATGCCTACTAGGTCGCTTTCGTCGTTTGCTCTCAGATACTGCATCAGAATCTTGTTCTGAGACAAGACAGAAGATACGGAGCACGACAAACAGCTGATGAAAGTAGAATCAATGATGTTGTAGTTACCGTGCACACTTGACAAGTCTACATCTCGCTTTAACGACGGTAGTTTGAGGTAAGAGTGGGCCTTTAGTTCATTCACCAATTCAGTACGGTAAATGTTAAGTTCGTATCTGCCATCACTCAGTAAGACACCGTGCTCGATCACATTCAGAAATGACAGTCCTATGATGTTATCGTGGAGGTCGTACACCGTGATTCGGAGATGAATGTCTTTATTATCATTGTCAGGCAATGACATTTCCACGATTTCGTCGTATTTACATTTAGACGGCACTAGTGTTCGGAATTGTCGTACTGCTGATGGGCCATTCTTCGATCGTTTTACTAATCCTTCCTAAATATGAATGATCAGCTTCAAACACAATACATTTCAAATTGTTAAAAATAAAGTGAAGTGTAGTATGAAAACTCGCTTACGTTTATGACTTCATCCAGGTTACTCCAGAGTTCTCCCTGTACCACAATATCTTCGTTTCGAAAAGAAGAATCGGGCAAACTGATGACAACGAAAGTCTCGTTTCTGGAGTCATCAGAAGTCAGAAATAGTCTTTGCAAGGTCATTGCTGACTCATCAAACTCATTGTAGTATAAGTCTAGTTGTATTAGCCCTGTAATGTCATCAAACACAACTTCTGCCTTCAGATTCCCAGTTTGCGACGTACATAAAGGGAACTTCTTGATTACAGAAGTCACGAATCGCTTCGGCTGAGTCTTAGAAGCGACGTCGAACAGCTGAAAGTGGAAAGAAAGTTCTCGACGATGGTAGTCTTCAGTAGACACTCGATTGTAAATGAATTCGGAAGAAGCATCGTCAGAACAACAGGAGAAACTCTGGAACAGAGGGAAAGTAGACCGCCCATCTAGTAGAGTTACAGTAATCATGTAGTTATGCGTGAATTGAGGCTTTAGTTTGACGAGCACGTTGAAGTTGTTGGACTCGTTGGAAGGGAGTACTCCACTGATCTGTTTGATGGTTTGTGTCTGTGCCGTGTCGTATGTTTTGTGGAAGTCTATTATGTCAGTTTTGTCATATTCGGTGACAGAAGATACTAAGAAGGGAAGACCTAGTTTGGAGTTAATGTCGAGCATCTGAATGTTGTTTTTGAGATCGTTATGAGATATACTCTGTAGGTACGTCACCATTACTTTGCTCATATCATTGACTGATTCTACAGATTCTTGAAACATCTTGGTGATCGCCTGATTCCAGCTGTGTATCGACAAAAACATGTCCAAATTGAGTCCATCTGTTTGGTCCAGATCTAACGGCACCACACACGAATGTGAGAACATACACTCGTGGGACCCTATTTTAATACCAAAGTACCAGCCTTCGGTAGAAGACAGAATCTGGAGAATATCTCCAATTGCTAGAGACTCAAGGGGGACTGGACATGCTTCTACGTCTTCTTCTGACGGACTAAACTCTTCTACTACGATACAGTACTTTACAATCATCTAAAATATCTTAGATATTTAAAAACGTTTTTTAAAGTAATTTTTGAAGTTTCTTGTCTTTACTCACAATTCTTAGCTACAAATAATAACAGGATGCCCTTAACCAATAACGAAGCCGACAACTGTAACAACAAACAATTTAATCAACAACAAAACAACGTTAACCATATATTGAGAACATTAATCAGTTTGAGCCTCTTCAAAATTCCCGTTGGTTGGCACATCTCCAGAATCCTCCACTTCTACCTTTTCAGCGTCAATATCTTGCTGGAATCGTCCCTTATCAGCTTTGGCTCTCCTGGATGATATAGCCTGGCTTCGTAATGGGGTGGTATCTTTGTCAAGCAAGGTAAGCAAGTGTATCTTCTCCTCCCGACTCACAAAGGCTGAGATGGTTTGAGCTCCCATCCAGGCGCAGATCTTCTTCTTTATGCCTCTGATATCGACCACCAGCACCACAGTACCTGGATCAAGGCCGGCGAACTTGTCTTTGCCATCCAGATGTTCGAAGCCGACGTAATGTTGGTCGTTGACCCCAAGGAGAATACGAGCAATGTCATCCTCGTTCACCTCTATTTGCCTCTTGTTGATGTATGTGGAAATGAATGATATTCCCTGAAACAATAGAGATTCCAATGGTTATAATGTAAAGATATAATCTAACGTTAAGAACATACATCTTGTGAAAGTCTGTAATCACAGGGGGACACTTTAGCAACCTTCTTCATCAGTAGTACTCCAGCATTGACCAGATGGAAACGTTCCAAATTGTACTTCAAGAAGTTACGTAGCTGGTCGTTGACGTAGTAGATACCCTTCTTCTTCTCCACGTTGGCAACTCTAACCAGTAAGTTGTTGTAGGGAAAGTCATCTTGAATCCCAAAGTGTTCCTTCAACGTGCTCTTCAGATCGTTGACTTCTGAATCTAGGAAAACGAATGGGTCTTCTTTGTTAAACTTGCGCTTCTTTTGTGGTGGAGGGCTGCAACATAGTACAGATACAGATTTAAAAAAACCAGACAAAAAAGGCCTTAAAAATACCTACCGTATGTACTTAGCTGTGGCACGGGATGATATAGGTATCTCCTTGATCTTTCTGAATACGGCCACATAGAATCCACCAGAATTCTGGGCATGTGGCAAGATTCTGAAAGATCTGTCGAGATGGAGATTCTCAGCAACTTCTGGTGACGGTGGGAACATTGAAGGGACGATGAACTTGTCATTGCACGAGGCCATGTTTTCGTATTCCTTCATTTCAGCGTTGAATACCTACAAGCTTATATTATTCAAAAGTATAATGTCATACCTTCCAAGTAGACAATCCAGGAGATCGCTTCAGTCCAGGGAGCTTGTCACTGACATCTACTAGCTCAAAAGCACCCTCGTATGTCTTCAACATGTGAGCTACAACAGCTTCGTCTTCAATTGGATTCAAAGAACATGTTGAGTATACCATTAGCCCGCCCACTTTCAGTAGCTCCAGACATCTTCGGGCGATGTTTTGTTGAATCTTGTGCAGATTCAGACCTTTTTGTGGGTTCCAGGAGTTCCACAACTCCAAGTTCTTACGGAACGTTCCGTCACCACTAAAACATTAAGGTATAACCTTTAAAGCAAGGCTTACCTGCATATGACATCACACAGTATTCTGTCGTACAAAATTGGCTCGTCTTTTTCGTTTATGATCGCTGGCATTTCAGAAGCATCTTGATTCACGACCACACAATTAGCAGTTGGAAGACGTTTTAGCGTTTGATGAACAAGCAAGTAGCATCTTTGGTTGTTGATGTCATTCGCCACGAGAAGTCCAGCTGAAAAATATTTTAAAATAATTTTAAGAAGTTATACGCTATGGTAAATCAGTATTATAATCAAATAATTACATGGATTAGGGTTGTCTTTATGCATCAATTCAATGATTTGAGTCGTTTTGCTACCAGGTGAAGCACAAGCATCCAGGATCAAGTGCTCGGGTTGAACGTCTAATAACAAAGGAGGTACCATGGAGACCTAAACATTAGTTAATATTGTCATTATGATAACTTACAGCTTCTTGTCTTGAAATGTTGCCGATTTCAGTCTCACTAATGAGAAACTCATGCAAGTCCTTCAAAGCTTGAACACTTCTCACTTCAGCCCTCGAGGCATTCATTTGGTACGCGTATGGTACAAAACTCAGCTTCTCTGGTACCGCTGTCACATCTGGGTTCGACTTAAGTCCATCGATGAATTTACTGTGTAAAACAGAATCCAGTACATCTCGTTCTCTGAAAAACATTGTTTATAATTTCAGAGAATCGAAAAATGAGAATGAATTTAAATCACTGTAACATACTCCAATGAGCTTTGAATTCGGAAAGCGGAAGGCAAATCTGTCTTCAAAATACTTTGAAAATCATTCCACTCGTCACCATGAATAACACCTTGCTTCTTGTAGTAGTCAAAGACCATGTCGTTCTCCTTGATGATCTCATCCAAGTGATAATTGCCTCTGACCCCCTTCACATCTTGAGTCTTGTTCTTGTTGCCATCTCTTTTGAACTTTCTCCCCATTTTCTAGAGAAACATAAAGAAATATTCAAAACACCTTTCAAGTACTCATTGTTCAGCAACAATTAATTAAGCACAACAACAGACAAACGCGATAAATATATTTATTTGTAACAACAAGTCCTTCTAACACCTCGTATCACCCCTGATGAAACAAAGACGTATACGTTGCCGCCGCTCCACGTTGTCCCTGCCACACAACGTAATCAGTAATCAGTTCGGTCAGTTGAGTTTATTCCAGTACCAACTCAGCCATCAGTCTCACTTGTCAAGTATCCATCTTGAGAGAATCCTTGGGAAACACCGTACCCATCCTGAGAAGACCCGACTGACGACGGGACCTGACGTCTTTTTCCTGTGCCATAGTTCCAGCTGGGTAATTCTCCATCAACCTTTCCTGAACCGGGCATTGGAGGCCACATTAAAGGTACTGAAAAACGCAAGTATAAAATTAACTAATACCTAGTTGGAGATAATAATGTCAACAAAATCCAAATCTTTGAAAAAAAAATTATATTCAGAAACATACCGTTCCGATCGTCCGTTCTGAATGCATCACCTTCGTTCGAACCAACTACACCATTGTTGAACATGTGCAAAGGCACGGGCAATGACGCCCCTCCGAGCATTGAACTTGAATATAGTGATCCCTGCGGGTCTTCGAACGAAGACTTCGAATCCCGATTGGAGAAGAAGCACGGGTCACCAGCATCATCTACTCCACGATTCACTCCATTGTCGGTTGTAGTGAACAAAGACAAGTTCATGAAGCCGTGAGCCTGAATCTCCCTTTCCGAGACCGGCTTCGGACTAGGCAGTGCCATGTTGGTCTTCTTCAAGTTATTCAAGGCTCCTTCCACCAGACATCCCTTGTTTCTGAAAACAGTCAAGAGGTTGTTCCATAACATTTGGCGAGCCAACACTTTCGCGTTTCCAACAATCACCAATCCGTACTTGGCTCGTGTCAGTGCTACGTTCAGACGTCGAGGATCTTTTAAGAAGCCAATACCTCCAGTAGAGTTCGATCGGACACAAGTAACGACAATCAAGTCTTTCTCACGACCCTAAAACACAAGTTAATTTCAAAACTAGGTAATGCGCTTTAGAACATAAATTTAACCCTTATCATACTTAAAAATTATAAGTTCATACCTGAAAAGCATCGACATTGGCCACTTCAATGTCAAGATACAGTTTACTGTGCAGGGTACCTTGAGATTGCATATATTGCACAATGTAAGCACGCTGACCTTCATAAGGAGTAATAATACCAATCTGTTCGGGCTTGAAGCCGGCTTGAAGGAAGCGAGTTGTCAGTTTTTCCACTGAAATAGCTTCCGCACGATTCAAGTATGAAGTGCCAGAAGGACTGATCTCTTCCTGACCACAGCAGTTCCAGAACATCATAGGCTTTTCTGGAGTTGGGAAACTCCAGCTGACATCGTTCAACATTCTTTCAGCTGAAAAATAAAGAATAATTCTACCAACAACAAAATATAAAAAAAAAAAAATTTTAATATTTAAATTTAAAATAACCAAAAACTTACATTCTGTAACACCATTTTGCAAGGATCCTTCGTAGAACACATTGCTGGGAAAGACGGACAAAGCTGGATGCATACGATACTGAACCTGAAGTCTGACTGGTCGATTTCCAAGCATGACAAGACGTTCCACTAACGACTTCGAAAGCCCAGCCAGACCAGCCTTCTTGCACATCACAACCGGACCGAGTTGACAGTGATCTCCAACCAGCACGAGCTGTCTCGCTCCCTTCAGTACTGGTACCATCACTTCTGGTTCGGCCGCTTGAGTGCTTTCATCCACCAACACACATCTGAATTCACGATCTTTAACCCTAGCATCAGCTGCGCAGATGCAAGTACAGCAGATGACTTCGGCCTTGGCCAGCAACTCCTTCTCCTTGGTCAGAATAAGTTGTTTAAATCGAGCTTCGTCACCTTGAGACAACTCGCCAACTTCTTCCTACAAATAGTACAACGTAAATCTTTAAAATCACAAAATATAAAAGATTATAAACTCTAAAAGTGACACACCTTAAGTCTCATCAGCTTCTGTAATTCACCAGGACCATTCAAAGCTTTCAGTTGATTGTGTAGCGTCAGAAATGCTACAGGACTGTCCACTGTCTCCCTTCCTTTGGCACAGAATCTGATAACCTTCAAGCCAGTCTTGTGGAGCTTCTCAGCCAACTGATCAACAGCAATGTTTGACGGAGCGCATACCAGAACTTGTTCTTTCGTCACCTTCACCATGTGATACACCAAAGCAGCCGACGTCACAGTCTTTCCAGTTCCAGGAGGCCCTTGAATCAGTGTCAGAGGTTGAACCAACGCTGTTCTCACAGCCTCTTCTTGAGAATGATTCAACTCTGGCAATCCTGGAGTCTCTAATCTCCTTGGAAGGTTGATGTGGAACTTGATATCGTTAACATCATGTCCCATCAACTTGTGGTAGATAAACTGAGAGACACACGACTTTCTGTTAGCCAATCTCATCAAAGCATCTTTCATTCTAAAATATCATTGACAATATGTTATCTTAATTACCTTTTGAAGGCGGTACCCTTCCACACATATTCACAAACAAAGTTGGTCCTCATGTTCGAAGGCATCTCCGTGTTACAACCAACAGCGAGCATAAACTTGTCACCGTGATTGTCCGGAATCTTTATGATCCTTCCTTCACATGTCCATTCGCTTCCGTCCACAGTTTGTTGATGTTTTAGCCTCAGTTCATCTCCAATCATCAACTTCATATCTAAATTTAAAAGTTGACTGTAAAACTACTAGCTATGACGAAAATAATACCAATAAAAACCTACTTCCGTCTCTAAACTCCGGTAGATTAAACGAAGCAATCAACTTCTTGTTCAGCCCTATATCCCATCTGACTTGATTTACTGGATAACTCATCTGTTCCTTCATCTTCCTATCGTACATAGCTTCCAAACTAACCAAAGGATTCAAAATATTGAAATACTGTACACCGTCCTCGTACCGTAATCTTACAGGTTCTGGTTCGTCGTCCAATCCAGGCCTGTCCAAATCATCAACTGTAGCGTCTTCATTTTCCTAAAAATGTTATCTATAGAAATTCCTAAAGGTCAAAACAATAAATAATACAAAAACATACCTTCCACAAGTCTTCAAGCCTGTTTATCTGAGCTGCAGTGATCTGTCGGCATCTCATTTGTTGTTGTTGAGTTGGAAATTTCAGAATCCAAGAAACAATTTGTCTCTCAGAAATTATCGGTTTCCAGTCTTCTGCTTCCCAATTGGTACTCTTTTGAGCTGCCAGTGAAGCACAAGGAATGCGGCACAACATAACTACCACGGAGTCGGCCTTGGCTGTGATGTAGCCCATCATAAACACATTTCTAAAACAATGTTTTTACAAAACATATTGGAAAACTTTTAAACAAAAATGAATTTAATTCTTACTTTGATCCACAATGGTAACACTCCAATTGGGTGTCTCCAAGGGGTCCATCACGGTGAAGAGATACTTCACGATGATTTGACCGAACAAGATGGTTAACAATGTGACTTCCAGTAGTACTACCTTTACCATTGCAAAACCACTTATCACATATAGTGCACAAAGCCATCGACAAAGGATTATGATAACCGCAATATCTAAAAAACAATAATTATTCTTCATACGTTAATATTAAATTTAAAATATTAAAAACACACCTGCACGAATGTTTTGGCAACTCAGTCAATTCGTCATCCTGGTCATCTTCTACATCAAAGTCCGCCACCTCTCTGTTCTCGTCAATCAACCCATCATCTCCATACGATACTTGCGATAAAGTATCAGTAAAACACGATTGAGATCCGCTTTTCAAAAAGCCTTCTGAATATTGACTAAGAGAATCGTAGTCAATTTGTGACATCTAGAAAGTTCAACAATACAAACGGAAAAAAAGAAATAAACCGATCAACCAAATGTCTTGTAAAAGCTTCAAAACCGCTTTTAACGAATGCAAATAAAACAAAAATTCCTTTAAAAAAATTTTAAAACAAAATTTTAAAAATTATTCTCGCGCACAACATTCACAACAACAATTCGTCTTCGTGTGATTGTCAACTATGATAGGAAACAAGAAAAATCAGTGAAAAACGTATATTAATTCGCGCAGTCTGCAGTTTAAGAAGGTATAACAATTTTACATAGGGCGCACAAAGACGACGTCAAAAGAGTAAAAGTTTTCCAATTGAACCGAATCTCTAAATAGAAAACTAACCAAGCCATGTAGAAAACAGTGCCAAAGTAAGTGTTAAAGGTCGTCTTATGATATAATTTAGGTAGTTGCCTTACTGTTATGCGGAAAAATGACTCTGGAGTACAAAGTAGATGTGGTCGGTAGAAATGTTGAATTTTCGAATTTGAAAACCCAATTTTTGGTTCGGAAATTAGAAGAAAAGGATCTACAACGGGTTATTACATTGTGTACGGAAGCCTTCCCTCTTGAGTACGACCAGAAATGGTTTTACGAAGTATGCTCTGGTCGATATATAAGTTTTGGTGCTTTCGATGGTGATTTTCTTGCGGGTTTACTAGTCGCTGAAGTGAAAACTGTTGCCAACTGTGATTCTGAAGTAAGTCCAGCCTTCCTTTACGCTCAATTTGCAGGATCGTGATATATGGAGTCGCCTTGATTCACGCGTAGTGTATGTAATGAGTCTGGCAGTGTCATTACTTTATAGAAGACAAGGCATTGCTTCCTTATTAATGGACTACTTAAACTCCATGGTATTAAATTATACGCCATTGCCAGTGTTAATATATTTGCATGTGTTAAAAGAAAACTACGGTGCCATAACGTTTTACAAAAATCGTGGGTTCAAACATCACAAGACGCTCGCGTAAGTGAAGGAGCAAGTGAAATGATATTTGTAGGAATTATTACCTGATTGATGGAATCTATCGCGAAGGCTTGACATTTCTGCTAGTATTGAATAACAGCAATAATGTTTGTTCTCTGAAAGATGTGTGGAATATGACGACTTCTATGATTGTTTCATTATTTCGATCGCATGTTTTGAGGTCTTAATAAAAAATAACACAATTAAAATCGAGGACCAATTTGATCTTTCAGAGAGAGAGAGACATTATTGAGGCAGCTGCCTATGACCTGAGGTTCCTTATCTTACGCCTTCTGTTACTTGTCCTTTACCACGATAACGCCCCATTTAAGCGTTTACGTGAAAACTTTCCGGCTAGCATTTGTTTTTCGCATTATTTGCAAACAATGTCGCATTTAGATCGCGTAGATAAATAAGCGTTTCGGTCATTTTGTTTAATTCTTTTATTTTTGGTCGTTTTCAACAATTTTATCCCCAAAAAATGAAGCCAGAATTAAGTATGCCGGAAGATGACCCAAATGGGAATGTTAACACAGTAATGGGACAAGCCAAGCCTCGATGGGGTCCAGGACACGCAGGTGCGCAAACCTTGGCGTCTATGTATAGTAATAGTAAGTGTAAATGTATAAAGTGATAAATTGCCAGATAAAAGATTTCAAGAAATAGTGTCAATAATCATATCGATGGGGCTGTTTGCAATTGTAACAATTTTGCTATTGTTTCGTATTGGAGATACACATATTTATTCGTTGGTACTGGCAGCGTTCGTTGGAATAATTGTGGCAGATTTGGTTTCCGGTCTGGTACATTGGGCGGCCGATACGTGGGGAACGGTTGATTCTTTTATAGGACGGGTAAGTTAACAAAGAATATGCAAAATGCAACCTATTCCAGAATTTTATAAGATCCTTTCGGGAACACCATGTAGATCCTACTGCAATAACACGACATGACTTTGTCGAAGTGAATGGTGACAACTTCTTAGTATGCATACCACAATTGGCCAATATAGCATACCAACACTTAACCTTATCAAACGAGGAGTTAGTGGAAGCTTTGCCGTCACATTGGTTTTGGCTGTTCTTGGGAATATACAGTGCAATGACTAACCAGGTAAATTCAACGAACAATAAATTATAACTAAATTTTAATCGCTAAAGCTTATAAAACCGTTTTCAGATTCACAAATGGTCTCACACCTACTTTAACCTTCATCCCTTCATAGTTACTCTACAAAGGTTTCACGTCATCCTACCACGACATCACCATAAAATTCATCATATTTCACCACATGCTTGTGCCTACTGTATTACTACGGGATGGCTCAATCCACCACTGGATAAGATTGGGTTCTGGAGGCACTTAGAAACCGCTGTGTCAATAATTACTGGCTCTAAACCGCGCGACGATGACCTCAAATGGGCTACAAAAACAGATTAGTTATGATAATTTATTATCAATAAATAACAATATTTAATAATCGTCCCTCATTCCGTTTTCATGCCTCTCTAGCTGAGCTTCCATGTCTTTCAACTTCATCTTCAATGCTTGTATACCAGACAAAACAATGTTCTCAGCTTTGAGCTGGCCTGCTGATTGAATTCCGAACCAAAATTTGTTAGGCTTTCCTTTTGGGTCGAACGGAGCTTGATACTGATCTGGTGGAAGTTCGCTGTAATCACTCTTGGGCCACTCTTCAGGTTTAGCGAAGACTGTGTGTCGCAACGAGTTGTCTGGATCGTATTCAAACGCAACTCCGCACGTCGGATTCCATTTGGCGTGTTCTTTGGCGAATCCCTGTAAAAAAATTGTATATGAATGCCGTCTATCTGTGTCAATCTTTTTGCCCTCTCCCCCAAGGCCAAATCAACCTTCAAATTTCGTTAAAACCTTATAATTTAGCTCATGAGCGCTCACCTTTCGTGCAAAACATTTCATCTTTAAAGATTGTCCTTTCCTGAGTTTGACAATCAAGATTTCGGCATCATTAACGTCGTCCATAGATGCAGATGTATGTTTTCCGCAAGCAGGAACAACTTCGTTACTAGACGAAGACAAGTCGTCAGATGTGACAGCTCTGGTAGCTTCGTTTACACAACTAACATCCAAAGAAAACTCCACAGTACAATCGCTACAAAATTCTGCACACGCACAGTCCTAAAATTCACAATGAGAAATAATAAAGACAAACTTACTCTGGCAAACGACATTTTATCTACCACATCGTTCGAGCGTAGCGGAATCAACCCCATTCTGTGGGAGATAAACTCATCGTGCAGCACACTTGTGTTTGTCTCGATCTGTACCCAGTCAATGGCTATAAATACTAAAGTTACCACTCTAACTAAAACACTTACCGATCGTTGGGACTTCAGCAATGAAAACCCTTCGGAGAGAATTGGCCACGCTCAGGTCTGTGTCTTCGATAGTAAATTTGATCTCATCGTCCGTCAAAGACGTAGTTGTAATCGTTGGTTGATTGGCAAAAGGCATAACTTGAAGAATTTGAGAGAATTATTTCTAAAATTTCGCTTTCGAAAATTTTTTTAAGCATTGTTTTAGTTTCTGTTCTTCGAAGCGAAAGATTGTTCTTGGCATTGTGTCTTAGTTTGAGGAAAATTATAGAAAAAATTTTCCATAAGAAAATCAAAATTGCAATTCTAGTTTACAAGCCTTATTTTGGCAACATGGAGTACCTAGTAGATCATCTTGTTGTTGACTCGAATGCTTTGATCAAGAATGTTATGACAGTGGTAAGATTTTATCAAGAAACTATTTTTTGTTTCAGAAATCCGGAGAGAATGTATATACCATTGACGAGGTCGTGAAAGAGCTCAGGGACAAGGAGACAAAAGAACGACTTCGAAATGCTCTTTTTGATTTGAATTTGACTAAAGTTACACCGGAATCTGTGAAGAAAGGTAAGGTAACATGGCTTTAAATTTATGCTTCTAGTTGTCGAGGTTTCCAAAAAGACTGGAGATTATCCTGTGCTTTCGTTGACTGACATTAATGTTCTCGCATTGACGTTGGACCTTCATATAAAACACCTTGGAGAAAGCTCGGCCAATTATAATGTGCAAGATGTGAAAGTATTAATTGAACAAAAAATGGATGAAGTTACGGTTGATGATACTAAAATACCTGGATTTGTATGCCCAGATAGCGACGAGGAAGAAGAGGATTCTGAAGGCGAATGGCTGGATGATACCACGTTAAATGGAGCGTTTGAAGATGGCAGTGGAAAGATGAAGGTAGCATGCATGACTTCTGACTTCGCTATGCAAAACGTGTTGTTGCACATGAACCTAGGCCTGCTGGCTGTTGATGGACAAAAGATAACACAACTCAAGACATACATTTTGCGATGCAGGTAATTCGTTTTACAAAATTTTTCAATTTAGTGATAAGGTTAGCTCATTAAACCTATCTTTATAGATCATGTTACATGTTGATTCGAAAGATGGATAAACAATTTTGTCCCAAATGTGGCAACAAGAACCTACACCGAGTTTGTGTTAGTATTGACAAAGAGGGAAAGACTAAAGTGCATTTGAATGAGCAGAAGTTGTTGGTAACAAGAGGCATGAACCGTGTCAGTAGGAACATTAAGGGTGGAAAACATGATAATTGTGAAGTCTTTTTCGAAGATCAACGAATTCCCCAGAACAGACTTGCCAAGATCCATCAGGTTTATATATTGATATTTATAAAATTATATACGTTTATTTAATTACTGCTTCATTACGTCAGTTACATTATTGTAAAGTAATGTAATTTTGTTTACGCAGTACTGGGAATATTAATACTCTGTTTTGCAGAACGAAGTGTCAGATTCTCCCTTCGCTACAAATGATGTCACTTCGAGGTCAGCTATACTCGGAATCAGATCCCAGTTCCATTCAAAAGGGGATTCACAAGGTTACACGAATCCTAAGGGCCGAAAGAAGGGCCGACGGGTTTAAGCAGAACATAATTTGTTGTTGTTGATTGTTATCTGTTCTTATAAATTTTCACTTTTAACACGGAATCTTGAATAATATGGTTGTAAACACCGATTAAACTTTTTCTAAATATTATCTTGTTAGTGATATCACATGCATGGCCAGCAGAATTCGTGATGTGTGGGCTTGATTAAAACCGTGAAGAAACATGATTATAATTCACTAATAATAGCATGACATCTTTCCAGGTTAGACCACACCCTTAAAAATAGTATGGTATGTGAAAAATGTAAGTGTTTGCTCCTGTAACCCGTTGAAAACAATATATTAATCTTAATATTATATTAAAGCGTAACAAATAAGTTGCAGGTACTTCAAAACTGACCAAGCTAGCTACGATACACAAAGGACCGAGTTCGTCGAAGAAAGTGACAAATGAGAACAAACTTCTGACATCGAAGGCCAGGTTCAAACCTGAAAAGGAGACCTTCAAGAAGTGCAGGATATGCAAGAAGATGTGTCATCATGTAGCCGCCCATTACTGCCAAGATTGTGCCTATCAGAAGGGAATCTGCCCAATGTGCGGGAAGAAAGTGTTGGAGACCAACAACTACAGGCAAAGTCTAGTTTGATATGGTTTAATCTATTATATGTACATATATTCGTATTTTAATAAATTATCGCCTTTTCCGTTTCTTGACTATCTTCGAAGGTGATAGAATGGCACTTTCTGTTCGTTTCTCTAACGATGAAGCGTAGTTCCAGAAGGAGGTGGCACCGTCCCACTGTAATAAGGCCGAGTTATAAAACAACTTTAGCATTAACGTTTCGAATATAATATTAAATATTTTTTTAGTATTCTCAATAATAAAAAACATTGAACTCACAGAAGCGGTGACAATCTCGTTGTTCTCCGGATGCCAGGAACAGTCTCTCACGACGCTTTTGTGGCCACCAAATTTGGCCTTCATTTTCCCGTCAATTATGTCATAAACTAAAACGTATTGAATCTCGATCATGCTCACTTACCGACGCAGTTTCCAGTAGCACACCCAGTGTAAATGTATCGTTTGCCAGTCGATTCTGGAGAGAACTTGGCCCTCACTAGAGTATGAAGAACGGAATGCCCTTTCATGGTTAGTACTGAGCAGTCTCCGTCCATTAGCTCTTGATTCATTTCCGTTGGGGCTCTTTGGTACCTGTAGTCCCATTGTTGGGATTGAACTGAATTTAACGTGTTCTTCTGAAACCATGTAGGTTAATATACGTATACTTCAGATGTACTTTTAATAATACTACAATTAGTAGCCACTTACAACTGCTGTCTGTGAAGCTGTATGTCTCAAATCCCACAGTTTTATCGACTGATCTTTGGAGTTTGAGAGGAAATAACGACCGTCGTCTCGAGAATCCAGGTACGTTACACCGTCGTAATGGCCTGCCATTATGCCCACAGGTTCAGCCCGATTGCTTGATCCTATCGTCCTCCTATCCCACACCTTCAAATAGTTAGGTGAAAATAATTCATTGTACGGTTATTTACGATCATCTACCATTTTAATCAAGAATACATCACTTACCTTAATCAGTCCGTCATCAGCACCAGTCAGTATCAAGTGCGAACTTTGATCCACGAATGATACAGCATTAACGTCGTCATCGTGAGCGTTAACTGACAGCACACATCGCTGCGATTCTCTGTCGTAGATGTACATATACCTGTCTGTAGAGCCGGCTACAATCTCTGTTCCTGAGCTGTTAAATCGAATCGAAAACAGCGCAAACCTAAAATACGACGATGAGTCTATTGTAATATTATAAACCACACTTCTCAGCACTATTTTTACCTGGATTCCTGAGCTTCGACTCTCAATGGCAGCCAGTTCTCGACGTCCCCTTCCAAGGCACATTGGTACATAGCGTCGTTCCATGTTGAATACACCAAATCACGGCCGTCTGGACTGACTATAACATCTAATATAGTCCATCCAACATAAGGCACATCGATGACTTTGTACAGGTAATAACCGTCGTCCGAGTTGCTTTTGTACCATCGTATCTTGTGGTCCTGACTGGCTGTGATAATGCCTTGATCATTAGGAACGTGAAAGGCACAAAACGTCTTCGATCGGATCGCATCCAACTTATGACGAGAGTTCGCAAGAAATCTGAACATGAGATACAAAGGGTGATATAACTTACTTGTTACTGTATCCTGTCTTCTCTCCTAACGAAAACCCACTGCTTCTATTTCGGTATAGCCTTCGATCACAGCACGGCCTCCACTGTGCCCCCAGTTCTCGTTGTTGTAACAAAGTGCATAAACTGTTGTGATGGCAACATTTACTGTCACTATAAGTCCCTGCTCTTATTGAAGTATCCACCAACAGCTCGTTGTAACTCTAAAAATATAATTAAAACGATCAACTCAAAATTTTTAAATATAAAATACAACTTATCAACTAAAAACCAACCTTTTTAATCGCATCGTTGTTGGATCTTATCACCCGATAATGTCGGTTATCCGATACATCACCAAACGACATTGAATTCGAAGACGTACCTTCACTTTCTTCCTTAAATGTGATGATTAAAGTAGACGAGACTACAAGATAGACCAGCAGAAACTACACACTACACTTTATATTCACGATCGACTCAGTTAAGTGCCTTACCTGTTCTCCGGTGTCTTGTTGAATTGCCTGGAAAGCAGACAAGTCTCTGAGCTGATTAAGCAAGTCACGTTGTGCGTATTCGTCCAGCAGTGAAGATCGGTTGTTGTAGTCGGAAGACTCAGCAGCTCCCATCAACTACAAGAAACTACCATACAAGTCAAAACAGAAGCCAAGACAAGTATTGCAAAGAACATAACTTTATAATCATGTCATGAAAGTGCAAATAAAAGTTTATTAGCTAATCCAATTCATCTACATCAGTAATTACACGATCTTTTTCTCCTTCCGGCCATTGAGACGGGTCGACCGGTTGGCGACAGATAGGGCAGGTCTTTTGTCGCTCCAGCCACGGCGTAATACAATCTTTGTGGAATATGTGTTTGCAGTTGAGTTGTGCCACTTCTTGGTCAAGTTCAAAATTGTCAAAGCAAGTGGTGCATTGAGTTCCGTTTTCAACATGAGTAGAAGTAACATTGATTATCGGGACGCGTTTTATGTCTGACTTTGACAATCCAATGTTCTGCTCGTAACCGTTAAGCAATTGCGTTATAATCTCATCAAAATTTGCGTCTCCCAACGCATAATCACCAAGATTCGTTGTTACTCTAAAATTATCTTCATTATAATAACCAGGACGGATTGCATTAATTCTTGAAAAAAAACGCTTACCCACCACCGTTGTTACCTCTTCCAATCTGAATATGTACTTGTCCTCCTTGTGGAACGTTGGATGAGAGATTTGCCATTATTTGGTTGAGAAATTGACCGAATATTTCATTAGGATTGTTGCTACCGGACTGTTGTTGACCATTAGCATTAGAATTATTCGGACTTGGCTGCCTTGGAGCGTTATTTTGCCTACTATCACCAGAAGGTTGTGCAAAAAACAAACTGCCAGATGACGGTCCAGCAGCTCCTATCAAACTTTGCAAAAACTAAAGAAGTAATAATATAAAGAATTGAATAACTTACAGCAGGGAAACCTTCCGGCTGGGCTCCTGAATTGACACGATTTCCACCGACAAAAAATGAAATTTGTGCAGGACCTCTATTGGTTATATTGAATGCTGGTTGTGGTGCAACCTCTTCAATAAACTCGCCATCACAACTGGAGCAGCGTAGATGCTAAACAAAGCACTTAAACCTTAAGTAGAACTTACTTGATTTGCATCTACAGTCCTCTCACACTGATAACAGTAATAAGGCATTTTTACATTTGTAAAAAACTACAACAACGTAATGTAAAAAGCACGAGAAACACCTTTTCGTGATTCAATATGTTATTGCGAAAGCTAGTCAGCGAGCTGCGTGGAAATATTTGATCGTATAACAAACTTTTCTTTGGGAATCTGTGAGTTTTTAGAGAAAAAATAACAAATATAGTAGTTGCAGGGCCCAATATATTTTTGACCCCGAATTCTTGTTTAAAAAACTTACTTTTAAAATATTGTAGTTGATATTTTAGGAAATGCGGAAAAAACTAGACAACCGGCTTCGGGTTTTGATTGAAAATGGCGTTGCCACATGCCACCGATCCATGTTTGTTGTTGTTGGAGAGAAGGCCCGTGACCAAGTAGTTTTGCTACATCATATTCTGTCCAAAGCTTCTGTTTCTGCTCGACCTTCTGTCTTATGGTGCTATAAGAAAGAACTCGGCTTCAGTTCCCACAGAAAGAAGCGTATGCGAGAGATCCAGAAGAAGGCCAAGCATGGCAACATTGACTTAAAGGTAAGTTACTTTATATAATTGTGTAAAATTATTTTATTTTATACATTTTCATGGTTTAGGAAGATGATCCGTTTGAAAACTTTATTGCTTCTACTGAAATCAGATATTGTTATTACTCGGAGACAGAAAAGATTTTGGGTAACACTTATGGATTACTGGTTCTGCAGGAATTTGAAGCAATTACACCAAACATATTGGCAAGAACTATCGAAACTGTCAAGGGAGGAGGTCTTGTCTTGTTGTTGTTACCTACAATCAGTAATTTGAAGCAATTGTATTCTATTAGTATGGTAAGCTTTTGAGTATATACTTTTAAATTTAGTATATTTTATTAATGTTCATTTCTTTAGGATGTTCACAGCCGATATCGAACGTTTGCTCATCAACAAGTTATCAACAGATTTAATGAAAGGTTCATATTATCATTGACAGACAACCCGGACTGTGCTTTGATCGACGATCAGCTTAACATCTTGCCCTTATCTTCTCACATTCTCAACTTGGAAGCTGTTCCACCGACTCTCAAGATGACAAAGACTGATTCTGAAGTCGAATTGGACAGTTTAAAGGAGAAGATGTCGGATGTCAAGCCCTTTGGTACCATACTAAAGGAGTGCAAGACTTTGTGTCAAGCTAAGGCGGTTCTTCGGTTATTGGACATTCTGACAGAACGAACATCATCAGCTATATGTGCTATAACGGCTGCCAGAGGGCGTGGGAAGTCGGCTGCATTGGGCTTGGCCATCGCTGGAGCTGTAGCCTTTGACATGACAACTATATATGTAACCAGTCCAGCACCTGACAATGTCAAAACGTTGTTTGAGTTTGTGATTGAAGGCTTTAAAGCTTTGAATTTGAAGGAGCATATTGATTACACCATCCAGTATTCAAACCAAGCTCAACAGAAAGGTCTGATCCTGGGCTTCCAAGTGTTCAAGAACCACAAACAGATTATTAAAGTAAGTTCAGTTGTTAAATACATTTAATTTAGTATTGTGAAAATAACTAATGAGTTTTTCAGTACCTTGATCCTTCTGAACATCAAATATTGACCCAGGGAGAACTTCTTGTTATTGATGAAGCTGCTGCTATTCCTCTACCAACTGTCCAGAATCTCACAAAAGGTAAGTCTTTAAAGTTAAATCTTATAAAAAGTTTAGGTAACAATATTGTGTTCTTCTCTTCAACAACTCATGGCTATGAGGGGACAGGAAGATCGTTGTCTTTGAAGTTGATCAGCAAGTTGAGACAGAAGTCGGTTACTAATAAAGAAGGTGGAAGTCATGTAGGACGAGTGCTACACGAGATGAGTTTGGAAGAGAGTATACGTTACAAAGCCGGGGACAACATTGAGAAGTGGCTCTTCAAACTGTTGTGTTTGGATGCCATGAACATTACCTACAAGATCTCTGGCACGCCTCCTCCAGAAGTGTGCCAGTTGTACTATGTTAACCTCGACTCCCTGTTTTCTTATCACAGAGCGGCCGAGTTATTCTTGTCAAAGGTGATGAGCATCTTCGTTTCAGCTCATTACAAGAACAACCCCAATGATCTCCAGATGTTGTCAGACGCCCCTTCCCAACACTTGTTCGTGCTCATGAGTCCTGTGTCTAACGAGTCTACTGATGTCCCAGATGTAAGTTTTATACTTTTACACTTTACATTTAGCATTATCTGTTTAAAATGTTGTAATTGTTTAAGAGTTTTTAAAAATATTTAATATTTTAGGTATTAGCAGTTGCTCAAATAGTTCTTGAAGGTGAACTACCCGAACAAGTAACAAGTAAAGAACAATCTAAGGGAAAGCGGGCAGCTGGTGATCTAGTTCCTTGGACTTTGTGTCAATATTACCTTGTAAGTCGTGAGTTGTCAACAAATTTTGTTGTGATAGTTATTATTTCAATTTTATTTTGTACTTCTGGTATATAATATTTTGCTATTCAGGACTACACTTTCCCTAAGTTGGCTGGAGCCCGAGTTATTAGATTGGCAGTTCATCCAGAAGTTCAAGGAATGGGTTACGGTGGAAGAGTGATCGAACAACTCCAAGAGTATTACGAAGGAAAGATAGTTTGTGTTAACGAGAAGAGTGAGGAGGACTTCAAGATTCACAACATCAAGGTATACTTAATTTTAATAATATTACAATGTTTTAGATACTTCCTTACATAATATATATGGCTTTATTTTATGTTGCGATTACTTTTAGAATGACCTGGACGGAGGATCTGAGTTGAAACCTCCAACAGAGTTACCTCCACTGCTCAGAGGGTTGTCTGAGAGGAGAGCTGAGCGACTTGACTACGTTTCAGTATCATATGGACTTAATGTAGAGCTTCTGAAGTTTTGGAAGAGGAATGGATTCATTCCAGTCTACCTTCGTACTGTGCCTAGTCCAATCACAGGAGAGTTTAGCTGTATCATGCTAAAGAGTTTGGAGAATGATGGAAACACTGAGATCGAAAAGGGAGCTGATTGGGTATTCAAGTACAATGCGGAGTTCAGAAGACGATTCTTATCACTTCTTGGGTATCAGTTCAAGACCTTTTCCCCTCAGCTTGTTCTGAGTGTGATACAGAAGGCAAAAAATCAGAATTCTGGTTCAAAAGGTAACTTTTTTGATGTTAATTTTGATTTTTTATGTTCAATGGTTTTTAAAATTGTATTATAATTACTTTTTAGTGCTGGACAGGAACGAATTGTCATTGTTTTTATCGGATTCTGACTTGAAGCGTTTGTCAAGTTACACTAAGAACTTGGCTGATTACTCTTTCATTGTTGATCTACTTCCTCAAATCGCATCGCTCTACTTCAACGACCAGTTGAAAGATGTAAGTAACTACAATAGTTAATGATTTTTTAAATATTACTATACTTTTTAAGAATATTACTCAAGATTTACTACCTTTAGGTGGAGTTGAATGCATTACAATCGGCTTCGTTAATTGCTATGGGATTGCAACGAAAAATGGCAGAAGATGTGGCCAAGGATCTGGGTATAGAAGTTAGTCAACTGATGGCACTTTTCAATAAGTGTGCCAGGAAACTGTCTGATTACTTCGACGAATTGTGCAAAAGCGCGATTCAGATGCCACAATCAGTAGCCGCAGACACGATGAAGCCGACAGAAAAGTCGTTGATCGAAGAGCTGAAGGCGGCCGAAATGGAGATAAGAATGCGACAGGCCAAGGACAAAATGAATTTGACAGAATCCCTCGGATTGTCTTCAAGTTCACTTGACCCAGCTCTTAAACAGTTTGAGATCAAGGCTGGAGATGAGGAATTTGCCAAGGCTGTGAGTGATGTTCATCTGAGTCACGCCAAGGGAGGGATTCTGTCATTGAAGACAGACAAAGGGTGAGATTTTAAAGTTAATTAAAGTAAGAATTCAAAGTTTGAAATGAATAATATTATTTTAGAAATGTCCCTCGGAAGTCACTGATAGACACAGAGCTAGAAGAATCGTTTGGCAACAAGAAGGCCAAGCGGCCAATGAAGGGCGGAAGCACGAAGAAGGTGAAGAAGTTCAAGAGAAACTAACCAAGCTTTGTTTTACTTATATTGTTGTTGTTTTTTGTTGAGTTATTACACGTTATTAGACCAATCAGTTGAAGTTGTGGTGTTTTACCATTGGAAAAAGCCGTAAAAATCAAAAATGCCTTGTTACGATGCATATGCCCTGCCCTGCGTCCAACCTTGCTTTGAGTCATTGCTCGTTTACGCCAGAACACCGGTGGTTTAGCAATAATATGTATCTATCATTAAAAAATAGGTTTTCTACATTTTTAAGCATTACAGCCTGTGTCCATTGCAAACTATGATGGTATACTTTGCTTTACGACTCCAGCCAGAGGTAAACAGTCAAATAGTGTAGTGCTACTATTTTTTATATAAAAATTAACTGAAATTTTAGATGTGGTCCAGAATCATACAACATTTAAGGACTATAGATGATGTTTGTTCATTGGCAATGGTGAACAAATATTTCTACAAACTTGTCAAGTTGGACTTTAAACAGTTGTGTTACGACCATGTAGTATATCGCCTGAAAGGCGAGACTTGGTCTTATGCTTTTTCTGAGTAGGGGTTTTCTCAAAAAGTTTATGATACATATGTAAAGAATATTCGGGGCTACTCTATTTAAGCCACCCACATTAATAGACACACCCACTACCTATTATGACCACCCATTTATTCAAATTTGAGTTTTTACAAATAAAATTGTAAAAACATTTCAAATAATGGAAGCGGTCGTTTTGTCGGGATACGGCTTCGTCCAAGTTGAATTGCATCAGGTTTTCGTGGTCTTCTTTTGGGATGTTTAGTGCCGGTTCATACGTCGATTCTAAAATTACGTACTGAACTATATAGTGCTTCTGATAATGGGTGTGCTAACTAAGAAATGGGTGTGCTAACTAAGAAATGGGTGTGCTCAGGGACGTCGTTTGGGGGGTGGCAGGGGGGGGGACCCCCCCCCCTCCAGAGCCGATCCGAAAAAAATTCCACAGGTACCTGTACGCGGAAAAACGAATAAAAAAATTTTTGAAAAATCGGTCCACAGGTAGCTGTGGACCAAAAAAAATTTTTCGACCTCCCCCCCTCCCCAGAGAAAAACCGTAGCGACGTCCCTGGGTGTGCTAATATGAATTGTTGATATGATTATAGATATGAAGTTCGCGCAGACGATACTTCGAAATCTAAACGACTTTACCAACGATCTGCGGTGTGCTGTCCGTTTACTGGAAAAATTGCTATGCAATATTGCAGAGGTTATGTCGTATTAACTAACATTGACTTTGGCCTTAAGGAGTTCACTATGCTCAACTTCACTGACCTTACAGATGGGATCTCGACAGTTAATATAATAAATCGCGGAAAACAACTTCTGGTTGGTGCTCCCTCTTTCGTAATCGTATACGATCTGCATGATATGGCCGTAGTATCTACGCACGAACAAGCACAAACTCTTACACCTAATTATCAAGTATTATACGAAACTTATGTTTTTGACTTTTACAGCTTAAAAGAATTCTCCATTAACCCAAAGTTCCCAAATGGTAATATATACTACATAAACATATATGATAAACAAAAATATATTTTTGTACATACCGTGGACAACAAACTTGTTCTAATCAATAATGAGACGGATGAACGGCATCAAATTTGTGAATGGACACAACCAATGGATGTCTATGTCATCACGGAAAATAATTCTGTTGTTATTTTAAGTATGTCTTTAGTAATATTAAATTATAAGTTTAGCACTAGAATGAAACTAACTATTAAGGAAAATAATAATCAATGAAGACTATAGTGTTATTACTGCAATATACAATGAAATCATACAGTTTTAGGTTCGCGTGTTGGATCTCGAGTATACAGTATTTTAAGAAGAAAGTTTGTGTTTGATGAACCAATACCAGACCGTGACCCTTTCACCTTTTATGAGCCAAGAGATGCCGACTGGGTTGTCTTCAATTCCAATGCTCTTTTCAACAAAGCCACCTCGTATGGTAAGTTAAAAAAATTAAATCTATTTTTAAACTTATCATGTAAACTACTTTATATTTAATTTTCGCTATAAAACCGTATTTTTGAATTTTCAGTTTTTGGTCTATAACAAGCGAATTGACAGTTGGCATGAATTAAAAGAGCCTCGAATTAACTTATAAAACTGCTAGTAGTGGCTTTGTACGTTTGCAAACCTGCAAGGTCATGGAATCGTCCATAAATAACGTCACGCAACGTGTTCTTTTGAATTTCGAAAAAAGCAAGTTTGTTAGATTTGGTATTATGTTCACAAGATATACGTTTACGATGCCTCCGAATAGATAACTAAAAAATAGGTAACTTCGGAAAATAAGCACCAAGCAAAGCTCTCCACTTCTCTCCAAAACACCCCTTATTAAAAATATATTTATAATATATAATCCTAACCCAAACCCTCCTTCTATCCCTACTCATACCCCTATTCTTACCTCTACCCTTAGCATACTATATCCTGCTATAACATACCCCACTATAATATACCTAACGAACAGAAAATAGTAAGTTATGCTTGGGTAGGTTATGGTAGGACATAGTATGATAAGAGTATCTTATGCTAAGGGTAGAGATAGGGGTAGGGGTTTGGTTACCTATTTTCCCAGGTTACCTTTTCACCGGCAATGCTTGAATACAATTGAAACCTTGGTACAACCGCCCAAAGATTTTTAAAATCGTCAACATTTATACACATGTTTTAGATGGTGTTCGAGCGAAAGCTTTCAACAACAAGGTTGAAGATAAAAAGAGTATTATTAACAAACACCATATCTCGATGTTGGGTTCTGTCTCTCTTTGGCCAAAACAACAGTTTTACTACTGGGTCTCTCGACTACACATTGCCAAAAAAAAGGTCCTTACAATCAACGCCGTAACTGGATCTCAAAAATATTGGAAAATTTATCCACCGACAAAAAGGACTATTGATAAAAACCGCTTTCCGTTTGGTCAATAAATACGTGTCAATGTTACTTCTCTTTTGCTAACTCTGAAAACGTCGTTTTACCTTATCTTGACTCTACCCTACCTTTATTCTACCTTTACCATACTCTTACCCTGTATGTGTTAAGGTAGAGCAGAAGGCCAAGCGCCCAATGAAGGGCGGAACACGAAGAAGGTAAAGAAGTTCGGGAGAAACTAACCAAGCTTTGTTTTACTTTTATTGTTGTTGTTTTTTGTTGAGTTATTACACGTTATGAGACCAATCAGTTGAAGTTGTGGTGTTTTACCATTGGAATATCCTGACTATCTTGTTCTTGGGCCAATTCCTTATCAGAAACTTTCGTCCCTCGTTGAATGCTATCAGGTAGATACCCACAATTGGAGCAAACACCCACACATGGCTAGGAGGTACGTGTATGTCCATTATGTACTGCATAGCTGGAGTATAGACGAACACGTTCAAGAGCAGAATCTCGATAATCACGGCGAAGACACTAACCAGATTCGTGATACCGTGCTGGAAGAAGGACACTCTTCTAGTGGTACACATGTACAAGTGGAACACTTGGGACATGACCAGGGTTACCTGCCAGGCGGCAGCTGCCTGACCTCTGATGTACATTTGTTCTTGTTCCGTGAACACAAGGCCATCAGAAGTCGTAAAGTTCTCGGCTTCTACCCGCCAATGATGCTCGGAGGTATAGAGAAGGTCGAAGAAGCTGATGTTGTGATGCCTATAGTTATGTTTTTAGTGTATAAGGTCTTTTAGAAGCTTTTAATGTTACTGTAACGACTTACCAGTAGATACTAAGATAGGCGAAGAAGCACCCAGCAGTTATGATACATCCAGAGAACCCGTAAGAGTAGAGGAGGAGGTTGTTCGTGACTAATGCTGTAGTCCGAGATCGTGGTGGTATCTTCATGATGTCTCGCTCCGGAGACTCGTAGGCCAAGGAGACTGCCGGGGGCAGTTCGCTGGCCAAGTCGATACTTAAAATCTGATAATTGATTAAAAAGTAATGGCCAGTTACCTGAAGTGGCTCCAGCCCTAAGGGCATTCCGAGTACAAAGTTGATGATTATAGGGAAGATCTCCGGCCATAAGTGAGCCAACTAAAAGAAAACTTTTGTATTGTTACCCAAACTTACCGTATACGCAATAGACAGTCTGAGGTTGTCAAACAGCAACCGACCTTCTTCTATTCCCTTAACAATACTGGCGAAGTTGTCGTCTGTCAGTATAAGGTCCGCCACTTTCTGAGCAATATCACTTCCGTTCACTCCCATAGCTATACCTACATTAGCCTTGGCTAGTGCTGGAGCATCATTCACACCCCCGCCTGTCACAGCCACAGTCTCGCCTCGCTCCTGACATTCCTTCACGATGAGAAGCTTCTGTTCCGGCGTCGTTCTGTAATTCACGTTCTTTTCCAACCTTCGTATTGTTAATTATGGCATGAACAATATAGAAATCTGTCTGAAAAGCCCTTACCGTGCAAATATAATGTACTTGTAGGACAGGAGATGATCCCATTGTTGTTTTGTCATGTCGGTCAGATCTTCTCCTTGCACAACAGTCCAGTCCACGTTGCTACTGGCTTCTACGCTTAACTTCACTTGCTGTCGACCGTGTGCTTCAACCTTAAACACGTTGTTTGTGTGTATAACTCAAAACCGTAATCATATTAGGATAAGTTACCTTCTCTGTATGGCGACCAACAAGACCAATTTGGGAAGCGACAGCAGTTGCTGTAGTCGGGTGATCTCCAGTGATCATGAACACTTTGATTCCGGCTTCTTTGCACTGCTGGATGGCTGCGCTGGTTTCAGGCCTAAAAAGTTACAGTAACCATTAAAAATAAAAAAAGAAACAAATAGTAAAAAAGGTATACTGTAAAACTTTAAATTACCTAGGCGGGTCCATCATGGCGCACATTCCCAAGAACACCAGACCGTCCGTGCTCTCCGTCTTGTCGAACTTCTGATGCGACTTCTCTCTGAAGTGCTTGTGAGCGAAGGCGATCACTCTTCGTCCTTCATTGCCGAAGTATTCCCAAGATTCTTGACATCGTTGGCGGAATTCATTGTTGATCTCCACCAGTTCTTCATCAATCAGAGCATATGTACATCGAGCCAAGATGACTTCAGGAGCGCCTTTCATCATCGTCACGTAGATCCAATGCTCTTCATCAGCATCTTGAAGACCGTGAGCATCTGGAGACTGAGGTTTAGCCAAACATCGACTGACTACAAGTTGCCAGCGGCGCACCGAATTGAATGGGATCTCCAGAATCGTCTAAATTACAGTTTAAAAGCGTGATTCAATGCGATATGCAATACAGTAGGAAGATGATTCATTGAAATGTTAACTCACATGGAAACGTTGTCGGACGCCTTCTACGCTGGCCGTCTTCTGAACGTACCTGAGAAGAGCGACGTCAGATGGAGATCCGATCAGGTCGTTCCTCTTCTTCCGGTGCTTCTTCTCCTTCTTCCTCTCCTCCTCTTCAAAGTTGTACACTCCGTCATTGGCAGCATCAGTACTAATTTGGCTAGGCATGTCCTTCGTGGGTTCGTGCACTGATTCGTTGCCTGACTGATCTCTAAACCAAGTATCAAATAAGCATTAAGGTTATATAACACAACATATAATCCTACCATACATATAACTTTTGACTTTAAGATTGCTTACATTACAGTAAACCTTTTGGTTCTGGTAGAATTCAGCTTTTCACGATGTGCCTTCTCGAGTTCTCGAATACTGGATACCTTCTTGAGGGAACGTCGTGACCCTACGGAGGCCGAGTTGCAGACAGCCATCACAGAGAGGAGTTCAGGTAAAGTGGGCTCCAACTTCTTCTTCGAAGATATCTTCAGTGTCCGAATCTGTGGCTGTTTGATGTCAGCGTGGACTGAAAGTGTTATCGTTTCAATAAGTTCAAAAAATAATAAGTTGTAAACTACAGTACTACAAAAAACATGATACTACTTTTATTCGATCTTACTAGAGTAATGTCGACTGTTGTACCATAAATCAGTCAAGATCATGAGATTCTCCGTCAGAGTACCAGTCTTGTCCGTAGCCACTACTGTAGTAGCTCCGAGTTCGTCGATGACGTCTAGCTTCTTGATGAAGACATTCTTTTTGGCCATTCGTCGAGCTATGATAGCCAATTGTGACATCACCATAGCCGGCAGTCCTTGAGGCACATTAGCTACGATGATAATCAAGAATCCGGTCACAAAGTGGTACAATATATTCTCGAATCTGGCCACGACAATGCCAATCAAAAAGAATACCACGCCCATACTCAATGCAATGATAGAGATCAGCTGAACGAACTTGGCAATCTCCTTCTGAAGCAGACTCTCGTTGATGACAACATTGCTCTGGATACTGGCAATGTTACCCAGCACCGTGTAATGTCCTGTACGAATGACACAAGCAATAGCGTCGCCTTCGATACAGTACGACCCTTTGAAGGCTACGTTTCTGGCATCAAACACACTGACGTAAGAAGCCGCAGCTTCGTGAGTGAAGTCAAGAGGTTGGACCTCTCCTAAAAGTTGTGGTAACACATTAGTTATATTCATGATGGTAGCTATACGAACATGGATATCAATATGTTACCTGTTATTGCTGACATTTCCAACTTGAGGCCAAACGCTTGTAAGATACGGGCATCAGCTGGTACTCTTTGACCTGCTCGTATGTTGATTATGTCACCAACTACAAGCTGTTCAGCAGGGACTTGTCTCTCTTCACAGTCACGAATTACAAATGAATTCTGAGGTAAGATGGACTTGAAGTCACTTACTACCTAAAGATGATGTTATATTATGTTGCTGATATGTCGTACTAACAAAGTTGGTGCTTATATTTATGACATGAGTTTTTTACTTTTTTGCTATATCTGTCAATTTTACAAACCATTACCCTCATAGCTTTCTTTTCTTGTAAGAACGACATAATACTCATACATACGACAATACACATCAGTATGACAGCACAGTACAGATTCAGAGGCTCTTCGTTGTTGTGGTACAAGTGGATAAAGTAGGTTATGATACTGAGGACGGCGGCCCCAATTAAAAGGATCCAGAACTTGTAGAGGAACTGTTTTGCAAACAATCGTATGTTACTGATCTCTTTCGGAGGTTTTATCACGTTCTTCCCTCCATCTCGGAGCCTTTTTCTAAAGTATGGGGTTGGATAAACATCAACAAAGCTTTTCACAACAAACGTTCTACTGATTTTCTTACTAATTCTATCAACTTTTTGAACCAAGTTTAGTAAGAAATGGCACTTATAAAGTAAGTTCGTTTTCAAGTATATTGCCTTTTAAGATACCGTAAAATTCCAAGAAAAATTGTGAAACAAGGTGAATATAGCTATAAAACCGGCTTCAAGTGGACAAAGCCGGCTTCAAAAATACCTGGCTTCTGTTGAGCTGAGACCGTCACTGTTCTCCGGGCTTTCCACATCAATGTACGAGTCAGGGTACACGTCCTGAAGCTCGGCGACGGTGAGATGGTGCTCGACGAAGGTGTTGGCTACGTCCTGACGCCGCTCCTCCGGCGATTCCGCGGATTCGGACTTTTTGCGCTTGCGAAGACACCTCCTGATCCATCGATGGAACATGCTCGACGTTAAACTGGACCGCTTTTACTTTATTTTAAGGTCAAAAACCGAGAGCGACCGTCACGTTTTGTGTAAACTGTGAGCGATACCTGTTTGCCGACCTCCCGCAATTCTCTTTATTATGTTTATTATACACCACATCCACAATGTAGCGGCTTTAATTCGGTTATATTCGAGACTGAAGGGGGATTCGGGATGCCCGGCTTCACAAACGGCCGATGGCTGAAGCGGCGTTCCCTCCGCTGTGTCCTCACTCTACAACATGTGCTTCTGTAGGTTTCAAGGCTGACAAGCTTCTGATGACAACCTTTGTGTAGAATCTAAATTATATTACAATTGCCTGTCTTTTTGTAATTTAAAACTTTTAGTTTTTGAAAATGGCCCTGCCTCATATTGGACTGTACTCGTTGATCTTTGGGTACCTGATGTTCGGGGCTTGGGCCTTCAAAATGTTCGAATTCGAAGCCGAACGAGAGCACAGTAGGCAGAAGCTGGACAAGATCGAAGCCGTCTACAAGACTATTGATAAGACTGCCAACTCGGTTTGTGGCAAGATCAACTCGGCAGAGTTGTACCATTCACTATCAAAGTAGGTACTACAATATGTTTGGGTACAATATTAATGTGTTTTGTTGCTGTATATGACCAAATGACTGTAGATTGTCGAGCTACATGGAAGACAGACCTTTTCTGATGAATCCGTATGCTGAGAATGATGCTGACGACCTGCTACCGTCCAAGTGGGACACAATGTCATCAATTTTGTATGCTCTTTCTATTCTGGTAAGTTATCAAAGTTGAAATTTACATCTTAAAATATTGGTAAAAATTATTAAAATCTAGTTCATTACAGACTACAACAGGTTACGGTTACGTGAATCCGACTACTGTATTGGGGAAGACATTTTCGATGGGATATGGCTTCATCGGGATACCTTTGATGTTCCTAGCGGCCGTTGACATTGGCCGATTTCTGTCACATGTTGTGTTACACATCTACAACCAGTTTCAAGTAATTTAAAAATATTTTAAGAACTAACAACCTTATCTGGACACTTCCTTGGTATTGTGTTTACTTTGGCATAATTTTATTTTAGGTAATATCATTGGTTTCATAAATATTTTTATTACAGCAAAGTAAATTCCGCCTACTTTGGTTTTGTCCCAAGAAGAACGAGGTCATCTCTCAGGTCGAGACCAAAGCCCTCAAGGTACTAACCCCAATCAAAAGAAAATCCTTCAGTCGAAAGTCATTCAGGAAGAAGAGCAGCAAGAAGGAAGACAAGAACAACAAGAAACGACTGCCCTTATCAGTAAACGCCTCCATCTTGTTGTTGTTCTGTATGTTCGGAGGGTTGGTCTACATTGCCGCCGGGGGGAATCAGAAGACTTTCTTTGGTGCCTTTTTCGTCACCTTCAACCTGGTTGCAAACCTAACTATGGCTGAAATGCCAACCGACATTTCCCGAGCTCTTACTGTACTTTACATTACGGTATTCGTCACCTTTGGTAAGGAAACTATAGTGAAAGTTTTAGAAGTTCTTAAGCCAATCTAAAATATTTTATTTCTTTTTCAATCACAATATCAAAACGAATTTTCTCAGACGTTCATGTTATGAATAGCAATGTTATTTTATAGGCCTGGCTGTCCTTTCAATGTGCGCCGAATTGGCAGCTGGAGAACTAAAGTGGATATTCCTCAAGATTCATTATTTCGGCCGCAAAATAAACTGGAAACGGAAGCAGAAAGAGCAGAAGGAGGAGCAGATCGACATCGAGGTGAAGGAGTTGCTCAACATCATCAACCAGATCAAGGCCAAGTACCCGGAGAAGAGAGAGATCACCTCTGTAGACCTTCTCAGGTACGTTCAAGAGTTAAATGGGGGAACTCAGAATATCACTTTCAATATGTTCTTGAAACAACATCGACGAGACACGATAGCTTTCATGCCTCAGAGCATCGAAGCCTTGAAGTTTGCTGATGAAATGGATCTAGACGACCAGTCGGGGAAGGAAGACCTTGAGGTACCCGAGAAGGAAGACAACAATCTGTCCCTCAAGTTCTCAACTTGACAAAGTAACTTAACCTCTTTATGATACCAATGTAAACACTAAATCACACGTGTTATCACTATTAGTTTTAATCAACAACCGACGAAACTTGTTTGCAAACTTAACAACTTTACAAATTCAAAACCCGTGTGTTTTTCTCCACAGAATCGACCAGCAACTGTTGTTTTAAAGCATCTGACACATCACAGAGAGCGAGGTCAGCATGAAGTCGCACCACTTCGTCGGCATCACAACTTCGGCTTTGCTTCAAAGCCTTTATCAGTTGCGAATTGGCTGTTTTATTATTCTACAATCGTGTTTTGAAGACAATAAAACCCTTACCTGTAGCAGTGACGATACGTTTTGTGAGCTTAACATTGTTCGAAGAAGCATGCTACTAGCTCGTCTTACTATAGTCGGTTTCTTTGGCGAAAGAAATTCTTGGCAGGCGAACAAAAGCTGAAAATACAAGTCTTTAATAACATATATAATAAATCGTACAAAAATACAGTAATACAAAAGTACAAAGACATAGTTTACTTCAAAAAAGTTCTTCCAAAGGTATTTTCCTTTTGTAGCTTCGACTAAATTGACAAAGCCACTCAACGCCGAAGATAAGACAACATCGTCCGACAATGCCAGCATTTTTGTGAATACCAAGTTCAGCTGGTCGTAATATATAGCTGACACCTCTCCCAATTCCCAAAGGACCCTGGAGATCGCCTCTCCAAGTTGAACTTGGCCTTTCGAACAAGACTCACATTCTGAAACAATTTAGTAGGCAAATAAATATTGCAATACAAATACGGTTTCAGACTATAACAATACAGTAGGCTAAATCTGCAATCCTTACCTCCTTTTTCATCTTCACATTGGCACTCCCAATGTCTAAACAAGAACATTACTTTAGTCAAATACTCTGAATGTTTCCACAAAACCAGTTGAGCCAAGGCATTAACAGATGACAAATACACGTAAGAATCAGCATGCTTTATGTTATCTATAAATCCATTGTTATATCACATAAAAAGGCTCATTATGTCATAATTAAATCACAAAACTTACAAGTAAGAACATCAAAAACTTTTTGTGAATTCTGATCTACTTGAACATCGTGCCTCTTGATGGATCCACAGAGCTTGATGACCAAATGTCCTCTTTCTGCCATCTCCATACTTCCATCTTCTTCATCCTCGTGATCCGTAGACAACTTCTCCAGCATCACCTCTAATTCAGAAGTGTTCTTCTCATTGCCTGACCGTGCCAATGACTTTCCAAGTAACTTCAAAAACTGCTCCAAACACGTCTTCAGAGTCTTAAAGTCATCATTGACTAGGTTCATATTGTTCATAATAACAGAATAGACATCAGATGCACTATTCGTGCAATCATCGTACAGTTTCTTCACCTCATCTGATGCAAATTGGCTATAAACTCCTCCCAACAAGGCCAAACTCAATTGGGCTGTCTTGGCCAAGTCTGATTCGTTGAAAACTGTTTTTATATCCAACTCCCGTTGACGTAAGCAAAAGTCTGTCAACTGATGGTAAACTCGTACCAACGTTTCCTAAAACGTTTCTAAGCAGTATAGAATCAAAAATATATTTTTAGAATCATTTGAACACTTACTTTGACAACTCCCAAAATACTGATAACAACATCGTTGTCACCAAAACAATCTTTGTCAGCCAGCCACTCTCCCAAGTTACACATCAGATGCAACGTTACCCACACAGAATCCGTCCCTCCATCTGATTCCAGCCTTCCAAAGTCACGAACATAAGTGTTGTTAACGGAACTGTCATTCCACAACTTCATAGTTTTAGCTAACAAATGGGCAGCGATGGCATGAGCCTTTGAGTATGAGTTGAATATTGTTTTAGCTGCTTCGAAGAACGAATCACTCAATATTTCTTCTGATGGCTTTACAGCCAACGAGTCCACCCCAAAATGAAGCTCTATATTTGACGTAACTGGTACTGTCTTGATGCAACAGAGAGTCTTAAAACATTGGAGCAAAAACTCTGCCTACAAGCGAGTTATATTATAATTTGGTTAAAAAATCATTTTAAGATGTTATAACAAGAACAGATCTTAAAACATACCTTATCTTTCGGCGTTGCGTAACAATCAATAGCAGTAATAATCATCGTAGTAACTTTCTCTACGTTAGTTCCAGCTTCTTTTACCTTTTCTTTATCAAAGTGGCCATTAATGTATAAAAGTACTGTAAATAACTAAAAGCAAACAAAATAAAACCTATATGTATCATAATACAATTAAAATATAATTATAATTGCACTCACCTTCCTCATCCTGACCAGCAACCGTTCGTTAATCTTGGACTGTAACAACAAAGTCTGAGCCAAAAACATGGCTTTGTCAAAGTGCTCCACCCACATATGGTATTCCAACTCTCTCTCCCATAAAACATCAAAAGGAAAGCAAACAACGTCAAGTATCTGGGTTGACATAGCCTTCCACAGTATCTTACTCTTCTGACTCTTATCCACAACTAACGATAACAAACAGCCAAAGTGAGTAGAATTGGGTCGTAGCTAAAATATTTTTAGATCAAGCTAAAAAGTATTCAAGTTTTAAAATTAAACTACACATAACAGTAGAAGCACACATAAACATACCAAAATGGTCTCCTTTAGCTCTTTAAAAACACGATTTGATTCTTTAGAAGCTGCTTTGAATATTACACTAGCCACCAAGTTACACGGAATCGGAGTATGCCAGAACTTTTCACCTCCTAAAACAAATAATTGTTAAAAATAAATAAATACCAACCGTAAGATAATATAAATTTCAGTACAATCCGAGTAAACTGATCATAGTAAGACATACCGTAGTTGTCCATACAAGTCAGCATAGTCTTCGTTCCATCTTTCTCAGCTACATAGCCATTTAGTCTGCTGTTTAATGCTGTCTGTAACAAACATATATGATAATAAAAACATGTCAAGATAAAGAATATAAAGTATGACAATCTTACATAAAACCATTCTGAACCTTTACTCTTCTTCCCATTCCTCAAAAGGTAAAATACTGATTCTATTACGTAATCCTTAAGAAATGTCGTTTCCAACAATTTGCCAACAGTTAATGGATTTTCGGGATCGTAGCGTCCAAGCTGAAAGCCAAGCAATACAGTTATCATATATTACATCTTGTTCATTGATGTATAGCACAACTAGTATGATAATCGTTGGATATATAATCCAAAAAAATTCCTATGTTTACTTATAACTTTTTTGTTATGCACATTTTAATATTTACCGTTTCCAAAGCCAATATGACTTGTACCAGAAGATAGTTTTGGATTTGTAACTTCAAAATCTCTGATGTTCTGCCGCAATAGAAAACCGTCTCCAAATACAAGTTTAACTAAAAACATTTATTTTTGCTCTTCTTCACTTTACCTTTCGTATCTTAACGCTACTATCCACATCTGACGGCCAAAACTTTATTATCCATGGCACAATGCCAGGAATCACATCTTCATCCAAAACAGAATACACAGAAGAAAAGGAAAAAAAGAACAATGCTTCTTTAACGCTCTTCAACTCTTGCATTGAGATCACATCGTTCGCAACACCAGTCTTGAGACAATTTGATACCTAAATTGAAAATATTAACCATAACAAAACTGCTTACCTCTTTCAATAAAATTGATAACAACAATTCAAAATCTTGAAAAATAGTTCCAGAAGACACATTGTTAAACTGATCAACAACTGCTACATTATCCAAGCTTTCTAAAGCATTCTGTAGGTTCTTCTTCAAGATGGATTCAACAGAGTACAGTTCTCCAGCTAAAACGTAAATAAACTACAAAAACAATATTAGCTTACCAGAAACACCATCTATTCTTACTAAACAGTCAAGAGGCCTTATTATATCTTTCATTTTTTACAAGAAGAGTTATTTTGGACATTATTTTGTCACAATGGCAGAATTTCTAAATAAAGCGAAAAGTTATACGACGAAAAATGTATAAAAAGATTTTTCAGAAAATAAATCCAGAAGTTGATTATTATAAAATTCACAATTGTGAATAACATAATTTTGCTTATTGAGTGAAAAACGCTACATTACAATTATTCTTGCTGTAGAAAGTAATGGTACTGTGTTCTCAGACCAAATGGTACATATTAGGGGGTATTTACGCAGTTAGACGATTATCGAGCCAGACTCACCACGGACAAGGGATAACATACAATGAAAAGTCGATTGTGGGGTAAGTAGTTCTCTAATTTCCTTAATATTTTAGGTTTTCGGCCGAACAGATGTTCCAAGTTGTGTACAATATAGAAAATTACCCGTTGTTTGTTCCGTGGTGCAAGAAAGCTGTAGTCCATAAGAAGAACGACGGAGTTCTAGAAGCTGAACTCTTCGTCGGGTTCCCTCCTTTAAAAGAACATTATAAGTCAAGAGTTACTACAATATATCCCACAGTTATCAGAGTAAGTGCCGTTTATTGATATATTTGCACATTTTTAGTCCGTATGTACAGATGGGAGGCTATTTAACTCTTTCGATACAGTATGGAGATTCGGAGAACATCCACCAAATTACCCTCAGCAGTCGTGTCTACTACACTTTACACTAGACTTCGAGTTCAAATCTGTTCTTTATGCTCATTTGGCCAACTTAGTCTTCGGCCAAGTGGCCAAGACCATGGTTTCAGCTTTTCTAAAGAGGGCAGAGTTTATGTATGGACCTCCATCAATGTTACCGGTCAAAATACCATGAGGTTATTGTTATTTAGTGTAGTATTGAGATTTGGTGTGCTGATTAAATATATGTCTATCTAAGTTGCGTTTGGTTACTGCGCCGTACGAACAATGTTGGCAGACGTACGGACGTTCTCCTGTGTGAACACGATGGTGTATCTTTCTGGACGATGTTGTTCTGGAAAATGTTTCAAATAAGAAAGTGTTATGAAGATTAGACCTTGGTAAAATGAATATTCTAAAATATAAAATGTATACCTGAATGTTTTCTCACAGAAAAAGCATTGATAAGGCCGTTCTCCTGAGTGAATTCGGAAGTGGACTGAATAGTTGTGGCGGTATAACATGATGTGGCATACAGGACACTTCATTTTCGTGTTTGATTTTAGCGTCCGAGAGTCTATCGTAGCTTCTAAATGAGGAACTTTACTAATTTTTAGCGGCTTACCGGTGCCAATAATCACAGGAGTCTCGTTGTTGGCACTGGGCATAGTAACAACACTTTCGGGTAACTCTGTAACATTAAGTTCGTTCCATTCTGAAGGTACTTGAAGACTGACCATAGCTGATAACCTTCCATCTTCCGTATGCAATTGTGATGTTTCAACTTCCATATAAGTCGTTCTAAAAAAAGAACTCAATCTGGAGTGTCGCCAACTTACGGACATTCTCCATCGTCACAGAGATCCGGTGTTGTGGGACACTTTTCCCAGTTTATGACTTCAAATGCCTCGACCGTGCATTCAGCAAAATGTTCATGTAGTTCTGACTTCTCTGAGAAAACTGACTTACATTCTGAACAAACCAAACTCTAAAGTAAAACGTAAAACCAGTTTCAAAGCAATAATTATTTTTTAAAACTAACTATAATAACATTACACATACTTCCATGTTATATCAGCTCCATTTGTAGGTCCAAAAGTAAAACCTCCCACTTTAAAGTACTTTACCAAACAAAAAATGGCGCACCTCAAACAATTTTGGCGCAAATATTTCATTTGTATATGTTTGAGAGGATAAAAGGGTTTTTTCGCAGGGCGCAGTTTTATATTGAGAAATAAATCGAAAATTAAAATTCTAACAAAATATTTTTTGTACAGAGCCATTGTTATAAGATTTTGTTGTGTTTGTCATAATTTTATCTAAAAATGTCGTTAGCTGAAGAACTATTAGCTGATCTTGACGATGGAGAAGAACCTGAAGACTTTCCAATGGAAGAAGAGGATGTTTCTGAAGTTGTAGAAGAAGTTATGGAAACATCGAAACCTGTTGGACTTTACAATCGTATATCAGATGTGGCAAAGCTTTCGAATTCAACAGAGTAAGCGTGAAAAGCTGTATTATATTGTAGTATCATGCTATTTTTATTTATTTTTGATTTTTAGGTATCGAAAAGCAATTGGAGAAATGAACGATCTTATGAAGCTCCCTGAAGTCCCACCTTTTACCTCGCCGTTAGAAACAGATCCACAGTATATGTTAGTGGTGCAATTGTCGGAACTGGCTATTGAAATTGAGCAGGAAATTACAGTAATTCACAAGTTTGTTAGAGACAAGTACGAGAAACGGTTTCCTGAGCTGGAGACACTAGTTCAGATGCCTTTGGATTACATGGCTACTGTCAAGTTGTTGGGCAATGAAATTGCTACTCGATCTCAGAACAAAGATCTGTTCGTTAATGTCCTGCCCTCTTCTGGATGTATTATCCTCAGTGTGACGGCTACAAACACACAAGGAGTTCCGCTGACTGAAGAAGAGCTGAATATAGTTATTGAAGCGTGTGAAATGGCTGAGAAGATCCAGGCCGACAGATTGAACATTCACCAATTTGTTGAAGAGAGAATGACATTGATTGCTCCCAATTTGTGCAAGATATTGGGATCTGGGACAGCAGCTATGATCGTATCACAGGCTGGTGGACTTGGACCTCTTGCTAAGCAACCAGCTTGCAACATCTTGGTTTTGGGTATGTTTTATCTTATCTTGGTTTATATTTTAGGCATAAAAAGCTCTTTAAAACTAATAAACTTTATTTTAGGTAAGAAAAAGCGAACTTTGGCTGGATTTTCTACGACCGCGATCAACCCTCACTCAGGCTTTATCTTTTACCATCCTTTAGTGCAACGTCTACCTCCAGATCATCGACAGAAGGCGGCTCGTATTATTGCAGCCAAATGTGCTTTAGCATCTAGGGTGGATTCTCTACATCAGTCTTTGGACGGTGCTATTGGTGATGGATTGGCGGCTGAAATCAAGAGAAGAATTGATATTTTGTTAGAGCCACCATCAGTGAAATTCCAGAAGCCGTTGCCGAAGCCCTTGGACAAGGCATCGAAGAAACGAGGAGGCAGAAGAGTGAGAAAGGAGAAGGAGCGAATGGGAATGACAGAACTCAGGAAGAAGGCCAACAGAATGAACTTTGCCGAGATCGAAGAAGATGTTAGACAAGATGCCATCGGTTTCTCGCTGGGTCAGGTCAAGTCTCAGTCTATGAATGGAGGTGGAAGACTACGAACTACAGTGGACAACAAGAACAAACAAAAAATGTCACAGAAGCTTCAGAAGACACTCCAACGACGACAGCACGGTGGAATGACTGCTATCAAGACTTCGAATGCTAATGGAATGATGTCATCTGTATCATTCACTCCAGTTCAAGGGGTAGAGATCATCAGTATGACACCTGTCAACACACAGTCAAGTACGACAAGTGGAACTTCGTCTTACTTTTCTTCTACTTCCAACTTCAGAAAAGTTCAGACTCCGTTTAAAAAATAAATTATTATACACTTTAAAGAAGCTTTAGTTACAAATTGTTGCAATTTCTTTGAAATATTTTTAAAATGACATAAAGCGTTCTCAATGTAAATAATCGTTTAAAGATGAATCAGCTGAAAGAAGGTTGGTTCTCAGAGTTGTCTCCAGATCAAGATGGTACAACAGAAAATGTACTAGGCAATCACTGGGCTGGTCAGGCGTTTTCACTTCAAGTTGAGGAAGTTCTGTATCATCAGAGATCTCAATATCAAAATGTTTTAGTTTTCAAAAGGTATTTCGCAATACAAGGCTTATTTTAAAACAAGGTTCGCCCAAGAATCGAACATGGCTCAGACGGGGGTGTTCAAAAATTTCAAACTAGTTTAAAACTGTTCATTTTGTGACATGAGGTAGTACTTAAGCATAGAAATGCAAAAATATAAAAAGTTTTTCAAAGTTCGGGTTACGGTAGGATTTAAACTTTTTTTGTAACTATTGTACTAAATGTCAATTGAATGGAACTTTTTTTAAATTGTTTGTCATTATACGACATTCATTTTACCTGTTGACAACTTTTTTTTATTATGCCCGGAAGGCGTTGAAAAAAATTAAAATTAGCGAAACAATCATCAAAATTAAAAAAAATTAAAAATTTCTCGAAAAAACCTCACATGTGATAAACTTTTGACGATAGGTAATATAACTACATGCTATTGCGGTTCTAGTGACACTAATTTTGTGTCATCCCAGCGGGGCCTGCGGTAGCTACAAAATTTCAAAAGTGGCACCCTAAGGTCATTTAGCATAGGATTTAGCTGTAATTTAGCTCAAAATGGTTAAAAAATATTCTCGCCACATATTGCAAGTTTTATAAATGTTTAAAAACAATATCGTTTATGTTGCCTCAGGGAATTTGTAGTTTAAAAAAAATTAACTTTTTTTAAATTAAAATTAAGAAAAAATTTTAAAGCTTGTAAATTAGGGCCTGTGGTCGAAAAAATTTTTTTCAACCTTCCCCTCTTCCAGAGAAAATCCGTAGCAACGTTCCTGTATAGGTCATTTATCAAAAGCCAAGGCATATTATTTAATTTCCAAGCTTTAAAAAATTTTTTTAAAATTTAAAGTTAAAAAAAAAATAATTTTTTTAAATTACAATTTTCCTGAAGCAATATAAAGGAAGTTGTTTTTAAACACTTCTGAAACTTTCAATATGTGCCGATAATCTTTTTTAACCATTTTGAGCCGAATTACAGCTAAATCCTATGCTAAATGACCTTAGGGTGCCGACTTTGGAAATTCATTGCTACCGCAGGCCCCGCTGGCATGACTCAAAATTAGTGTCATTACAACCGCAATAGCATGTAGTTATACCAGTTATCGTCAAAAGTTTATCACATGTGAAGTTTTTTTGAGAAATTTTAAATTTCGTTAAATTTTGATGATTGTTTCGCAAATTTTAATGTTTTTCAATGCCTTCCGGGCATAATAAAAAAAATTTGTCGACAGAAGAAATGAATGTCGTATAGTAACAAACAATTTAAAAAAAAGTTCCATTCAATTCTGACATTTAGTACAATAGTTACAAAAAAAGTTTAAATCCTACCGTAACCCTACCGTAACCCGAATTTTGAAAAATTTTTAATATTTTTGCATTTCTATGTCTAAATACTAACTCATGTCACAAAATGAACGGTTTTAAAATAGTTTGAAATTTTTGAACACCCCATGTCTGATTCTTGGGCGAACCTTGTTTTAATTTCTTAGCAATACTTACGGTAATGTGTTGGCATTGGACGGAGTTATTCAATGTACCGAGCGTGATGAATTTGCATATCACGAGATGATGGCTCATCTTCCTTTATTTTCCCATAAAAACCCAAAAACTGTAAGAACATATCTTGTTATGTAGATCACGTTCGAAAAAAGTTTTAATATTATAATTACAGTAGACTTATGAAATAAAAATACACACTCAACCTTTCTTTTATTAGGTATTGGTGGTAGGAGGTGGAGATGGAGGCGTTGTCAGAGAAGTCGTTAAACATAGTACAGTTGAATCTGTTACTTTATGCGAGATTGACAAAGATGTTGTGGATGTTGCTAAAAAGTATTTTCCTACTATCTCTTCTGCATTGGATGACAAAAAGGTCAATGTTGTTATAGGCGATGGGTTGCAGTATCTTCAGAATCAAGAAAACGTGTACGATGTAGTTATCACAGATTCCAGTGATCCTCAAGGGCCGGCCGAAGGATTATTTGGGTTGAACTTTTACAAATTACTTAAGAGATCTCTCAAGAAGGACGGTATTATCATCTCACAAGGTATGCTCTACGTTATCATAGCTTATTAAGTCACAATTCACAGTATTTTGGAAGAATGGATATTTTACTAGTATTTTACAGGAGAATGCCCATGGATAGACTTAACACTTATTTCCAATGTTATCAGTACTGTTAAGACACTGTTTCCTGTTGTGAGGTATGCAATGTCATCCGTGCCTACCTATACTACTGGTACGATGGGCTACCTGTTGTGCAGTAATGATGCAGTAAGTTTTTGGTCATAATGATATACCATCAATAGGACAACGATCTCATAAACCCAGCAAAAGAACGAGAAGACCTGAAAGCAATGAATCTGAGATACTACAACTATGACCTCCACAAGGCGGTGTTCGCTCTGCCAAACTTTATTCGAGAAACAATTGGTCTTCAAAAATGATATGATTATACATGACTACAGCAGTGATATGTAGGGTAACCATTTAGTACTAGAATCCAGGGCGTGGTGCAACTCCATGTGAGCTTTAATTGATGACACGTTCACTTCTTGGCATAATTTGCAATAAAATGATAGGTTTAACGACATGTCCGGGGCGTATCTTTCTTCTGAAAAGGTATTTTCAAGCTTAAAAATTTTGGAAAAAGTATCAAGATAAGATTCCTGTAGTCAGTTTATAGTAACCGTAATGTAATGCTGTAAATGCACAAATGAATCAATGATTTGATCGTTCAACCTAAATGATCACTTACCTTGATGGCCATGTTCTAACTGTAGTAAAAGTTTATTGTAGGCTTCGATAGCCTGTTTATAAGTTATAATACTACTAAAGTCACACTTTTTCGGCCGCGTTTGTTTTCGGCGGCCCATTACGGCTTAACAAATGATATGCTCACGCAAAACATACGGCCATGATGAAGTGAGAAAGAAACGCGCATGTCGTAAAGAAATTACTTTGCTCATAAAAGAGAAATGAATTAGAATGTTGTCGCCATAGTAACGTTTAATAACAACAGTAAAATCAGTTTATGTATATATGGGTACAGAGATTAGAATTCGACGGTAAAAATCCATTGATTTTTGTCGCGTCCTTCCGCCACGTGCTCCAGGAGCGCTGATCTCCGCTGCTGTACATATCGATACTTGTCCTGGACCTTCTGTTTCAGTGACACCAGGTTCTCCTTCTCCAGATCCCGTTCGAGGAACTCGCTCAGCTGTTCGGTCGATAACTCCAGGTCCTGCTGGTTGCCTTCAAAGATGGTTGTGATGTTGTTCTGCTTCAGGTAAAAAGCAAAGGCGTATGTGTACATCAAGGTACGACGACATTCACTCAGAACATCGACCGCTTTCTTCAGAAACTGGGTCTCGATCCACGAGAACCCTCTCTGTTGCATTTGGAGCATCTTCTCCTGGACTTGGTTGTACAACTAAAGGAAATGACTACTAGATTGTTGAGAAATTGTCATCAATACTTAATAATTAAGGTTCATAAGAATAGTTTAGGTAAGTACCTTCTTGCTTACCTTATTTTCGAGCTTCAAACTGTTTTGATGGTTGACGAACCGGTTGTAGTAGTGGAGGTATCTCTGTAATGCCGCACGAGACTTCTGTTGGGCGTCTTGTGCCTTCTTGGATTCTGTGTCGTCGAATCTGTTACAGGCGTACCACCCAGATCCATGGGGTTTCCATGGACCCAGACATGTCCAACAGAACTCGAAGCGACAAGATACGTTCTTACAGGTCATATGATTACATCCCCCGTCTTTTTCAATGGTCACTTTACATTTAGGACAGTCTTTGGTGTTGGCATTGAGCCAGTTCGAAGTCTCGCTGTCATCGCTGCACTTCTTCAACCACAACTTGAGCATGTCACATGAGACAGGATCGTGCCATTGCTGAGAACATTGGAAACAAAACACCATGGAACAAGAACACTTGATGGGACGACATTCTGCATGAGGTACTTTGACGGCGTGGCCGCAGTCCAAGGCCGGGCACCACTTTAACTTGAAATTACTCTAAAATCGAAATTTTTGTAAGTGTTGTTTCACATAACTCATAATTTTACTCATCCTCTCAAGGTATTTATAATATTACCTGTACAAAACTGTTGATGACCAGTTTCTCGTACTTCTGGAGTATCACAGGGTCAGTAAGAAATTTCTTAATCATTCGCCCGGCTAGTAGTCGTTTGCATTTGATACCCGGACATGCTACAAGAACGACTCCTTCGTCTTGAATCTGAAAAACGATTAAAACTTTAATTAAAGCCAAGATCATTCAAGCATAAAATCTAAAAACAAATACAATATAAAACAACTTACTTTAACCGTAAGATAATTCCTCCAACAACTGTCACAGTACACGTGATTGCAATCTAACCCGTAGGTTTCACAGTCATCGTAACAGATCTCACAAGATCCTTCAGCGCCACGACAACGCAAGGCATCTTCTTCATCAGTGACATTGTGTGTAGCCAAGAACTTGTCTTTATCACCCGCTTCGTAAAATCTAAATGTACAAGATAAGAAAATTGTCGGTTAAAGCGATAAAGCCATTTGAAAGAGCGAAATGATCAATATTTTCGGGGCAATATGAGTCCCTCTTCATGTTAATTCGTGAAAGCTAAGTAAAAATGCATTTTCTCTTGTCGTTTCCTTACTTTTCGATCAAGTTCTCCCTGTTCCATTGAAAATCATTAAGAAGAACACTGCAAATGTCTGGTGCGATTCCTATTACCACAGAAGTCTCCGAAGCCAGGTTAAACAGCTCTTTTTGCAAATCCGTAAAATTTAATACCTAAAAACTAAAGTTAAATAAAAATTTCAAAAAATAGGCACATTACAGCTAATGTACGTACAGTATAGTCGCATTTTTCTTCTTCGTTCTCGTAGTTGGCTGAAGCTTCAATACTGATTCCATCGTCCGCAGAATCGTCCATCGAAGTGGCAGAATCGCTGCAAGGATCGTCGTCTTCGAAGTCCATGGCGAATAATAAGATGCTTGTGTATAACTTTGTGCCGCGAATGAAAGCTTACCAAACTTTCGCTTTCATCAACAAAGAAATGTTTTTTTTTTATTTTTTCAAGCACGAGGAGTCAGCTTGTCTCTGGTAGCGAAAGTTCGTTTGGCTTTGTGTTTTACAAAATAATATTTATTCTAAAATATTTTTCCAAACTAGTTTCTGAATTTTGCAATATTGTACAATTTTATGGATTCTTTATTTTTTGGTCAACTCGTTATTGGTGCACCTGGAGCAGGAAAATCCGCATATTGTAATGCGGTTATGCAAGTGTTTAAAGCCCTGGAAAGGCCGGCTATCTATGTTAATTTGGATCCAGCAAACGATCTACCTCCAATGAAAGCAGATATTGATATCCGGGAGCTGATAAAGGTGGAAGAAGTGATGGAGAAGTTAAAGTTAGGGCCTAATGGAGCTTTGCGGTATTGTATGAATACCTTGATGGTGAATATTGAATGGTAAGTCTCAGTTTTCATTTTTATGATTGTTAGGCTTAAAGAAAAATTACGGGGACGTAAAGGATACTTGGTCATCGACATGCCAGGTCAACTGGAACTGTACAACAGCGATGACTCGGTCAGAAAAATAATTTCTCAGCTGACAAAATGGGACGTCAGACTGTGTGCTTTGCATTTGAGTGATTGCATGCATTGTTCGGACGCTGGAAAGTTCATAGCTGTTGTGTTGAGTGCCTTATCTGTTATGATTAACTTGGAGCTGCCTCAGGTTAATGTCCTGTCTAAGATTGATCTCATACCGGAGAATCTTCCCTTTAATCTAGAGTTTTTCGAGGAAGTTCCTGATCTCAAGTATTTGGTACAACGGTTAGATGTAAGTTATCGATGACAAAAAAAGGAAAACATTGTTATTCTTGTAGGATCACCCGGCGTTACAGAAGTATAAAGACTTGTGTGATGGACTCTCAACTGTGGCAGAAGATTATAATCTGGTGAACTTTGTTCCACTTGATGTTATGGACAAAGACAAGTTACTCCGTGTAATACAATTCTCAGACAAGGCAAACGGGTACAGTATGATCGAAATGAAGGACATCAGGGGTTTAGTTGTTAAATAAAAGTTTATCTATACATTTTTACATAATTTACACTAAAATAACAAGGTATTACCAGAACGGGCACCAGCCAATATAACATTGGCACAGGTTGTCATAGAGCGTGGCTTGTTCGATTAGTCTACTGACTTGTTCGGACACTGGTATCTCTTCGTAGGCGTTGAAGTCTCTGCCAGATAGCTTGGCTTTGACTCGGCTGATGGCTTCTGAATGACTGCCAGTGAGAGTCTGCTTCTCTTCAGCGCCGTCCAAATAGGCATTGTCTCTCCGGTTCGAGGCTTCGGTCAATCTCCAGTTCATTACAGGATCGTATACGAAGGCTTCTAAGACGGCCAGGATACTGTCGTTGTTGTTTCGTAGTAAGTTGAGGACTTTTTCGCAAGTTAATCGGAAGTTTCCTTCAATTCCGGTTACCTCCATCGCCTGAAATGTCAGTTTTTAGAGATAAAATTATTTTTTAGTTTAATTCACACTTTCTGTATTTGTTGTATTTACCTTAACAAGCATTCTGGTCAGTCGGAATGGGATTTTCTCTGGGTATTTGACACGCTTCATAGCAACTTCGAAGCAATCTCCAAAGTCAATGTGCACTATCTTGCCGCTCAATCGATCCAGCATCAGATTGGAAGGATGTCTGAAAAAGTCTTGTTTTCTGATATTACACTTACCTGTCTCCCAAGCCCAGAATATATCCTACCATGGACATACAGGCCATTGATCTTGTGTAGTTCGTTCGGCGATCAAACCAGACTTCAGAGCTACAAATAAACATAGTTTTACATTACTTAACTAACTTTGTGAGACACTTTGATGTAAATATTGAAAGAAAGAACTCTTACTTTGGTGATTTCATCCACAAGGTCTGTCTGAGATCGTCACCACTAGTGCTGCGCAGAGCTTCGTCGAACACTTCCACCTTCTGCATCAGAGTCAGCTTCTCGATGTCGATGACCAACTTCTGCATTCTAGTGTGTTCTTCTGAGATGGTGATATGGTGTTTCTCTCGGTAATCTCTTATCAACGCATGGAGAGTATCACAATTAGGTACCCACCCTATCAGTCCACTGCTCTGACTCAAAGCAATGATCGAGTACCTCTGTAATTTAAGTTACTGTAACAATGCTAACACTTACTTGAATGCTGAGGTTCCTACGACTTGTATCGGCATCCCGGATGATAAGTGAGTTGATCAGTCCAAACAACTGCATGATCCTTTCGTCTTGTCTCGGATCTTCATGTCCTTTGAGTAAGAAGGAGTATTCTTTTCCGTCATCACCTATAACATGTTATTTGTATATTAAAGTAGGTATTTTAATATTAATGTCAATTAGCTATTAATAGTTTTGATTATTGTTTGCAATATTCCAACCTCTCATAGAGATCTTCCTTGGCCTTTGTTTGGACATAATGACTTCCAAATGAGGTAAGACCGATGATATCTTGACCAGTTCATTAGACGGATCGTATGTTCCAGGGATAGCCAGTTCAAGGTTGTGAACATTCAGAAGCTTGGGAGATATGTAGCTCAATTCTAACGCTGTCATTTGTCTCAACTGACTGGATATCTTCTTGAACACCTTGTAGTACAAGTCCCAAGCTTGAGTGATTTCCTTCTGGTTACCAGTACGTTGGAAAGCAATACAATGGTTTAGCGCTTCTTCCAGCTCTTTGTAGTATGTCTAAAGTAGGTGACAGGTTGACTTTAGGTACCTCTTTATCTAATAATTTAAGTTATACTGATATTGTATGCTATCTTACCTGATTGAACGATTCCTCTTTCATCGTGGTATGACCGGCTTTGACAGTGTCGTGTAGAGGAATCAACGTTTCCATCATCATCTTGAAGTCTTTTTCTTGGAAGTAGAGTCTAGAAGCTTCTTCTAGTGTACCATGCCACATTTCATGCCACAAAATGGCACATCGAATCAGCTCGTCGTTGAGTAGACATGCTTGGTCGATGAAAGTCGGTCGATCTTCAGCAATGATTTTTAAGATATCGCTCGCAACTTCTCGTCGCTGCTTGTTCTTGGACTTCTTGGCCGCTGTCAACGCGTAAACAATGGCCTGCAAATGTTGATTTTATTAGTTCATTTGGAATCCGTATTCATATGAAAGGCGAAGAAGCTAATATTAAAAACTTACTTGAGGATGAGCCTTGGCAATGTCGATAACAACTTGTTTGACCAACAATCCAACATTCTTCTTGGAATCCATCCTTGACATCAGTTGAGGAACCACTTCCAGCCAAATTTCCACAGGAACACTTTTCAAAGAATCCCGTAGCTGTTCGTAGATTTCGTTTTTATCACCGTGATCAAACAACAACATCAACAACCGCAACGTATCTTCTAGTCGGCTGCCTTCAGCTAGCTGAATCGCCTTCAAGAAGCACTGTACAGCCTTCAGGGCATAACTGGTAACTGCTTGGGGATTCTGAAGGAGCACTCTACGATCCACTGGACTTGTCGAACCCCTAGGTGCCGTTGTAGAAGCCGGACTGAACTCGTCAAGAGACCCGTCTTTTGAAACGTGTAGACTGTCAGGAGAACCGAACATTAATTGTCGCTCTGTCATCACCAGATTGTAGTAAATGGTGCCCAACTTGTGCCACGCCTTGTACCAGTTCGGACAGAATTGGGTGGCATTCAAGTAATGGTCGAGAGTGGTTTTGGTACTTTTTTCAAAACTCGTAACATCGACTGGGTTGTGAGAGTATGGACTTGGAATGTCAAGACTAAAAATAAAAATATTAGTTAGAATCTGGTTAGTAACTTTGATATTACACATAATATCCAGTGTAATATTACCGTTGGGAATGTGGATGCTTCGATGGTTTGGATGGCACGACGTTCGAGAAGGACGGGAAACGTTCGGCGTTCCAATCGCCAAGCTTGAGGTAGCATCTGGCTGTGATGTGGGTCACATTCTCCAGGTTTTCCTTGGACAATCTGTTGCTGTTCTCCATGATTAATTTGCGCATGTTCGAAGCCAGAGCCTTGACGTTATTGTAGGCGACGTCTTTGTTTCCATCAGCCCACACTTGTTTGCATAATGCCAGTGATAAGAAAGGCTTATCATGAGGGATCTTGATCTCGTCCAAAGCTTTGTTCTCAGGCTGGTCAAGCAGAGAACAGAAGACTCTTCTGGAAGTTGCATTTCGTCCTTCACGGCGACACAACGACGCAAACTTAACCCACATGGGACGGAGCTCGTTCTGGGACAGAACCAACGAGCGTGCCATCAGAATTCGCTGCCAATGTTCCACGTTTCTCCTGCATCCTTGTAGCCGTCTGCTCCACAAAATGGCGATTCTGGTGCGTCTTTCTGGTATCAACTTATACTCGATGGCTTCTTCCAGTTCGGTCAGTTGTTGTGCCATCAGAACAGCACCGTACGCTCGTTCGTAGCTTTCGGACGCCAACGCTGTGAGTTCTGAATCCAACATATCTCGTACCTGAAGAGAATTGTTCAAAATACATGATTTCTACACTTAGACCGTTAAATTTTTACGTCATCACGAACCTACCTTGACAATGTATTGACACGCTTCGGAGAACTTGTTCTGTTTGATGAGTAACACCGCCCTCAAGAAGGCACCATCGTGGTAGTTCTCGCTGATCTTGGTGACACAACTCTCCATTTTGTCATATTTTCCTGCAATGCCATTATAAATGAAGTTTTATATTCACCTACCAAGCGCCCACCACCCTCTGGCTGACATCTGATTGAACTTTCTCCGTTGTTCAGGCTGTAACTTCTTCAAGTCTCCATTTAAGGACTCCAACGTCGTTTCACTAAACTCTGTTAATTCAGTCCAGAACCCGAGGGCTTCGAGTGACTTCATCCTGGTGAGCGTGTTCTCGTCTTTCTCTTCAGCTGACTTCGGGTTGTCTTCTTTATCAACAACTTCTTTCTTCTTTTCTTCGTCTAGTGAGTTTAATGCCTTCTCCCATTCTCCTAGTTTCTCGTACCATTTGGCCTAAACCATCGTGTTTTACAATAAATTAGAATATCGTATAAATTAAAAAATAAACATTGACAATCGTAGAATTGTTTCCCTACCGATGTGTCCATGTTTCTTTTCTCTGCGTGCTTCACAACTCCAACTGCGGCTTCTTCAAGGTTCAGCTTGTTCGCATAGCCAATCAGTGCCTGGCAATCTTCGGCATTCGGAGTCGAGACATCTAAACTCATAATGTGTAGCTCCTTGTACCGTAACGCCTTTGCATAAGCTCTGGTTGTTTCTGCGCAATTACATAAGACATTGTAGTTGATTGGAAGAGGTCCCTAAAAGTTATTTTGTTTTATTACAGCATCCTTGACCTATTTTTTACTGCCCATACAAGAACTATCGTGTGATACAGTACCCTTTTCTACTTACTTTTTCAGAATGATCCATAAACTCGGCCAAATTGAGGATGGCTTGGATTGGCTCAGAGTACGGACATAATGTAATGACATCCACAAACTGGGCGGTCACTTCATCTTGGTCGCTTTCGCTGAGTTCCGTCCAAATGGACATAAAGGCGGCGTTAAACAGTTCCCTACAACATAGGTAATGTTTTTGAACTGGATGTACTTTAAAGTTATGGTAAATTCGTTCTTACTTTGCCATTGCTTCATTGATTTCAGCCAATGGTGCACAGATTCTCAACGCGAAACTGGGACTGCTTCTGAGCATTTGTGTTCTCAAAGTAGCCAGCCACTGTAGCCACTCATCCCTCGTTACGACGACAGGCGCACTCCAGAATCGCTTAAGATGTTCTACTGACCTCTTGGGGTTATCTCTGATCGCTTTCTGGGCCGCTTCTTCTTGTGATCGGAATCCGCTTCTGAGCATGGATTTGCTGCCTACACCATAGTTGCGACCTATCTGAGGCAACATGTAGTTGATGGGCGGATTCTTGGGGGAATTGGTCATCTGAATCACGAGTTCATCATAGTCGGCTCTGAGAAGGCTATCGACCTTATATTTGCGCAACGCTTGTTCAATGGAATCACGGTAAACTGGGGCTTGGCTCCACATCTGTAAGCAGAGGATAAATTACTATCTAAAATTACATTGTCTAAGTAGCCTAAAGACGAAAGATTTACCTGAACCAAGACAATGCAAAGCAATGTCATGAGTTTTTCTTGGAGGAATCTCACTGATATGCACTTCAACCAGGTCTGCATGATAGCTGTCGCTCTTTCGCCAAGGTTGTGATCCCGAACTAGAACCAGCACTGTCTCTACCGCGAATATTCTGATCTTCTCTGGTACAGCTTTGTTGTCCAACACTTCTAATACAGGAGGAAGTACCACGTAGATGTATGTCCCCAGACACATTGATAATGACTTTACACAGGACAAAGCGCTTAATGTCAGGGTCCTTTCTTTGGTGCTATCAGTCTCTACTACGGCTAAGAGATAGGGACAAAGATCGCCAATGTAGGGCATAAAGTGATGTTCCATGGCTTTGCCGACTTGTTCTAGTAGGAAGATGGCCTTGCCTTTCAGTTGTGGCAAATCCCATTGCCATGCTACCTGTAATATCAAGTGTCAAGCTTAGTAATTGTCCATTTTTACTCAATAACTTTTGGTATAAGATTACCTTGATAACGCCGAAAATGTCATTAATGTAAGGTTTGATCTGCTGGCCCAGCATTCCAGCCAGTTGAGCGAATTGTGACAGAAAGAAGTCTCTGAGTTCAGCTTTGCACTCTTGAGTGATCTTGATGAGTTTGGGGATGACTTTGTCTACGTATTCATCCAGCCGGTTACCGAGATTATGGAATAAGGTCATCAGGACATTTACTACGTCCTTATACAAGTTACTCATTGAGTAATCGTCGAATATCTTTACTAAACTTGAGATGGCCAAGGTGGGGTAGAACTCTTCTAATGTACATTTCTCGTAACTGATCCACTGGATAATGTCGGCTTCTTCTGAAAAAAAAAGAAATTGTTGGTTTATAGTTCACAAACTACAATTTAGTGAACATTTGTTTAGAAGTTACCTTGTTGCAAGGAGAGAAATCTTGACTTACCAGGCATATACTTTCCAGTTCCAGCATGTAAAGGAAGAGACAAAGCCAATGATTTGGAGGTAGATGAGTGTACCGTCCCGAGGAAGACTTTGTGAGTGTACGGATCCAAAGCTCCTACAATACCCAGAACTTTCATCGTCAATCGTCTCATCGAAGCACTCAACTCCGTCTTCAACAACTTCAAAAGAACATCCAGTAGCTGAGGATGATCTTTGTATGGTTCAACCACGTATGCACTGCTTTGACACAAGTTACCAAGAGCACGTAAGGCTGCCTACAACACGTACCGCAATCAATATAAAATTGTAAAAAAAAGTTTGAAAACATGTACTATAATATAATAAAATGTAGTGATAACATACCTCTCTCCGATGTAAACTTGTTGAATCTTGAAGATACGATACAAATGCAGGAATGAGTCTTGGAGTCGCTCTCACAACATCAAGACCTCCAATCAAGGCTAGTTCACTTATGGCATTCAGAACATTTACCGTGACCTCCGCCGACTTTCCATCTACTCTCAGATGAGGCACTAGTGCCATTAACAACGCGTTCATAAACGTACTCACAAAGTTGGGAGCCTAAATGTATAATTTACAATAACGAACCGATACAATATTGACAGCAGAAACAAATAAAAACTTACACAGCGACTCAGTTGACATACGATCTTGGCAGCGTGCACTTCGTTCTTGCTGATTCCACTGACAGAGAGGTTGTAGATGGTCTCTTTCACCACCTTCCTCAGCTTTGGAAAGATCAATGCCGGATTCAGATTCGACAACATGGCCAGTAGCTCCACCGCTTTCTCCTGAACTCGTAGATCTTCATCGTACAAGGTCATGAACAAACTCAACAAGGTCTCTTTCTGTGACAAATGATACAAGAAGTCTGTCTCCACCGTACAAAAGCACTCCAGGACTGCCAATCTTACTTGCACAACTACAAGTCATGTTACCGAATGTTACAATTCACTTACCTGGGTCTGTTACAGTAGCCTTTATCAGACAATCTACTACACCTCTGATCAAACCGTAAACGTTGAGCTTCTTTTCTCCTTCAACTTCGTCGAAAACCTTGATGAATGGCTTCACAATCTGTATACAACACCGTGCTGCCGCCAGTCTGACTTCAACGACATCACACACCAAGTATCCCTGTAAAATAATAAGGTTACAGTAGCCATGAATAGTTACGTTAACCGAGACTAAGAATTAATACGTAACTTTAACGTAAATTATCTAAACTTACCAATGCAATGTATCGTATAAACATCTGAAGCGTATGACGTTGGAAGTCAAAACTTCCCAGAGTTTCTAGTGCCAGTTCGACTAATGGAACATTATGAACAGAAACTGGTCCACCTGGTAGAGGCGGGTCAATTGGGGGTGCCAGCTTGCTCGGAGGTGACAGCCCCATCAACAGCTGATACAAATGGCCAATTAAGCCGTCCAAAAGGTCAGGTTTAAGCTTGGGGATATTGACAATGGCATGGTGAAACAGCTCAGTCAGATTCTTAGAAAGTCCTGTGTTCAACAACAAAGCCAGATTCCTTCGGATGTCTTCACCTACACTTTGCTTCTGGGACCTGACCAGTAGACAGAGTGCTTTGAAGTAGTTGGCAGACACTGCCTTCTTCCTAAAACATCAACCATTTAAGCATACCACTTGTAATAAGTCATACAAACATGATGATACTAAGTCCTAAATCTACGATGACAAAAACCTACTTGGCAACGACTTGTGTCATCTGTAACGCCATCATTGAAATGAATTTGGAAGTCTTGGGACTTATCTCCATTCGTCGTTCCATAGAAATCAGACCAAACGATAGAAACGCTTGAGGCATTCTGGTAGTTATAGACAAAGTCCATTCTACAATCTGATCAAGTGGCAGATCATAGGAGGTCTGGAAGCACACGATTCGGGGGAATATCTCCAACAACAACAACTGACATTCCTTCGACTTGGTGTTCATCGCTTCCATGCACTTCTTTATGATCTAAACAACATTTATATAAAACAAAAGTACAACCTGCGTACCGTAACTGAAGTTACAGTAGTAATAATTCAAATTAAAAAATTTGTAAGAATTGAATGAAAACTTGCTTCTCCGAAGTAATTCTCGGACACCAATCCACTGGCGGTATGACTTTCGACCGCAGGCTGGTGGACATGTTGGAACAACCATGTCACCGGGTTCTGGCCAATAACTGTGGCGGTACATTCAGAGTAACTATGGCCAGTGATCTCAAGACGACGCTGCTCTGCCTTCTGACTGGATACACGTAGCAGTTCGTTCAACAACAACAACGAAGCGTGGAGGGAGTCATCTTTGCTCAAGGAATCTGGTTTTTTGCATGCTTCTTCGAACAGCCTCTGAATGCGAAGTTACAGTAAATGATACACGAAAAGATATAAAAAAGCGTAATAGGCAATATGGTTTGTTATAGTAAATTATGCACTTTCCACTTACAATATACCAGTCATTTTTCTGTTTGGCCTCACGTTGAGAAGTTACCGTTAACGCAGCGTGAAGAGCGTTGGCTCCAGCCATTCTAACATTTATCTGTAACATCATTTTGTAATTCTATAACTTTTAGCCCAATAGACTAATGCTACAAAAAATACTATATGCACAAAATTCTTATTTGTTTTGTAACATTTACGTACAAATTGAGTAAAAATCCAGCATATTATACCTAAAAATTCAAGGGAGGATTACCTTTGGATCCTTGATAGCATGAAATACATGATCGAAAAAAATCCTGGCAGCTTGAAAAAAGTGAGTACTTGTGAAAAGTGCTAAATCCCTGTATAAAAATGAGCCGGCTGTTTTGTTGCAGGTTTTCTTCACCGGGTCAAACCAATCTGAACACTTCGAGAAGGCAATATCCACCATCTCCAATGAGTAGGCTTTTGAAGTCTAAAAAAATAAGAATACAAAATTTGTTGTAATTAAAAATATAAATCATGTCAAGAAAGAAATAAAAGTAGCAAAATATTCTAAATAACTTATGATTTAAAAATTTTAAAAAACCCACGTGAATAAGGTAAATGAAGGCTCTTGAAGCCAGCCCAACAACAACGTCATCATTACACTCCATCGTCTTCAAAAGAGCATGGGCCACAGTAAGTACGCGATCTGTTTCTTCTCCCACATTGACCTCGATCAGGCAAACTAAAGAATAATATAAAAATAAAAAGTTACTTACCTGTTAACACAATCGCAGCTTGCTTGTCCAACTTTTCAGCAGAATTGAGGTATTCCAGCACTTTTTTCTAAAAGAAAATCAAGATCAAAGCAAAAGTGTTACCTCTCCTCCATTCGACAGTATGTTCAAACATTTACCCTTCAAATCTGGAAAGTGATTCAATGCCAACAAATACTTGTGCACCATCTCCAGCTGTGCCGCATGCGCAGCATTATCTTGTATGCTTACCTAAAATTACAAAACCATACCTTTCAACAATTTACTTATTTAAATTCATGCTTATAAAATTATAATAAAATAAGATGTTACCTATACATTCAACTTACATTCTGCAGTTGGCCTAACAGTTCATGCGGCATTTTAGAAATTGATATGCATTAACACTCGCTCGTTATCATATACTTCGCCCGAAACAAACGATAAAACTGAAAACATTTGCATGTGTTATATAATTTATTTTAAGTTTAGTTAAATCTGCTCCTCTTTATAAGTAAACTCAAATTTATAACAACAAAAAGTGTATTTACTGATTAAAAACCCATATTTGTTTGGTAAAAACAATTTACTGTTTCTGTTTTCTTTTATTTCGCGATTTTCAGGAAAATTTCTGATAAAATTTATTTTTACCGAACGCAGTCTGCAATATACAGGACGCGAAGGTTCTTTAAAAATATTTTTTCTAACTTTTTTTATAATTCGGAGACAAAAAATTCGGTGCAGCCTGCGTAACGTGTTATACGAAAGAAATTAAGAACGCATTTCTTTTGCTGCGAAACAACCAAAAAACCGGACAAAATTTTGTTTTTCCATTGGATCTAGGTATATACCGGTATATTAAGATGGCGGGTAAACTGATCATTCCACCAAATGCAAAGTAAGGTACTTTTTATTAGTTTTATCTTATTTGTTTAGGTATCAACCTCAAGATCCACAATATGTTAGCACGGAGACAGGTTCCAAAGATCCTTATGTTATGCGGTAAGTGTTTCTGACTTCGATTGATCATATTTTTAGATCTCGTGTGTTTGTGGGATGTCTGAACACTGACACTGTGAGTAGAGAAGATGTTATCCAGTTGTTCAGTATGTATGGACCGTTGAGAGGAGTTAGTCACTTTAAGTCTCAAGGATATGGGTTCGTACAGTTTGACAACGAAGAAGACGCTATCGATGCTGTTCAAAATTTGAATTTGTATGAATTCCACGAGCTGGTGTTAGGTATTTTATTTACAGTGTAATATTGTGGTTGGTAATCTTAATCTTCTGTTTTAAAAAAAATTCGCAAGATTTTGAATTAAAATTATAAACCTTTGGTTTCAGATGTCAAGATAGCCACCCCAACTGTATCATTTTTACAAAAAGACGATAAACTGTACGCTTTGCTTTGAGATTTGTTGTTTGTTAGTTTATTCGTTACCTTAACGCTTTTATTATGGATTGTACTATTGTTTTAGGCAGAAGAAGCAGAGATCGAAACGAGGCGGAAGAAAAGAACGTGAACGCCGTGAGAGAGCTGCATCATACAAGGGTGGATATGGTAATAACCAACAAAGCAGTAATTATGTTGACTATGACGAAGATATTGATGGATCTCCAGGATCTTTCATCCAATCACCGGCAAATGTAGTCCGACCTTTACTTCCATCACGTGCTCCCGCTGCTGTTCCTCCAGCACAAACTTCTGCGTCTGCTCCAGGTAAATTTATTCTTTGGATCTGATAGTATTATAGCAATCTTTATTACGAGTTTATTAAGAAATCTAATAAAACTTGAAATACTAGCTCCAACGGATAACATCTATCAGAGTATTAACTAAAAAGTCCACAGCTGCTATAAAGAATGTACTTATATGTTTATACTGATAACATTTTAGAACCAACTGGACCTCCGACTGAAGTACAAGATCTCACTCCTAACTCCGACCTCCCGTTACCTCCTCGCTTTAAGTATCAGACGGCTGCAGAAAAGCAGGAAGGATCCGTGTTGAACGAAAACGGTAAGAATTGAACCAAAAAATATATCTTGTAGTATCAAACAATATCTTAAGACTATTTGTTATTTTACATAGTAAAACTAAAAGACCTTTTCAGAAGTACCAGACGTGTTAATATGTGGTGGATGCCACTTAATCACGGCCAATGCTCAGTTCTTTTTGGAGCATCGAATAAGAGAATGTGACAGAAAGATTGTAATGAAATCAGGTGGGTTATCACTTTTAGTCTCCTTCAAACTGATAAGTTAAGTTTGAAATTGGTAGTTTAAAGGATTTAAGTTCCCAAATCTAGACAAATTTGTAATCGAGGTTACTAATGCTTTATTTTAAAATAGAAATTTTTGTTTCGTGATTCAACTTACAAGGTTTTAGAAGACGAGCCTGAATTTCTCAAGTGTTACTCATGTAAAGTTCCGTGTAAGAATAGCTGGGACCTTATTTATCACATGAGCCAGGCTCACAAGCTTAATTTATACAATAACAAAACAACGAGTACGGTGGAGTATCCGGAGCAGCAGCAGTAATGTCATTAGTTATATTACTTTCGCCTCGTCATCATTTGGCAAAATTCTGGAAATTGTTGAATTTTTAAGGTATTGCAAGTTACTAAATATGTTGTCATAGTTTGGTCAAAACTATTACCTATTTAACAGATTACCAAAGTTTTAAAGGTCTTTCCGAAAATTAGGTAACAAAACGTTTAAATGTTTTGAAAACAAAGTTGTTTACCTTGGAAGTTGATTTTTCCATCTTGATTTACGTCGACGTGTTTGTATATGGCCTTTATTTCCTGGTCGGTAAGGTTGTGTCCCATCCTTTGGAATGCCGTTCTCAACTCTGATCTAAAACAGGTTTTTTAAGATTTTTAAAGCTTTCCTTACTTCTTGATACTGTAAATATTATGTGATATTTAAAACTAGAAATGCTGATTTACCGTGTGATATGTCCATCCCCATCCACATCTAGCTCCTCAAACACAGCCCGCAATGACAGAGATAGCGGGTTGGCGCGGGCGATGGTCAAGAATTCGTGGAAGTCGATGTTGCCGTCGTTGTCCTTGTCGGCGGTGTTGAACATGGCATTCAGCTCCTCGTCCGTGGGACTCTGACCCATCTTGGTCATGACGGCCTTGAGCTCGTTCTTCTGAATGTAGCCGTCGCCGTTGAGATCGAACTCGCGGAAGATGCCGCGGAGGTCGTCCTCGCGGATCTCGCCGACGTCCTCCTCCGGAACGTTGTTGGCCTTTTTAGGCTTGCGCGACAAACATGAACCCATCTTAAAGCGAGATAGTAAAGTGAATTTTGTTTATTTAAAATATTAATACCCCTCCCTTGTTTTAAAGGTGCCTCGCCCTTCTTTTCCGTTAAGCGCGCAAACAAAACCAGGTGAAGGAATGTTCTTTCTGATGGAACAAATTGCGGAAGGGGAAGAACGATTGCCGGCCCCCACCCTCAGGCAGGTCTTCTACACTGTGTCGAAGGCCGTGGTGGTTTGTCGCAGTGAAGCGACGTCGCTGACTAATAGCGAATTCCACGTTTGCCTTCTCTTTGCTAGACCGAGTATTTAAATTGATTTTGTTTATTCGAAACAGGTCAATCTTCATCCTCCTCGTCCAACTGATCGTCGGACGGCATCTCGGAGACGTGCACGTCGGGCGCTTGATTGGGGGGCTTCAGCTGGTGGGAGCCTTTGAACTCCTTGTTTAACTTCTCGGACGTGTTCTTCCATTGTTCTTGCTCGGACTTGTCCACCGCGAGTTCGCCCAGGTACGCGGACCCGATCACGTCGTCCCCGGTCACGGAACGGAGCACGTCATGCACTGATATCGTGATCTTGGTCTTGCTCAGGTCTGTCTTGCTGGTCGAGATTAGGAACATGACGGCTTCCTTGTAGACGGCCGTGCACGTGCTCTTCAGTACTCTGGTACTCTTTGTTTGGGGATTACCGTTGTTTTGGCTCAATGTAATCCGAACACAAACGTCTAAAGTAATGTGAATATATTGCTTTAGGGTTGTTAATACGAAGTAAATATTTTGATGTATTATAAACATCGTTTTAGCATATTAACATTGTTTTAGTGTCTTGACTTGAAAGCTTTTTCTTTTACCTGGAGATCCGATGATTCCCCATTTGGGGAGGTCCTCCACCTTTATCACGTTTATTGTCAATCGGCGAGCTTCCTTCTCCAGACACGTCGTGATAAAAATTTTACCCAGTTTCTGAAAGGGAAAGTGAGATAATAAAGTTTTATTGTCGATGATAATGTTATTTGACAAATAATTGACTACCGAAAGGAAGCATCTTGTTTTAGATCAAAGGTTCTCAAAATATGTCTGATTAAGAAAAAGCAAGGTTAATTACACTTTCTAAAGCTTGTACTGTGACTTTTATGTGTGTAGTAAACTCACTTTACTGCTGGGTTTGAACTTGAGTTCCTCGACTATCCGGACCTCCTTCTTGGAGTAGAGCTGAGTGAGTTCCTTTAATGGTACCATTATCTGCCCGATCTCGAGGTCCTTTTGTATTTTAGTCGTGCCTTGGTGGTACACTTCCAGCGCCAACGACTTGCCGTCGATGTCTTCGACTGATATATTGTCGAAAAAGAATTCCTGAAGCATTGTTATAGTACTATGATATGGGAAAGTAATTGTTGTGGGTAATGCTCTCTCTGAACGGGTTATAAGAATCCAGGATATTGGTCTTGACGGTCTCAGGAGTTAAGTTATGGATCCAAAATGACATTATAAAGTATTTACATGGGTCTTTAAAGAAGTTACAGTAGTCTTAACTCCAGCATTATTACAGAAAGTTGGTAATATTAGTTAGGAAAGACAAAATCTACATTGATTACAACATACACAATCACAACATAAAAAGTTGCAGTACTTACAGCATTATATACAATATCTCTGCCCCGTTTGACGACACTAACTTGTTGTTTGTTTGCTTTACCCGGTAGAATATTTACTTTGCAAAATGCCTGTATCTCCAAATCCGGTCGAAGCTCGCCGGCCAGTCCTGAATAATAATAATTTGGTTAAAAATTGAATGGAGAACACACTGTTTGTTTACCTTCTATCTTCAGGATGGATACCCTGAGGCGTTTGCGGACAGGAAAATGTTGTAATGAGCAATGGACTAGGCCCAGCCCTTTCGGCCGAGGCTCGGGTTCGGTGGCCGGAGCAGCCGTGGGTGTGTTTTGTACAGGCTGGATGTCATTCACCGACGAGATACTGGAGCTGGGCGTTCGACGGCCCAGGTACAGTGAGGGATTCAGCCCGTGGTGGCTGGGATCTTCTCCATCTGAACTGTCCTTCTGAGAGCCTTCTATGTTTAGCTGGAATTGTATTATATTAATCAATATGTTTTTTTCTACTGTGTTTACTATAAATTTCAAAATTTAACTAGCATATTTACATTTACTGTAATCGTAGTTAACTTTTCTACAGTAACCCTACAACTTGTACCTGTTCAATAGACGGACTGAGGGACGAGTTGGTCGAGTACTGTACGGAATCAGGTGTAGCGTTGAACTCTCGTCGAAGTAGGTGTTGTTGCTCCAGAAGGTGTGCCATCGAACCGTTCCGTGACAACGAATCTCGGCCGACGTCAGCGTTGAAGGAGCACTTGCGGACCTTCTTGTAGCCGGCTGGAATGTCGGAGTTGCTTTCTCGGGGGGTCTGTGGCGCGGAGGATACTGTATTCATAGGCTTGGGCATGGTGAGGGGTTCGGGCACCAGCCGATTCACGGTGCTCATCTCGGGACGGGGATCTGAACTGGCTATGGAGGACCGAGGCGCGGCCGGCGGCAACTGAGCGGCTCTGAAAGGAAAGTGCGCATAATTAGTATCGTTATTGGATTGTGGAACAGCCTTTGTATTAATCAAATCATCTTACTTTAATTGAGATGTAGCATTGCGAGCGGAAGCGGAACGATACAAGTAGGAATCGGCAGTGGACGGGGGCAAGTGAGATTCAGAATACATGGAGGTGCTGGGGGTGAGAGAGGACGGAAACGGTGATGATGATGACGATGATGAAGGGGCGGGCGCGTCAGGGAGTCGCCGGCCCGTGGATGGACGCCGATTCATGACTTGGAGCTGGTGGGTGATGGGCGGGGACGACGAAGTGGTGCTGTGGAAGGAGTTGTTCATTAAGGTGGTCGCTTGTACTGAACAGGACGCCGGCGGCAGGGGCGGGGTTGGCAGCATTCTGGGCGAGGAAGAGCGGCGCATTACAGGTCCCAGAAGACCCGTCACGGGGCTGCGCGTACTCGTCGTCATTGTCGATCCGAGCCCCGGGTCGGGCGGGTCTTTGTGTGGAGTTGGGGGGAGACGGCGTCTGGTGGCGGTCACGATGCCCGGCGAAGCGGTGGAGGCGTCGAATTGATGAAGTGTCTGTGGTATCTTGGAGTGCATGGTCGGTGCGCAGACCATATGGACGCTGGTCAGGAGGGTCGAGCGACGACGGTCAGGTCCATCAGCGTCCTTAAGGGATTAGTTATGGCGTGCCACACTTAATCGTATCATAAAGTATAGATAGATGTGTCGGCACGGAATAAACGAGCCGAAGGTTTGAAAGGAAGAAGGCAAAATAAAGCCCGCAAGCAAAAACAAAGTTCAAATTAGGAAGGGAAGGGTTTGATCGGGCGGCACGGCGGCCGTAAAAGTTACTCTCCGAGATATGACGTACAAATGTGACCGCAAGGAATACACAGACCCACGGGCTTTGAATACCCGCAAGAAAACAAAAGAAGCACACATACCACAAATCCCTCGACTCGTGTGCCTTCATTTTCCCCTTCTTTTCGGCCGCGCTACCACTGTAGTAGCCGGGAATCGGGCGGGCGCCCCCAAAGCCCGCTTTAGCCGGGCCACATTAGGGCCGGGGCGAGCGAGCGAGGGGTGCGAAGACCTCGCCGAACTGCACAAAGTGCGTGGATTCAAGGCGGAGTTATTTTTTATGAACACGAGGACATTTGCGCTCAACTCTTGGCCATTTCCCTTTATGCTGGGGACAACCGGCTCGTTAGTGTTTTATAATGGAGTCTCTAATCGGCCGCCGACGCATCTCCTTGATTAATTCGGTTACCGGATCGATTCCCCCCGCCGGGAATTCCCGGCGTCGTGCAGGGTTTGTAGCCGTTTACTCACAACACTTGAGGCCTTCCGAGTACGCATAATTTATGCAAAACCGTTTATCACTGTTTTTGTTGTTTAAAAAACAAACTGGAACTGCGTAATCCCGGCTAGGAGCGGCCCATGCATAATTTATGGGCAAATGTCATGCTCTTAATATAAGGAGGATTAAGTGGCATTAAATGTTCTCCAATTTCATGTTTAATATAAGCCTTTAAGTACCATATAAAACTGAAACAACTCTGATTCACCACCAAGACAGGTGTTACGGAAATAGCGTCATCCCTCACAAACACGTTTGTTTACTACAGTAGATCATTAAAGATTGTGCTTTGTGTAATTCGGTTATTTTAGGCATGGTATTTTAATTATAACATAACACTTTTCATCATCGTAGTATCTCTTTCTTCCATGGATAACATTTGTCAGAGATTAAACTGAGTGTTCGCAAAGCTTTGTTTGGTTTCGACCATTTTAAGTTAAAGTTTGAAACCTAAAGACAGAAATAAAACACATAAAGTTAACAAACACATCTAGAAAATAAATTATTCATCTGGCGAATTGCCAAAACATTTGAATTCAATGTCACTTCAAACTAAATCATTCCGTTGCTAATGCCTTCCAGTGCTTCAAACTTTACAAGAATGAAGGTGAATATCACTATCAATTTTGAAATACAGCAACTTCAAATTTTGACTTATATAATAGTGTAAACCATACTTTGCTTCAACGTTTCAAAAACATCCACTTATTATTTGGAATGTCCTCAGTTTGTTATGTTATCACATCTTAAAAGTTGGTGAGTACAGTTATATTTGTCTTTAGTAAATTTTTTTGAGTTATGAACAAATATAAAGTCCTTATCACCGGAATACTTTTAAAATCTGTTTTATTTCATCAAAAGTTACGGTAGTCTAGAAGATTTCTTTAAAAATCAGACATTCCTGTAAATCGAATAACAAGTCAGGCCAACTTTCACCTGACACTTGAAAAGTGAGATCTCATGATAAAAAAGTATGCCATTTTTAAATACTGGTTCCCTAATTTATATCCACTTTTTTGTAAAATTAATAAACTATTGAACTTTCCTTTTACCAGTTTTAAATTTTTTTTCAATTTTTAAGTTTCAAATGTTGCGAAATATCAATTTTTTTGGTATTCAGCGACACTATACAACAAAATAAAAAATATTTTGCTTAACAATAAATTTGTTTTTTAAAATTAATCTAATAAAAAAACATAAAAGATCATGAGAATTTATGAAATCATGGTCAGTATTGCCTATATTTCTATGGTAAATGTTGTTTGCTGGAATAATGTAGCCAAATTTAGCCTTTTAACCTCTTTATGATCAGAATTATGCCTTGGATGTATATCGTTGTTGTACTACTACGCAAAGATTGATGAGGAGTCCATCAGAATATGCAAATAAAACAAAACACCTGGAGCAATCAAATGAAAACATGTCTGCATTCTGGGGCGTCACATTCTCTGTGTGCACTATCTCCTTTGTCTTGCTTTACATGACGCCCCCTCCACTTATTTTTTGCCGAACTTTGGGACTGCCGTCAGATGCCGATCGGAAGGAACACATTCAACAGCCTTTCATGAAAAAATTAAAATTGGGACAGTTGGGCTGGCCAAGTGCGGGGGGTTGGCTGAGTCTCTTGCCGCCTCCGATCCGAGGGTGATCAGAGGAGAACCGGCGACAAGACAGCAAGAGATCAGGGCCGCCAATCCCGAGAGCGGCCCCGCAGGCGATAAGCGCGGCCTCAAGACATCGCTCGGAGCAGAGAAACGATCAGCCCCTTCTTTTTTCTCTATCCCCACCCTCTTGCATCCGAGAGATAGCCAGCAGGCACCGTTTTCAGTCCTCAGCTCTGTGGAAATCAGTGCTTTTCATTCGTGCCCAGTTTATACAGTCCGTGCTTTTCGGCGTGGTCATTTTGTACGTCCTTAAGCGGTCCGTTTTTTAAGAGAGGAACTTGCCCTTAAGACCATGTCCAATTCGCTGTACAAAAGCCCGTCGATGGCGAACGCCGCCCTGTACAAATCCCCATCGATGAGCGCGTTCGGTGGCGCTCCAGGCGGCCCCTTCGGTTCCATGTCCGTCGCTGATCTGGGCAGTCTGACCCGGCTTGAGGTAACCAAAGTTTTGTGTTGTTTGATATCTCTTCACCCACCTACGTTCATTGTGTTAAAACAAACATTGCTTTAGGACAAGATCCGTCTTCTCCAAGAAGACTTGGAATCCGAACGTGAATTAAGAAACCGCATCGAGCGTGAGCGAGCTGACCTCTCTGTCCAACTCATCGCCTTGACTGACCGTTTGGAGGATGCCGAAGGCACCACCGATTCCCAAGTGAGTTTTCCCATAATTGGGCAATGTGATTAAAATGATCGAAGACAAGTATAAGATCAAAGTAACCATAAGTTCAATATTACCTAAATTACAAATCTTTGTATTATTCAACTTGCACTACGATATTCACCTTTAATCCTTGAATCCAGATCGAATCCAACCGCAAAAGAGAATCCGAGCTCCAAAAGCTCCGCAAACTTTTGGAAGAATCGCAATTGGAAAGCGAAGATGCCATGAACGTGTTGAGAAAGAAGCACCAAGATGCTCTTCTCGACTACCAAGACCAGATCGAGCAGCTTCAGAAAAAGAACTCCAAGTACGAAATTCGTTCATTTTCCTTTATTTTTTTATATTTTTTACATTTTTTCGGAATTTTTCGTAAAATATTTATTTTCTTGAAACTTTCGTTGCAGGATCGACCGTGAACGTCAGCGTCTTCAACACGAAGTCATTGAATTGACCGCCACCATCGACCAAGTCCAGAAGGACAAGGTAAACCTCATTTTAATGTTTTTGCTTTAAAATCCCTTCAAGTTTCACTTCCTCCATTAAGTTTTGGCAGATATTTGCCGCATTTTTGGGTTTACGTTCGTTTTCTTTGGAAACCCTTTGGCTGCGACTTCGTAAACAGTTGTTTCCCCAATATTTAGCCGTCCGTTTCTGTGAATAAGAAATGGGAAGGGCAATTGGACACAAGTGATCTGGACGGGTGGGCGGCCGACCCGATTGCCTTAGGGCCGAAACATCTGTTGTGCCTTACCCATCCACCTCCACACCTTCTTTTATAAATATAAAGACATTACTATACCAGAAAATTGGTATCAATAGTGTCATCCTTTATTTCAAAACACACATAATTAAAAACATATCATAATATTAATTAAACATTACATAATAACACATACTTATAAAAATTTTGTTTTAGCACGCCGCCGAGAAGGCCGCCGAACGCTTCGAAGCCCAAGCCAACGACTTGTTGAACAAGGTCGAAGACTTGAACAAGCACGTCAACGACTTGGCCCAACAACGCCAACGTCTCCAAAACGAGAACAACGAGTTGTTGAAGGAGGTCCACGACCAGAAGGTCCAACTCGACAACCTCCAACACGTCAAGTACCAACTTGCCCAGCAACTCGAGGAAGCCCGCCGTCGTCTCGAGGATGCCGAGAGAGAACGCTCCCAGCTCCAATCTCAACTCCACCAAGTCCAATTGGAGCTCGACTCTGTCCGTACTGCCTTGGATGAGGAGTCCGCTGCTCGTGCTGAGGCCGAGCACAAGCTCTCCTTGGCCAACACCGAGATCTCTCAATGGAAGAGCAAGTTCGACGCTGAAGTCGCTCTCCATCACGAAGAGGTCGAGGACTTGCGCAAGAAGATGCTTCAGAAGCAAGCCGAGTACGAAGAACAAATCGAAGTTTTGGTACAGAAGATCTCTCAACTCGAGAAGGTAGGCTGCAATCATCACGTTTTCTGTATTTTCACTTTTTTATTAAGATTCACTTATACATTTACAGTACTTTATTATAAAAGTCTACTTGTGTTTTCTTTTTGTCAACTATTTTTGACTACGAAGTGTCATTGTTTTTCTTATAGGCCAAGTCCAGACTTCAATCTGAAGTTGAGGTCCTCATCGTCGACCTCGAGAAGGCCCAGAACACCATCGCCATCTTGGAACGTGCCAAGGAACAACTGGAGAGAACCGTCAACGAACTCAAGCAGCGCATCGACGAACTCACCGTCGAGTTGGAAGCTGCCCAACGTGAAGCTCGTGCTGCTTTGGCTGAGCTCCAGAAGATGAAACACTTGTACGAGAAGGCCGTCGAGCAGAAGGAAGCTTTGGCCCGTGAAAACCGCAAGCTCCAAGGTAGGCTAATTATATTGACGCAAAAAAGGTTATTACCTTTCTTAAGTTACAAATTAATTAGAATTTTTATTATTTTACTCGTACTACAACAGTAATGCTAAATTATCCTTCCAGACGATCTGCATGAAGCCAAGGAAGCTTTGGCCGACGCCAACCGCAAACTCCATGAACTTGACTTGGAGAATGCCCGTCTTGCTGGAGAGATCAGAGAACTCCAAACCGCCCTCAAGGAATCCGACGCCGCTCGCCGTGACGCCGAAGCGCGTGCCCAACGTGCCTTGGCCGACCTCCAACAACTCCGCGTCGAAATGGAACGCCGTCTCCAAGAGAAGGAGGAGGAGATCGAGAACTTGCGCAAGAACATGCAATTCGAGATCGACAGGTTGACCGCCGCCTTGGCCGACGCCGAAGCCCGCATGAAGGCCGAGATCTCTCGTCTGAAGAAGAAGTACCAGGCCGAGATCGCCGAACTCGAAATGGCCGTCGACAACCTCAACCGCGCCAACATCGAAGCCCAGAAGACCATCAAAAAGCAGAGCGAACAGCTCAAGGTCCTCCAAGCTTCATTGGAAGACACCCAGAGACAACTCCAACAGACCCTCGACCAAGTAAGACATAACAATATTAAAATGCTTCTAATTTATTTTTTTATTTTTAAAATAGTCATCATTAATTGTTACAGTATGCTTTGGCTCAACGCAAGGTCTCTGCCTTGGCTGCCGAACTCGAGGAGTGCAAGTCCGCTTTGGATAACGCCATCCGTGCCCGCAAGCAAGCCGAAGTTGAATTGGAAGAAGCCCACGGCCGCATCAACGACCTCCAATCCATCAACAACAACCTCACCGCCATCAAGAACAAGCTCGAGACCGAACTCTCCACCGCCCAGGCCGACCTCGACGAGGCCACCAAGGAATTGCACGCCGCCGACGAACGTGCCAACCGTGCTTTGGCCGACGCTGCTCGTGCTGTAGAACAGCTCCACGAAGAACAAGAGCACTCCATGAAGATCGACGCTTTGAGGAAGTCGTTGGAAGAACAGGTCAAGCAACTCCAGGTCCAGATCCAAGAAGCCGAAGCCGCCGCCCTTCTCGGAGGAAAGCGTGTCATCGCCAAGTTGGAGACCCGTATCCGCGACTTGGAGACCGCCTTGGACGAGGAGACCCGACGACACAAGGAGACCCAGAACGCCCTCAGAAAGAAGGACCGCAGAATCAAGGAAGTCCAGATGCAAGTCGACGAAGAGCACAAGAACTTCGTCATGGCTCAAGACACCGCCGACAGACTTTTGGAGAAACTCAACATCCAGAAGCGACAACTCGGAGAAGCCGTAAGTCATTGTTTTGCTGTACAGCTTACATTTGGCTTATTATTATATTGAGGTAGCTGATTTGATTTAGTGTTGAGTCGGTAGAAGTTGAACCTGTACCTTTTAGGAATCCATCACCATGCAAAACCTACAACGTGTCCGCCGTTACCAACGCGAGTTGGAAGACGCCGAAGGCCGTGCCGATCAAGCCGAAAGCTCATTGCACCTCATCCGCGCCAAGCACCGCAGCTCCGTCGTCACCGGCAAAGGAAGCTCGCCTAAAGTATATGTTTTGGAAGACGACGCTTAGATACATCCCTGCTTGTTTGTCTCATTTCTATTTCATTTTCTTTCTTTTCACGTTCTTGTGTTGTAATGGTTCCGATGTTCGTCGTATATTATGATTGTAGCCGTCTGAGATGACATCACGAGTGCAGTCTGTAAAGAACATCACTGCCCCCTATATCCCCTGTCCTTTGCACTCACTGGGTAATTCTCTCTCTCAATTATCATTCACCATCAGACAGCTAGCTCTCCATTAACCAATAAAACAAAAGGTCGATTAAGCCATGTTGAATCAGTTGTTTAACTATAAAACGTTTAAAACAGTGCTCGATATTAAGTATGGCGGGCTCTTCAGCGTCCCTAGGATGACTCGAAATATGGACCAGACTTAACCTACATTAGAGATAGACTGATACTAAAGAATTTATTACTGTACAGCTATAATACATGTTTAAAACACAGAATCAGGGTTTTCACAAACTCCATCTCCTTCCTCGAGTTGGCAAACACGACGTTGGGGTCTTTGCTTTGGCATCGTAGTATGTTGGGTGCCATCACCATAGACAAGTTGGAGACGTCCATCTTGGTCGACTTGACCGTTTCGTCGTCGATGAGTCGTTGTAGCATGGTTAACAAGGCCACCAATACTTTTTGGTTAATGTGAGGTAGTGATTTTACTAAAGCAGTCGCTTTGTCAGCATCGGTCGAAGCACTCAGACACTTGTCGTACATCTCGTCTGGTACTAATGGGGCAGGAAGTTGGCGCAGCCATTGTTTCAGCAAGGCCGCTGGAATGTGTGCGTCTCGGATTGCTGGCTTTACCCACACGTTCAGTTGGACAATACCTTCAAATTAAAAAGAATGTTAAGTCTATAGACTGAGCTATTACTCTTAAACAGATGATTTTGAATTATTTTAATGATTCAACAAATAAAACATTCACATTACCTAAACCTTTTAAACATTGTTTTAGATATAAGCCGGTTATAATTTGGATAATCAGCTTACCTTGATGCATGCAATCCGGATCTGCAGTGATTCTGAATATCCCTTCCGTCCGTTCCCCACCCAACTCGTATATCATACTGATCAACACGTCTTCTATCCAAGGAATGTCCAGATTGGGGCACTTGTCCTTCTGGTAGTCCATCAGCTCTTCTAACGTCGTCCCAAACATGGAAGGGTAGAAGATGTTGTACCTAGCAGTCTGGATCGACTCCAGCGATACCTTGAAGAAGTTAATTGGCAGTTGGATTCGTTTAAAGCAATGTTTGGCATATTTAGAGCAGACAAACTCTGGAGGATCAAGTAAAGGGTCAGAGCATCGCTCCACGAAAGAAGTGACGTCAAACACAACATCGTTATCACATGGAATGCAGAAGGACAACATTATTGCTAACAGTTCCCAGCCGCGGCGGAGAGAATCAATCTTGGGGTTATTTGATAACTGCTTTATCAGTTGTAAGAAGAGCTCGTCTTTGAGTGGCGGAGAATTAAATACTATTTCTAACATACTCATCACAAGCTGAAAAGTTCAATCTTAAAGTTAAAAATTTAAATTTGCAAAAGCTCATAATTTAATACCACAAAAATGCGCATGTATTTTTAAAAACTTACATTATCATTAGTAGTCCGTGTTTTCCTGTCTCCCATGTAACTTTGGACTAGTTTGAATAATACTAAAGCTTGTTTTCGGTCTTTTTTACTTGAAATTTCGGTAAGAGGTCCCTTTAACGAATCTTTTGTCCAGTTTAATTTGCTGGCGTTCGCAGAGACCGTAGACGTAGTTACCGGGGCCTTCTACAATTAATTTTAAATTATACGATAAATTTAACAACTAAATAAACACAAAACTGACTAAACCTTACCTGAGACAAAGCTTCTGAAGGTTGTAATGAGCTAGATAACGAAGAACTCGTAGAACATGTTCTCGTCCTGCCAGTCCAGTGCTCGTTATCATAAAAAGAAGACGAAGGTTCCAGTATCGTCTTGGACGTGACCATCTCTTGTAAACAGTTATCGAACTTCGACTTGGTAGCTGAAGACTCGCAACTTAAAGCTGAAGACCCAGAATGAGATCGTAGCTTCCTCCTTGAACTTGGCGAACTGACATTATTCGAATACTCAGATATCTTCATCTCCTGCATTTGACTTGATGGGTCTTTAAAGTTGGTGTAGAAGCACTCAGCATTTTTGCTTTTATTATCTCGAGATAATGTTGACGCAGGCGACGCCGAGGCTCCAGAAGCCGTGCTTTCCTTCAATTGCTAAAATGGTATTATTACTCTATAAATTATAGTTTACCTTACCTGTAACTTGGCAAGAGGAATTATATCGCATCCTCGCGGTTTTTGCCAAACTGTTTCTGTAGAACACGGGTTGTAGTAATAGAATCGACTGGTATTGCTGTCAAACAGCTCCCACCATTGATTCTCGCTTGTCTTTTTCCTAAAATCCAAAAATACACGCCTAAAACAAGGAAACTTACACCAAGACGCCGGTCGGAGGCTCCCATAGACATGTCCCGGTCACTAAATTGGCATACATCCTTTGGCGGGTCTTTGGTTCCACGATTTCTATCCATTCTGTTCTAAACAATATTATAGCATCATTAACTGTCGCTTACTGTTCGTATCCTTCAGGCATATAAGGGCAACAGAACAAACAGAAAATTTGCACAAAAGATCGAAACAGAGAACTATGTTAGAAAAAGTCGCGAATTCTTTCCAAAAATTATAGAGACATGTTATATGACCAAACATGTCCGCTCTCAAGCAAACCTGACACCAGGGGGGGGGGAGAAAAAGTCCCGGCCCAATGTTTAGGCCCGGCCCGGTGAAAAAAATTCTAGGCCCGGCCCGATTCGTTTTAAAAAAATTTTAAAACTTTTAAGTTAAAAAAAAATAAACGGAAATTTGGCTTTGCATTGTTTTTTCGGACCATATATGGATCATGGTCAGTGTTTTGCCGAAGTCCAGACGGTTTTTTTTTCGGACCGGTCCGGTCCGCCCCTAAATTTTTTCGCAATTGTCCGGTCCGTTTTATATATGTAATAATTATAGTTGCTGATGTTCTAAATGGTATGGTATGGAAAAATAGGGTATGATATAGTATATTATGGTAAAGTAGGATAATGTAGGGTAGGATTTATAATGTTTTGGTACTGTAGGGTACTAATGTTACTAATTTTCCTAAATTTTGTTCTTTTCGACATTGTATGGTACTAAATGGTACGGTCGGCGAAGGCTTTAAGAGGTTCGGCGTAGACTAGATTTATGAACTTGGCGGAGACTTTAGGGTATCTACTCGAACCTACCCTTGACCTTTTTAGCCCTATCCTACCTTATCCCTGACCTCTTTAGCCCTACCCGACCCTACCCTTGACCTTTTTAACTCTACCTTACTATACCATACCCTACCATAACCTATCCTATCTACCATACCACATCCTAAGATAACGTACCATATTATACTATAATATTCCATAATATACTTGACTATATTATAACATTTATGTTGTTTTACTTACCTATTCCACCATACCCATGGATAGTACATAGTAGTGTTGTATAAGATTGAATAAGGTAAGGCATGGTAAAGTTTGGTATAGTATGATATTGTAAGGCGTGGTATGGTATGGTAGATAGTATAGGGTAGAGCATGGTATGTTATGGTATGATAGGATATCGTATTGTATGGTAGGGTATGGCATGTTATAATATGGCAGGGTATTGTAGGGTTTGGTATGGTAGAGGTCATGGTACGGTATGGTATACTAGGAACAATATGGTAGAGTATGTTATAGTTTGGTATGGTATGATTAGTAGATGGGTATGCAGGGCCGGGCGCGAGGGGGGGGGGACGGGGGGGTACCCCCCCCCCCCCCAGAAAAAAAATTTGAACGTGGTCCTCCCTGTGGATTTTTGGAAAAAAATTTTCGAAGGTAGCTAGCTACCTGTGCCGATTTTTTGGACCCCTGCCCCCAGACCAAAAGTCCCCGCCCGGCCCTGTGGGTATGGTATAGTAGGTAACACAGGACATCGTAAGGTATATTATAAAGGATGGGTATGGTATAGTTGGGTAGGGTAAAATGGGCAAGGTTAAGGTTAAGTAGGGCTAAAAAGGTAAGGGGTAGGATCGGGTTAAAGAGGTCAGGGGTAAGGTAGGATAGGGCTAAAAAGGTCAAGGGTAGGATTGAGTAGATACCCTAAAGTCTCCGCCAAATCCATAAAAGCCTCCGCGGATCCTCCGCCGAATTTCCTAAAGCTTCCGCCGACCGTACCATTTAGTATCATACAATTTCGAAAAAAACAAAATTTAGAAAAATTAGTACCATACAGTACCAAAACATTGTAAAGTAGCCATTTTACCGAATTTACCTCTTTCTTTAAAGGGGGAGGGGCTGTTTGAGGAGGGGGGGGGGAGGGACCTAATCATTCCAAATCTAACAAAACGGTTTTAGTGTATCTTTAGTGGTGTTTTTAGAGCATTTTTCATAATGAAATAAAAGTAAAAAACGGTTGCACGCAGCGAGGTTCGAACCTGCTAGAGCAGCACCGAGGGATAATACTTTACCATTTGGCCACACAATCACTCTCTCTTTCTCTGTCGTTTCTCTTCCATTTTGGGAAAGCTCTTTCCGAGAGAAAGGCGCAAGCTCCGCCCAATTTCCCGCAAAAAAGCACAAAAAATATTTTTTTTTGGAAAAAACCAACTTATACGATCAAATATTTAAATTTTTTCCCAAACCGGACCAAAAATTTTTTCAATCGGCCCGGTACGGCTCAATTTTTTTTTGGACCGGACCCGTCCGGACCGGACGGGTCCGGCAAAACACTGATCATGGTACCCAATAAAAGCAGCATTTGGGACAATTAAAAATCCATTACTTTTCACTTTACCCGACCCCACCCCTGACTAGACATGAGCAACGGACCGGGCCGTTCCCAATTTTCAAGCCCGGCCCGTTTTTGATTTTGGTCAGGCCCGGCCCGATCAGAAAAATTTTAGGCCCAGCCCGTTTTAAAAAATTTTAAAAATTTTAAAACTTAAAAACTATACGGAAATTTGGCTTTAAATTGTTTTTTTAGGTCATTTATGGATCATAGAATCCAATAAAATTAAAAAACATAAACGGGAATTGAAATAAAAAATTTTTAAAAATTTAAAAAATTTTTTTTCAGGCCCGGCCCGTTTTCGATTTTGCTCAGGCCCGGCCCGTTGCTCATGTCTACACTTGACCTTGTTGGTCCTGCCCGACCCCACCCCTGACCATGTTGGTCCTACCTGACCCCACCCCTGACTTTTTTGGCCTTTCCTGACCCCACCCTGACCTTTCTGACCCTACCTGACCCCACCCCTGACCTTGTTGGTCCTACCCGACCCCACCCCTGATTATTTTGGCCCTACCCGACCCCACCCCCAAATAGACATGAGCAACGGACCGGGCCCTACCTTCGGTCCGGGCCGGGCCTGAAAGTTTAGCCCGGCCTTTGATTGCGTTGTCTTAAGTGTTGGTACTTTAACTTCAAATTTTAATTAAATTGCACCAATTGAAGGCAAAGTTATTGCATGTAATGTAAAAAGATGCCACAGTAACTTAGTAAACACACATGATAAGAAAAGTAAAAACCATAGATACAATTTTTACTTGTGTTTATTTGTCAGGTTTTACGATTCTGAAAAGTATGAAGTGGTATGGATATTCAGTTTTTCATATGGCCATTGTCCGTGTGGGACATTTAATTGTAAGGTACTATCTAATATAATTTTTAAGCACGAAAATAAGACACATAATAATGTTTCTTTTTTATTTGGCTTTCTTGAAACAACGACGTCGATGTTGAGTTGTACGACAGGTGGGGGCAAACATCCGGGTAAACTATAACATTTTTAAAATATAGGGTGCTTCAAAAAATTTTTAACTTTGAAAAATTTATTACTCAGTCATGAAAAAAGGCAGGAAGACGAAATTTGGCACCCCTAATACGTACCCCCTCAACCCGGGCGATTTTAGACTCGGACGATCTTAGACTCGGGTTATTTTAGAGTCGGGTTGTCTTAGAGTCGGGCGATTAAAAATGGTACTGAGTGGTATCGTACTTAAAAATCAATTAAATTTATGTATTTGGTACTAAAATTTTAAACTATTATAATAAATAATTATTGTAATAATTATTTATTGAAAAATAGGTTTTATACTTATAGTTTTGATACTAAATAGTACTAAATGTTTTAAAACTATTTAGAGTTCTACTTTGTTGTACTGTGTGGTACTAATTTTTTCTAAACTATTTAGAGTTCATATACTACCCAGCCCTCCCTGACCCTTTTTACCCTACCCAACAATACCATACCCATCCTACATACCATACCATACCCTATGTTACCTACTATACCATACCCATCTTACCAAACATACCATACCGTACTTTACCATATTTTACCTAGTATTCCATACCCTATCATAACCTATCCTATCTACAATATTATAGAATACCATACCATAATCTATCGTATATACCATACCTACAATACCCTACCATATTATAACATGCCATACTCTACCATACTAAACCTGACTATATTATACCATTTATCTTGCTTTACTTACCTACTCTACCCTACCCATGGATAGTTCACGGTAGTGTTGTAAAAGGTTGGATAAAGTAAGGTGTGATACAGTATGGTACAGTAAGTTATGGTGCGGTATTGTATGTTATTTTATAATATGGTAGAAGGATAGGTTATAGTAGGGCACGGAATATTAGGTAAAATATGGTAAAGTACGGTATGGTATGTTTGGTAATATGGGTATGGTAGAGTAGGTAACATAGGGCATGGTGTGATATGTTATGTAGGATGGGTATGTTATCGTTAGGTAGGACTACAAGGGTCAGGAGTAAGGTTGGGTAAGGCTATAAAGGTCAGGGGTACGGTTGGGTAGTATATGAACTCTAAGTAGTTTAGAAAAAATTAGTACATACCACTCAGTACCAAAACCATAAGTACAAGACCTACCTTAATTTTCAGTGTTATATGGTATCGCAATAATCATATATTATAATAGTTTAAAATTTTAGTACTACTCAGTACCACAAAGTAAAACCCTAAATAGTTTTAAAAAATTTAGTACCAAAACCATATGTACAAAACCTATTTTAATGGTATTTGTTATTGCAATAATTATTTATTATAATAGTTTAAAATTTTAGTACCAAATACATAAATTTAATTGATTTTTAAGTGTGATACCACTCAGTACCATTTTTAATCGCCCGACTCTAAAATAACCCGAGTCTATGATCGCCAGAGTCTAAAATCGCCCGAGTTGTCATAAGGCCCTGTAATGTACAGTTAACAAAATTTATTAAAAAATTGGAATTTTAAAGTGCATATGAAGGTGGTTGCGAATTTTTGAAGTTTCACTTTTTTCAAGAAAAATTTCTGTTTTCGGCTGTTTTGTGGTTAGAAATGCATTTTTAGGATGAAAATTTATGTTCTCCGCGTTGACAGAGTCTTTTTTTTATAAAAAATATACATTGGCTGTATATTACGGGCGCCAAATTTTGTCTTCCTACCTTCTTTCATGGCTAAGTAATAAATGTTTCAAAAGTTAAAAATGTCTTGAAACACCCTGTATATACGTTTTTGAAGCTTACCATTACAGCTGTTTTACCAATTAATAAAGCGATTCCAAAAAAAATAACGTTTAGCAAAAAGAACAAAAAAAGATTTGTGGCATTCGCTTCTATTACGTGTGCGTTTACTAATATGGTTTCGTTTAACACGGTGTTTATGTAGTGTTCGCCAGTCGGTTCTGTGTATTGTAGGTTTAAAACAAAACCAAGAGGTCGGTCAATAAAAGTTTCATCCGGGATGAAACTGTAGGCAAAAGTGACTTCATGCTCTGGAGATATTGTTCTTTCAACATGATCTTCATTAAACTAAAATTATACGGGCGCTCACATATGGTTCACTTACTTATCTACAAAAAGATAATGTAAATACTAGGTCTTATGCAATATACCATGTCAAATAAAGTTCAGTAAAATCGGCTAAATGCTTTAGATTTGCAATTAACATATACGGAAACAACAAGCTTTTGGGGAGTGTGGGCTTATATAAAAAATAAGTTAGCTGATTTCTATTAATAACAAAAACGTTACTTCCGCGGCGAGAAAGCATGGTCTAATTGATTTGGAGAGACAGAAATAGGAATTTTTGTTTGAAAATATGCACATCTTAAGTGCCTACATATACATACTAAAGTTGCTTTTTGTCAAAAATACCATTACAACTATCAATCACCACCATCTACATTTTATGCATTTACAACAACGATCTAATTACACAAGATTCTTTCTATTTTTTTGGTCAATTACATTCTAAAAGTACAAAATAAAAAAATCTACTTACCTTAAAGATGACAATATTGAAGTCGAATGTAGCTCTGTATGATGCGGCAATATAATGAACTATGCAATCCTTTCTTCCCTTGTTAACAAATCCAATCAAAACTTTATATACTTTACCGGCTACAAAACCTAAAATTAAAAATGTTTTGAAATTTTTAACAATCTTAGTAACTAAATACATTTGATAAAAGTTCCCTACTTTATGGGAATATGCCAAGTAGTTAAAGACAAATCAAGTCCAGATTAGCTTTTAAACAATAAAAAAATGCAAAATCTTGCAATCCCCGCCTCTAAATGCAATGTTAAAAACCTTAAGTTTTAAAAATAGATCCTTTGCAACGCGCCGAAGGCCCGAGGCATTTGATTTGAAAACAGTTCGTCCTTTTTTGAGTACGATGCTATTTTCTTACAATGAAGTTACAGAATGATACTGTACTATTTTAAAAAGTGTGAAGGTGTCCTTTTATAACAAAACCAGAACAACTATGATGATCTGGACATTGCAAATTACATTTTCATTGTGTAAATCATTCTGTAACTGCATTGTAAGAAAACAGCATAATACACAACAATGGGCGAGCTTTTTACAATTCAAATGCCCGGGCCTTCGGCCCTCGGCACGGTTCAAAGAATATATTTTTTATACTTAAAATTAAGTATCATACTCAGAATAAATCGTATAATTCGACTAAAATTTTTTATTTTTCTGACAAGGGAATGTTACAAACTGCCCATTCGCTTTTTAAAAATGAATGGTACCATGTGAAAGAGCGTAAAAAGTTGATTAGAAACTTATTTTCAAAAACTGCTAATTATGCTTTACAAGCCCGCTAGCGAGATTTAATTTTTACTATCAAAACGGATTTTTTAAACCCGCTTTCTTTTGGCTTCTTTCAAAAAGGAGAAGTAAATGTGTTCGAATGGCCGAGTGGTCAAAGGCGCCGTGATTGCGCAATCAATGGACTTTAGGTTTGATTCTCTTTTTGGGTAAATGATTGGTATTCTTTTTTATTTAAAAGTTAATTAACCCTAATATTCAAAAAAAATTTTTTTTTGTTGATAATGGCTTCTTACATCTAATAGAACATAAAAAAAGTAAAAACTAAGGTTTTTAAAAATACAATAATCCAAAAGAAAGAATAACAACTTATAAGGCCCTTTCACTAATAATTTTAAAATCTCGCTAGCGGGCTTGTAAGGCAAAATTAGCAGTTTTTGAAAATAGATTTCTAGTCAACTTTTTACGCTCTTTCACATGGTACCATTCGCTTTTAAAAATCGAATGGGCAGTTTGTAACATTCCCTTGTGAGTCTAACAATCTCGGTATAAGGATTCAGGAAAAAAGGCTAAGGACATATCGTGTACGATTTTAGGTAAAAATTTGCTATTTAAATTATGCGAGGGCCCGAGTCATGTTTTAAAGAAATGTTTTGGTATTTACAATATTTGAATGAAAGTTATTGGCGTGCGAGGGCCGCAGGCCCGAGCCAGAAATGTCAGACAATTTTATTCATTTATAACAACTTAAAAATAAAAACTATGCGGAGAGCCGCAGGGCCAAACCAGTTTGTTAGAATTTTTATATTTTAAAAATAACATAATATAAAATTGCAGTGACAGACCATTGGATGCCCGAAGGGCATCCTTTGGTCTGTCATCCTTTGGTAATGTTTATATTAAAAGACCAAGTTCAAGTAAGTAATTCTTTAACTTGAGGTTTCTTTATGTTTTTATTAGGAAATAACATATTTTCTTAAAATGAAATTGCTTTACTTTTTTGGAAAATATTCATCTAAAAATATAACAATTTATTATCTAGAAACTTTCTATTACCCGACACCTGTGAGATCATGAGATGTAAAAGTGAAAAATTACAAAATTCGAACAAAACATGACTAGTTAAAATATGGTTACATAGGTTATTTGTGGTGTTTCACTGAATGGAAAAACCAATTGACAGTGGTGGACCAGTCGTGCTTGACGACACCATCGAACACCTCAAAGAATGAGTTCAAGATACTCTGGCGTTCCACCTTTTCGTACTGTAGCGATGTGTACATGTACTCGATATCTTCATCTCGCTGTAGCTCTGGTAAGCCCATACAACGCATCATTTTGAATAGAGCGAGGAAGAATCGTCTATGATAATGTAGAACTAGGTACCCTTGAGCACAACTTTCACGGAATCTGAAAAAAATGAGTTATTACTTAAAAAACTATAATAAATATATTTTAGGTAGTTTAATTTTTAATAGATTGTACTATGACTTACGTTTTGAACATGTACGATCCTTTAAAGTCGTCCTTCCCATGAGATACTACACACAAGAAGTGGTCCGTAAGGATGAAGTCGGTGCGTTCCCTGTTGATACCCAGCTTCTTCTTGTTGTGACCCAAAATGTGTCCGAAATCAATATGAAACAGCTGAAATTTAACATATACATGTATAATAATACATTTCTCAAATATGTAAATGCAAAGGCTATAAAAGACTTCAAAGACGCAAAATGCTCACAAACATACTCTTCCGTCGTTTGCCAACATCAAGTTGTCTTGATGACGATCTCTAATCCCCAAGACATATGTAGCCACGCAGTAGCCAGCCAATGAGAAGGAGAACCTGTCCACACACTCCATGTACTTCTTAGAATTGAGCACCTTATCTTGCGTGCACAAGTCGTATATGTGCTTGTTGATGAGCTGCTGATCCATGGAGAACGTAGATCCCAGCTGTGTAGATGCACATTGTATTTGAAATATCGTGGCACAATTCTGCACAACATGAATCATACCAATCTGAAAAACGAGGGATAAGTTTTAATATTATAGCTTATTCTAGTGTAAACAAAGCTTTACTGAAACATTATAAATTGTATTTTATTGCAAAATTAATAATGTTTCGTTTATATTAAAAATAGCTTACGTTCTCTCCCATGGGTAACACTTCGTAGACGGTTAAACAGTAATCCATATTGTAGTTCTTCCATTTTGCATCCATAATTCGCATCACTTGCAATGTCAACATGTCCTGTCGCAGATCTAAAAGATTATTTTGATTACTCTGAAGTCATCCAAATACATCTGATGTAAAACATCACCTACCGTCTCCGTTTTTGAAAATGATTTCGTGGACTGGATTGGTCAGCTGAGAAAAGGGTTCTGGGTTCTTCCACCTTAACCTTAAGGGCATTTTTGCACTTCCGAGAACTTTGCAGGCGCTGATACTGTAATCAGATGTTATAGCTGTTCTACTGTAACTTACTCTATCTCTCCTAGGCATTCACACGGATTTAAAGGGGATTGCATGTTCTGCATCCCACTGACACAGTCCACCAGTTCTGCTTGTAACTTCTGCAATTACATAGAATAGAATTAGATAGAGCAAATATCAGAATATTTCCGTATATGTGGCAAATCTGAATTACAAATATTACTGTACCTTCGACGAAACTTCTTTGCTAAAAGCCTTGACCAAAGTACTCAGTTCTGTCAGCTTGTTAACCATCATTACTTGTTTTGTCATTGAGTTTAAGTAAAGTGCATTCCCTCTACAGTACGCCTCGCACATCAAAGCAAATCTGTACTTCAAACACATCGGATCATCCTCAGAGAACAAGGCCAGCTCTGACCTCATCAACCATAAGAACGTGTGACCAACCTTGTAGTCCATTAAAGCACGTCGTACCAACATATCAGCCAACGGGGATGTTGCATAAGGCTCGTAGCGAAGACACTACAATATCATGTTAAAGTCTACGTTACAATACAATTATAAGCAGGTAACAAAACACTCACTTGCACTAGAGCCAGTAGATATAGCTGCATCTGATCATTGTCAATGATCTTGTCTAAATGTCTCACAGCAAATGCTCTAACGTAACGGTCAGAGAACCTGGCATCCAACAACTCTATAGCTGTGTCCACGTATAGTTGTGGCCAGGTGTTCAGTAAATTGTAAAACTCGCACAGTTTCTCCCGACAACTGTATACCAAAGGAGTGTCGGCCAGGATCAATATCATCTGAGGGAACAATTCTTGGATCTTCAGTCTGAATTCAGTATATTATATTAATCTTCAAGTTATGTTTATTAGATAACACAATATTTTTAAAAATATGTAAATTATTTTAAAATGTCACCTGTAGTCCCATAAAAAGTTCTGATCGTCTATTGTCAATTTTGAGCCATCCAGTTCGTTGCGCAGCTTCAAAAACTTCTCCAAGACATCAGAATCTCTCTAAAATTATAAATTTAGGAAGAGTCGTAGAAAGAAGTGCAAAACCAATATAAAGACAGGAATGTGACATCAAACATACTAATATAGGCTCCAAAACATTATTTTCTTCCTCTTCAACCTGTCTACACCTAGTGAACTGACTGAACTTCTCGATGATCTCCCAGTCTGGGAACTCCAACTCTCGTCCAGGAACTTCTGGAAACTCGACCTCAAGTCTGACAGAATTGTGACAAATGTTACTGCCACAAGGAAGTAACAAGATCGATGCTACATCTGCACCCTTAGGCGGAGGTCTCAAGTAGAATGTGTTCTTTCCTTGGCAGAACATGTTCTTCCAATCGAACAATCTCACATTCATGTACGCCAACATCTCATCGTCGGCACTACTCTTCTTCGAAGCCGAGTATAACAAGAAACACATCTGGGCGGACTCCGGAACGTCTTTCATGTAAACATTGAACTAAAAAGCCAAACTTTCGAACTCTGATTAAAACACCTTTACTTAAAGCTTCCAATAGCATCTTTAATTCTGAAATTTTAAAAACTAAAAGGTACCCACGTTAATAGCAGCCTGGCGGAAAGAATTCGACGCTACAGGAGCTGTATCTTGACTGTCCAAAATATGTCGTCCGGCTGCCAGAATCGTCTTTACATACAATTTGACAGAGTCGTACTCTTGAATGTTTGATATGCCTCTAATGATTATGCTCAGCACCTGGTCCAAATCCCAAAAACATGCCGGCTTTAGTTTTGTAGTACAAGGATACTTCCGGGAAAACTCATCAGCACGAATGTAAGAAGGCTACAATAAATTACACTTGCTTTCTCCTTTAACTTACTGTAAAGACTTCTGGAGGCGGTGGAAATTGAGCAAAGATGACATTCTTTCGACGTAACAACAACTTTGGCTCACGGTAATTCTCAAAACAAGATCGAATATACTGAAAGATCAGTTTTTACTATCAAAGTGATTTTGAAAAACATTAATTTTTGAACATATTATAATTAAAATAACAATAAGCAGCAACCCTTACTTCAAACTTTAATATAGGTTTGTGCAACGTAACAAAAGCATTTCGGCCAACAACTTGTAAGATGAACTCTGCTGGATTATCTCTCTAAAAAAGAAGGTTAAATCGTTATCGAAAACTAGATAATAATATGTATATTAAGCAGTACCTTCCCTAACATGTTCAAAGCACAACGGATTATGTCCGAAGGCGTTTTATCGAAGATCTCCTTGATTCCAACAGATATCCCTTGCTCGCTTTCTTCGTTTTCCCTGTACCACACTTCAATCCCTATTCGAGACCTCTCAACCTTCTTCTTCAACGCTTGCATCGCTTTCTGATCAGCATCGCTCGGTAAACTCGGATACCACCAGAACTCCACATCTTCCTCGTGAACTTCTGAATGAATGTTCGGACTGAAGACACGATCAGCAATGTTAGGTAGAATGGTCTCTTCGGGGAAAGCGTAGTGAAACGTTCCTGATGTTCCTCTTTCGTCATCAGCACGTTTAATCGACTCAAACAACTCCAACCGAAAGTTTTTGAGTTCAGGGTTCAGTTTGGGTTCCAACTGTTTCAAAGGCTCGTCAATAATTAACCCTAAATTACAAATAGCTTTACCCTATGTTAACATACCTATCTTTTCGTTCAACTCCGTCTCTTGAGCGAAGTCATTCCTCTTTACCAAAATTAGAAATGGCAAAAACATGTGAACGGCGTCCAAACTTCGTTCTTCATCATACAGCTCCAGAAGCTCCCCGTTATCTCCTACTGAAGAAAATATATAATCATCGGGTTCTATACCTTGTTCTTCAATCCAGCTCCTACAAGTATAACAATAGTTACAGTAAGTTATATGAAATAAGCTATCAAGTTAACATTAACCTACTTTACATATTTAAACAATTGTTCTTTCAAATACTTTAACGTCCAATGCAGTGGACTTAACAATGCGAAGATGTATCCATTAGGCAAATATATATCTAAATTGATGCTCGACTTGAAATAGCCAGTCTGATTGCTCAAGTAATTAGCCCACAGAATGTGATGTTCAACCAAATTGTGATCATTTAGTGCATCATTGATCTCTGACATAGAAAAACCATTGTGAGAAGGCAAATCGTCCAAACTGTTCACTGGTACTTTCTTCTTGGACTCATCAAGCAATGTGAGTCCCCTTCTACGACGCATAAATCCCCCTGAAAGTGTAAAATATTATAGTTTTATAACACTGTAGAACCTAAATTAAAAAGGCGCTAGGACAACTGCGGTTTTTGGACACTTGCGGATTTTGGACATTTGCAGATTTTTTAAAGGGGTTTTTTATTTTTTAGGTAGTTTAGTTGTAGTATGGTACTAAATTGTACTAAAGTTTAAATTGGTGCGGTTTTAACATAACAGTACCTGTTTGGGCTTTTAGTACCATTCAGTACCAAAAAATATAAAACAGTACCAATTTAAAATTTAGTACTATTTAGCACTAAAACATATTAAAACAGTACCAATTTAAACTTTAGTACCATTTAGTACCATAATACAACTAAATTAACTAAAAAATAAAAAAAACCCCTTTAAAAAATCCGCAAATGTCCAAAATCCGCAAGTGTCCAAAAACCGCATTTGTCATAGCGCCATTAAAAATACCTTTAAATTTCTTTCATTTTTTATTATAAAAAGGTAAATATTATAAAAATTCGTTTTGGAAAATATTTGGAAAAATAATTTTGCGCTTTCGTTCATAAAAAACGTCATGACGACATAACTTATTTCGGAAAATTTATTACTGGATCTTTTCTAAACAACATTTATTGTTATCTTTATAAGTGAATAAATTTTTTAATTTTTTTTGTATGATTTAAATTTTACCCAGCCGTTCTCTTTACTGACTATTTTCTAGACATTCGTTTTCTGGTTTTATTATTTTTTGATAAAAATTGGATCCAATTGGATAACCGAGTGTGATGTAAGTGTAAATGTACTGTTCAACGCTAACTCAGCCGGTCCTCAAGAACGCAGGTTCATGTCGGTTTCTCCATCGCTCTTCGTGCACGGCTACACGTTCTCGGACGAGTACGGACGCGATTCTGAGGGCCAACGAACGATCTGTTATACTGGATGATCAAGCCGTGGTCAAAGTAGACGTGAGTCAACTCGCTGCCAATCGACCAGTCGAAGATTTCTTCTCTGCCGTAAAGTGCCTTTCTTCTAATGCTCATCTGTTTGGAGTTTTTGATGGCCATGGAGGAGCTTCGTGTGCAAGACATGTTTCTACACGGTTATTCGACTATATCTGCGCTTCTGTCCTCGAGAAACATACGCTGGCTCAAATACCGTTGAACGAGAGAATACAACACTTGTTTTCTAGTGCTGATCCTCGACTTCCGTCTTTTGTTAGAGATGTTCATGACTTTAACGTCCGCGAATTCAACGAAAGGTAGGTATTATACTTATGATTGATATATTTTCTTTAGGTTTCGTCGTCACGAAGATATGTCTACAGTTCGAAAAGCTCTACAGCTAGCATTTACACGTCTTGACTCAGACGTTTGTAACGGTGCTTTACCAGACTCTAGGGGGCGGGTCTGTAGGTATGTTATTACCTAAATTTACTTAACTGTTTAGAATGAGCGTTAACGTCGCTACTTCGGGGTCGTGTGCCATATTAACGCATATCAGAAGGGGCCATCTGCATGTAGCCAATGCTGGAGATTGTGCTGCGGTTCTGGGTGTAATGAACAACGGACATCTAGTGGCCCGACAGTTGTCGAAGCCTCATACTATAGATAACATTGACGAAAGTAACCGAGTAAGGTCCCAACATCCAGTATCAGAAAGGGCTACGATATTGAAAGGTAAGGCAGATTGCAACTATGACAATTTGAATTAAGTTATTAATGAGTTTTAGGTAATAATAATTTGAGTTACCTGATTATGTTTTTACCAGTATAGTATAAGTTGTTTTTAGGGGGTCGATTACTTGGAGAACTGTACCCGCTTCGTGCTTTTGGAGACATTAGGTACAAGTGGCCATTAGAATTACAAAAGGTTGTGCTTGAACCGTTAGGAATGACTCCACCTAATGCTCTAAACAGCCCTCCATATTTAACAGCTCAACCTGAAGTTTTCTACCACAAGTTAACCCCGAATGACAAGTTCTTGGTGATCGCCAGCGACGGACTTTGGGAATGGCTGGACCCTGATACCATAGTAAGGCTGGTTCGCGATCACACTTTAGGAACACAAACGCTTAGTCATTATCAGCCTTCGCCAGAGAAAACTTTAGGAGAGGTCAGTTTACTTTCAAATCCAAACGTATTTTTAACAAGTTTTAATAAACAATAATAAGTTAATTACAGATAGTGGAAGACATCGAAATCCGGAAAGAAGGGTCGATCAAAAAGCCACTCGATGACAACAGTGCCACGCATATCATAAGAAACGCCTTAGGTGGCTGTTCCGGCGGGACAGACCAACAATACTCTAGACTGCAGGAAAGTCTCCAGCTTCCTCCTGGGATGGCTAGGAACTACAGAGATGACATTACTGTTATTGTTGTACATTTCAGCGAAGATTATTTACAGATTAATGCAGAGTCCGATGAAGGATAATAAAATAATTAGGTCATTCGAGGAGTTCGCTGCTGTTGAGGTGGGTAGTTCGGGGAGTAGTACTGGGCCTGTTGAGGTTTGTTAGGCTGAGGGGGAATGTGCCCGGGATGTTGTTCCACATTCACAGAGATTGGTTCGTGTTGTTGCACGGACTGGGGTATTGCTACTTCCTAAATAGTTTTTAATGTAAATTTTACCTAAATTTTGAAAAACGACAACTTTAAACTTACCTGTACTTGTATGTTAAGTTGTGGATCCACAAGGTTAGACAAAAACATGAGATTCTTATGCAAAAGTTCTTGGTACTTGGTAGCGTCTTCCAGCTTTCCCATCCTTTGATACTCAGCTATCGTCTCAATCAACTGACTGTTTTCTACCAGCATCTTCTGAACACTCGTTTGTCCTTCAGAAGCCCCTTTAGCAGCTTCTGGTATCCTTGCTACTGACATGCTAAAACCTAATAATATTGTTTTGCACCTTTAAATACACCACAGTGTACAAACTGTTGAAATGTCATCTCCCACAGATTATTCTAAAAGTTTATTCACATCAAGAAGTCTATTTAGTGCCAACTCTGGTACGCTTGTTCCAGTGATAGTTAGATCCGTAGTTCTTGGGCTTGATCTGCCGTTCCTTTGGCTCTTCAACCTCAAAAGGCCATTGGTTCTTCTCACAAAAACGGATAGCATCCTCCTTGCAAGCAAAGTCAAGATTCATGGAGATGTTGCTCAATGGATCGGCACTAAACATGCAAGTCATGACTATAAAGTGCAACTCTTACGTTGAAGACCATCCCATGAGCGGGTTCTCCCAACGTTCTTTGTTGTCCAACTCAATCTTCCAGATTTGAGTTCCGCTCCATCCACTTTGCATCGCATTTCTTGCGGGTCGGAATATGATGGCTCTTCTCTCAGATTTGTGCTCTTCCGGGATACCGGCAAGATCCTGAATCTCATCGATGTTTTGTTGAACAGTTATGCTGTCCCTCTTCTCTTTGCTTTCTCCTAATACATCCTCTAATGCCTTTCGTTTCGCATCAGGAAACCTGATGGTTGGTTGTTTGGTGCTGAACAAACGGGCACCCAAGAGTGCACGTCTCATCTAAAATATTGGAATAATAAGAAGAAAAACAAGAATTTCATGCCAACATTTTAACATTTCAAAAATAAAAGTTTTTCAATGTTCACTAGTGTAAAAATATAAAAATAATAACGATAAAACAAAAAACTTGTAAACATTTTCATTCACAAAAAATGGCAATTTTATTTTACACATTCAATGCCAGTACGTTCCGCCACGAAAACGTGATCTATTGATTCAAACGCACAAACCTTGGCATTCTTTAACGCGCTGAAAGAGGTGTGGCATACGAAAACCTTTTTATTCAGTGCACCTTGTAGATGTCTGATTGTGGCAAACCAGAACCCTCATCGACCGTAGATAAGAACCCGCAGATGAAACGTCAGAATCCGGACAACACCAGACAACCTGGAGGCAAACGCTACCGCATCGACGCGTACAATGAAGCACTCGCAGAAGGCAAGTTTGAGCTTCGTATGTTGATCCCCACAAAATGTGCTGGGGCTGTTATTGGACGTGGTGGAGAATATATCAAACAGATGCGTGAAAAGGTAATTTACATGAACCAATTTTTGATATGGGACTTTATCTGGCATTTATTCCGGTGGTTTAACTAATTGGCTTGATAAAGCAGGGAACATCGCCGCATGTTCGCTAGTAACCCTTCCTGTTTGCAGTTTGATGCCTCCCTCACTGTACCCGATAGGAATACACCCGAACGGTAATTTTGTTTCCCATTACTTTAATCGTCCACATGGATACTCCAGTTCCGCCACCTGAAGACCCACTATTCTGTAAATACCGCCTTGGGGATATTGCCATTCTTTGAGTTTTGTTTTTAATATTATTTCTTGTTTAGAGTGTTTACGATTATTGTGGCACAGGATCGTCTAGAGGAATGTGTTTCTGAGGTACTTGAACGTTTGGGAGAAGTAAGTGTTCTACGTTTTGGGTTAGTTTTTAGATGGCTTTTTTGTATTAAAACCGTTGTGGATCTAAAAACTAAAATTTAGTTGCAGGAGATACAAAGCAAGAAGCCAGGAGAGATTGAAGTCAAGCTTCTGGTGCACCAATCTCACGCTGGCGCTATTATTGGCAGAGAAGGATCTAAAATCAAAGAACTGAGAGAACAGACCGAGTCTAATCTCAAACTTCATCAGGAGTGCTGTCCGATGAGCACGGACAGAGTTGTTCAGATCACCACTCTTGCCGAGCGGATGCCGAGTGTTATCAAAACTTTGGTCGATTTCCAAAGAGACGTATGTTTGTTAAAAATATTTTAAATATATTTTGATTTTATGGGATGATGTTGTAAACTGTTATTTTAGATAGCAATCAAAGGTATCCAAAAACCATACGATGCTGCCAACTACGACCCGAGAATGGTGTTTGGTTACGGAGGCTACGGATCTGAGAGATATGGAAGAGGTGGACCATCATTTAATGACTATTCTCGTGGCGGAGGTGCTGCAATGCCACCTTACGGAGGACAACCTCCTTATTCAAGAGGTGGTTTACCTTCGGCTGTCGGAATGCCTGTGCCCGGAGGGTTCCTAGGAGGAGATCAGGGACAAATATCGACAACTCAAGTCACCATTCCTAATGGTCTTGGAGGTACCATCATTGGGAAAGGAGGCGAACGTATCAATCGTATCCGCAGGGAGAGTCATGCTCGGATCGACATTGGAAATGCATATGGAAACGACGAACGTATTATCACGATTGCAGGAACTCCAGGACAAATACAGACGGCTCAGTATTTATTGCAACAAAGGCGAGTTAATATATATATATATTTTGAATTGTTAACTTTAAATTTACTTAATGTTATACTTAAGTTTAACTTTTGAGTACAATGTCTAATAATTTGTTTTAGTGTTCGCACATCGGAAGCTGGCAGACGGTATCTACATGACCAAAAATGAGCGGTAGCGCACTTGTATCTCAATATTTTGTTAATCCACGTCGTTTCCGGAGCTAATTGTATTTGTGTTAACATTAATTAAATAAGTTTTTTGTATTTGTATTTATACGTATAAATTGGTCTAAAGTGAGGGTTTGAACGGTCTTGTAGGTTTGCTACAAAAATTGTCCACATTAAACAGTCAAAATTAACGCAGAGAGACAGATTTATACTAGGATAATGAAATTAAATATCATTACACTGGTTGCCGTGGTAACCCCCACGGCCACAGAGTTTGCTACAAGGGTCATCAGAAAGAAATGCGGCATGACTGGAGACGTCGCAATGGATTCTCTTTCCCGTGGAACGGTATGCAGATAACCTCCTGGATCGTCCTCACCGTGCTAGCTGCTGTATGTACACTCGTATCACTACCATTACCTACTTCCCCACTCATCTCTTTTTTCCTTTTATTTTGTTTGTTCTGGAATGTATGCTGTATCATCTTCACAACACTAACTGACCCCGGCGTGGGTGAGAACGTGGTACCTGTGCCATTCGACCGGGCGAAACATAACCATGTGATCGAAGATAACTTTTGTAACATATGTCAGATCACAGTGTAAGTCACCCATTCTAAGACAATTTGCTTTTTATAAACTGGTACATGATAGGTCAATTTTCAATTTTAGGTCAGTAGGGACAAAGCATTGCAAACACTGCAATAAATGTATTCCCAAGTTCGACCACCACTGCAAGTGGTTGAACAACTGTATAGGTAAAAAGAATTACAAGTAAGTCGCCACGAACTGTTTAACCTCAGCTTTCAGAGCCTTCCTAGTTCTAGTCATATCATTAGTTTTGTATTCGCTGATATCAATCGCCGTGTTCATCTGGGCTCTAGGTATTTTCATTGCCAATACGGGAAAGACGGAGTCAAGTAAGTCGTCGCTCTTACACTACTTCTTGATAAACGAATCCTCTCTCATATACATATAATCATCAAAAAATAATATCTTGACCATTCCAGAGCCAGACTCATTCTCAGACGAGTACATGTTCCTCGATATATGGAACTGGTTCATAATGTGTATCCTCGTAATTATCTGCCAAGGCGTTCTGTGTGGATCGACCGTCCATCTCCTGAGTTTCCACGTCATGTTGTGGTGTAACAAGATGACCACCTTCAGCTACATCGTGCAACAGCGGCAGAAGAAAAGAGTACGTTTAGGCCATGACTTTACAAGAGTTTGTGGCCACCTTTAGCCAGTTATTTCCAAGCCGTTACAGATTGATTCATCGCAGTCGGACGAACAAACCACACAGACCATGTCGCACAAAAGTAATATATTCATGTCGACAAGAATTAGGAATGGACGGACAATTGGCGATTCTAGCCTGCCTTCTCCCGCTAAAGCCAACGGTCAGTCCGAAACGGGCGACGACGAACCCAACGTCTGATTCACCATCACTACGGGTTGTTATTGTTGTACTTGAGAAACAATAAACATACACTGCTGATGAGTTTGGAAGAGCCAAGTTTTTGAAAGAAAACGTTGAGATCTGAGACGGCTTCCTGATCTCTCTCGGACTGACCGCACTCTCTTACTTAACCCCTTCTTGCTTTTCAAATTATTTTTCGTAATGTCCGAGAGGTCGGGTGCTATTATCAGGTTACTACTAATAGTATCACTGCCATTTTCTCAAGCCTTACAGTCCCAGTTCCAAGTAAGCTCTTTTCTCCCTCATTATCACCAATTTGCAGACCAACTGCCAGCCCGGATGCAAATGCAGTCCAGAGGAGTACAAATGCATCAACCTACATCACACAGACACAGACGTCTTCAAGCACGTCAGGCCTGAGGTTTACCATGACTTGGACACCTTGATCGTCAGTGGAAACAACTTTGGTGACTTGGAAGCCGAGAATATCTTCGGAGAAAACGTCAGACACTCAAGGTTGTCGCTGCTGGATCTGTCGAACAACCACATCACGTCGTTCGGGATACAGACTCTAATTGGAGCGTCCAGAGTAGAAACTCTGAAGCTGGACCACAATGACTTGACTGCTTTTGCCGACGAACAGCCCTTGAACTTCTTGACCTCACTCAGGATTATTGACCTTACAGATGCCTTTGGTGGTCATGCTAGTGTAAAGCGACGAGCTGATCTCATCAGGACTTTATTCAAGAACAATCATTCTTTCCCTGATTTGTACGAAATCAACCTCAGCGACAACCAGCTACGGTATCTGCATCCGGAGACATTCTGTAACGTAGGTTTGTTACAACAAACTCCGTTTCAATTACGAACTTTGCAGACACGACTTGTGTACTGTGAAGCCTTATTACACGCAAAGGGTGTCGCGTGTCGTAAAGGTACCACAATTCTACGTAACAATACATTTTCAGGTCAAAGGGCTCAGCAGACTGATTCTGAACAACAACAAGCTGGCTGACTTTGACTTCCAAGACGGCTGTCTCGAAGGATTGGCGTCGCTGGAACTGAGGCAAAACAAGTTTGTGTCGGTACCGAGCAAGGTATGGAAGACGTTACCTTCACTGAACACCTTAGACTTGAGCAAGAATCCGTTAACTTGCGATTGTGAACTTCAAGGATTCCACGAGTTTGCACTGGATGAATCGAACTCATTCTTGTCTCAAGTAAGTACCATCATACAAAATAGTTTCGCTTATCTTACAAAACAATCTATGCCATACCCAGCTACTGCTATTCATAAACCGATTTTACAGTAGCCTACTTTCAGGGAGAGACCATCTGCGCGGCCCCCTCCCAATTCAAAGGGAAACCCCTATTCGAAATTGAGGACAACTTTTGTCGTGCCACCAGCAGATCCCTCCACTGGTTCATCTTGTTCTTGGTTGCTGGTGTAGTGCTGTACGGATACAGAGAATTCAGACGACGAGGAAAAACCATCAACTTCAAGATCTTCAAAGGCTACTCTCAACTCCAAAGTGAAAACGCCAACTCTACTGAGCCCGCGTTTGTTTAATTTAACATTGTATAATGACATAATTGCCGGTTCATTTCATTGGTGCCATAATAAACGGTTAAATACTTCTTATTATGTTTTCATTCTTTTATATAAGTTAATGTAATCAACGCACAGTCGCTAATAACATTTTAACCAAAAAAAGTTTTAAAACTTCTATAATTTGTACTAATTATACTATTTGGTAGACAAAGCGGGTGAAAATGCGATCGACCTTGCGGGTGGGAAAAGAAATATTTTGTGGAATTCGAGCGAACTGCGCCCGGGCTTTTCTTGGCGCCACTAGCTATTCGTTTTAGGTTTTCGGAAAAGTTTTGCGATAAATTACGATCAGTTTACATTAGTCCTAGTTTTTTTGTATTCAAAACCTATTGTTCTAGTTTGTAAACAACCTTGTTTTATGTAAATCTGTCAATAGTAAGCGACGAGGAGGGAGCAAGCCTTTTCTTTGCGACGGGGACCGTTATCATGTCGCCAAAAATCAGATTAAATGTAGTGGTGGTCTGCAACGTCTCGTTTTGTATGAGCGCGCTATCCAATTTTGGGTAATAGCTGCGATTTGTGTTCCTCCAGATGGACAGAAGAGTGATTCCTCTCGTCCGTTCCTTTCCGCGCAAACGTTTTCGTGAGGAAGGAACAAAACAAGGTAATGGAGAGGGACCATCTTCTCCCAACGGATGCGTCATAACAGTGTTGTGGCAATATTGGGGGTTTAATATTCTTTTTCAATTCTCGACTTTTGGTCTTGGATCGTGTTTTGCGAATATTGTTTTAGATCGTGTCGCTCAAATGTTGAAAGTTTCTAACTGACCATAACTTTGAATTGTGCTTCGTAATCAGTTTGGAATATTCAAACCTTTTGTTGTCCGTAAATGTTCAAGTGCACTTATTCTTAGTGACTCATTCACTTAACGAGTTGCGTTATGTTTGGTGATAAGAGGCCGAATTCAGTTTTATTTACTAAGCTTCGTCTCATTCAAAATTTGTATTTTTAGGCAGCCATCGTCCGTCATTTCGTCCTAGTTGGATAATGATGGCGAAGAAGTTGGTAAGTGTTACCTAATTATTTTTCTTTGTTTTAGGTTTGTCTAAAGTAATATCAGAAGTCAGTGAAATAGTGTACTTTTTATGTGTTAATAACATATCTACAATTTTGTACTAAAGTTGTATGTTTTAGATAAATGTTCGTGTCCTGACTATGGACGCGGAGTTGGAGTTCGCGATCCAACCTTCAACAACAGGAAAACAGTTATTCGACCAGGTGGTGAAGACCATTGGCCTCCGAGAGATATGGTTCTTTGGTTTGCAGTATACTGACACTAAAGGGTTCATATCTTGGTTGAAGTTGAACAAAAAAGTGTTACAACAAGATGTCAAGAAAGATCCGGTCTTGCAGTTCAAGTTTCGAGCAAAGTTCTATCCAGAAGACGCTTCCGAAGAGATTATTCAAGACATTACCTTGGTAGGGATTCAACATTGTGTTGATTATTATTTTGTGATACTTGACTCTTTTTAAGTTATTATTTTAATTATAACAATAATCTTTCAGAGATTGTTCTATCTCCAAGTTAAAGACCAAATCTTGTGTGACGAGATATATTGTCCGCCAGAACCTTCTGTTTTGTTGGCTTCTTATGCTACACAGGCCAAATTCGGAGATTATTCCCAAGATTTACATAAAGCGGGCTTCCTACAATCTGAACGATTGCTTCCTCAACGTGTAATCTCACAGTTCAAGTTGAGTATCGAGGAATGGGAAAGGAGAATATTTGTTTGGTGGAGCGATCACAGAGGAATGAGCAGAGATACAGCAATGGTTGAGTATCTGAAGGTTGCTCAAGACTTGGAAATGTATGGAATTAATGTAGGTTTTAAGAATTTTAGACAATTTGTTATTTAAAATTTTTTTTGTATTTAATATGTACCATATAGTTTTTCACTTAATTTTTTTAGTACTTTGAAATCAAGAACAAAAAGGGCACTGAACTCTTTCTGGGAGTCGACGCCTTAGGCTTGAATATCTACGAGAAGAACGACAAACTGTCTCCAAAGGTTGGCTTCCCGTGGTCAGAAATCAGAAACATTTCTTTCAATGATAAGCGGTTCGTAATTAAGCCAATAGATAAAAAGTCAAACGTAAGTTAATTAATTAACATGTCATTGTGTTTTAGGATTTCATTTTCTATGCGCCCAGACTACGTATCAACAAGCGTATATTGGCCCTGTGTATGGGTAATCATGAATTGTACATGCGCCGACGCAAACCCGACTCTATTGAAGTTCAACAGATGAAACAACAAGCAAAAGAAGAGAGGATGCTCAGACAGATGGAGCAAGAGCGTCTGAACAGAGAAGTGAATGCTCGAGAAGCTGCCGAAGCAAAGCAACGTGAGTATGAAGAAGAATTGGCACGGATGAGAGAGAATATGGAACGAAAGGAACGCGAGATTGGCAGAGCTCAGGAACAGATCCGTGAACTCGAACAACAACTTTTGGAGCTCAGCAGAGTAAGTTCATTTTTAAATTTATACATTTTTATTTTTGTTTAACATTATCTTGATATGTAGTATGTATCTAATTCACCATTATTTAGGCAAAGGAAGAACTTCAAGCCAAGGAGCACGAACTTCAACAGCTTACCCATCAACTCCAGTCGGAGAGGATGATGAGTGAAGAAGAGCGTTCTCGACTTCTGAGAGCTATCAACGAAAGCGAGAGCCAGGTCGCAGAGATGCGGACCAAGGTGGAGACTAAGACGGTGGAAGCAAACAATCTTCAGAGACAGATGGATCAAAGAAACATTCAGCATATTGCTGAACACAATGGCTCCGACGACTACTCGAACGCCAATGTTGGTAAGTCATCTTTTGTAAATCTGTTTTTGAGCCGGTAAACATCTTTTCAACAAGATATTTTGCAGAACTTTATAACGGTGACTCATTCGAAGCTAACAACAAGGAGTTGGACAGAGTGACAGCCACGGAGAAGAACGTCAGCATCAAACAAAAGCTTGAGGTATGTTGTTGGGGAGGATACCTATGTGTCACCGACTAATAGTGTCATAATGTTTGTTTACTTTTAGTCACTGACCAAAGAACTGGACTTGGTCAAGGATGACCGTGCTGTGACCGACTACGATGTGCTGCACATGGAGAATAAGAAGGCCGGCCGCGACAAGTACAAGACCTTGAGACAGATCCGCGGTGGCAACACCAAGAGGAGAATCGACCAATACGAGAATATGTAAATACGATCACCTAAGGGCGTTGGTTTATATTGTCTGCCATATCTTGACGGAAGAATCGGTTACAGATTTACATTGTTTTTATAGTTTTATTAAGTGCTCATATTCCAGCTCTTTTTTCACTTTATTAGGATCGGTGGCTAGCCTATCCACTTAGCTCGTTGGTTGCATTCCGATTAATAAGTTATTACAAACTTAATATCCTTGCCTTAATGTTTGATTGTTTTATAATTACTTAGTTATTTAAATTCCGACCTCATGTTTATCACTATCTTTAAAATAAATGCAACATATTTTAACAGACTGTTTCTTTTTCGTTGAGACGATGACATACTTGAAAGGTGTGTGCTCTGGATCCTTATGAATTGACTTTATCACACATATTCAGATGATTCCTGGGAAAACAATCCAAAGGGGGATTCATTTATGTCCCGCACTGTCCAAAGGACGTTATCAGTACTACAACAAACATTTGAAAGTCGAAGATCCCAAAGTTCAAGATCCAAAGTATTTTGACAATATTGTTGATTCTCTTCCACTTGGTAGGTATTTGTTATACATAGTTGGATCGTGGTGATTCTACGTAGATTGAGTGGCACCAATATCATGTTCGAAAAATTTATGGTAACGTTTTTCTCTGTTGCAGATAAGTTTTACATCGATAATTTGAAGAACTTGTGGACGAAAAAGATTGGATATGAAAGGGAACTGATGATGAAGGCCTCTGATAAATTGATTGGACGGGAAAGTGGTGATTACGCTCTTCCGGACGTTGATAAAACCAAGCCTCGCCTATCCTACCGAAATGTTGATGCGTTGCGAGATGCTCCCGAATCCGTCAAGAAGATATTTAGTATAGACTTTGGCAAACGAAGTGATCTCTCTGTCGTGTGGAAGAAAGAGATGGTGGATCAAGTAAAGGTCAACCACTACGACAAGTCCTCATTGCAAGCTAAGAGTAAGTTAGAAGTTTTTATCGCTTTATTGCACAACCTGATGTCTGTTTAACGATTACTTTTCAGTTGCTTTGTTCACGGCGTTGATTAGACATTACACGGCATTGGTGGATGAGCTACAGTCCAGAAATCCCAAAAAACCTGTTTTTCTAACACAAAAAATATTTTTGCTACTTGGCCAGAGGAGGAAACACCTTCGTTTTCTCCGAGAACAAGACTCTGAAGCGTTCGAGAAGATTCTGGCCGACTTGAAAATCTCGTTTCAAATTGAGAAACCCCCAGAGCACCGTAAGACACGAAAGGAATGGTCAGAATTCAAGCTGAAGCAAAGAGTAGAAGCTGAGAAGGAACAAATGTTAGAAGAACTGAGAGAACAGTTCGAAGAAAAAAGAGTCAGCCGGATCCCAGAACTGGAGAAGAAGCTGTCTGAACTCGACCAAAAAGAAGCCCAGATTCTAAATAGGATCAACGCCCTCAATCAAATCGAAGGCAGGAACATAAAGTCTAATGGAACGTACGAGAAACAACTCGTCCAGGAGATGTCCGAAGTCGTTATGCATAATCAATTGTTATATTTTGATGCTCCCGCAGCTGGAAACTAGGTTTATTTTTGTTATACATTAGTTTGTAATAAAGTTGTTAAAAAATTTACACGTATTCTAATATTTACAGGGTTAATGCTGATGTTGTTGAGTCATGCATGACTCTCGAACAAACATTGACAATGTTACAGGTAGAAATACTAGGCCGTGGAGTAGCCCCAGCGAAATGGCCAAAAATACAGTTTTGAAGAATGTCACAATCATGTAGGCAGGGACGTCGGCCAGCACGATGACAGCTAGAATTGTCGATATGGCCCCTTGTGTCAACGGCCACCCCAGAGCTCCTAAAGCTTCGCCGATCCGATCTACTGTAAGTCGCTTCTTCGACATCACGTAGCCATAAGTTATGTGAGCAGAATAGTCCACCGAGAATCCGATTGACATGATGATAGTAATCATGGAGATGGCATCCTACGATAAAGTTTGAAACAAAGTATGTTAACCTACCAATTTGACGTCCCAAAGTGTCATGAATCCGATCACACCAACGTCGATCGATGCAATGGCCAAGGCAACCCACAAGGCGCACATGGGTTCGGGGATCAACAAAATGGCAATCAGAATCATCACCAAGATAGCTATGACTATGTTCTGGATGGTGTTGGGCACCACAATGGCGTACTGATCAGTGAACAACCACAAAGGCATGAAGGTGGTTATGTTGTACTGAGGGTAACGTGCTGCCACTTCTCGCAATACAAAAGTCGCGTCTTCTTGTTCTACTGAAGTTGAAATGTTGCGGAGACCAACCAGGAACCGGAACGATCGTATGTATGGGACTCCGTCAGGATTCATGGCCCATTTGACATCGTCGGACCAGTAGTCGGACTTGCGAGCTCCAAAGTAATGCCGTGCCAGCCCATAGAATTGGTCGTCCTTGATTGGCAATCCCAGCTCTTCATTGTAGTACCTCTCCATCTCGTTCAGCCACAACTGAATTGAATCGTCACCTATAGTGTGTTGAGTGTTGGCAAAGGCATGCGCTACTCGTTTTATTTGGCTCCGTTCGTGTGGATCCGTAAAGTTAGGGGCATTATTGACAACTATCTAAATTACAACAAAATAATAAAAGTCGCTGGAACAATTAACAAAAACATAAACAAATATTACCTGAACTGAAGCTCCGTAATGCCAAAAGTAGCGTTCGAGAACGTGGTAATGTGGAATGGCATACGAATCCTGCACCAGCAAGTTAACTGGTTCCAATCCCTCTCTTAGTTGCATACATCCGTATATGGAGAACACGACGTAGAGAATGTACCAAAGCACCACAAGGAAGCGTATCATCGGAGCCATCAGAATCGGGGAATAAACGTTCTCAAAGAACTTGGCCGCAGCCGTGTCCTTCACGTTTTCCTTGTTGTGGGGGTTGGGGTCGAAGCTGGAACCGAGACAGAACATGCGTTCGGTTCCAGTAGCTCGAGTGATCTCCTTGTCGTTGATAGTGTCATTCAACGTGACACAATGCAATCCTTGGGACTCCCATTTTATGGCCAATGACAAACATCCCGCAAAGAAGGTAATCTAAAAGACATCGTATTCCATAAGTTAACACTAAATTACTATATGGATTATCATAATAAACTATACCTGGTACAAGAAGGTGATAACAACAGCGGCAGCTGTATATACACAAAAGATTTGAACTGCGGGGATCGAGGTAATCGTGCCAATGCCGAACGAAAAAGCATCGGTCAGAGATGTTATGAACATGGAGATAGCAGCATCAGACATGCATTCTCCGATACGTTCAGCGACATTGTGGGCTCGGTTAGTTCTGCGACAAGCGGCGACCATCAGAAACATGTTGTCTGTGCCGACAGCTAAAAAAATGTGTTACATATAACCAAAATAATTTAAAAATGAGCACAAACCAAGGATAAATGGCGACTTACCCACAACCAAAAAGGGCATAACTCCCACAATGTCATTGTACGGCATCCCCAACAAGTTGATTCCCCCAATTGCTGATAATATCCCCATTCCAGCATTTATCACTCCCAAAATGGCTAATATTGGCTTGGACAGAACCCAGTCGATGTACGGAGTGTTATCGATGAATGACATGTTGCAGATCAAAGAAAACACCATCAGAATGACAAAGGCTGCTACGAATCTTGGAATCAAAGAATCTGCGTTTCGTTTCAGTTCTTCTGCCAACGTTTGTGAATGGAAGAATGTAATGGTGATGTACGGGTCGTCGACGTACTCTTTCAATGCTTTCTCAAATGCCTAAAACAACATTTTTAAATCAGGAAACAACCATCTACAACGCCAACATGAATATAATTTCGTAGATGTTATTATAAACTAATCTGTTACCTAAACTTACTTTTTCCCACAAACCAGAAAGAAACGACACATTGGATGGATAGAACTGAAGATGGTACACCATGAACCAGGACTGAGCACTCGATAGTATCATACTGTCATTCTTTCCGCGTGACACTTTCACACCACCCAAACTACTTCCAATGTAGCCACTTCTGAAAATGATTTTATTGAAAACAAGACCATGATAAAGTCATTTAACAATTCTTTCAAAAATATAATATTCTAGTTACTTTTTGACCGAAAACAGGATTATTTTATCAAAAAAAAGAATAAAAATTCATTTTAGATAAAAAAAAGTTAACCGATAACGTAAATTACTCACACAGATCCCAGTCTGACAGTCGGATATGTTATGTTTACACCATGTTGGAACAAGTCTGACAGTAGATGAACATGTTTATTGCCAGGACACTTCTTGGCACGACCATGAATACAAAGATTGTTGTAGGTATAGGTCTTTCCCTCATGATGCACCTTGATGCGATTGGAGATGTAGTTGTCGAGTCGAAGAACAGCTTCTGAGTACGGTTTCTCCAAGATGTTTCCACCGTCACGAGCCAAAACTGTTACCTAAAATTAAAGTTAAAGATGTTGCCTAAAAGACGAAGATATTTAAAAATTAAAAGTTGTAAATGTTACCTAAAAACTTTTTCCTAAAGTTGAATATCTTTAATTTAAAAAACCTCCAAAATATACCTAAAAATTACTCTGGCCACAAAATATAACCTATACTTGTCAAATGTTAACCTTTAAAACACTTTTTTGTAAACTCTAAATGTTACCCAAAAACTCTACCGATATCAAAAAAGACATACCTGTACTTCCCTCGACTGTGTTACCGCTCGACCAGGTATGTAAGATCCATTATATAACGGCCATAGATCGTGAATCACCTGTCGTTCCATCTTTGACGGAGCATCAGAAGGCGTGAACAGGTAGATGGCATCGGTAAGAGGTTCCAACGACAACAACGAAGTTGACAGAGCGAGGGTCAGTAGAATGGGGAACACTATGAAAGGCAACGGATTGGTCGTGACATAGGCCCCGTAACGATGGAACGCCCGAGCCAACGGCCGTTCTATGCAGTCGAAGCGAGCCATCGTTTGGCATTTATAAATTTTCGAAATTCGAAAAAAGTTTGGTCATCGGCACTGAATGCCTACAGCGATTTCTCTCTTCCTTTCTGTCGCGCGACAGAATATAGGGCAGTGAAGGTCGCGTTCGCCTACATCTTCTGAGCGCTATATCTCGTAAGCGTGAGCTACAATAACGAAAAAAAACGAGTGTAGACCGAGAGGATACGAAACATCAACAAATTGCATTAGTTTCATGACCTTCTAATCATATTATCACTCGTTATAGATGATAATGTCGGTAAAACTATATATTAATTAAAGTCTCTAAAAATCTAGTTTTTTAATAAAAAGATAAAAGTCACTTCTATAATCACGTATATGTCCCAAACTCACAGTAATGCAACAAAATTATGTTTGCACCGACAAGGTACTGTTTGTGATATTTCGTCAACTTGCTATCGGATTATATTATTTTTCTAAAATTTTTGTAAAACAAAAAGAAATTTGGCTAGCTAAAATACTTTCTGTTGATCTAATTAGTCTCCTTTTTACAAAAAAATATGTTTTATTATTTTATTTTTGTTTCAATGTATTTTAGATATTTATCGTGATGGTGAATATAATTTAATTTTGATATAAACAAAACTTTAATATTCTTTGATAGGTGATTCGTCATGGCCACGGATGATCATATACAGTGTTTAATACTTGATAAACAAAGATCTTTTATGGAACATCTTGTGGAGTTTGTCAGACAACTTCACAAAGCAGAATCTTACTCGGATATCAGGATTGTCTACAAAGATGAAGCAATCAGAGCACACAAATTTGTTATAGTGAACAACACAGATTACTGGGGCGATTTGACAGACCTAGACGAGATTGAAATCGGTATGAGTCAACTATCTAAACCAGTAAATTTAAATTATTAAATTTATAATTCTGAATTTAGATGCCAGCCTTGACCGTGATGTTCTGACTGTGATGTTGGAGTGGATGTACACGTTCACGCTGTCAGAACAATGGGGATACCAGTTTCTATTGAGATTAGTAGACGCATCTCACAACTTCAAACTCAAGGATCTGTTTGATGTGTAAGTTAATATTATAAAGTTTTTACTTTTTTTAGAGCAATACATTACCTGGTCAGCGACATCAGCATAGGGAACTGTATACCTATATATGAAAAGTCGTTGGCCATACCGAGTGACTACTTAAGGGATGGAGTGTCACAATTCATAACGAAGAGTTGGAGTAGTTTAACTAAAGATCACTTTAAAGACCTCGCACCGGACATTCTGATAGCATTGTTGACGAAGTAAGTTACATACTTGGATACTAATGCACTATTAGAAACGTGGAGAATGTGATTCACTCTATCTTGAAGATCGGAAGGGCTGACGTACTTAAGTTGTATCTGGAAGAGAACGAGGTAAGGTTTTACATTGATGTAGGATGGCAATGACATCACTTTATTTGTGTTTTGTTAACACTTTATTATATAGGTTAAAGAAGAATTGAACACAGAAGATGAGCACGGTCTGTTTCCTTTGGACATCGCTTTCTCGACCTGTGACTTGACGTCAGCTGAAGTGTTATATGAACATGGAACTGATGTCAACGCGATCAACAAGGAAGGCAAATGTTTATTAGCAAAGGCAATAGAAAAAGGTAACGTTTGTTAAGTTTCATTAATTTTCGATGAAAAATGTTTCGAGTATAATATTATTTTATTCATTTTAGGGGATTTGTCTGTATTGACATTCTTGGTAGGCAAAGAGGCCAATGTGAATTATGTGAGTCGAAATGGTCGTACTCTGCTACACGACTTGTCGTTCTCAGATGAACAATCCCATATCTTGCCGTGGGTCAAGGAGAACATCAACAGGTTTAACATCAACGCTGTCGACGAGGAGAAACGGTAAAAATAGATTTTTAAACTTTGATATTGATAACGCTTTCTTTGGTTACGTTTTTAAAAATAATTTTTAAAAAATTAAATTGTGCAGGTTTTGTTGATTTTAGCTCACCGTTGTTCTACGCAGTTTACAAACAAAATTTGCCGATTCTGGAGCTGCTTTTGAGCCACGATAACATCGATGTGGCTTCTGATCGTGCTCTTCTGGAGTTGGCTTTGTTCAAGCATCAGAATCTGGATGTTTCTGAAAGATTGATAGGAAAGGGAGCTTCCTTGGACTTTGCTGACGACGAAGGTAAGTAATTTAGTAAACATTATGTTTTTTAGCAAAAACGTATACATTAAGTCATATTTTAGGTAACACAGTGTTTCACAAGGCCATTCAGAACGAACAATGGAGTTTGATTGGCTTTTTGGTTAAAAATTCGAAGCGAATCAATGATAAGAATAACAGCGGAAGAACACCGTTGCATCTTCTGTTGAGTACGGCTTCTATTTGTGGTTTGACTTCTGATTTCATTACGGTAGATGTCCTGAAGATGTTGTTGAAAGCGGGTGCTGATCCTTTACAATTTGATGACACTACGGATCAGACTGCCTTACATTATGCTGCGCGTCTTCCTGCCTTTGTACTTAAGATTCTACTCGAATATTGTGATAGTAAGTGCTTGTAATTGAAGCTATTTTTTTACATTTAAAATTTTTTATGACGTTATTTTAGAAGAACATCTGAACGTACGTGACAAGAACGGTAACAGTATGTTGTGGCACGTTCTGATTAACGGCCACTTCGAGACAGCCACTCTTTTGGTTAAGAGTGGAGCTGACATCAATGAAGGAACTTCTGAAGGGAACTCTTTAATCCTCAGGGCATTGGTTGACAAACGGGAAGATATTGTCCACTTCCTCATTACTTCTAACGCTAGCATCAATGTAAGGTGAGTGGTTATGTTGGTTTAGTCATGACATGATCCTAAATTGAAAAAGATTGATTTACTATAAATAATATAAGGTAAACGGCTGTTTTACAGAAATGTGGATGGTCGCACTTGTTTGGCCTTGGCTGTAGAGAATGGGTTGATATCAACGGTGGACACATTATGCAAGCTGGGGGCATCTTTGAACACGATAGATCCGTTTACTCAAGATGTGCCGCTGTATATTGCACTCAAAAACAACGACTACGGCACTGCACAAGTGTTGATATCTCACGGGTGCGATCTTGAGGCTGTGAAGAGTATCGACGGAGTTCAGAAGTCGCTTTTACGTCGTGCCATCGAAGACGGTGACGTGAAGGTGGCGACCTTTTTGATTAAAAAGTGAGTCATACTTGTATGTGCATGTGTTATTGTGTATATTCAAACGTTTCGTAAAAATTTTTGGACTAAAAATTATAAATATATTTTAGTGGTTGTAACGTGAACGCTCCAGAGAAGTCAGAATTGGAATCTCCGCTACATTTGAGTGTGAAACACGAGTTGAACGAGGTTACCTCTTTGTTGTTATCTAACCTCAAATGTCGCGTCGGCCATCAGGTAACTAAAATTATATTTTTTTTTATTGCTGAGCTGTTTTATTGTTTTAAGTAAAGTGTTTTGGGCTTTAATATAGTGTAGCCTTGTAGGATATTGATGGAAATACTGTAGCTCACTTGGCGGTCCTCAGGGATGACAAAGACACCTTAGATTTGATACTAGCTCATCCACGAGCGTCAGCACTTCTAATCCGGAACAAATTAGGACAAACGCCGTTGTGTATCGCTATGGAACACAAGAGCAACAAGATTGCTGAGGCCATCTGCAATAGACTCCCACATGCTGCGCTCGAAGTGAACGCTGACGGAGAGAATCTGTTACATATAGGCATCAAAGGAGACGACTTGGAATCCGTGTTGTTTCTTTTGGGATTACAAGTAGGTTTAATATATATCATTTTATAGTAACTTTTGTGAAGTATTAATATTTATAATTATTTTGAAACAGACCTTTGATATTATAATTGATGTTAAATGATTTCTTCTAGATTGATGTTAACATATCTACTGAAAACAACCAGAAGCTGCAGCCATTGCATTTGAGTGCTCAATACAGTAACGGTCTTATTATGCGTAACATAATATTGGCGGGAGCTGAATTGGATGCCAAAGATTCATTCGGTAGGACGGCACTTCACATTGCGGCCATGTACGATCGTACTGAACATTTGAAGATATTATTGGAAAATGGTGCTGACCCCAACGCACTTGACAACGAGTCTAACAATCGTATGTTGTAGCATATTAATAAAATTCAAATATGAAACTTTTATTTTAATTAAATTGTGGTTCAATTTGATTTTTATTTACTTTTTAGCTCTGCATTTTGCTGTTATGGAGTCCGCATTCCAATCTGCACAGGTCTTGTTGCTAGAATCATCTGTTGATCCTTTGGCAACCAACAAGATGTAGTTTTTCCTTGTTATTATTTTTGAAAATAATGTTTGATAACTAATACAATATCGTTGTAGGGGCAGAAATGCGGTTCATCTATGCGCGAGCATATCTGGATTGGGTGCGGCCGAAATGTTTCAAACAGTCATTGAGATCATACCTAATTATCCTTTAGAAACCGGTGACATTTATGGAAACACTGGTAAGTGTTACGGCTAGCGCCAATTTAAATACTTTTATAAACTAATTTCGAACGTTTCTGAGTTTCATACTCATATTTATAAAATTATTTATAGCGTTCTTGCTGTCGTTCATAAACGGGAACGGTGATCTCTGTCGACTGATGCTCAAGTACGGAGTATGCTTGTCAGCCCGTAACAAAAAAGGGGAATCGGTGTTCCACTTGCAAATCCCTTCACCTAACTTCCTCGAGAGTTTACTGAGTAAGTTTTCGTTAACAATAATTGACAAAAAAGTTTACAACCTGGTTTAATAAAGGGTTACCTACAAATTGTAACAGAACTAATTTTAAAAAGTTTCAGTTTGTCTAGATCGTGAACCTAAATGGGGCGAAGGAGACGCTTGTTCGGATTGTGACATAAAGTTCAGTCTGACAATGAGGAAGCATCACTGTCGACACTGTGGGCGATTGACGTGCAGCAAGTGCTCCGAACAACAAATACCCATACTCAAGTATAATCTGGCCAAGAACGTCCGCGTATGTCGTGTGTGTTACGCGGTACTCACGACGGGCATATCTTCGAAACCCTCGCCATACCCTCTTGAATGAGGACTTGAAGAGGAACCACCTCACTCTAGCCATTTTCTCAATCTGTTTGCTCTTAACTATTATTACACTGATGACAATGTACAAACTTTATTTATGGATAGAATATGTATTTAAACAAAAATCAACAAAATTAACCGCTCTTAAACAATAAAATAGCCACTTGGCCAAGGTAGAAGTAGATAAAGTGCTTGGTCTCATGGGTAACATACGATCCGTAGTTCCTTCCGACGATACAGTGCCATGTGGGGTTGTATTTCTTGTCGAACTCCTTCTTAATGTAGGCAGCAATATCTTTTTCGATGTTGTATCTGTAAACAAATATTTTTATAAACAACAAGAAAATAAATTGAACAAGACTTGTAAAACAAGTAATAATCGAAAAAAAAGCATTCTAAAGTCATAAAAACTTTCAAATTTCAAACGCATAAGTTAACATCAACAAAAGTTCATATTAAACATGATTTACGATATATATCAGAAAACTTACTTTTCTAGAGCTTGAGTCGCACATTCGATGGCCTCCTGCTGCATCTCCTCGGACATATCGGCATTCTTGATAACAGCTTTACGATCACCCATCTTTATCCTTGAATGGCAATCTGTTGGAGTTTGAAGAAGCTGATCGAAATAAACTGGGAAAAACAGCAACAACACTGAAATGCATTTCCCTCCTCTCTAAATGAACGCAAACTCGCTTCAGCCAATCGCTGCGAGACACGGCAGCATCCAACAGCGGCATCCAACCGCAAGCTCCGCCCACTTTGTTAAATGCGAGCCTCACCTGTCTCAAACTTATGTGATATGCCGGAAAACAGGCGGGTGGAGGTTCTTCGAAATCATGACCGAAACGACACACGTAAAACAATTCAAGTTTATTTTATCTACAGATAACAAAAAATAACATGATCACCACATCCTGCTTAATCCCTTGCTCGACCCGTTTCGTATTAAAGTATTTTTTTCATCCGAATGTAAGTCAGTTATACAGTCGTCAGATATGCTGAAGGACTCCCGCCGACTAGGCAGCAGGAGTTGTTGCGAATCCGAAGAGATCAGATTCACCGGAGGCACGCTCTTCTGATCCGGAAGTCCGTTGAAGATGACGGCCCCAAAGAGAGTTCCCCAATCTGAAGATGAATGATTATGATGGGAAGGGCGGCTTACCGTTGAGGCTTACTAGACTCTTGGGAAGTCTGGCTGGATAGACCAATAAATAATAAAAGCCCAGGCCCAGAACACAGATGCCCAGTCCAAGTGAAGTTACTTTGAACTCGTGGTATATCGGGATGACAACCAGTCCGACGGTAATGCCCAGGAACAAAACGATGCTGATATTAAAAGTAGGATATATGTCTAATTTCTTATAGTTTTCATTCTATTATAAACTAAATATATGAGTATAAACTTACATCCAGTATGGCATCCTAATGGCTTCTGGATGTACCGGGATGTTTTTATGTCGTATTAGCAGTAGGGCTACCAAACTGAAGATACGCTGGGCCCAGAACCCGAACATGACGTAGCCAATTAAGGCGTCCAAGTCTCCTACGAAAGATATTGCAATAGCCAGCAATGACTGAAAGTGTCATACATACAGAATGATGTATCAAACGTAGATTGTGAACTCTGCTTTCAAAGATAAATTGTACGTTTTTTACACTATAGTAACGTTGTTTAAAGGCCTAATATGTGCCCAGGGCCGGGCGCGAGGAGGGGGGGGGGGACGGGGGGGGGACCCCCCCCCCAAAAAAAAATTTTCGAAAAAATTTGAACGTGGCCCCCCTGTGGATTTTTTTTGGACCCCTGCCCCCAGACCAAAAGTCCCCGTCCGGCCCTGTATGTGCCCCTTTGTAATTCTTACCTGAGCTGCAATAGCTGCCCTCGGACTCTGCGTAGATGGATTCACAATACTAAAACAAGCTGGGAGATGCCCTTGCTTAGCGGCAGCAAACATATACCTACAAGGAAGTTAATTAGGTTATGTAATAGGATATAATTTAAATTCTTTCCAAATTATTTCTCTGAGAATGGTAAAAACAAACCCACCGACTTCCTGAGAACAAATTCGAGTTTAGGGATCCGATTAGCAAAACTCCTATTAGGAACGGAATGGCTGACGAGAAGCCTCCCAACGTGCGCTGGCTGAATAACTGAAATCATCAAAATTTAAATTGTAAATTTATTGAGTACCAAAAATAGTATCATCTTGCAATTTTAATCATGATTCTTGAAAAGGCTCAAATTTAAAATAATCTTACAGCAGCTACAGCATTCGATGACTTCATAGTCTCTACATCGATGACGGCAAAGTAAGCGACGTTGATTGACATGTATATCAGAGTCACCGTCCCAATGCCTGACAGCAGTGCCAGAGGCATGTTTCTGTAAAAATACGCTTTTATTTAGAATAATATCTAATTCCATTTGTCTCTAAGCGTTCAAACACTATTTTATTCTTCATTATTGAGAACTTAAGTGTTTTCTATACCTGCGCGGTCGATGTATCTCTCCAGCTCCAAAATTTAATATGTCCCATCCGGAAAAGGTATAGAGGCCTCCGTAAAGACTCATTAACAAGCTTCCCATCTCGTAATTGCTATGTTTCATGGGCTCCACTAAACCCTCGTTGTATCCTGAAGAATGAGAACATTAATTGAGTACTGAAACATAATGAGAACATAACTAAAGACAGCTTGAAACAACACAGCAACACTAAAATGATGTTTCCAGGCACTATTTTTTTAGTAACAAAGAGTAACTGTTTACAATTACACCCACAAAAAACGTGAAGGTTGTAAACATACCTTTGATAAAGTAATAGTAAAACCCTGTAACTATAATTAATGCACATGATAACAGTTTGGCAGCTGTCGCAGCTATCTGGAATCTAGCAGCAAATCTACTCAATTCAAAAAAGTTCATCCATGTCACAAGCCCTGCAAGATAAATAAAACGTACAGTACACTACAAAAGTAAACAAATAAATAATTACACTCAAAGTAAACTACAACTTTTTGAGAAAATTACCCTACAATAGTTTACAACATAGTCATAATAAACAGAAGAAATTCGAAAAAACACTTACAAAGCAACGAAATACCAAACAGTTTTTGTAGCAGTGGCTTCATGTCTGTTTCGATTTGGTAAGTTTGCGACAAGCCTTCGATCAGATATTGGCCAAACGTCTCGGAGATAATGGCAATTGTCGCCGGATATGTCATGAGAACACTAACCCACATGAAGGCAAACGCTACTGGGTACCACTTGACGTAGCAGATGTAGGCAAAGTCGCATCCGGGATCCCTGATACTGGTACCCAACTCGATGTAACACAACGAACCTACAAATAAGTAAGTATTGACTAAGCCTTACATCATACCCATAATGGCGATGATGGCACAGCAAAACCATATTATCAGCGAAAGGCCGGCGGACTCGGTGCTTCTGAGGATTGAAGCCGGCGTTATAAATATCCCGGAGCCAATTATGTTGCCAATGACGTAAGATGTAGCGCCCAGAAAGCCCATTTTGCTAGATACCCCCGCCAACGTCGGAACCGGTACGATGGTGGGGGTCTCGGGCGGGGTATCGGCCATAATGGCCAAGTCTTCTGCCTCCGGGGGATCCAATTTGGTGTTCGATGTCTGTTCTAACTATATAGGTTTACCTAAGTCTTCACAAGCTTCTACACCGTATCTATTTTCAGCAATCACGCCTCAGGAAAGAATATCAGCATCAAAGAATGAGCACTTTGATTATTAAATGTGTTTAATACTAAACAAATACAACATTCAACTTGGGTTAAATGAAAAGAAGTCGTTTTTGTGGTGCTCTTCAGCCTCGAGACGAAGCCAAGATCAGAACAAGTGCAAATAAATGCAATAAAGTTTGATTAGGAAATGGAAACCCCCCGAACTGTTAGGTAACCCGCCATTAGGTAAAAAACGGAATGTTCGAAAAATCCCTCATGCCGGGTTGAAAAAGGCAGTTGGCCAAGTCTGGGAGGCTCTTTCGAGCGCCCCGAGGAGTCTGGCAGCCGACTTTTTGTGCCCTAAGGGTCTTTCGGAATCAGTTTCCCTCGTTCCTTGAGCTGGATATTATCATAACCATCTTTCTGCAACTTTATTCGACGTAAACCAAGCCGCAAACAACAAAAATAACAGCAACAATATAACGATCAAAGTGCTCATGCCGTCTCCATCTCTTTCTCCTCCTGCTTGATCTCCTCTTCCTGTACATAAACCTCGTCAGCGGCAGCTGAACGAAGCAAATAACTCTTCTTCTTGGCCTGTTCTAATCTGTTTGTCTTCGTGATTTGTTTTCCGGGTTTCACCGATGTGGTGATCAAGTGAGCATAGCGTTTCTGCTTTACATCATGAGTTTCTTTCATCACATTGACTAAAATAACAAGGTAAATCAAGTTTTAGGTAACAAAACTTACTCGCATCCTTCCACAAAGCTCGTTCGTATTTTGTTGGCTCATTCCGGCGTTTCTCCAGCTGTAGCACTGTGTCGTCTGTCAATTCTTTGCCTCGAAGTCGGCGTGAAGCCTTTGTCCATCTCAACTTTCTCGGGTTCTTCTTCTTCTTGAACAGTTTGTTACATTTTGCACGGCAAAATTTGAATACCTAAAAGAAAATAATGATTTTAGAATACAAGACACAAAACATACATGAGACACAAGAAAAAAGGTGAAAATTCATTAAAAAAATAGCGAGATACCTAAAATCGATATACTCAAAACTTACTGTGTTATCGTTTCTGACGAATGTCATACCATGACCAGGGTAGACTGTGCTGGAGCAAAAATAACACTTTTCTAACCGCATTATGCTATAACAACAAAGCTCGCGGCTTACAACAATAAACGAAAAAGAAGAGCCCAAAATCTTCAATAAAAAGAACTCCGACGTGCGTCCAGGCTTTTGCGAAACTTGTGTGGTATTTTATACGAGAAAGGATGTACTCCCTTTAAATGTTGATAAGCATAATGTCAAAGGGGTTTGGAATTTATTTTTTATTGCCTTCTATGAATTGTTTTTTAAAAAGAAGATTGTCAATACTTTTTTTTCCTATCATATTATGTTATGCCTTACTTTTTATAGGTAACATTTTTTTTTACTTTGGTCAAACGTAATCCAATGTGTCATATAATTTTATTAGATAAAAACCAATAAGTTAGTTAAAAGTGGGAATGCTTAGTGAGAAGCTAACAAGTATACCATATCCGTCGACATTACCACAATATTTACAAATCTAGTCTAGAGAACATGATTACAAACTAACAACTGATACCGTACCTCCAAAAAGTACAGTAACTCACTGCCTTCAAACGAAAAGACTAATTACACTGAGAAAGACATTGCTAATCACACTATTCCAATGGCGAACTTCTGACTGAATCTGTCGTCGAATCCAGCTGATCCAGCCCAGCAACGGAAGTGATACAAGTTTCTGTTCAATCCTCGATTCATCTTGTCAACGCCTTCCACTTCCACCTTCAGTTCCACTAACTTTATTCTGTTCACCACTGAATGCGATCTCACGCCGTAATCCAGTAATCTGTAATTCAAATCAAGTTATCTAGATTATGTCATCTTAAAGCATCAGAAGCTTAAAGTAAGCTTACTAGTACTTAAAATAAAAAAATAGAGAACCAGCTCTCTTACCGAGCCAAATGGACAGAATCCCTTTCCGTCGTTCTTATCACCAACTTCTCCACTGAAGGCCAGTAATGTTCCTTCAGGCCATCCTTATCAGCCAGAGCAGGCAGAGTTTGGAAGTTGAGGTGCACTCTCGGGTCTTGAATCGCCTGGATATAACACTGGAACGCGTACCATCGATCAAGGTCCAGCAAGGAAAGGTTGGCTATCACCTGCAAGTAATTGATGACTCAACCTCGCCAACCCACCAACTCGACGATAGCAGCGTCCAAGGCAATCTTGACGAGCGACTTTCGAAACACCTTCATCAACCCGCATAACGCTCCAACTTCCTTCGACGTCCATTGTTCGTCGACCAAGATGTGAACTTCTGTTTCCGTCAGTCTGGCGTACAACCTGAGACCGTGGGGGTGTTGGTACCACGTCCCCACATCGCATGCCAAACTTTTAATCGAAAAATACTCAAAGTCGACCCGCTTCACATCCATGAAAACCACCTGACACAGTCTTTCGTCCACCAGGTTACAGAAGACACTACTGACCGACCTGAGTCTTGTCAGTTCGAAGACATTATCCACCATCTTCAAGCTCTTACTGAGCATGGCAGCGGGCAAGAAGGCCGTCTCCATGCTGGAGCCATCAGACCGAGTACAGCACGTGAGGTCGGGACAGGAAAGTGGAGCACTCTTAGTACCGTCTGGAGCACGTTGCCGTGGCTTGCGGCGAAAGCTGAGGCGATTGAACAGCCGGCTCATTCCTTGAAATAAATCAGGCTTCAGGCCACGATAAGACAAAACATTGCAGTAAAAACTTTAACAAAAGATAAGAGCGAGAGATCCCAACTTTTTAAATTGAAAATGATGCGAAAATCAGTGATCGCCTGACGTCGACGTCTATTCTCGCTGAGGTTTGTGATCAATCGAAAGAGGGGGGGAGGTTTTTAACTCCGCGCAGAGCCAGTTCCACGAATTGTTGGCCATGACCTCGTGGTCTGGTTTACAGTGTAATGATGACTGACTCAGCAAGTTCTTTGTCAAAAAAACAAGTGCTACTACAATAAAGTATTAAACCCCACAGTAATGTAACGGAAGACCACAGTGAGTTAACAGTATTTGAAGGGGTCACATTAAAATGGTTCGTTTACGGTTACAATTTAATGTCAAACCAATGCGAAGACATTTCGAATGCTAGCGAACTTTTTACAATCTATTAATTGTGACCTATATGTCAAAAGTGAGCATTATTCCCTCCTTTTACTCCAAAATATCACCAAATCACTAACTATTCACAAAAGCAATCAAGCAAACAAATCACATCTCGAGCATGCAGATCACTCAAACGAGAATATTTTAATGTTTATTAATCGATCCGCTATAGCTCGCTGCAAGGTCATGATATCACTTATACTAACCATGAAATCTTTTCTTGAGAATATACGTCAACGGGCGGCTTAAAGCAAACTAATAGAAACACAAACAGCTGGTGAGCTCTCAAATTGCAATAAAAAAAACTTTTAATATTCAAATTTGACAAAAGTATTGTAAGGATTTGTAGTTTTAACTGAACAGAGGGCCATAACTTCTTAAAATTAAATTTAAAAAATATGAATATACTTCATTTAAAAAAAACAAAGCTTTAAAAGAGTAGGCAATTACTTAAAATAGCTCTGGGAAACCCCATTTATACAGAAGTTGTTTATGCAAATCAAAAACAATACCGTCTTTGCCGGATCTTACAGTAGAACCATCAATATTTACGTCGAAAGCATCGTAGAGCAGTGGGACTTGGAGGAGCAGTGGAATGAAAGATCGCTGTGTATAATATTCCTTTACTCTGTGATCACAAAACCAAACAGCTCAATTCCATCAATTTTGACATTTCGTTTTGTAAAATTGGGCGCGAGCTGCGGAAAAAAAAATAAAAATTTTAATAATAAATTGTACTTATATGGAGAACGAGAAAGGTAACGGGGTATATAAAGTGCCGTCATGGGCAGGAAGACCCCCTCCAGGCTCCCATCTGGATGTTAAAAAGGACGAACGTGTAATTCAGGTAGGTAACGAATGTCTATGAGATTTTAATCTCTTTATTATGGTTGTAGAAGTTACTGATCGACGAAAAAGGGTACTATTATTTCGGAAGGAATCCAAATCAATGTGATTTTACTATAGAACACGCTTCTGCTTCAAGAGTTCATGCAGTTTTGTTGTATCATAAGGCTTTGAAGAAGTTTGCTGTGGTAGACCTCGGAAGTAGTAAGTTTTTTCGGTAATAAATTGTAAATAACTTTAATTTAATATGAATAAGATATAAATTTTTGACAATTTTAGGTCATGGAACTTTTGTGAAAGGTGTGAAGGTGAGCAGTTCTCAGCCAGTCTTCCTTGAATATAATGATGGATTTCGCTTTGGAGCTTCAAGTCGATCGTATATAATTAGAGAGAAAGTGGCCCAGTTAACACATTCAGATCAAGCTGATGTTCCTTTGCCCGAAACAGAGACGGAAGTTGATGTAAGTCCGCTTTTTTTGTTAATTTGGTCTTTAGAATCTGACAAACTACAACACGATGCAAAACAAACGACTGCCACAAATTCCTTGCACGGTAGAAGAGTGTAGGAAGAAGAAACGACCGCGAAACAAAGTGGTATTTCTGCAGGAAGAAGAAGTCATCAATCCAGAAGATGTTGATCCTACGGTCGGTCGATTCAGGAATCTGATTCAGACGGCTGTCATTAACAATAAGGGTACGAAACGGACAGCCACGAGTAATATCAGTCCAACCAAGAAGAAGATAATAAAACCAGCCAGGGATGGAGATGATGGCAATCTCTACAGCTCGGTCTTGGGAGACTTCAGTATCAGCTCAGCACCGTCACTAGATATGTACTCTATGAAGCCGGCTTCTGTAGCATTAAATGCAGCGTCAGACTCTTCTAAAAAGAAATACGCGAAAGAGGCTTGGCCTGGCAAACATAATTAATTTATTTAATTGTAATAAAGCTACTGTAATATGTTTCTTCTTGTTTATGTTCTTTTCTGGTTTTTTTGCCAGCTCTACCTTTTGTATATTAGTATTCTGAAATATTGTTTATATTTGTTATTTTAGGTTAACTTTGACAAATAGTTATGTCTAATGATGAATCGGGACGAATAAGCGGTAAGGTAGTCGGGAACTTAACCTATGTTCTGTTTAGCATCTGATTACTTATTCGAAGAAGGGGTATTTGGTGAGATCGACAGAATGGAGAAAGATGGAGTGGCACGGGAAGAGATAGTCAACAATCTCCTTAAAGGCTACAACTTTAATGGAAAGCTGTGTACTTTGATTGGAGACTTGACAAAGGGATTGGACGAGTCTACTTCTGACGAGTAAGTTAACATCTTGTGGGGTGGGAATGTTTTTTGTATGTAAATTAAACTTCTATTACTGTTTTGCAGATGTGCATCTTGTTTCGAAGACAGTGCTTACAAGATGGTGACCAAAACTTTCCAACCAGATGACGCTGATAAGATATTTGACATGGAAGATGGGGTAGAGTGGTTGCCTGACTTGATCTCACACAGACCTTGGCGAAAGTTGATATTTGAGTTGTCAGAGCAGTATCCTCAATGTCTGATGCTGAATCTGGCGGTCAAGATCATCTCGGATGCTGGATTCCAGAACGAGATTAACAATGTCTGCACAGCTGCCAATCAGGTCGAGATCTTCTCCAAGGTGTTTGCCACTTGTGTGCTTCAGTTGGTAAAAGCATTCCAAGTTGGGGAGAATACTCAGGAGTTTCAGAAGGCGCTAGACGAGTTGTTGAGGGTCGTGTGTTATGATGAACATACGTATTACTATGCACAAGCTGCTCTTAAGCATTTGTCACAAACGGTAGGTTTTTATACTGATTTATTCCTTTATTAGTGTTCTTGAATAAGTTGAATTGTAATTTATCTTATTCATTGGTTACGGTTTAGTTTTATATTTAGAGTGATCAAAAAGTAGTTGCCGTTTGTCATCAGATCAGCCAGATATTGAGGACGTCTTTGAAAGACAAGGTTTTCGAAACGACAGCTCTGATGTTGTACTCTTCGCAAGAATCGGGCGATGACATTCCTTCAGAAGGTATCCAGGCCATATTGGACATGGTTTCTAAAAAGACTTTAAGTCCAGCGGATGTGTTACAGTTGTATCAAGTAATGTTATATTTTCATTTTGATACTAATATTAGTTTTATTTTTGAAATACTTATTTGGGCATTACTTGTGTTTCTAAAATATTGAATACAACTTTGTGGTTTAGGTGTACTTTGACCCGAATCCACCCCCAGCTGAGATCATACGAGACTCAGTACTGGTAAAGACGTTACTCAACAGCCTTTTCAATGTCAATGTAGCTAAGCTGAGTCTGGAGTACCGGTCGAGGTACGTGTACTTGTTGGCGTACGCCGCTTCAGTCGGTGAAGTGAACAAGAATGGGATGAGAATTGTAAGCTTATTTCTGGATTGGTCTTTGTAGTGTTGTAATAGTTGTTACGTATGTTGTTGTAGCAAACGAAAGCAGAACTGGATCACGTTCGGAACAAGATGGAGGAGTTGCTGGACAAACTGGAGACGGCTGATGACTTGGTGTCTATTCTTCCAGATGTCATCAAGTTGATAGAACTGCCAGTGTTGGCTCTTGGTATCTTATCGTATGTTGAGTCTATTGTGTTACGTGATGATGTCATGAGTGAGCCTCAAACGGTTCATCTCGTACTCATTGACCATGTGGCTACATTACAGTCCAATATGAGGCACAGGTAAGTAGATAATAACATCTTGATATATGAAATCTAAACTAGTTATAGTAATTAATAATTTACTACAAAATGTACGACGTCACGTAATATATTGTCTATGTAAAGTCCTGTTTTGTGATTTTAGAGTGTTTCGATTACTATGCCGTCTATACGAATGTCAATCGAGTAAGAACGAAGTGGCGGAGCTTGTTGTCTCTCGGCAAAAGGTGGTGATTGACCGCTTCATCCATCTGTTCTCTTGTGGCTACGTGTTACCAGTACTCGAGCTGATCCCAAAATGGTACGAAGAGGGCACAATTGACGTATCTCTGGTCAGGTACTTCGGGATAGAAGTGCTTGAGATGACGACGCCACCGTACTCGGACGACTTCTGCAAACGAATGTACCCACTTATCACGAGGTCCGAGATCTTCGACAAGGTCACGACGGAGAAGCAGAAGTATATCGCACAGTTCATAGGTTATGTAAATATGTAAAATAAATTGACTTGGTACTCACTGAAGTTGTTGTATGTGTTGCATGCTCATTTCATATTTTTGGGGTTTTGATTAAAGTATGACTTAAAAGTTACAGTATGACAGATGACGTAAGCACGGTGATAGGATGTGAGCCGGTTGCTTTGACTGCGTTTCACATAAATGAGATTTTCAAATGTATTGACAATGTAGAAGCCATCTCTACAACTACACAGCTCACGGTAAGGTCTTTTTAGACGATTTTATATTATGTATATATATAAGTATAATATAACAACTCTTTGAAGGATGGTTCGTCTTGTTGAGACTTGAAAACGTCAAACTTTTATATTTAATTGCGTTACAGACGACTTATGAACGACTAGAGCATGTTCTGGCCATCTACACAAACAAGTTCGTCTTATTTCCGATTGTGCCAAAAGTCGTGAATAAGCTGGTACAGTTGGTAGAAGTGAAGCCTCCGCCTTTGAATAAGAAGAGCGAAGTTGCCATAATGTTGTTTTACATCTTCTCGAAGTACGTTGGCTTCAAACAGACGACCAAGTACCTTCCAGTAGAGGTAGATCTTCTGACCGTGATATTGGATAACACTATACATTACGGGAATGGTACGTTATCATAGAGGTCGTTTAGAGTAATATTAGTACTTTTACATGCAATATTGCCACATTATGTTGTTATTTAAATTTGTGATTATTTTGTGGTTGTTTTAGGTAACTCTGTCAACTTTCCTGTACCCGAAGTAAAGGACGGCATCTTTTGTGGCCTCAAGATCTGGCTTCTAATCCTGATCAAGAATCCTTTTGACCTGAGGAACTTCTTGCGAACTTCTGAGAATTCAGTTGGACTAGATGCTATTAGCTACAGGATAAAGCAGCTGATTGACGAGAAGAACGCCGTTAAGGACGGGCCGGTAAGTATTCTTAAACGTAACCTTTTACTGTGCAAATTACTATAGTATTATTGTATACTTTGTAAAACGTTTAAACTGTTTCTTGAGCCTCTTTCATCGCGGCTTTTTTTGTAAATATTGATAAAAGCATGATATTGTACTTGATTGCTCAATACACTATTTATCTAATTTCAGAAGTTGGACTTTATAACGTTGGCCATACTGTACACGAGGAATGCTGACAACGGAGAAGCCCTGAGGCACTTTTTCCAAAATATTCTAAACTCGAAACAAAACCCTCGAGAAAAGTTGAACTCTCTCAAGACTTTGAACTACATCTTCAAGTTGGTAAGACACAAAACTTTCAATATTATATTACTATGGTTTCATACATTATATTGTTATTGTCACTATTATGAATTACAATATCGCATCTTCATATACCTATAAATTTAGGGCAAAAGACAAGAGCTTCAAGGATTTGTGGACGATGCCATAGCTTACTGTAGTTCGTGTTACAAAGACAATAACAGTTCCTCTTTACTCACAAATTACTGTTTAAAAGTGTATCAACGAAACATAATGACACTTTTGGATGTGCGACTAGCGAACTGGAGGTATCAAAAGAAGAACAAGAGCATCGAAGAATCATTGGGGATCGAGAAATTATCAAATCTAAATGGTTCGGCCGCTAATGGAAGTACTGTAGATCAAGCTCACTTAACCATGGTAAGGTCAGACAGTAGTTGATATTCTTACAGACTTCTATTAGTACAAAGTAATTGCTCTTTAAAGTAATATCGTCACACTAAATTGCAGGTGAAGGATGTGTTGGTCATAATGAAGAATTGTTTGTCATCAGAATCCAACGATGTGAGGTGGGGTGCGGCCAAGGGAATAGCAAGGATAATATCCAAGTTACCGGTCGATTACACGGTGAAGATGGTGTCCGAGATGACTTCTCAACTCAACGACAGTGAATCCTCGTGCTACTGGAACGGCATCTGTCTGCTACTGGCTGAGTTGACCACCAGAGGCTGTATCCTGCCAGAAACCATGCCTAGCTTGTTGAAGATCGTCAAGAAGGCGTTGTTGTTCGACCTGGGAGGATTCATGAACACCACGGAGACTAACGTCAGGGATTCTGCGTGCTACATCTGCTGGTCTCTGGCCCGGGCCTACTCTAAGGAGATGTTCTTGTCTCAGATTCCGGACTTTTCCAATCTTCTCGTATGTACAGCTCTGTTCGACCGTGACGTCAACGTTCGGAGAGCTGCCAGTGCTACGTTTCAGGTATCATTTAGGTGTATTACTTGTTTTATGTGTAGTATGCGTTACAGACGCCACATCTGACATGGCCAAGTAAAGAAACAATTTGTAGGAACACGTTGGAAGACACGGTGGTTTCTCGAACGGTATCCAGATTCTGGTTATCATCGACTTCAGTGATGTAGCTCTGATCGGAAGATGCTATAAGGAATCGTGCGTCAAAGTGGCACAGTACAGGGAATACCTCAGGCCAATGCTCGACTTTCTCGTCTTCAATAAGGTACCCAATTGGAATACCACCATCAGAGAGTTGACTTCATCTGCACTACGTCTTCTGTCGCCAATGGATTCAGAATATGTTTTAGAAAATGTAAGTTTTGAACGTATTATTGGATAAACGCTGTTAGCTAGCTTTCGTATGAAAAGACTCAGCAAGTTGGATACCGATTGGCGGGTTAATTAGTTTCCAACCTAATATAATATTGGTTTAGTTGTTACCTCACTTATCGACTTCACTTAACAACACGACTGATATCACTCTTCAACATGGTTACTTATTCGCTTTATCTGCTTGCATATCAGCGGTTTCAACGAAGCTAACTTCGGATGACACCGTGATAAAAGCAGTTTTACACTTCACAGATACTCACCGAGCTCAGATGCACAACAGATCCATGGAGAATGTGACTTTACTCGAACGGGCGATGGCTAGTATATTCAAGTGTCTTCTGGACGCTGACTTGGTCGATAATCACAACACGGTAAGGGAAAAAATAATGAAATTTTGGTTGATAAAGGGAAAGTGTGGGCGCGAGTCGGGAAAATATTTTGCAGGCTGCGCTTTTTAATTATACCAACCTTTTGATTAAATTTAGCGACTAATAGGTACATTGATGTTTTAGAATTTAACTATTATTCTGTGTTTATTTTTATATTCATTTTGTACTTTATAGCATATGCAATGGATGAGTACTGTAGAGTACTGTTTGCTGGAATTAATAGAAGTAAAGAAGCCAGAAGAGTCGACCCAAGATATCCTCCTTAATGTAATACAGTCTATCTTCTTGTACTGGAAACGACATACTATGTTTGATGTAGCCAAAGACCACTTACAACGCTTTAAGAATAAGGTAATTAATACTTTTTGGACAAGTTATCACATTATTATAGCAAGTAGCTCAATTATTATGTTGTTATTGCTATCGAGCGAATTATCATGTTGTTTTAGCTATCGACTGCTGATGCTGAGAACACTTTTACAGTATATGCTTTAATTGTGGAACGGGTATGTTCATTTATGGTTGAAGAAAAAGATCTCGAAGATATTCAACGTATTCTGAAGGAGCATATATTACGGTAAGTTTAGTTAGTTGTATCGTATGTGAGAACTTGTGTCGGCTAAACTTTTGGTTACCTAAAGGCGTAATTTATTCAAAAATATCAAAAAGTAAAAATTCTATGGCAATTATCGATTCAAACTCTTGCGAATTATCTTTTCACTGTTATTCAGGCCGTCAGAACAATTGTGGATAAATGCTCGTATATCAGCTCTCAAGGCTTTGGTATGCATATATGGAAGGACTGGAGGTCAGACACAACTTGACACATTACTCGAATGGTATTTCTTTTGTTTCAAAACATTGTGTACTACATTTGAAATTGACTTTTCATTTGCTTTTTATGTTTTTAGTATTATTACTACTTAAGATTAAGTCGTTATTTTAAGATTTACTACATTTCTTATTACTAATTGAAACTAAAGTTATTTTTAAAAGGTGATTTCAGCCTGGACAAGTGCTACAAAGACCAAACCGTTTCTAAAAATGGAGATATTGGGAGATACGTCAGGGAAGCGGCTCTTCGCAATACGCTTACAATACTGCTTAAGGCCGCTCAGTACAATAATCTAGGCCAACAACAGGTCGTAAATGTCACCACAAATGTATTGGGACTGTTGTTTGACGCCGTGGATAAGAACGTTAGGGTAAGTGCCTGCCTTAAGTATGGTCTAAAGCATGATACTGTACTGATGTCATGCTATTTGTAAGGTAATGGGCGCTATTATCAAGATAAATTCTGCAAAAAATAGTTTTCATTACAAGAATAATATAAAAATAAAAGTTAAGGTCACTATTTAGTCATACATGATTATTATAGGTATCTCACGAAGTTATACAGTCAATTCTGGATAGTAATGTAGATGTGAATGACAAAGACCGTCTGTTATCTTTGTTTAACTCTGAACATATTGAGTTTGCCACGCTCGTACCTCTGCTGGAGTACGATGCCTACCGTAACCATCTTCTGAAGTGTGCAATATTTGGATTAGGTATGTTTTTACTATGGTATGTTGGAGTACAATATTATAGGGAGTTTGGTCGTGACCACATCCAACAACTCGTGGCAGTTTCTCTACAATTACGTTACTGTAGACAGTCGGAAAACGGATATTAAGGTAACTATTATACTGAATTATGATAACCTACAATACCGTATCTTAATCTTATAGCAGAATATTATTTTACTTTTGATAATATCAAACATAAGTTTCAGTTTATGGAAGGGTTCACAAGAGTAGTATACGACTGTTACGCTAGTGTGTCGACTCTAGATGACAAGATACGATACTGTAGAGCGCTGAGTATATTAATAGAACGAAGAGCCTTTGAACTGTACGAAGCTGACCCGTGTACATCAATATGTTTTGTCCAGCTTTGTGAAAGTATTATCCTTGTAAGTATTTTTCCATTACTAATAGGCACCTTTTGTCATATACTAAACTATACTAAGTTTTACTTAGCTAACATAAGATCTTAACATAAGATTACTAATACCTGAGTTTAGCTTGGGAAGAGTAAATGTGGCGTCAAGCTGAAGCACACCTCGCTGAAGACAGTAGCCTCGTTCATTATGCTCAACTACTCTTCTGATGTGGCACTTAAAGCAAGGAAGACCTTGAGTTCCTTCCTCACCTCGCCGTACTCAGCTCTCCGAAGTCAGGCGGCCGAGCTACTACAACATTATCTCAGTCTGATTGACGAGAGTGTGTATGAAAGAGAAGATGTACAGAAAGCCCTGGCCATATTAGCCGATCTGAACTGGACTAAGCCTAAAGAGGAGCTACAAGAAGATGCTGCTATCGTGCAGAAGATCCTCAGCTTCTAGTGCTATCCAGAAGAGCTTTGTTGTGATATTGTTAAGACTGCCAGCTCTTACGGTCTAAAAGTTCTGAGAATAAGCTTGTACCTTTTATTTTGTTAAGTTCCCATTACTTTTTGACCGTCGACTGTCAGCCGTCTGTAATTTAAACTAAATATGTTTATTTCGTTACCGCTTAAGTTAAAATAAAGTGTTTGAAAGAAAAGATTATCCAGCCAAAGCCAAAACACGCTGAACACGCCTGTGGCATTAATTAAATTCGTAATCCGAGTACTACAAAATAGTTGTTTTCGGCCGAATCGCTTCTGAAGTCGAGACATCAGGACTATGTAGATCCTATGATGAACAACATCTTCTTCCGCAATGTGCCCAAGTGAGTAATTAGTAGTGTAACGTTGCTTATGTTGTCATACGATATCCCATATAAACAAAGGCAAACATTCATCTTGATATTATACTTGATATATACCAATGTTATACTGGTTTCTATCATCAAACCATTGTTTACCATGGGATCCCACGTACAGGACGGCCGTGCCGCGAGTAGAGGTTTGACGTGCCGGCGGAGGGAGACGGCCGAACCCTCTCTAGGTGTAATACAAGCTCATAATTATTGGTTGCGTGACCAAAAGTTTCGCCTTATTACTAAAGTAGGGGATGGAAATAAAACAGATTGGTGTGAAAAGAAATTCTTCTCCAGGGACATGTCCCAAAATACACGTCAAGGATACACGAAGATAGAACGGAGCTAAAAAACGAAGCCGTCTAATGGACCGGCTGGTGTTAAAGCTTCTCCCTCTTCCGCGCATCTTTAGTTGGCAGTAGCGTATAGTGGGTCCCCCTCCGCCAATTAACAGTCCGTGGTTTGTCTCTCCCTCTCTCCGTTTAATTACAAACATTTGCCAGTCAATCCATCAAATCCCCCCGCCCCGATACTTGATTCCCCTTAAGCGCATCAAAACATCAGATCTGCCATTTTTAGACGAGACATGGCCGATTCCGGCCAGCTGGCCCTGTTTCACCACCTCCGCGGCAACTCCCTCATCAAGCAGGTAATCCACTTGTTTTAGCCTTCACCCTCAATTAGTTAACCTTGTTTTGCTACTTTATAATTTTAAAAGTACATTTTTAGAGTAAATTTCGAAATTTTGCTAATTTCAAAAAACTGAAGCGCTACTGTTAAGCTGGTCAAAAAGTTTGTAGAGCTGAAACTTAAAAACTAAACCTTGCTTCTAACAATTCGAAAAACTTTTTGACAATTTAGCAGCTTTTATATTAAATAATTATGCAAATTTAGCTTTTTTAAAACCACTTTTTTCAAAATGCCATTCTTTTTCAGTCAGAAGAAGCCGAGATCCAAACAATTCATCCCAACCGTGAGCAACTTCTTCGTCGAGATGCCATTATACCGGAAGAACAGCAAAACGAACAGTAAGTTTATACTACAATGTAGACAAAAATGCTTTGTTTTATATGTTTTGTTATAGTATTATACTTATGTCACGCGTTTACCTTTTAGCAACTTTATTTGTGTCACGCGATGGCTATAACTATCCAAGATAATGGTTTTTTTATGTTTAAAAAGTTAATTGAAAACTAAAAGAACGTATAAAGCTATTCTATTTACTTTCTGACCGAGCTTTGTTGACAAAACAGACCCAGAGCTAGGCCAGCCACCAATTAAAGGGATAATCTGACCTGGTTTTGCAGAGAACGACAGAAGACACGCGGCGACGACAATGTTATCATCGTGCCGCACGTCCAGATTCTCCCCAACGAATCCTACCTTTTCAACCGTGCCATTTCCTCAGGCGGCGGTCTCCTGGCAGGTGGGTTAATTTCTTGTGAGTAATGTAAGTTTCGGTTTCTTTGGACTCTGGAGAGTAATATTACACTCCAAGTGTCAATATTATACTCACAAGAGTTTGAAAAGACGCGGATTAATTCTACAGCTTCCCGAGTACTCTCAATGCAGTACTTTCAGTTTTCGATTACTATCGACCGCGTTAAAGTACAACAATATAAAATTCCACTCAATTCCGTGCAAATTAGAGAATTCTTTGTTTAAAAATAGAAGCAGAAGGCTCGTTTACAGTTAATTTAGCACCAAATGCCATCTCAAAACAAAATAAAAATATAACTTTAAATATCAAAATCATAGTAAAGCAACCATTACAGACCTACAACGCGCTACAATGGCTACACAAGCCTTCTACGCCGAGAACAGTGAACAAACCAAAACACGATCTCCGTGGATTCTGAGGCGCCTCTATGAGTGGTCTCACCGTGCCAAAAGCCGGGAGATCGTGAAGCACGTTCAAACAGCTCTCGACGCTTCTCCCGACCGTGAATGTGAAGATGAAGATTTGGCCCAGCTCCTCACGGTCCAATGGGAGGAAATGTTTGCTGGAGCAGAAGAATTGGAAGATGTGCACAAACGTCGACTTCAGGCAGTCTGGGAACTGTTCCACAGTGAACTTGTGTTTCTACAGAAACAACTTTTGGTATTAAAGTAAGCGTTGTTACCTACTTTTCAAATTAATACCTAAAAATGGAAAAAGTTTAGCGTTTTCAGTCCAAAGTCAAAAATCTTGAAGGTGGACTGTTATTCTCAAAATTTTAACATATAATCTGACAAAAAACAAAATCAAATCCTAAATTATTCTGTCGGACAAGATTTTGTCAGAAACTACTTTTTGTTCAAGACTGAACGAAATGTCACAATTTTCCAAAAACACAACTTATTTTATTGATTTTCAGGGAAGTTTACAAAGAACCGTTGAAGAAATGTCAAGTGGAAGGTTGCCTTCTCTCCGTGGAACCAGAATTGTTGTTTGGAAACCTTGATCAGCTATGTCGGGTAATGTTAACATTGATGTTTGTCTTTTCAAACAAAATATTTTAAATCTTGCTCTAAATTTTGAATTTCTATTTTATGATAGTTTATATTTCAGATAAGCCGACGATTCTGCCAGTCGTTCTTGACACTTTCCAAAGAGCTTACCCCTGAGAACAACTTCGAGACCACAGAGTTTGTTGTTCAGCTTTTCGAGAGGTTCTCCAAGGGACCATCTACAATATCAGCCTACCAAGCTTACTGTATCAACTACAAGGCTACTATCGAGTATCTGGGCTCTGTGAGACAGAAAGAAGAAAGATTCCTCGAGTTCGAAAGGGTTTGTCTAACTGATCCCAGATGTGGAAGGTTGCAGCTGGAGGATCTTCTGATAGCACCTCTACAGAGGATAACGAGGCTTCCGATTCTTATAAAGGAGATTCTGAAGTACACGACTAACGACGAGAACAAGATCAGGCTGGAGAAGGTGTTGGACTCTATGAATGAGAGCTTGAGGTCGATTGACGACAGCGTACAATGGCTACACAACTTTGAACGGCTACAGCAACTTCAGAATCAAGTAGTCTGGCCATCGATCAGCGATCTGGAGCCAAGAACTTATATTCCTGATGTAAGAACGATAATTTATTCATATTTTTAGTATTTTAGCTGTTTTTCATTTGAGTTTTAACTGTTTTTAAATTGTGAAGTTAAAAAAATTATAAATTAGTGTTGAAGTTTGTTTATTGTTGTAATCAGATACCTTATAACTTGCTAAAGTCTTATTTCAGTTTCTGAAAGGAGCGTTGTCGCGACAGTTTTGTGAGAATCTATTGGCACATCCTCGACGGAAGCTAGTGCACGAAGGACCTCTGGAGTTTGTAGAGAATGGCAAAGTGTCAGACTGCTACGCCTTTCTCTTCAACGATATGTTTCTGGTCACCAAGATCAAGAAGATCGGGGCCAAGTCAAAAATGGTGAGTGTAAAGGTCTCTTTTTTACTACTACTGTAACTTGATCAAAGGATAAAGTAATGTTTGTATGCTAATTACTGTAAATCGGACTCACAATTAACTAATACCTAAAAATTCTGTGTTCTACCTTTGTGTTTACAGAAGAGTAACATGAGCACCACTCGACAAGAGTACTATATTGTGCACAAACAGCCCGTTCCATTGGATTCTTGTGTCTTCTGTGATGCGGATTCTGATGATTCTCACGCAAATGGTAAGTAGAGCTGGCTCAGGACCACTTGGCCCAATTTAGTTTCAGCACCATTGAAGAATGCGTTTGTTGTGATACACTTGACACGGTACTATCAAGTGTTGTCCGTCTACACTCTACAGACGTCGAGCAAGCAAGAAAAAGTAGGTCAAGTACTGATTGTCAGCATATTACACTAGGATTCCCTGAGCACTAAGTTATGTTAGACACCTCTTGTTCTGAAATTGTGAATCCCTCGTTACAGGACGTGTGGATCGAAAAGTTCCAGGAGTCGATCGAGAACTACGAGTCCATCCAGCTGAAGGACATGCTACGCTGCACGCCGTTGTTCTCGTCGCTTTCGCTGCGACGCTGCTCCAGTAGCCGCTACTCGTGCGTCTCGAGCCGGCAACGGTCGCTTCATTGAACCGGGTGGTCAAACACAACAATGTATTATATGTACAATAAAATTATATATTACCCGAATTGTCAACAACGTTAAATTATGGTGTGGAAAGCGTTAAACACCGATTCCTCGGGGTCCAAACAGTGAATGGTAGCCGGGAATGAGTCAAAGTACTCGTGCTGCATCGCGTCGTAGGCGGAGATACGATGTCTGGGGTTCAGCTGAAGCATAATGTAATTTAGAAATGTACATGGGTATATATCAGGTGTAATTGTGAACTAGGTGATTATACTTTTATATAATACACTATCTAACCACGTACCATCAGGAACGCGGACAATAAGCCTGTGCCATTATCTTCCACATCGTCCAACTGACCATCCACCAGCCCCCACCCCAACTCTGAGTACTGAGCGAACACGTACTGATTGTACTTGGGCAGGGACCTTGCCTCGGGCCATCCAGCATTGTCTGGCAGTCCTCGGATGCTGAAGATTCTGTCCAGCTGGTCGGTTACGCAGTTTCCTCCCGGGAACAGCGCCAGTCCCGTGATCATCTCTCCGAATATACAGCCGACGCCCCTAAGGCAAAGTTGTTAAAACAAAAGTAACGTACCACATGTCCAGCGAAGTGGAGTAATGAGTGGAGCCCAGTAGGACATCTGGTGGTCGATACCATAAAGTGACGACGTCGTGAGAGAAGGTCTTGGACGGTACCGACTGGGCACGGGCCAGGCCAAAGTCTGCCAACTTCAGCTCCCCGACTTCTGACACCAACAGATTCTGAGGCTTCAGATCCCTAAACCAATGTTTCCAATGTTTGGAGCTGTTACCTGTGAAGTATCTTCCTTTCGTGACAAAAGGCTAGTCCACGCAGCAGCTGGAACAGGAATATCTTTGTCCTGAACGGGTCCAGACCGTTCTTGAAGTTCTCCATGTACTTACTCAGGTCCGTCCTCTAAAATACATTAAGCATAATGTTACCCTAGACAGTTTTGTTATTATTACATACGTTAAACTAAAATATTTTAAAACAACGAAGATTGCAAAGGTTACCATGTATTCAAAGATGAGGACGAGAGCATGAGGCTGGTGCACGATCTGATACAATCGGATGATGTTGGCGTGCTTCAGCCCCTTCAGAAGGCTGATCTCTCTGATCGCCGTGAACGGAAGCCCTTCCTGGGGTTGCAACTTGATCTCTTTTAGAGCAAAGAACTGTCCGTTCAGTCGGTTTTGGGTCTTGTATACTGTAGCATAGGAGCCTGACCCGATCGTCTCCAGTCTTTTGTACATAAAGTCGTTGTTACTCATCTGTATATCTTCGTCGTTGATGTTGAGCGCGAGGAAGCGGGCGTCGAGGGCCGTCCGATTCTTGACGTGCATGAAGGAATGCTGTGGAGTACGGAAGCCGGGCGTAGTGGAGCGCGGCGCGATCTGCGCCCTCACTTGGGCACTGATCGATCTGGCACGTTTGGGCCGTTGCCGTGCCGTTTCGTCCGAATAATCTGTGGATTTTTGTAGATAACCGTGCGTGTCACGGCCTCTGGAGACCTTGGCACACGACTCTGCCAAATTGGAATGCCACGAGGCCGATAATGCCAGAGGGAAACCGCCAGGCTTGATGGATGAACTCTCGGTTTCTGAAACAAAACATATCACGGTGATTGGTGTACAAATATAACATACTTTCTGTCAAAACAAAATCTTAATGTTTGAATTTCACCTTATGAAGATTACAAATACACAGCGTTCCGCGGCCAGCGCCCGCAATATTCTGCGAGCTGCTCTCAACTCTTACTGTTATTTTTAAAAATTAATCGTTTATATTAAAAACTGTAAGCCCTTTCATTGTTTTGTTAAAAAACAAAAACATACCTCCATTTTCGGTTTTCGGCGGCCGATTCCGAAAGTGAAAGAGTTTGGCCGACGACAGCTTCTTCCAGGTCTTGTTCTTGCGACCATTCTGGGTGGGATCGTTGACTTTGTAGAGGTTTTCTGAGGACTTGGACGGTCTTATGACCTTGAGGTTCTTTTGATTCAATGTAGATAAGGAAGTGGACGGCCGTAACGTCGCGGTTTCTCGTTTGTTTTCGTGGAAAATGGAGCCTGTAATGGGAAATACGACGAGCTTACCGCGGCCTACCTATATGGGAAGTCAGCTTGTTCCACACCCCGGTCATGACGATGCCCTCGGGCCGAAGAAGATCCGGTCGGTTCGAGGCGCCAAAAGGAAGGTGAAGAGGGGAATGGACTCAAACAAAATGGCAACCGATCTCGACCAACATAAAGCGGCCGAAAATCGTAGAAACAGCTGTTGGTTCCGGCCGGCTAGCAGGTCGCTGATTGAGGAGGTATTTTCTCGATTTGATCAGCCTTCAAAACACAGCCTCTCGTTCGGCCGCTTTTCGCGCAAAAAACCCAAACATGGAGGGGGCGGCGCAAACAACTCCCGGCATTTTAACAAAAAAGACTTTCGAGATGCTCATCTGGCCCCATTCTCGGCCCGGACAGTGAGTGGCCATTTTATGAATGGCCGAGAGGAGTCAAAACATGATACAAGATGGATTTATTTCCCAAGAAGCATATCTTAGCTATCACAAAACATATTGCAAAGTGAAAGGGTTCAGTGATTAGTATTCCGACTGATTAGATTTGGCTACTCTTATTCAATTATGACTCTCAAATGTCTAGGAACAGGTCTTCCATGGCATGGACAAGATGCTGTGCTCTCTCGGCTGGGTCACATCGCTTCGAGTTTTCTATAAGCTGAAGCAGCGTCTTGATTCCGATGTTCAATCTGAAGATTAACATGAGTATACCACATTGTTTAGTAATTATTAAAGCTCTTCTAAATACGCTTTATCAGTTAAAAAACCCGAATTTAGTTTTGTAACTTACTTGAATTGTCCACGTTGCAACTGTGAAATGATAGCCGCGTTTTCTGCTTCTGTGAAGCCAATTTCGTCCAGAACCTTAGCCACTTGCTCGATCTTGTTCATCTTTGGAATGTGGATTACTCTAGTGAAGAGATCAGTGATACCAGTTTCTCTTATGAAGGATTGGTTTGCTGATGTGGCCAAGATCAACAGGCGCGACTTCTGAAAATCCCGTAATTAATAACATATTGATAAAATGACATTTAATATCTTTTCAACAAACAAAAGGTATTAATTTACCTTTGGAGGTGCTTTGTTGAACAATACCATCAAAGCCTGTAGCACCATATTCGAGTAACGGGGTCCTATTGGGGAGTAGTCCATAAGACGCTCGATGTTGTCCACGATGACAATTGACAATGGAGACCTGTAGGCATCCTCGAAGACTCGACTGATCTTGGAACACTTCATCGATTCCGAGAAGCCAACCATGTCTTCTGGAGTGATGATCTTGATGAAGGGGAAGTCAGACGTCTTGGCTATCTTGGCTGCAAGACATGACTTTCCTGCATTCGTTGGTCCAGACAGAAGCGCTCGGACAAAGCCAGAAGTCTCCGGACTGGCTGTTTGATTGCACAAAAGCTCTCCTTCTCTCAGGACGTCCGCCACCATCTTGTCGTAGAAGATCACATCTTCACCCAGGAGTCGTTCCAGTTGTTCGTCGTTGTGACCAAACGCCTAAATATAATAATACACATTAACCTTGATCCAGAAACAACAAAACCTCAAATAAATCTTCCTCACCGGCTTCACATCGTTCTGAATGGCGTATTCAAAGTCTGTCATCGAGACTTGGAACTTTTCCATGGCTTCAGGGTCGATCTCCACTTGGCCACCGACCTTCATGACTCTGTTCATGGCAGACGACTCTGCTGCTCTCACCAGTCCTTCAATCTCGGCGCCAGAGAAATTCTTTGTCTGCTTAGCCAGGAAGGCCAAGTCCACATCGTTGGCCAACTTCTGGAACTTGCGAAGACGAGCAGTGTGAATGTTGAGGATCTGGAGTCGACCGTGTTCGTCTGGAAGATTGATCTCCAGTTGGACTTCCAATCGACCAGGTCGCAACAAAGCATCGTCAATCATGTCTTTTCTGTTTGTCATGCCGATCACCAACACATTACCAAGTTGTTCTACACCATCCATCTTGGTAAGCAGCTGATTCACCACCGTATCATTGACTCCAGAAGAACCCGGCTGAAAATAAATCAATATTACAAAAAATAGGTAACAATTTTAATTATTTCTCAGCTTTTAAAAAGTTTTGAGTATTTTAAAATAAAAACACAATAAATTCAAATTACTCACATTAGAACCTCTTTGTTTGCAAATGGCATCCAACTCATCGAAGATAATCATGTGAAGACCTGAGTTGTGGCCCGACCTTCTCCATTCTTCTTCAGCGTCAGCAAACAGCTTCCTCAAATTGGCTTCTGATTCACCAACGTACTTGTTTAAAATGTCCGGTCCATTGACAATCTTGGGTTCACGAGCATTCAACATCTTCCCTATCTGACGTGCGATCAGAGTCTTACCGGTACCTGGAGGACCATACAACAAGATACCACGAACGTGTTTGATCGCTAAAATAAAAAACATTGAAAAAGAACTATTAAAATAATATAAAACATCATAACTATTAAAACAACTCAAAGTCGACCAAACAGTAATAGTTACCCAGCTGCTCGATGTACTCGGGAGGAAACAATCTCGAAGCGAACGCCCTCCTGAAGATGGTCGAGAACTCCTTGTCCAAACCTCCAATTCCCATCTGCTCAAAGTCCCATCCTGGATTGATAAGCGCTCTGAAGGTGGCCTTTCCCTTGCACGATCCCACCAAGTTCAACATGGCACCTTCAGCCTTGTTGAAGACAATCCTAGCATTGGCGTTCAAAGGACCGAACTCCACCTATAAATACATTAACAACAAGATACCATCACTTACTTCTTTCGGCTCTTTCCCTGGTGTTGCTCCTTCAATCGTAGTTACTGTAACTGCAAATCGTGTGATTCTGCTTTCAGATCGATATTCGAACACCATTATACTTCCTTTTGTCAATACCATGTTTGAGAATTGTATGCTGAACTCTTTCGCCATCTCATCTGTATCGAATGGGTCCGTTGTTATACTGAAATTGAGTTTAAATTAACAAATTATCAATTTTAGGTAACAAATCTGACAAAAGAAATCAAATTTAGGCAATAAATATTACCAACAAAAATATTTAAGTAATAAGTCTATAAAAAACCAAATTTAGGTAATAAATAAAATAGAAAAACACATAACAAAACTACACATAGAAATACCGATTAAACTATAATATCTTACAATTTCTTCGTCTGGAAGTCAAGGCTTAGAGTTGCAGCTAACACTACATTATCGCTGGCGCTGAATACCAATGGCTCCACAATTATCTCCTGATCCAATGAGACCATGGCCCATTTCCTGTGGTAAAATCCGAATCCCATCGTGCCGAGTTTTATGGAAGGATCATTTGCCAAGGAAAACCGAAAACGTCTGCCAGGCCCAGTGAGAACGTTGACATGTCTACAAAATTAGAATTAAAAACAAATTTGTAACATTTTCAATACTAAATAGTTTTAGTATATTAAACTCAGAAGATGCCGAAAACCCCAAAGAAATAGCAAAGCAGTACAAAAAAACACTATTCTTAGTACTTCTTGACTAAAACAATATAAAAATGTCTGAAATCAAGTAAAGCTACTCCAAAACACTACAAAAAACCTCCATTTACCTGCACTGTGACGCGTCGATGTCCGATGGATTGCAGTACACCTTGTTGGTGAGTGACTGAGCATCAGTATCGAGCTTGGCCGTTTTCAGTTTAATGCCCTGAAACGTGAATTAACCGCATTATAACACCTACCATTTGTTCAAGATGCCGGAAGACTATTTCAAACCAATTCTTTCAACTCTAAAAGCACGTTATTAGTTTTTGGCAGTAGAGCGAAAAGGAAAACGGCACAGCCAAAAGAGGCACGATCGATAAAGTCCAAAAGAGGACATTCAAACAACAACATGTAACAAAAGCTCGAGTCGATATAGAAACGTAGTATAAAATAAACAATTATAAGTCTTAATTTACAATTATACGTGCTCATTTAACATTAAAGGTCCATAATAACATACAAAAAAAAGCTGAAACAACGTCACAATTAAAACCATATTTTGACAAAAACGAATTTAAAACTAAAAGTAATACATTAATTGTATTGCTGAATTCTAATCAAACAAATCTCAAAAAAATTCAGTTAAGCTATAAGCTACGTATGATATAACAAAACCATGTAAAATCTTTAAAAATCTACGTAAGAGTGAAACTTCTGACTCCTCTGTCAAGTCTTCCTCCATTTCTTTTTTTAAATTGCCGCCAATAAATTTCGCAAAATTTTTGGCGTTCCGTCGAGGAAAAACGCGGGTCACTATAATATCCAAACGCTGTGATCCGTTATATTCATAAATTTGAGTTTAACATTGTAATTTGACCATATTTTAGCGACTTAACCTGGTTCGATCATGTCGGAGCTATTGGAAGTTCTCCAGAGGACGATTTCGACAGGTAAGGCAAATAAATTGTGGTTTTTATGACATTTTTCAGACCCGAATGATCAACAACGGGCCATAAGCTATATCGCACAAGCATGTGAACAAAACTATGTAAGTTTTTTGATTTTTAACGTTGTTACATTGTTTTTAAATTTATGAGTATTCAGTTAATTATTCTTTGTTTTTTAGCCCGAGTTCATCAGGCAGTTAGCCTCGATACTTGCCGCGCCAGAAAATATAGCCTTTGTGAGACAGGCTGCTGGTCTACAACTTAAAAATACCCTGGTAGCTAACGAAGAAGAGAGGAGAGTAGTTCAACATGAAAGGTAATGTATTGTTATAGCTTTTATACATTAACTAGCAGATGGATTAATATAAAAGTCTGTTTAGGTGGTTAGGACTGCAACCAGAAGTACGTCAATTTGTAAAAGAATGTATAATGAAGACATTGGGAACAGAAACTCGACCTTCTTCAGCAGCTCAATGCGTTTCATCGGTTGCATGTATTGAGATTCCTCAAGGAGTAAGTTGCTTTTTATTAAGGTTTATGGTATTTAGTTATGGCCCGACGTGATCGACTTGTTAAAAGCTAATGTCACAAATCAAGACAGCACAGAGATGTTAAAGGAGTCTTCTTTGGAAGCCTTAGGGTACATTTGTCAATCTTTACCACATTCTTTTATGGAAACGTACGCAAATAATGTCCTAACAGCCATTGTGTTTGGTATGAGGCAAGATGAGTCTTCGATGTACGTCAAGAAGGCTGCAGTTACTGCCATGTTTAATTCTTTGGAGTTTACTCACATGAATTTCCAAAATGAAGTAAGTTTTAACAACTTGTATTTTATTATAATATGCTAACTTTGGGGTCTGTTTAGTGATTTTTAGTTTTATATTTTTTTTAGAAAGAAAGGAACGTGATCATGGAAGTTGTTTGTCAAAACACTCAATCTGGAGACAAAGAAGTAAATGTATTGGCATTACAGTGCTTAGTGAAGATCATGTCATTGTACTATCAGTTTATGGAGGCATACATGGCTGATGCCCTATTTCCTGTATGTTTTTGCCGTTATTAGTTTGTGTATGAATTTAATTTAAAAAACATTTATGTTTTAATAGTGGTTTGTATATAACGAAGTAATAATTTATATTTTTAGATAACAATTAACGCGATCAAATCATCCGAAGATGAAGTCGTACTTCAAGGAATAGAGTTTTGGTCGAATGTATGTGAGGAAGAGACAGGATTGGCATTTGAAGCTGAAGAAGCCGCAGAAGAGGGCAGACCTCCAAGTCAGGTATCCAAACACTACGCAAAAGGAGCGTTGGTGCATCTGATTCCACTTCTGACCCAGATTCTGTGTAGACAAGATGAAGACCCAGAGGAAGACGACTGGATCCCAGCGAAGTCAGCCAGTGTGTGTATAATGTTGATGGCCCAGTGTTGTCAGGATGATGTCATTTCTCCAACCCTGCCGTTCATAAGTGAAAACTTCTCGAATCCAGATTGGCATCGACGAGAAGCTGCTGTGATGGCATTCGGATCGATTCTTGATGGACCTGATCCAAGCACTCTTTCTAACCTTGTACAACAAGCTATCCTACCATTGATCGAGAGAGTTTGTGACGAGCATGTAGGTTGTTTGAAGCGACATCTTAGAAGTTGTTTAAATTGTATTTTAAAACTTATTTATTTTTTTAGCTGGCTGTCAGAGATACTGCCATCTGGGCGATTGGTCGTGTTTGTGAGATTTGTGTCGATCTTGTGAGCAACGAAGAAGTTTTACAACGTTTGCTACCAGCCCTTTTCACCACCCTTCAACAGGCACCTCGTATTGCTAGTAACTCGTGCTGGGTAAGTATCTTTTACTCTATTAAAGAATATTGTATGTTTTACTTTTTTTATTTTCTAGATTTAATTTTTAAAAAATGCTTAATTATATGAGAAAATCTTATAACAATGTAACCTGGCTTTATTTATTATTTTAGACAATTTCTTCGTTGGTGAAAGCTATATACCAAACTGCTGTCCAAAATGGCACTGATTCAAGTGGGGAGCCAGATACATTTATGTTGAGTTCAGTTTATCAACAAATGATTCAAGAGTTGATCAAGACCTCCGAAAGGTGAGTTTTTCTGAAATCATTGCTCTTTTGTTTGTTTCTGGCACTGTGGGATGTTTAAAAGTCACTTTAAACATTGTCTTTAGAGTAGACGCCAACGTCAACTTGAGGAATGCTGCTTACGAGGCTTTGATGGAGTTGATCAAGAACAGCCCCAAGGATTGCTACGCCGTCGTTCAGCAGACAACAATCATTGTTCTGTCCAAGATCGAACAGCTTTTGCAGATGGAACAGAACGCTGTGTCATCATCCGACCGTTCCCAACTCAGAGATTTGATCTCCCAACTCTGTGCTACTCTTCAGTCGGTGTTGAGGAAGATGAGGCCGGAAGACGCTCCCAGAATCGCCGATACCATCATGACAGGTCTCTTCCAAATCATGAATCGCTTCTCCGGCCGTGACAATGGAGCGGTCATGGAGGAGGCCTTGATGGCTGTGTCTGCCCTCATCACCGTGATACGAACTGATTTCTCCAAGTACATGGACTCCTTCAAACCAGTACTATACCACGCCATGTCGAACCACGCGGAGAAGGACTTGTGCATCAGTGCTCTTGGAGTTGTGACAGACTTGTGTACCGCCTTCGAAGGAAAGATCTGCCAATATTCTGACGAATTGGTTCAAGTCTTGATTACACTTCTTGGTGTAAGTTAGTCTTACTTTGCATTTTTTGATAACCGATCAGAAGTTTTATAACTTAAGAAGTTTGTTGATTTGGCTTTTTTCAATTTTATGTTTTTAGGATGGAGCTGTAGACAGAACAATCAAGTGTCACATTATCCAGATCTTGGGTGACATGATTACTGCACTAGGCCCACAATTCAGTCCATACTTCCAACATACCATGGTATTTGTCGACCAAGCAGTTGAAGCATCTGCGGTTCCTGTTGCATTGGTAAGTTACTTTTAAACTATATTATATTATTATTATCTGCATAAGAAAGTGTTTTACAAACGTTAATATTATAATATGTTTGTAATTGAAATGTTTTTAGGACGATATTGACCAGGCAGACTACATCACCTTGTTGAGGGAGAGTTGCATCGTTGTCTACATGTCGATGGTGCAGTCGTTCAGGGATTCAGAAGAGCACAAGCTGGTACTACAACAATACCTGCCTCGCATCAGCCAGCTGCTGAGCTCGATTGCCAGCAGCCAGCCTCCAGCACCAGAAAGCCTGCTGGTGATGGCCATCTCATTAGTTGGAGATCTCATTAATGCTTTTGGTGTGTTGTCGATTCCGTTGATGGATTCAGAATCCGTGACAGTGATCGTGCAGCGTCTCCGCCGTTCCAAACAAAACAAATGCAAAACCGCGCTAACCTGGGTCTCACGAGAAATGCAACGTGTGCGACGTCAAGCGACCACAGCCTAGACACGTTGTACTTTATATTTACCGGTCTGTTACAATTTCTGTAATTTATAGTCTATGTTAAGAATTTTCAATATAATTTGCGGATTTGTGTCGAATAAATAAATATTTCATCATACAGCGATTGTTTTGACGCTAAATGGAGGATGACAGGATGTAAGGAGGGGCGCGGCCGGCTTCTCTCCCAACAATATGTGATTCGAAGTTGGCAACAGTGGGAGTGATTAACTCGAATAGCAGTAGTTAATCAACCCCCGCCCGAACGGCTTCCGCTTGGTGGATGGACGTGAGGAAGGGCGTGATTCGAGTCCAGTAGCGTGCTGGTGTCAAGTGCGAAGAGGCCTCGCAATCGAATTATCATTCCTTCATGACCTGACAAACGCCGATGATTATTGACCGTGCATGAGCAACATAGCTCTGGTTCTTCCCTCGTCCCCCACTTATCCGAATCAAAATTATTCCCTTCCTCAGCAGTTTGCGACGTCCCATCTCCCCGAACCGTCCCACTCCAACGTGCTCAGCGCAGCTCCTGGACGGGATGAAGCGCTCTCCCAATATCAAGATAGGTAATAGTTTGCTCTCAGCGCTGGGATTTGTGTCTTATTTACCTGTGACTAAGACAATGTTAACATAAGTAATGACTGTGTTTAGATCAAGGAGCCGCGAACGCCTCAGGCCGCATCCAGGTGACGTTCTGTGATCAGGAGTACATTGTGGATGGTGAGTTGACTTGTTTTGCCGGTAATTAGTGCTCGCGATGTCTGACGATAACAGCGGGAAGGGGATGCAAATCTAATAAGGAGGGATGACTAACAAAGCCAAGTTTCAGGCCAATATTGTTGTGATAATTGGACAACAAATGGCTGTTAATAGGGGAATACGAGTAGATAATCGGGAGGAAAAATGACTGGGATAATTGGCGTGGATGGGAGTGCGCAATACTATTTTTGCGGTTCCCTATCTGAAGCCATAAGACGCCTGTTTGTGACGTCGGAGGGAAGCGCGCGGCCTCCGGACTTCCTTAGCTTCTTCTGCTCCTCAGGGCACGCAACTCGAAAGTCATTCGGCGGGGAGGGAAAAGTTAGAAGAATCAAGTTGAAATCCCCACAACACCGCCTAGCCTCAAGATTTTAACATTCCTCGGCTGTCTGGGCCACCTGCTTCCAGGCTGTCGTTCAGATGTCATGGTTTCAGTTGACAAGCACAAGAATCACTCCCGACCCTTCACCTTGTACCGCCGCCAGGAGTCCGTGAGCAAGCCCCCGGAGCCAGATGCCTCCACCTCCTCGTCGGCCGCCATCGATGCCATCAAGAAGTAAGTCATCGCTTATCACATTTTTACTGTAAAGCTTATAATGTTGTAGTATGCCTGGTTTCTAGTGATCGTAACTACAATTTAAAACTTTTAAAAATTCACTTTCTCTTAGAAAATGCGATGGAATCTTGCATTATGTTATAGTAGGTAGAGTTTAGGTAACGGAGACTTCTAATAACTATACCCAAAAAACTAATTCAAGACAATTTGAAGGGTCCCCAGGGAAGGAGAATGTCGTTTCTGATATCAAAATTCAGTGTTTTTAGTTATGCCACATCAAAACAACAAGTCAACCTCCTTAGCTATCGTATCCGTCCAGATATCCTAACACAACATGGATCTAAAAACAACAAAAATGCAGGCTTAGGCTTAGATATGAAAATTTAGGCTTAGAAATAAAGATTAGGCTTAGAACTAGCAATGTAGGCTTATAATGGACAATTTAGGCTTAGAAATAAAGATTTAGGCTTAGAAAAAGCAATTTAGGCGTATTATGGACGTTTCAGGCTTAAAAGCGTTTTAGGATTAAAAATAAAGATTTAGGCTTAGAAATAGCAGTGTAGGCTTCAACCTAACAATGCCGGTCGTTAAGTAAAGTGTGTGACGTTGTGCCTGGATTACGTGTAGTCTCGAGTAACATTCCGAGCAGTTATGTGCCTACGGTGATTTCCTGTCTTTAAGCGTCTTAAACGGCATTGTAGAGCGTTACAGTAAAGGCGGGTTTGCTTCCAAAGGGGGACGACATACGTTGGCATGATAGCTATCGCCGGTTACCGTGGTAACCGTTCGGGGGGAGATAACGTAACATCTTCTGTTTCCACGTTACGAATACTTTGTGTTAATCATGATGATCGTCGGCGATACGTATGGCTTCTACCAGCTGGTCCTTAGGAAGCATGCCTGCAGGTTGGGTCTGCCCGTCTAATACCATCTTTCCAGGTTACGGTACATACTACACCAACTCAACAGTGGCCAGTTGCCCTTGGAGGACCTCAAGCGCAACATCGAGTATGCTGCGCTGGTGCTGGAGACCGCGTATATGGACGAGACCAGGTACCATTATATTACACTTGACAGCAAGAACACGATAGAATCATTTGATCTAGCTATAAACATTAATCGTTATAACAAGTTATTTCTATAGCCTCATATGTTATATAAACTTATATAGCTAGGTAACGGCATATTGTTGTAGACGAATCTGCGACGAAGATGACGACCTAGCAGAAGTGACTCCAGACACCGTGCCAGATGAGGTCAGAGAATGGCTGGCTGCCACCTTCACGCGACAAACAGTCCAGACTAAACGAGAAAAGCCCAAGTTCAAATCAGTAGCCAACGCCATCAGGACTGGAATCTTCTTCGACAAGTAAGTACATTAAGGTTATCGTACTCTGTTGTACTGCAGTAGCATGACAAAGTATACGATCACTATTTTATAAAGATATTATTCAGAGTTCTATTCTCAGTTATCTTACTTACTTTACAAATTGACCTTAACAGTTACCTAAATTGTTTCAGAATCTACCGCCGTACTCAGACTGTCCTCGCCCCGATCCCAAAAGAATATCTCCCATATTTAAAAGTAAGCCAGGTTACAGTAATCCTCATTATTGTAGAACGTAAACAGTTGGGGATTCAGTTGCTTCGACCTCAACGAAGCTACTGACGGACACGCCTTGAAGTACGTGGGCTTCGAACTCTTCAACCGATACGGCTTTCTAGAACGATTCAAGGTAGGTTTCATAGTGTAGTAAGTGATGACTTGAAGTCGATTTGACTTTTCACTATATAGTACTGTTTTAGTATGTCATAGTTAATACAGGACAATGACTAGTTTTTTTTTGTAAAATGAGAATTTACCAAAACTATGCTATGAATACTATGATAATATTGTTCAGATTAACTACCAATGCCTGGAGAACTACCTTTTGGCTCTAGAAGCCGGCTACAGTAAGCACAACAACCCGTACCATAACACCGTCCACGCCGCTGATGTCACCCAGACCTCGCATTTCATGCTGTCCCAGACTGGATTGGCTGTAAGTTGTTCGTACCTTCAAGACCGGCCTTTCCATTTGTCACAAATCGATGACATCCCCCTATCACAAGATAATTATGGTAGTAGACCTAGAGTAGTAAACAATCTGATTTTACAGAGCAGCTTGAGTGACCTGGAGATGCTGTCGGTGCTATTCGGAGCACTAATACACGATTACGAGCACACGGGACACACAAACAACTTCCACATCCAATCGGGGTAATAGCTATTCGATTAACTTAATCTTCTTATCAGGTCTCACTTCGCCCTCCTCTACAACGACCGTAGCGTCCTCGAGAATCACCACGTCAGCGCGTGCTTCAGACTGCTCAAGGAAGAAGACAAAAACATATTCGAACGTTTAACGCGGGAAGAATTTAGGTAAGAGTTCAGTATAGTCATACACACATTAGTACCACCCAACAAAGTAAAATTACCAACAACAACAACCTCATCCTATACCTTACATTACAGGGAACTCAGAAACTCAGTAGTCGAGATCGTATTGGCCACAGACATGAGCACTCACTTCGTCCAGATCAAGACCATGAAGAACATGCTGTCATTGCCTGAGGGCATCGACAAGATGAAGGCGTTGTGCTTGATCGTGCACGCCTGTGACATCTCTCATGCCTCCAAACCTTGGGAACTCCATTCACGGTGGACTGAAGGCGTTCTGGAGGAGTTCTTCAGACAAGGAGACCTCGAAGCCTCCATGGGGCTACCGTACTCTCCCTTGTGTGACAGACATACCGTACATGTAGCTGAATCACAGATCGGTAAGTCATATTTTAGGCATCATTATCAATAATATGAATAATACAATAAAGCCTTGACTTCTATAAAAATACGTCACGATTACAGGTTTTATCGACTTCATCGTGGAGCCAACGATGATTGTGTGTGGCGAGATGTTGACCAAGATGGTCGAGCCCTTGGTATCCCTCCCGTCTTCAGATTCCCTGTTTCCTCCGGGCTCAAACAACGATGGCAGAGATGGATCCGCTTCTGGAGCTTCGTTATCGCCTGTTCCTGACCTGTGAGTTTGCTTTAAGTGACCCTTTTATATATTTTTAAGCTTTGAACTTGTTTCTGTCCGTTATTTATTATTATTTTTGTCACTATTACCTAATTATCTACTGAACCGAGACCTTTGCAGTAAAAGCCCGACCGGTAATAACTCTGTCCGGAAGATCCCAATCAATTACTTTGGAAAACTGGAGATTCCGAATCCATGGGCACGGCATCTTCAGGAAAACAAATCGAATTGGAGGGATCGTGCCGCTCAGGAAGAAGCAGAACGCAACAACAACAGCTCGGAAGAAGAAGATATTTCAACATAACAACCCTAACATTCTATTTGTTCTACTAAATTAGATTAAATTTATGATTAATGTCGTGATGAATTGAATGAAACGTTCTTAATAACGTCGCTGTATACAAAAATATTGTTTTAGGCCTAAATTAGATCATTTTTCAGATCTTCTTGACAAAACAAAGGTTATTTTTCAACTTAAATCAATTAAAAATCACATATTTGGCCTAGTAATCATTCCATTGTTAGAAAAAGCTAGACAAAGATTACCATAAATGTTAACAACATGTTTTGTTAACAATGTCAAGTTACTCGGAATCCCCAAATTTAATATCCGGCCTCGTCAATCAAAACTAAACAATGTAAAACGATGTTGGAAAACATTATAAAATAATTTTTAAAAACAACATACCTTCAAAATTCCAATAATGTGCAGAAAGGCAACAAACAACTCGACAATTCTTCCAATTCTCGCGCAACTGCCTTTTGTTCAAATATTTTTATTTATCGTATAAAATGTCTTCTTGCGGCTGCAATTTTTTCGGACGCAGTCAGTCTTTTACTCCTATATTTTTATTATCAAATATTTTTGGTAATTTACGTCAATATTTACAGATAAAATGGGTATCAAGGACGGTGTTGATGTGAAAGACCTTCTAAGTCCGAAGATCGTTGACTATGTCAAGAAAGAACTTAAATTCGACAGTTTCACACCACCTCAAGTAAGTTTTGAGCTTATTTATGGTTTTTGGTTTATTAAACCATTTGTTAAAGCTCTTGGAGGATTGTTTTTACGAACTATCTTTAGGAATGGAGTATAAAACACTTTTTCCAAAAGTACGATTGTATTGTACAAGCTCCAACTGGCAGTGGAAAGACCTTGGCTTACGGACTTCCAATGATTCAGATTCTGGATGCTAAGAAGGAGAAGGTGGGTATATTTAAGTTGTATATTATTCTTTAGGTGAATGAAAATGAATGTCACGTGTTGGGATTGATCTTGGCACCGAGCAAAGAGTTGGTAAATCAAGTTTCGACAGTTCTTCGGCCGATCGCTAACCTGTTCGACCTGAATGTAGTTAAACTGATTGGAGGAGGTGGCTCGAAGACTGTGACGGACAAGCCTTTTAAAGGCAATTGGTAAGAGTATATAATGTTGTTTGTTTTGGTGTTTTGGGTATCTAATTATCTATTTTATTTATTTTAGTATTGTGATAGCTACTCCCGGTCGGTTAGATCATGTGCTGGAAAAGTTTGAACATTTGAAGAAGTCTTTTAAGACTTTGGAAATGCTAGTTATTGATGAAGCTGATCGCTTTTCTGATGAAGAATTCAAAGTTAGTGTATCTTCCATTTTGGGTTTGTTACCTAAACAAAGACTTACTGGTCTTTTTTCTGCTACACAAGCTAAAGAAGTTGAGAATCTGGTCAAATTTGGTGTCAGAAATCCGATTAGAATGGTATTTTCTCATGATTTGAAGCCTGAGGTGTCAGAAGACATTAATGAGACGTTGACATCAGGAGAAGCTGTACCTGAAAAGCTTATCAATTACTATACTGTAAGTTGAAGCATAATACGCTGATTTGATTTTAATTTTCTTTGAAGCATATGTTGTATTTTTCAGATAAACGATGCAGATAAGAAAGTTTTGGCGTTGGTTGAGTTCCTCAACTCGATTCCCAATGCCAAAGTACTCGTCTTTATGTGTAGCGCTTCTGAAGTGGAGTACTTTTCCGACGTTCTTCCCCAGTTTTTGACGAATACTAAAAAACGACCAGTTATGGCAATTCACAGAAAGAAGCACTCTAAACGACAAGGAATTGTAAGTGTTTAGAGTTCACCTGCTAGGTATCGTTGTCTACTTTGGTAAAATATATTGTTGTTTTAAAATATGGTTTTAATGATGCTGCTTTAGATCAAAAGCTTCGTCTCAGCGAAGAAGGCTGTTCTTCTATGCACTGACTTGATGGCCAGAGGTTTGGATATTGTGGACATTGATTGGGTGGTCCAATTCGACATTCCTAAGCAGACCAACTGGTTTGTACATAGGTCTGGTCGTACTGGACGTCAAGGAAAGCAGGGAAAGGCGATAGTGTTTTTGAACAAAGAAGAAGACGCCTACATTGAGTTTGTCAGCAAATACGAGAATCTGACTTTGACAGAGTACAAGATCGAAGGCCTGAGCAAGGATAAGGCTCTGGATCTGAGGGAGAAGATCAGGGATCTGGCTAAATCTGACAGGTAAAAGTTATTTGTTTGAATTACCTTTTATGTTGTCTTAATATTTATTTATCTATTATGATTTATACTGTTACTAGACTAAATTTTTATTTTTCAGGAAGATACTAGTAAACGGAACACGAGCATTCGTAGCTTTTGTGCAATTTTACATCAAGCACGACTGTAAGATTGTATGCAAGTTAGGAGGTAGGTTGCCATTTTCAACAATTGTAGTTGAGGAGTAGTACTATTATATTTTTGTTTTCTTTTTTAATTGTATTACTCTTGCAGAGCAAGACATTCCCGGACTAGCCCATGCCTTCGGATTGTTGCGTATGCCTGTAATGAACGAGTTCCGCGGCCGAAAAGACATGAAAGAATTCGAAAACGCTGGTATTCCGACAGTTCAGATCGCTTACAAAGACGAAAAGCTAGAAGCTCAAAGACTGATCGAAAATACTAAAAAACAAGAAGCTCAGGCCAAGAAGTTGGAGAAGATCAGAGAGAAACGAAAGGCTGAGGAGGAAGGGGAAGAAACTACAGTAACTTCCAAGAAGAAGCACAAGATCACGAAGCCGAAGAAGCAGTCGGAATGGAACGAGCTCCAGAACGACCAACGGCTTCTGAAGAAGTTCAAGGCTGGCAAGATCTCTAAGAAGGAGCTCAGCGAGGAACTCTAATCACCATTGTTGTTGCGTTGTTCTTGTTACTGTAACTTCTACTTGTTTTCGTGTCACTAATGTGTCATTCTTTATTGTTTCCTTGACATTCTTTATTGTTACTCTTGTTACTTTGACATATTTTGTTGTTGTTTGTTTGAATAAAGTCGATGTTTCACCCAATTGGCTGCCATTTCACGCTTTACTTTGTCTACCTCGAAGTGCGAACTTAAATTGGGTTGACCTCGATCATGGCGACTGCAGCAACACACTTCATCCTCTACGACGTGTATTATAACGGCTTTTCCAATTTAACGAAGCCTCTTACTCGATTGCACTGGCTCTGCTAATTTGAGTACATTCCGAGAGGTTAAGCGGGTTCTGGAGGATAGAAGGCGTCGCGTGTCCTTAGGACTTAAAATGTCCCTGGGGCTGTTTCTCGGTCTGTGGCTGGCTTTTGTCCAAGTATTGTCGCAGAACGTGACGAAACAGTAAGTGGTACAGTTTGAGAAAACTAGTTTAGAGTCACTTCGGAGCACAAAAATGGCAATTGGAACGACCGTCAGATTCTGGAAGACCTTCTCAAACGCTACAGGTTTCCTGGTAAGATATAAATGATTAAGTATCAACGTAGTTTAATCAATTTCGTTTCGAGACTTTTACTAATTTATAAATTATGACAATTTTACCGTGTTCAGATACGTCAGCTAACATAAGTGTAGGTGTAAAAATTACACTAGAAGGCATTTTATCATCGCCGGAGGACTTGGTAAGTTAATGTCAACTTCAATATTACTTACAGTGTACGTTGGAACTAGTAGTTAATCAGAAGTGGCTAGAATCCAAACTAAGATTCGAGAATTTGCGGAACAGTCCTGCTCCAATTCGATTACATTCCTGTAAGTTTTAATGCATTTACCTAACATAAAGTAAAATAAAGAGTCTTGTTTTGTAGCAATTTCGTACATAATACAACAAAGTCATTAATTTACAAAATTTAAATTTAAACATAAATCATACGAAACTACAGTAAACTACATCTGGAGTCCTGAACTTATCTTCCCCAATGCAATAAATGTGGCGTCAGTCAATAATTACCATGTCTTCGTCTTTCCCAATGGAATCGTGGAATCTGAGCAAAGGTACGACCACAAAGTACTATTATATTTGAATACTTTAGGCTACAAGTGTCAGTAAGAGCAGATGTCAACCTGGAGCGGTTCCCTTTTGAAAGAAAGTATTGTTCTGTCATTATATCTAACGGTATGTTCGTATTATACTGTCACAGCAAGGAAAAACATGTATCATGTATTTATACAGTATGTGGGAGAATCAAAATACATTTTCAGCAGACATTCGAGCATCGTGGAATCGCCTTCTGAATCTGAAAGTGAGCAAGTCGTATATCACTGGGGCAGGTGAATGGAAGTTTCTCAATTTTACAGTAGGACATCCGAAAGAAGTCAGGGTAGCTCTGAAAAGGTCTCTCAACTATTGGATCTGCACCTTGTTCTTACCGACCCTCGCCTTCATTACCGTGTCTTTGTTTACATTATGGTTCTTTACTCTGAGTGACAATCGACAAACTACTATCAATGCAATATGTTTGGTGGCTGTTGTAGCTTTGGTAATTTAGATTATCTGTTATCAGTCTTTTTTGTAAATATTTAAATTAGGAATGACTTTTTAAAGATAAATTTAAGGTAATAACCTTTATAATAATTTTAAAATTTAGAATTGCTTTGCACATTCTGTGGCCCCAAGGACAACTTACTGGAAGGCATTAGACTTCTGGACATTAGCCACTGTACTGACAGCTCTTTCTTTACTACTTTGCTCAATTTCAGTCGGCACATATCAACGACAAACCGGGTACAGCAACTACATTAACCACGTGAGTGATAACGTTACATTCCTTAGCTACACAATATGCTGACCTTTAAACCACGCCCCGCCCCTTTTACGTTCACTTTGCGATTTGATCGTTAAGAAAACGTTTGTGTTTGATAGCTATCACTGTGCTGATCAAAGTACGAGAAGTCGCTTTCAGTTGAACCCCGAGGAATCGACCATGTTAGACAAGAAGCGGTGGATTGTGACCGAGACACCGTACTACTCCCAACTCTCGACCAGTACCTCCTCCAAGCAATACCACAAGTTTGTCATTCTAGGCGTCATTCTATTGGCATTCGGCAGTTTTTTATTCTATTTTTTATTCATAACAGTAATACCATTCTACAACAATAAATACATATAAAGAGTACAAGTTTATGGACACCAATCCTAAATCAATCAAAGTGAGACCAGTAGATGAGTACAAGTGAGGGATCAGCGAGTTCCACGCTTCTTGGCAGCTTCCAGCATCTTGTCCTGAAGCTTCTCCATGATTTCGAGACGTTTGTGAGTAAAGCCATTGATGTCACCACTAAAAATATGCAAATTATTACAAGATATTGGACAAGTTTGATATTATCTTAAACAAAAGTTTAAAAACAGTCATTCCTCTTTATAAATACCATAAGTAAACATACATTACGGTATTCTTCTTCCAGTAGTTGTTTCTGATCCTTTCCCAATCCCATGGAGCCGTCTTTTGACCTAAAACAACATAAAATTAGATACTCATGCCAATAATAACAAAAAATGTTTTAAAAAAAATAAAAAATTATTCGAAATATGACTAAAACTCACTTCTGTCAAGCCACACTTCAACTTTGTCAAAACTGAACCACGTAACGTAACAGAACAAAACGAACCAAACACCGACCAGGAAAATCAAGGGATACACTTCGTAGGCGTGGCCAAGGCGACGTAGCATGAATCTGAAGAAAATTAAAATAAATTGTGAACTAAATGCTTAAGATACATTAGCATTCAAACGTCACCTAAAACCTCAACGACACAAATAAAGTACAGTACCCACCTGAGAGGAGTGTCACCTTGCTTCTGAGGAACCTTGACTCTGGGATCTCTGGAGACATCCCTTTCGTACCGAATGAATCCGTTCGGGTTGGAGCCGTACAGAACATGAAGACGACCTTGTGCTGACGGAGTGGTGCTCGCGCATCTGTACGAGTATACCAGTACTCTGGGGCAGATCCGCGAAAGGTTGGAGGCAACTCTGTTCATAGCCAAGATTACAGCCGCAGCAAAGAGAACAACAAACTATGTGAATGTTTCTCCATCCATCCTTTATGCCGTTCGCAGTACGTGATATATTCGCCCAATGTGGCCACAAAAGGGGCGGGGCGTTTGCATACGCGCGTCGCAGAGCGAAAGTCACGTTCGCTCTCCGTCTTGCACGAAGCCTCGCTGTCCGCGTAATAAAACCGCTTGAGACATTTATATCCGAGTACATGTGTTCCGGATCTATCAAACACGACTGTTTCGTTCCGGATTTGCAAAAACGTGCTAATTGTGGATCTAACACCGTATACTTCTTGACCTTAGGTTACTGTAACTGAGTCATTCGCTGGTTTTTCCGTTTTTAGTAAGTGGATGTACCTGTGTTACTATTTTTCGTTTTTTAGATTCTTTAGGAACGGAAGCGGTCATAAATTTCTTTTTTGTTTGTTTTATAATATAGTTTCCAGGTTTTCCCATTTTGAGAAACCTTTCAAGACCAATTACATTAAAGAGAGCTAATAGTTCCTGATATTATTCTTTAGGATTAAACATATATAAATTCAACTTTTATGGTATTATTTTAACTGTCATACAACTACGTTTATTCCTGTTCACGAAATTCTAAAATGAATTAACGAGTTCCGCGGGCTTTGGCAGCATTGACCATCTCGTCTTGCAGCTTCTCCATGATCTCGAGACGAGCGTGGCTGACTCCCTCTCTGTCGAACACCAGCGTGGGCTTCTTGTAGTAGTTGTCACGGATTCTCTCCCAATCCCATGGAGCTTTTTCCTGACCTAAACGTACATTTATTAGCAAAAGTAGTTCATAACCCGAGGAGCTATTAATAGTTAAGATAGCAATTAAAGTTTCAATTTTTTAGTATCGAATCAGTTCCAAAGAAATCAATGTAAATCAGGTTAGTTTTAGCAAAGCAAACTCACTTCTGTCCAACCAGATCTCGATCTTTTCGAAGGAGATATAGACAGTGTAACAGAAGATGACGAACCAAGCTCCAACAAGAACGAACAATGGGTACAACTCGTAGGCATGACCCAGTTTTCTCAACATGAATCTAAAAGGACCAATAGAAAGGGATTTTTTTCAACGTACCTGGATGGAGTATCTCCTGGCTTCTGAGGATTGGAGTAACGCTTGTCACGAGAGACATCTCTTTCATAACGGAAGAATCCTTGAGTTCCAGCTGGGACTTGCAATTGTCTGGCTGCCGGCTTGTAGACGTGAGCCAACCGAATGGCCAAGACTTGCTGTGGAAGAGCTCTGTTCAAGCGAGATAGCGACATCCTGCAAAAAAACGGTTTTCGAATTTGAAAATCTAACAAAATAAAATTGAGGAGTTAATTTTTTTTCAAATACCATGTCGACAAATTAGTTAAAACGGTCGAACACACAAAGAGTACCACTTTCAAGGCACCAAATCAACCGGAGAATAATAGACGTGCGTTGTAGAAATTATAAATTTTCGGTTTATTGATTGAGACGAATTTCAACTATTGACTTGTATAATATTTTGGTAAAGTTTGTTTTGAAAAATTGGATAAAAAAATAAAAAAGCACATTAAATTAAAATTTTAAAACAAATTTACATTTATTCATTAATATAGAAAACAAAAAATGTAAGTTTTTTCATCTTGTAAGTAACAAAAAATAAGGTACATTAAAGATGTCATGCTTTACTAATAAAGGGAGACTTGACCCAGTTTTATTATTTTTTATTTCGTAGAATTGAAAAGTTTGGACAATTTTCATATTATTAGGTTATTCTCTAACACAAAATGACTTCAACTGCATCAAACCCTTCGACTTTGTTACCATTGGAGCTTGTTGACAAATGTATCGGATCCAAGATTTGGGTGATCATGAAAAGTATGTTTTTCTAGTAAGATGTATTAGAAAGTTTAGACGAAAAGGAAATTGTTGGCACGCTGACTGGATTCGACGACTATGTGAACATGGTCCTTGAAGATGTTGTTGAGTACGAAAACACAGCAGAAGGAAGAAGAATCACAAAGCTCGACACCATCCTCCTGAACGGTAACCACATCACGATGCTTGTACCTGGTGGAGAAGGTCCGGCTATTTAAGTAATTATTCTCACTTTCTCAATAAATTATCAAATCTGTTACAGAGTATTATTTTTGTGGCGGTTGTTTACAATAATGGCCATTATTATAATGGGCCTTGTTATTTTATATTTAAATTGAGGTTTAGTTTTTACAAATAAAAAATAAAAAAATTTAATCCAGTACATTTTACACAATTTAGTATTTATACGTACATGTTAGAGTTATCGCGATGTTTAACTTTGTCGCAAAGCTGCGAGCCTTTTCGAAAGTTCGTCGTTTTCTCCAACGGCCGTCGAAGCTTTAGTTCCAATGCTTGATGTGTCGGCTTGTGGAAGTTCTTGTCCAATTTCAAGGCTGCAAATAGGAAATATATTTTGAACTATACTGTAAAAAATTCTAACAATCGAGATAAGGTTATAGAAAAAGCAATATGAAGATTAACAACATACCCAGCTTTGTCTGCCGCTTCTTGAATCAAAGCTTCCACTTGATGTTGTGGAGCATTTAGCGTGGTTGTAGCGCTCATGGATCCTTCCATCGTAGCAGACTGGACATCCAGATCTTCAAAGTCCTTTTCAAAGCGATCCATCAAGTTCTGGACCTTCTCCAAGTTCATCGACTTCAAGGCCGATTCCATTGACTTTACTACTCCTGACATGCTTTGTGTAACCCGTTTTTGGGTCGCTGCGGTCTAAAAATATTATTAAAACTTCCAATTAGACTTACTTGTACTCTAGCTGCCACTGCATCAATCCGAGCGCTCATCCTGAGATAATTCAATGACTCATTCTTCTTTCTGATGGCGTTTTCTGCATGAACTTGAGCGACTTCACGGTTGCCTTTCTAAATTTAAATACGTCGAAAGTTAAGAATAGTTACCTTTAAAGCTGCCGTAACTTTCTCCTTCTCTTCTTTTTCTTGTTTATCACATCTCTTGGAATTACGTTGTAGTTCTTTTGCAGCGAATTTGAGGTTGAACAAATGGTCTACAAAGTAAAGATTATGGCTTATAAAAAGATACTTACTGTCTAACGCAGACATTCCAGATTGAGAAGCGCCCAGTTTGAAGTTTTATGTGAGAAAAGTTGGTGATTCAACTTTTCTTTACGAAATTCGCGACTGATATAGACGAAAAACAAAAAAGAAAACAAGAAGTGTCAGACTTGACTCGCGTCGACTTTTGCTATTTTTATTTTTTTCGAGGATTTTCACAGTTTTTTATTATACTTTTAAATTGCAATTTCTGCAATCTTTGTGTCTATTATTAGGTTAATAAAAGTCAATTATTTTAGATGTGGTCAAGCAAAGCAGCTCGTGCGGCTACTAGGAAGTATGTTGATTACGACTACGCCAGACACATGCCTAAGAGATATGTAGACAAGATGAAGCGTACCGTGCCATTTAAAGAGTTTGACAACAGATTGGGGGCTCCAAAGATGACATATTGGAAGTAAGTCTGCTTACCAAAAGTTTTATTTTTTAGAGTTTCACCTGCTGATTACGTGCCATCATCTTCTCGCCCATGGGAGGGGAAAACTGCACAGGAAAACCAAAACAGAGCATTGACTTCCACACAGTACCAACTGGCAGCAAAGTTTCTCAAAAAACTAGCAAATAATACTGTTGTTGTGCCTGCTGAGAAGTGGACCTTCTTCCCTGGTGACACGGTCCAAGTGATGGTAGGAAAGGACAAGAACCGACAAGGCCTTGTTAGTCACGTCATCCGCGAAACTGGTGCTGTTTTTGTAGATGGTCTGCATTTGGTATGTTGTATTATTAGAAATTTTGGGTTGTCTTGATTTTTTTAATTTTTCAATTTTAGAAATTAGAGAAGTCTGAATCAAAGCATATGGAAGAGATCCAGAACTCGTACAGGTACACCATGCAGCCATTGTATCCTGTGAAGGGTGAAGTTCGACTTGTTGATCCGAATGATTCGTATGTTTAATATTTATCGTTTTCAATTGGTTAATTTAGAGAACCGTGTTTGGTTGAATGGATCGAAAAGGATGACACCTATATCAGAGTGAGTAAACGAACAGGGATCGAGATTCCATTGCCAAGTCAAGCTGTGGTTACGTATGAATACGTTAATCCCGCCACCTATATCGGTGAGTAACTATGTTCCCATTCATGCTGAGATACGTGACGTTTTTTTATTTTCGAAAGCTGCTCGCTTCAAATTCTTCTAATATTTAGTCCATATGCTGTACAACTTTAGAATGTGTGGAGAAGGATACTCCGATGAAGGCAACGCTGCGCAGAACATACGAACCCAAGATGTCTACGTTTGAAGATGATGTAGCTGATTCTCTAGCGCTTCCCAAACAACCACCATCAAAACCAACTTATTGGTATTAGGAAATGAATAAAGTTATTAAAAGTGAGTTGGTGTCGTATATAGTTACCATACAGATTTAGCCAAGTTGAGCGTCAATATAGCAATAAATATGTTTATTAAACAAGTTACAATTCAATATGACCCGAGTTGTATGTGTTTTCCTTGTCTAACCTAACTGGATTAGGAAACAGACCTAGCTTGTCCGCCTTTTGAATCGGATCACAGAACAAAGGAGACTCCACTACCAAAACGTATTGGCAAGTGTCTGGTTCGAGTAGATAAATGGTTATCTTCTCCTTGTCTACGTCATCTTTCCGGCATGTCAACTTCACCTCACAAGTCCTGCAAATTGTTTAAAGGGTCATTTCGTATATTACCTTAAACTGTTGGTTTCTTTACATATGTCGCCTCTGGAGTAAAACATGGACACCTGGTAGACCTTCCCCTCGCTTGTTTTGCGAGCTTGGCCCGGCGATAACTCCGCCCATTCTTTATGGACTTCTCGGTCAAAGTATCCCAGCATCACCTTGGTTGTCTTTTTACCTTTTTCTTCGTGATATTGGGCAACCTTAAAGAAGGATAGAACGTAATATAAATGCGGAACTCTAAAAACAGCTAGACCATATCAGCTTTTAAGTCTGCAAAATTTGTTTTATTTGTAACTTACAGAATGACCGTAACAAAATTCGTACTTCCACCAGCCGGTTCCCCCATATAAGCAAGCTTTTCCTTTCCAGAACTCGTCCATCGCGGTCGAGTCCTCGGCTTCTTGAGACGTTTGTGTGAATTGTTCCTTGTTCAAATGCTTGTCCAACAACTTTTTAATCTTCTGTTCGGGATTGGCTTGGAATAGTTGGTAGATATCTTCAAGAACAGTAGCCTCGGGCGTCTTTTGGGTCATAGGACCTCTTCCAACCTTCAGAGGAAGCATATGTTTTCGAGACAGTTCAGCATTGAACGCTCGAAGGGCCTTGGGCTCGGGAACTTTGACTTCTGGAGCAGCAAAACATCTGATCGGATTCTCTACAGGAGCTTGTACCTTGAACATGGGATGGGCACACAATTCGTTGATCCCCACTACAGCTTCGTACACGCAGGTACTGATCTCCGTCAGAGAGTAAAACACATCAACTCCCTCCTAAAAGAAGAAAATATAGTAAAATAATATAATTTACCTCAGCACAGATGTAGTTCACCGTAGTGATCCTTGGCTGGCCAGTCAAATCACAAGCCGTTCCATGATTATATACTACTGGATAATACGCCTGGCTCCTTCCGTTAAAGTCTTGTTTGGGCGGATTACTTGGATCTACTGCTTCTGCCTCATTTGCACCTTCAGCTAAACTTATTATTGTAATCAGTTGTAAATATAAGAAGAATGCAAGGTATAACAACATACCATAGTTGCCAAGGAAGTATTCGCTCAACTGTTTCGTATCTTTTTCTTCGTGAAATTGACGAATGTATCTCCCATGACAAATCTCATACACCCAGTAAGATTCAATGCGAATCAAACACGCTTTGTCTGTGTATATTCCCGTTATCAGTTCGCTTGGAGTTGGACCGACATAAGCTTCCATTCGATCCAACGGCTGTAATATTAATACATTATACAGGATGTTCTTCTAATTTTTCAAAAACCTACTTTACTGTTAATGGTGGGCATTAGACATCTCAATAGTTCATTATCTGACGTAACGATTGGAACAAGGTCGTTTGTGTTGATCCCTTCATCTTCGATCCGACCGTTACGTTCAGTGACAAAGCTAAACAACACATCGTCACTGAAGTACACATTGCTAGAAACCTTCAGACATAGTGTTACGACTAGTAAAAAACGCATAATACCATTAATTCAGTTCTCCATCAAACCAAAAATGTATCTTACGTATATTTTTTGGAGGGAAAGAATTGTCCCGTGCCATCTCTGACTTTACTATTATAGTTATATTAAATGTTGCGAATACAGATTAACGTAATTCGTGTCGATGTAAAGATAAAATACATATCTCTGTTTACTTTACCTGATACTTTGGGAAATCATTATGTTCATGTCTCGATATCACAATTCTATAACTAAAACGTCATAAGTTGAGAACAAGAAGATATTAGGTAATAAATAATATCTGTTTAGAAAGTTAAAGGGTGGGTTTCATTTCAGGCCTCGGCCTGTGGGCCCCTTTTAGGTCTACAACAAAATTTAAAAGCCAAATAAGATTTAAATTTATTTAAGTTTAGTAATATTATAACTTATTCACAAAGTAATGTCGTCGAGATGTCGAGCGCCGTCTTTGTCGATTACAAGAACCGAGAACTTGGGAAGATTGGCAATGAATCTTTTCTTGGCTTCCTCTAAACACTTTTTCACGATCTCCACTGCTTTCTCAACCGAAGCATCTACAAATTTAGACCTTTTATACTACAATATACAACAGTTCACAGATTATAACAAATTGATGTTAAAGAAAATAAATATATTACAAATAAGCTTACCTTTGTCGTAAACGGCATCCATAATAGCGTAACACAAACGACCGCTGAACCCTCTGAACAAGTAATCCTAAAAGCAATTAAATTAGCTAAAATATTTTGTATTTTAGGTAACGAATTCCAATATTATTATATAATATAATTCAAGTAATAAGTTGAGGCTACTTACTTGATTGGACAAACTAGTACCCAAGTAATCGACTGATCCCAGGTAAGCCTTGTTGTTCACATCGTCGTAGCCTCCCACGAGAATGTCGACTCTCCAGAAGTCCTCGCTTCTTAGATTGTCGGCAATGTTCTTCCTAAGCCAATGATGAGCAGACTTCGGACTCAATTCGTAGTTGTGTCTCAGTTTGTACAAGTAGATGTTTCTTTTGGCCCAATCGCCGAAATTGTCTACATCTCCAGCTTCTCCAATGGCTGTCATGAACAGTTTATCTCCCAGTTGGAATTCCTTGTTAGAATCTAAACCCAAAATATATTATAATTGATATGAACCTTACCTTGAGATACATTTAAAGCTCCAAATGCAAAAGCCGTCTTGTCTGATGCCAGGACCACATACTTGTCGGTCCGGTAGCCGACTAAAAAGTGCATGTTCGACATGATTGGTTCTGAAAACAGTGTTTAAAGCAAATCATAAGTTTAGAAAAAAAACAAGAAATAATATAATATAACATAACAATATAGATAATTAAGGTTTACAAGTATAATATTGTTCGAAAAACAAGTTGAAAACAAAAAATATTTAAAATCACCATTTTTATTTATTTAAAAAATCGTTAGTGGAATTTCGTCACGCGCAGCATGCGCCCTAAATATCCAAAACTAAAACAGCTTTAATATACGATTTTTTTAATTTTTTGGGTTTTTTAAGGTCATTATGTAATACAAATTATAAAAAAAGAAGTTTATTATAAACTACCCAGTAATTTATTTCTTTCAGTGATATATTAACATTATGACATTGCAATGTACAAGTTGAGAAAGTCGGCTAAAAGAAGTGTTAGTAACAAATAAATTATCCCAATCCAACATCCATACACATCATCACCAGAAACCCGATTATTGCACCACACGAAGCCATCTTCCCGTTCTCGTTTCGCTGAGCTTCTGGGATGATGTCATCAAACACAACATAGATCATAGCTCCGGCCGCGAAACTCAGAGCGTATGGTAAGGCCGGCTCCATTAAGATTAGGGCATAAGCCCCAAACACGGCGGCCAGTGGCTCTACCATGCCAGAAAACTGGCCACACAAAAAGGACTTAAACTTCCCCACACCAAACCCGGCCAAAGGTAGGGAGACGGCCAAGCCCTCAGGGAAATTCTGAAGGCCGATGCCGAGGGCTAAGTTGAACGCTTTCTCGAAGGTGGCTACTGGAGTCTTGCCTACAGATGCAAAGCCAACACCAACAGCCAGGCCTTCAGGAATGTTGTGCACGGTGACGGCCATGATCAGAAGCAGAATCCGCCTCCACGATAGGACGCGCTCTTTCTCGATCTTCTCCTTCTGCTCTCGCTCGTGCTGGGGCAGCATCTTGGACTCGGGATCGGCGGTTACTCTAGAAGGGACCTTTCGTTGTCTCAATTGTTTATACCGGTTAATATCTTGTGTGTTCGTGGGCTGCTCCAACATGATGCCATCGTTCTCTCCACAGTCGTTCGTGATCACGCTGATGATTGAAAGTTCGGCGCCGACGCATCTGAATTTTATAATTTACGCAAAATGCAATAATTACAATTTTTTAGATTTAATGAATACTTAAGACTGCACGGTGAAACCAATTTTTACCATTTAGGGGGAAGGGGGGGGGGGCTTTTCGTCCTTTATTTCTTTTGCAAAATATTTCAGTATAAGAAAACAAGGAAACTTACGACGGGATCAGTTTGTCTGAAAGGTGCACAAAGAGAGCTCCGAGAGCGAATCCCAAAGCTACTGGAACAAACGCCCACGCTCCCATCGTAGCTTCAGAAATCTCGATAGCCGGAGCCAGAAGCGACCAGAATGAAGCTGCCGTCATGACGCCGGCGGCGAAACCCAAACTGATATCTAAGAAATAAAATTATGCACTATAATACCGACCTAGGAATGTCTTATTATTGGCTGGCAGCACGAAGACCAGTGCTGCTCCTAATGCCGTGACTCCCCATGTGAACAACGAAGCTAGAAGAGCCTGTAACCGCGGGTCGGCGTTGGCTATCATCCTGAAACGAATCAACTCAGAACGCTTAACGAACTACGAGTGGGAGAAATGCTAAACAAAACAAATCTAATCTGTTTTATCTATTCATCTTCCCTTTGTGTTTTTCTTTAAACGACTAATTTGAATATACTAGACCTTATTCAAAAAATTTTCAAAAAATAAGCTCAAAACAGTTATCAGGATGCTAATGATAGCTTCAAGGAAAAATCGAAAGCATAAATTAGTAATAAGCTCAAATGTGCCAAGTGTAATATAATTTTATGTATTTTAAGCGAGCTGCGGCCAAATCTCCGCGAACTGCCGTTTTTGTTTTTATTTCTTTTATATTTGCGCCTCGATTTGGCGTATGGAATCTGTGAATATTCCGTAAATACGCATTATCGTAGGATTCTCATTCCTATATTGATCATTTTTGTATATTTTCTTAAAACAGTTTTTTTACAGTAATGTTGATGTTTTTAGTATGACGGCGACGAAAATGAAAATTGCCAGAATAAAAACGACAGAACAAAACCTTAAAAAGTCAAGATGGAGATGCAAGATTTGCTCCAAGTTTTTGTCCTCAAAAAGGTCTTATGATGAACATTTGAATGTACATAATGATGCTCGGCCGTTTTCGTGTGATGTTTGTGATTTTGCAGCAGGTAATAAAGGTTAATATCCTTGTTAAATATTGTGTAGATAGAATAAATAATTTTTATTTAGCTAGCCAAATGACTCTAAGAAGGCACAGATTGAGGAACCATCTGCCACGCTCTGAATGGGGGTACCACTGTCCACATTGTTCGGAAGCATTCATGGAACCGGCTAGTTATCAACAACACGTTGCGTACGTTCTGACTCTTGAAATTGATTTTTATTGTTTAGGAATAGACATCCTGGATTGTCTGCCAAGTTTGGATGCACAATTTGCGACTTTTCTAGTTATTGCTCCAGACATTTCAAAGAACATTACAACAAACATTCACAAGTAATATCCAGAAGACAGTGGAAGGCGCCAGATAGTATATACTTAAATTTGGCAGAGTTTTTAATAGACGACAATGGAGGTGAGTTACCGTTTTTATTTTAACATGTGTTTAGGTAAAGGATATGGTGATGTAGATGTGTACGATTCTTCATCTCGTCTAAAACTCCCGGCTGATAACTTTGTATTTAACGGTGATATTAGTAATGGTGATAGTTTGGATGATTATTTTAAAACAGCCTTGAAGACCCCTGAACTAGCTACAGGCAGGAGTAACATAGATAGTGTGCCTCGTAATGTATCGCATAACATATCTTGCCCTCCTGTGGAAGTAGTAGATAACAGCTTTATTGGTTGGGTACAGAATGAAGTTGTTATAGATTCTGAAGCCGATGTGTCTAGGTTAAATGGTTTCATAGACGAGGAGCTGGACTAGTCGTTAATATAGTTTTAAACCTGTATATTGTTTTAAATCGTTGTTACTTTTGAATATTTATTGTTATTAAATTCTACATATTTTCAAGAGCGTTTGTGTTAGATCACGTACAATTTGTTTGATGCAATTGTTACTTTTTAAGGCAGTAGGACGATTAACGACAATTTCAGGCGGGATGGCTTCAGAGAACGAACCGTTTCGAAAGTCAAAAACAATGGTAAGGTCGCTTTAGTAAGGATATTTACTTATAAAATTGCCATCTTTATTTGTATCTTTATTAATGTTTTACGCTTTTTCAGAGTGTGACAGTAGGGAATCCGGACGGGGATTCAGAGGACGAGGAGATCGATGTCAGAGAACGGTTCAAAGCGATGGCAATGGCCGAAGATCAGCCGATTGCTCATTTTGTCGAGGACAATGAAGTCATTCTGCCTTCTACATCGACGGGTCACGAGAACTTCAGGTTAGACAAGGTGCACGAGCTGATCAGCCACGACTTCAGCGTCCTCAACGACCATGAATTTGTCGAGCCTGTAGTTCAGAAACCACCAAAGATCATCAACGGGTATTTGTTTGGAGATCTGCTGGGAGAAGGGTCCTACAGCAAGGTGAAGGAAGTCATCGACAGCAGGACCCTTGTACGACGCTCTATTAAAATCATCAAGGTACGTTGTTATAAGTTTTGGAATAATTTTAGGTATTAAATTAGTAATTTGTTGAACTAAATTTGAACACACTGCTTTAGTTACATTAAATTAATTTGATTTTGATTGTCTTATTAATGCTTTTCAGGACAAAAGGTTGAAAAAGATTCCTTTTGGCGAGAAGAATGTGCAACATGAGATCCACATCTTACGCCAAGTGCGACATGAGAATGTAGTTCGGCTTCTGGAGAACTTTAGAGTGGAGGAAAAGGAGAAGCTGTATCTTGTAATGGAGTACTGTACGTGTTCTCTTCAGCAGTTGTTAGATGCGTCTGTGGAGAAGAAACTTCAAGAGTTTCAGGTATCTTGTTGTTATTTTGTGAAAGGTTGAGTCACTCTTTCGAAATATAGACTTACATTTTTGTCGCCTTTCGTAGTTAAACATTAATTTATAGGCGCATGGGTACTTGGTACAGTTGTTGGAAGGCGTTGACTATCTTCACTTGAAAGGTGTCATTCACAAAGATATCAAACCTGGAAACCTGTTATTGTCATCTGATGGGTGCCTCAAGATTTGTGACATGGGAGTAGCTGAACTTCTCGAAACCTCTGATCCTTTAAACGATGACTGGTGCACTTTGTCACAAGGGACACCCAAGTTTCAACCGCCAGAGGTCGTTTCTGGGAATGTGGAACGGTTTAGGTAACATTTCTTTACATTAAGTTGTTACAGTAATAATAAATTGTGCATATTGAACTTTACCCTTGCTTCAGGGGTCGTCCAGTTGATATTTGGGCGTGTGGTGTGACCTTGTACAACATGATCAGTGGCGATTACCCCTTCAACGGCGATGGGTTGATGAAGTTGTTTGAGAACATAACCCAGAATGACATTGAGTGGCCAGAAGATATTAAGGACAACCGGACCTTACACACGCTTCTGAAGGGAGTGCTGGAGAAAGACCCTGACAACCGGTGGAATACGGTAACCATCAGGGCGGGAGAGTGGTTCAAGACAGAGTTCCAAGTGGTGAGTGGAGTTTCGTTGACCGAGAGATTCGTAGCGTCTGTAGACCGAGACTAGATTTTAGAAGCTGGACCAGATGGTTAGTTGTGGTCCTCGTCCAGAGCACGACCAGCTCGACGTGCTGCAGCGTTGGGACGAGCCCGCGGAAGAACAGCTGAGCGAACGACCTCTGATCGCCGACGAAAAGCCGGATTCTGAGCCGACCACGGAGCAAAACTCTCGATCTCGCGGCTTCTTCAAACGTATCTGGTGTCCTTGGCGTCGACGCCACAATTAATTAACGCGTCTTGTTTGTCAATATTTAGTATTATGTTATCTTATTTTGTAACTTCACAGCGGTTAGATTACAGTTACCGAGTGCCTTGATAGATAGTTATATTAAATAAATTAATAACTTTTGGGGTGGACAATATGATGTGAAGCGTCGGTTCAACGCGTCTTTATCTATTTCGTTTGTTATGACTTATTTTTTATTTATACCTCGCAGTTACTCATTTAGAAGGCATGGTTGTTAATGTTTATGCCACCTCTGCCACCACAGACAATTTGTCTCGAAACGAACTGTTGGCCTGGGTGAACGATTGTTTACAGTCTAACTTCACCAAGATTGAGCAGCTACACACGGGCGCAGGATATTGTTTATTCACCGACTTCTTATTCCCTGATGCTTTGCCTCTGAAGCGCGTCAAATGGAACAGCCGGCTCGAGCTGGATTGGCTGGCCAACTGGAAGCTAGTCCAAGTCAGTTGGAAGCAGCTCAATGTGGACAAGGTGGTGCCGGTCGAAAAACTGATCAAAGGCAAGTTCCAGGTAGGTATTTTCAAATTTATTTGAGGTAACGTCACAGATGTTACTGATTTAAAATTCTGTGTTATGTTAGCGATGTGGGAATAAACTTGAAAAGTACATTCTTTGCAAATATTGATAATATAATCTGTTGTTTTGAAGATGTGAACTTTCAGGACAACTTCGAATTTCTTCAATGGTTCAAAAAGTTCTTTGATGCCAACTACGATGGCAGGGAGTACGATCCAATTGCCGCCAGAAACGGAGAAAACCTGCCAGCCGGCTCCGAAGGTACGGCTAGCTCACGAATGCCTTTAAAGTCAACCACAACGAACAGACAAACGGGAGGATCCACAGCTTCTGTCAACAGTAATTCAGGTACAAAGGCTTCGACTATTAGACACGTTACCTCAGCTACACGAGCACCTGCCACAAAAACTCCAAGTAAAATTGGAAGCGCTGGTCACAGAGCACCTCTATCAAGTACAGTCAAAGAGAACGGCGTTAGTCGGCAGGTAAGTAACTTTCTGGTAATAAAAATGAAAAAACTCATTAGGACATCAGTTTATGTCATAAGGAAGTTACCAAAATAATCTGCACGATGCGCTCCGCCGGTCTTGAATAACGCACCGTGCAGTGAAAGCAGGAAATTTGTGGCACAGTCAAGTATAAATAATTTAATTGAAAAACAAGTTTGTTGTTTTAGGAGTACGAGGACGTGAAAGTCAAGTACGAGGAAGCGGTGCATCAGATCAGGGAGTCGGACGACGTCATCGCGGGCATCGAGAAGGAGCGCGACTTCTACTTCACCAAGCTCCGCAAAATCGAGATCCTGTGTCAGGACAACGAAGCCGAGGTGAAGATCGCGGTGGACAAGATCTTCGAAATATTGTACGAGACGGAGGACGGGTTCGCCCCGCCCGAGGAGGATGAGGAGGCGGCCGAAGGAAACTCTTGAATCGGTGGTGGCTCCGGAATGTTTTCAACTGCTTTAACTTTATTTAACTATGCTCATTACTAATGTCATTGGCCTGTTTGGTAGCATAAAATGTTAATAAGACCGAGGAGGGATGAAGCTGTGCAATTTGTGAACAAAGGCGCGCTTTGTTAAGGCAAATCTAATTTCCCGTTTGATTGTGTTTGGCGGAGGTGAGAAGTGGCTCGTGGAGATACGATCTCCCCACCGTGCCACGCCCTTTCGGCCACAACAAAAGATGTTGTTTTTACGTTGAATCGGGTGTTTTTCCTGTGTCCCGCCCGCCGAGTCTCAGGTGATTTGGGCCGGAGCATTAGGTATATTGGTCCTATAAATTTATCGCTCAATCTCTCGGCCCACAAACGGTCGGCCCAAGTTGGGGTCTTTAAATGGGCTGAATGAGGTCGTTTCCCTTAATTAGCTTCTGGCGGCGGTGTCCTCAGCCAAGTTGGCCATAACATTTCTTAACTTTATACGGTATCCGGGTGCTTTCTGATCCCCAATCGCACTAAGTTTGGGTAACAAGTGGTGACTCTTATTTACGCGGCCGCTCCTTTAGATGGCCCCTCAGTTCATTAATTAATAAAATTTCTCATGTTAGGTAAACATCGGCCCAAATATTTTTGTTTTTCATTTGCAGGCATTATCAGTGACTATGCAACAAACATACCGTATTTTCAGGTCGTTGTTGGTCATGTCTCCAGTCAGTCTACTGTTCGCCCTTGTCCTGCTCTTGACCAACGTGTTCGTGGCGCAGCCTCAAATTGTGCCGGCGGAGGTTTATCAAGTAAGAGGGCATACTGTAGTTTCTAGGCGGAAGTCAAATTGGCTCGAAATGTTTTATGGCTTTAGAATCCATAAGCTGACTCCACTGAGTTACAAATGTATTGATAGGCTTCAGGTGCTCATTTGTTGCTTTACCGTAATTTATGCAAATTTTGTGAAACTAGCTGATAGTTATTTAATGTTTTATAAGATGAAGAACTTTTTTTGAAATTGGATTTCAGGACAGTAACATGTACCGTGTGGCCCGAGCGCCGGCCATGAAGTGGATGCGGTTCGGTAAAAGAGCGCCCCAGGGCAAGTGGATGAGGTTTGGGAAGCGCGCGCCCCAGGGCAAATGGATGAGGTTCGGGAAACGTGGCGACGACCTGTCCGATGCCGAATACGAATGAATCCATCCGTCACCCATTGTTCCCTTCGTGAAATAACAAACCACTTATTCAAGACGATCTCTAGGTGAACACAATCTCGACCGGGCCTATCTATCTTATTGTAAACGTTTATTATTACGACTTGTTCTGTTTAATCAAATCCAATCTGGCATAAACTGTGTCGATGTGAGCCGGCTTCAGGTCTTGCTTCTGGAACATGGACCGGATCGTGGGCACGGACCAGTTCACCTCCAGGTTCCCCAGAATTATCTCCTCGGCCGTCTTCGGCGGCGGCTTCCAGAACCGATGCGGAAGCGGCGGTTTGGCCGCGGCCGGGTTACGGTTCACGGGCGTACTGTAGTCGGGGTTACTGTATTTGGGAGTAGTGGTGGGGGAGTTGTAGTTGGGAGTAGATATATTATTATTAGGTGTACTGTACTTTGTATTGTTCGCTGCGATACTGTACTTTGAGGTTTGGATGCTCGGCGGTTTGTAGGACGAGCACCGTGACACCACGGTCGGGTACTGTACATGACTCCTGGAGGCGGTGGGGGACTGGGTGGGTGGGGACCAGGGGAGGAGTTGCGAGAGATTAACGGCGAGCTCGGAACCGACGACTTGGGAACCGAAGATGGCGACCTTGAGCAAGGTGATCGAATCGGATGGCTGATTACAGCCCGTTCTCGAGTCTCGTTCGCTTCGATCAGAGTGGCAGTGCTGTCGGAGGAGTAGTCTTTACGATGTTTGTTGGTGGTCTTGGCGCGGCTCAGCCACGGCGACGCGCGAGGACTGACTTCTGGAGTGGTGTCGAAATAGTCAGCCCGAGGGAAGACATTTGTTTTCTGGAAAGGAGAACATTAATTACCAGACAAAGACCGTCTAATAGTACAAAAGGCTTCAGAGCACATTAAATTAATGCCCTGAGGCTTCTGATTATGAACCACCGTAGTTTGCTACGTTAATTAAAATTTGAATAAAATTGTCAGAACGACTTCATCCTACCGTAGGCATCTCTTTGTCCGTGCCCAAATTGGAGTCATCTGAGTATGAAGAGTCGAATTGGACAGAATCCGGACTGGAGGAGGCGGCTACACACAATTTGGCAGAATCGTTGTTCAAGTCACAGCTGAGGCCAGAATCCGTGGAATCGTAGAGTTGGTTGTTGAGAAGCAGCGCTCCGTCGTCCTCAAAGTTCTCGAACAGAACTGGAGCGTTCACGATGAGGAACTCGGCCAATTCTGGCACTTTCTTTACAGAATCCTCTATCGAAGCCACTAAATTCAAAAATAATGTTACGTTCGAGATATTACCATCAATTTATAACAAAAGATACGATGTTTATGTTCAAATCCTGTTGGAAACTAAGTTTTGTACAGTAAATTAAATTGCCACTTTGATGTTACGTTAATAACCAAAATTACCTGGATTTTCCAACAAACTCGGCGCTATACAGACAGCCAGACTCTTGATGTTCATCTGACTCTGTGGTTTGTTGGCAATACCTCTCAGTAAACGTAAGATGCACCGTAACAAGATGGTATGACTGGGAGGTAGAAGTTGTAGTAGGTTCTTGCACTTGGTGATCTTGATTGAATGCTCGGTTTGGGCGGTGACATCTAACCACATCTGATAGTTGCCTGACAGTAGAAGTTGACCAGGGATCGAACGGAGATAGTCCTGAAATGTTACAGTAATATCATTAAATAAATTTAAAAAAAGTTAATAAACATTGTAACAGTTTGTGATGTAAGATGTCCAAATACCTTCAATAAAGAAGCTGTGACATGAGGACTGAACTCGTGGAAATTGGGCACCTGACCGTGATTCAGCATCGACTTCAGCTCTTCGAACGTCGACAACTTAGGACTCTTTCTGAAGATGCCCTCAACGTTCTGAGCGTTCATGGTCAAGTAGTCGATCATGGTTAATACTGGCTGAGGAGGCATGGAGCCCTCGAGCTTCTTCCCGAACAACTTCTTCGACTCCATCCTGCTCAGGATCACCTTCTTCACCTGATTCAGAAGACTGTTGGCTGGAGCTGGAGTCAGACTAGGCTGGATAATAAGACGACATTGCACTAGAGGACAGGTATCCAAGTGTTGTAGTTGGGCAATGTTCAAGCCGACCTTCTCCACGTAGTGCTTCAGGATCGCGTACACATTCTCGATACCGTGCAGAAGATGTGCCGTTCCGTTGATCTCGATGAACAGCTCGAACATGTTCGTATCTGATCCTAGGTTCAGTTTGGTGACGAGTTGGCTTAAGATCTCTGAAGTCGTCGCTCCGTTGACTATTTCGTGACGTAGTACCTGAAATGGTACAATTACTCATATTACAGTATGCTTTGAATGATATAGTTGTCGCTGAATACAGTAATTATAAATGTTATGGTTTAAATAAAACTAATATATAGTACTGCTTACCTGTTTCCGTCCATCTACTTTTACTATGACACTTATAGTCGTATACAAACTGCCCAGCTTCTTCTTGATGTTAGTAGTTAAACCAGCCAGCCACTCATCCTTCTCTTTCTCAGAACTAAAAGTAAAATACGCTGGAAATATAATCAAAAGTTTACAAAAATTAATATAAGTTACAGTATAACTTACCTGAAATGAGCGACATAATTGTAATGTGGCCATCCGATGAGGAAGGAGTGGGTACAGTTGTTAGAAGCCACCCACACCTTGCTCAAGAGGATCTTCTCCTTAAACTTGTAGCTGTTGGGACCCCTGAGAACAGACAATATGGACATTACATAATCGATATAATAGTAAAACGGCCATAAAAGAAGGGAAGCGATCGCTTCCGATCAGATAAGTACTCACTTCTGTTTGGAGACCAGCAGAACATCGTCGAACAGAAAGAAGTGGCGATGATGTGTCATCAGCGTAGTCAGAGATGTCAGCTGTGTAGCGCCGTCTTTCAGGAAGATACGACGCTGTGGTTCTGGAGTAGCAGGACAACTCAGTTGGTCGCCCAAGGGTCTGAATCGGGGAGCACGAGGACTGTTAGTCACACTTTGGGAATGGGACAGCCGGCTCACATTTCGGAGCATCAACGAAGGGGATCTGGTGGCTGATAAGGACGGAGAGCCTAGTCTAGCCGACGCCAGAGTCAGGAGGTGTTTGGTGGGGGACGCAACCGGTCGGTCATGCTCCTTATTCTTGGCCTTCTTCCGGCCGGAGATGCGGAGACTAGCCCCGATTCGGCCCACCAGGTTGACAGTCTGGTCCAGCGTTCTGGAGGCGGAATGCGAACGCCGACGGCTGCCCATCGGAAAGAGAATAACGAAATCAGTGGAAGGTGAGCAGATCCCGGGCGGGCGAAATGAGAAATCAGTGCAAACAGGAGGGAATCAAGAGTGGCGCGTACGCTAATTCAGGGCATTGGAAGGAAGGCTCTAATCACACTTTATTGGTTTATGACAATTTATGCATTCTCGGGGGTGGAGCGGGCATAATCCCCCCTCAACTGCGCTCCAAATCCATCTCTGCGGGGTTCTGCTTTCCGCTCAATTGATAGTACATTCCGACGATCCGCTTCCAGTCGATTACGGTGTCCAGGTTCATGTTCCGCGTGTTGCCTTGTTCTTCGTTCGACACTTCTGCAAAATGATCAATATGAGAGACAGGTATCAACAACAATATGAACGTACTGTACTTTAATCATGTATTATAAGTTTTGAACCCACCGTTATCATTTCCGGCCAGTTTAAACGTGGGAGAGGTCCGGCCGTTCTGGCCATTCATTGAAAACGCGTCGATATTCTCTTCGTATCTGAGGTCTTGTTGTGCTCGTTGTGTGCATATCCTTACTGTAATCAGCGAGATAATATTATACTTAATAAAATACAAACACTATTATAAAAGACAAGTCATAAAGTAACCTCTCAATCATAATAAACACCTTTAAAATGTACTTACACCTGTTTCTGTAGGCCACCTTAAGTACAATATACAGCTTCGTCAGCATGTTAATAGGCGATGGTGTAGCCGACCGTTTGTTCATGGCTCTAATCAGAATGGCACGCCCAAACTTCCATTCCTTATCAGACTGTGCTTGAATCCGCTGATAAGTGTCACTCATCATAGCAATCAACAGGTTGATCAGCACAACCAATGTTACCATCAAGTAGATCCCGAACAACAACTTGAGTACCATCTTACCAAAAGGTGGTACCAGATGCAAAGGGGGCATGTTGTCTGGTTCAACTAAGCCAAACAGAGAAAAGAACAACATCTCCAAGGTCTGGCCAGGAGAAGCCAGCCTCATCAGTTCGGCCGAATCTTCATCGACCGGTTGATACGCTGGCTAAAAATAATACGGTAATTACAGTTAAAGGATTAATGTTAATAGATACTTTAACAAATAGCACCTGAAAAATAGAAGTAACGTGCAGAGTGAATCCACAAACGAAGAGCATCAGAATCACCAGGAACCGCGTCAGATCGTACATCAGATCCCTGATAATGATAGCCCAAGGGCCGAAGAGATGGTGCACGGTCAGGAAGTCTAGGTACTCAACAAAGGCAAACAACAACCCAAAGGCCAACAACTGGTTCTTCAAGTACAACATCGTACGAGCAAAGTGGAGTTTGTCATCATTCCCAAGGTGTGACATGTAGATAACCGGCAAGAGGAAGGCGAGTATGTGTATGGCTATGGCAATCGCTGCCAATATCAATATTAAAACCTAAAAGTTACAGTAGAGTAATGCACCTGTCTATATTAAATCTATGACATAACATACATAGTCCAGCTTTATTTATATAATTTACAATAAATTCACGCTAAACATCATGTTGTTTTCGGTACTATAACCTTACTTTAACAATCCCGAGACCAGACCCGCTTCCGATATTAGATAGTTCAGATACCAAATTCCCTGAGAGCCACAGAAGCAGTAGACATTCTACTGGATTTGGCATTACCGAAGTAACTTCGTACATCTTGTGAGTAACATTCAGAACAACAATAGTCAACAGTAACGTGAAGTAAACGTGGGATACGACGTGACATACGAACTTTATGATCGGCGCTCTACCTAAATATCGTTTTTTCTTAAAATAGACTTAAATAAAATCATTTTATTGCAATAAAACACAGTAACACCAAAATATATAAGTTGAAATGTTAATAAACACGTACCTATTCGGCTGTTCAAAGGCAGCGAGAAGTAAAACCATGCCGGAGGACAAAAGAAGACGAAAACAGCAAACGCCAATATCTTTCCAAAGGACCAGTCCACCCTGCCAGTCCAGATTTCAGTCAAATAGCGCTGGACGGAAGCATAAGACACCACTTCCTTCTGAAATTCCAAAAATCAGTATAACAACTTCAACATTTTGATATTTCGTTGCAACGAAGTGCCACAAAATTTCTGTCAAAACAATTTTTTGTAAATTTTGTTTCGAAATAATTGTGAAACACCAAGAACGAGGAACTTTTTGTGCTTCTGAAGCAATCTTCGTCTCTCAAACTTCGAAAGAAACAATATTATGGCGTTACCTGCTCGTTCTCAATGAGCACGTCCAGTAACGGCCGTCCTCGGTTGTCTTTGGCCTTCAAAAGCAGAGCAGCATTGTATTCAGAAGCAGTTATGCTCAGCAGCTCTACTGCAAGGTTTTCCGCAAACTGAGCTACTGTTGTCAAGTCTTTGGCTCTCTCCTTCTCTTTCTCCGACATCTCACGGTAGACACTCGACAACTTGACGGCGGTGTCGATGGGGGCAGGGCTCTGGAGGATAAAGTCTTGGAGAGGCTCGTTGCTGTTTCCTTTGCCACATACCATCAAGTCGAAGATGAACTAAAGCAATAGTTGTATGCGGATATAGGAATAACATGTATAGGTAACAGTTTAGTAAGATCATATCCTCTACTACTTCATGTTCTCTACTTTGATGATATCACCCACCTTTCGATCCTCCATCAGCTGATGTGTATCGTGCTTCTGCTTGAGGAGGAACTTGAGGCAGTCGATGTGATTGTGAGCGGCGGCAAAGCACAAAGGTACCTTTCCTTCCTTGGTCTCGGCCTGAGCGTCGGCGGAACTGTTGACGAACAGCTTGACTACGTTGGTATGTCCTGCTTTCGTAGCGAAGTGCATTCCAGTCCATCCGTTCTGGTCCATTACATTGATATTGGACCCTTGAGCTATCAACAACGATACCATCTCGTAATGGCCGTTCATGGCCGCCAAATGTAAAGGAGTCCTGCCCCGCCAGTCCTTGGCATGTTGTTGTTGGGTGGAGCGGGACAACAACATCCCTACAACCGCGATATGTCCTTGTTGAGCAGCCAAATGTAATGGAATCACATTCTAAAATTACCGTGGTAACTGATGAATATACGATAGTGGAGTAACCCAAATATTATCATAGGTTAGATGTTACTTAATCGCGTACCATAGTCGTAGAGGTGGCATCGACCTGAACACCTTGATTCAACAACATTCTGACCAAAGCATCGTGACCTGACTGGGCGGCCAAGTGAAGTGGGGTCAGTCCATACTCAGTAGCAAACTCTTTTACCACCAGATGGTTGTAGACGGGAGGTTCACTTCGAATAGAAGCTGGTACATGCCTCAGCATCTCGTTTACAAAGTCAGAGTTACCGTAGTAAGCGGCGATATGTAACGCGTTTAGACCGGTCTAAAAATATTACAAATGATGACAGATATAAGGATAGTAGTTAATATAACTCATATAACCAAGACATTATTGTAACTTAGGTAAGATTGATACCTTTTGTGAACAACGTCGCCATAGAATCTTGTCAAAGGCGTCCAAGATGGAGACATGACCATTACGAGCTCCGAGGTGCAGGGCTGTCATACCATGCTAAACCATAACATTATACGATCTGTTGGGACAACTGATAAGACAGCGACACTTACACTGTTCTCGTCTTCTGGATTGGCTCCGTTCTCCAACAAAATCTTGACAATCTTGGCGTGACCTCCCCCTGCAGCCATGTGTAGTGTGGTTGCTTCCATTGTCTACAACAATATTATGTTATTCAAGAGATTATACTTAATTACGATGATAGTAATAAGAACTGTGAACACCTTTGTCTTGGCGTGGATGACCATGGCTTTGTCGATCATCATCAGCTCCTTCACCACAGCCAGACTCCCCTTCATGGCGGCGATGTGAGCACACGTGAACCCGTTCTGGTCGATGGCCGTGAGCACGGCGTTGTTGTTGTGTTTCATCTTCAGAAACAACTTCACGACGTCAGGGTAGTCGTTCTCGGCTGCCAGATGCAACGGTGTCTGGCCTTTGTCATCTCGCGCATTCGGATTCGCTCCCAGAAGCAGCATCTTCTGACTCACGCCCAACTGACCGTACTTGGCCGCGAAGTGTAGCGCCGTCTGGTTGTTCAACGTGATTGCTTCTACACTGGCGTTGTGTTCTTGGACCAGCAAATTCACGACGTCTACGTGACCGTTCTGAGCAGCCAAGTGTAACGGTGCCTCACCGTTCTTGGACTTGCTGTTGACGAAGGCTTTGTACTGTAAGAGGAGTTTGCACAGCTCCAGATGACCGTTAGAAGCTGCTAAATGCAACGCCGTTCTACCGTAGTCATCGAACACGTCGATACGAGCGTGATGCTTGAGTAGCGTCTTGGATACATCAACATGGCCTTTGGCACAGGCTTCCAGCAGTGGGGACCATCCGTTCTGCGCAACAATGTAATATATAGTATGTATAGTTATATAAGGTTAAATGTCCTGCTTTCTTACTGTATTCTTACAGCTATTCTCCAAAATGTCAAGTCTACTTCCAAATGAACTTACTTTTGACTTCTTGTTCTGTACAATTTGGACCAAACCTGCCCCAATCTTATTCACGATGGCTTTCAAAACGGAATCGTTCCCGCAACGTGCCGCCAAATGCATCGGCGTTTCGTTATCCTGAATTTATTAACACAATATACCGTAATCTTTCATGTTATACAAACTTTAACATCAACCCACCTCAAACGTCTGTAGCTCGACCAATCCACCGTGCTGAATCAACGTGCTGATCAAGTTGGCTCCTTCTTTATCGTGATGTGCCGTGCCTGGCAGGATCTCTCCAGCATTGTGTAGCGCCGTCTTTCCTTTCTAAACGACGATATAATTCAGAAGACAGCACTTACGTCACTTCTGATGTTGATGTAGTCCTTCACCATCTGTTCGTTGTTGTTCTTGCTCAACTCACTCAGAATCAGCTCTACGATGGCACAGTGGCAGTTCTTGGCAGATACGTGCAAGGGGGTTTCTCCGTTCTACAGTATAAAGTGTAAGGACATTCATGGAGTAACAACGTTAGAAATAACCAATTCATGGTGAATATACAAAACCTCAAACTAAAACATAACAACTCACATTGGATATGAGAGTAGGGTCCGCCCCCTCGTTCAGCAACAGTTTTACCATAGCCGTGTTTCCACTTTTGGCGGCGATGTGTAGCGGAGTCTGATTGTCGTTCTGTCGCACGTTTGGCTGAGCTCCACTCTTGAGAAGCATCTGAGCACAGTCGGTGTTGCTTCCTGGTGTAGCCGCAGCAACGTGCAAAGCTGTTTCTCCAATCTGCCCTCCATGAACGTGAACGTCGGCACCGTGCCCCAGTAGCGTCTCAACTACGGCTGCCTTTCCAGCTTGGACTGCCACATGAAGGGCGGTGTAGTTGTCCTTAAGTTTGAATTTGAGTATGTTTTTCTCAGTACATGAACAGTATTAATTTGTTTATGTTATTAACTACTTTCTACATTATCTAATCATCTTTACCTTGGTCTTACAATCGGCGTTGGTCCCACGTGAGATGAGTAACTTCACGACATCGTCGAACCCTGCAGCAGCAGCTGCATGAATCCCCAAAGCTCCAGTCTTGTTGGGCATATGAAGTGGTACTCCGCGCTTCAGGAAACACAAAGCCGTACTTGAATGACCAGCTTGAGCAGCCACGTGCAACATAGTACTCCCATCCTTAGTACGTGCGTTGATCGAGGCTCTGAACTTGTCAATGAGGACTTCCACGACCTCGGTTCGTCCGTTCTCGGCAGCTACGTGCAGTGGTGTCTTTTCCTCCTAAACAAATCATATTGAGCTAACATAGTTAATACATATGGTCAGTACAACCATCGTACTATAAGTTCATGATAGTCATAGTACTGTCTGTATTATAGTATTTTGTTTGTCAGGTTAAGTAATGCTTTCTTTAAAGTTATACCTTATCACACAACTTGACATCAGCATTCATCTTCCACAGTATCTTGAGCATAGTCTCGTCTCCGTACTGAGCCACTTCGTGCAATGGAGTACGTCCCATCTCGTTGGGAGTATTGGCCTCATCCGTCCCACATAACGCTGATATTGCTCTGAACATGGTCACATCTGGAAGTCATAACTTGTTTTTATGGCATGATATACTAGATTTGTAGCCATGATATATGCTTATATATTATACTACATACGTTAGATATGCTTTTATATTAAGCATACGAAGAATAACAATACAAGAATATATAAGTTATGTCAATGTTAAGTTACCTTTCCGTGCAGCTAGGTGTAGGCAAGTGTCTCCCTTCGCATCTGCCGCTTTAATTTGGGTGTTACAATCTCGAAACAACAACAACAGTACAATGGCCACATTGCCTGCTTTTATGGCCACATGGACTGGCAACTGACCGGTCGAATCCTTGGCCAAACGACATTGGGGACACACCTTGAGGATGGTCTCCACGACTTCGTACGATGAGAATGAAGTTCGTTGGCAGCCGAAGTGGACTGCCCACATGTTATTCTTCTGCAATCACTTACTTTGTCTAATATCCTACTGTAGTTTTATGATAATTTGATTGCAAATAATGTAATATTAACCTTGTTGGTTTACATGAAGATGGCAGTAACTTACTCCTACGGTTGAAAAGTCGACCTTCATTTCGGCCAAGCACTTGGTCGTCTCTTCGTTCGAGTACCGTGCACAGATATGTGTAGCATTCATCTTGTGTTTGTTGTCGTAGTAAGGGTCAGCACCTCTTTGGAGTAACATCCTCACGATCTCTACTTGACTTGCAGCTACAGCCATGTACAGTACGGTGTAGTCGTTCTAAATAGTCTGACTTAAGTTAAAATTAAGAAACTGTGTTTAGGTATACTAACTTAGTTTATAACTTAATATCTAAATTTTAATATTTGATACCTAAAACAACGAATACTCACAGCATCCACCAAACTGAACTCGTGGATCTCTTCCGTCTCCAGAATATTCTTCACCATCTGCCAGTCCTTTTTCTTAGCGTAATACAGTAACCCGTACTTCTTGTCTCTACCGTAATCGCTCTCCAGACTAGCCAGGTCCCGCTCCAGCTGTTTTCCGTCTTCAGAATCCCGTGGAGTGTCGGAGAAGTGTTTGGTCTTGTCAGCCAGGAAGCCCCTTCTGAAGTCTGGAGTGGGTAGCCGCTTCTTCTCTTCTTCGCTGATCTGCTGAGCCCTTCGGCCTTCTTCTGCCAACGCTCGGCCCAAGATTCCCGAGCTGAAGTCGAGGGATTCGTTGGAAGTTGAGGATTCTTTGAATGAAGTCGACTTCTTCCACCCCAACTTTCTTTTCCCCAGTTCCGACCCCAGAATCCCGCCCCTGTAGTCATCGTCGGACGAAGTTTGAGGTCTTTCTGGATCCAAAGATAATATCAGAGGAATGGAGCCTTTAGACCCTAAAAGCTACAGTATATAAGTCTAAAGATGGTCTTGTTATGACTTTAAGACTAAAAAATATTCGTTGAACCGTCTTTTCCGTTAAAAAAACTATGATTACGGTAATTAAATAAAAAACTATTACGGTAGATAAGCTACTGTATTAAGAAACCTTGCCTGAGGACTGAAGCCGATTCAAAGCGGATCCGATAATTCCACCTTGTCGGAATTTCTCCTCGTCCGGGGTCAGCATGAACAATATTGTAGGTGGTCACCGCAAAATAAAAGGCTATTTGGGCAGTTTGCACTCTCGATATTTTGATGGTAAAAACGGCCTGAGGCATTTTAAAAGCAATTTTATTGCAAACCGGAAGTGTTCCACAAAGAGGCCGGACAGGTAATCGCCAGTGCCCATTCCAATCCACAACAACACCAATTCTGAAACATCTCACACATTATTTCCGGTAATTTCCTTTCACAATCCTTTTAATGTATCTTATCTTCCTTCAGAAGCACAGTCAACCTTCCAAAGTCACAGCCTAATGTCATCAATATATTTATTATATTACCTTCATTATCTTTCTTACAAATGTAACAAGCAAACCTTTTCTACATTCCCTACCCACAACAGCTATATGTACAATGAAAAGTTATTTAAAATGGTCTAAACTGACAGAAAGCTGGTCGTCGAATGTCAACAATGGGATCGGCCGTTCGTACCTTCTGATCGCAGCCTCATCCAAGTTCAGCTTCCTCAACATCGGCAGTTTGAACTTCTCGACGTCGATCTTCTTGTACAACTTCTTCCTCAGTTCCAGTATAGCAACTGGGACACTCTTCTCCCCCTGGGTACCACTTTTAGCCTCATTAGCATTAGTTTCCTTTACAGATTTAACTTCAGTACTACTGCCTTCCTTTGTACTCCTCACTTCAGTACTACTGCCTTCCTTTGTACTCCTCAACTCACTAGTACTGCCTTCTTTTGTACTACTTTTAACCTCTTGTGTCACAGCAGTAATGCTTCTGACTTCTGTTTTGTTAGTTGTCGTCTGATTCCTGGTTATTGGTGACAATATTGTAGGTAGACTGCTTAGTTCGCTGACTTTGTTCATCATATCTGCTCCATCCTGAAAATGTTTAATAAGAGTTACAGGATAGTTATAACAAAAAGTTTGAAAATATTTAAAATGTAAAAAGTGTAACGTTACAATTACCTTTAACCTGACATCGTCGCCTTTAGCGTCACCTTCCTTCTTCATCTCCTTGTCACCAATATCTACATTAAGGTTCTTGTTGATTTCCACTTTCGCTTCTGGTTTGACATCTTTTTTGTCTTCTGATTTCACTTCTGGCTTTGCTTTTTTGTCTGGCTTTACTAAAATATTCTCAGTAGTACTGTAGCTTGCTGTCAAATATGTTCTTTCAAAAATTAAAAAAAATAACGGTAAAGTTGTAAAAAGTAACAAAACTTAACCACCAAACTTACACTTCTTATTGTCACTGGCCGGCGCCACTTCAAACAAACTGTCCACTGATATCAAGGCTTGTCCCTTGACCTTGTCCTTTTTCGCTTTTTTAGCCTTAGGCTCAACTTCATCCTTCTTTGGATCAGTTCTGTCACTTTTGTGTTTCTTCGCTTCTTTTCCGTCTCCTTCATTTTTGTGGTCTTTCTTTGTTTTGGACCCTAAATCCGACCCTTTACCGGAATGTTTGTGCTTTTTCTTCTCATCTTTGTCTCCCTTATCTTTTATCTTCTCTGCCTTTTCCTTTCTTGGACTCAACTTGGCACCGTATTTTAGGCACAAGTCGATCACATCTTTGGCCGGATTCTTGACTTCCAGTAGCTGCTCCAATGTCTTTACATCATGTTTTTCTAAAAGTGAATAAATTGTTGTTGGTCATGTTAACTTACCCATTGACAACTGCATATCGTAGATGATCTCAAAGCTTTTTGAGACGTGTTGTATGTGCACCAGAATGAGCATCGTGAAGCCTCCGTAGCCAGTTTCGGTGATTTCAAACGGAGGATTGCGCACCGTTTTCTGAGGCTTCGGGAAGCTGTCGTGAAGGATGAACTGCACTTTACGAACGTACGATCGGTCCACCAGCGCAGGATATCCTTCAGGAGACCTCACGAACACGCTCCATCTGTGGGTATGGCCGTCCGCTGTCTTTTCATCCAACAGCTCGGATTCGTGTCCGATCACGAGTCTGCAGAACAAGGATTCGGACGACATCTTGAAGGTTTTCGCGTTATTAATTATTTTGTTTTAATAGTTTAAGATAGAATGGCATCGCGTATGTTTAAAAGCGGACTGATGTTCATATATAATTATGTAAGACAATCTTATAGACCTTGCGTTTTTGACCGAAAATATAAAGAATTACTTGAATAATTCAAACAAAAATATTACTCTCAGCTTCTGATCTTTTCAAAAGCTATATTAGTTACGTCTTAAAGGAAAGTATTACTTAACTCCACAATTTTTCGCAATTTAAACAAATTTCTTAAAATTATAACATTTTTTGTAATTTTAATTTTTTGCTTTGTGTCCACAACTGCCTACGTATGCACAAACACCTTCTATGCAGGAAACTAAACCCTCTACATTAGCGAAACAGAATTTTGTCGTAAAAAGAAAGAAATTGGTCTCGCCACGAGGATCCTATGCTCCACATATTATTTTTTCGTTGCGTTTTTACATCAAGATCTTCTTTTTACTGCAGCGATTCAGGATAACCAACGTTTTTACTACTATCTCGTTTTTATATATATCATTTTATAATGTATTTTAGTTATTTTATCTTTTTCAGATAACTTCAAACTATGGGCAGAGCTCAGTTTGAATACGATGAAGTCGGCAACACATTTTACTACGTTTTGATAGCATTTTACACGGTTCTCCTTCTGCCTTTAACTCATTTCTTGTGGCCATCAGCAGGTAAACCGAGATTCTTCTTTTAAATCTTGTTGTTTTAGTTAAAAATGAATTGAAAACGGATGGATGTCAATGTGAAGCAGACAGAATTAAAAGACGGAAGCTTCTGGATGCCCAGCCTAAACAGACTAGAAAACGGATTATAAAAGCAATATTTTTGATAGCAGCTTGGGCACTTTTGTTTTATTTGGGTAACAAAGTCTCTCAAATTGAAGTAACTCATGAAGAATATGATCCTTACAAGGTTTTGGGTCTTGACCAGGTCCGTTTAATATAGACGTATGTGAGAGATCTGCATAGAAGCATTTAAATTATTTTATAGCTATTTAAAACGGATAAGAGTATCGTTTTCCTTATATTGTATTTAATTTTGTTCATTTTAGGGAGCAACAGTGTCTGAGATTAAAAAAGCGTATCACAAACTCAGTAAACAGTACCATCCTGATCGAGGAGGTGATGAAGAACAGTTTAATTATCTAGCCAAAGCATATCAAGCCTTAACCAATGAGGAATCTAGGGAAAACTGGGAGAAATACGGAAATCCAGATGGTCCGAGAGGTTTGTTACCTAAATTCATCGTTTTATGTTTTGATCGGGCAGTATTTGTACTAATTTTATGTGCTTCTTAAAGATATAATTAATTATTTAATTTTTAGCTACAACGTTTGGAATCGCTCTTCCAAAATGGATCGTCAGTGAGAACTACGGAAACTGGGTCCTCGCTTTCTACGGCCTAGTTTTTATGGTGATCATGCCGTCGGCTGTGGTAAGTTGATTTGTTTGTGTACTACTCTTGTTTTAGGGATGGTGGTGGTACGATTCGATAAAGTACAGTGCCGACAAAGTATTGTTGGAATCTACCAAGATCTTCGCTCATTTCATAGCGAAGTCTCCTAACATGGAGGTTAACAGTAAGTTTAGTTATTCAAAACGTTTTTACGCGCAAGTTTGTTTTTTTGGATCATAATTTACTACCATTTGAATTTATAATGCTTAAAAATGTTATTTTCAGGAATCTTGATGGTTTTAACAGCTGCTTGCGAGTTCTTTAAGAAGTTCAACAACGAGATCGTTGAGAGCGAAGAAGATGATGTTGAGTTACCTCCATTGATGAAAGAATTCAAAAATGTTGGAGAAAACAAAAAGGAATTGCCGTTTTGTCACGCTTACTCAATCAAATGCAGGATCCTGCTTCATGCCTATTTGTCCAGATTCGAATTGAGTTCAGCCAGATTGGAGAAAGGTATTTATAGTGTTTATGAATATATGTCACATAAATTTATAATTTGCTTTACTTTGTTTAAAGTACAAAACTCGTATTGTTTTAGACCAAGCCTACATGGTTGGGAAGGTGTTGCCTCTGTTGGACGAGTTTATGCGTTTGGTGATCCAGTTCACGTTCAGTGGATGGGTAAAGCATCCCCCTACAGTCAACACAATCGAAAATGTGCTTAAGCTGTATCCGATGTTCGTCCAAGCTTTGTGGCCGAAGAACATTCCTATTATGCAGTTGCCACATTTAACAGAACAGAATATCGCCTATCTCAGGAGAGTAAGTTGACAATTGTTATAAGGATATTTATGAACTTTTTTTAGATCTTTTTGTAAATTTAGTATTATTCTTGTTCTATTCCTTCAATTTCTTGCAGAATCGAGTTTACACTCCTCAAGACTTAGCTCAGTTGAACGAATGCAAACGACGAGCCCTTCTAAATCAACTGGAGGACTCAGAGTACGACGATGTTATCACTGTTTTACACATGATGCCTAAACTCGACGTTGACACTAGGATAGAAGGTACGTTCCGTATTTTAATTAATTTTGAATTGATATTTTGTCAGTTTTACAGACCTGACTTACAATTGTTTGTTTTTAGTTCAAGGAGAGGACGACTGTGAAACAGTGACTGTTGGATCTGTTGTTACGATCAAGATTACCCTCAAGAGGTCTCCTTTGTTGGACTTGGACCAACGACTGAAGGAGATTGAAGAAGGTGAAATAAGGAGGGAGAAGGTTGCTCTGGAGACATCACTACAACCGGAACAGCCAAAGAAGAAGCCATGGGAGAAGCAAAAGCCAAAGAAGAAGGCTCCAAAGGCTAAGAAAGTCAAGGTAGGACTAGTTAAAAATTATTATATTTTCAAAATGATTGTTTTAAGTCGACTTAAACATTGTTTTAAAAGTAGCATATTAATTATTTGAAGAACGCCAAAAAGAAGGCTGCTACTGAAGGTGAAGTAGACTCTGACAAGAAGGAGGACAACAAGGATGGAGAAGAAACCAAGAATTCTAAACCCAAAGCTCCAACAGAACACGATTCCGGAGATTCTGATTACTCGGACAGTGGTTCAGAATCAGACGGAAGCTACGACTCGGAAAGGAGTTTGATCTCAGAAAATGGCAGTGACAGCGACGATGATTGGGGCGACGACGCCGTTCCGTTGAAGAAGGATGCGCTACTGGAATCTGAACCCACCAACCACCACGAAGTCCACTGTCCTTACTTCCCTCACGAGAAACACGAGTGGTGGTACTTGTACCTGGTGGAGAAGAAGAGCAAGACTTTGGCATCTCTGGTTGTTCCTTGCAAGACTTTGGACAAGGAGAAGACGGTATGTTGATATACAATTGTTAAACTGAATTTAAATGCAAAGTTCATGAGCTGTTTCAGTTGGAAATGAGGATCTCGGCGCCTCCAGAGAAGGGCACTTACACATTCACTTTGTACGTCAAATCGGATTCTTACATGGAATTCGACTACTCACAAGATGTCAAGGTAATTTAAATACGATAGAAAACGATTGGAGTATTACTTAAATCGTTAATAATCTATAACAACTTATGAATGTCTTTGCAGATGGAGGTTCAAAACGCCAGAGAGCCGAACGCCATCGTCTACGATAGCTCAGAAGACGAAGAGAACGACGATGAAGTGCTGGAGACATCTGACGACTACACAGAAGGGTCGGCATCGGAGAACGATGATTAGTTTGTGATTTAGTCCGCTACTGTTTGTTGGTTGATAACTTATTATAATATATATTGATAATTGAATTGGACAGTTTTTATTTTACACGTAATCAACAATGTACAATATTTGGGTGGGGGCCCTTATGGTTTGGGGGTGGCCGTCTTTATGCACTGGTTCACCATTCTTCTCAGCTGACCGTTCTCGTGCATCTCGAACAGATCTGACGCTCCGCCGATGTACTGTCCACATACGAAGATGTAAGGGAAGGTAATGGCTCCGGTCAAGTACTGTAGATCAACTTGGAGCTGTTGCTGCCACGCTTCATTTCCAGACAGTTCGAGGAAGTGAGCACGGACGTCAGGGTAGTGGACTGCCAACAGGTGCTTGGCACGTTGGCAAGGAACACATTCATTGAGTGTGTAGATCATCACAGGGTAGCTACTGATCTGCTTCTCTAAGTAGCCGGCGTACGGCGAGTTGGGAGTTCCAACGGCACCAGTTCCGGGTATTGCTCCGTAGCCTTGGCCGTAGCCGGAGTCTTGGCCAGTTGGTTGAGCCGAATTGGCCGATCCGACCGGTCCCTGCCAGAGCTGCATGTCTGGCTGACCGTCCTGATTACCGTACGCGCTCCAATAAGCGTTTGATAAGGAGCCGAAGCCTGAAGCGGAAGGGCCGAACGCCGAGCCCGTCTTCTGACTGTCGGTTTTGAATGCATTTAACTGACCCTCACTGTTTTCTGAAAGACATCCCATAGATAATGACAGAGACCTCTGACTTACCGTATTCTGCCTCTCTCTGTTTCCTGATCACGCCCTTGGTGGGGCTGATCGCCGAAAGCCCGAAAAGTATAAAAGCATAGGTGATGGAATTCATGTTGTGATCGAAACGGAATATGGGACAGCACTTTAAATGGACCTTGTTTTAATTTGATTAGGAACAATGACGTGTTTTGTCGGACAGGCCGAGGAACGCCCATCACTCAGAGCCGTGACGATCCTTGGGACGAGCAATTATTTGAGTTTCAGGTGGGGAATGTGCTCCCTCAGCGTGAAAGAGCACGACGAAGCAGGAGGGCCGCGCGGCTGAATCCCGGGGGAAACAAACATCTAGTCATCTGTTTGGCTACTTGTTCACTGTGTCCGCGTCTGTTTGGTTTATTGTACAAGAAATTTGTTGAGCCGCTGACCCACAAACCGAGGAAATAAAGATTCCGATAAAAAGTTTATTTACATACATTTCTCAGGATTAAAGTATGTGAATTATTGGGGCGATAGGAGGCCGGACAGTGCCGTGCAGGACTCGGCGTCCGAAGACCTGTCGAAGCTCCTTACGATTTCGGTGACTAGATGCGAGTGGTCCTTTAGGACCGCTTCCCAACCCACGGTTTTGGTCGTTTCGATTGGGAACTTATGAACAAACTGGACTGCTTTCCGCCGCAGGTTGTCGGCATGGTACATGTCCGATATAATCAACAACTGACAGCAGTTCTCTTGTGATAGTATTTGGATCAGAATCTTTTCGCAATGGCTTTTTAAGTCATCCAACCTGAAGTAGTTTTAATATTACAGTAAGGACACTAACAGTCCGGTCTTGTGTACAGTATAAAATAGTTGAGACGAATCGTGGAAAGCTTTAGGAGTCTTATGGATACCCAAGTAAACAAACAAACCTGTACTTATCGGCGGCGATCAACAGATCGGAAGCCATATCATTCATGTCAGAAGTACAAATTCCGCTGTAAATAAAGTGCAACATCTCCTTCATGACTCCGTAATCAACGTCTTCGATACACAACACACCCTAAAATCACAATATATTATCCACAACACCTTACAGTTCTGGCCTCGTTTGTGTCTCTGTGTTGCAACATGGCCGAGAAGACAGGAGATCGGGCAGACAGCACCGCCTTGTGTACTGGAATGTCTCGACCGTCTACTCTGATAAGGAAATCAGTGTGAAGATCGTCATTGAGGAGTTTTAAGTAGTCTTCCCCTAAGGGGCGTTCACATTCGCAAGCCTAAAACGGCAGATGTTAGTCGTTACATTTAGATTATGTTTTTAATATTGTTTTAATCGTACTTGTTTAGCTGCTGTTTGATCCTCTGTGTATGTAGTTATTGTCTCCACGGCTACATCAATCTCAACATACACCGTGATGCTGTCAGATGGGTGAATTTGTGGGAACAAGACGTCTCTTTTAATGTACGAGACATAATCCGAATGCGACGGATTGGGATGAACCCTCATTTCGATGTCTTTGCCATCACAGTTCTTGAGGAAGAACCTAGACCTGAAGCCTGCCTTGTTCTTGTTGCCTCCATTCACACGATTCAGGCACAGAAACACAAAGTCTTTGTTGTTCTCCCCATTGCCTTTGGGGTAGATCTTGATCGACCATGTCAATGTTTCGTCGTTGTTACGTTGCAAATGTACAAAGTTCTCCAAGTATTCCTGATAGCAATGGGAAAAGTTCTTCACAGTCCACTTGTGCTTCAGATACTCGACCCTGATCTCAGTCTGAGAGGCATTTGTCATGTGAGTGGTCGGAGCACAGACATCGTTGACATGTGTGATGTCTGCACTGGACGGCTCCATCGACCTGTCAAACGAATATAAACAATCTAGCGGCAGGAGAAGGTATGGCAGCGCTCGCCAACGCCTTGTGTCGGAAGATAACCCATTGTTATAAAATCTTTATTACTATGAAATTAGTCAACAAAAATGGAATATAGTCAGAAATACAACCATATCAAGTTACGCTTGCGAAAGAATGCAAAATGAAGTAAATGATTGCTAACCGAGCTATGCATAACAACCGAAAAGACACTCTCTAGTCATGAGTCTATATACATGTTGACCGTGAAGAGATATAACTGACCTAACACAATATTCAAAAGTCATTTTCACTGTCAGGAGACCAAAGAAACCCGATTAATAGAAAGAACCGACGTATAATAAGGCCCGTGTGTCTAACCTTGTACTAGAACATTCGCTAAACCGAAATAATACATACGTTAAGATAAAATTAGTTAAGGATTAAATGATACGTTAAGACGGAAGTGGTAATTACAATAACAATGGAACGTCCTCCGTCAAATCAATATACTGTCCCAAGTAACCTTGTAGACGATCCGACGTTCTTCTCTACAAAAGCACCAGTATCCATGAAACACGTCTTAGAGACTTACTAAAGCCCTTCAGTATCAGTTTTTAGTTGTTGTAGAACTGCTTCTTCGAGCGAACATTCTGACCGGTCCCTCGACCGTTGTCGCTCATATTCATCCTTCTCATGCCTTCAGATATGTTGGTCACGTTGACCCCATGAGGTCTGACATTGGTCACGTTCCTTAACCTCTCCCGTTCCCAGTTTGCAGTCGGATGGTCCACTTCCACGGCCGAATCCTCGCTGCTGTCTGACGTTCTACTCGGGTTCTCACCTTCTGGGGACACGTTTTGTTGAGGCCGAGGTTGCTCTGTAACTGGCGCTGCCGTGACATAACCATCCAATAGCATGTACCGCGGAGGCATGCCAATGCTCGGCCTGAGGGTTATTGGAGGCATGAATGTGTTGATGTTATCGTACACTAAACAAGTCATAATCATGTCTATGTCACTAAACTCTAAGCACAGAAAACCAACAACAACTCACTTGAATTTGAAGGTATCGTCGTCGACGCAACAGAAGAAGAGACCATAGGTTCGGCAAGTGAATATTGAGAAGGCATTGGATTGGGCATTTGAGGAGTACCAGCAGTCGTATACACACTGTCACCTGACCTGTTACTATGAGCATACGGCGCTTGGTATCCCATGTGAGAAGCCAAAGTGGGCACCACCCAGCCGTTAGAATCATTAACCATGAATGGATAACCCGAAGGCTGCTCCACATGCTGACTCGACATAATGTTCTGAATTTGCTGTATCCAGTATGACATGTGCGCGTCGATACTTACTCTGGACGTTCTAATTACAGCTTTTCGAGCAGCCATCTCAGCTGGTGCCATCGGTACCACCAAAGAAATAGCCGACCCATGGTGAACAACACTCTTGGGCTGAATCGACATAAGTAATATCCTCTTTAACATTAAAAATGTGTTTTTAATAACCAGCATTCTGTGAGCTCCTCTTCCAACGTCATTCGCTGAAAAAAACGATAGTTTAAAAGTGCAAACAGCTTTATACTTTTAAATAGAGTTCACTTTCAAAAATAGCTTACACGCATCCATAGGGTCAATGATCGTCAACATCGAAGAACCAACAAATGCTTCGTTTTTCTCCTGAAGTGACTTTTTGTCCGTGAAAACCGCCGTACCATCAGCAGAGAAGGTGATAGCCTGATTAAGATAATCAAATTCTTCGCCGTAAAATCCCAAAAACTTGATGAGGATCAACCCCAAGCATTTGTGTTTCTTCAGGAAGTGATTGTTATACTGAAAAACAAACAATCAGACCACAATAAAGAGATGACGTCTCAAATACACAAAAAATCAATATTCACCTACATTTAGATAATGAGCCATGAGAATCACTAAAGCATATGAAGATAGACCGCCATTAAAAGGTTCGTTCAGGTTATACACAGCCAACATCTTCTTCACCACCATCACCAGCCGAACCAGGTCCGGGAATATAACAATTTGTCGCTTCACCCATTCGACAGCCGCATTTGATGCTACGTTACAAGTGATATCAATGGGGAAATTTGAAAATGAATCCACCAGTTTGACCAGAGGAATTGCCGACTTCACGCGAACATCGATATCTCGGTATGAACCAGTTTGCCTAAACAACATTCAAAAATAAAACAGCCGACATACTTGAACACATTTCCAATTTTTTGGTAGTCAGGCTGAACTCCCCTTCGCAAAGCGACACAAATGTCAAGATCTGAATCCGAAAGGTATATCCCAGTCGCCACACTTCCGTAAAGGTCCACCAGACAGTTGGGGTAGAGGGTGAGAAGGAAAGCTTTAGCTCGAATGAAAGAAAACTGTCTCATCAGCTGCTCTTCGGTAGTGGGTTGTAGCCAAGTCGACAAGTCCATGATCTCATCATGAAGACCAGTCAAACTCTGCTCGTACGCCGTCCTACGCATCCACGGAGCAGAGGGGATTTGTGTATCCGCAGGCTTTTCAGGTTCAGGCACTAGCATCCCGAACGCAGAGGTATTGCAATTAAAAGCATTATATCTAAACACATGAGTTACATTCTCCGATAAAATCGACTTACTGCGTAAAATCAGAGTTCATATAAGGTCTGGGACCGGTCATTTGTGCCCGCAAATCTAAAACGACGACAAAACATCAATAATCACGCTCATTATCCAGCAAAAACAAATAAAACCGCAATCAACAAGAACGTAATCAAAAGTTGAAGGAATTACACGCGCAACAGACGAATACATATCCCCAGTAATCAGTAAAAAAGCGAAACGATTCTTTTCATTCACCCGTGTTTTCTCCACACTTTCTTTTTCTCGGTGCAAAAGTAAAAAACAAAGTCTCAGGCTTTCGTGGCGGGACTTGGCAAAGTCTACGGAAAACAAAAAATATATATAATTTTTGCATTTTTATGTTGATAATTGTCCACGTGATTTAACTGTTATTTATGTTGCACTATAGTAAATTTAAAAATTTATTTTAAAGCAAAAAGCAAGACTTTTGCGAATTTTCAGAAGCTTTTCTTGACTGTTTTTGGCGTTTATATGTTTTACTATGAATTATTATATTACTTTGTACTTCTTATTTTAGCATGTTGCGATGTAAGTCGCTGGCCGTGTTGTGTCAGCGTGGTCTGGCATCAGCCGCAAATGTACCAGCGTCTCAATCTCGGCCAGTTCGAAAGGAAACTCCAAAAGGTATGGGAATAACTGGTACTCCCTTCGTGGAACCTGAAAGCACGGCCGAGTATGCTTTAGCCAGAGTGGATGATGTGATCAACTTCGCTCAACGAGGTTCTTTGTGGCCGTTGACTTTCGGTTTAGCTTGTTGTGCCGTAGAGATGATGCACTTTGCTGCTCCGAGGTACGATATGGATCGTTATGGTGTAGTATTTCGTGCTTCTCCGAGACAGGTACTTTACAATCTGAATTAAGGATACACTAGCATGTAATACTTTTATTAATTTTTTTGTTTTAGGCTGATTTGATCTTTGTTGCTGGTACTGTAACTAACAAGATGGCTCCTGCGTTGAGAAGAGTGTACGATCAGATGCCAGAATCCAAGTGGGTGATCAGCATGGGTTCTTGTGCCAATGGCGGTGGATACTACCATTACGCCTACTCTGTACTCAGAGGTTGTGACAGAGTGATCCCAGTCGATATTTATGTTCCTGGCTGTCCACCAACTGCCGAAGCCTTGTTGTACGGTGTTCTCCAGCTTCAGAAGAAGATTAAGCGACGTCGGAATGCTCAGATGTGGTATCGGCGTTAAACCTTATAGGAACAAATTATTTTTGCAAAATAAAGGACTGTATTAAGTGACTTTAGATACTACTCTATGGTTGAATACCGTGACTTATTGAAAATTGTGTAGTGTTGATGTATATTTCGTATTTTAGATAATGGCATCTGGGTCTTGGGACTATGAATATCAGACTTGTATAGTAAGTCTTGTTAAACATTTTTATATCAAATTGTTAATATGATTATGATGTTATTTCAATTTTAGCGCGCGATTGATAACTTTCGTATTCAAGACCTTCAAGCTGTGTTAACAAGGTTTTCAAGTGCTCCTTTAAGGAATAGTACGAGGAAGGCAGACCTTCAAAAACGTCTGAAGGACCTGTTAACGGTTCCAGCTACGAGAAGAGCTGCCATGGATAATATACTTGCCATGAATAGACAGAGGTCTGTTCAGATGGGTTCAACTATACCACCAGTGAGGCATGGCTTTGTAATGCAACAGCCCCAATATGGAAGGGCTGGTATGCCTTCAAATTGGCAACAACAGCGGATTCCAGTGCCAGGCCGTGGAGTTGGTGCTCAACAGATCCGAGCACCGTACGGAGTGCCGAATCCTAATATGAGGGGGCAAGGGAACTACAACCCTGGACTGTTGATGAATCCAAGTAATATTGGTAGGTGCTTTACATTTATCAAAATTTTATGTTTTAAGTTAATCACTACAACTACTACCAAGTTTTTAGATCCAAAGGCCATCCAGTTTACTGTTTTACCGTTCTACGAGCAAAAAGAAGTTGTCATGAGTCACACTTTGTTACCACAGTATCCTAAAGCGGACAACAACATGGTGCATGCTCACTACAAGTTCTCGCTACCTAGACAGTTTATTCAAGAGCTGAGCGGCATGGGAGATCTGCCACGATACGAAGTTCAGTTGAGAATGTGCCTAGCTGATGGATCGAAGCATCAAGTAGATGCTTATCCCAACATAATCCGGGGCTATGTCAATCAATCTACTATTCAGTTTCCTGTAAGTTTTAAATTTATTTTTTAACTGGTATAATTGAGATTGCTTAAAATATATTGTTATAGCCGTTGATGAATGTACAAGCACCGCCTGGTCAAGGTGTTGGGCAGATTCAGAAGAGAAGTTCGCGGTCTGTAGATATTACTCAGAACTGTCTACATACTCATAACAACGAATTTAATTTGCATTTTGAGTGGCAGCCTGACCGCAACAACTATGTCTTTGGTATCTGGGTAGTATATCATTTAACTTCTAATGCTCTGACTTCAAAAGTCGAGAGGAGTTGTCCTAGATACTACGAGGAGACTAGGACCATGATAAAACAACTGCTGGGTGGTGGGGAAGAAGATGACATTGCTATGGATGTGTGTCGTATCTCGCTATTATGTCCTGTAAGTAAATGAGTAAAGGATTTATATTGTTTTAGCTTGCTCGTATTATAATGAAACGGCCTGCGAGAGGAAAGTCGTGTACTCACTTACAATGCTTTGATCTCACCAATTACATTATGATGAACGAGAAGAGGGCCAATTGGAAGTGTCCGGTGTGTAACAAACAAACCCTTCCTTCCGACCTTGTTTTAGATGAGTAAGTCACTGCTGTATCGAAATTATTGTTTAGTTATTTTGTGGAAGTTATTGAGAAGATCAAGGGGCAGAGCTCCGAAGTCGAGTTGAATCGAGATGGCTCTTGGAGGATGATTCAGGATGAGTTCAGCGACGACTCTCGGCCGTCTAGCCCTAAACGATCTCGAATGGAGCAGCAGGCGTCTGTGTCTAGCGCTGCTGATCAAACAAAACCGGGAGCTAATCAAGACATAATCACTTTGGATGATTCAGATGATGATGAATTGCAAAATACATCTAATGCAGTACCTGTTACTCAACATGTATCTACTCCACCAGTTGTGGTACCCTCAACATCAGTCCAGGAGAAATTGACAGTTCCAACTCAAAGCAATGGTGATAAGAATACAAGCGGGGAATCTGTAATCTACCTAAGCGACGATGACGGCGCTACTGAGAACGCACCGCGGAATCAGTTGGCACCTGCGAATAAACCTACACAGGTTTGTAATAATAATAGTGTTTTTTGATTGTCCTTTATATTGTTGGCTTTTTTCAATTAAATCTGTTCTATTTCCTCTTTTGGTTTGTATTCGCTCTCGATCTTATACATACTTTCGATTTCAGAATCCTGATCTTACGGAGACCTCTATCTTCTCTACGGCCGACACCGCTAACCAGTTGACTAACGAATACAAGGACACGGTGCCACCCAATCTTCTGTCAAGCCAGGCGATGGCCGAGATCAGCCTCGAACTGATCTCCTTCCTTCAGAAGCTGCAGAACTGCGAACGAGATTACAACCGGGTGTGATCAACTATATTATCTTGTTTCATATTGTTTTATTTACTCTAACACACTTTATCGGAAGATCTGAATTTCATAGTAAAAATGGGACTAGAGACAGCAGTATACATATAGAAAGTAATCACCGAGGGCTAACAACGTTTTCATTCTATCGACGTCATCCTAGAAATGCTTGATATTCTTGGCGCAACAAACAAATACCGGTTCTTTGTCATTGCAACAAACGAGACTAACAATAATATAGATCAGTGAGGAATACTAGGTTTAATTAACGTTTTCTAGGGTCATGGGGAATATGGTTAAATAATGATACTGGCCACAGTTCTAAGTGATAGACTGGGCCCGCCAGTCGTCGAGGCGCGCCCGCTTCTCGACCGGCGATCCCACCGGCTCCAGCTTCATGTACTTGTCGGGGATCCAGTTGTGACTCGACTGAAGGTTGGTGTTGATCCCGCCACCTGCATCGTGGTGTTGCTCCATCATGTGGCTGGGCATGGGTTGGGGGGTGAGCGACTGGGGTGGTAGTACTGGCGGTAGCATGAGTCCGTTTCCATTATGCTGCATGATTCCGGCGGTGGAAGCCGGGCGTTGTTGGTGGTGATGTCCGTTGGGTATGCAATCCAGATTCGAGACGTTACTGTAGTTGTTCTGCGTGGAAAAGCTGGCTGACGTAGTCGGGAAGTCCTGCAACAATATTTATCTTAATAAACAAATGGTTAATATGTTGTACTAGTTTATCTGAAATTCGTGACTAAGACTGACATGTAAACACCATGTTTAATTAATAATCTTTCGAGAATGTCACGTAGGTTAAGAACGTACCTGATGGTGTTCCTTGCTGAGCATATTCTCATTGGGCGGTCGATTGTTGTTGCCGGTCGCAGCGGCAGCCAACGTCGACGCTACAGCGTTGGGGAGATTCTGACGCATCTGATTGTAGGGGTTGTTGAGGAACACGTTGGGGTTGTTGAAGATCTGAGCAATGTTGGTAACGCCATTGAAGTCGAGTTGGGGTTGCCGACTCGAGATGGATGGGTTCGGTGCTCCATTCGACGGATACGACACTGGAATACCACAGTAAACTCTAATCGAAACACTGTATAATTGATGGGACAGGCTGATTGAATCAAAAGGTGATAAGGCACGTGATACGAAGTAAACACTTACCGCCCGACGGAGGCATCACTTGATGTGGAGTCGACGGACCCGGGGAGTCGTCGTCGGAGTCGTTTCCATTGCAAGGCTTCCCTTCCTTGCGCTGTAACATCTCCATGATGTCGTGGTTGGTGCGGCTCTCGTGGGGGTCGTTGTACTCGGTGTACTTCAACAGGACCTTGTCCATGTCGGTGGAGGCGTACTGGAAGAGGCGGTTGCTCGAGTTGAAGATGATAAGCGCGATCTCACAGTCGCACAACACCGACAACTCGTAGGCCTTCTTCATCAGACCGAACTTTCTTTTCGTGAAAGTCACCTGAACGTGTTTGTTATTTACTCAGTAATTGTGGGCAATAATAAAAACACTAATGTTAACATCTGCGGACGTCACGGATCCCCGCTGATGTGACAGGTGATATAACACAAGTTAAACATTGCTGGTTCCGAGATAAGAATTGTAAATTAACTATGTCACAAAGCTGTGTTACTATTTGCATATTGCACAAAGTACTGTTAACTTGTAAAATATATAGCATAGTAATATATATACGGTATTACCTGGCGATTCCTCTCATCCTGGATGCGGGTTATCTGAATCTTCTTGCGACCCATTTGGCGGATTCTGGCGGGCTTCAGGGTGTACGATGAAACTGAACGACGAGAGGGAAATACAACACACAATCCCTCCTAATTTGCCTCTAAAACAAGTTAAACATAGTAATTAACACTATCTCTAAACATTCGAAAAGAGCACGGTAAAACGGCAAGCACTTGAGATATAGTAAACAGGCAGTGTAACAATGCTAATGAGTCCTACAACATGTAAAACACGAACCGCGGATTACGCAATCGAATGACGAATGGGCGATGGAACGGTCCACTCCCCCCCGCCCGTCCCCCGATCGCCCCGCCGTGCCTGTGATGGTTCGAACAGGCTCTGGTATATCTTTATCACCAAAAACGTGGAACGTCAACAGAAACCCAAAAATAGCGATTCGTCGCCAAAAATAAAACCCAGGAACACTGTTAAAGTACGCACTTGGGAAGGCGGACGAGCGATGGGGCGGGTCCTGCCCCCTCCCCTCCGGCGTTCCGGCCAATGACAAAGAAAACAGACACTTTCACGGAACATGCGACCAATGGCATGTCCCCCGGCCTGAGGGCATTCGGAATGACGTCAACCGAGGGAGGGGAGAGGAGGGGAGGCACACGCTGGACTAGGCCGCTGGAACGCCGGAGCGCGGCCAGCACTCGGCCCAAAGCCCTGGGGCCCTGAAACGGCAAAAAAGGACGAGAATGAATGATCCGACAAGTTCACAAACACATGCACACAAATAGCTGGGCTCCCATCTCGCGGGTCTGCCGTCTCCGAGGCGGACCACGGGCCGCGGTGCTGTGTCGGCCTTGTGTCAGTCCGTTTTGCGTGTTTTTTCGTCTTTTCATGCCGCCGAGCTACGGGGCCGCATGCCAGAGGGCAAGAGCGGGAGAAAGCGGAAAAGGACAAAAATGAAAGGCAAAAGCGTGAAAAAATAACCCCTCGGGGCCGGAGCAGTCGGTCGGTCCGGCTGCTGACGAGATTAAATAACGGGAGAGAAGCAAAGAGACAACCGGCTCTTGTCACAGCCTCGCAAACGTGAAAACATTGAGAGAGAGAGAGAAGTCACGGAGAAATGATTGAAATTACACGTTCGAACCGCCGGCTACGTCATCTCCCCCCGGCGTGGCCGCTATGGCAATCCACCCCGGTTTCAGGAAGTTGGAGGACGCATTTCAAGCCCTCCGGTAACAAATCCCAAACACTACAATACACACAAGACTGTCCATCTGCTGGTCGGCTAGAGTAAACACCGGACCGTGGTCCCGTGGTCTTCTTGTTCGCTCTTCTTCACCAAACACTTCCGAAAAACAATTGAAACTCTCGACTTTCGTCGTCGCAATGATAACCATGAGACGGGCGGCTTTGCCCAAATCCAGATCTTAGTCGACGCTAATCCGATTAGCGATGGATGGATATTACACTGGCCCTGGTTCTGATATCTTTGGTTTCCCCCAAAGTAATTACAATATGACAAAGCAGTAGTTTACTCAATCACACGACCCCACAACCTTGATATTGCACTAGGCATGGCTCACGTCCACGTCGTTCGCCCGGAAGATGGGCTTGTGTTGCAGTTCTGATACGAAGCCGTCGTTGTCCTCATTTACTCTGTAGACTCCGGACTTGACAATAGTCAACACCTCGATCTCTTTCTGGTCCCAGTAGAAGGCCAAGCTCACAGTGACACAGCACAGCAAGTGGATCCACTAAAACAAACGTTATAATTTGTATTCAGATAAGACTGTCTTCATTTAAGGCGATGTAGATATTAACATAGAAGTCAAGTTTTCCTTTTAAAACCCCTTACCGACATAAAGATGACAGCCATGGGAAAAGCCGGCTGGAAGTCGAGTTGCCATGGACTGTACCAGTCACTGTACAAGCACCATGCGTCCAGCACCAGCCATCCACGGCACAGCACTTCACAGAACACGTGGATCAGAGTAGTGTACTAAAATAAGATTTAAAATAATAAAAGTCCGAAGAATTAAACTTAAAAAAGTATTAAATGGCTACTTATAGCTAATTACATGGTTAGCACAGGCTATTATTAGCCACTTACAAAGTTGAACTTGGGAAGACAGACGTAGACTGCAAAGCTGACCAAGTTGAACAACATATTCATTAGAACCCACAAGTTCAAACGACCGAGACGGTCGCAGCTATTCAGAATACATTCCCATCCTTTTTCAGTATCTATCTAAAATACTTTGACATAATTTGAATAAAAGTTTAAATTTAAAGTAAAAATTTGGTAAAATCTAGTTTTTAATTTAAAATTTGCGGTTATTACCTTAAAACAATGGTGAATCTCTCTGGACAAAGTCAAGTTTCCAAACGAAGCCGCAGTGCAGTTTGTACCAGGCAGAGTGGTGCAGGTCTGATCGGTTAACAGAATCAGTAGACATTGTAGTAGGCAGAAGGCAGCCTGACCGTAGAACAATCCGACTGACGCTCGCATTTCTCGACTAATCGAAATGGGATTTTTGCCATTTTTAATTTTCGATTTTTTCAAAATTGAACTTTTGAAAATGATTCTATTCGACTGCGACGGAATGCCAAAAGTTATTTTAGGCGCTAAAACCCGATTCGAATAATTTTAAAAAACGTATTTTGCGTAAACAGAATTTCGTCTTTTTGTACAGCGAAAGAACATCACTAATAGATTTTCATAGTTTTATACTTTCTAACTACTAACCATGGACAAGGAGAATAATTTAAAACGAGGTGACAGATCCCCGATTGAGCTTTCGGATTCTGATGAAGATACTGGAAAGGCACCGTTCCCAAAAACCCGTAAAGTTGGAGTAAGTTGGTACTTTTATGCAATTTTTTGTTTTTAGTCGACTCCAACGTCAAACAGAAAAGAAGAGAAGTTACTTTTGTCAGCCCAACGGAAGGCAGAACGGGAACGGCTAAGATTGTAAGTTTAGCTAACATTATTGCACAGTTCTTTGTTATTTTAGGTTTTGTTGTATTTACACTTCGGTTTTTAGAGAACGAGAAAAACAGAAACAAGAAAAGGAGAAACAAAAAGAAGAAGAAAGAAAACGAAAGGAAGATGAAAAGAAAAAGAAGGAGGAGGAACGATTAGCAGCTAAGAAACTGAAGGATGAAGAACGAGAAGCCAAGAGAAAGGCTGTAGAAGAAGCTAGATTGAAGAAAGAAGCCGAACTTTTGAAGATAAAACAAGAAAAAGAGAAGGAATTGGAGGAGAAAAGGTTAAAGCAAGAGGTAAGACAACATCCAGATACTTAGTATACGTTTTGACGTTCTTTTTACGTAGATTATTGTAGAAGGAAGATGAAAAGAAGAACAAGCAAGCTCAATTCTTCTGTAGTTTCTTTAGGAAGGTGGAGAAGGAAGAAAGGAGGACGTTAGAGTGGAGAACTGATAGATTTAAGCCTTTTGAGATTAAAGAAGGCTTTGAATTGGCTCCGATCATTCGTCGATCACCGTTGGATCAAGATGTATACAATAACTTAATGAATGTTCAACTAGAGGTGGGTTTTTTGTTGTTGTTTTTGCTGTATTTAGAGGCGAGACATTATAAACTTATTTTGGGTTTAGAAGAGTGATTATCTTACTAATCTGCCGAAGCGCCAGAAGCTTGTCAAAGATCCGATGAGGGCCAAGCTATTCCAGTTTTGTGAAAGTGAACGGCCTCCTTATTATGGGACGTGGAGACAGAAGAGTTCTCTCATAACTGGGAGGAGACCCTGGTTTAAGGCGACTAACGTAAGTAATCTACTTATCACTTTTGTTATTAAAAATCTCGCGGAAAACGGATGGAATGTTGAATTGATGCCTAAGTATTTGATGTTATTGAAAAAGTCTTTTTCAAGGTTAATAATAAGGTGTATTTACAGCAAATTGATTACGAACGTGATTCGGAGAACGAGTGGGAACCTGAGCCTTCTGAAGGGGAGGACTGTAAATCGGAGAAAGCAAGCACAGTATGTTTTGTACTATTTTTCAAAATATTTTATATTTTTGTTATTAGTCAAGTTTAAGCTCAGTTTTTGTTCAAAGACGTAGAGGCAACTTGAAATTGATGTTTTTAGAAAGGCGACGACTACGAGACCGACGACTTCTTGTTGAACCACGGCTATCTGTCATCCAGCGAAGGCAGCGATGGAGAACAAGACGAGAACGGTGTAAATCAACATAACCGACGAGCCGGCGAGTTCAGCTCGGACAACAAACGAAAAGACCTCCGCAAGAAGAGGAAAGAGCTGAAAGTGAAGTGCTACGGGGTGTGCTACAAGATGCCCAACCCGAGCACCATATCCGTCGATCTCCAGAAGCAGATTACTCAGGGATTTTTGTTTAATTACGAGTTAAACTAATTTATTTCGATAAACAGTTGTAATATTCGGCGGAGTAAAAGATATGGGGAAGCACACGGAAAAGGCCCCTCGCCTTTTTCCTCTCTTACGTGAGAGAGTAAGGCCAGCCAACAAGCGAAAGGGGCTAGACACGGACATCCACTTGCATCCTGCAGGCATTCTTGCTTTTTCTCATTTTAGTTTTTTGGTTTAGTGTTTGGAATGACGGCCAAACTACGGCAGCATTCCTTATCCAATGTAAGTTGAGGTTAAAGAGATAATAAAAATTGTTGAATTAATTTAAGTTAAGGTGCTAATTTAATATATTTTACGTTTTACTAAAAATTGGAAGTTAAAACACAAATTTTTAGTTGGTACACGATTGTAATGTAAATTTGGCCAGCTTCCGAAGTGTTATACAAGGCATAGGAACTCCGTCAGACAGTGCAAATCTTAGAAAAGAGGTAGATACCTGTATAAAGACATGTATGAAAACATACGAAGCTACGAAAAGTTGTGTATTACCTCAACTCAAACACGAAGGTAAGTAAACATGTTCGTATCTTGTAGCTTTAGGCACGGAATTCAACAAATACGCGTCTCAATTCATCGGATGCGTGTCTGCTTGCGTAGTGGAGCTGAAGCGGTGTGAAGCCTTGGAGAAGTCGTTCCCTCAAGCTGACGGTCCTAGCTCACCACTAGCCACACCTTACATACCAGAGTTAGAAGAGATATTAGAAAGTCTTGAGAACTTGATCACCGTGCATTATTCTACCAGTGAATCCTCCCCCGACACCAAAGTAACGCCCCGGAGGCGGAGAGGTGGTACCTGCAGACCTCAATGTATGTGTTCCAAGCTGAAGACGAGTTACGCTTAAGGCCTTAGAGATATATGTACATAGACGGACATAAGTTAACTTTATTAAATTATATAAAATAGTTTACATTACGGAATGTGGCAACAATATAACATTACAAGTTCAGTAGTTTGGTCAGCTTGGTTTTCAATGGAATGTAATGATTGTATCTTAATTCACCGAAGTAGGGGAGATGAGTCGTGTACGTGGTGGGTACCTACAATAATATTGTTAGTTGAATGACGTATGACCTTTATAAACCCTGTTAATAGATAACAAACCTCAAAAACAACATAAATGACACCAGAGATAAGGAGCATGATGAGGACGACAGTGAGGATCGCTGATATTAGTCTAAATGCTGTCGATCTCGAGGTAATAAGTTTGGGTTCCGAGTACGATACTCTGTGAACACCATTTCGTTTGACGTCCGGTTCTGGAGGTTTTTCTGTACGTTGTGGTTTGACGGTTACTGTAACAATCTCTTCCTTTGTTACAGTAACACTTTCTTGTTGAACTTCTTCTGCTGGTGTTTCTTCTTCACAGGTTGTCACAATAGTAGTACGTTGTACCTGTTGGGCAATCCCTTCTTCGACCTCTTCCGCTTCTTCTCGGATCTGCACAATGACCTTTTCCTGAATGATCTCCATGTCTCCTTTCTCGTCGAGCGATGTGATTGACTCCGAGACCGAGTTAATTATGGATATTGGCTTCTGCCTCGGGAGGCTGTAAAGTTATTATTCGTAGTAACTTATATAAATCAAAGTAATGGCATTTTAACTATTGCATACTGAAGGAATTATACTTTATTATAATTCAAGCTACTTACGTATGGCAAGAGTAAGACTTCTGGATCCTAGTGTTCACTTCGACCGCCTTCATTTCCTTCATCGTTCGTGCTGTAGGGCATCTGAATAAAGAACCTCTGAAGAGTGGTACTCGAGACCTTGAAAACTTAGGTTTAAAGTCGGTAACAGAAGACTCGTTGTAGAAGATCTTCTGGGACAACAGATGCTTCCACAAATGTTTGGCATACGTCGACTTCGGGCACACGAACTTGAGCTGCTTCTTGTTCGGAGTCGGTAACAAGGCTTCCTACAATAACATAGGTTATCCCTAATAATAATATACTTAATTAAGCTATAAACTTGAAATTCTTTAACTATGGCGGAGTTAATAACAACTTACCTTCATAACGGCTGGTCCTGGAATACTATTCAGCACTGTTTCTGGATTAACACAGTCGGGTTGGTGTAGATATTCTTGGAAGTAGGTGTCTATCAAAGTAAGAACAACATTTTTGCCACAGTGATCAATGTCTTTTATAAACATCCTAAAATTGAAACATCTTTACATAACTCTCAATAAAGCTCTCTGTTAAAACCTAACGTTTAGTATTACCTAAAAAATTAACATACCACGGTATTCTAAAGACAATCTGGTTGAACACAAATCCAATAAAGTACTTGGGAGTGCTGCCAATGACAACATTGATCTCGTTTTTCTGAGTCTAAATCATCAATATACAGTATGATAAGTTACCTTTACTGAGTAGGGATCAAAGCCGTAGGTATCTAAGCATGAGGCAATCCGTAAGAACTGGTCAAACGCATCGTCTTTGCTCCATCCACTAAAATAATTGTTATGGATTAATTTAAATTTACAAAAAAGGACATTACACTTCAAGAAATGTAAACTTTTCTCTTAAGTTACACTTGAAAGTCTAAATACCTGTAAGTTTGGTGAATCTCGGCAATTTTTTCTTCTAGCTTCTCTGACTGCTTCAAGACCAGCTTGTAGCCAGATACATAACCAGGCGGATTCCTTTCTTCGTCATAGTCGCCAATGTTACCTAAAACCAACTTTCAATTGTTAAAATCTGTTCTTTTTAACATAAAAATGATATGATGCTCTATTATCGCTGTTAAAAGTTGTTCCTGATTAATTAGTCTAAACAAACAAACAACAATCACCTTGCAAGATAAGAGCTCCTAACTGAGCAGCCGTTTCATGAGTCGACTGCAACCGCCCATGAAGAAGATCCCTTTGGAGCTGAATACATAATAGATCCCTAAAATCCGATTCAATAATGCAGGATTAACTTACTTTACAACAGGATCTGCAAGATCTACAGGATCAACGGGATAAAAACGAAACCGGAAACAAAACCCAACGTTTTCGTCTAAAACAATATAAATTAGTTAAATATACTATTTGTAAACAACTTATAAATAAACTTTATTTTTACCTAAAATTAATTCAATTCACTTACGGTTGAACTCCCTGTGAAGCGTTTTGTCGAGGTCGAGCCAAAACTAAAACTGGGTTGAAATTACTTGAACAACAACTTACACGATATTTGAATTCAGAATTGTAGCGTAATCCAAAGTATTCCTTGTCCGTGATGTCGAGTCTATTGCATGCCAACTCCAGAATGTCCTTTCCTAATGTGTTTTTCTGCAAATAAACCTTTTGCGAGAGATAAGGTTACCCCAAATTCGTTGGAAATGATCTCGCTGTCGTCCAGAAGCTGGACAGCCACATTGAACTTGGCCAAACTGATAAAAGAAGCCGAACTTTGAATTCGGCGGATCACTCCCGACTTGAAGGAAGCGGACTTGTCGAAAGATGTGTTCAGGAAGTCGTTGTCAGGTTCTTCCATCATGAATTGTTAACTAAAAATAAAATTGGACCAAAGTTACGTGGTTTCTAATATATAAATACACCAGCATACGCAATAACCTTTTAGACAATGTCTCGAATATAATATATTATAAAACATACATGTAAAAAAAGAGAACAAACGTATAGAACCCGAAACCAACTAGAAAACTACCTAAAGCTGAGCAAGTAATGTAAACAACAATGTAAAAACACCCTAATTAGACCAATTAAACCCATTTATTCCAAAAAACAACCAAAGTTATTGTAAAAGAAAATACGAAGCCGCCAGAAGCAGACATAACACGGCCGAGCGTGTCATAACATAAAGGACGCGTTCCTCCATGAATTCAGTAAAATCCCCATTCAAATTTGGCGCCTTTTTGGAGGAAGAAAGTGCGGGAGGTCGGGAATGGCTTTTCGGTAAGAAAATGGTGGATCTGTTTATTGGGGTCAACCGTAATCGCTTTATTAACACTTGGACCAAGGACGTTACTTTAGACATCAAAATTATTATTATTATTAACTTTAAGAACATTATAATAGACACTAAGAATATTATTATAAACATTAGGAATGTTACATTTCTGTTTAGAACGAATTATTATGAATATTAGTTTACAATTAGTTTTTAGGATAGTGTGAAAGACCATTTTAGAGCATTATTAGTGTTATTATCTTGTACTAGTAAAACCTGGAGTCGATTTCTTTTTGTTTCTTCACAAACTTTGAGATCATCAATGTCATGAAAACGGTTGAAACCACAGTGAGCACGAAACCAGGAAGCATGAAAGGCATGACATTGTTAGAATGACATATTTCTTCGATGCCATCTTGTACTTCCTTGTCCATGACCAACATCTCTCCTGTAGCCACATCTAGGTCGAGGAAGTTGTCGATGCTTCTCTTCGGCCGATGGATAAAATCAGTGCTGGTAGTGTTGTCATCCAGGCTGAGAGAGTCTACGTCTATCTTGTCCAATATTGTGTCAAGCTCGTCTTTGTGAGCTCCACACTTTGGGGGCTAAAAAGTGTTTTCTTCAATATCTACATCTACTACAATATAATCATGAAATGTAATTACTACAAGTTGTAACATAACAAAAACAAGCATTACAAAGGGAAAAGATTACGGTAATCTTGTTGCACATATCCATTTGCAGCTGACAAAGCCGAATCTGGCATGTAAAGAATATCTGATTGGAATCTGCATACTTGAACACTTGACTTTGGGCGTGAGCCCTCATCTTGTTCGAGTCGTATCGTACTTCCTCCAGTAGCAGCGAGTCTGACGAGCATCTGAAAGAGTGTTACCTACTGAGGCGTCTTATCTTACCCCGTATCGTCGATTACCAAGTGTTCTTCTCCATCGCCATCGGTGACATAACACTTCTTGACCAACATCCCCATCTGTGGTCCTGAACATTCCCACACATGGTACACCTAAAATGTCATATAAATACTTGCATGAGGTAGAACACATATACACTTTGTACATAACACTATATATATTTACTGATAGTTCGTATATCTCTTACCGTATCGCCAACGTTGCCATAGTTAAGTAACGTTCCATCTACATCCTCGAGGTGGACAGAATATTTGCACACAGGCATACCCATCTCATCCTGCAGTTCGTATGTTGGCAGTGAGCTGGAAGCAAAATGTTATGTCTCTTTTAACTGAACACAAATTATATTTTTGCACCAGAATGAGTGCTGTAACGTTACTGTACCTGACGTGGATTGTGTTGGTAACAATCTCATCGGGTTCCATGTAGAAACACTTTACATGGAAGGCACGGTCGTTCTTGGTTATGAATCCGTTCGGGTGGAAAGATACGATGATTGTGATGCCAAAACTAACTCCTCGAGGGTTGGCCTACAATAAGTTTCTTACAGTTACCTCCTTATAATGTATTAGTACTACCTCAAAAGACAAATGTTAATGTTTAAAAGGTACAGTAATCCTTACATAACCCTGACAACATTAAACTTCAACTTATAATTACACTTATATACAGTTTATTTTACCCATAAAGTAAAGTAATGTTTTACCGATCTTAACCTTTGCATGCCACATTTGCCGAGGCCTAACGAGAAGGGCTGGGAGGTGTTGGAGTGATAGGAATGTTTACATTCAGCATCTCTGGCTCTGCCCTTCACAAAAATATTACCCTCGAAAGGCTTGGCTGTTATTATGTCCAAAGAGACGTTGTCCTCTTCGCAGTTCACTGCCGGGGTACCTTAAAGTAACCTTTTGACAGTGTTGCTTATATTATAGTCTTTCAAGTCACTTTACTACTCAAGTACTATTACAATCTTCACTTTTGTACTTTGATATATTCCACAGTAATAACATGACAATTAAATACAACAACTCAAACCGTGTTTACAAACAGAACGGTGAGCCTTACCAATAATGTAATTATTGAGCAACGAGGGGCTACCGTTAACAACAAGCAGAAACAATACGATCAAGGACGAGCAAGACGACGACATGGCTTGACCCGGTTACAATTGAAATGAATCCGAGGCGGATCAAGGTTAGGGAGTCACGGAGGCGGGGGGATGAGAGTTTAATTGGCACTGCAATTACTTCAACAATACCCACACGAGTAGGCGCACTGTTCCCGCATGAAGATGGGCACCGTCTTGCAGAGGCCCTCGTTCTCCTGGATCCACCGTTTGCACGCGTGTCGTATGTCGTAACAACTGCCCGGCGACCCGTCCCCGAACTTGTACGACTTTCGCTCCGGCTGCTTCGTATTCCGCTCCAGATTCCGCTGAATTATGGCATCTGCCACCACTTTGACGCCGGCCCACGTCTCCAGAGCCGTCGGAATGAGTTGCTGCTCGTCCAGAATGAAGCCGTCCCAGTCTGTAATCACGGTAGCTTTTAGAACAGTCTTACGGTAAAGCTAGGGTAGACTCTTTCTGGTACTATTATAGTATTAAACCGAAACACAGTAACGGCATTAAGAAAATAAGTAATCTCATATTATTTGTAATATACTTTTTACTTCGATTCAAATGAAAAATGTAACAGTTATTGACAACTTCACTTACTTTTCTCATCCGGCCTCAACTCCAGTAGGTAGACGTACTTAACGTTGGCATACTGTTTAGCCCAATCTTCAGAACCACCAGAAGCAGGGTCTAAAAAGTAAATTAAGAATATCGACAAAACCTGAAAAAAGTTAAATATTTATTGTATAATACAAAACTTACAAAGGGTATCAGCACCACTTCCAACTACGTACTTGGTGCCATAAAGCTTGTTCAAAGCTGACGTCGCTTTCTTTCCAATATTATACTGAAAAGATATTAAGAACAAAGTCGACAGTACTGCTCAATAGCTATTTGTCATTTTTCTGGAAACCTTCACCTCTAGATCTATATTAATTGTAAAACTTGATACTACCAACAGCAGATGAAATTACTTTTGTTAATATATACTATCAACCAGCCCAAGAACTCCAAATCCTTACCAGATCCTGCACATCGCCAGGATAACTGTCCTTCTTGTGTCCGTACGGATGAATCCAGATCTGGGAGTAGGTGTGTAGCGTGACAAAGCCGTCGATCCTGCCACGATACCGATTGGAGAGGACGGCGTCTCGAACGGCCCTTAACTGAAATTCTCCATTTCCCAAACGATCAATTACCTGGCTTCGGGCTCACTGAAGGCTTCGGTCCCTTGATAGATCTCAGAGCAAGGATCGTCACTCGAACCAGTTTCTGAAAGTGTTGTTAACTGCTAATGAACATGTTTAACAGTCTGGAGACGGTAGTAAATCAGAAAAGTAAAAGCAGCTCACCTTTGAAATGAAAGTCGAAGTTTCTGTTCAGATCCACGCCTTTGCAACACCGCTTCCGGCCCCATTGATCGTACGAACAGTGTAGCGGACTCCGATTTTTTCGCCACAATCGTACCTGAATGTTTATGTCAATGTATTGCAATATATTTCGCTTATTTTAGTTTATAAACATTGACACTAAATCGCTCTTTTATTGTTTTTACCGATTTATCGCAGACGTCACAGACAAAACAATGTGAAAACAATATTTTGTCGAAAAAACAATATTTTGAAATCGTGTTGTCTACAAGATCAATAACTCGACGGAACGCCACAAAATAAAAAAATTACCTAAATATTTGGGTAATTAATCACTTACGTTCGGATTGGTGGAGCTTCTCGTGAATTCATATCCATCAGGGTTCAGGAGCGGGATGATGACCCAGGTAAGGTCTTCCAAATACTTTGTAACATTCGTGTCTCGCCCGTATTTACTGACCAACTAGCAATTACTGTGCTTTCGAAATCACTTACCTGATGTATGAAGTGGAGTGCCGTGTGGGAGGCGGCCCATTCTCGGGCGTGGATCCCACCATCGATCCAGAAGACGCGTTTGTTCGGCTTCTTGGTCCCGATCTGAAGTTATTCAAAACTTAAAATTAGGTAACAAAAACCTTATTTTTATGATAATAAGCTCATAGTTTGTGTCGCAGTTTTAAAAAACTAAAAACCGTTAATTAAAGCGTAAATTATATAATTAGATAACAAAAGTTTGGTATTTTTATGAAAACTCCATAAAATAGGGTGATTAGCAGAAAGCAGTGCAAAACTTGATAAAAATTAAATAAAAGTAAAATTAGGTATAAAACCGAGTCTTTTTTGTTGTTTTGTTACCTCAAGACCCTCAATGGATCTTCCTTCATGTGTTTTTCCAATGGATATGAACTGTAAGATGTCAGGATACTTTCGGGCCAACTTCCTCATCCAGGAAGTGATTTGTGAATAAGACCCGTACTGTTGAAAGTCATACGAGGGTTCGTCTACATCATCTCGCATCTTTCGATCCCAGCCATATTTGATGGGTTTCTGTTCTCTGTCGATTATTAACCTGAATTTGAGTTAGGTTAATATGGAGATGAACAAATACTTTCGAATATTGGCCAATAATAATAACGTAAGTTGTTGATTTTAATTTTGAAAGCTTTGGCTACCTTTCGACGTCGTTTATTATGATTTGAGAAGAGATGCCGTGGGTGTAGAACAGAGACGTGAGGTCGTTCACCTTGTCTTCAGGTAACATAATGTCCACGGATCCGCCTAGACGGGTGGGGGAGGTCCAGAAGTTTACCTAAACAGTATAATTGTATTGTGCAATCACAACCTGTATATTAAGTTGAATAAGCTAAGAGGATGCTGCATTCTTCACCTAAAAAGCAATATGATATTTTACTAGCCCGTACCTGATTGTCAGTTGCATTTAACTCGAGATTCTCAAGGAAATGGAGATCGGGGATGGAGCGGGGTACCACACGCACCACCTTGAAGGTGGCCTTCTGAGCAAAAGTCGTGGAGCTGAGCAGAATTATGAAGATGAACAAAACCCCCATTAAAATGAAGAACATCCGTCTGATGGCTGGCTGGATCAGCGAAGTAATAACAACTCAAATCGGATTCGGAGGCGGGGTGGAAGCGGAAGGAATGACAAGACAGATCTTTCTTCTATAATAATAAAAAACACTTGTGGTCACAATTATTTATTACATGTAAAGCTAACACTTATATCACAGATACCAGTCATTTGTGAGATACCCTCGGTCGAGATTCGGTTATTAATGTTGTAGTCTACTACAGTATTGCGGTTCTACTCTGTTAGAGTTGGACAGTATGGTAATCGGATGCGGTAAGAGAGACCGCATCAAACTATAATACTGTAACAGTCAATATTAAGTTGATTTCAAAGGTAGTTAACAAAGGTTGCAACTCTTGGCACAGCGGTCTTTCATGCTTGGCCACGCCGTGCAGGCACCGTTCTCGGCCCAATATGGACAGAAGTTGTCGTAGTCGACACACTCCCGCTTCTGAAGCCGGCTTTGCGTGGGTCCAGCCATGTAGCGGACCGTCTCCAAGGCTATCACTTTAATTGCCTCCCACGTCTCTCGGCAAGTTGGAACGATCTGAAATGGCAACTTTTAGTTATTGTCGCTTCAAGTATATATAATTCTAAAAAGAATGTAACAGACGCTTGTTGTATGAGCAATATACTTACTTCTCGTTCTGCTAACAAAAATCCTTCGGCTACAGTGTCATCAGGCCGAAGTTCGAAGAGAAATGAGTACTTGATTCCCATTCTGCCCTTGGCCCAATCTTCTGAACCTCCTGACGCTGGGTCTAAAACGCAAGGGCTACATTGTCTTAGAAGTATTATACTACGAAAGATAGCAACCAACTCAGTGTGTATTTGCATGAGCACTTACAAAGAGTGTCGGCTCCAGTACCGACTGTGTATTTGATGCCGTACTGGGACTGTAGTGCTTGAGCGGCCTTCAAAGCAGTCGAGCTGAGATCGTCCACATCATTTGGGTATGTCCTTAGGGCATGGCCAAATGGATACATGAGGATTTGGGAGTAACTGTGAAATGTCATAAAAGCCTTGATTTGACCGTTTAGTCCAGTCACAAAGTCGCGGACTGCCCTGGTTTCTGGCTCACTGAAGGCGAATCTTCCCTGAAACAATTGAGAGTTACATTACTTCGATGTCAAAATTTCCCTTTTATAAAGTAAGATCTATTTCAGACAATAATGTTATAAAAAACATTGTTCACACCTACATTGTAAATCTCTGAGCACGGATCAGTGGAGGAGCCGACTTGGCCAAAGAACCAATCAAAGTTTCTGTTCAGATCCACACCCTGGCAACAAATGGTACGTGGCACCGAAAACACGCCTAAAATCACAAGTTTACATACAGTACAGTGTTATCAGCATAATAATACAAAGATATGTTAGCCATTTTTATCAGTACTTACCAGTACTTTGAGTTGTGCACTGGGCAGGAGATCGATTCTTCCTCCACAATCTGACTTCTGGGTCGAAACTACTCCTACTGTACTCGTACCCATCTGGATTCAACAATGGTACTATGTACCAGTCGATGTTGTCTACCAAATGTCGGATTTGCGGGTTGGTGTCGTATGATGTCACCAACTGAAATAGAACTTTTAATTATTTTATATTTGTTTTCATTTTGGATGTAAATCATAGTTCAATTCAAAGCCAGAACTAACAATATAAACAACCCTTTTATAGTTGTGTTACCTGGTCGATGAAGTAGATAACCGCTGCTGGAGACACCCACTCTCGAGCGTGAATCCCACCGTCAATCCAGATTCCTGGATTCTGGCCGTTCCCTTTGTTGGAGCTGATCTTAATCAAGGGGATCTGTCGACCTTCGTGGGTGGTACCGATTGGCTGTACTCGTACTATTTGAGGATAGTTGATGGCCAAAGAGTTGAGGTAGTTGATCATCTCCCCAAACGAGTGGTACTTAGCCAGGTTGAAGTTGACTCGTTTGAAGGGAGGATCGTACTGTACTCGCTCCTTTCTCTTCGGAGAAGCATCTTTGCTCCGCTTCAGAATCAGGCTGAAGTCACGGTGTTTAGGTTATCATTGGTTAAAGTTATCACTCATTGGTTTGAAATGTCAAAAGTCATCGCTAGTTTGTTTAATGGTCATTATTGTTGACTTCTGAAGAGAAAACTCACTTTTCGACGTCGTCGATCATCACCTTGTGAGTCATGTTGAAGAGGTCCACTTTGTGGAGGAAGCCATCAATTAGCACGTCTTTGACCATGACGTCCGCCGTGTCTCCGACGCCCTTCGCCTCCTTCCAAAAGTTGTACTGAAACCGGGCGAAGTCAGGTAATTGGGGGCACGTGGGAAAAGGGGCGGGGTAAAGTTCAAGGAGACGGTAAGAGAGGCTTTCAAGGGCATTTCCGTTACAAAAACACAATATAAACCTTGTTTTACTTTATACATGTCATCTTGAGACCTACCTCATTCGACTGTTCCACCAACTTGGACATCATCCTGAACTGAGCATCGTTCTCTATATTCAACCGGTATACTGTATATTTCCTTTAAATATCATCATTACCCATCTGGTACAACTTACTTGGCCGCCACTCCCGACAAAATGGTACACAGTACCAACCTGAGTATCATGGTCTCCGTGATTAGTCTAGCGCGACATCTGAAAAGAGTCGCGAAGTAAAAACGGAACAGCGAACTGATCTCGACATCCGGGCGAGAAGGATTCAGAAGTGAAGTAAGTCGGCTCGAGAAACAGAGCATGTCGGACACAAAAACTACCTCAAGTCAAGTTTCAAACTGGTTTGTTACAATAGCAGTTGCTATGTTGCACAGCATTTTAGGCGACAATTACAAACAATTTCAAGTTTCAAAGTAAAGAACGTTACCATCAAAGGTAACATAGAAGGTAACACTACTATCAAAACATAAACAATATTAACCATGACCGCAAGAAGACAAAAAGGAACGAAACCGGGGAACCATGTTGCAGTAGGCCAAGTTGCTTCGCAAACGAAGAGCACCCCTTGATATCATCTGTCTGCGTAAAAGTGAAAAGAGTAAATACCTCAAAGTAAAAAGGTGCGCAAGCCTCAACTTGCTTGTGGCCTGCGGGGAGATGACCGAGTGTTAAAAAAGATGATCGTTAAGCCGTCACCCCGCCCTCTGCTGGTTCTTCTACCTCCAAGTCGGCCCTGGATCAGCTCTCCGCCCCGCGCCCAGTCTATCGCCGCACCGCAGACGACGTGATCTTTCCCCGACTTCTGAATCCCCTGGATTGCTGGATTGCCCTTTTTTGGAAAATCTTCCCTGCCCAAATAAATCTTCCCTATCTTATTGAAAAACCCCCCTCCCCAGTAGTCTCCCCCCGCCTAACGGAATCGCCCCCTCCCCACCGAATCGCCCCCTACCCTCCCGACTCATTGCGAGGGAATTTCCGTAAGCCGGTTATGTGACTTTGTCTTTCAGCTTTCAGCGACCAGTTTTTCCTTTGTTGATGAATGCCGCCCCCAAAAAACTCATTATTTATACATGATACAACACATACAAAAGATATAACAACGAGATCTACAGCTTCAGATTGTGCAAGAACTTGTTCGGCGTCACCATGAACACGAACACCAGGATCAGGATCAGAAGGACCAGCACGCAGCTGGCCAGGAGGGCCAAGTGCGACGTCGTCAGGCACACCACCTTGCTCTGGTCCTCCATGGACTTGGTTACCAGATCCTGAAGTACAAAGGGTTATTGTGAACGTACAGAAAGTGCTGTTGTGGTACTACGATACATTTAAAAAAATGGTGATATACTCAAAATTATACCATAATTTAAAGAAATTTTGTTGTTCTAAAAAAATCTTGAGCACCCTGTATGCAAAATGAACACTGAAATTACATTTCTGACACCGTACTATGCTATTCAATTGCTGAATGTAAGTGAACGATGACTTACAGTAGAAGACATTGATGATATGGCTTGACGCCTTAACCTTATTTGGGTATGGATCCGTTCTACAGAAGAAATGGCACCAATCGGATGGGTAAAGTGCCGTCTGTGACGTTTGGTTACCGTGGTACAGTTGTTGAGTTCACACGAGCGACTCATACACACTCTCAGGTTGCAGAAGATGTTCACTTCGTCACTAAAAGTAACAGAACATGATGAAGATGCAAAAAAGTTAAAAAAACGTTGAAAACTTATACTTAGAATACTGTTTTGCCACAATGACATAACTATGTTAAAAAGAAGCCTTTGAACTATCAACTCGCTTTACCTTGTCGGGAATGCCCATGCCTTGATCTTGTTGACGAAGATGACCTCTTCATCGTTACTCGACCGTTCGAACGAGTTCCAGATGCTCGCTCGAGGCTGTAGCGTGCACCCATTCTCATCACTCAGCTCCAGATTCGACTTGGCGTCCGTAGCCCAGCATCTGCTGATTTGGGTGTTGGCTACTGGCTTCTGAATCTTCACTACGTAACTCTGAAAATAAATATTGATATCTCAAAAACTATTTGAATTTCGAAACTTTGTAATTAAAAAGTTTTAAATTCAGCTGAAGATGTAAAGACGCAACATACTGTGGTGTTAGTATTATAGTTTTCTTGGCAGTAAAACGAAAATAAACTTACAATAGGGTCTCCGATGTTGAGAGCTGTGAACGATGTAGGAGAATCAGATGAATGTCCGGCTCTGATCTCTACCGTATACTTCAACGGTGGCTTCGTGGAGTCAGGAGGTAGTGAAGCACTGATAACCTCTGGAGTGGTATGACTGTTATCAATGGTTACTCCGCCAAAGTCTACCGTAATCAGCGATTCTCTGAAGTATTTAATTACTGTATTTTTCAAAATAAACAAAAATTCATCTTTTGGCACAAGCAAATTTTTAATTCGTACCTAAAACTGAACTTAAAATATTTTTTTTCAAAATTTTGAGACTTCAATGTACGGTAATTTCTTCAGAACTAGTACCTTTGTGGTCCCACTGGCACCGTGCTGGGAATGCAGGTCAGTAGGTACTTCTTGTCAGTACTCTGCACGAATCCAGAATTCTCCTGCACGATGATGGCGTTCTCAAAGTTGCCATCTTCGTTGGTTCTGGTCTCACAACCGACCAATGGTATCTTCAGTTGGTAGTTGCGTTGAGGTAACATGGTACCGTTGACGTAGACACAGTTGGGGTAGTCATCTTCTGAATACACGATTCCACGAAATTCGGAATCAAAGCTCAACGATAACACAAAGTCTTTCTAAAAACATTATTTTACAAATCCAATAGTATAACATAGATATATTATATAAACGAATTATTTTTACTATGGTTTAACATATATTTCGAAATAAAACAAGGTAATTTAAAATATCTAAATTACGAAATAAAGCACATATACCTAATTATATACAGTAAATCAACTATAAAAAATAGTACCTGATCACAAGAGACACTGGTGTCCAGAAGCTTGGCCATCTCGACGAGCTGGACGAGACATACCAAGATGGGTAATATGTTGTAATCCATGAGGGAGAGACCCGGGCGACGGAGGGAGAAGGGAATGGTCAAGGCGCCATTATAGAGGGTACCTCGCTCGTATAATTACTACGGTAATAACAGTGTAAAGCGAGCGACGCCCTGTGTTCCCCCGATTTAATTACCGCGACCATGGAGAAGAAAGACCCTTCTCGAGGTGACGCAAGCACCGACAATGCCCTTATCAGTGGCCGATTGCTCAGTCGAGACTCTCGAAATGCGACAAAGTTTGTTGGAGGGCTGTATCCGTGCTGTAGTACATCATCCCGATGTCGACAACTACAGTAACCGCTTCCGTCTTCTGGAGCACATACGACAGGTGGGACCCTAAACGAGGTTAATGGGGCCGATTTCAGATAATTAAGTACGATGAGGAGAGCTTCGAAATGGTGGTCAAGAAGGAGGAGACATCGGTAGGAGCTAGGTTAATGTAATTTAGGAGCTATATTAGTATAACATAGTTATACGACATGACATTAAGACTTACATGACATATATAACACTACAAACACAATTTAAGTAGCCGTACCAAAACTTGTTTAGAATAATGTGATTGCAGATAGAGTACTGCATTGACGTCGAGATTCAGACTTCTGGAGACAAAGTGAGAGAGTTCATGTTACAGTTGGAAAGGTAATATCTTACTGTAACTAAGCAATAAGGGTTACATGAATAATATAAGACGTAGCCTTTGCACTTCAGATGCGATGGAGGATCGTGCGCAACTTCCAATAAGACGATACGAACCAATGAGAAGTTATCAATGTAAGGTCTACAACTTTACTGTTCGTATCTTAGACTACCTATATAAAGAACCTGGCCTACCCTCCGGCGCTGTATGCAATATCATCTTAACCTGCACTTTAAATCGTATTTTAGAACTCTTCGTCACGGTCAGAAGTCTATAATGAAGGTGGCTACAGTACCATCAGAAGTACAGGCAAAAGAACACAGAAGTCACGTCTTCAGAAGGCTGTTCGAGAAGAATACTGTAGTGGCTACGATAAAGACCAAACATATGAAGATCGACCAGGAGAACAGCTTCAAGTTGGCTTCTGATGCCATTCTCAAGTGCAAACTCAAGGTACTTTCACATTTACTACGGTACATTATTAGTTTATGTAACCGTGACAACAAATGATTACTGTACTTTTACAGAAAAACTATGACTACGGTGACCGACTGGTACTGTCCGACCTGACCTGCTTGATCTCCATGTTGTCAAACAGCTTGACCTCAGAAGACTTATTCGAGACTACAGTACTCGTACTGCGCTTAGTCTGCGACTTTTACAGTATCGAGTGGAGTACCTGCGAATTACTGTAAGTTTGAAAAATTGATACCGTACTTACTTGAATGAGTACTGTAAAATACAGTAATTGTGCTCAATTGTTACGATTCAGGTTGGTAGACCGACTTCTGCATATCGAATTGGACGACAAGGACAACAACAGTAGCCAGTACTGTAATAACGCTTCTGAAGTGATAGCAGAACGGCCTCAGATACTTCAGAATGTGGCAGCGAATCTGATTAACCGGGTTCAGAACTTCTTGGCTGAAACTTCAGATTCCGCCTTCTTTTCGCTTCAGATGGATCTGAATACGGTATCGTCGGTGCTACAGTTCTTTAAGTATGTAGCTACCACGTTTGCTTTTACCTTGGTAAAAGATAAAGGTGACAAGACAAATCTTTTTAAAAATACCTTATAGTAGTGTATTACCAAAACTTTCAGACCGATCACAAAAGCCCTGACCTACTTGGATCAGCCCAAAGTAAGACAGTCTATTGCTGCTCAGCTACATACGAAGCTAAACAGCTCGCTTCACCTGAACGATGTCATGAATGCGGCTCCAGACATCACGGTACTAATTCAGATTATCAACCGGTTGACTTTTAACCTCAGGAAGTTCAAGATCGCCTACTCCAAGCTGTTCAACTTCTTCAACGTCGTGTATACAGATGTCATCGACAAGCGAGTTGCCCGTACGGTAAGATACCGTACCCAATACAAATTGTTTCAGATATTATCTCAAGTCGACAATCACCTGAATCGCTCTCTGAAGACGTTAGATTCGAGAGATGATCAACAACTGAAGGTATTCACGAAGAGCACGATGCAACTGTTCGCTACCCTCAGGCAACTTTCAAACTTTTTGAAAAACGAAAGGTAAAATACAATGACATAGGTTAATGTCACTTTCAGTGGCAACACAGTACTAGAAGACTTTGAGAAACACTTCTACACGTGCTGCATCTTCTGGACTCACGGGTGGCGAGGTCTGTACCTCGGCTTCATCAAGAAGGTAAATATTGATCGTGTTAATATAAATAATCAAATATTACGCTAAACTCAATATACTCCTTTACTCTAGTGTGTGGAAGACTCGCGCAACCTGGAAGACGAGCTTCCTGTCAATCCCTTCCAGATAAACGACTATGCCAGACACAATGTTGACATAGAGGAGAGCGCCGTCTTGTGCCTGGCCTTCTGTAAAGCCTTTTGTGACGATGTCGTGAGTCTAGAGATTCAAGATGATGGTATCTCTCTACTGTGTTACCTACAGGCTATTTCGGTATTTCTTTTTCAAAATTTGTATATTTTATATAAGATTACTTTAACCTAACATCAAACATATTATATGTTTTGCTTTAGATTCTGGCAGACAGTGTGGTTATATACGGAACCAAGTTACATCAACAAGCGTTAAGTCAACGACTGACCTACTTTGACGTGAGTACTCACCTATGATAATACAATCAGATTTCAGCTGACAAAAGCCGCTAATGGCATCGAGCACGCTTGTGATCATCTGATATCAAACTTCGAACGCTTCCTCAACCTCAAGAATTTGATCGTACGACTGAACCCGGACGAGAAGACCCAGATCATCGGTAGCGTACAGAAGCTACTGAGGGTTACAGAGAAGCGGTGCAAAGACCTGTCAGGCGATCTGATCAAGAACATGTGCATTCACAAGTACGAGCCGTTACGACGACAGTGTGAACAGATCACTTCTACTGAGAAGAAGATAGTAAGTTCATTTGGTTACAGTAATTCCAAAACTACCGTATTTTCCCCGAAAAATCTTTAGATGAATAATGTTAAAAAGATAAAATACAGACCTACAATACCTCCACTAAACACAGTATCCCTTTAAAATGACTTCAGATTCGCCACGGTGACCCTACAGAAAGCCTTCTGACTCTGGTGGAGCGGTTGTGTACTTGCCTTAAGGGGACACTGTTGCCGAGACTGTACTACGTGGCTGTGGATCTGATGTGGAAGGACGTGATTGGCACGATAGAAGAGTCTCTGAAGGACGGACAAACCAATTCCTACTACGATGTCATATACGTAAGTCATCATACAACAAGAATAAAATATACTAATCACCGTTACCACAATATAAATACTATTCAGAAATCGTGCGAGGCTGTAGCCGAACTTCTGAGTGTGGATTGGAAGCGAAACAGGACGGACTGCCTTAGGTCAACGTTGTTCATGAACAAAACCTCCACAGTCGACCTCATCCTACAGTACTGTGTCAATCTCTGTGACATCACCACCAACACACCCATTAAAGGAAACGTTCCGTTCGTCACTGTGAAGCTAGGCTACATCCAGACGACGAACCGCCACATCCTGCTTCAAGTGGAGGTCGTGTCAGGGTCGAATCTGCCAGTTCTGGACGGTCTCTCCAAGTCTTCGGACCCCTACCTTAGAGTAGAACTGTATCCCCACTGTCTCTACAACGTCAAGGACTTCCCAGCTTACACCACGGCTACACGCTACAAGACCCTGAATCCAGTTTGGAATGAATCTTGTCAATTGTAGGTATACTCAATGTTTATTCCATGCTTTCAGTCTGATCCGAGAAGACATGTTCTTCCTGCACGGGTCCTCGTTGTGTATATCCATGTTGGACCAAGATGTATTCAGCCACAACGACCTTGGAGGTCAGGCCTTCTACCCGTTGGCCGCCATCCCTCGCGTTCAGCCTTCAGACCCTCTCAAACAGTACCAGGTACCATTGGTACTGCCTTTAAAACAACAATTCAACTCTCAGTTCGAGGTAACAATCATATCTATATCATTCCAAAGTCATCATATATCATATTACAATGTACTCTTGTAAAATTACATACGGTGACTGATCACTACGGTATAAAAGTACTAGGTATACTGTACCTTTCCAGATCCTAAAACAACGTCATCGTCGCGACAAGATGGCCAAGGAGTTCGTGGACTACGAGATGTACATCAGTAGCTACCGTATGCTTCCCACGAGTGCTGTAGACGAGAAAGAGTTCTCACTGACCAAGTGGATTCAGAAGCGGAAAAGAATCCGAAACATGATGAAAGGCTTTATTTGATGGCTTTAACTACACCCACTATCTCCGCCGAACCCAAACACACGTTGCCGTGGTAAAAGACACAGTTCTGAAACATACTATACAGTAGTAACAAAAACCAAGTATAAATATAGGCATACGTGCATGATATAAATATATATTCATATACTTCAAAATAATATTATATTATCCATGTTGAAGTAATTTTAAAGGATTACCTGTCCTGGAGCTGCTGCTCTAACAGGTAGTTGGGATTCGAGTATGTTATCATGTAAAGTGCATCTTACAGTAGGATGCACTCTTTGCGACCTGAACTCAAAGTGGGACACCTCTGGTATCCCGTTGATCCAATGTGGAGTACCAAGTTGGATGCGGCGAGAGTATAAAACTGGGTTGAAGAAGCCTCGGCACTAAAATATTATATTATTATTAAGTCGAACCGTAAAGAATGTGACGAGTGCTCTATGTTGTGGTACTCTACAGGCTTAGTTTTAAAAACACATTACTGAGTAAATATATTACTACTTTATATAAATATCGAACCATAACTTACTACGTAAACAGTATTCTTCTCGGCATCAAGACTGGAAACGTAGAAGCCATAGTGAGTAGGGCACCTTCTATCCAAGGCTACCCTCTTGCCTATAGTAAAGTGATGTATACCATTGTGAGTTCCAACTATCGAGTTAGTGTCCATGTCAATCAGAGGCCCTTCCTTATTTGGTATATACTAAAACAGCATTAACGTAACATTAATATTAAATAAATAGATTTAGTCGCCGAATCGTCGAAAAATACAGTAATCTTAATTATGCTCGTTTAAAAAACATGTCATAAAAACGATTAAAAGACGACATTGTCCTCACCTTTTCTATGAACTCACTAAAACTGCGTCTCTTCCCAACATAACACAGCCCCATGCTCTCCTTCTTCTCCGCCAACTTCTGAAGCCCTTGCTCCACGGCCATCTTCTTTACAGCCGGCTTCAGAAGACCTCCGATTGGAAACATGGACCGAGATAACTGAGCTTCCGTCATCCGTGACAAGAAGTAGGTCTGGTCTTTTATCACGTCAACGGCTGTCAACAACTGTGGCACTTTACCTCAAATTGATATTGTATTTGTGTCAACTTTACTCTTACAGTTCCTTCAGTAGTTAAGATACTGTAATTCACAATCAAAAGATACTTTAAAGTAGGTAACAAACTCGCCTGTATTGTGTAACTCCAAGAAGTTTCCCAGAGAATTCTGAGCGTAATGGCCTGTGGCAACAGCTTGAACGTCCAACTTCTCCATCGCATATTGATGTAGAGCTTCGAACTTGATCAGAGCGTTGCATTCTATGTCGGCTACTAGAGTTTTGCCCGACCGATACCCGTCCAAGAACTTCCTAAACCTTTTATAATTAACAAAACAGTTGTTTCATACTGTAATGACTTAAAATCAGAAACTTGCTCAAAAACGTTGTTCCAGTAGTCCTTTACAAAGTCTACGACATGAAACGGAATCCCTAGATGCTGACACACTCTCTCGGCATCAAATTGGTCCAAGGTCCTCGGACAATGATTCTCGCCTTCTTCTACAAAGTCCCAATTATTCTGCAGACTTAGAGACTACCAACACCCTACCATATAAACACCAACCACTTCGAACCCCTTCTTCTTCAAGATACTGGCACTAACTGCACTATCCACGCCTCCAGATATGGCACATGCTACCCGTCTTATCATTATCTGAACTGAATGTCAATGCACATAATACAAATTCGTTCAAAACTTGAATTAGAGTAAAACCTACTACAATATATTCAATGTTGTCATCAATACTGTGTGTACTTTCAACCATAATATGCTTCTCATTCCCAATATATCAAAATTATTTATTGAAAGTAAATAACAAAGCCTAATAACAAGAACAACAACTAGGTCACCATCAATGTGACAATGTCATCAGCCTTTCCCAGCATTCTCAGCTTCGAGTTCTTTTAGCTTTTCTGCCAGCCTCTTAGCTTCCACCTCTCTTCGCTTCTCCATTTCCTCCAACTGTTTCTGAGCTTGCTCATTCCTCTCCAAGTCAATAAACTTGTTGCGTTCTTTCCTGATAAACGCCAATGCCTTCTGTTTGCCATAGTGTTGTAGGTCTTCATGATCCATGTCCTCGGTTTGATTGCGCATGTACGCTGCCAACTGATACACATCGTTTCTATCAACTACCTCTTGCTTCTCTTTTCGAACGAATAAGCCAAAATACTTGATCAAGTTAGCACGCTGTTCTTCTGACAATCTTCTGTATCCCTAAAATACTACAATAGGTAATTTCTTTAAAAAATATTGCAGTATAGGTTTTGCAAAGTATAAAAATACAACTTGAATTAGCAAACAAAACAAAATGATTGTAATAAACAAATAAACTAACCTCATGTGCCGTCAAATCAACTTCTTTACCTTCTTCCTGAGCTTTTGCCGAAATGCCAAGGATCTAAAACAATAATGATTTAGAGGCAAAAACTTACTTCATAGAACTCTCTCATCATTATTGTGTTCTTCTCCCTTTTTTCTGGAGATATCTCATGATAACCAAATTTGTAATCAAGAGTTGAGTGGACTCTATCTTCTGATTCTTTTGTAGGTAAAGGCCTAAAAAGATTACTTTATATTCGCTTAATAAAAATGTCTTAAAAATTCCTATTCTTTGTTGAAAACCATTAATCCTACGTCAAAATGTGCGTTTAGTATAATATAACAATAATATTGACGTAATTACCTTGAAGACTTGAATTCCTGAGGTTCTGTTGAATGAATGGTAATCTTGTTTACCTTGTCAATGAGATCGTCGTTCCTCCTTCGCACTTCCTAAAAACATTCACAATAAACATAAAGCTACAAACCTTGGCAAGGCGTTCATCTTTCTGAGCAATGTCGAAGTGCTTCTGATCTGTGGGATGCTTCGGAGCCAGTACCTTCTCACCTGCTTCCAATTTTTCAAATTTTTCTATAGATTTTTTTTGAAAAACTGCCGTCTTGGCTTCTCCGCCGAACTTGTTCCATAACTTCTTCAGCACCATTTCCGAAGATTTACTAATTTTATCCTGTAAAATATTTGTCGAACTGCCCCCTTGCCTTCTGCAGTCTGCCACAAATTCGATAATTTATATGGACGAAAAATGGTCTTGCGCGATTCGATTGTTTTATATTTTTATCTTCTTGTTATCATATCAAGATGTGAAGAATATATAATTTACATTATTTACATTCTTTTTTGATTTGCTTTTTTTACAATGACAGGTTTTGTTCAAATTTTGCTTGTTTTAGCAATTTTTTGTTAAAGATTTTAGATAACATTTTCGTAAAGTATGCTTATAATTTGCTTGTTTTAACATACAGTCTATTTCTTTTTGTAGATTTCAAAATGAGGTTATCATATCCAGATGGACTGACTCCAGATATTGAGATTGCCGAAGGCGGCACTATGTTAGAGAACAAAACGTATGTTTCTTTTATATCAGTGGAGGTGCCTATGTACAATATAATAAATTAACTACATTTCAGAAAGTTTGCGGACTTGAAGGTTATGTTGGACAACAACAAAGAATCAGTCAAAATCGAAGCCATGAAACGTATCATAAATGTAGGTATAAGTTATTCAATATTAGCATTTAAATGATCTTGAAATTAAATTGCGTTTTAGATGGTAGCCAAAGGAAAAGATGTTTCCGAACTGTTTCCAGCCGTTGTGAAGAATGTGGCAGTCAAACATCTTGAGGTAGGTGTCAATTGAATCGATTATTCTCTTTATAGCTCAAGAAGTTGGTGTACGTCTACTTGGTACGGTACGCTGAAGAACAACAAGACCTTGCTCTTTTGTCAATTAGCACATTTCAACGAGCTTTAAAGGTAAGTAATCGTTTATATTAATATTATCGTTTAGGATCCGAATCAACTGATTAGAGCCAGTGCCCTCAGGGTATTGTCATCGATTCGGGTACAGATGATAGCACCAGTCATGTTGTTGGCCATCAAGGACTCTGTCAGAGATATGAGCGCTTACGTTAGGAAAGTGGCTGCTCATGCTATACCTAAACTTTACTCGTTAGATCCAGATCTCCAGGAACAGCTAGTTGAATGCATCGACTTTCTTTTAGGTAAGACATTTTCAGCGAATAGAATCATTTGGTTTTGTTATAAAACGTCTATTAACGTAAATGACAACTTTTTAGGTAACAAAAGTATGCTTTTGCTATTAAATTCTTATTAATGTTATTGTAGGTGATAAGAGGACGCTAGTGCTGGGTAGTGCTGTTCATGCCTTTGAACAGATCTGTCCCGACCGTTTGGATCTGCTTCATAAACATTATCGCTCACTGTGTCAAGCTCTAGTAGACGTAGATGAATGGGGTCAGGTTGTGATGATTGGTCTCTTATCCAGATATGCTCGTACTCAGTTCACAAAACCAGAAGAAGATGCTCGATTGGACCCAGACTACGAGTTTCTGCTGTTGTCTGTCCGAAGTCTGTTACAGAGTAGAAACTGTGCCGTAGTAATGGCTGTGGCGCAGTTATACTTTTACACTGCTCCTAAATCACAACTGCCAGTTATACCTCGAGCTTTGATAAGATTGTTGAGAGGGCCTAATGAAGTACAATATGTGGTTCTGGTGAACATAGCTACGATATGTGCTGTGAGGGATGACGACGACCAGTCGGTGTTTGGTGCCATTAAGGTAATTGTTTTGTAATTGTGTTTTTATTATCGGTTTTACTAAATTTTTAATACAAAACGTTACTCATTACCTACACTTGCTTATTTAGAGTATGTTTGAGCCATTCTTGAAAAGTTTCTTTATCCAAAGCTCGGACACAAGGCTAGTAAAACAACTGAAGTTACAAATCCTGACTTGTTTGGTGACAGAAACTAACGTTCAGATGGTGGTCCGAGAGCTGCAGGTAATTTAAAATATATTTTTTCTTTCTAACTATAATTTTGATATTATCATTATTAACTTTTTTGTTAGGCTTATCTTCACATGGCCGACTTGGCTGGACTAGCCATCGAAGCGATCGGCCGTTGTGCTTTAAAAGTCAACTCGGCTGAAAGTAATTGTCTCTCATTGTTGGTGAACATGATATCGAGTCAGAAAGAGAACATCGTATGTTCTGCTGTAGTGGTGCTGAAGAGGTTGTTACACACAGAAGCGCCAGAATCTCTTTTAAAACGAGTAGTCAAGCTGATTCCAAGTATCAAGAACTCAGCAGCCAAGGCTTGTGTTGTCTGGTTGGTGTGCACTCATATTGACAAGGTAATCTTTGACTTTATGTTAAGGATAATATAGTTTTTATAATAGCTTAAGCACGAGTATTTGGAAACTTAATAATATTTTTAAACTAATAAATCTATTACAGCTTTCCGTTCTGGCTCCAGATGTTCTACGTGTGATAGCAAAGAACTTCTGCGAGGAATCAGATGAAGTCAAACTTCAAGCCTTAAACTTGAGTGTTCGTCTATGGGCGAAAGATAGACAACGTTGTGAACTGCTGGTGAAATACGTGTTGCAGCTGGCTAGATACGACCGGTCATATGACATTCGAGATCGCTGTAGATTCATACGGAACTGTATCTTCAGGAACAGCGTGTTCCCCATCGAATGCTTCCTTCAAGACAAGCCTACACCCTCAATGCAGAGCCAGTTCGGAGATCGTGAGCAGTACCAGTTGGGAACGCTGTCACATCTTTTGAACCAGAAGTGCGTCGAATACTGTGATCTTCCAGAATTTCCTGAAGTTGCTCCGGATCCAACTATCAGAAGATCAGCGAGACCATTGCCTAGTGAACTTAACAACCACAACAACATGAGGGAGGACTCTGAAGAAGAGGAATCTGAATTGAGTGACGAAGAAGAAGAAGGCGACGATAACGAAGAAGCAGAAGAATCAGCCGAAGAAGAGGAGGAAGAAGAAGACGAGGAAGAAGAAGATGAGGACGAAGAAGCTGAGGATGAAGAAGAAGAAGAAGAATCTTCTGAAGAGGAGGAAGAACTAGTTAACGTTAAAGAAGCAGAGCCAGTTAAGGTATCCAACAAGAAGCCGATTATTAAGAAGGCTTCGAATGATCTGGACCTGCTTCTCGATTTGAACTTTGAAACGTCGATTCACACTTCACAGTACTCGAGGGCCTCTTCAGTACAACCACAGGACTTCGTTGTAGCTTTGGATCCGTTGTTTTCAAACGGATTGGGAGTCAAGACCTGCTTCAACAGAGTTCTGTCAGTTAACAGTAGCTGCATGGTAAACTGTGTGTGGAAGGTTTGTTTTCAGACGGACGAGAAGAAGACCGTGGACGTCAGATTTGTGTTTAATCAGGTAACTGAAACATTTAAACAGTTATAATTTTTAATTATATTTTATGTTTGATGTCTAAGTTGTTGTATTGCAGACAGCATCACAAGGAGTTAAGTCGAGTGGGGATGTGAATATCTTTGGATTATCTACAGGAGATGAGAAGACAATATCAGTAGGAATCGACTTCGACGATTGCTGTAGGAAGGCTGTGTGGACAGTAGATGTGGAGGGGAAGACATACGATGTAAATGTCACACCGACTCCACTAGATCTGGTAGAGGCTATTGATATACGCTCTGATCAGTACCAGCTAGAAGAAAAACGATTGTCAGGACTTCATGAAACTGTGAAATCACTTGGTAGTGGCTTCGACCCGAATGTGACAAAGATTCTGTCTTTGGTAGCCACTAAGCAAGTCGAGGGAATACCAGTAAGTATTAAAATCTGACTTTAGTATATTGTAGTATGACACCATTCATGTGGTATTTTGAACATTAATTTAAAAGTTTCGGGATTGCTTTTGTAACAAGGTTAATGTTGCTTGTATATTATAATTGTTTTAGCTCTCGTTTGCGTCACAGACAGTTACGAAGAAGGCGATTGTGTTGTTCTCCTTCTACAAGGGGACCGAGTGGAAGTTGAATGTAAAGTGTGAGAACTCGACATTCTGCTCCATCTTTGCTCACGCTTTGTGCGAAAAGCTGGGTGAAAAGAGGTAAAACACCATTAACAACATTACACTCTCAAATTCCAACTATATAGTTTAGTCGTTTAATTTATCACAATAAACAATACATTCAATACTATGGCCACCAAGGACTAAAACACGGTAAAGCATTTACACTACTTGAGAGCAGCAAAAAGAAACAGTAACTACATTAAAGTACACAGAAGTACTTTAAAATATACTGTTTAGATGTCATGTAAACAGAACTACTTTAATTCATACTGTTTTGATGTCATGCTCCTAGCTGCCCTCAGGTAACAATCCACAATTGAGTAATTACAATCAAGAAGAGATCTGTTTTTCGCACACTTTTTGGAATACATGACAACACAGCGTCGGTACGTGTGGTACCGCGCTCAGCAGGGCACACGCCTTACCGTACTGTTGTTCGATGGTTTCATCGTGCCGTTCTGCCCATTCCTTCACCTGGGCCAGGTAGTTGTTCATGTAGCCCTCGCAGACGTTGAGATCTTGTTTGTTGGGGTTGCAGGTGTCTTTCTTTCCTGATGACAGAGCGGCAGCGGTTGTGGCTTCAGATGCCACACTGGCCGTGGACTGAGCTTCACTTGTCGTCTTGGCTTCTGATGTAGTTGATGAAGCTTCTAGCTCTGTTGTAGTAGCATCAGAGGCGGAAGTTGTTGCTGATGTCGCAACAGTTGTCGGTTCTTCCTTTTTGGCTTCTGAAGTCGTAGGTACATTTTCGGTAGTGGCTTCTACTGTAGTTAGAATTGTAGATGTTTTCAGCTCTTCTGGAGTCGTCAGTTCGTCTTGGCCTGATCCTTCTACTTCTTCTTGACCAGAGCTCTCGATGTTGTCGTTATCATCAGCTTTCTTGGCTTTGTTCTTCTGCTTTTTGTTTCCTTTACCTAAAACAATATTATTACTTTAGCTCTGAGTGGAGTGTTTAATAAGTTTGTTTATGGTATGTTTTGACTGTGATTTACCCTTTTTGTGGACGTTGGTGTCTTCCTGGTCACTGTTCTCGCCGATGACGGGGGTGGTGGTCTCTTCCTCCTCCTCCTTCTCCTTCTTCGCCTTCTGTTTCTTGTTTTTGCTTTTCCGTTTTTCGATCTGAATCGCGGCACAGTTGTCTCTCAAGTTGCAAGCCTTGTAGAGGTCTGGCCAGCCATCGTGCTTGCGGATCTTGTAGCCGGGAGCGTACTTGCCACTGTTCACCCCGAACTGGAAAAGCACACAGTCGTCCATCGGTCGATCCTGAAAGTTTTTTTTGAGAAAACAGGAAGGTCGTACGCAGCTAATTGCTCCTTCCTGCAACTAGTTATTCAAGTAAATTACCTTGTCCGGGTCTTCGGTGACAACCTTTCGGGAAAAGTGTATTTCCAGGTTGGATTCGACCTTCTTCGAGCTGTCGAGGGACCAGTCCTGAGTCGAATCTTCGTCGGGGACTCCGTAGCCGCTGGAGAAGTAGTCGCCGATCTTCTTCACGTCACCGTCTTCTAGGAACAGCACGGCAATGTCCATGTCCTATAAAAAAACAGGTACACATATTAATTTAGGCTAAGAGACAACAAACAAAAATTAAAAAAAAACAATTTACGGTCGATTATAGTCACATTGTCTAGCTTACCGACATGTTGTCGCCAATCCCGAGAGCTGACCAGTACTTCCCCTTCTTCGACGGGAAGCGGTAGACAAAGTTTACCTTGTCGTCAGCTTTGTCGTACGTCCAGTTCACCATGTAATCGTGTCCCACAAACCCACATGGATCTCCAGTCCCACTGATATCTACGGACTTTGCGAATCTGACGTCTTCCTTGGCTACTTGACTCTCCTTGGGCTCCTTCTTGTTGATGGAGATGTGACAATGTTGTTGTATGTCACAGACGGCCACTTTGTTGAACTCCTCGAGGTTAGGCTTGATTCCAGACGTAGGAATGACTCCAGGCTTCTGAGGCAACAAGAATGTCTAAAGCAGGTTTAATTTAGGTATGATTCATAATGTCTTACCGTGCATTCGTCTAGCTGCTGATCACTCTTAACGTCATCTGACAAAATAGGTCGCGCGAACTTGGCGACCAGCTGGTGACCGTCGTAGTCGTAGCCGATGGTCTGCACATTGCCCAAGACGTCAGTGTAGAGGATTCCGGTCTCGTTCAAGTAGGCATCGGCCAGTACGACTTGTTGGTCTCGTACGAGTACTCCGACAAAGTCGATGGGTCCCTGAACAAAGTAGAGTTTAGAAAGTTTACTGTTTACCGTACGGCTTTCGAGTGGCACGGAGGTTGCGTAAAATCAGAAGAAAGAGAGATCCTCAGACGCTACGTAATGTGAGTAAGAACTACAGACTCTGCTGAAGACAAAAGAAAACTACAGAGCTTGTAATGAAACTACACAAGCTTTAAGATAACTACAGCTTCGTAACAGACGAAGCTACAAAACATACTTTCTTTCCACTGAAGCCGACGCCAGTCCAGTAGCGCGGCATCGTGCTGTTGACTTTGAGCACGAATACGATGGTCTTACTGGTCGATTCGTAGGCCCATTCTAAGTTGTAATTGGGCGATGAAAAGTGGCAAAACTCGCGATCGAATGCTACAGTACCCAGCAGAAGGCTGGAGATGACAATCCACCAACGTGTCGCCATTGCCCTGTAAGTGATGACAATTAATGACAAGATATACATAAAAGCATAAAGTAGAGACAAGTTATGCCATCTATTACAAAACTCGGTAAATCACAGTATGACAGGATGAGTTAAACGAACGAATTAACGACTCGAAACGAGGAGTGAGTAAAACAAGGTCAACGAGGAAGGCAGGAAACCGATCGTCCTGATCGGTAATCTGGAGATTGGGGGCGTCGTCTTCTCAATTCTCAAGGATCGAAGAGGAGCCGACGTAATGACAATCCAGAAGGCTGACGCTATGAAAATTTCGGGCGCAGAAGAGCCTCTCCCCTCCGTCTTTTGTGAGACGCTACTAGCACCTTCGGCTAGCGAAGGAAACATCACCGTTCAAATCCGAGAAACCAAAAGCCGTTTTTTGAACTGATCCGTTGATGGATTCCGTCGCTGCTCCATTTCCCTTTTCTTCACACAATGACACGAAAAGTAGGTGGGGTTGATTGAGGTTGCAAACTGTGGGATACCTGAACAAGCCCCTGAGAACAGCGTTATTATAACAGGTGAGAAAGTGGAGAAAAACGTTTGCGGCCTTGACGTTCCTCAACAGAGCAATTATACACCATGTTTATGACCCAGAAATTGTACTCGTCTTAAATGGTTCACAAAATTGCTTATATGTCGCTAACATAATCCCACCCCGATTCCTCGGTCAAACTGGTTCCTCAGATGCAACCATGACCCCGCCGATATCCACCTACTATCAATGATAACAGTTACCGCAGTAAGACTCCTCATTCACCTACAACAGCAAATCCTATCAGACGTGGGAGTGAAAGTAAATTACCACATTGTCTATCAAGCTCACGCCCACTTTCAAATCTTTTATTTGAAGAAAATATCTGCAATTTCAACATACGGAATCGGTCGAAAACAGGAGAAACAAAAAGAAACTGAACAAGCTTATATTCCCCGTACTTTCGGACCAAACTGATGAGTATACGAAAAATATGAACACATAGCTGACATTACACAGTAAATTCTAAATTTTTTTTTAAACAATCACGGACAATATATAAACCTTGATCTAGAAAATGCCATTACCTATGCAAGACCGTCATCGGAAGTAAATGACCCTAAAGTCCACGGAAAGTGCATCAAATTACCACACGTGATTACTGCAGTTTTATTTAATTATCAGATAGTTTAATGAGGGGATCCGTCTTGCCAGTAAACTCCTCCGCCGACATCGATGAAAGAATGTCGAGGAGCTCTTTGCGTGTGTAGACCAACGAGGACGACGAGTTGGTTGTGGATGGAGGTGACAGCAGGTTGGGCGAGTCTGCAGGCGCGTCGTACAGGTACAGCGATCTTCTACCACCAACAAAGTCTTCAGCCTGCAATTCAAATGTAAAGTAAGGTTTACTTTGGTCAAAAAATAAATAGAAAGGGTCAAGAAGTATTATAATTAGAAAACACTAAGAAATACAAAGAAAAAATGTTATTTTAAGAATAAAACATCAATGCTTTATCTGTAAAAAAGTAAATAATTGCCCAATTCAGCAAAAAAACCCTATATTATAAAAAGTTATCGCGATAACCTATATTAACATAGGCCGTAGCTATCAAAAACTTTTTAAACCCCGAAAATCACAAAAAAACCTTAAAAAACATTCTTACACAAAACTCGACCTCACTTTACAAATTTATATTATGCTGCGCATATAAACGTTACTATACTTACCATCTTGGCACTGGTAGTCGATGCCATTGCGGAGTAATTCAGTCTAGTTTCGGTGCAACCAAGAAAATAAAATAACCCAATTCTCGACCATTTTTCTCCTGAAATTTACATAAAACGTGTGACTTTTCCAAAATTATTTTTTTTTCGAAAATCTTTACAAAAATCGATTTATTGATAAAGTTCAGTTAAAGACAACATTGATATTTCAAAGCTTCAAATTACAACAATTAGATTTTATCAACCCTTCTGATCAAAAATTTAGACGTACAGTGAGTTTCACTACAAATTGACATATCAGTAGCTTAGTAGAGCCATTTAATGATAACAAAGGAGTTTTATCAAATTTTTCGTAAAATTCTAGCAGATTTGCACTGTTATATTAGTAAATGACTTTTTAATACTTTAATAACATATAAACGACATTACAATAGCTTCAATCAAGAACTTTTGACCAGTATTAAGTCATTTGAAGTCTCGAAAAACTTGTAAAGACCTACAATAACATCAGACAAAGACAACAACCTTATCACCCGCATATTATGTACTTATAATCCACATGAAAAACTTTAGGCCACGAAGTTGGCGGAGTATCTAACTACTCTTTTCTTCAAGATATGATAAGTTGAAAGCGTAGATCTTGAAGTGGTCACAGAGCTGTCGAACCTGCAATTTTAATATTAGATATCAAGTGGGTCATTTTAACTTTTAAATCTAGTTATGTGAAGTTTGAAACAATAATACTGCCATTTTGTACAACGTTTCAATATTATGTTAGACTTACCACACAAACACCGTAGTGGATGTGTGCCAATGTCAATGCCCATGAGGCAACGGTGAGGACGAGTATTTCTCTGGCTCCAAAGAACCCGCCAACGGCTCCAAACACAATCAGAAGGTAGACACCTAGTAAGGGATTCACAATCTCGGATCTTGTTCCTGACATCTGTGCTATGATCAGTCTGACCTACAAATCATTTTCTTACTTTACAAAGAGTAAGATTTTACAAAATTATAGTTTACATTGTACATAAACCTACAACCATGATTTATTAACAACAATATCGTTAAGAACTTACTGCAATATTGGAGAAGACAACGCCCATACACCACAAGAACAGTCGAGGATCCTTGTGGATAATGTCCTGAGGAGAGTAGACCCCCCAGAAAATCGAAGCTACAAAGAGAACACTTGGAGAGATCATGGGAAGGATAAACTCAAACACGTTCGGCTGAAACCACAATATAAATTATACAATATTACATTAACTAGCAAGCTAAAACAATTTCTGTAAAAATTAGGTAACTGTCGAGAATAGTAATTCTAAAACAATATCATTAACAAAAGTTACAATTAACGAATTATATTATAGTAAAATTACCTGTTTTCCAGTTTTCGTGACAAAGTAAGCCTGATACATGTTGTAGAATGACATGAAGAAGGATAAAACACAACAAACTGAAAAGAATCTTATCTTCTGTATGTAGACTTACCATAAAATGACGCTTCAAAACACTGAGCAAAGGTATACCTCGAGACAACATAGTATCTGAAGTACTCTGGACCTTTTAAGTAGGCGAAAAGGTAAAACAACGAAAGACCCTGTAAAAGTTAAATCAAAGATGACATAAATAATTAAATTACGATCTTCATACACATTCAACACACTTACATATTGACTAGCATCGTAAGCCCATGACAAGAACATGACACCAGTATTGTACTTTTCCCAATGAGTAACGATGAACACCAGCTGTACAGAGATCAGAACGATCAGTAGTCGGATCGGGCTAATACTGTACTCTCCTTGGCCGAACAAGGAAAAGATGGTTAATGTAAATGGCACTGTCGACCACGAATCCAACCCGTGATCAACTAAAACAAGATCATTTAAGGTGAAGAATCATGTGTAGATTCACACTAATATTCGCACAAACAAATAATTTAAACAATAATTATTAGTTTCTGACAAATACAATAACAACATTAAGAACTGAACCTACACAACTCTCCAGTAGGACCAGAAGCACCCGTCCGTCTGGCCTGTTTCCCATCAGTGCCATCCAAAGTATGTGCTAGGAACGTACAAACTCCACATAACACCCATAGCCATGGCGGAAACCTTTCCGCAGCCTCTGGAGACGAGTTGACATTAAAGTAGTAATCGTAGAAGGCTACCAACCAGTAGCATCCCATCACCAAGAGGGCTCCAGCCAGAGTTAGTACGTTTGGGGCCAGCCATTTAGGGTAAAACTAAAACGAGAGCTTCACAAAAACTGTGACACTTCATTGACTTCCAATAATGTCTAATATTTTACGTTTTAATCAAATCAAACGTCAATATACTACTATAACATACGTTAACGACCCAATTCCAAAACGGATGTGATATGTAGACTGCGATGGGGGAATTATCAATGCAATTGTACTAAAATCATAAAAATATTATCACAAATTAGAATAATATTAAAATAAGTTACATCTAATTAGTTATAAACAATAAAACCTGTTAAATAACAACAAATTAGCCTTTAAAAAATATTCAACCACATGTCACAGGTAAATAACATCACATGCTTACCTTGTAATTGTCGAAACCCTTCAGCTGCCCCTCTGTGAGGTACCTCTTATCAAAAATAGACATTATACTCTAACTTTCAGTGCTTGGAAGAACAAAGCCCTGAAATACCAAAATATATACTAAAACTTATATGTGAATTGAAATTGTTCGACGGAACAACGCTCAAATATATTTATATAACAAAACCTGTTGTGGTCAACAACGTTAACCCGGTCAAATATGCGATTTATAACGTTATCACCAAATTTCCATCAATTTAAATAAATTATTTTCAGGAAAAGCAAAAATAAATTTTATCAAATTTTGAATTTCGCCTTTATCAGATGCAAGTGGCCGCTCACGACTCGAAACACTTTCTCAATTTTTATTTTTCATTAAAATCGGAAACACTTGACACGCTTTAGTTTGTGAGTCAAGTCTATTTTAAAAAAGGTTTGGAATTTGTGAAATGAGCTACGAATTTTGATAGATTCTTTAAAGGAATCCAAAAAATTCGGAGAACTTACAAAACACAGTAATGCCTAAAATGTTAATGCTTAATTTTCTTAAAATTGAACCAGAACAGAATTGGTACGACTACTTTGTTCATCGGATCAAGTTAAAAAAATTGTTAGCTGGCCCAGATATAGGTATGTAAAATATTAGATACTAAATGAATAGTGTTTTAGATAGGAAAACCGTTGTTACATTATGTGATCAGTTTATTGAACAGGCTTTTGCTACCTTCAGCGAGATCAAGCAAGCTAAAAAGAGACGATATGAGATGGGTCGGTGAATATAACTTTTTATTTTTATGTAAAGTTAATTTATAAATTGAAATTGATCAACAGGCACTTAGTGTTTCGATACTTATGTTATTTTAGAAGACATACAACATTGTGAACGGAAGCGGCAAGAGTTATGGAAGTGTTCTTGGGCGTGTTTGGCAGCTTTGGGATGGGATTTGAATTATTTGTTGGAGCAGTAGGTTGCTTAACATTATCTTTTGTTTTTAGGTTTAACTTGGATGCGTTTTACAATTTCATAGTACAATATGAATTCTTTTAACAGATTTATCTATTTTCAGCTCTAATGTTGTAAAGGTTTATAATATGATAAGCAACTTGTTTGAGTATGTTTTTGACGCTGACATAGAGACGGATTACATCAGCATGTTACCGAGTATGCAGTTGAACCCGAAAAACATTTTTTTGGCTTTTATTTGCGCTAGACTTATTATTCTAGTGGATTCACGATCTCGGATTCTGAAGCCTCCAGTGAAACAGACGGTTAGTAATCCGTAAGTTATTTTTGCTTTAAAATAGTTTTTTTAGTCAGTTTTTTTTATAATTGACAAGTTACGTATTTTTAGTAATAATCAACCGGATCCAGCACTAATTGAAGCCGGCAAGATCATCAGCTTCACGAGAAACGTTCGAAAGTCGGTTGATATGGCTGTCAAGTTCTTGGAACATATAACAAATGTGAGGATGGACGTTGTCAACATCCCTACAGCTGAGTCATTTGATGTTGAGAAGGTATTTTTAGTTTTCTGTTATATTTCATATAATTTAGGTATTTAACGAAAACCGGGTCGATTTCACTTATGCTGTCAAACATCTGAAGTTTGATATTCTGAAGGTGAGAGTCGAATGTGATCTACTACTGGCACACTTCAAAGCTGTACATATGAGGTCGTCGCGAGAATACAGGGATCAGGTAGGCATTTATATCTTTATTTTGAAGTATCTTATCTGGTTGTATGTGTAATGTAATTTTCTAGTTGATAAACAACAAAAATGTAATGACTCTTAACATGCTGCAAGAGTTTGGCATTGATGAAGCATTTCGATTTGAATATAGAGATCTGGAGAACATCTGCAGAGTACTAGATAAAGGAGGAAAACACGTTTTGGTAAGGTGGTTAATGTGAAAAAGGTAATTCTGTTTTAGGGGTTCAAGTCTTACGAAGTTTCTAAAATAACAAAGAAAACAGTTCAATACGGAAAGTCGATCGAGAACTGGAAGAATCACGACGTTGAGAAGCTTTGTCTGGGACAGGTGATGTCGCTACCGTCAACCTCACATGCCACCAGGTTTGCAACTTGTGGACCTCCATTGTGGGATATGTTACATGCTTATACCTACGTCGAGCTGGCTGCCAAGGCTGAAAAGTTTCTCAAGATCTATGGTCGAGAGTTTCATTCTCCTAAAAATGTCAGTTTTTAATGTTTTTATTTGTTTAACATAAATTTTATTTTCAAATTATTATTTTAGATATTAATGTCACCAATAATGTCAGAACTGTTAGAAAAGGCACGTTTCAATTACCCGGTATCAATCTACTTCTTTATGCAATTGGAAAACGTTGCCAGGAATGCTGTAAGTTAAGGTTTTGAAGTAGTATTTGAGGAAATGACATGTCTAAATTATGTTAACAACTTTTAGGATCTCGTTACTTGGGTGGAGAACATGAATACATATACAACGATTGTTAACGGGCAGGGTCACCCACTCAGGGACTTTCTTTACAACTTGTGTTTCGAAGTGTTACGTCTCAGGGTAAGTTAATGTAGTTACGTTTGATCTAACCCATCATTGGTACTGTTATGACAATATGTCTTTGGTGACTTACTTTTAGATGAACTACTGGGACAACTTGTATGGTCGAGAGTGGAACGGATTTTACCTAAAACTAATTGTAAATGGCCTGAACTCGATGGTAGCCAATTCTGTCAGCCAATCAGAATTGCCAACTCTGGAGTGGGGCTTGGAGAAGGTCAGTGCAGTGTATTACCCATACCTGCTAAACATGAACTTGTCTAACGTGATCATGGTCATTCCTCGCCTCGTACGATCTCCTCCATTTCAATTCAATTTCGTCAGGATTGTGTCTACAGTAGTTTCCAATGAAAGCATGGCTGGACTAGCCTGGAAGTTCGTGTACACGATCCTACTCAAGAACAATGTGGAGCTTCCTCCTGAGGATAAGAACAAGTTCTGGGACGTTTGTTGTAAGCTGAGGCACGAGAAGGTGATCAAGCATCTACTCACGTATCTTTTGGCCTTCTACAACAAGGTCGTGGTCAGGACAGAGAGGTTACCGTTCACTACACGGCTACGGAACTCGTGGGCCTTCATGGACAAAACAATTAGGGACAACAAGCGGAGGAACGTGCCTGAGGAGTTCGTGTAAGTTGCTTATTATGATTATAATGTCAAGTCTTATATGTTTTGTCTGGTTTCAATGTAAAATCAATATGACATAGCTATATGTATAACATTAACTTCTTGCAGTGTTAACGAACTTTTGGACTGCCAATTTCTGTTGAATGTGATACGGCGTTTGCTGGAGAATGCTGTATATTCCGCACCCAAAGACCCTTACCTCCGACGACAGTTGGGGGATGTACATTATGGTAAGTAGTAAAGTGTATACAGTAATTTCCTCATTTTTTATGATAATTACACATTTTTAGCTGTGCATGAGTTTGACAAAGCAATGTTACAGTACGCCGAGGTGTTCCTTCTATTCCAACAAAAACTGACTACCAGACAGAGGAAGGATACCATAAACGACGGCGTAAGCTTGTATTTTCAATTAACGATACAGTAGTTGAAAGTTAAAAGTTGTTTGTGAAAAGATCAGTTTAAGGTATAAGTTAGTATACGGCTTTACAGATGATTACAAAGATCACTCACTGCCTCTACAACAAGAAAATGTACGTATTGGCGTGTATGTCGGGACAATTACGGCGAGACATGACGCGACATTACATATATCTGCCACAAATAACACAGGAGATCAACAAAACATACGACGCGGGAGCTTACTACTTTAACTGTATCTACGACACTAAATTATTCGAGATTTTAACAGGTACCTTTGTCAAAATAATTGGTTTATTGTGGTTTTGTTACAGTATTGAGGTACTACTAACATAATTTTAAAAGTGTGGTATAATGATTTACTTATTCTAGAGACTTTTGAAAAAACTGGACATCTTTACTATCTTTCTCAACTGGTAAGTCTCATTTTACTTTTATGATATGTTATTGTCTACTGTTTATAAATCGTTGGGGTATGCTCTAATATATTGTATATTTTCAGTTGAAAACGGGACCCACAAAGTCGGCCAACAAGTCTAACATGAGACAAGTCAAGATCCACGAAGTCAGGAAACGGAGAGAGAGATTCATCGACGTTTTGATAAAGACTATCAGGAACACTTGTTGATAAATTTATATTGATATTCGGCCCATTCTTATCACTTGTTACTATTCAAAAATACTTACTACATCGCTTTTTTTATTTTACTGTGGTGTTGACTTATATAATACCTTATCTTGTTTTTTAGTAAAATGCTGGTAAGTCTTGACTCAGACTTCTGTTCTCATTGTGGAACCATTTTACCAGTACCACAAAGTGCACCGTGCACGTTACAGTGTCTGGTATGCAAAAATGAACGGACTATAAAAGGTACGTTACAGAACTGCTGGTTCATTTACAGTTTTTAAAAAGTCAAAGTATTGATTTGAAATTTAAATATTTTATCTAAAATGGCCACATTAATTGCTTCCAGAAAGCACACGCCTCGTAAACAAAGTAGAATTCAACTTGGAACGACAAGTCATACAATGGGACGATCAGGACGAGCACATGGCCACAGTGGACCACACCTGCACCAAGTGTGGGCATCTGGTGGCGACGTACACGACACAACAAACCCGATCGGCTGATGAAGGTCAGACCGTGTTCTACACCTGCCTCAAGTGTAAGCACCGTGACATCGAGTACTCCTGATTGTATTTGCAATTTGTTAACGTTGTTATGAGAAATAAACACTCCCCCTCGCCGGCTACCGTACCCCGCCCCCTGCCCCAATGCATTTCTAAGCAAAGCGATTAACAGCGCCATATTATTGGCTGTGTTCGGCTGTCCCTCGGCTCAGAATTGTTGAGGACATTTCGCTGGTCACGCAATCCCAGCCCAAGAAGCCGGCTTCGAAGAAATTGAAATATCGCGTGCCGTACTTCTGGCTGTGGCTACGATTGCTGTACTTTGGGAAATCTCCAGATTATAATTAGTAATCGTCTGATGAGCCATAATGTATGCAAGCAAGCGGCGTCAACGCAACTTCAAACGGTAAGGTTTGCTTCGTGTAGCGTGAAGGAAGGCACGGTGAAGACGGCTACCGTCCTGCCGTGCCGACCGAGTCGCCCCCGCTCGCACGGTGAGGTGAAGAGTGAGAGTTGCGTGCGAGTATTCCGTGAGATCGGAGTCGTTCTATTAATGGCGACATGTCCTCAGGGTTTATCCTCCTTTCGTGCTGATCCCTCGAATGATTGGACGTCACGAAACAGTGTTCGTGTCCCCCAAATCCTTTAAAATTCCGCACATGCTACAATATGGGCCAGTCGGCTGCCTTTGAGCGATCGTCCACCGACCGCGCTCTTCGTTTTATTATTTTCGAATCCCAAGGTCATGACCCAGTCCCGGCTATGGTCGATTTTGGAATTCGAGGACTACTCGAGAGCCGTGTCACCCGCTGTTACCGTAAATTACACAGCTGTAATGACCTTTCAAACATCTTGAGTCCACATTTTTCGCGCATTCTGGCCCTCGTTCACCTGTGAAATTAAATATCCGCATCATTGAGCAAAGTGTGACATTATACAAGGATAATTGCGGGTTATTTAATATGTTCGTTTAGTGTCAGAGAGGTTGGCAAACAAGATGGCCCCTCCAATCCCAGTAAACGGCATCGCGAACGGCTTAACGGCGAGCTCGAGATCGTGGCCGGCCTTCTGCCATACGACGAGAGCACGTTGCAACGGCTGGACAAGCTCAGCGTGCTCAGGCTGGCCGTCAGTTATCTTCAGATAAAGGCTCACTTTCAAGGTATGGTCAGTTAGAATAGCAAAAAATGAAATTTGGTTAAACTCACAAGACATCTTATGTAATATATCTATTTTGAAATTCTATATCTATCTTATATCTATATTGAAATTCTCAAACTCCCTTCTACAGTATGCTCATCAAGTTTCCCGCACCAGACCTGCCCCTTCCATCCCTACGCGTTGCCTCGGGCACCATTAGGACCAATACCATCGATCATCGAATCCAGAAGTGGGTCTGTGTTCGTGGATCCCGTGGAGCCAACTTTTACCCAAATCGCTTTACGAGTGAGTTATATAAAGCTAATTGTTTTACTCTATGACAACTCTTACCTTATTTTAACTTTTCAGGCTTTGGGAGGCTTTATCATAATTTTAAGCCTAGAAGGTGAAATCCTCTACGCTAGCGAAAACATCGAGTTGTACCTTGGAGTCCTACAGGTAATATTCCTTACCACAACGTCCTACAAACTAATGCGATAAAATAGACTTGCTGCCGTTTTTGATCAAATTGTCCTTAAAACCTTATAATCAGTAAACTTTAGTATTAAATAATATCTTTAGTCAGACATACTACACCAAACTGTATTCGAGATGATACATTCAGAAGACCGTGCAAGCCTTCTGGAAGGCCTCAAGATAATCCAAGGTGACAATCTACAACGAGTTTTACCGACCAGATTCAGAAGTCTTCTCGACAACACTTGTGGCTTCATAGTAAGGTTTTATCATTACATATTTTCATTTTTTAATCTTTCAATTTTATAGTCAAGTTCCCAAACTAAAAAGTTAAATTTTTTGTTCTGGAGTTTCTCTATAGCCGGTTCCACAGCCTTGATATACCTGTTTATTGTTTGAACCGGACAAGTTGCCATTGATAACACAAACTGAAAACATAAAAGCAAATTACTTCAGAGAACAGAAATGAGAGGAAGATTCGTGGATCTGCATGTCTCCAACCAGACTCATACGATGAGTGCATTCATGGCTGTCTGTACTCCCTTCGTACCTCCAATCCAGACCGAGATGCCCATAGAAGATCCCATCCTTAAGTCCAAACATTCCCTCGACCTGAGCATCGTATGTCTGGATTCTCGACTGTCATCTTTATTTGAAGTCACCGATGCCGCGAATCAGAGTTACTACAGCTTTATTCATCCTGAAGACGCCGAGTATGTGATGGATGCACATAGGGCAGGTAGGTATTCCTACGACTTCAGCTTGGGCATTTGAGTGGATCTGTCATTATCATCTGCTTTAAACTAATCTTATGCCTTCAGTAATCAAAAACACCTCTTCTGGTCTAATGGTATACCGCATAGTCAGTCGAGTAACTGGTCGAATCACCTTTGTTCAGAGCAGCCTCAGGACCTTCTTCAAGACAAACAAAGCCGACTCAATTGGAGGAACTCATAGAACACTAACGTGAGTAATTCGAATATATTAGTTAGTTTTCCAAATATAAAGTAGATAAATTAGAGAAAGATAACTTAACCATAGAAAAACATGAAAACTGAACAATAAATGGACCATAAGTTAACTTTAATATTCACAATAGTATGTTTTCAGTGAAGTTGATGGAGTTGCACTAATGGAGAAACGAGGAACGGCAAAAGAACTGTACCTGACCTTTGATGATACACTGCTACAGTCTCCACGACAGATAAACTGCATCTCTTCTCTGAACCCGTGCTCACGGTCTGCTCCAGCACGAGAGCACAAACAGCCCAAGCTGATCCCACCAGTTATGAATCACATTGACAGCCAACACCTCCCCACCGTGCCGCTTCCCATGTTGACTTTGAATCCGACACAACTGGCTGACAACTCGGTATTCTTTCCTCCGCCACTCATCCCGCTTACTGTAAGTTTTTTTTATTTTTTATAGTTTTAAGTAACATATTATTAACTAGTGATAATGTAATTTTACTGCTTCAGGTTAATCAAACTCATCATGATTTCAATGGATTGGCAGCCGTGATACCACCTCAAATGCACGAGAACGAATTGCTCTGGCAACAAGCATTGAAACCGTCATTCGAGGCCACTTATGCTGACATAACACCTAGTTGCTACTATACACAACGTAAGCTCACAAGTTATTGCAGGATACTAGCCACCCATAGTGGCTCACATTTGAACTGTTTGATTTGCTTTTATAAGATATTATAGTATAGCAATCTATATAAATTTCTTGAAATACTTCAAGTTAACATGCAAGATAAAACTTTTTTTCAGCGTACATTGACCCGAGTATTCATCCAGACATCAGCGGATCTCAAGGATATTACCCGCCTCCACACCTTCTCCATCATACACCTCAAATAGCCAAGACATACGAAACCGGCTCAGCTGAATCTCATGACGCTCCTTTCCTCACGAATACCACGACGCGATACTGTGATAATGCCACCGGCTTCGACCCCCACTTCAACGTTACAACGACCGAACTCAACCCGCCAACTAACAATTTCACGTTCTTCACGGAAGTCGCACACATTTTGGGTAATACCTGACCGAGGCTCAATAATAATATGTTAATAAAGTGTATTTCTACAGCTCAGGGTATCAGTCAGATCACTCTGTTACTCGCTACATCCTATGGTAATATTTAGGTAACAAATGCTATAAAAATGTTTATCTGTTAAATGACGAGTATTTGTGGGTAGAGATTACGCCGTAGTTAAAGCTATGGACAATGCGCAGTAAGTGCCATTAAAATGCGGAATGTTCGTTAACGTTCTGGATTCCGCATTCGTTTGAGCGGCCATATTCGTACAGAGAAGCCAGCTTATCGACCACTTTGCGAACATTCAAATGAGTGACTAAAACGACATTTGACACACATTGTAATCACTTTTAAAGGAATGTTCACCATTTTAAAAAACTACATGTAATTCAAAAGACAATGCAACTTACAGTATCCCAGACCTTGAAGGAAGAGCAAGAGTGATTCAGTGACCTTATCAGGTTTGTCATCCAACACCAGACCACAACACTCTGACACTTTAATCCATTCGGCCCTGGATGGGTCCAGTTTGGAGTGCAGGTCGACTGTCTCCTCCAAGAAGCCAGAGCGAGACCCGACCATTTGAAGGATGGGTACCTTCAGGATGGGCTGGTTTGGAACCGAAGCCGATCCGTTAGCTGGTTGTTGGACAACAATCTCACTGCGACTAAAGTTTTAAATTTTTAAATCGTATTACCGTTCGTATTACCTAATTTAAAAAAAATTTAAATCCAATACAAAACCTTGAAACTAAACCTACTTTAAGTAAGCCTCCATATACATGGCCAAGTTTCCGGGATTAGGATGGGTATAGATCATGTTCCTATATTGGTTGATGACATCTTGGTTAACTTCGTCGAGTCGTTTTCCTAAGTAATGCCACAACAGGTACTCTACTACAACATTGTTCATTCCGGTAGAACGGAGCGACTTGATGTTAAACTAAAAATATTATATCATACCTAAACTCTACAATATGTCGTACATAAACCCTACAACATACCTATTATATTTATAAAAAAGAAAATATAAATTACCTTCTCATAACCCCATTCGATCCATCCAGCACGAGAGATGACAGCATTAATCAGCACCAGAGCTTCCACTTTCGACTGATTCTTCAGCTAAAATTACATTTGTACTACTTTTAATTAAGAAAGTGATTAAAAATTCAAATTTTAAAAAATACAAAATATTTTAATAACATATAATGACGTTTTAGGTAACAAGTATAAAATTTCAGAAAAAAATAACCGTATATCTCAGAAGAACATTAGCCCCAGCTCCAATGCCAAAGCCAATGAAAGATTTAATGTGGAAATGTCTGACTACAGCATCTACGACATCGACCAAGCCTTCCATTGACGGAAATTCATACCTAAAAAAATGAACAATTTAAAACTATTAAAACTTTATTTAAAATATATCTTTATCATAAAACACAAACCCTTACCCGTCAGGAAAAGCTTTGGCATCAGATTCTTGTCCAGGAGCATTGATATTATATACACAAAACGCCTCGCTAAACTCAGTAGCCGTACCAAACTGGAAGAAATTTTGAAAATTCCCATTGGCTAAAAATATAACAATAAGAAAAAACTTACAAATATATACAAACATCGGATTTACAAAAAAATCCATAACCTCAAAAGTAACCGAACTTAAAAAACATACCATCAAGTCCAATGTCATGGAAAGTAACGACCGCGTTCTTGGTTCGATCTCCATAGATCACAACTTTCACTGTTCCGTGCACTGTCTCGACGGTTTCCTAAACACACATCGACAGCAACATCATAAACTTACTTCTGTCAGATCATAACCATTAACATCTTCGGCGCTGCTTATACTTCCAAGTTCGTAAGACATTATGTCTGAAAACAACGTCAAATGAACAAGACACTAAAATAAAGACGCACGGCAACAAGTAAAACAAATATTACGGCCGAAAACTATCACATATTATCTTATTTTACCACGTGATCTACTACAACAGTATTATTACCCATAAGAATCTCAAAAAACCTTACCACAAAATGGAAATAACAATATAAAATGTTCGTAATCGGTAATTACCAAATTTACGAAAAGTTGGGCAACTTGAACGATCAGCGATCGATCAAAACATCGCAAAAGTAAAAAATATTTATTTTTAAATGCAACGTGCGCCCAACACTGCGCAGGCTGCATGGAATAAAAGACGCGCTTAAAGATATTAATGTTACTCGCTTTGGAAAACCGATTCGGATACTTTTCCAAGTGTATTAAAATTACGTGAAGTTCTTTCTAAAATTTGATTTTATTATAATAATTTTGTTTTTCAGTGGGATGAGGATCAAGAATCGTCCGATTCGCTCAAATTTGAGTTCAAACGTGTTGACATCCACAAACTTGCTTAACACTGGCTTAACGGTAAGTGATTTACATTAAAATATAGTGTTTTCAGAAGAGGAATGGGAGTTTAGTGAAGAATGGTGTCAAACGTACTAGAGATCTAGAAGATGTTGGTAAGTCGACTGTTGTTCTAGCATTCTGTACACGTACTATTTTGTATTTCTTTTTGTTTCGGTATAACTATGCATTCTTTTAGAAAGCGTATATTCCAAAATTTACACCCGGGGCTTCTTATGTGCATCTCGGTTTCTGAGGATAAGCAAAAGGAAGGAGTACTACCAACATTTGTCACTGAGTGAGTGCATTGTCAACTGTAAGAACAACAGTTGTGTCACCAGCCATTTTAAGTTTAACACCAAGATCGACAAGGTGCAGATGACTGGCGACTACTTTGTACTGGAATTCCTAGAAGCCAGACTTCCTTTGGTCCCTCATCACTTAACGATGGACATAGTGCCATACCTTGTTTACTACTTCAACGATGACAGTTATGCTGTGGTATGGTTTTCAGCCCAATATAAATATTTTTTAATTCAAGTTTTACACTATGCATTCTGCTAAGTAAACCTGTTTTTAGGAGCAGTTACCTCAATTCGCCCGTTTCGTGAACTGGAATGGCAGAAGCGAGCCTTACGTCCAAGAATTCTTTGTTAAATCAAAGCCATGTGGGGGATCTATATACCTGGTGGTTAAAGGGCGGGCAGTAAATGCGGAAAATAATTTTAAAGTCGACGGTATTCGGAAAGTGGCAGACTTGAAGAAAAGTGGGACATCCTTAAGCTTGGCTCTGGTTACTGCACCAAGGTCTTTGGTCATTCAGTAAGTTTTAGACAGAACAACTTAACAACAATCGCTTTATTGTTATAAAACTTAATTAGTAACTGGCACTGCACATACTCACGGTACTTACTGTTTCATGAAGTACCGTACTACCTAATATACTGTAAAATACAGCAAAGTAATATGAGCTTTTCAGACTGACCGAGACGGCGGATAACCTCTCCATGGCCCTGTCGGAACGCGAGATAAGAGCCTTGCAAGAGAAATGGTCAGCGGTGAGTTCTCGTGCAAAGTCCGGAGAGTAGCCAGGGTCCACTCGCAGAGGCATAGTTGACCCGGTTAAGTCTTTCTGAAACATTTCTTTTTTTGCTCACGTACTCTATGTTGTTTTAGCGAGCACGTCGTGGGGAAGGACTGAACTACTTGGTGATGGAGCTGAGTAACGAGGAAGGTATTGGCCTGCCATCGGCTCCAGCCAAGTCTCTGGTTTCGAAGATCAAAGCTGGTGAAAAGATGGGTGTTACAAGGTAAGAGTGACCATCAGAAGCTGCAATCAACTGTTTCAGGTATTGTTTTCAATCAAATGCAAAGGAAGAGTCGCCTTCTACAAGTTCGGCGTCCAGTGGCTACAGCTCTATGTCTGATTCGTCAAACACAACTACAAAGTCATCGTTCGTAGTAAACTGTCAGAAGAATTCGTGTATAATCTGTGGACGTACATTTGGTACAGTCTCGGATCTGGTACTACATTTGCATTTTCGGTAGGTTTAAAATGCACCTATTATCTTTAAAATTAAAAAAGTAATTTTGATTACTAATAGTTTTAAAAAGTAGACAATTACATATCTCATTTTAGGTATCCTTTGCTCAATTTTGTGCATGACAGTCTGTCTCCTACCGAAGTTACTGTTCAGTTTAATGGAGTCCCCACTTTGACCAACAAACTCATAAACTTTACAAAGTAAGTACATTCTAATAAACTTTTGTATCGCCTTGTCAATCTTTTGATAAAGATTGCCTTGAAATTACTTTTATGATTACTTTTGAATACTGTAAATTATAAAAATTATTTTAGGACAGACGTAGTTAAAGAACGAAAAAGGGTACTAGACAAGCTGGGAGCACCAGCTAAAGTGACTAGAAAACGAAAGAACCTGAACAAACTCACGGACCTTGACCTGCCCTTTAACATGCCAGTATATGAACCCCTTCCTGGAGATCTGTATGGTGTGGAGACCCCAAAGGATTATTTGGGTAACCTCAATGCAAGGAGAATATCTGAATTTGCTGACGTCAAGGATTCCGAGAAGAGGATGATGATATTGTGGAACGGTTTTGCGAACAAACGGGTCAACAGGACGGTCTCTGAAAGGACAGGTAGTCGAGAACTGGTAGGTTAACGCAGACACAGCTAAAGATAACTAAACATTTCTTTAAGTTCAAGAATACTTTCTATAAATAAATATCTTTAGCGAGACTTTGTAAGACAAAACGACGCAGAGATTCTGAAAGATCACGGAATCTACCAATTCATGCTCCATAGTGCTACAAAGCGTCTGCACGGCGAAGTGAGTACAGATGCCATAAAGGACTCTCTGCTTCATTTGATTGAGAAGTCAGAAGCCTTGAGAAGCCCTACCAAAAGTGCCAAAACTTCTCCAACCAGATCTCAAAAGGTTAGAAACTCTTGAATGCTTTATCGATAAAACGTTGTCTTACCGTCTTTCTCTTCATACTGTAACTATGCATAGTACAAGTAAAACGTATTGTTAATGTTATGAACTGCCTAGATGAAAATACTTTCTGAGTGATTTGCCATGTTGTAGTAGAAGCCTTTGTTAGTGATTGTCATACTATATAGTTTTATTATTTATATTATACATAGTTGGTTTAATAATTTTAATATTGTTTTTATCTGTAGCTTTAATTATATAAACTCATAAGAGACAACTCCAGAGCGTGGTAATGTTGTATTTTCGATTATTTACTGAAAACTAACCTAACAATTGAAAGCACCTTTAAAGCACGGTTTAGATAAGATGAGGACATTAAGTGCCAACCCTGATAGCATTTCATCCCAATTCCCGTACATGTCACGACCACATTACGTAGGGGACTTTGCTACAGACTTCAAAGAGTCCAGGATACATCTAGGAAGGGCTAGAGCACGGTACTTATATGAAAGTCTGGTTAACAAAACTGATCTGTCATTGGATCTTAACCATGGTTTAGAAATATTTGAAGGCAAACCGGACGAGGACGAACATCTAGATGGCCTACTCAAGTACATCATGGCAATATCAGAACCGAAAAGTGATCTGAAGAAAGTGATACACAATGCCAACGTCGTTTCGTGGCGTGGAACGTTAACCAGGATAGGAGCGTCACCGTACGATGCCTCGAATTCAGATGGCTGGAAAGTGCTGTGTAGCATGTTCGATGGAGTCATGTTCTTGTGTGAATTGAGTACGGACTCGAAAGTCAACAAGCGAGGTCAAAAGACTGACAGAGACAAGAGGATGACATACTGGGGATACAAGTTTGAACAGTATACCACTACCGAGTTACCCAATGTAAGTTAAGTAACCATAAAAATCCTTGGAGAAGATTTTCCATATTATTATATAAACTTTCTGAAAAATTGTTAAGGAACCCCCAGAAACCAGCTTTCCCGTCTCGACCATGGCTAATTACAGTGCCGTGTTCACATTGGATTTGGGCAATCGAGACCGAACCGACAAGTTGAGGATATTCACCGGAGCCGAGATGGACTGTTTGAACGGAAGTAAGGAACAGAACCCACTAACTATTTATTACGGTATGACATTTCGTGGTTTCAGGCGGAGACTTCGTGGAATTGAAAACGCAGTTCAAACAACTTGGCATTGGCCGATACTGGTACCAGAAAGAGATGAAGTGGTGGCTACAGTCGTTTTTGGTCGGAATCGACACAATCATAATTGGCCTGCGAGACGACGATGGCATAGTCAGAGAAGTCAAGCCTGTTAAAGTAAATGATTTGGCCAGACGACCCAACGGTTGGGATCCGGCAGTTTGTTTGAACTTTCTCATAACATTCCTTCGAGAAGCCAGATCACAATTGAAGAATCATAATAACATAATAGCAGAATTCGACCCTCGACAACGAACAATATCCTTCAAAATGCCTCACAGTAACGAGAAACAAGACGCCTTTATTCATGATTTTGTAGATCACTTCAAGATATAAAATAAAATTAAACGGCTAAAGATAATAATTAGTGATGATCAAACTGAAAACCTCGCCTTTCAGACGTTTTCCTTGTTTTGCACATAAGTGTTCCTGCTTCCGCGGCGGTTCTGATGATAGTTGTTGTGGCCGCGTTGGCCGCCCCGGTAGCCTCCACGATGATATCCACCTCGGTTGCCGTGGTTCCTGACCGCGTATTGGCCGAACGTTTCTTGGTTGGTTTGTCGTTCCTTTCTCCAATCAGGACGCTTGTTCCTGCCAGTCGCCTTCTCCTGTGACTCGCAGGAAATATCGTCGAAGAAGGAGCTGCTCTTATCATAACAAGGAGCTGGCTCGGCCGTGTTTTCCTTTTCCTTCCGTTCCTCAACGTCGGCTGAAACAAGTCGGTCAAAAGAGAATCAACAACATAACACATATATTTGAGCTGTATTTTGTGAATTCGTAAATCCTTACCATCAAACACGATCTTGTTTCCCATGTCGGCAGTCAAACTCTCCATCTGAACACGGAAGTTCTCGTTTGCTTTTTCAAAGTCATAATCACTATCAAATTTAAGTTTTTCCTTTGGATTCACATTCTTGTTAAAACGGTTGAAGTTGTTACCGCGGTTATAGTTATTGGGCTTGTAGTTATCACCTAAATTAAAAATGTCATCAACCTTCAGTGCACTTACTTCTTTGCTGAGATCGGCTTCCGAATTCGGGCTTTGGTCTTACGGATGCTTGAGGTTTCATTGAGCTTTCAGTTTCATTCTTTTCAATCGACGGAGCTAAAGTATGATTTATATAGTATATATAATAAGTAATATAAGAAAACAAACTATTTACGTAAAATAACGATAATAATGATTTAAAAAAATAGTACATCTTACGTTTGGAAAGAGAAGATGAGGTTGGTTTCGAACTCTCCGATGGTGCAGGAGCTGATTGTACAGAGACGATGGCGGGGTCGTAGTCTATTCCGCCAACTTCTTCACGTTCCTTTGCTGTTTCGCAAACTACGAGATCCTTGATATCAGAAGCTTTGAAGATAATGAACTCGTAAACTTCATCACGAGCCTTCACCGGGTGATCCGTTGGACGGTCTTCTGTTCCAAACGATCGCACTAAAATATATATACTTTATTACCGCGAAAGCTGTCAATATCCATTTTACTCAAACAGTATAATTTAGATAAATCTAAAGGCCAAAATTATGTAAAATAAGTTACCTTTAGCCAAAGCGATAGTCGATTCATTGCTGTCGACGGTGTACAAAATACCCTCGTATCTGATGTCCAACTTGGATATTAGACTGATCTTACTGCCTAGATATGGAGTCTGTGCCATCTAAAACATAAAGGTAAAACTGCAACATGAAAATAATTGTTGGTAAATTACAACAAGTAAGAGTATCCGCGAAGAAACAAACAAGAATGAAACGAAAAGTGTCCCCCACAGAAGACGAAACGCAAATAAGAAGCGAGGGCGCAGTTTGAAGGTACGTTTTGCAGTGTGCGCGGAACGTTAATACTGTAAAGAGTAAGGAAAAGGGGTTCTAGTTTGCAAAATTTGATTGTTTGGAACGAAAAGAGCTTTTAAAATCATCAAAAGGTCCAAAAATGGTTTTTTTATTATCCTCAGAAGTAATTTGTTCCCAACATATTCGTTTCGAATTTCCGGTAACTTCTCATAATGTACCACTTTAAAATCTTATCATATTGGCACCGTCTCTTGCACGCAAGCTTAAAATATTTGATGGCAAATCGGGTTTCAGTATTTAACTTGTCTGTTGAATACGTAATTTTTTTATTTTAAAATACAGAAGCTTGAGGTCGAATTTTGGATGGTTACCGTACTCGATGAAAATGCCAATTTGTGAAACTTTGAAATTTATTAAAACGACGCTACCTTCATGCTGTAAAACACAGGTAATGCCGCTTTAAGCCCGCAGACCCCAATAGTTTGTTACGCGACCTTGTACTATCAATAAGCACTCTCTGAATTATAAAATATTTTTTGTTGCTTTATCGTTTTATTTCACAATTACATATTTTTCCGTAAAATAGCGACTTTTTTGTACCATAAACATTGCTACGTCTGTAAGTCTAAACTAGATCAAAGACAATATTTTCGGGATTTGGTCGTGTAAATGAACATTTATAGTGAATTTGTTTTGGGGTAGCTATCAAGGTAGACAATGTTATTGTGACATTTGAAGAGTCTTTTGATGTTCAAAAGAAAGCTTTACTGTAGCGTTGTACCTCACCTTATGTTAGTTTTTGTACACAGCCTTCAGCTGGCTGCGTTTGCCTTGAACTTTATTTTACAAATTCAACTCAGTGGCCAAACTTTAATTTTTGAATAATTCGCCGCACGACATTATCTTGTCGATAATTATTGATCGTTTCCAATTGTTTTCCCAGTTTATTTTGGTCATTTAAATTTACAGTTGCACTCGGAACTTGTTAAATCCGTGGGATCTGCGACATTCTCGTCTGCTTTTTCTTTATTAGGTGGAGGTTTGGCGTCAAAGGAGTCACACGTGATGTCTTGTGTCTATTAGTAATGTGGTACACTACCTCGAGCTTGTTTTGGTATTGTAGCCCAGATCTACAGCCAGGGGAGAGACCTTATTGCTGCTCTCTTCTCTCAGCTGTCCTTCCGTCCTCCTCCCAATTCTTTTTTTTCTTTCGCTCTAAGGCCGAAAGGGTTCTGCGCTTACCGTTTATCGTCGTCTTCCTTACATCACGGAAGGGATGTACTGGTTCAATGGGCCGGGCATTGACGTGTGTTACATCTGGGATCACCAGACCGCTTATCGTTCTTGTTTTCAGGATGTCAGAGGTATCGCCCGACTCTCTGACAGCACTCAGACGCTCCAAACGCAAAAAGTTCCATCTTGATGTAGCAGCCGTCTTCTCCGGGTCTTCCAATCCTGACAAACGACGTAACAACCTGGATGCCAAGTATGCCGGTAAGGAGGCCAATCACGCCGTCTCCGGGAGGAACCCGTTCAGGTTAAGGGACTCTCTCTCCAACTCCAGGGACATGCCCGATCTCGATATCGAGCAGGATGCCGAAAGTAAGTCCAAAAATATTATTTTAACTAAAATCGTGTAGAAATCGAAAACTTGGGATGTGCTGAGTTAGAACATACACACACTCAATCGTCCAGTTCAACATCCTCCAGAAGGAGTACACCAACTACAAGATCATGTAATGGAGCTACGGAACCGAATGGACTAGTCAAGGAGCACGAAACAATTGTTGAAAACGAAGTTATCAGCTTGAACAAAGTTAAGGAGTTGACTCCCGACATTAAAGAAGAAGAAGTCGTGGAATCGAAGCAGAAGAATGGTACCACCTTGTACTTTTGCGCTAAGTGTGGTACAGGTCTTAAGTCTAAGTCTGGACTTATTGTGCATTCCAAATAGTAAGTAGATCACATATTTAATCAATAAATTTAGTTGTGAAAAAGGAATCAGCAAACGAAGCCGAAAACGAAGAATGGCGTTTGATAAACAACACAATGTAACTACTTCAACACTATTAAAACCCGTAAGCCTCGTATAAATTATTTTATGTTCTTAGTTTTGTTAAAATAACATTTGTTTAATCATTACCCAGACTGTTTAAAGAGTTAAACGTTTTTAAGACCGTTACCGTAAAATCAATCAATCCCACCTTCTCTGAAGATGCCAGCATGCCCATTCTTCTGCCAGAAGGCCCCATATCTGGAGCCAATGCTCCAACACCCTCGAAGAAACCCAAGAAAGGGAACAAGAGTTCCCTCACAGAAACCGTCAAACAAGAACGGATAGACTTCTCGTCTTTAAAGTTGCTCAACCTGCCTCCTTTGCCAGCCATTTTAATTAAACCTACAGGTAGGTAGCTCTTCATATTTGGTGTAACTGAGTTTAGGTATTCAACAGAAAGAGTTCTATTGTTGTGAATGTCCATACAAGTCCATTGACGACACATTGTACAGAATCCATCGCTCTATGCACATTGGGGATCGGCCTCAGAAGTGTTCAGGCTGCAGTTTCAGCTGCTTCTCTCCAGAAAGTTTGTACGCTCATCTGGATCTTCATGTTTCTAACTCCTCCTTAAATCCATCCAGGAAGTCACGGGTAATAAAGAAGAAAGAGCTGGAAACAATACCATCAGACAGAGAAGATGTTATAAAATGTTCCCAATGTAGTTTTAAGACGTTGTGCATGGAACGCTTTCATCAACATCGACTGGACCATGTTCAGGTGAGAACATCATGCTAATTGTTTTAAATTCATGTCTTACATTTTTATGGTTCTTTCCGTAGTATACATTACTCAAATTTAGACCCAACAGCAACGGTTAGTCAGTATTATGAAGAGAACCCATACCAATATCAACGAAGAACCCACATCTAGTCTTGTCGGACCCAATCCTAAGATTCTCCATTGCAAACTATGCGAATTCTGGACAGAAGGACCGGACAACCTTGAACATCACGTGGAATACCACAACTCAGGGCAGTTATACACATGCAGACTATGTGACTATGCCAGCGATGAGAGAACTGTGAAAAATTTCCATGAAAAACATCACCATACATCACGTTCCTTGTCCGATCACATCAAAAACTTGGCAATTGCAATCAAAATAAAAAAGGAGAGAGTAAGTTTCATTATTCGTTATCCAAGATCATCATAACTTAATAATACGAATAAAATTCAACAATAACTTTACAATTACAGCCCAACGAAACAACGGCAATCAAACGAGCTGCCACCAAGAGGAACAGATACGTGGGCAAAAGCCTAGCGGTACAGTCACTTCTCAAAGCTCTGGAATAAGGTTACCAACCCATTAATTAATGTCTTTCCTGTATTATACATGTGTCAATATTTTTATAATGAATAATGCAATTGATAAGGAATGAATGTACAATAAGATCTATTATATTTAAATACTAGTGGACTCCAACTTTGCTGCCGGCAACGTTCTTGGTCTCCTTCTTTTCCATGTTGGTCTTGGGACGGCGGAAGAGGAGGATGTGTCGTTCGGGAGAGTGTATCATGTAGTGGATCCAACCCGGGCTTTGTTGAATACCCAAACTCCGCCACTCGGACTCGCTCAGCAACCGGTTCTTGGGAACTAGACGTACAACTTCCTTCGGCACATGTACATGTCTAAAAATGAAGAAAATAGTAATCGTATATTACACATACCTGTACTCAAACTCTTCGTCTTCGTATTTATCAGAATAGTAGAAGTCGGTGGCGCTTGTCATTGTACTGGCAAATAATATGTATAACTCGAAACGCTTTGAAAGGTAACTTGTTTTGAGTTCGATTAGATCGAAAATAAAATCAGAAAAAAAACCTTTCAAAAGCTTTTAAATCCACCAAATCTTTCGCTCTGAGACCAAACTGAAGAAGACAAAATTTTGTTCCTTCCTGAAAACGAGGTTTGTAAGGGAACATAAAATTGTGTAAAACTGACATTAACTTTCTCAAAAATAATAATTTAGAATTATTTTTATAACTGTGAGAATTTCATTTTTATAAAAATATTTCTAATTTTTATTTTATTATCATTTTATGCAGATTAGACGTTGAAACGGAATGCCAAACAAATGGCAAATTATTTTTGGACGTAAAACGTGTATTTATTTAATCGTGAAAATATTTTATTGTTATATTCTGTATCCAGAAGATGGCGAATCCAAGCTCAAACAATGCTATCGTTGTTCTAAAGACTTTGTACAATCAATACCAGAAGTCGACTCCAAGCCGTCTGAAGCTCATTGATGCCTACTTGTTTTACATCTTGATCACTGGAGTTGCTCAGTTCGTCTATGGTGTATTGTTTGGTACCTTCCCATTCAATGCTTTCTTGGCTGGCTTCATTTCAACTGTAGCTTCATTTGTTTTGGCTGGTAAGTTGATTTATGTCGAATTGTTTAAATTTAGCTCTTTTAAGTTTAATACAGGAAGAAATTACAATGCAAAACATAAATTAATATAAAGAGAAATATATTTTAGCTTGCTTGCGAATTCAAGTAAACCCAGAGAACCAAAGCGAGTTCAATCAAATTAGTGTAGAACGAGCCTTTGGAGACTTTATCTTCGCTCACCTCATTCTCCACCTGGTAGTAGTCAACTTCCTTGGTTAATAATTGTGATATATTTATTAAGTAATAAACCTAATTATTTATTATTTTGCTTAAAGCCTGAAAAGCGTTGTTTCGAGACAATATTTTTTGTGCTTTCTAAATTTAAACTTGCATCGTTAGATGACAGACAAAGACGAGCCGCAAGCTTCTGTAGAAGTAATGGGGGAGGAAAGTAAGCCAGCAGCACCAAACTTGTCAGTAGATCCAGAGAAAAACACAGGCGTGATATACATAGCACAAGTTCCTCCTCGATTCACAAAACGGAAGATTCTGGAATACTTTTCCAATATTGGAGAGGTCGGGAGAGTATACATGCAGGTAAGGTGTTCTTCACTTGGATTAAAGTTTTATAAGCAAATAGAACGTATTTTTATTTGTCATATTTAGATAGACAAAAAGTCGACAAAAGTAAGGAGGTACACAGAAGCTTGGGTAGAGTTTAAAAAGAAAAGGATTGCCAAAAAGGTAGCGGCCATGTTGAATGGTCAACAAGTGGGAGGAAAGCACAGAAGCCCGGCATTCGACTCTTTGTGGACAATAAAGTACTTGCATGGGTAAGCTGTTTTATGGTTGGACGTTATATTTTTAATAATTATCGTTTGATCCGTCAGGTCTAACACTGTGTTTGCAGTTTTAAATGGTCGAATTTGGTGGAACAATTGAATCACGAGAAGACGATAGAAGAACAAAGGTTGAGGATAGAGCTGTCTCAAGCCAGAAGAGAAGGAAAACATTTTATTGATCAAGTCCAAAAGAGTGGCCAGATCAGGAACCTGGAGAAATCTGTAAGATACTTTTAACGATGAACTTAAATACTCAAACCAACTTTCAGGTATTGGAGAAAGGTGGTGAATGGACTACAAAGGCAACACGAGAAGTCAAAGTAAAGAAGACGATGAAGAAGAAGGTCTTGAATGAGGACGAAGAAGGCCAGCTTCTGAACTCCATTTTCGGCTGAAACTTGTTTATAGATACGGTTTTTTGGTTTATGCTTGTTTATTGTTGAGGTAAAGCAATCAGCCTTTAGTGTACAGTATAGTTTATATAATTAATATGAGATAGAAGCCTCCTTATATTCGGAGCCTTGATTAGAGAAAAGGTCTTCCAGTTTCCAATTGAGAGTCTCAAAGGTGGGTCGCTTTTCTGGGTCTTTGTGCCAACATTGTAGCATTATTTCGTACAAGACTGGAGGGCATCCTACCGGACATGGCATTCTGTACCCGTTCTCCACCTTCTGTAGCACCTCGGCGTTTGTCATCCCTGGGTACGGTATTCTTCCGAACGTTACCAACTCGGTTAGCAAGATACCAAAGGACCAGACGTCTGATTTGATGGTAAACTTGTTGTAATTCGCGGCCTCTGGCGCGGTCCACTAAAAGTTCAAAAGTAAATCAGTTATCACATTAAAACATCAATAAAAGTCATCGTATTTACCTTTATGGGGAACCTAGCGCCGATCCTAGCCTCGTATTCGTTCTCTCTTATCAGTCGTGTCAGTCCAAAGTCAGCTATCTTCACGGTGGCAGAAGAGGAAACCAGGATGTTCCTGGCTGCCAGATCTCGGTGGATGAAGTTCTTCTCTTCCAGATACCTCATACCACTAGCTATTTGGGAGGCGATATCAACTAGTGAGATGATGGCAGACGTCTTGCCTCGACCTTGTAGGAAGTGGAGAAGGTTCTCTTCCATCAGTTCTGTCACAATCAGAATCGGCTCTTCCTTGCTACACACAGCGTACAACTGAAGCAGTTTCGGGTGCCTCATTCGCTTCATGATCTGAGCTTCGGCCAAGAAGTCTTCGATGTCAGCTGTCCCTGGCTTCAGCTTTTTGACGGCTACAGGAGTGGTTCCATTCCATCTGCCTTCCCACACCTGAAGTACGATACTGATTACACATAATCTCGACTTACCTCTCCGAACTGACCAGACCCAATTTGGCAGATCAACCGCAAAGATCTTCGGTCGATTTCCCATTGGTCGTCGTAAGTGAATGTTGACGTTTGAGGCGATTCTACTCTTGACGGTGGCTTTGACAGTTTCACGCACAGACCGTCAGCATCGGTACTGTAATGCTCGATCAGCTCTTTCAGGTTGTTGAATACAACCCTTTTGGCAATAAAGTACCCGCCTTGGTCCAATGGTCTTATACGGTAATGCTTTATGGAATCTCCTTCGCGGACTGAAGAAATTCAAAATTTACTTCATAAAGCTTATTATTACAAAAAACTCTGTACCTTAACCTTGGAAACCTCATCCCAAACTTTTTAACTTTCAAAAATATTTGTCTGTCTGTATGTTCTTATAAGATTAGATAGTGGTAAAGCTTAAAATGAAGCAATTACCTGAAAGAGAATACTCGTTCTGTCTAGATTCAGAATCCCTGACCAAGAAGGCTCCATGTTCGTTAGAGGAAAGCATGAGAAGCTTTTCTGCTTCAACTCTCCGTATCTTGCCGAAGTACCATCTGCAAATTAGTACACTTTAATTACGCATTACCTGATAAAAAATTGCTTTTTCAAATAAGAATTTGAAAGTAAGTATATCAGAACTCATTAGTTTGACTTACGGTTGAGCGCTGATAGACTTATGCTTGGCTACGTAGTTTGAAGGAATGTAGCCGACCTTGGACGTGACAACACTCCTAGCGTACCACCAATCACCCAAACTGTCGTCCAGAACTTCCAGAAGGTCGTTTCTTTTAAAACTCAGATCATCATCAGTACGAGCTTCGTAGTCGTACAGAGCCACGTAGATATTGCCAGTTAGAGGGTGTTTGGCCTCACTGGACTTACTATAAGGTTTGTTAGCTGGCTCGACTGGGTACGAGATGGGGGAGGAAGGTGGCAACGACTTCTCTCCCGCGTTGTTGAAGGCCAACGGCTTGGCCGACGTGAGAAGAGCCGTCGGTGGCCGCGGCGAGGACGGCTTCTTGCCCAGACAATTACCCATTCTTAATTCATGACCCAAATCTGTCGAAAACGGACAACGGCGATAGGGAGATGGTGAAAACAAAGTGCGTATAGTCGTAGTTTTTAACCAGGGGCAGCACTTTCGAAGCGCAGAGGCAACTTACGCGCGCATTTAGATCACGATTTTTCACACTGATTTCGCAGGCAGAAGACCAAAATACTCTTCTTCTTCTTAACGGGCGATCCTATTCAATTTTCGGGAGCGCAAATCTCTCGACTCTCGTCGCTCTTCGTGGCTGCTTGCAGCTCGTCTAATCAACTGGATCATTGGGCTCCTGTTCTACTATCTGCGTTACAATAAAAGCCGACAGCGCTCCGCCGAAATCGGTGTTAATTTGAATGCGATAAAAGTCGATCCGAAGGAATCCAATTAAAACATGTGATCCTGCTCTGCGAATACGTAATATTATTCTGCATCGTTCCCCAAAACATAATTTTTCAACTACATTTTACAATTTCATCAAATATGCGTCATAGAATGATTCTTGAAATGCATTTGTGCTTAACTCTTTTCGCAACCGCCTCCCGTGTGAAAGACTGAACGAAAAGCCACAAACTTGTGATTCACTTTTTCCAGCGACTAAATAAATTATTTCCGGAGAGATAAAACATATTTTGATATGAATGCTCCACAACCAGACCTTTGGCAGATCTTCCAGTCCGTAGACAAGGACCGGTCCGGCCAGATCAGTGGAGAAGAACTTCAGAAGGCCCTTTCCAATGGTACGTATCTACCTTTCAACGCTGAAACTTGTCGACTTATGATTGGTATGTTGTGGTAGAATTACTCTTATGATACTTTAGGTATGTTTGACCGCGATGGAAACGGCGGAATCAACTTCAACGAGTTCACAGCCTTGTGGAACTACATCAACGACTGGACACGGTGTTTCCGTAGCTTCGATTCAGACAATTCGGGGAACATCGACAAAAGGGAACTCACCTCGGCGTTAACCCAATTTGGTACGTTCAAATTAAGAATCTGGGTGATGGTCATAGCTAATGTTAACATTGTTTTTATACATTTTCTTTCAGGCTACCGATTGTCCGACCAGTTCTACGACTTGTTACTCAAAAAGTTTGACCGAACTCATAGCAATCGTATCATATTCGACGACTTCATCCAACTGTGTGTTGTTCTACAGACCTTGACTGCCGCGTTCCGTGATAAAGACTCTGACAGAGATGGTGTTATAACAGTCCAGTACGAAGAGTTCCTCCAGATGGTTTTCGCACTTAAATTGTAATATTACACTTGATATCATGTGATGTTATGTCCATATCATGTAAATGAAAATAATTTACTTTAAATAAATTTATTTCAGAGCTCTAATGTCCAAGTAATTGACCTTGACTAACACCGTGTGGATATAAAGTTTTAACATTATCTTTTTTGTTCACATTCCATCGTATAAATTGGTTCGTCTAGAAAATACGTCACGCTGACTGTACAAAATATTGTATTTTGTGTTTGTATTTTGTGTTTCTCTTGTATAACATTGAAATAAACAGACTTTAGCTTTCGTTGTGAAGAATTTGAAAAAGCTTTTTATGTTTTTAAGTATATTTTATATTGTTTTAGTGACTTGATTTATATAAACTTTCCCGCAAATATTTTCTCGTTTTGACAAAGTTTTATGGCGACGACGTCAGCTTGTCCTATTGTGACGGGAGTGTCTCCAAAAGATGGAATTCCGGGAACACAGGTTACGATTCGAGGAGAAAATTTGGGATCAGGCCAATCCGATCTGGTGGCATTGATAATATGTGGAACTGATTGTTTAGTAACTGCTAAATGGAAGAGTCCGTCTAAAATTGTTGCTAGGGTTGGACAAGCTAAAAGAGGGCTTGGAGATATTATTCTTGTCACAAAAAGTGGTGGAAGAGGCACCTCAAATGTTCAGTTTCGGGTTTTCTTTGAACAAGTTGGTCCTTTGGCCGAAAGTTCTGTTTGGGTTGACGAAACTAGAACCGTTCCTATCCGAAATGCTATAAGGAATGTGACAGAAGCTCAGAACAACAAAGACATACTCGGAATTTCAACGTGAGTGCTTATTTTGATCTTTTTTTATGTTCAGGGGCGAAGTGACAGATCAAGCGATTATGCAGAAGTATTTCCCTGATTCTTCCGGGAACCTGAGGATGAACAACTTTAATCCTGCTTGGTATATTCTTGAAAGCTATAAGTCGGCAAAGTAAGTGCTTTTTTACGCTCAGGACAACACTTTTCTGGAATTTTAGTTTTAATATCTAATTTGTGATTTAGTGGGATATTGTTATTCAAAAAAAGTTAATTTACTTTTGTCTACGATATGGCACTTTTTGTTTTTAGGATGTCCGATATCATGGTTGGCATTTCGAACTTGAAAAAGGAGATAATGAAAGAGAAGCAATCTTCTAAAGACGTTCACAAGAGTAACTTATACTCTTTAATCCATTGTGTCGACGCATTAGATACCTTGCACAAAACTATTGAAAGCGATTGCGAGTCTCACGGATGGCCACTGACAACTTCTGTAGCTGAAAGGGTACGTTTTATTATTTATAAGGATTGCTATAAGACTTTGTTTTTTTTTCTGTTGATAATAATGCAATTTTTAGGTAAATGCAGCCCGCGAGACTTCTGATAAGCTGTTCTCTGGGATTTTAAGTAGGAAAGACAAAGCTGATGCTACGAGAAATGCTCTGTCTGTGCTTACCAGATTCAGGTTTATCTTCTACTTGATCGAGAACATCGAAAAAAATCTTAACGATGTAGGTTTACGTTGGTTACATTTTATGCTTTAGAAATACAATTGTAAATTGATTATTTTAGGGTGATTATGCTGCGATTCTGAGCGATTACTCTCGAGCGAAGTCTTTGTTTAAAGATACGGAGATCTCGTTGTTTAAAGAAGGTATTGTTGTTGCATTTATTTTTTTAGATATTGACTAATATGATACTTTTTTAAATTCTAATATTTAGTCATGGACCACTTAAATGTGAAGATCCAGAAGTTTAAGGAAACGTTGCAACAACGTTTGATGGGTATACCTACTTCATTGGAAGAGCAAAGCAAGTTGATCAAGTACTTGATGATTCTGGATCCGGATTCGAATCCAGGATGGAATTGTGTCACTACATATCATTGTTGGCTAGAAGACCAAATGTGGGAGTTGCAGGAAAAGTATGTCAAGATGAGTGTCGACAAGAACTACGATCAATCAGGTACTGCTTGTTTATATTAACGTAGCTATTTACACAGAACACTTTTCTATGTATTTGAGTTTTTTGAATCGTTTTTTTTTCTAATTTACATAGTTGCAGCCAATGATAATCAGAGCTACATAAACTCTTTTGTGTCAGAGTTCTTGGGTATGCTTTGTGAGAAGCTGGTGGCCTTCACAAAGCTGGCTTCTATCTACACGACGGCAAATCAAGAGGACAACACTGAAGATGTTAATGTAAGGTACATCACAGATCGATTACTTTTTTAGCAAATGATTCGAAACAGCATCAACCTGGGCTCGTGGCTGGTGCTTAATGCGATAGTGCCAGAGGCCATTCCCCAATCAGTGAAAGATGAATACGGTAATAGATTCGCCAAGTTTAATGATTTGTCGAGAGATGGCTTTGAACAAGTGGAGTCCCTGATTCAAGCACTGAAAACTGTCAGGTAATTAGGTTTAATATTTGTTTTAGTGGTTTTAATTGTTATTGTTAACGTTTGTTTTTAACTTCAGAAGTTCGTTAAAGACCTTGTTGGAGTCACAGTTTAGTCGGCACAATGTTCAGCCGTTGATAGAGTTGTCTAAAACATTGAGGATCAAGGGAATCGAAGTTTTGACTACTACAGTGGTAGAGGGTATGGTGTTATGTTGATTTAATGTACTTTTTGGTTTAGGTATTCTGGCATTGTCAACGAAAGAAAATTGGAAGATTGACTACACGGCCCAGAACTTTAAGACTTTGTTACCTGATTTGTACGAAGCGAAGGTAACTTTATGACTTTTATTATGAATGATTTACCTAGTTTGATTTTTGACATTAATACCTAATTGTTATTTATGTTTTAGATAAACGAGATGTTGCCATCAACAAAACTGTTGTTAACATCAAATGGCGTCTTTGAAGACGACTTGTTCATCAATGATTCGATTCGTCAATTGATTGTTGACCGCTACATGATGGTCGTGTGTACGATCAAGGAATGTCTTGAACAGATGTTGGCCATCAAGTTGAGGAAGCGACCTCACCGTCTGTTCAACGAATCTGACAGCGGATCAACTAACAGTGCTGCAGTTGAAGGTAACGCTTTTTTTATTGAGCTATTATAGTATGACAAAGTTTAGGTAATAATTATTTTAATTTCTAGTATATATTACAAAATGATTAAATATATTGTTTAGAGCAGAAAAAGTCGTCGAGTGAAGTGAACGGAAGACGACTGCTGATTGCCATTTCTAACTTGGACTACATTCTGAATGGATCTCTACCTCAAATTTGTAAAAAGTTGTCTGATAACGGACTCAAGTACAGCGATTTGATTCTGGACGTAGGCTTAAACAAGTTATATGATGCTAGATATTTTTAGAAGGCGAAGGGTGACATGTCAGTGTTACGGTCTGACCTGATCTCAAAGTACTTGGAGTTGAAGACAGGGCCTTTGTTATCTTTGCTCGACTGTATCTCGTATGAACATCTGCCAGAAGAAGACGGTGGGTTTCTATGTGTTAGGTTTTATAAAAAATCATAAAAATTTGGAAAGAAACAATTATATTACGCCGATTTGTTGTAGATGTGTCAGCCTACATCAAGGAGCTTGTTATGGGTATGATCTTTGTCAAAGCCGAGCTCAACTTGGTTATTCCAGCTATTTCTTCTCATGTAGGTCGATGTTAATATATTTTTATACATGTATGATAAAATTAAAAATAAAGACAGGTTATTGTATTTTAGTTACTTCAATCGGCAATTAGAATCGTTTTGAAACAATTTGTGAAAGCTTTGAAGACTATTATTGTCAGGAACGATGAGCACGCTACCCAAATTGTGATAGACGTGACGGCAGTGGAAGAAGCGTTTGATATGTACATTGATGACGAAGTGCGGTAAGATATTATTGTAAACGTGTTTTTCTATTTCTATAAATGTATTTTATCATAAACATTGTTATGTTAATGGATGATATTGTCTTTTTAGAAGAGTAATGAACGATTTGAGGGCACCGCTTAAGGCAGTATTGGACAGAGAGTAAGTTCACCTGTTTACTAAAATATTCATTGGTTTTTCTATTATAGGTTATACATGCGTGATAACTTTGCCTTGTTTTAGATTGTTCGAAGAGAGTATGACCAACTTCAAAGGTGCCATGTTCTTCGCGATCGAGAGTATTTCCAGTAATAACCACACTTCTGATGTATAGAGCTTTAATAAATTATTTGAGGCTTCTAGTAGTGGGTAATGTAACAGCGGTTAGAGGCCGTAAAAATATATTTTTACCAGAATTGTAATTGTATTGTAATTAATTTGTTTATATTGTTGTAGTATGGGGTTCGTAAAGCAATGGTGCATAGCATTCGTGTTGTTTCAAATAGTTATGGTAGCTCTGAAAATGAGTATGACTGGATATACACATGCCAAGATACTCAGAGTGTACGAGTTGGTTAATATACAGTTCTTTATGACTCTGGCCAGCTACCTTTTCTACTTCTACAGATATAAACTGTAGGTTTACATTGATATATTAGCGTTGTTTATAGGTTCTTGCACAAATGTTGTCAAGGCAGTAATGCTTTGTTGAATGTGGCATACTTCACTGTTATTGGATGTGCTCAGATAGCATACTTGGGACATTACATTAGGACAGAAAACCTACAGATAATTACTCTAATATGGTACGTTTACTCTGTTATCGGAGTATGATTACATATACAAGTTATACAATTTTGGCAAAAAAACTAGGTTAATGTTTTAGTTTTTTGTCAGTCGCTATCTTTATCCATGTTATGTTGATTACGGTGGGATTTGTCATAGAAGAACACTTGGCCTATTGGATTCTGCCTCAGAAGCTACAACATCATATTCTCATGTCCAAAAGCCTCCACACAGCTATTGCCATTGCTCTTGCCTTCATGTTCACGACCTATGGAGTAATCTCAACTAGTAGTGATATAAATGTAAGTCAGCATGAGTACGGTAACATGCTGTTTAGGTTTATACAATAGATGTTCAACTGAAAAGACTGCCACAGGAATTGGACAAATTTACGATTGCTTTAATCACGGACGTTCACATTGGGCCAACAGTACACAAACAGAGAGTCAAAGAGATTGTGGATGTTGTGAACAAACTCAGCGTGGACGCTGTCGCCATATCAGGAGATCTTGTCGATGGTTTCGTCTACAACTTAGACGATGTTGCTTTAGAGTTGGTGGCTTTGAAAAGCAAACACGGAGTGTTTTACGTCACCGGAAATCATGAGTACTATCATGATGACATTGAGAACTGGCTCGAATTCATCAAAAACAAACTTAAGTTCAATGTTCTGCACAACTCGAACAAGATCGTGAGAGATGGGTTGTGTATCGCTGGGGTCGACGATTACCACACTAGGCGGATCTACTTGGAAGGTATGAGTTTGCCTTATTCTTGGTGGAATGTTAACATAGCTAGCAGAAGCTAAATTGATATACAGGGTGTTCCAAGAAAAATGTTAAAGACTAACGAGCTATAATTTTCTTCCTAATAAAGCTACAGATGCCAAATTTAGTATGATGAAAGCTTGGAACCACAAGTTTTTTGCCACAAAATTTTGGATTTTTTTAAGTACATTTTAAGGGCGTTATGATTTTTTTAAAAATCTCCATTTTCCCTGGAATTACACATATTTTCATTTCGAAATGTTTTTTTTGGTGAAATTTTCTGTTTTTGACACTTTTTTGGTTGAAAATGACATTTTTAGCCAAGTTTTTGATTTTCAAACGTCGGCGGAGACTCGGCGGACGCCGAAATTTATCGGCGGAGGCTATAACTCGCTTCAAACATAACGTAGCGACGTGAAACAAAAAGTATTAGTTTTAAAATTGTCAAAGCAACCTTCACTGACGCTAAGTTTGTCTGAAAATAACTCTACCAAAAAAATTACAAAAAACGTTGAGAAATAGACGCAATGTTTCAAAAAATTTTACTTACGTTCAAAAGTTATAATAAACTCATTTTCTTCAAAGGTTAAACCGCAAATATATCAAATGTTGTTAGTTTTTTTGAAGTAAAAGATAAAATACGTTAAAGTTTTAAAAGTTATTAGTGCAATTTACAAAATAAATTTAAAAACATGTTTCCTTTATTCATTTTCTTAGGTTTTTATAATTTTTTGTGTTTTAAAAACTTTGAAGCCAAGCTCAGTATCAGTGAAGATTGCCTTGATAATTTTAAAATTAATGTTTTTTGTTTCACGTCGCTCCATTATGTTTGAAGTGAGTTATAGCCTCCGCCGATAAACTTCGGCGTCCGCCGAGTCTCCGCCGACGTTCGAAAATCAAAAAATTTGCTAAAAATGTCATTTTCAACCAAAAAAGTGTCAAAAACTTTTTTCGAACTGAAAATATGTGTAATTATTTCGAACTGAAAATATGTGTAATTCCGGGGAAAATTGAGATTTTTTAAAAAATCATAACGCCCTTAATATGTACCCAAAAAATCCAAAATTTTGTGGCAAAAAAACTTGTGGATCCGAACTTTCATCATGCCAAATTTGGCATTTGTAGCTTTGTTGGGAAGAAAATTATAGCTCGTTCGTTTTTAACATTTTTCTTGGAACACCCTGTACAGTGGACCTCTGTATGCGAATCGCAAGGGATGAGAAGGTTCTGTATGTGTATTATTGTTTAACCGTTAATATTTATTAAGGACACAAAATGGATCCAGAGAAGGCTTTCAAAGGATGTCCGGAGAACAACACCTTGATCACTCTTGCTCATCAGCCGAACGCTGCTATTCAGATCATGAAGTTGCTTCCCGACAAGACTGACCTGATCTTGTCAGGTATGTGTGACATTTTTGGGTGATAATTATTGTAAACATCTTTCAAAATTGTTTTTAATACATAACAACAACATAACTTTATCAGGTCACACTCACAACGGCCAGATGTACGTGACCTGGCCGCTGGCCTACCTCGGCAACAGCTTCCTCCACGGTCTGTACAAGGACTCTCTGACAGAGACTCAAGTGTTTGTGTCAGCCGGAGTCAACTACTGGGGTCCTCCGGTCAAAATGCGGCGGTTGTGTGAGATTCCGCTGATCAGATTACGAGCGGTTTGAATTGCGTGTAAGTATTCTACTGACATTAACATCAACCTCCAACCTCGGTGATTCAGTGTAACATAAACTCTTTGATAGTGTGACGGCATTTGATTACCGCGTCTTTTCGCTGCATACATATTGTACATGTTGTGGTAATATAAGATTGAGCTTGTTTAGGACATGGGCAATGGCCATGAGATTTATCTTACTGTATGGGTTACTGTGACTATTGTCGCTTTAGTTACTGTCTCCAACTTTCTGTTCAGCAAGATTAGGCAACAATATGTAAGGTTTTGAGTTTATGTTACATATAAGTTTTATCAATAAGTTATTGTCAATCTGCAAAGGTATTTAAAGTTTTGGTATTCAAGTAGTTTGTTTTGTTTCATGGCTTGATAGTTATGTTTTAGGTATCAGTTGAAGGGTATGAACGTGGCAATTCTCTTCGTGTTGTAGCCATCTTCCAGCTGATTAGTATGATGGCAGCTTTGAGTTTAATTATCTACTATCACTTGTTTTCTTTCTTCCAATACCCGGGTACTGTAATATCATTCTCCTCCAAAGCTGTAAGTTCTCATGTTATGTTTGGTTGACGTTGCAGGAGTTGAGGAAATGTAATCGACGATGTTTCTACGTGTTCTTGTTTGTAATGTTCGGAGGACACTTTGCTTATGTGTTATATCTTTTTGACTATGTGCCATGGGTGATATTCGAGCTGTTCAATATCTTCTGTGGCTTCTGGATGCATCTCTTCTTCTTTTCTTTTTTGTTTTTCTACGGAAACTTTGTAACCAGCCTTCTGGAGGTATGTTTTGGATTTAAACTTACTTCATATTCACATTATATTATGTTAACGTCAATATTTGCAGAATTTTCCGCTTGGCCAACGTTTCTTGAGTTTCCTAACAAGGCCCAGCTTCATGAAATCCATTGTCTATGACAGCCAAGTACAAGTAGCCACCACCGTCTTCCTGACGTTGGCTATGTCATACATCCAATGGTTTGCCAGTGACAAACTCTCTGTTCACTCAGCCTCATTCAACCTAACTCACCCTTTACCATCTCCTCTTCAAGTAGTAGTGTTAACCGACATTCACTCAGGAGCTTCCGTCTACGAGTCACAAGTGGCTGATGTTGTGGATAAGGTGAACGAAATGAATGCTGATGTGGTCTTCTTGAATGGTGACACCATAGATGCTCCTGTAGACAGGATATACGATCGGGTAGAGCCATTAAGACATTTAAAATCAAAGTACGGAGTGTTTATGGTCAGTGGGAACCATGAGTATTACTATGGCAATTGGAACGATTGGGTATCTCACTTCGAAGGAATGGGGATAACTGTACTTCAGAACAAGTAAGTTTCTCAGAATTATACACCTTATTAGTAAAATTTACATTTTCGTCTGTTTCACTTATTACAAATTGGTGTTATAGTGTGTCAACAGTTAGTTCCGTTTGCTTCGTTGGGCTAAATGACATTTCCAGTTACAAGAGCGGGTAAGTTAACAAATCGTTGATAATTTGTAGTATTTACAATCATTTCATGGACGTTTCGGCTTTGTCACAATGTGGTAAATATGACAATATTATTGTAATGGAGCACAATCCAGCAGCAGCTCCAAAGATCGTCAACGCTTCGAAACAATTGGACAGGAATGTTGACCTTATCGTGTCGGGTGAGTAATATCTTACTGATTTTGAAGTAGGTTTGTGTTTTGTTTGTAAAATACAATACAAAGTACCTTAGCATTGCTAATATAAATCGAGTTAATCTCTCTGTTTTAGGTCACACTCATGCAGGACAGTTCTACGTCATGATTCCTTATGTCTACTGGTTCTTACCCTTCTGGTACGGTACTTACGAGATCGAGACTACCAAGCTGTTAGTATCTGCTGGCACCTTGTACCAGGCAGCTCCTATGAAGATGGTGGGAATGTCTCAGATATGGGCTTTAACACTCCATTAGTGCAATAGATGTGATAGTTAATAAATATTTATTTATTTTTTACTGTTGTTTGATTCCAAAGGTTTGAAACCATAACTATATCTTTGATATGTTTGTTTTCTTTGCTGCAAATTTTTAAATTACGAGAAAGTTTACGTTAAGATAATGTTTTTTGGTATTTTAAAGCTTTGTTGCACAGCAGACTAATAACAACAATAAAATTAAGCCTTACCTTTAGGGTTAGAATGTTGGCCGAACCTCGCCGCAAGAACAAGATTAGCATCGATCCCCAGAACGTGCTCTGGCGGAACGGTGATACGATTGGCAAGAAGTTGATGAGCAAGATGGGATGGACTGATGGGAAAGGCATCGGACGCAACGAACAGGGATCCGCCGAGAACATCAAGCTCAATCCCAACTACACAAATGCCGGTACGTACTCCAAAATAATTATTTTTGGGAAAACATCAGGACGCAGTTGTAAACGACCGTTTTATACGTTCAAACTTGTTTCTATTAATTTTTTAATGTTATGTGGTTACTAAACAAATCATTAGTAAAAAAATATTTTTAACAGGTTGTATTTGTAGGTCTGGGTGCCGATCATCACAAGAAACAACAGGACAAATGGATTGCCGTCCACGACGACTTCGCGGCATTATTAAAGGACCTAAATCAAGGGAAAGAGGTGAAGGAAGACGACGAGGAACAGGCCGAAAAGATCTCTATCCAGACCGTTTCCAAATCAAGCAAAAAACGAATACAGTAAGTATTTAAATATACATAGATAACATGAGATAATTAGGCATTACTCCTAAACAAATTATCAAATTACTTTCAGCTACAAGTTTACTCGCGGCAAAGACTTGAGTCTGGCTTCTGAAACCGACAAAAATGCCATTTTTGGGAACCGAAAAGGGAAAGAAAAGGCAAAGCCAAAGCAAGAAGAAGTTACAGACACCGAGGTTACTGTAAACACGGAACAATTCACGGAGAAGAACATCTCAGCCAGCGATTATTACGCGGAGAAAATGAAGAAGTGGGGACATCTTTTCACAAAGAGCCAGGTCACTGAAGTCGGGCAGGATACGGTAACCAAGACGGAGATCTTCGAGGAGACTACAGTAATCGAACAGGAATTCAAAAGCGAAAAGAAAAAGAAGAAAAAGCACAGAGAAGTTGAAGATGTTAAGGAAGAAGTCGATGATGAAGTTGTCGACCAGGTAGTGGAAGAGGTTGTGGAAAGGAAAAAGAAGAAGAAAAACAAACATGTAGTTGATGTTAAGGAAGAGGCAGGTGAAGAGACAGAAGTCAGTGAAAAGAAGAAAAAAAAATGAAAAAACAGACACGTTGAGGTTGAGGATGTTAAGGAAGAGGCCGATGAAGAACCAACATCAGAGGTTGGCGAGAAGAAGAAAAAGAAGAAGCGACGTCCTGTAGAAGAAGAACAAGAGACGCAAGAGGTGGAGGTGAAGCCTAAAAAGCACAAAAAGAACCGGATTACAGAAGAGTAATTACTGTAGTTTGACAATACCATAAAACTACTGTATCTTCCGTACCTTTGTCAAATATTGAAGCTTTTGCAAGGCCCCTTCACCGTAAACTCCTGCAACCTAAAACACGGTAGTACCTTGTCGACTACTGTACCTTGTTGGACCCCTTATATTGTTACCCATGTTGTTGTTTCATTTTGATTGTTATGCGAAATAAATTGTTTTTATACCCGTTTCCCCCCTCCGCTGATCGAATTTGCATACGTTTACATTGCGGCCCGTGTATAATCAATTAAAATATTCTTTCCGAGTTTTAAATATTTATTGGCTGGACCGGACTGCTCTTCAGAATATTTCAGTCAACGCACGAGGATATTATAAGAAGGGCGGTCTGCTTTTCGCGGCTTTAACTTTGCTTTGGTTGTCGTGCTGTATAAGGGTTACTGTAACATGAGGTTTGATAGTGGTGGGAAGGGGGTTACAATTTGAAATGTCTTATTTTTAGTTGTATTACAATTGTTTTAAGCCTATTTTACGTATTTTTTATTTTAAAATTTATATTTTTAGGTCGCTTTACAGTAGCTTTATTCCATTTTGTTTTGTAAAATTTACACAGTAACTCTCTTGTTACTTTGTATACAGTAACTGTCAGGTGATGCCCCACTTTGTTGTTATTGCTATCATTACCCTTTCACGTTCTCCTATTATTGTAGGTATTGCCTTGAAAGCCCTTTGGGTGTACGGTAAGTGCATGGTACCGTAACGATAATTGTGTAGATGTCGACAGTGATTATAAGCATTCATTTACCTGACCGAAAGACGACCACCTTTGCGCGTCCTCCTCATGAATAATTCAGGATCCGTCGAGAGTCCCGGGTGTGATGACTTGGCCTCTTTGTACGGCCTAGGTGGTCGTGGGGCGGCCGTGACAACGACCCCACTTAATGTGGGAATGGCTACAGTACGGTAAATGGAATTACGCTCCCCGTAAACAACAATAAACCGTAATAAGCGGCTAGCGAGATTAGCGACAAGTGCGCGAACAGGTGGCCCCAACTTGGCCCGTTTAGTCTGTCAATTAAGTTTAAGTGTATTACCGAGCTAATAGCCACCTTCGCTGGATCATCACCCGCAGGCTCGTTTAATATGCAAATGTTGCCAAGAGATAGAAGCGCGGTTCATAGGATTTCAGAGTTACAGCCTCAGGGTTGAATTTGGCTTCGAATTTTTAAATTTCAATTTGATCTAAAGTGTCTTTCAGAAAACAGAAGTAGATTAGTGGAGTAATTGTGTCACAAAAGAAAAGCAAATTATTTTGAATAATTTTCAAATGACTTGAAGGATTCATTTAAAAATGACATTTCAATCACTTACTATTCAAAATTTGAATTTAAAAGAAAAGATCTAAAGTATGGCTTAGGTACTTTACTGTAACAAAACTTGGAATTAGTTACAGTAGAATTATAAGTTTAATTGAAAAAATGTTCAGAAACAATTTAATAATAAAGTTCAGTTTTCAAAACCAAGATCCGACCTAAAACATTATTTTAAACTTGGAATCCTCTGCCAAATCCCCACCCAAAGTACGGTACTGAGAGGGGAGACATGTTTTCAAATGTCTCCGATGGAATTCCTGAAGTCATGCCCTCTTGGACAGCGGAAGAGGTTATTTCGGCCAGGTCTGACGACGCTTCTCCTCGCCGGCTGCCGCCAACAACTCTCCCCTCGCCCTCATTTGCATAATCGCCGGGACTTTGTGTGCTGTTTCGTCAGCCCGAATACCTCCAAAACAATCACAACACGGCCTCCGGCTGGAGACTATCAGCCTTCACTGATCGGAGTCGGTGATCGTCGAGAATCCCCCGGCTCCCGACCCCCTCAGCCAATCAGCGGCCAGCTCCACCGCCCGAGCAATGGCCGTGCGCAGTTCTCCCTCGCCCCACCGAAAGGAGGGACAAGGGGCGGGGCCCCCGCTGCCCTCGCTAGTCTGGTAACGGGAACAACACTCTCCACCACTAATACTCCAACTCCTGCCAACTGTGCTCCACGAAAAGGGCCTTCACATTAACCAAATTTCGCTCGGCTTCAGATGATATGCCCCATGCAGAGACTCGCGACGTCCGCTAATCAGTTCGACGAGTGCTACAACGACACCCTCCAGCCGCTGATCAAGACCAGTCCCTGCACCTCCCGGCCGGATGAAGCCGTCGGTCTCGACAGTGGAGTCGACGTCCAAGCCCAGCTACCGGACCAGGAGGGGAACACCGCCCTACAGCACCTCTCCCTACAACAACAGCTACCTCTCGACATGACCGCCACCATGGCCGACCCCAGGTACTGGATGACCTCCCAGTCCAGCACCAACTTCCCGCCAGCATATCACCCGCTCATCTTCCAGCAGGAGTGGATGTCAGCCTACCCCCAGCAATTTCAGCCCCAGCCTCTGATAGTCCAGCAAGCACAGGACCTGGCCTTCCAGGACACGACGTCGCTGGTGACGAGTACGAATGCACAGTGCATGGCCCCCTTCTACAACATCCAGAACCAGGCGACGTCATCGAATGTGCTGACCGTTCCACCTAATTTACAGGCAAGTCCCAGCCATTGTTCTATTGTTTCGAGGGTGCGCGATACAGTTTGGCACAGTTGTTTTGTTCCCTAATGGCTTTTGTCTCATTTCGAATTTGAGTGTGCCAGTGTCATCGATAGCTGATTGTTCGGTTTGAAAAGATAACAATCAGGCTGGAAACAATTGTTTCCGGCCAATCATGTTATCAGTTTAGTTAATTATATTTAAAAATTTTAAAATTATTTTTAAAATTTAATTTTAAAATTTAAATATTAAAGTAATTAAAATTGTTTGAATTTCAGGAAATCAAGACGGAACAAGGCCACGGCGTGATACAGAAGCTGCCGTCAGCCGCGACCTTAGAACAACAATGGCAGTTCTATGGGTGTATGAGTAATGAAGACTTGAACTCACTGGCTCGCTCCGAATCGACCGGTCTCAACCTGGCCGGCTGCCCGGAAGAAGAAGCCAGCTCCGAGGACCTGGAAGCCTTCGCCAAGACCTTCAAGCAGAAGCGGATAAAGATGGGCTTCACCCAGGCCGACGTCGGCCTCGCCCTGGGCAGTCTGTACGGGAACGTCTTCTCCCAGACCACGATATGCAGGTTCGAGGCGCTACAGCTCTCCTTCAAGAACATGTGCAAGCTGAAGCCGTTGCTGTTCAAGTGGCTGGAGGAGACAGACGCGGTCAACAGTCAGTCCTCCTCCATCTCCATGGGCCCGGGCATGGACAAGGTCGGGCTGGGAGGGGCGGCGGGCCGACGCCGCAAAAAGCGCACCTCCATCGAGGTGCAGATCAAGTCCCGGCTCGAGTATCACTTCCAAAAAAACCCGAAGCCGAACGCTCAAGAGATCACAAGTGTCGCCAACGACCTTCAGCTCGAGAAGGAGGTGGTCCGGGTCTGGTTCTGTAACCGGCGTCAGAAGGAGAAGCGCATGACCACGCCTCAGAACTACCCTGGCTCTGATCTCGTGCTACAGTCAGCCGTCGCCGCCATGTCTGGCTACGGACAGAACGGCAGCCTTTCCAGCCAGTCAGGGTCCTCCCACCTCCCCACCCACGTCGAGCACAACGACTACCAGTACTGATGGTCCGGTTGGTTACTCTTGAGCATTTATTGTTAGCTATACATTCTTACTGTAATACGTTTGATTGAGAATACGGTTGTATGTGTAAATTTGAGGCATTATTGTAATTTTGTCCGGAGTACTGTAGTTTTCAAGCTCTTTAGTAAAATAAGTTTTTGCCGTTTTACATAGAATTTGGAAAAAACTTTGTTTCCACAGTTATTGTAACAGACTTGAAGACTACCGTATCCGGAGTCGGCAATCAGTTAGTTCTCTGGTTAAATGTACTGATCCTCGCACCCTGTGATACTTTCCATTTACTGTAAGATAGATTTGTTGAAATTAAATAAATGTTTTGTTCTTATAATGGGCGTTAATCGGGGGACGGGTCAGGATGAATTACGGCTCAAAATAATGTTGGACTAGGCCGGCTGAATGACATTTCGCATGAGATGGACGAACAGTGGGGGGCGCGTGCCCATACATGATGACACCTGCGGCACGACGCCCATCCTGACTGTCACTCATCCCCAAATCCCTCTCGACCGTAACCTTGGATTCCACGGTCTCGACCTTTCGCAGTCGAGAGTGGCCACTTGTTGCAAAAAACAAAGAAAGCGCTAAATAATACGGATTAGGTATATGACCTCTTTGTTCTTAAGAAAACCGTTTATGGCGTCGTAAATTACAAGCCATTCACACTGTAATAGCATGGTGTATATGACAACTAACTCATTGATATCAAGATGTATTTAACAGGTATGACCCATCAATAGAAAGAGGTGTATATAACAAATACTTTAATATCGACACACTCTCTTAACGTTAACAGTAATCTTATATCATATCACCAGCTCCGAGTACTACCTTGACATCAAACATGAAATTGTTTCATCGTATCTTATGCCCGGTCGTATCTGACAGGGGGCATCGACTCGCTAGCCCTTTGTCGTATCTCGAACTGTTCCAAAGTCCACTTGTTGTGCTCGAGCTTCGCATACATCTCTTGAAGTTCCTTTTGGTAGGCTTCCACCGCACTCAACTAAACGATTATTAGGTGTAACTAATCTGGGAACATTTAAAGTGACGCAACCCCACTTACTTCGTCGGTGAGAGTGTGAACTCGTTTGACCATCGCCTTCTCCTCGTTCTCTTCCAATCGTTGGAAGGTCTTCAACTCCATCAGAAGCTTCTCCTTCTGCTGCTGGTTTCTGTGGATCTTGTCCACGAATGTCTTCTGGATTCCCTGGAAATGACTCATCTAATTACCATAATATTTAATGTGCAAAATAATCTTTTTCATATAACACCCAACCTTATTTTAAAATTAAGAGATATATAAGACTAAGTTTTGCCAAAAAATCAAATTCCAATTAGTTTTGTTAGCCAAAGTAATTACCCAAACTTACCAAATATCCGCCCAGCAGCACATTAACCTTCTTCTCGACTTTGACCGTCTTCTTTGACAACTGAGCCATCCATTCTCGGTGAACCTGAAACAAAGAAAGTATCGTATTCCCATAACAGGAAATTGGCCGCGGGCATCTTCTGAATGGGTTCCGGTTCAAATATGCCATTCCTTCCCTTACAAGGCGGCCAAGACACAGCCCCACCACAACAAGCACCTCTCAGGCCCTAATTCAATTCCCCCAGAGGTTAATTTGCATAAAATTATGAACTTACATTGAGTTTGGCAGTCAAAGCCTCCACTTGCTCTCGCCTTCCCAGACTGCTCAGACGAGCATATCTGCCATTGTAACATATCAGTTCGTCCGAACATTCCTTTATGATGTTCCACAAGTCTGTCGATAGTTTGGGACCTTGTTCCATCTCCATCTCAATAAGGTCTTGGGCCTTCTTCATCATCACTGGGTCGTAAATGTCGTCTGGCACCTTCCCCATGACGTCCCATTCCATCATTTTGTTGATTTCTTCTTTTATCAAGTTATCTGCCTGAAAAATCAATTTTAAAATACTGTAACCTTAATTTTAAACCAGTTAAAAATAATTTCAAATTAAATTACCTTGGCCAAGTCTGTGTTTGCGGCATTTTTCTTACGGTATTGCGCATTTATTTTGTCAGGTAGTGGTAGTTCCCGTTTGAAAGGAGTACTTCTCAGCTCTCTCTCCTTCGCTTTCCTCTTATCCTCCAATAACTGAGCTCGAGCATCTCGTGTCTCTGCATCCTCAATCCACTCCTAAATTAATTAAAATTAAATTTAAAAATATTAACCATAACAAGACTACATATTGATAATCAGGTATAACCTTACATCCTCCAAGACACCCTCTTGCTCTTCTTCATCATCAGGTAAAACCAACTCAAACTCGTTTCTTGGTTTGGGCAGACTCTTGAGTTTTGTCGACATTCCATGACCTTCCTCCAACGTTCCTCCACCTCGTCGTTCTGTTCTCGGAGTTTCAATGTATTTTTTGTCTAAAATTTGACAAATCGTACATCTTTTATATTTTAAAAACGCTTTTTTTTACCAATTGTAATATACAACACTTCTACTGCACTTTTTCTTAAGTTATAACTTACCAGTTCCCAAATCACTGGCAGTCGAAGCGTGTAATGGAGTGTTAAAGCCTCCCTTTAATGGAGTGTCCGCCGTCATAATCGCCAGCAAATCGTCAGCCGCCTAAAACAATATTGCGTCACTCATAATTAAGGTCTTAAAACTTAAAAATTTTCAAAATTCATCAAAATTAACTCACTCGAGCTACCGTATCCACACTTTGAGTCATCATTCTCGAAGATTTAGGTAACAACTCCTCGGTTTGAGAAATATCATGTAGCAAAGCACTGTAACAAGAAAGATTAATAGCAATTGAGGCAGTTAGAATAAAACCATCAAAACAAAAAAGCATTACCTGCTTGGGTTCTCATCCACAATAGACCTCACAGATTCGGACATTTGTCCCATCTTGACAATGTTCTCCAGGTCTAATTCTGTTACTTGAGGTTCTGGCAATGTCAACTTTGATCTGAGTTTTGGCTTCTTGGAGTCGAAGATAGAAGCTGGTGCATCTTCTTCCCTAAAAACGTTTTTTAGGTAAACCTTACCATAGTTAACACATTGAAGAATAAATATTACACACGTTAGCAACAGCATAAACTGTAAATTTATGAAACATTAGAATACCCACTTCTTTCTCTTCAGCTTTTCACGATCCTTCTTTCGTTCCTCAAACTCGACAGCATCACGTCGCTTCTCTTCGATCGAATTCACTGGCTTCTTCTCAAACAAGTCTTCTGTTGGGTCGTGAAATCCAGCAGGTACCGGCTTTTCGAATGGAATCTAAAAAGATAAAATCTCATACCTAAACCTTTACTTCTTAATGTCAAAAAGTGTAGGACTTTCCGAACAACTACTCAAAAGCATGTCAACTTACCTCCGCATTGTAATCAACTTCTGGCCGTTTCTTGTTCTTAAAGTTGTTGACCAATACGATTCCAGCAGCCTTCAGTTCTCTCTTCTTTTGCAGTGTAGCCAGCCGTCTGGCTTCAGCTAGTTGTTTTTCTCTGGCCTTCCTCTTAGCTTTCTTTCCTTGTGTATTAGCTAGTCTAGCTCTGGCTTCAGACAACATTTCCAATTCTAAATTCAAATAAATTAATTCAAACAAATTTATATTTTAAAGCAAAGTAGACACACCAATATGAAAAAAAGTCAAGAAATTACCATCCTCATCCATATCAATCGGATCTGGTCTAGCTGGCTTCGTTTCTGGAGTCGGATCAACATCTCCTGGCTTTAACTTCTTAGCTTCTGACAAACTGTCCTCAGCATCCAAGCCTTCTGCTCTTCGTTGTGCTTCGTCCAGAAGTTGTTCATACCTAAACTTACAATATAACAAATGTAAAAAAATTTATGAATATCACTATTCCAATAATTACCTTTCCAAACATTGTGCAGCAGTCCGCCCAACGATGGGAGCAATCGTTCTCCATTGTGTGGGCATGATCTTGGCCAAGTTCAACAACTTTTCATCTTCCTCTCTACTCCATTCTGTCTTCTTGATCTTAGGATCCAACCATTCGTACCACCGTGCCTTGCATTGCTTAGCAGACTTTCTGTGTAACAACGAAGCAATACGACTCCACTGATTCTTGCCATACTTCATAATGGCAGCTTTGAGGATTTCATCCTCGGTGTTCTTCCAGACACCTCCCTTGATTACCACCCGCACCATGGCTAAATAAAAAATTATTAATAATATACGATAAAAACATGTAAAATATATTAACTACAACAGTAATCAAACAATGAAAAAATAACAAAAATATTTAGCGCGAAATTGTGAAAGAATAAAATGCATAAAAGACATGACGCGAAAAAAATTGTGTCAACTTTTTCTTTGTTTTTACAATGCGGTAGAAATTCGACAGGAGAATACAAGAAAGTAAATATGTAAGTTGATTTATCAACCGAATAATATATAAAACTACTACAAATTTTTTTTGTAATTTTTAGGACATTATTAAATACTTGTTAGGTTAATACGTCTTTTTACAACTAGAGAAATAAATATAAACACAAGTTTGCAACAATCATATTTATTTTAGAATAATTAATAAAGTTCCAATAAAACAAGATTTTCACTGAGTCTTTTTCAAAGCAGCGATACGTTCGATGATAGGTGGATGCGAGTGGTGGACCAAGGAGTAGAGAGGATCATCAATGGGCATAGATAAGTTGTCTTTGCCCAGTTTGATGAGCGATGAGCACAACAAGTCGGTGTACCCGAGTTTGGCAGAGAATCTGTCAGCTGAGAACTCCATATATCTGCTGAGGAAACTCATGGCGACGCTTATGATCTCGTTGTAAGCTGACAAAACGTATTCAGTGATAAGAGTCAGACCAATCAGAACAGCTGGAGCTTTGTAGCCAAAGGCCAAGTAGATATTGTTGCTTTTGTAGAAGTAGGAGAATACTACCAGGATCAAAAACAAGTTCACTTCAGCGATGGCCAAGTTCGAAAGAGTGTGGGACAACTTCCAGTGGCCAAGTTCATGACCAAGAACGGCTACAACTTCATCATCCTTCATCCCCAGCCTCTTTTCTGGCTTTTTCTAAACAACAAATACATAACGTCATATATGCTTACCAATTCTTTCTTCTCCTCTTCTTTTTCTGGCTTCTTTTCTTCGGCTTGTGTCTCCTTCAACAGCTGGTTCATCTCCTCACTTAACAAGGTATCATACAGTACAATACGTTTGTTCTTCCAGAAGCCGTACATGTAAGCATTGCTGTGAGAAGAGCGTTTCGAACCTGAAAGTGTTTTATTTAGTAAAACATCACATTCTAAATATATACAAGTAGCAAGGATTCTAAAGACAATAACAACATTACCTACCTTCAACCACGTACAACTTGGTCAAAGGGAACTCGACGGAAGCAGCCAACTTTTCAATCTTTGTCTTCAGTTCACTGTCTGGCAATGGAGTAAACTTGTCGAACAACGGAGCGATGTATTCCGGATATATCGTCATCATGACCTAAAATCTGAATCACAAATCACCGAAACTTACAAAAATGACTAGAGATACAAAGATCCACACATACACAAAGAAGTACTCTCCACCAGCATTGACAATCCAAATGAGGATAGAAATCAAGGGAATGCTGATTACTGTAGTTACGGCAAACTTCTTCAATTTGTCAACCAAGTAAAACTGCACAGTCTGAAAACAAAATAAAATTAAGGATCGACCATAATAGAATTAACGCTGTTTGCGCTAGTACCGGTCATTTATGTAAGCTTACCTGTTTGTTAAAGCCAAATTGTTCTTCGATGACAAAGTTTTCGTAAATTCCAAAAGGTAATCCGACGATGATCCCGAACACAGAAGAGTAGATTGTGAAAAGGAAGGATTGAATAATCTGCAATTGTTTAGTCTTATTATTTAAAAATAGAAAATTGGCCGAAGAGATGGTTGATAGCGAAACGATGACTCTACCTACTTTTCTACTTCAAATTAGTAATATTGCCAACTTAAATTACTAAACTTACCTCGCTTTCTCCATAAATAGCTTCAGTAGCGTTTCCAGAAGATTCCCAAAACAATGGCATGATGTTGGCGAAGAGAACGACCTAAATTCATATCAAATCACCTGTCAGAAACATACACTGCTGATAATCTTGCCAATAGTGTCTCTAACAAATCCGAATCTCAATTTGGCCAGCTTGTAAAGTCTGGCCTTGTCGTAGTCGGCCTCATCGATGATCTCACTGACATGATCTGGCCGTTTTTCGGTGTCACGGAATAAACGGTACTAAAACAACATGAATTTTAATGTTGATAAATGAAAATTACCTGTCTGAAAGATAGATACAGCTCCCAGAAGAAAACAGCTAAATTAAAGCTGTATATAGAGTAGAATATGGTGCTCGGATTCATGGTGTTATTCCACCCGCAACATTCGGGAAGAAAATTAATATTTCTTACGAGAATTGCAGCCAAGTTATACGATGAAAGCTGTCCTTCAGAAAACAAATTTGTTTTTGAGGACAAAAGAAAAACAAGTTATCTAAAGACCAAATTCTAATTAATGAAAGACTGTAAAGATACTCATTTATTGGCTTTATCAGTAAACAGAAAAGTTTACTAGACTAACATAATACACATACTACGGTAATGACAGATTTTATAAATTATCACTTAGTTTTTATAACAGCTCAAAAATTAAACTTTATTTTTTAAAAGTATTTAGCATAAACATTATAAACTAAAACGCCAAATAATTTTGTTTCAAAAAACTGTAAAAATTTATTTGCCATATAACTTTACCTAGTAAAGAAGTTACCATGATTATTTGTCAATTAATGAGTGCTCTGTAAAGCAATTGTTGTTATTTTTTACTTTTATTTACTTGTTTGTTGTTCATCAATACAAGTATACGGTACTTGAGTAAAGAAGTGTTTATGCAAGAGAAAGGCTTGACACATTGAGTCAAGTGTCTTTTTAAAAATAAAAATATTTTGTAAAATTGGCTTTGTTATAGCTTGTCGCGTCGACGAAATGGCTCAATGTAAATGGAACTGGTATCAAAACGACTACAATGTCTTCATCAACTTGCTGAGGTTGAATGTTGATCCAAGTAAATGTAAAATCATACTCTTAGACAGACAAATAACTGTAAATGATGGCGAAAAGGACATTTTTACCTGTAATTTGTTTGGAGATGTGGAAGAAGCGATGGATGTATCATTCTCTGCAAACAAGGTGGGGGGTGGTTACGGTTTTGATTTTATTTTTAGGCAGAGTTGAATCTTCAGAAAAAGATTGCTGGCAAGTGGGACGATCTGGAAGCTAAGAAGGAGGTAGAAGTCAAACAGGCACCTAAAATTGAGAAACAGTGGGAAAAACTGGCAAAAGAAGCTGAACAGGACCCTGAATGTGCCGACGACGACGGGGTTAACAAGTTTTTTAAGGTAAAAAAACGTTAGTTTTAACAAATTTCTTGGTGTTTTTTATATTGTTATCTAAATAAATATATACTTTGTTTTTAGCAAATATACGACAACTTGGACGATGATGGGAAGAAGGCTATGATGAAGTCGATGCAGGAGAGCGCAGGTACTGTTTTGAGCACCAATTGGAGCGATGTCAAGAAGAGTAAAGTCGACTGTAAACCTCCAGAAGGCCTCGAGTTTAAGAAGTATTAATAAACTATATTTTGTAGGATTTGTTTTTTTTGACTTGCGTTTTTATCGAGAATATTTAAGTTGTGTTTTAATTTGCAATTGTTATAATTTTTACTTTTTGTTACCTAAATATGTATAAGTGGCTATTTGAAGATGACAGATGAAGCGTTTGGTTCTGTAATGGATAAACTAAGTTTAAATGGCACTGTAGAAGACTCCTTACGAGGCAAATTGGAGGAATACGATGATGACAATATCTTACAACGGTCAGAAATGACATTAAGCGATGTCTTACAGTATTACAAACATTACAGTACTGTCAGAGAAGTCACAGAATTGGTGCCAGAACTGTTAAACTGTGTTTTGCAAGATTCTAGTACTTTTTTGCAGTTGTCGGCATTGATAATAGAAGAAGGGGCAGCTGTATCTTTACAACATTTACTTCTATACCTCCAAAGTAATGCCAAGGATCTTGGAGTTACAGTAGGGCACTTGCTGTTCGAAACAAGACTAATTGGAGTTGTCATTGGAGAGCTTGGTCTAAAATACGTTGCTTTGATGACAAAAGTTGTCATTCAAGTATTCGAAGGGCAGAGTAGGGGTAATGTACAGGAGATATACATCATGTTGACCAAAAGAATACTAACTATAATCAAAGGACTTAACACAAGCAGAGACAAGAAGAACACGGTCAGGGAGCTTCAGATGATAACCAGCTCGTTGTGCTATTTTTGTGTGTCACAGAACTTGTTTATGGTAGGTAATGGTAAAAATATTATGATTTTGTAATCTACCGTATTTATTGTATGTATATCTTACAGTATTCTGTAGTATGTTATTTTTGCTTAAAGTGTAACTTTAGGTGATGACGTTGTCTCCGGGACTTCTAGAGTTCTTCCTTAACCTGATTCCAGTGGACGACGAACACTTTATAGTACAATACTCAGCTCTTCATCTGCAATGTCTCTGTTTGGCTTTTAACTTTTGTCGAACGTAAGTGTGCTATTACTGTAACTTATAGTACTTTAGACATAACTACTTCATAGCTACAAGCAAAATGGCGCAGAAGTCTCTGATTGAAGCTCCGTCTTCTGGATTCTTACAGTTACAGTTCAAGAAGTTGGGGAGTATACTGTCACATTACAAGGTTCTGTCGACTGCCACTTTGGATTTGTGTTTGGAGTGGATGTTTCTGATTGTAAATCAAGTTAACTTTGAGATCATGAATGTGGAGGAAACCATACTTCTGAAGAAGAGCATTGTCAACATATTCTTGGAAGGTAAAGGTTAAAGGTACTTAGTATCTATGAATGAAAGTAGCTTTATAAATGATATAACTGATTACAACGTTAATATAACTAGTCATATTTGGTTTAAACTATTGTTTTAGGTTTGGACGGGAAACAGAGCAGAAGCAATCGACTGGTCGACGGACTAAAGGTCTTCGAATTACTGTCAGAATACGACGATGAGGAGCTACGAGTTGTGATGAGTAAGATCTTTGCTCGACGACACGACTTTCTGATGGTATTCAAGATGGTACCAGCTGATACGTTGTTACGGTAAGAAAGTAGTTTGATGGTTATTTAATTAAGTAAACGGTAAATATTTTAATATTGCTTTACTTAGCTGTTATTTTTGTATTTTAGGTACTTTCTTCAACCAGAAAGTGTAAAAGTAGACGATCTTGTCTTTACCAATGGGGACAATGGTACATGCTTGACTAAACTGTTTATGCATCATGGAGACAAGAAAATGTATGAATGTTATATTACTTTAGTGCTATATTTGTTCGAAATTATTATCTACTACTTCTTTCAGGCAGTTTGTATGTGAGGTACAACAAGCGATACGAAGGATGGTAACTGAGGATACTGTTGCCGACTTCAACGATTCTACAGTCTACAAACTCGTCAAAAGTGTAAATGGTATGTTCAGGCACTATATTGTCTTAATCGATTACATAACATTAATGTTTAGATAACATGACAAGTATCCTACGGTCGAGAGTAAAGTATGACATTGGGCGTGGGTATTTGATTGGACATTCTTTATTGGAACTGGTCGAACAAACCGAGAAAAATTACGGTAGTTGTGTGGAGAAGGCAGACAACGTAAGTACATATAAAAGTCTTTGATACTTAAATTGAAATAACATAATATGAATAATGGCATGGTTTTGGGAAGTGTCTTTAAAATTACAATATGTTGTGCTTTCAGAGCTACTTGACAGTGTTCGATGTATCCTTCGATGTGTTATGTCTGTTGTTCGAATGTGCTTTGGACATTGGAAGACCTCATTTTGTGATACGAACAGTTACCGAGTACTCGAAAGGGCAAGACATTGACCACGACATCTTCAGAACTATGTCAATATACGTTGTGTGGGCATATCTACTGTTGAGGGACGTGGAAGGAGTGACTGATGTCGAGGTGATGTTCTTGAGGAAGTACGATCACAGGTCCAAGTGCTTCGAAGTCTACAAGGAATTCGCGATGGGACGGTAAGATTCTCAAGATTCTACTGATAAAATGAACGTACAAGTTTACTAGAGGGTATTGTGAACTTATCATGTTTCAGAGTAGAACTATGCTTAAATCTGGTCGATGTGCTGGACTATAATGACATAGACAGTAACCCCGTGGTCTACAAACTTCTGAATTGGATTGTAGGTTACTTTTAGTATTTAAAACGTTACAGTATCCATTTATAAGTTTTAAGTATACTGAAGTAATCTTAATAAAAGTTACGGTGACATACTAATATTATTTATTTACAGCGTCACGAATGTCTGGAAATGGTACCAGTACCACTAATCCGAAGACAGCTGGCTCCAAACGCTTTCCACGGTTTGGTCGAGGTGAACGAGAATCTGGATTCTAATATTCTGATGGGCCTGGTCGGCTGGAATCTTCCGGAGGAACCAGCTCCAGTCGTACCAATTCACAAAATGGTACAAAGTGTTGAAAGCGACGTGAAACAGCTGCTACAGTCTTGGCTCACTAAGGATCAGTTCTACGCCGATCCCATGTAATTGCTTTTCGATACTGTATTTTAAGTACACCTTTTCGTTGTGGGTTTGTAGGGTTTTGAACGTTAGAATCTTAAAGAAATGTGTTGTAGTTTACTTAGCAAGGCATACTGTAACATTTTTCAGGTTTTTTACGAAAAGCATTCAAGATATAGAGGGTCGACTTAGTAGCCTTGTACAACTGAGCTACAGTAACCACGAGAAGCCGGCGTGGAGAGCTTCGTTGGATTCTCTTCAGACGTTGTTCAAGATTCTGGAATCCAAAACGGAATGGGTGAGGACTCTACTTATATTACTGTAATTTTAACGGTTATTGCCTGGAGGACTAGTAACTTTGTTACCTAAAATGATGGTTTTAACTCTTTGTTTCTAGCAATCAGCCATGGACAGCCTTATCGATAACACAAAGCTGGATCGACTGGACGTTAACTATCTCTTCAAGTTTGGACAGAATTTAGGTAACTACTTTGAGAAGACTGGAGCGGTCCAGCTGTGCCCGACTTCTCGATTCCATCTGTTTCTGTCGTCGTTGGCTCTGAAGTCAGGGAATCAGATGTTGTTCTACCATTACAACGACAAAAGTCTCAAGATGAACAACCAGAGACTGTACCCGACTACACAGATGAAGTACCTGTCCAAAAGAGTCCAGATAGTATGTTAACACTATTAATTGTATAATTTTTGTACTACGATATATTATATATATGTTGACATCTTTCTTTAAACCTTGAATGTATTTGTATATACCTTTAACCTTGAATATATTGCTATAGGGAGATTGTGACAAAGCCGTGCCTCAGTACGTGGTTTCCGATGGTACTAAACTGTATTCATTGCTGGCACAGAATCTAGAAGAAGAAGTGGATCTGGTAGCCGATGTCTCCAACCGGCTGGCTACACTCTCTCAACATCTGCCATTGTTTTGTAATGCCATCAAGAGTCAGACCATGCCTACCAAGGTTTGTTTTACAGTCGGGGGCGTTACTGTACTCAACGTTCTTGTACTATTATATTTTGACAATTACGTAACATGATTTTTCACCCTATAGTAATCCTTCCTTGACCTTATCATATGTTACAGTAACCTTAACATATTGCAGATCCAAAATTCAGCATTAGAAGTACTACCGTTGAGTACTAAATCTGAAACAGCTTACATCTCTGGAGCCTTTCATCATCTGGCTACGATTCTGAAGCCGGATTCACAGAGATTCTCTCAAGACTTCAGAAGATGGATGTTTTCTCAAATAAAACACGACAACGGGAATCTGAGGCTGACGGATTCTGAATTCAACGACTTCAAGAGAATTCTGCAAAAGAACGATGTGAAGATGAGCGATGAAGTTGTCACCGTGATGGAAGCTACAGATTCCTACGAAACAATGATTGAGATTCTAGGAAAAAAGTCAAATTCTGATGTCAGCGGGTACGTTGAGTTAGGCTTATGTTGTTTTAAAGGGCTGACTTTTAGCAAAATACATCTATTTATGACCTAATGATTTATATTGTTATAGGTTGTTGAGTAATGTAGGGTTCAACAGCACCTTTTCATTGTTCAAACAGCGTCAGAAGATGCAGTTCGATGTCTACATTAACATACTGTGCAAACTCCTCTTGATGGACAACACGGTAAGGGGAGTTATTGAGGTCAAAAAGAACTTAGAAGCTCTTCTCCTTACGGACTGTAAATGGTTGATTTCAGGTAAATATTGTGAATGTGTCAGCCTGTCTGGAGATACTCGAGTGGCTGCTATGTCACCCCATGTGGATGAAGGAACACGAAACACGCTTTCTAGAGACTTCTAAGGCCACCTCTTGGCTCAGTAAGTGAAAAGAACTTTGTATATGCTAATGTAGATGTAGCTACGTAATTGTAAGTAAGTATGATTTACGTAATTGTAAGTAAGTATGATCTACTTACAGGCGTCATTCCTCAAATGCTGGGGATTCTGAAGCAAAACAACGAAGACGCAGCGCTTCTGATGAAACAGTTCCTGATTCCACTGATTCTGGAGAATCCTCACAAATTTGCATATTATCTTAACAACGAACACAATACCGTGCACGACGAGTACCTGATCAACGATAACAATGTAGACGAAGATGGCATCAGTCTGGGCATCAGTGTGTATCAAGAGATAAAGGTCAGTGATGGTTGAGTTACTTGATCTATAAGCTAGGGAATCTTTTCCAATCACCTTAACGTAGTCGTTGAAAATAAATTGAAATATCTATTAGAAACTAATTTCAGGAGGAGGAGAAGTCGAGTTTCGAGCACGTTGCCGACCAGTTTAAGTCGGTTTACCCTGATCTCACCGAAGAGGTACTGTACTTTTCGGCCGAGTTTGACCAGATATCATTGACATTGTCCGAGAGGTGGAACTACCTTCTCAGTCATCTGAACACAGACATCAACTCCTTCAACAAGTCCATCAAAGGCTACTCCCAACAGTTGGAGAAGGTGCTGGATCACAGAAGTCATGTCAAACTAGTTGTGGCAGAGCTGGCCAAGAACTTCAGACATACGGTAGGTTACTGTACTGCAATATAAAGAATCTAATTTTATTTTGTCACTGGTTCATAATGTTTTAGGTGCTACAACTGATAACCGAGTTCTATGAGGAAACGGAATTCATGGAGAACGATGTTGTGGACGTGAAGAGGTTCAAGGCTTGTTTTATGAATCAAATTGGTAAAGCCCTGAGGGAATCGGCCCAAGCCTCATCGGTGAACAAGTTCTTCACTCCGTTCGTAGACTTCATGAGCAAACTGCATTCTGACATTCAACGCCAAGACAACCAGATTCTGAATCTAAATTCACTTTCTCCTGGACTAGCCAAACTCAGAGGGACTGGTCTTCCCTTGCCTGGCCTAAAACAACATGAAGATAGGACGATATACTCCATTGATTCTGCTGTTTACGTATTACCGACCAAAACACGCCCAAAAAAAGTCACGGTGATTGACGATGCGGGTGAACGGTAGGTCCTGCTCTACGGTTAGTTTCAGTTATACCTATTTACAATTATATAATCAATCTACTTTCAGACACACCTATCTCTGCAAAGGGCAAGAAGATCTGAAGCTGGACGAACGAGTGTCCGGTCTGTTCGCCTTGAGTAACCAGCTGTTCCTGGAACAGACCACCAAGAAATATTGTTGTAGACAATACTCTGTAACTCCACTCAGTAACCGGACAGGACTGGTCGAGTGGGTGTCTAGTGCCAAGTCAGTGTACCAGATATACAAGACATGGTACTACAACCAGCTGGAGAACAAGCTTCTGAAGCGGCAGAAGGAAGAATCGCAGGATTCACAGAACGATGCGGATTCAGAAGACCGTTCGGATCGTGCTTCCAATAGTGCAGTGAACGATCAGAGTTTGGAGGAGAGAGAGCACGACTACAAGGAGGACGACAGACACTTCAGACCGGTCAAGACATTCTACTCAGTCATGAAAGATATCATGGGTAACCAGGTACGGTAACACTGATAGAATTGATTCTTACTCAGTAATCAGCAGAGTATTTTACATTACTTTTTGTAGTTACCTAATATTCTCTATATTCAGCAAAACGTGAACTACAAGAACCGAAGCTTATGGACGGAGGAAATGCTACTGAAGTCATTTAACAAAATGAAAGAAACAGCTCCACACCATCTGATATCAGAGTAAGTAGATGCTTTAACTACAAAGAGTAGCCTGATAGACATAACTTTACGTTTAAATCACATTTTAGGTATATCTGGAAGTCTAGCACAACGTCAGCTGAATGGTACACTAAGATAAACAACTACACCAAGAGTATGGCCGCTGCCAACATGATGGGCAGTCTGATCGACCTCGGCGACAGACATCTGGACAATATTCTAGTAGACCACAGTACCGGGGAACTGGTTCACGTCGACTTCAATGTTTGTTTCCACAAAGGGGCGGTCCTTAGAGTACCAGAAAGGGTACCATTCCGGCTCACTCAGGCCTTCCTGGATGTGTTAGGGCCTGCTGAAAGTGCAGTGAGTTTTATTTTTTTATGTTATGTTACATCTATCTTCCATGAATTAGTTTTGAGAAGAGTACCAAAGTGTTTGTTTCAGGGAAAGTTCACGGTATTCAGCGAAGAAGTGCTGCAATGTCTGAGTAACAACAAGAACCTGATCCGCAACTACCTTAATGTCTTCCAATCAGATCCTCTGACTGAATGGTCGATCCCCAACGACCCAATTACCGGCTCCAAGCTGAATATGTTCGGCTCGATAGTAACCCACAACGACAGTCTTGTCCTGAACTTGTTGTTGACCAACTTCTGTGCCTTATTGGGGAGTTTGAAGCCCGCGTTACAAGCTGTCGAGTAAGAAGTTAAATATGTTATTTAAGGAAAAAATATCATCTGTCTTAGTCAACATCTAATGTAATTTAATTTAGAACCAAGATAGCTGAGTCAATTCGAAGTCTGATCGATCAGGGAACCACAGATGTTAACGTAGAGATTTTTCATCGTTACACAAAGAAGCACCAGGCCATAATGCACCGTCTGAAGCCTTTCTTGAAGATCTTGGCGGTCTGTATTCCAGAGTTCAAGGCCTTTGTTACAGTATACAAAACCAACTTCTCGTCTCCCATGGCCAAGATCCTCAGAATCATCGTTGGCCAATCTGATTCGTCGATACAAGGACTACTCAATGACGTTATGGATAACATTCACACGTAAGTTGGTCTAAGCGACTAGAGACAATCAGACAACTGAAGAAGAGTTGTAGCTAATTCTATGATGTCTGTTTTAAATACCGTGAATATTATTGTAATCATGGCATTAATTAAATATTTTTGTATTGTTTCAGGATATTTGGCTCGCTCTACAAGCTACAAGAAGTCCACGTGATATTCGACAAGGAAAGAATCCTCTGTCCCTCCAGTAGATATTCCCAAAGACTCAAAACTACTCTAGTCAACAAACTCAACGGGTGTGAAGCTGAAAACGAACGACTGACTGTTTCTCAACATGTACAGTACTTAATCAACGCTGCCACCAATGACAGTAACCTCTCACAGATGTACGAAGGCTGGATGCCTTGGATGTAAATATTGATATTATTGTTGATAATTTGATAAAACTTTGTTGTTATTAAATGATAAAAAGAAAGATAACGGGTGGAATTAAAAAATTATTTAAACCTTACGGTTTATATAAAACTTACGGAATATATGAAACAAGATCAACAAAACGAAAAGGGTTTTCATTAGATTGTTCGCTGCTAAAATCAATGGTGGCACTTCGTTTTTCACCATTTTTTATAAAAAAATATTTTTCGCTTTGTTTTGTGACCAGTTGATTATGTCTAACTTGCAATCACTCCACGCTTCGTTATTGGCCGAATGGAAGAAGCCTAATCATGGCGATCTCAACTCCATTCAGCAGAAGTTGTCGGCCATCAAGGTAAGGTATTGGTTTAGGTTCTTGTATTCTGTATTTTTAGATATAAATCACAAGTTTTTGTTTCAGCAAGAGCTTCAAAACACCACAGTTTTGTCACAGTTGGGCTTGGAAAAGGCATCAGCTATTCACAGTAAGGTTTCTTATATTATACTTTAAAATTCTGGTTTTATGTGATTAATTGATAAAATTATATCTTCGTAGCTTATTAACTAATTCAAACAATAAGATTGCTTGACATCTTTCAAGTCATAATTATTTTCACTTTTTAGAAGACTATTTTGAACTAAATGCCTTGTACAATGTTGTCATATCGGATATGGAAGGCTTCGAAAAGGCGATCTCGGATGTGCACAGCTTCTACCAATGTGTTGCTGAGGATTCCGCCTCAAAGTACTTGATGTACGGCTTACATTTGATGTTCTTGTTGGCACGGAACAAGTTGTCTGACTTCCACATGGTAAGATTTTGTTTTTCTTTTGCATTTTAGGCATCAAAAGCTTTTTTTTATTAAATTCAATTTGTAGTTAACATCTTACAAGAGTTATTTTATTATGTTTTAGCTATTGGAACAGATCGACCAAGCTGTGCAACAGAAGGATCCCTACATCTACCTGCCTGTAAAGCTGGAGCAATCTCTGATGGAAGGAGCTTACAACAAAGTAATCTTGAACGAGAACACCCTCCCCACCCCCTACTACCAAGTCTTTGTCCGTGTTCTGATGAACACCGTCAGAAGTGACATTGCTTTGTGTATCGAGAAGTCTTTCAAGGGCCTTCAGATCAAGGACGCCGCCAGAATGTTGTTGTTCGATAACGATGCTGATCTCAAATCGTTCGCTCAGTCTCGTGGATGGACCTTGGACAAGGATATGCTCCAGTTTTCGAACGAACAAGGCAGTAACGATACTCACAAGGCCTCGTTGGACACGAAGAGAATCGCTCTCCAGAATATTTATTACGCTAAACAACTCGAGATGATCGTATAAACTGTGCTGTACATGATTAAACTAAGTATAAATGTATTTCGTAAAGGTGTTTTGGTATCTTCCAATGTTTTTTACTTGTGATCGTATCACATTGATGGAGTATGCATATCGTTGAAGCGATTTACATTTATTTTTACAGTAAGTTTAGGCCTATCATGTCAAAGTTAGAAATACATGAGAGTTCATTCGTACATAGTGATTCTATTCTGAAGGGGGAGATCGTGTTCGGTGCTGGGACTGTTGTCCATCCCTATGCCCAGATCGATGCTGGCCCAGGAAAGATAATTTTTGGGACCAATAACATCATCGAAGAAAATTCCCAGATTATCAACAAGTAAGATTTACAATTCTAGTATATTATAGTCCCGGTCTTTCTTCTAATGTCGTTTATAAAACGATATTTGAATACAACTAATTTTAGAGATGAAGGGAAGGTTATCATAATTGGCAACGACAACATATTTGAAGTCGGAAGCAATGTCCAAGCATCTTCTATCGGCAACAACAATGTGTTCGGTATCAGGTCTCAAGTGGCCCCAAACGTAACGGTACCAGATGGATGCGTGTTGGGCCCTAAATGTCAAGTAAACAAAAACGAGGACCTCCAACCGAATACAGTAATCTACGGAGAAGAAAACAAGAGAAGGATAGCTTCGTCTAATGTCAACAACGTAAGTCGGTATTAACTTATTCCAACCTTAATTTAGTCTCAGAGGCCACATTGCGACTTCCTACAAACGAAACTGTCTACGTACGGAAAGTCATTCAAGAATTTATAACAATATAAACAACAACAATCAGGCCGCCTTTTTCTTCTTGAGAGCTTTGACCTTCCTGGTCTGGATCGTGTCCAGATCTTGTTTTCCAACGTGGATTCTGGCCAACTTGGTCTCGAATGGATCCAAACTTGTGTTCTTTCGCATCTTGTTCTAAATTATTTATTGTTAATGATAAAATGTAAATACTATACGTTTTCTATATCTGCTAAGATATGTTACGGATAAATAAGGGCCATTAATTAGTAAAAAACACTTACAACAACGACTTTTGGTTTCTTCGTGGTCTTCTTCATGAGGTGTTCACTAGCAAACTTGGTTCTGACCATTTCAAAGTCAGCGTGAGGACCATGCTCGACCAGTTCTACTCTGGGGGAAGAACCGGTGCTCTTCTTGAGTACTGATCGATACGTCCTCATCAATATCTTTCCACTGGCAGTTGCGGTAAAAGAGATCACTAGTTCTAGACCTTGTAATCTTACTGTGTCGACGACAGCTCCTCTGAAGAAGTCTACAAACATGTTACCTACGCGTTTGAAGCCATCATCCACTTCAAACAGAGATCCGTTCAACACAATACAAGGCTTTGTGCCGACCGTCACACCTCCATTCTGAAACGAAACATAGTCAACCATCAAAAAAATTAATATTTAAAACTTGTTTTCATTATGAATATATGCGTTACCTTGAACTTTGATTGAGGAATGTAGTTGGTCAACTTTAAATCCACCATATCCAACAACAAGTAGTCGAACATACGGCCTAAACACACGGTGTTTGGCCGTTTTTTGCTGTTTGAAACCATACAGAACAAAGATGAGTCGTACTTGGACGTCATTTTGCAGATAAAGGTTTCATCGTCAAACAAATGAATTGGGTTTCTACTAAAAATCAAACATAAAGAATATTAATCAACTTACTATTTGAGCTTCTCCACCAATGGCTTTTTCAAAGCATAAACATCGTTAAGGAAGTTTTGCAATGTTTCGTTTGTCTTTCCTCCCTTGACCAACAACGCGTTCTTATCGTTCTCCGTGACTTTGGGAGCTCTGTTCTCCAGAAACTTCTTTCCTTTTCTGGTTTTAGCTTTGTTAAAGATTGGTGCCATTGTGAAACAATTCAATAACAACAAGTAACGAAAATAAAACAACAATTAACAATAATTCTGCATTTTCGGAAATTTTTACTCAACCTACCTTAAATAAGACATGACTCAATGAGTCATCTCTATCTTCTTTGGTCCCGCCACGAAAATCCTATTTCTGGTGTCATGTTGCATTTTATTAATATTATATATAAAATTATATGTACATATTACTCGTTCTATATTTTCCTTATTTATAATAACAATACCTGTAAGAAATACTTGTATTTAAATTTCATACGATACTTTAACGGTCTGTTCACAACTTTCATATCGATTTATACGTTGTTTCCCATTGTCTTTTGATGGTAGAACTTTTCTAACAAACTAAACTGTGGCTGGGACGTTCAAATGAATATATGTAAGTTAGTAATTGATAGCAAAACATAATTTTGTTGCAGATAGCCATCGGGTTCTGAACATTGTGACAAATGGGTTAATATCACCGACTAACCAATCTATTTTTGTGTATAATCCGTTCACAAAGCTCAACTACACCACTGACGAATGCTGTTACGAGCATCCTGAGCTGGTAGGTTATTACTTCTGTTAAATTTATAAAAATTAATAAAACTTTTCTTTATCAGTGAATTTTAGGTAATAAATTAATTATTTTAGGTAGATCTGGCCGATTCTGTTGCGCAATTAAATAAAGAAGAAGAGTTATTATTGGTATCAAGGACGTCTCATAGTGTAATAGATGTTGAAGCAGGTAACTCGTTCACAAGCATCAAGAACTCAAGTTTAGGTAAAAAGTTCCGTGACATATACGAACATGATGGTGTCATAAATGCTGTTTGTTGGAGTCCAATCAACGGAAATGTGTTTGCATCTGTCGGATCTGACAACACTGTTCGATTATGGGACATTCGACAACATCCAGCACAGGTCATGATCATCCGGCTGAAAAGATATTCATGTCTAGACTTCTCTCCAGATGGACAATATCTTGCTTTAGGCGGAGACAACGCTGTGAACCTTATGTATCTGAACAATCCTAGAGATCTCACTACTATGAAGGTATCTTCACCGGTAAGACGACTGTTTGGATGACTCAGGAAATATTTAGGTAACAAATGTGAAGTTCAACCCTCTGGAGTGCACGATGGCGACCATTAGTACCGATAAGGTGGTTAGGTTCTGGGATATCGATGCCAAGGAATGTGTATCACAAACACTGCCATTTGATACGATGCCAAAAGCAATAGAATACACATCGTGTGGAAACTACTTTGTGGCTGCTTCGGACACCGTGTTGTCATCTTTCTTGTGTGAACCTTTGAGCATGGTACATGAAGTAGAGGTGGAGAAGGTGGCCAATCATTTTCTGGATTTCAAGATTGCTATGGATGTGGCTTATCACTTATCGTGGAATTCAGACGGCGAAGTTGTACTTAAGTCGTATATGGTTAATGTAAGTTGATATCAAGATGAAGATGTGTTATGTTGTAATGTTTTTTGTTGCCCATGGATACAATGCAAACTTGTGTTCTTCTTTAGGACTTGAGAAAGAATGGAGTTCCGGAATCGCCCGTGCTCTCCGCCATTTCCCCCATAAAAGACGTCGTAAATACAGAGGATTCTGTGTTCTACAAGTCCACCAACTCCATGAAAACAGAGGATTCTACGATAGAGTTGCGAAGTTGTATGTCAAGAAGCTCCTCCTTATCATCTAATCACCTATCATTACACAGAAGTCGCAATAACAGTCAGCAAAATTGTGAGTTTCAATCTGAAATGTATTTCAAAATGACACTTTCAAAAATACAATTAAATTTAATTTTGCAGTAACCTCCGCCGCCCAACGTAAAACCTCAGTGGATCTAGGTCCCTCTCAAAACAGCTCTGCCATTATAAAGGAACACAACTCAAGACTAAAGAAGGGTTCAGATTCTCCGTCTGATTCTCTAAGAGCTACACAAGACGGCTTCAAGAGTGTGGTCGACAACCATCCTTCTGTCATGGCGATATTACGCGAAAGGATGCACGAATGTAAACGGATTCAGTCCATGAGCAGAATCTCATCTATAGGTAATCATTGTTATAGTAAATATATGCTTAGATCCAAGTAATAGGACTATAACAGCATAATTAAATGTTATATCACATTAATAACAGCCCTTTATTCACATTCAATTATGATTCCTTCAGACGACACGCTGAAAGAGGCTTCTAAGATGAACGGCAGTCACATGCTGGCTGCTCTGATCAACACCTACAAGGCATCTTCTTCTCCAACGATAACCTTCTACTCCAAAGTCTTACTGTACGTCATTCCACTGCTCCGACACACCAACCCTGACTACATTAACATCGGATTGGACATAGTGTGCGGAGTACTAACAGATCACGGGGACCAAATCAAAACGGGTTCAAAGGGCAACACAGACCTCGAGAATGCCTGTAATGTATGCAAGAGGATGTTAACCGAGGTCTACATACTGATGCCGTGCCTACTGGAGCGTCTGAACGAAGAACAACGCCAGACTTTTACGTCGCTTCTGCCATTGTTAAAAGCTTTAGCCGAATAACTCCAACGCATAATTATTACTGTGATTTAAACATACGGGCATGTACATGTGGGTAAAGTAATTTAATAAATATCATGTTCACTTTTGTTTCTAGTCCAATACGCGTTATCTATGTCTCTAGCACCAACATAGTCGTCGTTCGTCACGATATTCTTTGAGGGCTGAACTAGTCCACTTCTGAAGTCCACGATGGACGGAGCATCTGGAGTGGCAGCCATGATAGAGGAATTCCGTCTTTCTGGAGGCGGGGGAGGGATTCTGACCGAAGCACGACGTTGTCGTACTGAATCCATCGTCCCTTTCGAAGTCGAGCTACGGCTACACATGGACGAAATGTCATCGTTCAGCTGACTCATCGTTTCACTAAAGTCTGAAACATGATATGGTTGACGTTCTATATTTGCTTATGGAGATACTACTTACTATTCAGGACCTTCAGATAAGATTCAGTATAACAGCTAGTGCCTACCTCTTTGAGATTCTGCAGCCCAACTCTTCTTGGGCGGATAAAACACACAATCTTCCATAACTGACACATCGCTGGCAGAGATTGACAAGGCCGGAGAGACCCCCAGAGATCCGTCTGTAATGTTTATGATCATTATCAAAAGAACAAATCAGTCGTTCGAAAAGCACTAGTTTATGACGCTTACCATTGCTGCCACGAGACAGAAACGGCGGCTTATCCACCTTGTTCTTATGGTATCCAGGCTTTCCGTCCACTAAACTTTTTGGGGAAAAGACTTTTGATTCCACATCTGCCCAGTTAAATGTCGAACTGGAGGTGGAAGGTGACGTGTTCATTTTGGAAGAATGGTTTAGTCGGGAACTGACTTTACTTGACGATGTACTTCTAGAAGGAGAAGTCATCCGTTTTCTGTAAGTCTGTTCATCTGCTAATGCGTCCTCGACTGCCGCTTTTACGACCAAAGCAGAATCTGAATGTAACACGTCCATCTCGACCGACTCCTGGATCTCTTTGATATGTACACCTTCTTCTAGCAGTGTGATCTCCGCTTTCTTAAAATGATTTATATGTAAAGTTAATATATCTAGTTCATTTCTAATACAACTCATAGACTAACTTACTATTAGAGGCATTAACAAGTCCATGAACCCTAAGAACAGCTGTCTTTGATTAAGAAGCAGCTCAGTACAGAACTGCTTCTGTTCTACTACAACTTCCCCCATGTCTTTCTTGCTTCGCTTCTTCTTTACTACACGGTGATTCTTTCTTTGAAGCTCTGATACATTTTGTTTCCACTCAGAAGACCTGGATTCCAAAGTCGGACAGAAGTTGTTGGAAATGACGCTAGAGAAGGCCTTGAGATCAGATTGTAGAGTTCGTTGCCTGAGACAAAACCTAGTCAGAGCGGCTCCGATGTCTCTACTCGCTCCTTTTATAGAGTTGGCAGAATCACTGACGATCTGGAGACAGTCCACAAAGTTGCTTAAACAAATGGCAGTATTGTTCAATTGTGTGGCCAATTTGGACGCTCTTGTAGACATTACCTCCCAAGCGCAGTTTGTGCTCTAAAAATACTAAACAAGAAACAAGCATTCTTACCTTTAAATCTGACAGAACCGATTCACACAGTCCCTGCATGCTCTCAAATTCAGTACCCATCGTAATCTCATGTACTACAACCGGAAAACTAAAAAAATATGGTAAATAAGCTGCAATCAACACATATAAAACACATTTTACAGCATTAAATCATTATATAGCAGCGTAAGCAATTTGGGTTATGCTAATCTTTTACTTTACGCCCATATTATTCATCTCGGATCAATACGAATAGCAAGTATTTATTTACATTTACGACAAAAAAATTATTTATTTTGTGGCATCCCGTCCACACAGTATAGGAAATCTATAACAAGGGACTTGAGGAGACGTGTCGTGTTGGAAGTTACACACCGTCATCTCAACTTTCGTGGCGAATCCTGTTTTACCACTTATTATACTTGTTGATAGAAGACGTTTTGTATTTTTTCGTGGCATTTTAACTAGTTCCTTTATTTTTCTCTGTTTTCAGGCTTCAAGATGGTGGAATCCACTATTTTGAAGATCAAATACGGCTCCGAATTTCGAAGACGGTTAATCAACCACCAGAATGATGTCAGTTACAATGATCTGGTCTTCAAAATCCAGACCCTGTACAAGTTGGACGCGAACAGCAACATTCATCTCAAATACAAGGATGAAGATGGAGACTTCATTAGCCTTTACGATGACGACGACGTGGCCTTGGCTATTCATGAGAAGAACCTTCTTTATATTGAAGTTTTTGTTGGTAAGTTCAATTTTTAGATTTATTTGTGTTTTTAGAACAATCTGAGAGAGCCGAATCGCCATTGGAGGCGCCAGTGAAGACGAACGTCGCCACGATCGACCCTTCTCGCCACGAACAAGTTGAACCCAATGGTGTCGTGTCCCATGCTCAAGAAGTTGAGCAACTCAATGATCCACCGAAGTTGGAAAACATGTCTTTGAACGATCAAACATTGGAGAACGTTCCAATCGATGACAAACCGGTTGATAATGGATACTACAGCCAATTCGACCAAGTTTCCCAGATGAAATCGGAACCCCAATATCAGCAACCACCCCAAGCTCAGCAACAGTTCCAGCCACAGCAAGCACCTCCCCAACAGCCTCCGGCCCCTCAGCCAATTTACGGCGGTTTTGCTCCTCCAATGCCACAACAACAACAACAATATCCACCAAACAGCACTCCTAGTCTTCCTCCTCAACAAGCCCCAGTGTCTTCTGCTCCTTACCAAGGCTTTGCTGGTTACCAACCTCCATCGGCACCTACTCCCCAGCCTCAACAACAGGCTTCTTATAACAGTATGACCCCACAACCACCTACCGGAGTTCCTCAACAACACGTTCCCCCACAAGGCTTCCAACCTCCTCCATCTGCGGGTGGTCCACCTCCAAGTATTCCTCCACCAGGTAAGCATTGAAAAACTTAGAAAAACTGTTTTCCTTGATAAATTTTTAGTTATTATACATATTTTACTTTTGAAATCCAAAAGTGACATTGTTTTACGTTCTTTCTAAATGTTTCAGGCGCGTTCCCTGGAGGACAAGCTTTCAATCCATTTGCTAGAGGAGCCCCACCACAACAACAACAAGCCCCACCCCAACAGAACAACTTCAATCGCCCGTACGGAAACTATTGAATATCTATTTAAGTTTATTTTACATCCAAATAAATTATGTTATAAGATATAAGTAAGGATTGTTTCTGTGGCTTTCCGAGACATTCAGTTAAATTTAATGAGGCATTGCTTACCATAAGAAATTAAAAAGCTATAAATTTAACTAATTTTGATTCAAATACGCCGTTAAGGAGTTTAACGAAACAAAAACTTCACAAGACAAATTATGACCAGATTTATGTTTGAATGTCTCAAAAACACAATAAACATCCCTTACGTCCAACAATTGATACAAATTAACCGAAAGCCACCAGTGACGTCGTCTACACGACGACCAAGATCAACATGAACATGGTTCAAGTTTTTTGTTGAAGAGCATTTGCCAGCCATTCCATCGCTTCGTCGAGACCTTCTCCTTTCGTCGCTGAAGCTTTGAATATCTGGAACGATCTGTTTCGTAGAGCATCTAGTCCAAGCGCTTTATGAATTTCAGCTACACTTAGACAGCCTTGGATGTCTTGTTTGTTGGCAATCACCATTAGAATGGCATCTTTCAATTCTTCTTCTTCCAACATCGACACTAGCTCCTAAACAACAAATTTAATTAATGAAAAGATAAAACATACCTGTTTTGATATTCCTATTCTGTCTTTGTCCGCTGAATCCACCACATAGATCACAGCATCTGTATTTAGATAATAACACCTCCAATAAGGTCGAATCGACGTTTGCCCACCCAGATCCCAGACCTGGAACTTTAGATTCTTGTATGTGACCTGTTCTACATTAAATCCAATTGTCGGTACCGTCGTCACAATCTCGCCAACATGTAGACGATAAAGAATAGTGGTTTTGCCGGCACCATCCAATCCCAGAATCAGAATCCGCATTTCCTTTTGGCCAAAAAGCCCACGAAAGTAACTTAAGACTCCTCCCATGACCCGTCAGATGATGAGCAAAGTTAAGGGTACTTCTACTCAAAACTTGCAATCCACGCAGCAATATTAATATTGAATCGGAACGCCAAGAACTAATTTCTGTGCGGGACGCACACGTTAAGAAGTTGTCAACTTAAAAATGACTTCTGTTGACAATTCTGGTTTTTGATCATATTATAAAATATGCTAAACCTAATATAATACTGAATAAGACTTGCAATTGTTTTAATTATCCCAAAATGTACGTTTAATCTTCTGGTTTCACGTTGTAGTTTATTTCGGGTGTATACCACGCAATTTACTATGTATAGACAGATATTATTTTGTAAATTGTTATCCGTAACAAATAAAATATAACTGCTTAACAAGTTACCATAAAATAACTTCCTCGCATTAAAGTCCTATCATTATATTACCAAAAATCATCTTATTATGTTTACGGAAGTGAAAATACTTTATGTTTTGATGATGAGCTTAATGAAGTTCATTGTGTGTGAGCATGGTCAGATAGGGTTTTTTATCACCGTTTCAACCTTGATTAGGCACGCTTAATTTCGTATTTCGAGCTACAGTAGCCGGTTTATTTGCACAATGCACTCAAGTCAAGTTAGTAACTGTTTACCCATGGAGACTATAATGGGATCGATCCTGTGATTGATCCACCAACTTCAAGAGTACACAAACATTTAATAAACCTTCATACACATTACATATGCATCGTCATAGATGGTATGCATACCCAACATACACTACCGAGCTTCTTTATATACACGGGACATCATAATATCTTAGGGTCCGAATCCCTACTATCACAGGCACACGACAGGTTGCAGAAGAGGTGTATTACACTATAAAGTCTTTGTTTTTACTTGCGAATAAAAAATTATTGGTGTCACTTGACGGCCGCTTTCTTGGCATATTCACGGGGGACAGGTATGGAAGTAGAAGTAGTGAAATCCGACCTCGACGGCTTAGGTAGCAGCAGCAGACACTCCGCGGGCCCGTTCACTGTGCGTCAGGGCCATTCCGAACATCCGCGGCGTTTGCATTCGAATCCTGGATCTGTAACAAAAGATGTTTAACTCAAGACGAGCCATCCGTGAGTCCCTCTCATATTAATCTGGATTATAGGTCGAGGGGGGGGGGAGGGATGAGAGGAGGGGCTTATACCGGTCCCCTACTCAAAGCTCCTCATTTTGAGCATGAGATGATGTGACATGAACCGGGCAATTTTAGTTAGCACCAGCGATGATCCCACGCCCCGTGAACGTCCGCCTTCGGTGGAGGGTGTCAAGATGAAAACGTAAGACATTTCGCTTCTTGATTATTTTTAAATTCATTTTTCTAAGTGGGACTTCACACGGTAACGGGATTAAAGAAGATCCAAGGAGTTAAGTCTTTTTTGTCAAAAATAGAAAAATAAGGCTCTAAGACTGTTCACAAAGGGACACTTTGCCTTTTTGTACGGATGACTTAACCTATTTCACTTATTATGCCAAAAATATTTTATAAAGTCCCAACATTAGATTTTTGTATATTCCATTTCGTTTTGAAAAATTGTCTACCAACATTCTACAGTATTCGATCTTTTGATCCCAAAGCAACTTGAAACTAGTCTTAAAGGCAGTCCTTTTCAGTACCTCAGCAGTGTTGTGTGCCTTTCTCTACATGAGTGCGGTAATCCTGCTCGTGCTATGCTTCGAGTACATAAAACCTATCTTCATGCTTACCTGATCCAGGACGTCGCGCAAAGATGACATGAGACCGTTGATCTGATGCCGGATCACACCGGCTACCGATCCCTGCTCTTGTGGAGCGGCCGACGATGTAGCCGGGTGTTGTGGAGGGAACGGGTCGAAGAAGTTCTTGTCTTCCTCTGTTTCTGGGTCGATGCCAATCAACAGAGCATGTCGCTTCACGTTCACGGGTAGCCCAACAAACACACGTATACAACTGAAATTAACTTACAATAATCACTCAGACGGGACTACTGTAACACTTTCAAAACATACTCCAAGTGATACCACTTTACGACGGATTACAGACTTTTACGAAATAAATTTTATAATTAATGCCATTACTTACGTCTTGTTCCACTCGTTTATCTTACTCTTGTGAGTTTTGAAATTAGAAGCGAATTCTTCTGAAATCTGTTGTAGCCACGCTAACTGAGGACCGTGACTCCAGAAGGTATACGAATGCTTGAAGAAGATGTTCACCAGCATTCTGATGCCCAATGGTACGCTAAAAGAGATCCCAATAAAGATAAGACAAGTTACCTTGTCTCCGAGTAACCAAAGTGTCCAGTAGCCTTGACGGTATCTGTGGGATCCAGCCCCATCCTCTGCACTAGAGCACCAATAACTTGTGGAAAACGAATCAATGCCAACTTTGTTAATTCCTTCTCTTTTACCAAGTAAACTTCATCTCCAGTCTTCTCGTACAACTTATGGCAAGCATAAGCGGTACTGTAAAGGAAATTGGGTAACATTTCCCAGTTTTTGGTTTTCTAAAAAAGCCGCATACTGTAATTCAAAAAAATTATTTATAGATCTACATGAAATTAGATTATGTATTACAATTAAAAAAATTCTTAAAGCTAACTTACCCTGTACTCTTCAAAGACGTCGGCTAGATAATTGTAGTTTCCTGACTTAAGGGCAATAAAGTCGATTAACAATGTCATTGCCAGAGGATCGTTTTTGGGGTCCTTGGAGTACAGTAATTTCCCGTATTGTAACGCAGTGACAAAACAATGTCTACAAACCAAGAGCTGGATGAAGGAGAACAACAACTGGAAGATGATCCTCGTTTCTGCTGATCTGTAGTTCAACTGATGTTGCTCTGACAGCAGGTTGAACTGGAATGTGCACGAAGTTATGGCAAAAAGGGATCTTTCTAAAAAAAATCCAAATTTTAAAATTTACTAAATTTGACTTTTTGAAATTTGAATTGGAATCATCCTGACTGACTTTGTTGCTGGAAGTGGTCGTTAAAATGGAATCAAGACAAAACTTTGATATAGACTGCGAACACTCGATCAACGTCCAAATCAACAATGAACTGTTCGCGAGCTACACCTATTTGGCTATGGTAAATCTATAGTAACATACACTTTTTATCGCTTAACGTTGCTTTAAAGAAAACGTTATTTTTAAGTAAAAAACAATTTTTAATCTTGTAATTACTTTAATTTTAGGCCAACTACTTCAGAAGGACTAATGTGGCATTGTATGGTGCTGGAGCGTTCTTCCACAACCAGCATCTAGACGAACTGACTCATGCCTACAAACTGATCGAGTACATGACTGACAGAGGAGGAGTTGTCAAGCTGGCACAGCTTTCGGCTCCACAAAATCAGGAATGGGCTTCATTGTTAGCGGCCTTCAAAGACGCTGTCGATCTCGAGAGGAACAACAACACCTCGTTGATGAGACTTCACGAGATCGCTTCCAACAAGCAGGATTCTGATGTAAGCTATCTACCTAACTAATTCATTTAAAGTCGACACAACATCCTATTCAAACAGATATTGTAATCCTAAATTCAGATGACCAACTTTCTGGAAGAGCACTACCTCAGAGTTCAAGTCATGGAGATCAAAGAGATGACCGCCAAGTACAACCAACTCTTACGCGTCGGACCTGGTCTTGGAGAACACTTGTTCGACAAAGAACTGGCCAAGGAAGCCCAGCAAGTCTCTGAATAATTACCTAAAACGTCGGTGGCACTTGTGAACTCCTCCCTCATTATGTGGTTCTGTGCCAACAGAAATAAACTTTCCAAGTGATAAGGGTTCTCGGCCAAGACCATGTTCTGAAAAAAAAATTTAGAATAACAGAAGTGATTAATAAATGTCTCTTGGACATATAAATCTCTACATACAGTTATTGCCTCCAAATCGTGATTGAGTCGAAACGATGTGAACAACAATTGCAAACTTGCATACGAAGATGAATGTTCCACTTGGAACGTCTTGATAGGACCTTCCTCCCTTACACATTTGAACGACATGCCTAAATATTCAAGAATAATATAAAAAAGTTAAACTTCAAAACTTTTAATTGTTCAAACATTTATTACCTAAAGTACGGAAAACTGGCCAAGTTGGTTTATGTTTGAATATTGCTTTGACTGCTTTATTGTCCATTCTGTTGCCTTTAGATTTCATCATTGCTTGACTCAGCTTCTCCTTTATCTCAGCATCTGCATTCATCTGCCTCAGGTTTGGCTTGAAGAAGTTTTTGTCGCCAGCAGAAGACGAACCTTCATCTTTCTCCTGATTATTGACCTCCTGAATAGCCAAGTCTAACAACGCATCATCGTCCAATTCTGTTGAAGTTTTGTTCTTCTTCTTACCCATTTACACGTTGACCTTGATATGATTGAAAATAATTTATTTTATTTTGCAAAATTATTTTACATGTAAAACTAAAAGCCAACCACAACATCGTGGCGGGACCAAAGAAGACAGCTAATGTAAAAAATATAGCTAAAAATATTCGTAATATTTATTTTTCGTTTGTATATTATATAAAGCATCTTTTTATTTTCGCAGCTAACCATTTTATAATATTGTTTTGTAGATTTGGAATTAATGTAAGTTTTGCTTTTGTTTGCATTTTCTACCTAGAAAAATATAATCAATTACGATTTCAGAATGGAAGATGTACAAAGTAATGAGAATATTGAGCAGGAAAAACAAAAGCACTTCGTACAAAACGAAGAAGCAGAAGTAAAGAAAGAAACCGAAGAGGATGTAGCCATCAAAGAAGAACCGCCTGTAGATCCCAAGCAAGAAGTCAAGGTAGAAGAAGAACAGATTGAAAACCCTTCAAATAACGATAAAACTGTTGCTAAAGACGATGAATATGAAGCTAAAGTAAGCGAAGACGAACAGACGGAAGAGGAAAACAAAAGTGAGGAAGAAAAGAAAGAGGTAAGCGTTGTCAATGATTCATTATTCTTTTAGGAGGCAGCTGAGCTTGACGACGACGAAATCAAAACTAATCCCGCGTACATTCCGAAAGGCGGCCAGTTCTACATGCATGATACTAGATCTGGTGAAGCTGAAGAACAGAATGACGCCAACAACAAGAAGAGCCGTGCTGATGGAAAGTGGTCGCACGACTTATACAATGAGAAACGACAGATGCCAAAGTCGAGTCGCGAATTAGAGACCCTTTATGGATCTACTGGTAAGCGAGAATGCGACGGTGACGTTCATAGCACAAGAACGTCAGATAAACGGGAAAGACCAGTAAACCAAAACAACAAACCCAGAAATGTGATAGGCAATAGTAAATTTTCCGACAGAAAACCTATACGCAACAGACGACAAGAAAAATCTAGTGATGAAGAACCACCTACAGAAAACAGACAACGAAAGTTCAGAACATTTAAAAGGTCGACTAACACTAAACCTCAAAATGAAAACACTCCTAGGGATGTAGAAGAGGTCAAAAAAGATTTTAGCAAGATGTCTGTGTCGAGACAACCACAACAGAAACAGGAGAACGGCAATAGCAACGGTGGTTACAGAAGGAGTTATGCACAGGTTAGTTACACATTGAAAACTGTTTTTCATTATGTTAATTTGAGACGATACTTCTTTCTGTTTTGGCTAACTAATACCTATTTAACGTTTAGCCTGGTCCGCGGGTAAATCTACCAGCTGAGACTATGCGTATCCCTCCACCTGTTCTTCCACCACCCCCTGGAGCCATGGTAGTTATACCTATGGGACAGCAACCTGTAGTCCCAGTAATGCCTCGTGTTCCTCAACATCCTCCCTACAACGGTCGACCGAGACAACCGACTGACGCAGTCTATTTTGACCCCAAAGCTCACGTACAAGGTCCCCCGCCTCAACCTCGCGAACGAAGACGCTTGCAGTTTGTTCCTCCACAGTAATCTCAGTATTTATTTACACCAAAGTTTTCACATCCGTATTTCAATCTCCAAACTAACAGGCATTTTCGAATTTCATAACTTTAATTTTATTAACGAATAAAACTTCTTAATCTACCATCCACTCCGTACGAACTACTCATTCATTCTATGTTCTAATAAGGTTGCTGACGATAACTGGGATGACGGTTCTTGGAAGCCGTTGACGGACTTTCTGCTGGAGAAACCTTGCTTTGAGATTCAGTCGATTTTGGGTCAAAGTCGAGAAGTCCGTCAAGGTCAAGATCGTCCCAATGACCGCCAATCAGACCTCTGCAATTTTCTATCGAGTCGTCCACGCTGTTTAAGTAGTTAGCGAACTCGGACGGCGATATATTCAGATTCGGAGCCGATGCTGGCGAAGTGACCAGTGGATCTGGAGAGGGCTGTTGTTGTTGCATCTGATTCGGAATATTCTGTACAGGACATTGGTTGTCCAACTGGACGTCAGTTTGTGAATACACAACTTGTGATGTTTGTGGAACAATACTAAAACAATATTGTGAAAAAGACCACAAAACCTACTTTTGATTGACAGGGGGCTGTTGTAGTACTAGCGGGACATTAGCACTAGACGTGTTTAATTGTTGGCCAGAAGACATTGGTCGCATATTCGATGGACATTCCATAGTGTTTCGCGCCCGGCTCTGAAAGTAATTTAATAAAAAGATAAAGACTACTATAAAACATTAAAAACTATTAAAAACACGTTTTACTATATAACTTACCGTAGACGGATAGTACATTTGGGGCCGCTGGTACTGTTGTTGATAGGAAGAAGAAGGTACATTGTTCTTCAGTTTACCGGTAGATGGAGGACCAAGATGATCCAACTCGTCGGTCACATCTGATATAATGGGCCCATTTGATTGGTTTAAATTCGCCGTGTTCTGACGATTCACCTCTACGGGCATGGAGCGGTATGGGGGATTGTGGGTCTGGGAGTAATCCTTCATTAGTCTGTCGAGAATATCAGACACATTATTCTGTTGGATTGCCTGCAGAGAAATGTCGGATATCGTCCTCAACCTTTTGGCCGCGCTTTCGTCGTCGATGGCCAACATTGGTCGTTTACCTAGTCTCTTGGACGGCTGTAACATGGCCACCATGAACTGTACGAGCTTGGTGACGATCTGTTGTTGTTTGACGTGAGCTCCACGCATGTTACTCATTTCTTGCCAAATCAACTCGTTTTCCCTGTAATGAAAGTAAGGTAAATATTATCTTCTTATAAATTAGGTTTTAAATAGTCAAAAAAAAGGTCCAAACGCACTTGGTCAGATCTCCCATTCTGCCTTCCATCTGTTTCTGTCGTTCTCTGAGCGATCTCAACTCTTCGAAGACGGCTGTAAGGTCTTTCGCCGGAACGCTGACCGTTCCATCGTTATTGTTTTGTTTTGACGTCGGAGCCTTTCTCTTGATGTTAACGAGCAACTCGGGGTGGTCACGAACAAAACAGGGATGCGAGAACTCGAGATGATCTTGGTCAGACTCAGCACGAGCCAAACTCGTCCGTTCGATCGGCGTCATCTTTCGGAAACCGTCTAAAAACAAATCAGAAACATTAAGTTATCACTTACACATATTCAATTGTCGTATCAGGCTGTTCAAGTTGTTGTGTTTGAAGTACTGGGGAAGAATGTTGCGACAGAACGAATACGGATCCAGAATATGAAAACTGTAGCCACTCTGAAAGACAATATATATAATAAAAGTAAATAAAACAGCAATAAGATTTCAAATACAATACTTACCTCATCCCAACGAATCACATCATAATACGACGGATCTTCCACTATATTCCACAGCTTGACCAAAAACAAAGGTATCTTATCATCTTCCTTTAAAATCAAAGGCTGTGCTGCTTGGGACTTGATGTCCTTTGCGTTTAAATAAGACATTATACTGAAATTAAAGGTTTGTTTATCAATAATAATAAGTTATCAATAAAAACAAAAACGTCAAATACGCAATCACGACCAGTCGAAAAACGAAAACACAACCACTTAAGAATAACATGTAAGGCTTTATTAAACAGGACGGATGTGTGTAGCCGTCTCAAGTGATTCCCCCACATAACTCGTAAAAAGAGTCGCACTCCGTGTCTTTATTTCTCTATTTCCATCGCACACTACGCTCTTCGTTGGATGAGTCGAGTGTGACGCGTCAACTCTCTCCCTCTACTTATTTTACATTGCAAAAGTAGCGGCTAATCGGTTTATGTAATTATGAAATGATGAATTAGCGAATCTGGTTAATGCACCAGAAATTTCATGAAAACTTTCGTAAAATTATATTAATATTGGTCGTAGGCAACATGTCTTTGAAAAGGCTTAAACATGGTTATCATCGACTTGATGTATCACGTCTTTACCAGACAAATACGATTGGCACAAATTGTATATAAAACAAGTCAAGTAAATAATTTATTACAAAAGTGTCATGTTAATTAACAATTTCACAACTTCCGGCGAGTCAGGACCAGCCTGAAGACAGCGGCCGTAAACATACTGGACATGAGTATGCACAACATCGAGATGGACAGCAACGCGTAGTACGAGACACAATCTTCGGTCAGATGCGATGTAATCGCCGATAAATCATGTTCCAAGACATCGATCGACTGCGCTCTCACTTGGATGTCGTTGTTGTCATCGGAAGAGATAGGTTCACTGTGAGATCGTTTGTTGATGAGACGAGGCTTCTGATGGGTCAGGTCGGGACACTTGGGCACCTGTAATGTATTACAAAATCTTTAGAGGAATTGTTTTTCTTACAGATAGATTTACTCTGTAAGAGCACAAAAGTTACACGCTTGTTACAGTATGAATATTTTACGGTTTTAAAATACGGTTACTGTATCACTGTTAAACTACTTTAGCCTTGGGTAAACTTACTGGGCATTCTCCGTCTCTGATATCCAGCTTGATACTGCACTGGAAGTTGACTACAATTCTGTCGGCGAACTTAAAGGCATGGGCTTCTTTTTGGGCTTGGAGAAGTCCAGGACCGTACTCTAAGTTGTCTAACAAATATCTATCGATGGCACATCTGAAAACAAAGTATGTGTCACAACAATCGTATAATAAACTAACTAAACAATCAAAATATAATATTTAAGTCAATTTACAGTACTCTATTAGCATAACTCACCCCCTGTCATTTAAAATGACAATTTCAGTGCCCGACCCATCCTCGACGAAACACGAATGCACTGTCATGCACCAAAGATCTGAAATCGAGTTTGGGTGAGAACGGCGGAACGGAACATTACACAAGAGATATGAAATCATAAAAACAAACCGGGCGATCCGGAGTCACAGACCCATCGATGCAAGAGCTTGTTCCCGACCGACACCACGGAAACCGGCTTCTTCGAGAACGGATCCACCACCTCGTATCTGCATCGTGGCATCTCGGCGTTCTCGGTCACGGGCTGTAGGCTGGCCATGGAGACGGACACCGGGTACGTCACGGTCTTCTCGGCCTCCATGTAGAAGCAGGAGATCTCGTAGCCACGGTCCACTTTGGTGATGAACTCGTCGTGGAAGGAGATCATCACTTTGGTCGACACCAAGAGCCCTGGGGGACTGGCCTGAAAGACTTTATACATTTGAGAGTTACCTCACAGATCTGGTTGTCACAACTCCACACTTGTTCTTCGGAATCACGATCGACGTCGTCTTGCGGCCGATGTCTCTGGACGAGCATTCGGTTTCGTTGGAGTGGCCGACCACGAAGACGCGCCCTTGGAAGACATCTTCTGTCAAGAACACGATCTCGATACTGTCTTCCCCACATTCGATCTCTGCTCGACCTACATTAATACATTAGTCACGTTATTGACAGAAATTGATACCAACAAAAGGTTTCACCTATTATAAAGAACCGAGCCTACCTAGTTGGCCATTAGGGATCGGAATGGCCCGCGCTACCGTGGCAAAGATGAGGAGCCAAGCAATCATGACCCTTTAGAGGTTGTGAGGAAATACCAGAAGTGGAGTGATAAGAAGTGGCTGATGAGGGCATCACTCAACTGATGAGATGATCGCGCAAGAAAACGTGCCTCGGGGCATTGACATCGGCAATCGATGTATAGTTAGTAAACGCAATAAAGTGATATCCGGATCTGGCGAAACATACGAAACAAGTCTCATCCGCGAAGAAGAATATAACCATACAAAACGACGGCGTAATAACTCAATTTCACTCTCACATAAACAGTTTACTGAATCAACAAAAATATATAGAACCAGGCATTAGGCCTTCTTGAAGAATTTCTTCCCCTTTTTCGTGAAGCCGGCTCCAGAATACTTTTCACGGAACTGCACTTTCTGGCTAGATGGTAGTTCAACGAAGGGTGGAGCTCCGAAGCCGAAAGACTTGGAAACTTTGACCAAATCCAGTGTCTGGACATTGAAAATGTCTTTCAACGAGTGGGAATCGTATGATCTCACATATCCTCTGAAAAACAATTTTAATCATCAAAAAGCATTAAAGTAAATACCTTTTTTAAAACACAAAAGCTTACTTGTAAGCTTCTTTGGCAGACTTGTTCAAGTAGTAGTTCTGCTTTATAATGTTCTCCAGTTGTGCTTGCACGTCCGCGACCTTGTTCCAAGAAAAATCAAACTCATTGAGGGTCACACGAGCTTGCTTCAGATACCTCAAGAATCCCAATTCCTCAGGTCTCAAGATCAGAAGGGCGTGACCGGTACCCGTTTCTCCTCTGGCAGTACGACCGACTCTGTGGATATATTCTCTTGGCTCATCTGGAGGATCAAACTGAACGATCCAATCAACTTCTGGAATGTCGAGACCTCTGGCTGCTACATCTGTACACAAAAGAGTACCAGATTTGGCTTGGCAGAATTGGAAGAACGTGCAGGTACGCTTCTGTTGCTTTTGTTTGCCCTAAAATACATAATTAAATTAATTTAAAAGACAACAAAATATCCGAAGTAAATTGTAAAAAAAGGTAACTTACATGAATACTCATGACAGGAACATCAATGTAGTTCAGCAGCTCGTGGTGGTACTTGACAGATGCACAAGATGAGAAGAATACCATGACTTTTTTGTTTTTGTTCTTCTTCAAGAAGGTGAACAACAACAAGAATCGTTTTTCAGAAGGACATAGCACATAACCCTAAACATTGACATCAAACTCCAAAAAGCAAGTTACAAACAATCTAGTGAATACTTAGAATCACATAATTGTCCACAACATACCTGCTCTAATCCTTCTACTGTGGCTTCATTAGAAACCTTATCTTCGACGCCAATACGAATTGGATTAGCGTTTAAGGCCGCTTTGATCAGTTCGTCTACTTTAGCCGTCTGTGTCGCCGAAAACAACATGGACTGTCGCTTTTTAGGTAACAACTTCAAGATTTGCTTCATTTCGACTTCGAAGCCAATGTCCAAGATTCGGTCGGCTTCATCAATGACCAGACATTTCATGTGACTGAAGTTGAATCCATCCGTATTCTAAAAAAAAACAAGATACTAAACAGTAATAATAATATATCCAAAACCTTGATCGAAATAGAAGTATGAACAATTTACATAAATAAACACAAACAAAGTTTGCATACCTGAAGGTGATCCAAAAGCCTTCCTGGAGTAGCCACCAACACAGCCACCCCTCGTTGCAATCGCTGAGCCTCAGCGTTTCTGTTGGCTCCTCCCATGATGAGTCCATGAGTCAGTTGAGTGTGCTGTTCCAAGAGTTCACTCACCACTCCATAAGTTTGCATACTCAACTCTCGGGTAGGGGAGATAATCACCACTCCCGTGCCATTGTGTTGTTTCCAGTTTAACTTCAGAAGCAGTTCCACTGCTGGTATCAAGAAAGCTAAAGTCTTGCCACTTCCTGTTTTAGCTGCTCCCAAAACATCTGATCCCTATAAAAAAGCTTTGTAATTTGGATTTACTTTTACGATGCCATAAACTTTTCCTGAGATAAAAATGTATTAGGCCAAATCCTTTAAAATCAACCTACCTCCAGCAAGGGCTTTATTGTCAGATTCTGGATCTCTGTCATATATTTGTATCCCATATCCTTCAGTTTGTTCAGTGTTCTGTCACATATTTCTCCTTTCAGCGTATCAAACTCCACATCAGTTAATATAGAAGATTTGATATCTAAATCGAAAAATGTTACCTAAAACAATATAAACATACTTTTGAACTGTTCCGCTTGACCTTGCTCTACCTCTTCTACTGGTTCCTCGATTTCCTTTGCCTTCTTTGGTGGAGGTTCTTCCGAAATCACTGTTTCTTCCTGTACTTCATCTTCATGTTCCTTTGGCTCTGTCGGCTTGGATCGTCGCTGTTTCCGTAACTTTCGATTCAGTACCTTCTTTACCACGTTGACATTCATGGCCTGAAATTTATACATACCAATTAAATATCAACAACAACATAAATGTCAACGCGAGATCCGTTTTCAATGATTTGGAGGTTTGAGTAAGTGATGGCTTTGATCTCAGTACCAGGTTCATGTTTCTCAGTTGTGAATGACTCTCCCTTAGCTCGGACATGAACCTTTTTGTCGCTGATATCCACCACTTCAACAGACTGGGCAACGAAAAAAGGCTCGGATGTGAAGTAGTATAGACATTCTGATAAGATCTGATAAAGCGTAGCTGCCCTGTCCGAGCCTTCTGCTTCAAAATCCATAGTGTAAACATCTTCTACATTCTTAAGACCATCTGACATGTACGAGTACATGCCTAGAATCTGCTGTTCTAATGCTTCCGAAAGAGAATCTCCCCACGAGTGAATCTGGACATCTGATGTGTGGTCCAAAAACTCGAAATTCATCTCAAAACTAATGACATTACCCACAACAATAAAAGACGTTAGTATAAAATATTGTTATTAGTTTTTTATATTAATTTAAAAGATAACAACAAACAAAAACTAACATTATACCAAAAATCTTTATAAAAAAGAACAGAATTGGGAAAAACACTTTGCCATCAACAATAAATCGTTTTGGGACTAAAAAGGTGTTGCAGATTGCGAGTGACATGTTATACGCTGAACAAAAAGGCGGGAATTTTTTTACAAGATTAATATTTTTCCCAAATATTTCAATAAACATTCACAAAAAGTTGCAATTTTTGACGAAAGCAATACCTCATATTATTTTGAATAAAACTATTTTTGAAAGGGTAATTTATTATTTTTATGTTTTTATGTAAGAGGCAGATATTATATGTAAAGCAAAATGTTCACATGAAATTGCAATAATAATTTAAGAGTCGTATAGTAGATTTTTATAGTTATTTTTGTTGTATCTTCAGTTCAATCACTATTTTTAGCATGTATTATTACCTAAAATTTAGGTAACATATCGGAAACATGACTGATGCTGTTTCAACGTGCAAATCAGAAGCTGAATGTGAGAGAGCCATCAAGGAGTTTACAGAATTGACTCAAACAGACGAAGCTTTTGCACATTTTGTTCTGCAAGATGTTAACTTTGATCTTGAGGTAGGTTTCGTGTTCGATATCGTTTGTAATTGAATACTTGTGGATTACAACTTAACTATGCTGTTTTAAATTCCATTTTTTCATCATGCACGATTTTTTTCAGGCGGGAGTCTTCAAGTACTTCACAGAAATCAACCCCGATGCCCCACTTCCAGAACAGATCATAAAGGAGGTCTTGGATCATCCCCCACAATCTTCCGGATCTAATGGTATTCCTCCAGAATTGACGGCAGTTTCTTGGAATATCGACGGACTGAACAAGAGTGGCTTGTCACAACGATTCTTGGCTATTATCACTGTTTTGGCGAGGTAAGTCCTTAAAACTTTAATAATGTATATAAGTAATATTGCTATCCCCTTATGTCCTGTTGTTCGTGCTTATATAACCCTTTCTTGTTTTAGACACAACCCAGAAGTCATTTTTTTCCAAGAGTTTGTCCCTCAATTGGAAGACAAGTTGTACGAGGTTCTCGGCAAGATGTACAATATTTGTCAACGCAACCTGGGCCGCCCTTATTACAATGTTACGTTAGTCAGTAAGAACATCCGCATCAATTATGAGACTATCCAAAACTTCAGCAACTCTGGAATGGGCCGTCACATGGTTATTGTCAGAGTAAGGCTTTTACCATGGTAGATAAGTTTGTTAAGTAAGACGAATTTTGACTAAGCATGTATGTCACTTGCGTACTTTTAATTAAATTGTTCAGGCCAAATGGCGGAACTTGAAGCTGTGCCTTATCAACACTCATCTGGAGAGCGAGAAGTCCCACACCGATGCCAGGCAGACTCAGTTCAAAGAGTGCATGGAGACAGTCAAGGAGTCTTTGGACGATGAAGCCATGGTTCTGTTCGGCGGAGATCTGAATCTGAGAGATGCTGAGGTATCGTTTCTCTGAAGATCTTATCAACTTTGCAGGTTTCCAATGTTCCTGATGGCGTTAGAGACTGCTGGGAGTTCGCGGGACGTCCAGAAAACTGCCGCTACACGTGGGACATGTCCAAGAACGACAACCTCGAGTTCCCCAATAACATCAGGTACAAGCTCAAGTGCAGATTCGACCGGTTCTACGTCTCCGGACCTTACAGAAGAGTCGACTTCGCCATCGACGGTCAGGAGAGAATCAAGAACCTGAGAATGTTCCCGAGTGACCACTTTGCCATCATTGCCAGATTCACCCGCCCTAACTGATCACACCTGTATTATATTGTTGTATTTTATACACTATGAATAAATAAACGGAAGAAATCTATTTAATTACGACGTACTAACAACCTATTAGGAATAGAACTTTTTTCCAGATTTGGCGTGATCTTTGAGCAATTGGCAAGGGGCGAATTGGGCTTCAGAATACGCGTTCGCGTACTTTTCCATGCTTTGAACTAGTTTCTCGGCACCGTACAAGTCCACGAATCGGAATGGTCCTCCCCAGAATGGTGGGAACCCTACACCAAACACGCTGGCGATGTCTCCGTCCGACTAAAACAAGTATATTTAACATATTGTTATTAAATTCACGTTATTTTTAAATTAGGTAATCCATAAAATAACTCACAGGGCTTCTGATCACGTCCTCTTCCAAACATATCAAGGCCTCGTTCACATATCTGGAGATGACTCGAAGTTGTTTGTCTTCAGATGACGACACTCCATTTGGTGGGGCTACACGGTACTTCTCGACGATCTTCTTGGCTTCTTCGTTGACTACCTTCTTGGTCTTCTTTCCCTCCTTCACGTAGCGGTAGATTCCAGCATCCGTCTTCTTTCCCTTGAATCCGGCATTCACAACATCAGATAGCAGGTCGGCTGAGCCTCCTTGATGTCTTGGACCCAAGCTCTTTCCCAGGAATGTTCCTACATGTTCGGCTACATCGAGACCCACTTCATCGGCTAAAGTGGCGGCTCCAACTGGGAAACCGTACTCGGTAGTAAGCTTGTCAAGATGTTTTGGATCTTCTCCTTCTTGCATTAGTCTCACGACTTCGTTCAACATTGGGCCGAGACAGCGTACCACAAAGAAGCCAGGACAGTCCTAAATTCCATATTAAAAACCATGCATTTCAACGAATAATATAATTCGACTACAAAAAGCTCACCTTAACAACGACGACCAACTTCTTCTGACGGAGACCAAGCTTACAAGCAGAAGCCAGCGTTTCCTTCGACGTTTTATCAGAAGTGATAACTTCCAGAAGCTGCATCTTGTCTACTGGAGAGAAGTAATGCATCCCGATTAATTGTTCAGGCCTCTTGCTGGCAGATGCAATGTCCTTAATAGGTAGAGCCGAGGTGTTAGTGGCAATGATACAGTGTTCTGGGACCACTTCCTCCAGCTGCTTGATGACTTTGTGCTTCAAAGCCAAGTCTTCGAAGACAGCTTCAACGACGACGTCAGCCTTCTTCAAGTCATTGTAGTTAAGAGCTGGATGGAGATGCGACAGGATGACGCCCTTTTCAGGAACGGTGATACGTTTTCTCTTGAGTTGGCCTTGGACTTGGGAAGCGATTTGCTTCACTCCACGGTCAAGACCATCTTGGGAGACGTCGATCAGGGAAGTACTAAGAAAAAGTAACATTAAGGTTATTTATCTTACCTTATGTGATTGTTGATAGACACATTAGCAATTCCAGCTCCCATCAAACCTGAACCGATCACACCGATATGCCTAAAAGGAAAACATTTACATATAGGTATGCACTCTAGTTCAATAAATACAATGTAAATTCGATAAAACTTACTCTGCTTTTCGACATTGACCGTATTTGTCCTTCTTACACTCGGTTGAGCCTTGAAACAGACCAATAAGAGCCCCAGATTGGTGCGTTTGGGTCAATTCGCCAAATTCCTAAAACTGTCATTTAAACTGTCATTCTTGAATTTCAGATGTGAATTTTCAACATAGAATAGCAAACTAACCTTGGCTTCTTGTTCATAACCAGTCTCACGAGGGCCAACCAATCCCGTACGGACTACGTCCAAAATCTTCAAAGGAGCTGGGTAGTTACCCTTGGTCTGCTTCATAACCTTGTCCTTGGCCTTTTGGACAACGACAGAGTCGATCAATGGTCGCCGGGTCAAGAAGTAGTTGACCACACTCTCGACCAGAGGTCTCTTCCTCTCGATCTTCAACTTTTTCTCACTCAGATTCAGAGCTGTTTGAATTGCGACCTTCTCCACGTACTTGTGAGTGCTGATGGCTGGGTCTTCTGCTCCTGGGCCCAATGGTTCTACTATTCTGTCCACAAGTCCCATACTCTTGGCTTTCTTTGGTTTAATGGTTTTGCCTTAAATGATATACTTTAAAAGTTTCAATTGAAAAAAGTACATTTTTATGGTAATTGTTATAACAACATTTAAGTTACTTTAAATGCTGATTTGCTATCACAACTTACCAGTCAGCATCATGTCCAAGGCATTTGGCAACGACACCAGCTTTGGCAACCTTTGTGTTCCTCCAGCTCCTGGCAACAGTCCCAACATCACCTCGGGCAAAGCAAACGACGTCTTCTTGTCATTTACAGCAATACGATAGTGACATGCCATAGCCAATTCCAAGCCACCACCCATACAGGTACCCATAACAGCAGCTACGACTGGTTTCTTCAAGTTCTCCAAACGCTCGTACTGAATCTGGCCTTCTCGAGACAGCTTCTCGGCTTCTGCTGCTGATTTGCACTTCTTCAGCATGTTAACATCTGCTCCAGCAACAAAACTGTTAGGTTTCCCCGACATAACAACAACACCCTTCACATTGTCGTCGTTCTCAACCTTCTGGATAATGTTTGTAAGATCGGCGCTTACTTTCTCGTTCAAAACATTCTCCTGAAGATTGTAAAGGATGAATAAATGTTGATATTGTTAGTGTCGTATACTAAAACAAACAAAAACAATAATACACACTTACTTTAGCGTCAGGGAGATCAATCTTAACTACGGCAATGCCATTCTGAACACTGTAACTAGCAGTTTTATCTAAAATTTCCAAATTATTTATTGAAAATATAAAACTCTAAAACACTTCACAAAACTTTTTTTAGCAAAAACTTACTGTCGCCTGCTGTCGCATAGGCACGAGTCAACTGTCCAACAAGAGGTACACGTCCTAAACCAAAATATCTCAATTACAAAACTTTAGAATTCTGATAACAATAACAAATCGAAAACAATAGTTGAAATTTATACAAAATTATTACCTGAAACTTGGCTTGATGCAAGTTTAGACAACATTCCGATCTAAAATTCCAATATTACCTTTAATACTGTGCTAAACCACGCTACACAAATTATAATGCTCATACTACGCGTTTTGTGATAAACAAGACGTTTATAGTCTCAAATGACCACCCGTTCGGACGGCTAATCAAGGTCAAAGTCCACCACGGCAGTACTTTGTACTTTTAAGACGAAAAAGACATAAATTAAAACCAACGGTAAAATTATGTTGAAAACAAAACGTTACTGTTGAGTCTTCAAAACTTGTCATACACAACTTACAACACGTACTGTAAAATAAGTGAAATAAATTCTTCGCGTAAAGTATGAATATCTCCTGGCACGAAAACTAAATATGTGGCTTTCTGTAATTTAGCTAGAAAATATTTTGTAATAGAAAAAAGTAAAAATTATTTTGGAATTGCGGAAATTATTCGTTTTTTTTTAAAATTTATATGTTTCAGATATAAAATTTGGTAATATAAGTAATAGCATTTTTATTTTAAGCATGGCTTGCTCTAGTAAACTCACGTTTGATCCATACGAGATCTTGGGACTTAAATCTTCTTGTTCTGATGGCGAGATTGACAAAGCCTATAAGAAGTCAGCTTTAAAATGGCATCCGGATAAAGCTATGAGAAATGGGATATCTAAAGAAGAAAGTGAGAAGAAGTTCGGCCAGATCTATCAAGCTTACCAGTTCCTGAAGGACGAAGGTCAGAGAGTGGCGTACGATGAAGAAATAGCCAACAAGAAAAGGCGGATGGAGTATGAAGATCAGAGGAGGTCTGTCAACTCAGCTCGTCGGCAGAACTTTGAGGACAAACTCAGGGAAAGAGAAGAAGCATTTGAAAATAGGAAGAGGAAGAATCCTCAGACTAAAACAACATTTAATTTGGATAAGGAATTGGAACGGTTAAAGAAGGAAGGAGCGGCTTACTTGGCTAAGATGGCTGAAGAAGAACGGAAAAGAGAAGATGAAGCTCGGCAGAAAGCGAAGGTTACTGTAATAGAGAAGAACGAGGACCAATCGATATACAACATGAATGCCTCCAAGTTGAAAGATTTGGAGGATGATATACTCGATGGCTTGTAAATATAATAAATATTATTTCATTTTGTTTAGTTCTTACAGTTTGATTGGTTGTGGACCGCTATATATTTAACTTTCTGTAAATTTTACTTTGTAAAACCTTGTTTTAGATGACGGAGGTAGCTCAAATGCCTGACATCGTTCAAAATGGCAAACCTAAACGAATGGGACGTTTGAATGTTGAACTAGGCTCAATAACGCAGCATAATATTATGGTAAGTCACTTTCTGATAGTTTATTACCCTTCAGCAATTGAAAAAGCTGAATGAAGCCGTCTTTCCTGTAGCTTACAACAGTAGGTTCTACAAGGATGTGGTAACTTCTGGAGACCTGGGCAAGTTTGTGTTCTTCAACGATTGTGTGGTTGGAGCGGTTTGTTGTCGAATTGACATTGAAGAAGGCGTTAAGAAGTTGTACATCATGACTTTAGGCACGTTGGCCCCATACAGACGACTTGGCATCGGAAGCATGCTTCTGAATCACGTTTTCTCTTTGTGTGAGAAGGACAAGGGCATCAAGAGTGTTACTTTACACGTTCAAGTAAGATTTTACTTTCAACATTGTTTAATTCAAGTTGAAAAATTTTATATCTTTTTATAATAATGGAATTAGTTATCAATTTTAAATTAAAATGTTTTAGATAAACAACGAAAGTGCTCTCGATTTCTACCAAAAGTTTGGCTTCCAAAAGAGTGGAGTCGCTGAGAACTACTACAAGAGAATAGAGCCGTCATCTGCTTATATCCTTGAGAAAGAAGACAACTGAAGCGGGTATTTAGTTAAATAAATTTTGATTATAATATAAGGGTTTTACTTGAGCTCAAAGCTTGAGGATGCGATTTCTTAAGTTAGAGTCGATGATATTATTTGTTGTAGCAGATTTTTTACTACGGTAAAATTAGCTTTAAGAGAAACCTAAAGATAGTAAAAACCCGTTTTTATTTCTAGGTAAACTTATTTCGAAAAGTTTTTGGCAAATACGCAGCTTTAACTACCTCAACCTTATCGATTTCAAAAATCATAAACTGAAGCAAGACGCCAGTTACTTAAGTAAAGTTTAATCGTCAAACAACAAAGACCTAGCTTTATACAAGTCTTTCAGAGTGCCGTTGATAACCCATTTGTAGAATCTCTCAAAATCGACCGGTTTCCAGTTGAGTTCACGTCGCTTTTGGTTCTTCAGTCTGTTTTCGGCCGATGAGTTATTAGCTCGACTGTTCGTACTGTAATTTTGATGATTAGTTGGAATATTTATGCCGTTAAGACGTTTTAGTTGGCCTCATAAACTTATGAGTCCCTTGACAATACGCTATACTTCGAAGGTTTTTTTACACATAAGGACTATCATTGTTTATGTTTTACGCATATCTTGTCTACGACTTTACCTTGTACTCAGATCTCGTTGATATTCGTTGGCAAACTTGAATTTGCTCCTGTTTTTGTTCAAGGCCGGAGCTTGTGCTTCACTGGAGGCATCAGTGATGGTCGACTTCCAGTCTGGCTCCATCCATTCTTCGTAGTACCCTTTGGCTTCCTCCAACCCACTCCTCAGTTTCCTGGCCCTAGCCATCGTCTAGTATCCGAATAATCTGTTCGTCTCCTACATAAATATTCGTTTTCCATGGAGATGCATTTAACGTATCTCATAAATTTTAAAATTGGGTTCACGTATGGTAAATGTCTGCATGGTTTCAAGTAAATGTTTATATCGATGTGAAATGTTTATTATTGAGTTAGTCTTATAAAACCCGAATATTAGTACAACCGTATTTTTGAGATCAAGGGATTAGGTATTACATTAAGGGTTCGGCTTCTTCGTTCTCAATGGCTTCGTTTTCTGAAAACAAAAGTTTCAGGATTGTTAAAGTTGTGTCGGTTGCAACATATCATTATCAGTAATATAACATTACGTAATATAATATTCTTGCAATTTTACCTTGATTCTGAAGTTCTCGATTCTCCTCCTTGGATTCAGAGTTCTCAGTTTGACTGAGGTCTGTGTAACATAGAGGACACACTGGTCTCACAAAGAGCCACTTCTTCAAACAGAATCCGTGGAAGACGTGTTTGCACGGTGTTATCAATGCACTGTAAGTGAACTCTCCGAAGCAGATGGCACAGACGTCTCTGTTATCCTTGAGCTCATCCATAGCTGCTGTCCGGAGTCCCTTAATCTTAATGGAGGCATCTCTTCGTGCACGTACTGACTGCACTCCCGCCACGATGCGACGGTAGACGTTGAAGTAGCTGTTGAACATGAGCACCAGAACACTGAACCCAGACCACTGATCGTGGAACAACGACACGTAGCCACCGTACACAACCACCGAGATGGACAACAACAACTCGGCGATAAGTGTCAGGAGACGACAGGCGAAGGTCAAGTCGTCGAAGCATTCGTAAGGCTCTTCGTACTGGGTCTCGATAACGGACAAGGTGTATATGATGAGCGTTTGGACGGTTCGAACCGAAGTCATAACGCAACTGGACAAGATCATCAACAGCCTAAAACAGTTTATTGTGACAAGTTGTTGACAGACTCAGCTTAGCTATGGGCATCTGATGTTACTAAATCTGAAGAAGCATACCATAGGTTCGCTGGGAGAAGATTCAGCAACGCATATGAGATGGCAATGGGAAACACGAGTAGTATGGCTGCCAGGAACAGACATCTGATGTGCTGGCTTATTCTGGTTGTAGTCATTACTCCGATTGTCACCAAGTGGGGCTCGAGTACCTCGTACAGAGATTGGAGCAGGGCTGATAGCACTAAAAGATAACATAATATAAAGACAGTAGTTGTTTTTGATAAAATTACAGTGAACGGTTTTAACAGGTTAAACAGTTGATCTTAAATAGAATAACATACCGACAAAGAGCACCAGTTTCAACATGAATATCTTCTGTTCAGAGCCCATTCCGAGTACTCCAGCTTGTACACACAGAAACACCAAAGTAAAGGCTTCAGCAATGCCTTCGTTGCCATTGGCAGAGTGTTGTGAAGAGTCTGCTCCAATCATAACCTCAGTCAGTCTGGCAATCAACTTCGATATGTAGCTCACGGTCAAAGCCAGAGCCAACAAAGAGAAGGGAGAGCTGAATAACTATTGTTATTAACAGAATAGATAAAGAAAATCAACTTATATTACAATCTATATTACTATTAGCCGTACGGTAAACTACTGCTTACCAGGTAGTCGCAGCGACTGCGGTAATGAATCCGTCCCCAATAGAATCGTACCCTTTGGCAAACATGGTATAGCACTTTAGAGAGAACATGAGCACAAAGAAGGTACTCAGTAATTGGGCCAGCCTTAACCTTCTCCATAGTACAACGAATCCTGAGACATAAGATGACTATTAGGTAAATCCAAAAGTTAAACTAATATAAAACAATTTAAAATGTAGCGTTTTGAGAATATTGTCATCCAAACTCACCAAAACCCACGCCTCTCACAGCCAACAACGACCTTAACCTTTTGCACCCTTGCTTGGCTGACAACATGAGATCAGGCACGTTGTAGAGAACATACACACAAATCAGGAACATGGCCAACGAGCACGATATGTTGTGGGCAATGGTCAACTTCTCCAATGGACAGGCACACATACGAGCAATGATTGGGATGGTAAAGACGGCCAGAGAGACCCGCCCTACGGCCGATTCCATGCCCAGGAGAAAACATTGCACCACACTCAGCATCATCTGCAAAATGAGTATATGGTGCTAACGTACTCAAATATACTTCATTTAAAATAGTCACATCAAGTATCTTTATAATCAAGTATCTTGATGTTGATTTACCTGTGCCAGAAAGTGAAACCCATGCCTCTCCATCTTTACAAAGTCATCCAGAACTAGAATTGGCTCAGAATTCATTTCATGTTGTATGTATTGTGTGGACATGTAGTGGGAAAACGCAAATAAAGACAAACTCAGGCCATGTAGGTATATCCGCATTAACTTTGCCATCGGCAACAACAACAACATAGCGCACAACAGTAAAACTATAACAAATAAGGCGTTAACCAAGAAAAAATCTATTTTAATAACTGAAACATTACGTATAGTCATACATAACGATGTGTAAACATGTGTTATCCTTCACAAATGTCACTTTTCAGATTTCTTATTATTATAAAAATGAATGCAAACACTGTCTATTGTCTATATTTACCTGAGTAACTAAGGACCGTAGCGGCAGTGTGATCAAGGTTCCGTCTATGAATGAACTCCGTAATCTGCATAAGGTCGAGGTATCCAGGAAGCGGATTCTGGTCGATAATCTGTTGAGTGACTTCTGATATGTCCAGGTCTCGTTTGATCCACCATAACTCCAACAGAATAACTCCAGGCACTCTGAATGTTATCTCGATGCCACTCTCAATCAAATGCCGAGTCTGTTCACTCAGCCCCCACGTCGCTCCTATTATATCCATCCTGAAGATACTACTTGAATGTAAGAAACAAAAACATAATTCAAATTTAGAAGAAACGTAATAAACAGATAAGAAATGATTAAAAACAGATGTAGTGATTCAAGATGTGGACCAAGAACAACTGTAGTAATGTAAGGCGAACAATACGAACGACCGCGTTCTTGAACCGACTGTTACGAGCCGCCCCTGTTATGTAGGTCATCCACAACGTTTCCAATTATGAAATGCCAGTTGAAAACACTGATAAAGGGAAGGAAAATATTTACAACAACAAAAACCTCCTCAACTCAATCTTGGTCAAACACACCAAACCGTCTCCGCAGGCTAAGTTTTACAGCGAGAAGGCAGTTTATTATTGTTTCTGATGTTTCTTTACAAATTACTGCAACTATTTGATCTTTTGTAAACCCTTGCGAGGCAGTCAGATCAAGGAGCATTTAACCAAAACAGTAAAAACCTTATCGCAGCTGATTAAAGCAATTCTAAAGTGATCAAGAACTGATATTGTACGATGTTAAACGTGTTATTGAACAAGTGATGCCAGTGTTATTGAAACAATTCAATTTTATATGGTCCTCCCCGATTTATATTTGACAAGATAAAAAATATTTTTTGAATTAGGTTTCAAAAAGTTCGTGAAACTTCAAAAAGAAGGCGAAAACCGTGCAAATTTCGCGAAATCTAAAAAAGCGAAACGTGGTTATGTTTCACTTTTTTTGAGTCAGGTCCTCCTCTCTGTACAATCTAGTTGGCAAGAATAATATTTTAAGGGATTATTTGACGTCAACATCACCTTTCTCTACTAAAATGTGGAAGATTCTACTAATATTATCTGTTTCTTTGTGTCAGGGCATTGAATTGACATTTGAATTGCCAGATAACGCCAACCAGTGCTTCTACGAAGATTTGAAGGCCGGACTTGACAGTGTCGTCGAATTTCAGGTAATAAATTTCACTTTTTTGTTTATTTATTGTTTAGGATATGGATTGTTAATTATGCATTTGTAAATATGTATTTAGGTTGTTACTGGAGGTCAGTATGATGTAGATATAGTTTTGGAGGATCCACAAGGGAAGATCTTGTACAAAGAAGCACGAAAACAGTACGATTCTCATCAGTTCAAGACAGAAACACCCGGTACTTACAAAGTGTGCTTTTCTAACGAGTTCTCCACCTTCTCTCACAAGATTGTCTACATGGATTGGCAAGTGGGAGATGAGATTACTGGAGGACAAAGACCAGGAGCCAAGGAATCTCCCATCAAACATACGGCTGTCAGCAACTTGGAACGGAGTGCTCAGACTATTGGGGACCATCTGAGGGCAGTGGATGACTATCAAACTCATCACAGACTGAGAGAAGCTACTGGCAGAAGGCGTGCTGAAGATCTGAACGAACGGGTATTGTACTGGTCTCTGGGACAGACGGCTGTCGTTATCATTAGCAGCATTGTCCAAGTGAGTTGGTTCAAATTATACTAATTAGACTGTTGTTTTTATGTTTTGTTTAGCCTTTGCTGCCATAATAATATTGTGTAATTTCAGGTCATTTTGCTCAAGTCATTCTTCCAGGACAAGCGAACCAGGATGTAATTTAATTTAAGTACTTTATTAAGATTCATTAATATAAATTTAAGTTTTAATCACAAGTGAAATGAGTCAATTAGGCACTGATTGTGTAATATACAACAAGCTTATTGCAAAATGATTACCAAAGATAATATAAAGACAGCTGGCAAGTTTTGTTTCCACCCGGAGTTTGACATTTCTTCTCGAACCTTGGTTTTGTACAAGTCGTCGGTGTAAAAGTCTGAAATGTCATAGTTTAAATGTAAGGTAATCATAATGTGTTTTACCTTTGGATAAGGTATAATTTTGCCTATTAATTTGCTATACATTAAAGAGGGGAGGGGGAGGCTTGTTTGCTAACATTTCAAAAATGTTTTCTGAAATTATTTGATCACCTTTTCTGACGACCTGCTCGGCTTCCTTGATTAGGCGACATTGTTTTCCATGTACATCTACGTTGATATGATGGCTGTTTTCGGTAACAAGTTCTTCTGATAAAACCAACGCTTTCCGCGTTATGCTATTGTACTTTGGCCAAAACGGCGCGGGAGGACTGAAATTGACAGTTTATCTCTTTATTTCTACCTTATTTTTGAAAATGGGAAGCATGATACTCACTTTCCCCGACTGAACTCTCCCCAATAGTCCATGATCTTTTTGCTGAAGGACTGCTCCAACTGTAGCTGGTCTTGGTCGTAAAGGTGGGGCAGTCTCTTGGGAAGACCAAAGAAGTACTCGATCTCATAGCCGTGCATCGCTCCCATCCATTTTGGCCAAGGGTTCGATGAGGCCCTAAACATTAACTTAATACGTCTGGGTTGGCATACCTTCTCGTGAAGTAGTACATGAAGACAGCATCGAACACGTTGTCGGATATGAAGTCAGCGAAGTCGATGATGGAGCAGGTGAAGAAGTAATCTCCTACGAATCTGGCTACACCATCTCGTAGACGCTCTGGTTTCGTTTCTGATTCTGACAGCCGTTCGTAGGCGTGCATCAGAGCATGGCGTACTAGTTGAGAGCCTCCGAAGTAGGGCAGGAAGGCTTCGAACGAATCTCGGTATTGGGACCTAAAGTTAGATCATAAGGAGGGATCTTTGATAAAAAGAATTGTATGGGCATATGGTATCAACATAAATTGTATGTTCTCAACATATAACAACCTACTCAGAAATCAAGGCTTGGTTGTGACGATCTTCTGATGACAACGTGTGGTTGAAGTTGAAGCCGTAACGGCTCAAGTAGTAGGGCAGCCAGTAGGTACCCTCGTCTTTCATAGTACCAAGCAGAATCGATATGTCCTTTTTGAAGCTTCTGGTCTTTATTTTCTCTATTAATGAGCCCTAAATAGAAATTAGTTATGCCTGCATTAACAGTAACAAGTAACACCTACTTCAAGTAAGATAATATACGAAACTGTTAGTCTTACCTTGAAGAAGTTATCGTCATCATCAACGGGGACGAATGGAAAAGTTAGGGGTAACGACAAGGCATCAGACACTTTGTCAGCTTCTCGTAGTATCGTATGTGCAGACATGCCCCTCATACAGTCCAGTATGTACTGTACATCATCCAACGGCGACGCTGTGCCAGGTTTGGTGCAGTTCAGCCGTTTGGCCAGTATAAGTGACATGTCCAGCATGACATCTTTCGACTTGGTAGCCCAATTGTTGATGATGGCACCGCTCTGTAACAGTTACTAGCTTCGTACCTCCTACTTACATTGATGATGATACGCTGGAAGTAGTCGTTGCTGCCTGGGGCAAACAAATGCGAAGTGACAGATGCCCCCCCGGCACTTTCCCCAAACAATGTCACCTTCTTTCTGTCTCCACCAAACGACCCGATATGTTGGTGGACCCATTTCAAGGCCATCTGCTGGTCCATTAGACCCATATTACCCGGCGATTGGGTCTGTCCTCCGAAGTACAGAAACCCAAACGACCCTAGCCTAAAGTAGAGGTTTAAAGGACAAGTTTATATTCAAATTCTAAGGTTATCGAGGTTTCTTAACACAAGTATGTATGTCAAGTTACTCAGCCTTACCTGTAGTTGATGTTAACAATGATACTCCGCTGTTCCACAGCCAGCACTCTGCCATCGTAGAGGTCGAGTGAAGGACTGCCGGAGACAAAGCCCCCCCTCCGAATATCCATATCATGACATTGCCATCGTGATTGTCAGGTACCCACACATTCAACGTGAGACAGTCCTCGCTCAGCTCGTTGGGCGGGTTCCACATCTCGGCCCCGGGGAACTGGGGGAACATGGTGTCGATGGTGTAGTAGCAGGTCTTGGAAGGCTCCTGCACCAGCATCTCCCTCCCAGGGGCCCACCATCTCGGGCAGGGCGAACCGCCTGGAGCCGGTCGGTTTTTTGGCATACGGAACGCCAAGGAACGCTCGCACGTTCTGGCCGTTGAAGGACTGACCCACGCCTTTCAGAGTGCCTAACGCCGTTTGCACGATTAGATGGTCGTTCTGGCGCGGGTTTCGCGCGGACAGTGGCGGCAGTAGCCACACAACAACCGCCACCAACCTCAGCACGTCCAACATGCTCGTGGCATAGTTACCTGAAGCGACGATTAGTGAAGCCTCGTTTCGTATTCAAGTCAAAGGTCAGGTGGCCAAGTCTGGCCGTTTCATTATGCATTCGGTACACAAACCAGAAAGGACAAAAGACCCCGATTTCCGATAATAATTATCTGCAAATATTCAGAAACACAAATTACAAGTTCGAGGCAGGACAAAGGCGGGGCTGGTTAAGCATGCAAATCTCTCCGTGATAAGCGAATTCTGACATTACAAGTGGATTAAAGACACTATTGCCACCATTAGTGACCCTACTTCAATATAGCGACAAATATTTAAATTTTGATAAAAATAAAATATTTTTTAGTTAGGTTAACAATCATTTTCTTATGTAATCTTGCTGATTAACTCAAAAAACATCTAAAATAAAAAAAGACGCTCGTTCTCCGACTTTTGTGACAAAACTTTTCGCCGAATTACAATAGATCTCACGTTGAAGTCGAGAAACGAAGCAAACGTTCCAAATCCAAAACAAATAAAAGTCAATATGGTGAAATAAACTTATATGGACCATAAAGTAGACGTGAATAGAACCAGTTTTAATGACAACCATCTTGAGTCGCGTCAAATGACATTAAATTGAGAGTAAACGGTAGCTTTTGGACTTGCAGACACAGTAAAACGTCAAAAATATACGGTAAAAACACGGCAAATGTAAAATACAAAACAGAAGTTAATTATAAGGAGTAGGTAACAAAATTAAAAGTAAAAAGTAACTTAGGTCACAAAAAAAGTTAAGAAAGAAACTACAGTCACAGTAGACTGTCAAGTAAACATACGACAAGACACAGCCTTGTTGTTGTAGTTTCGTCCTCAGCCCGTAGCCCGACGTCGGCCAAACCCATCCCCGAACATAGTAATGGGAAGACATGATGCACAATTAGAAATGCATTGCCATTACTTATTGAAGCCCAAAATCAACATCCTTCGCGCTGAAATGCCATAAGTGAGTGGCCAAAACGGCAGCCGTTCCCTCAGGGGATTTGGAAGCGTCTCTAACACAAAGTTAGCACCAAATTAAACATGGATCAAAAAATTTGTGACTTCAGCCCTCACGGCCGCTACACCGGGCCGCCGAGATTCGAGAGAGGGCCGCTGCTTAAGTGGTGCTTAAGGATTTCCAGAAGTTCTTTTTGTTCTACAATATAAAACTCCGGAAACGACTGCGTTTCAAACAACCTCGTCTGCACTTTAGTACTGCTCGTACTATGTAGCCCTGATCCCGCGACACCTGAAACGCCCCGACCGCACTTCCGCCCTTTTAATAAGTGCGAATGGACCGCCGTACTTGGATTACCATGCCATCATGAGATGACGTCGGAGAGTGCAAGTCAAACAAAAGTGATGCGAAGGACTGATAGTGTTTCTGATAAGCTCTCCAATTCATAAATTTGGATTTTGCTCAAAGGCCGTTAAACTTTTTGTAATAATGTGTTGATATTGCTTTTGGCCAGAGGAACCTCCGAGCGCCCGAAACCACAGCTCTTATATTATATTATAGTAGAGTAAGTTTAGACAGAGTTCAATGTTGAGACTGCAGATGTTTTAAAGAATTACCTTTTATTTTTAATGAAGTTAATTTGCAAAGCACTATTTTTAAAATTAATTTTTAAGAATTCAACTACAGCAATATGAATATTCAAAGCAATACAATGCCACAACAGCTAACAATGTTTGAAATTTAAAATTGATAAGAATTGAAACGATCAAAGACACGGTTTATTCACAAACACTACATCGACTTCACTTCGGAGGATTCTTATCTTGAGGTGGAGGGTTGACTACTGGGACAAAGCGAGGAACACTGCCCGCCAACACTTTGGTGTAGCCGGCTGGCTTATGGTATATTATCTTGGGGTGTTCTTCTGGCTTTGGCTCTGCCTTAGGCGGGGGTGGAGGTGGGGGTGGTGGCGTTGAAGGGCGCGTCGGTTGAGCATAGCCAGACTGGTTGGCCGCGGCTCCAAAAGCTCCACAAGCTACAGAAGGTGGAGCAACTGGAGATGCAGCCGCTGGCACTGGTTGGGCGGGTTGTGGTGCAGCTGGTGGGTGTTGGGCTGGTCCTGCTGGAGTGGCTGGTGCATGCTGAGCAGGCGCAGGTGAAGCTGGTGCAGGCTGAACTGGTGCGGCTGGTGCAGCAGGTGCATGATGAGCAGGGGCCGAAGCGGCAGCTACGGGAGCGGCACGAGCTTGCTTCGGAGGTGAATGAGCATGAACTGGAGAATGACATTTGGGGGCTTCCTGAGGCTCTGGAACAGACGACGACGGCTCCATGGTCTCCTTCGGCTTGTGGTAGACATCAGGTGCCTCTACTTTCTCTTTGTGCTCCTTCTTGGCATCTGAATGCTTGTGCCGCTTCTTAGAATCGTCAGCATCCTTCTCCTAAACAATATTGATGACAAAATAAGCATAAATCAATTGGATAATAAACCTAATTACAACAATATTACCTTATCTTCGTGTTTAAGTTCTGGCTTCCGTTCCCATTTAGATTCGCGTTTGGCTTCTTTCTTGGATTCATGGTTATCGTGCTTCTCCCGCTTGCTTTCTTTTTTAGAATCATGATGATCGTGCTTCTTCTCATGCTTTGCTTCATCGTCGTGTTTGGGTTTGGACTTCTTCCTCTTCTCAGTCTTATCATCCGCTGGCTTCTCCGGCTTCTTATCGTAATCGTCGTCAGCTGGTCGGCTCTCTTCCCCTGCCGTTGGTACCGCTACAACGAGTGGTGACACAGGTGAGGTAGACTCAGGAGCAGGCGAAGCATCTTCGGGCTTGTCTTCTTTCTTCTTGTTTCGTACAGTTTCTTCCCAGTCCTCTGCTGTAGCTTCCAACGGTAAGTACTTGCCACCATTGGCCAGAAGCTTTTGGAGGTACACCTTGTACAACTCGACAAATCCTAAAAAGTCAGGTAAAAAGTCAGTGCTCAGTCAGAAACAGTATGACAAGTGATCATAAGGTGAGTAGAACCAAGGTAATGTACTGCCTACTTTTGAGAAATGAAATTTCAATGTGATCTTTGGCCTTGAATCGTAGCAGCTGCATCGTAGCATAGAATAGGTACAAGTACTGGTCCTCAGTTTGTACGGAATGAGATCTCTTTGTGCGTAACTCGGTAACTATTGCTTTCACGTCTGGAACCTCTCCCTTCTTCAAGGTTCGGTAGATCAGCTCCAACGCCACCAACGTTCCCGTGCGACCGACCCCTGCACTACAGTGAACAACCGTGCTGAAAACAGTTATAATAGAAAATTAGCCTTCTTCCTTCATTACAATAACAATATTGCTAATTCTAATCTCAACAATTTTTGCTTTCAGTGTCACCATCTATAAGACAAGATACCTCTACACCATTTAACAGAATATTATACCGTAAAACCTTTTAAAACCTACGTTCCCTTCCTCGCGTACTCCAACAAACGATACGGTGCCAGCGGGGTTTCTGGTACACTTTTGTCTGGCCAGTTTTCCCATTGCCGGTGAGTGACACTCCAGGTGTCTGACCCGAGCTTCACCTTCAACTTGGAAATAACAAAATGCTTTTCTTTGCGTTCCTTCTCGGTACATGTGATTGTGAACTTTCCTGCCTCCAAGACAGCGCCGGCTTCACTTGGCCAGTACTGGAAACACTTAGGCTTCCCCATCTCCACGCAGTTGCACAACATTATGATTTGGCGACACTAAAATAACGTAAAAAACTTGCTTACATCTCATATTACACCTATTATCAGTTTCCACAAAGTCATACATTCCTATTTACACCTAACATTATTATGTTATCTATAAGACTACCTTTTCCTGCCATACCATTCTCCAAAAGTCAGGTACAGTTGCCTGAATGGGCCCTTGAGTACAGATTATTGAAGCCAGTAGAAGCCCTGGAAAGTCGACAATATTGGCATGAATAAAATTGTTTTGTTCTCCATCTTTCAGAACGACACGGTTGTAGTCAAAGCACGGCACGTCTGAAAAAGGTTAACGTTATCTTAATGTTGCTCATCCCAAACCTCAAATAAAATTAATGGTGAAGTATAAAACATAAGACGAACCTTTGTACCTGCACAATTCCACAGCTTGCGTGCCGGCGGTGCTCGGCTGAGTAATGGGTATCAGCCTGATCTCGTTGTACTGTAACCGCAAATGATGGAAACCGTACTTCTTGACCTTAAAGTATATAGAAATTAGTTGTAAAACCAACCTCATAAGAAAAACTGAACTTTCATAAAGCATAACCAATATTCTGAAAAAAACTTTTGGCTTATCAATCAAGTAAAAGTAGCTCACTTGTTGGAAGAACTCCTTTGCCGCTTTCTTAGTCTCGGGTGAGAACTCGTGCTCAGCCTTTCCGTCAGCCTTGACTGTACCAACGTCCTTCAGCACCGATTCCTTGTTCGTCCTCGCTTCGTGACCGCTCTTGCTGTCTCGGCTACTGTGCTTACCTTCCTTGTTTTCGTCGCTTTTCTTCGGCCGCCGCTTTCTGCCTACGCTGGACGCTACATCGACCTTGGATTGCTTCTCGGATTTGGGCGTAGACCGAGAGCGCTTTCCTCTCTTTGAATCCGACATTTGGTCAACTTTGTCAACAATCACAACATTCACCACCAAACGTGATCAAAAAACTTTTTACAAATGGCAGAAAAGCGGTTCTGTGTGTTAAAGTAATTTGCATATTCGTACCGAAAAATCACATATTTAGCTATCTTTTTAAATTTTTTTGCACTTTTCCTCGTTTCTTGATACAAAATTTTTATTTTGCAATTTCATGTTAAGAAACGTGAGTCTCACGACGAAAACAAGAGCAAAGGTTAGCGCACTATGCCAAAACATTATGTGCGGAATCTGCACGCACATAGACGACAAAATACATAATTTTTAGATAATACTTTTTCCGGCCTTTACATGTTATTTTTACATTTTTAAAAGTTTTAACGTTATATTTTGTAGATAGCCATGTTGCGTCGTATCTCAAGCGCAATTGTTTCGGCCAGCAAAACCCAACTTCGCGGCCCAGCTGTCAGGTTCTATGCTACCGAGGCTAGCCCAGAAGACTATGGTTATTGTAAGTATATTATTGCAGTTTAGTTGTGATAAACATGCTTTCATATTGTTTCAAGTGAATTTCAGATCCCGATCCCCTTGAACACGCTACTGGACGTGAAAAGAAGATGTTGATTGCTCGTTTGGCCGGAGATGATGTATGTTTTTAAACTGTTTTTGTATTTTCCTCAGTTTTTGCCATACTGATGCTTATATAACAATATTACAGCGTTACGAACCCAAAGTCTACTACAGAGCCGAGAACTCTTCCAAGGAAAAGCCAAATTTGGTCCCAGTCCACTTCTTGGAGCGTATCATTGGATGTCTCTGTAAGTTTTACGATTGTTTACAAGTATTTTCGTTTAGGTGAGCACGATTCTGGTCACGTTAACTTCATGGTAATCCGAAAGGGCGAGCCCAAGAGATGTGAATGTGGAGCTTGGTACAAGGCCATCGACGCCGACCCAGAGTCTGTCTAGGGCGGGTCTTCACGTTTAGTTCGATTGTACCTTTAGTGTCATTAAAGAATATAAAATAAAACTTTTTGGCTTGTTTCAACCACATTTGTGTCGGTTATCACTCTTATGTTCATCTTATATACGTAAGCCTGGAATTTTTACTTTTATTTACACGTTTTTAGATGTTACGAGTTGTTTTTCGTCAATTTTCTTCTGTAAAACCGAAGAATAATGTAAATGCAACCAAAAAAATCAAACGAACACCTGTGGGAATGTTAGAAGAAGACGAAGAACAACAAAAACCAAAGCTTGTAAATGACAAAACTGGTGAAGTAGGTGGACCAAAAGGACCAGAGCCAACCAGGTTTGGCGATTGGGAACGAAAAGGACGAGTCTCCGACTTTTAAAACGACCTTGTTTATAACAGTTTAACAATAAAGTAGAAAATCAACAACAACAAGAACGGGATTACTAGTACCAATTTGTAACTCAAGGTAATATTTTGTTGGTCGACGACGCGGCCCTTCATGTAAAACTTGGACACCTCTGTTATCTTCACTACCACCCATTTCCCCATCAAATCTTTGTTCGAAGATATCAATATGTGTTCGTATGCTTTGTTGTGGCCAACATAGTTTACCTTGTCCGTAGCTCTTTCACACACTAACACCTTGTACACGTTTCCTATCCGATCTTCGTTGTAAGTACTGTAACTTTTGAACAACTCTGTCATCGCTGCAGTTCTTCGGCGAGCTTCGATTGTGTCAATCTTTTTGAGACGAGCAGCTGGTGTACCTGGGCGAGGGTAGAACTGGTTGATGAACAAAGATGGGAACTTGTACTTCCTCACTAAACGCATACTGTCTTCGAAATCTTCCGAGGTTTCCGATGGGAAGGCGCAGATAAAGTCTGTTGCTATATACACATTTGGAACCCTGAAGTTTTAAGCTACTTTGTAAGTATAATAATTAGAGGGCTTAAAGATATGATTATACGTAAATAAAAGCGAACTTAATTACTTTTCTCTCATAAACTCGACCACTTTGCAGAACTGAGCTGAAGTGTATTCTCGCTTCATCTCAGCTAAAACAGCATCACTTCCAGCTTGGACTGGGATATGGAGGAACGAGTAGACGCGAGGGTGGTTCAGAATCTCCGATATTTCCTGTAAGTGATCCAGAATATATGGTGGGTTAGTCATGCCGAGACGCATCATACAGTCTTCCGGGATAACCTCTACCAAAGCATTTAGAAGGTCAGGTAATACCTACAAATAAATTGTAATAAAATAAAGTAAGAATGAAAGAATACGCATATATTTTAAACCTTACATGGTCAATATCACGTCCGTATGCTCCCAAGTCTTCGGAGGTGAGCCAGATCTCCTTACATCCCTCTTGAAAAGCCGTCTGTGCTCGTCGAACGATGTCTTCAATATGAAAACTTTTGAGATCGCCTCTGGCTTGCTTCGTCTTGCAGTAGGTACAATGATTGAGACATCCTGTGTTGATGGCCAATATCTCCACAAACTTGTTTCTCCTGACCTTGGGCATGTCAAGAGACAACGCTTCTTTCCTCCTTAAACTGAGATGTCTAACAACATTTCCTTTCAGGGTTTCTTCTACAACATTTACAATCTGGTCAACTTGCTGTACTCCCACAATAGACACATCTTTTAAGAATCCTGATGTGGGTGCTGCCTAAACTTGGAATTATAGTGTTTCTTCAGAAAGCAAATGTTTAGTTCACCTAAAGCAAGGTAAGAAAGAATGAAAACATACCTGTGACACACATCCAGCTACCACAACTTTCTTGTTCTGCTTTCTGGCTTTTCCAATCTCGTTCTCCAACTGATTTTCTGAAGGTGTTTTCACCGTGCAACTGTTCAGAATCCACAAATCTGCAGAATCCGCTTCTGAAGTCAGTTTGAATCCTGAATTTACTAGTAAACCACTCATGTACTCTGAATCGCTGCTGTTATGTGCACACCCCCAGGTTCTCACAAACACTTTCCTGCTCCATCCTAAGTCGCTCTCGATTTGAGGTACATCGTTAACCTTGTCCTTCTTGACCTTCAGCTTTGTCTGAACAAATCCATCAAGCTTCTTGTTACCTCCTGCCGTTACAAAACCATCTTCAATGTCTCCAGAATCCATGGTTTATACAAATGCAAAGAGCATAAAAATTTCAGAAATTCCCAATTTTTATTAAAATTAATTTCAAGTTAGGGCGCACATCGCCGAAAAATACCGCATCCTGCAAAAAACTTTTTTCATCGTCGAAATCATAAAACTTTAGGGTACGAGTTGGCCGAACAGTTTTAAAAATATTTATTTCGCACCAAAAATAAGTTAAACATTTAATCATGGAAACGCAATTCCAAGGGTCTCCAAGGTGTCCTCGGCTTGAAGACTCCTTTACCTACGGCAATCCTGCTGGCCAAGTTTCGATGTACCTCGGGGTTAATATTGGTTAGGACGTCCAAAAGCATGAACACTATTCTGCTCTTGTTCTTCTCGACATTTGACCTGATCATCTGCAACTTGGTTTCAGTTTCTCGTTCGACCTGCACTTTGTAATCTTGCATTTCTTTGTTCTTCGCTTGCAACTGATGCTGGAACTTGACCTCGCATTGCTGAAACAAAGAAAGCGTTTTTTTGAATATAGAAAATTACATTCAGTTTTACTTAAATTGACATTGCTCTCTTCTACATCACACTCTATGACACCAAAGCTGGCTTACCTGTCTGAATTTAGTGATCTCTCCATTTGCCTGATCTCTGGCATTCTTGATCCGCTCTTTCCTTCGAATCCGTGCCTCGTCGATCAACCGTTGACCTTTCTTTTCAGTACTGATCAGTAATTCCAGTACGTTGATTTGCTGACCAGTATGAGGCATATCTTCTTCTTTGGAGGTTGATGTAAAAGACCGCTTTTTTGAGTGACACATGTAAATTTTGACACACAAAAGTTTATTCTACTCATTTTTACCAGTATGCTAATTTCTTCACACTTATTATTTTGTGAAATTTATCTAAGGGTGAGAAAAGGGCCGGGCCCACTTTTAAGGCCCGGCCCAGGCCCGGGGCCCAACGTTTAGGCCCGGCCCGTTTTCAATTTTCTCTCAGGCCGGCCCGGTCAGAAAATTTCTAGGCTCGGCCCGGCCCGTTTTAAAAAATTTTAAAAATTTTAAAACTTAAAAAATAAACGGAAATTTGGCTTTGCATTGTTCTTTTAGATCATTTATGTTTCATGGTACCCAATAAAATCAAAAAACATCAACGGGGATTAAAATACAAATTTAAAAAATTTAAAATTTTTTTTTCGGGCCCGGGCCCAATTTTCAAGCTCGGCCCGCGGGCCGGGCCTAACCTTTGGGCCCGGCCCGTTTCAATTTTAGCTCAAGGCCGGCCCGTTTCTCACCCCTAAATTTATCCCGCGTTTTGAAACATCGAATCCGGGTGAACGAAGTGTCACAAATGATATGTAAACAAAAAAATAAAAAAAGAAAAATGTTTTAGATTTTTTATTACTCACGGATATCGATTCATCAAATCAGCAATGGCAGACGAATATGTACCTCCCGAGAAGCGAACTCATTACTCCACGAACGCTGGACCGTCATATGAGGTAGGTCAATATTCTTTACTGGGGTTGTAAAGTCAGCTTTTGGGTAAAATCGGTTTTTTACAGAATCTTGATAATGCGTCTCAGCCTCCTCAACTTGCACTGGAACAGCACGGTAGGTATATGTAATTAAGTTATATTTTTTAATTGATTTTGGGTAATATTCGATGTGCAATCCTTTGTTTTAGCTCCTTCTGGACATGTCGCAGCTGGAAAGACTCTTGCCGACTTCTTAACAGAGGTCAAGGCTATTAATCCGGTTATTCCAGACAGTGTGGCTCAGTATTACATGAAAAAGAACGGTTTGGACAACGAAGATCCCCGAATTATCCGACTTATCTCTATAGCCACACAAAAGTTTATATCAGACATTGCTTTAGACACTATGCAGTCGGTAAGTTGAACTTTCTTTTGTTTTTACGTTTTTAGGTGTTTAATGGATTTTGTCTAAAGGTTATATTATTTCGTGGTGATGATAATGCAATTCTTTATCTTGATAATAGCATAGTATTGTTTTTTGAAACGTTATTGAAATAACATAGTTAATTTAGGCAAGAATGCAAGGACTTGGTCAAGTGAAGAAAGGAAACCGAGAGCCACGATTTGTGATCAACACAGAACTTTTGGAGCCGGTACTGGAAGAGTACGGAGTTCCATTTGATCGACCTAACTTCTATCATTAATATTTATTTTATTTAATACACGTTACTTGTTTAACATGGGCACTTTATTTCTAGGTCCATTGCCAAGGGTATCTCTTTAAGTCGTAAATCACACATTGAAGATGAGGAGTTTAGGGTTTAGGTATTCAGATAAGGTCTTGAAAGGCGACTGCTTTATTGTCGATCCTTATGTGGACTTCAGAAGCTTATTCAGGGATAAATCACTGAAGGAGAGTCTTTTAAAACGAGGGAAACAGGTAGGTCTTGATTTGGTGGAAAAAAATTACGCTTCGTGGTGGAGTTGTTATCAGACGTACCTTAACGATTCATCTGTGAGTTTAATCTTTTATTTTTTAATCTAATTTATTTGCTTTTTAATTTTGATGTTATTCGTATGTTTCAGCCAACGAACAAACAAGTTTTGAAAAGCAGTTGGCCCAGTTTGCAAGCAGTTTTAAAACTTCCACCTGTGATTCAGGAGTGTCACATTGGAGAAATAAAACAATGTGATGTGGCAAATAAACATCAAGTTAGTGCTGAATTTGTTTTAGACGACGTAGCTTTAGAATGTATGAATAATATCAAAAATGCTATTCGAGTGTCAACTCCGTCGATTGTGCGATCAGCTGTGTTGGAGGGATGTAATGTAGAAGTAGATAGACACCTAGGTATCGCCGACAGTGATCCTCAAAATTATGTCGTGGGTGAGTTAAAAATAAGTGTTAAAGTGGATAAAACTGATATTTATTAATTAAATTAGTATGAAATTGTTTTTAAATGTGAATTTTGAATTAAATATTTTATTTTTTAGGGACTTCATTACCTTCTACATTATCTCTTCTGGTAAGAAAGGAACTGACCAACAGCAAGGTATTTCCTTGCACTCTTATATCTGCAGGAAAGGGCTACAGCGCTAACAATGGCCAGATACTGGAACAGAAACTGGTTTCTTTGTTGAGATTGAGCTCTTCAAATGGCTTTACTGAATTACTCAATGATGTAGTGTCGATTATTGCTAGAATCAACCCTAATGTCACGATAACTCCAGTACAACCAAATGACTTGACCAACTACGAAGCAGCAGCTTGTACCATTGCCATTGATAGAGTTGATGTGGCCAAAGTGTCTAGTGTTGGGGACTACATCAGTAGAAGACTTCACGTTGTGAAATCGGGACGTTTCGTTAATATGACTCACGCCCTTATTTACTGTGATTTGTTGAAGAAGTTCGTTGATTAAATAGTTGTTACATTGTTGGTTCCGATGACTAAATTATTGTTTGATTCAAATCTATACCTTGATAATGTTTTTATCTGATACAGCTGTAATTGATCGACGTTGTGAAACGTATATTTTAATCATGTGTTTTGTTTCGACCTCAATGATTGCATTGTAGATGATATTGGAGAAAATACAGAACTGGTTAGTTCGACATCGTGACCAAACGAATGTCACTTATTCAAGGTTCGGGAGGGGAGGTATGTTACCTTTACTTTCTGTTAGAAAATTACAAAAATCTGCGTTGCCTAATGAAATAAATTGGTTTTAGACGGGGAGCCAGATGACAGACCACCTCCAACAAAAATCATAGTAGCTCCATTTGATGAAAACGCTCCAGAGTTTATGTTTCTACAGCATTGGCACGTTCAGAAGATGGCTGTGGTAAGTACATAACGGTGTTTATATTTCCTGCTTTAGTTTAATTCGTGTTTCGGAATGGCCATGGTGATATTGTTCTTCATCTCGAGCTTCTTCGAGTTCAACTGGTACCACCACAGACGAGGTGTTGATATCTCAGCCTTGCTCGGGCTGTTCGTCTACCTCGGAATTGGAGTGATGATCCATTACTACGTTTTGTCTGGAGTCAAGAAACAAGAACCGTCGTATCTTCTGCCATTTATCGTTGTATATTCGGTCATCTGTACTGGCGAGGTTGTAACCATCTTCGCATTACTGTAGGTCGTGTCTCTTACTGTAGAATCTTTTAGATTTAAATCTCTGGAACCACAAGAAACCAATCAGCCTCCATTTTTCACGATGTTCGTGCTGGTACTGGTGTTTGCGATCGTGCAACTAGTCATGCTTCATATTGTAATCGAGTGTAGAAAGTTCCTTTCCATGAAGAAGATGCACGAGTTCGAGCTGAAAGTGGCGGAAAGAAGCGTAAGTTTCCATAAATACTTTGTATGAATATCCTCATCTTTTAAAACATCTGTCGTATTTTTTGTCTAATCGACAAGTTTCAGAAAGCCTCCAACCCGGTGATGGTGATCGAGTTCGCCAAAGGAGATTCAGGTATAGAAAACCCTAACAATGAGACTCAAACCAACAACACTATCGGCATTATGAACCGCGAAGTAGTTTAACTATAGAATGTACATAGATTTGGTCAGTATTATACTTACGGCATAATCTTACAGTTCGCAATATGTTTCCCATTTTATTTCTCATATCCAACATAATGGCATTACAATAAACATAATTTAACAAGTAACAAACTCATGAACTGACGAAATTCCGCAGCGCCACCTTCAGCTGTCCTCTGGCATCGATCAGAATCTTCTCGGCGTAGGCCCTGCTCAACTCGCACGCCTTCATCAAGAAGGAGATGTCTTCAGCTCGCAACGACACCACTTCTTGTTCTTGGACCTTGAGATGGTCAACATTCCCAGTTCCCACCTCGTCCTTATCTTCTTCGTAGTCTGTTACCTTCTCCAGGTCTGCTGCTCCCCAGTTGTGTTTGTCGATGCTCTTGTTGTCAACACCGTCTTCTCCATTGTCTGCCATTTTTAACAATATAACTGAAAAGATAATTTATGAAAATCCTGTAAAATACATGATCTAAAAACACGTTTTGTTTGTAAACAACCTTAAAACACACATACGATAAAAACGGTATGTTGATTAGCTAAGAAAAAGTTTGGAAAATAAAATTAAAAAGAATTAATTTATCCTTGAAACAGCTGCGCCCGAAACGCCGCCAGCTGCGTGCCAATTTTGTACGATAAAATAAAAATCCGGCATCAAGTTTTACCTGAAGTTAAAATAACATCAAAAATAAATAAATAACATTAATCCTGCTAATTAATTGCATTATTAACAAGCACAAGAACAATTTATTACCCATAAACATAAACAATAACAAGATATGGCCAACAATGAAACGTATTTATAAAGCTTTCTATTCTTCTGTACTTTCATCTTCACTCACGCAGAGTAGCAGCTTCTGGATGAAATGAGTAAACGCAACTGAAATAAAGTCCGTTAGTGGATACAACTAATGCATTATATAATTCCTGCCTTTAATTGAAAGTCAAACAACTTCGAAAATCCACAAAAATAATGCAAAATACAGTACTTACTCCAAGGTTTGTAAAGAAAAGTTGGTTTGTCTTGAACATGAACGAAGGCAAGGTAAACTGGCACTCCTGAGCAGATAATAACGGCAGCGGCAACCAATTCAACCGGACTTCTGACAAATGGTGTGATCAGAACAAACAAACAGATCATTATGAAGGTTATCGGCACCAACAGATTGAACTTAATTGGTCGTGGAAGGTTGGGTTCGCAGATTCTGAGTTTCAAAAGAGCAGCTACAGACATGAACACGACCGAGGTCTCGGCAAAAGAAAGGTAGTTGATCAGGTCTCTCAATTCGGATACAAAGATGTTCACCAAACTCAGAAGGCAGAGGGCAATCAATGACGGAATCGGCGTCAAGAGTTTGACGTGAATCATGGCCAAAAGTTCAGGAAGTTGACCATCTCTGGCTCCAGCAAAGAACATTCTGGAAGATGTCAGGATGATGCCATTCACTGATCCAATGCAACTTATGGCCACAAAGAACGGCATTATTGGTGACAACAATCCCATAACACGGTTGGCAAAGGTTACCGCGACGGCTGGAGATAACAACACTTCCTGAGGGGTCAGAGCCACAAAGTAGGCCATGTTGACCAACAGGTAGATTACTGTAACGACCGGAATCGACAGGTAAATTGATCGAGGGAGGTTCCTAAACGTTAAAAGATAAAACCAGTAATACGTTAAAAGATAAAACCAACGCTTTACCGTAAAATAAATAAAACACAAAATAAAAATATTTTTACGTTAGGGAATAAATATAAACCTACTTGTTGGGATTTTTAATCTCTTCAGTCACAAAGTTTAGGTAATTGTAGCCCGAAAAACTGAACACACCTTGATAAAAGGCCAGTGACAATGACACTACATTAAAGTTGTGTCCAGCGTTTAGCGATTCCCAATTAAAGTGATTTTCATCTGAAAAACATAAAATCATAACATCCAACGCCATCAGAAAGTAGCAATTATAAGCTTTTAAAAGTAAAGATACCTACTCATAAAGAAATGGTACACGCCAGCAAAAACAATCAACAACAAAGCCGCGATCTTTGTTACACTTGAGATATCCTGAGTTTTGGTCGACCATTTGACGTTGTAACAGTTAATAAATGTCAATGTGACTGAAACATTCGTTTATGTTAGTTAATCCCGTAATCGAACGTTAAATTGTAAAAAATAACCAAAACATACTAATCATGAAGGCTGACAACAAAATAGTCGGAATCTGAGGCACGGTGCAATCCGGGTAGAACGGTTGCAGAGTATAAGTTGAAAAGGTCAGAGCCATGATCGCGATCGACGATGGATTCACAATAATCAGCGCCATCCACAAAAAAATGAAAGCTGGCACTTTGCCAAAAGCCTCATGAATGTAGGTGTAATCACCACCACTTTTCGGTATTGTGGTACCTAATTCTGCATAACAAAGAGCACCAAACAAGGAGAAGATGCCACAGAACATCCATATTATCAATGACAAGAAGGCACTTCCAGTTTGCTCAATTACTCCTAAAATCCCAAATTTTATTACCTAGAATGTGGAATTTTTGTTCCGCAACCTTTTTTCATCCAAAAATTTTAGAATCTATTACCTAAAAACGTTACCTTTAGCCTATCCTATACCAGTAACAACCTAAATTTAAAAATCCTATAGTTATTTTCTAGTTTCTGATGCAACATTGCTAGTTTGTTACCTATTAAAATTAATATTACCAACTATTCCAATTAATAGCTACCTAAAATTAAATGAAAAAACAGAAAATGACATACCTCTGGGACTAACAAAAATTCCAGAACCGACAATAACACCAACAATGATAGTGCATCCATTAAAAAGTGACAATCTCTGTTTCATCTGAATCTTGGTTTCTCTGCCATTCTCCAAAAGTTCAGCTTCATGGTGAACATCATTGCCATGATTCTCCTTCTCCACCGAGTCGAACGACACCATCTGAAAGACGAAATCAGTAAATTGAGCTAGGAGGAAGAGAGGGAATTGGCTCGCAGCCAAGTCCCACTAGAAAGAAACACTTGGCCGATTTCTTTTTCCCTCAAAAAGTCCCGGATTACACAAAACTCCACTTTTTTCTGGTTTTGGTGTGTAGCGCAGCCAATGGCAGCTGTAACTAGCAATCTATACCTCAAAATGATGCCACTTCTCAATTTGGATATAATTTTATACCATTTTTCGTTTCTCAGATGACATTTCTTTTTTTTAAACTTTTTTTGAAAGTATCTCGCGCGCGCCTAAAATCCGGCAAGTAAGACTTTTTATGAAATCTTTGGAAATACTTCTAAAAAATGCGTCATCATTTATCTGTAACAATATTTATTAAACTAAGATAGCGATTTTATGATGATATGAAAGCTTTTCCTGATCTACTTTTAGTTCGTATCATATCGTATGTTATGTACACGGTGAGGACAGCGCTGTAAACGGCCAGTAAAACTGCTACATAGATAAGAGCAACGGCTTCAGTTCTTTCCCAACAGATTTCTGCTTTCCTGATTCCAGTGTCCACAAAAGCTAAAAGTTAAACAATTATTAAAGATCAATGAAGAACCAATGTTGATGTTCAACAGTATTAATAAAAGTATTTAAAAGTATGATTCACTTACAGCTACTGTAATTCCCGACTAGAATAGTCTCAGACCTGATGTTCCTGACCCTTCCTTCGTCTCTTCTAGGTCTCAAGTTTGGTGAAGTAGCTGCCTGGACCTTGTCCTTCTTCAACAGCTGTAAACAGTACTGTATGCGAATAAGTCCTTGCAACATGAGGCGATTGTATTCTTATCCTCCTTACTTAACTTAACTTACCAAGTAGACGTCGTTGGTGGTTTGATGAGCTGATTTGACTTCAGTGAACAGAGGCTGATCCTTTCTTCTTTCCCACCCGACCGGTCGGCTTGGTTTGCCCTCGGGCAAGGGAAATAGGGGCTTGTGGCTGTTACTGGGTGGCACTGGGACCATAGAGGGGGTGGTTTTTCGGAATGGCTCGTCGAAAACACCGTATACCTGGGTCTCATGCCGAGTGTCGGAACTCTCGAGAATCACAGAGCTGGGGTTGAATTCCGGAGGGTAGACATTCGGGCAGTTGGGTGGCTAAAAAGGTTTAAAGGTACTTTGCGGGTTCATGGTTTTATCAACAATGCAAATCATTACCGTATAATATCATAAAGAGCTCGAAACCTACAGTAACCCCAACACAAGAATGACCAGAGCAGAACTCCAACTGACATTCGAACCTCATCATCTCTTGGTCTGAGAACCGGAAAACGTCAACGGCTACAAACGCCATAGTCGTCTCTGAACTGTAGGTCAAAGAGGGAAACTCGTCAGACATCGGGCACCTTCAATTAGTAGGTATAGTACCAAAGAATAAAATATATGTTATTGTAGCGACCTGTAACATCGAGAAGAAAACAACCTTACCCTCGGTTGTCGATGATTTGCGCTTCTTCAAAGTCGCCTCTGGCCATGCAATTCTTTACCAGGATTTTTTGATCAGCTAAAACTTGAAAAAAGTTTCAAAGTCAAATTTAAAATAAGTTCTAAACTATGTTACGAAACACACAGATTACTGTAAGTTTTTGTAAACAACTTCAACTTACGATCGTTACATTGCCATCTGTGGACCATCTTCGAGCCAATATTAGTCTTCTGAATCAGAGGTCCGTCCACTGTTTCTGATCTCAAGGTATATTCGCACTTATTTGGGGCTGTGTCGTGCATCATAGGCTTGATCTCCAAGTCAGCTACGACAACATTGGAAGTCACATTCTGAGGACTTCTATCGAAGTGACATTGGATGTCAAATGCTTTGTCATGTTTTGTCAGGAATTGGGAATGGAACTTAACTACTAAAATGGCGTCGAAGGTCATTGAGGTATTGACTTCGTATCTCCTCTCCATTCCACAAGATCCGAACGGCACGGTGAAGGCCAATTCTGTTTGTGGATTCCTTAGGTATTCGTGGCGACATTCCAGTTCGTCGTAATGACCCTTGACGTATACTGTTCCACTTAAAGTTATTTCATGTTATTCACAGCATACTGTAAAGTATGACTTTAAATATGACCCATAAAAAATAAAACTCTCAAAAGCAAGCTCCTTCTTACTATCATTTGTTTATTTTAGTTTTTGCTTACGTAAAAGCCTTGGTAGTGTACATGACAACTCTGATCTCATCTTTGGCACAGTAAATGTTCGGTTCCCCAATTATTTGGTTTTCTATTTTGATGGCTAGCGACTATAAGTAAGATTTATATATTAACAATGCATCAACGCACTTTAATGACATTTCTGGGTAACATTAAAGGTTTAAAAACCATCATTTGACAACAATATTAAACATTTAAACTTACAAAACTGAAAAACAGGCATATAAGCGGGTAAAACCGCATGGTTAGCGTCATAAATACCGAATAACCTTTGGCCACATTCGGGTGCCAATTAACTCTTGTACAGGTGGGCGTCACAAAGAAAAAACCAAACCGGAAGCCGAAATTACCTTTGCCAGATGGTCCTGGTCATTGTTTCCGGTTTCAGAAGCGCCGAACGGCTGGATTAACGTTGTTAAACGTATCCGCGCCTTTCTTAGTCACATATCCCACTAAGGGTTTGATTTCACCTTATAGATCACATTTCTTCATAATGAGCCCTTCAAACGATTTTTTTATATTTCTGAATCTTTACTACCTTATAAGTAAATTTTGTAACCAGTTTTTTACAATAACTATTTGAAATTGTATTTGTTTCAACAAAGTATTCATTTCAATATTTTAATTACTTTTTCGTCAAACAAACCAAATATCCGTATAAAATTTACTTGACTACGCCACCTAATAATACACATGTGTAACTTTAAAGCCTGGGTTCGATTTGTGATCGGTAGAACTCAACACTCTTCACTCGAATCAACTCTGGAGCATTGTTAATATAATGAAAGGCACAGTTGACATTCTTGTTCCACTTGGATCCTACTTCCGATTGCACTTCCTCACACGACGGAAGCTGTAAATAGTAGCATAACTAGCAATTTAAAATTTCAATGGCTGTTAAAAGTAAGTAGGGTCCAAGAGTGTTTCATATAAATATAAAGAACATTACATGATCTTATGAATTAGATGTATAATAAAAAAGCCTAACATTACCTTTTCTTTGTAGACTACAGTTCCATTGACAATATTTTTCGTGAAATTGTCATAAACCGTCTCACCGACGGCTGGCTCGAGAGTCCACACGTTCTGATCAATAGAGATCTTAACGGCTCCAGCTACAGCTGCCAACCTGATACCTGATCTGAAAGTAACATAACATTGCGTTACCAAAATCCCAAAATCAAAATATAACACTATAAAAAGCGTAAAAAAGTTTTTAGAATAAGATTTAATAAAACTATGTATAACTTACTTTGTTAACCATGACAAAAAGCCCATTTTGAACCTAAAAATATCATAAATAACATCAAATCAACATGTTTAGAAGAAAAAATAATAAAATTCAAACACAACATCCAAAATAAAACACAAAAATCCCAAAATGTTGTAAATTACAAGTAAAAAAAATTTAAAACAAAAAACAAATGTTGTTTTATTTAATTTGTCATTACGACTTCTTTTTTCGATTCTAATATCGAATAATTTGTAATTATAACGAAGTGTCACAAAATAAAAATATTTTTATTTTTCGTAGGGCTATCACAAGGTAATGAATAACACCTCTGCTGAACGGATTTCTCTCAATATTAGCAATGTTCTTAATCACAAACAGCATATAGGAGCTGATGTGGAAAAGTTCAGAGATGGATTCGAGAGGAACGAGCGATTCAAGGAACTGAATGGTTTGGTGAGACGGAATCAAAGAGTAAGTAAGTCTTGTTGAGATTATTCTGATTTTAGATAGTCGAAGCTCTGGACGACTTTGAAAGATTGGACATGAGTTTTATGAATGATTTAACGGATCAACTGGGAAAACTGAAGAAAACTCTTCACAGTATTGATCGAGTCAAGTTCTCTGAAGTAAGTTACTTTTTTTAGGTATTAATATGTATTTTTAGTCAGAATTACAACAATTCCATTTGACAGACGTTTGTCAGATGACGATAAAGAAATTAGCAGACGAAAAGTTTAGCCAGAAGAGCCAGATGAATGTGATATTGGAATGATCTCTATTAAAAATATCATAGTTATATGAAATAGCAGTATCAATAAACATGTACAGCTTTTACTTAGTGTTTTCAGTGTTTTTAGAGTTTTCATAGCTCTTGTTACCTTTTTCTTTTGAATTTTTGTTTTATTATTAATTCAAGGATGGCCAAGAAAAGACAGTCTTTGAAGAATGCCAGAAGTGGGTCTTCTACAGATAAAACCAAAAGGACAAGTGGTGGTGGAGTTGCAAAGAAGCCAAAGTCAAATCATTCTCTGAACCCAGATAGAAAGGTTGAAAATGCTGGTGTTGGTACTCGAATGAGGTCTAAAGCTACGATTAACAGACTCCGGATGTACAAAAACTTCAAAGCTGTTAGGTACTTTATTTTAACAAAAATTTAAAAATATATTTATATTAATAGGTGACTTTGCTGATAATAGTTTTACCTAATTTGGATATTATTTTTAGGGATTCTAAAGGACACATTATCAAAGCGGCACCATTCCAAGGATGGTTGAATGCTGGAACCGTGGCTAGAGTGGAGCCTAACAGAAAATGGTTTGGTAAGTTGGTATTTTTTACTTCTTATTTTTTAATTTTAGGTAACACTAAGGTAATTGGACAAAAACAACTTCAGAAGTTCCAAGAAAACATGGGAAAAGTTATGAAAGATCCATTCCAAGTTGTCATGAGGCAGACTAGATTACCAATTTCTCTGCTTCAGGAAAAGGCCAAGGTAATTTAATTTTCTAATTTATTTGAATGTGTTAATAAGCTTCCTATTTTAATATTTCTTTTCTTATTTAACAAAATTAATTTTCAGCAAAGCCGTGTTCATGTTGTTGACACAGAGAGCTTTGAGCATACCTTTGGCAAGAACTCTCGCCGAAAACAAGCCAATATCAACGCAAAAGATCTGAGTGAGCTTGTGGAAGATGCTGAGTCAAGATCTGATGGCTACAAGGTTGAAGCTGACAAGTCTCTCTTAGCCAATCAGGAATTAGACGACAGACAAGTCAACCAGAACCCTTTGTTCAGAGCTGGACAATCTAACAGAGTTTGGGGAGAATTGTACAAAGTTTTAGATTCATCTGATGTTGTAGTAGAAGTTATTGATGCGCGCGATCCGGAAGGCACTAGATGCAAGCACGTTGAAGAGTTTTTGCGGAAGGAGAAGCCACACAAACATCTGATATTGGTTTTGAACAAAGTTGACTTGGTACCTACTTGGGTTACGGTAAGACATAATAAAATCGTTTGTTGAATTTTATTTGTCGTCAGCATCTACATTATTAATATTCTATTTTAGAAAAAATGGATTCACATTTTGTCGAAAGAGCTCCCAACGATAGCTTTCCACGCTTCCATTCAACACAGTTTTGGTAAAGGATCTTTGATTAACGTACTGAGACAGTTCAGACAGCTTCACAAAGACAGACAACAGGTGGGTACTATAAATAAGTAAAACAGTTGAAAGTATACGTGTTTATAGTTCATAATATAAGTTTTGTTTTAGATAAGTGTTGGGTTTGTTGGGTATCCCAACGTTGGAAAGTCGTCTGTAGTTAATACATTGAGGAAGAAGAAGGTCTGCAAAGCTGCTCCGCTGGCTGGAGAAACAAAAGTATGGCAATATGTGACATTGATGAGGAAGATTTTCTTGATCGACTGTCCTGGAGTGGTGTATCCGCAAGGTGACACAGAGACCCAGACCATTCTGAAGGGTGTGGTAAGTAAAACAATCTATTAATCATCTGTTTGATAGGTCCGAGTAGAGAACGTTACTGACCCAGAGAACCACGTTCAAGGAGTCTTGGACAGAGTAAAGCCAGAACATCTTAGAAAGCACTACAACTTGTACAAGGATGGAGCTGACGAGGAGTGGGAGAATGCCGAGGACTTTCTCACCAAAATTGCCATTAACTCTGGTCGATTGTTGAAACACGGAGAACCTGACATCAACACTGTAGCCAAAATGGTACTAAACGACTTCCAACGAGGAAAACTGCCGTACTACGTCCTTCCTCCGGGCTTTATGGAAACCGAGAAAGGAGATGATGACGAGGCAAGTGCATTTTTGACTCTTAAATAGTATATTTTTTAACATAAAGTATATTCTGTTATTCCAGGCTCCAATCAATGAAGTAGAAGATGAGAAAGCTGTTGTCACTGACGGTGAGTCAGTAAAAGGCGACTCTGAGGATGAAAAAGACGATGATGAGGCTAAGGAAGAAGCTGAAGTGAAAGAAGAAGAGGAGGAAGAAGATTACACAGATCTAGAATCAAACTGCTCTGGACTGTCAGATCTATCTGGCTTGTCAGATTTGGAACAAGATTTGGAGTCAGAAGAGGAAGAACCAGTGAAGAAACCAGAACCCGTATGTTTTAATGCGTTTTATATGTTTCAAAGTGTGTTTTTGTAAGGAATGAATACTTCAAAAGGTGTTTTATTACGTATCTATTGCAGGTAAAAGAAGCTAAACGAGGGCGTGGTACCCGAGCTGGAAAGAAGATTCAGGAAAAGAAGAAGAGAATCGAGAAGCTGAAGAAGAAACAGCTGGTGACTTCAGTGGTTAACGATACCGGTGTAAGTTTCTTTCACAGATTTTATTCGAACTTTTAAAAACGTTCTACGAGGTATAATATCTTATTTACAGGACAGCAAGATCGTTGACTTCACTCGAGATCGTGCACGGAATATGTGGTTCAAGAAGTTGCAGAAGCGCAGAAAGGCGAAGCACCAAGTCTAAACGTAATATGTTGTTGTTGACTGTCGTTAATTGTTGGCTAAGCTAAATGTTGTTACCGAGATAAACTTTTGTTTTTGTTTGACTACGTAGTAACAGTAGTTACAGAAGATCAACGGTGTTCCGTTGTCTTTCTGAGCTTCTAATGCGACAACTGCAACTTGATTGCAATGTGCACATATAACAGAAGAGGTATCGAATAGAATGTCCTCTGGGGCGGGGGTTTGCCGTAGTATTGTACTTTTGAGCATTTCCATGAATGGCCTGGTCACAAGAATAACATTAGCAATACAATGTCCGAGTAGCTCTCTGTTAACAGCTGCATTGTTTAGTCGACCTGAAGTCATCGCGAGGAAATTAATGTAAGTACTGGTAAAATGTCGTTACCTTGCAATTGATTTCCTGAAGTACAAGTGTTAAGCCCAAGAACCCTTCTGACAAGGCTTGAGGATCCACCAGAACTTAAAAACACAACAAAGTTGATTAACTGTAAACATCCTGCAAAAGTGAGTGCTTTTTCGACCAACTTGGTTGAGGCTCTACTGTGCGTATCTTCCTTTATAGCATTTAGTACTACTGGGGCCAAGTATTCAATAAGGTACAAAAACACTCTTTTCGGGATAGTAAAGTCTGAGAAACTACATCCCAAAAGTTGTTGGCCTGGTGAAGTACCTGGAAAGGTAGTTATTATCTACATGATGACATGTCTGACAGTATAACGTTTACAGTATATTTTTGATGGTCAAAAACAATAAAAACGCAAAAATTGTAAACTTACCTTTGACGACTAAATGTGCATTATAAAGTAAAGGCACTGATCGTTTTATATACTTGTAAACAGCAACCCATGACGGAGTATCTCGAATGTCACGGACATACAGATCTAGATATGATGTTATTACAGATAGCAGCTCATTGTCCAAAGAAGAGGCATCTAATTCAGCAACCCTAGAACTCATTTTTATGTATTTCTTTTATTTTGATGTTTCTTTGTGATATCAAGTCTTCAATAATCAAGCTACACTACGTTATCTGTGTTTACTGAGTTCCGCCACGAAAACGTTCGTAAAAAATAAGTTTTTCTTGCGTGTAACTTTATGTTCACAAAATCGGTTATCTCGACTTTCTTATGACAATAACTGATGTTTTTTGCATTGTTCTCCTTGATTGAGTTTTTTGTATTTGTTCTCAACGGATTTGCCATTGTCAACAGAGAACGGGTCTTGAACAGGGTAAGATTGCTTTTTGTTTCCTATCTTTATACGATTGCTTCTTTCCTTATGTTTGAAATAAATCTTGGAAGCTGCAAACATCTTTTAATTTACCTTTTTTTAGTATTTGAAGTCGAGAGAGCACTCTTTTGACAATCAACATCAGGATTCTGCTTTTTATCGACTTGTGCAGCTGATTATCTCCATCCAAACTGTACTGAGAGGTAGGTTAACATAATGTTTTTCCAACTTGTTATTTAGTTCCCCTGATCTTCCTCAACTCGTTGATCATTGTGGTGAAGTTGGTGGTCGGGTAAGAAAATGAGCGAGCAAACCTTCAACGAAGTTACCTCTCTCGAGTACAACACCTTAAAAGTGCCTTATGAATTGTTAAACAAAAAGTTCCGAGCCGCGCAAAAGAACATCGACCAGCAGGTTTTCCAGTCGAAAAGGAGCAAAGCGTTTCTGGCTGATATCTTGAAGTCTGACCAACCTATTGACCTTGAACCTGTAAGCTAATATCATGTGTGGTGTTAATTAGTTATCTAAATAAATAATTTATTCTTGCCGTACTTTATTAAAATTTGTGTTTTTAAGGTGCGGAGCGGGTTTTGTCAGATAACTGATCGGCTTAGGAAGTTTGCGAAAACCTTTGAAGATAGTCTAGATGAAGAAGAAGCCGCGGCCAAATCTTTCGGGAGCAGGACCAAGTATTTGAAACAGGTACAATAATGAGACGTTAAAACTTGTACAGCCATGTTTTAGAATGTTCGTTGAGTTATATAACGCGTTCTTACAGGGGATGTCGTCAGATCCAACGGTTCTATCAGCATTTAGAAAACAAAGGACCAATCGTTTCATTATTGATTACCTACTTCGAGGTGGGTACTTCGAGACGGCTCAGAAGCTGGCGGAATATGTTGGCATAGAGAATATAGACAAAAATGTGTTTCACATCGCCAAGCAAGTGGAAGATGCCCTACAACGACATGACCTGTCTATATGCTTGAATTGGGTTCTTGACAACCGATCTAAACTTCATCGACTTCACTCCAACTTCGAAACTGAGGTCCGAGTGCAACAACTGATAGAGTTAATTAAAAATGGTCAGAGGCAAGAAAGCATTAACTTCTTCAGAGCAACATTTGGTGGCGCTCCGGAAAAGTGGAACAATGATACTTTACTACATGTAATGGGATTGCTAGCATTCGGACCACGGACTGGAGTGCAGTCTTATCAGAAATTGGCGAACGCGGAACGGTGGGAACAGATTCTGGAGATGTTCCGACATGAGAATGCCAAAATCTTCAGACTGTCGTCCCAGTCCGCCTTCAGTACATGTCTTCAACTTGGTCTAGCCGCCTACAAAACCCCATTCTGTAGAAGCGATCCGGAATCTCGATGTATAGTTTGCCGGGATCTGTACATGATAGCGGACGGGCTTCCCTTCTCAAACGTGAAGAACTCGCGTCTGATCTGCGCCTACAGTGGGGAATCGCTGGACGATGAGCACAATCGGCCTATTATGCTTCCCAATGGGCGAGTTTACGGCGAAAGGGCGATCAAACAGCTGCTTCGTGACAACGTAATTATGTGTCCGAAGACAAGCGAAGTCTTCGCGGCCGAAAAGCTTCTGCGTGTCTACGTATTGTGATTATTTATTACCTTTTAGGACATATCAGTGTTCCTAACCACACTATTTTGTACAAATTGTTAATTAATATCCCAGAATAAATCTTTGTCATATAATAAACAAATAACTTTACTTTTTGCGATCAAAAAATAGCAATTCATAATTTAAAATATTTCAATTGTCTTCCGACAATTATAAATGATACAGACGACACGTATTAACTGACTATGACAGCGACCTTCACAAGATACCTATTTGAATAAACGAAGTATTAGGTGATTGCAAAAGTTTCTGGCCGATTTTTGTTTTTACCAAAATTTAATATTTAAAAAAAAACAACAATAACTAATTAACAAATATATGTGTACTTATTATAAACGACCTGTTGCCATTCCTTCGGCAGCATTTGGATTCAACTTCTATAGAAACCTGGAGTTTGAGAATTGAAAAAGTTAGTCCACCACCTCTTGAGGTACTCTCGATTGTCAAAGCGTGTTGCATTAAGGTGATTTTGAAGAGAGTGGAACATATGATAATCTGTTAGTGCAACCTCAGGTGAGTACTGTGCATATGACATCACAGTCCAGCCGAGGCTTTTGAGCTTGTGTTGGGTCAACTTTGTCACAAGGGCGCAAGCAGTATCATGAATGAAGAAGATCCGCTCCTGTTTACCATGCAATGCCGCCAAAACAAATTTAATTTGTTTACAGTAGACATCCACAGGGATCGTAGTTCCATGTGGTACCATTTCTCAGAACACCATACCTGTTGAGTTCCGGCTAAAGCTGATCATCTTATCCAGTGGGTGAAGATCAGGTTTGAGGTTGATACACCCTGTTCTCCACGTTCAAGCCATTGTTTCTTACTGGTGTGATTAACATACAGTACCCACTCCTCATCCCCAGTAACCAAATTGTCAAGCCATTCAAAGTTCCTTGGGAGCATCAACAAACAAGTGCAAACTTCTACTCGACGTTCAGCTGGTCGCTGTTCAAATCATGTGGAACTTCTTGACCATATTTCCGTAATCTCCCAAGGGCGTGAAGTCTAATTAATGTGGTAGAAGGGTCAGACTGAAGCTCTACAGTCAAATAAGTACAGGTTCGTCGGAGTTCTTCTTCGATCAGCTTCAGAAGGTGGGGTTTCTTCAACGCTGATGGTCTACCAGATCGAACTTTTCGGACATGTCAAAGTCACCGTTTTTGAACTTGTGGAACCAAACTTTTGTGGTGTCGTAAGAGACAACTAAAGGCCCTACAGCACTGCATATTTTCTACGTCTTTATACAGGTTGCCAACAGAAAGTTCTAGAACAATGCAAAATTTTTAAAAAAAAATTTGAAAAATCGGCCAGTAACTTTTGCAATCACCTAATATATCCAAACACGAAAATTTGTTAAGTTTTCTAATTCTGTACGTCAAGAATTTCAACAACGGTGTTACCTAAATTGATATGAAAAAGAAATAAGTCTTCATTAAAAAATTATTTAATATATGAATATTCCTTTTATAGAGCAATGTCAGATTAGTAAAAAGCGCAAAAGAACACCATATTTGGGGACTTTCATTGACCTTACTGTTATAGAGGTTAGTTTAGGTCCCGAAACGAAAACAAATAACCGCTAATAAATATGTTCGAAAATATTATTTTCTGTCGGAATTTTTCTTCATAATTTTTTGTATAATTAACAATATATAAATAATAGTAATGCTTATGGAATGAATTTTAAACATAATTATGTTTTATTTCTTTATGTCTTCTGATTGATATTTGTCCCTTTGGGAAGTCGTATTCGCTAAATTTATATCATTTTTTACTTGAAATTATTGCTGTTTTTTGAGGACATGGTTTTGAAACGGGTATATTCCAGTAATTATTGCTTATGTGTAAGATTGTGAGGGGTTCTGTAACATTTTTATGGTTTATATAATGTAATGTAACAGGGTCTTAAATAATTATTTTTGTGGTATAATTGAGGTTTTAATCGTAAAAGCCAACACATGTTTATGTTTTAAATTCATGTACTTAACTGCAAGGAAGCGTTTTTAAAGCTTAGTAGGTCAATGGGATACGTTGAGTTAATGGGGTATTCGTGGGTTTACAAGTTTTTCTCTGCCTTATACATCGGCTTGCTAATATATTTTTGAAACTATTTTGTGGTTTGATATTATGTCGATGGTAGGCAGGATATGATTTATTGTGTTACTAATGGTTTATGTCTAATCTCTGTCGCGAACTCTTGTCTCTCAAAGTCGCGAGCCGGACCCCCCTCTTCACGAGTTCTTACGTTTTACGCGCCAAATCTAGCTGTTTGCTATATTTGTTCTAGTGTCATTTTTACGTACCGATTTGAACAAACGCGGGTATCGCGTCACTTCCATCGGCACACAAATTCTTGAGCCTTGACTTAGTCTTGCAATTCATTCTACTCATCAACCGACCTCAGCGGAGGTCGTGACCACATTTTTTTATCGTGGTTTTTTTTTTATTTATATGGTTTTTACTATTTTTTTATTTGGTTACTATTTTTTTATTTATTCGATTTTTATTATTTTTTTATTGTAAGATATAGTTGCGCGTATATTTTACAATAAATGTTCCTTATGTTATATTGTATTAATTATGCTAATTTTAGATTGCAAATGAGTGGTTTACTTGCTCAGTGTAGTTCTCAATCTGTTGATAGGCCGATTTTGTCCATTTCACCGTCACTTTTCGATTTGTTGAGGGAGCCTCCATTGTCAACTAGGAAGGAAGCAGTAAGTTGTACTTTTTTTAAATTTTATGAGGAAAAAAGATTTTGACAAGAAATTAGTATTTAGTATTAGCTTTATATTTGTACAGTTTTGAATATTACAATTTTATAAAATTTATATTTCAGATGAAAATGGCTCCAAGACTTGTAAAGTCGACAGGTCGAAAACCTCAGCAAAGAATTGGACGTGCTTTAGAAATGCTTATCATGAAGTATCCCTATGCCAGAGCTGTTTGCCATCACATGGACGACTTTAAATTGGACATAGACTACGTTCCCAGCACTAAAGTCTCGTATCTCGAACAAATCTACGAAAGAATCGGGACTTTGGGCAACGGATCGTTTGGAGTGGTATATCATGTTAAACACAGAAGAACTGGCGAAGAGTTTGCGGTAAAATGCTTGACAGATTTCTACAAAGGAAAAAACGACAGAGCAAACAAGATCCGAGAAGTCTTCATACATCAGAAGGCGATGAAGCATGGTAATGTTCTGCAGATGAAAATGGCATGGGAAGAGTGGGATAAGTTGTACATGGTGACAGAGCTGTGCTCCTCCACTATGATCGGACTGATGCAAGACAATATCCCAGAGTCATTGGCGTGGACTGCATTGGTGGACATGACTCATGTAAATAGATGTTACCTAAAAATTAATATGTTTTATCAGAGTTTTATTTTTATTAACGTTGACGAAGGAACTTGTTTAATATCTACAACAATGCTTTAAAAGTTTAATAATTCTGCTTTTTTAGGCTTTGGACTTTCTTCGTCAAATCAGAATTATCCACAACGACATCAAGCCAGAGAATATTTTTGTCGACCAGAACGGGGTCTTCAAGCTTGGTGACTTTGGAATGGCAATTGATTTGGAGCTCGAAACTCCAGAAATGGGATTGAGAGAAGGAGACAGTCAGTACCTGGCAACTGAAGTCTTAAATTTTGGACCGTCGTTTGCTTCTGACATGTTCTCTCTTGGCTTGACTATATTCCAGTTCTCAACAGACTTGTTGGTACCTCATGGAGGCACGCAACGGTGGCACGAGTTGAGAACTTTGAATATTGATGGTTCTATTACGAAGTGTAAGTTTAGTTTGATGTTTTCTAGTATGAACGGTTTAAAATTGTATTTGAGTTGTACTAACTTGTGACTTTTAGTGATTTCCGAAGAACTGAAGGATATTATCTTCCACATGATGGACCCAGATGCTTCAGCTCGGATTACATCCGCAGAACTCCTGGAGCTGCCTGAGTTGAGTTCAAGAATGCCGACGACGCCATCTTTCTTCAAAAAATTTGTAAGTTTCAATAACTTTTGTCAATGAGAGTTGTATACCTTTATAATGGATTTTGAATATCGTTAAATATTAAAGCAAACTAAATAACATGATTTCAGCAAGCTCAATGCTCCAACGTTGCTAAGATGTTGGGATTGACTCAGCCAAAGGCGATAAACCTTCGAGAAGAGCACCATCGAGAATACTCTCAAGCCAAACTGGAATTCTCTCCATCTACCTCTACCAGAGCGTCGCCTGGTGGTCTTGCTAAGGCATTGGAAAACAAACGGTGGCGTTCCGAGTATACTGTAACTCCGCCACGTTCGGCAAAGTCCATGGGTCTGCGCAGTCCAACCAGTCAAAGGAAGAGATTGGCCAGTATGAGATCGTCGCTTGGTGAACGGCTGAGCGGATTGCACTCAGAAGGCCCTACCAAGGCGGACCACCGACCCCCGGTCCCAAAATTCTAAACCTATGTGAAGCAACATGCTAATCAATGTTATGTTACCCTGTTAACTTTCTTTGTCATTCCCTCGTGTCTTTTTGCATTTGCGGTTACAGCTGGCTCTAGCCATTTTATTTATTTTATAGCAATAACATTACAAAATGAACGCATTTGTACTTATTGTATCATATTTTATTGTTTAAATATCTATTTTGATAAGCTAAAGTTTCTCATACTTTTATACTGTAAAGAGCCATCTTTACTTTGCAATTTCAAATTGCACACTCACTCACTTGGTCTAAATGTAAATATTTTGATCCCAATTTCAAAGTTTGTCATTTTCCTTACAGGTACCGTCTCTTAAACTTTTTCGTTTTATGAATAAACAGTATTGACCAATTGACTTGATTATTATTCAGATTTTTAAAGGTAGAATGGGCACTTTAGAAGCAAATGTTCCTTGAGCTGGGTGCATTTGCAAAGTTAAATTATCACACTTCCATTTTTCGACCATTTCTCCTTTCCCTAAGGCTTTTGCTTATAAAAAAACGGCTGGCACGGTACAGTAATAATAAAAAATATTTATGACGATTTTACTTTATTCTACGACATACAGTTGACTATGTGTAGGAAAAAACTTAACGAAAAGGATAAAATAAAAACTTAAGGGAAACACGAATACTGTTAAATGTGGGAGAACTGTACGTAATAGCGGACGACCTCCGTTCTTGAACGTGAAGAATTAGCGTCTGATCTGCGCCTACAACCGTGAATCACGATCGGCCTATTATGCTCTCTAACGGGCGAATTCACGGCGAAAGGGCGATCAAACAGCTGCTTCGTGACAACGTAATTATGTCTCCAAGAAGAGCGAAGTTTTCGCGGCCGAGAAGCTTCAGCGTGTATTGTGATTGTTTATAACTTGGAACATATCACAGTATTACTCTTCGAACTATTGTATTTTCCGCTATTTTCTGCTCTAAAATAAGGTATTTTGCTATTTTGTATTTACTCTTCGTAAAGCTTTAACTTCAATATTACTATTTCGCAAATCTTATCGTCACAATAGCTTCCTACTTCCTCGGCTGCCACGCTAATATATATTATTGTACAAGTTGGTAATTAATACCCAAAAACAATTGCTCCCTTTTTGTTTTTTTCAAATTCAAACAAGTTTTTGAATCTGATAATGCGAGGATCTTCTTCATTCCGATAATTCATCAGAAACTGGCCTTCGAGTCGGGGTTTGAGCCTCTAATCCTCTTTTGATTCGAATATTCAAATGAAGGAGAGCCGAACGTATGTTGTTACCATCAAACATTCATGTTTCATTTCAGAGAGTCGAGAAAGTTCGACCTCAACGTCCCCAAACTCCAAAAACTCGGCGAAAAACTCAAGAATGTAGGTTTAAAATGAAAGTCTTGATTAAGATCTAACAAATTCTAAATCTAAAGTAATATTTTTGGTCGTATCAGCTAAAAATATAACATATCATGTGTTTAAAGCCTTGAAATAAAATGAACTTTTGTAGTTTGTTCCTAGACGAGACAGCAAAGCTTCGCGGTTCAATGATGTTGTAGATGATGGACTATACAGTAAGACTTTAGTTACAGTAGACAAAATTTTTTAGAAACCAGATGTCTGTATCATTCAGACGCCGGGCCTTTGCTGGGCCATCTGGCCGTATTTTCAGACAACTTGATATTTCAATCATACGACAAGACGGTCAATCTGGAAGTGCTGTACTTTCAAGTAAAATACATCACTTTGTCGGACTACGGTAGTCTTAAAAGTGCACTTCAAGTACGTATTGATTGGTCTTAAATATGCTAATTTTTTTGACATTTAACTTCAAAAAAATTCACTTTGATTATTTCAAAATTCAAAAAAATACGAATTTAAATGTTTAAACTGTTAAACATGCCAAAGTAAACCTAATCCTTGCTTACTGTAGCTGTACAAGACAGACGACTCGGTTACCATCTTCAACAACCTGCCAGACGAGAACGAGGTCCTCCGAATCCTGTGCAATGTCTGGCGCTCTACTCACCATTCTCTGCTCCAAGTAGGTAATTTCAATTATGACGAATTAATTGACAAGACAAGCGGTGGTTGTTTTATGTGTGTCCCCAAACGAGTGGATCGAACGGTCAAGGTCTCCAGCGACAGTACTAGTTCGTCCAGCGAGGAGTTCGCGATGAGCAAGAGGAGCCACTCTCGACCTGACGTCACGGCGGCCAAGGTGAGGTCGCGGACTGCGAGCGAGGCCTCTTCTCTCGTCCTCTTGGCCACAAATAGGTTTATTGATTGCGCGTGTTTGTGCTTTTTACTTTCTTTCAGACTGCCCCTGCCAATCCCACGCCCACAGCCACGACGGACACGGCTAGCCAGAGTAGCGCGGCTACCTCCACCAATGGTCAGTTTCAGGATTTCTTTTTTTTGGAGCTTTTAAAGCCTTTTTTGGCGGAAATTTCTTCTTTTTCATTTAAAAAAATATTTTCAAAAGAAAGCTTCTTAACTCTAAAAGAATAATATATTTTATAATTATATATATCTTACATAACTGGTTGAATTCTATGTAAATTTTTTTTTATTTTTATATTATCGAATAATGTTGTAAATGAGATGCTAATGAGTTGAATTGCAGCTCAAAAAGAGCCGGTTTCTTGTGAATGCGACGATCACAAAGGAACCGTGTTTCTGGACAAGACATACAACCTCGATGTAGATGAACTGTACCAGATTCTGTTTACTGACAACGATTCTCTGAACAACTTCTTGAAGTCCGCCAAACGATCAGGTCAGTTTTTAAGTTAATTGTTGTTTAGGTATATTATGTACAGAAACAAATCATATTAAATAGGTGTTTCTGAAAAGCATTTGGCTTATAATCTTTAGGTATCTTAGAAATGTGTAAGTTTAGTACACAAAGCTGACTATACCTGTTAGATAGTAGTTTCTATGAAGTAATGTAACATACTTTAGATCTCCGCTACGAATCGTGGACGGTGACTACTCACGGTGACAAAAAACGAAAACAAAGAACGGCCACTTACACAGTCGAACTCAACAACACGTTGGGTCCCAAGTGTACTCATGTCACTGAAGTTCAGGTAAGCTTTTACTCTCTAACCTTCAAATAAAAATGTTTAGCTTGGTTACTTGATACCTACATAAATTAAAAAAATTTGCTTTAGCACATATGTAGATCTTACAATTAAATTTTGTAGGTATCAGGGTATAGTAATGTTTGTTTTAGGCCGTTGTCGCTGAAATGGGACCAAACGCTTCAGATGGCTACATTATCACGAAAGACGCGGTAAATGCGGGAGTTCCATATGCAGATTGCTTCAGTGTGCTGTGTAAGTACTGCATCACACGAGTGGGACCGAAGCAGACCCGGCTTCAGGTTCACGGTGAGGTCATCTACAGGAAGAGTGTCATGTCTGTTTTCAAAAGTAAGCTTTGAAGAAGGGTTTAACAAGTTATATACTTATTTCGTTACATTCATTAAATTTTTAACACAATTAAAACTTGCTTATATATTACTCTTTTCAATTATATTTCTATGTTACAGGCATCATCGAAAAGATGACGTTGAGTGGAATGCACGACTACTACAAGAACCTGGACAAGTATCTCTCTTCCTGCGGCTCCAAAGAGAGCCACGAGCATCGGAATGGAGCCGGCTCCGATTGGGTGTCTGAATTCCAGGAGTCCGAGTTGGATACACAGCCAGAATCCGAGAGCATCGTCAGCCAGGAGTTCAATCTCTGCGAGATCCGGTGCGACCTCTTCGAATAAACTGATTCTTTTCAGGTTACATAAAGAGTTGGTCAGACAGAGGCATGACATTAGAGTCCAGGCGTCGTATTTGCGCGAGATACGCAACTCGCTGCGACTTGTTGTTGTGTTGTAAGTAGAGGACTCTATATTACTATAGTTTGCCTAGGTTGGTCCTCGTACTCTTGGTGCTTGTCGGCACCGTTTTATTCCCCGCCCAAACTGGTTCCATCCTAAAGTCATCTCAAAAACAAGAACTGTGATAGTTATAAAATAAGCCGTTTCTGGGGGAGGTATCTGGTGAAGGGAGGTCTTAGATGGCCTGTATTACCTCCCTCCGCGACGGCACTGATCATAAACTGGATAGATATATTGATTGAATAAATTTATTTATAACAAAAACAATGTCACTAGTGTGGAACGCACTTTGGATACTTAAAACAATTAACAATTCGTAACAGAAACACTCCAATGTAACAATAAACAAACCTCAAGCATCTCCAAAGATCTCATCGACCTCATTCTCCAGGAAGTCGTCTTGAGGTTTGACGTCATCCTTGTGTAGAGGGTTGATGATTCTGCCGGCCTTAGTGACAACGGCCTTCTTGACCAAGTTCTTGTGTGACAGCGATGTGTTCCAATCCCTCCCCAAAGGTTGTCGTATAACAGCTTCAAAGTCCTTGACAGCCGTGAAGGGAAACGGTACGTCAGCCGGCTGTAGCTTCTGGAACTCAGAATCCCCGCTACCTCTGAGAATGAGTTTAGAGTTGTTGTCATCTGCTCGCTTCTTCTTGGGTGCTTTCTTTAAAAACCTAAAACAATATTTGTGGTTGACAACTCATACCTAAAGTGACAAAACTTTTCTTGAATTTTAGAAATTTGTGTAGAAATATGAATGTACCTGTTTTTCCGTTCTATTTCCTTGTTCCTATCGATACCTTCTCCTGTCCAGTCTCCCCATCCAAACAATCTAGAGTCCTGGTCCTCTTGTTTGGTCTTTTCACGTTCATCTTCCTTTTCTTTTTCAAATTCCCCCACTACATCATCTCCATCAAACGCGTTGGACAAGAATTCGTCGTTCACAACTAAAACATGTTGGATTAAACCTGATACCTTTATTCTCCTTTCATCCTAATTTCACAAAAAACGGAAAGAATAAGAAAATTAATGTTTTAAATGGGCATACCTTCTTCATTCACGTCCAAATTGAGTAGATCATCAGTCTCTAGGTCAATCTCGACCGGTTCTTTCTTTTTCTTGACCACGGTTTTCTTCTCATCTTTGTGAACTTGGTCTACTGCCAACTAAAAACCAGAACTTAAACATATTACCTAATGCTCACCTGTAACAACTCGGCTTTAGACATAGTGCTCTCTTTTGGCTCTTCTTCTTCTTCATCTTCCTCCACTTCCAGGTCGTGTCTCTTCTTCAATTCTCGGCCCATATTCAGATGTTCTGTAATCAGATTCTGCATTTCTGGATTCCGAGTAGCATATTGTCTTAGCTGTACCGACCACTTGTTAGTACTTCTGTGTTTAAGTGTAGCTCTCTCGTAGGCTCTGTCAACTTCCAATTCTTTTAGTTTTTCTTTCGCGGCCTCAGGGTCTGTGGTCAAAAGATCTTCTATCTCCTTTAACATTTTCTTCTTCTGCTCCTTTTTTCGAAGACGATGATACCTAAAATACAACATCAGAAAAGACACCTTAAATATTATCTAATACTATAAGTTGATACCCAAAAAGTAAAATTTAAAAGTAAAAAAAGTGCAATTTCATTTAACTTACTTTTTACTCTTGATTTTAGAATCTCTTGCATATTTAGCAGCCCTGAAGCTCATCACAGCTCTCATCTTCTGAAGCTTAGCCGTTCGTTCCTTGGCATCTTTTATGTTCAATGCCTTGATCAATTGCTTTTCTTCTTCTGTGTACAATTGATCGCTGTTCATTTTGTTTTTACTTTGTCCCAAGGCTTCGGCCAATCTTAACTCAAGATCTGTTCGTGGCTAAAATAAGTTTACATTCCAGGATCGTTTACGTTGTGTGTAATATAATACAAAAAATATCTTACCGTAAAAGCTTTGGTCTTTTCAGCAACGGGTGCATCATAAAACACTTCTGGCTGTCCCAATGGAAATTTTAATTGTTCTGCAGCACGGTTTGTTTGTACCACCGGATCCCAAGAACGTAGCTCTTTCCTATATTAAGGTTACTAATTCGAAAGACGTTGTCAAGCAAATCAAAAACCATGAGAAGAGCAACATACCTGACATCATGATATGCAATCTTGCTCTGTACCCTGACCTGTTCCTGTCGATGTAAAGGAACATTCAGCTTCTTCGCCTTGGCCTTCTTCTTCTTGGCCGCTTTGTCGGTTTCCAAATCCAAATTTTCTTTCAACGTCGACACATTTCTAAACATACAATAATAAAAACAATACACCTTACTTTGTTGACGTTATAGCTCCAACAAGGTCTGACAATATAAAAGTTTCATCCTTTTTCTTCTTCTTTATCACCTTCTTCACTGGAGTTTTCTTAGATTTGTTATCAAGAACATTCTTTATGTCACTGACTAGGTCCTCGTGTCCAATACACACCTCATCATCAGACATAACTGTTTCCAGATTGTATGTTTCAAATAAAATGTCCTTTCTTACCTCAAAAAATAAAAAAAATTATTTTTAATTTTTTTCAAGCTGCGCCCGAAGAGTAACGAACATTTTATACGACAGAACTAAAACTGGGTTGGAATTTTAACTGATTGTGTTCCAATAAAGAGTAAATTTGATGTCACTTGGATGTGTTTTAACAGCATAAGCATAATTTCAATAATATAATGGTTTAAAATTTTAAAAGTACAATATTATTACATCAAATCCTAATGTAACATATGTTACAGTATTTATTTGATTGTAAAACGTAAAACTTGTAATTACATTTGTTATTGTGAACTTTTAATCTCCGACAGGTAATGGTTTAATTATAAAAAAGAGGGAAGAGTAATTTCGCTACTAAATTGGTGTAACATCAAGATAAAAAGTAGAGATTAGGGCGACGCTTATCAGAACTCGCTCTTCATTTGTGTAGGAATGCGTAACAGTTCGATTGAAGATGAACAAGCCGAGATGGGGATGGAGGATCACGAGCCGTTGCTGTTAGACCAGCAAAGGAAACATTCAAAGTCAGTAAAGATATTGTAGTAGATCCCCTTGTTTTGCAAGATATAGAGTATATGTCACTTACCTTATAAATGGTCAATATAAGTTGCTAATTCCAGTCGTATTCCTGTAATTGGCATAATCGGACTGAGTTGTATATTCTTCTTTGCCATTTCTACTGTTTTCTTCGGCGCTTTGTACTACAAGAATGTCATAGCTGTAAGTATTACACAAAATATGCCGTAACAGTTACTTTTGTCCAGAAAATAGTAAATTAGGTCAATTTGTATTGTTACTTCTCATAAACGCCAAGGTTTAGGCCCAGAAGGCTTTACCGAAGTGGCCTCCGCCTTCGAACAGTCTTCTAGGTGAATATTCGAAAGCGGCCGTTGCTGCTGACAATGATTTGTGTTCGGAGATAGGTCGAGATGCTTTGCTCAAGGGAGGAAATGCTGTCGATGCAGCAATCGCCGCTTTATTCTGTATCGGAGTGATGGATACTCAGAGTGCCGGTCTTGGGGGTGGTCATTTTATGACAATTTATAATGCGTGAGTCTGCTTTCCTTACCTTGTTGATGCTTTTTATATATTTGTATAAAGTTACTTTGTTACTTGAGACTTTACAGTACGACAAAGTCATGTCACGTTGTAGATGCACGAGAACGTGCTCCTTTAAAGGCGACTCGAGACATGTTCAGAGATAAGTGGGACGAAGCACAAAAAGGTAAGGATAAAACAAAAAAGCCAATTAATTCATGATCTAGTGTCTCTGTACTGTTAGTTTTAAACTTATCTTGACTGTTTAGGGTGGAAAGCTGTGGCCGTTCCAGGCGAACTTCACGGTCTCCGCACAGAGTATGAAAACTTCGGAGGTAACCTCAACTGGTCAGCCTTAGTTGAACCGACCATCCAACTCATGAAGGAAGGTATGTTAAGAAACATTTGTTTTACATCAGCCCAACACATTACTAGAGTTCGAAAGTGCTTCATAAGATTGATATTGTTATAGGATACCCAACCTCTCACGCCATGGCTATGGGATTGTTGCAGAACGAGAAGGACGTGCTACAAGAACCCACGATCAGAAACCACTTCATCAATCCCCAAACCGGCAACATTTACAAAGCTGGAGAACAAATAACTACACGGTAATTGTAAAAACAATGAATATTTCAAACAATATTGTTTAAGAAACACTTTTTACAAATTTTAAGTCCTATCATTTCAGTACGAACCTGATCAGGACGTTGGAGACAATCTCTCGGTCTTCGAATCCTTTGTATGAATTCTACCACGGTTCATTGGCCGAAAGCATGGTAAAAGAGTTCCAACGAAACGGTAAGACACATAAAGATAAGTGATAACATAATCAGGAGGCATCATCACTATGGACGACTTCAAACAGTACAAGGCCATCGTGCGAAGTGAAGATGAAGTCATCAAGGTCTCTCTCAACAATGGATTAGTTGGGTGTGGCCCGCCCCCTCCATCCTCTGCTGCTGTCACCCTAGCCATTCTCGGCGTCATACAAGGCTTCAAACACAACATAAAGACCACGGAGGGCTACACAGAACTGCTCCACCACTTCATTGAAGCTTCCAAATTTGCATACGCTCAGAGAAGCGAGCTCGGGGACATTGACTACGAGAAAGAAGCTTTGGAGTTGGCCAAGAACATTACCCAAGAACAGTGGAGACAGTGGGCACGGTCCAAGATCGACGAAGTCACTCACGATGACTCCTACTACGGAGGCGATTTTAGAATGGCCGTCCCTGATCACGGCACGACGCACATCAGTGTCATTGATAAAGATGGCAATGCTGTGTCAGTTACTTCCACCATCAATCTAATGTAAGTTAACAGTCGGAGTGGAAGAGTTCACGTTGAATTACTGTGGTATGAACAATATAAACATTGTTCAGAATGGGCGCCAAAATCGTGTCAGAGTCAACAGGAATCCTATGGAACGACGAGATGGACGACTTTTCCTTGCCAGGACATCCAAACTACTTCAATATCCCTCCTAGTAGAGCCAACTACATCAAACCTGGCAAACGTCCTCAAAGTTCGATGAGTCCGTTGGTGATATTCGATACCAAGACTGGGAACTCGGTATGTTCTTTACCTTTGACAAAACAAACCATAAAAATGAGTAAAATACTCATTTCCAGGAGATTTTGAGCGTCGGAGCAGCTGGAGGATCTACTATAATATCAGGAGTAGCCGGAACAACAATGCACCTTCTGGAAACCAACCTCAACATCAAAGAGTCAATCGACTTCCCTCGGTTACACAACCAGCTCCGTCCCAACTACACCAAGTACGAGGACAACTTCCCCTCAGGCTACATCAAAGAGCTACAGAAGAAGGAACACGAGTTCCAGCCAGTAAAGAGTCTTACCGTGGTAACTGGAGTCCACAAGAAGAACGGCGTTGTCTGGGCGAACAGCGACTTCAGGAAAGGACCAGAAAGCGAGCCCGCAGGGTACTAACGTATCATAATTATTAATATTGTCTAGGGATCGTGTTGTTAAAGGTTTGTTCTGATGAATTATATTATGATAGAGAAATTAGGCAAAGTTATAATGTTAAAACATGAGTGCCTTTAAAACAACACAAATGGTTTGAGAATACGAACTAATTACGACTGTTAGTCAAATATTTATTACCAAATACTCTAAGACTAATTAAAGTACCCAACATATCTATCTAAAACACTATTACGGAGAGGTTTACCGGGAATGGAGAGCAAAAAGTTACCTTATGATAATATAAAATGGCACTTCTGATTGCAAAAACACTTCGACCAAAATTTCAAAAAAAAAACAAAATCTTGTCGATACAAAAAACTGAGCTAAGTGTTTCTCTTCCGCCTAAACACCGAGTCAAGTGTTTTCCATCGACTGATAATCAAAAAAATGGTCGAAAGGTTTCGAATCGGAATTGATAAGTGAAGGAAGTCATTGTGGATTACTCGGAGCAGAAGGCTTCTTCTGACCTTTGAATGAATGAGGCTTCGGATGCTTCTTGTAGAGCGACGGTAGCCGGTTGAGGACGGGAGGAGCCTCCATATCTATCGCATATTCATCTAGGAACACGTCCGAATTCGACCACATACTTGGGGAAGCACTGTTAGTTCGACCATTTTCTGTGGAATTTGATGTGAGATCTTCTGAAGAGGCTACTGGAGCCAGTGGGGGCAGTTCTTGGATCAATTTGGATCTAAAAAATAAGGTAAGGTTCACATAATTGCTAAAATATGTAATGATATAACGCGGAAACTAAATATTTGGTAATTATTTCTATACAGATAGACGACTATAATACGTTTTCTTACTTTTCCTGGTCCAGGAAGTCCAACTGTTCCTCGAACAGTAGTCTAGCTGTCTCGATGTTAGGTTCCTTTCCGCTAGCAGCCACAGTTTGACAGTTTTGAAGTTGGTCTGTAGCGTCTTGTATCTTTCTTTGCATCTCCTGTAGCCCTTCACTCATGTCTGATGATCGACGATGTTCCTGAATCCTCCTCAAGTTTTCGGAGACCTTCTCAGAAGCCTGCTCCAACTCCACGATCTGATTCAGCGTGGCCTTATACTGCCGCAGCTTCTCTTCTATCAACATCTGAACACAGACCGCCTGTTTCTGGACGTCTTCAAGTTGTTCCTGAGCATGAACTGCTTGGTTCCTTCTCAATATACACGGAGCGAAGATTACTGCTAAGTTGGAGGCATTCATCTTGTTCACCATCTCCTGTAACAAAAAGGTTATCACGTCGTAATCACGGTTAGATGTTGTTGTTGAACATATTTTAATAATTCGTAGTAGTTAATCGACTTACTTGATGTGCTACTCTTGCCAGATGGTACATTAACCTGTCCAGGATTACCTTGTTTGGCTTTGGAAGCATATCTACTACAACACTCAAGCATTTCAGCTTTTCTGATGTGTCCGTTACTTCTGAAAAACGTTTTGTTTCTCTTGTATATATAATAGTTTTATAGTAATCCTTGTTACCTAATCTATACGACCTTACCAGAGACGTGGATGAAGTTTTCGTAAAGTTCGTATGTTATGAGAGGCTCGCGAAGTTCTCTGAAGAACAGCTTGATGATGGTGGTGAGGACGTGGACGGGGATTTCTGAGAAGTCAAAGGTATCCAGTTCTGAAAAAGTTACAGTATGAACACTTGTCAGATGATATTCAAAGAACCTTCATTGAATATGAACATACCGACAGATTCTTCGATCTGACGTCGTATCGTCTTGACAGCGGCCAACGACCCGCTCTTACGGTAGATACCCTCGATGAATAGCGACTTGACCTCGATGGCCATGAACATGTTGTTGACACAAGGTGGAGCTGTCAGTTCATCCCCGACTAGTATACTTAGGTCTACTCCAAAGAAGTTGCTGGTACCGGTCGAGAGGAAGGGCTTGGAGCAATGTCCGTTGATCTTGGAATGACACTTTTTGTGGCAACTCAAACGACAATTGTCACAGATGAAGATCTTCTCGGCGTGCCACATGAACTGGTTGCACACTTCACAGTATGTAGGGACGTGCACGAAGTCTGGCTTGAATCTGTGGCCATTCAGAATCTGCAAATAGTGTATCAGGTAACTAATGGATATATCATCAGTTATCACAACGTTATTGCAATATCTCCCTTACCGTGACATCCGAACGTCGTCGCTTCTTCCTGACGGTGTTGATGATGGTCCGTCGATGAGAGCCGCGTCGCTTCATCTGCTTTTGCATGAACCCGTTCAAGAATCCTCGGAAGGCGTTGACACCTAATGTCGTGGGGAATGTTATGTTTTCGTGAGCACACATCTTGGTCAGGAGCCCTTCGAAGGTCGTGATCAAGTCACGGTACCGCAGCACCGTTCGGCCTTCGGTCAAGACGGCCTCACAGCCAATCAGCTCCATGTGGAACTCTCGGAGCGACTTCTTGAATACGGCGTCGACTACCGTGTCGCGCTTCTTCTCCTGCTCCAGCTGACACTGCTTCTGGAAGATGAACATGCTGAACTGCCTCAGGTCTTCCGTGGTCTCGATGAGCATTGCAGTTGGGTCGGTCTGGAAAGAAGGCATTATACTGCAGTAGACAATAGTTAATGTTACTATAATTTTTAAGATTATACGGTATTGTAGTAAGACGGTATTGTAGTAGTAGTAAGAATATAGTATGTTACCTGCTGCTTTGTCTTGGTCAAGTTGAAGGTGCTAACTAACGGTGCCAATGCCACTTTCGCCCTAAAATACAATTTCTTTATACAATTTAGAGCCTTTTATAACATAACACAAATAGACATACTTGAAAAGGTAGGGTTTCTTCATAGAATCCCGTAGCGGACTCATGGGGACACAGGGAATGTTGGCCGAGAAGGTAGAGCACTCCTTGTGGAAGCACAACTTGCACGATGAACATTTGTAGCCCTGCACCAGAAGGCTGCTCAAGGGTTTGTTACACATGGAGCAGCTGTCAGAAGCCTTGTGGATTCTGGTCATCTTCAGACTGTGGCTCTTCTTGTCCATCTCCAGCTTCTCCGTGTCCGTTGAGATGCTAAACAGAAGTTAATGTACTCAGGATTCAGATACCTTGTTTGGGCTTCGTTGAAGTCTTCTTCACTGAGATCGTCCTTTCGTGTCAGTAGTGCCTTCAGATGCTTCCTCGCCTTCGTGAATCCCAGTTTATGGAACTTCATCTTGGTCGTGGGACTCTGAATCTTGGATTCTAGGTCGCGACGCTGTAGCTGGTCACTCTCCGTACTCGCTGCTCTCCGTAGCATTTTCAGCTGAAACCTTCACTAAATGACTGTATGGTACTTACCTTAGCTGTTGGCGCTGTCGTAGCCAAACTCTGGCGACGTTGGAATCCTTTGTCAATTTCACTAAAAAGGTCACAGTATTGTCATTAATGTAGTTGATAGGTATTATAGAGTAAAAATTAAATCAATTACAAATTGTTGCTTTACATTATTATCTTACCCTATCAGCTTGAGCTTAGTGTCTTCGAGTATGAAGGTAGCATCGAGATCAATGTCGGAGGAGTCCCTGTAAACAGTAATGTAATACGGTACTAAAAGCCTACCAGTTGCCACTGTTGTCCACCTCTTCGTCTTCTGGACTGGAGAACACATCAGTATCTTCAAGAGCAGCCTCTTCGGCTTCTTTTGATAAAATATCCTTGGCCAAGGCCTCCTTGATCTCCTCCTTGGAGAAGGTGCTAAAGAACTTGGGGTCGTTCAGGTTGAAGGATGGCAGGTCGATTCGGTGTACCTTATTCAACTCGAACTTCAACTTCTTCGGACATTGTTTTCGCATCAGTTCGAACTCGGCTCTGAACTTCTGGCCACGATACCACGCCTGAATCCGGGTCACGACGTCTTTGATCTGCTTGAACTTCTGACGCTGCTCCTCCTTCCGCCACCATGACTGGATCAGAAGCGCGGCCATGTGCTGATTCCGGATCTGATTCCTCGCCAACATTCCGCGCACCCAGGCCTGCATCCTCACCATGCCAATCTTCATCTTCAGGTACCGACGCCTTGCTAGAACTGACCGGAACCAGCTCTGGAGCTTTTCGATGTGACCCATTATGACACGATGTAGCTGGTCGTCGAGAAGCAACTTCTCGGCGTCCCTCATGAATATCTGTAACAATTATAGTAATTTGTTGTTAAAAACTAGTTCTAATATCATACTGTCGTTTTACGTAAGGTCACGTTCAGATAGTATGTTAATAAAAGTTGAACTTCAATTACCTTGTTGAATCCATACTGTATGTTGTCGGCCTCAATGAGTGAATGGTTAAGGAAGAACTCCTTTATATCTTCTTTCTGACTGTCTCTGCCCTTTTGCAGCAAGATACGATATTGTTGTACGAATGCCTGGTATTCGATTCGTACACTGTAGCCGGCCCTCCGAATTCTGACAGTTTCTAACATACCCGTGTACCTCAATTGGCGTAAAATAATATTGTCATCGAAGGAGTTTGGATTCTGGAAGAAGACATTAGGTATCACTAGTAATAAGAGTAAAGTTGGGTAATATCATGGAAAATGTAATAAGATCGCCAGACATGATAGATACCATGCACTTATACATAACATAATGTTACCTTCTCGTTGTTGGACTTGATACATCGTATAAAGTACGGAGTCGCCTGTGCCAGCGTCTTCATCAACCTCGAGAGCGAGAACTCGAACTGCCGAGATACGGAGGTAGGCTTGTTGGAGATCGGCTTCTTCCCGATCAGCTCCTTCACAGCTTGTAGCGACTTCACGGCCGACTGACGTTCTTCTCTCGGCTTTGACGGAGCCTTCTTGGCTCGGTTCACGATGGTCTTGAAGACTGAAGTGTCACAGAAGTCGGGTACGATGTCAATACTCAGGTCACCTCTCAAGAAGGCATTCAGATGGGAATCTGATCCTCTTCTAACTGGCTTTGAGGGTTCGTGTGGTACCAGTAATCTGTCTACGCTTTCTGTAAAGTCATCTTCGTATATACTGTTGTCAATTTACAGTGTGTAAATTTCACAATGTAAAAAAGATGTAATATTAAAAGTACTACGGGTGGGATTAACAAAGTTATAACAAACACAATCTATATAACTTGACATAAATCTAGAAGTCTTACCAGCTCTACGGTGTCGTCCAATCAACGGCAGACTGTCTTTGAAGGCGTGCATGGCTTGGAATGTGGATCTGAGCACCTTCCACCTGAAGAAGGCTACAGGGTCGTTGGCGATGATCTCCTTCATGAACATGCTACGGCTTCCTTTCAGCACCGTCATCACATCTTGTCGCATCAGGTCTTTGTTCTTCTCTCGGAAACCCTAAAATTTGATGCAATATCACATTACATAGTACTACATAGTATGTAATGTACAAACTTATATACATTACGAAGTTTGCATGTTGTATATTTCATACGATGTCCTACTACAATGTAATTCTACCTTGACCTGGTACTTGACTTTGCCAGCATAATGAGCGATGATAAAGGCATCTTCACGTTTGTGCGGGATCTCGTAGTACTCATTGCTCTTGAGGAAAGTGTTCAGTTTCTCCAACATAGACCGGTCGGTTCCATTGTTGATGTTGCTTTCTTCGTCAACCAACCTCAGAAGGCCGTAAGGTTTGCTCTGAAACAGTAAAATAACGGCATTTGATCGCTACAAACTTGTAGTGAAACTTATTTCAGTAAAAACATTACCTGAAACAACTGGACACACTCGGTATTGTCTGTGTACTCAATGTTGGTCCATGTCAGGCCCTCTTTCAAGTACTCCTCCTGAAACACATTAGAACCATTAATATGGTAAAAAATACAATATCATTATACATAGTCAAAGAATCTAAAAGAGTATAGGCCTATATATATACGAAAACACAATATACAGTGTAAAACATAATGTAGAGTAAAAAAGCTGATACCTGCTCGAACTGAAAGATGTGCTGATTGAAGTAGGCCTGCAAGTGTTCGTTGGCGTAGTTAATACAGAGTTGTTCGAAAGAGTTCCATTGGGCTCCGATGTCTTCGAAGCCGAAGATGTCCAGAATCCCAATGTAGAAGCGGTTCTTGGTGAGACTGGCATCCCTTCCGATCAACGCCTGATTCATTCTGAGCACGATCCAATGGAAGAGAGCATTGTACAGACACTTGGCCATAGCATCTCGAGTATTTACGGCTTCGGCCACATGGTATCTTGTGATGACCACGTCTTTCTTTAGCACCGTCCTGCGCATCGTCAACGCCTGATTCAGCATGTTGGCCTTGATGCCCAACAACTCGGAGATGACGTCGATCAACTCGGCCTTCTGAATGTAGGCGTTTTCGTCGCTGTGGTAGCCTGGTCTCTGAAATTGATAATCTATGTCATTGGTGAATTGACAAACAATTTTATGATTACTCTTTTGGTGTTCATTTGGAATTTATATATGAGAGAAAAATACCGTATACCATGTAAAATGTTACTGATCAACCTACCTCCACAAACTCAACATTCCCCAACAATAACACCGCTGATATAATGGCGAACATCTTCTGTTGACTTTCGTTTGAGAAGCCAACTGCTTCCATCGAATGCTTCAGACGTTCGTACTCGTACTTCTCGTTGATACCATCGCCTTGGCCGAACATGTCATTCTGAATATAACCATATATAGACAAAAGCTACTCAAATCATCTAGACACTATAACAATATAGTCAAATGTTCAAAAATACATTTAAATATGTAAAACAATATTCATTAGTGACAAAATATAAATAGTGTCTTTGGTGTAGCAGGAAGTTGGTAGATCAAAAATGTCATATGCTTACATGATTTAAATATTTGTAGTCCTCGACCTCCAACAAGAAGTGTCGTTTCCGTTCATCCTCTGTAGCACCCTTCAGAAGGTAGTAGAAGACGTGATAGTTCCTCTCTTCCTCAGCTTGTGATATGATCCTCGACTTCTCCAATAAGTATATCTCCACGTTGGCTCCAGAAACCATTCCGTTCTCACGGTAGTTGACCTTGATGAACTTACCGAACCTGCTGCTGTTGTTGTTTTGTAAAGTTACTGCATTTCCAAAAGCCTGTAAGTCAATTTGTGATGAACAGGGTACATAAATATTAAGGTACTTTTTTATGGTAACATCAAAAAAAATTTAAAACGACATTCTAGTACTAATACTACACTCACCTCAAGCACAGGTCCAGCTGACAACAGCATCTGCTCAATACTGCTACCGTTGCTGCCCTTCTGACTCAGCGTCGTCAAATGGTGTAGCAGGAAGTTGGTGGATTCTGTTTTCCCTGACCCTGACTCTCCGCTGATGACAACACACTGGTTCTGTTTGATACGTAACATACTAAAATAAGTCATATTTTTATGAACCAACCTTACTTGTGATAGGTAACATCAGCGATAGCAAATATATGTGGAGGTAGTGCTCCCAGCCGTCTACTCTGACAGTAAAGTCGAGCATACTTGGGGTTGTAGATGGGGAAGAACTTGAATGGATTCACGGCCACCAGAATCGGCCCAATGTAGGTGTAGATATGGCCACTGTTGAAGCGGTCCCTCAAGTTCTCCAGAAGGGTCTGTTCCGTGAGTTCTGGCAACATACAGAGGTCAGCGTACTCTCGATCGACCGGTTGTTGGAGGAACTTGGCCAAGAACTCGTCGATGGTCGATGAGTTCTCACAGGCTCCAGACTGACCTCTCAGCGACCGACTGCCTTTCTTCCGAAGCACAAAGCGATGTCGAGGCAAGGAAGGGTCGTCTTCTGTTGATCCGTTCTGACCTCGTGGCCATAAAGTTTGGATTGCCACAGGGTACTCTCCGGGATCGAGCTTTCGTTCTTTGTAAGTACGACCATCGAGGGTACCCATAGTCTCAAAAATCTCGAATTCATCAGCTGTCGCATCTCCTGCAACAACATAAGACTAGATATATGATATCAAAAGTGCCAAAGAATGTTATAATCATTATCAGAAAAATATTAGATCAATATCTTTATACCCAATCTTAATTTAAACAAAGGTCCAGAGTGAAAACACTGTATAAAAAACAATTCCAAACGGTAAACAATCTTCTGCCACCTTGGCCATAACTTTGTATTAAAACACCTCTTACCGAACTTCTCCTGCTGAGCTATCTTCTCCACCAGCTCTTCTGTGGTCGACCGTTTGTGAAACTCGATCCGAATCCGCTGATCGCTGGACTCTGGATTGAAGGAATGTAAATAGACGGTGAGCAAGTGGTTGTGGGACTCGTCCCCTATGGTCAGCGCCCGCTTGGGGAAGATCCCGCCCGCGGTGGGGGCATGAATCGAGTCGAAACTCATCAGAATCCAGTGTACAATTCGACAATAACCACTACCAGATCATTTAGGATCTAGGTGCATGGTGAACAAAAACAAAGTGATTGCACCTCGTGGGCAGCTGTGATCTTGAGGAAAGCATTCACAGACCTTAGCAATTTAAGCCCCACAGGCGAATAAGAAAAATCCGATGAACAACAGACGTGACCTAAACACCCAAAATAACAAGATTTCTTATGTAATTAATGCTCATCACTTCATTTTCAACAAAACTCAAAGCTGTTCAACAGGTACTCCACCGAGGTACCTAAATATGTGTGGAAATTTGTTTACTTGATATTATTTTAGGTAATAAAGTTAATTTTTTAAGTGTTTTTTAACTTTTATTAAAATATTTATTTTTAACTCTATTTTTTCGACTTACATTGTTATCAGTGTTTTGCCCGGACCGGTCCGGAGCGTTTTTCACCGGTCCGGTCCGGCGATTTTCGGGTCCGGTCCGGTCCAAACCTCAAATTTTTGGGTCCGGTCCGGTCCAAACCCAAAATTTTTGGGTCCGGTCCGCAAAAAATTTTTTTTTATTTTTAAAGAAGCAAGGAGCGCTAAAACTGCTTTCTTTTTGCTTAAAAACTCTTAAAAATACATTCTATTTGCAATTTTTAAATCAGTTCTACTAAAATAAAAAAAAAATTTTCTTCCGGACCGGTCCGGAGCTTTTTCTTCGGTCCGGGTCCGCAGGTTTTTGGGTCCGGTCCGGTCCGCAAAAATTTTTGTTTCGGTCCGTCCGGTCCGGCAAAACACTGATTGTTATACAAAGTAAAGTAAATATTTCCGAAAATTCTCTCAAAAAACATCTGCCTCAATGTCAATTTCATTTATTTTCCCTTTTCTCGTTCAGAAAATGCAACCTGCAAGTTAGTAGGGTGCAGCTTGCGGTAAAAATTAATCTGGTAAAAAATGTTTTGAAAATTTTTAAAAACAAAATTTTGCAAAGTTGAAAAGATTGTTTATAAATTTATTATTAGTTTATTAATATTGTAAATAGTTGGCTAGTTTGTAAAGATAAAGTTTGTGAATTATTGTTTGTGATTGTTAATATGGAGAAGCGGATCGGTGCTGTTCTGAAAAAGAACGAGTTTCTGAATCTGGCACAACAGTTACTGTAAGTGTCAAACTGTATAGACAAAAATAACCTTAACATTGATGTAGTAAATTAATGATTTTAGGAATGAAAGTGACTCTTCTGACGACGATATCATTTGTTTGGATAACGCTTCAAAGAAGGAGACCCTAAAGAGACCATGCAAGTCGTATATCGCTGTTTCCAAAGATGAGGAAAAGGTACCAAAACGAAGACGACGAGACAAGGAAGAGATAGAGAATGAGAAAGTAAGTTAACGTATATCAATATTATTGTTGTTTAGAATCAGAAGCTGTTGATGAAGATTGAGAGAGAAGCTCAGACAGCGAAGAACACCAAATGTGAACAATACCTATATTGTCATTGCAGCAGGCTTGTCTATGGCTTTGATCGTAAGTGTAATGTTATTTACTTTTAAATTTGATGTTAACATAGTTTGTTACACTTTGGTTATTTTCAGCTAGTATCGAGCCAACATTAACTAGTATGTTCGCTGATCGAAAGATTCCAGATCAGTTAGTTAATATAGATAATAACCATGCCATTGTAACTTGGAAAAGAAAGGAAGTCGTTGCCGAAACTGACAACAACCAAGTTATCCGAGTCGAGAAAATGGTAGGGTAAACTTTATATTTTTAAAATATTAAAAACGATAGTCATTATATTATTGTCGTTATTTATTAATATTATTGTTTTAAATTTATTGAAATTTAAAAAAAATATTTTTAGGTAGTACAACATGTGTTGTTATTGGTCATCGATGAGGACACTTTTGATGTCATTGTTTCCACTGGATTAGTAGATTTTGTGAAAGAAATTGTTAACAACTATCGAACGCAAGCAAGCCAAGACCCTCGGCTAACCATCGCTATTTTGGGAAAACCAAAGACAAATTCAGCACAAGTAAGTTGAAATTGAAACCAATTGTTTTAAAAGTTTATATTATTAAAACTTTTGCAAAGTGTTCACCTGTTTTTTACTCATTAATCAATGTTTAGATTCATTTCCTGAGTTTGGACCTGTTCGAAAAGACCCAAACCCAAATTCGCTTTATTAAGTCTCCGGCAGACTTGTGCTTACTCATCGCCCAAATGCACCGAGCTACTGCCAAGTATGTGATGAAGAGTGAGAGGGCCAATGAAATTCACCTCGACTCGGAAAAGGGTGTTGTAGATTGCCCGAACCAAGTGGAAGATTGGTGGAATCGAATGTTGGGCCATGTGTATCGGATCACGGAGGACTGCCGAAGAGCCGTCATCCACAAGTACTCCAACCCCTTCATTCTAATGGACAAGCTGAGTAATATGCCCACGGGCGAGGGAATGCAGCATCTGGCCGAGATTCAAACCGAGAACGGCCGCTTTGTGGGGCCGGCTTTAGCTCAGAAGATCTACTTTATGCTCACGAGCAAGGACGGAAGAGAAATACTGGACAAGGCATAACTACTATAACATTTATTTACTTGTAACGCGGCGATTGGTCGGGTGAGGTGATGAACCCCGAGATATCTGTACTCATTTCCTGTAGATAGTCGAACTGCCTGAGGGCATCTCGTTCCTTATTTCCAAATCGTTTGTATAGTTTGTTGCCATCTGACACGATGTCTTTCCTTCGGCCTTTGTAATATAAACAATCACCTTTCCTCCTTAGTTGTTTGGACAATACCTTGATGTTATCTTCTTCTGACGTTCCTTCAGCGCTTGTATAATCATTTACCTATAAATATTTTACATTAACCTTGTTATAATAAATATAATAATCATGCTATTTTTTGGTTATTTTTTTATTTTCAAAGTCTTGTAAACTTACATGTCTATGTCTTCTGCTTCTTTGCGGCCTTTCTGATACCTCCTCATCTGAATACGATTCCTCCGCTGGGCCAGGTTTGTACAATTCAGAGTCCGAAAGCGATGACTTCATATTGGCTTCAGTTCCCCACGTTGAGTATCCTTCATCTCTCACTGGAATCACAATCTCATCAGGTAACGAGTCTTCCAAAGTGGTACAGTTGTCTTGCGAGTCATCTCGAGGCACTTCGAATTCATCGTCGTCCTTTGGGAATATTTTAATCTCGTCCAACTCATCGATGGCCAAGGTTGAGGCCTCGTTACTAATGGTTTCATCAATGCTACATAGATCGTTCACTGAACATAATCTGTCTGGAGCACCAGTAGCACTACCTACACGGTGCATGACTACTTGAGGCTGAGGTTCTACGCATCGCTGAGGCTTTGTAGCCACTTTGTGTCGTAGATAGTATACTTCTCGCTTCAGCATCTCGCATTTGTGTAGCATCTTGTCGTATTCCTTGTAGAATTTGTAGTAAAATGCGGCTTCCTTCTTAGAACGGTTCAGTTCTTTTCGAAGGTCTTTTATTAGGATTCTGTACTTCTGAAAAGGTTCATCGTGATTGGTTGGAAAATAAATATAAACAATGACTTTATTCGTTGACAAAATCAGTATACTATGATTTAATACTTAAGTAGAATATATAATAATGTAAAATATAAAATAGTATATTATGAAATAATTAACTACAAAGACTTAAACCTACTCTTTCGTAGAACTCTTCTATCGTAGCTTCATTGTCAGATTCTGAATCACAATCCGTCGTTTCTTCTGAATCCGACTCTGGGAAAGCTACTCTCGATGAATAATGTGTAGGGCTGGGTTCAGCACTGCCGTATTCTGAAGACGCTTTGGCATCGTGCCAGTTTAGAGAATTGTCGTTTTGGTAGTTTTCGTAATCTTTTGAAATTGAAGCCTCGTCTTTAGATATTGGAATGGCAGGCTTCGCTTTGTAACTTCTCGTGGACGCTTGGGTAATTCCTTGCCTTTTGAAGGCTTTTTGACTCTAAAAGCAATTCTTTAAGATCTTATAAGCCTTAGTAATAAAGCATAATAGCAGAAAATACTGTAACCAAACTGACACGATTAACCAACTTACAGCACTGTTAACGGTTTTCTTCTTGTAGAAGATGGAGTGTATGATACCCGACATCTCTGGAGTGGAAAGTCCCGAAATCAGGCAGCACAGGCTTAGGGTCCCACCATGGGGTCGATTGAGTTGCGCGCGTCAGGCGTCGTTTCGACCGGTCTTAAGTGGAAACAATGCGATTGGCTTTCTCTCGCAGCTGACTCAAACAAACACAATATTTCTTATTTCCTTCCAAAAATGATCCCCATTCCTCCAAAGCCGGGTAAAGTAAATGCATATTACGTATTAAGATCTATCGATGTAAATGTAAGTGTGCGATGTTAAATATTTAAATTCACATATAAAATACGAATTTCCATATTTCAAAAACTAAATTTCCCCCAATTTATACTATCTATCAAGACCAAAGCATATTTTTATAATAACAAGACTTCCTTTTAAGAACTGTAACATAGCGGAAGGAGAGACAGTGTTCGTGGAAGAATGTAAACCAACTCCCGATCTATGTCAAGTATCAGGATCTCATGGTGTATGTGAAGTCTCTCTAGATCTCGGTAAGAAGGCGTTTCTCTTGTCATATTTTCAGTTTAGTCAAGTCAGAAGCATTCGAATTAATACAAAACCCGATCCATGAAGCTGCCAAAAGAGGTAACCTCCAACTGTTGGAGTCTTGTCTTAACAATAAAGTAGGTTTAGGCTATAGCTAATGTAATTGGAAAGACATTTTAAAATTAACGTGACATTACAATGAGAATTTAAGTGAAAACATTAATTTAGATGTCCCCTAACCTATTAGACAGATCAGGTTCAGTGCCTTTGTACTGGGCATCTTACAACGGTCATATTAACGTAGTAATACGGCTTTTACAATGTGAAAATATAGATGTTCAAGCACAGGTAAGTAAAATAACACACAAAATAAAAAATGACATAAAATTTCATTCCGTAATTACAAATTTAGAAGAGTATAATCTGGTATAATATGATAACAAAAAGTAATATTTAGAACAAGATGGGAGATAACTCATTACACGCAGCTGCTCGTCGAGGACATCTTGACATATGTGAAACTCTAGTTGGCGCAGGAGCAGACGTCAACGTTCCAAATAATGACAAGAACAGAGCTTTAGAAATGGCAGCAAATCCAGAAATAGCTTCGTTCATACGATTAACCATGGAGAAGAATCCCCCCACAGAACAAATAGACGAATACCAGAGTTCAGATGAAGATTAACACAAGTGAAACATATATTACATATCATAATAACTTAACACATCTACAGTAAACAGTATTCACAAATTCAGTTCTTTTCGAACAATAACTACAGTAAAAGTTAAAAATCCCATTTTGTTAGAGACAAAGTCTGTGTACAAATAAAAAAAAAGTGTAACATTCTTTTGCCAAAAATTATATGGAAAACATTTGATTTTTATTTTAAAAAAATCATTTTCGAACAGTTTATTTTCTGCTTGCAACGGAATGCCAAAAAGTTAGATTTCGCTGCGTGAACCGACTGCGTGTTAGGCCATTTTCTTTTCTTCACAAAATTTTCGGGGATTTTTTTGGAAAATTTTATTTTACGGAGTGTAAAATACAAGTTAATGATAGTAAAATGTTGTTTTTTTTGTATTATCGAAAATTGTAAATTATACATTTTTTGTTTTTACGATGTTTTCATGTGCTTTTTGTTAAAATTCATTTTTGCGTATGGTTTTAAAATTATTTTGTTTTAGCTATTTTCCTAAGTGTTTATCTTTGTAGTTTTTAGGTTTAAACAATGGCCCGTCGTGGTAATAACGCCCTCCCAGGAAACCATTTCCGCAAGCACTGGCAAAAGCGGATCAAGACCTGGTTCAACCAGCCTGCTCGTAAAGTCCGTCGTGCCACTGCCCGCGTTGAGAAGGCCAAGGCTGTAGCCCCACGACCAGTCGGTTTGTTGCGCCCAGCTGTCCACTGTCCCTCAATCCGCTACAACAGCAAGCTCCGATTGGGCCGTGGATTCACCAAGGAAGAATTGAAGGCTGCTGGAGTTACCGTTGTTGAAGCCAGACAATTCGGAATCGCCGTTGACTTCCGTCGTGTCAACCGATCTGTCGAATCTATTGAAGTAGGTTTATTTTTCTTTTTGGTTTAATATTTAGATTTATAGGATGTGTTAGCTGAATGTTTTGTTATAGATATTAATTTGATTTTTTTCAGCGCAATGCCCAGAGGCTGAAGGAGTACAGATCCAGACTGATTGTCTTCCCCAAGAAGCTCAGCAAGCCAAAGAAGGGAGATAGCAACGTAAGTTTTCTATATTTTGTTGATGTTTGCAAATTATAATCAGATTTTTATTTTTTAGTTTCTAATCTGCCAATTTTGGTTTAAGAACGTTGTTAACATACTTTTAATTTTTAGGAATCCGAACTCAAGTTGGCTCAACAAGTTAAAGGAACCATCCTCCCCGTCAAGAACACCCAATCCAGAATCCGCGCTCAGCCAATCACTGAGGAACTCCGCAAATTCCAAGTATACCGACACCTCAGAAACGTCCGTGGTGAGCAAAGAAACAGAGGAAAACGTGAGAAGGCTGCCAAGCTTGCTGCTGAAGACGGTTTGGGATCTACTCGTCGTTAAGTGTTATAAATTTGTTGGATTTTTTGTTACATTAAACGGTTTATTTTTGTTTTTTAGTTTGAGTTGACAGCTAGTTTAAAAATTTAATGGTTGGAGACTTGCATGTTATCTTTTGTAGGAGCCAGTTTTGGAAGGTTGTTTTAGTTCACTGTCCTTGTTCAGTCATATTTATTTGTAACAAATCGTAAGAATTGAAAACGTGTAAATTACTATACAAAATTTACTGGTCTTTGTGCAATTTTTCATAGGCTCCGTGGTTCTTGTACGAGGTCACGTAGCCAGTGTTCTCGACAAGGTCTACTCGGCCGGCTTTTCCCTTTCCTTTACCGGTCGAATCAAAGCGCTCTTTGTGAGATCCTGTGTACTTGGTATGATCGGTTAGTCTGTTGTATACACCGTCGGCATTGGGTTTGGCAGCGTTCTTTATGACTGGTGCTTCAAGGTTGTTCAGCTTCTCGATGATCTCGTCAAGCTCGTCCTAAGAACAATATAGTAATCGTATTATAGGTTACCTGAACTTCTTTTTTCGAATTCCGAGCTTTGTCTGCAGCGACATTAACCAACACAGCCTTTGTTTCTGGGAAATTGGTCTTTTTCTTAGGTCTGAATTCATATTTGAATTTTAATCTTTATCTTACCCTGCCACTTTACTGAACGCGATGCCTGTCATGATTGTGGTTACACTTTTACCGTCGATGACACCGGCGTCTTTTAGCCATTTGTCAAAGTTTTTGCCTGTCATTTCGGTGTTTGTGGCGGCTCCGAACTTGGCAAAGGCTTCCCATCTGCAAAAAGTTGGGTTCTTAATGAGATCTTAATTTTAGATAGCAATTTAAAGAGTGAATTTTACATGGTAAAGATACAGACAGTTCTGTAATATAACCCTTGAATTATATACTTTTAATTTGTACCTTGGACGAAAACCTTAAATTCGTGTCCACGAAAAAATTCTCATAGTTTTATGTGATCCCTTTTTTTGTCTGATTGCCGTCGGCATTAGAGAAAAACTAGAGAACGCACAAAATTATGAGAGATTTTTCGTGGATAAGAATTTAAGGTTTTCGTCCAAGGTACAAATTAAAAGTATATAATTCAAGGGTTATATCTTGAACGTATGCTTAATGTCAGCGTAAAATGAATTATTTCCGTTTTTAATTTTAGGGAAAGTAATATCAAAAGAGGCTGTCTTGTGGCGGGTTTTGAGGGCTTAAACAAAAAACCCACCCATCATAAATTTGGCATCACATAAAAACAGTTTTATTGAAGTAATGGATAATCCCTGTATGACTAACGCAAAATAATTCCGAATCAATAAAAAGAAACGTGAATTTCGGAAGGAATCTAATTTAAAGTCACTTTCAGTCTCAAATTGCAGCAAAAACAACAATCAGATGTTTACAAAAAGAAAACAGTTCCTAACAGCTTGATGTTGTCATAACCTCTTACCGGCGCTTCATCTCCTTGGGGTCGGACCATTTGAATTCGTATTTGGGAGCGGCGTGGTTACTCATCCTGAAATGTGGACCTCTACTGACTTTGACTACTCGAAACAAACAAAAAGGCGCGCAATCGCAAGTAAAACAAACTAAAACAGGTGAGGTGGGAGGAAAACAAGTTCCTGCAGGTTGTTTTTGGAAGTCAAGGTTCTCGAGGAGAGCTGCAATGTCTTGAGGCCACATCCGAAACAAACTGCGCGCCACATGGCCCCGTCTTCTTGATTGTCACTCTTTTGAAGAATAGGCCAACACTTTGTCGCATGCAAATTTCGGAGGCCCTTAAGCGGTTTCGGGTATCACGATTTTATATTCCGAACCGGCAGCAGTAGGGCTAATTACTGGGGGGGGGGGTCCGCCGGAAAGAGTGCCAAGAGAAAGTCATTGCTCGGCAACGGCGCGGTAATACATACACTAACGAGTAAACACGTTCTATAAGGTTAAGTTTATCGAAAGACAGAGCGAACATGATATTACGAAACAGCGATTATAAAGTGAAGAATGACCAGTGGGGAGGGCGGCATCAGAAGCTGATGTTGGATATTCTCTTGTCTCCAGGCACCTTCCTGGCCACCGTTTGATGCTTGAAAGGGCCTATTCATGGCAGGGCTATTGCTTGTTACGTGAAACGGTTTTTGTTCTTCGAAGATAAGGTTAAAAAGGAACAAGAAATGTCATCATAGGTTGGAAAATATGCTTACACAAGTCGTGAAAATATTATAAAATAAAGTTTAAAAATTTAAGGCTTTTCTAGCCCTTCAAAAGTTTGGTTTATTATAAAATATTAAGTAATACAGCCACCATTAATGTGAACGGTCGAAAACCTGCTTATGAAAAACAAAATTTGGCCTAAAATGTGGCCAAAAGTGAAGCCGAAAACAGATTTGGGAAGCCCAAACCTCGGAGTAAAGCCAGGTTGAATCAGCAGGTGGAACCGTGCGAAGATTTTATTTTTTTTCGTTTTTCGAAGATTTCGGGAAAGCTAAAAACGGCCGCAGGGGCCTCTTTTAAGCCGGTTTCTGTGCGCGGCCGTAATCGATAAACTTCCCCAAAAGGATTCAATTCGGTGTTCGGGGCCGCGGAAATAGAATATGACATCGTTTTATGAAGCCGCCACCAGGTAAGCGATTACCGTGTTTCAGATTACCGTACTTTTAATTACTGAGTAAATTTTATTATTTTTTTTGAAATTTAGAGTCTTTTTTTGGAGGAAAAACAAATAAAAAAGCATTCTAAAATTCTTTTGGTCGAAAACTGCGTAGAAAAGCATTCTTTTTGTAAAAATTTGACAAAAGTTTTATGTACTTTTTGACTCAATGGTTAATTAACCCCACCTTGATATAAACTTACTGTTTAGTGGTCGAAACTACGATCGTTTTGCCATGGACGACCTGGTGGGAGAGAACACCTTGATCAAGATGAAACAACACTTCTGGACCGCCAAACAATTACTGCGCAGTAAATTGGGCAAGAAGGAAGACGACAACTTGACGGCTTCAGATGCCGACTTCGACTCCAAGCTGGCTTCGTTTTATGCCATTAAGGATTCGACCAGAGGGTTGATGGCCAGTCTTGAAGACCTACACCATTTCTTTTCTAGTACGTTGATACAGTGTAGTACTGTAATTGTTAGAGCAGAAAGAATACGGTATTCTCACAATATAACTATAACAAACTGAATATTGAAGTAAAAGATGATATTGTAGGTCTTCAAGAAAGTAACAAGCACATGGGAGTGTTGTTGATAAAGCAATCGCGGTACCAGAAGTCTCACGTGGCCAAAGCGATGGAAGCTGTAGGCCAATCTCAAAGTTATGCCTATAAGTACAGGTAGGTAAGAGTATCTATGAAGAGTATTGGGTTTTAGTGGGAACGCCTTGACAACTCTTATCAAGATGTACCGTGACTTGGATGTGTTCTTTGACCGTGCCGTGAATGACTGTAGCATTACTGTAGAAGCAGCTGAACGTGCTCGAACAGAGTACCGGGGCTCTTTGTTGTGGATGAAGAAGTGCAGCGAGGAGGTAGGTTAAGCAAGTGGTTTTACTATGCTGTATTATCAATTGGTAGATTCCATTTTCATACCAACATTAATGTCTTGCTTAATGTCACGTTATTGTTCTAGTTGGATCCAGAATCCGAACAACTGATGGACCAATACCGTACTACCCAGACCATCTGCAGACAAAACAAGGAGAAGTTCGACCAGTTGAAAGAAGACACATATCACAAAACAGACGTACTCAGTGAGTGCAGGACCAGACTGGTACTGGAGACTACTCACAAGTACTTACAAGACATCGGGGACTACATGCAGGAGATGTCCAGGACCTATGCCCAGGTTCTGGAAGAGCTGAAGGACATTGACAACTACGAGATTGATGTTCTGACGGTAACTTCTTTTTTTATACCTATTTTATTAACATTAGATCTTGTAAAGAAATATTATAGTTCATGTTAATCCTTTTTCAATTCGTTATTTAGATTCTGAACGACCCCATGTCATTGGTGATGGAGCAGAACAAAAAGAAGCCAGATCCAGTATCTAATAACACACCGTACGTTTATATTATTCTTAAGATATATATTTACATGCGTTATATCCATTTTTACGTTTAAACAATCAACAATATTATCATCGGTTACAAACGTTTATTGTAGACTGCCACAACAAGATGTACCGGTCCAAAAGTCTTCAGATCCTCCACAACCTGACCTAATGGGACTAGATTCAGAATCCGAGAAGAGTCGACCGGACAGTCCGTTGGGGGAGCTGCCGGATTCAGAAGCCGACCAGATCGAAGCCGAGGCCCAGCAGAACTTCGTTGTGGGACCACTGCCCACCTTGTACAGTCAGGAGAACCAACAGTTCCCCAAAATAGACCCGCCCTCGGGGTGGATAAGCAAGGTCAAGTCTGGTGCTCAAGACATTTTTAATTTGAATACGAGTAGCGAAGATGCTTTCCTGCCTTCCGACTTGGTTAACATGCCGTCCGCGCTTTCTTCCGACTCCCGGAATACGGTAGGTACAGTAGATTTTACCAAGATAATTGTTTTTACAATCTGATTACATAAAATGGTATTTTGTCAGTTTTACTGCCATTTAATTTACAATAGTCATAAATGTCATTCCAGGAATGGGACAGCTGGCTAAACCAATTTGATCCGCTTACACAAACGAAACAACAGAACAGTTCTGAGATCTGAATAAATTATATTTATCATCTCAAAGTGCATATTATGTTACTATATATACTGTTTTATCGGTTACTCGAGTATGTTGAGGTAGACATCGAGCTGTTGGATGACGAGGTCTGGCGGCTACTTGCCCCTGAACTGCTACGCTTTGTAGTAAATCCGAATTCTGTTTTCCGTCGAGAAATTCTGATAATTTTGTTCAGAAGTCGAGCGTTCTCGAGCTGAATCCGTCGGGCTTCTTCAAGTGTCTGCAAATGGCACTTTCAGGTATAAAAGTGAAGTAATTGCAATATCAATTAAATTATGAAACAAAGACGATGGATCCAGTGGTCTTTAAATCTTTAAACAAACAATAGAATGCACTTTAAAGTCACCTATTACCTAAAAAGGTTATTTCAATATTTTTATTTTGAATTGTTGGTTCCGCAACGAAACTATTTCTTTTTCAATCCTTGGCATTCCGATAAACAGTGATAAGAATAGATTTCAAAACAGATCTTTGTTCTGTCAGATTTGAGAGTCCTTTCACGAAAAACAAAGGAATACATCAAGATATTACACATGGCTTCTGACCAGGCTTGGACACAGGGCAGGGCATTGGCAAATTTCCATGCCCTGCCCTGTGCCCTGCAATGCCCTGCCCTTGCCCTGTAGGGCATCAGGGCATTTACAGGGTATTTACAGGGCATTTGGGTATATTTTGGCGGACGCCTCCGCCAAGTGGTCGATAATCGGCGGACGTCATAACTTGGTTAGTTTAGCAGCTAGAAAAATGTAGTTAAGTGCAGAAGTTGTTATCTGTCATACGCTACAAGTAAAAGCATAATTTTAAGATTTTAAAAGTAGTATTGTTATCGACCGGTCGATAATTTACAAATGTTTAATTTTTACAAAAAACAAAGTTTTTTGCCTAGAATTGTATCTAATGCAATTTCTATACAATTTAGAACAACACAGCGATAAGAATATGCATGAAATTTGAACTTAAAATATACTAAGAATTATCAACCGGTCGATAACAATACTACTTTTAAAATCTTAAAATTATGCTTTTATTTGTAGCCTATGACATATAATGACTTCTGAATTGAACTACATGTTTCTAGCTGCTAAACTAACCAAGTTATGGCGTCCGCCGATTATCGACCGCTCGGCGGAGGCGTCCGCCAAAACTTACCATGGCACAAACAGGGCATTTGCAGGGTAATGCAGGGCATAGGGCATGCCCTGCCCTGTTCCAAGCTATGCCCTGCCCTGCCCTGTAAAAAAATTTCAAACCATGCCCTATGCCCTGCCCTGCCCTGTGTCCAAGCCTGCTTTTGACTCACTTTGAAGCTGTTGAAGTTGGAGTGAGTGACCGACTGGGACCTTCTGGCGTCGACTCTGGGCCCGATGTCCATTACCTGAAGCAACAACGTGTTTTAGCATGGTGCAACTTGCCCGCTGACGGTGCTGGATGTAGGCCCGCATCTGAGCGTGCTTTTCGACCGGATTATGGGGATTGTTGTGGTGCATGTCCTTAGAACAAATAATGGAATAAATCCGCGGAGTAGATGGCGTTACTTTGTAGTTATGGTAACGGCCCAACTGGGACAAGGCAGGAAGTACAGGACCTCCAATTAGCACGAAGAGGCTCTCAGTATAATACTATTAAAACAAAAAGAACTCGTGCCTCAGGCGGCGACGGTAGAACAAAGCTGGCTACGAACGGTCAGAACGACGGTGCCGAGGACGCGAAGCACGCCAGACATCACCACAACCTTCAGGTACGGTTTTCTGGTGTTTTATGAATTTGGTCAAAAAGTACATAGAACTTTTATTATTTTTTTACTGTCTGCTTATTTTTCCCCGCCTTTACGTGACTTTTAATATGTTATTGTAGGTAATGCTATTTTTTGGTTGTCATGATACAGTAAAGGGAGTTCCAATATATAACGTATTATAAACTTTATGAATTACTACAAATCCTTAAAATTGAAGCCGATTTCAGGATAAACAAGGAAAGACATTGCTGATACACAATTGCATCAAAGGCTCTTTCAGCACGGTCGAAGAGCTAGCGGCCGATCCTAACATCGACCCAAATATCCCTGACAATGAAGGAAACACAGCTCTCATCCATGCTGCCGCTGCAGGTAAGTAGTGCAACAGTTTTGATTAAAAATGGATACAATCTTTTGTTTTTTATTGAAATTGAAGAGAATATCAATATAAACTAACAGAACTGTGTTTTAGGCAACGCGAAGGTGTTACAAGTTCTGATCGACAGGTTTCCCAAACTAAAGATCGACCAAGTCAACAAATTAGGTCAGTCCGCTCTGATGAAGTCGGCCATCCAAGGAAGAGAGAATTGTGCTAGAATATTGTTAAAGGCAGGCAAGTTTTACCTTTGGTTTCTTCACCATACGTTTACTAAAACATTGGTTATTTTCACAAAGCTCTTTAAATTATTTGATTGCAAATGTGACAAAACTATTTTATTAGGTCGTTCACTTAACAATAAGACCTCTAAATTAACCAAAAATTGAAATTAAAAATATTTACTCGAAAATCAATAAGTGGCGATTCGTCGCAAATATTTTGAGGTAATATAATTGCGTGACCTGTAGTTAAATAGGAGTTAATTTAAGGAGCGGACCCGTACAAGCGGGACTACGGCCGGCAGTTCTGTGCCCTGGAATGGGCCGAGTACGTGGGACGTACTGAGTGTGCACAGACGATCGCCCACTTCATGCTGGAGCCGAATCAGAAGGCGCCGGACAAGAAGCTCTCGGCCGCCTCCAACAACTTGAAGCAGGTCGCGTGTTTGGTGGCGATCCCTCTGATCGGCGGTGATATGCCGGTGATCGCACGTCCTCGAGTCCGATCTGCACCACCAGTACCAGCCGTCAAGATCACTCCGTCCGATGGTATGTTCTCGGTGAATCATCACAAGAAGGCGGCCCGCTCCATTTCGCGGCCCACTACTTCGCTCGCCTAGGACCCTTGTGTCTGGTGCAACTGGTGCTACTCCGAGTCGGAGAAACTGCGACATTCAGCTGCGACACATCCCTCGAAGACGGGAACATACGACGCGTCGTCGTCCACAAGCAACAGCTCGTACGGTGCGTTCGAATCTTCGGCTTGTGATTTGAAATAAAGTCTGAAACAGATTGAGCTTAACAAACTGGCTTATGTTGTTGTAGGCATTAGAGGAACGTTATCGATTGTTAATGAATTGGAATGACTTATAAGGAAGATATTAAAGTAGGTAACAGAAAATGAAATGCTTACCGTTTCTTCACCTTGGATGATATGGACATGTACTTTCGGAACTCTTTCAGTGTTAGTCTGGACTTGTTGACGTGAGCCACCATTGGGACGCCGTCGGATCCCTTTAGGTATAACTTCATGCTCTCCCTTGGGTACCTACAGTAAGACTCATTAGTAATTGTTTTCAATGCTACATAATAATCATATTATTCAAGTATTATTAATAATGTTACTTTTTTCTGAAGCCTATAACAATGTCATAGTAGAGTAAACCTACTCCAAGGTGTGGTTCTTGCTGGACATCTCCCTGGCCTTCTGGAACACCATCGCTCTGTGCTTCTTCTTAATGGGCAAAGAATTGTTAGAGAAGTAGGTGGTGGCCATCGACCCGATCCCTGACGTGTCTTCGTCGTAGTTGTAGCGGTAGGGCTTCTTGCTCTTGCAAGATATGTTTGACATGTTGTGGGAGATACCTGACATCGACCATGACATCTGGTCGAACACTTCTTTGTTCGACCGGTCGGGTGAGCAGGACCCTAAACATTATTTTTAATTATTATAGGGCAATTTTTAGCATGAACAGTAATATATAATGAGATAAATAATACTGGCAGTTATGTAATTAAAATCAAGATATACATCATCAGTGAATCGTGTCTTATGACATAACTTACTTGGAGAACGTGGCCTAGCCTTGAAGAGGTCGTTGAGAGGTGACTGATGGGACGGTGACGGTTTGTTGGAGTCCATCATCCGTTTCCTCACATACGAATCCAGATCGTCCTCTTCGTCGGCGACGTCGAAGGCGGAATCTGACTTGCCGGCGGAGATGACGACGTCTCTGGCCGAGAAGTTGTTCCTCCGGTCGATCTTCTTGATCTTCTCGTTCATCTTCTCTGTCCGATTCAGTTTCGAATCCAGGATTCTGAGTTTCTCGTTCAGAATCTCGGCAAACATCCTTCTGCCTTCCTCCGTATCGTGCCGGAACGACGGCTGAGGACCAAGGAAAGCGCGCTACAAATATTAATTTACAGTAAACTTGATGTTTACCTTGATTACTCTCTTATTCAGGTTTATACGTTAAAATAATATTAGTGGTTGTACATTATAAAATGCTTTTACAGTAACATACCGTATCTCGGGACAATGTATGATCCTTATGAACGATCTTTTTTCTTTCGTTGGACAAGTTCGAAGATACTGTAGAGTCGTTCTTACTCGTCGTCGCATTACAAACGTACGGGTACTTCAGCGTTCCTTTGTTGTTTCCAAACATTCGCTCAACGTGACTAAAACAATATTAAGCTTAATCGTCGATCAGTGACATCTTTTTTAGCAAGTACTGTTAAAACTATAACATTAACACATATGAGTAATGTTAAGTCATGTTTGTCTAATCACCCTACCTTTGGCCCAGTAGCAGGTCTCTGTCATGTTGTGTACGCAGAAGTGTTTTCGGAGTTAGCTTCGTGTTCTCTCTTCTGTGTGACGTCTTGTACTTGACCTCTGGAAGCACTTCCGAAGACGTTGACGGTCGCTGTAGATGCACATCAGATGTCGATGGACGTTGTAGGTGTACGTCGGAGTTCTCGATGCTGTTCCACAGGTCAATGAACTCCTGAGATTGGTGGAAAGACTGTAGCTGAGCCTGTAGGTACCGTCGGACGTGTGGTACACAGTCGTCGAAGAGGTTCTTCTCGATTGGTGCCGTTTTGTCTTTCACCTTCAGTTCGATCCTTCCTGCCAACCGTCTGTCGCTAAAAAAAGAGCTTCTGTCGCTGAAGTACTCGTCGTATATCTCTTCGGCCAATCTCCTCACGTGCTCGTCTTTGCACTCGCACATCTTCTTGAAGGCGACGATCGAGAAGTGGAGGTTGAAGGCCTGCACGTTGCTTTCTGATTGGATCCATTGCATAAAGGCCTGGAAGGAAGGGTAAATTATTATTTTTAAGACAGTTATTAGTGGATGATGTTATCTTATTGCAGAAATTGTTGAGGTGAGCTTTGGTACTGTATAAAGACTCAATTTTCAACAAAAATTCAAATTTTGAGGCTTGAAAACGTGATATGTTGTTAATGATTGACACCTTGACTGCCAAAACATACCTCGCACGCGTCCCCATCCTCCAGCACCTGGTCAAGAACGTTCCACCAGTCCTCCTTCTTCATCGTGCTAGCATCTACAGCACGGTGCTCTGCAAATTAAGGATAAACAGGCATCGAAAAGCATTTAAACGGATTAAAAACGCGTTTAAAAAAGAAATAAAAGATGCTCTGACTCCAGCCACGCCACATGTCTTCTCCCTCGGAGGGAGAAGGGCTTTTCCATCTTATTTTACCCCGCCATATTCAGAAATGGCCCGCGCCAGATGACCGAGGCCGCGGCGGCTTTTCGATAAATGGAGAGACTGAAATTGAGACGAAGCGCAATCAGCGACCCGCCGAGACTGATAGCCATAAGGAACAACACGATTCCTTTGCGGTGCGTCGTTTTCATTCAAGTCGGAAAGTCGTTAACACGCCAGCCTTTGATGTTCGCCGCCGTTTCGGGTGGATGCGAGAATAATGGGAGTATCACGATAACGGCGAACACGGATTTAATACGAAAATAAGGCGAACAACATCAGAAGGCCGGCGTCCAGTCGAATTCACTTTGCCCGTCATTCCTACATTTTTCTTTTTTGCTGGGACAGGCGGCGTGATCAAAGGAGACAAAGCCCGCCTTTCTTCGCCTCCTCCCCGCTCTGACCTCAAGTGCCTGCCATGACATTGAACAGCAAGATGGGATGAATGGCCCGATCATTTGACTCATCCGTCCTTTTTATAAATTTGCATATCTCCAAGTACGTGTTACCGCTAAGATAGTACGAGTTCTGATAAAGGTCTTTATAAATATGCAATAAGTTATGATATGATACAATCTCAAGCCTTGGCTGCCAGAATGAAGGCCTTCAGCCGGTCCACGTGGACATCGTGGGGCTTGTCGGAACTCTCATAAATCTTGACCAAATTAAGAAGGAACTCCATTCGGTCGGCGTCGTTTTGACTGTTAAACCAATTTATGTACTCTTTTCTAGTCCAGCCAGCCGATTCGTACGGTAATTGGAGAGGTGTGTCTCGAACTCCGCGATGACATACTAACCAGACTGGTATATGTTTGTCCACATTTGCATAATCAACATCACCGGCTGCCAACAGCTCCATCAAGGCCTTTTTGTTATTCAAAAACTTGGCAGAGTTACAGTTCAGACTCTAAAATTAATAAATGGATAATCACTTAACAAACATAAAAATAAATAACTACACTAACTGATCTTACCTGTAGAATCCTACAGAGATAATCGAAATCCTTTAGCAATCGTCCTTGCACAGTCTTAGTGAACTTGGCCGAGAGAGTACAGTTGAGTAGAAACTGTTCGATGATGTAGTTAATGAAGTTGGGCAGCGTTTCCAAAGACTCGGCCAACGGTTCGATGCTGTTTATGTGAGTACGGAACACTTTCAGGTGATCGCACAGTTCCCCCATATACAAAGAACACGGAGACTGGACTAGTTCTCGGTCCAACTCTTCCTCGTGCATCGAATCCAGTACTAGTACGATGGTATCCTTCATCGTGTCGACCATCAGCTTCAGTTGAGGATCGATGAAGGCTCGGATGCAATCCGAGTACAAAGGCCATTGTCTAAAAACGATTAAAATAACAGTGTATCCTTGTACTTTAAAATTAAAATGGCAGAAAAAAATGGTACAAAAAAGAATTAAGTTTTTTTTATTGTACTAGTTTTAAAACCTCTTAATTGTTCATTACTTTTCTTACTTTCTGAATGCATACGCAACACTCAACAGCTGATAGTTGGCTGCTTGAGCTTTGCTAACTCTGCCACTGAACCTCAACACTTCTGGATTCACGATAATCTGCTCCTCGACCTTGGCCGCGATGATTTGCAGAGTTTTGGCAACATTTCCTTCGACTTGCTTTTGCAATTCGTTGTCCCAGGAGAAGCTGTTAATCTCGGCCTTAATGGCTCCATTCAGCTGCAATTAACACATCGTTCGACCAAATGAATGAGCTCAATATAAAGTCAATCCCACCCGATATATGGTCCCAATAAAGTCAGTATAATGTCGTACCTTTTCCACAATAACGGGGCCCTTTAAATCTTCCTGGGAGAAGGTGTCGTTCACAAGATCAAACAAACGGCCCAACGACTGACTCAAGATGGCGGTCTTAAGAGGCCCTAAGGCGTCCCGAATCGGCTTCACAATGGCTTCAGGGTGGGGTAACAAACACTTGCTGATAGTCTGCACCAACCTCATCACGTATTCTGTTTCTACTGGCATCCGATTCCTCAGAATCGTAGCAATCTTATTGGAGAAGTACAAAGCATTCTCAGCTCCTGAAAATTGCATAAAATTTAAAATCATTAAAGAAAAATAATATAAAGCGTAGTATCAATAATAACGTGCAACAGTACACTGTATAAATTAATTAAAAATAAGCCTACCCAGGATATGAAACTGTTCCAGGCAACTGTGAAGTTTGTTTCCGATCCTTGTAAGCTGTCGTAGCACTCCGTCGTTGGTCTTGGCCGAAAGTAAATTCATAAACAAAAGGTCGATTGCCTGGAGGGATTCGTCCATAATGATCCTAAGTTCTTTCGTACATCCTTCGTGGTCGTAGAGGTACGACAATGCCTTCAAACATGTGTTAACATAAGATACGTTCAAGGTAGACAGAGCCACCTTCAACTCGGAAATCGTCTCAGCACACGTCTGAGAGTAGATAACATGAATCCGCTGCAAGAATCCGTCTTTGATCCAAGTAACCGAAGAAAAGATGGCGTTATCAGTACATAAGGCCTTCAGTTCGTTAACAGACTCCGCCCTGGTTAACATGTCTCGTTCTTCTCGTTCCCATACCACGATCAAGTCTTGACATCTAAAATAATCAATTTTAAGAAAAGAATATAACTTTATAAAACCAATTAAAACTTCTCAAATCTAGAGAGTTCTTACCGTAAGGCATCTGAAATGACTCGAGAAAACATGACCAGACTCTCCATGTTGTTACAATCGGTCTTCAGCTGTTGGTAAGCCTCGGCGAAGAACTTCTTGACCTGTTTAGCCTTAAAATCGACCATTCTCATCTCTTCGTCGAATCCACTCTGAATCCGATCCAAGGTTTCTATGGCTCCAACTTGCTCCAGCAACTTTGGGTAGTTTTCTTCCACCTAAACTAATAAATGTATTTAAATTATTCCTATAATTAAATCCCAAATCAATTAAAAATCTTAACCTACCCCCTTCCTCAACTGAATGTGGAGATCAGATTGCAATGACCGTACTTTACCAGCCAAGGCATCCAGATCTACATTGTCATCTTCCACAACTTTTTTGAAGAATTCGGCTTGGTCAAGTCGGCCCCACACTAAGTCCTCCACCGAGTTCACCAGAGACATTCTAATTGTGCAAATTAATACAATAGTTTTCAAGAAATTAAAAAAAATTTTAAAACATTTAAATATCCATTTAAAGTATAAAACGTGCCAAAAACACGTTAAAAACAAAGCCACAATCTAACAAATAACAATTTAACGTCCTACTAGTAACAACAATACAAGTTCAAACGGCTTTTATCTTCTTCGAGGCTTCTTCCATATTAAAGTTTCTAAAAGCTGAGTCGATAACCATAGGTTCACAGCAATCTGTCACAACGCCTCTGGCTACAGTCTTCGTGCGGCCTTCTCTTATCGTGAATGACATGTTCTTCTTGATGGGGACATCGTTAACGAAGAACAGCTCGGCTTCCGTGTGTTCTCCAGGCATCAGCATGTCGTGCTTAAAGTGAATCTTGGCACTAACATCCCATGTAGAACAGAAAACTCTTTCTGTGTACCCAGGTCGGATGGCCGTCTTCTTGCCGCCTTCTGAAGCAGACAATAGATAGATGTTGCACTTGACTACATTGGTAGCTTGAATAGTTCCTGGCTTCCCTAGCCACATTCCTCTTCTGGTCTGAGATGCCTTCACTCCTCTACATAACACTCCACAATGTTCTCCAGCAGTCACTTGAGGCACGCTCTTCTTGAATACCTGGATGTCTGTCACAACTGACGTCACGTCATTGTCAAAGCCTTTGAGTTGAACTTGATCACCTTTCTTCAATGTTCCTTGCACTATTGTACCAACAACGACCGTTCCTCGACCAGTGATTTGAACAGCCGAAGCGATCGGAAGGAGAAGATCGGCATTCTAAATATTTTAAGTAATAAAAGTAAAGTTATGTGATTAATTTTAAACTTTGAAAAGTACAAACAAAACATACTTCTGATCTTTCTGGTTCAGGAAGTGTGTCTAAGACGTTGAGAAGCTCTTCTACTGATTTTGTGTCAATACCTTCCAGCGCCAACAATGCTGACCCCGTGACAACATGTGCTGAGTCCCCTAAAAGACAGACGTTAGCATTAACGTTTAAGATAAAACCTTTTAACAAGTTTTTAAAAAAGCTTTCATCAAATTTCTATAATTCCAAAAAATGTTACCAAAATTTATTTTAAAAGTTACTCACCATCGAATCCGTGTTCGGTCAGCAACTCTCGAGCCTCCAACTCAACTAACATAAGATCATCAGGCTCGACAAGATCGCTTTTGTTAATGAACACAACTATATGCTTCAACCCTATCTGTTTGGCTAGCAGAATATGTTCTCTGGTCTGTGCCATTACTCCGTCAGTAGCTGCGATGACAAGAACAGCAGCATCCATCTGAGCTGTTCCACAAATCATATTCTTGATAAAGTCTCTATGTCCAGGACAGTCCGTGTGTGCATATCGTCTACTGTTGGTCTCGTATCCGATGTGGGCTATGTTAATAGTGATACCACGTTTCTTTTCCTCCGCCGCCTTGTCAATGTCATCGAACTTGACAAACTTGGTTTTGCCTAAACAATCAAATGAAAAAAAATAATACAACGTACCTTTTTTAGACAAAACTTTAGTAATGGCAGCTGTTAACGTTGTTTTCCCATGATCAACATGTCCAATAGTACCGATATTGAAGTTGCCTTTTACAGCCGGTGCTACACTATAAAACCTGAGTTCAGACACAACAGCATAAGCTGTCCGAGATCTCAATACCGCTGAAATCCCTCTAACAAGGTACATCTCAAGAATCCAGCAAGGCAAAAATTCCAAAAATATTTTATATATTTATTTCCGCGGACTGCGCCCCCGGTTTTATTCTGTTTTATAAATTCTGTCATTTCCAGAAATTATTGGCAACGAAAAATTGTTTATAAAATTTTTAAAACCTTGTTTGCTTTCGGATAAGTGTAAGATATAAGTAAGTGTTGTAGTTTATTACTAAATTGACTATTTTCATTGGACTAGTGTCATAAACAACATAGCTATGCGTATATTTGAATATATTCCATAAGAAGTTGGGAGATGGGTAGCCTCTCGAAACCTGAGGCCATAACCGAAGCGATATCACAACTGGACAGTAGTGGTATTACTTTTTCGATTGAGGTATGTTGTATAACTCTGTGATAATATCATTATATGACCTTATTTTAGTATGTAGGCAATATCGCGGTGAAAGTATCATTGAATTCGAAGACAGTGGATATGCAGAATAGGATAGGAGAGATCTGCATAAAGACTGTTGCTAGAGAAGCTCACAAGATTGATAATGATGAACAAGAAGATCTAGAGGTAAGCAACGTTAAGTCGATTTTTTATTGTTTTAGGTATCTGAACAGGTTCTTGGAGCATTGTCGATACAGAAGATTGAAGTCGATCTTAATGTGACGCGGAAGTCTCTACTGATAGTTGACTCGAATGGCATTCAGCCCAAGGTTTTACAGCGTTTGGACATTCAAAACATATCAATTGTGGTTCCAGGTCAAGATGTAAGTCTGATAATATATTCTTAAACCTGTAGCTTGCAAAACTTGAGTTGTTTCTGGCTTTATCTGATTTATAAAGACGAAATTTTGATTCTTGATTTTTAGTTGGTGGACGATTACTTCTGTGTGTTTGCCAAGTGTGTTGTAGACAATGCTGAAGAACGACGATGCTTTGTGTTCTACGCAGGCGAAGAAAAGGCAGACGTATGCCGATTACTCTTTCTAGCCTTTAGGACGGCTAGGCAAAGAATTCATTCACATTCCAAGTCTCTGACACCTTCAATCGACTCAAATGACAATGACAAACATTCCAAGTCTTCAACGAGTATCAACTCCAATCCAGGGTTTCACAAGGAAGTGGATAAACAGAGGTTCGCTGAACATGATACTAATTCTCGAGATTGTAAGTTGTACTTGAAACTAGTATGGCAGTTTCTATTTTTATAATTATTGAAAAAGATGGAGGAGTGGTGCATTTTAACAACGACAATATAAAATTTCGCGTTATTAGGAAGTATTATACTATGCTGTTAGTAAACTATTGTAAACATAATACCATTTTAATCTTGTTATAGTCGAGAAGGAGAACTTTATCAACTTGACAAGAGGTTTGGACAAAGAACCCTGGTATCATGGCTTTATGGATCGAGACAAGGCCGAGACCAAAGTCATTAGAAACAATCAGTTTTTGGTCAGAGAAAGTAGAAACAGACCAAACCAGGTCATCTTGACCGGAATGCAAGGATCTCACGTCAAACACTTATGTCTTATCGATGCTACGGGCAAGGTAATAGTTCTACTTTGATATAGTTAATTTGTTATTTGATGATGAATAGACTAGTCACTGATTTTTTTCTATTTTGAATATGTTAAGTAACTTTTTATAATCATATATGTTTCAGCTGCGAACGACAGAGCGAGAATTCAGTACGGTATCAGCTCTCGTTCGGTACTTCCAAGGGTCTTTGAGGCCTTTGTCAGGTGATCAAAGTGAACTCATCTTGGAAGAGCCTGTGTGTAGGAAAATGTAAATTGTAAATAAACTTCTAAAACATCATTTTTGCTCAGTTTTTGAATATTAAAATGTTTTTTGATTGCTTTTATGTTAACCTTGGCTTAAATCAATGTTTTTACCTCGAGAATTCTAATTCGACTGGTTGTTTTGAACTAAGAGATTATGAATAATAAAATTGGTATGCCATGCATCAAAGTGTAATGTCGGAGTGAGCCGTTTTGTTTTCGGACCGTTTTGCTTGAAATGACTGGTAATTATTATGTCAAAGCCTCGAGGGATTAGTTCCGGAGCATTAAAATGGCGCTCCTGGACATTCGAAGGCTCAAAGGCCGCGATGTCGCGCAAGTTCACGAAAAAGCTCTCGAACAGTGTCAGCGACTTTGCTCAACACACCAGGTAAGGGTACGGTACGCGTGGTTACTGTAGTTTAGTGCTCATGGAATACCTCGGGCCTCCAATTCGACCGGTCTTCGAAAGACCTTGTGGTTGATGTTGTTCTTCGCTTGCCTGGGGGCTTTTGTCGTCCAGGCTTACCAGATCATCAAACGCTTTTCCAGAAATGACATTATTGTTGGTGTGGAGCTGAAGTTCGAGAACATTCACTTTCCCAGTGTTACAGTAAGGTTTCAGTCATATTTTAGGTTTATGATTGTATCAATATTTTTAATTATATCAAAGTTTATAGGTATGCAATCTGAATCCGTACAAAAATAGTCTGGCTAGGATGCTTGGCTCGGTCAGGGATACGGTAGGTTTAGTCACTACAATAATATTTTGTAAAGTAAAACATATGAACATTATGTTGATTAATATCGATTACTGTAGCTGATTGCGTTTGACGATGCTATCGAGAAGTCGGACCAGAACAAACGTACGAAGCGAAGTCTGGATTCGTACGATGATGACAGCCCTCACACTGTAATCGAGACTACGTGTACTGTACATAAAGACACATTTACTGCGAGTCGCTACGGTAATATGGAATGTGTTTGTCGATATCTTTCTGATATGCAACTTCCATTCGAATGTTCTGCTAGAAGTTCATGGTCATTATATTCACATTGTAGTACGTGTAGTTCGTCAGGGTTGTGTAGCGTGCACGATGATGCTGTAGCTGCAAAAGAATTGTGTCATTGTACGAAGGACACCTGCATCAAGGCCGATCACAACATAGTAAGTGTTGGGGAAACTCTTAATATCATTCAGATCTCTGTAGCCTGGCCTCTTGTGGCTACTGAAAGACTGTGCAAATGTCGCGATGACATCTGTGTAAGCGATGAATCTGGAGACAGTTCATGCACTTGTGTAGGACTGTACTCTTCCAAGGCAGACGTTTGTGAAAGGACATACGATTGGAGTGTCACAAAGTGTTACGAATGTTTTGCTGGAGGAACTTGTGTGCACCATCCTCAAGGTCAAGTAGACTGTATCTGCAACAGTCTGAACATGTGTTTTGAAGTTGCCAATATCAACATACGAAGACAGAAGCGAGGTACCGAGCTGCAGAGTGTAAATAATGCTATCAAGTACAAACGACAGATCAAGAAGTTGTACGAGAAGATCTACAGCAGCTACGAGGGGCTACTGGCCGTGTATTCCATGTGTCAGTGCGAAGGATCGAATTGTAAAGCCCTGAAGGTAGGTTTAGGTAGATGATGATTAGATTACGCTTTTTTGACTAAAATACGGAATTCAGAGTACGAACCAAGGAGAAGTGTGTTTGTGCTTCTACAACAAGAAAAACAGCCAGATCTGGCCATGTTATCCACCCCAGATGTGGTCGGAAAGGCGGTGCAACAAGTGTTCTCCCTTAGGCGATTGCGTCTACACAGACAGCACGGATGGACAGTTACCGTGCGTCTGTGCTTCTGTCATCAGGTAGGGTCTTCTGTAATATTTTTAATTTGGGTCAAGTGTTTCTGTTTGTAATATTTAATTTAAAAAATAAATAGTTGTACATTACCCTTGGTTTACTATTGATAATTTTTAAACTTGTAGAATGTGTGTTCGAATCGAAGAGCGAACGCCAGAAGAAGAAGTGATAACGAAAGACGAGACTTCTGAAGTCGTGGAAGACTCTAACTCCACATCCTCATTGGTTTTGGGTAACAGAATCCCCAAGATCTGGGAGTTTACAACTACAACCACAGAGGCATTGCCAGAAGAAGATGTAAGCGACAAGGAAATGGCATACGGCCTGAAAGGCATCGAGGATCCTGTAGCCATCAGAGCTACGGCCGTCGAGAATCTGATCTTCGCTGTGAATGAGCTGAATCAAAGTGAAATTGGCAAGATTGGATATGATAAGGGAGAATTCATCACCAAGTGCAGTTTCAACGGAAGACAGTGCTCCATCGAAGAGTAAGACACTTTTTGAATAGGTATAGGAATCAAAATAGAATTTGCAGCTCTTTGATACCTAAAATCTTGTAAAAGTGATAGATTAGATAGCAATTATTAGTACAATAATGACAAAAGTTCTTTGTACCTACAAGTGTTTCTTTATTTTACATTTTACTTTCAGTGACTTTTCCGTTTACATTGACCCATCTTTTGGGAATTGCTTTACCTTCAACTACAACACTTCGAAGATGATACGAAGCGAAAGAGCCGGGTCTAACTACGGTAAGTTACAGTAGCAGGCAAAACATGTTTAAGGATTACGGTTCCAAGTGTTTGTTAACATAACAGACTACCTTCCGACTACTGAAGCGGCTGGTGTCAGGATTACGGTACACAGTCCAACAGAACAGCCATTCCCAGACACTCACGGCTACAGTGCCCCGACCGGCTTCGTCAGTTCTTTTGCTATTCGACTGGTAAGGATAGGATCTATTGAGATTGTTTTAGCTATTTTAATTGTTTTGATTAAATTTAACCTCTTCTTTCACATTATTTGATATTGTTGTATGTATTGTTGTACAGTAACCTGTTTAGAAAAGCATTAACCGATTGCCCATGCCCTACGGGCAGTGTGTGAAGGATGGCAAGGACGAGGACTACATCTTTCAGGACAAGGAATACTCGACAGAGGTAACTCTTTTTCTACTGTACTCATCTGTTTAGGGCTGTCAAAGGACCTGCATCCAGAAGTACCTCGTCCAGAAGTGTGGCTGTGGAGATCCTCGCTTCCCTGCCTATCAGAACCACTCCAACTGTCCTGTAGCCGTGTCATCGCTTCGTAAGAGTAAACTAAAATGACGTATATTGTTGTAGGTGATTGTCTGAGAGCTGAGATGAAGAACGCCGCCAGATTGGATACCTGCATATGTCAACAACCGTGCAAGTGAGTACTTTTTTATTTAATGTGTTGTACGGACCATAGATTATATTGTGTATTAAGAGATGGGACTTTTGATTGTTAGGTAATGGGCTAAATATGTTAATGTTAAGGTCAATGTAACGAATAGTTGATAATGTTCATAGGAAACTTAAAATATGAAATTTCAGTCAAGAAGTGTACACGGTGTCCTACAGTTGTGCACGGTAAGTGTCGAATTGAGTGTAGCATGGTGTTTAGCTGGCCATCTGGCCAAAGTGCTGGTACTTCTCAAGAATGTGGTCCTCTTCTGACTCCCCAACAGTGTCTACACTTCCATCGTGAACAAGCAGCCTTGATAGAAGTCTACTTCGAGCAACTCAACTACGAATCTCTGAAGGAAAGCGAAGCTTACGGCGTAGGTTTTCTATAACGATGTTACAGTAGTTAGCATTGGGATGTTAGGGGTGTTTAGTAGAGTTGGGCGGGGTAATTTAAAGTTGTTAAAGAAGAGCAGAGTACACACATTTTTTAAGAAGAATCTAATGTACTGTACAAAAAGTGTACCGTAATCCAACATACCGTATCCTCTGTTACAGTTCCCGAACCTGTTGTCGGACTTCGGAGGTCAGCTCGGCCTCTGGATGGGGGTGTCTGTGATCACGATAATGGAGGTGTGTATCCTGATGACAGAGATCGTGGTCGGCTTCTTCTCCTCGTTATGTTGTTGTACCACCAAACGGAAGTCACCTCCACCTCAGAACCACTCAGTTCATCTCAACGGTCGAGCGATACCGTATATCGACCAATGTCCGACCAAAAGTTACGATGTCATACGGAGTTTTAAGTAAATTACCATGGTATCTTGACTAAGACTAATATGCAGGTTAGATCACGTAGTATGTTACTTGATTGTTCTTCTAATGTTTACAGTATTATGCTAGTTGGTATTGTTTATTGATATCTTTATTATCAGTTACTGAGAGGGGGACCTGTTGTGTAATATCAAATATGTACGCGTATCACGTCGGCAGCAACAATGACATAGCTGCTAATGTACAAAAGACTAGAGGATACTGTAATGCGGTTAAAAGTTTACAAAATGACCCGTTTTGGAACTTCTAGAGGAATGACTGCTAGGGTATGGCTACAACAATGTTATACGGTAACTCAGGGAGTACTGTAACTTTGAATCACCGTAGGCTGACTTGAAATACTGTAGTTAGGGGGTGAAATACTGTGGTAGACTAAGAATACGGTAGTTTTTGTAAAGCTACAGTAACTACGAAACCGGTAGGTAACTACAGTATCTTGGTACTGTAGTTTGAGAGATTCATTGACTGTCAATCAGCGTCTCCGTGACGCCGTTCATCTTGGACGGTTCGGCCGCTTCTTTACATCCGAATACCTTCTCCAGGTACTCCATACACTGCCACGACAGACAGTAGAAGGAGGGTAGGACCAGTAGCCCGTGTAGTAATCCTATGATTACCACCAGAGATATCGTCTTCACGAATACCAAGGGAATGTAGTTCTGAAATTAGTTACAGAATACAGATTCTGAAGTGGAATGGCTGGTTACAGTATACTTAGTCATCAGAAACAATGTAGAATAAGTGAGTACCTACTTGCAAAGTAATCAGCGGTAATATGCAAATCACCGTACTGAACCCGGCCTGAGCCGTGGGCCACCCTACGGCCTCGAGAGTGGCTATCACCTGATGTTCACGAGTCTTGAGTTCGTATCGGTACAAGTGAGAGTGGTGGACTCTGATTATATCTGTCAGCTGAAAGTAACCACCAATTGACATTACTATATAAAAAAATCATTTTTGACGTTTTTTAGACTGATAAAAGTGCAAAACAGCTATTTCCGCTAAAAACTGTCATTTTCTATCAATAAGGGTCTAAAAGTCTGTAGAATTGCTTGTTGTTCTTCAACTTGTTTGTCTTTTTTACCAATATTATCATTCATCTGATGACTGACAACCACTTGTCAAATTTTTACCCTACCTTGAGGTGATAAGCGATGTGGGCTGTGAAGTCTACGCTCATACCCACACTCATGAGGAAGGCACACAACGTGACCGGGTCCAGGTCCAGCCCCCACCACGATAAGAAGCCGATCACTTCCAGAGCGATGGCCGTGATTGACATCACCGCCAGCGATATCAGGTAGGCATGGCTGATGAAGATGATGCTGATGATCGCCATACACACCACGGTTATTATGCCGTTCTAGAATATAATACGGTGACTTCAAAAGTACAATTACAGTTTTTAAAGTATATAGTCTACAATAAGGTCGGAGAAGGATGTAGTCAACAGGGTTGGACGCAGGGCAGGGCAGGGCATTTCAACAGGGCATTTTTTTGAATTTCGTTTTCCCGCCAAACTCATATCTTGAAAACTGTAATAGCTATCAATAAAATAACAACGTAAAATGGATTAGCAGTGTTTAAAACCCATTTCTAGAAATTTTTGCGTTTTTAGGCCTAGCCAAAAAAAAAGTAAAAAAAGCGCGCCAAAAAACAATTCAAAAATGCCCTGTTACAGGGCTCATGCCCTGCCCTGCGTCCAACCCTGGTAGTCAACCTTCTCCAGCCTATGACAACATTAATTGCACAATATATTGTAACTTATAAAGGATAACATACGTAGTAAGTTAGTCTCTTCAATGACAACATCTGATCCACAAACATTCCGTTCACCTCCCAGATACTCACACCAAGGTTACTGAACTGGTCGGCGATACCTCTCAAGCGTACCATTAGGGCTATCTTCTCGCCCCAGTTGGTCGTATTATGGTATACCACGGTAAACCAGAACTTTCGGACTGGGACTTCTCTGTAAATATTGCTCTAGACAAAAGTAGAGATTTAAAGTTATTTTTAAAAAATAATTTGTGGTAATGTATCAGTATATTGTGAACAGTTCTATTCAACTTTTGACCGAAATAGGTAGCAGTTGGACCTTATCTTACTCAGAGTAATCCAGCTGAAGGAAAGAGGTGTAATGGTGATAATAGAATTGACCCAGAAAGCTCTCCAGCTTCTCGTAGTAAGGCTTTACAGTGGCTCTTGGCTTTACTGTGGTCGTATCTTCTTCCAGGTCAAAGTCAAACATCTCTCCGAAGTCAAGTTGCTCCTTCTTGAAGGCTTCGTAGTCGTTGATCCACAACCGAGTGAACTCTCGCCCTAAATTATGTTAATCAGCTCCTCAAGTATAATATATTACTATATTATTTTACATTACACAACTTTTGTTTACATGTCATTCCACAAATATTCTTGCAAAATCCCGTAAACAGGTATAATGTTATGCACAAATATAGTGTGTTATACAAAACCATCAACAATATTGTAGTAGATCAATAGCAAGACCGTACCTTTGCACTTCTCTTCACTCTCGAACTCGGTGACCATCTGTCTGACATTACTCCTGACAGTCTTATTGTCCAGATCTACTGGAAGATTGACGAAGATGGAGACGGGGTAGTACTCTGTCCACACGTTGTGAGCTATCAGCTCGTGAGGTGTGCGGATGGGAGAGTCGTGAGGTAGAATCTTCTCCGTATCTAGCCGAGAATCTATTCTGATAAAGCCAATGATAGCGGCGGTCAATGTCAATATGACAATCAAACATACGATGATACCAGTGGCTGGGTGCATGATGAACTTACAGTAGGCTACCGAAACTTTGTCGTATATCCGGCTAAGTCTGGTCTCCTGAATAACATAAGTTAAAAAAGTAACAGTAATCTTCAATTTTAAAGTAAAAAGTGTTGTGCGTAGTGATATGATAGGAAAGTACTTACTTTATGAGGTATAACATCAGAGTTGGGAGAGTAATGGTGAGCCTCCAGCCTGGTACAGTATGTCATAATAGGTACAAACAACAGCAAGGTGAACCAGTAGCAAAGGAACAAGGAGGCGGCAGTAATTGAACAGAATATGCTAATTTCCTCGGTCGGGGTGAAGGAGCCGAGTATGAAGGTGGTGACGTCTGTGATGGTGGTGATGGTGATCGAGGGACCCACGTTCTCTAGTACCAGTCCTATCCTCTGAGACAAAGAAATGTTCTTGATGGGAGTACGGTACCAGCCGTGTAGCAGCAAGAAGGCATCGTTCACGCCGATCCCCATGATCAAGAACGGTGTTATCATTGATACTGAGTTCACTCTGAACCCGAACCAGCCGAAGATGCCAAAGGTGGTCAGTAGTGATAGTACTGGACAGATGATGACAAAGCCTGCCATAATTACTTTACCAGAGTCTAGTACATCAGCTACCACCGAGTCGGCTATTACTGAGCAGTAAACGAAGATGATCGTTAAAAGTAGGCCTAAAGTAATATTTTGCAAAGTTATTGTAAAAATGGTAGAAAAGTAAGTATTTAAAATGGCATTTCTATGTACTTTTTGACCAAAGTAATACCAAATAAAACCAAAATTGATAAAAATTTGCATAATTTTACCTGCGGCGAAGAAAGGAGCCATCTTCCTGCCATCTTCTTTCATCTCATAGTCCACAATCTCATTGCCTAAAGCCAGCACCTCAACCAGACTAGTGTTCATGACCTTCAAGTGCTTGTGGATACCCATTTCCCAACCTTTCATCTTCACTTCGTCTCCTGGATTCTTGAAGTCACCACGGAAGACAATCATAATCAACTGAAAGTAAGTAATTTACAATAATGTAAACACATATAACATATACTCTTTGAAACATACCTCAATGTAGTCAACATACGACACTGCTTTGACTTCAGTCAGTTCCGGCGATTCGCAGCTGCAGTTACTGACCGGTACGATGCCAACAGGTAGGGGTCGAGTATCATTTGGAGCTCGTCGTTTGACTCCAAAGAAGTTCCCTTCCAACTCGTACTTGACTCCATCAGCTTTACCTCGAGGCAATGACAGTTGGGTGCCGTTAGATAATGGCACTCCTTTGTGATAGTACCCGACTTGTCTCTTTAGTCCGGTCTAAATTTGGATATTGATCAACAGTAAGTTTAAAGCCTTGAATCTCAAACTAGTTAAAACAATACAGTAGTACTTAGACAGTACTTTTTAGTACTTGACCATGACTTACATAGAACTGTTTGACGAAGAAAGAGCTGAAGCAAAAGGATCCACAGACATCTTTGTAGGTACACGTCGCAGTGTCAGTACATAGCACTGGTAGTGTACTCAAGAAGTCGGCAGTGTCAGTAGTCTCCTTCAAGTACCTCAACCTGTGCATGGAGCCATTGTCTTTGGCTCGAAACAATAATATCGTTGAAGTCGGATCTCCTAAATTTAAAAACTCAACAGTCAGATATTAAGGATGCCACCTCCATCCAAGGACTACTCACCTGATGAATTCATAAACTGCCTCAGGTAATCGGATTCTACCCTGGCTCTGGAGGTGGTCGGAGTGTAGCCATCTCTGACGTTGTCTCGGAAGTCCACGAACAAGATCCCCACGCCTTAAAAGAAGTCATTAACTACACGATTTTAGACTTACTTCCAGCTACACATATTAAGATACCCAGCAAGAAGAAGACGATCGGATGCCCTCCAATCACGTAGCCGACGTTGCCAAAGAAGGTCGACATGTAGTTTGCTGAAACATAATTGTTAAAGCAGTCTCCTTTTGATTAAAAACGAAGTATAGAGTACCTAAATACATAAGGTAAAGTAACATCTACATCATTCAAAGACTTACACGGCCAAAACCGACTCCATGACTTTGTGGATTCTGGAGCTTGGTGTGTCTTAATGATGCCGGCCAAAGGGATCGGGACTGTGATCGGCTTCAACTCCGACAAGTCGGATCGTATCCGGAAGCTGAAGCCGTTCTCTGTAGCATGGCCGTCTGAGTCGAGCGTCTTCAACTCTTGTAGCTCTCGTGACTTCATACTCCCCTCAGCCAGTCTGATTCATGCCTTAAATGAGACCTTGTTTTAGATTCGCAAACTTGTAAAAAACGACTTTTTTGGCCATTTATCACGAAATGACACGATTTGTTTAAAACAGCTTATCACAAATTCCCTTATCAATTGGTCCCCCCCCCCCCCCTAAATTCGGAGACTTTCGCTCAAGCGCCTTCGCTCTTTTTTCTTTTTTTTGGCATAGCGTATTATATTAAAATACACGAAAGTGGCGCACAATTGATCGCCAATTACTCTGGACACTCTTTCCTAGCGGGGACCTCCTGCCTACTACAACATGTTAATGATTATGAAATGGGGAAACATAACAAGGTACGAAAGAATGTTCGGTGGGTGGGCTAAGACAGATAACAACATAATCTGTGGAACAATCTTGGGAACTCTGTCAAAATAATTGGAAATGATTTGTCTGGCGGAGGAAACATTAATTACCAAGTACTGGAGGTACACACACAACTTACTCTGTCAAAACAACGCTGATTTGAATAATCATGTAAATCTGCCCTCTTACTGTAGTAATTGTTTTAACAGACTGTTTTGGACTGCTTCCCTTTCGAAACTCGCCTACAGAAGCCTCCTTTACTGTGGCGACAGACAAATGAATTTAATTTGTGTTATACTCGCTCATCTGCCCGAGATCAGCTCAGACTGGCAGGTGTGATGGATCTGTCCTCTAAACTTTCATTTCTCTTTGAGTGCGCCCTTTAAGAATTGGCGTTATATTCCGTTGTTATGGCTCGGTTCCTCTTATTGTTCGTTTTGTTGCCTCTAATTGTCAGCCCAGACCTGGCTGAGTTGCCAGTCTGTGGACTGTATCAGGCCTGTGCCTCGAGGCTCAGCGTCTTTCCTTTGAAGTCGACCGACACCGTGTTCGAAGATGACGTTTCTTCAGGCCAGGGATCGGGTACCCACATCAGTGAGCCCATATACGATGAGTTCGTGACAGCCGTGACTCCATTTGACTTCGAAGCCGAACCCAGAAGCACTGACACCCGGTTGTGCCGATGTGAAGGTGAAAGTAAGTAGTCTTCGAAACATAACATAAACCAAGATATAAACACTCAAAGTAAAAAAAGTATAAATCGTACTAAAACTATTCCTATTATTGACTCTTAACATCACATTTTCAAGCTATTTTTAAGCCTATTGTAATACGTAGGCTTAAAATGTATTAGCCTATCTATAAAACTAACTTTAGCTGACGACGAACCTTCCTGCTCGTTTGACTCTTCCGACAATGTACTTACAATCGACTCTACCGTATCCCTCTCTCTCTGTAAGCCAGTCAAAGATACAGTGCACAGTAAATGCTTCGGCAGACGACATTTCGTCACCATAATCGGACAACTTGACGACAATGGAGGTCTGACCAACATAACAGAAACCCACGTCCCTTGTACCTGTGACAGCTACTCGAGAGTGGCAACTGAACCTTGGACTGAAGGCTTCGTGCTATCGTACCGTTGTATCCAGGACTAGACATAACATCAATAGATACGATGTCACAGTATTCTTACGTCTTTCTTCTCTATTCGCTTTTTGTAAGCCGGGATCAAGGCTTTATTTATTTGAGTACAAAGTGTTCATTCTCAACCAGTAGTGGAATTCAGTCACAGCTTTATTTACAACTTACTAGTGCTCAGTAGCTTTATTATAGTTATTTTACCTAATTTTCAATCTTATCAGTCATTTCAATCGTTTATAATCGCAATCTAGAAGTATTTAGCGCCATATACCTATCAACTTACTCTTCAAATGTAAAATACCCAAACTTCATTTCTAAAATTGTTTTCCTTGAAATCTTGTCGAAATTCAACAGAAAGTTGTTTTTCATTGAACAAAAAACCTTGGAAATCAATAGTTGAGGCTCGTCTTTGCCAAAAGTATTTTCATTTTTATATTCTCGGGTCTCGATACCTCAAGAATATCCCGGTTCAATGTATTGTTGAAGAAATAAAGATGCCATTCTGTTTTCCCGGGTTGCAAAACGTTAACAATATACAAGGACCTCTGGAATGGTTGGTTCTTCCTCTTGAGTTATTTATTTGATAGGAGCGACTTCAACCTTCTCGCCTGTGCTTCGGAAAACACGCTGGTTGTGATTGATACAGAGAAATTAGCTTTAATACAGACACTCACAAAGAACAAAAACAATATCACTCAAGTAAGTTGAGGTTTTAAAAGATCAAGGTTTAGTTGAGTTGGCAGCCGGCTGCGGAATGTCAGAGCAATTCCATCTACTGCGCTACCGCCGATTGTTCTGGCAGTATTGTAATATGGGACATTGTGCACGGGAAAGTGGTGCACGAGTTCTCTTCTCAAAATGTGTTCACAGGACTGAAATGGCTGTCTTTGGAGGATGAACAACATAAGTTTTGTTACCTAATTTCACTGTCAACAAGGTCTACAGTCACTTTGTACGATTCTCTAAGCGGATTTGTTTTATGGACTTTCAAAAGTGGTCTAACGCTGAATCAGATGGATTTTAACCCCTTTAAATACAACGAAATTGCGTGTATGTTACCTTCTTTGTGTTGTTTTGTGTTTAGAAGTGGCAATCTTATTAAGATTTTTGTAAAATTATTGAATTTGTTATATTTTTAGTTGTAATCGACAATGTATCACTCAAATTTACTTACAATTTCAACACGAAACAGCCCTTTCACTTGGACAATCTAACTACAACAATAAAATTACCAGAAAGTCACAAAACTCCACATATCAGACAGATCGAGTACAACAAGGCTTATCCTAATCGACTTTTTCTACTTTTGGCCGACAGGGTAAGCAAATTTATTGGATATTTACTTTATTTTTATTTATACATCCTTGTTGTCTCTGTTACATTGTTGGTTTTAAAATGACATTTTAGGTTGTTATTATGCATACTGAGACAAAGGTTTTCATATACAGTTGCTTGTTTGACAACCTGGGAGCTGTGACCAAGGTAATAACTATAAACTTTTTTTCCCCTTTTTATGTAACAAGTAGTACCTTTTTCGGCTTTTATAAGGAGAATATTGTAATTAATGTAAAGCTTAATAATTATTATAATAATGTTGTTTTAGATATTTCCTTGTTCCATGAGGGACGCCTTTTACTCACTGAGAAGTTCAGGGGTCGTCAATCTGAATGTAGGGAATGTTATAAACGTGGACGATGGTGCGAAGTCAGTTATGAACTACGATAACGTGGTGAATTCCGAAACCCAACGGATGTCGAATAAGATCATAGTAAAGGCTTCTGCTTTGTGTCCGTTGACTGAGTCGAAAGTGGCTGTGCTCTTGTCTAATGGTCGATTAGTTGTTCATCAGTTGTGGTCGGAAGAGGAGAAAGACAGTTTGGTCGACTTTGTCAAACTGACAGATGACTTGGTCAATGTGCTTGCTCCAAATTTAAGGTAATGTCAATTTCTAGTTTTGGGCTATAACTTAGAATGTCAGTTTTAGGTAACACATTTTAGCAAATTCTTTTTCAGATTTTCTCAACGTGCTTACTTGGACAGTCTTGGAGTTGGCTGTACTCACGTTAGGGTACGACCGATGAATGCGACCAAGAATTTGCCAGATGACCTGGATTCAGGGCTTCTGGCAGCTGTCGGATCGACCACAGGAGCAGCGTACCTTGTGGATGTTCTGAAGTGCAAAGTTGTACGAGTATTCCAAATTCATTCTTGTCAGATTAGGTAATACTTTATTTTAAAAAACACATATTAGTTGACGATTTTTGAGACTTTTCTTACCTAGTTTTTGACGATTTTAGAGCCCTGGAATGGGGAGGTTCTGATTGTTTGGTGACAGCCGCCTACTCTGCCTCGTTGTCGTCTTCTACTGTAAGGAACGACTTGTTCATCACCAACATACGAACAGGACAAAAGAAGAGGCTACGACCAGAGACAGAGGAGAGTCAGATCGAACTGCTACGTGTGTCTTACTACCAGTAAGTGTTACTTGAACTGTTACGTTCATATTATTGTTTTAGTTGTTACTTGGCCGTGTCATTCCGTCGAGAACCTCTTGAAATCTGGGACCTCAAGTCACGAAGGCTACTTCGGAGAATGTCGAAGAAGTGTCCGATCATAATGGATATGGTAAGATATCTTGTATTTTAATCTACGAGCTATTTCATAACTATATGCCACAATTTTAAATTTTAATTTTCAGAACTGGTTTGCGAGACACACGAAGACTCCTTCAACCTCAAATGTGATCAGAGAAAACCTCGTGGTGATGGATGTTGACAACCACCTCTACCACGTTGTTGTCAAAGGACTGCATGTAAAGGATGGGAAGGAAGTGAACACGGAATGGTCTAAGAACTCTGCCCCACTGACTAGAGTCGTCTGGAAGGATGACTACCTTGTGTTTGGAGATACGATGGGCTTCCTGAGGATCTGGGACTTGGGGAAGAAGAAAAACCGAGAAATCAAGGATTCTAACCAGAACAAAGGCTCCGTCCTCAGAATGGTGTTCTCATCGTTGGCTGGGGACTACACTCTGTCAGTGCTTCACCAGAGCTACATAGCTGTGTGGGATGTGGAGAGTCTACAGTTACTTCAGAGGATCGAGATGAACGGATTAGTGATGTTAGATGTGGATATGAGCGGCGTTACTCCGGTGTACATGACATCAGCTGGGTCGATGCATTACGGAGCTCATGGAGAACATCTCTGCGCTCCAATTCCAGAAAATGGCATGTAATTTGAATTAATGTTTATTATTATATCATTTGAGGTTGTGATTGTAAATAGTTTTAGACATTTCCCCAACCACCAAGTCGTATATGAACATAGACTCAGTTGATGTCCCTTCCCTTCACCCAGCCTTGAAACATGTTTCACTTTGTCATAGGCTACAAGAGGGGACCTTGAATGATCTTCCCACCTACTTGAACTTCTTGTGGTCTTCTGATATGAGTAAAGTAAGATTTCATGGTTAAAAAGTAATTTTGTCACTATTTTTGGTATACACACTTTGATTTCAGAAGTTGCTTCTGTTTGATGTGGGATTGTTGCTGGAAAGAGAAGATTCAGAAGATGTCGTCAACTACATCGTGGAGAATGCTATCGTCTTGAAAAAGGTTTGAATTTTGACGTTTTATGCCGGTAATACAGACATTACTATTTTTTAAAAAATTTTTACAAAATTTCGTTTAGAAAACTTAAATTACTGTAACATTTCAGAACGACTGGGCGACTTCTTTACTATTGGACAAGAGCAGCAAACCAGGAGATCCAGATGCCTTATCGAACGCATTCAAAGCGTGCCTGATCTCAGCTGACGTTAGCAAAGAAGAGAGTCGATGTCTGATCAAGATGGTGGCCACGAACCTGATTGCTTCAGGCAAGATCTCTGGTAGGTGTATTTGATTACTTTCTATGTTGTTTAAACTTTTGATTATTATCATCTGAATATTGAATTTACTGTTTTATGTTAATTTGTGCCAAATTACAGAAGGAGTTCAGTTACTGTACTTGATCGACCAAAAGGAAGAAGCCTGCAAGTACCTCATGTCTCAAGGATTCTTCGACAAAGCGTACAAGTACTTGAAGGTAAGTGAGTTAAAGCAATACAGAAAGACTAACTTGGTGTTTAGTTGGACGAGAACTGCGAACAAGAGTGTCTATCCAAATGTTTATACAAGAAGAGGATGTTGATGATAACACCTAAGGTAAGTTAAGTACAATAGATTACCAAAATACATTGAAGATGGCCGAGTTTATGTTACACGCCTCCAAAAGCGACTGGTCGAAATGCACGGAGCAGTTGAGGAGCCTTAAACTCGACCGTTTCGTGGACAAGATGGGGTTTCCTGATGAGATCACTACTACTATAATATAAGTTACAACTCCTCGTGAGCAACTTCGTTCAGCTGTTCTCCGAAGTTGGTGGCTTCAGAGCCTACAAAGGTGGAGTAGTCGTCGACAATCTCGTCGATGGTCAGCTTCCCATCCTAAATTATTATTAACTCTAGTCATGAAAGAAAAAGCTAATAAATGTAATATTATACTAGAAGATAAAAGGTTAATACTCTATGGATAACAATACTCAATATAAACACCAATTTAATAAGGGTAGACTCACGTTATCTTTGTCGGCCGATGAAAACAAGTGTTCGGCTTCTTCTCGTGCTACAGTATGCAAATTAGGTATAAGCCAGTCGACCAGTTCCTCGCCGTCCAGGTATCCATCCTTGTTTCTATCGTACTCTTCCTTGAATCTCGACTTCTCGGTCACGTAGAACTCGGACTGTGGTTGTTCGTAGATCTCTCCCAGGAACTCCTTCTCACTGATACGGCCATCTTTGTCAACGTCTTTTTCTGATAGCGTGTTCTGTAAATCAATTTTGTTATCACTTGCTACACAATTATTAGTTCTTATGATTTTAGACGAAATCTTTAAAACTGACCTTAATCAAGGCAGTGTGCATGTGAGGATGGTGTTCGGGATTCTGGAAAGTGATGAATTCTTGTTCTGACAGAGCTCCATCCTTGTCCAAATCGGCAGCATCGAAGTAGATTCTGTCCTCCTCCATCAGTTTGTTGTACTCTGGGTCAAGTCCCTTCCCGTCTTCTGTCCCAAAGGCTTCAGTTACATACTCCTTCCAAGTAACTTTGCCATTATGGTCTAAAAATGGAATGTCTTAAAGGCTTTACTTACCTTGGTCTACCTCCTCGAACCTCTCTCGAGTCTCTTCTTCATCCAAAGACATAAGAGACTTGTATACCCAGTCTTCCAAGTCCTTCACGGTCACTTCTCCGTCCTTATTCTGGTCCAGCTTGGTAGCTATGACCCGTAAGCGCTTCTTCGATTCATCTGCAGAGTAAGAGTCGAACTGGGCAGCATCTCTCTTGGAGCCGAGGATGGCCTGATGGTCGAAATCAGCCGGTCTCTCATGAGCACGGACAACGTGCTTGTTGGGTGTGCCGTGATCGACCGTTTCTTCTGCCGTCGCAAATAAACAAAGTAATATGACCCTCCACATTATATAGCCGAATTTATTTGAAAAAATTGAAATAAAAATAAAAAATATTTATATGCGGGGCGCAGCTCGCGCCGATAGATGTCCGATGCAGACAAGACCTTGTGCATGACATAAAAAGTTGAGGAACCACAGACTAACACTAGTCTAACCATAAGAACGATATAGAACTGATAGAAATGTTGATATGAACAGCTTTATCCTAGACCCTAAGCTGGAAAGAGATGCGATAAGTTTCACCGGTAATGTATATATAAATAGACATTTAATACGACTTCAGCTGTCCCTGTAGAAGTTGACCAACTTGGTTCCGATTAGGTACTTGTCGTTTCGGATCTTCTGACAGATTACCTTCAGTTTTCCCCATTGCCATCTGAGATACGATACGAAGATGAGCAAGGCTAAGAAAGCTGGGTAGGACATTCTGATCAGCAACACCTCTTCTTCCGCTGACAACCCTAAAATAACTTTTTCATAAGAATAAACGACGATTAGACTACAAGAATGAAGAATTATTACTTACGGCCTATTGCAATTAAAACGTGAGAAAACACGTATGGAGCAGCGATCAAGAAGGAGAGCATGTTGATCATAGGTAGCGCAATATCCATGCACAGAACCTTTAGGCTGAAGTTACGGAGTCCGCCGTTTCCTACCTAAAATAATCAGTAAAATACAAAATATAATCCAAGCAAAGTAACACACACAAGTAGCCGTCCATAAACAAGATACTTACCTGTTCAAATGCCGTCTTGATTCTACTATCCGGCCCCATCATGATCAATGTGCACACAATCTTGAGGTGGATAATACCCATGGCCCACTCCTTCCACGGGAAGAATAATGGGGTTTGGCCTATGCTGGCTCTGAACGGACTGATCACCAACAATTGGAAGTACAGCCCCATTAAGTACGGCACGATGCCAACCATAGGTACAGAAGCCGCCAGCAACTTCAAGGCTAGAAACACGGTGGTACGACTAGCCGACTTCATGTAAGTCCATCCCTTCTGGAACCAGTCTCTCCATATTAAGCATCCTTTCACCAGAAGCCAACACGCGTAGATGCCACAGCCAACAGTGTAGGTTTCGTGAATCGAACGACCAAGTCCAACCAAACCTAGTAATAGTCGACCAATGGACACTGAAATCAATACAAATAGCTAGAGTTATTAAGTTAAATTTAAGAAAGAATTTGAAAATGATTTACCTGGAACGACAAAACAAAGAGAAGCGAACAGAACCAGCGTCAAGGCGAGGCAACCAATCAGTGCAGTCAGCCTGAGCTGGAAGTTGTCAGGCCGTTCGTAAGTCTGGATGTTAACTGGCTCTCTGATCATGAGCATGGCGTGATGACGTGCTGCCAGATCTTGGGGATTGTTCCCTTCCCTTCTGTCATTGTTAGCCGGTCGATTCTGGTTTCCCTGGTCTTCTGTATCGTCGTTTGGCAATAAATAATTGTCCAACTTCAACATTCTCCCTACTGTCTCGCACCAGAATCTCACGATGAACTTCAGAACGTTGTATGCCTTGGCGTTCTCCAAGATTGTTGGCAATACTACCTAAATTCAAGTCATATTAATTAAATGCTATTGCGCATGTTACTGAACTTTCAAAACATGTATAATCATTGACAACAATGATTAGCATACCTGGAGCAACAATAATTCCATTGAAAACTCGCTGAGAGGGGCGTCAGAAGATCTAAATGAGTACGGTAGAATTGATGGCACGATGAGCTTCACAACTCTTAAAGGAGCATAAACGATGAGGAAGATGATAGACAAGAAAAGACTCGTAGATGCTATCAGTCTTCGGAAATGTTTGATTGCAGGTTGATCAATCATCTACAATTAGCAACCTCATTGACTCGTATACAAACTTAAGGTACTCAATTATGTAAAGTATCAAACTAAGCGTACCTCTTGAATTGGATTGAATTCAGGATCATTCAGATTTCTGATAAACCAAAGAACTCCAGGCCTCAAAAGCCCTCGTAATGTCAAGATCAACGACGCCGAGTAGAAGACGTACAACATTCCGGCTAGCCAGTGAAGAACCACCGAACTAGTTGGGTAGTTCTGAAAGGCTCGAATTCTGGCATCCAAAGTGTTTCCAGTTAAAGACTAAAACAATATAATTACGAACAACAACATCAAGTGTCATGCGTTTGATCGAAAAAGAAAACATACCAAGGAACAAATGTCCAACCACCATCCACAAACCGTAGGAAAGATGAACAACTCCATGGTGATCAACAAGAACACTTTGACCATCAAGTAGGCAGTCCCAGTAACCGAGTAAAGACTAAAAAAAATATTAAAAGAGAGGTACACTTACATATTCAGAGTGAATTGACGACAAATCAAGAGGTTCAAGTAAAGAACAGTAGCAATTGCAACATATCCCGTGAAGATGTTGATCGGATTGTCAAAGAATGGCAAGGGAGCTTGGACGCCCAACAAGTATAATATCATTCGTCCACAACAAAACGGAAAATACACTAAAATGTTTGTTTATAAAATAATACCGTCTAATATACCAACTTTACATTATTATCTAGCTTCTGCTACAAATATTTCAAACTTAAACTTACAAAACACCAAGTTAAAAGCCAAATTCAAGGAAATCGCCCAAAACACATTCTCCAGAAAGACAAAAGAACCATCCAGGCCAATCAACCGTTGCCAAGTCATGTCTTCCACTATCCTTTCCACATCACGGCCCCAATTCTCGTCGTTCTGACCGTTCTGCCCGTCTTCTTCTTCTCGCAACACATCCACTACATTATCTACATTATCATCTTCATTCAGGTCGAATGCTCGTTCCACTGCAGGAATCTGAATGTTAGCAGGTTCCGCGTTATCTTCCCTGTCCTCCTGCTCAATATTAACCATGTCCTGCGGACCACCAACAGCAATCTGTTCCCTCAGCCATACCAGAGCAATAAAAGTACACACAAATATACAGAATATAACAGCTCCTTTGGCTTGATCTTCAACAATATTCTCCAAAGAGAAGAACTGAAGCAGTCGCAAAGACACCAGGTAATTGAAGAAGCCGGAGAAGACCATCTTGTTGATCCGACAAGCCATAACAGGCACGAAGAATAGCCAGCAGAAGGCCACCAACCCGTAGGTCAAACAAAGCTGGCAAGTCTTAAGACCCATAACAGAAACACCTAAAACACAATGAAATGATCAGATAACTCTCTCACCGCTCATCAAGTCTCTTATGGGCAATCTCTCCGGCATATTCGAGGCATAGACTGGCTGGAACGAGAACCTGTAGTTGCACAACTCGCAGACTTCCTTCTTGCTGTACTTGAGCCATTGTTCTAGACACTTCTGATGAACAAACTTTATCGTCCCAGTGCAAAGACATGGGTGATACAGCGTATCTTCACCAGAAAGTCGACAAACTCGACAAATATCTAAAAATATTTTGTGTTTTGTTGGGTAAGGCTACCTTCATCACCATTCAGGTCGTCGTCATCCATATTATCCATGAAATTGTACCCGGCAACATTGTTTTGTTCGCCTGGGTCTTCCGCCATCTGCTCAATACATTCAACACAAAATTATTAGCGAGAAAACAAGAAAAAATAAAATAAATATACACGGAACGCCAATGAACGTTTTCGTGGTGGGCACCAAAAACACTGGTCTTATCAATAAGTGCGTGATAAATCTGGCTCTCAAAGTGTGATAAAATAATATTGATAATGAAAGTTTGCTCATCATTGCCATTATTATGTAATCGTAAAGTAAAGTTTAATTAATATTTATATCTTTTCATATGAGTCTTTGAAAAACAACAAAATTGAAATATCCAGAGAATGTCATGTTACAGTACAATTATGGATATCAGATTTCACGACGATAACAAGCAATTATATTTGTGACATATAATTTTACTTAAAAAACAAGGATTCTGCAGGTTTTGCGATTACTTATGTCTTTCCATAGTTGATTGATTTGATTGGCCATTGTGCGACAAATCCCAAGATCAACAAGTTTTTCAAGAAATGAGACATCTCAAGCGAAACCTGGTCATTGAAAGCTGGTAATTCTTCATGTGTATCGAATTACTGAATATGCGTATTCTTTTTTTACTCCAAGATATTTGCTTTTTCGAATGTCGTAAAGGCTGATTGAATAATTATATGGTACTATTGGTGTAGCTTGGCTTAATGTTGGTCTTCTATTGTTTTCAGCTATTGGTACATGCTATGTTTTTGGTAGTTTTTGAATCAAAATGTTAGTGTTTGAAGTTTTTTTTCTGTTTCTGGTGCACCGTGCAGTATCCTGAAAGTTTTAAAAATTTTTTGTCAAAATTAGAACGCTAAAGAATGTAAAAAGGTTTGTGAAGGAAGTGTTTGTATAAAGATGCGAAATGAAGAACGTTATCGTCGTCGTAGAATCGGGGAATTGAATTCTCCGGGGGCATCGAATCAGTGTTAACCGTGCACGATGATGTGGAAGATGGCCGACAAATCTGGGTAAGAGGCTACTCAAGGCCTTTGCTCTGCCTTTGACCAATCTCGTTTTGCCAGTTCAACCAACTGGCCTTGTGCGCACAGACGGCCAAGCTCTTTGCCAGTCTCCAAAAAGCTGAGAATAAGAAGAAGTACACCCAGAGAACGGCTTTGCGAAACATTTGGCGCTTCAAGTCCTGAGGGGAGAGAACTCTCTTCATCCCTCAGGCTGGAGGCTGTTGGGTTTTGGACCAGACAATTACAGAGTAGATCAAAAGTTGTAATTATGGCTTATTTGGGCTCGTAAACTTATTTATGCCCAACGGGGAGTGGGGTGGGGAATGTCATAACATTTTATTGGCTGTTTTATGGAGGGATAACTACTCCGATTTGATTAAACCCACTTTGTCATACCTTGTTGTATTTTTTATACCTTTTTATATCTTGCTTTACTTTGATTGCTCTATAACTTGGAAATACCGCTCTCAATTTCCCTCTAAATATTATTTTATATTATCACAATTACTTAATTTTTATAATTTTTTGGCGTTTTATTCGTTACCTTCTAAACATTAAAAACCCAACTCTACTCTCAGGACGTGTAATGGGAGATGAGAATGGGGCGCCGAGTTCTTCACGTTCGGCGCGGAACGGTGAGCTTCAGACCGTTCCCACTCTCAACTCGACCCACCAGCAGATGCGTAGCTGCATCAGCGTCGACCTTCTGACAGCTTCTCAACGAGAAGTCAATTTTCTTCGTATGATAGACAGGAAGGCCCCTGTCTTGTACGAGAAGTCGGTGGTCGAGAATGCGATTCGACGCTACGAGATGTACTGGCTACCGATGCAGGCAGCCAAGCCTGACCTGAATAACATTCCGCCCTTGGACATTCACTGGATCTGGCACACTCACATGTTGTGTCCGGTGTCTTACGAAGAGGTGAGGATACATGTTGTATTACCTATAGTAACAGGTGATAGTAGGTACAGTAAGTAAATAAATTATTAAATAATAAGGTTTAAAACGTGACTTTTATTTATGTTATTGTAGGACTGTGTGAGGATCTGTGGTAAGATCATCGATCACAAACTTTTGAGTTCCGACGAGATCCAACAAAGATACGAACAGTCGGTATCTTTGTGGAACGAGTCGTGTCCAGATGAGCCTTACGACTTTCTGAATTCGAATACGGCCAACGCCCAGGATTACGTTCAGCAGTCACAGTATAACATTGCCGAGGCTGTGCAACGACAACGAAACTTTAATTATCAGGTATGTTCGTAGAACAATGTCATCATTACTATTTGATGACATTTTATAATGACATAATTTTATGTGAACTTTGGATGACATATTACAATTAAAATGTTATTATGTTGCTGTTATAGGTATCATTACCTCACTTCACATCCCCCAAGTTCTTGAAAGATGCTATCGCCAGATACGTGAACTTCCTCTTGATCAAACAGACATACCAAGATCAGTTCTTTACTCCGTGTTACGACTTTGACTTGGTATGGCACACACATCAAGTACATGCTGCTGCTTACCGTCGTGACTGTACCGCCATCTTTGGAAGTATTCTGAAGCACGATGATTCTGTGAACGACCGGTCGAAAAACTCGAAATTACTAAAAGGAGAAGCGGCGACGAAGAAGGCATGGGCTGCACACTTCAAGGAGGGATTCTGGAGACGAGGCTGCATGTACAGGTATGTGTCGTATCGTACTATATGTTTCAACTACTGGGGATTTTATACCAGTACTAGAATACGTTCGTAAGGGTTTAAAATAGTGTTTTAAATATTTTTATCCAATATACATAAAACTCGATTTCAGAGGTCATGTCGCTCCAGTATTTCTGGGATTCGAAAGCCAGGACATGGGTATAGTAACATACGGTCATGTCCATATCCCATCGATATCGTTGAAGGAGATACCTGTACAACGTGAACAGTTAAGGCTGAAGTTGTCATACGGAGGCAAGAAGATCACCACTTTCAATGCTGACCTGGCTGACAAACAAGTGACACGGTCCAGCTTCTCACTGGTTTGGCAGCCTTCTGACTCTGGAGGCTTCTCTACATCGTCGATCGTCAAGTTTCCGTTCGAAAAGAAGAACTCGAAGCATCTGGTGGTGGAGTTGGAGTTGTTTGACAAAGTGTTTCTTCAGAAGAGAGATGTTGTCACACTGACAGGGAAGCTACCCTTGGAACAGGTAGGTGTTTGTTTCATACAACATAGTAATATTGTCAGTACATAATATACATTATAGTACTAAAACAGTAATGTGCTTTCAGAACAACTTTATAACTCTAATTATTCATTCTTATGGTTTTACTTTCAGCTGATCCCAGGGTCCAACCTGAAGACAGTCCAAAACCACATGGCATTGGAGAGTGTCAACTCTGAGCGTGTGATGAATGCCAAGGTTACGGTTATTACAAGGTATGTTACAGTATGCCTCTTCAATCTTCTTCAGTATTTCCTTGAATCGAGAGATGGAGCTGATGGCAGGAGAGTACGTTGAACAACCCATTGAACCCAACAGCAGACTGTGGACGTTGTGCCAAAGTGCTGCTTTGAACAGAACGGCCTTACAGCCTAACGTTAGGGCCTTTATAGCCACACACACGTAAGTCTTTGTCGTCGTATACTCATGTTGTTACGTGTTTTATAAAGATGTCACATTGTCTATACCTACTTCAGGTTCTTTGTCCTGTTAATCTTTCGATTTTCTATCTTTAGACTGGTCGATACCCGCGACGGCGCGAAATACTTTGTCCAAGTCGTGCACAATGCCGACATGCTCCTCTCGATGGTGCTGGTCTACGGCGCGGGACAAAGACTTTTGTGTATGTCACATCTGATTGGAGCTGACAGTCTCCCGTCCAAGGAGCAGCTCGACTCCAACCTGGTAAGTCCACTCAATTTGGTTAATGTAACGTGATTAGCAATTCCTGCCGCATTTGTCATCGCCCGACGAGCGTGTCTTCATCGTTCTCAACAAGGACGGTGACTTTGCCATCGTGAAGGGACGATGGAACGGCTTCTCGAGGAAGATTTCTGGAGACAAAATGCACAAAGGAAAGTCGGGATCTGCTGGGGTTTTGAATGTGGAATTGTTCAACCTCTTGAAGAACACCGTGCAGAAGATCCAGCTTCCTGGTGCTGATGGGTCTACGTTGTTCGTACTTGGAGGTAAGAGGTAGTTATATTGTACGTGACACTTTTAGATGCACAAGCTCGTTTGAATGGTCGCAGAATCCACTGTCGATCCACCCAAACGGCCGAACATATTGCCTCGATCTTCTCCATCGGGACCTTGTTTGTGCTTTGTAACCCCGACAAGATCAGGTCTCGACAAGATACGACGATGGTGGGACATCCGTGTCAGAAGTGGCCAATTCCTATTGCTTGTGGCTATGGGAAGCCAATTCCTTCCAATAGGTATTTGGTCGGAAGACAAGACGGAGCAGCCTGTGATGCCGCTCCAGCCTTATTAGCCATGTTCGGGTCTTCTGGATTGTGTGACGGTGGGGCCGGCTGTGGATCAGCCTGTGCTGGGTGTAGTGCGTGCGGTGCATGTGGAGGATGCGGAGGTGAGGTTTTAACATATTCCTTAAAAAATCATGCTTTTACCAAGCTTTAATAACATGTCTTACCAATATATAATTGTTTATTATCTACTATAACATTCAGGTTGTGGAGGTTGTGGCGGCTGCGGAGGATGCGGCTAGATGGAACAATCGCTCTTCAGACATTCTACGGGTCTCTTCTACAACGCTACATGTGATTCTGGCATTTGTATTCAGCCGTGACGCCAAAGGTTGTGGAAATCAACGAAATCTCTGGTTGTAACATTATAAGTATTTTGTCGTGTGGAACAATAAATTGTTATTTTAATGCATATTACAACATTTAATGTAAAAATTTTTTTTAAATTCTACAAATAGCTCTTTCCAACATCTAATGAAAGTGAAAGTTACCTTGAGAAAGTGGCGCGTGAAATAAACGATATTTTGTTTCTGATGCGAAAATCAATAGTGACATTCCGCTTTATTCTTGTGAACTGTTTTTCAGTGTCCAAAAAACCTTGCTTTATATTATACTTACTCAATTATAGCTTTTCATAATTAGTTTGAGTTCATTAGCATTAGTTTAATATATTCGATGGCTGAGTTGGACGATCAAAAGATACGACGTTCTACTAGAGATATTAAACGGCCGAAATTCGACGACGAAATAGTAGAAAGTGTTTCTGCTATTAAAGGCGTCTTTAAAAAGAAATCTGACAGGCTTTCTCCTGATCTACCTTTGGTAGGAGTTTGTTTTGCTAATGTAATTGTAATTTTGTGTTTTTGGTGGTGACATTGTTATTCAAATAAGATTTTGATTTTTCAGATGAAGGAACTCGAAGATAAAGCATATTTGAACGACCGAAAACGGAAGGAAAAGCTTCAGGTTGCATCTAAAATAAGGTAATTTAAGATTGAAATTAACATCTTGTTCTTTAGTGTTTTCAACAATCAAAAGGTTGCAAGCAAGTCCATGAACGACATCGAGAAGCCAACGACTTCCTCAGCACAAATTAACGAAATACTGAAAAGATGGGCCGTCCAGGACGATATTCTACTGATGTCTTCAGTTACGCATGTAAGAATTTGATTTATTTTTAATGTTTAGAGTGATATCTACTGCTTTTTACTATCCCGCAGCACATTATTACCTAAATTTTGTGAAATTCTTTAAAAAAAGCTTTTTTAGTTATGTGATTTGAATGCCGTATATTCATCTACACCTTTCTCACGGAATTACACGTTGGCTGAAGTGGATGCAAGGTGGTATGGTCTGCTGTACGATGAAGCCATAAACAAGGCTACAATGGAGAGGATAGAGAAGTTACCTTTTGATCAAATCATGGCGATCCAAGCAAAAGTCCCGTTCTCTGTGGAGGAAGAGGAGATATTGATGACATTGACACCATTTAGGATAACGACGCATTACACTATGTTTGAGAACCTACTATGTCAACATAGAGCCGTGTTTCATTCGTGTAGAACCCCAGCTGTTTTGGAGGAACATTGGAGGTATATGAAGCATTATAACTTGCTTTCAGAACAAAGCGTTCCGGTGTTTGATGAAGAGTTGATCAAGGTGAGATAATTGAGTTCATTTTATAATATTATAGGTATTTAACGATGCCAAACTTCTTTTTGAAAAAAGTCAATTTAATTTTTTTAAAATAATTAACATGTTTTAGTTGGAACGACAACCCGAGTCCAGCAGCAATAACAATGTTTCTCTGTCCAACAACGCCGATCACAAACATGTTGCTCAAGACGTGTTCAACAGTATGGCTGACATGGAAGAGTGGGAGAAGGTGATAACGAAGGCAGTGACTGGAGTATCAAATGTACTGCAATTTGACAAAGATACATTGGCAGTGCTGAAAGGTCGTTGTGTGTCATTCGACATCAGGAAAGACAGAGTTCTGATTGGAAGAAGCACCCAGAAGCACAGAGTCGACGTTAACTTAGCCTTCGAAGGCCCGACTGCTCACATCAGCCGTCGACAAGCTGTCCTCAAGATTGACCACAAGGGCCGCGCGATCATCTACAACATTGGGAATGCCAGTATGTACGTGGATAAGGTGCCTCTGCTGAAGGGGAGCAAGATGGAACTGGTCAACAACTCCATGCTCGAGATTGGTCTGTTACGATTGTTGTTCTGTCGGAATCAAGATGCGTTCGATACAACTAACTCTGTAAGTGCTGCTGTAGCACGAGCGTCGGTCTCTCAGAACCCGCCTGGCTTCGGCAGCCAGTAGCGGGTTTGTAAATAACTATTACAATTTAGTTAACATTCTTAACAATATATGTATTTTCTCAAGCGACCAATCAAATAAATAAATCATCGATGCGTTTTATACAGTTAAAAACAGCCCTGTGTGATAAACCCGGAGGTAAAACGTAAAAATCATAATACCTGTAATGTGATTAAGTAGAAGAATACAACAGTCATTGCTGGCATGGGGAACAATTTCTAACAGTAGAATGTCAAAATCAATACCCGGAAGAGACGTGGACCACGAGTACGAAGGGCATGGGATAAATACTATTGTTACAATACGATGTCGTGACTAGACGTTACTAAAGCTACACCTGTGTATCAAGAAGGTCCTCGCTTGGTTTGGCACGGGATGTGGAAAGTGTTAAACCGGAGTTACAATGATAGGGAGCAATAACCAGCGGAGCATTAATTAGGTCGGCAGTGATCCTTCTGATTGTGTTGGCAGTGACCCGCAATGGTAGAGACATCCCACATACCTAAACTACGTAATACCGCCTGCTGGGGCCTACCTGAGTTGGTGGATAAGGACAAGAATGGACGGTTACTTGCTCGGTTTAAATTTTGATATGATGAATGTCTTTGATTTTCCTGAAAGGACAGTTATTAGGTTTAATAGGTATAGTTATTAGGTTTTATGGGTATATGTATTAGGTTTAATATGTTATTATGTATAATAGGTATACTGACCTTGTTGTTGTGCTGCGTGGAGGATCCCTTTGTAGATCTGGGATCGTAGAAATCGTGGATACGAATCTTTGCTCATTAATGTAAAAACGTGTTCTTCGGCGCAGTAAAATGCGAATCGAGGTGGAACCTTGGGGTTTTCGAGGCATTTCAGGGTTTCCTCCAACGTTCTGGAGTCAACGTTAACCTGAAGTTGTCATAATTATTAGATTATCTACTTGATAGTTGTGCTGTTCCTTCTGATTCTTCATATAATATCGTCTAAAATAAGTGATGCAACAGATACAATGACATACCTGATTTGGAGCACCAGGTGCCAGGTAGTCATCTCGAATCTGCTGTGATTTCCCTTCGATCTGACTGTTGGGCGAGTACTTGAGGTCTTGGACGGCCGACCAGAAGCGAATGTTTTCGGATGAGAATTCGGATTCGAGGAACGTTTCCAGTACCTAATGATTGTAAATTCAGAGAGTGCTTGAACTTACTTGTCGCCCAATACTGTCTCTGACCAGTTCTTGCACGCTGAGACCCCACCGTTTGACTCGTCGTTCTGTCGGTACTTCCACACTAAAATGCAAGTTCTATTATTGGAAGAAGGCTGAAAAATTTAGTCAAAAGGAATCTCCACTATACCGTTAGAAGTTTTAAAAAATGTATCGATAAAGTAATCAAACATAACATACGCGTCTGTATTCAAGGTCCAGAGCGAGGTATCGTCGGTAACCCATGGGTTGGGAGGGTGGGGCGCCGAGAGGAACGGGTCGTAGTCTTGCATGTGTTCTACAGAAGCCACCATCGTCTCGCTGGCTTTCATCGCTTTCAGCCATGGCTTCGTCTTCAAGGCCAGCTTCAGTCGATCTACTCGTTGACGATGCCCTTGTAGCGTGCACTTCCGTAGTCGACGTTCTATTTTCTGCATCGGCCTTTCCAGACAGTTCGGTTGCCCAGGCCCAAACGGTCGGCGTAGTCTCCAGAAGGCACGTTCTTCACTGTCGAACACCACCTTCTCGCTCTTCTTCTTCTCCTTCTGGATCTTGACCTGCATCTCGGCCTGGATCGTGATGAATCCCCACATGTGAGCGAGAAGTTCGGCCAGTTTGTTGTAGTGCTCGATCTCTTCTTCCTCCAGACCATGCTTCTGTTCATTCCGCATCAATCGCTTGTTCAGGTAAATGGCTGCAATTAGATCAAGATGACTAATTTTACGAATTTCGAATGATTCTCTAAGTTGACGTTACACAAATCGTCACATCAATCAGATTTTAAAATTATTCAATATCTGAATCAGATCTAAATTTATAATTTAAAATCACATTTTCTTGGAAATTAAAAAAAAAACAGAAACTTGACAAAAATAATCATATATAAAAGAGTTTTACACCAAAACACTTGCTTTAAAGGTAGCGGACAATGATTCCGATCGAAGGAAGTTATCGACTAGTCGAAAACCCTCCGATCAAAAAAGTGAGGTTTTGGTGATTAAACCGGTAATAAACATCTGTTTCTTACAGTTTTTAATTGACGTTATATGCACTGGTTCTACTACAGTAAAAACAAAAAAATCAAGGTTGTCCATAAATGACAACAACTTTGTTGACTTTAATCACTATTTTATTAAAATAATCAAAACACAGTGACTAAACAATATTGGACTTACCGTATTCAATGTTGTCGACATGTTTGGCGTGCGACGGCCAGAAGTAGGGGAGCTGTATCCTGTAGAGGGTGTTGTCATCTTTGACGACGTTGGACGGCTCTATGACCGAAAATATGTATCCGTAGTGAAGCAGGAGGGTAGCGAGATGGACGGCCTCGGCCGTATCCTCGAGGTTGAGGAGCTCGTGCAAGAGCTGGATCAGGTTCTGGCCGGTCAGCGCTTGCGGGACGGCTACGCGGAAGTATTTGTGAGTTTTGAGAGGCGCCACCTCAGCCAGTCGCAGTAATAGCAAGTCCAACTGAAAGGGTACGATGGAGTGGAGGGCACCTACCTTCTGGAGTGTGGGATCTGTCATGACAGGATGCTGAAGATTGGTGGGGACCAGGCCCACCGGCGCCGGGACGAATCAGGTCACAACTCTGAATTCTGGTTCGCACCGTGAATCGTGTAGCCGGGGCTGTAATCAGTTGTGTTTTGATGTCCGCAACGTGGACTCGCGGATTTAGTATGTAGATCGAGATCCCCGCCTACCGCAGAAAGAAGCGAACGTGGACCTGCCTGAAGGCCTTAGAGAATTTTTCACGGAGCTGTGGCGCTAGGCTTTGTGGACAAGGAGGGGAGGATGGACTGAGGCGGGGGGTGAGAGACCGCCAGGCAGTCGGCTCAGCTGCAGTGGGTGTATGGGCAACGAGCAGCGTGTGCTGCACACTTTCCATCTCTTTCGCCTGCCGCGGCCCCTGGATTCACTCCTCTTTCGGCCGACCAGAGAAGCCGGCTGGAGGGAGGAAGGGTGGGGAGGGCGGCTGTCCGCTTACACCAGGCTCTTTCTTTTTTTAAGAGCGAGACTTTTGGCTCAAACAAGCAAGAAGGTAGAGCATTTTGTCCGCTATTGGAAATTCTTTGCAGATTTGAGATAGCCGGCCCAGTAACAGAGATAGATGTTGGTCGCACACCAGTTTTTGCGGTGCGAAACACCAAATATATCTTGCTCAACTAAAGTTAATTTGTTGTTGGAATCTCCCCAAGGCCATCAGATAAGAACCATAATAATAATTTATAGTGAAAGTATTGGGGTGAGGAATGTTTGGTAAGGTTTGTACAATTAGAAAGATCCGTTGTATTCAGCTACACGTTCGAAGAACTTGCGTCGTTCGCTGACGGGCACGGCTAAGGAACGGCGGACCTCGCTGACCAGGTTCTCCGGCAACTTCTTGCTCTGTTGCATCGAATCCGCCGCGATCTCCGCGCAGATAGGGATGATAGGGTTACTAAAGTAGCGTACATCTGAAAAAGAATGCATTAAGGATTGGCACTAGTGTAATATCTATCTATTGTAAAAAGAAGAATGTTTAATATTGTACAAGAAAGCAGCCTTACCATGACGTCTGTTGAGATTGACTTTGCGTATCGGTCGGAAGACAACTTCTTCTGTAGTCTGTGGCTTCTCTTCCCGTCGAGGTTGAGACTCTGGCTTGTTTAGCGAGCTTGTAGATAGACTAGCGGTTCTCTTTGGTACCACAAGTGGAGCCTGTTCCAGTGGGAACTCATTTTCCTTCGAGTTTCTCAACTTCTGGTCTCTTAATCTCAGCTCATTCTTCAGGAAATCGTTTTCAAACGTTAGCTCTCTGCAAAAAAACTCAATCATTACTAACGTTATCACATCAAAAAAAGAATAATCTATGTGAAAATAATGCTATACCCAAATAAACCACAACTTCGTTATAATAAATACAATAATCGGCCACGACTTACTTGATAATCAACTGATTTCCTTTGCTTTCGATGAGCTTGCCCTCCAATTCGTTGTTCTCAAAACACTTCAAGGAGTACAGATTCTTCAAATGGTCAATTTCTTCCTTCAAAGCAGCTATCATGCTCTTGCACGATGCTTCTTCGTCATTGCAGCAACATTTGTTGCGAGACTGCTCTTCTTTGAGTCTTCTGATCTCTTCGTCGTGCACCCTCTGGACAACATCCAATGCTATCTTCGTGGCCTGTTTCTCCTCTTCTAACTCGTCAACTCGATGTTGTTCTAGTCGTTTTATGTTCTCTTCGTGCTCTGACTTCAGACCTTTTATCACCTTCTCGTAAGAAGTCTTGATCCTCTCTAATTGTTCATCAAAGTTGGTCGAGGAGGTCGGATGACTTCGTAGTTCTTCGTTTTCTACCGTCAAGTTCTGAATCTGGTCTTTTAGGTATCGTGTGTGTTTTTCGAACTCGGACAATTGATAACTGAGTCTCTCTTCGTGTTCAGCCTAAAAAATAATAAAATCATCAATTTTTTAACCCAGTAAGTTACTCTCGTTTTAAAACATTTGTAAGAAACATTGATCTTAATATCTAAAGTACCTACCTGAGCATCTTCTATCTCATTCTGGAGCATCTGAATCTCCCGTTTGTATTGTCGGTCAGTACTTCCTTGGTCAGATTCCGCTGAACTCGCAGCTCCAATTACAGAACTCAACTAAAACACAATAAATTACATTCCTGTAACAAAATACGAACTACAATGTCAAGAGTTAACAAACATCAAACTTAATGCAGTTCTTCACATAATTTGGATAAAATGTCATTTGTACCGTCATAATACCTCTCTTACCTTATCATATGCTGATATAACACCTTCGAAAGTCTTCTCCATCATGTTCAAGTCCTGAATAATGTTCTCGTCAATGCCAGCTACGGCCCTTATCAACCCGTCGACGTATTTCCGTAAATACATAAAGCTAGTGACATTCTGAGTAGAGTGGAGTATCTTTGACAAGGCTCCAACTTGTACTTTGAGCAAAGATACCAACCGTTTACTGAGTTCTAATGGACTGAAACAAACACAATATTATATGACTTCTGAATTGTGGGTATAAAAGAAATTGCAGTAACAAAATTTTAAATAAAAATTTTATAAAACCGATTATACACAATACTTTATAAACAAGTGACACTTACTATGATTGCGCACCGTTAACACTGTCGTTGATGTGAAACCGCATCAAGTCCATGTTTTTGGAATCCTTGGCCCGGTTTACCTAAACAACCAATTACACAATCTAAAGTTGTCAAGATGACTGAAAACAGTTGGAAACAAAGGTGGAAACTCACATCGGGTGTCGAATATAGCACTCGGAGCGTGGCATTCTCGTTTTCGACTTCGTTCAGACGATCGATGGTGTGGGCGAGCTGCTCTCGGAGAATGTTGAGCTGGTCGTTGACACTTCTAGTCAAGGCTGAAGTGTCCGCCAGAGAAACAGATTGCGGGCTGAAAGACAAATGTTCAAAGACATTCAAATTTCGAATAATTCCGTCGCGAAACTCTTTGACCTACCGCTGAACGGGCACCGAGTCGCCTAAGGGAAAGTCCGCGTCGAACACTCTCGACGACGGCGACGACGAAAACAACCCCGCCGGGCTCGCCACATCCACCGTAGAACTTATGAGGTCGGACAGTCTACTGAAATTGAAAAATTTCATCAAAAAACCCATAAGTATTCACATTTTACAAAATGATATTAAAAACAGCTTTAGGCTCATAAAAAAGTTAAGTATAACAAATAGATCCTTTAAAGACCACGAAAAATCAACAATAATACCATTTTAAACTACCTTTAACGACAAATTATTGAGTACAAACCTGTCCTGTGGCTGATCTTGTCGATAAGGCGACTCCGACCGGAACCCTCGATCTTCGTCGTTCTCTTCAGTGGACGACGAGATCTCACCGTCCATTACCGAATTACTGTGGTGGGACTCAGGTGCAACGTATGCAATATGCTTTCGCTTCTTTTGCAATCCCTAAAGGCGTTTTAAAATTAATTCAAAATCAAGGTTAAACTCTAATTTCAGGCTTTATTAACAAGCTTAAAATAAGGAATTTCATAAAACAGTGTTGATTATGTTTATAAGCAGATATAACTCTACACTGCTTCCTACTAAACTAAACTTATTTTACTTTTATTAAAAAACATACATTCAGCGAGAAGACATCCGTAGAATCAGCGGCATCGGCCGAATCGCTGGTATTAAGATAGTGTGGAGATGGATTGTGCAAGTTCTGTTGTAGAGCTGTGATCCATGAATCTCGAATTCCTGGAGTCATAGCCGAGAGTACGTATCGTGCTCTCTTGCATTTGATTTCGATTCCATAGTTTCTCGTCGATGGATAGACGTTTTCACACTCCGACAGGTCGATTGTCATAGCCGGCTCTGCATTGTCATCAACCCAGACATCACTACAACAAGTTATGGACAATTAAGAAGTGAACTTACTTAAACAACTTCAAAGAAAGACCGGCTAGCACCACCCAGTACTTCTGGTACTGTTTCTCTGACTTTCCACGCAATGTTAACCATCCCTTTCGTAAGGTGTAAACAGTAGACGTGTCTATGTTGAAAGGCTAAAGAGTGACAGTTATAAATCTGAGTATAAAAATTAAAATGGTATACCACTATTCACACCTACCTCTTTAATGTTATCAGTGCTGTCAATACGGGAAGGTTCAGTTATGTCATTAGTGAAACTATGATGATCAGCATCCCGAGCATCCTTTACATACTCAAAGTCGGAGTAATCAGTTGCCTAAAATTCAAAATTTAAATAAATACCTTATTATTACTTTAAAGTAATCATATGACAAACATACCAACATCATGTCACTGGTATCAGTATCTTGATTGAACACTTCATTCCGAGTAGATGAACAAGGTTTGATCTCGATGACATTCTGGTTTGCAAAGGTGAACAACACGTTCTCCCAGCTAGAAAATTACGCATATAACTCAGCTTTACATACTTTAACCATGTGTATAACTAAACTTTATACACATTATTTTATTAGATAACACCTGATATCTTCAACATTCAAATAAGTGGGTCATCTTACCATCGTATCTCTTCTGTATTGTCCGCTTTTATGTAACAAACAGCTGGATGTTCTTCGTCGTTTTTGTTGTTGAAGGCGATCAACAGACTGTGAGAGTGATGGGTAATGGCATCAGCACAACACACTCGGATACACGAGTTCATGTCCATCCGAAGTTGAGGTACTGTGTCTGGCTGAAACAAATATAGATAAAACCCTTTACCCGAATACATTATTTGAACGCATAAAAGTAGTTATAAGTAGCAACTAACAAAGTTATTAGAAGTAAAATTAAGCCCACTCACATTCTCATCCAGAGCAAATCTGAATTCTCCATCGTCAAACAATGTGAACCATCGCCGTTGCCATCTCTAAATCGAAAACTCAAAAATTAGGTAACAAACCCACCTTATTCGAATGGTTCGGCTGAGAGAAGTCCAAACTGGATGGAGCTACGTATAGAAAGCCACATGCCAAAGTTTTTCGAGTCATCTGAAAGTATGAATTGTATTATTTCTGTAGGTCACTGCGCTGGAAGTGATGGTTCGAACATTGAAAGGAAAGAGAAAGAAGGCATCGAAGGGAATCGACGATCAGAGGGATAAATAAAGTATTCAGCAAGATAAAATCCTCCGATCATTAGCTTGCAAATAAAATTCGCATCGGAACGCTTCGGAAGGCATAAACTTGCAATTGGGTGATCATGAGAGTGTCATTTGTAGATTCTTGAAGAAAAGTATTTTCAGAGAAAAATATAGAGCAGAGAATGTCATGTGTAATACACATAACACACGAAAAAGACTGTAATCCCTAAAGAGCACATAATCAATCTAAACTCTTACTAGTTTCTGTCCAGTACTGTAAACATCGTGCTGGTCCTTGACCCGGAAACAGTGTTGGCAACGGCTCTTGTTGAAGATGTTTGGCTCAAAGCGGAGGCAGACCTTGTGTTGAGCGGAGAACGCCATTTTGAGCTAATTTAACGCCTCGTTTCCATAATCACACTACGACGATAACGATCTGTCGCTTAAAAAATCCCTGTAGCACAACTTTTACTTGAAGAGTTCCCGATTTATTCCCGCAAAACAAACAAAAAAGAGGATGGACAAGAAAAGAAGGGTTAAAGCTAACTCTACGCGCTGTCCCATATTCGATCTACGCGCTTAAACCAAAACAAACACTGGGAATATCAATTAACTACAGCAATATCGCGAAAGCGGGGTAAAATAATAGCTGAATATAAGATAAAATCAAATAATTTTTATAGTGAATATAAATTTGAAATTATTACATCTTCATAAATAATTCTTACCAATTAGCTCACATCGAAGACTGTATAATTCTCGAAATGAAACAAAAATATCAAAAAACGGAAATTTGTTTTTCCATGAAATGCGTCATCGTGACTCCGTTAGAACCGGGTTTGCCGGTCCTCCACATAATTTTGTTTATTTCGCATTTGAATCGTAAAATAAAAGACTAGTTCTTGGGAATGAATATGAAAATATTTTGAAGCAATTCAAATTTATATTATAATAGCTAACATAACATAACTTTTGGTCAAGGGGTCGATGAAACAGTGGCTGATTTGCCGTAAATCAACTGTTTTCGAAAAACTTTCCAAAATATGGTTATTTTGATAATAAATTATTAAAAACATGGTCATTTTACAGTATGATGATACTTTAGTTTTTTTCTAATTCATCTGCTAATTAGATGGTCGCAGATGAATGAAAATCAGCAGAGATCACCAATCTAACCAAGTAACAGTTTATTATGGTCACCAACGCAGGATTACTTATACGGTTAGTGAGAAGCACCTGGAAGCGGGATGGATAATATAATGTGTGTTATGGATAGCCTCCTCTTCGACGATGCTCTGGAGCGGAACAATCGGACTTAATCCGGTGGATTGGTTGAGGTCAGAGGAGTGATAATTCGTCCTCAATTAACGCGACCTTAACACGACTGGTTTCTCATTAGTGAACAACATTCGTTATTCTTCTTTTCAATCATTAAACCTTTCCAGCGTGGAAGAGGGAAACCTGGCGGTTTCACGTTTCTTTCTTTTTTGATATATCACTTAAGTCATTTACTTCGCCTTCAGTCGACGCTTCGTAACGTACCATCATGAACAACGATGGCAGCACGGTAAGAGTATCGATAGGATAGTAATATAGTTGACATTAACTACTCTTTATGACTTAATTTTTAATGTTAAGAAACGTCATTTTTTGCCAATATTTATCGATGGAAAGTGTCCTTAATTATATTGTTTTAGGCAGACTTGTCGAATCAAGTGGGCCAGTTGTTCATGATGGACAGCGACTTCTTCCACTCGCCTTTCATGAGGGACAAGATACCAAAGATACTGTTCAGTAATGGTACGTTTCGTTAAATTACAAGAATTGGAATAAACTATAATATAAACTATGAATTTGATATTCTATAAAACATTTTTTACCGAAGTAAAGTTCAAAATCATACTGTAATTTTAGGGATGCGAGGTCTAGAATCGTCGACTTTAAAGTTACCGACATTTAACCATGCCTTCAGTATGAATGATGTCTCCAGTAAAGCTGTAGTAAAGGATATTCCTATCAGAGTAAAAGTAAGCTATATTATCAGCAAAGTTTAAAAGTAAGAGCTATAATAGTAAATTTGTTTGACTTTTATAGACCTTGGCATCCAATCCTACGTTTACTGAGATCTCAAGTGTCCGAAACTCGACCCCGACCCCATCGTTCCATTCCACACGGTAAGTACAGAACACCATTGTATAATAACATAAAAACGTATTGATTATAAGATGTATCAGTATATATTACTCCACATTATTAACTCATTTTAAAATTTAAGGATAACCAACCGAACACCTACTGAATTTGAATCTGTGCCAAACTTGGCACAAGATTTCAAAGACAAACATGACATTAGGAGAACCAATGATTACAGTAGTCCTTCCTATGCAGACAGAAGCAACAATTATCAACCAAAGTCATCAATAAGTTCAAATAACTACCTGCCCCCTCCTTTTGTACCTTCTAGTACATATCATCCTCCCATGTCAAAGCCTTCTAACACATTCCAAACAACTACAACTAAGTCGTCTGATTCGTATCAACCGACTGTAACTGTGTCATCTAACACTTACCAGCCAAAAGTAACAATGTCATTTACGAGTTATCAGCCAAGTGTAACAATGTCATCAAACTCTTATCAGCCAAGCAGAGCGATATCACCAAAGACTTTTGAGAGAACTGACAACCACGGATCGTTGAGGAATCTGAGTTCTCAGTTTGGTGTAGCTAGTCAACTTTACAATTCAGAATCTTCCAGCAAGCCCGTTTACTCTTCGTATCGTGATCTACCGACTTCAGAAGACAATAAGTTTGGGAACAGTTACCCATCAGGAGACTTAAAGTAAGTTACCCTTTTGTCAATTCATATTGCTATAGTAGCTACAGAAGCTTCGGAAGGAGATCTGAGACGCCTCCATTGACACAATCTAGAAGTCGGACCCCAGTGATAACCTCTACAACTCCACATAACTACACGTAGGTTCTCTATCTTGGCTATGACAATGTGATGACAAGGTTACCAATTATAGTTTTAATTTTCAGAAGGGATGTTTACAATTCTTTACCTCGTCTTGTGCCTACACGACTCGAGTCTTCAACAGCTACATTACCACCACTGATAAGGCCATCTCGAGAACGGAAGATCAACATTTCAGATGTCCGGAATCTTCCTCGACCTGCTGAATCCGGCCCCGCGAAGCCGACGAGAAGTGTGGAACGATCAACGAACGACTTCGGACTGTTTCCGTCTTCGTCGCTACAGTCGCTCCGCTCGCTCCATCGAGACGTCAGAACGGATCCTCCCTCAGCCTTCTACCGGACCAATCCACCCAACGTTCGGGAAACCTCCTTCTCCTCCCGAACCACCAGCAACCCCGACCTCTACACGAAGAGTCTGACGCGGCCTCTGAAGTCTCCTGATCTGGTCGACGAAGCTATTCGAAGCCTGGAAAGCTTTGGCAAGTTACACTTGACCCTTAACAATCTACTTATATTGTTTTAACTTCTAGAGATTAACCTTTTGAAACCCCTATATTTTAGATCCAAACGAGTACTTAACCAACGGACTGAGTACCAGCTATTCAGTATCATCCCCCGGTTTGACAAAAGAATTGGAAATCAGTGCCAATGATGCCACAGTGAATATTCTGTCATCTGAAAGGATGAGTCTCCAGTCTCTGATCGGCGAGCTACGATCTCAGTGTCTTGGCTTCAATGAACTGACATCGAAGCCGGGCTGGAGATCGTATGGAGAGTTGGACTACAAACTGCCAGAGATAAAACAACTTTTCTACAGTATCCGCGGCAATCTAGCCAAACTACAAAGTCGATTGGTCACTGACAGAGTAAATGCATCGTCCGATCTGATGGATACTGTAGCTATAATGATGACAGAGTTCAACCATATCAGTGGTAATGCGGACGACTGGAGCACTAGAAGATTGTGGAGGGGAGCGTGGGCTTCGGAAACCAACGATGATCTGGACAAATTCACAAGACTGTCACGTAGAGTAAGTTGGCCTACTTCATATAGACTTAGGTAACTAGCAATTATTTCATAGTAAATCTCATAAAACCCGATACCTATATTATAATTGAGAAACTGCAACGTTTACTGTTTTAGTTACTGAATGTTATGGATGAACTGACGTCAGTCACAGACCGAACTTTGAGATCCCCCCACAGCCCTACAACAAGATCAGTGAAGACAGAAGAAAGGCTTACTCCAAACGGATTCATGAGCAGCCCCAACACCTATAACAACACCAACTTCCTGAGCTCGAGTCCTCTCATGAATAGTAGTTACAGTAAGAACTTCGAGGTGATGGATGGTGGAGAATCGACTACTAGTTCGACCACTTCGTTTAGCCCGACGATCAGTCAAAAAAGTGTAACAGAATCCAAAGACACACTGATTCCACAGTCTGGATACCTTCCTCCAGACTCTCCAGAATCCAGGATCGTGATGGAGGAGGATGATCTAGCATCACTTAGCAGCTCCATGAACTTTGGAAAGGTAAAAACAATTTTGAGTTTTTGGGGCACAAGATATCTTTTTAAAGTGATGTATGATATGTTATTATAATAACAAATTCAGATTTCCCCACCTCCACCTATCTTCGACCGAAGCCAACTGGATGGGCAACTATCGTCTACAGAGTTAGAGATGGTGGAGTTCTGTGCCCCACAAGTCACCCAAAACAATGAAAAGCTTAATCGACTGGTCGAGGCATTTTACAACGAGATCGAGACTGGAGAAAGTCCAGAAAAGTTCGGCCAAAAAGCAAGAATGGTATGTTTTGAAAGACCTATAAAACAGACTGTTACACCTTCCTAAATCAGATACTTTCAGATTGTGATGGTCGGAAAAGTGTTGACACAACTAGCCAAAAACATCGGGTCAAGTCTGCAGAGTCCAAGTCACAAAATGGAATTCGAAAAAACGGGTGATCTATTGGAGAAAACGGTCGATTATTGCCAGGAGAGCATAAACGAGGCATTGAAACAGGTAAGAAGATAAGCACGAGTTAACCGGTGTTGTGGTTCAATATTTTGTTAAAATCTAAATTACAGTACCCCCAAGTGCCAGCGATAGAATCTCTGATAACGGTGATTAACAGTATCTGCCAACAAACCCAGAATCTGTGTATTCTGGTGGCGTTATCCATGTACCAAAGCAAGTAGACAGTTTATATGATTATGTACATTATTCCACAAAATAAATTATTCAAATTACGCGGTCTTTTCCTCGGAACACTCGTCAAGAAGCTCGTCCAGCTCCTCGTTCCACTGTTCCTCGGACTTCCCGTCCTTCACCACCTCGTAATCAGGCATGTCGTTCAAGAACTCGGACTCCCAATCTTCTAAACCATCACAATATAGCAAAATATGATTTTTGTAAAAATATCGTTTTATGATATAATCATAAACAATTAAAACCTACCATCATCCTTCTCTTTTTCTGGTTTCTTTTCTTCTTCGGTTGTTTCTTCTTCATTTTCTTCTGTTTTCTCCTCTACTTCAACTTCCTTTTCCTGCTCCTCTTTGGCTTCTTTCTTCTCGCGCATACTATTTTCATTGGCTTTGCAAATCAGGTTGACTCTGTAAAAGTAGTTTCTCCAAAACCGTTCTTCTGTTATCTTCTTCGGTACCAATTCAAATCGTATGTCCAGAATCCTGGGGTCGTATGTCACGAAGAATGCTGCCATGGCTTCTATCTTGGCTATGGTAAGCTCTTCGTCTACAACCGGCGCATCTTCGAGAAAGGCCTTCTGATCTTGAGACAAGTTCAGTATCTGTTTCTTGACCTCATCGTGTTCCAACACTTCACGGAACGGAATATCTACATCAACAGAGGCACTAACTTGCTTTTCGAATAACTTTTGCTCTTCGGTTAGCTGTCCCAAGATTGTCTGAAAACATGTTTTATTAAAATTAAATGAATAATAATGGAAGGCAACTATAGATACTTACATTATCCAAGTTTTCCTTCACCAAGTTAGTCAATTTGGCGGCATTCTTCTGGGCAATTTCCAAGTTCTGTGAGGCGAATCGTAGATAACTTCCAAATGTTTCTAAAAAAATAAAACTAGGATTCACAAGAACAATAAGTGCACTATACCCGAAAATAAGGCTGTTGAACTAGTACCACTTTCTTCAGGGGTGGTCTCTTCTGGAGCTGTGTTCGTTCCCTCTTCTTGACTTCCCGATTCCTGTTTAGGTACAACTTGCTCCAGCAAAGTGTTAAACTTCTTTTGCGCTCCACCTAACAAATTAAACATCTAAACAAAGTATATAAATGACGTTACCATCAAGTTGCAAAGGTATAATTGGTCACAACCACATACAAAAACTTCCAACCTACATCTGTATTGTACTTTACAGTTACCCGCAATATTCACAATTGATAAGAAATACAAAAATGCATAAAAATCTACAATGGAAAGCGAAAATTACAATATAATCATCGAAAATCACAATAAAATCAACGTATATTACTATATAAATCATCGGAAGTTAAAATCATGCCACATGTTGGTGAGAGGTCAATACAATATAAAGTCCTGACTAGTAGAAGTTATTAAAGATTCGGGTCTAAAGTGATGCACCATTTGACAAACCGTAGAGCGTTCATGTCTTGTCCTTTTGGTACCTTCCTGAATATTGAACCAACGATTATCTCCATTTGACCTGAAATGCAATAATCAAGTCAGTAAAACATTGTTAAAGACAAGTAACACACACATGGTTGTACAACACCTACTTAATGACAATTTGTTAACCGCGTTGAGTTCTCTGAAGAATATGACCAAGAAGTTGAACACTTCCTTGCTCGGCGGTGTAATCGAAGCTACGTATTTGTAGAAGCTGTCGACTTCAGGAACGTTGCCGACCAAAGGAATCGACGTTAGTAGTGAGCTCCGTAGAGATCGTAGAAACACGTGTAAGGTAGAATACAAAGTTGAAGGGTGAGATTGAGCTATTTCGCCTAAAGTAATTAGTAAATGTCAGTTATTAAGAAAAAAGAAGTAAAAATTACAGTAAAAAAATTGTTTTACCTAAACTATGATATTGTTCCTTCTCCATGACATCTCTGATTATAAAGAAAGCATCGTCAGAGAATGTCTCGTCGTATCTTATTCGATTCAAACCAACTTTCCTAAGCGCTTGCACCATGTATAATATAGGCGGTGGTATGTTTTTAGGTTTACCAGTGTTCTGAGTATCATCGCTCTGAAAACACATGTATTTTATTACATATAAACATTTCTTTAAACTAAAAATCCAAATTTGATTTTAAAACTCACAAAGTCGATGAGCAATTCTTCCTTCTTCTGAATTCCTTTACCCAAAAGAGATTCCAGGGCTACGCCAAAACAAGACGGTTCGTATACAGCATTGACCACCAAAAAGTAGTCCCTGCCCTTGTCTAATCGTATCACCAATATACAGTTGAGTTCTGTCCGTTTGTCAATCTTCCAGGCTTCTTCGTTGTCTACCACAACTTGTAGTGTTACCTCCACTTCGTCATCAACATCAATAAATGAGCTCTTAGGAGTTAGTGTCAGCCAGTTCTCCGGAAGATCGGAACTTTGATGTTTGTTAGCAAAAGCAAATCGAGTAGCTGTGATTCCAGTGTTCTTGATAGTAAGCACTTTGACAGACGGCTGCCTGAAGTAGACTTGCCCAAATGATACCTAAAGTCATGGTTGTAAGTTACATAAGTTACCAATAGCGACAACAAAAGTAAACTGTATTAGGTGACAAAACGTACCTCAGTAGAAGAAACTTGGATTGATGGAAGCAGATCATTAGTTTTTCTGTCTGTTTCTCGTAGTAGCTCATCGTACACCAAGTTTCTCTTCTTCTTGTCCACCTTCTTGATCTCGGCCTGGAAGTTAGAACAAACCGGCTTGTGATCGCTGAAGACAACGGCTTCTCGACTCTCGTACGTGACTTGTTTTAGCTTCACAGTCTTGTCCTTTGTCCAATATAACACTCTGTCACACCATGCGGGTACCCGTCTTTTTTCACTCGTATCCCAAGTAGAAGTACCTACATCAAACTTGTAGGTAGGTCGGAATGAAGGAGTCTCTTCGTGGAAAGCATTGAACGCTGTCTTCACTCTTTGCTGCTCTTTCAGCTACAAAACAAGGTTTCGATGAGATATTAATCATGTGATTTTCAGGATTATTAAAAATGTTTTTTAAAATAATCATGACTACTCACTTGATCATGATGAAATAAACCAATAAAATTGTTAGAGTTGCATTTGTGAACCACCTCCTCATAGGAAAAACTCGAGTTGAGACGGTAGTTCAAGTCACCGAGCCATATGACGGCGTCATGATCATAGATTCCCTTTCCGTCAGCAAACTTCATCTGTGAGATATCTCGAAAATCCTACAAAGACAACTATAGTGTTGTTCATCATTCAAAACGAATTTAGTGTGAATTGTTACCTAAACATCAACTAAAAATAATAAAAAGATACCTGGTTCCTCCTGCTAAGTTCTCCACCTCCCGCAGCCAAATGTGAGTTAATGAAACAATAATAAGAATCGTTTATCTTCATACTTATCCCAACTCCACCTTTATTCCCAAACTTTAAGAAGCCGGTTGGCACTATTCCACTTTGAACTTCTGATACCGCAAACTGAGATGGTTGTAGTTGATACGCCACAATAAAGATTCCGATTAACCTCACACAGTCTATCTAAAATCATAAATCCAAATTTGTTACCTAAACATACCTGAACGTAGGTATTCGGAATATTCCTCTGCAATACGTACAACCACTCGTGCTGGCGACTAGCATTATCTGTAACATAAGTTCCCAGAGCCAAGTCCATCTCTTGTAAACTAAAAAAGTAAAGTTTAACGACTATTATCAAAGATAGGTATAAATCATAAAGGAAAATAATATTACCCAATGACAAGAAAATGCGGTAGATTCTCAGAGTCAAACGTCAGCCAATTGCCCAGATAATCTGGTGGAGACTTCCCGTTAACATTAAAAGTAGTTGCGTGTATCTTTGCATTGGTAAATGTGCAAAATCTAAATATTAATCATCTTTAAAGAGTTCAAACATCACTTTTAAGATAAAGAAAAGATGAAATACCTGGATTCTTGAGTGTGCAAAAGATCATCGATAAAGAATTCAGCCCCAAAGCTCATATTTAAACCTATTCACCATACCACCTTTCTAAACAAACTTTGATATTCCAATCCACGTCAAAAACGATAAAAATTAGAGAAAAACGAAGTGTCACACAAAAGAACGAAGTGTCAAACAAGAAAAACATTTATTCGTTTCTTTACAAACAAAAACAACTAATGGTGGAGATCGAGATTATGCGAACGTTTGTCCATTGAACGAGAGCTCAGTAGCATCTATCGGAGAAAATTTTATGTAGAACCTGAAATATATCAATTTACTAACAATTTTAGAGAATACGTAAATTTAACGAAAAACTTGCCGATCTTTAGAGATCTTCAATTCCGAGTTGACCAGATTCGTTAGTTCACCTGCCATCTTGTTGGTTTTGTTTCCAAAGCCTCCAATCGAACCGAATTCCAGATACGCGGATTCAGCGTTCTTGCCCCCGAACGACATCAAGCTGTCGGGTTGGAGAATAACTTGGACATACTAAAACGTGACGGCATAAGCAAAATGTAACACATAAAACGTCAGAGAATGAGTAAAACTCACGGATTCCGGCTTTCCAGTCAACTTGGCCACCAGCGCGCTTGTTTTGGCCAAAAAGTCTGCGGGGATTTGGGCGTGGGGAAAGTCGGTGGTGATCTTGAGGATGGGCATGTCTGAAATCAGAGGTCAGTCAGCTGGTCGAGTTCTTCGATCCCTTATCACGCTTTATTATCTAATTCCCCGGCCTTTCTTCTTTTATCAAAAGTACTCAAGGGTCAAATGTTTACCCAGTGGTCACAAAATAAATAAAATCCGAGGACGTAACATCAGTTTTCATGTCAATTTTGTTTTTCTTTTCCCTTTTTATTGTTTTGGCGTTCTGCACCACCGGGAGACGGAGTCATTTTTCAAATAGTTGTATTTGAAGCTGTTGAACTAAGGTTAACGTCAGGTTAACGAGGTTAAAGTGACCAGTCCGCGCCAAGTCATCAAGAGTCGTTACATTTTTATCAGGTTTCATTGAAAGTTGTTATCATAAGGCCTGTGCGCGGCCCATCTGCTGCTTCCCCCAATCATTTGATTAGCAAATTTGATAAACGGTCGTCTGTTTTCAGAATGGCGACGTTGGTTGATTTGTTTAATCAGCTTGTGGGCGACCCCACCAAGAAGGATAACGTGGTACTACAAGATATTACCAGGACATGGACGGTGGCCGAGTTGGACAAGGTCACCTACAACTTGGCTGCTCATTTTAAATCCAAGTTTGATTGTAAGAAGGGGTCATGCGTGGCCCTTTACATGAACAAGAGTGCGGAATATGTCATTTCGTACATTGCAACATTACGAGCAGGTTTGTTAAAACCGTAAGTCTGATTACTGTAACACTTTAAGGAGGAGCGTACTTGCCCTTGGACATTTCATATCCCGAAAACTTGCTGACTTCTGTGCTCGATGAAGTTGTACCCGCCGTAGTGGCAACTACACCACAACACGTATCCAAACTACCAGGTACTGTAGTTTTTGGGGTAGTTACAGGGTTAAATACGTTTATATCTTTCTACTTTTGTAGAGCAAACCCCACGATTCGTATTCGAAAACAACTGGTCGATAGACGACTCCAAAGTCGCCCTTCCAGATGACATTACTCCAGATGATAAGGCCTACATTGTCTACAGTTCGGGAACCACAGGAAAGCCTAAGGGCATAGTTTGTCCCCACCGGGGAGCAGTGGTGTCCTACCAATACCGATTCGAGAACTACCCCTACCAGGAAGATGACGTTGTAGCTTGTAACGTGTTCTTCGTCTGGGAGTTGCTGAGACCAATTCTCAAAGGTAACATACTACTGTAAAAATCACCCTTTTGTAGGTATAAAACTGGTAGTGATTCCTGACGATGTTATATACGATCCAGCCCCATTGTGTGAGTTTCTGAAGAAACACAATGTCACGAGGATGTTGTTCACGCCTTCTTTGATGGAGACGGTACTAGACACCCAGAAGTCGGGGTACCTGAAGGAATCTTTCAAAAAGTTCAGGTGAGGCTAACTGACAAAAGATACTGAAGTGTCATTAAGTCTTGAGTCATAGTACAATATAATGTCATGATCGAGTAAATTGCAGAGTAATCCATCTTTGTGGAGAAGTTGTCACCACGAACTTGTTGTCTCGTATCATGAACCACTTTTCCCATTGTACGATCGTCAACTTGTACAGTATCTCTGAAACACACGATGTTGCTGTAGCCGACCTAAACGACTTCTTTAAAAAAAACGAACCGAGAAAGTTTGCACCTGTCGGAAAAGTGCTCCCCTCGGTAAAAGTACTCATTCTGGACCAAAACCAACGAAGAGTACCAATCGGGGTACCAGGCGAAATATTCGTATGTGGCCCTACTTTAGCCTTGGGGTACCTAAACCGACCAGAACTAAACAAGAACAGGTTCCTAGAGGTGCCTTCGGAGTACCAGAATGAGTTGGGATGTACTCGGATGTATCGTACTGGAGATTGGGGCTACGTACTGCCCAACTCGGTGCTCGAGATTTGCGGCAGAGTAGATACTCTGGTTCGTATCAGAGGCTACGGAGTAGAGCTACAAGCTATTGAAGCTACACTGCTCAAGTTCCCGTATGTCAAAAGTTGCGCTGTCGAGAGTATCGGGCAGGAAGGCGAGGACAAACAGCTGGCTGCCTACATCGTGCTCAAAGAGAACGTCTCCAGAAAGTCAATTAGAGCCGAGCTTAAGAGACTACTGCCTTTCTACATGGTACCCCACTTCTTCGTATTTATGGAAAAGTAGGCTGACTAAACTCATTATTTAACATTACGTTTAGTTGAGTGTTGCTCGACTTATCGAGCGTGTTCAATTTCAAATTGTCTTATAATACTTTATAATTATTCTTGCAGACTGCCAGTCGTCGCTGCCTCCAGTAAAATCGACAGAAAAGCGTTGCCAGATGTCGAGTTCGAGAGAGACGTCGTCGAAACAGAAGCTCTTCCACAGACGCCGACCGAGAAGAAGCTGGCCGCCATCTGGGCTGACGTCCTTCAGCACTCTACACTAGACATTCAGGAGAGCTTCTTCGACTTGGGAGGGTAAGTTAGCGATTAAAATTTCATTAAAATGACGATATTAAATACATAACAAAGCAAATAGTTACTATCCTTTACAGACACTCGTTAATGGCAGCAAGACTTCTGAATCGTGTCACCGAAGAATTCAATGTGAAGTTCACGACGCGAGACCTCTTTTCGGCGCCCACGGTGTACGAGATGGCCAGAATCATCGACGGAGTAGACCACGTATCGCCAGAGCATTCTGTAAATTTAGATTACCAGATCGAGACGCACGACGTCAAGGATAACATGTAAGCTAACCCTACAAACTTAAGAACAATTATTAGTCCATTGTTCTGAATGATATTGTTTTAGCATGGACCTCCATCTACGTGCCTTCTGGAGATCTACAGAATGGGGAAACCGCTTCTTCCGGTCGAATATTCTTCTGACTGGAGTGACCGGCTTCCTGGGTGCTCACTTTTTGTACGAGATCCTAGTCAACTCCCAAGCCAACGTGGTGTGTGTAGTCCGTGAGGTTAGCGGAGAGCCTGTAGAAGACCGTGTCAAGTTTTCTCTCAAGAAATCCGGACTTTGGACTAATTCGATGCCAGAAATCATACGGTAACTCTTACTGTAACTGGTTCTTTACAAGTATAAGATATTTATGATTTCTAATCGTATAAAACCAGGACTACGTACTTATTCTAGCGAACGTGTTCGTGTAGTCAGTGGTGACATTGCTCTAATCAAACTAGGACTGAGCGAAGAACATTACCATTTCCTGACCTATGACATCGATGTGGTTGTGCATTCTGCAGCTTACGTCAACTTGATCTACCCATACCAAGCAAGCACATTACAAAATTATTAAAAATTTACAAAAACCAGTCACATTCTATATTATTGAAATGCCATCTCAATGTGAAAATTGTTTTAGGCTCTGCATGGTATCAACGTACTCGGAACTCGCAACGTGCTAGACTTCTGCCACCAAAACAAGGTGAAACCTCTACATTACATCAGCACTGATGCCGTCATTCCTCAAAATCTACATGACATCGACGAGAACTTTGACATTTCAAAAGTAAAGGAGAAACTGTCAGACGGCTACTCCCAGAGTAAATATGTAGCCGAGAACCTCGTTAGACGATCAATGGACCGAGGCCTTCCTGGAATCATCTACCGTTTAGGGAATCAAGCAGCCTCGAGTAAGGCGGCCATCTGGAACGAGCAGGACTTCACCTATCTCATGCTCAAAGCTGTCATTCATACTGGAGCCGCGCCGAACCTGGATTGGACCGTGAGTTTATCATAATTGAACCCTTATCATAAATAAGAGACTCAAAATATTGTTTATCAAAAAAACTCTTATCCAAACAAAAGGGATTTCTCTTTAAGCGTAATGTTGTTTTAGGTTGAAGTAACGAATGTTGACTTCACGAGCAAGTTTGTCAACCATCTGATCACCAAAGAATTCTGTGAAAACGTAGACAAAACATTCCACCTTACCAATTCCGTGGGACCAAAGTGGAATGACATTATCAACTGGCTGATTGAGTATGGATACGACCTTCAATTCGTCGAGGGAAATGTCTGGATCGAACAGTAAGTCTGTCTACATTCAATTCAACACCTAATCTCAATAAACACTGAAACATATTTTTCTAGGGTTAGTACGTCTACCGACCCCGCTCTCCAACAAATCCAGAAGTTACTGCAGCTGATGGTCAGGTAATACAATAATATAACGCTAATATAATAATATGTAATATACTCTAAGGACAATGTAAAGGATACTGACCTCAAATACTTTCAGAGACGAGTCTTTCTTCCGAACACAATCAACATATCTCCGTTCTAACACTGATTCTCTGTTATCAACCCTAAAGTGGAAGTATCCAACCTTGGACAAGAAACTGTTTCACCATTGGGTCCGAAGATTGGTCGAGCAGAAGGCCATTGCCAAACCGAGACCAAAATCAGGTACTTCCAGTTTAAAAAAATAAAAATTAAAACGAAACCTCTCCGTAAAAATGGCAGAATCCGCTTTCGCCGTCGCGAAAATGATTTTCGCATTCACGCCTAGGCGCGCCTTCCGTTTTTGGGTCAAGTGTTACATTTTCAGAGTTGAAAAATGTAACTACTTGTCTCGAAATGGAGGGTTAAAAAAAGGCGAAGAAAGCGGAGGGCGAAAACAGATTTATTCGTAAAAAATATTTTCCGTGAATAAAAAATAAATAATGGAAAAAATATAAAATTGAAGATCTGCGCGAATTAAAACTTTTTGTTTAAGAAAAAGCCGGCTTGCAAAATGAAGTAAGAAGTCAAAAGATCTAAAAAGTTTGTTTTACAGTTTAAAACAGTAAATAAATATTTTTTAAGGTTTTAAAGTGACTTTTACCATTTAATGTTATCATCGTTTTAAGAAATACAACAAACTTTTTTGCCATAAATTTATTAATTTAGGCATGACATTGTTGAACAAGGTCTGCGTAGTCACTGGAGCCAGCGAGGGTATAGGAGAAGCGATAGCCAGGTACCTGGCCAGAGAAGGAGGTAAAGTCGTATTGTTGGCTAGACAGTTGGAGAAGCTGGAGAAGATCGTGGCCGACCTTGTTTTTAACGGAATCTCAGAGTCTTCTTTGATGGCATTGAAATGCGATGTGACTAACGAACAGAATGTCACGAGTGCGGTAGAGAGTGTCATCAACGAGTACAACAAGATAGATGTGTTAGTTAATTGTGCTGGCTGTATGTATTACTGTATGGCCAAGAATGGGTACACAGACGAATGGAAACGACAGATTGACGTGAACTGTCACGGAACTACTTTGGTGACGTCTAGCGTCATTCCAATCATGATAAAACAGAATCTGGGACATATTGTAAATATCACTTCTGATGCGGGAAAACGAGTGAGTATGTTTAAGGTATACTGTATATAACATTTTGTTACATTTTTCCTTTACAACTAGTTTCTTGTAGGGATTTGCGGGTTTGGCGGTTTACTCTGGAAGCAAATTCTACATTGAAGGCTTCGTACAAGCCTTGAGGCAAGAGTTGGTTGAGTATAATATCAAGTTCACCAACATTCAACCAGGAGATGTATCCACCAAATTGGCTGGGCGATCCACAGATAAAGAGGTGGGTTTTACAAAAATCATGACTAAAATTAACATTTCTTTCTAAAGTCCCATTAAAACCACGAAATTTTTGATTTTACAGGCTTCTGAAAAGTATGATTTCTCTAAAGCTGGCCACAAAATCCTTGACCCTGAAGACGTGGCCAAGGCTGTTGTATTCGCTGTCGGTCAATCTAAACATGTGGCAGTGAATGAACTTTTGATTGAACCACAACAAGCTCCGATATAATATCAGACAAGAAATATATTCTTTATTACATGCAATTAAGGTTAAAGAGTATCTAAGTCATCGTCGACTCGCATCCGTTTGGCGAGGCTCCCGCCTTCGTCTTCTGAATCCGTGTCGCTGAGTTCGAGATCAGCATTCAGCTGTCCTTCCTGTTGCATTTTACTGGTCGACAAGTCCATGTTACTCCAGGCATCCATAGATTCCTCGTCTGGGAACATGGTCGTATCTTCCATAGTGGGAAGCGAGTCCCGTGTCATATCGTCTTCGACATCAGAAATGAAGTTGGCCTGTTGCTCGTTGGCTTCTGTCTTGGCAATTCTGGCCTCGAGCTCTTTGAGTTGGACTTCCTTCTCCATCACCAGGACCTTAGCGTGATCGTAGATGTCTTTAGCTTTAAGCGTGTAAGGAGATTCTGGTCCGTTGAACGTGGCACTGTTATCGTAAATCTGTAAAATAATTGTATTAAATACAATTGTCTTAAAATGGATTTATAAGGAGACAAAAACAAAGTACCTAACACAATTCATATTACACATACCTGTTTAATATCGGCGAGGAAAGTGTCAATGTTTTTGTAGAACTTGTCTTTGACTTGTTGTTCGATTGTCCCCAAATCCATAGGACGGTTGATCTTGTCCAAATAGTGAGGAAGCTAAAGAATAAATCAGTTTATTACCAAAACTCTAAAGTTTACCTTCTTAGTGTCCACCTTGACATGGAAAGCGGCGCTCTTCGGAAGATTCTTACAACTTTGTACAATATCTCCCAGAATGTAAGAGAAGCCGACCATGTCATTGTCATCCAGCAGAGGGTTGATGGCCTTTTCCAGTTCAATCAGACGTTGTTCATGGTCAGCAATCCGTCTGCAGGCCAACTCGAACACCTTGTTGGCAGCTACAGTAATCGGATGAGCGGGTCCATTGTACTTCTTGGCATTGTCCAACATCAGCACGAGGTCTGTCATGAACTGCCGCCTGAGTTCGTACTTGTTATCATTGATATTCTTTCGGATTTTCTGGAGATCGATTGGGTTCGCAATGATGTCGTAGTAGTCTTTCACCTAAACTAACATTTCCTTTTTAATAATCAAGCAAGAAGATATAATGGTACTGTATTAAGAAGTATCAATGTCAAGATAACTTACAAGTTTGGGATTTACTGGCTGCATTAATGGATCTACCCCTTCGATGGACTTTATTTCATTGAAGATTTCCAACAACAATGTAGACAACGATACCCGTGGATCGGCTCTTCTTCGGTGGACTGACTTCATAGGTCCCATGAGGTATTCCGTGTCATCAAGGTTTATTTTGCGTCGATTCTTTCTGTTGGACTGACTGACAACGGTCGAAGCTGGAGAAGGGAGGTCGAAGCGGTTCGATGGTCCAGGTAACTGATCATCCTCCACCAACTCTTGCTGCTTCGTTTCTTCTGGCGAATTGGTCATCTGGCCCTGTGTTAGATGCTTGGGGATACGCAACCTGAAAGACATATTAATTTTTTTATATTACTTACTTTAGGGGCATCTTGTCTTGTTGTTCGGCGTGTTTGAAGAACTTTGTGGACACTTTGAGTCGAGTTCCTTCCAGTTCAAATAGCTCTCCGCTAGCCAAGCTTAGGCCATCCAGATCGACGTTGGGATTAGTTGTGTTCTGAAGTTAACATTAAAAGTGTTTGATTAATTCATAATGTACATAGCACTTATACTAAAAACGTTCTATTACCTACCAAAAGATCTCCGACAGTTTTCTCAGCCTTGGTATCTTTGCCATACAGAGGACAGTTCTTGTTGGTTTTCATGTGACCATTTCCTCCACAAGCACTACACCTCATCTTCTGAAGACTGGGCTTGATAGGTACCACCTTCTTCTCCTTCTCTGGCTTCTTCTTTGGTGGCCGACCGATCTGTGTGTGCATCTTCTGTCGCATCTCATTCCTTCTGATTCGTCTCAATTGATCTTGTAGTCGTCGTTTCTCTTTACGGCGTTCCTAAATTTTTGCATTAAAAAATTGCTTGTAATGTTGACTTATCCCAAACATATAAGTATCACAACTTGGTTAAAAATTACTCACTTCTTTGTATTGTTCGTCCATTTCGGCATATACCTTGATCCAAGCTAAGTCACGGTTGTGTCGTACACCAAGGTACGCATCGATGACATGAGGATTGTTGATCACTTCTACCCTTGTCTAAAACCGGTAATGTTACAATTAGAATGTAACGTTTTTTATAAAGCAGGATGTCTTAGACTTACCGATTCCACGCCTTCTGATGACTTTACAGTTCTGTAGATCTTCAGTTTTCGCGGTACTGTAGCCTGATTCTGTGCCAATTCAGCTTCCTTCTGAATGCTCTTCTCTGGTGCTTTGTTAGTACTTCCTTTGATCATCTTCTGTAGTGCCAATCGTTCCCGCTCCTCGTCCTCCATTTCCACCTTTTGTCTTATTGTTTTAGATAAAGCGTTCTTTTCATTTCCATCCAAAATCTTCTCCAACCGACTAGCCATGTCTTCATTATCAGAATCCTCGTTGTCAGAGCCTTCATCAGTACTAACAATATCTTCACACGATAAAGCCTGATTCTGAAGGTCAAACACGTTCTGACAGTACTTCTTGTATTTGTCTTGCATGTCAGCAAAGTTGAATCTGATGTTTCCACGAGCAAATCTGGCCATACCTAAAAGTTATATGTGAAAACCGGAATTTAAATCTACCTAAAATACCTTGAAAACGTTTCCTAATGATTAATGCATTTACTTGAGCTTACCTGCACCACTGAAGTCGGATCGAGCTTTTGCTGCTTGTGTTGACAATGTCCTGATGACATCAATTACTTCCCACCGAGTCAAGGAATTGATCTCCTCTTCCTTAACTCCATACGACCTACAGATCTCCTTGGCTTCTTTCAGCGGCAGCTTCCTCAAATCTGCATTCGTGCCTGTTACCAGTCGTTTCGGGATCTGAGGAACGTCTTCCTTCTGAGGCTTTGCCGAAACCCGCACGTAGGAAAAGCCTTGTCCACAACCAGTTGGGTCAGCCACCCCCGACTGATCTAACAGACACTTTCCCTTCGTAGCCGATATGAATGCTCGAGATGTGTTCCAGGGAGCACATTTTATTTCGTCTTCAATAGTAACTTGATCATCTGAATCGTCGTCGTTTTCTGGTGTGAAAAAGTACTTTTCTCCGTATCCAGCGTCCTTCAGGCGTTGTTCGGCTGACATCATACTGTATTGAGCGCAGCACATTTCTGGAGTCACCATACTTAACACCTCTTCTTTGCTAGGCAATCGGAAGTCTTCTCGGACTACCCAGTAGTTCTGTTCTGTACCTGCGCCCAGCCTTTTGAAGTCTGAACATTGTTTTAGTCTTTTCCTGACTGAACTCTCGGCGTAATGGGGGAAGGCGTTCTTGATGTCATCCATCTTCAACCGACGAGGCTGTTGGTCACTTGCCCAAAACAACCGGTATATGAATGCCTAAAATAATATTTAGTTGTGTTCTGTCGTTACTTACCAATAAGAAATCCCTGACAAAGACGGATGCTTTCTTTGAATTTGGACTAGGAACTTCAAAGGAAGGACATTCCTGACCAGCTACGAATAAGGTGGGACACTCGCGTATGTAAATTCTGAAGTATTTTATTAAACTGGGTATTACATAAACAATATTACGTTGGGTAAACTTTTGCAAGATAATACTTACCCATTTTTGTTCCTGACCAACAAAAAGTCCGTATGTAATGGTTTGTGTTGGTATATGGGGGCTCTGTACATGTTATTTTCGATTGCCTGTAGACACTGTCCAGGTGCTAAATTACCCAGAAATTGAGCATTCATGGCGAAGGCTGATTCTCCAAACTCCATTTCAGGCTCGACGTCCTTCTGAGCTTTCTGAAAAAAAATAAATAAAATTTTTAAATTGAAGTCAAATTAGGTATTGAGATAATAAAAGAGAACCCACCCTTTTGTAGTAATTCCTGATTCTCGATGCCATGCCTGGCTGACTGAGTAGCGGTGGATGTTCTTCAGAGTATTCCACCATGATCAGACGTCCATCACGTCCAGACAGATCAGCCAACGTCCTCATGTAGAAGATGTCTCCGCCACATTCAGCGATCTTCTGTCTCCTCCTTTGTTCGTCAGCTTTCTTGATATGTTTCACCAAGTTGTGGATGGGTAAGTTCTGGCTGAGCATGTCCCTCATCACCTTCTTCATCAACGGCATTCTGTGAAGATGTCGTAGTTTAAAGGAGTTCAAGTTTGTAGGGAAAAAGGCACGGTGAATGTTCTGAGCTGGGATCGAATGCTGAATGTTGGTGCCATTCATATTGCGCTGCGTTGTTTTGGGAGCATAGTAGTCGTCGTTGCTCATGTTAAACGGATCTTTGTCAGCAATCTGAGCGATCGTACTCTCGAGTTGTTCTTCTTCTTCTTGCTTCTGCCGCCTTTGGACTTGGCCCAATATCATTTTTGATTTTTTCGTAAATTGTTGATCCTAAAACCATTATGAAGTTAAAGTTAACTATTATATTATATTAAACCCAAAATAACAGTTTATTACAACTCACTCGTTTGTCGTAATGCCGATCTTCTTTCCTGTCATCAGATGGTACGTCTTCAGGTGTGCCGTAAACAATAGGATCTTCTTCGTACATCAAGGTCAATGTTTTAGGTTCTAAAAACAGAAATTAAAAAACAAACTAATCATTAGTAAATAATATCTTTAAAAAATAGGTTAATAATATCTTTAAAAATAGAGAAATCTTACCCAAAACCGAAGTCATGTTATCCGGGTCTATTATAATATCGTTTTCCCATGGAATTGACTCGACTTCTTCATTGACTAGTGGAAAGATAGACCGGCTACCATCCGGACCATAACAATCGTCAATATCGTTCTTCACACGTTGTTGTAGTTCATCCAACGTCCTCGTGGACGAATCATCCGACCCTAAACACAATAATATAAACATAAACTCTACTTACAGCAACTTCTGTACAACTTTAACGTCCTTGTATTTACAGTATTCACCCATCCGTACTTTGGGACTTGTTCTACCCTAAAATCGCTTGGTGCTTTCTCTGAGATATCCATTATAATATCATCTTCCCAACGAGTGAAGTTAACGGGCAGCAAGCTGTCTTCTGGCAGGTCAAACATGGCTTTTGGTTTCTTATTCCCCTATAAATCAAATTGTTTACTAAAAAATTAAAAGTATAAATTTAGCATTCTATAATTATGTTACCTAAAATATTACCTTTTGATATTTGAATCCGTAATCAAACTTCTTAGGTTTCTCCGGGATTCCCATTTGATCATACCACATTTGTGCAGGTCCAAACCTCCAAGACGGAGCTTCATCCTCTTCTTCATTGGCCTTTTGTTTTATGGCCAACTTGCTCTCTAAGTCTGGGTCCAAAAACAACTGTGTTTGATCTACTACACAGTCCGCTTTCTTTGGAGACAATACCGGCTCATCAGAAGCAACACTGTCCTTTTTCTTAAACGTTTTCGACGGCCACCATATCAAGTTCTTAGCCAAAGTTCGCGGATTCACGCCGAAAACACGCGAAAACCTCAAGGGACCGTCGAAACGAAAATCGGAGATGTAAAGTCTAGAATACTAATATAAAAAACCGATACAAAACATACCTCGGATCTATGTGTTGGTACTCGTCTGCTAGGATACCACACAAAGGTGCATCCGGCCTTTGATTTGGAGCGACGAACGGGGACAGCAGCTTGCCTAAAACAATATCAATCTAAAGTAAACAAACTCACGTTCTTCTTCAGCTTCAAATTCATCTTCTTCCCCCTCATCTGCAAAAGGAAATTGATCCTCAGAATCAACTTTGTAGCCATTTCCTTCAACCGCATCTTCGTCAATCAAGTCCAGCACCATCTCCTGAAGCGGCTCCTGCTCCTCCTCTTCAACGCCATTTTGATATGTATCACATGTGGAATCGTCTTCAATACCATTTTCTGATTCCATTTGTAGATTAACTAACTAAACATTTTACGATAATTTATTTGTTACGAAATTTAAAAAAAATATAAATATTATTATTCGCAGCTCGCGTCCGGTTTTTGTGAAAAGTAACGTTTTATACGATGAAAAAAAACTATCGCAAAATATTGTGAAGTTCGAAAATAAAAAGAAGTATGTAATTTCTTGCAAACACATAGTCAATTTTTGGACATTCGAATACTCAAAAAAATTTCGAAAGTTGAAGAAAAATATTATAGTTTCGTAAAAGTGCCTTCCATATCTTCCAGAAAACTGCATAAATAGAGGAGTATAATATTTTAAAAACTTAATTTTGTGCTAAAAATTGCGCTTTTCTTTACTGAATCAGTAGAGATTTATACATTCATGTATGTTTTTTTTGCTTTTAATTAACAAATTTGGTGGGAAAAGGTATTATATAACAAGACCAATCAATCCTTCAGCATTAATTTGATCAAATTTGCTTCTTTTACAGTACGCGTACTGCTGTAGTACACTCTCTTAAATTTCAAGACAAATTTAATGAATAGGTAAGAATATAAATTGTGAAATTTAATGCTTCATGCAAAGATCAAACGACAGAGTATTAAAATGATAATGATATGCTTTATCAGATGTAACATATAATAGTTACATATATGTGTTTTTATTTAAAATGTTAACAATTTCAGCTTTTATAGGTTCAATTTATCAGACTTTTTATTCCGAGTAATTGAACACAATAAATACAAGTTACACGACAAAAGCCCCTCTACCACAATGCTTTTTATGACGTTTTTGATTACGAGTTTCCCAAGATCGAGAAGTTGTCTTCAGAGGGAGTTCCCCTCAGGGTGAGAGAGCTCGTTTCACATTGCTTTCTTATCTAACTTTATTTTAAAATCAAAAGAGGTTTGTTTCTAAAAATAGTAATGTTTGTTGTCCTAGTCAGTGTTATTTGATGAAACATGTCACATTTGTAAAAGTTTTTATTTTCTGAAACAGGTCATATAAGACATCTGTTAGCTTACAGAACTTCTAAAACACATTTTATTGTTGTGGGTATGCAAATTGCCTCCACTTGGATATTGTTGTTATCTCTGTTTGTTGGTTCATAGCACAACAACATGTTTATTTGCTTTGACCTATTTTAAAGATTGCTTGTCGCGTCGCTCTAACTGCAAGCTAATTAATGAAGAAGCCGTAATAAAGTAGGTAACACCCAGAAGTGCATCCCAGGTGCAGAACAAAGCTTTATTTATATCATCTGTATGGTTTTCATGTGTCTGTCGACTTTTCCGCTCTCGAAAAAGCGTAAAAGGGGAGGGGGGGGGGCTGGCTCTTTCTTCTTCCCGTTTCAGAACAACAGTTCCTTGGAGGGTTGCGCTTTAAAGTCTCGTGAGTCTGTTATTGGGCCAAACTGGTGCGGGAAGGGGGAGCGGTGAAGGGGCGGTCGGCGAAAGGTGATCGACACCATGGGACGAACTTTATGGGATCAGGCAGTACCGGCCGATCTCCGCGTGACATCTTCGAGCTCTTTTTTCTGAGACCGGTCGTTGAGAGCCGAGATCAGCTGAGTGACAAATAACAGTTTTTAATTAACTGGTCGTTGCAGGGGTCGGCTGACCGTCTCGTCTTTTCTTTATCCGGAAGAGAATCCTCCCCTAAGGGCCGCCGACCTTCATAAAAGCAGCTTCTTATCTTATCTATCAACCTTTCTCAAATGCCCTTCCTCGGTAAAGACTGGAGAGCTCCAGGTGAGACCTGGGTCCGCCTCAACCACACCTCGGGATGGGAGCGAATCAAACTACGTCCGGTACAAATTGGTTCTCTCGGGGACTCTAAGGAAGACGACCTTTTCAAAGGTCGTACTAGTTCCGTCAGTATCTCCAGTGTTGATGACATTCTGAGCTCCAGTCCAACACAAAGTAACTCCAGATCGGACTCTGACGAATCTGCCGGTAAGATGACGTTTATCTATTAAATGATGGTTTTAGCAGAAGAAGACGAGGGATGGCAACCTTTTGTGTTCGTGAAGCAAAACCGTTCCAAAGAGGTGAGAAAAGTTACAGTAATTTATGATTTTTACAGTAATCTAGACTTTTATTTTTGAAACCAGTTTTTATATCTGACCTTTGGCCAAAAAGTAAACATAGACAACATAAAGGACAATTCTGTGTACTTTTTGACCAAACTGCGGATATGTTGTTGTTTTTAATCGTTAAATGTGTTTTAGTTCATCGGATGTACTAGTATGAGCGAAGCCTTCCACCGCCTGGACCTTGCCCGTGCCGTTCTGGACGTTCGTCGTTTCAATTACGTGTGCAAGGTAAATCAACTTTCACTGGACAACTATTTTAATTTAGGTTGTTCAAATCCTGGTGAACGAAAAGCTCCAAAACCTAAGTGCCACAGCTCGAAAGCACCTTTTTGCCATCATTCAAGCCATCGTCATTCACAGTAAGTTCATTTCGAAAGGTCAGCTGGGGATGTCACCTGTGACTAATAACATTTCGTTCTTCAGGTGTCGAAAGAGACCTTCACGTGAGCACGGCCAGGGAACTGGTCTCTCAGTTCGGCACAGGTTTGGAAGGTCATGTTTGCGGATCGCCTCAGCTGGTGAGTAAACAACTGGACATGGCCAACGATCTGTTAGACATGATTGTTGATCAGAACCCCATCACTTTGGCCGAGTCCAATGAGGAGTCCCTCACCTTCCTCGACCTCCCCAAGGAGATCATCGCACTTGTGCTGAGACGTCTGCCCGACCACTTGTCCATGCTGGAAGCGGCCAAAGCTCACGAGACTCTGGACTCGTTGGTATCCAACGAGTCCCGGCTGTGGCAGTCGCTGTCCAAGTTTCACTTCACGGAAGAGCAGATCGCCAAGCAACAGAAGCCAGACATGACCTGGCGCCACGTCTTTTACCAGTGTAAAAAGTACTACGGGCTACGCGAAATGTACGCCGATCTCATCCACATTTGTTGTCATTGTAAAGCCTTATTCTGGAAAGACCACGGCCATCCCTGTGTTGGCCGTGGCGACGCCCCGTCCGTCCGAGTCACCCCTGCCCAGTTCGTTGACATGTTGTTGTTCCTTTAGATCTTTTACCAAATCATACGGAGACCTCAATAACCGATTCTTTCTTCTGATATACATCCGGTGGATATCGTTTCATATATCTTGACGTAGGGGCTCTCCCCACGTATTTATCGGTGCATCTTCTCTTCCACACACTTTCAAGAGATTTATTTTTCGCAAATGTACATAAGTTAACAATTGTCATATACCTATCATTCAAATAAATGGCATCCATCCATGGAACATTTTCGACAAGTTTTCGGGATCAGTAGCGCTTTTGATGAGGTTTGTCATCTGAAAGGATGAATTAGACTGTAAAATAAATATTATAATATGTGACATAATTAATGAATCCCAAATCTGACCTGTGCTTCTGGTGAAGCTCGAACGTAGCCGACATCCGTGCCGTCGAGCTTTGCTTTCATTCGGGCAATGGCTGTTTCCGCCAGAAGACTTGTTTCCCCGACATCGTGCTTTCCAACGTCGAACTTGGACATAGGATCCAGCAGAAGAAGCGACGTCATCCCCAGAAGCACATCCGCGTTTTCCCGCAATTGCCGCAGGGTATGGACGGCTACCTGTTTGAAGCGCCCGTTGAGTCCGTCGATAAGAATCGGATCCACGGTATCCCTCGTCAGTCTGAAGGGAACCTTCTCGCGGACAGTAAGCGCCCGTTGACCGTGATCCAAGATCATCTCCAGGTCAATATGTACCAATTCGGCTGTGTCGTAGTCGATGAGAATGTTGTTGAGATGCCGGTCGCCTAGCCCAACCATGAAACAAACTAGAACAATATGTAAAATAATGTGTTATAGACATAAAAAACAATGTGAAACTAATAAGATAAAACATATAAATAATAAAAGATAACCCACCAACGGACCATAGGGCTAAATTTTCAGTGTAGGATCGTATCCTATCGAAGTAATCGTGAGATAACGGGTAGTTTTCGTAGAAAAAGTGCCTAAAGACTGGATGAATTCTTCGACAAATGTCCTCAAACTTCTGCCTTTTGTTTGAATAAGAATTCCTTAGCTCCATTGTAGCAGCCATAACCATTTCGTCCGGATAGTACCTTTTGTGGGCACCACTTTGTCTGGACGGTCCTATCAACCAGTCGCTTAGAGAAGTGGTGTTCTCAGCAAACTCAATCAGTCCAGCAGTCGGACTCATGGGTACCACGTTGTAGGTCTTGACTGGGTTCACCGTTCTTCCTCTGAACGGTTTGCTGTGCATCAGACAGTTGGTGACATTAAACAATGCCTGACTGAGGTCATCTTGTCTTACGTCTTCTCCCTTAAAGCATAGTTGACGTTATCATCACTACGATACAATTGGTACCACAAATCTTTTCCAATGCTTACCTTAACAATAATCTTCTTCCATATTCCAGTCGAAGTGCGCATTCTCATGCATTTTGGTCGAGAAAGCCCTGACATCATGGTAATAACGTCACTCACTTCTGCACAAGTGATGTAGTTTGTCAGATTGTAATCTTTGGGCTCCAAAATCTAAAAATAGCCAGTATATTAATTAGAAATTCAATATCATAGTACAAGTTATTTTAAAAGACACACTGGTTGATCAATAGTAGGTATTGGAAGCTCCATGAGAATGGGGAAGAACTCTGGCATCTTGAATGCACTTTCTTTCATCCGATATTTACCTAAATATACTAATTAGTACTCTCTACATACTTCATATTATTTTAAATAAAAACCCTTTACAATAACCAATCATACCATTTTCATCTACAACGACAAAGTCAGAATCATATTCACTTGCAGACAGTTTGTTGTAGAATCTTTGTGCTTTGCCAATCTTTGATATTATATCTCTGCCAACAGCAGAATCAGTTTCCTTTTGAACATCTTTCAGCAGTTTCTTCAACGTTTCTCTTCCCTAAACATCGCATTAACAATATACTTAAATTGCATTTTGTAAAAAACAGACCTTAAGAATGCTATTTCTTACCATATCCGTCAATTTTTCTTTGTCAAAATGATATAAAAGTGGAATCAAAGCCTGATAAGGGTAATCAGAGACCACTCTCAACAATATCTCATACACAAGTTTGGAGATAGGTTTCTCGATGAATAAGTATCCAGTTAAGACGTTGGTAACAGCCAACCAAACTGACGTCAATATAGAATCCAGTTGTGTCTAAAATAGGCAACAAGTAGCTTCTTCATCATCTGATTAAAATCTTAAAATATATTTGAAAAAAGTTTTAAGATGGTGATAAAGTAAAAAACAAAAATCAACATACAATGACATATGTGATAAGTTCAGAAGAGTCGTAATTCTGGACAACAAAAGCCGCCAAACGGTAAACTACTGACTTGTCATCAGTGCCCAGCCTGAGTGCCGTTGTATATGAATCTGCAATAGCCAAAAAGTACTTCATTATGTCCTTGTCGATCTTGTCTATCTCCCTTTCCTCGGTTTTCAATTGATTTGACAGATTTGTATGCATTTTTAAATCCATCGGCCTAAAAGCAAAAGTAGTACAGATTTAATGTTTATACAGCAATGATAATACATCACATGCACATTGTTGTAATAAATTAAAAACCAAACTTACTCAGCCAATTTTTTTTGCAAATCAGGGACACACTTGACCTTGGTTGCATAGTCATTTGACTTTTTGTACTCTTTCAGGCCATTGAACCTCATATGACAAAAACGAGCGTACTCTTTACAGTACTTCAACCTATACGATGGGTCGTATTCAATAAGACAGTTACTCGCTCCACTTGCCTAAAAACGCCATATTTAAACACAGCTCTCTATCAACTTTTTATAAACTCAGATATACATAACACACCTCATTAAAGTACTCTTCCATCTCGTTGATATCAGATGACATTTCGACCAACATCAGAAGAGAATCTGTCTCGACAGCACAGCCTCTTCTTGCTTCAGGATCAGTCATAGAGACATCGTTCTGAGCCTTCGCATCTTTTAGTATCTTGTCCAAATAGTAATATGCATTCAAACCGTCATTAGTTGACTTGGCCAACTTGGCCTTCATCAAGTAAATGTCATTCAAATGGCTTCTTAATTCTGGTTTCATAATCTTTTGAGCAAATTCCATGATTTCGTTCCCTCTCTACAACCACATCATATTAAACATGTCTTTGTTATAACCTCTAAACCCATTTCTTATGAAAGGTAGTACAATATTGTTTTAACTCTTGTATAACATACACTTTGTGAATTTATCTCCAAACAACCGTTTGCCATCTCAATCAAGACGTCTTTCAAGAATACAGTTTGTTTGTGAGTTGACGTATCTTTTGTGTACTTCAAACTTAACAATGGTACTATTCTTTGCAAGAGTTGGAAGTCAAACCCATCAATTCCTTGTGTAATATTGTCATCATTTGTCCACAAATGAGTTAGAAAGTCAATTTCCTTTTGTAATGTTATCAACTTGTCATCTATTCTTTCGATACATTGCAAATGGTTATCCAAAATACTTTGAATAGAATATACTTTCACATCCTTTGAATCTTGAACCAGTTTGAACAAAGCAAATCGATGTTCAGCAGTTGATGCTATACTGTAAAGACATCATAATTGATACCATATATAAAAAAGATCACTTACTTTTTGGGAAAAACAGATTTGACGTCTTTCTCAGAGTCCAAATCGTTTTGATCAAGAGACCAAACCATCAAGTTCTGCAGACACTCGTAGCCTTCATCAAGGTCTAAAGGTACTTCGTTGTTACCTAAATGATAAGAAGCCAAAGCGGAATGTGCCTGATCTTTGTTTTGGTTACAAGCTGCCATAAGTTCTGACCAATTATGCTCTTCTTGAGAAACAAAAGCCCTGTAAATTGATTTAATTTAAATTACAATATAACAAATGTAACTCAGATGTGATGTTAAACGAGATATGTAAAAACCGTACCTAACATTTGGATCCACCCTGTCTTCCAATGCAATACCAAAAACAGAGAAGTAAGCCTTATTCTTGATTAAAAGCTCGTTGTACAATTCGATCGCTGAACGGTATTCAGGAGTCATGGTTGATAGATAGCTTGTTCTTATGTTCTCAAACGCATTAGTAAGTCTTTCCTTTTCTTCTCTAAAATATTAAGTTGAAAAATAATATGTTGCCAACCTAATAAGTCATTATAATTATAACTACTGATGTACCATCACCTGATAACCTTACCTGTCCAAAAACTTTCGTATCACCATAAGACTTTGTTCGTAAAAGCCAAGTTGCATCAATACACGTGCCCATAACTCATCATTAACATCATACAGTACAATATCTCTGTATTCGTTTAAAACCATACATAAAGAGACATCATCGTCATTGTACTTCTTTTCCTTCAACAAATATACAGCGTATTCAACAACAACATCCGTACTATTAAACTTGACATTGTTATCCCTGCCCTCTTTCAACTTCAGAGCTGCCAATTGAATTCCAAAGAAAGGCTAAAAACATTAGTGTCAACATACTAACTCTTTCCGAAATTATCAGTAACAAATAAAAACAGATATTGTTACCTGATACAAAGATGCATTCAACAAATCTAGGCTCTCGCAATTCTGTGACAATACATTGAACAATACTTTCAGTGATGCTGTTTCAGAAGTTCCATTTATACTTTTATCTGCATCTAACCCAAGTAAAAACGAATAAAGTTCTTGAGCAATGTTCTTGGGACATAAGTCACCTTGCACCAACAATATATGCTTCAGTAACATGGATTTAATGGCTGCAGCATCATGAACAACCAGTATCGTAGTCAATTTACAGTTTTCTTGACTATAGTAATGTAAACATTTTGCCAGATGAACTCTTAAGTAAGGAAACAACTTCCAATGCTCTTGGATAAGACCAAAGTCCAAACCTAAAAACATATTATAACATACTTCACCAGTACACAATGTCAAACAATATCCTAAATAACGTAACTTACAAATGTTAGAAGTAGCTACGTAAACCCAGAATCCAGAGCAAGATGTCAGTGCATAGTTACGGTAAGCCTTGTTTACCTTCAAAAATTCTACCGTCTTTTTAAAGTACAGATGATCAGAAAAGCTATCTCTCAATACCATGTCATATTGGCGTGTAACTTCATTCACATTGACAACGGTGTCCCATAACTCTTGGTATTTGTCAGAATATCTATCGATGGCATCCAACGACCGGTATGTTATTCCTACCAGATCTTCCTCGTTACACATTTGAAAACTAATGCACTGTTTCAGCCATTCAATAACCACAAAAGTAACATCAGATGAGCATCTAAAACAATATATAATATGTATCAGATATGCATGAACATAAAAACTTTAAAAAATTTTTTAAAAAATCAGATTTTATGTGTATCAAATGCTCATATCAACTTACAGTACGTTATCTCTTAAAATTAGGTTTAACAGCACAATAACAACACAACCAACATCGTTTGCCAACAATGTCATAGCATCTTTCCTGTCCTCATCAACTTCACCTGAACCATCAAAACCAGCCAGCAGACGCGTTAACTTTCGTACCATTAACACAATGAAATTACTGCGTACCTTCTCAAAAGATTTTGTACTCAGTAAATTCTCGACAAGGCTTCGTATGTGGTAGAGTAACTCAACCAGCTTTTCATCAACACAACTAAAACAAAATTATATTAGACACGAATGTTAAGCGTATCATACGGTTATAAGTAAGAAAATATAATACCTGATACACGACTTTTCTCCAGATAGAAGCGTAGTATGAAGTTCTTGAAGCCAATCAAAGATCAATTTGAAATCAGTGCTTCGTGTATGTATCTCCTAAAAACATCGAATATTAAGTTTAAATAGAAAAATCAGCAAGTGATTAAATTAAAAATAATATCTAAACAATAAACTACAAATATCAAACATCCTAAACTCAAAAAAACCCCACCTCGCAGAACTTTTTTACGGTCGTTAACACTATATTCATATTGCCATCGTCATCAATGTCTACAGGAAGATAGCTTAAGCAATGCTCCACAAATATGGCACAATCCTCCACATCCAGCTTCCAATTGTCATTGTCCCAGTTATTAATTCTTGCCAAGTAACTCAAAGAATAACGGTGGCTCGGAGTAATAAGTGAGATCAACGAAAATGGCTTCAGGTTCTCAATTGTAACCTTGTAATCAAAGTTCAGTTCCTTTTTCTGCAAAAACTCATCATAATATGTCTAGAAAATCTAAATAAATTGTAAAATAGGTGTCAAAATTCTTATGTAAAATAAAATCAAAACCAAGTCAATACAAGATAAAACAACTTACGTTTAAAACGAGAACACATTCCCTCAAAGCAATAGTCTTCAACTCCTCATCTTCTCCTTGATACTTGTCAAAATCCCTACAAAAATCATTAAAAAGTAGAAAAAAACTTACAGTAATTCCCTAACCACTCGTTTTACAGTATCCCCAGTCAGTTTATTGTAATATTGTTTTAAGAGTATTATCCTGTCCTTATACGAAACAAACTCCAGAAACAATTCCACTTGACATGGCAGCAGTTCAGTATGATGACATGACAAGAACAACTGTTGAGTAAACAGAGATCGTGCCATTTGTTCATCGTACAACGCTGAAGTCAGCTTCCATTCCACATCAGATGAGCCGTTGATATTACTCACAATGTGCTTCTTCAAGCCTCTAGATGAATATCTTGAATACTCGTCTAGTCCCAAAACGTTTATACTGTTGTTGGAGACTACTTGAACCATATTATCGTTGACGTACTAAAACAATAATGTAAGTTAAAGATAATATATACGTAAAACAAAGTAAAACACAACCTACTGTGTGCAAATCATTGAATGATAACAGCGCATCCTTATCGTTGCTCTCCAGAAGCCCCTTTCTGATGACGTTTAATTGATTAAACAAATGAATCCGTTGTGTTGTGTCCATCGTATCAAAGTTCTGTCTCGTACATGTAACAAACAACTCCAACACCTCAAGTATAATATAATCCGTCTCTTTGTTAAGCACAGCTAAAACAATTATACAGAACAACATACGATAATAACAACACACCATTAACATAGATGCAAATTAAAGCTTACATTTTCTGCCGGAAAAGTAAGAAAACAAGGATAACAAAAGTTGTCCGACATTAACTTTACAAGAGAATCCTTCAACGATCTTCTGAACAATATATTTCCGAAACTTCCATTCTCCATTCCCAACAGCTAAATTCAAATTCTCATCAAAGTCGACTTTAGAAATCAAGCAGTGAATGGCATCCACAACATTCTGAGAGTAAGTGCGAAGTTGACACAATGAGATCAAAATTTGAGAAATATTTAAATTCGAAATTGCTAAAAGAAAGGTACTTAAATTATATTAAAAAGTAATACTACACATTAAAGTATAGCCAGAAAACTCACGTAAAGTTGATAAAGTATCTATGAGATCCGCAGTCGAGTCCTGTAGGATAGGAATGTCCACCCACTTAATTAAGTTAGTGTTAAGAAAAGTAATGTCAGGATTTAATAAAACCTCAGATCCATCCAAATATAAAGCTAATGCCCCAATGGCAATAGAGGTAGTGTTATCTCTAAAACAAAATAATTATTGGAAAAAATAAAAATTATAATTTACAGCAACGACAAGATGACAGCAAACCTAGAAAATTGACTTACAACTTGGTTCTTTTCTTCAGAATATTCAACAAGGATCGTGCTACAAGATTGCACAATTCTCGTGATATCGTGGGTAAGAACCTAGACTTCATAGTGTAAATAACGTGAATGAAGCTGTAATCTTCTGTGAGTAAAGCGTTTGCAACAGAACAATCACCAACGTTAAGATTATTATCCGCCCTTTTTAAATTGAACTCCAATAACCAAAGCCTGGCCAAAAACCGTAACGTATCTTCATCAAACACTGAAGTCTGGGTCTTGTCACCTGTCTTCATCTTTTCTTTTTCCCCCAGTGCAGTTGCTGAAGCGTAGACATGTTGTGATAGTCTGTCGATTAATTTGTGTTCAGCAAAAGAATTACCGTGAAAAGAAACTTCAATACTAACAAGGTTCAAGTACGCGTCCAAAAAAGAGATCAGAGCTTTCTAAATTTAAATCCTTCGCATATAGAATAACCCAAAATTATTTTAAATATTCTATAAAAAACAATATATATATATATTTTGTTTAAAACATACATTAAAATTCTTGTGGTCTCCTGGATTCCTCACAGCCTCTTCGTACACAGAGTAAACCTTCACCAAAAAGCATTGATCACGAAATAGATCGAAGAAGCTAGTTAACAACAGTTTTCTGTAGCAATCAAAGAAGTTATTGATAATAATAGCGACAATAGACAACACTCTCGTTTTAGCTGGATTCACTACTTGGTGCCAACTAAATCATTAAGGTATATTTAAGAACAAAAATATTAAAATATTTAAAATATGTTTGAAGCAAACGCTTACTTAAAATCGGTAATGAAGGTCGTTACAAACCCTTCTAAAAACGTTTCCAATTGAACAGACTGAACCATGTACGGTAATGCCACTACAAACTCCTCAATAACATCACACAACTTCACCATCTCTTTCCGATTATTGTCTTTGGCAGCAACTTTAACGTATTCCAACAACTTGTCCAACAGATCTAAAAAGTTGAGTAACTTTAGCTATAACTTACATGCCATCCTCTTGCCAGGATAGTACTTGACCTTGTAATGAGATAAAAGTGACTTGACAACATCCAAAGTGTCCCACCATATTCCTTCCTCTCTTCCAGCCCAGATCTCCCGATTCAGCCTAATCAGGTTCTCGATCGAATACAAAAACATACTTCCATCGCTGCATCGTGTCCCTAAATTTGACATAAAAAGCTAACAGAGCTAGACCTACCTTCAATTGACAGTCTGCACACATCCTTCCAAATGTCAAACAACGTATGTGAATAAGACATTACCTTCTTTCCTACTTTGGTTTCATTTAGTTGGCATTCCTAAAACTTCATAAAAACATACATACTAAATAACATTTTAATTATAAACAAATCTTAAACTTTCAAACACGTATCTTATTCTTTAAATCTTAACTTCAATTACCTGTACAACAGCTTGATTTATCTTTTCAACTATAATATTCCAACCATCGGTCTGCAAAACATCTTGAACTCCAGCTTCTTGCCAATGATAGTGCGCTAATTCATACGCTTTCTAAAACGTGGTCTTTTCACAGAATATACTCACAGTTCTCTCGTTTGCTCTTCTGAACTTGTCATTAACAATATCCAGTAGACATTCTTTGAAAGCTGAAGCACTTGGATATTGTGCCATGGAATGTTATCATAAAATTTAACGTTACTTTGTTGTTATTTGTGTTTCTGGTTAATAAAACAAAAATTTTTTTTATTCGAAATTTTTATTTTATTTTTCGAATAAATACAAGACGGAATGCCAACAGATTTTGTTTGGGCTTGATTTCGTGTCGGGATTCGAAAATTCCATTGACGTGTTAAAAAGCTGGTGGAAACGCGTTTCTCGGAAATGTTTGATCGAGAATTGCGGTAAATATGGATTGTACATTGCCAAATAAGTCTTGTAAATATATTTTATGTTGCATAATTTTAATTATTCAGTCGGTACATAATGGTTTTTTGTGTTTGGTGTGCTGTAACTCATATTTATTATGTTGCGTGTATTGTTCCGTTATGTTAAAGAGATCACAAAACATGTCTTTCCAACGTTTTCGCTAAATTCATTTTGCTCAACTTTCAGATACGATTTTCATGTTATTGTTGCTAGTAAATAATCGCTAATTATTGGTTGAGAATGGTAAGTACAAGAATGTTAAATTTGCATTATTTTTAGCTTCTTTTTGCATTCCTCACAATACTATGTGTTAGTGCTAAGAATCCTGCTTCATCTACGCCCACAAAACTTTGTTTGAACCCAAAATGTACAGGTATGTTAACAAGAAGGTATAAGAAAATATTGCTTTAGATCTTGTTTATACGACAACAGCGGCACGGAAGTACCAGGCTAATCATGAAAGGATGTTGAACCTTGAGGTAGACACTCCGGTCAAAGTGTTCGGATTCAAGTTCAGCAACAGAGATGTTGTTCTAGCTGAGGTATGTTAGTATTTTTTGGGTAATATTTTAATTTAGGTAAATAACCGACTTGGATGGGTGCATCAAGGATTTCTGAATCTTGAGCCGTACTACTTTTTCCTTGAATCTGCTTTGAAACAGAACACCAAGATTTATAAGGTGGAACAGAACGAAGATGGTCGAGTTGACCAAGTTGTAGGTATGTTAAATATTTTGTTCAAAAGTTAAATTCAAAACTTATTTAATGTTGAGAAGTGAGTTTATACAAGCCATAATTTTAGCCGAGATCGATGCCAATCCTACGCTGTACATAGATTACAAGGTGGTTGCTGAAAGAGTTCAACTTAAACCAGAAGAGATCCCATTGCTACAGCAAGAAGAGCCTGCTAACAGTCACGGTCATAGTCACAGTCATGGCCATAGTCACGGTGGACACAGTCATGATCATCATCACGAAACTGTTTCAACAACGTTGCCTCCCGTATCGACAACTTTGACTCCAGTGTCTTCAACGCTGTCTGCAGAATCGTTAACGGTGCCTCCATTAGCGTCTACGGTGGCTCCTGCAGCTCAACTTTTGACTTCAGAATCGTCAACGTTGCCTCCGGTAACGTCAACTTTGACTCCAGTTTCTTCAACGTTACCTACAGAAGCATTAACAGTGCCCCCAGTAGCGTCGACAATGCCTCCAGTGTCTTCAACTTTAAGTTCCGAATCGTCTACTCTGACTTTAGAATCGTCAACATTACCTCCAGAAACATCTACTTTGCCTACAGTATCTTCAACTTTGTCTTCTGAATCGTTAACTTTGCCTCCAGTAGCGTCGACGTTGTCACCTGTATCTTCAAGTTTAAGTCCCGAATCGTCACAATTACTTCCAGAAGTAGCTGCTTTGCCTACAGCATCTTCAACGTTGTCTTCAGCATCGTCTACCGTGTCTCCCGCATATTCGACGTTGCCTCCAGTATCTTCAACCATGTCTTCTGAAGCATCAAGCGTGCCCCCTGTGTATTCCACGGTGCCTCCAGTGTCGTCAACATTGTCTTCAGCATCATCGCCCGTGCCGCCAGTGTATTCGGCATTGCCTCCAGTGTATTCAACGCTATCTTTACCCTCATCGACCGTGCCTCCAACAACGTCAACGCCGCCTCCAACATCGACAACGTTGTCTTCATCAGCCTTGCCTTCAACATCTTCAACGGCACTACCATTATCATCAACAGTGATCCCCGTAGCTTCTAAGTTATCAGCTACACCAACGGCAGTTCTAAGCGAAGTTAATACTCTTTATTTGGTTTTGACCTTCTTTGTTCTGTCGTCGGTCGTTTACCTTGTAGGTAAACTCTTGGAGGATAAAGGTAAGACGAAGTATCCGATATCTATCTTTTTTTAGAAGCCCCAGACGCTCTGGATAAAAGGAAGTTCTTTGATGCTATGACTAAAATAAAGGAGCTGGAAGTGCTTAATGAAAAGCTAAAGAATCAGACACCGTCATCTCAAGAGCTCGCTCAAGTCGATAGTTATCGACAGAAAATATTTGCTTTGGAAGAACAAGTACGTCAATTGCAACAAAGAGTTGTGGATCCAGCTGTACTCCAAGGAAAAGATGCTCAGATAACCACCTTCCAAGCCGAAATTAAACGATTGACTGAAGTTGTGAATGAGAAGGAACAAATGTAAGTTTCGAACAACATAAAACAACTTTTTCAGTATCAAAGAACTTGATGGTGAGAGGAATGCTTTTGAAGAAAAAGTTCAGCAAGTTGATGAACAGAAGCACATTGTTGAGAAGAAGCTTAACAATAAGATCGAACATCTGCAAAGAGATCTCACGGAATCTGAAAACAAATTGGAACAACTGGAGATTATTCTTCCAGAAAAGGAAAACACCATTTCTACCCAAATTGAACAGATTACCAAATTGTCAGCCGAAGTGAAGGAATACAAACTGTACAACGAAGAGCTGTCTAAAATGGTGGTCGATTTGCAGGAGAAGCTCACAAAAGCCGAAGAAAGTGGCAGCAGCGTGAAGAGTGGCGATGGAGAGAGTTGGTCTGACATCGACAAGGCCGAAGTTGAAAAGGCTGATCAAGAGCTATCTGGATCGGGAACAGTGGTTCTGGCGGAGTCTTCGTTAACATCATCAATTGATAAGAAGACGGAAACCAAACCCCACAGTGAAGATGTTAGTGGTTTGGTGAAGGCAAATGTGGAGATCAACAAGTTGACTCAAGAAAAGAAGCATTTAGAGTAAGTTTTTTAAACATATTACGCATTTAATTATGACGTTTCAAGTTGTACGGAGGCTATTTATTTAACATTTTTTTAGAAATGCCAAAAAGTTGTTGGAGGATAAGGTTCTTGTCCAAGATAAACAGATTGTCGAACTGAATACTAAAATCGACTCATTGAACGAGGAACTGAAGGAAAAGAAGGCCGAAGTCAAGGAAAAACATGCTGAAATCAAGGAGAAGACGGCCGAACTCAAAGCATTAACTGAAAAGAATACTGAAAATTACGGACGAGTTCTGGAGGCTAATACCGAAGTGAAGGCTCTGGTTTTAGAAAAGTCTAGGATCGAAAATGTGAACAAGGATCTGGAGCGATCGATAGCAGAATTGGAGAAGAAGTTGAAGAGAGCGGAGGAATACGAAGCCAAGCTGAAGAACAAGTTATTCCATGACGAGCGAGATCACCAGAAGAAGGTCAAGACGTTGGAGGAGAAGTTGGCCAACATGGCCAGTCTTCAAACAGTCAGCAACAAGTCACTGGATCCAGGAAATCTGTCAATGGCGTCTAACGACTTGTTCCCCAATGAAGTTCCGTCCCTTTGGTCTACATTAGAACCCTACAACGCCAACACTTCGTTGGATGAGTGAGTTTTATTTTAGTTCTGTATTAATTAAGTGGTTATTTAGTTAGTTGTAAATCTAAGGCAGTTATGATTATTTTTCTAATCAATGGATGATTATAGAAGCGAGTCCAACTACGTGCCAGGCAGGTCGGATCCCCGACGAAGAAGTCTACGCATCGATCACAACATAAGCCCACGATCAGGAGAATCTGGAAACGGAAATGAAATCCGCCTTCCAAAGCCTGTGATGCCTCGAGAGTCAGCACGTGAACGTTCGGAGCTACCATCGAGGGGACTTCCTCAACGACGAATGAGGTATGGTTATTGACATGAGTTTATTAATTATGTCGAAATGCTTGCGATGAAACTGAGATAAACTAATGTCAAATAGTTTAAACGTTTTCTATTGATACATAACTCCAATATTTTTTCAGGTCGAGGTCAGCTGGACGTTATCCACGCGATGCCTATCCTAACACGCAACAGGTCCCATCAGGAAGGTTGTCTGCAGGGCGTGTTGGAGGCCACATTTCTCCCGCAACGTCTCTCTTCCACACAAATTCACCATACTACGGAGAACCATCAGGAGCAATGTTGCCTCGCCCTTCATCTGGTGGAAGGTTACCAAAAGTACCTTCAAACCTATCGAACTTGTACTACTCCTCAGACGGGTCACCTCCACCCAATATTGTACAAAGAGGTGGTGTGCCTCCGGTCAAAAACGTAAACCGACCAACAACGCTTCGAGGAGCTCTTAAGTTACACCCGCCGAAGCCACAAAAATGATCAAATTTTTGAATTCTGTGATATCGCTAGTACTGATTTTATATGTTTATTCAACGTTGATTTTCGGGTATTTTATAATAACTATTTATTTATAGGTTTGGTGTAATAAATACTTTTATTTTATGAAAGATGGATTATTGTAAATGTTAATGGTAAAGCCTAAATAAAACTACACTTAATGTCGTGCCTGCTTAATTCCTTACATAAAAAAGATATAAGGAGAACTGGCAACTAACTGTATGCTTATATTTGACAGTTCTTTGCAAAAGTCGAATGCTTCTTGGTGTTGGTTCTGCCACGAACGTGATCTTGGCATTCCATAACTGAAAAAATAATTTCACATATTTTGCATGCAATTGAACGAATTCGTTTCTAAATTTTATAACTTATTTTATTGGAACTTTTTAATATTTTATTTGCCTAATTTATTTTGTCATTATGGTGGATAATATAATAGACCAGATCGAAAAGATGGGAGCTGGGATGAAGGACTTCCGAATGAGGTGGCAGCCTTTAATTCAGAAACAGCTGGCTAGAATGGAAAGCTTAGAACACGAGTTACTCAATGATTCTGACACTGGAAAACTGTCGGTTACGGGACAGTATCTCTTAGATGCGGAAGTGAAGAAGTTGATGAAGCTATTTGAAGAAATGTCCAGCAATCACAAACAAATTCACGGTTCTATATCCAAATGCGGTCGGGAGTTGGACAAGAACTTTCAGATCGAGCTGAATAACTTGATAAAGAATCAGAAAGACTTCGAGACGGATCCAGAAACCTTCCAGAAGGTGAATTGTCTGATATTTGAGCATCTCTTGAGTCTTGGACGTATTGATGTTGCCAATACATTTGCGAAGGTAAGTTTTAATACAAATTGTTTTAATAATGTTTTTAGGAATCAGAACAACAACTCGAGGTGCCAAAACATTGTGATATAAAGCTGTTTGAGAATGTAATGGTGCCGTTCAAAGAAAGAAACTTCCTGCCAGCGATCGAATGGATCAAAGTTAATGCTCCTTACAAGAACGACCTGCTGTTTAAGTTACATCGACAAGTCGTGCTGAATTTACTTGAAGAAGGCAGGTTTTGTTTGTATTTTTAAAGGGATTTTCTTTGACTGTATGTTGTTTTAAATTTTCGAGTATAATGTTTTACAAATTTTAGGAAAAAAGTCATCTGCACTTGCGTATTGTAAAAACATACAGGGCTTTGCCAATGAATTTTCAAATGAGATCTCTACATTGATGTTTGTTGTCGTACATTATCCGAACGTAGATAGGTACAAGAACCTATTTTTGAACGGAGTATGGTTGGAACTGGAAGATGAGCTTTCTCAAGTACTTTGTCAGCATTCTGGGACCATTTTGTCAAAGCTGTAAGTTAATTTTTATCAGACTGAAGGGCCACTAGTAAACAATTATTCAATAGGTAATCGTTAGGGGTGAGAAAAAAAAGTTTTAAGGCCTGGCCCAGGCCCGGGGGCCCAACGTTTAGGCCCGGCCCGTTTTCAATTTTCTCTCAGGCCGGCCCGGTCAGAAAATTTCTAGGCCCGGCCCGTTTTAAAAAATTTTAAAACTTAAAAAATAAACGGAAATTTGGCTTTGCATTGTTCTTTTAGATCATTTATGTTTCATGGTACCCCGGGGATTAAAATACAAAATTTTTAAAAATCAAAAAATTTTTTTTTCGGGCCCGGGCCCAATTTTCAAGCCCGGCCCGCGGGCCGGGCCTAACCTTTGGGCCCGGCCCGTTTCAATTTTAGCTCAAGGCCGGCCCGGCCCGATCGTAGGGCCGGGCCGGGCCTAGACGGCCCGTTTCTCACCCCTAGTAATCGTAAATTTTATTATATTTTGATTTTTACATCTCGGCTCCATTTAATCATCACTAAAAACTAAGACTTCTACTTTTAGAATTGACGTCGGTGCCAACGCGATTCCAAAACTGCTGGAACTTCGGAAGTTCATCGCAAGACGAACATCGAATGGCTGGCTGACAGATGAGCTGCCAACAGAAGTTTCCATCACAGAGCACGTTCACTCCACCTTCACGTGTCCAATATTGAAGGTACAGACAACTGACGACAATCCCCCTATCAGACTTCGATGTGGCCACGTGATCAGCCAAGAGGCCATGTCCAAACTTCTGCACAGCTCACGATCTCAGAAGCTGAAGTGTCCCTACTGCCCCGAGGAATGCACCGAAAGCGAAACGAAACGCCTTTTCTTTTGATAAATTATGAAATAAATTGTACATGTCATGATTTACTGCACTATTCGGAACGAACGTTTGTAGTAATGACATCTGATGTCTGGAGGGAATCTCGTCCGAAAAAAACGGATGGAAACGGCGCTGATTTGAAGTCGCTCGATTGACCAATCTTGTCTCCGTCGTCGTTGACGACTTTCGCTTATCTTCTTCCACTTTCAATTTCACCAAGAATGCGATTAAAATGTTTAAGGCCCTGGCTGATCTTCTTCGCCGTCGTCGTCGCACAGGCTGACAAAACGTAACGTTGAGCTGTACATATGATAAATTATATAGAAATGATACGTTTAAGGTGTACCGTGTCTTTCCCCAACAGATGGCACACATAGGCCTGTTGGATAGTATGGAGTTGGACAACAAAGATGTTGTTGTAAGGGCTGTAGTTTCTTTTTATAGTCTTTTAACTTAAATCGAATTACTTCTTTTGTCATCCTGACTGTTATTTAAGCTTTCTACAGTATTAAGCATTCATAAGATGAAAATTTTTTAAATTGAAAGGAATTTAAGTAGCATTTAGCTTGACTTTTGGCATAAAACGAAAACTCCCGGTGAATTCTCAGATATTATGATCTCTTCTCGTTACGAGCCTTGGTTTCCCCAGTATTTAGCAAACAACAACATTCCGTTCAACGTGACTGTCCCTGATGTTCAAGCGTAAGTACGGTACTTACTTCATACTGTAATATTTCTTTTGAGGTTGATAATTCAGAAAGAAAAACGCAAAAAAGATGACAAACCACGAATGAGGAGGACGCTTAACCAGCCTCGTGAGTTTTTGGTGCCATGCTTGACTATGCTATCTAAATTTATTTTACGATCTGTACATTATAGTGTATAATCAGGATATCTTAATTGTTTATCTTACAGTATATGACCAAGATTATGAAGTTGTCGGTAAAACGAAAGCAGAGTTTCGTTTCGGAGAGTACAGTAGTTACGCGTCCATGGTACGATACTTGAGGACGTTGGAGTTCTATTACCCGCAATTGGTGCGACTGATACGGATTGGTACTTCTCATGAAGGAAGACCAATAGAGGGGGTTAAGGTATGACAATATGCAAACATTCATATAACTGTCACATTTATGTAGTGATTGGTATTACTAATTTTAGATAGGCTTTGCTGTGTCGAATATAACGAAACGTGCTGTTTGGATAGATGGCAATATACACGCAAGAGAGTGGGCTTCTAGTCATACGGCATTATTCATCATCAATCAAGTACGTTCTCAACAAAGTGATCGGTTAACAAGTACTATTTGCATAAAGACTAACTACTACAATACTTCTTTCAGCTGGTATCAAACTATGGAGTAGACAAACGAATAACAGACTACCTGAACACTTTGAACTTCTACATCGTGCCTTGTCTGAATCCAGATGGCTACGAGTATTCCCGAAGCTCCGTATTGCCTCAGGTAAGACTAATGTCATACTATGACTTCTGATTCTAGATTCGACTGTGGAGGAAGAACAGATCTCCAGAAAGATGTATGCCAACTCAATGGGGTGGTATTCGATGTTGTCAGGGGGTGGATCTCAACCGAAACTTTGACTTCCATTGGGCAGGTACGTCACATATGATTGTTGATGACCGTATTTTAGAAACCGGCTCAAGCGACAACCCTTGTTCCAATCTCTACGCTGGAGAATATGCCTTCAGTGAGCCAGAATCACAGTGAGTTTAACATTAATGCAAGTGCAAAGTCAACATAAGCTGAATATTGAAACTTAAATGATATTGTTTATACGAAATTTATCAACAAAACGTCAATCCTCTTAAAATGACGGTCAATTTCAGTGCAGTAGCCACGTTTCTACAGTCGAATAACCTCAAAGGAAAGTTGGATGTGTTCGTGACATTACACACGTATGCACAGTTCTGGATACACCCCTACAGTCACATCAGAAAACAGTACCCTAAGGACCTGGACAACATTGTAAGCAGTTTTACGTCCACAGTAATCCGTTTTAGTTAGAAGTTGCTGAAAAGGCTACAAAACGCCTCAAACAGATCTACGGAACCGAGTACCAAGTGGGCACCGGTGCCGATTTGTTATGTGAGTTACTTTTATGTAAAACTATTGCATATAACTAACATAACGTTACACTCATACCTAATATAACATGACTGTGTTTATGTTACCAATTCATAGAGATTTATTTCAGCCCCAGCAGCTGGCGGATCCGATGATTGGGCCAAAGAGAAGCTGGGTGTAAAGTACGTCTATCTACTGGAACTACGACCTCAAAACAATAGTAAGTCACCTATATGTTAGATTACTGTGTTTAGTGAAAAACGGCTTCATATTGGACCGCACCGAGCTTTTACCGGTCGGTATCGAGACATTGGAGGGACTGAAAGTGGTTTTCGACACGGTTTTACAATCGACCACTACCCACAAAAGCTTCAATGTCGCCGTGAACAACACCCTGGACATAAGGAAGATTACTCCGGCTACTACTACTACTACTACAAGTTACCCTTTCTCGTTTAATCCTCGAGTCACTCAGTACAACATCTACAACACCTTCTATGTTACTCGACGACCTTTTTATACGACGCCGATGACAACAACAATTACTACAACCACGACTAGTACAACTACATCATCATCGAGTACCTCCGCTTTTTCAACTTTGACGACAAAGACTACCACCAAACTTTCAACAACATCAATACTGGCAACGTCAAGGGCAACTACCAAGTCATCGACGACAACTACAACAACATCACCAGCGACGACCAAATCAGACGTTATGAATACGACGATGCGGACCAAAACAATTGATCTAGTGGAGAATTTGCCGTTCGAGACACGGAAACAACTCAGCGAAGAACTTTTGAGGAAGCAACTCAGTAAGTTGGTTTCAAATATATCAATGATAACATGTCTAATAGTAGTTCACATTTTTTACAGTAAGCCTCTCTCAAATTATTTCAGTGAGAATCAAAAACTTGGTAATGATCAATATCACTACCCCTCAAACCTCTACAACAACACAGAAATCAACCATTAAAGATACGACTACAACAACCATCGTAACCATCACGGTTGCGACAACTCCACCAACAACAACCATAGGGTCTACTTCTAAAATAGATAGCACAAATTCTGTAACTTCACAAGCAACTACAGTATCTACACCTGAACCTAAGACTACACAGATATCAGCGGTTACTGTAACTTCGACTACAAGACCTGACACTGCTACAACCAAATGCGTAGACAAGAAGTACTCGTGTGCCTTCTGGATCAACGCCGACAAGAAAGCCTGCAGAACACAGAGGAGGTTTATGGAGACAAACTGTGCCTTCTCATGCGGGTACTGTACTTTGGACTAGTCACTTGTTACTCATCGTCGGTCTTCCGTCCCTCCTTCTGAAACTACGTTACTTAATAAACTTGTTATTCTCATTCAATCGTTTAAATCTGGGTGATGCCACGAAGTTGTTAGTGTACCTTTCTCTTGAAATGAGAGCTCAGTAAGCGAATAACATAGTCGATTTGAGTAGCTGATTGGAGACTGGCTTGTCGCTGGCTCCTAATGAAACTGACACTCTTCTCTAAGTTGACCTCCTCTTGTTGGCGATTGTGTAGTTGGTAATGCAGTAACTAAAATTGCATATTATAGTACATACAACAACATTTAAACCTCAATAATTTTTTCTTATATAGTAGTAAACACAACCCTTCAACCACAATATGTTGACTTACTTCAAACAAAAAGTAGGCACTGGCTCGACCGACTCCAGACAAACTCATGACGATGATAGGACCGTACGCTTTGCTAAAAAAATTCATTAAAAAGAATTCTGATGTTATCAAGATTGTAGTATACATGTACATATTACAGTACTACTTGTATATTAAGCATATTTAGAACAGCTTACCGTAGATACGACTGGATTTGCCATAAGCGATCGCCATTCTTCGGAAGTCGCTCGTGTTCCCAGGAAGAGTACTGAATCCAGCGAAGATGACGTCGCTCTCTGTCCTTGGACAACCCCAACACTGACAGTCGGAGGTCGTCGAAAGCGACAGCTTCCATCTGTTGATTCACCAGTATATTATCGCCATAGTAATCGGCCCTAAAGGTATTGATTTATTGAAAGCTATCTCAATCCAGGTGGCACACAATACAGTATGCCGTCTTTATAAAGTACATCATATTTTACAAAGATACCAAAGATAAACTTATCAACCTTACCGTTTCTCAGGCAACATCTGCATTCTGTCATACTTGACATCCTCTTTGGACAATATAACCAGCACAGCGTACGCCTTCTCCTGCCAAACCATGTTCCAGAAGTCGTCTACAGTGTTTAACAGTGGCATCTGAGTCAAGATGAACTCTCGTTGGTCAGGTAGATACAACTTGTTAGCATGAACGAACGTCTCCTTGTTCTTCAGAACAACTCGAGTAGAATCGTAACAGTGAACATCTGCAAATCAAAAGTCTTCTTACATATCTCAAACATCCTTTACATACAGTGTGTAATGTTTTGTTTAATAAAATAAATGTTATCTATTTTTCAAGAAAATGATACAATACATTATAAGTCTCCAAAACTAAAACCTACCATCAAAACGACACTTCAATGGAGCTTTGTCCGAAGACAAGTGAGTATCGTGCTGATCTTCTGCGCGAGTGAACAAAGTTCCGAAGACTTCTGGATTGGCTTCTAGATTCAAGTTGAGCAACTCGACTCCCTTTCCACGTTTGTTTGCCCTTTCTTTATTTTTGTGATGAGCTATAAAATAATGGCAATAATATTATATTATAGTAGGTTAAAAGTGACAAAAATATATTATTGTAGGTGGAAGATGGCAATTTTACTATCAAAGTGACAAAATAAACAAATAAAAATAAAATACGAACCAAACCCCGATGAAAGTCTACTCTAGATAAGAACCTTACCATTATACTTGTTCATCCTCCCCTTATGACGATTGTGAGCTCTGTATTCGTTCAATTCTGTCATGTTTGTGATGTTATATTCTATGGTGAATATATTAGGAACTAACAACTACAGCTGTCTAAAAAAGTCGACCGCTTGTCAGAAAATCATAAATCGAATAGAATTTGAAAAAATATTTTTTTTTAAATTTCATTTAAAAAACTTGAGCTTCTTGTTGCCGAGTCTCGCGAGGAAAGGAAGTGACCAGTCACATTTATTTACACTTTCATTTTTGTATTTTCATTTTGCAAAAAGTAAAACAAGAAAGCTGGGAATACAGTATTTAATAAGCTTTCTTTGAAATTTTCGACCAAAGTTTTATTAAAATTTCAGAAATAATTTAGAGAATTCCAGGTAACGCCCTTCCACAACTAACACTCTCTACTACTGTATCTACCATAATATTTATTAAGCGTATGAAATTAATGTCTACGTGAAGAATAGTGGATGGGAGGACTGGACCGGGCAGGAGTCTCAGGCCGACGCTCAAAGTATCTGTCGCTAGCGTGAGCGTAGACTACACGCTGATCGCGCGGTAACCCTGACGGAGAGTCCCTATCATGTACAGTACGCCGAATGACGCCGCCTGATGCCGTGAAAACGCCGTTATCACCCGCTAAAATACAAGATGTACCGCCGTGCAATGTTAAATAGATTTATCGTGATAAGAAAACAGAAGTAAGTTGTGATAGAGATTAAGGAGTCGAACCTGCCAGTCCCGCTCTTCCTCGTCGCCGGGCCATGGCTTGTCGCAGGCCGAACCATCCAGCGAACCAGATTCCGATGCAACACACGCACGGTACACAGATGACCAGAAGCAGCACGATGAAGCCCAGAATCCACCCGACGATGCGGCCAGCTTGCCTGGAATCACTGACTATTAACGTCACATAGTAAACCTTACCATCCGTAGTAACTACCATAGTAATCTGACTCGTAGTACTGTCGCTTGATGCGTGATGAAGCTGTGGTCGTGCTGTTGTTCACATCTTCAGTCTGATCTGCACCAACTAGAAGTAGGACACTGACTAGGACGAGCACCTTTAGAACACTTTTACCGCACACCATGACACTGTACATTTGACTGACCGACTGACTCCTTCTACAGCATTATCGGGGCGAGCCGCAGTAATGTAAATCAAGGTTTTTTGTTGTTATTGGACGACTTCTCAAGTGGCCGCAAAAAGGTGGGACCAACTCGATTTCCGTTTACATAAAACACCTTTTCAATCCATTTGTTATTTCGTTTTTATTTTATTTACTTTAGTACGTGAAGAGCCGAGAATGACCGTTACGTCGCGTCGAGATGTGAAACCATTGTTGCGTTGCCATGATTGTAGATGTTATTCATACCATAATATCAAAAAACACAGAGAAGACATTAAAAACACGGAATTCGGTGTATCAATAATATGATAACAGTTCTCGAATGTTTTATCACAAGCGATTCGCTTGAATTAAACAAACTTAACGCCAAATGACGGCTTGCAATTGTTTGCTTTTACTTTTTGTAATTTTCTATTCAACGTACGGTGAACCGACTACCATCGAGGAGTCCCGTAAGTTTCTGACTTCAAGGAGATGAGTCAGATTGACTAAAATACTTTTTTTATATACTATAATATAACCTAACCTCCTTAGTAAACCATTTTGGGTAGGCTATTTCATTGAGTATTACAAAACATCAAATTTTCAAAAACAAGCTACCTTTAAAGCCACATCCATGTTTAGAATGTCCAATCGGTAATAAGCAGTATGTGAACGACCACTGCTACTGCTTCATCTCCAGTATCGACGATGATGAAATCAAAACCAAGGTCTATCTAATCAAAAACCAAGACGCTTGTTCTGATGACTTCTTCAGCTGGTGGTTGTTCACCTCGTGGCCTTTCTTCATGGTTGGAATAGTCCTCTTTGTCTTCGGAATCCAGCTATGGCTTAAGAAGCGCAGATGTCCAAGAGAAGACCGTGAAGCTCCGGTTACAAGATGCTACACAAACCGTCCTCCAGAATACTCTGCCATTTATGAATTGCCAAAATACAGTGATGAATGTCCAGAAGGTGGAGTGAATGTATTGCACGTTGACGGTTTTGATCAACATAACTCTCCTCGAAATGGCTGTACCCGTAACAACGAAAAGTTGCCCAACAATGTTTGATTTAAATTAACAAATAAATAAGTAACTGCAATAAAAATAAACGTTTTGTAAATAAAATGTTCGAAAGCTTCCTTATTGTTAACCATTAAAATTTCAAGATCAAAATTAAGATTAAAATCATTAGCAAAATATAATATGAAACGAAGAAATCTTTTTATTTTATTATACCTTTTATATTTTAAGCTTAAAAAACATATCGTTGCTCTTACTAAAATTAAAGAGGACATCTCCAGGAATTCCGCGGCACCAATTGAGGATAAATCTAACTTTACCGACAAAATCTTGTTCTTTCGTATAAAGTGACTTTGCAGATCGCGATTAGTTCAGACGCATTTAGGAATTGCAACATAAATTTATTTTTTTACTAAATTTTGTAATTTATTTTGGCAAAAATGAGTTTACTACGTTATACACCATTGCTTTCATCTAGGAATCTTAAAAGTGCATTGTTTGTAAGGTAAGTAATACATCTTTTGATTTATGTTTTAGACCTTTATCGATATCAAGTGCTAATAACCTGTATGCCAGAAACACAATTGTTAATTTTGTACCTCAACAAGAAGCATGGGTGGTGGAACGAATGGGACGGTTTTATAAAATTTTAGAGCCGGTAAGAAATTGTTTTTGGTACAGTTTTGTTGGATTCGCTCTTTATTTGTGTTATTTATTTAAAATGTTTGCTATTACAACTGTGTTTGATGTTTTAGGGCATAAATGTCTTGATTCCCTTTGTCGATTCCATTAAATATGTTCAAAGTTTGAAGGAAATTGCGATTGAAATACCACAGCAAGGGGCTATTACTTTGGACAATGTTCAGTTGCAGTTGGATGGAGTTCTTTACTTGAGGGTTGTTGATGCTTATAAAGTAAGTAATTTTTTATTTGATTTACATTTTTAGGCTTCTTATGGAGTTGACGATCCAGAGTTTGCTGTCACACAGCTTGCACAGACCACTATGAGGTCAGAAGTGGGTAAAATCAGTTTGGATACTGTGTTCAAAGAACGTGAACAACTCAATGTGTCTATAGTTGGTAAGATAGTGTTGTATGAATAATTAAATTTTAACCTGTTTTGCTAATAATCGTACAGTTAAGTTTACCCGATTTTACCTTCCAATTTTTGTTTACTATTATATCATAATCAATTTCAGAGTCTTTAAACAAAGCAGCCGAACCTTGGGGTCTAGTGTGCATGAGGTACGAAATCCGTAAGTGTAAATTAAATCTAATATAAATTTGCTAGGAAATATGACAATGCCGGAACGAATCCAACAAGCCATGCAAATGCAAGTCGAGGCCGAAAGAAAGAAAAGAGCTGCCATTTTGGAATCAGAAGGTCACCGTGATGCAGCTGTGAACGTGGCTGAAGGAGAGAAGAAGGCCAGGATCTTGGCTTCGGAAGCCTTCATGAAAGAACAAATCAACCAAGCTGAGGGTAAGGCCAGAGCTATCGAGCTGGAAGCTTCTGCGAGACAACGAGGTCTAGCTATGGTGGCAGAATCCTTGAACAAGAACGGTGGAAAAGGAGCGGCCTCCCTTGCTGTGGCCGAACAGTACGTAAAGGCCTTTTCTGGACTGGCCAAAAGCACCAACACTCTGATTGTGCCGGCCAATGCTGCTGATGCCAACTCTATGATAGCTCAGGCAATGACGGTTTATCAGAAAATGAACGATCAAACAATAAAACACGAAAGTGGTAACGACGGGACGGATGCTCAATAGATACGCGGATATGATGGCGTTAGATTCGGATATGGAAGGTGCGGATGAAGTCTGGAGATCGTGATACAACGTGTTCGAACTCGGCGAAGGAAATCTGTTGGTCGCCGTCCAAGTCAGCTTCTTCGATTATCTGAAATAGGTTTTTATTATTTATTTTACATAAACGTTGTTACCCTTTCGATGATGAATTCGATTTCCTCGTCAGTCAGCTCGTCCCTAGTCAGCGACCTGATCATCTTACTAATGTCATCGTGACCCAGGTGCTCGTCCCCATCGTCGTCGTAGATACGGAAAGCGTATTTTAGTTTCAATTGAAGAGGGGCATTCTCACTAAAGACACTGAACATGTCCAAGAAGTCGTCGAAGTTCAAGTTTCCACTGCCATCTTCAGAGAATACTTGGCAGATTCTCCGTTTGAAGGGATTTTCCTAAAATTTTGTTACACTTCCTGTAAATTGTAATTACTTTGAGTTCCGGCATCTTCTCGACTTCTTCAAAAGTCAGGTGAATCATGGAGGTTCGAGTGCCTTGCATATTTGTGGGTATCTTGACCGGATTTAAAGCGTAAAACCTTTTGTACAATCTGAGGATGTCTTTCTTCGTGAAGAATGTACAATCCTATAAAAACAGATGTAAGTACTATAACATAAAGAGGTTATTGGTTTTTATATTTGAATTTTTCATAATGATTACCTGGTATTCATCAAGTTGCTGCGACGTAAAAACTCCACCTTTGGAAAAGAGATTCAAGTCGCTGAGGGAGCTCGTGGAATTGCCCATTACTCCAGCAGCTCAATACTTTTAAAAAATGAGCGTTTTGAATCGAGTCAAAAGAGAAACGAGAGGCCGGAACTGGAAGAATGGCCGAAATGCCCGCTCTCCCGGCTATGCCACAAAGTCAAATATATTTATTGTTTCAAAGATATAACACCTAACCGTACAACAACTTTGGTTTATTGCCGCTTCCATTGCATTAACTGCTCGATTTCGTCCCGCTTCCTGACAGCCGTCTTGCTGAGTATTCTGATGCCGTTGTCAGTGACAAGAATGTCATCCTCGATTCTGAAGCCGATGTCTTTGAACTCTGGGTTTATGACTGTCTTTGTCAATTCCTCGGTTACGTAGACTCCTATAAACACGTATATTATGCAACTTGTCATCGGACAGATGTGAAACTCGTAAAAATGACGAAACATACCTGGTTCGATCGTAAAAACAATTCCTGGTGGCATCTCAATGGCTCGTGATACTGTGGGAGTATCATGCACATCCATGCCCAAGTAATGTGACACGTGATGTTGACATAGCTGATGACATGTGTTGATGATCTTGTCATCCGACAGTCCTTTCCTGAAGAAGAATATTGACTTGAATATCGCAGCCATCGATCCCAACATGTGCAAGTACAGGTCGTTCAGCTTGAGTGGCCGTATGTTTTGCGCATACGACAGACATTGTTCGTGCACTTCCGTTATCGCTTCGTAAAGTTCAGCTTGGGCGGGGGTGAACGTTCCTGATACAGGAAAGCATCGCGTGATATCAGACACGTATCCTTTGTAGTCGGCTCCAGCATCTACTAGCACACATTCGGTTGGTGAGATAGCCTAAAATAGGAAAATTACGGTAATTTTAAACAACCTATTGTCTCTTCAGCATTACAATTTCAAAATTAAGTGTAACTCTTCAATAACTTTTTACCTAGTTTAAATTTAAAATGATTACTTGGTTGGAGTCAATGTAATGAATGGTATTTGCTCTTCTCCCAGCTGCAACAACTGGTGGATACGACTGAGAGTCTGCTCCCCGCCTTCTGACTTCGTATTCCAGAAACCCGACGATGTGATTCTCTTCAGCTACACCTTTCAGTGTTTCCATCAAAGCATTGTGTGCTTGACTGCCAATTCGAGCCGCGGTTCCGAGATGTTCGATTTCAGCGGGCGACTTGATCCATCTTAATTGGTCGATTTCTCTAAGCAATTGCAGCGGTTTCCCTTTGAACGCCGCCTTCAATTGTACAATAGATTGATCTTCATCTAATCCCCTTTCGTCGCAGGCAAAGGAGTTCTGTGGCTGGAGGGCATTGACCAAGTAGCTAGGCAATTCACTTAGAGGTAACACTTCCTCTACTCCAGATGACGCCAACAACACTTCTGGACTCACTGAATCTCCGTCCCACAGCTTCTCCTTCTCACTTCTGACATGAATGAACAAGGTGGACTTGGATGGTGTGATCACCAGCTTCGCGTTCGGTTCCAGACAGCCGGTTAGGTAGCGGAAATATGAGCACTGCCTAAACTGGTGTGGTACTTCTGGTGCTGAAAACGTCTTCTTAAACCCGTTCAGATGGACAACCGGTTGAGGATGGTGTTCTTTTAGCCTTTCCAGCAGCCTCAACCTTCGATCAACATACTCCGTCCGTTGTATTGGCAACAAATTTGGAAAGTTCAGCCTTTTTAACCCGTTCATACCTAAACAACGTCACATTGAGCCTTTAATATACTAATAGCTACGTAAAATATACCTAAAAGATAAGACTCTTCAGCTAAAAATAAGGTAGACGAACTCCCTTTACGACTTCAACAACAATCCGCTGAAATAAAACAAAACTTTATTAAACATAACAACTAACTCTAAAATCATAACCTAACGTTGATACCACCAGTAACGGGGCAGTTTTCTCCTGATATATACTTTGAACGATCAGATATCAGGAATTCGACCAATCCCGCACAATCCTTTGGTTGCGCAATCCGACCGAGAGGTATTAGACCTTCCAGTGAGCTTCTGACATTATCGTCATCTGTATTCCACACACATCCGCAACCGTCGTCCTTGAACATGCCTAACACCACGGAGTTTACCCTAACATTCTTTTTGGACATATCAATAGCCAATGCCTTTGTTAACCCAAGCACTGAAGTCTGAACTGTACTATACAAACCAATGTCGACAAAAGGTGTATATCCTGCTATCGACGATAATAGCACTACGGAGCCATTTCTAAACAGTAACATGACATTACCAACAAACTTACTTGGAAGTTTGAAGTAAAGGATAAGCCGCTGAAGCCAATTGGAAAGGAACCGTTAAGAATTGTGTGAAAACCTAAAGTAATGTCAATATAAAAAATGACTTTTTCAAACCTAAGCTAAATATCTTACTCGGTCAAACTGCATTTTACTATTTGCGGCTATGTCTCCGGTCACTGAATTCTTCCCCGGGTTTAAGACGATTGAGTCGAGATTCTTGTATTTCTTTGTTACCTAAAAGTAAGATAAGTCTCTACAATTGTAAAACATACCTCTTCAAACATCTTTTGCCTGTGATCTTGTATTGTTGGATCGAAAACAGCACCATTGGCCACAATTCCCTTATCTCCAAGCTCGCCAACTGTCTTTTCAAGTTTGCTCTGATCGGAATCGGTCAAAAACAGTTTCGCACCAGCTAAACCAAGCCTTCGGCTGATGGCTTGGCCTATGGCATCGGCCGCGTTTGTAACCAACACGGTTTTGCCATACAAACCTCCACTCATCGAGAAACCTCCAAGAATTTCACAAAATTTTATAAAATTTGTAAAATAAATGAAATGGGTAAAGTCTCTCCATTGTGTCAAGTTTCGCTCTGACGATCTCTGAGAAATTCGAATCGAACAACGACCGCAAATTTGTCATCATTCGCCGTCTAAGGTGACATAAAAACATATTCCGGGTGATAATTATGTGTAAACACAAGGTGAATAAACTAGTTTTACGTTGTATCTAAAAAACCAGAAGCGAACGGCATTCGAAGAAAAATTACTACCACTTATCACAAGCGATGGATTCCGGATCTGGGATCGCAAACAAAGAGTGTTTATTATAGAAGGCTTGTGATATTGTTAAAAATGACCTTAAATGTTTTTGTTTTCCTACGTAACACTGTAGTAGCACAGGTTGCTGACTACGTGATATCGTAGTAGGTTAGTTGGTTGGCCAAAGAATTAAACTTAGACGTTAGATATGTTTGTGTTGCTCCAGACGTTTTTTTTGCCTTTGTATGGACTATTAACTTTTACTACAAAATAAGATCTTTTACGTTGCATCGATCCGGCTTCCAAGTCCGCTTCAGCAGAGCGTGAACACCGTTTGAGGTTTTCTTCTCTTAAATGAGCAATAATTGGCGCATATTACTATACTTTTGTACCGCGTTTTCTCTGACTCGCTTAAATGCAGACTTGTAGGTATGCGAATCCGAGAGTATTGTAATCTGTTGTGGTTAATAAGTGTGTTCGGACTAGTCGTATCTCGTAAGTTTTCATGAATATCTTGAACTGGCTTATGTTATTTCAGAGCTAGTTTATATTGTAAGGTTATAGTAACAGCTTTGTCAAGTTTTGAATATATTTTAGAAAAGTGTGAACGTACTCCGATCAAAGTACTGGTCGTTTTCGACATTACGCTAGGGGATGGTTTCGTATTCAACTCCAAGAAGACCGTAACCGAGGAAGTGTTACGTCATGTCGATGCTGTTGGGAAGGGTCGCGACATTAACTACGGTTTCATAGCTTATCACTCACACGCCGTAGTTTTGTCATCCCTCAAATCCAACAAAAGTGGTTCGGTAGACAATGTAAGCTGCTATTATCAATAGTACTATTAATATCTTATCGAAAACGTAAAGCTATGATGACAATTGGTAATGTTTCGCAAAATTTACATACAAGAAGTTTAAAAGCAATGCTGTTGTAGATAATCTCCCATTTGAACAACATCAGGCCTCGGCCCGGCTTCAAGAGCTCGATTGCCAATAGTTTGAATACGGCCGTTGACCATATCAACCAGCAGACCAACATAGAAGGCCACAACCTCATCATTCTGGTCAACAATGGTGGAGAAACTGAGAACACAGACAACTTCGCCCTGGCTACGTATGTTAACAAAACATTGGCTCGAAATTAAAATAGGAAGTTTTACTTAAAACAATATATTCTGTTTCAGGAAACGTTTGTGGGCCTTAAATACAGATGTCTTCGTCATATCTGACCCATCCTACCTGTCGTTGTCAATGCTATTGACCAGAAACAAGAAGCATGTACTGACAGAGCTATCTGACTTCCCTCTGCTTCTGAAGGAAATAGACTCTTCCATTGGCACTTGTCTTGAGGATGTTCAACCAAATGGCATCCCAAGGTTACCATTGGTCGATTTGAAGTCTTCAAAGTCCCGGAACCTTGGAGAAGCCATACAAAACCTAGATTGCTCAGAAGACCATTCTGTTACCTTTTTGAACATTCTCGGCAACAAAAAAGACTTGATTCCTACTAACTTTACAGACTTTCTTGGATCAAAGAATGTCAATGTAGGTCTAATCAATGCTGTCTACCATACATATTGATGTTTTTATCATTTATCGTATTTTATAACAACCAGATGTTTACTGTAGGTAAAGCATATTGCAGGTAGTGACAATTTCCTCAACATCTGAGAGTGTAGCTCATCTGATCCAAGAAGAAGTCGATCATCTGAGTCAAAGCAAAAAGCAGGCTACACTAATAATATTCAACCAGAAGGCAGCACGATCGTCGTGGGATCAGATTCTAGACACTTACAGTTCCCTGGAGAAGAACCGCGTCTCTGTAATCGTCGGAAATGCCTACAAACTGGTCGAAAACGAAATCAAGATATACGCGGGGCCTAAGGGCTTGGCCATTCCCAAACTCGACAGGCAAGTTGGTACTCCTTTGCGTAATAGTACTATTTCTAAGAATGTTCAGTACTGATATTTGTAGTAATCGTTTTGTGTTTTTGAAAGAACTAATCTAACCTTTGTTTCAGTTTTGTAAATGTGATAACAGAGTTCGTGCAAAACTGCAAAGTTATCAACAAATCACCGCCAAAGTCTTTAAAGTTGAACAAAGTGGACAAGGCTAGTACAACAACAAACACCAAAACCACTAAAACATCTACTACAACTTCTGCAACAACAACTCCAATTCTAACGACTACTACAACTTCTAGTACTAAATCATTGCCAATCGTAGAATCGCTTTCCATTAAACAAGAAGATACGCCTACTACAACATCGCTCCCTCAAGGTGCACATGGTGAAACAACAACAATAACTTCTGAAAGAACAACAGGTGAAACCGTTGGGAAATGTGATCACGGTACGTTTACTGCCATTGAGTCTCCAAAAACCATAAAAATTAAAAAATAATATGAAATATTTCAGAATTAGACGTGCACGTTGTACTGGCTTCAAATGCAAATGAAGCCGACTTCGAACGACAACGCAGTCTGCTATTAGAGATAGCTATTTCGATGCCAAGACGATTCAAACTGGCTACGTTACAGAGCAACGGCACCTTCACGAACGAGAAAGATAACTTGTTGTCAGCAATCAGTACGTTGTCCTACAGTGATGTTCAAAAGTCCAACTCAACGGAATTCCTGAATTCTCTGCCTGCACGATCTTCTGTTATCTACATTGACTTGAACGGAAATGAAATAGTCAACCGAGATTACAATAGATTTGATTACTTTGTGGTAATTACATCCAAAGACAACGTGCCCATTCACAGTCAGAAGTACTCGACTTTCGACGAGAGTTTGGTCGGAGTAAGTCCTATTTCACACTGTAACGTGTTTTAGGGTCCAAGGTTCTATTCCAATGCATTCAAATGCCGAGTAGAGGACACAGTTGCCAAGAACACAACCGAGATCAAGAGATTGGCCAAGAGCGCCGACCCAGTAAATCAGACAACAGTAGTCACTAGTGACGTTCCTAAACCTATATCTCTTGTTATCGACGGAGAGGACTGCCGCTCTGACATCATATTCGTAGTGGATACGTCGCAGAGCGTGGAGAACAAGTTTCAAGAACAATTAAGGCTTATTGCCAGCTTCGTAAGTCATCTATAACATAACAATTAATTTTATTATTCTTTTAAAAAAAGATAAGTCGTGTTATATACTTGATTCCAGCTAGAAAGCATACCAGAAGCAGACTTTACCAACAGGATAAAGACTGGAGTAGTTACTTTCAACAACGAAGCCAAAAAAGTATTAGACCTGTCAGCCTTCAACCGGAAACGACAAATCATTGACACAGTACTAAACATAGAACATACTGGAGGACCAACATCTTTAGTCAAGGGGATTCGACAGACTATTACACTGATAAAGAACACAAACAACATCTCGCGACAGTTAGTAGTGGTGTTGGTATCTGATGGAAACAGTCAAGATGAATGGAACAATGTTCTCGAGACATCCAATGCCTTACACTCCCTTAATAGTAACATATTCGCTGTCACTGTCAGCAACGACTATTTCTTACGGTAAGTAAACTACAGTTGCAATTGACTTGTGGACCTAATGAACTATGTGAACAAGATAACCTTGTAATGCCAATATAACTGTTATTGCTTCTAGAGAACTAGAGATATACGCTGGAGAAAAGGACCGAGTCTATGTTGAAGGAAGGTTACCACAATTCTTGACCACTTTGAAGAAGGCAGTGATACAATGTGATGTCCAAGATGTTGTAGTACCTCAAGAAATCACAAAACCTACGTGTGACAACGATGTCATTGATCTGATGTTGATCGTGGATTTATCGTTGCCCACCTTCTCAGAGATCAAACAGTTGTTGATTAAGTTCATCAAGACTATAGATGGCATTGGAGTAAGTACGGTAAAATGAATTCTGATGTTTTTAGAGCAGAATCCAAGTAGCCTTGTCCAAAGCTGGATCCCAAGCCAGTCTAGTCTTCGGATTCAGAGAAGGCATCTCCAGTTCTGACGTCATCTTCGAGATCGAGAAGTTGTCGGAATCTCAGGTATCGTCACTCGTGGGAGCTACGAATGTAGCCGTCAACGAATTACTACGGTCGAAACGTGGTGCTCACAAGATAGTACTACTGATCTCTTATGAAAACGACCGTGACCAACTCAACGAGCAAATGACAGCCGGAATGAGATTAAAGGACATCTCGGACATTGTTTACGTTTACAGTCCGAAAGGAAACCAACAATCGCTCAAGTCCTACATCAACAATGACGCCAGTTTCTTCGCCGACGCGCAGGAGTTTGTCACGGTAATATTCTAAAATTACAATTTAAAAATTTTAAACAGAAATTTAAGGGAAAAACATATTTTTTAAAATAACCTTTCTAGCTTTCTTAATATAAAAACTTGCACAAAAATGTTTACAAAAAAAACAAAAATTTGGGCGCAGTTTGCAACAATTGTTTTCGCAAACTGTATGTAAATTTTATACTTTATAAATATAAATATATTTCAGGCTGCTCAAGAAGAGTTACAATGCAAAAAACGGTAAGTAACTCGTTTTTGGTTACATAAAACAATTATTTAAATTTTTATTCAAATATTGTCGTTTATGAAAATCATTTTAGAGTAAACAAGAAGTTCGAAATCGACTCAGTGCCAGAATTAGAAGCCAAGGACGTAGCGTTACCGTTGACAGAAGCACCACTGATAGAACATGTCGAGTAAGTGTTGTTAATTTAGTTTTATATCTAATTTTAAATTAATAATTCACTTTAAGCTGTATCAAGAACAAGATGGATATCATTATTATCTTGGACGCTTCCACATCTCGTGAAAATGTGTTTGAACATCAACGTGAACTAGCCTTGAGCTTGATTGAGAGGCTGCCTATCTCCAAAGGGGATACTCATGTAGCCACTGGAATCAACAGTTTCAACGAAGAAGCTACCCTCAGGCAATCTTTGTCTGTTGGTCGGGATCGTGATGTGAGTTTTGAAAATTCCAGTTGTAAATAGCCGTATTAACTAGATCAGTATAATTTTACTCATTTTGCATTTTTTTTATCTCCAGATGGTCCGAGAATCCATAGAGCAGATCAATTACCTTGGTGGAAGTACCTATACCTCGAAAGCTGTCAATCTGGCGATCGACGACCTGTTAAGAAACGGTCGTAAAGACGCGACTCCGGTAATTGTGTTGATGAATGATGGTATGTCTCAAGATCCGTGGGAATTAGTGGTCCAGACCAGCAAACGGTTGGCTGACTCTGGCGCGCTATGCTTTGGTGTGGCATTGGGGAGCGAGGTTGATTTACGAGAGCTAGAACTGTATACGGGGGGATCAGACCGTATATTCAGAGACGGGTCAACCGAGCAGTAAGTTGCGCAACAAAGTCAAATAATATCATAATTCGAGGTTCCTGCAGTCCGTCATCGGATTACTGGACAAGACACAGTGTGGGGCGAAGCAGGACACTAATACCGTCGTACAAAGCCTTACCGACATTGCTGTGGAACAGACGAACAAAGTACTACATGATGCAAAGTGTCGCGATGACGTTGACATTGTCGTGTTTATTGATAGTTCGAACAAGCCGAGCGAAGCGTCGACACAGTTTGCTACCAACAGATATTTGTTACTTGACATTATTGGTAAGGTACATTAACATATAATATAAAAATATGTTTGTCGAAACACAAAATCTTTTAAACTATTTTTTGTATTCAGAATGGTGTATATATACTATTTCCCAGTTTTAATGACAACTTCGGGATGCCCGAAGTGATTTATTACTAGCACTCCATAAATCCATAAAGATACCTATTCAGAATAGAAGCCTGTGTATTCAAATTATGTATTGTCGCCGTTAATTTAGGCTCGATCTCGATGGGAACCAACGTCAGAGTGGCGATAATTTCGTTTGCCAAACGACCCATAATTGTAAATGGGCTGAAAGACGACCACTCGAAGCAAACCTTGTTTAAGATCGTGGATTCGCTGCAGCCCGGCGAAGGCGATCCCAATTACGCGGCGGCGCTGGAAAAGGGATTAGAATATTTGAAAGCTAACCGGAGACCAGATGTTCCCGGTTTATTCTTGATTATTGGGGACGGAAATACGACCGACGAGGTCGGCGAACTGGCGAAAACTCAAATTAAGGAGGTAATATTGTCATGGCACGGAAGTCGGCGTTTCCCAAATCCGAAATTTAAATAATTGCATAATTAATCCATGTCACTCTCAGACGACACGATAATGTCATCTCCAATCATTTCAGACCATCGATCTGTCAGTAATTGCGGTCAGTAACGAGCACAATGTTAACACATCTACCTTGGAACACTTTACATCGAGAGATAAGATCTACACATTCAGAAGGAATTCAGAATTTTCAAAAGAATTCAGAAGACTCACAAAGTCGTGTGCTGATGAGAATGTTGACATTGAAGGATCTGGTGCTGGAGTTGATGAAGATTTAGCCTTCCAAAAGGATGTAGCTCTACTCAAGGAAGACCCATTTGGAGACAGCAAAAGTGTACTGCCAGTTAGACCTGCCAAGCCCTTGGAAGACTTGGTGGAGGAGGCAGAAGCTGTTTCAGCAAAGAACGTAAGTTCAAACACAAAATAAAGTTTTATGTGCCAATCTCAAGGTTAACGTGCCCATTTGCAGACCACTCCATCGTTCGACCAAGGCGAATGTGTGTATGACGTGCTGATGTTAATTGACTCGTCGGGATCGGTGGTGGAAACTTTTGAGAGGGAGAAGAAGCTGGCCCTGGACATTCTGGTGCATCTGCCTATTAGCCCGATGAACGTTCGTGTGTCCATAATTAAATTCTCTTCGCCTTCGAAGGTCCGCACTCTGCACGGCTTCAACTCCATCCAGACCAAAGGTCATGTCCTCAAAAAACTCGAGTCGATCCGCATGAGCAGCGGCACGACTGCCATTCATAGTGCTCTTCAGCACGCTGTCAATGAGTATTCGTCTTTAAATGGAGCGCGGCCAACAAAAGCGACGCCGTTGGTAATAGTGTTTACTGATGGCTTCGGAAACAAGGACTTTTTGAAAGAGGCCACTGCTCTTCGCAGTCAAGTGCCAGATTTGTTTGCTGTCGCGATTAACCATGAGGTTGGTGATGACGACAATACCAATATATAATACTTTCAGTTCCCAATTAGTCGCAGAGGACTAGTTGCCATCACTGGGAGCTCGAACAAGGTCTTTACCGAGAAGAACATCGACAAGTTCCACTCGCTGCTCCGGCTCAAGCTCAAGCAGTGCTGGGTCTAGCACCTCCTGGTGCTTCTACCTATTTACCTTATAATATATATTTATATGCGTTGTATATTCTGCGAGAAAGAAGCTGTTTAACCTATGTGGTAATAACTGGTGGGGATTTATCGAAAGCGTGAGGGTCAAAAGCTCTCTTATGATCATTTTTATTGTTATAAGTGAACAAACAATGCAACGTACTCTGTTTTTGACAGGTGCTTTGCATCTACAACTCATAGGTTACGGTAAGTACCTTTGAAGAGGTCTGTCTCTTAATACTTGGCCATCCTTCATTTGCGCTGGGTGTCCAGCCGAGTAAAGAAATATGGGTTGCGTAACCCCTGTACCCCCTAATTGTGCCTTTCTATTAAACTCAAATACAAAAACGAGACAAAGCACATTCGATCCTGAAGGACGCGAAGAGCAGTAATTCCCTCTTTTGTGTGTGTTTGATAATTGCCGGGGTTGATTCGGCGGGCGCCCCTACTAGTGAAGGTCGGTGAGTTAGGTGAGGCTATCCGCCATTTCCCGTGTTAACAAAATTACTTTTTAGTTTTACAGAATCGAACGCCTATGTACATCGTATTTCGTAACCGAAGGACGCATATCTTTTGGCGCCATCACTTCTTTCAACTTCGTCTGCTAGCCTCTGCGCGGGATTACATAAATTCAAGTAGACTAGTGTAGGGGCGATGTTACTCAAGTCAACTAATGTTAGTCCTCCCACAATTGCTGGCCTTACTTAGTGTCCTGAGAGCCATTCTTCTTATTCACGTAGTTTAAGGGTTGTTTACCGCGAGTAATTTACATCACTCGGGGTTCAGCGTAGAATAAACAATGTCATGGTCATTCTTTATTTAAAAGTCTCGCTTCTTCCCCGAGCCTAAGGGTTGTGGCCGCGGCAGTGTCGAATTTGGCCGTTGGTGCCACTTCGTGCAGAGTGCAGCCATGCCACATGAGAAGCGAAAAACCGGACAATACTCTCGTCCAAAAAGGAACCTGCATTTAGAAAGTGTTCCCATGTGATGATGATGTCTATTATAATTGGATTTTACACGAGTTTGAGGGGTTGACATGGCCGCGCAGCTTTGGGGATGGATTTGAACTTTGTGGATAGTATGAGTAAAACCTAGTGTAACATGTAACTCTGATTTTTGAACCAATTCTACTCGAAATAAGTGTTTTCTACCGAATTCTCGAAAGAAAGAGGAGAGGTCGAGAGTTGCGTCCTGTTTTCCTTATACGAACTTCACTCACCAGGGCTACGTGATCAGCATGGTGATCCGGAGGTGCGTGATCAGCATGTTGATCTCAATTAACTTCCGTAGAGTGAGGTCAGAGGGTTTACTGCGCGGAAGTGGAACGGAGCGTGGATGTGAAGAGATATTGTTTGCAGAGGGATGAATATATCGACCGCCGATTATGGATCGGAAGGGGAGAGAGTGAATACGGTGAGGAGGATCGAGAATAAAGCCAGGTGTGGCGATACACCGTGCGGCGTCGACCTTACCTAGTTCGTGTTTATGTGGAGAAAACGAAAATTGATGGGGATAAAGGCGCGGCTGTATCGAGCTGATCAGAGGCAGATGTCACATCGGCAGCTGTGCTCACATCTGGCATCATGATCTTAATTTGGCACGATCAGTTCATAATTCACGTCTTTTCCGTTTCTTAAAATTTCAAAAATGTCTCAAAACTCGAGATACTTGGTAACAGTACTTCGTATTTCGTTTCTGTCTGTTAGACCAGTAAATTGACAAGTTTCAGAACAGGGAAAGACTTATTTAATATTTTAGATCAAGCCATAAATAAGTTTTAAGTCGAAATTCTAAACATTTTAGGTCGAAACATAACTTTTTACTTCGAATTTCAGATTTCAGACACAGGCCTCTACCATAATAGGTCTAAAAAACGAAACTTGAAGTTAACTCATAAACTTGGGCATTTCGAACGCATAAAACTGGCTGGAGAGGAGAAAATGAGTTTCCAAGGTTTTGGCGCGTAAATTTGGGTTTGAATGTCTGACTAATAATTGGGAAAAATGTTTTTTTGCAATTTTTTTTTATTTTATGGAGAGGCATAGTTAACGCGTCTTTGTTGAGTTAGAGTAGAGAACTTTCATAATAGTCGTATCTGAGGTTAGTTTCAATATAACCCATATTCTTGGCTCTGTAGTTTTTAGATCTTAAACATTATTCACTCTTTCACACTATTTTTAGGTATGAAAATCTTATTTTTTAGGTGTAAAGTATAATGTGTTATATACAATACATATTTCTTGCTTTATAACGTAGATTGTCAAAAGATTTTTCTATTTTTATATTGTTTTAGACATTCGATGTCTTCTAATTCCCAACTTTGAGTTTGTCGTGACACTGTCTTATTGTCCGTTTCGTGGTCTATCCAATTTTCATGCTCTTGGATTTTTAATGAGATTCGGCGCTGCGGGTTATCCATCAGGAAAAGGGCGTTTGCGCGGCCTGGGATTTGGGTTTGAGCGGCAACAGCTGGACCTCACTCTCTATTCTTGCATTTCCCTTTCTCTGCGCGATTGGGCCTAAGAGCAGGGCGCAATCGAGCAGGTGGGGACTGGGGCGGAGGGCGAAAAGATGCTGCTTCAGCCACACCTCCTTTCTTCTTGTCGTGGAGGGTGCCTCAAACATTTGCCGACCTCATGTTTTATACGTGCTTGTGTCCGTCCATGTCCTTTCCGATCGACCTTATCTCGCGCGTGTTGATCGTTATCATATCTCTTGTTTCCGCCACATTGTTTTAACGCTAATTATTCCGAAATTCGTGCTGAGATTAAGATCATTATGTTGGTGATGATCACTTTATGTCCATTTGATGAATCCCACCTTTCAGATCAGATGGCGGGGGAAACGTTGACGCTAGCCACGACGCAGCAGTTGTACCACGAAACTGCCACTGAGTACACATACGCCAAGACCCCAGGAGCATGGTACTTCGAGGTTGGTCCAGAGGTCTTGTGTGAGAACTCGTCGGCTGGATCTCCGACAGGAGAGTTGTCACCCAACATCAACGACTTCGACGAGTTCACCTTCAACCAGATGCAAGGATCTGCGAAGAATGTGACCGAGACCGTGGAAGTACCCAGTTCCGAACATGTGGCCGAGATCGTGGGGAGACAAGGCAAGTTTATTATTCGACCGAAAGTTTGCATAAAAGCTGAGCCGTGCAATCGGATGCTTGAGACTAATATTCGAAAGCTCTTTTAGTATTCCCATCTCTATTTGCCTTTTTCTAACATATTTTGGTTATAGGATGTAAGATCAAAGCATTGCGGGCCAAAACAAACACCTACATCAAGACCCCGGTAAGAGGAGAAGAGCCCGTTTTTGTGGTCACCGGCAGAGAAGAAGATGTAATTGAAGCCAAACGCGAGATCGAGTGTGCTGCCGAACATTTCACTCAGATCAGGGCATCTCGACGACATAGCCAAGGCGGATCCCCAGCTCCAGGCCATGTCACAGCTTATGTCAGAGTACCACTGAGAGTAGTCGGCCTAGTCGTGGGACCAAAAGGCGCCACTATCAAGAGAATCCAACAAGACACTCACACGTACATTATCACTCCTTCCAGAGAAAGAGAGCCCATCTTTGAGGTTACTGGACTTCCACAGAACGTTGATGCTGCCAGAAGAGAGATTGAACAGCATATCTACCAACGTACTGGAAACATGCCCATCACCGATCCATCTGCTACGATCAAGACGTTTGACTTTCAGGCAGCGGCAGCCGCGGCATGTCGATCGAATGGCCAGACTCTTAATGTCAACCGACCAAATTACGGTGCGTTGGCGGCTGGGACCCACGAAATGCGAAAGGCATTGGCCATGGAACAACTGCGCTCAGCTTCGAAGGCAGCCCAAGAAGCGTATGCTCGAGGAGATCTCCAGACGCTGGCCGAAGCCAAGCAGACCTATTCCTCGGCGATGAAGCTGCTGAACCAGTCCTTGAACGCCCAAGCAGCGGCTGCCAACCAGCTCGGAGTTGCTCCACCAGCTCCACTGCAGATTCCAGAATGTCCATTCACATTGCCCAGTGGCAGTTTCTCGCCTTCTGGAGCCACCTATCAAACTACAATCTCGAGAGAGTCTGGTCACGCTACTTACAATTCTACTTCTTCTGCTCCAAACAGCACTCGTGGCTCTTCCCCAACTGCTCCAAACACTAATGGATCTCAGGCTTCCCTTCACAGTAAGTTTTCTTGTAATATTCTAATTATTTACACAGTTTGGGAAAGTTTTGTGAATATCTTTGAGTTAATATAACCTATTTGTCGAATTTTTAGCTTAAAGTTTTTTTAAATATGGTATTTTAGCCGGTTCTTACAATACTTGGTCATGCTCGGATACGGGATCCAACAACTACGGTTTACCAATGCCAGACCAGTCCATGAGTAACCTGATGCAGTTGTTCAACAACTCTTGTGCATTGGGTTCTCCGAATTCAGCGTCGTGCGACGAAGGAATTGGTGAATCACCATCTTCATCGTAAGTTTATATATTTGGTACGAATTCGGTACCATTTTGGTCAAAATGTTAATGGAAAATTTTGGTTAATCGAAAAAGACAATAAAACCCATTTTTTTGATCTTAAAATGCCTTAAAAACTCCACTGTAATATACCATGTAACTCTATGTCACCTTTCAGACTTGGCATGCTCAACGGTGACCCCTATCATCTGATGATGTCGAGCATCTGGAGCGACCTGGACCCCCAAAAGTCCACGTTCAAGGCCGACCCCAACGTGAATTCGCTGGCTAGCGCTTAACTTTGCAAACTTTTCTATCGACTATTTTACTAACGTTGACATATTTTTAGTCTTATTATATTATTTCAGATATTTTAATAATTTATTAACTAATCAGAGTTTATTATTGTTGTCCCTCGTGACCTCAACGACGTTGTTGAAAGATGCAGGTCTTGGGAGGCGTCTTCATATCGTGTAACCTCAGTGGACGCCTCCGAGCATAATAATTTTATCAAACCAGTCCTCTCGTGAACCTAGTGTTCCCTCCCCTACTGTCACCGTTCGAAGGAAAGATATCTGAAATTTTTATGTTTTCCTACACAAATCTCTTATTCCACAAAACGAGTACTAAAACTGGATGCTTTATATTGTACTTGGGCAGCTTGGCTGGTTAAACGATTCCAAGCTGTGGCACAAGCTCCGAGTTGAGTCTAAACTTTACACTTTTTATTATCCATTCCCAGATGTTTACGGCCTTCATATTTATTAGATGTATTTTATCACAACTTTATTATCAAATAAATTGATTATAATGCAATAACTCATGCTTGAAAAATGTTGGCGGCGGCACGGAAAGGGAATTCACTCGGCCATCTGTAGGAGCCGAGATAAACGATCCTGAATCAACCTTATCGTGGGGCGTCTTCCTTCAGAATGTCCTCCAAGGACGTGCTGCGACATCACAGCCTCTGGGGAAGATTTGCGCACAATTGTTCAATTAGCCCTGAAGGCATATAGTATTGCTTAATGTGCCGTTTGTTCCTCTCTGGTTACCCAGTTCGGATTGCCACAAGAAAGGCTTAGAATAAACAATCCAGCGACGAAAACCTGCTTGTAAACATTTCTTTTAAACTGGCTTGATTGGTACATTCCGTGTTTTGAATATTGTCTTTGATCTTATTATGAATGTAATCTCGTTATATGAAGCCGCGATGTAGCTCTGTTTTACACTTGGCCGTGCGATTCGTTCAACCGTGCCGGTAAATTGAAGGCAAAAAGTTTTGTCACACCTGGTTCTCATATTATTAGTGTCATGGGAACCATTCCTGCGCTGCCATTCTTTATTACTTTTTTTACCATTTTAGTTCCGAAGTAAGCCTATCCCGGTATGCCCGTTCGATTGTTTTGGAGTCGTTACCTAAGGCCATGATAGTGCCTTTATTATTCCTCATCAGTGCGTGCACAGCCCTCGGCCAGGCCTACCATTATCCCATAAGGTAAGGGAGTGTCACCCAATTCTAATCAAGTTCAGTTGTTTTTCATGTGCTTCCGAGGAATACCAACAACTCTACGAAAGCTCCAAAAACAGCCGCACTATAGGCGTGCCAGTCAGGTTCGGTAAGATGTGTAACCGAAAAGAAGACGTCAAACTGTTCTCTCCGCCCGTCCAATGTGACAGTTCATGCGTGACCGTACTCGAGCCACAATACTTTGGAGGTAAACACAAATACAGTACTTTGTTGATAAATTTAAAAAGTAACAGCGTCAAAGACGGTACCTTTGAAAACTAACCTAACAAAATGACAGAAGCTTACACTACAAATTACAGGGATCCTAAATGAAAGACAGCCGTATATCTTCATTCGAGGTTGTGCTACTGACGTCTTCGCTTGGGCCGCTTCCCGGCCGGCGGAAGTGGACTTTATGCACAACGGCGACATTTGCCTTTCACTGCCAATATCGGAAATATGGCCAGACGTACAGGCCAACGACCTGGTGACAGTCTGTTCATGTACGAAAAACGGGTGCAACGTACACGATACTGTAAATAGTAGCGGTTGGATCAAACCATATTACACTTTACCTTTGCTTTTATTTTCCCTTTTACTAGTTTCTAATACATAACACAACAATAAAATAAAACAAACTTTAACAACGGGTTACTTCTTCTGCAATTGCTGTAGCTGTTTGTCGTCCTGTTGGGTCATATTGGTCAGCACTTTGCCGAGCTTCTCGTGCACGTCCAAGTACTTGGCCACACATCTGTCCAGACATACAGATTCTCCCTTTGTCAGGTCGGCTTCCTTATAGTGAGCTGCAATACACTTGGCTTGACAAGTATTGGTCATCCTTCTGTACATATCAGACATCATTTCCATCTCGAGCTCGGCCACCATTACCATGGGATCAGGTGCTTGTGTCTTCGACATGTTTAAGCTAAAAATATATATTAAACCATTGATTTCGTGTTGTAACAAACAAAATAAAATAAAATTTAATAAACAATTAATAAAATTACGCGAGTCAAACCTATTTTATACCTAAATTTCTCGTTCTTGAAACAAGCCGCCGCCTTTCATACTCGAAACTAAAACAAACATTAGATTCCAACATCTAATTATCGTATAAGCCAAAAAGTAAAATCTTTATCTACATATTATTTAAATCATTGTTCGGAACTAAGTAAAACAATCGAAATACATCAAAAATTTTTTGGCCTTACATTTTTTTAGAAAATAATTTTCTTGGGTCATGTCTTCTAAAGATTGTGGGAGGCATGACACATGCGTCAAGTTTTATAGAAACAGTTGACACATCTTCCCCATTTTAAAATTTTATTATTTTTTTCTTTGATAATTTACCAAACTTTGTAAATCAACTAGAATATGGCTTCGAAAAAGAAGGATTTTAAAGATTTAGCTACAAATGTGTTCAACCAAAGTGAACATAACCGGAAGGTTTTGAAGCGGAACAACAAGAAGAAGGCTGGATTCAATTCTAAATCTGCCATTGATCAAGTTATCAAAAAGTGCAACGAACTGAACCAGGTATTTGACATTTTCTTTTTTATTTATGCTTTTAGACTCTTGCTTCAACTTATCAGAGATTTGATGAGTTTCCTTTGTCGTCTTTGACTATGAAGGGACTTTTGGAGAACAAGTTTGAGAAACCAACCCCAATTCAACGAGATTCTCTGGGATGGTCGTTAACTGGACGGAACGTAGTTGGAGCAGCCAAGACTGGAAGTGGAAAGACTTTGGCGCTAATTATACCGGTATGATAAGGTTTTCAAACATAATTTTGGATTTTAGATATTAGAGAAACTATGGAAAGCTAGATGGACTAGAGATGACGGGCTTGGAGCGCTAGTTGTTGTGCCAACAAGAGAATTGGCTTATCAGATATATGAGATATTAAATAACGTGGGAAAACTGCATCAGTTCTCGGCGGCGTTGCTGATAGGAGGAAGTGATGTACAATATGAGATGCAGAGGTTGGTCGGAGTCAATATTATTATTTGTACACCGGGAAGACTTTTGCAGCACCTTGAAGAGAACTATTCCTTCAAGTGCGATCAGCTTCAAATTCTTGTGATTGACGAAGCCGATCGTATTTTAGATATGGGATTTAAAAAACAGGTAAGGGACATTTGGATGACGAGCAGAGAATTATATTGTATTCAGAGTTGAATTATAATCAAATGACTTAAAGGTAGTTTGGAATTTAATATTTTTAGATTGATGCTATAATATCGTATTTGCCTGAAGAACGTCAAACATTGTTATACTCGGCTACTCAAACTAGAAATATTGACGACTTAGCCAGAGTTTGTGTGGAGGATCCTGTTTACGTAAATGTTGACGAACAAAGTATAGAAGCTACTCCATCTGGTCTTGAACAGGTATACCTAAATATTATAAAATGCATTCTTTTTTTAGAATTATATGGTCTGCAACGAAGAAGACAAGATTAACATGTTGTGGTCGTTTTTGGTCAGTAACAAGAGGTCTAAAATACTTATATTTGTAGCGTGCTGTAAACAGGTGAGTTATTATTTTGCTTTAACTACTTAATTATGAATTGTATATTGTCATTTTAAACATTTTAGGCGCGATTCTTGGCGGAATCCTTCAGACATCTGAGGCCTGGAATTTCAATCGGAGGTCTTTGGGGTACCCAGAAGCAGACAAGACGATTGGAGGTATACCAGGGCTTTGATTCAAAAAGAAATGGAGCTGCTTTGATAGCTACGGATGTGGCTAGCAGAGGATTGGACTTTCGGCATTTGGACTGGGTGTTGCAGTTGGATTGCCCTAATACGGTCGAAGATTACATTCACAGGTAACACCATTTATATTATGAAATGTTAGTTACATTTTTTGTTGATCTTAGTGTAGTGGTAAAATAAATTGTTTTTAGGGTTGGTAGGACTGCTCGGATGGGCAGGAACGGCCGTGGTGTACTTGTGTTAACACCAAACCAAGAAGAACCGTTTATTAACATGCTGCAGGAGAAGGCAGTTCCTATAACTCAAATAAGACCAGACCAAAAGAAGCTTTTGGATATTAGGACAAAGTTGATGGCAGTAATTGCCAGCTTCTCAGAGCTCAAGGAGTTTGCGCACGGTGTAAGTTTTTGGTTTGTGTAAATTAATTTTTGAATTATATTTGAGATAACTATATATTGTTTTAGAGTATTGTTTCATACGCAAAAGCCATGTATTTTGCTCAGAACAAAGACGTCTTTAACGTGAAAGAGATAGACTTTGATGCGTTGTCACAATCTTACGGTTTGGCTACCACACCTAGGATAAGGTTTTTGAAGAAACGAGGTATTGAGACGAAGAGTGAAGTGGTTAAAGATGAAGATCAACAGATTTCTAAAAATAAAAAGAAGCTGGCTCTACGAGAACTGTTAGATGAAGTGAAGAAGGGTGACCAAGTGGAGGTGGAGAATATCGAACTGACTAAGTCTAATTCTTTGAAGATAGAAGACGATGACAGTGATAATAAAGAAGACGTTTTTACAGTCAAACAACGAGATGTCTTTAATGTTGCTGATGATAAGGACGTTGCTCAGCCTACTTTGGTGCCAAAGAAGGTCGTCACAAAGGAACAGATGGCTAAGAAGTTGTTGAAGAAAGGAATTCGACTTAACACAACTGTCAAGTTCAATGAAGATGGAAATGCTGAGGTAAGGAGATAAAGAACAACCATGATATTCGTATTTAGGATGAGTTACTGGTCAAACCGAAGGGCTTGGATCTGGAAGAAGCTAAGAGGGAGATGGCTCAATCTAATGCTGAAGACAAGAAACGGCACAAGGAGTTGATCAAGAAGATGAAGAAGGTAAGCACTCATAGAAAGATCATAGCTACAACCTTTAACATTTCAGGAGAAGAAGTTGAAAAAGTTGGGCAAACTGAAACAAGATGAAGAAGAATTGGATTTGGGAGCTGATGACGAAGATAATCGAGACTTTTCTTGGCTACCTGATCCAGATGCGCCTAAGAAGTTTGATGAAAGTGATGGTGAAGAAGATGATAAGGAGGAACTGAATGAAGAATCTGATGAAGAAGATGAGCAAGATTACAGTAGTAGAAAGAGGAAGTTGAACTCGGTGCAAAACGCGGAAGAAGCGGCCTTGAAGCTGATGAGGTTCTGATCGTTGTTATTGTTATTCGTTACTTGTTACATAAAGATGATTTATTATGATTGTTACTTTCGAATGCTGGTTGATTTACCGTTGATATCTAGCTTTCTATGGTGACATTGTTTTACTTTTATGTTTAGAGAAGATGGTCAAGCCTCTCCAGCCGGTTACAGACGTCGAGTTTAGGACGTCTGATGACATAGAGTACTGGAGTCGGATGAAAGTAAGTTGTTACCGTTTATGTGTGCTTTATATTTATCTGTAATCAACGGATTATTGTGTGTAATATTAACCATTTTGTAGGAATTGGCCGTCTTTCAAGAACCTGGTGTGATATCAAGTGTAGCCTTTTCACCAAATAAACCCTATCACTTGGCCGTTGCAAATTCAAACAGAGTAAGTTCTTATGATACTACACGTTAAAGTATTGTTCTTTTGAGTTTAATCAATAATTTTGTTAAGGTTTCGTTGTTTGACACATCTATTGCACAGCCAGTTTGGTTTCAAAGTAGATTCAGATCAAATGTTTTTGGATTAAAGTTTAGAGAAGATGGTCAACTCTTGGGTGAGTTATCTTATGCTGTATTAGAATATTAATTTGAAATGTTATTAAAATTTAGTAGTTTTTGTTACGTTTAAATAAAAAAAACAATTTTTAGGTATGGGAACATTGGATGGATACGTTCACTTCTTCGATGTGACCAAGAACGAGCTTCCTTCACGGCATCCTCTCAGGGTCTTCAAAGCTCACGATTCAGAGGTCAGATGCATTGAGTTCCAGACCAAATCTCAGAATTGTGTAACTCTTGGTGACGATAGCAATATAAAGGTGTGGGATTTGGCTTTATCGAATCACACTGAACCTTTAATCACGATAAGTGGAGCACATTCTGATAGGATCAGGGCAGCGGTGACGTCGCATAACAACACAGATGTAGTAGTATCAGGGTCTTACGATCATACTTTAAAGCTATGGGACACCCGGCAGGAGAACAAACAGTGTAGCATTCAGATGAACCACGATGCTCCAGTGGAGAAAGTGCTTCTCACGTCGAACGATCGGCTTTTGATCAGTGCTGGAGGCAATTGCGTTAAGTTCTGGGATCTGGCTGCTGGGGGTCGGCTGATTCAGACATTGGAGAATCACAACCGAACGGTAGGGCTCACGGTATATTGAGTTATGGTTTAGGTAACATCGTTGGCCATGTCTCAAGACAAGAAGTACCTGCTGTCAGGTGGTCTAGACCGTAGAGTTCATGTTTTCTGCGTTGATCAAGGGACGTACTCACTGGTTTCAACGATCCCTACAGCTGCTCCAGTACTATCAATGGATCTGGCCAAGTCGGGAGATTGTTTGGCCTTTGGAATGAATAACTTGTTGAGTATTCAGCGACGACAGCCGAAAGCGAAAATACCAAAAGCGTTGAAGAAAAATGTAGTAGGTACTGGAAAGGCGTTGAAACTAAAGAGTACTGTAATTCAACACAGAGAAGGAAATGCTGAGATGAGGAGAGCTGACGTCACGGCCAAGCATATCGAACAGGTATGGTAACTAGTTTTCTTTAAAGATGTTTTATTGATGTTTAGTGAATAATTTTTAATCTGTTTGGTTTGAACTATTGTATTTTTTAACTTTATGTTGTTATCAAAATTGTTATTTAGGTGCACTTGGGAAGACTAGATGTTTTACTACGCAGTTGTCAGTTCAGAAAGGTGGTCGACCAAGTTATGCAGCACAAAAAGTTGAGGGAAGAACAGCCAGAACTTGTTGTCGCAGCCTTGAATCAGCTGAAGATCAGAGGTGTGTTACCCACAGCATTAGCTGGTAGACAAGGTCCTCAACTTAGACAGATCCTAGGCTTTGTTTCTACGCATTTCTTCAAACCTTCGTTTTCAGAAGTGCTCATGGACGTGGCTAACGTTATATTTAGTAAGTTGTCGTTATAATTAGTGTGTTTTACTGGCAATTATATGTTATTTGACCATACATCTTGTTATTTTGTATTTAAAACACATCTCTTGTAGATGTATACATTGGGGAAGAGCTGAGCAGAAACGAAATGTCAGCGATGAGAGACTTGAGGAACCAGATCAAGGCCGAGATAGCTTGCCAACAATCAATGTTACGAGTTTGTGGTATCATGGAGTCATTGTGGAATACAGAAGAACATACCCAAAGTGAAGAAAACGACGAAGTGTTCGGGGAGGTGACAATCACTCCGAAGGTCTACTCTTTGAAGGACGATTAATGTTAAAGTTTATAATTGTTGATTTTGTTGTTATTGTTATTAAATATGGCCAAGTATGCTTTGTTTTGTCACATCAATTGTTTCATACGATTTGTTACCTAAAATGTCATGTTTTTGATTTTAACTTTGATTTTAGATGGTTTCTTTGTTCCCTAAGGCAATTGAGGATGAAGAGAACATGGAAGAGGTTTTGTCATCAGAAGACGAAGAGGACGAGGTACGGTTTTCATCTTTTAACCGATATCTTGATTTTAGGCATTGAAAGCGAGGAAGAAACAGAAGAAAGGCGCTTTGTCGTGTGGCTTCAGAAATGACTTTGTTTTTGTGGATGATGACAAAAAAGGTGACGTGGATCACTACGATGGCATCAAGCCCTACTTGAAGAAGACTGTAGCTATTTCACTCCAAGATAAGATCGACGAAGAGAGAAAACGATTGAAACTGAATGAGAAAGTAGTGTTGGGAGGGACTGTAGTGGACGAAGAAGGAGTGATTCAAGGAGAAGATGACGATGGATTGGTACAGGAATTGGTCGAAACTTCAGATAAGATTCGGGAGAAGAAGGTAAAGGGCACGGTACAGCAAAAGGACTTTTTTGACGGGTTATCAGAGGACTTGACCAACGTATCGGAAGCCATGACCTTCTATGACATGAAGTTGAGCAGAAAGGTGTTAAAGGTACGGTTTGTCATAAATATTCATTGTAACGTTTAGTTTTGTTACACTGAATCTAACTGATTTAGGCGGTTATGGAGTTGGGTTACACTCAGCCAACTCCGATCCAAGCAGCGTGCATTCCAGTAGCGTTAGCTGGAAAAGACATTTGTGCTTGTTCTGCTACTGGTACAGGAAAGACCGCTGCCTTCATGTTACCTATTCTTGAGCGTTTGTTATACAAACCTAAGGGTCAGCACTCGACAACTCGTGTGTTAGTGCTGGTACCTACAAGAGAACTGGCTATCCAGGTGTTCCAAGTGTCAAGGAAACTGGCACAGTTTACAAATGTGGAGATTTGTCTATGTGCAGGTATGTTATTATGGTGTTTTTGAATTTAATATGCGATAGTGTTTTGTTGGATTTTGTTGTTTTTGCTTATTTTATGTTGAAACTTAATGGTTTTACTTGATATTGCAATTTTCAAATAAGTTAGGGTGTTTATTGTAATTCAACTAATTTACGTAACAATCATGCTTGGTAAAACCGATCCTAGTCTAGCGTTGGTGTTCTTGGCGAAGGCCGTGATGAACATGAACGTGCCGATCATAACAACAGCACTCGAGTAGAAGGCATAAGTGTAGTGGTAGTGGTTAACCAAGTGAGAAGTATAAATAGGTACGAGGAAGTGGACGATCCACTGAGCCATGGAAGCCAGTCCAGTGGCTTTACCAAGGTCTCCTGTTTCTACCGATCTATAATGTGCGTATAAGTTACTTAAAACTGCACCTTTCGCTGAGCTTAAGTCATGAGATACTGTAAAGATAGTTAAGGTTTCTTACGAGGTAATCTGGGTGCAGGATTCAGCGTAGGCGACAGCGTAACTTCCAGTCTGAATAGCTGTGATAACAAGGAACTGGTACAAGTTGGTAGTGAAAGTGACACTAGCGTAGCTGAAGAACAAAGCTCCTACTGCAATCTGGAGCACGGCCTTAGGGCTGAACCGCTTCTGAAGGAACGGAAGCACGAAGAATTGGACCAACAACAAGGAGGCACCCATCGTGATGATAACTTCAGCACTGTCGGTGGTGCCCTTCATGTAAGCACGGAGCAAGAAGTTTCTGGCAATCAGCTCGTAGCACACGTAGGCCGTAATCAGAAGCGCTCTCAGAATCAGGCCTTCTCTCAAACCGGCGTTACGGCGGATCATTGGCCAGTAGTCTTGGGGACGGAGTCTGGCTGAAGCCAACCTGGGGATGGAGTGGGTGGTGGGGAGGAAGAATAGAAGCACGGGCAACAGAAGTAATGGCATCAGACAGCCGTTGATGATCTGCGAAGTTCTCAACGATGTCCAGACGGCCACTTTCGATGCACTCATCGGAGCCAAGAACATAGAAATGGCCTAAAATAGGTTAATCAGTAATGTTAAACTTCGAAGAAGTTAAGGGACTTAACAGATATTAATATGAATAATGTTGACTTTTCATACCTGTGGAATAGTCAACACCATCAAGGCTCCAGTACGTTCTCTCTCTGTGGTCACGGTGGCCAAGTACATCTCAGCAGTGGCGTCAAGTTGGTATCCGACACGGAAAATCTGCAACGGAATCAGAATCATGTTATCGTCAACTTACTTGGATTCCGAAGAACATCCACCAGGTCTTGGAGAAACCGAGGGAGACGTAGTAGGCTGAAGTCAAGATGGTTGACACAATGAACATTATCTTTGGACCAATGCCATCGGTCATCTGGCCAATGACCAAGGCCCCCACCGCGTTACACAAGCTACCGAAGGCCTGAATGTAGGCCAAGTCCACGATGCTCAACACTTCAGTGGTGTCCCATTGAAGGAAGGACAACAAGGTGGTGGTCCAATTGGTGCCGAAACTCCATAATCCGAAGATTATGCACAGCACAAACATGACCTTCTGTCTCCGGTCCATTACTGTCATCCTGAAACGAGGGGTCATTAAATTATATTATTTTAGTTACCTAAAACAAGGTTAAAGACAGCCTAAAACAGTATGACAAACTATGACTGGGTTAATAATGGTTCAGGTCACTCGGAACGATATAATGTTTAAACCGAAAGGAAGAGCCGATGGCGACTTAGTTAGCAGTTTTAGCGACGTTTTGGAGGAACGTGGGGGGAGGGTTGCAAGAAGAACCGGATTCTTACCCTGCTCTTGCGCGTTACTCGTTCTGCGTGTGAAGAAGAAAGAACCTTCTCTGATTGTGTTATTGTTTCTCTGCCCGCTTCCATGATTCGGGTGATGCCGTCGTTATTAATGAGATATCATCGCCGGTTTAATCGATAACCCACAGGTCGAAAAGTGAAAGTCGACTGTAAACATTGTCACACAGCTTTATTTACTGCAATTTCGGTATATTTGAAAAGTTTTTCGAATTTTGTTTTCAATCTATTGATTTTGTGATTTTTCGTTATTCTACCTTTTTTTTAAATACGGTATTCTATAGTATTTTGCATCGATTTCGTTTTCAAAGGTCTCTAAACTGTTTATCTTAAGGTGGACTGGACTTGAAGTCTCAAGAAGCAGCGCTTCGTCTTGGACTGGATATTGTTGTAGCCACGCCAGGACGTCTGATCGACCATCTCCACAACTCACCGTCCTTTTCTCTGGTCGATGTTGAGGTTCTGGTATTGGATGAGGCCGATCGAATGTTGGACGATCAGTTTGCCGAACAGATGAAGGAGATCATTCGGTTGTGTTCGAAGAGCAGACAAACCATGTTGTTCTCGGCTACAATGACAGACGAGGTAAGTGTATTTGTGGCAATGAATAGTCATGATAAAGGTACTTGATGTAATACTACGCAAGATTTTAAATTTGAAATGCTTTTAGATAGAAGACTTGATCAAAATGTCATTGGACAAGCCTGCTCGACTGTTTATCAATGAAAACACAGAGACCGCAACTAACTTGAGACAAGAGTTCATCAGGGTCAGAGAAGGCAGGGAAGGGGATCGTGAAGCTGTTGTAGCAGGTAATGGTTTAATCCTTATGTTTACGCTTTGATTTAGAATATTAATTTAAATCTGGTGTCCTTGATCTTTTAATTTTTTCAATTTCCACTAAATAAGGCCTTGTTTTAGCACTAGTAACTCGTACTTTTGTGGATCATACTATCGTGTTTGTTAAAACCAAACGTGACTCTGAACGTATGAACGTCTTGTTAGGATTACTGGGAGTTAAGGTTGGCCAACTTCATGGTGGATTAACCCAAGCACAGAGAATCCACGCCCTCACAGAGTTCAAGGCAGAACAACTTGACGTACTCGTTTGTACTGATCTGGCTTCCAGAGGTTTGGATATCGAAGGAGTGTTAACGGTACTGTTCTTTTGGTATTCGTTTTTATTGATGTAATTTAAACATTAAGGAATGCAATTGTATTTTACCGGATGAAAAAACTTTTTATTTATAATTTAATGTTTAGGTTATAAATATGCACATGCCAATGTCGATCAAGCCTTATGTACACAGAGTCGGTCGTACTGCTCGTGCCGGAAAGAGTGGAAGGTCAATTTCGTTGATAGGAGAAGATGACCGCAAGTTACTTAAGCTCATCTACAAACAGAACAAGGGCAAATCACTCAAGATTAGAAATATCACAGGAGGTAGGGCAATGTTCATTGTGAATATAAAATGTGCATATTTAAAAATTTTACGCAAAAATATATTGTTCTTGTTCTTTAGCTAAATCCTTATTTTATAGATGTTTTGACCGCGTATTCGGAACGTATAAAGAACCTGGAACAATCGGTGACCAAGGTACAACAAGAAGAGAAGGAAGAGAAGGCACAGCGTCAAGCCATGGATGCCCTGAGCAAAGTAGAAGGCAAGCTGAACAACAAACCAGATGAGAGGGAAGGTCGAGTATGGTTCCAGACCAACATCGAGAAGGCGGCCGAGAAAAGTAAGGCTTCTGATGAGTTATTATAAAGTATTTGTAGGGAAACTGAAGAAGGCTCAGAAGATGCTGAAGCAGAAGCAAAAGGAAGCTGCCAAAACTGTAAGTTAAATTTAGACTGCAGTAATGACATGGTAAACCTAAAGCAAACAAAGTAAAATCTTCAAACTGAGAAAAAAAATTAAAGGTTGTTTAACGACGAAATATTAATTTATGTTAAACTGGTTTATTGTCATCAAGACTCAAAGGTCAACAAGTTCCAGTGATCTCACTTGATCAACACTTGATTATTTTTAGCCTGAAGAACGGTCCATCCAGAACACAATGTCATATCAAGTTAGGAGAGCGAAGAAGGAGAAGAGACCCAAGAGGCTGCGAGCAGTCGAGGATGACGTTCCGACCAGAGGCGTGAGGAAGGGACGAGTGATCAAGAAGAAGAAGTCATCCTTCCTCGGAGCCCTCACCAAAGTGGACAAGAAGTCCGTCAAGAACATTCGCTATGGGTGAGTCTTATGAACAAACAACAATATTTGCGAGAGAACACTGTAGCATAAACAAAGTATCAAAATAGACATTAGGAGTTGAACTGGTACACAATAAAGTAACTTCTTTCAGCCCTGGAGACAAAGACTTCCACAAGGCCAAGAAGGGCATGAAGGCGAAGGGAGCACTGAAAGGACCCAGAATGTAATGTCATGTTACAATAAGTTGTTTTGTTTTACTTGTTAATTGTTATTTAAGTAAATAAATTACGGTTACTTATGGGAACAGGTTACCTTCGTCAAGGTTGACGAGTTTGAATACACGTCCCATAAACGTCTGTGTTTACTTGCGACGTCGCGTCTGTTCCAAACAACGCAGTAATAAGTTGATAACTTTTCCAGATTTTACAGTTTTTTACGTTTAAAAGTACGTTCTGTCAAAAGTGGCAGTTTAAAGATTGAAATTGGTTAGAAGGACTGATAAGAACTGATCTGATTCGGTGGGAAATGATGAGCAATATCACTAACGGCCTTAAAAGTCAAAAAAGTCTGCTGCATTGTACTCTGTTTAATTCCTGGGACCTCGCCGTTGATAAGAGAGCGTGAGGAGGGGGGAGAGACCCGGAGCACGTGACCAGCTGCGACTTTCTCTTTTCCCGCCTCTGCTTTTTTGTGTTATGTAACCTGTCCGGACACATTCTCATCTTGCGATCAGCTGTTTTAACCTTACAACAACAAAACTCGTTTCCCGTGGCCTCTGTTTTAAACCGCCGAGACTATAATAGCATCTTCAGTCGAAGAAGGTTACCGTCGCGTCTTTTATGAGTCGCTTTTACAGTTGTTTCTAATCATTGTTTACCAAAGTTGATCGATTTAGTATGCAAAGGGATAATGACACCTCCAATTCAGATAGTTCCTGGAGTCTGGTCACCGATAACTTTGACCTAGTGAGTGGTTATGTTGACATTGTCAAGCTTTGTTGTAATTTTACTTACTTCGTTACCTTCAATCGCATAAAATGATTTATCATCATTATTTCTTGTAAACAACCTTCTGCTCTTATTTACAAATCAATCTCTGACTTTAAAGTGTTATACTTTCACTTTAGATCGACGATCCAGATTCAGCTTCGATCACTGAAGACATCCAGATTGATTACTCCACTGACGACGATGTCAGCTCGGTCTACAGTGATGTAGAAGTACATCAAAAAGAAAATGAAGAACTACTGAACGAAGAAATAGAAGAATCAGAAGATGAAAATGAAGCCGACGTCGAAGCCGATGATGACGAGAGCGACGCCGACGAGAAAATCGACCAGATCAGTGTAGTAGATGACCAAGAGGCGTTGGAGGAGCCTTATGCTCGCTACTACGCTTCCCCAACGTTAGTAGCCAAAAGCTTGGATCAGCTGGGTAAGGGAACTGAATTGAGGATCTTCACTTTATCATTCAACTTTTATTTTATTTATCTCCCCTAAGGCGTTACCTTTTTACAAAAAGTGTTTCAGCTACTCCAAAGTCCGACCTGAACGGTCAGAAGATCAGAATCGCTGCTACCTTCTCAGTGTTCGTAACAGCCATGATTGGTCTGGTGTTCAGCTCGACTTGGAACATGGAGAGATGTCTGGATTACAAAGAAATGCGCGGGGTAAGTAGTCTGTTCCATTTGGATCGCTCTGTTCTATACAAACTACAATACAGAAGACCTTTGACGCCATTTGTCACGTTGTAGGTAAACCTGGACCTGTTCGCTTCGGAGAACAAACTCTTTTCGTGGAGAGATGACGAATGGGAAGACGACTACGAACCCTCGTTTGAGGTCGTCAAAGCAATGGAAGTCTGTCAGAAGCGCCTGAGAGAAGTGATCCGAGAATCTGCTCACAAGTCGGCACTCGTCCGCTACATGAAGCTGAAGGAACAAAGACGGAAGGGACTGGTTCCCCCACCTCGAACAGATGTGTTGGGTGAGACTTCGCTGCAGTCGAAGGCTCCCCAGCCCTGTTCCCCCCTCCAGGAACACCCCTGCCATTCCTGGCCACCCCACCCCTCCTTCTTCCCCACCCCCGAACCCATCCCTCAGCCCTGTGCCGAACCCGCCTCGACTGTCAAACCTCACAACCTGACCCACTCTTGTCCCATCACTCATCAGAAGCCAAACAAACGTCAGATCATCAAGAAGGTCGACTACAACATGCAGAATTACAAGGTAAGCATCCAATACAAACCCCTGGTAACAACAACATTAAGTGTTACATTGTAATCAAAACTAAAGCCAATCTATAAAATGACAAGACTTTTAAAACAAATTTAGCAATTCAAACCATTGATCAATCACACGACTGACAGACTTTCCGTCCACAAGAAGCATCACCGTGCCATGCAAGCACATCAGAAGTACGCCAAAGAACAGAAGAACCGTCGTCTACCTAACGACTACCTCAGGTCATGTCAAATCAACGACAAGTGCAACATCACAGAGCCGATCAGTAGCCACCTGAGCCATTCGGACGGTTTCAGAAGCAGTATTACTCCAAAGCAATATAACTCTGTGAGTTTTATATTAGTTAAGAGATCCAAACATAACTTTAGAACAATAATATCTTAGGTAAAGGACTCAAAAGTCATGTTATTGTATGTTCTTGAACAAGTTTTACTGCTTGTTATTATAAAAGTTACAGTACATCACTTTCCTGGACACAATCCCCCCAAGACAGTGCAAGAACAACTCCACCCTACTGCAATGTGAACGTTGTTGGTGGACCGAAGTCTGTCCTGAAATGAAGAAGAAGTGCACGTTGAGGAGATGGCAACGCCTGAAGAAGATCGACCCTAAAGACTTTGTCCAGAAGGACGCCGAGCTTCAGAAGATCTTCAACCAAATCGGGTGGACTCCAGCCAAAAGTAAGCCGCTACAATAATTCATGCTATAATATACAACAACGTATACCATGTTAAATTGTTTTATCTTTGTTATTACACACTATACACATTAAAAGACGACTCGTATACAAAATTAACACATATTGTTACAGGAAACTACGTCCGCCCATCAAAATCAGAAGTAATGTCACGTAGATCGTCAACCATTGCCAGTCTTAAGAAGGTCAAGAAGACACACGAACAGAAGTCGGCGTCGTGGCTCTTCAGAAGACAGAATCAACGTAGAAAGATTCGAGAAGCCTCCACGATGTCGGACTGGTTCTTCTCGAGAGGATCTCACCGTGCTTCGCTCCGAGTTCACTTCTGAGTCGTGTCCTCATCGTGTGACACGCTTATGTAAATTTGTAAATAAGAGTATAGTAAAGATGTAGACAACAGTTCTGGTCGTGTTTTTGCTGAAGATCCTGTATTACCTTTGAGAGGTTGCTAATAAAAAAATGACGTTATACGACAAAATGATGTCGTATCTTCACCATTTGTAGCTTAGAAGGCACGTTTTTTGCCTTGTCCAACCCTAATACTCTTTTAATCCCAAGTGCAATGACCTTTACTTAACGGTCGAAGCGACAGGTTGAGAGTGATGGCATTGTGGTTTGCCGAGGTCACAAAAAGGCCAAATTATAACCGAGATACGTAATAAAACGAACACTGTCGAGACTGGTCAGTGCTCTGCCGCCTCTCCCCCGGCCCTCATCTCTCGCCCTGAGCCAGCCTTTAGCGCGACCTCAGCGCGATTTGATCATAAGATGAGTGACCGGTCGGCAGAGGTCAGGGCCCCATTCACTCTTGCCTTTACTGCCGCCTATTCAACAGATCGCCACGGCACCCAAATAGATGGGCGGACTGTTCTTAGATGGCCATTCCGATCAACGCTCTCGCGAGACTGCGCCCTTTGACCCTGCACCATAAACCCATCTGACCTGTCGAACATTCCGCAACATTCGCAGCACTTTTTTGCCCATCATGGACCTTCTGGCACAGATTAAGCTAGCCGAGATTCAGAATGCTGATTCCTTATTGTGTTCGTCGTTGCTTCAAAATAACCAGATTCCCTTGGATGTTCTGGTAAGTCTGATGACTATGTCTGAAACAGTTCGTTTTCTAGCAAATAAGAACCCTTATTTGTATCTTACCGTGACTGATTACTGTCACTATTTTGATTAACACTCCTGTATACAAGCTAGCTGAACTAATAACTCATTGTCAAACAAGGTATAAGGTCTTTCTATAAATACAATCAAGCTAACCACTAATTAAAGCTTTGATGCTATCACCTAAAATTGTAAAATTGGCATTCTCATCAGCCTACTCTACTAACTGAATCTGTTTCAGTTATCATGTTTCGAAGAGTCAGACGAACCCAGAGTAAAAAAGGAGCGGATGGACGATGCCGTAAGTCCAGTCGGAATGACTTCTAGTGCTTCATCGACCAGTGCCTGTTCTACCCAACATAGTCCATCACAAGGCCTAATCAATCGGTCGAGGAAACCGCCAGAGCCCATTCCTAGCGAAAAGAAGGTAACTTTTATTTCATACTGTTTACATAATTAAGTACCAAAATTAATTCTTCATTAAATAGGTAATAACCATCAATAATATCTTAAATTATATTACTATAATAGGCATAAAACTTAAAGAAACCAACAAACCACGATATATACAATATTCTTGGTAACTAAACTCACTTTTAACTGTGTTTTAAACTTTACATTTTTCCAGGACCAAGCCTACTATGCCAAACGAAAAAAGAACAACGACGCGGCCAAACGATCTCGAGATGCCAGACGCCTCAAAGAAGAGCAAACTGCACAACGAGCTGCCGAACTCGAACAGGTCAGTCATTTACATCCGTTACTTTTTTTAAACTTTTGAAGCCTTAGAAGAGATTTAAAAATATTTTACATTCAAAAAGCCGAACTTTCCTATATAAACCAAGCTACAAAAATAAAAATTTCAGGAAAACCAATACCTAAAACAAAGAATCGAGGAGCTGAACCGCCAACTTTCATATCACAAAACCCTCAAAGCATTGGCAGAAGCGGCCGACTCGAATAACAACAACAATGAGGCTAGTTTGCTGCAGAACACCGTGCTACTCAGCTTCTTGAACAACACCTCGCTGCTGGGTAACAAAAGGAACGACAACTGAGGTAGCTGTTGCCATAGTTAAGGTTAGATCATAATTGTACATAAAGGGTCTGTGAATTCACAATAAACTGTTTTTCGGGTCAGAAACTTGTTTTGCCTCATTTTTGACATTATCTCGACGATAACACAATAATTCCAAAAAAACTTACTTTGATCAAGATGGAAGCACATAGTACGTTACTGAATAAGTAGTCATATGTTATTTAATAGGTAGTAAAGCCAATAGAAAGTGGCATTTTGATAAAAGGTCTAAACATTGAACAAGAAATCGTATTTTTCGTTGTTTTTTGTTGAAAAATTCTGTTTTTTCCGATTTGAACTGCTTTTTTCGCGCAAATTTAGGACATTTTATACGATGAAACATGCACAAAAAAATTTGTTTACACCGAAAAAAACCTTTACTGCAGACTGATGGGGTTATCGTTACCATATTTAGCCCTGTTCTTTCTCACTTTATATTATAACACAAAATAAACCTTTCAATGTTAATATAATTCATTCATTTACTTGCACAGTAATATATGGTAAGATCACACAATTTTTAATTTATAGTTTATAAAACGTAAAACAGATATGATTTGGACCCTTATTGAGGAAACTTTGTTTACAAAAACTCTGGCTCGAGTGCGTGTTCCTGCATTTGTACTAGATTGTACCTGATGTCCTTCTGTGAACTGTTCCTCTTACATTTGGCTACATGGAACAGAAGGCCGATCATGATAACTATAACAACAACTGCAGATACAGTGATCAGAAGTTTGACCAGACTTGAAGTTTGCTTCTCCATAGCGATTACTGTATCCAGAGAAAGACCGTTTAACTCAGATGGCGTTTCACAGTACGTAGCATTCTGAAACGATGAGTAATATAGAACATTAGATCCAGTATACATATATATATATATATATATGTAAAAATAAGATATCAATATAGTATGTGAAGGTATTGCACGAACTATGACGTGAAATTTCTAAAAACAAAAGAAAAGTTACAGTAACCACTTACAATCCTTTCAAGGGTCTTAAGCCGATCTGAATATTGTTTGATCGAGGAACAGTCCAAAGGATTATTGTGCAGATCCAACTGCCTCAGGCGATCAAAACCCTCAGGGAATGAAGTAAAGTCATTATGGGCCAAGTTGAGTTGGCTTAGCCTGCTATTACAGTCTTTTGGCATCGAGAACTCAGTCAGGCGATTCTCAGACAAGTCCAGGGTCAACAAGTTTGGGAACTAAAATATGATTTGTGAAGGTTACAAATACGAATGTATCAAAGTATGTATTACTGTATATTGTAGTAGGTAGTTAGACAAAAATAATAATCTCAGTCAACTTACATGACAAAACACACCACCGATGTTGTCCCTGATGTTGTTACCTCTCAGATACACAGACTGAAGACGAGGCAGGTCTACCGAGAAGATGTCCTTGATCACCTTGGCGTTGTTGAGTCTCTCAGCATTGAACACATCACTCAAGTCGATGTATTCCAGTCTCTTCAGATTCCCCAAGGCATGGATACTGACCTCTCGAATCGGATTCTGACTGATGTACAAGAACTCGAGGTTGGGCATGCCGGAGAAGGAGTTGGCACCAATTGAGGTGATTCTACAGTCCGTGAAGTTGACGTGACGGAGCTTCTTGTGGGTGTAGATGCCGAACACATTCTTCTCGGGCAGGTCCAGGAACTCGGCTCCAGTTATGAAGAGGTACTCGAGGTTGGGGTGGGTGATCTCGCTGATCTCCCTCAGGAAGGAGGCGTTTCTGTTTTGGAGGTTTAGACATTCAATCGTATTGGAATTGCAGCGACATCCCGAAAGGCATTTGGACTGAAAGTTGCATCATCAAAGGTATTAAGATCACATTTAAAAATATTTAAAGTTACAAAAAATGTTTTTAAAATCGAAAAAGCTAGACTAGAGATTGAAGTTTGAATTTTGCGCATTTTGGCATAATGTTTCAGGTTCTTTTTGCCGCTCTCAAAGTAATTTTAAATTCTAAAATCTCGTAAAGAGGTTCAAGAACATTAATTAAAACAAAAACTAAGACTATAAATGCCACTAAAATGGCAGAATTTTGAATTTTTAAATTTAAAAAAGCTACTTCCTTCAGTATAAAATCTTCAAAAAAACTGTAAAACATAACAATGCAACTCAATATAAACCTCAGTTACAATAACTAGTTGTAAAGAGCTGTAAACTCACAGTGTAGAGGCCGGGATACGCGGCGACAAGAGGTAACAGCCAGAGAAGCCACATGAGGTGAGGACAGTCCAAGCGAATGGCTTGATTTCTCGCTTACCGCGCGCCGCTTACTGCGTGCCATCGTATGTTGGGCGTTGTTTTTGGGAAGCTACGTGAACTTAACTGCCAAATCTGGCTAATTAGCCGGCTTGGCTGGGGCCACGGATTCACTGAAGCCGAATGAATGCCCGGATTCAATTAAATTTCCAAAAAATTTAATTTATTTCCAAAATGCGTACTTCGATTATAACTCGTTTTGGGATAACTGGGGTGCTAATCGTATGCTACTGGGGTGGGCTGGTCAAAAAGTAGATAGAAAGGTGGAAAGTAGTTTTTAAAGTTAGCTTCTATAGACTTTTTCACCATGTTAGTATTGTTTTGTGTTCTATCACTTACTCATAGCTCAATAAAACCTTCCTACTCTACAGACAGCTTGTGTAAAATGTCATTTCAAACATAGTAATCATCAAGGTATTCCTGTAGTTTAGATATTAGTATAGTCGTCCTTAAGACGTTAATATAGACAAGTTATGAAAGGTTGTGCCAATTAATTTATGCAAAACTTCGCCGTATTCAAATTTGCATTTAAAATTCAAATTAAACCAGGTGTTCCGAGAAACGTGCATGTACTTACTGTAACTCGAAAGGCGGAAAGAAAGGAAAGCCGGCTGGCTGTAAAACGTCGTTTCGAATCGGGCACATCTGGAGTTGGGTTGATCCCGAGCCTCACTGGCCGCTCTCGACCACCACTCTCGCCCCTAAACTCAGGGTTTGTTGGCTCAGCTGAAGTCGGTCCCCATTTTGGGATCGCTTCAAGGTCGATCGATCGCGTGGCAACATCTGTCGCCCCTATACCTACTCCCTTTCTTGGCTTATGCACTTCTGAGACTTTTCGCAAACCAATTTCGAGGGTCTTCCTTCCGTTTCGATGACCGGCCTTCAGAAGGCCATATTCCACTTATTGAGGTGGTTGTTTAGGTGGGGAGGCTTCGAAGGCGGATCCCTCAGGTTTTGAACGGATTTCAGGGAATTTGGAGGGTTTGGATCGTTTTTGATATTAATCCTGATTTTACTTTAAAATTGTTGATGATTTTGATATTTTAGGTATGTTAAGTTTGAGTTTATGCTTTTTAAATTACTGGTAAATTAGTTTTTTATTCAGATCTAGGTCTGTAATAAAAGATTTCTTCAAGTAAACTCCGATTACTGCTACTTTTACAACTTTTAGTTATCTGTAAAGTAATATAATTAGTGGCATATGACAAATCCGATATTTTTGAAAAGTTTGAAGGCTTCGGGTGAGGTAACGATGATCAAGTGAGGCGGCAGATCAAACGAACGCGTAAAGTTGGCTAGCCTTGAGACCCGTTAATGGTTCATATGTTAGGCCTTTGATATTCCTTTAATGGTTAAGTACTTTATGACAGATTTATTAGTTGGAGTAAGTGTGTCATGGCTTTACCTTACATATGCAAGCGAGCTGAACCGTAGGCTATTGTATTGACGAAAGTCAATGTATTGATAAAGTTAAACTGGGTTTACTTGAGTTCTTATCAGAGACGTTTTCTGCTACAGTAATTTACCTTCTTAACTTGGTATGTTGACTAAGCCTTAACGGTGATTATCCTCGCCTCTGTTCGATCTAATGTCATCACACCCAGCCTTGCGCGCTGTCGATATCCCGCGGTGTGCCAAAACGACTTAAGGTTACTCGAAAATATAGAAGTGGGTTAAGCGTGCCGCCAGTCCTGTTAATTGTTTTAGTTTAATATGCTTATTGTTGGCGTGGTGTGGAGGGGATTACGCGCAGGAAGAGAGGGAAAGGTTGGGCCATATAAGCGCGGTACCCCCTCCTTCCTTCTCCTCGCCCCTCCGCGCGTCACTTCCCGAATCAGCCCGATCTATCTATCTATATCTACATTACTTTCAGCCATGGCTTCGTTCCACCCCAGCGGAGAGTCCAAGGAGAACAAGGACGTCGAGAACACCTCCACCTCCTCGGTCGGGGCCGTGCCCTTCTACCCCCAGTATGCCAACTACACCACCCATGTCTATGACTCATCAGCCTTGGCCACGTCTTCTGAGGCGCCCGCTACTTTCACTGAGGTTAAAGGTGGCAATGCTGCTGTTGTGGGAGCTCCCAAGAGTGTGAGTCACTCAAATTGACATTTTTAAATAATTTAAATTTTAAAATTTTAATTTTTATTGAAAATCACTTTCGAAATATTTTACTGAGTAAATTACAAAGTATTTCAAAAAACAAATAGTAAAACAAGATAAAAATTGAAATTTGATGTTTAGGATTTCAAATCGGAAGCTTCACACCTGCCCCAATCATCTTACCCTTCAACTACTACAATATCAAGTCTCCAGCCCCTATCTCAGACCACTCCCGTGCCTGTTCTCAACTCCTCTCCCGTCATGGCTCCCAATCTGTACAACGAAGAAGCTTCTGAAATCAGCTCCGCTTTAGGCTACAGTTCCTACTCAGCTCCTCACAGTTTCGCCGCTGGCAGTTCACACGATGTCAGTTATTGGCAACCGCCTCAAGAGGTTTATCCTGGTCCGATTCCAAGGTAAGAGCAATCGCTATCTCTTTAAAAACAAGTATAAACCAACATTAATATAATCAATTTAAAAGTACCAAAATATATCGTTATATTACCCATCTAATCTCAATTTAGCTACCCAAATGTATTACTTCATGGAGACGAAGTGACGTCTCCCAGCTACAGTACACTTCCTACAGACAACCGAGTCGACCCAGCCAACTTGTCAGCCGCCTACAACTCTCCTTATATGCTTTGTCCACCTTACTTAGTAAGCGATACTTAATTTATGCTAATTACGCCCTTTACTTGCTAGTTTCACTTTCTTTCTTTGTTTTTTTTTTAGGTATAGTTACTGTCAATTCAAAAATAAAACCTTTTCAAGATATTAACACTGCCTTTATATTAACCTTGTATTTGTAGCCCGATGGAACCCAAGATCCTCTTGCACTACGGTACATCGCCGATGGCAGTTTCTACCAACAGCCGTCTATTCAAGTGAGTAAAATACTACCATCAGCATTCTAGTTACCTTAGGTATTAAAATAAGATCAAAGTTTTGAGATCCAACACCAACTATTATCAAAGCGTAAAAGTATACCTCAATATAAATATATTGTGAATCTTTAGAGTCTTCCAATTGATACTCAATACGTACCCAATAGTACTCCCAGGAACCTAGACCCCTATGTACCACCGATCGCTGGCACTCCTTCCGAACTGTCCATGTTACCTACAAAAGATGCCTCTTCCGCCTTTACCTCCCCTGTCAACGGAATCCCCAACGCTTCTACAATGATGTACCCAAACAACGTCCTCATGCAGAAACAACGAAGCCGACGGTCGAGAAGTCTGAAGGACTCTGACGACGACATCAGGTCAAATGAAGATAAGGAGCAAGAACGGCGAAGTGCCAACAACAACAGGGAACGGTAGGGTTCTGATGTTACTTCTGAAACCTTAAATGTTTGGATAATTCCAAAAATTTAAGACTTTTTATTTTACGCAGATTTACATCTCAAACTGATCAAAACGTAACTAGAAAGTCGTAATTAACTTATATTATAGTAGTTAACTTAAGTTTGACATTAACATTTCAGAATCCGAGTCAAAGACATCAACACGGCTTTCAAAGAGTTAGGGAAGATGTGTAGCCAGCACATTCCGAACACGAACGAAAGGAATCTCACCAAACTCAGTATTCTACACCACGCTGTCCAAGTTATCAATGGCCTCGAGTCTCAAGTCAGTTTTTACTCTTTTATCTATATGTTAACTTACAAAACCAACACAACTTTACTTTCTGAATGAAAAAAAGCTATTTTTAAACAAGCTCAAACATAATCTACTTTCGAAAAGTGAAGTTAACCATCTCAACATTTCAAAAACTAACACATCTAAACTTACAGTAGACAACAACAAACAAAAGTAATATAAACCATTGTAGGTACGACAACGGAACATGAATCCCCGCGCCACATCGATGCGACGACGCGAACAAGCCCAACAATGAATAATAATAATATTGAAGACGAATGTTTTTGATAATAAAGTTCTGATTGATGAGTCAAGAGTGTCTCTCTCTGATTTGGGGGTCAAGTCTCGCCCCTTTCGCGTCTCTGATCGATCTCGCGAAAGGGAAGAAGGAAGGCGACATTACTCACTTCCTCGGCATCCCTTTAGTTTTTCTGCTCCTTGAAATGAAATGATACCGTCCAATAGTCTCGGATACAGAGATCAGCCCGAATCCAGTAGCCGGATTCGGCTGGAGCCCTCAACTTCTGCTCCGCCAGTTGTAAGAGATTCAGCTTTGTATTTAATGAGTTAATTAGGCTTTATGATAATTTTTGATATAATATTGGATATTATAATATGTAAAACATTATAAACTACTAATAATTGGCTTTTAAAGTCTGTCAAACAAGTTATTGTAGTCCCAGATCAAGTTATTATTTTTTCAAAAGAATCTAATAATCAAAAATAGACGGAAAGGCTTAGATTTATATCAACTATAAATTGTTAACAGTCAGAATTTGTAAATTGTAGCATCCCGGACATCACCGTGATAAGTTAGACTTGATCAGAGATTCCCTGAGGCCGTTTGAGCAGAATGACTACTCGAATACGGTTAACAATAACACCTACAATGTGATAGACGACACTACCTACCCGGTCTTTCTCGAGAAGCTTGACAGTAATCAGAGGATCATGATGAATGCCTTGACTCAAGGTGGATACGATCAGGTATGACTTTATTCTATCATTCTCACGTTCAGATCAATGTTATTATTTTGATTAGTCTTTTGTTTCACGGAAGAAAAAAAATATTAAAAATCAAGATACTATGTAACATACCAACCTTTACAGGAAGCAGCTTACTACGCGTTGAAGCTAGTTAACTTCAGAAGTGTGACTGACGCCGCCAAAGTGTTAACCGACCTAAAACAAGTAAAAAACCTTTTTTTTGTAAATTCTGTGTTTAGAAAATATCGTTGACTGGAGTAGCTCCGTCCACTTTCTTTCCTCAGACCAAAAGCACATCGCCGTATCTTCTAACCAACACAAGGAGTCTTCCAGCCAACGATACCTCTTTCTGTGTCAATGGGTTTGAGCCTTTTGGATACGAAAGGAATCAGAATCACATCATACGACCGGAGACTAGTTACAGGACAGAAACGTATGTTAGTTTAACTATAATGCACAATTATATATAACATATTTTTATTTTTTTTGATGAAGTTATTATCAACTTTAGTGACTACCCTAACATATACGCTGACGATGAGACAGTAATCAGAATCAGAGACTCTGCTTCAGTTCCAGTAATACGGTCGAGGTTGAGTAGACCCAACGTGTATGTACCTCCCAACTACGAGCATCGTATCTCGGCCCCAGCATCGTACAAGAACCAGACTGATGTTCAGATGATGACAGCATCTACCTCGAAGCTCAAGGTGACGGAGAACGACAGAAAAAGGTCCGTCTCTCCGTTGCCGCCTTCTGTAGCACAAAAGCTGCGGAATAACACATACGAGAAGATGGTAAAGGGATGTAAGGCTGCCATGTTCAGGTTCTTCATGGAGCAACACACGGAGAAGCTGATACAACAGTGGAAGGAACGGAATCAGAGGGCACTTCAGGTAGGTTAACGTTTTGATTGACTACATTATACAATAGAACATCATAGTTTAAGTTTTTAGATAAACTATTTTCATTTGTTACGTTGGGAAGCAATTTGAATCCATTCTTTCAGCTAGCCAAAGACATGGAAGCGGTCAACTTCTCGGAGAACATGAGGGATAAGATGGTCAAGTTTCTACGTCAGAAGGAATCCAGATACATCAGACTGCGACGGCAGAAGATGAACAAAGGCATGTTCGAGTTGATACGCCATATTGGAGTAGGTGCCTTCGGAAAGGTGACCTTAGTCAAGAATGTATGTTTTTGCACGAAAAGTTTGTAGAAGCTTTCGTAATGTTACAGTAGTCTCTACTATCACATTTCGTCGAATGTGCATTACTATAAGACGTTCTATTCACTTTTCGACCATTTTTAGAGAGAAACCGGTGAAGTGTACGCGATGAAGACGCTGTCGAAGGAAGATGTGATTCAGAAGCAACAAGCTGCTCACGTCAAGGCCGAGCGGGATATTTTGGCAGAAGCCAACAGTGATTGGATCGTCAAGTTGTTCTTCTCCTTCCAGGACTCCCACAACCTCTACTTCATCATGGAGTACGTGCCCGGAGGGGATCTGATGCAGCTTCTGATTATGAAGGGTGTGTTCACGGAATCTTTGGCACGGTAAGTTTTGTATTTTTTTTGAAGATTTAGGTACATGTGTTACTGTAAGGCATTCACGATATTCTTAATGCTTATGATATTACTGTCTGTAAATGTGTTTTATGGTATTACTATGTATTCATGTGTTTATGATGTTTTATTTCAATGTATTTGTTGGTTTCAGTACGTACACGGCGGAATTGACATGTGCTTTAGAGTACGTTCATGGATTGGGTTTCATCCACCGTGATATCAAACCAGATAACATACTGATTGATAAGGAAGGACACATAAAACTGACTGACTTTGGTCTGTGTACCGGTTTACGGTGGACTCATGACAAACGGTAGGCTTTGTTTACTACTGTAATAATAATTTTTTGAAAATTTTGTGTGGTAATCTACTTTAGAATATTTAGCTATACAGCGCCTTATTACCCATTGAGCATTTACATTTTGTGACCTAAACTCTTTTGATCATCTCGTCGTTATGTTAATTTTATGATAATTAGCTATTTCCCTTGTTTGTAGACACTACGTAAGCTACGATGAACCCAGTAGCATGGGCCACTTCCGTGACGACTCCACCAACTCGCTACACAATCCGTCGCTCGGGAGGCAGAAGCCTAAACTACTAGAATATAGACAGCGGAAGAAGAGGAACCAGGCCAACTCCATGGTGGGCACAGGCAACTACATGGCTCCAGAAGTCATTGAGAGGACGGGGCATACTCAGTTGTGTGACTGGTGGTCGGTCGGAGTCATCCTGTACGAGATGGTGTACGGTAGACCACCGTTCCTGTCAGAATCTGATAATCCTATGGATACGCAACACATGGTGAGGCTCTTACTGTAGTAATTTAATGTTGACATTATGTAACACTGTTTGCTTTATGAAAAAAAATTTACATCAATTTGGTTACTGAATATGAATTTGTAGTAGACAACGTCATAGCAACTTAATTAGCATTGCTTACAGTCATCCTAACTTTCAGATAGTGAACTGGAAACGTTACCTAGACCTGCGTAACCCAAGACTGAGCCGGGAATGTGTAGATCTGATCGCGTGGCTCTGTTGTGATCAGAGCGATCGCCTCGGGAAGAACGGAGCGGCTGAGGTCAAAGCTCACCCCTGGTTCAAAGGCGTCTTGATCGTAAGTAATTACTAGCTAAGCGGACCCTATTACTCTGTTTGTGTTTGAACAACTAGCTTTCAGAATGGCGTCGTTATGAATCCGGTCGATTTCCACCGCCTGAGAGAGACTCGACCTGAGTTCGTGCCTCGAGTCGAGCACGCTGAAGACACTTCCAACTTCGACACCTTCGAAGTGAATTCGGATGAGATCTTCAGAGAGAACGGGACCGAGGGAACCGCCTACAACCCGGCCTTCTTCGACTTCACCTTCAGACACTTCTTTGCCAGTGACGGTATGAACAAGCTGCTTCACCCGACCAGTCGCTCGCAACAACGCCCTAGTCTAGCCAATATTATCCATTCCCCAAACAAAAATGCCGAACCAGGCCAGTCCGAGAGGATGGTCAGTCAGCCTCTCCACCCCATCTTTAACAAACCCTTGAGGAACGGGCCCAGCTCTCAGCAGACGGCCCTATACTCAACTTATATGAGTTCTAGTTCTTCCAACATGACACGTGCTGTTCCACAGTACGATACTCTACAAGAGGCGGACGAAGACGATGCTACGGGACACTAAACACAGATGCCAAAACTTTGATAGTCTTATGACTCACTATGTTGTTGACCTTTATATTTTGTAATCCTAACTATGATTGTGCCAAAATTGATTTAAAAGCTAAATAGACCTACAACAAGTAATACCTGACCCACAATATGTTAATATGACCTATTTCGAAGTCAATCTTCATGTCGTTATTGCATGCTAGGATGATATAAACGGGTGTTGAATAAACAATTGATATGATCATCGAATCGCACTGCCCCCCCCTATCTCACAGGTTGTTTTTGTGTTTACGTGAAGTCAAACACATAAACAAGCCCGACTATCTGGTGCCGTGATTATATTATACTTAATGTGATGGCTGAGTAATCATTTGGAAACACTGTTACCCAAACATTCCGTTTGTTTGATATGTTCCCGTCTGAAGTTGCAATGACACGCGTTATTCGAACCGAGACTCGCGGCCCGCTACGCTGTGCTTTTAACGTTACAACTCGAGTTTAATTAGGGGTTTGGAACTGAATTGTGTAAATATAGATCTACAAACGGTGAAGACTCTGATCGCGAAAATATTTTTGTTTTGCGCGGGCTGAATGCCGTTAAACTGGCGGGGGAGGGGGGGGGGTCGTCCTTGCTGCTGTGAGAGTCGGTTGGCCCATCGCTCCCGTCGTAACTCGTTACCGGGCGCTGATCGCCGCCCAAATAAGCAGCCACCACCGCTCCTCGACCCGGTTTCCCTCGCATTCTGCCTCGGGCGATCGAAAATAAAAAACGCTTTGATCCTGACTGGGATTATCAAATCCGCAAGGTTCGTTTCTGCCCTGCGGACCTGTCGGGAGACCTATTCCCTCTTGTTTTTTGCTCATTATTCCGTTTATCCACTGGAATCGGCGGGGTTTCTGAAAACGTTTTGTGAAAAATCTTTTCGCTCTCCATGCCATCTGAAGTTAAGAAGAGCCGAGAGCGCCTTCTTCCGGGCATCCCAAACTTCATACCACAATACCCTCTCGATTACCTTCGGGGCCGCGAGTGGAAGAGTGATTAAAGCGAAAGGGCCTGCGGGTTTCTTACCGGGCCGGGGTCGGGATTCGAACGGAGAGGGGAGCAATTCCTTTACCGAGTTTCTCCGCGTTATTTGTTTTTGTTTGTTTTTCTGTTTACAAATAACACTACTGCTTTCAGATGTCCGGCCCGCCGAAGCCCCCGAGGCTAAAGTCGAATCCAGGTAGGAGATTGATAGTTAGTGTTGTTTCGAGTTGCACCTTCACAGTTGATTAGGCAAAGTGAAATTAACAGTGTAATTCCATTGTAGTAAAGAATTCCCGAACTTTGGTTAAACGAAACTGCTCTCGAAAAAACTAAAAGCCCTTTTATAGCCAAAATAGATGGAATTTGTAGGAAAACGCACGCAGAATAACTCTCAAATACATTCCAAAGTCTGTTAGCTATAAGAATGCATCGTTAGATATAATACATGATTGTCTCTTTTAAATCATTTACTCATCTTTCGAAAGATAACTTTTGAGAGGATCTATGATTCACTTAAAGGACCAGTCTAAAATGTTTTGTCCTGTCTCGAATCAGACAATTAAGGGAATATCGGTTGCCAAATTGATCAAAAAATTATTTTTGAATTATTTTTAATCTTATTCAATTTTACGGTTTATTGCCATCTTTCTCATACTTATTGAGTTTACGGGAGATATATCGGAATATACATTCTTTTACATCTTTCAAAGCTTATTTTTGTAAATTGAGCTAAAAAATTGTTTAAAAACGTGTAAGGTATACGTATTTCCATCTCTTCCGCCTAATCTGCCATTCTAAAATCTAAAACAAGATGAAAAGTGTTTAATAAAGGAAAATGAAACTTGGTTTAACGCAATCTTGACGTATATTTAGAATTATAGAGATTATTGGATGCACAAAAGTTGTTTGATCAGTTCAAATGGTATGTTCTTTTTGTTTGCTCAAGTCTAATACTTTAGGTAGGAGAAAAGGTTTGAAATCGCTGAAGAAAAAACGGGTAGAAACTTTAGAGGAATTCATGATTCATGTGCATTCAATATCTATACTCGTCCAAATATACGCAAGATTCCATCAAACCAAGTTCCATTCTTCTATTATATTCTCATCATTTTTAGACCAAATAGGGGCAGATTAGGTGGAGGGAAATACATGAATTTTTTTACGTTTTCAAACAATTTTTTGCTCACATTACGAAAATAAGGTTTAAAAAAACATAAAAGCATATACATTATAATATATCTGACATAAACTCAACAAGTATCGATGTTATTCACTGAGAAAGCCGACAATAAACCATTAATAACAAAAATTAGCGAAAAAATAAGTTTCGAACGATTTGACAACCGCCACTCCCCTGATTAATCAGCCGGTTTGTTGCAGAGTAACAGGACAAAATATTTATCCAGATCGGTCCTTTAACAACACCCAATTGATGAGTTAATTTTAAAAAGTCAGTTGAACTTTTGTTTGCAATTCGAACACCATCCTCACTCTGTCTAACTCTCTGAACTCTGCATTATGAGGCATTAGTAATTACTGATATAAATGTCATGGCCATTTAAACGAACTTTAAAAAACAATGGCAAACAACTGTCTTTTGAAAGTAAGGGTACAACTTGTCATAAAAACGTTGACAAATCAGTTTTTGATCAATAGATATTAGAGCGGGTGTGACATTTATCTTTTCATCTTTAATTACATTTTGTTGATCGATGCAATGAAAAATACCTTTGAACAAGCGGAAAAGGAAAGTTTTAAAAAGGAGATAGAGTTACTACGTAAAAGAGCTTATGAAGTAATTTTGAAAAGTAAAATGTGTCTTATAGTAGGTGGTACAGTTTTAAACGTTTTTTTATACTTGTAATGTCTTAAAACTTAACATTTTATAGTAAACACTTGCGAAAACAAGTTTTTTTTACATTTCAAAACAAAAAAATATGAAGACAAAAAATACAATGTTTTCACTGTATACTGATATAGCCTTGTTTCTAACAGTTGTACATTAATTCGTTTGTGTTTTCTGAGTAAAAAAATGATTTTTTTGTTGTTAAAGAAACCCATTGACAAGTTTACACCTTGAATAACTTTAGTCTTTTCTACCACATGTTTAGGTGAATCATTCCGAAAGTCTAAAACTAAATAATTGGTTTCTCACTGAAATTGTCATTTGTAAAAATACAAAAACCAATAAATTTCTAGTCGGTAGCCTTTTCCAAACTTTTTGACAAAAGATAGATACGTTGTAAACATAAATAAACCACCGAGATGAATTATTGCAACCAACTAAAGTGAACACTTACAGACACAATAAAAAGACTTTTACTTTCATGTTTTAGTTGCAGCTAATACTAAGAAGAATAAAGTAACCACGTGCATCTCCTTTGTTAAATTAAATAGAAATAAAATTAAGCTAAAACAACGTTGGACATAACAATTAAACAATATTTTACAGATAACTCCATCCAGAATCCGACATGGACCGTGACACGAAGAGAAAGAACTGGAACATCTCCCCTCCGTTTGAACGACGAACATGGAGCACCGTACTACCACACTCGTACTATCACAACAACCGAAAGAGTACAAATATTGCAAATGCCCCTAGATGTAACGGATTCAGATGCCGCACGCCTCAGGCTGCTCTCAATGTCACCGACCGGTGAAGCAACTCGTTCCGTCCACTCTACCACCACGACCATTAAGGCAGGTGGGACACCTGTCATCTCCGGAGTGACCGGACAAGGAGTGCCTCTGTTCAATGGTATCTACATGAACTCGCATCAAAGACAGACTACTACAGTCATCACAACGACCACCACTACCTACAAAGTCATGGACGACGGCAGTGAAGAAGAGTACGACATCGTACAAGAAAACGAAGACAAACAACTTACCATAGATGTGCCATTAGGTATCACAAGTCAGGACAGACCTACGAATGCTAGCTACATAATGATAGGATCAGCGACAGACAGTTCGTTATCCCCGATCACTTCAGAAGACGACCGTCACAGCAAAGACAACGCTTCTGAATCCACAGAAGACGAAACGGAAAAGCTGGACTGGGCTGAGGTATCGACCAGAAACAAAAAGAAAATGACTTCGTTGACATATCGCACAAACACTTCTAGCTCAGGATCACTAGACGAAACAGACTACGTCCATCTCTACAAAGATGGCACAGAGTACGTCATCTGCCCAACTGACACCCCAATCGACATTCTTTATACGAACAGAAAAGAAGAGCTTACCAACAGAAACATTACAGACTTTGTCAGTTTATACCACAGTGGCTTTTCGAAGACAAACGAACCACAAGAATACGACGATGCCTTGCCGTCAACAAGTCAAGCTAGTGAATATAAGCTCCAAAGTGGTCCAATTGACGAAACAGCTCGTCAAGGTGAAGTCGAAGGACTGCCACTTGAGAATCACGTCTCTGTGTACCACTCTGGCCGCAGTGACGTTGAGCCTCACAAACATGAAGAACCAGTAGCCGAACCAGTCAAAGAAAAGAGCGACACAATTGGAAAAATTGTTGGCATGTTCAAGAGAACGCCAGCTCACGATGACTACCCCGCTTCCGAAGCCTACACTGGTCCAATTGACGAAACAGCTCGTCAAGGTGAAGTCGAAGGACTGCCACTTGAGCATCACGTCTCTGTGTACCACTCTGGCCGCAGTGACGTCGTACCTCACAAACATGAAGAACCAGTAGTCGAACCAGTCAAAGAGAAATCAGACAAGATCGACAAAATTGTTGGCATGTTCAAGAGAACGCCAGCTCACGATGACTACCCCGCTTCCGAAGCCTACACTGGTCCAATTGACGAAACAGCTCGTCAAGGTGAAGTCGAAGGAATGCCACTTGAGCATCACGTCTCTGTGTACCACTCTGGCCGCAGTGACGTTGAGCCTCACAAACATGAAGAACCAGTAGTCGAACTAGTCAAAGAGAAATCAGACAAGATCGGCAAAATTGTTGGCATGTTCAAGAGAACGCCAGCTCACGATGACTACCCCGCTTCCGAAGCCTACACTGGTCCAATTGACGAAACAGCTCGTCAAGGTGAAGTCGAAGGACTGCCACTTGAGCATCACGTCTCTGTGTACCACTCTGGCCGCAGTGACGTCGTACCTCACAAACATGAAGAACCAGTAGCCGAACCAGTCAAAGAAAAGAGCGACACAATTGGAAAAATTGTTGGCATGTTCAAGAGAACGCCAGCTCACGAAGACTACCCCGCTTCCGAAGCCTACACTGGTCCAATTGACGAAACAGCTCGTCAAGGTGAAGTCGAAGGACTGCCACTTGAGCATCACGTCTCTGTGTACCACTCTGGCCGCAGTGACGTCGAACCTCACAAACATGAAGAACCAGTAGCCGAACCAGTCAAAGAAAAGAGCGACACAATTGGAAAAATTGTTGGCATGTTCAAGAGAACGCCAGCTCACGATGACTACCCCGCTTCCGAAGCCTACACTGGTCCAATTGACGAAACAGCTCGTCAAGGTGAAGTCAAAGGACTGCCACTTGAGCATCACGTCTCTGTGTACCACTCTGGCCGCAGTGACGTCGTACCTCACAAACATGAAGAACCAGTAGCCGAACCAGTCAAAGAAAAGAGCGACACAATTGGAAAAATTGTTGGCATGTTCAAGAGAACGCCAGCTCACGATGACTACCCCGCTTCCGAAGCCTACACTGGTCCAATTGACGAAACAGCTCGTCAAGGTGAAGTCGAAGGAATGCCACTTGAGCATCACGTCTCTGTGTACCACTCTGGCCGCAGTGACGTTGAGCCTCACAAACATGAAGAACCAGTAGTCGAACTAGTCAAAGAGAAATCAGACAAGATCGCCAAAATTGTTGGCATGTTCAAGAGAACGCCAGCTCACGAAGACTACCCCGCTTCCGTAGCCTACACTGGTCCAATTGACGAAACAGCTCGTCAAGGTGAAGTCGAAGGACTGCCACTTGAGCATCACGTCTCTGTGTACCACTCTGGCCGCAGTGACGTCGAACCTCACAAACATGAAGAACCAGTAGCCGAACCAGTCAAAGAAAAGAGCGACACAATTGGAAAAATTGTTGGCATGTTCAAGAGAACGCCAGCTCACGAAGACTACCCCGCTTCCGAAGCCTACACTGGTCCAATTGACGAAACAGCTCGTCAAGGTGAAGTCGAAGGACTGCCACTTGAGCATCACGTCTCTGTGTACCACTCTGGCCGCAGTGACGTCGTACCTCACAAACATGAAGAACCAGTAGTCGAACCAGTCAAAGAGAAATCAGACAAGATCGCCAAAATTGTTGGCATGTTCAAGAGAACGCCAGCTCACGAAGACTACCCCGCTTCCGAAGCCTACACTGGTCCAATTGACGAAACAGCTCGTCAAGGTGAAGTCGAAGGACTGCCACTTGAGCATCACGTCTCTGTGTACCACTCTGGCCGCAGTGACGTCGTACCTCACAAACATGAAGAACCAGTAGTCGAACCAGTCAAAGAGAAATCAGACAAGATCGCCAAAATTGTTGGCATGTTCAAGAGAACGCCAGCTCACGAAGACTACCCCGCTTCCGAAGCCTACACTGGTCCAATTGACGAAACAGCTCGTCAAGGTGAAGTCGAAGGACTGCCACTTGAGCATCACGTCTCTGTGTACCACTCTGGCCGCAGTGACGTCGTACCTCACAAACATGAAGAACCAGTAGTCGAACCAGTCAAAGAAAAAAGCGACACAATTGGAAAGATTGTTGGCATGTTCAAGAGAACGCCAGCTCACGAAGACTACCCCGCTTCCGTAGCCTACACTGGTCCAATTGACGAAACAGCTCGTCAAGGTGAAGTCGAAGGACTGCCACTTGAGCATCACGTCTCTGTGTACCACTCTGGCCGCAGTGACGTTGAGCCTCACAAACATGAAGAACCAGTAGTCGAACTAGTCAAAGAGAAATCAGACAAGATCGGCAAAATTGTTGGCATGTTCAAGAGAACGCCAGCTCACGAAGACTACCCCGCTTCCGAAGCCTACACTGGTCCAATTGACGAAACAGCTCGTCAAGGTGAAGTCGAAGGACTGCCACTTGAGCATCATGTCTCTGTGTACCACTCTGGCCGCAGTGACGTTGAGCCTCACAAACATGAAGAACCAGTAGTCGAACCAGTCATAGAGAAATCAGACAAGATCGGCAAAATTGTTGGCATGTTCAAGAGAACGCCAGCTCACGAAGACTACCCCGCTTCCGAAGCCTACACTGGTCCAATTGACGAAACAGCTCGTCAAGGTGAAGTCGAAGGACTGCCACTTGAGCATCACGTCTCTGTGTACCACTCTGGCCGCAGTGACGTCGTACCTCACAAACATGAAGAACCAGTAGCCGAACCAGTCAAAGAAAAGAGCGACACAATTGGAAAAATTGTGGGCATGTTCAAGAGAACGCCAGCTCACGAAGACTACCCCGCTTCCGAAGCCTACACTGGTCCAATTGACGAAACAGCTCGTCAAGGTGAAGTCGAAGGACTGCCACTTGAGCATCACGTCTCTGTGTACCACTCTGGCCGCAGTGACGTCGAACCTCACAAACATGAAGAACCAGTAGCCGAACCAGTCAAAGAAAAGAGCGACACAATTGGAAAAATTGTTGGCATGTTCAAGAGAACGCCAGCTCACGATGACTACCCCGCTTCCGAAGCCTACACTGGTCCAATTGACGAAACAGCTCGTCAAGGTGAAGTCGAAGGACTGCCACTTGAGCATCACGTCTCTGTGTACCACTCTGGCCGCAGTGACGTTGAGCCTCACAAACATGAAGAACCAGTAGTCGAACTAGTCAAAGAGAAATCAGACAAGATCGGCAAAATTGTTGGCATGTTCAAGAGAACGCCAGCTCACGAAGACTACCCCGCTTCCGAAGCCTACACTGGTCCAATTGACGAAACAGCTCGTCAAGGTGAAGTCGAAGGACTGCCACTTGAGCATCACGTCTCTGTGTACCACTCTGGCCGCAGTGACGTCGTACCTCACAAACATGAAGAACCAGTAGTCGAACCAGTCAAAGAGAAATCAGACAAGATCGACAAAATTGTTGGCATGTTCAAGAGAACGCCAGCTCACGATGACTACCCCGCTTCCGAAGCCTACACTGGTCCAATTGACGAAACAGCTCGTCAAGGTGAAGTCGAAGGACTGCCACTTGAGCATCACGTCTCTGTGTACCACTCTGGCCGCAGTGACGTCGAACCTCACAAACATGAAGAACCAGTAGCCGAACCAGTCAAAGAAAAAAGCGACACAATTGGAAAGATTGTTGGCATGTTCAAGAGAACGCCAGCTCACGAAGACTACCCCGCTTCCGTAGCCTACACTGGTCCAATTGACGAAACAGCTCGTCAAGGTGAAGTCGAAGGACTGCCACTTGAGCATCACGTCTCTGTGTACCACTCTGGCCGCAGTGACGTTGAGCCTCACAAACATGAAGAACCAGTAGTCGAACTAGTCAAAGAGAAATCAGACAAGATCGGCAAAATTGTTGGCATGTTCAAGAGAACGCCAGCTCACGAAGACTACCCCGCTTCCGAAGCCTACACTGGTCCAATTGACGAAACAGCTCGTCAAGGTGAAGTCGAAGGACTGCCACTTGAGCATCACGTCTCTGTGTACCACTCTGGCCGCAGTGACGTCGTACCTCACAAACATGAAGAACCAGTAGTCGAACCAGTCAAAGAGAAATCAGACAAGATCGACAAAATTGTTGGCATGTTCAAGAGAACGCCAGCTCACGAAGACTACCCCGCTTCCGAAGCCTACACTGGTCCAATTGACGAAACAGCTCGTCAAGGTGAAGTCGAAGGACTGCCACTTGAGCATCACGTCTCTGTGTACCACTCTGGCCGCAGTGACGTTGAGCCTCACAAACATGAAGAACCAGTAGCCGAACCAGTCAAAGAAAAGAGCGACACAATTGGAAAAATTGTTGGCATGTTCAAGAGAACGCCAGCTCACGAAGACTACCCCGCTTCCGAAGCCTACACTGGTCCAATTGACGAAACAGCTCGTCAAGGTGAAGTCGAAGGACTGCCACTTGAGCATCACGTCTCTGTGTACCACTCTGGCCGCAGTGACGTTGAGCCTCACAAACATGAAGAACCAGTAGTCGAACCAGTCAAAGAGAAATCAGACAAGATCGCCAAAATTGTTGGCATGTTCAAGAGAACGCCAGCTCACGAAGACTACCCCGCTTCCGAAGCCTACACTGGTCCAATTGACGAAACAGCTCGTCAAGGTGAAGTCGAAGGACTGCCACTTGAGCATCACGTCTCTGTGTACCACTCTGGCCGCAGTGACGTTGAGCCTCACAAACATGAAGAACCAGTAGCCGAACCAGTCAAAGAAAAGAGCGACACAATTGGAAAAATTGTTGGCATGTTCAAGAGAACGCCAGCTCACGATGACTACCCCGCTTCCGAAGCCTACACTGGTCCAATTGACGAAACAGCTCGTCAAGGTGAAGTCGAAGGACTGCCACTTGAGCATCACGTCTCTGTGTACCACTCTGGCCGCAGCGACGTCGAACCTCACAAACATGAAGAACCAGTAGCCGAACCAGTCAAAGAAAAGAGCGACACAATTGGAAAGATTGTTGGCATGTTCAAGAGAACGCCAGCTCACGAAGACTACCCCGCTTCCGAAGCCTACACTGGTCCAATTGACGAAACAGCTCGTCAAGGTGAAGTCGAAGGACTGCCACTTGAGCATCACGTCTCTGTGTACCACTCTGGCCGCAGTGACGTCGTACCTCACAAACATGAAGAACCAGTAGTCGAACCAGTCAAAGAGAAATCAGACAAAATCGCCAAAATTGTTGGCATGTTCAAGAGAACGCCAGCTCACGAAGACTACCCCGCTTCCGAAGCCTACACTGGTCCAATTGACGAAACAGCTCGTCAAGGTGAAGTCGAAGGACTGCCACTTGAGCATCACGTCTCTGTGTACCACTCTGGCCGCAGTGACGTCGAACCTCACAAACATGAAGAACCAGTAGCCGAACCAGTCAAAGAAAAGAGCGACACAATTGGAAAAATTGTTGGCATGTTCAAGAGAACGCCAGCTCACGATGACTACCCCGCTTCCGAAGCCTACACTGGTCCAATTGACGAAACAGCTCGTCAAGGTGAAGTCGAAGGACTGCCACTTGAGCATCACGTCTCTGTGTACCACTCTGGCCGCAGCGACGTCGAACCTCACAAACATGAAGAACCAGTAGCCGAACCAGTCAAAGAAAAGAGCGACACAATTGGAAAGATTGTTGGCATGTTCAAGAGAACGCCAGCTCACGAAGACTACCCCGCTTCCGAAGCCTACACTGGTCCAATTGACGAAACAGCTCGTCAAGGTGAAGTCGAAGGACTGCCACTTGAGCATCACGTCTCTGTGTACCACTCTGGCCGCAGTGACGTCGTACCTCACAAACATGAAGAACCAGTAGTCGAACCAGTCAAAGAGAAATCAGACAAGATCGCCAAAATTGTTGGCATGTTCAAGAGAACGCCAGCTCACGAAGACTACCCCGCTTCCGAAGCCTACACTGGTCCAATTGACGAAACAGCTCGTCAAGGTGAAGTCGAAGGACTGCCACTTGAGCATCACGTCTCTGTGTACCACTCTGGCCGCAGTGACGTTGAGCCTCACAAACATGAAGAACCAGTAGTCGAACTAGTCAAAGAGAAATCAGACAAGATCGCCAAAATTGTTGGCATGTTCAAGAGAACGCCAGCTCACGAAGACTACCCCGCTTCCGTAGCCTACACTGGTCCAATTGACGAAACAGCTCGTCAAGGTGAAGTCGAAGGACTGCCACTTGAGCATCACGTCTCTGTGTACCACTCTGGCCGCAGTGACGTTGAGCCTCACAAACATGAAGAACCAGTAGTCGAACCAGTCAAAGAGAAATCAGACAAGATCGCCAAAATTGTTGGCATGTTCAAGAGAACGCCAGCTCACGAAGACTACCCCGCTTCCGTAGCCTACACTGGTCCAATTGACGAAACAGCTCGTCAAGGTGAAGTCGAAGGACTGCCACTTGAGCATCACGTCTCTGTGTACCACTCTGGCCGCAGTGACGTCGAACCTCACAAACATGAAGAACCAGTAGCCGAACCAGTCAAAGAAAAGAGCGACACAATTGGAAAAATTGTTGGCATGTTCAAGAGAACGCCAGCTCACGAAGACTACCCCGCTTCCGAAGCCTACACTGGTCCAATTGACGAAACAGCTCGTCAAGGTGAAGTCGAAGGACTGCCACTTGAGCATCACGTCTCTGTGTACCACTCTGGCCGCAGTGACGTCGAACCTCACAAACATGAAGAACCAGTAGCCGAACCAGTCAAAGAAAAGAGCGACACAATTGGAAAAATTGTTGGCATGTTCAAGAGAACGCCAGCTCACGATGACTACCCCGCTTCCGAAGCCTACACTGGTCCAATTGACGAAACAGCTCGTCAAGGTGAAGTCGAAGGACTGCCACTTGAGCATCACGTCTCTGTGTACCACTCTGGCCGCAGTGACGTCGTACCTCACAAACATGAAGAACCAGTAGTCGAACCAGTCAAAGAGAAATCAGACAAGATCGACAAAATTGTTGGCATGTTCAAGAGAACGCCAGCTCACGATGACTACCCCGCTTCCGAAGCCTACACTGGTCCAATTGACGAAACAGCTCGTCAAGGTGAAGTCGAAGGAATGCCACTTGAGCATCACGTCTCTGTGTACCACTCTGGCCGCAGTGACGTTGAGCCTCACAAACATGAAGAACCAGTAGTCGAACTAGTCAAAGAAAAGAGCGACACAATTGGAAAAATTGTTGGCATGTTCAAGAGAACGCCAGCTCACGATGACTACCCCGCTTCCGAAGCCTACACTGGTCCAATTGACGAAACAGCTCGTCAAGGTGAAGTCAAAGGACTGCCACTTGAGCATCACGTCTCTGTGTACCACTCTGGCCGCAGTGACGTCGTACCTCACAAACATGAAGAACCAGTAGCCGAACCAGTCAAAGAAAAGAGCGACACAATTGGAAAAATTGTTGGCATGTTCAAGAGAACGCCAGCTCACGATGACTACCCCGCTTCCGAAGCCTACACTGGTCCAATTGACGAAACAGCTCGTCAAGGTGAAGTCGAAGGAATGCCACTTGAGCATCACGTCTCTGTGTACCACTCTGGCCGCAGTGACGTTGAGCCTCACAAACATGAAGAACCAGTAGTCGAACTAGTCAAAGAGAAATCAGACAAGATCGCCAAAATTGTTGGCATGTTCAAGAGAACGCCAGCTCACGAAGACTACCCCGCTTCCGAAGCCTACACTGGTCCAATTGACGAAACAGCTCGTCAAGGTGAAGTCGAAGGACTGCCACTTGAGCATCACGTCTCTGTGTACCACTCTGGCCGCAGTGACGTTGAGCCTCACAAACATGAAGAACCAGTAGTCGAACTAGTCAAAGAGAAATCAGACAAGATCGCCAAAATTGTTGGCATGTTCAAGAGAACGCCAGCTCACGAAGACTACCCCGCTTCCGTAGCCTACACTGGTCCAATTGACGAAACAGCTCGTCAAGGTGAAGTCGAAGGACTGCCACTTGAGCATCACGTCTCTGTGTACCACTCTGGCCGCAGTGACGTTGAGCCTCACAAACATGAAGAACCAGTAGTCGAACCAGTCAAAGAGAAATCAGACAAGATCGCCAAAATTGTTGGCATGTTCAAGAGAACGCCAGCTCACGAAGACTACCCCGCTTCCGTAGCCTACACTGGTCCAATTGACGAAACAGCTCGTCAAGGTGAAGTCGAAGGACTGCCACTTGAGCATCACGTCTCTGTGTACCACTCTGGCCGCAGTGACGTCGAACCTCACAAACATGAAGAACCAGTAGCCGAACCAGTCAAAGAAAAGAGCGACACAATTGGAAAAATTGTTGGCATGTTCAAGAGAACGCCAGCTCACGAAGACTACCCCGCTTCCGAAGCCTACACTGGTCCAATTGACGAAACAGCTCGTCAAGGTGAAGTCGAAGGACTGCCACTTGAGCATCACGTCTCTGTGTACCACTCTGGCCGCAGTGACGTCGTACCTCACAAACATGAAGAACCAGTAGTCGAACCAGTCAAAGAGAAATCAGACAAGATCGCCAAAATTGTTGGCATGTTCAAGAGAACGCCAGCTCACGAAGACTACCCCGCTTCCGAAGCCTACACTGGTCCAATTGACGAAACAGCTCGTCAAGGTGAAGTCGAAGGACTGCCACTTGAGCATCACGTCTCTGTGTACCACTCTGGCCGCAGTGACGTTGAGCCTCACAAACATGAAGAACCAGTAGTCGAACTAGTCAAAGAGAAATCAGACAAGATCGCCAAAATTGTTGGCATGTTCAAGAGAACGCCAGCTCACGAAGACTACCCCGCTTCCGTAGCCTACACTGGTCCAATTGACGAAACAGCTCGTCAAGGTGAAGTCGAAGGACTGCCACTTGAGCATCACGTCTCTGTGTACCACTCTGGCCGCAGTGACGTTGAGCCTCACAAACATGAAGAACCAGTAGTCGAACCAGTCAAAGAGAAATCAGACAAGATCGCCAAAATTGTTGGCATGTTCAAGAGAACGCCAGCTCACGAAGACTACCCCGCTTCCGTAGCCTACACTGGTCCAATTGACGAAACAGCTCGTCAAGGTGAAGTCGAAGGACTGCCACTTGAGCATCACGTCTCTGTGTACCACTCTGGCCGCAGTGACGTCGAACCTCACAAACATGAAGAACCAGTAGCCGAACCAGTCAAAGAAAAGAGCGACACAATTGGAAAAATTGTTGGCATGTTCAAGAGAACGCCAGCTCACGAAGACTACCCCGCTTCCGAAGCCTACACTGGTCCAATTGACGAAACAGCTCGTCAAGGTGAAGTCGAAGGACTGCCACTTGAGCATCACGTCTCTGTGTACCACTCTGGCCGCAGTGACGTCGAACCTCACAAACATGAAGAACCAGTAGCCGAACCAGTCAAAGAAAAGAGCGACACAATTGGAAAAATTGTTGGCATGTTCAAGAGAACGCCAGCTCACGATGACTACCCCGCTTCCGAAGCCTACACTGGTCCAATTGACGAAACAGCTCGTCAAGGTGAAGTCGAAGGACTGCCACTTGAGCATCACGTCTCTGTGTACCACTCTGGCCGCAGTGACGTCGTACCTCACAAACATGAAGAACCAGTAGTCGAACCAGTCAAAGAGAAATCAGACAAGATCGACAAAATTGTTGGCATGTTCAAGAGAACGCCAGCTCACGATGACTACCCCGCTTCCGAAGCCTACACTGGTCCAATTGACGAAACAGCTCGTCAAGGTGAAGTCGAAGGAATGCCACTTGAGCATCACGTCTCTGTGTACCACTCTGGCCGCAGTGACGTTGAGCCTCACAAACATGAAGAACCAGTAGTCGAACTAGTCAAAGAAAAGAGCGACACAATTGGAAAAATTGTTGGCATGTTCAAGAGAACGCCAGCTCACGATGACTACCCCGCTTCCGAAGCCTACACTGGTCCAATTGACGAAACAGCTCGTCAAGGTGAAGTCAAAGGACTGCCACTTGAGCATCACGTCTCTGTGTACCACTCTGGCCGCAGTGACGTCGTACCTCACAAACATGAAGAACCAGTAGCCGAACCAGTCAAAGAAAAGAGCGACACAATTGGAAAAATTGTTGGCATGTTCAAGAGAACGCCAGCTCACGATGACTACCCCGCTTCCGAAGCCTACACTGGTCCAATTGACGAAACAGCTCGTCAAGGTGAAGTCGAAGGAATGCCACTTGAGCATCACGTCTCTGTGTACCACTCTGGCCGCAGTGACGTTGAGCCTCACAAACATGAAGAACCAGTAGTCGAACTAGTCAAAGAGAAATCAGACAAGATCGCCAAAATTGTTGGCATGTTCAAGAGAACGCCAGCTCACGAAGACTACCCCGCTTCCGAAGCCTACACTGGTCCAATTGACGAAACAGCTCGTCAAGGTGAAGTCGAAGGACTGCCACTTGAGCATCACGTCTCTGTGTACCACTCTGGCCGCAGTGACGTTGAGCCTCACAAACATGAAGAACCAGTAGTCGAACTAGTCAAAGAGAAATCAGACAAGATCGCCAAAATTGTTGGCATGTTCAAGAGAACGCCAGCTCACGAAGACTACCCCGCTTCCGTAGCCTACACTGGTCCAATTGACGAAACAGCTCGTCAAGGTGAAGTCGAAGGACTGCCACTTGAGCATCACGTCTCTGTGTACCACTCTGGCCGCAGTGACGTTGAGCCTCACAAACATGAAGAACCAGTAGTCGAACCAGTCAAAGAGAAATCAGACAAGATCGCCAAAATTGTTGGCATGTTCAAGAGAACGCCAGCTCACGAAGACTACCCCGCTTCCGTAGCCTACACTGGTCCAATTGACGAAACAGCTCGTCAAGGTGAAGTCGAAGGACTGCCACTTGAGCATCACGTCTCTGTGTACCACTCTGGCCGCAGTGACGTCGAACCTCACAAACATGAAGAACCAGTAGCCGAACCAGTCAAAGAAAAGAGCGACACAATTGGAAAAATTGTTGGCATGTTCAAGAGAACGCCAGCTCACGAAGACTACCCCGCTTCCGAAGCCTACACTGGTCCAATTGACGAAACAGCTCGTCAAGGTGAAGTCGAAGGACTGCCACTTGAGCATCACGTCTCTGTGTACCACTCTGGCCGCAGTGACGTCGTACCTCACAAACATGAAGAACCAGTAGTCGAACCAGTCAAAGAGAAATCAGACAAGATCGCCAAAATTGTTGGCATGTTCAAGAGAACGCCAGCTCACGAAGACTACCCCGCTTCCGAAGCCTACACTGGTCCAATTGACGAAACAGCTCGTCAAGGTGAAGTCGAAGGACTGCCACTTGAGCATCACGTCTCTGTGTACCACTCTGGCCGCAGTGACGTCGTACCTCACAAACATGAAGAACCAGTAGTCGAACCAGTCAAAGAGAAATCAGACAAGATCGCCAAAATTGTTGGCATGTTCAAGAGAACGCCAGCTCACGAAGACTACCCCGCTTCCGAAGCCTACACTGGTCCAATTGACGAAACAGCTCGTCAAGGTGAAGTCGAAGGACTGCCACTTGAGCATCACGTCTCTGTGTACCACTCTGGCCGCAGTGACGTCGTACCTCACAAACATGAAGAACCAGTAGTCGAACCAGTCAAAGAAAAAAGCGACACAATTGGAAAGATTGTTGGCATGTTCAAGAGAACGCCAGCTCACGAAGACTACCCCGCTTCCGTAGCCTACACTGGTCCAATTGACGAAACAGCTCGTCAAGGTGAAGTCGAAGGACTGCCACTTGAGCATCACGTCTCTGTGTACCACTCTGGCCGCAGTGACGTTGAGCCTCACAAACATGAAGAACCAGTAGTCGAACTAGTCAAAGAGAAATCAGACAAGATCGGCAAAATTGTTGGCATGTTCAAGAGAACGCCAGCTCACGAAGACTACCCCGCTTCCGAAGCCTACACTGGTCCAATTGACGAAACAGCTCGTCAAGGTGAAGTCGAAGGACTGCCACTTGAGCATCATGTCTCTGTGTACCACTCTGGCCGCAGTGACGTTGAGCCTCACAAACATGAAGAACCAGTAGTCGAACCAGTCATAGAGAAATCAGACAAGATCGGCAAAATTGTTGGCATGTTCAAGAGAACGCCAGCTCACGAAGACTACCCCGCTTCCGAAGCCTACACTGGTCCAATTGACGAAACAGCTCGTCAAGGTGAAGTCGAAGGACTGCCACTTGAGCATCACGTCTCTGTGTACCACTCTGGCCGCAGTGACGTCGTACCTCACAAACATGAAGAACCAGTAGCCGAACCAGTCAAAGAAAAGAGCGACACAATTGGAAAAATTGTTGGCATGTTCAAGAGAACGCCAGCTCACGATGACTACCCCGCTTCCGAAGCCTACACTGGTCCAATTGACGAAACAGCTCGTCAAGGTGAAGTCGAAGGACTGCCACTTGAGCATCACGTCTCTGTGTACCACTCTGGCCGCAGTGACGTCGAACCTCACAAACATGAAGAACCAGTAGCCGAACCAGTCAAAGAAAAAAGCGACACAATTGGAAAGATTGTTGGCATGTTCAAGAGAACGCCAGCTCACGAAGACTACCCCGCTTCCGTAGCCTACACTGGTCCAATTGACGAAACAGCTCGTCAAGGTGAAGTCGAAGGACTGCCACTTGAGCATCACGTCTCTGTGTACCACTCTGGCCGCAGTGACGTTGAGCCTCACAAACATGAAGAACCAGTAGTCGAACTAGTCAAAGAGAAATCAGACAAGATCGGCAAAATTGTTGGCATGTTCAAGAGAACGCCAGCTCACGAAGACTACCCCGCTTCCGAAGCCTACACTGGTCCAATTGACGAAACAGCTCGTCAAGGTGAAGTCGAAGGACTGCCACTTGAGCATCACGTCTCTGTGTACCACTCTGGCCGCAGTGACGTCGTACCTCACAAACATGAAGAACCAGTAGTCGAACCAGTCAAAGAGAAATCAGACAAGATCGACAAAATTGTTGGCATGTTCAAGAGAACGCCAGCTCACGAAGACTACCCCGCTTCCGAAGCCTACACTGGTCCAATTGACGAAACAGCTCGTCAAGGTGAAGTCGAAGGACTGCCACTTGAGCATCACGTCTCTGTGTACCACTCTGGCCGCAGTGACGTCGAACCTCACAAACATGAAGAACCAGTAGCCGAACCAGTCAAAGAAAAAAGCGACACAATTGGAAAGATTGTTGGCATGTTCAAGAGAACGCCAGCTCACGAAGACTACCCCGCTTCCGTAGCCTACACTGGTCCAATTGACGAAACAGCTCGTCAAGGTGAAGTCGAAGGACTGCCACTTGAGCATCACGTCTCTGTGTACCACTCTGGCCGCAGTGACGTTGAGCCTCACAAACATGAAGAACCAGTAGTCGAACTAGTCAAAGAGAAATCAGACAAGATCGGCAAAATTGTTGGCATGTTCAAGAGAACGCCAGCTCACGAAGACTACCCCGCTTCCGAAGCCTACACTGGTCCAATTGACGAAACAGCTCGTCAAGGTGAAGTCGAAGGACTGCCACTTGAGCATCACGTCTCTGTGTACCACTCTGGCCGCAGTGACGTCGTACCTCACAAACATGAAGAACCAGTAGTCGAACCAGTCAAAGAGAAATCAGACAAGATCGACAAAATTGTTGGCATGTTCAAGAGAACGCCAGCTCACGAAGACTACCCCGCTTCCGAAGCCTACACTGGTCCAATTGACGAAACAGCTCGTCAAGGTGAAGTCGAAGGACTGCCACTTGAGCATCACGTCTCTGTGTACCACTCTGGCCGCAGTGACGTCGAACCTCACAAACATGAAGAACCAGTAGCCGAACCAGTCAAAGAAAAAAGCGACACAATTGGAAAGATTGTTGGCATGTTCAAGAGAACGCCAGCTCACGAAGACTACCCCGCTTCCGTAGCCTACACTGGTCCAATTGACGAAACAGCTCGTCAAGGTGAAGTCGAAGGACTGCCACTTGAGCATCACGTCTCTGTGTACCACTCTGGCCGCAGTGACGTTGAGCCTCACAAACATGAAGAACCAGTAGTCGAACTAGTCAAAGAGAAATCAGACAAGATCGCCAAAATTGTTGGCATGTTCAAGAGAACGCCAGCTCACGAAGACTACCCCGCTTCCGAAGCCTACACTGGTCCAATTGACGAAACAGCTCGTCAAGGTGAAGTCGAAGGACTGCCACTTGAGCATCACGTCTCTGTGTACCACTCTGGCCGCAGTGACGTCGTACCTCACAAACATGAAGAACCAGTAGCCGAACCAGTCAAAGAAAAGAGCGACACAATTGGAAAAATTGTGGGCATGTTCAAGAGAACGCCAGCTCACGAAGACTACCCCGCTTCCGAAGCCTACACTGGTCCAATTGACGAAACAGCTCGTCAAGGTGAAGTCGAAGGACTGCCACTTGAGCATCACGTCTCTGTGTACCACTCTGGCCGCAGTGACGTCGAACCTCACAAACATGAAGAACCAGTAGCCGAACCAGTCAAAGAAAAGAGCGACACAATTGGAAAAATTGTTGGCATGTTCAAGAGAACGCCAGCTCACGATGACTACCCCGCTTCCGAAGCCTACACTGGTCCAATTGACGAAACAGCTCGTCAAGGTGAAGTCGAAGGACTGCCACTTGAGCATCACGTCTCTGTGTACCACTCTGGCCGCAGTGACGTTGAGCCTCACAAACATGAAGAACCAGTAGTCGAACTAGTCAAAGAGAAATCAGACAAGATCGGCAAAATTGTTGGCATGTTCAAGAGAACGCCAGCTCACGAAGACTACCCCGCTTCCGAAGCCTACACTGGTCCAATTGACGAAACAGCTCGTCAAGGTGAAGTCGAAGGACTGCCACTTGAGCATCACGTCTCTGTGTACCACTCTGGCCGCAGTGACGTCGAACCTCACAAACATGAAGAACCAGTAGCCGAACCAGTCAAAGAAAAGAGCGACACAATTGGAAAAATTGTTGGCATGTTCAAGAGAACGCCAGCTCACGATGACTACCCCGCTTCCGAAGCCTACACTGGTCCAATTGACGAAACAGCTCGTCAAGGTGAAGTCGAAGGACTGCCACTTGAGCATCACGTCTCTGTGTACCACTCTGGCCGCAGTGACGTTGAGCCTCACAAACATGAAGAACCAGTAGTCGAACTAGTCAAAGAGAAATCAGACAAGATCGGCAAAATTGTTGGCATGTTCAAGAGAACGCCAGCTCACGATGACTACCCCGCTTCCGAAGCCTACACTGGTCCAATTGACGAAACAGCTCGTCAAGGTGAAGTCGAAGGACTGCCACTTGAGCATCACGTCTCTGTGTACCACTCTGGCCGCAGTGACGTTGAGCCTCACAAACATGAAGAACCAGTAGTCGAACTAGTCAAAGAGAAATCAGACAAGATCGGCAAAATTGTTGGCATGTTCAAGAGAACGCCAGCTCACGAAGACTACCCCGCTTCCGAAGCCTACACTGGTCCAATTGACGAAACAGCTCGTCAAGGTGAAGTCGAAGGACTGCCACTTGAGCATCACGTCTCTGTGTACCACTCTGGCCGCAGTGACGTTGAGCCTCACAAACATGAAGAACCAGTAGCCGAACCAGTCAAAGAAAAGAGCGACACAATTGGAAAAATTGTTGGCATGTTCAAGAGAACGCCAGCTCACGAAGACTACCCCGCTTCCGAAGCCTACACTGGTCCAATTGACGAAACAGCTCGTCAAGGTGAAGTCGAAGGACTGCCACTTGAGCATCACGTCTCTGTGTACCACTCTGGCCGCAGTGACGTTGAGCCTCACAAACATGAAGAACCAGTAGCCGAACCAGTCAAAGAAAAGAGCGACACAATTGGAAAAATTGTTGGCATGTTCAAGAGAACGCCAGCTCACGAAGACTACCCCCGCTTCCGAAGCCTACACTGGTCCAATTGACGAAACAGCTCGTCAAGGTGAAGTCGAAGGACTGCCACTTGAGCATCACGTCTCTGTGTACCACTCTGGCCGCAGTGACGTTGAGCCTCACAAACATGAAGAACCAGTAGTCGAACTAGTCAAAGAGAAATCAGACAAGATCGGCAAAATTGTTGGCATGTTCAAGAGAACGCCAGCTCACGAAGACTACCCCGCTTCCGAAGCCTACACTGGTCCAATTGACGAAACAGCTCGTCAAGGTGAAGTCGAAGGACTGCCACTTGAGCATCACGTCTCTGTGTACCACTCTGGCCGCAGTGACGTTGAGCCTCACAAACATGAAGAACCAGTAGCCGAACCAGTCAAAGAAAAAGAGCGACACAATTGGAAAAATTGTTGGCATGTTCAAGAGAACGCCAGCTCACGAAGACTACCCCGCTTCCGAAGCCTACACTGGTCCAATTGACGAAACAGCTCGTCAAGGTGAAGTCGAAGGACTGCCACTTGAGCATCACGTCTCTGTGTACCACTCTGGCCGCAGTGACGTTGAGCCTCACAAACATGAAGAACCAGTAGTCGAACTAGTCAAAGAGAAATCAGACAAGATCGGCAAAATTGTTGGCATGTTCAAGAGAACGCCAGCTCACGATGACTACCCCGCTTCCGAAGCCTACACTGGTCCAATTGACGAAACAGCTCGTCAAGGTGAAGTCGAAGGACTGCCACTTGAGCATCACGTCTCTGTGTACCACTCTGGCCGCAGTGACGTTGAGCCTCACAAACATGAAGAACCAGTAGTCGAACTAGTCAAAGAGAAATCAGACAAGATCGGCAAAATTGTTGGCATGTTCAAGAGAACGCCAGCTCACGATGACTACCCCGCTTCCGAAGCCTACACTGGTCCAATTGACGAAACAGCTCGTCAAGGTGAAGTCGAAGGACTGCCACTTGAGCATCACGTCTCTGTGTACCACTCTGGCCGCAGTGACGTTGAGCCTCACAAACATGAAGAACCAGTAGTCGAACTAGTCAAAGAGAAATCAGACAAGATCGGCAAAATTGTTGGCATGTTCAAGAGAACGCCAGCTCACGAAGACTACCCCGCTTCCGAAGCCTACACTGGTCCAATTGACGAAACAGCTCGTCAAGGTGAAGTCGAAGGACTGCCACTTGAGCATCACGTCTCTGTGTACCACTCTGGCCGCAGTGACGTTGAGCCTCACAAACATGAAGAACCAGTAGCCGAACCAGTCAAAGAAAAGAGCGACACAATTGGAAAAATTGTTGGCATGTTCAAGAGAACGCCAGCTCACGAAGACTACCCCGCTTCCGAAGCCTACACTGGTCCAATTGACGAAACAGCTCGTCAAGGTGAAGTCGAAGGACTGCCACTTGAGCATCACGTCTCTGTGTACCACTCTGGCCGCAGTGACGTTGAGCCTCACAAACATGAAGAACCAGTAGCCGAACCAGTCAAAGAAAAGAGCGACACAATTGGAAAAATTGTTGGCATGTTCAAGAGAACGCCAGCTCACGAAGACTACCCCGCTTCCGAAGCCTACACTGGTCCAATTGACGAAACAGCTCGTCAAGGTGAAGTCGAAGGACTGCCACTTGAGCATCACGTCTCTGTGTACCACTCTGGCCGCAGTGACGTTGAGCCTCACAAACATGAAGAACCAGTAGCCGAACCAGTCAAAGAAAAGAGCGACACAATTGGAAAAATTGTTGGCATGTTCAAGAGAACGCCAGCTCACGAAGACTACCCCGCTTCCGAAGCCTACACTGGTCCAATTGACGAAACAGCTCGTCAAGGTGAAGTCGAAGGACTGCCACTTGAGCATCACGTCTCTGTGTACCACTCTGGCCGCAGTGACGTTGAGCCTCACAAACATGAAGAACCAGTAGTCGAACTAGTCAAAGAGAAATCAGACAAGATCGGCAAAATTGTTGGCATGTTCAAGAGAACGCCAGCTCACGAAGACTACCCCGCTTCCGAAGCCTACACTGGTCCAATTGACGAAACAGCTCGTCAAGGTGAAGTCGAAGGACTGCCACTTGAGCATCACGTCTCTGTGTACCACTCTGGCCGCAGTGACGTTGAGCCTCACAAACATGAAGAACCAGTAGCCGAACCAGTCAAAGAAAAGAGCGACACAATTGGAAAAATTGTTGGCATGTTCAAGAGAACGCCAGCTCACGAAGACTACCCCGCTTCCGAAGCCTACACTGGTCCAATTGACGAAACAGCTCGTCAAGGTGAAGTCGAAGGACTGCCACTTGAGCATCACGTCTCTGTGTACCACTCTGGCCGCAGTGACGTTGAGCCTCACAAACATGAAGAACCAGTAGTCGAACCAGTCAAAGAGAAATCAGACAAGATCGCCAAAATTGTTGGCATGTTCAAGAGAACGCCAGCTCACGAAGACTACCCCGCTTCCGAAGCCTACACTGGTCCAATTGACGAAACAGCTCGTCAAGGTGAAGTCGAAGGACTGCCACTTGAGCATCACGTCTCTGTGTACCACTCTGGCCGCAGTGACGTTGAGCCTCACAAACATGAAGAACCAGTAGCCGAACCAGTCAAAGAAAAGAGCGACACAATTGGAAAAATTGTTGGCATGTTCAAGAGAACGCCAGCTCACGATGACTACCCCGCTTCCGAAGCCTACACTGGTCCAATTGACGAAACAGCTCGTCAAGGTGAAGTCGAAGGACTGCCACTTGAGCATCACGTCTCTGTGTACCACTCTGGCCGCAGCGACGTCGAACCTCACAAACATGAAGAACCAGTAGCCGAACCAGTCAAAGAAAAGAGCGACACAATTGGAAAGATTGTTGGCATGTTCAAGAGAACGCCAGCTCACGAAGACTACCCCGCTTCCGAAGCCTACACTGGTCCAATTGACGAAACAGCTCGTCAAGGTGAAGTCGAAGGACTGCCACTTGAGCATCACGTCTCTGTGTACCACTCTGGCCGCAGTGACGTCGAACCTCACAAACATGAAGAACCAGTAGCCGAACCAGTCAAAGAAAAGAGCGACACAATTGGAAAGATTGTTGGCATGTTCAAGAGAACGCCAGCTCACGAAGACTACCCCGCTTCCGAAGCCTACACTGGTCCAATTGACGAAACAGCTCGTCAAGGTGAAGTCGAAGGACTGCCACTTGAGCATCACGTCTCTGTGTACCACTCTGGCCGCAGTGACGTCGTACCTCACAAACATGAAGAACCAGTAGTCGAACCAGTCAAAGAAAAGAGCGACACAATTGGAAAGATTGTTGGCATGTTCAAGAGAACGCCAGCTCACGAAGACTACCCCGCTTCCGAAGCCTACACTGGTCCAATTGACGAAACAGCTCGTCAAGGTGAAGTCGAAGGACTGCCACTTGAGCATCACGTCTCTGTGTACCACTCTGGCCGCAGTGACGTCGTACCTCACAAACATGAAGAACCAGTAGTCGAACCAGTCAAAGAGAAATCAGACAAGATCGCCAAAATTGTTGGCATGTTCAAGAGAACGCCAGCTCACGAAGACTACCCCGCTTCCGAAGCCTACACTGGTCCAATTGACGAAACAGCTCGTCAAGGTGAAGTCGAAGGACTGCCACTTGAGCATCACGTCTCTGTGTACCACTCTGGCCGCAGTGACGTCGAACCTCACAAACATGAAGAACCAGTAGCCGAACCAGTCAAAGAAAAGAGCGACACAATTGGAAAAATTGTTGGCATGTTCAAGAGAACGCCAGCTCACGATGACTACCCCGCTTCCGAAGCCTACACTGGTCCAATTGACGAAACAGCTCGTCAAGGTGAAGTCGAAGGACTGCCACTTGAGCATCACGTCTCTGTGTACCACTCTGGCCGCAGTGACGTTGAGCCTCACAAACATGAAGAACCAGTAGTCGAACTAGTCAAAGAGAAATCAGACAAGATCGGCAAAATTGTTGGCATGTTCAAGAGAACGCCAGCTCACGAAGACTACCCCGCTTCCGAAGCCTACACTGGTCCAATTGACGAAACAGCTCGTCAAGGTGAAGTCGAAGGACTGCCACTTGAGCATCACGTCTCTGTGTACCACTCTGGCCGCAGTGACGTTGAGCCTCACAAACATGAAGAACCAGTAGTCGAACTAGTCAAAGAGAAATCAGACAAGATCGGCAAAATTGTTGGCATGTTCAAGAGAACGCCAGCTCACGAAGACTACCCCGCTTCCGTAGCCTACACTGGTCCAATTGACGAAACAGCTCGTCAAGGTGAAGTCGAAGGACTGCCATTTGAGCATCACGTCTCTGTGTACCACTCTGGCCGCAGTGACGTCGAACCTCACAAACATGAAGAACCAGTAGCCGAACCAGTCAAAGAAAAGAGCGACACAATTGGAAAAATTGTTGGCATGTTCAAGAGAACGCCAGCTCACGATGACTACCCCGCTTCCGAAGCCTACACTGGTCCAATTGACGAAACAGCTCGTCAAGGTGAAGTCGAAGGACTGCCACTTGAGCATCACGTCTCTGTGTACCACTCTGGCCGCAGTGACGTCGTACCTCACAAACATGAAGAACCAGTAGTCGAACCAGTCAAAGAGAAATCAGACAAGATCGACAAAATTGTTGGCATGTTCAAGAGAACGCCAGCTCACGAAGACTACCCCGCTTCCGAAGCCTACACTGGTCCAATTGACGAAACAGCTCGTCAAGGTGAAGTCGAAGGACTGCCACTTGAGCATCACGTCTCTGTGTACCACTCTGGCCGCAGTGACGTCGAACCTCACAAACATGAAGAACCAGTAGCCGAACCAGTCAAAGAAAAAAGCGACACAATTGGAAAGATTGTTGGCATGTTCAAGAGAACGCCAGCTCACGAAGACTACCCCGCTTCCGAAGCCTACACTGGTCCAATTGACGAAACAGCTCGTCAAGGTGAAGTCGAAGGACTGCCACTTGAGCATCACGTCTCTGTGTACCACTCTGGCCGCAGTGACGTCGAACCTCACAAACATGAAGAACCAGTAGCCGAACCAGTCAAAGAAAAAAGCGACACAATTGGAAAGATTGTTGGCATGTTCAAGAGAACGCCAGCTCACGAAGACTACCCCGCTTCCGAAGCCTACACTGGTCCAATTGACGAAACAGCTCGTCAAGGTGAAGTCGAAGGACTGCCACTTGAGCATCACGTCTCTGTGTACCACTCTGGCCGCAGTGACGTCGTACCTCACAAACATGAAGAACCAGTAGTCGAACCAGTCAAAGAGAAATCAGACAAGATCGGCAAAATTGTTGGCATGTTCAAGAGAACGCCAGCTCACGAAGACTACCCCGCTTCCGAAGCCTACACTGGTCCAATTGACGAAACAGCTCGTCAAGGTGAAGTCGAAGGACTGCCACTTGAGCATCACGTCTCTGTGTACCACTCTGGCCGCAGTGACGTCGAACCTCACAAACATGAAGAACCAGTAGTCGAACCAGTCAAAGAAAAAAGCGACACAATTGGAAAGATTGTTGGCATGTTCAAGAGAACGCCAGCTCACGAAGACTACCCCGCTTCCGAAGCCTACACTGGTCCAATTGACGAAACAGCTCGTCAAGGTGAAGTCGAAGGACTGCCACTTGAGCATCACGTCTCTGTGTACCACTCTGGCCGCAGTGACGTCGTACCTCACAAACATGAAGAACCAGTAGCCGAACCAGTCAAAGAAAAGAGCGACACAATTGGAAAGATTGTTGGCATGTTCAAGAGAACGCCAGCTCACGAAGACTACCCCGCTTCCGTAGCCTACACTGGTCCAATTGACGAAACAGCTCGTCAAGGTGAAGTCGAAGGACTGCCACTTGAGCATCACGTCTCTGTGTACCACTCTGGCCGCAGTGACGTCGAACCTCACAAACATGAAGAACCAGTAGCCGAACCAGTCAAAGAAAAGAGCGACACAATTGGAAAAATTGTTGGCATGTTCAAGAGAACGCCAGCTCACGATGACTACCCCGCTTCCGAAGCCTACACTGGTCCAATTGACGAAACAGCTCGTCAAGGTGAAGTCGAAGGACTGCCACTTGAGAATCACGTCTCTGTGTACCACTCTGGCCGCAGTGACGTTGAGCCTCACAAACATGAAGAACCAGTAGTCGAACCAGTCAAAGAGAAATCAGACAAGATCGGCAAAATTGTTGGCATGTTCAAGAGAACGCCAGCTCACGAAGACTACCCCGCTTCCGTAGCCTACACTGGTCCAATTGACGAAACAGCTCGTCAAGGTGAAGTCGAAGGACTGCCATTTGAGCATCACGTCTCTGTGTACCACTCTGGCCGCAGTGACGTCGAACCTCACAAACATGAAGAACCAGTAGCCGAACCAGTCAAAGAAAAGAGCGACACAATTGGAAAAATTGTTGGCATGTTCAAGAGAACGCCAGCTCACGATGACTACCCCGCTTCCGAAGCCTACACTGGTCCAATTGACGAAACAGCTCGTCAAGGTGAAGTCGAAGGACTGCCACTTGAGCATCACGTCTCTGTGTACCACTCTGGCCGCAGTGACGTCGTACCTCACAAACATGAAGAACCAGTAGTCGAACCAGTCAAAGAGAAATCAGACAAGATCGACAAAATTGTTGGCATGTTCAAGAGAACGCCAGCTCACGAAGACTACCCCGCTTCCGTAGCCTACACTGGTCCAATTGACGAAACAGCTCGTCAAGGTGAAGTCGAAGGACTGCCACTTGAGCATCACGTCTCTGTGTACCACTCTGGCCGCAGTGACGTCGTACCTCACAAACATGAAGAACCAGTAGCCGAACCAGTCAAAGAAAAGAGCGACACAATTGGAAAGATTGTTGGCATGTTCAAGAGAACGCCAGCTCACGAAGACTACCCCGCTTCCGTAGCCTACACTGGTCCAATTGACGAAACAGCTCGTCAAGGTGAAGTCGAAGGACTGCCACTTGAGCATCACGTCTCTGTGTACCACTCTGGCCGCAGTGACGTCGAACCTCACAAACATGAAGAACCAGTAGCCGAACCAGTCAAAGAAAAGAGCGACACAATTGGAAAAATTGTTGGCATGTTCAAGAGAACGCCAGCTCACGATGACTACCCCGCTTCCGAAGCCTACACTGGTCCAATTGACGAAACAGCTCGTCAAGGTGAAGTCGAAGGACTGCCATTTGAGCATCACGTCTCTGTGTACCACTCTGGCCGCAGTGACGTCGAACCTCACAAACATGAAGAACCAGTAGCCGAACCAGTCAAAGAAAAGAGCGACACAATTGGAAAAATTGTTGGCATGTTCAAGAGAACGCCAGCTCACGATGACTACCCCGCTTCCGAAGCCTACACTGGTCCAATTGACGAAACAGCTCGTCAAGGTGAAGTCGAAGGACTGCCACTTGAGAATCACGTCTCTGTGTACCACTCTGGCCGCAGTGACGTTGAGCCTCACAAACATGAAGAACCAGTAGTCGAACCAGTCAAAGAGAAATCAGACAAGATCGGCAAAATTGTTGGCATGTTCAAGAGAACGCCAGCTCACGAAGACTACCCCGCTTCCGTAGCCTACACTGGTCCAATTGACGAAACAGCTCGTCAAGGTGAAGTCGAAGGACTGCCATTTGAGCATCACGTCTCTGTGTACCACTCTGGCCGCAGTGACGTCGAACCTCACAAACATGAAGAACCAGTAGCCGAACCAGTCAAAGAAAAGAGCGACACAATTGGAAAAATTGTTGGCATGTTCAAGAGAACGCCAGCTCACGATGACTACCCCGCTTCCGAAGCCTACACTGGTCCAATTGACGAAACAGCTCGTCAAGGTGAAGTCGAAGGACTGCCACTTGAGCATCACGTCTCTGTGTACCACTCTGGCCGCAGTGACGTCGTACCTCACAAACATGAAGAACCAGTAGTCGAACCAGTCAAAGAGAAATCAGACAAGATCGACAAAATTGTTGGCATGTTCAAGAGAACGCCAGCTCACGAAGACTACCCCGCTTCCGTAGCCTACACTGGTCCAATTGACGAAACAGCTCGTCAAGGTGAAGTCGAAGGACTGCCACTTGAGCATCACGTCTCTGTGTACCACTCTGGCCGCAGTGACGTCGAACCTCACAAACATGAAGAACCAGTAGCCGAACCAGTCAAAGAAAAGAGCGACACAATTGGAAAAATTGTTGGCATGTTCAAGAGAACGCCAGCTCACGATGACTACCCCGCTTCCGAAGCCTACACTGGTCCAATTGACGAAACAGCTCGTCAAGGTGAAGTCGAAGGACTGCCACTTGAGAATCACGTCTCTGTGTACCACTCTGGCCGCAGTGACGTTGAGCCTCACAAACATGAAGAACCAGTAGTCGAACCAGTCAAAGAGAAATCAGACAAGATCGGCAAAATTGTTGGCATGTTCAAGAGAACGCCAGCTCACGAAGACTACCCCGCTTCCGTAGCCTACACTGGTCCAATTGACGAAACAGCTCGTCAAGGTGAAGTCGAAGGACTGCCATTTGAGCATCACGTCTCTGTGTACCACTCTGGCCGCAGTGACGTCGAACCTCACAAACATGAAGAACCAGTAGCCGAACCAGTCAAAGAAAAGAGCGACACAATTGGAAAAATTGTTGGCATGTTCAAGAGAACGCCAGCTCACGATGACTACCCCGCTTCCGAAGCCTACACTGGTCCAATTGACGAAACAGCTCGTCAAGGTGAAGTCGAAGGACTGCCACTTGAGCATCACGTCTCTGTGTACCACTCTGGCCGCAGTGACGTCGTACCTCACAAACATGAAGAACCAGTAGTCGAACCAGTCAAAGAGAAATCAGACAAGATCGACAAAATTGTTGGCATGTTCAAGAGAACGCCAGCTCACGAAGACTACCCCGCTTCCGTAGCCTACACTGGTCCAATTGACGAAACAGCTCGTCAAGGTGAAGTCGAAGGACTGCCACTTGAGCATCACGTCTCTGTGTACCACTCTGGCCGCAGTGACGTCGTACCTCACAAACATGAAGAACCAGTAGCCGAACCAGTCAAAGAAAAGAGCGACACAATTGGAAAGATTGTTGGCATGTTCAAGAGAACGCCAGCTCACGAAGACTACCCCGCTTCCGTAGCCTACACTGGTCCAATTGACGAAACAGCTCGTCAAGGTGAAGTCGAAGGACTGCCACTTGAGCATCACGTCTCTGTGTACCACTCTGGCCGCAGTGACGTCGAACCTCACAAACATGAAGAACCAGTAGCCGAACCAGTCAAAGAAAAGAGCGACACAATTGGAAAAATTGTTGGCATGTTCAAGAGAACGCCAGCTCACGATGACTACCCCGCTTCCGAAGCCTACACTGGTCCAATTGACGAAACAGCTCGTCAAGGTGAAGTCGAAGGACTGCCACTTGAGAATCACGTCTCTGTGTACCACTCTGGCCGCAGTGACGTTGAGCCTCACAAACATGAAGAACCAGTAGTCGAACCAGTCAAAGAGAAATCAGACAAGATCGGCAAAATTGTTGGCATGTTCAAGAGAACGCCAGCTCACGAAGACTACCCCGCTTCCGTAGCCTACACTGGTCCAATTGACGAAACAGCTCGTCAAGGTGAAGTCGAAGGACTGCCATTTGAGCATCACGTCTCTGTGTACCACTCTGGCCGCAGTGACGTCGAACCTCACAAACATGAAGAACCAGTAGCCGAACCAGTCAAAGAAAAGAGCGACACAATTGGAAAAATTGTTGGCATGTTCAAGAGAACGCCAGCTCACGATGACTACCCCGCTTCCGAAGCCTACACTGGTCCAATTGACGAAACAGCTCGTCAAGGTGAAGTCGAAGGACTGCCACTTGAGAATCACGTCTCTGTGTACCACTCTGGCCGCAGTGACGTTGAGCCTCACAAACATGAAGAACCAGTAGTCGAACCAGTCAAAGAGAAATCAGACAAGATCGGCAAAATTGTTGGCATGTTCAAGAGAACGCCAGCTCACGAAGACTACCCCGCTTCCGTAGCCTACACTGGTCCAATTGACGAAACAGCTCGTCAAGGTGAAGTCGAAGGACTGCCATTTGAGCATCACGTCTCTGTGTACCACTCTGGCCGCAGTGACGTCGAACCTCACAAACATGAAGAACCAGTAGCCGAACCAGTCAAAGAAAAGAGCGACACAATTGGAAAAATTGTTGGCATGTTCAAGAGAACGCCAGCTCACGATGACTACCCCGCTTCCGAAGCCTACACTGGTCCAATTGACGAAACAGCTCGTCAAGGTGAAGTCGAAGGACTGCCACTTGAGCATCACGTCTCTGTGTACCACTCTGGCCGCAGTGACGTCGTACCTCACAAACATGAAGAACCAGTAGTCGAACCAGTCAAAGAGAAATCAGACAAGATCGACAAAATTGTTGGCATGTTCAAGAGAACGCCAGCTCACGAAGACTACCCCGCTTCCGTAGCCTACACTGGTCCAATTGACGAAACAGCTCGTCAAGGTGAAGTCGAAGGACTGCCACTTGAGCATCACGTCTCTGTGTACCACTCTGGCCGCAGTGACGTCGTACCTCACAAACATGAAGAACCAGTAGCCGAACCAGTCAAAGAAAAGAGCGACACAATTGGAAAGATTGTTGGCATGTTCAAGAGAACGCCAGCTCACGAAGACTACCCCGCTTCCGTAGCCTACACTGGTCCAATTGACGAAACAGCTCGTCAAGGTGAAGTCGAAGGACTGCCACTTGAGCATCACGTCTCTGTGTACCACTCTGGCCGCAGTGACGTCGAACCTCACAAACATGAAGAACCAGTAGCCGAACCAGTCAAAGAAAAGAGCGACACAATTGGAAAAATTGTTGGCATGTTCAAGAGAACGCCAGCTCACGATGACTACCCCGCTTCCGAAGCCTACACTGGTCCAATTGACGAAACAGCTCGTCAAGGTGAAGTCGAAGGACTGCCACTTGAGCATCACGTCTCTGTGTACCACTCTGGCCGCAGTGACGTCGTACCTCACAAACATGAAGAACCAGTAGTCGAACCAGTCAAAGAGAAATCAGACAAGATCGACAAAATTGTTGGCATGTTCAAGAGAACGCCAGCTCACGAAGACTACCCCGCTTCCGAAGCCTACACTGGTCCAATTGACGAAACAGCTCGTCAAGGTGAAGTCGAAGGACTGCCACTTGAGCATCACGTCTCTGTGTACCACTCTGGCCGCAGTGACGTCGAACCTCACAAACATGAAGAACCAGTAGCCGAACCAGTCAAAGAAAAAAGCGACACAATTGGAAAGATTGTTGGCATGTTCAAGAGAACGCCAGCTCACGAAGACTACCCCGCTTCCGAAGCCTACACTGGTCCAATTGACGAAACAGCTCGTCAAGGTGAAGTCGAAGGACTGCCACTTGAGCATCACGTCTCTGTGTACCACTCTGGCCGCAGTGACGTCGAACCTCACAAACATGAAGAACCAGTAGCCGAACCAGTCAAAGAAAAAAAGCGACACAATTGGAAAGATTGTTGGCATGTTCAAGAGAACGCCAGCTCACGAAGACTACCCCGCTTCCGAAGCCTACACTGGTCCAATTGACGAAACAGCTCGTCAAGGTGAAGTCGAAGGACTGCCACTTGAGCATCACGTCTCTGTGTACCACTCTGGCCGCAGTGACGTCGTACCTCACAAACATGAAGAACCAGTAGTCGAACCAGTCAAAGAGAAATCAGACAAGATCGACAAAATTGTTGGCATGTTCAAGAGAACGCCAGCTCACGAAGACTACCCCGCTTCCGAAGCCTACACTGGTCCAATTGACGAAACAGCTCGTCAAGGTGAAGTCGAAGGACTGCCACTTGAGCATCACGTCTCTGTGTACCACTCTGGCCGCAGTGACGTCGAACCTCACAAACATGAAGAACCAGTAGTCGAACCAGTCAAAGAAAAAAGCGACACAATTGGAAAGATTGTTGGCATGTTCAAGAGAACGCCAGCTCACGAAGACTACCCCGCTTCCGAAGCCTACACTGGTCCAATTGACGAAACAGCTCGTCAAGGTGAAGTCGAAGGACTGCCACTTGAGCATCACGTCTCTGTGTACCACTCTGGCCGCAGTGACGTCGTACCTCACAAACATGAAGAACCAGTAGCCGAACCAGTCAAAGAAAAGAGCGACACAATTGGAAAGATTGTTGGCATGTTCAAGAGAACGCCAGCTCACGAAGACTACCCCGCTTCCGTAGCCTACACTGGTCCAATTGACGAAACAGCTCGTCAAGGTGAAGTCGAAGGACTGCCACTTGAGCATCACGTCTCTGTGTACCACTCTGGCCGCAGTGACGTCGAACCTCACAAACATGAAGAACCAGTAGCCGAACCAGTCAAAGAAAAGAGCGACACAATTGGAAAAATTGTTGGCATGTTCAAGAGAACGCCAGCTCACGATGACTACCCCGCTTCCGAAGCCTACACTGGTCCAATTGACGAAACAGCTCGTCAAGGTGAAGTCGAAGGACTGCCACTTGAGAATCACGTCTCTGTGTACCACTCTGGCCGCAGTGACGTTGAGCCTCACAAACATGAAGAACCAGTAGTCGAACCAGTCAAAGAGAAATCAGACAAGATCGGCAAAATTGTTGGCATGTTCAAGAGAACGCCAGCTCACGAAGACTACCCCGCTTCCGTAGCCTACACTGGTCCAATTGACGAAACAGCTCGTCAAGGTGAAGTCGAAGGACTGCCATTTGAGCATCACGTCTCTGTGTACCACTCTGGCCGCAGTGACGTCGAACCTCACAAACATGAAGAACCAGTAGCCGAACCAGTCAAAGAAAAGAGCGACACAATTGGAAAAATTGTTGGCATGTTCAAGAGAACGCCAGCTCACGATGACTACCCCGCTTCCGAAGCCTACACTGGTCCAATTGACGAAACAGCTCGTCAAGGTGAAGTCGAAGGACTGCCACTTGAGCATCACGTCTCTGTGTACCACTCTGGCCGCAGTGACGTCGAACCTCACAAACATGAAGAACCAGTAGCCGAACCAGTCAAAGAAAAGAGCGACACAATTGGAAAAATTGTTGGCATGTTCAAGAGAACGCCAGCTCACGATGACTACCCCGCTTCCGAAGCCTACACTGGTCCAATTGACGAAACAGCTCGTCAAGGTGAAGTCGAAGGACTGCCACTTGAGAATCACGTCTCTGTGTACCACTCTGGCCGCAGTGACGTTGAGCCTCACAAACATGAAGAACCAGTAGTCGAACCAGTCAAAGAGAAATCAGACAAGATCGGCAAAATTGTTGGCATGTTCAAGAGAACGCCAGCTCACGAAGACTACCCCGCTTCCGTAGCCTACACTGGTCCAATTGACGAAACAGCTCGTCAAGGTGAAGTCGAAGGACTGCCATTTGAGCATCACGTCTCTGTGTACCACTCTGGCCGCAGTGACGTCGAACCTCACAAACATGAAGAACCAGTAGCCGAACCAGTCAAAGAAAAGAGCGACACAATTGGAAAAATTGTTGGCATGTTCAAGAGAACGCCAGCTCACGATGACTACCCCGCTTCCGAAGCCTACACTGGTCCAATTGACGAAACAGCTCGTCAAGGTGAAGTCGAAGGACTGCCACTTGAGCATCACGTCTCTGTGTACCACTCTGGCCGCAGTGACGTCGTACCTCACAAACATGAAGAACCAGTAGTCGAACCAGTCAAAGAGAAATCAGACAAGATCGACAAAATTGTTGGCATGTTCAAGAGAACGCCAGCTCACGAAGACTACCCCGCTTCCGAAGCCTACACTGGTCCAATTGACGAAACAGCTCGTCAAGGTGAAGTCGAAGGACTGCCACTTGAGCATCACGTCTCTGTGTACCACTCTGGCCGCAGTGACGTCGAACCTCACAAACATGAAGAACCAGTAGCCGAACCAGTCAAAGAAAAAAGCGACACAATTGGAAAGATTGTTGGCATGTTCAAGAGAACGCCAGCTCACGAAGACTACCCCGCTTCCGAAGCCTACACTGGTCCAATTGACGAAACAGCTCGTCAAGGTGAAGTCGAAGGACTGCCATTTGAGCATCACGTCTCTGTGTACCACTCTGGCCGCAGTGACGTCGAACCTCACAAACATGAAGAACCAGTAGCCGAACCAGTCAAAGAAAAGAGCGACACAATTGGAAAAATTGTTGGCATGTTCAAGAGAACGCCAGCTCACGATGACTACCCCGCTTCCGAAGCCTACACTGGTCCAATTGACGAAACAGCTCGTCAAGGTGAAGTCGAAGGACTGCCACTTGAGCATCACGTCTCTGTGTACCACTCTGGCCGCAGTGACGTCGTACCTCACAAACATGAAGAACCAGTAGTCGAACCAGTCAAAGAGAAATCAGACAAGATCGGCAAAATTGTTGGCATGTTCAAGAGAACGCCAGCTCACGATGACTACCCCGCTTCCGAAGCCTACACTGGTCCAATTGACGAAACAGCTCGTCAAGGTGAAGTCGAAGGACTGCCACTTGAGCATCACGTCTCTGTGTACCACTCTGGCCGCAGTGACGTCGAACCTCACAAACATGAAGAACCAGTAGCCGAACCAGTCAAAGAAAAGAGCGACACAATTGGAAAGATTGTTGGCATGTTCAAGAGAACGCCAGCTCACGAAGACTACCCCGCTTCCGTAGCCTACACTGGTCCAATTGACGAAACAGCTCGTCAAGGTGAAGTCGAAGGACTGCCACTTGAGCATCACGTCTCTGTGTACCACTCTGGCCGCAGTGACGTCGAACCTCACAAACATGAAGAACCAGTAGCCGAACCAGTCAAAGAAAAGAGCGACACAATTGGAAAAATTGTTGGCATGTTCAAGAGAACGCCAGCTCACGATGACTACCCCGCTTCCGAAGCCTACACTGGTCCAATTGACGAAACAGCTCGTCAAGGTGAAGTCGAAGGACTGCCACTTGAGAATCACGTCTCTGTGTACCACTCTGGCCGCAGTGACGTTGAGCCTCACAAACATGAAGAACCAGTAGTCGAACCAGTCAAAGAGAAATCAGACAAGATCGGCAAAATTGTTGGCATGTTCAAGAGAACGCCAGCTCACGAAGACTACCCCGCTTCCGTAGCCTACACTGGTCCAATTGACGAAACAGCTCGTCAAGGTGAAGTCGAAGGACTGCCATTTGAGCATCACGTCTCTGTGTACCACTCTGGCCGCAGTGACGTCGAACCTCACAAACATGAAGAACCAGTAGCCGAACCAGTCAAAGAAAAGAGCGACACAATTGGAAAAATTGTTGGCATGTTCAAGAGAACGCCAGCTCACGATGACTACCCCGCTTCCGAAGCCTACACTGGTCCAATTGACGAAACAGCTCGTCAAGGTGAAGTCGAAGGACTGCCACTTGAGCATCACGTCTCTGTGTACCACTCTGGCCGCAGTGACGTCGAACCTCACAAACATGAAGAACCAGTAGCCGAACCAGTCAAAGAAAAGAGCGACACAATTGGAAAAATTGTTGGCATGTTCAAGAGAACGCCAGCTCACGATGACTACCCCGCTTCCGAAGCCTACACTGGTCCAATTGACGAAACAGCTCGTCAAGGTGAAGTCGAAGGACTGCCACTTGAGAATCACGTCTCTGTGTACCACTCTGGCCGCAGTGACGTTGAGCCTCACAAACATGAAGAACCAGTAGTCGAACCAGTCAAAGAGAAATCAGACAAGATCGGCAAAATTGTTGGCATGTTCAAGAGAACGCCAGCTCACGAAGACTACCCCGCTTCCGTAGCCTACACTGGTCCAATTGACGAAACAGCTCGTCAAGGTGAAGTCGAAGGACTGCCATTTGAGCATCACGTCTCTGTGTACCACTCTGGCCGCAGTGACGTCGAACCTCACAAACATGAAGAACCAGTAGCCGAACCAGTCAAAGAAAAGAGCGACACAATTGGAAAAATTGTTGGCATGTTCAAGAGAACGCCAGCTCACGATGACTACCCCGCTTCCGAAGCCTACACTGGTCCAATTGACGAAACAGCTCGTCAAGGTGAAGTCGAAGGACTGCCACTTGAGCATCACGTCTCTGTGTACCACTCTGGCCGCAGTGACGTCGTACCTCACAAACATGAAGAACCAGTAGTCGAACCAGTCAAAGAGAAATCAGACAAGATCGACAAAATTGTTGGCATGTTCAAGAGAACGCCAGCTCACGAAGACTACCCCGCTTCCGAAGCCTACACTGGTCCAATTGACGAAACAGCTCGTCAAGGTGAAGTCGAAGGACTGCCACTTGAGCATCACGTCTCTGTGTACCACTCTGGCCGCAGTGACGTCGAACCTCACAAACATGAAGAACCAGTAGCCGAACCAGTCAAAGAAAAAAGCGACACAATTGGAAAGATTGTTGGCATGTTCAAGAGAACGCCAGCTCACGAAGACTACCCCGCTTCCGAAGCCTACACTGGTCCAATTGACGAAACAGCTCGTCAAGGTGAAGTCGAAGGACTGCCATTTGAGCATCACGTCTCTGTGTACCACTCTGGCCGCAGTGACGTCGAACCTCACAAACATGAAGAACCAGTAGCCGAACCAGTCAAAGAAAAGAGCGACACAATTGGAAAAATTGTTGGCATGTTCAAGAGAACGCCAGCTCACGATGACTACCCCGCTTCCGAAGCCTACACTGGTCCAATTGACGAAACAGCTCGTCAAGGTGAAGTCGAAGGACTGCCACTTGAGCATCACGTCTCTGTGTACCACTCTGGCCGCAGTGACGTCGTACCTCACAAACATGAAGAACCAGTAGTCGAACCAGTCAAAGAGAAATCAGACAAGATCGACAAAATTGTTGGCATGTTCAAGAGAACGCCAGCTCACGAAGACTACCCCGCTTCCGAAGCCTACACTGGTCCAATTGACGAAACAGCTCGTCAAGGTGAAGTCGAAGGACTGCCACTTGAGCATCACGTCTCTGTGTACCACTCTGGCCGCAGTGACGTCGAACCTCACAAACATGAAGAACCAGTAGCCGAACCAGTCAAAGAAAAAAGCGACACAATTGGAAAGATTGTTGGCATGTTCAAGAGAACGCCAGCTCACGAAGACTACCCCGCTTCCGAAGCCTACACTGGTCCAATTGACGAAACAGCTCGTCAAGGTGAAGTCGAAGGACTGCCACTTGAGCATCACGTCTCTGTGTACCACTCTGGCCGCAGTGACGTCGTACCTCACAAACATGAAGAACCAGTAGCCGAACCAGTCAAAGAAAAGAGCGACACAATTGGAAAGATTGTTGGCATGTTCAAGAGAACGCCAGCTCACGAAGACTACCCCGCTTCCGTAGCCTACACTGGTCCAATTGACGAAACAGCTCGTCAAGGTGAAGTCGAAGGACTGCCACTTGAGCATCACGTCTCTGTGTACCACTCTGGCCGCAGTGACGTTGAGCCTCACAAACATGAAGAACCAGTAGTCGAACCAGTCAAAGAGAAATCAGACAAGATCGGCAAAATTGTTGGCATGTTCAAGAGAACGCCAGCTCACGAAGACTACCCCGCTTCCGTAGCCTACACTGGTCCAATTGACGAAACAGCTCGTCAAGGTGAAGTCGAAGGACTGCCACTTGAGCATCACGTCTCTGTGTACCACTCTGGCCGCAGTGACGTCGAACCTCACAAACATGAAGAACCAGTAGCCGAACCAGTCAAAGAAAAGAGCGACACAATTGGAAAGATTGTTGGCATGTTCAAGAGAACGCCAGCTCACGAAGACTACCCCGCTTCCGAAGCCTACACTGGTCCAATTGACGAAACAGCTCGTCAAGGTGAAGTCGAAGGACTGCCACTTGAGCATCACGTCTCTGTGTACCACTCTGGCCGCAGTGACGTCGAACCTCACAAACATGAAGAACCAGTAGCCGAACCAGTCAAAGAAAAGAGCGACACAATTGGAAAAATTGTTGGCATGTTCAAGAGAACGCCAGCTCACGAAGACTACCCCGCTTCCGTAGCCTACACTGGTCCAATTGACGAAACAGCTCGTCAAGGTGAAGTCGAAGGACTGCCACTTGAGCATCACGTCTCTGTGTACCACTCTGGCCGCAGTGACGTTGAGCCTCACAAACATGAAGAACCAGTAGTCGAACCAGTCAAAGAGAAATCAGACAAGATCGGCAAAATTGTTGGCATGTTCAAGAGAACGCCAGCTCACGAAGACTACCCCGCTTCCGTAGCCTACACTGGTCCAATTGACGAAACAGCTCGTCAAGGTGAAGTCGAAGGACTGCCACTTGAGCATCACGTCTCTGTGTACCACTCTGGCCGCAGTGACGTCGAACCTCACAAACATGAAGAACCAGTAGCCGAACCAGTCAAAGAAAAGAGCGACACAATTGGAAAGATTGTTGGCATGTTCAAGAGAACGCCAGCTCACGAAGACTACCCCGCTTCCGAAGCCTACACTGGTCCAATTGACGAAACAGCTCGTCAAGGTGAAGTCGAAGGACTGCCACTTGAGCATCACGTCTCTGTGTACCACTCTGGCCGCAGTGACGTCGAACCTCACAAACATGAAGAACCAGTAGCCGAACCAGTCAAAGAAAAGAGCGACACAATTGGAAAAATTGTTGGCATGTTCAAGAGAACGCCAGCTCACGATGACTACCCCGCTTCCGAAGCCTACACTGGTCCAATTGACGAAACAGCTCGTCAAGGTGAAGTCGAAGGACTGCCACTTGAGCATCACGTCTCTGTGTACCACTCTGGCCGCAGTGACGTTGAGCCTCACAAACATGAAGAACCAGTAGTCGAACCAGTCAAAGAGAAATCAGACAAGATCGGCAAAATTGTTGGCATGTTCAAGAGAACGCCAGCTCACGAAGACTACCCCGCTTCCGTAGCCTACACTGGTCCAATTGACGAAACAGCTCGTCAAGGTGAAGTCGAAGGACTGCCACTTGAGCATCACGTCTCTGTGTACCACTCTGGCCGCAGTGACGTCGAACCTCACAAACATGAAGAACCAGTAGCCGAACCAGTCAAAGAAAAGAGCGACACAATTGGAAAGATTGTTGGCATGTTCAAGAGAACGCCAGCTCACGAAGACTACCCCGCTTCCGAAGCCTACACTGGTCCAATTGACGAAACAGCTCGTCAAGGTGAAGTCGAAGGACTGCCACTTGAGCATCACGTCTCTGTGTACCACTCTGGCCGCAGTGACGTCGAACCTCACAAACATGAAGAACCAGTAGCCGAACCAGTCAAAGAAAAGAGCGACACAATTGGAAAAATTGTTGGCATGTTCAAGAGAACGCCAGCTCACGAAGACTACCCCGCTTCCGTAGCCTACACTGGTCCAATTGACGAAACAGCTCGTCAAGGTGAAGTCGAAGGACTGCCACTTGAGCATCACGTCTCTGTGTACCACTCTGGCCGCAGTGACGTCGTACCTCACAAACATGAAGAACCAGTAGTCGAACCAGTCAAAGAGAAATCAGACAAGATCGGCAAAATTGTTGGCATGTTCAAGAGAACGCCAGCTCACGAAGACTACCCCGCTTCCGTAGCCTACACTGGTCCAATTGACGAAACAGCTCGTCAAGGTGAAGTCGAAGGACTGCCACTTGAGCATCACGTCTCTGTGTACCACTCTGGCCGCAGTGACGTTGAGCCTCACAAACATGAAGAACCAGTAGTCGAACCAGACAAAGAGAAATCAGAAAAGATCGGCAAAATTGTTGGCATGTTCAAGAGAACGCCAGCTCACGAAGACTACCCCGCTTCCGAAGCCTACACTGGTCCAATTGACGAAACAGCTCGTCAAGGTGAAGTCGAAGGACTGCCACTTGAGCATCACGTCTCTGTGTACCACTCTGGCCGCAGTGACGTCGAACCTCACAAACATGAAGAACCAGTAGTCGAACCAGTCAAAGAAAAAAGCGACACAATTGGAAAGATTGTTGGCATGTTCAAGAGAACGCCAGCTCACGAAGACTACCCCGCTTCCGAAGCCTACACTGGTCCAATTGACGAAACAGCTCGTCAAGGTGAAGTCGAAGGACTGCCACTTGAGCATCACGTCTCTGTGTACCACTCTGGCCGCAGTGACGTTGAGCCTCACAAACATGAAGAACCAGTAGTCGAACCAGTCAAAGAGAAATCAGACAAGATCGGCAAAATTGTTGGCATGTTCAAGAGAACGCCAGCTCACGAAGACTACCCCGCTTCCGTAGCCTACACTGGTCCAATTGACGAAACAGCTCGTCAAGGTGAAGTCGAAGGACTGCCACTTGAGCATCACGTCTCTGTGTACCACTCTGGCCGCAGTGACGTCGAACCTCACAAACATGAAGAACCAGTAGCCGAACCAGTCAAAGAAAAGAGCGACACAATTGGAAAGATTGTTGGCATGTTCAAGAGAACGCCAGCTCACGAAGACTACCCCGCTTCCGAAGCCTACACTGGTCCAATTGACGAAACAGCTCGTCAAGGTGAAGTCGAAGGACTGCCACTTGAGCATCACGTCTCTGTGTACCACTCTGGCCGCAGTGACGTCGAACCTCACAAACATGAAGAACCAGTAGCCGAACCAGTCAAAGAAAAGAGCGACACAATTGGAAAAATTGTTGGCATGTTCAAGAGAACGCCAGCTCACGATGACTACCCCGCTTCCGAAGCCTACACTGGTCCAATTGACGAAACAGCTCGTCAAGGTGAAGTCGAAGGACTGCCACTTGAGAATCACGTCTCTGTGTACCACTCTGGCCGCAGTGACGTTGAGCCTCACAAACATGAAGAACCAGTAGTCGAACCAGTCAAAGAGAAATCAGACAAGATCGGCAAAATTGTTGGCATGTTCAAGAGAACGCCAGCTCACGAAGACTACCCCGCTTCCGAAGCCTACACTGGTCCAATTGACGAAACAGCTCGTCAAGGTGAAGTCGAAGGACTGCCACTTGAGCATCACGTCTCTGTGTACCACTCTGGCCGCAGTGACGTCGTACCTCACAAACATGAAGAACCAGTAGTCGAACCAGTCAAAGAGAAATCAGACAAGATCGGCAAAATTGTTGGCATGTTCAAGAGAACGCCAGCTCACGAAGACTACCCCGCTTCCGTAGCCTACACTGGTCCAATTGACGAAACAGCTCGTCAAGGTGAAGTCGAAGGACTGCCACTTGAGCATCACGTCTCTGTGTACCACTCTGGCCGCAGTGACGTTGAGCCTCACAAACATGAAGAACCAGTAGTCGAACCAGACAAAGAGAAATCAGAAAAGATCGGCAAAATTGTTGGCATGTTCAAGAGAACGCCAGCTCACGAAGACTACCCCGCTTCCGAAGCCTACACTGGTCCAATTGACGAAACAGCTCGTCAAAGTGAAGTCGAAGGACTGCCACTTGAGCATCACGTCTCTGTGTACCACTCTGGCCGCAGCGACGTCGAACCTCACAAACATGAAGAACCAGTAGCCGAACCAGTCAAAGAAAAAAGCGACACAATTGGAAAGATTGTTGGCATGTTCAAGAGAACGCCAGCTCACGAAGACTACCCCGCTTCCGAAGCCTACACTGGTCCAATTGACGAAACAGCTCGTCAAGGTGAAGTCGAAGGACTGCCACTTGAGCATCACGTCTCTGTGTACCACTCTGGCCGCAGTGACGTTGAGCCTCACAAACATGAAGAACCAGTAGTCGAACCAGACAAAGAGAAATCAGAAAAGATCGGCAAAATTGTTGGCATGTTCAAGAGAACGCCAGCTCACGAAGACTACCCCGCTTCCGAAGCCTACACTGGTCCAATTGACGAAACAGCTCGTCAAGGTGAAGTCGAAGGACTGCCACTTGAGCATCATGTCTCTGTGTACCACTCTGGCCGCAGTGACGTCGAACCTCGCAAACATGAAGAATTAGCAACAAATACGTCTAAAAAATCTGCTTACTCGCCAAGTTACAAATACAGAATTACTACTAACGATAAGTTCGCACAGTATAGCATTAACAGAGAAGATGCTTATAAAGCTATTTGGGTAAATCACATGACTGAACACGAAGCGATACAACTAAAGCTTAGGTACGAAAGAAGCCCAGTCCACACCTTAAACAAACAGAGAGAAGTCCGTAACTACCCACTAGAAGTGTTCGTGAAGTCTAAATCAACAATATTTGACAACTCTTCAGGAAAATGCACATTACGCATCGAATCTAGTCCGCATCCACATAAAGAAATAGAACATATCGTTCATACCGTAGTCGTACCGTTCGAAGACCGTCAATGGCGTGAAGACGGTCATATAACTATTGACCGGTACACAACTGAAACTCCGGTACGAAAATCAAGATACAGGGTAAACGACCACCTTGATCAGAATGTTTATGTTGGTAGAAGAGAAAAGTCGATGCCTTCTTATTTGGAAATTTCTGAAGATAAAATTGAAGAAAACCGAAATAAACAATACAAATCTACATACTCCAGTAAGTATGCAAGTACAAGCCGTTCGTTGTCAGAGTCGCGAAGAGTGACTGGATGGACTACAATTACAGAAAAAACGACCATTTCATACTCGCGGAGAATACGGATGGAAAGAGAAACCGAACACAAGCGGCAAAATTACACAGAAGATGTACTGGTTTATAACTACAAGTCTCCGCAAAGTAGCAGTAAGCACTTTAGTCCAAACACCACTACATTTTCAACCAGACCCAATTCTCCAATAAGCTCAAGTCGTAGATATGTACCTCGACATTCAGAAGTAGAAAAGCGATATCAGTCATACAGAAGCCAATCTCAGGGACCGCTACAAACTGACCGTTGGATCCAAACCGACATTAATAATCACTCGCCATACCATTTACGATCAAACAGCGCGTCTTCAAAGCGAACGTACAGGTCGTATCGTTCTAACTTATACGACAGAGAATCTATTATTCGTGGATATTACCCCGAACGGAACTGGGTAGACCAGATTGAATTCCAAGACGTTCGAGGCAATGAAGGCCGGATTTCCAATATCAAATACTCAACAAACCTTGATGAAGTTCCCATCGTCCGCCTTCTGGACGAACTTTCCTTCATCGGAGATGAAAGGCATGACATGGAAGTGTTCCCCGCGACCACTCCACGTGTAGTACCATTGGAAACACGACTACTAGAACCAGGACACCATCGGCGTTCTCGCGCTGATGCTCCCATTCGCCGAACTCGACACCGAATCCGAAATTATTGTGCCATGTTGTAATTGAAGTCTATGTTTTAGTATTATTGTTAACTTTTCTATTTGCCTGCTCACTGAATCGCCACATTGAAAACCTTTGAATTACTACTTTATACAAGAATTCTACATACAAATACTTACTTATCCAACTGGGTGGACAATTGGTCCCCGGATAACTTCTATAATAAATTCAACACTTATATTATCATCGATATTGCGACCAATGTGAAGAGATTCGAGAAAGTGAGCATATTTGCCTAAACTGTCTTTCTAAATGGGTATATCTGCATTATTTGACATATTCCGTTCCTTTTCTTGTTTTTTGCTTGTTTTCAGCCAGAAATCTCATATTTTATTTTGTTATATCAATAATAAACTTCTAAAATAATGTTTTGAATTATTATTGCGAGTTATCATAATATTATTTTGAAAATTGTGGTTTTTAAAACAAAAAAACTTGTAAACGCGAGCTCAAATCCATAAAAAATATAAAAAAAATATAAAGACACAAAGATATGTATTTTAAAAATAATATAACGATCAAAAGATTCTTTAACGTTAATTTTAGAAACAAAAATCTCCAACAGAATCCAAAACGAGCACAAATTAATTCAAATAAATAAAAAAATTACAAAAAAATATTAATTTATTTAAAAATTAATATTAGATAAACTTTCGTACAAAGTTTGCACGGCCCAAACCCAAAAACAAAAAAGCGTCCTGTTCGAACGTGAGGACGCGAACGTCCTATTTTCTGCACGAAACAAACATCGTATAACATGTCATCGAGTTTAGCTGCGCCCTGACTAAATGCTATAATAAAAAGGAATGGATAAAATATTCTCGAAAACCGAAAAGCTTTTATTATTTTTTAGTTTTGTAAACTGTACTTCTTTATATTTTAATTTTATAGTTTTTATGTTGTTTTAGTAAGCTAATATTGTTTTTTTATGTTTTTATCATTTTTTGCTTGCAGCTTGTGCTAAAATGGCCTGCAGTGCAATATTTGTGTTGGATTTGAAAGGAAAGGTACGTATGATGTCTTAAGCTTTTGACTTTATTTAGGTAATTATTTCTCGGAACTATCGTGGCGATATTGATATGAATATAATTGATAAATTCATAAATATATTGGTGGATATGGAGGAGGAGGGAGTGCAGACTCCTGTCATTAACCATGATGAGGTTACATTCACTTTCATAAAGTATAACAACGTTTACGGTACGTTTTATTTGTAGGTTTGAATTTTTTTTAGTTGTGGCCATATCTCGCAAGAACGTGAACATTGCTCTAGTGCAATCTTTTCTGTACAAAATGGTCAGCGTGTTTTGTGAGTACTTCAAAGATGTCGAAGAAGAGTCGATTCGGGACAACTTTGTTATTATTTATGAATTGATGGACGAAATGATGGATTTTGGGTATCCACAAACTACTGAGGCCCGGATTCTGAGAGAGTAAGGACTTTATATTAGCGATTATGATTTTTCAAAATGTGTTATTCAAGTTACTTTTAGGTATATTACACAAGAAGGCCACAAACTTGAAGCTCCAAGACCCCCGATGGCAGTGACAAACGCGGTATCGTGGCGGTCGGAAGGCATAAAATACAGAAAAAACGAAGTTTTCTTGGATGTGATTGAGTCAGTTAACATGTTGGTACGTTGCTTTGTATTTTCATTTTTGGTTGACCTACATATAACGAGTTTTGATTTCAGGCCAACGCTAATGGTACAGTGTTACAAAGTGAGATAGTAGGGTCTGTCAAAATGCGTGTATACTTGAGCGGCATGCCTGAACTTCGCCTCGGATTAAATGATAAGGTCCAATTTGAAAATTCGGGTCGTAAGTAACGTTTTTTACAATGAAACTGTTTACCGAATTGCTTGAGGATTTGATACTTTTTTCGTTATGAAGAAGTTTTAGCATAGAGGAGTTTTAAATTCAGTGTGTTGTGTCGGCTGGAGATTTAAAAGTTGCTTGGGAGGCGTTCTATTATATATTTATGTTACGGTTTAAATTTTTGATAATGTGTGGAACATATTGTTTTTAAAATTTTATTTAAAAAGCTTTTTTAAGGAGGAAAGAACAAGGCGGTAGAGCTGGAGGACGTCAAGTTTCATCAATGTGTGAGGCTCTCGAGGTTTGAAAATGACAGAACTATAAGTTTTATTCCACCAGATGGAGAGTTCGAGCTTATGAACTATCGGCTGACAACTGTGGTCAAACCTTTAATTTGGGTGGAAGCCGTGGTAGAGAAGTTTTCTCATTCCAGAGTAGAGTTCATGATTAAGGTTGGTGTTTGTTTTAACATTTATTTAATACTTTCTTCTAACTATAATGTTCATGGTTTGAATAATAAGATTTTAGGCGAAATCCCAGTTTAAACGGAGGTCAACGGCGAACAACGTTGAGATCGTGATTCCAGTACCCCGCGATGCTGACACTCCCAAGTTCAAAGCGGCTATTGGAGTAGCTAAATACGTTCCTGAAGATAATGCTTTTGCGTGGAATATTAAGAGTTTCCCGGGTGGCAAAGAGTACCTGATGCGAGCTCAGTTCAGGCTTCCGTCGGTGGCTGGCGATGAAGCTGAAGGCAAACGGCCGATGAAGATACGATTTGAAATTCCGTATTTTACTACGTCGGGAATTCAGGTACGTTTTCTGAAATAATGTTGTAGGATTAATATATAAGAGATTAAAAATTTGATTATTTGATAGTTCGTAAATTATTGAGTTTCTAGGTACGATACTTGAAGATCATAGAGAAAAGCGGATACCAGGCCTTACCGTGGGTTAGGTACATAACACAGAACGGAGACTGTCAAATCAGAATGGCATAATCACTAATCGGAGCTGTAGAAAATTGCTTTAATTGCATTTATCTCACTCTTTATATCGGTCTCATGCATTTATCACTTGGCATAATAAACTAATTGTATAAAGCTGTTGGTTGGCATTTTACGTTGCATCGTTTGTTTACTTATGAAAATCATGAGTTGAATATCTGAATTGTGATTATATTTTTTAAATAATTGGTGATGTTTAGTATGAATAACCGCGTTAGCCAATTTCTGCGCTCAGCTTACAAACTTCAGAATTTACGCTTTCAACACAATACAATAAACTCTGCCTTTTTGGGCAATATTGTAAAACAACATGCGGATAATGGGTCCAAGTTTTTTTTGCCTTTGGGGGACGAGTTTGCAATGGAAAAAATATTGGAGCCTTTGAGAGCGTTGAACTTGGAAGGCAAGGTTTATATATTATACTGTTTCTGTTTTGATGAATATTCTTCCAATTGCAAATACAACATTTTTCACGTTAAATTCAATATTTTTTATGATTGTAGGTGTCAAAGTTGAGTTTTTAAGCGATGCTCTGTCTTCTGATCCTGAAATCTTCAAGAAGATCACGGCCAATGGGAAAGAAGTTGTTGATGTGTTAAACGTTCTTGTTGCTTATTGTTCATTTACATTTGAGTCTGCGTTACGGTTTTATTCAACGTAAGTTTATTTTTAAACGTTTTTGGATTATTTGTTACCTAAAATTTAAATCTTTTCAGCAACATCGAGTACTTGAGCGAAGTGGATCCCCATGAAATGTCATGTCGTCTAAATGTCTTTACCAACTTTGGTGTTCTAGCAGGACCACAGTTGGGACGAATAGTAAGGAAGACGCCAGCAATATTGTACATGAGTACACCCGAAAATATGGCTGAATTGGTCGAGAACATTCTCAATTTCTTCAGTCGAAAAGAGGTGAGTAATCTATTTTAAACAGTTAAAGGCGTTTGAATATTTAGCTTGTTAATTATATTTTCTTCTGTGTATGTGAATACATGTTTTTAGCTTTTAAAAATGTTAACTCAAGCGCCAGAAATTGTGCTGCAGCCTTTCGAAGAGTTGGAGATGAAGTACGAGTATATCTTCTTCCACATGCGAATAGAATCCACAGCTCTGGCAGAAAGCTTGAACTGGATGAATCTGAGTTTGGAAGAAATCATGGAGCGACACGAATTTTTAGTCAAAACGGGCAAATATACAACACCAGATCCGAAACGGCCTCAGTTCGAAAAGGTAATTAACAGTAATTTAAGTTGATTTGGTCAAAAATGTAGGTTAAATAGTTTTGTCAAATGTTTAGCTTTTTTTATGGTAATTTAGAATGGCTGGTGTCATTTTCGCGTTTCAATTAATATATCAGACTATTGTTAGTTGTTTAAAACTTTAATTATTTGGTAACATAATTCAATTTCAGGACAACCCACCAACCTACCGTATCTTCGATTCGGATGATCAGAACTTTGCGATCCAAGTTGGAGGTGTAACACCCGAGGAATGGAACGCGTTCAAGTGTATAGGAGATATACAGCGAATGATGAGCGAGAAGGAACAGCCGTTCGAACGTGTGAAACCCTCGGTGTGGAAAGCCTACGAACGACGGCACAAAACGTCAAAGTTGGCGGATGCGGTTGTGGAATAATCACGGGCTTCAGTTGTTGAGTAATCATAGGTTTATGTTCTCTGTTAAACAAATTGTATTACATTGGGCGGATTATCTGAGAATTAAAAGTGTTGGCGCTGGAAGTGCAAAGTGCCGTATCACTTGGACTTTTAAAAGACGGAATTCTTTCTGGGAGGGAAGGTTGGAGTGGTAGTGCGTGTGCATGCCCGTCCTTTTCGGCACTTACGATTCGAGAATACAACGGTCAGCTATCACGTTATTGTTATCCTGGATTGTGTAAAATTCTGTACCAATTTGGACGTCTGGTAGGTTTTATCTGATTGGGTTGATTAAGGGTGTAAGCAAGGGATCACTTTAAAGGAATGTTAATGTGCATTGGTTTACAAAACCAACTCGTTCAGCAACCCAATAGGAGATTACTGTATTTCTTGGAAGTTGCTGGGTCTTTTGTATTCTTCCAGTTTAGAAGATGACAAAAGAAAATATGTCGCTGGTAATTCAGCGCTCACTATAATAAGTTTTTGTGGTTCACAGAGCTGTCAAGAGCTGCCTCCAACATGAAAGTGACAAGTATCAAGAAAAACTGAACGTCCTGTGTTTCGTCGTCACCAGCACATCGGGTTCTCCTTCTGTTTCTCTGTTGTTTAATGTTCCTTTCTCTCGCAAAATTCGGGAGAAATGGGTTGGTCGCAGCCTGAGGGGAGTTTCCGAATGTTTCTCTTCGCAGGCCTCCGTAGAGTGCAGCCGCCTTGTGAGAGTGCAGACGACGGACGTTCCCCTTTGGCGTTCCTTTTTCCGCTCCGACAGAAGTGCAAGAGACGTTGCAGCGTCCTTTTTCTCCGTTCCTGTTCGCTCTTGGCCGGTCTTCCCGCCTCGACCGATGAGACCACAACTTTATCTTCATAGCCGGCCTGGTTATGCCCCCGGGGGTAAAAGTTTTATATCCAAGGTCGACGTTCTGTTCGGCTTCCCCGCCCGCTGTAGTTGCGTGTGTTTCGCCATAGGGCATCCAGATTATACCCAATGTTTATATTTATAACGTACTTTTCGTAAAAACACATTTTTGGTTTTTGTACTTTAATTTGTTGGCCTCAAACCCAGTTTAACTTCCAGTAGTCAAAATTTAAAAAAGTACTTTTAAACTCCCCCGGATCTTAAAAACGTCCGTTTGTACCGTCACGTGTCGCAACGTTTGGTCTATGTTTCATCAACCAATCGTCTTCGGCAGACTATTAGTAGCTTATCTCGCTTACTAAGTCGCGGTTGAACAACCCAATCCTCGCCCAAGGAACACCACCGGTTTTTTATTTCAAGCGCGCTGTTTCTTTTTGTTCTGAAGAACGGGTTTATTGATTTAGCGTCGGTCAGTCCGTGTTCGCACAGAGTTCGCTATCCGGCGGCAGCCTACGAGTATTATCAGTGGAGATTAGGCCTAGCCAATGTGGTGCGAATGATTTATATCGATTATGGTAGGATTATCATTTTTGCTTCAAGCTTCTTTGTACTCACATAGTCATGTCGCGAATGTCTGTCCTGACGTTCATGCCTTTCTCTTTTAACATTTTCACGGTGGAACGGCTTCATATGTTTATTCTTTGGTTCTGGTTGCGTTATTGTCATTTTGAAAGTTGCTTTGGCAAATCTCAGCTTCGCAGTTAAGGGCCTAGCGATGCTGAAATGGCGGACTTATAGGAGTTGGACATGATAACTAACCTCATCACCAAAGACTTTACACAGATTGGAAAAAAAGGCATCCCAGACAGAGCGATAACCTCACGTTATCTGCTCCCACAACGAACCATGAGCTTCGAAAACAGTTCTCAAGATTCCAGTGGGTAAATTGAACCTTCATTTATATGACCGCAACGTTTTCAGTAATCCTTCCGATCTCCCTGATTGTTCTAATCCACTTTTGGGGACAAGTATTCCCCAAAAAGTTCATACAACTTACTTGCAACCCCTAATTGCACAACCCGAGCAGCATGGCAACAACAACCTACTTCATGGCGTTGACTTCGCTTTCTCGAATATCCATGGTTAGCTTAATTTAAGGGTTACAAAAAGTTTAAAAATCAGTAAATATGTGAAGACGTTCCGTCGTAGATCAATCTCAGTAACCTCATAAATCAGAAAGTAAAAGTAATCACGTTTCAGAGCAATTTGATGTGAGCAACATCCTCAACATGAGCCACATCAATGGTCACCTGCAAAACGTCAGCTTAGCGAGCACGGCACATTTAGCGGCCAATGGAGGAAACCTGAACAGTAGCCCGTTCAATGGGCACCATGTAGTCGCAGCCGTAGCGTCGAGCTCAGCTAACAACAATCCCGGTACTTTACTTAACAGCATGCAGACAACCGCCAACTTAAACGGCTTGAACAACCATGTTCAGACAATGGACAACTCAAACCCGAGTACGCAAAGCAATGCCGGTTCAACGACGTCGAGTGGTGTGAGGACTAGACACCGATCTTCTGCTAACGATTCCATGTTCAAGTGCAACTACTGCCCCAAAAAGTTTACAGAACAAAACTCAGTAAGTTTGAAAAGTAACTATTTAAAAAACAGAGTAAGGTTAGAAAGCATCTATTTATTTTTGGTGTTTTACTGGACTGTTAGAAGGGTTTAACTGCACTTTAAAATTATATAAGTAAAAAATTACAAATCTTTTTACAATATGTTAACACAATTTACTCAGTACACATATTTTGTAGAATTACTTCAAAATGGTAATAATATTTTTTAGTTGCGCATGCACATGGAAGAATGTAGATTAGTAAGATCTCACGAATGTCCTCAATGCGGCAAACGTTTCAAAGCGCGAGGAGGTCTACAACAACATAACCGGATTCATTTGCAAGAGCGTCCGTATCACTGTCATTACTGCCCAAAGAGATTCAACCAGAAGTCTCATTTAGACCAACACGAAAGGATTCACACAGGTAAAAACATACTAGTGCTAAATGACCTCAACATTCATGTAAAAAGTCTACTTTGGTGAAAGAAATTCAGAAACTCCCAAAAAATGAAAAACAGATTTTTGTTTTCCCAGTTTTCAGTACTATTTACTTTATTGATTAAAAAACGAAGTGTCACTTATTATTTATCGAATTTTTCAGATTTCTTTCAATATTTTATTTGAATGTAAAAATATTATAAAAAAGATACATTTCACTACTTTTACAAATATTTTAAGTATTTTATAGGAAATTAAAATTAGATTTTTTATTTTTTAAATCAATTTATTAATGCTTAGGACAAAAGCCGTTTGCATGTCAATATTGCGGAAGAGCTTTTCGCCAACGTTCTCAGCAAATGGGGCACGAAGCTACTCACACTAATGCCAGCGGAATCCTGACGTCTTCCGGGTTAGGACTGCACCATCAACAATCGACTCAAGTCGCTACCATGGTGCAGCAACCGTCCATTTCTGATGCCACGGGGCTGTTGCAACGTTCTTCAGAAAGGAGTTCCATTTCCTCGGATCAAGTAAGTTTTTAAATTGTACGATTGCAGCAATATTTGCTATTACGATTATTAGTTCGCAAAATGAAATGTACAATTATAAATATTAATGTTACCTAAATTTCAGTCGGAACCTTGAAGCCCAAATCTGCTACTAGACAGACAATCGTACTCTCGTTACAGTTACTTTGCCGCCGATACCACGATCTCTTGATAATGTACCGATGCTGTCGCTTCATAGACGAGTCTTGTTGCATTTACAGTATATTAGTCTTTTTGTTTTATCACCGGGTTTTATTGTAGGCTTTATGCATTAATAATCGACCCCTTATCCAGTCATTCGGCCTGGCCATTCGTGTGTTTCTCTGTCCATCTGTGATATTGTTTCTTGTGTGTCATCCGAGTGGCAGGGGCCGCCGAATAGATAGATAGATATTGTAAACTTTCCCGTCGGTTATTGTTAGTTCTGTTTCTTCTCCGGGTTGTTTGGGAATCATGTTCATAAATTGTTTATTTTGGTACACTCATTTCGCGATGGGCCTATATAATGTACTAGAAAAGTCTTTCGCTCCCTTCAGCTAACCCAATCACTAGCCGTTAGGTCTCGTTCGAGTCAATTCCCTTAGTCGTTTATTTATTCTGTCAACTTCCTTTGCCCTCTTCGCTTGTTGCGGTCAGTCGAAGATAAAAGCGAGGTACTACAACACAAATAAAAACTTGCATTTTGGTTTTCGGACAGATGGTTCAATATCTAATGAGGGACGGAAAATTGGGCGCGCAATGACCTCAGGTTGTGTAATTATTAGGAGTGCCCGAGGCGATTTGCGTCGTTCATGAGCTGAACAAACAGCCGGATTAATGACCTCATGGTCAAGGTGGATTGCCAGATTAAGGTGGCTCCCGGTCAGCACGGAGAATTAATAGAAGACTAATGCGGCCGAGTGGCAGCCAGTTGTTCCTTTTCATTTAGAGAAACCTTGGCCTCCCCGATTGCGGCACTCTTTCCCTTTAAGATGACGGCGCAAGTCCGAGAACCCTTTTATTCTTGTGACCAGGCCCTGGATTGGGTCTTTGCCAACCTCTCCCCTTATTTGCAAAAAACCTATCTTGGGCCGCGGACCTTTCCATCCCCTCCCTAAGAGTCCATGATACTTTTTGTGTCACAACAACCTCGTTCCTTCATAAACTTGCCTACACTAATTCCTTCCACATGACTAATTTAATTCTGTGACAACTGGCTGACATGAAGCTCGTTTTATAGGTTAGGGTAATGGCTAACTCATAAGTGATTCAAGCCGATCGCCCGGTTTCGTTTCGGCGGCAACCACGGTAACCAGTCATTGTTTTAAACCGAACACACTGCTAATAAATTGTTTACGCGGTCTGAACGCGCGAAAGGCCGGCTCCCTGAATGAGGCCCTGCAGACGGCGTAAGAACCTACTGGACCGCAAACGGGTCACAATAAATCTCGGCCGCTGGCAGTTTGGTCGCATTGTTTATGTTCTAATTGTCATCTTCATTTGGAGGCAATACGGAGTTACTTTACTTTTAAGGCTATTTTATCGTTGTTTAAACGCGGTTACTTTGATTTGGAAGTATTGTTAGTTGGGTTCCCAAAACTTATTCTACCTTTGCTTTGAAGTTGATGTTTCTTGAATTAAAAAAGTGGCTTTCACACGTTTTCCTGATGTTACCGTCAGAGCCTTTCAAGTTGTTGTGGGCTGTTCAGGTACAAAAATTGGAGAAAAAAATCTTTTTAGAAAAGACTGTTTACGCGTTTTGTGCAAAATATTTATTTGTCAACAAGCGGTCCTTGTGTGTTCTGGCCGTGGCTTCACCTGTTTTCTAAATTCGCTGGGATTGGGTTTACTATAATATGGGAAAGGCCATCCGAAGAGCGCGCGGGTACTTGTTGGTAAAGTGCGGCTCACGTAGTGGACTCTTTTAATTTTTATTTGTCCTTGCGCAAACATATCTCTGACAGGTCAGTGGTGCAAATGCACTGCATTTCTCTGCTGCGAAAATTAGTGGTCGGGAAAGGGAGAGTAAGCAGCTTGACTTACTTTTTACTCTTCTTCCTCCGTCCTTGTTTATTTGAAGGCTGTCATCCTGCTCGATTGTGACGGCGACCAAAGTAAAGCATAACCGCGCAGTTTCCCAATTACTCAATGTTATTTTATTGTACTGTTTGCAATACAATTTGACCGCACTTAATTTGATAATATTTAATTTACCGTTCCCGATAGTTAGTGTAAACTGTTTAGGGTGACTAACGTTCATGGCTCATTTACGGTTGATTTTGTCCATGTGAACCGACCATTTAACTGGTGATGTGGTTTGAAGATCGTTCAATATCTAACATCAAGATGTCGTCAATAGTCGAAGAATGGCGGGATCTCTGGTCGTTTAAGGCCGAGTTCATGTTGGTTGGACTGTCCTACTTTTTCGCTACTACCAACCTTCTTAACTTGCCCCGGTTGATTCTTGACAATGGAGGATGTATGTTTATTTTTAGTTGTTTCAATTTAAAATGTAATAGATATATGAGCATACCAACATTATAGCAATTTAAAAGTTCTCTTCAATGACTAATTAACATTACTTTTAGTGGCCTTCCTTACTGCATATGCTACAGCAGTAATTGTGGTAGTACTACCTATTCTAGTCCTAGAACTTTCGGTGGGACAACTAACAGGGCGAGGGCCTGTCCAAGCCCTCTACAACATCTGCCCAGTCTTTAAAGGCGTCGGAGTATCTCAAATAATACTGTCCTTAATAACTGCAGTATGCTTTGCTCGGTACTTGGCCTGGCTGTTCCTATACCTATTTCACTTATTCTGGACTGTTCTGGACGAGCGGCCTGGACTGCCTTGGATCAACTGCCAGAACTTTCCTGAGTTACAGACTTCACCATGTATTGAGTCTACAGTAATTGCCAACGCTACAACTGACTTCGAGCAGACTGTGAGGTTGTCTACACTCCGAGATTCCTCAGCCTTGGTGCAGTTCATGTACGCTTTGGAGAAGCCGAGCACCAGCATAGCTGAAGTCGGGCAGATCCAGCTTTATCTTCTCATAGCCCAAGGTATCGTGTGGGTGTTGATATTTGCGGCTATCTGTTTCGGAGTCAGATGGCTCGGGAAAGTGACGGTTTTCACATTCATGGCTCCGTTGTGCCTGCTTCTGATTCTTTTGGCTAGGATCCTGTTTCTGAACGGCGCCATTCCCATGTTTGAGCGACTATATTACGTTACGGACTGGAATCGACTGGCTGATTACAACGTGTGGAAGCTGGCTGTAGAACAAGCGGTTGTGGCTAGCGGTGTTGGCTTTGGGGTGTTGACTACAGTAGGATCCTACAACAAGAGGAACAACAACTTGGTCCGGGATTCTGTGTTCATTATCATCGGTCATTTCTTTATCACCGCCGTTCAGGTGGCTACTGTATTTGGGCTAGTCGGCTACTTGAGCTACAAGACTGGACTGGTGCCATTGGAGATTCTTGGAAATGGTACGTTATGTTTTTACTTAAAATTGCGATTTCTCATTAAATTTTTTGCAATGTGAGTGTTATGCTTTATCATTTATAGGCCAAGAGCAAATGTGGCACATCCTGGTGTACCTGTCGTTTGTACCAAGTACCAAGCTTTTCACTGGGATTCTTCTGTTCCTCAGCATTTTTGTATTACTCAATATCTGTGTAAGTTATTACATTTGTCAAAGTTATCAAGATATTGAAGATATGTAGACATACTAATTACTTCATCTTATGGTTACTGTTACCTATAGTCTCAATGTTTTAGTACTTACTGGCTCTGAACGTGCTGGCTACACTAGAAGATGCGTTAGGAGAAAAGTGGTCTCGCTGTTTCCCTCGCTTCGTTCTGGCCCTCTTTGTGGTACTGATTGGTGCCGGACTGGGCGTTTTCTTTACTACTCAGGCTGGGAAGCATGCCTACGCTTTAACCACTGGCTACCTCAAGTACATCACACTATGGATGATTCTGGCAGCCGAGTTGTTCGCTGTCGCTTGGTTTTACTGTGCACACTCGCTGGGAAAAGATATGAAGACAATGATAAAGAGTACATGTTGCTGGTGTTTGGGGTACTTTATACTCTTCTTCACCTACCTCATGCCCGCCGTTCCAATTGTGAGTTTTTAACTAACTTTATCAAGGAAAAGCGAGACGTTTAAGAAATTGTGCAGTTTTTATTTTATAAGTTGGTCTACTGTTATTTATTATTGTTCTCTTTCAGGCAATTGCCGTTCTCAATGTTATGCAATACGACTACAGTATCTACCCGGAGGCGATTCGCAACTGGCAATGGAGTGAATACGTTGGCTACGCGATCGCCCTGGTCCCATTATTACCCATTCCATTCTTTATCCTATTCACCATCTGCTACAACTGCAGCGACCATTCCGACTTGACCAAGCGTCAGAAGTTCCGACAATCGTTCCGTTCGCCGTTAGACGTCGAAGGGATGAAGCAGCGTGAGGAGCTCCTGACCCGCAGCGAGCACACCGACAACAGCAGATATCCAACTCAAGGTTATACGTTACTGCCCCAGACGGCTCCATTAGCGGAGCCAGAAGCTTATAATGACCTGTATGGTAACAACCCTCATGTACGTAACATACCAATTGTGAGCTGATTTTAAGTGTTTTCAATACCTATATTACCAATCTCTTTGAGAGTATGATATATTGAATGTTAATGAAAACACTAATTAAAATAAGTTCAAAGACAGACCAAATACAGGTAATAATTTATGCCGTTTCAGCGCCGAGTATAAACATTCAATTGCCTCGTATCATCAGATAGCTTGTACCCTTGTATTTAAGTAATGCAAATGTAATAAATGTATATGACTACACATTCACGGCATTTTGATATTGTAGTAGTTCTCGTATGGTCGGATCGTGCTTTCTGATCGTTTTCTGACCAGAGAGCGACAAGTTAGTAACCGTAGCCAAAGCGTGTAGCATCTAACAACATATACATAGAATGATAAGATAATTAAGTTTGCTTACCTTTTTATGCTCATGGACGTCCGAAAATGACGATGCGAATATGACTTTCTGAAAAAGTACAAGTGGTGTAGGTCTTAAACTTACAGTAGTCTCGTTCTTCAAAAGATTATTGTCATCAGAATCCATCGACAACAAAGCGTCCAGCTCAATCAACATGGATTTCAGTTTCTGAGGCGAAGCCTAGAGGGAATATTGGATAACCATATGTTGTAGTAACACAAAAAGACCATAGTAAGAAGTATCAAATACAAATATTCCGTTATATATATTTTTATATTTCCATTACTAACATCATTAGAAATTAAAGTTAAAAGGATTAGGAACTCACGTCAAAGTGGGTACTCACTCCCATCAACAATTCCTTGATGGTGAACTTGGCCCCATTAATCCAGACAAATGGCCCTTCAGATGGCGTCGTGAATAACTCCCGTCCCATATAGTTAAACCTCTTCAAACTGGAGCATATGTTTGATATTAATATAGACATTAAGCAAATGCCGATGCTCTGTATCCCAATAATTGTCACAGTTTCAGTAATCGAGTTGGGCACAATGTAGAAATCACCTAAAGGTCAGATTATCTTAACATACAAGAAAGACAAAGAAAGTACTGTTGTTACGTATCGTATCTATATATAATGTTGCTAACAAAATATCATAATTAAAAAACATACCAAACCCAATTGTTGTTATACTCACAAAACCAAAGTAAAAAGCCGCAATTAGTGAAGGTAACTGCACCCATTTAGTCATCAACAAGCCCACGACCAAAGAATACAAAAGTAGTAACAGAATTGACACTGACAACGGTATTTTCTCATGCTAAAACATTATAATAGTTCATTAATATAATAAAGGTTGTACTTTTAAGAATTGTTGCAAGAATAACATACCATTGTTGTAAAGCAAAAAAACCTACGGAAGAACGAAATAATCTTGAATAAATTCGCGTCAAGACTCCACTGCATCTACTGAATGTTGCAAACAAGAATGGAGTCCCGAATATAATGTACAATGAACATACGACCATACTCGTCAACGTAGTAGGTAGTACGTTACCATAGCCAATAGTAGTCAGCGTAGTAAAACAAAAAAGCAAGTTCTTGTTAAAAACATCGTAGTTGAATGTGTTCTCCAAGTATGAAAATGTTGCTGCTCCAAAAAGCAAGTAAAATGACAAAATCAGTAACATTAACATACTCGGTGACGACATTAGTCCCTAATACACAAAATATAAATTATGTAAAAAATAAAGTTGTTACAATAACTTGAGAAGCCTACTAAAACATTGAATTCTAAAAAACCACTTACTTTTAAGACATTTCCGACTTTTGAAAAAGAAATCATTTAATGAAAAGACAAGTTAAGTTAGTAAAGTAAACTTAGCAAATTTACAACCCCTCTATTTGGTTCAGTAAAAAGTAAATTATAATAACAACACATAGTAATCAAACAAAACTTCGATTGAAAAAGTAAATATTGACACTTAATAAACATAATAAAGTAAAAGAACGTATTTACAATAAAAAATAAGTTGTTTTAGACGAACAAGATTTTAAGTTGCCAAATCAAAAAAAATACTCTAGGAAAACTAGCATTATTTTAATAAACAACAAAATGAAATTTTCGATAATATTTTCGAAAGAAAATTTTGATTTTAAAACACGGTAAAGCATCTTTCATCGTATAACTTCTTCTCTTCCCAAAATAAAATAAAGAATTTCACATTTTTCGGATATTTTGGATAAATTCAATGTTTTCCTTGGGCAAAGTTTTCTTTTATTTAAAGTTTATATACATTGACATTAAGTATAAGCTTTTTTATATGTAAACATAGTTAGCTAATTGATTTATTGTGGCCGATACCTATCTTTCAAGATTTTCGGTTAAACAGTCTTACTGCTAATTTGCTTCAAACTTATTTTTAGAAATGAATCGGATTACGTTTATTCGGCTCCGGTACTTGTCTACAGTTGCTACACGAAGAGCATCTACAGTTCCTGGATCAAATGCGCCAATCACAATCAGAGGGAAGCCGGCTTCAGAAGTTTACGACGACAAATCTGAGTTGATGCAGACGATAGACATAGAAGACCTACCACGAGCACAAAAACGATTTGCAGTTCAGTTTGAGAAGGTGAACGAGGAACGAGTCAAGGATATTTTCGCTAAGAATTATAAGGTCGGTTTGTTAAAATTGGTAGTTAACATTGATTTTTAGAATCACATCGGTCTCGTCGTGTTGTTTTCATTAGTTGTTGGTATCTATTATTATACCATCTACGCAGTACGTCAAGAAACATTCTTGGAAGAGATCGACGAGGAAGTGGCGCTGGAAAGAGGAGAAGTACCCCCAAGCAAAAAATAAATTATCATGAATAGGCCGTTATGTATTGTTATTGTTTTATTTTGCAAAATAAAAAACAATAGTCAACAATAAGAACAACATTAACAATGAAAAGATTATAACATAACAAAGAATATTTTAGGATACACTCAATTTTCTTGCTCGACCTTATCTCCATCATCATTGAAGACTATGTGTTTGGCCTTTTTAACCTCCTTAACTTCACCATCTCCTTCGTTTCGACGTCGTTTTTCACCACGTCCTCGGCCAAACTTTTTGTGCGACCTGTCGTTTTTGGCAACTTTACTCTTGGTGAATTCGGTCCAGTATGCTTCTTCGGCTTCCCCGGTGAGGACGTTGCCGCTGAGTTCTTTCTCTTGGAACACGACCTTTCCATCTTCTCCTTGGGCCTTCTTCCATGAAGCTTCAGCGACGCCCTCCTCTTTAGTGTCAAAGCGAATTTGAGCCTAAATCGATATGAATTACATAACAAATGCTTACTCACCTTATCATTTCCAGCTTCGTAGGCAACAAAGGCTACAGGGCCGAATTTGTTGAAGAAAGCCTTAATATCATCGTACTTGAATTTCTCGTCACCCAAACCAGATACCTCAAGGACAGCTCCTTTAACGAATGATGAAGCCAAAGCATTCTTTTCCTTCTCGGACTTCTGCTCCGCTTGCTTCTGTTTCTTCAAATCCTTTTCAGCTTGGCGTCTCTGTTTGGTTTCAGCAGTCTTTTGAGCCCAGTAATCATCTTGCATTAATTTGATCAACTCAATATCCTTGAAAGTTTTGGAATTTTCATCTTTTGCAAACTTTTCAGCGGTTTCTCTGTCGACAAAGGTAACAAAGACTGAGCCTTTGAAAGTCTTTTCCTTCTTCAAACGTCTCATCAAGATGTTCTTCACATCACCGTGAGGGTTAACAAAGGCTTGAATTTCATCTAATGTAGTGTCTTGGGGGAAGCCTTTCTGAAATAACACAAAAATAATTTACAATATGTACCTAAAAATAAAACTACAATTATATCCTCTAAAAACCTTTAGTTCCTTCGTAAAATAAATTTACATACCACGTAAACAGTTCTTCTCTTGATTTCCTGCCAATACTCGAGTGTATTGTCTGGAAGTGGAACTTCAGGATTCCGTCTGATTTGTTTCCTGTCCTCGGAGACTTCAATGAGGTGTGAATCTTTCAAAGAGTCAGAAAGTACATCAACATCAGTGGTAATCTTGGCCAAACGATTGAACTTCAGCATAGTGTCAACAGGAATCCCTAGAAAAGAGTAATTTCAAAATAGGTAACAACTTACATCCTTCATCTTTTTTCATCTCTTCTTGCAAGAACTTGTCTCTGGGAAGGTTGATATCTCCAAAGTAGTATTCCACTTGTCGTACAACGGCATCTTTGATAGAGTTATTGTTTTGTCCAGCCATGGTGCTTAGTAAAGCTGTTGCAATGAATGAATAAAACCAGCAATTGCAAAAAAAAAATAAAAAAGCCAAACTCGGAAATAAATGGGCGCTGTCGCTAGTTTTCGTGGCGAGACCAAAACGATGTAACAAAACGAAAAAACAAAATATTTACTGTGATAAAGCTAGGTCAATATCGGTTATATCTAAATGAAGCTTTCTTGAAAAAAATATTTTTTATGAAACTTGTAAGAAATTAAAATCAATAAGTTTTTTAATAAAGCATGCTTTCTAAAAGAGCAGCATAACCAAATATTTATGTAACTGAATATAGGCTTAAATTATTAATGTAAAGAACCAAATTCGCTAAAATTTCAAAGATCCGTTTATATGTGAAAACGAACAAATTTCATGGAACTCGTCTATCATGTAACTCTCATTCAAAATAATGGTGTATAACAACGTAGATGGTTTATATCTTATTCTGATTTGGCGCAAAATAAAATGAAGTTGACAAATTAAACGGAAACTTGCTCCAACTTTATTTGCCAAAATGTATTTCCAATTTAAAACCCGGAGTTTATTTTGCTATCGAGTTAAGTTGGCCGTAGGGCAAACGGAAATATATTGTGATTTAAGGCGATTTTAATAAGTTTTTTTTTCATTTGAAATTTCGAAAAACAGACCTTATTTGGGTCTGTAACTGGCACAAAAAGGTTTGAATAGTATTTTCTGAATAAATAATTTATACTGGGAACGATGATGCTTATTATGGCTTACATTTTAAAGGAAAGTAGGAAGCAATTTAATTTGAGGACATACACCCTCGGTTATGAGAATGACGCCGAGTAACTTTGGGGAATGACTTTATTTACCAGAAATTAGCCTTTTCAGTGTTCATCTTGCTACTGCCTTCTAATTACAAGACTCTTTGATCTTACTATATTGTCTTACTGAGATTTGATTTATGTACTTCAGGCCGCGACATCTGGATTTATGACACGCTGAAAGGACATTGCTTTTATAAGTCAAGTTGGACTTTGTAGCTCATCTTTCTTCTCAGCCCCTCCTTGAAACGATAACGAGAATTGGTTTTGCACACTTTAACAGACGGACGAATGCACGGAACGGCGAGAATAGATTCCGTGCATCGAGAGCCTTCGATAGCATTGCGAAGAGTATAAGGACGTAGAAAAAATAACTCTGCGGGACGACAAAACACACAGAGTGGCTTCTGATTATTTGATTTCTCGTGGCTGAGAAAAATTAGATTTGCGCTTTCAATTCCGCGACATTATCATCGCTGTCTTCTTTTCATTTACGGCGTTCAGTTGGGTTACAAAAGGATTCGCAGCCATACCTAATGGCCAAGTTTGTGTGTTTGAATTGAGGCAATTTGGAGAGGCAAGCCCAAAAAGTGCTGGTCTAAGACATACGGCCGACCTTTCCGTGACTGCTATCGAATTGCTTCTGGACATCAGATGGCTACATGAAATATTCATTTGTTTCATCGTACCGTTCAAAATAATCCACCAACCTGTCTCTGACACAATGCGGCCTCTCTAGCCATGAACTGTACCAATGCGCGAGTTCCGGGCCTTGAGTTCACCAGTCAGACGTTGGCAGTGGTCGTATGTTACGTGATAGTCTTCTTGCTGGCACTGATTGGCAACATGTCTATGTTCATCATACTGTTCAGGTAATAGTCATCCTATTGTTTTAACTTGGTTCCAGAAACCAGATGGCAAAACGACGACGAGTGCACACCCTGTTGTTGCACATGACGATCGCTCACCTTCTGGTCACGCTTGTTTACATGCCGAAGGAGATTATTCATAACATTACAGTCATATGGTGGGGTGGGGACCTGGTAAGTGGATTCGGGATTTCTTATTACTCGCTTTGTTTACAGCTGTGCCGGTTATGCAAGTTCTTCGATGTGTTTGGGGTCTCGTTGTCCGCTAATATCCTTATGTGCCTCAGTCTGGACCGCTTTTACTCAATACTGTTTCCGTTATACGCCATAAATGCCAAGAGGTCAGTGTTACGAATGATCGGGCTGGCCTGGCTGGTGGCCTTGTTGAGCAGCGTCCCGCAGGTTTGTTGACGCGTCTTGGGTAATTAGTAATGCAACAACATTTAGATATGGATATTCAGGACCGCAAAACATCCCTGTTTTGATTGGTACACTCAATGTGTGTCGACAGATGTCATCGGGCTGATATCACCCAAGATTACCTTTTGGTTCTCTGTTCTGAATATCATCGAGGTTTACTTTCTCCCGCTGATTGTCATTGTGGTGTGTTACGGCAGCATTTTGATATCGATATCAATGAAAAGTGGTAAGGAGACTTTGTTGTTTTATCATTTTTAATTTAACAAAATTTTGAATTATCTTATGTAGTAATTATATCCTACTTGTAGGCTCAAAACTTTTGAAGAAGCAAAATAATCAAGGATCTACCAACCAAGCCCTACTCCGCAGAGCAGGTGGCCAAGACAACTTCGAGAAGGCCAAGAACCGGACTCTGCAAATGACAATAGCAGTCGTCCTGGCGTTCCTGTTGTGCTGGACACCTTATACTATAGCCATGTTCATTCACTTTCTGAAGTCATCAGCGACGCATCGTCCTATATCGCCGTTACTATCAAAATTGCTGTATGCTTTTGCAGTCTTTAACTCGGCAATATCACCGTATCTTTATGGCTACTTCTCGTTCAACATTAGGCAAGAACTGGAACTACTATTTTGTTGCACATTACAATGTACAGGTACGGCAAACAACGTTAGGAATCCGTCAATCAGGTAAGCAGCATGCTTTTTGTATTACATAAGATTTCTTTGCTTTTCCCAGTAAACACCTAACTTAGTATCACTAATAGGATGATGCTTTTTATACCTTTAGTCGGCAACGAGTACGAGCCATTAGGCACCGCCTTCCTGAAGATGCCAGCATCGAACGCGATGCGAGGTCAGGAACGGCTAGCCAAAGCATGGTCGAGCCGAGAATGGCACGAATCCGTCGCTGTAGCACCGTGATGCACTCCGCACCCCTTAACACAGAATCCACCTCACAAAGCCACAACTCAACCTCAGGGAACACGCTGACCGTCAATTAAAGATTTATTTTAGGTTCTATTCAATAAATAAAGTAATAACTTATGTTACATACGTCCTAGCATGAATTCTAAAGCCTTTTGGGACTACGTGGAGAAGACCGTTACAATATACAAGGATTTGTCTATCGAATCTAAATGCGTTTACATTGTTAAAGCTCTTTGGTTTAGCACATTTGTACGTTAGGGGTTTGTTGTTCTACGGTGTCTACATAAGCCTCCAAGTCACCCAGCTCGCCGGCGGCCGGTTTGCAAGACGTGTTCTTCCAATGGGTACGAAGGCCGCTGGGGCTGATGTAGGTACGGGAACAGGTGGAGCAGATGAAGGGTCTCTCATTTGTGTGTGTCCTCTTATGCAGTTTCAAATGCACTAGTTGCGTGAACGAGATTTTGCACATTTCACAAGAATAAGGTCGCTGCCCAGAATGAAGCCGTCGGTGGGTTTTCAGATTCGAGGTCGAGCTGAAGCGTTTTCCGCATTCGTCGCATTGGTGTGGCTTTTCGCCTAAATTCCGCAATCAATATTAGCAAAGCGTTTGTAGTAAATTTATTTTTGAGATTTATATAATTTATAACTTTTAGTACTTTATTAAAAGTTTTATTTATTTTTACTTACCTGTATGAACGAGATCGTGTTTTTGAAGATGCGCCAACTGGGCGAATCCTTTGTTGCACTTCTTGCATTTGTAAGGTTTCTCACCTGTGTGAGTGCGGAGATGAACTTTTAGATTTGACAATTGACCGAAGGACTTGGAGCACTTGGAACATTCGTATCTTGTTCTACCGTTGACGTGGGATTGAGAAAACTAAAGATTTTGGTTTATTATTACTGCTGTAAATCATTTTAAAGTTTTAAATGATTTTATATAGATTATGTAAATCAAAGAGACCAGTTAGATCTTACCTTAGGAGTTTCTGATAGTCGCGCGGCATCGATTGGGATTCCAGGTTTTGGAACGCCAAAATGGAGCGAATTCGAGGCCTCCAAATGGTTTATTCCGGGATATTGTGGTACACAGAAGTCCGAGTTGACCGACTGGCTAGCCAGCAGCTGTGAAGCCAGGTCAGTCTGCGGGTGTGGAGTGCCAGCCACAGCAGCGGCCATCGCGTACAAAGAGGTGTAGTTAGGTAGTCCACCAGCCTGAGGGAATTGCAAGGGAGTCGAGGCAAAGGAAGGTAAGAGATGTTGCTCGGCGGCAGCCCGGCCCCCAATGTTTGATGGTACCGGTACTTGTTCAGGCAAGGAGCCTAATTGAGGGATTGGGTTAGGCAACCACAATCCACTTTGTGAAGGCGGTACAGGTGGGTTAGGGGTTGAAACCGAAGGAAGACCAGCCATCCGGGTCCAATGTTGTAGTAGTTCAGAGAAGTGGGGAGTAGGGTTGAAGAAAGAAGAAGTTCCTTGAGTTGACGACGTGGGAAGAGACTGCTTTAGAGGAACGGGACGGTGTAAGGGTGATTGAATAACGTTGGCTCTGGCGTGAGGGGAGATTGGCCGTTCTACAGCATCACTGTGCTCAGATGGTTGTTTTCTAGAATTGGGCGATGAACTAACTGATGCTGTAGAAGAATGCGAAGACGCATAGGACTCGTGGTCAGTAAGTCTAGCTAGCTCCGGTTCGGAAAAAGCAATCGGCGACATGTCACTGACTTCAGAAGTTTTGGACACGGCCGTGATGCTCGGCTCACAAATCAGAGGTTCGTTGTGGGAAGTGGACGAGTCTGGCATGGCTGGCTCTGAAATGGGAAGAGCAGCTGGAGCTGGGTTTTGGAAGAATGCACAGTTGGCCGGAACCTTTATACGTTGGGAGTAGTCTTTACCGTACCAGAACAGTAATTCGGTGTTGGGAGGGATGTTCCTCACAGAGTAAAAGTAAATTTGGTCGTCGATCTAAAGGAAAAGAATATTAAATGTTACAACTTAGTATTTATCGTGTTTTATAATTTGATAGTCTACAAAATTATCATAGGTGACGTATCAAAACCAAAAATAGGCTAAAACTTACTTGAGAAGCTACAAGATTCTGCACCGGTCTAGATCTGGCCAAGTTGACATTCTTCATCCAGTTCGACTTCTGAGTGTTTGAAGTGTCGATCAGCTTGACCACATGAGCTCCGCTGGCCGAAAATATTTTCCATTTTTTGGGAGCGGATAGGATGTTTTCGATAGACTGGCCGAAAGAGCCTTGATGACATAAAGAGTCAGGGTTTTGCGGTGTAGAAGCTTCGGCTGGCATCACGGTGCTTTCTGAGGGATTCATGATGCAAACTTCACCTTGAAGTGGACCAAACCTGGTGCCTCTGGGGATGTAGTCGGTTGACCATACTCCAGTAACCTAAAGTTAACTTGTATTATTTATCTAAGCCTCAGGAAAAGTGATGTTATTTAATCCTCGGTTACAGACTTTAAACTTACGTTATCAGCGGCGTCTGTCCTCATGGTCAAGTTCAAGGGTAGAGAAGTGAAGACACGGAACGTTGATGAACTTTGAAGTTGTAGTGGTTTGTCAGGAACGTGGAACACACTCACGTTAGCCAGCAACTGATCCGGCATATCTAGCCAGTCATTGTCGGCCGATGACGGTATCGGGACCAAAGGCTGAATCTCCCTTTTGGGAACAGGGGCGTCTGAATACAGTCAGTCATTTCAATGTTCGAGTTTTTAGTTGACTTTCGTTTGTGTGAGTCAAATTTTGAATGTTAGCGTTACGCAACAGCAAAACTTACGAGATTTTGGCATTTTGATCACATTTTGGTTCTGTAACAGACTCCGGACCCCGTGCTGCTGGTTGTTGAAGAGGGCTGAGGCGGCCGAACTGCTGAGCGCTGGTGCGGCAGCCGCGGGCTCGTTGAAGGCCCCAAATGTCTGGTCCGCGCCCATTCGATGTTAATGGGTGATAGGCCGCGCGCCTTCAAGTAAGTAATAATAAGTACAATATACTGGTACGACGCAACAACCACGTAACGCAATATGAAGAGTGAATTGGCTGTAGGTGGGGCAACAGCGCGTTGCCGACAGGAAAGGACGTCAAGCACGGTGCGGCGCAAGACCGCGAGAAAACAAGGTCAGGGTCGGACATTCGCGTGCAAGGTTAGTGCCAGTCGGAGAAAATGAGTGGGGACGATCGCAGATGGACGCCACAATGAAAGGGAGATGCGTGAAAGCGACGTCTCTCATTGGTCAGCGACAGTGGGGGCAGATTTCAACCAGTTGGTCTTGTTAAAATGGAAATCGGCGCCCTGCCCCGGCCGGCTTTCCCATCCCCGCTCCCTTCCTATTTACCCTTGAACCGCCACAACACGGACAAAAAACGATTCGGGTACCTGGCGCTTCTCCGGACTCGAGTCCACGTTTCGCGATTCGGGCCTCCACCCCATTGGGTTTTACTTTTTTGACCTTAACCCGGCTGGCTCGCGCAATTCCCTTTCTTTTCACCTCGCCCGACCGCAGGACTGAGGGCGAGGTGCCGCGACCGGGCTGACCGGGCCATTCCTCAGCGAAACTGGGTGAAGGTCGAAGCGAAAAAGACAAAACGAGTAGTTATTACGCCACCGTTAGCCTTGAATTCGGCGACTAAATAAGGGACAAGTGCAAATCTCGACAAGCGAAAACGGCTCTGCGACAATAAAAAACTTGCCTCACAAAAGTGAAACTTTCAGTGTGCTGGAACAAGAAAAATGATGAGCGCCGTGGCGCTCCTTCGCTCTTCAACAACGAGCTAAATCGGCTCTTCTTCAAATGACGCTCATCACAATAGAAATCCGCTGGAACCGGTTGAACATACCCTCGCTCTCCCTCTGGTCAGTGGGGTGTTCATCCCTCGATCTATCTCCTTGACCAGTTGTGAAGCTTAACCCACTCCCACCAAGTGAAATTTGAATTCGCTTTTCACTTGAAGTTCCTCTTATCACTTCGAATCTTCGCCCATTCTTGATCTCACGTCGATCTCAGAATCCTTATGCAACTGTCGTCATCGAACAAGTCATAAACCAAGTCATAAAAGTGAGAGTTTAACGGGTTGCTTGTCACAGCCTTGTAAACAATAATTAAATAAGGGCGTTTAACGCCTAAGCAAACAGTACGACGTCCACCCAGCTTCCAAAAATAGAAATGTACATTTATTTAGAAGATTTATAAATCTAGGAAGGTACTAGGCCGTCGGCGTGGTGCAATATACATACCGGGTTCAATTAATTTACATTCAGGGGCATTTGGTTCTCTGGAATCAAAGAACTGAAGAAGGAGACTACTGTAGACCAGAAGACCGCCCATGCACTTTGTGGAGCCAAGTCGTTTTGCCGAGGCTGGTCATCAGCAGACTGTTCACTCGCATTGTTAGGAACTGGCTCGTTTTCAGGCACGTTTTGGGGCTGAAAGCAACTTTAGTTAGCATAAATTTCATTTTTAAAGTAGGAATTATAGTCGTTATGAAAACCACAACCAACAATGAAATGAAAAGTATTTGATAACCAATATTATAGTGCAGAACTTACCGCTGGATTCTCTGGTACCGCTCGGTTGTTCCTTTCCCGTCTTTGCTGTACGTATAACATCAGACAGATGACCAAGACGACAAATACTAACCTCTCAGTCGGAGAGTACATGAACAATGCCACTAGTATTAGTACCCTTATGATCTTATAGATGAGCTCCAGCATGTCTGGTCTTTCTTGATTAGCTGCATTATTCCCAATACCCTGTTCAGCATTCACTTCTTCAACATTCTGTTGAACCCGGGTTACCACTGAGAAACGACTGATACGATTAGTCAATTGTGCTTGGCCATAGTGTTGCCTCAAACTAAAATAACAAAATGTATGTCTTTTAGGTAACAAATAACTTACTAATCATGATATGCTTGAGCGTAAACAGCGTTAAGGCCCGGTGCTACTCCATCAGGTACAGGTAACGATGCTATCGGTTGAGCTACATTAATGTGTGTGTGTGATTCGGTTGAGCTACATTAAAATATAAAAATTTACATAAGCATACTGATACTTTAAAACTAAAATATTTTAAAATGTAAAAATAGTACCGAAATAACAATGAAAATTACTAATTTTAAAATGTTCAAAACATAAAACAAAAATGACGTTACAAAATATAATTTTAGAAAATAAAGTGGTAAGATTATTACCTAAAACTTTTCATAAAGCACTGAAGAAACTTACTTTAAATTATCAGTAGAGTTTCGCGAAGATTCTGGAATAGTGTTTGGACTAGCTTGCGAAGAACACACCAGATGAATAACTTGAAGACCCAGGTCTTCATCCGCTTCCGTAAAATTCCTTTTAAACACATCCTTCAAAGTTTGTTCATTAGTGAGAAAATGGCCAGAATAAATAAGTCGTTGTAAAGAGATGGCAGGTTTGGATGGACACGTCTCGTTGATGTGTTGTTTGAGCTGTAAAACCGTCCACGATTCAGGGCATTTAATTCGTTGATCGGCCAGAGATTGAAGAGAAAAACGCAAAAGAAACTCGATTTCCCGATCTTCTCCAACGTTCATTCCTCGCGGTTTACTGAAATGGACGGGTAAAAATCAATAAGATAAACAAAACGGCCGACAAAACGTAAAATACAACTATAAATTATTTTAAAGAGTACAATTAACTTCTCATGTGAAAGTTGGAAGAGAAAATATGTCGACGTATGCTTCAACAATTCGGAACAAAACTCAACTATTGATTTTTTTCTCTTTTTTGCGGGGAAAAATTGTTTTAGTAAATATTTTTAAATTGACCTTCAGCTGAAGCTTCAGGCTTAATATTCTACACTGTATAATTAGTTGGGGACAAAGGTTTTTGTCCGCTAAAACATCAATTTGAAAAACAAGAAAATCCCAAGATTATTTTTTATTAAAGCTTTATATATTGCCGAGAAAAAAATTATGGAATTTATCGACCTACCGTTGATTCGAATTTTAATTTCAATGTAATTTTTAATGATGTTAAGGAAAGAATGTGTCTAGCAAATAGTGTTATCATTATCTTGTTAACCATAACGATTACAAAATTACAAGACAACAAGTGGACTAGTAAAGTAAGGGGTGAAACATATAGCGTCTTATTAGCAAAAAGCCTTATGCAACACCTGGAAAATGCTTGGCTCGAAAAAATCAGTTGACGTTGTGGACCTTGTTGGTTGATAGGTGGATGCAAAATGAGCTCTCCATCTGCTGAATGCGTCAAAAATTTGTTAAGACCTAGCAAAACGGTTAGTAACTTAGACCGTTACTACTATTGCTTTACATGGGCGTTGCTAGTAGTATCAATTGTTCTATTTGGGGCCCAATGGTATCGTGGTTCTCAAGGATTTAGATGCATCAGGAATGAGGATAGTGGGGTAAGTTTACAAACTAATTTATTGGTGTCAATTACTTTATCATTATTTTAACCTTTTTTAACGTTTATTTAGGAATTCTGTTACGGTTCTAGAATATATCAACAACCTGTGAATTTTTCTTACGATGCTATTGAAGAGAAACACTTAGATTTACCAGCTTTACGGAATAAACGAATATTTGGTCATGAATATGAACCGCTGTTCATTGGATTTGTTGTGATGACATTAGTGCGTTTCATTGCTGGATTTTTTATAAGAATTGGTTAGTATTTCATTTATATTATGTAAATATTTTAATACCTCAATACTTAACTGTAATGTATGTTTAGTGGAATGGAAACACGACTTTTACCTAGCTTGCAACAAAGCGGGGCAGATGGAAGAGCTGCTGGAGAATATAAAGGCATACAAAGTGAAACACAGTAAATCGTGGTTCACATTGGACATTTACTTTCTTTTACACATTTTGAGTATGGTGATTAAAGTTGTTGGTTTTGTTTTGGTAACTGTAATCGCCACAATATATGTGACAGGAGATTGGAAAGTAAATTATGTCGAACTGTTTAAATTTACAGAGACAGTAACTTACAGCCAAAGATGGTTCGGTAATGTACGTTATTTTTATCTTTGTTTTCAAGTTACTTTTATATAATTTAAAAGAAAAAACTTGTTTTAAGTTGTATTTCAATTTTTTAGGACGTCCTTTGTGTGACAAGGTATGGCCCTGAAATTTTAGAAAATTGTTTCGCTTACCCGTGTGTTTACAAAGACATAGAGTTGACTGTTATGGTATACCACGTTCTACTTTTTTTGTGTCTTATTGGAGCTTGCTTGTCCATCTTCTCATTGATTTCATCACTTTACGACCTTGTGCGAGCTTTTTCAATTACTGCCAAACTTCCTGAATATCCAGAAGATTCCGACATTGAGATTCTAATGTACAAGTGGAACGACCTTGACTTATGGTACATTCTGTACAGCGCCAGAAAAGACTATGAAACTTATTTTGAATTAGTCTCATTGTACTGTGACATGTACAACAAAACTGTATATCCCCAGAACAAACTCGACTTTGTTTAGTCATAACCTTTTGTTATATAAACTATAAATGAGATTTATACTGTGTGCTTTTTATTGACAATTTATATTTTTTATTTTGTTGATTGTTTTTAAATTATGTGAATGTATGTTTATTTCTCGATTTTTTTGGCGTTTCCTCGAAAAAGCAAGTCAAATAGAAGGCTGGACATAGAAAATTTTGAGTTTTTTTTGCATAAAATTGACGAACAATGTCCTAATAGCCCTTTTCTAACGTATTTTTTGTTCAATTCGGTACCAATGTTTTTATACAGTACCAAACTTGTCTTTACTACCACATTATGCAAATCGATGGTTTCAGATGAATTTATAGTTAAGTCTGTTGATTACATAGATTTCATTTTTTGTATTAGTTTTTTCTCAATTTATTTTAACATAGAGGTTTAGTCCACAAAAATTCAGAAATGTACTCGTTGCTACACCGGAACCGAACTGGAGCGCTCTCGCGCGTTAGCTTACCGTCCAAACCACTTTAAAACAGCAAATGCTCAGAATTAAAACAAAAAATGGAATCCACACACACGGAACCCTACTGAAATAGCTATAACCTTACCTGAATTCATTTCTTCTGATTTTTCTAATGTAGGAGTGAAGACAAGTTTAGTACTGCATAGGACTTTTGGCACTAATAGAACAAAAGTGATTGTGATATGAGGACCTTATGCTAAAAATACTCAAAATCGAAAATTTTCTGCGTTTGTGGTTAAAAAAGTACATTATCTCTTAAGCACAATATTAGTTTTTACCAATAAAAAAAATTTTTTTTAAACTTTTTGAAATAGCGAAGCCTTGAAGTAGCTAACGAATGTACATAGTCACCTGTGGGAAAATGCGGTGTCTAATTACATAATTACTTTAATGTTGTCATGGGAACTAACCATGTATACCGAAAGTAGTAATTGGGGTGAAACCTTTCAATATCTTGTTCTCAAGACCTTGGCCTTCTTTACTCAACGATCCTGTCCGAGTGGAATTGGAGAATGGCCCATACGCGACTGGTAAGTCGATTTGGTATTTCTGGAGCTTACGGATTGCAGCGGGAAATAGTCAGTCTTCACGTCGGCCAAGCCGGCTGCCAGATCGGGAATGCGTGCTGGGAGTTGTACTGTCTGGAGCACGGGATTCAGCCGGATGGTCGAATGCTTTCAGATGAGTCGGTGGGAGTCGAGGACAGTTCGTACAACACCTTCTTTGCCGAAACTCACTCTGGAAAACATGTCCCCAGGTGTGTGTTTGTCGACTTGGAGCCGACTGTTGTGGGTATGTGGGCTTTTATTAGGTAGTAGTGTTTAGACGAGGTCCGATCGGGCACCTACAAGAATCTGTTTCATCCAGAACAACTGATTACCGGCAAGGAAGACGCTGCTAACAACTATGCTCGAGGGCATTATACGATCGGAAAGGAGTTGATCGATGTTTGTGTCGACAGAATCAGAAGTGAGTTTATTAAAGGGTTGGTGAGGGTTTTATTATGGTATATTCATCTATTTTAAGATTGCCTTGACTAATTTAGCTTACTAACTTATTAACGAATGAATGTTTTAGAAACAGTGGAAGGATGCCACAGTATGCAAGGATTCCTCATATTCCACTCCTTTGGAGGTGGAACAGGCTCCGGCTTCTCATCCTTGTTGATGGAACGACTGTCTGTAGATTATGGCAAGAAGAGCAAACTTGAGTTCAGTATTTACCCTGCTCCCCAAGTCAGCACAAGTAAGAGAACTATATTGTTTTAGACTCTTTCAGGTGTTGTTGAGCCGTACAACTCGATTCTGACTACTCATACCACGTTAGAACACTCTGACTGTTCGTTTCTGGTCGATAACGAAGCGATTTACGACATTTGTCGACGTGATTTGAATATCACAAGGTAAAGTTGATATACGACAGTGTTGGGGGGAATCCTTCAACTGGGTCGTGAAGTGATCTGTTTTATAATATGGAAGTACGTTTCAGACCAACATACACAAACTTAAACCGAATCATTGCTCAAACTGTGTCTTCCATCACGGCTTCGCTTCGTTTCGACGGTGCACTGAATGTAGATTTGACCGAGTTCCAGACTAATCTGGTGCCATATCCTCGAATCCACTTTCCTCTAGCTACATACTCACCTATCATATCAGCGTAAGTGAAAGTTCAGAATTTTGGTTTAACAATTGATTTGTAGCAAAACCATTTAGTTTGCAATAATTTTAGAATCTTGAAGTGATATAACATAGTTTAAAATAATATTTGATGACAAATTGCTTACAGTGAAAAAGCCTTCCACGAGAATCTGAGTGTGAATGAGATCACGAACAGGTGTTTTGAGCCTGGCGCTCAGATGGTGAAGTGTGACCCAAGGAACGGAAAATATATGGCATGTTGTCTACTGTATCGTGGCAATGTCATACCAAAGGAAGTCAATACCGCCATCGCCGCCATAAAAACGAAACGGTCGATTCAGTTTGTAGACTGGTGTCCGACTGGCTTCAAAGTCGGCATCAACTATCAACCACCAACCGTGGTACCCGGAGGTGATCTGGCCAAAGTGCAAAGAGCTGTGTGTATGTTATCTAACACCACAGCTATAGCCGAAGCTTGGGCGCGTTTGGATCATAAGTTTGATCTGATGTATGCGAAGAGAGCCTTCGTACATTGGTATGTTGGAGAAGGTATGGAGGAGGGTGAGTTCTCGGAAGCTCGAGAAGACATGGCAGCGTTGGAGAGAGATTACGAGGAGGTTGGATTGGACACTGCTGACAATGACGAGGAAGAGTACTGAGTTGTCCTGATAGTGCTTTTAAAATTATATTTTGAGGTTAATTTAAATAAAGACCATATTTGAGATTATTATTTGTTTATTATACTATAAATTAGTTACGAAGGAACATAATGCAAGAATAGGTCTCGATCATTGGTTTGAAGAAGGTGGCGTACATGTGCAAGTCCATAATGTGCTTGATGTAGGGCTGAAAGCAGTAGAATATAATTTACAAGACCTGTTAAATAACATGTAAAATTATGTAGACATTACTAGATGTAAGTACATTTAGATTATAAGGTATAGCAATTAGTTACACTAACAGTTTTTACCTGGATCTTTGGGAGTAACTTCAACGAAGCTTCTGGGTCCACTTGTACGGTAAAGACTTGTGCTGGTAACATGTAATTGGTAAGGTACTGTATCCACAGCGTACTCAGTAGATAGATACAGAACTTGCGCATGTGTTGTCGGTTTAGGAAGGCTGGCTCGGGATCTGTCATGAACGTTTCTTCTCTTTTCCTTCGAACTGACATGAACAAGGTGGTTACGGTAAAGACGAAAGTAGCAAAGGTTACTGTAAGCAGCCATGTCAGCTGATACAACGGTGCAGGCTTGGGTTTGTAGCTACTGTACTGGTAGTAAGTAGTCTGTAATTAAATCTTTTGATACAATATTTTATAGTTACTTTGTATTTCTACATATGTAATATACTATTATATAACACATGATATTTGTAACAACGTTTAAATTAATTATTTCCACGTGTTAATACCCAAACTACTGTTGACATTACAGTGTAATATCAGAAACAAGTTTCAAAACATACGTCAATGTAATTCATGATCAATGGTACGATGTCAGTAGCAGACAACAGAAGCAACCACCACTTCAGGGGTAACCCGATGATATTACGACGGTACCTTTGAGTAGTTTCGTATATCAACAAGAAAGTGGAAGTACAGTATACTGTACTAGCTGTGTTCTTCAAAGTGTAGTTGTGCTTCTTAATTGTATTGGCCAAGTGTGAAGATACGAAGCTTGAAATAGACACATCGTTGTCGTTACAGTACAATGCCATCTAAAGATAGCATTACAATGTAACTACATAGTTTGGTATTGACTTCTACATACTTATTGTAGTTAAAGAGATTTACTTACAATGTTGAAGAGGTTGACAAATATAAGATTCGTACTGTAACATTGAAAGCCAAAGAATTTACTGTTTTCTGACATTATTATCATTTTGGCTAAGATTATCATTCCTACCACAGTAACGAATCCAATAACTGTAAATTTGAAAACTGGGTAATAAAAGAGAATACAAGTTCTCGACTTATTACGATTACGATACTTTCAGTTTTTAATAAAATTACGGTACTTTATATTTGAATATCGCTACTGTACTTTGCATTTTTATAAAATTACAGTACATTTTACTTACCTATCTTCAAAAACTTGGCTATATAGTCATTGTCATCAACTGTCTCTGGCCCAATAACGTTGTCATCGTAGTTACTGTAATCAAAAGTGTAGTTGAAGCTGGCCGTCGTATTGCCTGCCATTGTAACTATTTTCTGACAAAACAAAGGCCGTGGTATGTTAAAGGCGGTAATTAGATTACTGGCCACCTGTTAAAAATGAAACGCTAGGTCAAACATAATTTATTGTGTGAATAGAGACAAACATGTTACACCAGAGATACGCACTGTCGACTTGGACTGACTTCCAACTGCTCGAACTGTTGTTGTAGCTGCACGTCTCTCTCCCGCTTCAAGTACCCCACGCTGAGCACGGCGTCGAGCACGGTGCCGGTGCCTTTGCCGCAGTAGTCGGTCATGTGATGCACCACACATTGTTTTAGCTGGTTGAAGGTCTTGCACTTGTAGTCCTCCAGTTGTTTGACACGGTTCAAGGTTTCCGAGATTTCGTTGTTCCTGAAAATAGTAGCTTTGTAAGAGTAAATTTCAAATTGTTTTTTCTTGTTTATATTGATAACGCTTTTATTGATAATAATAGAAAAACAAAAAAAGCATGCACCACACACCCACAGCAAGCCTAAACTCAAATGTCAGTTTGAATACAATGCTTTGATAAGCTTAGGTAAGCAAGTTGCTGATATATATAGCAAAACCAAGTTTAAAAAATATAATTTTTGATAAAATGGCACCACTCTTATGTAAAATTTCAATAGTACGACGCAAGCCATCTTGACAATGTGAAGTAGTCTTTTACGCAAATTGGCCCAACTTTTTTGTACTTCAGTCCGCTCACAATTTGAAACGTTAGAACGAACATTTGTTTGTCATCAAGATTGCTTTTTCAAAATATTACCTATTAAATTTGGCTAAATTTGCATTTATTTAGATTGTCACCAAATGTTGTTAATTTCAAACCAAAAAACCTGAATTTTGTCGTGCCCGCTACTGTATTCTCCTATGCTTAGGTCTGATTTAGAGCATAATGTTGGGTGGGTTTTGGGTGACTTTCTACTAAATACCAATTGCAATGATTACTATTCATAAAAGCAAATAAAATAGTATTCAAAATGCTTTTCATACCGAATACAGTAATAATACCGTAATAAAATTGCCCACTTTAATCTTTTCCAATAACATTTTTAAAATTTTAAAATTAAATTTACATGTTATTGGCCTTCGAACGTAATATAAACCTACGCGAGTATTAGATCTTCCTCAGACATGTTCTGCTCGTAATCCATCAAAATGGCATTGACTTTGCTTCTCGAATTGTCGGCCAAAGTGTTTATCTTCTGGTTCAAGCTGGTCCTACTGTAGTTGTAGCGGTTCAGAAGGAACGAGCACTGGTTCCGTACCACATGTACATGTTGTCCTACACACGAATAGAGTTTGGGCGAGTTCTGAGGAGCTTTACATTCCTCTTCGAACATTACCTTTAGGTTACCGTCAGTCTAAAATAAGATACTGTAATGTTAAGCAAAATTAAAACTACTGTAACTCCAACTGACAAAAAGATACCGTAAAATGACGTGATATTAATTGTAGTGTAAACAGTTAGATTGTAATAATAGCACAAACACTATAACAAGAAATGTCGTAAATAGTATTGCAATAAGTGACATAATTGTACTGTAACGATCAAAAACAATAGCATGACATAGTAATGTTGTTATATTGCTTTTGTTTACCATGTTATGCACTTAAAGTACTATGATATTAAGTGAAAACAGACTACTGTACCTTTTTGAGTTCGTTGATATGTTCCTGAATCTTATCGTAGTCGTTCATGAAGCCAAGTGCACACTGTAACTGCAGTTCGTTCTTCAAGCACGCTATGTTTACCGTGCTCTCAATGTCTTTGTTCGGTATGGTAAACAGCCGTGATGACTGAAAACAAGTCATCTTTATTGTTTTCCACTTACTATAACGTCGAATCCCGCCGATTGTAATATCTTTTGTTTTTGGATCTTGGCCGGGTTGAAGTCGTAAGCCTGGTCGCCGATCTTCTTGTCCAGAATATCTTGTAGATCAGCTCCTACATTCGAACATGACATAAAGTAGTTGGCGAACACTTCCATGCTCGCCATTTCATCAAACTGGCCGACCATCTCTTCGGCAAAGGCAGTTCTGGCTAGAATATAAACATTAGAGCTTGACATTTATAAATTTTAAAGTTCAATTCAAAGTTTAGATAACATATAGCGAGATTAAAAGATTTGAAAGTTAAAAAACAGTAAATAAACTAATATTTATAAAAGTCATTTCTCATACTTTTTCATAAAATGGCAGACTATTGTAATATATTCATAAATCACTGTACCTTTGACTCCAGCTTCGTACGCGGTTTCGACTTTGTCAGAATCGGCAAACGGATATATGAGATACTGGCGGGAACCCAGCGACAACGACGGAACCGTCATCATGACCGTCCAGAAGGCAAACATTTTGTGTTGTGGCCTCATTAAACCGGCTCCAGAGTTTCAGAAGTCCGCGTGACGTTGGCGTCAAAGCAATTAAAGACTCCTTAATAAGTGCCAAATAATTGGTATGCCTTTAAAGATTGCAACAGCCACGTCAACGATAGTTACAGTAGGCCACCATGGGACGAAAGACCGGCTTATTATTATATTAAACTGCAAGACGGTGCGTCTTCCTCCCCTCCCTAGGCCAACAATTCAGCCGGCAATAACAAAAAATAACCTCAAATTCGATTCATGAATGTCTAATATACTAATGTACTAAAGGAGGAGTAAACAAATGGCCTGACATCACGTCTTAATTTATATTTATTAGCAAGTAATTACATGAGTAATATGATATAGTGATAACATAATGGCTACAAGACTAGGGTAATAAAATAAAGTCTAATACAAGGTCTACTATAATATAATAATAAAATCTACTGGGCAATAGCGGCCTGTTCGAGTCGTTGTGCCAACTCCGCCGCCAATTCGTCGGTCTCCGCCTCGGCGTACACGCGGAGAATGTTCTCGGTTCCAGAAGGCCGGACGAAGCCTCGAGAGTTGGCATATAGATCGATAATGTCACTCAGTTTGGGCTGAAGGCCTTCTGGTGCGACTAGAATGGTTTCGTCATTTTCTTGACATTGGTACAGTGAACGGTCAGATACCTAAAATTGAAAATGTAATTTGAATAGCCTTTTAAAGTATCATAAGTCTTACAAATGACAATTAAAAATAGTGTTTTAGATAAATCTAGCCATACTTCTCTTCGCCCTCTATGTAAACATAACAACCAATTATACGATTAACAGACTTACAGGTACTTTAAGCTGAACACTTGGAGCATTAACGTAAGTGTGAGTTTCCCATTCCAGTACGTTCCAGTTGTACAATTTGAGAATGACCTCTACGGCCAAGAAGTCAGCGATGGCATCTCCAACAACGTCGTTGATGATTTCCGTGAAGTAATAGAGACGACCAATGCAATCATCGTGCGGAGACACATCCCTCAGCTCACACAAGTAGCTCTTGAACCGTTGGGAAAAGTATACTGTACCGTGGCCATTGGCTTCGAAGTATATTCCCACGTCAAACTTTGTAGCTGCTGAATGCAGATTCTGAACTCCCGTTTTGGCTTTGACTACATCCATTTTCTAAAACATTTTAATGTAAACAAGAAGACAATGGTGAGATAACAAGTTATAAAGTACAACCTGTTATAACAGTTTACATAATTATAATAACAATATGACCTACCAAAACGTCAGTAAAGTATCTGGTGCTATTCCCATTAGCATATGCAGTTTGAACAACGCCTATCGTGAAGTTGTTCTGTAGAATGGCTGGTATCGCTCTGATGTGATCCATCAAGAACTTGGCGAACAGAGCCGAGATGTGATCTCCATCCAGGACGTGCAACTTATATTCGCTGTCCCGGAAAAAATACAGTAACCTGTCGGCATCGCCGTCGAAACTCGCGCATCTACAGTAAGGTGGAGAGCCTTCGAAGCCAGTAGGAAGTGCATTTTTAATCTTGACGAAATCCGCACCGCACTAAAACAATTGGCCTTGTACTTAGAAGACAAAAGATGGAGAAAACAACAAAAACAGCCAAAATTAGTAGAATGAAACCAAGAATTGTTGTTTTAGGTAGTCAGAACAAATCCCATGAAGTATTAAAACCACAAAATGCCATTTATATCGGTTTAAAAGCCGAAAAAAACGAAAATAGATCAAATAAAAATCAATATTAACATCCCGCCAGGATAAATTTAACTTATATCTTTGTTCAGCTTTTCCGAAAAGATCTCGGTGTTGTTACAAGCCGTTTTGGAAAAGTTTGGTGGAAGTTCACTAAAGTATTGACCGATCCAGATGCCACCAACGCCATTAGCGCAATCCAAAGCCACCATGTCTCGTTGGTAGGGTGCAATATTGAATTCAGGACACAACTGAACAAATTAACGTTAAGATAGTTAACAATTACCTGTAAAAATCCTCGAACGGCGTCAGTGAACTTTTGAGTAAAACTGCCTAAAGGATATTCCTTCAAGTTGCTGCCCATCACAACATAATGCAATTGGGGGGTAGTAATAAGACCTGTAATATAGCAGATGTTTAATAATATAACTTTAAACATAAATGTTGTAAAGCTTTTTAATATACTAATAAGTAGACAAAATACTCATATTTTAAACATAAAAAGTCCAGTATCTGTAATTTCAATAAAAAAGGCTTTGATTTAAACCTAAAACAATATTAGACAAACATTACCATGCGCAATCGTCTTGACATTGCACTGTTGAGCGGCTCTCAACGCTGCTAAGGCAAGGTACGGTGAAGAAGGTCGTGTGTCCCATCCAACGTGCAACCCTGTGTAGACATCGTTCTTAGGAACAGACTGCCACATCTTTTTGACCGTTTCGGCAAACTCTTCATCGCTCAAGTTCACAAAAACTTGGATCTCTTTCTGAAGCTCTACCGGTAACATTTCACCCTTTCCTTCCACAATCTTGACTCCATTGTCACCAACCGGGTTGTGACTAGCTGTTATCATCAACCCAAGATTCCTGTACACGCACTTTCTAAAATAATAAAATGAGATGCTAAAATGTAAGATAAAACTTTTAAAATTTACATTAAACAAAAATCTTTAATAACAACATACAATTAAATATATAAATAACCCGCAAAGCCGCCATTAGATAGAGATTACGTAAATAAGTCCTACTTAATAATTGTTTCCGATCTTATGTATATTACGCATAATATCGGTCAAAAGAAGTCCGTTTCACTTACCGTATTCTCAGACAAGTCCAAATAGACACCCGGTAAACGATGAAACTCATAACCTCGTCCCTATACCTAAAACCAGCGGTTCCGTAAGTGAATTCAGTATCTGGAATCCGTACTCGAAGCCCTTGATATGTTAGGTTTCCTTGTCGAGTGAATTCAAAAGGAATTGAGTCCAGATTCCTTGCCAAACTGCCTAAACATCAAATATACAACATCGGATAAAGCTTACATGAATCTATGCTACACATCTTCTCCAGTTCTTGGTTAGTTGAGGTGTTAGGATCTTCATGAGCCATTTTAGGTACAATCTGCAAAGATGTAGGCTATCAACTTTAAGTAAAACACAATAAAACTACATTCTCGCAAACTAAAATAACACCTATAAATTTGCATTTTATTACACACTTTCGCCTCTATTCCACATCTTAATTTTAATGATACAAAACCACGAATACATTAAAAGGGTAAAAACACTTGAGAATACACATAATATGTACTTCCTAATGTCTTACTACTACAAGTAGCTCCCAGCTTATTAACAAAACAGTGACTTCTCACCCCCATTTTGGTTCCTTTTGCCGAATTTCAATTTCCGAAAAACGAGAAATTGTTGGAGAGAGACTTGTCTCGCGCGTCAAGTGTTCCTCCTTCTACAGTATTGCAGTGTTTTATACTTTGGGAAATCGTCGACGATGAATTATAAATGGTATTTCATTTCGTTCCGAATATAAATGTAAATAAGGGAACGAAGAGATCCTGCATAATGAGGAGGACCAGCAGAAGTGTTATTTAAAGCGATTAGCGACATTCACATTGCGTAATAATAGTAAAAACAATTACTGCCGAGATTTTGTAGTTATCTTTTTACGTGGTTTCTTGTAATCCCAAACGCCATGACAACGGCTGGCTGGATTGGGCCGTTTAATCCCCCTCTAATCTTAGTTTGTAATGTTATTAGTCAACTTCATTTACAGCTTCTGAATTACATTCACCATGAATGGCGAGGGCAAAGTAGTTGAATACTTTTACGGGGACATCTTCCTTGTTAGTTTCTCTGAAGCCCGGATGTAATTGCGGCCGCCAAGAGATAAATGCCAACTTTGTTTGATTCTTTGCTTTAGGATGTCGAGTACGAGAGAGAGCTCCACCGAGGCCACCAACGACAAGTACACGTTCGGCTACACGAACGAACTCTCCAACCACGAGTCCTCCCTTTCCACCGCCAAACGCCTCAGGCAACGGCTACAGCGACAACAGTCAGGACAGTCTGGAAAGTCAGGTAATGTGTCAAACTTTGTTGTATAATATATTATAATAGTTTTTATATCTAAAAATATATTAACCATCCTATTATGTGTTTGCAGGAAGAAGGTACACTGGGGAGAGCAGTGAATGCTCCTCACTTGTAGGTACCCCTACAGAATCTGGACGATGTTTTACTTTTACGGCGGCACAACGGATTCTGAGGAACGAGGAGAGAAAGCCTTCCGTGAATCAGAATCTGTCAGAAATGCTACTTGATGTGAGTGCGGTTTTAATTTTACGAAAGGTTGCAGGCAATCCATCTGGATGACGTCAATCTGGTGGACAGGCTTCTTCTGACACACAACGCCAAAGTACTCTCCACCTCCCCCAGTATCGGCTCCACAAACACGTTTACTGATCTGGCACAGCGTCGGCACGGTAATCCTCGCCGTTCTAATGCTTCGTCTACAGTTTCTACGCATTCTGGAGGAAGGTACTGTTTTGTTCCGGGATTGTTAGTTTAACCGTACAGGATTTGTTATTCAAAACGTTGTTTTTACGAATAATATAATATTAATAAGGTTGGTGGAGTAACTTTGCAATTTAGATCAACATGTGCCGTAGTGAATACTTTACACATTGCTGTAGCTCACAAACAGAGGGACATCGTGGAGTTGTTGTTGAAGACCGGATATGACCCTAACAACGTGGCTTCATGTTACTGTAAAGGGAACTGTACAGCATCTGGGAACATACCTCTCTCTTCTATACTACCAAGGTAGAGTAATATTTATTAATATACATATAATAAAAACTTATCTTAACTTTGTGTGATACATCATTGTAGAACCTACTCTACTGTCCCTGAAATGTGTTCCATCTGTTCCCAATTGCGGGTCGTATCTATTATTGACCAGACGCCCTTAGGCGTCGCTGTCAGATCTCAAAGTCCGGAAATGATTGCCATGTTGATAGCCTACGGGGCGGACGTCAACGGCTCAGACGAAGATGGCAACACCCCACTGATGCTGGCGGTCAGAGAATCACCCTTGAATTGGAATTGTCTGCATACCTTAATATTTTTCGGGGCTAGGTATGTTTGATATAACGGTAGCAGCTGTCATACAATAATATTATGTTACGCAATGGTTGCTTTGCAGAATATACCAAAAGAACAATCGTGGCATATGTCCGTTGGATCTGGCTCCAGAACTCCGCAAACTTCAAGAATCTTGTGTAGAAAGTCTGTTCCAGACAGCGTGCTCTCCCACCGACGAAAGTGCCCATCACCCGAGCCAAGAGCGAGTGCTGAGGACTGTGGCCATGATTAATGCCAACAAACAAACCAAAAATCTCCATGTGGACAATTGTAAGAGTTTGCTTCTACTGTAATATGAAGATCTATAGTAATATTTAAAATTAATTGTAATAAAGTTTTACTTGTTGATAATATAATGCGTTTTAGCTAGTTTTTGTGAACGAGGAAGCCTAAACAAGTCTCCTTTATCTCCACGAAACTCCACGGCACCGTCAATCAGCACTTGTTCGATGCTGGATACAGGATCCAACAAAGAAACCCGCAGGAAGTCATTCGTATCTCTACAGCTACATCGTCGCAGTAAGATACCAAAAGAGTTCTTCGAACATATCACCTGGGATCAAGCGTGGGAGATGCTGACCAAGATGGCGTGCAACCCGGAGTGTACGGAGCTTACTTTGGTATGTTTTAAAATTACTGCAATGTATTTTTCACTTTTTAACCTTAAAATAATCGCTTCATTTACAGAGATTTCTGAACAAATTCTGTGGCCAACTGGACGATACAATAGCTGAAAGAGAATCTTTGGATTCTCATCTTGGCGGGCTGCTTCACCAAATACTTCTTACGTCAATCAACGAATACCAACAATCTACCCCTACGTATCAGAGAACCAACAGAAAACAACTGGTCGGCACTCTGGTAGCTCTGGTCGACTTCTGCTACCTATGTCTACAGAAGAACGGAGGATGTCGTCAGTTTGCTGCTCTCAATACCCTTAACAAGATAATGGACACGGGTCTTGTGAACTCACTGTACTCCTACAATGACATATCATTCCATTCGTCGCGGCTTCTGAACCGACCATGCGACCTTCACTACTACGACTTCGAAGAGAACATCAGCCCCATCATGAACTCCATCGACGAACCTCCAGAGCACCCAGTAGCCAACAACAACTGCAACATGGACAGACGGTTAACCATAGAGCACATCAAAGAGATCACGGGACAAGGCTCCGGCTTCAAAAAGTTTATCTACGGAAACTCTGATAACGCCGCTCCCAGCTTCAGTCAGTCTCCGATAGACTTGTCCTCGAGATTCTCACAAATGGATCCCAGTATCATCATAGCATGTCTCCATAACGCTATCACGATGCACAACCGTGAAGCTGGAGCCAGAAGCGTATGTTCTCCTGCACACAGATGGAGGCAATGTTCTAATCATTGTACCCAGATTCTTGTAGCCAGGCTTCTGCTGTTCCTGTCCAACTACAAAGACTTCAGAAAGAAACTCAGCGATCGTCATGAAATCAAGACCCTTACCCAGCTACTGGAACCAACGTTAGATCCACAACTTCTGTGCCTTCTACTTCAAACCTTGGCCATTGTAGCTTTAGACCCGGCTACACACGATTTGTTTATTGAACTACAAATTGATGATGTTCTTATGCAAATGCTACTCCCAGCTGACGACTGGTACTACACCAACCACAGTACCAAGTTCGGCTACTTTGTGAAACATCATGCAGCTCGTATCTTGGTTTACATTGGTCTTGGCCACAGAGTCGGAAACCGAGTAAACCTATTCCAACCGATTGACAACATCATGAACGACCCTAAAAAGGCCCACAGTACCAACTCTCAGAACGAGGACGACTACATCTTCGAAACGTGCAAAACGGCACATTTGCTTCAAGATGGCAACAGAACGGCCATGTCCGTGGAGGGGATATTGGACAAGATATTAAGAGAGGTAAGCTATAATCCCACCCCGGATTATGTTTATTTTAGTTAGCCACTAATGCCATCAGTACAACATCCGAGCCAATAACCGAGGAACCCTCCAGCACGTCTCCACCGGCTGTAGACCCAAACATAAGGGAAGAAGTTGAACATCCATTACCCGTTTACACTGATAATGGCGCTGTGATCACGATAACACCGTCAAGCAGAAACACTAGCTGTGTAGGCAGTAGCCAGCTGATAATACCTTTAGGACATACTCTTACTCTCCCAACCCAACGAGTTTTGATCTCGTTGAATAACCTCGAGACTCACTTATGCAAATTCTCCATGATCTTCGATTCCATGTTGATCTTGAGAGTACTCCTCCACAAGTTGTCGTGGGACCTAAGCTTGGTGGCCAAAAGACGACAAATCACAGAAAGCCACAGAAACACGACCAGTGACATCAGAGCACATTCAAGTTGCTCTTTGGGGTCGTCGTTCCAGTAAGTGAATCATACACAATAGATAATGTCATTGCAGTCGACGTGAAGAGAACGTGTCACGGCGTGATTCTGATAAGCGATTCCTGAGAGTGAATCAAGGTTCCCGCCTGTCAAAAAGAGTCCACATACGACGATCTAGGTAACACAACTGCCATATTACAGCCTTTAACACATCATATTAATTAAATAGCACTAAATAACAATATCTATCTTACACTCTAACAATTTCAGTTCGGTTGAGATTCCTAGGCCAAAGCGATTCAGCAGTGGAGCCAAGGAACTTCGTAAAGAACGACGAAAACGGTTGGGAACGGACACCAGCAGCGGTTCCAGTAGATCCAAAAAGACCAACTCCTCATCCTCAAGTGTTCAGAAACACCTCCCGAAGTACATTCAGTCTTTGTTCAGGAACAGAATGGGTACCGACCCTTGTAAACGACACACCCGAGGTGATTCCTCTCCAGACTCCAACACCAGTGGCTCCGAAGCCGTGATTGAATTCACGAAGAAACTTCAGAATATTCCACCATTGAGGAAAGAGACGATGCGTCAGAAGTACAAAAAGGAAGGTCATCAAGACTCTGGAGGCAGCGAGCAGAAGGCCAAGAGCATGGGCTACAGCTACCTACCTGAGCTCGAAATAAACGGTGCATCTCCACCCAGAACTCCCATCCCCCAGAACTCAATCGATGGGGGAACTTCACTTCTGGGCGGAAATCAAAATCGCCGGCCTTCTAGCCCCCAAGCCATACCTGGACTGCCACTGATCGAGATCAGAAGACCGTCAGCATTGTCCCAATTCGAATTCGGATACTTCGTCAACTCTCCTGAACTGGTCGGTGGAAATGATTCCGACTGTGCACCACTACTGCTCAGTGGCAATGGTGCTGCTGTTGGGTCCAGAAAGTCATCAGACGGTAAGACAATGTTACAAATCAGAATACAACAGAGCCTAATTAGTTAATTGACAACACATCTGATTGTTTCAGAAAGCTCAATGTGCGGATGGAGTTCACGAGCCAGCTCGGCCATGAGTCAGCGCTCATCCTCTGGCGGACTCAGACTCTCGACCTTTTCAGCAGGGACTTCAATTGCTTCTGACAATTCTGGTCCCTTTCTCTTTAGTTTTGTTTTGAGGAAGCGAGCATCAACAATAGGAACGCGAATTCCACTACCAAAGCGAGCAATCAGCCGGTCTTCGGGGGACAGCCTCCGAGTCCCTGACAGAGAGGTAGGTGCCCCAACCTCACCTAACCACCTTTCTAGAGCCCGCTTCAGATCGTGTCGGGCATTGACATGAGCCCGGACTTCCAATGCATCAGACAGTTGTTGTTGAACCTCCTGTTGATGTACACAAACAAAAGCTCCAACTTTGTGACGACCTTGAAGAGCTGTTCCGACGTCCTCAGACAGATCTTGAACTCTCCTCAGCACCCAACTGTCAAAAACTGGTGCACTGACATAATGGCAGTGGTGAACAACCAGCTGGAGACAGAAGAAGAGTGCAAGCTGGAATCTGACGAAAAGACCAACGATGAGTATCTAGATGTAGGTATAACAATATGAGCAGTAATCTTATACAATTAGACAAAAGGAAACTATTTATGATAATATACTTTTAGTTGCAAGACCAAATCATAAGCGGGTCACTTCCGTGTCCCAAAGACGAAGCCGCCTTGTTAGCGTCAATACAATTGTGTGTGGAGGAGAATTGGCCTTCCAATAAGAGAACACAAACCATTAGAAGGCATTTACTCAAAGGCCAATTCGGTAAGTCCTTCATAAACAACATTCCACAAGTTCAAAGTATCAAGTCTATTACATAAAAAGTACTTTTTTATAAAGATAACATTGATGATGTAGGTCGAATACGAGACTTGGCCCAAAAGATTATGGTAACACCATGGGAGGTAGACCAGAACCTCTACTGTACTCCGCCACGTACATTCAGTGAGACTGTAACTCGGAAACCGTCAATAGGCATCCCGGAACAAAGGAGAAGGTCGCTGACACTATTCGGTTGTATGTCTGACCCTGATCCCACAGTATCCTCTGATATTCAAGCACAATGCCTACCGGTCGACCTGAGAGGCGACCGAAGAACAATCAAGATGATAAGAGAAAGAAAGAGGAAGCTGTTCCACAGTCAGGTCTACGAATCAGAAACCGGCATGAAGAAGCTCTACATCCAGGTAAATACACTGATACAATCGTTAATAACACATAATATATAAGCATATAATGCATTCTATACTATTACAATAAATGTAAATTTAAGACATGTAAAAAGTTACCATCCTACGGATGCAAGGTATTCCAAGTCAAAGAACTGCTTCACGGTCGATCTCTTCGAAAAGTAAGTCAAACCAATACCTTATATTACCCTTTAGACTATGCGATTACTTTGTCTGAGCAGTTCTGTGTTATGCCTATTGGACGGTAACTCGAAGATGGTACTTAAACGACAACATGCTAGTACTCTTCAGCAATGGCGAGTTGGGGGAGGTGTCTCCAAGCACCAATTACTCCTCGAATTCCGAGGAAACAAGTGGCAATTGATAGGTAATGTTATTATCTCTTCTTATCACATCTTATTTTAGCCCCTAGTTACAACGGTCTCAAGTCCATCTCGATGACATTGTGGGAGATCATGCAGAACAGGACCAACTTCCTCGTTCAGAAGTCCTTCAACAGGTCTGGAAAACAAACTCTCGCCATAATGGATGTCAAAAGTAAGTACAGAGAGTAACAAAGTTGCATATGATTAGGTATAACATCACGGACGGAGTCATTAGCATCAACAGCTTCAACGTTCAGAGATGACCTAGGTATCACAGAGCCTATCACGTTATTCAGATTGGAACTGGAACGGCTTCAGTACATACTACACTTCCCTGAAGAGGTGGCATTCCAGGTATGTAGACTCCTCTCATGATTATATGATACTTTTACTTTAGCTCACCTCCACCGAATACCAACTCTTCTACAACATTGCTCCAATCGATTACATTCGATACGTTGGGTGTGACTTGGCCTCGATAAACATCGTGGACAACCCCAGCCCAGTCAAGAACTTGGTCAAACGGCTGAGTGAAGTCAGTTCCTGGATCACCCATGTTATCATCAGCCAACCGACTCACGAAGACCGAAAGAATTGTCTCCTCGCCATTATAAGGGTGATTGATACCTGCTGGAACATTGGCAACTTCAACGCTGCCGTGGAAATCCTCATGGGCCTAAAATCGACCAAACTTCGACCGTTTTGGCTCTCGCTAAAACAAGATGAACGTCGAAGATACGAAGAGTTCGTGGAAATTCTGGTACCTCACGATGACACGCCACCACACCACGTCTACATCGAAGCCATCCAACGCGCTCTCAGGATGTCCCAAGCTAGGGTTATTCCTTTCTTCGGGACCTTCCTTCGTGATCTCTATGCGATAGTAAACGACATACCTAATATTGTACTCATGAACAATGACCAAGACGTCGACAGGTTGAAGTTTGTGCACGACATCAACGGAGATGACCACTTCTCCAGTACTATCGGAGTTGGAGGTCTTCTGAACACTGATAAAATATCCCTTGTGTCTGTGGTTCTCGAGAACTTGGACACTTTTCATGCTCATCACAATCAAATGGGCAAATATGTTGAGAACAGCGCGGAAAACACAGGTAACAATAATATACAGAACAGAAATATACCTTTAAAATTATTAGCTTCTTATTAATTTCCGAATAATTATTCGAAGAAAGACGAAGAAATTTTATGAAAAGGTTATTTCAAAATTAGAAAATGTTTCAAAACGAAATGTCACAAATTCATTTAACGATTTTACAAAATTATTTTTCCGAAAAATATTTTTTTCCAAATAATTGACAAAATATAAATTCAGATAACGAAACAGAAGACGCAAAGCCTTACGATCCAGTCAGCGTTATACCTGGTTCGTCACACGGTATTTCAGTAATACCTCTAAACACATCTACATTCGATTTGGATGTGATTCAAAGGATCCAACATGGAACTACTGCCATCCATTACGACCCGGATTCTGGCCGGAGTGTTTTGTGTAAGCTGAGTCTGGATGCTTCTTGTTCTACTATAACATGGAAAAGGATTTACTATGGTGGAAAGGAAGGTAAAGACAAAGATATCACACCATTGGCCCGTAACAATCAACAGCTTGGAGACTTCACCAAGAGCTACGTCAACAGCCGACCTCGAGATGCTGCCAACTTCGCGTTGGAGGAAGGATACATCAGAACAAGCTACATTAAGGCCATCGAACCCGTTGATTCTTACGATATTGACATTGAGAACATCTACAAGCGGCATTCGAACGAAGAAATGTCTGTCCCCGTGTTTTGTTGGACGATTAACTTTGGTTGTGTGTTGAATGACAATGAATTCTTGTACTTTTTGGCTCCACAACAGATTGCCAATTACTGGATAAATGGCTTGCAAAAGGTATGTTATTATTGTTAGTACATATTTTTATGAATAATATAGCAGCTTTTTAATTGAATTAGTGTTGCTTAACTTTAAATTTTGTAGGTGATGAAATGTATCCATGAACAGAATAAAAAGCCCGATCGGCGAGTTTTGTGGTTGAAAAAGTTGTACCTCCAACTGTACCATGAGTGTGAGAAAGATACATGCTACACAGAGTACAAACGGTTTGGCCCCAGACCGATTGAAGCACTTCAGGTAACATTTCTTTTTAGATAAGACGTATAAATACAATGATTGCATAACACTTTTACATGTGTAATATATTGTAATATTGTGCCAAAATGAGGTAACCTCAATCACTTTTTATTTGTAGGCTTTTGGTGGAAGAGTGGAGAAGTGGAGAAGCCTTGGAATGAGTCAGAACCTGCCAGCCTGTTCACGTCCCACAGATTCCAGCTCGTCGACCGATGGCGGTGGTGCCAAAAGTCGGCTGAAGCAGATGACCATTGCCGTGACGAGAAGAGTGAAAGGAACGTCCAGAGATTGTAGCCGAAGCCAGTCGCCCCAGCCTCAGTCCCCACTCGTAAGACCTCCTTCTATCAAGAGTCAACTTTCGAGTCAGAGCGGTCCCCCAGGCCCCAACAGCCCAGGCTACCTTCTGAAGCCGCGTGGAGACACAGCCCTCTCAGACGCCGGAGACCTCGATTCTTTGTACACGCCCCGCTCCAGGACTCCAACATCCAGTTCGTACGGTGGTCGGTCAGTGGGAGGTAGGTCGGTGAGGTCGTGGAGATCTCGAGGTGGAGAAACACCCAACTCTGGCTCCATCAGTAGCAGTGGGCAGGTCTCGGGAGGCCTGTCGGGCAAGGAATACCAAGAGAAGCCGGTCCATTTCACAGAGTTTCTGGAGCTGTATCGACTGTTCAGTACGAGGATGAGGAAGGATCTGAAGTAAGTTTGAAGCAAGCTTGATATGGCAACAATTATTGCATATCAAACTCGTGTTTTGTCATAATAATTTCAGAAAAAACTCGTTTTAATTTCTTAAAAATATAACTGATTTATTCACCAAACTCAAAACTTTATGATTTTCCATACAAAGGCAAGGGTGGGGTATTGTACCCTGTCTTAAGCCTAGGCGTGAAAACAACTGACCTTTTTAGGGATCTGTTCAATGAATGTGTTATCCATGCCAGTACTGCCAATTGTCATGTCACGAAACGAGAACGCGACAAGCAGAGTCCACGGCTTCAGTCCAGACTGGAATCAATCTCGACTTGTCAGATTCCAGACTTCATCCCCGACGGTAAGGTTGATGTATTCTAGTTATGATAACATTATTATAATGATAATTTTAAAATGATTAAAATTAAGTTGTTTTTAGATTTATTATTAGATGAAGGGTTTATATGTTACTCTTGTAGATGTCCTAACACGGAATTCTTCTTCCCATTACATCCATCTGAACGACAAACAGATGAAGATTTACAATGCTTTGGCCTTGGCTTCAGTCAGCAGCGCTGGCCTGATGGACACGTCCAGGAATGTCGTTTTAACTCCGGCGGCGATAAAACAGTTTATTCTAACACAACAGATGGAGAAGGTGGACGACACCTACGTCCTCAAGTTGATTCAAGAACACGAGCCTGACCCACTCTTCAGAAACAAGAATCTGATGTCTTTTGAAGGATTCGTACGGTACCTTCAAGACCCCACCAACTACGCCTTCGTTCCCGAAGAAGTCAAGGTGTCCCAAGATCAGTTGGAGTACCCAATCAGCTGTTATTACATCAGTTCAAGTCATAACACCTACTTGACCGGACATCAGCTGAAGGGCGAGTCTTCGGCTGAGATGTATCGACAGGTAAGCTGTAGTTACACAATGTATAAGTTTTTACATCGAGAATGAAATGTTATTGGGACAAGATATATCATGATTGTAATGGATAAATGTAATATGTTATTGTAGGTTCTGCTGACTGGATGTCGTTGCATTGAACTGGACTGTTGGGATGGGGATGACGGACTTCCTTTGATATATCACGGACATACCTTTACCTCTAAAATCAGCTTCCGCCAGGTGGTCGACATCATCAAGAAGAGCGCTTTCTTGACTTCATCGTTGCCCGTGATTTTGAGTATCGAGAATCATTGTTCGCTACAGCAACAGGCCAAGATGGCTCAGATGTTCAAGGTAATAATTGTTGACAATAAGCCCTTAGTTTTCAGAATAATGGTTACTGTTATTGATTTTACTTACATATTTAATTTATAAATTGCAGACCGTGTTCTCTGACAAACTGGTGTCCAACTTCTTGTTCGACGCCGACTACAGTGACAATCCCAAACTACCGTCACCGTGGCAGCTACAGAACAAGATCCTGATCAAAAACAAGAAGATGACGATGGAGCCAACCGTCGGATTCGGCTTCGACAAGTTGATCAACACCGAGTACAACCTGGGACCACGAAGCCACAAACAAAGCAGATGTTCGTATGATTCATCGACCATCGACGACGTTGATGAAGATGACTTCGACGAGTTTCTGGATGACGAAGATCAGGAGACAGATGACGCAGAAGACGCTCGAACTGACGTTGAAAGTCCCAAAGTACCAGTCATAAAAACTCCGAAAAGATCGACCAGTCAAGGATCAGTGAACAGCTTCATCAGCGACAGAACCAACACCACCAGGAACGACAAGAAGATGGTAGGGTACAGTATGATAATTTGGTAAATGTGGCATTTTAGGATTTCAAAGAAGACGAAGTGTTTGTCAGAAGGTCGCCTGCTCGAATAGCTGGACACCAAATAGCTCCAGAACTGTCGGATCTTGTTATCTACACACAAGCTGTCAAGTTTAAGGTAGGCTTACTACACTAAAGTCAGATTCATATTCCTTAATGTCAACTTATAACATTACACTTCAGGCCCATTTGAAAGGTTTCGTAGCCGGAGAAGAAAGTTACAGTAGATCTCGCGACGAGTTAGAGCTCAAGTTACAGAGTATTAATATGCCGAAAATGAGGTCGCATGCTCCAAGTCTATTGAGCTACGTTGGACCTCCGAAGAGACAAAAGAGTAGCAGTCAGATATCGACCGACTCTTTGAAGAGCACAGATGACAACATCCCTACACCCTCGACTACAGTAACCGGCCGACCCATGGCCCACGCTTCTTGTTATCAAGTGACTAGTCTAACTGAAGCGTCGGCCAGGAAGTTATGTCGTAAACACCCTCTGAAGTGCATCAACTACACCAGAAGTCACATTATGAGGACGTACCCTGGAGGTATGAGGATCGACTCTTCCAACTTCAACCCGCTTCAGTTCTGGCAGTTCGGCCTTCAGATGGTGGCCTTGAATTACCAGACAGCTGACGTCCCCATGGCTCTAAATGCAGCCATGTTCGAACAGTCTGGAAACAATGGCTACATCCTGAAGCCTCGACCTTTATGGGATCCTACTCATCCCTTATACAACAAGTTCAACCCATTGTCCAAAGAGTTAAACAACTGTTCCGCTCTCATACTACAATTGACGGTAAGTCTTCCACTTCATTGTTTCTAATTCAGAATATTTACCCAAACTTGTCTCGAAATAGTACTCTCTGAATGTTTTAGGTAATATCTGGCCAATATGTATGCCCCAACCAATTCACGGCCAGCCCCTTCCTCGAGATTGAAATCCTCGGAATCCCGGCCGATTGCTACAAAGAGAAAACAAAGATCGTTGGTCGAAACTCGGTGAATCCTGTCTGGAATCACACCGTCACCTTCAGAATCCGGTTTGTGGAGTTGGCCTTCTTGAGAATCGCGGTTTGTGACGGAGCCGCCAATGGAAAGTGCATAACTCAACGTATCGTGCCTGTCAGGTGTCTGAGACCCGGCTACAGACATCTACCACTCCGTACGGTGGCCAATCAGCCTCTGGAGCAGTCGGCATTGTTCATTCGGACCAGATTTGAGGAAGAACAACACATATACCTACATGACGATGAAGAAGTCAACATATACTCTAACTATAAACCGGAACTGGCTTATCAGATACTCAAAATCGATCCGGTAAGCCAAATCCACATTTCGCAATATTTGTTTTCGCAACATTTGAGTTTTGCGCCGAAAATGGCGAAAACAGTGGGCGCAGTTTGGAAGGGTTTTGCAGGTTGCGGAAACTAATTATACGATAAACTTTCGAAGTTGCTTTTGAAAATAAAAATTTTTTTGTTGTTTTACTGATTTTATTAATGCGTTTTTAGGAAGCAGATGTTCAGCCATTATCAGTTATCAAGAAACAGATATTCATCATCAAGATTACTGGTCTGTACGCTGACGATACTCCTGTTATCGTGCACGCAGAGTCTGGTACTACTGTTAGATGCGTTGTTCAGTCTGTAAGTTATTTATCTGGACATTAGATGAGCATATTATGATGGTTATTTTTTGCTTTAGTTATTTTTTCTTTTTGTGTTTGGAAAATGTAGAAACTATAATATTTTAAACCTAACTCTGCTTCAGGCTTTGAACAATGTTGGCAAGTCAGGAGAGAATGCAGATGACTATATTCTACTGGAGGAAAGTCTGAATTGCACAGCTCCATCACCGATCATGGATAACAACGAGTACAGAGACATTCCGAGTCAGAAGATTCTGCCTCACGGTGAACCCATCATGGACGCTGTAGCGTGCTGGAACGGTGTGGCCAGGAGATTCCATTTGAGGAAAAAGAGCTCGGTAATAGACTTTGAAATGAACTAACTATAATACAATATAACAATTGTATTGAGTATGGTATATGTGTATATAGAGCTAACTATGTTGTCTTACAGGACCCAACCGGTCGAGCCTGGATCTCGTCGATAATCAAGAGCGGCGGTGCTAATTCTATTTCAAACACGGCTAGTCCAGCCTTTGGCCAGAATAGAAAAGGAGCAGGACCGTCGACTTCTGGAGCGACTTCAGAAGTTTCCGTTGGTGGTTCTATTAGTCCAGGAGGAATGTCTCGGACTAGTTCACGAAAGAGTCCCAAGCACCAGTTATCTTTCCAGCTGGCTGGCAGGAGTTTGGACGTTGAAGCTCTTCCTTCTCCAGACTTCCTTGAACCGACTGGTAGGTATAGCTTTCAAGTTGTGATAATATTGATGTAGGTATGCATCCGAGAGCACGATCGATGGGAGAGACCTTCTTGGTCTGTGTACACGACGTGAGTGACAGTCATCCGTATGCCATTTTGAGGACCAGTATCCACAACACGGCGAATGATCTTATCAAACAAGTAGGTCTTTTTTGTTTTATCTTTTTATTATGCCTTAATCATAAAACATACTTTCTTACATTACTCCTGGTTATATTGCAGATCTTGGTCAAGTCTCAGAAATACGAACCTAACGAAGAAGACTTTGTCATCATAGAAGAGCTGGGTGACATTGGCAACGACTCTCCTCGTATCAGTAAGTAATGTCAGATAGATTTAGTTGTAAATGATAAGAAAAACGAACAGTATATTGTCATAGGTTATCTACTCTACACTATTTTTGACTATAATAATACTTTCAGCCGGAGGGAAGATGAGTTTGGATGGATCTTTGAAGAGCCGAGTATGGAGAGTATTGGGTGACGACGAAAACGTCTGGAAGGCACAATGTAGGTGGAACACAGCTGGAAGATTCAGATTGGCACAGAAGGGGGATGTGGCCAAATACGAAAAAGTAAGTTTTGATACAGTATTTAAATTAAGTGTGTAATGTGTTAGCAAATATTAAGGTATAGTAGGTAGCGATGTATAGTGATATATATCACAAACTAGTGCATGTTACCTCTGATATAAGGCTAGTTGTTACAGATCCAGAAGCCAGATGTTAACCATATAATCAGAGCTCAGCGAAAGATATCTCTGGCTAGTCTGGACTCGTTACCACGTCGTATCTCGCAGTTTGGAAAGTCGCTTACTATAGACAATGCCCGCAATAATTAATGTTATACTTAGGTTGGATTAGTCTTTCATTCGTAGTTCTAGTCCTCCACTTGTTGTACTCGTATCTTTTGTTCTCTGAACTTCTTACACTCATCCACGAGGTCGTGCAGGTCACGGTCGCTGATTCTCTGTATCCGTTCGTTCAGTTTTCTGAATTTACTTTACCTTTGACACTGTATATTCAAATCATTTTAAATACCATTTTAGTTTCACTGTCGTTGTTAACTACATTTTACTTTTTCGACTTTTAATCTACTTTAGCGTATCGGGTTATATTCTTATGGTACTATTCATTTTTCTACATTGTGTGTGTTTGACAATATAAATCTGGTTATATTACTGTAACTTACTTGTACTCGTCTTTCTGTAGCAACTTGTCTACACTCTCCAGTTCCGTGTAGCGTTCGCTGAGCTCTGTGAGTGTCATACACTTCATGACAGGCAGACTGAATACCATAGAAATAAAGAGAAGGTCTAACAACAACGACGTCATGATGTCTCGCTTCTTAAAACTTGTAGTTTGTATACCGTAACCTACCGTATTCAGCTCTCCGCATAGGTATCGTTCACAGGCTCGCTTCAGAACCGGAAGATCGTTGAGTTCGGCGTCGATCAAGAAGTCCGTGAAGTCTTCGATGTACTCCATCTGGGGCAACGCTACTTTGTTAAAGTACATGTTGGCCAGGGTCTAAATGGGCATTGCTTTATTCAGGTCACGATGTTAACAAAAAGTTTTTTTTTGGCAAAAAAATGATGTCAACGAGTGTTACTGGTGGATTGTTTTCCACTTGCTGTATCGTAAACATAAGCTATTATTCGATATGTATGATTATATAGCATAACTTACATCGTGAATCTCGGCTTTGTCGTCTTCTGGACACTCGAAGCAGGTTTCTTCTTCACCGTGATCGTGAGGTTCTTCTTCGGGGGCTTCTGACTCTTCTGTGGTGTCTTCATCATCGTCTGCTGTAGCAAGACACGGAATCAAAGAAGCTCTTCGTTCACAGGAATCACAACAATCTACGAGTAGCTTCTTGAACAAGTGTTCTCGCTTTTTCCCTCTAAAAAGGTAGCCTTGACAGATGGATACGTTATGAATGGCTTTAATTAATGTATTGTTTAGTAAATAAACTATTTATAAACTACAATATTAGACTAACATACATGTCATCAGTGGCATAGTAGTTTCCTTTTTCCCCCAGTACTCTTTCCCGTTCCATCACTCTGTTGAAGGACCTCTCCAGGTCGATCTTCTTGCAGTCTGGATGACCTTCGGAGTTGCTTCTGGGCCTAAAAAAATTTTAAATTTAATGCTTTAAAACTATTCTGAGTACTTAATTGAAATTATCTTTGGCACATATCTAATGAACTGTGTTCGGTTCTTAATTTACAATCAGTTTCCATTTAAATATTGAGTATTACCGTTTGAAAGACTGTCGACTTCTCTTCCTCCACACCTTGCTACTGGCCCTGGCTTGGTAGTTGGCGGTCAAGAACGAATGGAAAGGTGTTGGAGACACAGCATTGAGATAGGCATCGGTCTTGAAGAAGTCTGCCTTCATCTCCAACGTGACCGCAATCCGAATCAGATGGCCGACATTGGACTTGACCAGAGCTGAGAGTTTCCGTCGATTCGTGGGAGCTAACTCTACTTCTTCACCTCTACATGCCTGCACCTTGGTTACTGTAATCAGCTTGGGCTTATAGGGCAATTTGATTGAAGTTCTTACATAATACGATTTCTAGTTTATAGACTGTTTTACTGTAGTTGTTTACTATATATATTTAATTTTTGTTTATGAAAAATTGAAATAACTTACTTTCCCTGACAAGGTCACGGTCAGCTGATATTTGTGAACCAGTCAGCAGTTCTATGTTCGATAACAACTCCAGAGAACTGACTGGTCCATCAACATAATACAAGGACACGGCTACGTACTCTTGGTCTTCTTCTGGCAGGTCTTCTGTGTCATCGTAATCTTCTCGGTCCTAAATTATCGTTTTCAAGTAAAAAAACTGAAACATTATATTTTACTAGCAAATCCGTGATATATCGATAAGCTTATTCTGAATCACATGAGGTTAATAAAATGACCTAAAAAGCCAAAAGAAGGTGTAAAAATATAAAACATTCCATATTAGCCGAGCCATGGAGCTTGAGGGTCCACTGGAATGACACATGATCGTGGACTGTCGCGAACTTTGGGGACACGTGAAGGATGGTAGCCTCGCCTGGACTGAGCTGTCTCAGAGACACCTTGACCGGCCAGACGTAGCGAAACTTGAGATTCTTGATCTCCTTGACTTCAGAATCGGTGGAGGAACGAGCCCGCATCTCTGTCGATTCCATTTGGAAGCAGTGGGGGGGGGGACGGCCGAGGTTTGATTTATTCAAAGCCGCACTCAGCCCGACCAGAACAACATGTTTTTATTGTAATCAAGTGAATCAACATAAAAGTACATGGATTGCAGTGTGACAACGTATATGACATTACGAAGACATGTGTTAAGTAAGTAATGGCAGAAGTAGGATAACTTGTTGAAGGTACTGTGAAGATGTATATAATATGTGTAATCAAGATGTAATGACTGATGGTATAGTTATTATTTGATGGTATAGTTATTGTTTTAAGACGTCGTTATTGGTTAATGTTATGTTAGCGTCCATTCCAGATCAGACAGGTCCTCAAAGTTGAAGACCAGATCTTCTTTGTCTTCAGAATCCTTCTTCTCTTCAAAATGGTGCACTTGACGGTACGACGGAGTGGAACAAGAACTAGACGTACTCGAGTTGACATTGTCAGAGTTGTAGGATCCTGGAGTCGCGAACATAACGGATCGTCGCCTTCCAGTTTCCTTCGTGTTCGACGTCATCAACTCCCGAGAATTCTTCAGACTGGACCGTCGCTCTTGACTGAACTTTGTGGGCGGTGGACTGGTGCAAACTGGTCCTATGCCAGACTGGGGGAACGACTCAGCTGGTTGCATCGACACTTTCTTGATGTGTTTGGCCAGCACTTCCAGCTGCTCCACCACTGATTCCACGAATTCTTCGTTTTCTTCTTCTTTCGGATTCAGATCTTCGTCTTTGCCGCGACTGAAGTTACAGTAGGCATTAAATAGGATACAAAGAGTTACAGTAGTTAGTAAATAGAATACAAGGACAGTAGGAGTTGATAAGAACTCTACATTTTGTTATAAGGTTACTTTCTGTGTGAAAAACTTACTGTATTTGCTCTGCATAGTGGAGTAATTCAGTCCTGATGACATCAACATTGTCATGGTTGGTGACTTTGTCTACGACAGCTCCAAAAGCAACCATCTTCAGAATCTTCAGGTCGTAGCGTTCCGCCAGGATCAGCATCTTCTTGACAAAACTGAGGTCTGCTGATTCCTGAAAAGATTTTATTCAATTTATATCGTAAAGTCAATGCTATATGACAAAAGTGTGATAAAACTAAGTACAAAGGTCATTCTAACAAGTATGGTAAAGTTACTTACCAACATGACTTCTTGACAAATGAATCGTTCGCATTCCTTCTTCAGGGCAGGGAAATGGAGAATGTTGGCGGCTACAAGAATGTCGACGTAGTCTTCGAAGGATTCTGTCTCTTCTAGAATCACCTGGTCGAAGTAAAACGAGGAAAACACCTGAAAGTACAGTAATAAATATAATATTTAGCTAAATAATACCTATTTAAGAAATAAAAATATATAAATATAAAGTACAGTAGTCCGTAACCAGAAATACTGTTTTTTGATAAAATACAGTAATCCAAAAAGGAAAAACCTACATTTTGAACAGAAACTTCGTCCGTCAAGGATCGTGTAGCCACTTCTCTGCAAGCGAATATGAATTTATGACGGTGAAGAGCGTAGCGGTCTAGCTAAAATAATATTACTGTAGACATTCGAGAAGAATTTTATAATTATAGGAAGAAATGTTAATAAACTAAACAATCTTTACCTTGGAGTCGAAGAACTCCAAATCAGGGATGAGCAGAGTGCCATTCTTTAACTCGCTTATCACCTGGAGACACATCTGTGGTAATTCATCATTTGGACTGAAGGGAGATGACAGATAGGAGAAGGGTTCGAACCATCGAAGTTTCAACCTGAACGAAAAAAAATGACATTACTTTTGTTAGGTACCATTATGGTATTACAGGTATGGCAACCAGTTTCATAACAAGAAAGATATTGAAACAACAGAACATACCTTAACTCGACACTGATAGTAAGACACTTGTTGACTTGCTTGTAGACAAAGTCACTCAAAGTTTGTAGCTGAGGATGGTTAGAAGCGCACGGTGACCATCCTGATCCCTTCGTATATTCTAGTCCTTCCAGTTCCAAGTCTGTGAAGACAGCGTTGTTGTCACTGTCGTAGATGGACACCCTGCAATACCATGATATATAACACCTAAAGTTTATAAAATAATTACTGGTTCAACATGTGGTTTATCATTACCTTCCCATAGTCAACGCAATATCTCGCGCTGGCCCATCCTTATAATACAGTGCAATATGTACAAGTCGAGTATCTACATTAAAGTCTATTCCGTCTACATCCATCATGAAGTCGTCGTACAGTCTCAGCAGCCATGTCATCTGGACTCCATTGTAAGCGGTACAAAAGGAAGGAGAAACATGAAGGACAGCCTTCTCTCCGCTCTGTAGAAGTCGTTGAGACACCTTCAGAGGCCACGAGTACCTGAAGGCGATCTCCTCGTCCAAATCCAACACCGTGGACGGAGAAGCCAAATCCACCATCGTATATAATAAAGCGACTAACAACAAGAGAGCACCTCCACCCTCATTAAACTCTGGAACCGTCTGTACGTGTAAAAAACACGTGTGCACAGGTGTCGAGCCCTTAGGGCAAAAACAATCGCAAGTGAAGTATAACAAGATAAAGCACAGCCAGCTCCTTTTAAACGACCTGACGTGGTGACATCACGCTCGTCTGATGGTTATTATTAGTTTTGTTACTATTTTGAACCGCATTCCTTCGGCCGCATTCCAATTTAATTTCGTTTTTGATTCCTATTTTAAACTAGGATAAGGAACTTGGAAGGAAGTAAAGCCAAAGTTACTTTATAACAAACAGTTGACGTTGGCCTTTAAACCATAAATATTTTGGCACTGCCATTAATTTAACTCGGAAAACAACTCGTTGATATATTATAGTACACTTTATACATTAATTTATATCACCCGTATTTTGCGATGGCATTTCGACTAAGCCGTAGGCCACCAGGAACTTGACTACGCTGTTTCGTTGAACTCCTTTACCGTTTAAAGCACACAAAAAGTCCTTCATAATCACACGACGCACTCGAGGTCGATGAGTCTAAATTATAAAAACATAATTAACAGTACTATACTGTATATTATTACAGTAATGAATACAACAGGGTAAGTTTTAAGAAGATGTATAAACATATACTACTCGTTTAATCAAAGATCAAGGTTAAAAAAGCAAACAAAAATTAACTTAAATTGAACTATTTAACTAACAATATTGAAGAATACAGTATTAGAAATTACCTGTAAATTCTGAACAGATGATATTGCGTTCCTTGACGGATCCGTCTGCCCGATCGTACGTTTCTGTCCCCTCGACCCCACCAACGCTGCTATAGCAGCTTCATTAGCTTCTCGATTCAAGTTTTCTTCTTGATTAGCCCGTTGAATCTAAAAAATGATGAAATAAAACTCTAAGTAATGTGAAAAACTTATTTAAACACTTCTTGTATGCTTAAAGAAACTATTCAAACAAAATTCTCAGACATGTTGCGGTAACTTACCTCTTTAGCTTTTTGTACAGTATCTTTATCTTTTGTTTTGCTCTTGGAGAACTTGATCCAGGCTTCTTTCTCAAGATTCTGCCGCCTTGTGAATGCCTGTTTCTCCACTTCTTCCACGAACTTCAGCTGCTTTCTGGGTTCGTTTATTTGTGTGTACAAAGGGTTTAGTCTTAGCGGTTCTATCCTATGTTCTACGATGGAAGAGAGTTGTGCCATTAGATCCCTGAGTCTGCTCTCCACTACTTCTGATATCTTAGTGAACACTTCTGGGTCTATCGAAGTGCATTGTCCTCCCATCTGCTCGACCAGCCGACTCGATATGGCGTGTGGATCAAGTAGCATGTGCGGTAGATTATCAGGTACGAGCCTATATCTGTCAGCCTGTTCTACTCCATTACCATCCTTAATATAATAGCCATTCTTGCCGTCCATAGGTACTGGCATGCTGTGGTTTATTCGTTGATATAAAACTCCATTATCTGTTTTCATGTGACTGTAGCTAGTTTCGCCGTACTGGTTAGACTGCACTACCTGATTAGATTGTACAATCTGACTAGATTGCACCATCTGATTAGACTGCACAATCTGGTTAGACTGTACCACCTGATTAGATTGTACTATCTAAAAGTTTAAGAATAAGTGTTTAAAGGTCATCAAACATTCTATACATCTCGTAAATCCGAAAAAATACGTAAAAATGTAACAAACCTATAACACAGTGAGCCTTTTTTTACATAACTGAAAAGGTAATACCGCTTACCGTTGCCTGCACTTGATTCGACGATGACTGCATATACGATGCTTGTGGGTAAGCCTGTGACGTCCCCTGATTCAAGTGAGGGAAGACTTCTGCCAAGTTTATCCCTTCGATCACAACACTGTTATTAATCAAAGCCGTTCGCAGTGCCGGTAAAGCGACATGCAGAAAGGGAATCAACCTCGGCTGAGCGTGAGATCCTAGTACTTGTTGCAAGTTAAATGTAAACTCTTCCGGTTGAATTCTTCCGCCAATAACTTCCTAAAAATATAATAAATTTATTTTGCATAGTGCTAAAATGGTTTAAAACCTTTCTTTTCAAAAATCCTTCGCCATCTTCCATAACCATACCTAAAAACCAAATAAATATCAAAGGTGTAACATACCTGAACCAACTTGTGCACACTCGCTGCTTTCTGAGCATTGTGATTGTTCTGGTTTGTCAAAGAGAGGTGTAATAATGTTCTGAAGAACTTGGCACACTTCAATCCTGGATCGTCGTCTTCAGAAGCTCCATTATTCGGTGCACCATTCGGCGGAGCACCATTCGGAGGAGCTCCATTAGGAGCATTCATTGGTGCTCCATTTGAGGCATTTATCGGACCTCCATTAGGAGCCGTTGGAGGCCGCTGAGGCTGATAGTTACCCGCTGGAAAGTTATCTCCTCTGTTTGGATTTTGAAAACTCGGAACAGGCGGCTGATTGGGAATATCCATATGATGATACTAAAAAAAAAGCATTTACAGGAAAAAGACAACAGTAAAAGCAGTATATTGCAACAATAAACCCCGAGAAGTGAGCTTACTTTATTAAAACCATTAAAAAACATTATTAACCGGTGGAGAGCTTATTTATCAAAAACCGGCTAGAGTAACATACAAAAATAAATTTAAAAAATAACTACTGACAATAATATCGGTAAAAATCGATTTATCCGCTCGTATCCGAGCACACAAATTTTAGAATTTTTGTGAAAAATTTTCGCCAGTTCTAAATGTCGCAGCTCGCGCCCAAAATTAAAATATTCAATGTGCAGCCTGCGCAACAAAATTTTATTTATCGGGTCTCGCCAGCTTTAACAATAAATAACAGTTTATGCAGAGGGTATTGTAATACATGTTAATGCTTGTATAAAGGGTATTTTGCTGCTCATTCATTTATTTCAAATGGGCGACTTCAAAATTGAAAATGTGTTGTTCCATTTTGAAAACAGCCTACATGGTGACGAAGATGTTCGAATTGTGGATTATTTGAAAGCTTACGAGGAACTTAGCAGGTATATATACAAACACACTATCAGATACATATGATTACAGATTATTTGCAGAACTAGGAGTGGTTTTCGGGTTTGTAGAGTCAGATGTAACCGAAAAACGGAAAATTTTAACGGATTTGCACAGTAAAGACCAAACTTCTTATTCTACAGTGATCACCATGGTGTCTAATGAATGCGAAGACTCAAAGAATCCGAAGGAAAAAGGATCCAGGACGCTACTGCGGCTACACAGGGCTCTTGAGTTTCTGATACTCTTCGTGAAGAATATAAAGGACATGGATACGGACAGCACTACTGAAATGTTCAGAGCCAGCTATCAAGCCACGCTCTCTCAGCATCATACTTGGTTGATACGAAAATCTGTCGGGTTTGCTGCTGCCATGGTTCCTCCGCGACCGAAATTGGTGGAGATTATGTTCAACGAACATCAAGATACAGAAGCTTTAGAGAGGACGTCGACCAAGTTCTTGGAGGTGTCTACTACTGTTTATGAACGTGTGCAAAATGTCTATAGCGAGCGAGGCTTACTTAATTTATCTTAGATTGTTATATTCAAAATGTTGTGTAAATATATGTTTAATAAATATTTTTGTTATTTTTTTGGAGTTTGGTGTTCAAAAAATCAAGATTACTTTAGCAAAAAGTTTTTAATTTTATCAATTTAATTTTTAGCATATTAGCCTTCATTCTGCGCTATAGAAAAGTATATATTTTTCGTATAAAATGTCTTTTCTTTTCTGCGTTTAACTCGGGCGCGACTCGAAATGTAATTTATAAGGATTTTCGTAAAATTTTGAGTAAATTTACAGTTAACTACCTTTGTTAGTGATGAAGGAGCCTTCTTATGTGGAAGAAAGTTTATTAGGATTACATTTTAACGAGTATCCGCCGTCTTTTGATGTTAACAATAGGTAAGAGTGCTTTTAACAAGCGTAGTATACGTTTACAGGAACTTTGCTTTGGTTTCTCGGACGTCTGTTATTGTGTATGATGTTAGAACAGGAACTAGAAGGAACATTTTTCAACATCCAACAGCAATTGTTGGTGTAAAATGGACTGAAGATTATGTAAGTTGCAATTTATGGTGTATATTGATGTTTAGTTGATAACCATTTCACAAAAAGGAGAAGTCTTCAAGTGGAATGTAGAGCAGAATGAACTTACGGATACTCACAAAATCAAGCTACCAGGTCGCCTTATATATGTTTATTCTGTAGAAGATCAGTTATTTGGTCTTCTCAACGCGAAATCAGGAGATGTTTTAGGTAAATTCGACTTGAAGAAGTACGAAACGAGTATTGTGCTAAATCTTCCTGGGAAGATTGAGAAAGCTAAACGGCTTGCTGTTGGAGAAAATTATGTAGCCTATGCTAATGGAAGACAGATGAATATATTGGGATTTGACGAATCTTTTACTCCAACTAATAAAGAGTTCTTCTTTGGACCAAGCTTTGGGATGGAGTTCAATGATAAGGTGGCGTTTGAGACTGTGAAGATTGTCAAGAACAATTTGTTTGCTGTGCTCAACTTCGGGAGAGTCTACTGTTGGCAAGTTAATTCAGAATATTTATGTTATTTTTAATTACGTGTGTTTCTTTTGATATCTAAAGTTGTTATGTTTTCAGGAATAAAGTGGACGAATTTGGACTGAGTTTTTCCAATCGAACCTTCTTTCATTCTCATAACTCCGAAGTTACTATTGCTGTTACCAGTCTGTTGGCTGTGTTTTGTGGAACAGGGAACTCTCGCGTAGACAAGTGGAATATGACAACATCAGGAAAAGGAAAGTACGAACAGTTTCACGCCATGGAACGCGTAGATGCACCAGTAGACTGTCTATGGTTGAGCAACGATGACAGTGTTCTTTTGACTGTTTTGGCCGATAACAGTCTGGTTGTGTTAAACACCTCAACCTTGGCTGTTATATCTCGTCCACAATCTATTCAATGGTCGTGTGAACCGGTTTTGGATTGGTTGAAGCTAAAGACAGACGTGGAGCATCCAAATTACATTATCAGTAACAGTAGACATGGCTATGTACAGTGGGTGGATCCGGTAAAGTGGAGGACAATAGCTGAGGTAACGTTCACTTTTATTGATATCTGAACTTGAATTGTATTATTTTTGTATTCAAACGCTTTTCTCAATTAACTTTTAATTTTTCAGTTTGATGTAGCCAAAGAGAACGCTCCAACCAGAGACGGTGTGGCTATTCCAGATTATGATTGGACTAACGTATACCAAATGGCACTTTCATCATCTCTGATAGTAACTTGTCAGTCTCAAAGATTTTCTCCTGATAAGGTAAGTTTGTTGGCGATTATATTGGTGTTTTATTTTTCGTTTTATACGGAACTGGGCTTACAAGAAACTTTCAGACCGTTATCAAGTTTTTCGCCCGCCTGCCGACTAGAGCCATCAACGACATGAAGTACCTGAATTCGGTGGAATTGGACTTTAAGGTCAAGTTTTTGGTATTAAGTCATGGAGAAGACAAGCACACAGCTTATATGGCAAACACAGAGAAACAATACGTTGTAGCTGCAGGGTACGATGGGAAGATACGAAGCTTCCATGTAGACCCCACGAGACAACGGAAGTTCTGCCTCGACCTTACCAAGTGTGTGTCGTGGTATAACACTCAGATATACGACTGTTCTTCTGTGAGGTTCGACTTGTTTGCTACAGTAAATGGGTTGGATGAGAATGACACTTTTGTTGTCATTTGGAACGGATTGACCTTTAAGGCGATCGAATGTCTAGACCAAGCTCCAGGTGTTCGGTCAGTAGCGTGGGCCCCAGTAGCCAAGACTAGAGATGTGTTGTTGATGTCGGGCGATTGTGGAGTTGTAGCATTTGATGCGGTGGAAAGGACCTTTACATGGGCGATTCAACAGTCTGGACTGAACTTGTTCTGCGACAAGTTTATATCGTTTGCCTACAACAAAACTGAAGGTAATTGTTTTTTATAATTAGATGTGTTAAAAAAAATTATATAATTTTTTTAACACTAAGTCTTTCAGTTTTATGGTTTGATCCCCTAGATGGTAACTTGATCAAAAAACTGTCCTTCTCCAATCCACAAGACCAGGTCGTAGCCACAGGCAACGAAAGAAACTTCAGGTTCAGCGGGTTGAACTCTCAGGTAAGTCAACCTTGATTAGTGGTCTTATTTACATTTCATTCGCTTTGATTACTTTATTTATTTTAGGGTCTGTCTTTATTGAAACCCGAGATCGATGAGAACCAAGCACTTCGGGAAGTTACTCTAGACCTCAAGAAGACTCCATTCTCTGCTCTAGCTGAAGGTGTACGAAACCAGAAGGCCGAGCACGAATTTAACAAACGCATTAACACATCCAAGACATTGTCGGCTAGAAAGCTACTGGAAGGTACCGCTTACACCCTGGCCCCTCTCACCAAACTTGGCCCTACTTTTGTGGAAAGCTGTCTCATCCTGAAACAAGTGGACTGAAGGAGATTAAAATTGAAATGAGAGATATTGTTACGAACTTTACACTGTTTTATACTGTTGCTTGTTATTCTTTTTGTTATTTGTTAATTAAACAGAAACACTTCCAATTTTTGTATTTCTTTTGGGCTGATTCATACAAAAAGAAATTCTAGAACATCCCACGTACGATAGATGTTAGCAAACAGGGCTATTCAAGACAAGAGAGCGTGGGGAGCCTTGCTCCTCTTGATCCGCATTATTTAAAGGATTTTACCTGTAAATTATTTCTCATTTCAAAATGGGTGAGTACATTCATCGACCACGCCCTGGAGGCCTTGGTGGCGCTGTCCTCGACAAGGTAGGTATACTGATGATGATTTACAATGCTTTTAGCAAGCTTCTAAATTCAACGAAGAAGAGGCCGCAAACTTGCTACAATGGATCAAAGATCTTACGAAAGAGGACTTTGATGCTACTGGAACTAGACAGAACTTCTTGGCTCTGCTTAAGGATGGTCAGCTTTTATGTCGGTAAGTCATCTCATTCTTTAGTCCTGTTTTGTATAACTTTAAAAAACGCCTAATGATGACAAAGAATCGTACCGTTTTCCGTATTTCCTACCATATATAATATAAACCAAATCTTGATTTTGGGGAAGAAAATAATAAAAATTGCTTTAAGTTTTATCAACGCCGTTCAGCCGGGTATGATTAAGAAGATCATGAAACCGATCTCTAACTTCAACTGCATGGAGAACATCAACATGTTCACGAACTGTGTCCGAAAGCTGGGAGTAATCGACGAGGAAACATTCCAATCAGTTGATCTGTTCGAAGGCCGAGACCTTTTCTCCGTCTGTGTGACATTACAGTCTCTGGGAAGAAAGGTAACGAAAAACAACACAATTAACGTGACTTTCAGCTCGAGAAGATCCATGGAATCGCGGGGCCAAAGCAAATTCCCAAGAACAAGATATAACATCTTGTCATCGCATAATTATGGTCATAACGTAAAGTAATTAAGCCTAATACACTTGTAACAATTTATTTTAAATAAACTAATCTTGAGAACATTGAAACCGGAGAGGTACGTTCAAATGCATAATATAATTACAAATATAAAGCAAATAACCGAGTGCTAAGCTTAAGGCGTTAACTGTTACAATAAGAGACATCTAACCGTTACTTCAACAAGACATTAACCTTGACATCTAACTGTTAAATCTGAAACACAGATGAGAAAAATCTAAAAAGGTCACTAATATTTACATAAGACAACTCGATGTCCTAACAAGTGAAGACCTAGCACAGCTTGTGATCTTATTCATCGACCCATAATTGTTCCGAAGAAACGTCCAACGCCGACTCACCCCTGAGAGCACGGCACGACAAAAACAATATCCGTTTTAAACCTTTGTTCCAGCAGAGGTAGTTAAAGGTCCATATACAACCATCTTCAGTGAATGGGTCGTTCGAGTATTCCGGAATGTAACTGCAGAAATCAACATTATTGACAAATAGGTAACGCAAATCAGAAAGTGAACACAAGCTTTAAATTAAAATTCTCAAAAAAAGTTTTAAAGAAAAACTAAAATTTAAAACGCATTTTACCCACCTGAAGATAATGCATTCGTTCAGCTTGATCTCTTTGTTGATCGCATTCCAAAAAGTATCTCTGTGCTTTGCATATCCCCTGACCGCCGTGCTGAACTTATCGTTAATGTTGTCCATGCAATCTCTGAGTTCAATCAACGAGAAACTTTCGCTCTTGACCTGTGTGAAGTCGTAGTCGCTGTAGGTCAAGTTCAACAAAGACACCAGGTTAAATAACGTCCTTCTAGAGACCGTTCCCACCACAATCTGTCCGTTATCGTCCTGATCATTGTCTGAGCCAGAACAGCTCACTTCTGAAGTGTGTCTCAACCTTCCAGTGCCCAAAGGATATGGCGGAGAGCTAGCTAATCTGTGCATGTACGATTCTTCTGGAGGCGACAAAGGCTGCAATTCGTTGGCTTCTTCTGGACTCTTTATGTGCTTCTTCCACTCCTTCTTTTCCATTGTAACCATTTTACATGAGTATGACTCTATCCTAAACCGAAACTAACTATAACAATATATTACTCACCTAACATCCAAAACAAGTAGATTCGAATTAGACTTCATGAAGGAACTTATACTGTCCAATTCAGCATTCTCGAGTAGCTTCATCCTTCCGTTAGTATTTTACCGCGCAGAATATATATTTCCAAAACAATTTTCTCTAAATAATGATAAAAAACAGAAATCGGAAAAGAGCGACATCTTATACGGCGAAAGATGCATGAGAAAATAAAAATATTTTTTTCAGCGTGACTTGTCTGCGATTTCATATAGCATGTCGGGATGTAGTAAGTTTTAAATACGACTTTTATTATTTAAAAGTTTAATTTAGATTGTTCTTGATCATTATTAACAATAATTTTTTTTTAATTTTTTGTTTTCAGGATACATAGATGATATTCACATGGAAATTAATGCTCAATTCTTGCCAGTGCCTGCCATTCACTTAACGGATTATCAAATTCCAGATTTAACCAACTATAATGTAGGTTTATAGCATGTTATTAATAGTGTTTTAGTTTGATTTTAGGAAAGCGAAAGATGTTTTGTCTCCGGAAAAAGAACAACAAGTTGGAAGTGTTTCTGATGTTGAAGTAAAGCCCAAGGTAGAGATTCCTGCATCATCTCCGATTCAGATAGCTACTCCAAATCCCTTGCCGTCAGAAAAGAAAGCAGAATCAGCAAATGTGAAGAGTGAAGATTCGACCTCACGGATACATCATTTGGAAGAGTTCGAGAACAAACACAACGTCTTCGATCAGATGGAACTCATGACTATCGACGATAAAATAGCTCTAGCTGAACTTTTAAGCTCGTCTCGAGTCACGTAACATTTGTTGTTGACTTTTTAATCTAAATCTTATGTTGTTAACGAAACTTGAAGTTGTGAATTTTGACAAACGACTTGAATACTTTGAAATATGTGCAAATAATTACAATGCCTTAAAAATATTTGTCCACAAGTGAGTAATGCAGTTGATTTTTGTCAATAAAAGTATTGTGAGTGAGCGCGGCGCCGCGATTTGGGCCTTGGTGCCTCGAAGAGAACCGAACTCATCCGTTTTCCCTTCCAATCCGCTCTTTTCTTCGCTTAGAGGAGGGAGAAGGCGGTTTGACCAGTTATGGCCTTATCTTTAGTTCTTTTCTCAGCTTTATTCATATTCGTAACAGTCGGCTCAACGTTAATTGATCCAGGTAAATTAGTTTGCTAGAGATTATGAATTGTGGTTTGTTTTAGGTAATAACTTTGCCCTAGCATGCAAAATTTATAAACTGAAAATGTGTTATAAAAATTTTATGTAAAATTTATTTTAGATAATATTTTTACGGAAGGAGACATTGGCTATGATTCTTTGGCAGTAAATGCAAAGACATCATCGCTTTACGTCGGAGCAAAAGGACACATCTTCAAGTTATGGCTGTATAACATCAATGACACAAACCTCGTAAGCAAATTTTATATTTTTGGCCAAAAAGTTATATGAAATTAAGGAAGGAGACAACATGTTTACACATATTTACATTTTTTACGTGTTGAAGAGTTAATATTTAACGTTAAAATAATATTCTTCAACTATCTACTACAAAATAGTTAAATGAGGTAATTTCAGTCAGTGAAGAGGGTTTTGTCTTCGGATGCCAACGAGTTGGAAGACTGTATTAGATCGTCGTTGGCGGAGCAGGAATGTTATGTTAGAGTGAGGAAACAGTTCGTCAAATCCGATGGTAATCTAATAGTATGTGTCAGTAATGCCATGAAGCCAATTCTTCATCAAATTGATGGCAGTAGTTTAAAAGATTTGGAGAATCCCAGAAGCGCCATTGGAATCTGTAGTCCGCATCCTGAAGTCAATGCTACAGCTGTTTATGTTGGTAGGTTTATAATAATATTGGCTATGATTACAATAGACCATTAAAAGTTAATGTAAAGTTTTGAAATTATGTAAATGAAATAACGTTTTAACTATTGGAGTGATTTTCAGAATACGGTAATCCAGACGACGTACCATCTATTTACTCTGGTATCAGGACTGGTCAGTCGTTGGAGAACCATCTAATCTACCGACCACCCCTTGTCTTTAACAACAAGGAGATACAGCCTGCCTTGAGAAGTGTGTTCACGGATTCAAAATGGTTAAATGGTACGTTTACTTTCTATACTTTAATTAAGTTTTAATTTTTGAAATTGGAATGACGATTTTAAATTATCTTTTTATGCAATCCACAGAAATATTTTTGTGGATCATACGTATTAGTAATGACATATCATTCTCTTCCAGATCCACAATTCGTTGGTTCGTTTGCCGTGAACCAGTACGTTTACTTCTTCTTCCGAGAAGTTGCAGTAGAAACGGAAAACTGTGGTCACACCGTGTACTCTCGCGTAGCTCGTGTCTGCAAAGTAATTTGTCATTATCATATTATATTAGTTTTTAGAATGATCTCGGAGGTAAGAACGTGCTACGACAAGTCTGGAGCTCTTTCGTCAAGGCTAGACTGAACTGTTCAGTGTCTGGTGCCAGTTTCAATTTCTTATGTGAGTCAACTTCATTTTTAAACTTAAAAACTATTATTGTCTACAAGACTCAAGAGTCACTTTACGAATATCCTAAAACTATACTAACTTACCATAATATAGTTTTTGTAAAAATGCGCAATCCTAAGGTATTTTTTTCAGACTCCGTCTCGATGGTAGACATGGGCAACGATATGTCGTTCTACGGAGTGTTTGGTTCATCTGAAGGTAGTCGGCAGTCCTCAGCCGTCTGCCACTTCAGTCTCCGGTCCATCAACCATATTTTCGACACTGGCCTCTTTCTGGAACAACCCTCAGTTCAATCAGTTTGGTCGCCTACTCCCTTGGAGAAAATACCTGCCTACAGGCCTGGATCGTGCTATTCAGATTCTCGAAGTCTGCCAGACTCTGAGTTGCACTTTGCCAAGTCTCACTTACTGATGGCAGAATCTGTGAACACTGACGGAGAAGTGAAGGTTTTCGATCAGGAGCCATTGGGACAAATCGTGGCTGATCCTCGAGACAATTCTGTAGTTTTGTTTGTACATAATTCAAGGTAGTGTTGGTGCTATGAAGAATAAGTGTTTATTGCCATTATAAAAAGTTTTGTCAGTTTTAATTCAAATTACTTTGTTTCAGACAGAACGTTCTTCACAAACTCCTTCACTGGTACGACCAAAGACAATTCCGTTTGTTGGCTAGCTACACTTTACCATCGGAAAAGGTGAACAGCATTGCCATCCTACCCGGAGAGTACTTCTTTATTTCGACCAGTCAGAACGTTGCTCAGTATCGTTTAGGACAGTGTCCACAACACTTGACATGTTATCCATGTTCATCAGACCCCTATTGCTCGTGGAATATTGCCAGAAGCGAGTGTTTCTCGAGAGACGCAGTCCATTCTACAGCTGTCGGATGGATAACTGATATCAGCAATGCTGATAAGTGCAGGAATTATGTCAGAAGCGAGACAATGAAGGTCTTCCCAGGGGATTCTGTCCATCTCAAGTGTGGAGATCAAGCGGATTCTATCTGGGAAGTGGACAAGGTCAAGATCACGTCTGATTCTGATAACATTGTCAGGACATCAGCTGGTGGTTTAGTCATTTTAAATGTACGTCTTTAAATTTAACGGTGTCTTTAAAAACCAACTACAATATACTTATAAAACATCCAAAACAGTTTAATAATTTGAATATTTTAGGCTACAAGGAGTGTCAGTGGAACTTATCAGTGTTCCTTTGACGGAATGCCTCTACTTGAATATGTGGTTTTGGTTGATGACGGTTAGTTTAAACTTTGACATTTACCGTAATTTCCTTTTTTATTTTACCTTTGGGCATTATAACAAGATTTAGAATAAAGAGTAATCAAAATTGTGATGTTTTAGCCGATTGCGCACAGCCGAAGACAGTCGCCCAGTTTCAAGCAGTTCAAAGAGAATGGTGCAAGAAGTTGGAGCATTACAAGACCAATGTCAGCAAATGGCAACGGATTTACAACGAAAATGTAAGGTTTTAAAGTAGTTTTTATAATGACTGATTATGACTTTCTTCGACTACTGCTACCGAGCAACCAGTCGTAAAGTTAATAATAGAAATGACGCCTTCAGGGTGAATGTCCGCGAATCCCTCCAGAAATTACCTCAAAACACAAAAAGATTGCCTTACAATGATCTTCCTACTTTACTGTGCAAAATGTATAATAATAAACTTATTGATATGACATCGCTGATTGACATCGTTGACAAAGCTCTCCGGATTCAGAATTCCGTTTCCTGCATCGTGAACAGACTTGAAGCTGTTCGAGATCTTTGGATATTTCTGATCTGTCACCTTCTTGTATCTTCACTGATCCAACTCCCAGAAGCTCCACCAATTCAGAGTCCGTGGAAAACTGCTTCGATTGTACACATCGTAACAGGTTCCTATCTGATTCCGTTAGACGTAGAGTGTAATTCTAAAAAGTATTTGGATTACAATTTAAAAGGTAATTGTAAAATTCAAAATTACCGTTTTAGCGGGTGAAGTTTCGGTGATGGACTTGCGAAGAGACTGTGTCAGCTCCATAACCTGATCCAAGTCCTCACTCCAGTCTACTACTGGAGTTTGTCGTGTAGTCAACAAGTCACGATAAGATTGTGCCAAATCTTTGCTAAGTTCAGGATGATACGAGGCATACTCGGCTGTCAAATGGGGTAATAACGGGGAAAGTAATGCCACCAAGATGCGACCGGTCTTATCCAAAGTGTACTGTGCTGATTGATGAGATGCCCCGCCCACTTTGTCACAATATAATCGGTCTTTGAGCAGATTCTTAAATTTAAGTTAGAAATCACCATACTCTCAGTGTTTTGCCGGACCGGTCCGGTCCGGATTTTCAAAAATTGCAAAATTGAAAACAACTTTTGAGCTTATAATTTGAACTTTTAAAAAATAAATAACTTTTGTGAAGGTCCGTCTCATACAAGTTCCTCGCTAAACATTTGGACCGGCCGGACCGAATCGGTCTTGCCGGTCCGGGCATTTCGGTAATAACTTGATAGCCAAAGACGGACCTTCACAAAAGTTATCTATTTTTTATAACTTCAAGCGATAAGCTAAAAAGTTATTTTCAATTTTGCAATTTTGAAAATCCGGACCGGACCGGTCCGGCAAAACACTGACCATACTCCCTGAGCCATGATTATTTTTTTTATCGGTATTATACACCTAACACGTAAAGACTTACGACATAAACAGTACTGTATGGGTTCCTGACGAACTGTAGAATGTCGTTGGCAGCATGCCGGAACTCATAGTTACTGTACATTTGACGTACTCGTGTTTCCAGTGACATGGCCTCTTTAAGAATATACTGAAATACGATTAGTCAGTGTAGGATTACAATTACATAAAATTGGAAAGATATTGTTTTCCACATTTTAAAACATTTTTTTGTGATTCAGCCCCACACAGGTTGACTAAAATAAAAGTTACCTGATCCAAGTAATGCAGTTTTTCGGGAGCGTGACAATCGTACTGTTCCAGAGATCCTAATATAAATCTGAGAAGCAGGCGAATCTGTTTTAATCTCGCTTTGACCTCTTCCAGCACCACTTGGCCGATCTTAACATCACCTGGGTTCTCACTTCCGTACAACGCCACCCACAGTCGGAGACCATCTGCACCAATGGCTCCACTTTTCAAATTGCCGTCTGTTATCTAAAATTACTACTTGAATTAAAATAAATTTCAAATTTAAAATATTTTCAAAAACCACTCACAACTCCAGGGCTGATGACATTCCCTTTGGACTTTGACATCTTGTTGTTGTTCTTGTCGACTGTAAACCCGTGGACCAAAACCCTTTTGTAGGGAATGTTGTCCTACAAGACAAGTGTATTACTTTATCCAATAATACTGCAGTAAAACAATCTAATTTAAAGAAAGCAAAAAAAACTTAAAACATTGCCAAACTTTTTTCACAATAATAACTACAGTATACGTCACATACCTCAGCCAACATGGAAGTCAACAAAAGTGAACTGAACCATCCTCTGAACTGGTCCTTTCCTTCTAGTACAACATCAGCCTTCCTCCCATTCAAGGTGTGCCAACTCAGTCCACTATCAAACCACACATCCATAATGTCAGTTGATTTTACTACGGTATCTTTGTCCAATTCTCGGTTTCCACTCTAAATCAAAATATTTAACCGAATATTTTGAATGTTTTAGGTCACATTTAGGTAACAAAACTGTCACAAAATAAAACCTTACAATTTGAATGAGATCTTGTTCACTTGCATTCCAGTACCAATTGTAATCACCCTTAACATTGTCAGCCACAGTGTTGATAAAGTCGGCCGATGTGTGATGTTGGTCTCTGTCAAGTAGTGCTGGAATTGGTACTCCCCATACTCTTTGGCGAGAGATGCACCAATCAGGGCGGCCGAGCAGGAAACTGGCCATGGCTGACTTAAAATCTAAACCAATTTATTTTTACTCAAATTATTATTGACCGAATGCAAGGTATAATCCATGGTATACAGTAAGAATGTTATATAAGAAGCTCAACATACCATGCCCTCCAGTACCAAAGTTAACGTTTTCTCGTTCGATGCGCTCAACACATTGTTCACCAATGTTAGAGACGTTCAGAAACCATTGACGAGTGCTTCTGATGATTATTGGCTACAAATATTCACATTTGAATAATAACATAGTATCATACCCATCTTGCTTATAAAAAGAGCACATAGCGTTAATCAATCCTCTTAAACATAACTCAGTAAAAATAATGTGTACTGTAGAACTAAATACTCCGATTAATAAAAAGTAATTACCTTGTGAGTTCGCCAATCATAAGGATATGAGTGCTCAAAGTCTTGCTCATGAACAATATACTTCTTGAACATCTCCAGCACTGTGTCCTGACCTCCTTTCAGCACAAACTTTCCTTCCAGAGCTGTCCCAACATCCCTAGTATAACATCCTCTGTCATCAACATAACATCTCACTTTGAATCCTTTCTTAATAGCTACCTAAAACAATCACGCTTTTATAATATTATTGTAGATAATTGACCCTTTTGGGTAATATCACAAACAATTACATATGTAGTCACATCTTATATTACAGTAGTATGCTTACCGTATAGTCGTCAAATCCATGAGCATAGCACGTATGTACCAACCCAGTACCCATACTGGCAGAGACATGTTCACCATGGTGAAAAGGTTGAGCGATTTCATTGTACATTATCGACCGGTAATAAAGGTTATCCAAATGAGATCCATCGAACGTAGAAATTACCGTATACTCTCGGTTTAAGACCTCGGTAAGAGCAGGAAGAAGGTCATTACATATGATATAGTAATGCTCTACTGGCTCTCTGAAAACGGTAGAAACTACAGTAATCAAATTTTAAATGTAAAACTATATATACACATATATATATGCCAGCAACTTTTAAAGTAAAACCATACTTTTCGTTGTCCTTGAACTGTATCAGAGAGTACTGTAACTTGTTGTTGTAGGAAACGGCATCATTTAAAGGTAATGTCCATGGAGTTGTTGTCCAGATGAGAGCTGACACTAAGGGAGGTTCTCGACGTTTCCAGTTGGTTACTCCAACATCACCCAATTTGAAATTTATTACCTAAAGTACGTAACGCATTAACCCCAAAAATTAAACTTATAAACTACTGTAATATAACTCACTGGAAATGCAAAGTAGACAGCCTTGGACACGTGCTTGTCATTGTACTCAAGTTCAGACTCTGCTAATGCTGAAAAGGAGCTGGGAGACCTAAATTAAGGTAAATATTTTAGCAAAGTATAACTTTAAATTAATATGGAAATAACAAAATAACATTAACAACCACAACTTACCAATAGACAGGCTTGAAGTCACGATACACGTAACCTTTGTCGTATATCTTGGCAAACACCTTCAGCTGATTGGCCACATACGAAGGTTGATAAGTGAGATAAGGATTGTCCCAGTCCGACGTCACTGCCCACCGCTTAAAAGTAGATCTATGTTCGTTTACTATGTTCTTCACATGAGCATGGGCCAACACTCTGATCTTTTCAGGCTTTTTCTCCTAAAAATTACAGTAAACAAATCATAAAAAGTGCACAATATATTTTTATCAAATTTTAATCTCAAATCACCTTACCTTCAACGTTTTCCTGACCACGTTTTCAATAGGTAGACCATGACAATCCCACCCTGGATTGAACAAAACCTTTTTTCCACCAAAAACTTGACTTTTCACGATGAAATCCTTGAGAATCTTGTTTACCGCGTGTCCCACATGAAGAGAACCATTAGCATAGGGTGGCCCATCTAATAGTACAAACTCATCCCTATCCAACTCCCTCTGCCAACCATACAGCCCATTGAAATCAGCTTCTGAAGCCAATTCTCCGTCAATTCGAGATCGTTCAGTCGGCTTCACAGCTACAGGAAACCGCGATTTGGGAAGAAAGACACTCTTCTTAATGTCTGGTGCTGGTAGTGCTGAACATAGTCGCGTTTCACCCCTTGAGGCCGTTCTCGACAGCGTCCACAATTTCAGACAAGAACTCGACATCTTGGCCTTCTGGCCAGTCTAGTCCAAGCAAAAAGCGGACCGGCTTCTGATTGAATCCACACAAACACAATGAACTGGCTAGTCTACTCAAGAACAGATCGTACACACCCTAAACACATCATGTTATCAAATGTAATAATCGAAAAAAATCACAGAATTACAGTAGGATTATAAAAAGGCTTGCTATCAAAAAGAGTTTACCGTATCAGGTCCAAAAATGTTTCTGGTTTCAAAGTCTGTACTTCTTTGAACCGGAACGGCACTTGGGGGAAAGTAGAGATCGATTACGTGGCCAACCTTTCCCAAATTAGAGATAACAAAGATGTTCTTGTCCTCGAAACCTGATACAACAATGGAAACGTTCTGTCCGTTAGAATGAGTAAACGAGAAGTCGTCCAACATTAAACTTCAATTCAGAATAAAATTCGAGTAAAAATGGATAAAGCATTAAAGAAAAACCTCAAGCCTAATCTACAGATTACTTTATCAATAGTGTCCTCAAGTAAACATAAAAGTACCTAGGATTCAACCTATCTCACGCATAACCTTACTTTATTACACAACAAATACTGCAAAATAATGATTTATTAACAACAACAATAACAATAAAACAGCTAGGCATCAAAGGCAAACTTTTGTTGAGAAACAGGCAAAGTCTCCTTATCGTATTCTCGGCCAAGACGAATACGTTCTTGTCGAGCTTTGATAGGGGGAATGAAGATAAGTTCGCCAGTTTCCTCGTCCTTTTTGAAGAACAAGTAATCCATGACAGTATCACCAGCTAAATGCCAGCCGATAGCAAACACAACAAAGGTAAACAGGAGTTTATTTTTTGCAGCCTGAAAGAAATGTTGCATTATACTTAAGATATCCATTTACAACGTAATTTAGAATATTATTTATGTCAAAATGAATAACTTTAAAACGTCTTCTTTAAAGTTTGACATTTTTCATAAATCTAAAAATGAAACCGTTAACAAAAACTTACTTTTTTATATGTAGCAGTAGAACTAGGAGGAGAACGAAAATATTGGCGGAAACGTCTCCGCCATTCAAAGATTAGCATATTATAGTTAGTATCTTTGATCCTCAAGGCTAGGCAACAAATTGAAGCGCTTCTTGATGGCCAAACGATACTTCGAGTTTTTGTCGGCTTCTGAGAATCTGGCTGGATGAGCGGACAATGAAGCACGACCGTCTGGAGCGTTCTTCTGAAAAAATTCAAGGTAATATATGTGTTATGTTAAGATAAGCATTTAACTCTTCAGGTGAAAGAAATACAAGCAAATAACTTTAGAATTTTAAACTAATTTTCTGTTTTATTTTGTCTTAATCAAAATCTATTACAAGACCTTGTTAAAAACATTAAAATTAAAAAAATACTCACCTTGAGGGTGTACACTCTCTTCCCCTCCTCGTTCAAGTAGTATTTCAGGTACATGAGCGTCCAAGAACAGAAAATATAAAACTGAACAAAATTCTTTTTTCTTTTCCCTAACTTTTCTTCTAAACGCGGTCTGCATTCGTGTAGGGCGCAAGCGAAATCCGGCACACGCAGCCTGCGGTTCGTTTGTTATACCCAGTGTTTTGTCCGGACCGGTCCGGAGCGTTTTTCACCGGTCCGGTCCGGCGATTTTTTGGGTCCGGTCCAAACTTCAAATTTTTGGGTCCGGTCCGGCCCGCAAAAAACAATTTTTTAATTTTTAAAAAAAGCAAGGATCGCTAAAACTGCTTTCTTTTTGCTTAAAAACTCCTAAAAATATGTTTTATTTGCAATTTTTAAAACAGTTTTCTTAAAATAAAAAAAAAATTTTCTTCCGGACCGGTCCGGAGCTTTTTCTTCGGTCCGGGTCCGCAGGTTTTTGGGTCCGGTCCGGTCCGCAAAAATTTCTGTTTCGGTCCGTCCGGTCCGGCAAAACACTGGTTATACCGTAAGTAATATTTCGTCGATGATGTGTAGTAAACAGTTTAATGATAATAATTATGTTATAAAATCACGTTTGTATTGATTTTTAATGTAGTAAACAAATTAAACCTTTAAAACTGTTTGTCGCATTAACTATATTGTGTTATACATACTATAATATATAATCAGGTTACAATTATCAAATCTCGACACTCTAGTAACAAGTATATTATAACTCGACATTTTTCTCTAATCACATTCCTCTTGTGCCAACTGCAATAAAACTGACGAATCTGTGGAGTAATTTTGTTTTTTCATTAGATACGAAGGAGATATATAAGTAAATACCGTGGTAAGAAAATAACATTTAAATATTTATATTTATGTTGGAGCAATAGAATTACATCACGGACAAGATAGATACGTATGCTTCCAATACACGGGCTATGTCCGTTGTAACAAGATAGTAAAGGTTATGTTGTGTCCAAAGAGAGCGTCATCATTGTTTACATTACTGGGCTTAGTCTATGGGCTCGATCGACCGGGCCTGATTCACAAGATCAGAGAGTGATATTCTCGTGTCTGAAACCATATCTGTTATCATTATATTTTAGTTACAGTTATTTATCTGTCTAACATCACCTACATCTATATATAAGTTACTGTTGGTCAAAAGTCAGTAATATTATATTGTAAGCGGTATTAAATAAAGATTAAGCAGTTCTCAAGCACTAATTTGCTATGTCAATGTTGTTGTTGTGTGTATTGTTAGCTATTACGCGATTTCCAGGTAACTATGCTTTATTTAAAGTTACAGTGACGTTATGTTATTTACTGCACGGAACATACGAAATACTTAAAACGAACATACGAGCTACTTTAAAAAAAACATACAAAGTACTTAAAACACGTTTATGAGTTAATTTTAGAAACAACTTCATTAACATGTCTGGACTGTCGTCCTCTGCTACTGAAAGAGACTTGTGTACGGTCAGTAAACTGTTTCAACGGGTATTGTACTTACTGTAAGTTACAAAAATACTGCGTTAAAAGGTAGCTAGAGTTACTTTTTATAATTACACAAAGTAAAGTAGCTTTTACTTTACCTACAGTAACTTTAAAGCTTTCTGTATATACCCTTAATGCAATTTGACTGCTTCTCAAGGTTACGGTACCTACTGTAATAGCAAATTAAACCTATTTTGTCCTAATTACCCTTCTCCCACATTAAGGGCCTTGCCCTCATTAGCATAATTAAAGTTCGGTATTGTTGTAGACAACAAGACTTCTAATGGACTGTCTGAGTTGGACTACCGTTGCACCGACGTGGCCCAGCTAAATGGGCCCGGAGGCGTTGTTTACATGCAATTAAACAGGTGCACTACATACCTAGACAAGGATGTTCTGTATTCCTTGAAGATATGTAATTCGACCGATAATTGCAATGAGTACTGTAACGCCGGTAACTTGTTATCGGTTACTGTAACTATGGTCATTGCCTTTCTGTTGCTGGGCACAATGTGAATACTTTTCAAATTAAATTATGAGTTTCTTTCAGGTTTGAATTTGTGAATAAATTAAGTCTTTCGTTAGTTGGGAAAGTACAACAATATTAATATTAAAGCAAACTCTGTAAAGTTGGAGTTAAACTCGAAAGTAATGTATTCGTATTAATTAAAGTTGTAAAATGTGTTAATTCAAAGCTTTTGCTAACAAGATTACATTTCGAAATTACATTTAAAAGTTGTAGTTTGAGTCAAAAAATAATATTATACTTAAAAACTTTTAAGTTGAATTTGAAAAGCTTAAAATAGTATTTTAAATTAATTAAATTACAAAAAACACTTGTAGCCAGTCTTGGTAACACTAACCCAATCAGTAATTGGTTTAGAGACATTAGACAAGCTCAATATTCTACTTAAAACTTAAAATATTCATAATAATTTACCTGCAGACCGCTTTCCGAATCCGAAGCCGGCGTCGACTCGGTCAAAGACCCGCTTTCTCTTGACTAGCCCGAACGGGCCTTGATCCAACCGGTCGAAGGACTTCTTTTTCCTGTAGAGACTGGCTAGGCCAGAATTATACCGTTTCGAATAGGCGCCGAAGTCAAACGGCGACAAGTCCACTCTGTCAAATGCACGCTTGCTCTGGATGACGTACCTGTAAATATTAGATGGCTTAATGCACCACTCTCAGTATCAACAACTTGGTGGGTAATTGTGTTAGGCAAGGAAAACAACGTCGTTACGTGCACTTCCGAATGTTTAGGCAAATCTGAATGCCAAAGAAGGTAGTTTCACAGAGAACAACCTTGCGCCAGACATCCGGAAGTGCATAAAACAATATGACGTTAAAGAGAGTCACACAACAACAAGTTATTACTGTCGGTCAGCAAGTTTACAGAATTTTCATTTATTTTTAAATACAATTTAACTTTTTTAGCCTAGTACTACTTTGAATCACACCTTACAATAGTAATAAATAGCATTTAAAATGCAAGGAAAAACCAAAATTCTTAAAATTCCGCAGCATGACGCTATAAAACACACACAACAACAATATAATGACGTACGTTTGCCCACTACTCCTGGAATTCTGATCTTGTGCCAAGCAAAGAATCTGGAGCAAGAAGACCGTCAGCACCGTGAAGAGAGTTCGCATGTTGTGATTGTTCTGCCCTATGTGTATGCCCCACCTGAACTCTGAATGAAACCCATTATCAGATATTGTTTCGTATAACAATGAGTGTTCCGCGAAAAAACAGCTCGCTTGACGTTCCGTTCTCCGAAAATAGAGGGAAACGTGTAGCAGAAAGGTTACGATAGAGTATGTAACATTAAAGTTCTACCGTGGTGAATGTTACACAAACAAATTAAAAAATGTAACATAAGGTACGACATTAGAGTAGCTAATGTTAAGCAAGAGTAAAAACAATAATAAGTCATTCCAGTAAACTCATTCCAGTCCGCAAAGTAAAAAAAGTAAAGAGATTAAACATACAAACCAAAAGTTACAGTAAGACAACAAATCGAGTTAGCCCGGCCGTGCATAAAAGTGGAAGAACCGTTCCTTGTGCAGAGAAATCAGGAACAAAATGAAATTTTGCAACCCACGTTGTCGAGTGCCCTAAGGCTACAACTCTGGAAATCCTTTCCTGAGAACGTCGGAACGGTTAATCAGTAAATATTGGAAGAGATAATCCCATGTTTATTTATCACAACACAGTAATTAAACAAAAGTGTGGTAAGACGTGAAAACATAGTCTCGTATAGCCTAAAAGCACACTTAAGTGCTCCTGCACACTCCCAGCATGCTTCAAATGCACGAAATACTGTAAAAGCATAGACTGTAAAAAACTACTGTAAAGTGGGAAGGACCGCCTAGACCGTGCCGTGGGAACGAGTCCGGCCATTCTAGTGGAAACTCATTTAAAGACCCAATATTTGGACAGCCCATCCTGAAAACAGGGCCTGGCAGGTGTTTGTGTAATGGCATTAGCCCGCCGAGGGTACGGTGCCAGAGGTCAGCTGAAACACTGACCGCATTCCAATTATCATCTCCCGCCTGTGGCATTCGAATGAGGCGGCGGAAATGAACCTTCTCCATGGCACTTTTGATGCCATTAATTGAAACACTTTTTCACAAAACCAACGTTTTAAACCGCGACGTAAACACTCCTGACGCCATTTCGAGAGTGCACGCACTCCATTGCATCTCCCAGCAGAAGTAGGCGGATTTAGGGCTTGGGCCAAGGTAAGCTTATGCCGAACGTCATCCTGCCGGTGTTAGCATCCCTAATTGAGACTGTCTTCAAGACGATGACATTGTCCTGAGTCAACTACAAGATAGAATGACTTAGTGGATGTTTATGAAAAAAGAGATCTTTGAAGATACACTAGTATATCACTACGCCAATCCCATAAGAAGTCCACCCTTTACGATCAATCCTCCACGTATGATCTTCTTTACAGAGTAAAACACACAAAGTAGTTCCGCCAACAGTAGAGCCGGTCGTAAAGTCAGTAAAGCAGTAAACCTACTGTCGATGAAGACAGACATACAATTGCCATACTCAAACAGTTTCTCGACCAAGTACATACAAAAGTGAAGCGCTTCTGAATGGCTGCCTTAAGACAACTACATTACCCATGGCAACTTGTTGTAATATTGTGCTTTCGTCACGAGGCGTGACTGATAATCGTATTACGCAGCTGATAATAGTTTTATTCAATTCCGATATGCTGAAGCCGGCTGTCACAAAGCGTTAGCGTCGGCGCGGCCCTCGAAATAGATCTGTTGCCTGGGTAACAGAACATAGACTCGTCTTGAAAAGATAACCAACTCATCATAACATGTCCGACGAGAGTGGTCCTACTTCATCCCGACGTGCCGTCCGCTTTCAGGAACAGTGGGTAAGTGGTCAACAAGTGTAATGTCAACAACAAGCGTGGTGTCAACACTAACTATAGTATCCACAACATCTTGTTTTCAGCGACAAACTCAGATCCAAACTCTCGACTCAGACCAGGACTCCCTCTCCCAGTACTCCACCAGCACAAAGTCCTCGGCACGCACAGCACAACCTCCCAAAGTTGCACTATCAACACAAGAAACCCCGAATGTAGCCGCGGCTACAAAAAGCACTGCTGAGCCACTGCCTGAGGGGCCTTCGAATTTGATGTGAGATAATTAATACGAGGTTAAACGTTCTGGATTAATTAGTTTACTGTTTAAGCAGTAATATTAGCACAAAACAGCTGCAAATCTTGACGTATACTTACATTTCAAAACATCACTGGCACGGTTTGTAACATTACGACAAGTTTGGCTGTTTTAAATTAAGTAACACCACTTGTTTGGAGTAATAATGTACAAACTTGAAGAAGGAAAGACAAGCTTTAGAGTGAAGATGTGGAAAATTATAGTAGAAAGACACCCACCTCTAGTCAAGATTTACAACCTTATGCCAGTTATTTAAACAATACAAGTTTATATACTGACAATTGTCTGTAGGTGATAACAAGAACACGTTTTAAAGGTCTATTTTCGTACAAATCCAACACAGTACTCTAAGAACATACAATACATTCGTAGTTGACCTTGTTAACCACCACAAACCTAACTACTAAACTTACAGACAGAACAGTCAAGTATCCCTGACAGTAACCGATGACCGAGAAATACCCTCAAGGCTTTCGTTCATCGTCAAGGAAAAGCTACACGAGTTCGCGAAGGACATCAGAAGGCGCACCTCAGAAGTCCGCGAAGAGATCATCCGTGATGTGACTCCCGAGCCCGAGGAAGAGGTCGACAACCAAGAGGACAAAGGTCACGATGACGCCTCGCTGATGTCGCTGATCGGACTACACTCGGGAGACGCCGAGCAGAGCGAGGGACTGTACTGCGGCTTCATACCCAAGTCTGTGAATCCATTCAGTAAGTTGTTTTTGGGGTCAAATGCCTCGAATCGCACGCCTCGCTGCGTCCGCTTGGCCAAATATGACACATAAACTTTATATTACTGCAAGATTGTATAGTAAGAGCTTAACTGCATTACCTAATTCATTCAATTAAGGCGTGAGTTACATGGTCTGGTTATGTCTTGTGATGCTCGCCTTCCTCTACAATGCCTTGGCCATCCCCTTAAGAAGCACCTATCCTTATCAGACTAGACGCAACCTTCGCTACTGGATGATGGTCGACTACACCTGCGACCTCATCTACCTGCTGGACATGATCGTGGTGAAGCCAAGGATGGTTTTCACAAGAGGCGGAATTACAATAGTAAGCACAAAATACAGTATGACACACAATACAATATAATTTACTAGAACTTAAAGTTGAAGATGTTGCACTAAAAGTATAACAAGTTCAAGATATAACCTTTGTAGACTTAACACAAAAGTTTCTTTCAGAAAGACCCAAAAGAAATGCGAAATCACTACGTTATCAGTAACACCTTCAAACTAGACATAATATCAGTAATACCATTCGACCTCGGCTACTGGATTACTGGCCCAGTAGCAGCCTGGCGGCTGACCAGACTAAGTAAATTAGGATCCTTCTGGGAGTTCTTCGATCTCTTGGACAGCTCTTTCTCCAACCCCTACATAGTACGGTAAGTAAAAACAACATTACCAACTAGAAGATACGTAAACAACAATATACTTACACAAAAAGACTTGTCACACATGATAAACACCGTCATCTAATTTTATTATCTTCAGAATCACAAAAACCTTCAGCTACATGATCTACATCATCCACTGCAACAGCTGTGTCTACTACATGTTAAGTGCTTGGCAAGCCTTCGGTCAGATCTCCTACAGATTCCACCAACGGTGGTACCTCAACAAGTGGGTCTACAACAACCAAGGAAACGCCTACATACGATGCTTCTACTTTACTTCAGCAGTCGCTACATCAACCGGGAACAACCCTGCACCAACGAATGTAATCGAATACATCTACATGACATTTTCCTGGATGATGGGTGTGTTTGTGTTTGCCTTGTTGCTCGGTCAGGTACGTTATTTGCTGAACTCAACATGTACCATGCTTGTGTACATAATGTATAGCAACATGTATAAAGTGGTTCCAGTTTGTTTAAGCAAAAATAGAATAACACGTGCTACAGCGTCAACGTAGGCTATTAGCAGTGTCATTCGAACCGTGTAACACGTGGTATAATGACGTTTCAGATCCGGGACATTGTCTCCAACGCCAACAAGAACAGCGAGGAGTTCAGGAACATTATGGACAAGGCTTTGGCCGAGTGCAAACGACTCGATTTGCCCGAGCATCTGGTCAACAGAGTTCGCACATGGTTCATGTACACTTGGGAACAACAGAAGACTCTCGACGAGAAGAAGTTGGTCGAGAAGTTGCCTTTGAAGCTACAGACAGATCTGGCCTTATCAGTACATTACAATACTCTTAGTAAAGTGCAACTGTTCCAGGTAATCAAAACTGAATCACAATTCAAACGATTTTTTGCTAAAATTACAAAAAAATTGCAAAACCCGTTTAGATGTTGTGAAAACATGCAAATTCTGCAAACAAAGTCAACAAATCTTAGCTTGTTTGGTGTAATATACACCAAGAAACATCAAATTAGACAAGCATCACATCGAAAAAGCAAAAATAAATTTTTAGATTAATTTTTAACACAAAAAATAATTTTCTAAAATAATTCTAAAAACTAAAAATAAAATTTTTAAATAATTTTAAAAACTAAAAATAAATTTTCAAACGTTTTTTTTGCCGCGCGTTTTATTTTTCCTTGATCTGTGGCCAAACGATGCCAGTAGCAGCTTTAGTACAATTGTGTTAACTAATAAATTACCGTTCTCAAAACAAATAAGACAACATTGCATGCCACACAAACTTGAAATAACAGTGTAAACAAGCGGAACAGTTGGGATACAATACTGTACCCGTTTCACAACATTATTATACTAACCAAACATCTCGCTAACCATATTACCGTCAGAAATTAAAATGTTTTCGATTACCGAAACCTACTCCAAATTAGGAAACGAGCAGAAGCCAGAGATTAAAGTTTCGCATTTAGGATGCGGACCGTGCATTGCTAAGGGACCTTGTACTTAAGCTCAAACCCGTGATATTCCTGCCCGGTGATATGATTTGCAGGAAAGGAGACGTGGGCAAGGAAATGTACATTGTTAATCAGGGGATCTTGGAGGTGGTGGGAGATGCCAACCAAGTCTTTGCCACGCTCAAAGAAGGCTCTGTATTTGGGGAAATTAGGTAGGTTTGTCCAAGAATGGTACTATAACTACAAACGAGAACAAAGAAGAGTATTTACTTCGAAAGCAAAACTGAAAAAGTCAAAAACATGCCCTAATAAAATTAAACACACCAAAAACCACCTAAACCTAAAATACTGACAATTTCAGCTTACTGGCCATTGGCGGAAACAACCGAAGAACAGCCAACATCAGATCCAAAGGTTATTCCACGTTGTTCGTCCTCTCGAAAGAAGACCTCAATGATGTGATACGAGATTATCCCGATGCCCAACAGTTATTAAAGAAAAAAGCAAGGTAACGTATATATAAACCACAGAAATCACGTACTTCCTACGCCCAAAATAAACAAAGATACTGTTTGAAAAGAGGACGTACATGCTGTAATTGTTGTGTACAAAAGAGTTCATTTCAGAAAGATGCTCAAGAAAGACGAGAAAAAGGATGACACTACCAAAGAAAAAGCACGAGAGGAACTCAAGGACAAGTGCCGAGTCTCAACCGACATCAGGGTACCCAAGATGCTCCAAACAGTACGAGCACTCCTCCCGAAAGAGTCCCAAACAAAGCAAGAGCTGGAGAAAGTACTGGAAAGTGAGTAAATAGATGTGCGAGTGTAAATAGTAACAAATTACGTAACTTGTCAAGGCATGTGGGGGAGAGGGATTACTGAGTGTAAACGTCAGCCGGCTGACACTGACCATTCCAGGCAAAACCAGGAATCGACGCAAACTCAAAAGGTGGAGCACCATTCCCACCCATTTCTCGGTCGTTCCGGAACGTCGTGTACCACCGCCCTTGCAACGTGCCAAGTCGCTGGACTTTAGAAAAGAAGAACAAAGTCCCAAGTAGAAGGTACCTAGAGGATCAGATGACACTAGATTCAGTGATAAAAGTATATTTCTCAATTTGATAGGTTATCTTTATTTTTCGAGATTAAACTTATTTACTTGTAAGCGTGACTTAAAAGGTTGCGGTCAGATAAAGGTGAATATGATCTATCTGAGTCAATGTTTAAGCAGCCCTCCCCCTCTCCCAGGGTTCATGGCCCTTAGTCCGAGCAGACCGAATGCTGTGGCCTTACATTCTCGTCTCTCTCACCTTCACCAACTTCATTACCACCGAGTTAAGTAAGTCATCTTAATCCGAAGTAAGTAAATATTCCTAGTACTGAAGGCGTGCTGTGGGAATGAGAACAAATGTCAAGAGTATCAACGACCAGAGGAAATGTTTGGGGTCGCGTGTTGTGGCCCTGACCCCATAAATCAGTTCACTGAGATATGCTGTGCCAACGTGACACGACATCGACAACAAGGTGGTGGATTTGTGGACAAGTGTTGTGGGAATCAGACACTGAACTTTGACCAGACTTGTTGCAGGAATATTGTAAGTACAATGTAATATTCATCATAACATTGTTACTTAAGGTAGCTTTTTGGATCTTAAAATTGCTTATTACAAACAAATACTATATTTCCAAATTACAGGTCCACAATGTACCAAACGGAGAATGTTGTGGTGCTCAAGCCTATCCCCGCAACAGTATCAATGTTCTTTGCTGTAACGGCACCTTAAACACCAACGTAGAGCCTGGCTCCAGCTGTTGTGGTAACACACCGTACGATGGTGGATACCGAGAAACATGTTGTGGAGGACAAGTGTACCAGAAAGAACTATTTGATGGTTGCTGTCGCGTGCAAGGCTCCAATCCTGTAGAGTACCGCCAATTCAACTCCAGAACCCACCTTTGTTGTGACGTTCCCATCGAACGCAATTCGAATACCAAATGTTGTTATTTAAACATGGGGAATGGTACTTTCGTTCCAAAGAGCTACGACTACACGACAAGCTGCTGTGCCTATCCCTACAAACAGATCGTCCCCAAAGTGGGCGACAGATGTGTGAATAGGCCGGTCCAGCCGACAAGGCAGCCTGATCTCGAGGAACTGACGTGAGACAGTCACCATGATATTGTTATAACTTGTAGTGAGCTCAAACATAGTCATAGTAAGCTATTTTACTCTGTTATACGTCATGCGAAAGCTCTTTTGTATTGTATATTACTGTATTGTGTCCATAAACTGATTCATAACCTTGTAATCATCTCGAAGCATCTAAAGTGCAATATGTGTATGCTCTTACAAGAAGACTTGTGATACAGTGCCGTCGATTACTGGCGACAACCCTCCTCGAGACTGCCTAATTCGACGACAAATGAGATTCGCCGGAGGGAATTAAGCGTCAGGGGGGGGAGTGATCGGAACGAGGAAAAGCCAAGTGAATAACCTTGGTGCTGGGCTCCGCCTGCGTTAGTAATGGACTGACTGTATTATTTTTGTTGTTGTGATTATATTAGCATAAGCAGCGCCAAACAACCAAAGAATCTTGTTTGGAGTGGTTGTTGGCCGACTTTCTGGAGATTGTTTTCAGATGCTTGAATAGAATGTCACTTCAAAAAAGGCTAGCCTGTTCGTCGGCGTCGGAATCAAATGAGAGGTAAGTAGGGCCTGAGGTCAGCGGGTCAGGACTCTAATTCGTTCATGGTGATGTTGTTGTTGAGAAAAAAAGCTTGTAGAGAGACTACTAGCTGTAGCTTTCTTAATATAATGAACCCGTGGCCATCTTTGACATCAATTACTATCATCTTTCGAATGTCATCATTGGTTAACATTGTTCATTATCTATCCTTTACCAATTAAGACATCATTCACGTTCTCAAACCCTTGAGTTTGTTACACCCTTCCATTTCAATTTTGTATATCTGGTATAGTTGTACTAGTGCCAATACAATTCCTCCCTCGTAGGCTCAACTTTCGTTTTCTGTCGCAAAACATTCACGTTCATTCCGCAGCCGATGATTATATGACCCGGTTAGTAAATTGTGTTTCTAGTCCAACTAGCGTCTGCCCGCCCATGCCGTACTTGTGAGCAGCTACTGACCGATTGACCCCTAAATGACCTGATCCAGTTGCGGGTCGCTCTCACCTTAAAATCCCGATTCTTTTTATTCATGCCCGATTCGAGGAGGTTCAGTGCTGTCTGACTCTGGTCATTGATAAGTAAGTTTGGTTTTTGTGTAATTTTGTCAAAGGACATCTTAAGGGCAGCCGTGTCTATTTTTTTGTGTGAAATTGCTTTCAAATCGTCTAGTTAAGATGAGTTCACTTTTGTGTAAAATAAGTTGAGGAAGAACCTACTATAACATCGAGTTTTGTTGTTAAAATGTCCAAAAACTCGTAAAATATTGCCAAAAATGCGCCAAAAATGGCAGAAATGCTCTGTTCGACTCCGCATTGTCCATCGTATCTTTGTACAGCCATCTTATGTTAGCTAGCGCACAACGCCCGCCTGTTGCGCAATTGCACAACGCCTAGACATAGCTAAAATGAAAAAAACGAACGCGCACCTCGACGAAAGAGCGGTGGCCAATTCCACCGGTACCTTGAAGTATGTATTCCGCAGAGATTTGTGTCCCCACCGTCTCTTCCACGGATTCTGAGTTGGAGATCAAGCCCAATATCAATAAAAAGTATCCCAAGTTGAAGTCCAACGAACGACTGGTCGAGAACGACGAAAACGGCGGCGAACGTAAGTTTTGGGCAACAAATCCAATATTTAGGTATTTCTGTCCATATTTTCTTGTAAATTAGGTATTTTGTGGCAATATGTTCTTGTAAAAATAGTTTCTGAGCAGGAAAGCAGATATTCAGGTGTTTTCCAAATATTTTTGTAAATTATTTGTGAAAGAACTCTTTTTTAGGTAATTGTAGAATTGTTTTGCACTCTTTTGAAATGTTTCCACAAGGTTTGGAGAAAAAAGCATTTTAATATTTTTATGAAATATTTTGAAAGATTTTTGGCTAAATTTGGACATTCCTTTTGGGCCAGTACCTTATTTTACTTTTATCTTTTAGGTTTAGGTAACACTTTTGCAAAGCTTTTTTGTTCTTGTCAAGTTGTTTTGTCCGAGGCTCTCTTCCACCATAAATTACATTTTTCTTCATTAGTTTTCGTCCAATCAGCGTGCTCCTTACTTCATCTTACAAATGCTATTAGTTTTGGTCAAAAAGTGCAGCGAATCGTATTTTATTTCACGGTAACACTTGAGGTTAAAATTAAGTTTAGTTTTAAAGATCAAATTCTCTGTCTTGTAGGATTATATATCTTTATTAATTGAACTTTTAGTGTTCTTCATCGTTGTTTTGTTTCTTTATCTTTTCAAGCTAAAGGTCAACCTTGAAATTCTATCGATATCTATAGGATCTCTATCGGAATAATTATGATTATAGCTGTCGTAGAAGACACTAAACTAGACTTTATTTAAATTAACATCTAAGGCAATATGGCTTTGATAGTGAATCACACTTCATAGACGTTTTTCATAAACACTTCGAAGTGCTAGCCAGGAAGGGGGGGGGGCATTACAGAAACAGTGTACTGTTATCTATTTTTAACGACCGCCGCAGGCTGTGCAATTTGTAATAGACAGTAGTGATTAGATGTAAGGGGAAGGCGACACCTGATGAAATGCTGTAGTTGCGCGTCGCACCGTGCGGTGACAGCCCGCGACACGAGAGCCAGCCTTGGCGTCAGGGTCGTTGGAGAAGGGGGGAAGGGGTTACGAGAGAGCGAGACGCCCGTGGCAACGATGACCTTCGTCACTGATTCTGCTGCTCTAATCGCCATGCCCGCGTCAAAGGAGGTGGAAGTGAAAAAATGGAAAGGGCGATTGCGTAGTACCTAGCTCAACAAAACTCGGCTGCGGGGTTTTTTGTGCCGGCTACTGCCTTGCCCGTGAGTCGCCTTCTTCCTTCGACCCTTGCACTTCCGAAGCACCTACAGGGGCGGCGTCGCGCCGGAATCTGAGTCGCGCACTCAGGATCCCCTTGATCTCGGTCCAACTCTTTTTTGCTCACCTTCCTCCCCGCCCCCGATTGGTTCAGCCGACTGGCTCCCCATTCTGCCCTTTCACCTTCACGTCTCATCGTCCACGAGATCCGTCTTGCCCTCAAGGACTCGCCTGGCCTAGTAATCCTTGATGGTTGCTGTTTCAGCTCAAATCGAAGTTATACCATGCAAAGTGTGCGGCGACAAGTCATCTGGAGTCCACTATGGCGTCATCACGTGTGAAGGTTGCAAGGTTAGTCCGTGACCCAATGACCTAAACTAATCATGTTGTTGTAGGGATTCTTCCGCCGAAGCCAAAACACCCCCGTCCAGTACCAGTGCACCAGACAGAAGAACTGCACGGTAGACCGCGTCAACCGAAACAGATGCCAGTACTGTCGGCTACAGAAATGCCTGGATCTGGGAATGTCCCGAGAGGCCGTCAAGTTCGGCCGAATGTCCAAGAAACAGCGAGAGAAGGTGGAAGATGAGGTAGGTCTTTTGCTCTTCATTTGTTTTTATTTACTGTTGTCAATTAGTTTATTTGATTTATAACATAATGTAGCTCAATCTTTAATGTCATGTACTTTCAGGCCCGGATGTGCCGTGAACGAGCAGTGTATCAGAACTCCCCCATCCCTTATGCCTATGAAATGAAGTATTCACCCAACCAGATGTACCTCTCGCCTCAGACGGTATCTTCTACTCAACCACTACAAGGATACGACATGTACCACTCATCCCCTGGCAGTTACCCTCCGAACTCCAACATCAACGGAATCCATCCACCTTCAACTCCCATGCCTATGACATACGTCCACCAACCTCACCATGGACTGGCGCCCACAGAACCATACAGATATACCCAGAATGCCCTTCCTGGATACCCTGTAGCACAAATGGGACAACTCCCACCCACTTCAGATGGTTACATCACCGAATACAAAACCGAGTACGACCTTCCCCATACCGAGGTATCGACAACGTTCAACGAAATGATGGTCGACACCATTGTAAGTGCCTACGACACCGTGTATGCCCAATATAAGAACGGCAAGGACAATGACGAGAATTTGACCATCCACTCCAAGCAGCAAATGTTCATGAATATGGTAAGTTTTCAGTCGATTATCGTTGTCAATTCACATTATCACCTTGTACGAAAGAGCTCTTGCATGACGTATAATCTTGGATATGTATTTTAGTAATTGATTTTCAGGATCGTATCTCCGGCTGGCACAAATTCTCTGCCGAAATCACCAAAATCATCACATCTGTCATCGAATTCGCCAAGTCCATCAAGAACTTCACGTTTATCGACCAGAACATGCAGATCGCCATCTTGAAGAACGTCGCATTCGAAGTGGCACTGGTCATGGCTCCACATATGATGAGCCTCGACGATAACGAGGACAGCATCATAGTGGACGATGTCCGGCTACCGCTCAGCTTTTTCCAATGTGTGGATTCTTTGGACAACGACTTCGGGACGAGTCTCATCAACCACCTCCGCGAGTTGGCATCGTTCCACTTGACGAATCAAGAAGTCGGTCTTCTGGCAGCCGCCATCCTCATGAAGTCAGCCGACTGTCAGCACGAGTTCGTGGAGCAGCTCAAGGACCACTTGAAGCAACATCTCTCGTCTCGTGCCATCGTCGAAGACAACACGGTGGACGTGTTCGGAAGACTGTGGAGCTTCGTCAACCAGTTATCGAACCTGAAGCACCAACATCACGAATGTCTACACAGGCTGCTACACGAGAATCAGTCGTTCTGCGACAAGTTGTCGCCTTTGTACAGAGAATTGTTTTTGTAGATTCGGTCTAGAGATTTAGGACTTTTATTCTCGAATACGGGTTTTGGACCTGTGATAAACATGCAGAGAGCGTCGCCATGCCTTTCTAGATGTTGTAGCTGTTCATGGGGACGTTGTTTGTCATGTTCTTGTTGTAACATAACGTTCTGCACTTATCGGGTTCTGGGTTACTGTAAGTTGGTTGATTGTGTCAGCCTCTTAGATTGTTCAATATTCTAATTTTTCAGGATTTTTAATAATTTTGTATTGTACTTTTAATGGATTGTCTTAGTATTTATTGTGCTGTTTAGTACCCTTGCTACTTATTGTAAATTCACTGCCTCAGACGTGTCTTTCTTTTCGCGCTTCTCGTCCCGTCTAGGCTATTCGCCGTGGTTTTATGGGATCGCTCTTGAAATTCGAAAAAACCATTGCACAATCGTTTGTTTTCCTGCGGGAGTTTTCGCAACGGCGCCTCTCCTAACCCCGATTCGCGCTCATCCTCACAAAGATGCCACTCTCGGAATTAGGTCAGGTGTCCGGACTACCCTGGCACGGTTCGATGCAAGTCGTTTTTTGGATTACACTTTATTCTATACATTCATACATACACATACATTCCAAGCAACGCCGGTCAGGTCTGATTGTCGCCAATCCCTGCGGCCGTTACCGTATCCTTTCTTAATGATCTGGCCACTTTTCCAATTTCTCGTTTCATCAGTTTCCGTGTTCTTTTGTTTTGTTTCTAATCGATGTTTGGCCAACAGCCGGCCGAAGACGGCCTTGTAAATAAAGTAAACGAATCTATTGATGTCGGAGTTTTGGTTCAGAGACTGCCTCAGGCACTTTCGGAATATGGCTACATAATATGACACGGTGTAGCCGAGTGACCGTTGGAACGCCGACAACGCCAGTCGTTGGTTGGGCGAGGGAAATAGGGGGTAACAAAAGGTTTTGTCTTTGTATCGTTGGTAGTCGATGGATACCTTTATCGATATAGAAGGTTATTTTCTTTTACGAGCCAAGAAATATAAAAGTAAATATGAACTTACATGGTTGTCGGTTTTGTCGAACACGAAGCCACACCATCTTATGAGATCAGCACTTGCACAGAGATCATACTCAAAGTCGACTTTGACGTTGTCCCAGTTCAGAATCTTTTGGCTATTCAGGTATTCCAGGACCTTCAATAAACGTGTAAAATAAAAATGAAACAATATATAACAAGAAGTGTAAAAAACTACAATATAAGTTACCTACCTTTACGATAGATGTTTTGTCAGTGCCGACAAGCAAGTAGTCATCAACATATCGTTTGATAAAGAGTTGATCAGTTACAGGTCCAATACGATTTTCGAATAAAGATAGCCAGAACTGGGTTAAGACAGGTGACAATGGATGACCTTGTAGTAGCCCGTCAGAGAATTTAAGTTTTTTATTTTTGAAATCAAAGGTCTGTCCCAAAGCTTCGTTGATAATAATGTTGTAGGCATCACCAGTCTTTACCTCCTAAATCATAATACTTTATTGAGTTCACAAGCCATCTTTTTGTGAGCATTGAATACCGTTATAAAGAGATCAGCCTTACCCGTATGAACAAAGTGCGCGCTTTCAGTTTCTGCAAGGTATTCTGGATGCCAGTTCGAGTAACACCAGCTCTGTAGATCACTTTGCCCCTAGCATTTTTTGTTACTAGCCCTTTGCCAACGTAAAACGTTCTAAAAATTTTAGAAATGGACATTTATACTTATATTACAGTTACTATGATAAGATTTATAGTCAATTCGGCTTGAAGTTTTGCTATCCTATTGACTTTTTGACCAAAAACTTTAAAGAAATAAAATTACCTTTCAGGAAATAATAGCTGCCTCAGACGTTGTTTCAGTTTTTCCAAGTTTACCGATCCAAAGCAGTTGGTAATGTCAGCCGTGCCCCAAAACAGTTGATTCTCCTTGTTTCGGTCGATGAATATTTTATAAGATTCGAAGAATTGAGGGAAACCTAAAATAACAAAATTTTAAATTATTACGAGTCTACAGTACTCTCTACCTACTTTTCAACCGTATATCAGCAGAGCTTCCAGTTCTGTCGATCAACACTTCTAATACCGTAGCCACAATTGCCATCGTATCTTTTTCGCTTCTTCCGAAGCCTGACACTACTGGCCGACACCCTCCACGTTTTGGTATCACACTGTAACATGAGAAAATAATATTTGGATAACTATAAAAACTTAATAAAAAATAGATAAGATTTAATAGAACATACTGTAACTTCCTGCCATTAGTAGCGTCCTCAACAAAAACTGCTCCACTTTTATGTAATCCTTCAGCAATCGCCTTCTGCCACAAGTGTTTTAGGTATAAAACTCTTTGTTCACATCTGTTTTTGGTAAAGTAGAACGTCTTCCTAAAGATATTGATATTGAATGAGTATTAAATGAAATGAAAAATATCTATAAAGACAATTATAAAAATAATAAAAACACGTTTACCTGGCTATCTTCATCAAAAATAGATACACAAAACTGAAGACGTTCGACCGCACATTAAAACGACATTTCACAGGAAGCTGGTCACAGAACGACAATCTCTGCTTGAATAAGGTTACCTCAAACTCATCAGCGCCAACATTGCCCAACAAAGCAGAAGCGCAGATGCCGGCTAGATTCTGAGATTCAGAAGTCGACAGTAAGTAATCGCCGAACAATAGAGCCATTGTTTTACAAAAGAAATACTTTAATTGTCCGTAAGTTACTCTAAAATTTCAAAATAAATTGTAAAACTAACTTTGGTATCAGGAATTTTCAATGACTGAACGTTATATTGCCAAAGTAAAAAATTACATTTTCAGTTCTTTCACCATTGTATCCTTCATCAACCGACCAAGCCTGAACCCATTTATCCTCTGTTTCAACTTCTCCGAACATCGAAGCAAATTATCGTAAGATTCGGGTAACCGTGACTTTAATTCAGAACAAAATTTGCTGCCAAATAATATCGTAACATCTACTTCAAAACCCTATAATAATTAAATGCTCATACACTTCAGATAACCTACAGAACTAAATATTACAGCTCGGTTTTTCTCCAAAAAATCCTTGAGATTAGGCTTATCTGAACTAGACGCCCATGTTTTCCCTTTACAATGTCGCTTTCTTGTCCTCATATTCAAACTACTAAAGTGTACATATATATAAACAACTTCACAAACAAACAACACAAGTAACCATAAGCAACTGAAACATACAATAACACCATATCTAACCACGACGTTATCCAAAAATTTACTTTTCAATAAACAAATAACAATATTTTAATTGATTTTTGTAAGAAGACCAGCCTTCTTGTCCAGTTTCAGTTTCTGGAGTTGAAGAGCGACTTGTTGGGAACGGAATGTCAACCGTTTCGTGTTTTCCATGACTTGTTCGTGGATGCTGGTGGCCTTGGCCCCCATAACAACTTGGCCAGATTGAGAGTCGATCTTAGCCCCATCTATTCTGTAGTTCCTAATCAAGTCCACGATCCAGCGTTCTGCCTCTGCTTTGTCCATATTTAGCCTAGCTGACAACATTTCCAAGCTGATGCACTGATGGATTCTGCAGAACATCTCGAACACCAAAAGTCGCGCACTTTCTCTAAAGTCGTCCAAGCATCCAGTTAAGAAGAAATCATTAGACAAGACAGCTTCACATTCTCTCAGCTTAGTTTGGGCAGCTTCAAAGTCGTACTCGAGATACAAACATGACAAGAAGTCGGTTACTGGGTCTTGATAGTTTCTACGTTCCTAAAAACAATATATTAATACCTAAAACCTTCCAAAACATAAACGTTTCATAACCAGTTTAAAATAGCGTTTCACAGGAAATGAACTTACAACATCAATAACCTTAATCAAATCCTTCAAACTGTTCTTTTGTTTGTTCTTGCTGGCCACAACAGCTACAGCAACATAACGCAGTAGATGAGGACAAATGATCTGGATAGTATTGAGATACGTCTGTTGGTTCAAAAACATTTCAATGATCTCGTCACGACCCTTAGGGAAATTGAAGTAAACAAAAAGAGACCAATGCAGTAACCAAGCACGATGTTGCAGAAGTTCTTGTTCAGAATCAAAGGGATCAGAGTCCACATAAGCACGGAGCTTGGAAAGATCGTCCTTGGCATGAGCCCATTCTTGACACAAGATCTCTGATGCCAATTTACCGTACAGAGCGTTCAAATAGTTTGGATCGTTTTGAGGTACCAAGTTCCGGTAATAGTAAAGGCAGATAGAAGCAGCAGCGTAGTTTCCACATTCGTACTGGAACTTGGCGTACTTGTATAACACACCCAACATTTCGTCTTGGAACTGAAATTGAAACTTTAAGTGTATTCGTCTTAGCAAGCATATAAGCAAGATAATGGAAATTGCCTAATAAAGACAAATATATAGAGTAAACTGACGTTGTAGTTGGTCTGCATGTACTCCAACACTCGGCTATTGCCGTCTCTGTCTCTGGCAGCTTCCATCAACTCCTTGACGTCCTCCTGCTCCAAGATCTCCACGACTGGGTCAGCTTGAGCCTTGAGAGTCTCAAGTTCAGACAAAATTTGATCTCTCCTCTTGGTTAGTTCACTTGGAACCTGGTTGGACGGATATGTTTCGATCACCGAGTCAACCATGTTAGTCCTCAGCAAGACATTTCTATGCATCTCCACTAACGATTCTACATCGTAAATCTAAAATCCGAAATAATGTAAACTAAATTATGAACTTACTTCTCGAGGACCAATAAACTCCAACAACGGAATGACCAAATGTAAGTCGAAGAATGGAGAAATCTTCTGAGTTAAATCGTACTGAGCCATGTTTGGCTAAAATGTTTAAAAAAGTAGATTTAGTAATATAAAATTCATGATTTAAATCGAATATTTCATTATCAAATAATAAATAAAGTATAATGAAGAAGTTTTTGATAAAATACGTAAGTAAATCAAACTACAATCGATTAAAACAGCAAAACAATAAAAAACGCATATATGGTTTCATGTACACGACGAGAAGCTGCATAATATCTGAGTGTCCCACAATTTTTCGTAAATACGTTACGCCAAGCAATATTCGCCTCACAATTTCCTGTTAAGACCGTTCTCCCGCTTTATTATTGTCTAAAAGAAATTATAGAAAATTCATGGTTTTATATTTTCTTGATCTGTAAGAAAGTATGAATACTTCCTTTTAAGTTCTCCGTACAGACTATGGATGAGAATTTAAAAGGGAATTACATTGATTCGGATGCTGAAAACAAGAAAAACGCTGGTAACTTTCCTCCATCAAGAAATAGAGTAAGTTATAACTACTGGAAACAATCTTTAGTTAACGATTTAATTTATTGATATGATATACAAATTTACTGTGTTAATTTTTTTCAAGATTTTAATCTTTTTAGCCACTAATGGTTGACGATGCGCTACAGTATTTGGAGCAGGTGAGGCAACAGTTTGCCGATAACCCTGAGGTGTATAGCAATTTCCTTGAAGTTATGAAGGACTTCAAGTCTCAAGAGTACGTTTTTTTAATATTTTTTTAGTCAACAATTTTATTTTTCTGCTGTGAAATTAATTAGTTCTTTCAATGTGCTTTTAAAAACAATGTTTTTTCTTATGTAAATATACATTATAAATATTGTTTTTAGCTTAAACTCGTGACATTATTAGTATTTTCAACCAGTTTCATTTTTTTAGAATTGATACTCAAGGGGTGATACGACGGGTGAGTCAACTATTCGTTGACCATCCTAATCTTATAACTGGTTTTAATACGTTTCTTCCGAATGGATATGAAGTACAAGTTCATGGGAACATGCTGAGGATAATAGAGCCGACAGGCGTCATTAACTTACCAATGGCAAACAGTCAAAGTAAGTTTTGAAAAATATATTTATTCCGCTTCCTAGGCAACGAAACTCAAAATGTGGGAAACGCGATTAATTTATCAAACGAACCTAATGGAACCTTGACTCTGCTCAAAGTCAATGTCAACTCGGATGCTCTTATGAATAGTGAGGACACATTGGATCAGGCTTTTTCTGTTTTGAACAAAATCAAGGTAAATTTTGGAGATCAAGGTTGATTTAAATGTTAAAATTCAAAATTATTTTTGAACTTAATTTTCAGGAAAGATACAGTGCTCAGCCTGATGTATATCAACAATTTCTTGTGCTCTTGACTAGCTATCAGAACAGTGTTCGTAATGATGTAGGTATTTTTAATTTTTAGGTAACATTTTTTTGACTTTATTTCAATTTCATTATTTTAGAGCGATGACAGGCATGAACTGTACAATAAAGTTGTTGTGCTATTCAAAAACGATCAAGATTTGCTTGAAGAGTTCAAAGCATTCATTCCTACAGTTTTTAATGAGTATAATGAAGCCAACGATCTGAAAAGCCGGAAGATAAAGTCCGAAACCATAAAAGTAATTTTTTATTTTTAAATATTTTTAAAATTCGTTCTGTATTATCTGTGAAATGTCTATTTTTAGAAAAAGAAACACTCACTTGCCATGCGACATTCTACACAATGTCCTTTGACACCAAAACAGATATTATTCTTCGAAAAAGTAAGTTATTACTATGTAAGACATGACTTTTTTGTTTAGTTGAACCGTCTAAAGATCGCATTGGAAAAGCCGTCTGTTTTGAACGCGTTCTTTCATTCGATGGAGTTGTACAATCACAATCAGATTACTAGAAATGACGTTTTCTGTGTGTTGGCACCGTTCTTCCGGCACAGTCCGTTCTTGTTGAGGAATTTGAAAGAAATCTTTGACCAATGTGAAGCCGAAGCTAAGGTCGGTAGCAAGAAGCTGCCTGTCGATATCAGCTTGCTTGGTGCTGAAGATGCTGACTTCGATTATATAACGACACGAAGGATGGGTCAGAGCTACAGAGAACAGGCCCCAGAAAAGCGGGATGCTACATGTAGTGGAAGGAAGGTGAGACACAGGATGGTGCTGAACGATAAATGGATGGCGTTTGCTTCGTGGCAGTCGGAGGACTCTGCTGCTGTATCTTCGAAGAAAACCCCGTTTGAAGAAACTTTGTGGAGGATAGAAGACGAACGATTCGACTACGACATCTGCGAATCGATCCTACAAGCATCGTGTGGAATATTGAGTATCATTCAGTCGAAGATCGCTGTTATGGAACCAAGAGAACGGAAAAGGTTCAAGTTGGATCAGAATTATGGTTGTGACAAGACACCGACTTTGATTCCAAGATGTATAAAACGAGTTTATGGGTGAGTAGCTGTTAATTGTATTCCTTTACAGTTAAAACGTGTTTGAAATTATATTTTTTAATGAGCTTTAACTTTTTTTTACCAAATCTTTTTATTTTAAGTGAACATGCTTCAAAGATATTGTCGGCTTTGAGGAATGCTCCTGAAGATTCTGTAGCCTGTGTCCTCAAACGGTTGGAATTGACATTAGAGCAGATGAGGAAGGATAAGGTCGTTAAGAGCGAACGATGGGCTGAACAAACGCGAGCTTGTTTGAGTCGGTCATTGGACAGTCAGGCTAATTTCTTCAGAAATAATGACACAAAAGTCCTCAGATGCAGGTCTATCATTCAAGATATCGAGAAGGTGTTCGAAGATGTAAGTTTCTATTTTAATTTGACTTGAGTCTGGGCAATAAATTAATTGGATATTTATTACGACTAATTTCAGAGGAGTCGTGTGATGGAGGATATGACATACGCCGATGGAGCGTTTCCTCCACTGATTACCTTGACTTACCCATCGGATATGTCTGTCTTCTTTGACGCTCATTACCTGATCGAATGCACTTTGTTGGGCCAACATTTGTCTCTGGAAGAGTTGAGTAACGCCAGGTTCTTTTTGAAATTCTTGTTACCTAATTTGTTGTGTTTAAACATTCTTCACAACCAAGAAGTGGTATCTGGTATGTTGATAGATGTCGAGAAGGATGAGAAATGCCCTATATCTTATGCAACACAGTTGAATGTTGGTGATTTTGAAAGATACATCAAGAGTTTCATCCCTGAGAAAGACGAGAATGTAAGTCTGCCAAGTTTTTAAAAATTTTATTACTAATTTACTAAGAATGTGACAGTACGTATTAAAAGTTGAAATAATACATGTTTGCAGAAGGAGAAAACGTGGAGTTACTTGTTGAAGAGATGTTTGTACTATGGGACTAACAACTTTGTATTGTTCATGAGACTTCACAATATTTTGTGTGAACGGTTGGCTGCTGTGAAGACGTTGTGTCGTAGGAAGAAGGCAGAGTATGAACACGAGATATCACTCGCCAACGAAAAGGAAGATCTCTATAGAGCACATGGTGACATTCAGGGAGAATCTCACAGCGTTCCGAGGAATACATCCAGGAATCCGTCAAAGTTCTACAACGACATGTTGGACATGGTCAAGATGTTGATGGACACCAACATCGACCAGGTGGCCTACGAGGACGTGATGCGTAGTATGTTTGGGATCGAAGCTTTCCCCCTGTATACCATGGACAAGCTGTTGTCAGGCCTGAACCGATACCTGATTAACTTACTACAAGAACCAACAGCCGTGGTCACATTCAACTTGTTCAAAGCGTTTATACGACGACGTTTGGTGACAGGAAGTGAAATGGTCGCAGCCGAGGAGTCGCACTATGAATTCATGTCTTCTGCGGTACGTTTAGTGGCTTTTTTTCAGTATCTTTACGTTTTGTTTTATATTTTTCAATTTTTTCTGGTTTTATAAGAGATTAAGGCAAAAATACCGTAGATTGTTTTAGGCGTTAAGTGGAAGTAATTGTATCAAGACCCGAACTGTAGTCACAGACAGACCGATTGTATGCTTTGAGATGATAGAAACCCCCAATGTATGTGAATGGTACCACTTGTACTCAATGAATATAAATGGAAAGCGAGTGAAACAGAAAGAAGACGCAGTTGCTCGTTTAACTGTAAGTTATCCACAGTATTATACGTAAAACATTACTATTTAAATATCAAGATGTTGGCAATTTGCAGTTTCTAGAAACACCTTTTAAATTTCAAAGTTTTAGTATCTGGACGAGGCTCGAGGAGTTTTACCGAATTCAAAGGATCGTCTCTTTTTGGCCCGTAATCTGAAGAAAGGGGCAAGAAGGATGAATTCGTATGCTGCGGTGGGAGACGACCTGATAGAAGAAGAACAAGACGATTCGAGGGAATCAACTCCCGACGATGAAGATGAGGAAGAAATGGAAGGAGTTGAGGAATCTGGAAAACCTTCAACCAGCGAATCGTATGGTACAAAGGCGAAGAAAGCAAGGATAGAGAAGGAAATGCCAGCTATTGATGATACGTCTACTACTTCCTTCCTCGTGTGTAACGATCTCAGGTTGTACCCAGTTAACACATCTTTTGGTTTCTACACAACATACGATGGAACTTCTAATATATTATTGCGCCGAGGGGCTCCTTATAGAGCAAGAAATGTAAGTTAATTGCTTTTATAACATTCTGTATTTAGACAACGGTCAACTCGATTAGATCGCGCCATAGAGCATTTCTGAATCTACTCTCGGTAAACGACCAATATCCTTTCGCACTGGGCCAGGATTGCCAAGTCTGCTTACGACCTCACAGCTTAATTCCAGATCTTACACATAATGTATACATACGTAAGAGTTAATTTTGCAATATTTTATAATTTGGTGTGTACATGTCGTTGAATAAATTATTATATATCGTTAATTAACCAGTAACTCACATTTGTTGCGATCTTAGAAGTTTATTTACAATTTTATGCATACATTGATTCGGCGAGCGATGACATTTTACTTTGAACTCCAACGTAGTGTGCAAAGTATTCTGACAGCTCTTCGACGGCCGCGTCCTGCCGCAACTCGTCCAGACTTTCTCCCGATCCGTTTTTACCCATTCCCATGGCTTCTTGCGTACACGTTGTAGCGTTCTTCACGTTCGGAGCCAACACTTCCTTGCTAGCGGTGGTGTTTGTTGAGCCTAGGAGAATAAAATTGATTATAAAAAGAACTTACTTTTCGATTCCTGTCGACTGTTTGTTTCCGAATCCCCCGAACCACATGACGAAGATCTCTTGTGCGTAGGCATTCTGTACGGTGCAAATCTTCTGTTACGGCTACTGAAGCTACAACTTCGTCTGAACCTTCTTTCTGGCTTTACATCGTCCAGAACTTCAACGCTTCCAGGTTCTGCGGGTTTTTTGAAAACGGCGGTTTCATTTGAGCATCCAGCTTCGCTCTGAGCTGTGCTTAACTTAAGTTCCTCTAGCCCTTTAAGCGCCTCTTCAATGGAAACACCTTTTCCATCAGTTGTCATAACCTTAAAGATTGATGTTTTACTTCTCGTGATGAAAAATCTCGATGAGAATTCTTCTCGGAAATAGATACATAACGAAAACAACAACAATAGAAACATAAGTAACGTATTTTAAAATAATGGTTTTCACCAGTCTAAACGCTGGCGAACACCGTTGGAATACACATAAACAATCTTTGGAACAGCTGTCGAAAAGAAGCCTTAACACCTTAAAATTACATAAGATACTAACAAAACAATACTCAATATTCCTTTCGTCTATAAATGTAAAGCTCGACGGCTATTGATTCATTTATTCAAGTTTTCGGGGCAGGACCTATTTGTTATTGCGGTCGCGGTTTGTCCGTTAAGCAAAATAATAAAAAAGGGAAGGAAATAGCATAGGAGATGGATTTATGCTTAAAGTTCATGATGCGGTTTACTGAATTGCGTTTTACAACTTTACATCGTACCATCGTTCTATTTTATGTCGGTCGTAAATCTTCACCGTGTTACAAAGCGTTTAAATAGAATTAAGGGTCTTGTTTGTTTATTGTTTGTTATTGCTATTTAGTTTAGAGCTCTCGGAGACATGACGCAGAACTTGGAAAACACGCCGCTCACGTCGGGAGAGAACGGAAGCTTGGCCACTTCGGAGAAGCCAGTTAAAGCAGAAGACACGGTGAAGGGGATTCAGGTCAAGTCTTCTGATGGAAAACTGCATAATCTGATCTATAATGAAACGAGAAATACGTTGACATTCGCTCTGCATGGGTAAGTCTTTCCCAGGTTCCGTAACAGATCCAACCCTCTTTTTATATATATCGTACGTTAACTGTAAGAACTTTTCAGTAATAAGCGTAGAGAGCTAACGATAAACTACAACGAGATCCTCGCCATACGTTCCAGTCCAGTCAAAATCTATGGTGGACTACCGAAGAAGGTGGATCCTGATGAGCATAACAAAAAGAATCCCAATGCTTTGTACATATACTATACCTACAGACAGAACATATACCTATGGAGGGTGAGGGAAGCTGCTGTCTTCTTCTTAACTACTCGAGACAAAGAACAATGGGAAGAGATGTTGAAGAAGCCGTTACAAGGTAAAAGTCTCAAGAGTACCATGGTTACCTGTTTTAGAGCTGAAAGAACGTGCCTCCAACATTCTGATTTTCATAAACCCATACGGAGGTAAGGGCAAGGCCAAGCAGATCTACGACAAGCAAGTGGAGCCAATTCTCGACCTTGTCGGTCTAAAGCGAGAAGTCATTCTAACTCAACGTGCCGACCATGCTCGTGACACTATACAAGAGCTGGGCGAAGCGTGGAAGACTATTGACGGAGTCGTCAGTGTTGGAGGAGATGGTCTATTCAATGAAGTATTATACTCCAGTATCATAAGGTAAGTTCCAACTAGACATACTTAATAAGATACGATGTAACGAAGAAAAACTATTCAGGATGAAAGTAATATTCAGCTATAACTATCCATTTTCAGGACCCAGTCTGAGAACGAGAAGGACATAAACGACGTGAACGTGGACCAGCTTGTCACTCCCACCTTCCGTTTTGGTATTATTGGTGCAGGTTCCGCAAACTCAATAGTATCTTCAGTGCATGGTGTTGACGACTGTCCTACTGCAGCTATACACATTGCCATTGGAAGCCGATGTGCTGTAGATGTGTGCACCGTGCACGAAGGCCCTAAGCTATCCCGAATATCCGCTAACGCAATATCGTACGGATGGTTGGGTGATGTGTTACACGACTCTGAACGGTACCGTTACATGGGACCAGTGAGGTACCAATGGTCAGGTAAGTTATGAGAACAGTGGATTGTGACTTATATTATAGCATTAAGAACCACGGTCAGGCATCCTTCATATTGTGGACGTGTATCGTTCGCAGTAACCGAGAAGTCAAATGAGAAAGTACAGCTACCTCAATGTAAATCGCCATGTTCAATATGTCAAGGGTAAGTTCCTTACTTAAAGCTCACAAGGATTTAGGCGTGAACAGCCCGACCCTAATCTACCGTACCACTGGCAAACCGACTTCACTCATTGTATATGTTGTGTCATACCATGTGTGAGCCCTTTTACTCCTTACGGATTAGCGCCATATGCTGGAGTTGGCGATGGTACCATGGACCTTGCATTGGTGCCCAAAGTCAGTAGATGTCAGAATCTACAGATCATGAGGACCGTCTCCATGTACGGAGGAAAGGAACTGCTACCTCGAGGACTTAACCTTAAAGTTTACCGAGTCAAGAGATGGTCGTACACACCTTCGGCTTTGCTAAACCCAGAAGAACCCAAGGACGAGGACAACGTAAAGCAAGGAAGCTGGAATCTGGATGGAGAGATCCTTCCTCAACCAACCGACAAGATCTTGCACTTCAGGTAAGACCTTATTCATTACAGCCATCGGCTGTTAACCTACGTGTATTAAGCTTCTTCAAACGGAAACTGTAATAACATAATTTCAGGCTGCACCCTATGCTTATCAGCTACTTTGGTCGCGAGCTGGACCTTGACGATCCTCGCTATCAGAAATGTCACTGTTGCCATTGTCCCACCAAGTTTTCTAATCTCGTCGTTATCAGCTAAACTTTCGCAAATTTCAATTTTTCATCTTTGCCAGTAAGTATACATATAAAACATGGTTCCAAACCGAATTCACTATAATTTCGTGCCTTCGTTTTCTTGAATAAATATTGTTTGCTACGGACCTTAATCATTGTTTGCCCACCTTAAAACAAAAAACCTCATGATTGTCCACTAAAACTACAATTTATGTTCAAAAAAGGTTTACAATAAAGGGTTTTTTAAAACTATTTGCAGTCTTTTCCTGAATGACTACTGGTTATATTTAGAGGTGAATAATACTTTAGACAAGGTCCGTATTCGCCATATTTTTCATAATTTTAACTCAAAATTTGCGAAATGGCTGTTACTAGTTGTTAATGGAATCAAAAGTCAAACAGAGGAGTGGCTAATGTAAATAAGTGTAGTCATTGCCAACGTTCTTGATATTAAAATTCAAATTAGTCAATATGACTAACACTATTTAAAGTAACGTTACCAATTTAAGGCCCGGCCATTGGTCAACAATCCGTGTCCCTAAAATTGCCCAATGTCCTTATTATCTATGGACAATAAATAATTTTGTACATTCGTTCTTTTTGAATAAATATCTACGAATCTTAAACGTTGTTTACACTACCCCGCCTTAAAGCGACAAAATATGCTTGCGCTTTTTTGGAAATTAAAAAACTATAATTTATGTTTCAAAAGGTTGACAATAAATTGGTTTTGTTATGTTAAAAATTTTTCTCGCACAATTGGATGAATAACAAAAAATATAATTTTGGAATTTGGCAGTGTGAATAATTTCAAAGAAAATTTATATCAACGAAATCTTCATGTACAAAACATTCATTGTTAGTTTTGTAAAAAAAACGCCCCACCTTCGTGTTTCTCCTATAAAACCCCCAAAAGTCTTTCACCGAACGAGATTCCGTCCGCAAACTCGATAGTTGCAACGAAATGCCACTTTATTTCTGATATCCGAAATATTCTTTGTTTATAGACCCGATCGGTCGTATCAGTGGGGATTCGTTTCAATGGATAAATTAAAAATACGAAACTGGTTGTTCTAAAGGTAAGTAAAATATTCTTTGTATTACTTTGTAGGCTTGTGCATAATAAGCTTCTATTCATAACATATTATTGACGAATCTTCCATTATTCACTTTTTGACTCTCATTAATCATTTCCTATGAGCGTAATAAAATGTACGTTTTACTTAATTGTCTGCTTTCAGGTACCAATGATGCAATGTTCTCATAAACTCACTATTATTTTGGTCGTGTGTTTGATAATCCTTTTCGTTTGGGACCTAAATGTTGATTCACTAGTTCCTTCTTACGGGTATTTATCAAAAACTGTAGCGACAGACGACCCAGCTGTTATTTTACTGAATTCAGCGGATATAAATGGAACATCGGTACTGTCAGATGTCTATGGTAAGTTATTCTGTGAATATTATTTATTTTTAGGTAACATTACACAATTTATTGGACAAAACTCATCTTTACCTGACTGTCCTGTGGATCCTCCTAATTTGGTAGGACCGATAAGAGTATGGATGGATGCCCCGACATACGACAACATCAATAAGGTATACCCATGGCTAGAAGATGGTGGGCGAGGTCATCCAGACGAATGTAAAGCGCGACATCGTGTAGCCATAATCGTGCCTTACCGGAACCGTGAAAAACAGTTGCGCATCTTGTTACACAATCTACATTCCCTATTGAAGAAACAGAATATTGACTATGCTATATTCATCATCGAACAGGTAGAGAAACAGACCTTCAATAGGGCAAAATTGATGAACGTGGGATATACCGTAGCCAGCCAAATGTATGATTGGCAATGCTTCATATTCCACGATGTTGATTTACTACCAGAAGACGACAGAAATGTGTATTCGTGCCCAGAAAAACCCAGACATATGAGTGTAGCTGTGGACAAATTTGGATACAAGTAAGTTTTAAATTTATATAATAAAAAATTTCAAGCTTTTTGTAAAGCTGAATTAAACTTTAAACAATTTAGACTGCCATATGGATCCATATTTGGTGGAGTTAGTGCATTAACCAAAGCTCAGTTTGTCAAAATGAACGGATTCTCAAACGATTACTGGGGATGGGGTGGAGAAGACGACGACATGTCTTCAAGGTGAGGTTTCTATTTTGTGCCATAACACATCTTTAGGATTGTGTATTCTGGCTACGAGATATTCCGATACCCAATAAAGATAGCTCATTATAAGATGATAAAACACTCTAAAGAGACAGAGAATCCTAAAAACACGTAAGTCTAACTTCCATATTCGATTTTAGAATAAATAACCGCATTTTTTTAATAAATTTAGGTATAAAGTTTTGAAATACTCAAAAAATAAGTTTCAAAAGTAAATTTTTCTAAATGTAATACCATTTTCAGATGTCGGTACAGACTATTGAAACTAACTAAAAAGAGGTACCTTAAGGACGGAATTAACAATTTAAGGTACAAGATAGTCAACATAACACAACCTCTCAGTCACACAAGAGTGTTGGTCGACTTACTAGAAAATGACCTAAGGCCGAATCTCTCAAAGGAACTTGGTACTAAAGACTGCAGATGGCCATAAACTGATAGCATTCCCTCATCAAACACTACGATCTCATCCTAACATGCGGGTTACACTCGAGTGCCTTACAAATCGCTTAAATCTATATAGATAATAAATAATTTTATGCTATCACAGTATTAGTTACAGTACCCGTAGCTGAGTCGGGTCGTACAAATCTGATAGTGAGTTGCAATGTTTGACAAAGTGTTGAGTTCGGAGCTCGGCACTGTTTGTCGAAGCCAGGTCACCAATCGTGTACAAGTTGCGCATTAAAGGAAGTGGTGATTTAGGATGGCTGTTCAGTGCGGTCACCGCCTCTTTCAAGCCACCAGTGTACAACTCGCATATGGCCTTGTTATTGCAAATCTTATAATTAATTTCGGCAGTAGCTATCTTACCTCACAAGTTTCTTGTTGATCTTCGGCTTTCGCTGATGTGAAACAATCCAATGCCTTCTGGTAGTTAGCTGCGAAGATTGCCCTCAAACCTCTGAAAAACAAGTTGGTAATAACGATATTAATAGTATTTGTTATAACTTAAAACATCGTCTAGAACATGAGATATATTAAAGTAACGTACTTATTATGATGATAAGCTGAGCTTTTGTTAAGTGAAACTGCTTTTTCGAAGAACTTTGAATGTCCAACAATCATCGAGATCCTCGTGAGTTGATTGCTTATTAAGTTGTGCTTCTCAGTGCTTTTAACTCTTGACAAAAGATCTTCGTACACCTGGATAGCTCGCATATAATCCTAAAAAGTAAATAAAGTAATAAAAGTTGGCAACAAACCTTTAAGTGATACAAAGCTCTAGCTCTGACCAGCTGAACAGCCTCCAATCTTTTTTCCCACACTGATTTGTGCATATCGTCTTCCATAGCAGCCAATACAGTCTTAGTGTTTTCCTCCAGCTTACCCAGACGACTAAATACATGTTCAGGATTGTCAGAGAACCGAGGAACCTCAGCATGGATAAGACGCAACTGAAATGGAACCACACTTCCCACGTATTCCAAACGTCTATAAACCGATCTGAATTCAAAGTAAAGGTCAGGAGCATCTAATTCGTTAAAGGCAGCCATCTCTTCCTTCAGAACAGAATGCATCTCCAATGCCATTAGCAGTTGAAACCTACAATTCCATATCTAATCGCAATATTAAGTATATAAATGAGAGCTTACTTCTAAGGATTCTGGTGTGCAAGCATTCCTCCTGATGTGTGCATTTGGGACGTGACCCATCTTCACCAAAAGTTGTGTTGTCAGATTAAAAGCCGCCTTTAACTTTCCAGCTTTCTAAAGAAATTTACAAATTGAAAATGTAACTTACTATCAATACTTTCAAACCTTCTTTCGTATTTGGATATTCAACATGATCTTTTTTTTGCACCTTAAGTTTATCGGCTACAGCGACCAAATCGTCTTTCAGCGGTTGTTCATGTCGCAAAACTGGAGTTGTGAAGACACGATCGATTGAGCCATCAACTAAAGCATTCTTTAGTCTGTCAGACTGAGGAAAAGCATACAAGTACCAGATCTGGCTCCAATTATCCATCAGAATTTGTTAAATTTGTTTTTTAGAAAACTGTTTTTCAAATATTTCTTTTATTTTACATTCAATATTGACACTTCGCCCAACGCTTTATTGTTTTAATTTTCCGAAAAGTTTCGAAAATATTTAAAGATCTCACTGATCGCTCAGATCTCAACTACAATATTATTCATATACGATGCCAAATCCGCTGAAGCGCAAATTAGAAGAAATTGAAGACGAATTGGAGGCCAAGATTCAGAAGAAGAGCGATGGTGCAGGTATGTTTAGTTACTTAAGTTTAAAGTTATTTGCAGAACAAGAGTTTGGCGATGAAGACGAGCCAGTGTGGTGTCTGAAGAAGGCACAGTTGGAAAAGCCAACAAGACAATGTCCCTATTTGGATACAATTGACAGGTAAGCACTTCAAATCATAAGCTAATTTATTTTGGCACACTTTAGATCTGTACTGGACTTTGACTTCGAAAAGTTGTGCAGCGTTTCCTTACAACATACCAATGTATATGCATGTATGGTGTGTGGAAAGTACTTCCAAGGCAGAGGCACCAATACTCATGCTTACACTCATGCTTTGGATACAGAACATCACGTATTCTTGAATTTGTCGACTTTGAAGTTCTACTGTTTGCCAGACAACTACGAAATAATAGACCCTTCTTTAGAAGATATTCAGGTAGGTTTACTTTACCTTAAAATATAATTTTATTTTTAATACACTTTTGTACTTAAATCTATTTTCAGTACGTTTTGAAGCCGGTTTACACGAAGAAAATGGTCAAGAAGGTAGACCAACTTCAATCAGGGGTTCGTGCTTTTGATGGATCTATTTACTTTCCAGGTCTTATGGGGTTGAATAACATCAAAGCCAACGATTACTCCAATGTTGTGTTTCACGTAAGTTATTACCCATTTTGCAATATTAGTGTGCTATTAATTTGGCATATAATATACTGTTTAATACTTTAAATGTTTCTCAGTTTTTCATAATTTACAATAAAAACACAACGTACATGTAATATCTAAATTTTGCAGGCTCTTTCTCACGTTACACCGTTGAGAAACTACTTTTTGGATGAGGAAAACTACAGCATGCTCAAGAGACCGCCCGGAGATAAGTTGGCTTTGTTGCCACAAAGGTTCGGAGAGTTAATCAGAAAGTTGTGGAACCCACGGGCCTTCAAGTCTCATGTTTCTCCTCATGAGATGCTTCAGGCTGTGGTAGAGTGCAGCAACAAGAAGTTCCAGATCATTCAGCAAAGTAAGCATCTAAACATGTCATGCATGTATACTTGTTATTTTATTCGTATTTCAAAATTTTATCTTCAGGTGATGCCAACGACTTTATGCAATTCTTCTTAAACACTTTGCACATTGCCCTCAACGGTACGAAGAAGTCGTCTTCTTCTATAATTTACAAGACATTCAGAGGTAAACTGCGACAATACAGCCGAAAAGTGCTGCCAATGAATGTTTCTGAAGAAGCCAAAGCTACGTTGGCTGAGACAGATGAGTTCAAGGGTAGGTTTACGTTTGTAAAGGCATATTTATGTTTTTTATAATAGTTGTAGGTATTATATGTTACGTGTTTTTTGTCATAAATTATTTTTTAAATTATCAACTTACCGTATTTTAGAACAGGCTACGGAAGTGCCATTCTTGACGTTAGCCATGGATCTTCCAGACGCGCCTTTGTACCGTGATGAACTTCTGCAAAACATAATCCCTCAGATTCCATTGGGCACGTTATTTGAGAAATACAACGGAATTAAGGAAACAGAATACAAGACCTACAATGAAAACTTCACACGAAGACATGAGGTAATAGTCCTGCCGGATTACCTTCTTCTCAAATACAACAGATTCCAAAAGAATGAGTGGTTCGTGGAGAAGAATCCAACGATTGTGAATTTCCCCATAACGTAAGTAACCGCTGCCTTGTTAATTAAACCATGCGCTTTACAATTTCAGAAACGTCGATCTCTTCGATTGCCTAACTGCCGAAGCGAAAGAAAAACACAAGTACACGACTTATGACTTGATTGCTAACATTGTTCATGACAACAAACCTGAATCTGGCAGTTACCGAGTCCAAATACTTCATCCTGGCACCCAAAAGTGGTACGAGCTGGAAGATCTTCATGTCAAGGAAATACTGCCACAAACAATTACGCTAGCTGAATGTTATATCCAAATTTGGAAGCTTAACAAAAAACTAACGAGAGAACAACGAGCTGGCGAGGAAGCTCCGGAGTATACGGAAATGACATCAGCTGCCAATGCTGCGCAAACTGCCAGCCTTACTGGGCAAAGTGACATTCTGTCCAAGTAGAAACACTGTTAATTTATTGTAATAGTAAACTTGTTTTGAACAATTGGTTCGAGATGGAAGTGTTTTTGATAACACTAGTATATTTGCTTATTAGAAATGGGTTTATCGGACGTTAGGATTCGAACGCGGCGAGCGGATGCAGTGCGCTCATTGCTTTTCGCTTCCATCTAAGAATGAAAGGCATTGCAAGTCCTGCGCATTTGGCCGCTCGAAAGAGGCGTTTATATTTCCTATAACCACCAGTTTTTGTTTATTTGTACTGTTTATTTCTTCAGGGCGTATGAGCTGTCATGGGACAATGTGTGTCCAAGGAAAAACATTCCGATGTACCTCCACGAACGTCAAGCCAGCAAATGCCCGAAGCTAACGCATTGCTAAGCAATCTGACGTCTTTACCAAACTTCTACAACCACTCCCCAAATCGAAATCTCTCCTCCTTTAGTCAAAATGATCCTAAATACGAAATTGTTGTTGCTTTATACACCTATGAATCACGGTCGGACGGTGATCTCAGTTTTAAAAGAGGAGATTTGATGTATTTAATGGACAGCTCGTAAGCACATCTTTTGAATAAATGATAGTTTTAGGAATGTCGACTGGTGGTATGTCCAAAGAACCGCTGACAATAAGACTGGGTATGTTCCTCGCAACTTTGTCGCCTTACAGAAGACGGCCGAAAGCGAAGACTGGTTTGCTGGAAAGATCAGCAGAAACAGGGCTGAGCGTCTAGTACTCTCGCAAAGTTTACCTCTTGGGACGTTTTTGGTCCGTGAACGAGAAGTAATGCCGCCTGAGTACGCTTTAACTATACGTGACTACGGTGAAAACCGCCCTTGTGTAAAGCACTACAAGATTAAAAAGACAGATGATGACGGTTATTACATTACAGACAAAAGGATATTCCATGACCTTAGAGAACTTGTGCGGTACTACAGAGGTAACTTTATCACAAAAGGCCAACATAGTCATATTTTATAGACAATTCGAACGGACTGTGCCAAAAGTTGACCGTAGCGGCGCCTCGGATTATGCCAGCAAGGCCCGATCTATGTTACCAAACGACCCAACAGTGGGAGATTCCTCGCCACGAGCTCCAACTCAAAGACAAGTTGGGTGATGGTAACTTTGGAGAAGTATGGCATGGAAGGTGGAAAGGTTCGGTGGAAGTGGCCATCAAAACCATGAAACCAGGGACAATGTCTGACGAAGCATTCTTGCAGTAAGTGGCGGTTGATAGTACTTTCAATATCATTTAGGGAAGCTCACATAATGAAGCAATGTGCTCACCAAAACTTGGTCAAACTGTACGCCGTTTGTACGAAAGAAGAGCCATTTTACATTATTACTGAATACATGTGTGGCGGTAGTTTGCTTCACTACCTAAGGGACGACTCAAATCAGCTTTCTATTCCTGCTTTGATAGATATGTGCGCACAGGTGAGTCGTGAATGCAAAATTATGATGTTAATGTCTATTACTTTTAGATTGCCAATGGCATGAAGTATTTGGAAGAAAGAAAACTGGTTCATCGTGACTTGGCTGCGCGGAACGTTCTAGTCGGTGACAAGATTTCTGGTGTGCCTGTAGTAAAGGTTGCCGACTTCGGGTTGGCTCGAAAGTTGATGGAGGAAGACATATACGAAGCCAGGATGGGCGCAAAGTTCCCAATCAAGTGGACCGCGCCGGAAGCAGCCATTTGTGGTAACTTTACCGTGAAGTCTGACATATGGTCCTATGGAATACTTTTGTACGAAATCTTCACACGTGGTCAAAATCCTTATCCAGGTATGTTCGCATGGTTGTTTTTAAATATGAAATTTAGGCATGCACAACCGTGAGGTAATCGAACAAGTGGAACAAGGTTACAGGATGCCATGTCCAAAGAACTGCCCTCCAGAAGTGTACGAACACATGTTAAAGTGTTGGCATCAATTACCTGAGAAACGACCTACGTTTTCCTACCTTTACAATTACTTTGATGACTTTTATGTAACTTCTCAACCAAATTACATCCCCCCTCAGAATTGATCACAGATATTCTTGCCTCTACAATACTACGGCTATCTACTATTGTGCAATTTTTGTATACGCATTTTAAGCTATTCATGTATAGTTGAATCTTAAATAAAAACTCCAGTATTTTTTTGTTTGAGGTGATATTACTATAGGTGCAGGCTTTGAATCAGCGTGCTGAAAAGGATAAGCTTTACATTAAAGTATTACTCACACCGCTTTTAGAATAGATAGTTTTCTGACTATAACGAGGGTGGCTATATTTTGTTACTGTACTCTAGATAAACAAGACACTTCAGTTCACTGTAAAACTAAAATATTAGAGTCAACTTTGCTGAAACTTTTAAATTTGCATAATTTTACGAATAAAAGAGAAGTTTGGTTTCCGTGAAGGATTCCTTTCATTCTGATCTTTGTGTTGGTGGCGGTTGCCTTTCTCTCCAGTTTTTAAGAAGTCATGTAAGTTAGCCTAACAGGTTTTTTGTGGCATTGATGTTTCATATGTAGTATGTTGCATAGACTTTTTCATAAGAACAATCGTATCCTGTTGTTAACGTATTTTCCTATCATGTTCTACATTTTAGGGGGTTTGGAAATACTTGTTGCATGATCATTTGCCTGATTCTCGGATTCTCGGTAAGTTTTTGTATCAGTATTGGGTTGGTAGTACTGTTGGTTTTGTTCATATACGGTATGCTATGTTTTAGTGGATCGCAGTTCTAATGAAAGCTGGAGAATGCAACCAACACGTCTGGATCAACTTTATTCTATGGCTTTGCCTTGTGTAAGTATATTGTGTTTGACTATATTTTGATAACTAGACTAGGGTATCATTATACACCGATTTGTTTATTTACTGTTACTTCAATTAACATTGTTATAACTCGTTTTTTCAGACTGCCTGGGGAGCTTCATGCGATATGGTACTGTTTCTGCAGAGATTAACTCCACATTACCAAACTTTCTTACTGATGACGTTAAAATAAACTTTACTGACCGTTTTTTTGTTGAATTTTCTTGCGATGTTGTACTACAATTGTTATTTATCATGAAAATTTATATCACATAATATGTTCTTCCTGTTTTAAATTTTACATTCACATCTACAGAGTTGAATTCATCTGTAAGAGTTTATTCTTTGTTTCGTATAAAACAATCCGCAACATAGGGCGCGCGACGAAGTTTGTTTTATTTTCTAAAATAAAACCAGCTTCAAGCTCGATAGTCTTCCTTCACGTTTTATACCATTTTCAATATGAGTGCTGATTTGGAAAACTTACGGATTCAACTTCAACACGTCGAAGCAGCTTTGTTAGCTGCCCCAGACAATAAGGAGCTTCTTGAATTAAAGGCAAACGTGCAGGAAATCATTCGCCTACAAGAAGAAATTCTACAAGGAGAAGAAGAAGTTGAGCCAGAAGAGCCCAATACTTCGGTTGGACCTTCCAAAAACAAGGAGATCAAGTGGAACGTTGGGGATCGTTGCTTAGCGCCATCAAAAAATGGTCAGCGTTATTTGGCCGTCATCGATGGGATTTCACAGAATAATGTCGCAGTTACATTTGCCAGTAAGTTTCCTTTTTTTAATCTGTTATTTCGTTTAAGGTAATGGTGTTAAGGTAATGGTACGATTGCAAGACTTGAAGGTTGCACCTCAAGAGGACCGTAAAAATTATTTATTCCAAAACAAGGGCAAGGTAAATACAGGGCCAAGCAAAGAATGGCACGCCGAGAAGGAACGGAGGAAAATAAGAGCCCAGAAGAAGGAACAGAGGAAGAAGCAGCTAGATGAAGCCGGGGAGAAGCAGAAGAATAAATGGCTAAACTTTAACAGTAAAGCTCTCAACAAGAACTTTAAGGTAAGTTGTTGTAAATGATAAGTTTTGCTGTAAAAACATCATATATGTTCTTTAATAGTATTCAATGTGTTATTTTGTTTTAATGACTTTATTTATATTAATTTAGGGAATAAAGAAGGTTGAGCAATCAAGGTCTGCTCCTGATGGACCCAGAAGTGCGGCAGGTGCAAGAAACACGACACAAGTATCATCAAGAACAGTCAACAACTTCGGTGCCACATCGAGAGGAAACATGGATTCTTTGTTCTGAGTTTTGTAAATAAATTATCCGCCAGATAAAGGAGGAATTATTGCTATTTCAGTATTGTCTTTGATGTGAAACCATTCATTTGTACTGCCATACTTTTGATCTACTGCAATCACACAGTTCTCTCTTATTGTGTTGAGTTCCGGGAGCTGAAAGTTAATGGTTTTATTGTTGTGAAAATTAAATTTGTTCTGTTTTTACATGTTTAAGAATATTTAAGCATATAAAACAGTCTTTTGAGTAAAAATTGATAATGATAGGGATTTATTTCTATTTTTTAGGGTTTACTTTGTTTTTGAAGGAACGATTTCATAAATTGTATAGATCTAAACTCACTGAATCAAATACATTGGACAACAATGTTTCGTATCGTATTTCACCGTGTACTTCTAAAAATGTTTCTTTTTTCCCAGCCAGCTCGGCCGCTTTGCCAAATAACAGCACTTTGACCGGCATTGATCGGTATTCTGAAATTACTGTAAGGTGACTGTTTTACTACAGGTTAGGTCCATAACTGTTTTCCGCCTTTCTTTTCGCGGCTGGCGTCGTCTGGACCCCAGCCTGCTGAGTGCGCGTCCCCTCCCCCGTTTCGGCTCTCCCCCAAAATTCCTCACCCTTTGCTTTCTGCAGACCTCAGCTGAAGAAAAGGGATCTACTTTTAGTTTAAACGCGATTAATAAACGTTAATAAGACTCGAATTTAGTGGTAAAGGATTGGAAGAAACACCTTTGCTTTCAGTTGCGTGTTCGATAAAAACAAATAGACGATTGATAATATCTTTTGTTGGAATTAAAGAGTTTTGTTTAGATGGGTAGGTGTCTGTCCAAGGAACGGCCGCGGGATGACGGTGTTCCGACGGACGGTCTTCTGGTGGATCCGCGAGGACATCCTCAGGCGGCCATGAACGTTTATCGTGGATCGTCGCTACAGAGACACGGATCAATGGGAGTAGCGTCACCATCCATGTATCACGTCAACTCATCGAACAACTACTTTGGGCATGCAAATATGGGTATCGGCTACAACCAGCCTTATGGTAAGGACTGTTTTATGGTTTTAAATGATCTTAACAAAACTGTAACGTGCCATATTTATTAGTTTTTCATTTATAATTTTGTACCTATTGATTGCAAACTTAACGATTAATGGGTTCCTCAAAAACTATAAACATAAGAATAGTTTTTATTATTTAAAGCTGTTTCACGACTGAAATGAAATATGTGTTTTAGCCGTACAACAACGACTACAAGCCATGCACGACTATGACAGAAGCGTTGATGGCGACGTCAGCTTCAGAAAAGGTGACATAATGGTGTTGCTGGATGACAGGTGAGTGTGATAGGCAATGTTTTATTTATTTTTAGTAATAATGACTGGTGGTATGTTCACCATCCCCAGAACGGCCCCGGCTACGCTCCGCGCAACTTTGTGGCTCGACTTGAATCCTTGGAATGCGAGGATTGGTACGCTGGAAAGATACAGCGAAGTTTAGCGGAAAAGTTGGTTACCGCACAAAACATGCCTCGGGGCACGTTCCTTGTGCGGAAGAGGGATTCTGGAAACGAATACGCTCTGACCATTAATGACAGCCGGGAAGACCGGGTCGAGGTTAAGCACTACAAGATAAAACCGTTGGACGGAACCGGCTACTACATCACGACGAAGAAAGTGTTCCCGTCTGTCAGAGACCTTGTTCATTATTATACCTGTAAGTTGTCTTGATATACCTAAAATGTGCTGATTATAAAATTGATGGTTAATTAGGAATCAAATGTGTTATATTGCAGCAGAAAATGGTGGTTTATGTCATCAGCTCACCTATCCTGCTCCTAAAGTGGCACCAGTCCGTCCAGACTTGAGCTCGGATACCCAGAAGAACTGGGAGATACCTCGTGAAGAACTCCAACTTGAAAGCAAACTAGGAGACGGTAACTTCGGAGAAGTTTGGTACGGTAAATGGCGAGGACAGGTAGAAGTGGCCATCAAAACAATGAAGCCTGGTACGATGAGTGCGGATGGGTTCTTGGCGTAAGTTTACTTCTTAATGACAACCTTTGTCCTGTTTAGTGAGGCTCAGATCATGAAGCAATGCAATCATCCAAAGCTAGTTAAACTGTACGCTGTGTGTACCGAAAAGGACCCATACTATATTGTCACCGAGTACATGGTGAACGGATCTCTCTTATCGTATCTCAGGAATGCCAGCAACAACTTATCCATCCAGGCCTTAGTGGACATGTGCTCACAGATCGCCAGCGGCATGATGTACTTGGAGAGCCGCAAACTCGTACACCGTGACCTGGCAGCTAGGAACGTGCTAGTAGGCGAAAAGATATCCGGGGTTCCAGAAGTAAAGGTGGCCGACTTCGGGTTGGCCAGGAAGTTGATGCACGAGAACATTTACGAAGCTCAAGCTGGGGGAAAGTTCCCAATCAAATGGACAGCTCCAGAGGCCGCTACACAAGGAAACTTCACAGTAAAGTCTGACGTGTGGTCATACGGTATCTTACTGTACGAGATTTTCACAAGAGGACACATTCCATATCCAGGTTTGTAATTTTAATTTTTCAAACGTATTGTTTTCTAAATAATAATTTCACAGATGTATGTCATCAATGTAAAAGTAACCTCACATGACTTCAGGAATGGCTAACAAAGAGGTGATAGAACAAGTGGAACAAGGCTACCGAATGCCACGACCGTCCAGCTGTCCCCACCCCATTTACGAAGAGATGCTGAAGTGTTGGGACAAGTCCCCGGAGAAGAGGCCTAGCTTCGAATACCTCTACTCCTTCTTCGACGACTACTTTGTCAGTTGCCAGCCGAACTACGTGCCTCCGTCCGTAGATGACATGGCCCGCTAAGGAGTATTTTTGATCCTAACTTAATTAAAAATATTCCACACACCGTAGCTTTCAGTATTCATTCATTCCCTCATCTTACGACGAACGAACTCAGGTTATGATAATCGTTATTGTACATATGGTTTAAGAGTTCTTAGTATTAAATATTTTACATGTAGTTCTCCTTGTCGTTTTCCCTGATAGGTGATTTGGAGAAGACCACTTCGGTAGCAGTGGACTTCTTGCCTGTTTTCTTGTTAACCGTACGAATCTTGATCCTGCAAAATGAATATTAAAGATTTTGATGTAAAATACGAATAAGGACTTCAAACTGTAAAACTCACGTTTCTCTATCTCGGGGATCAGCAATTAGCGCTTTCTCATTCGTTCCACGAACGTTGAAAACTTCACCGTTCAGTTCAAGCTCATGCCCTGAAAAAAGTATATTTAGGTAACAACACAATAAGAAAGTCGTAAGGGGTACATGATAGATAAAGATTATAATTTAATTGCTCTAATTCTGAATAAATGAAAAGAAAATTGAACGTACTGTCAATGTTCAACATCATTTTGGGAACGTTCTTCCACTTGATAATAAAGTTGCTGCCAGAGTAATGTTTGAATTTAATGTCAGTAGGCACGATCTCCAACTGATCCTCAACGAAATCCTTCAAGTCGCGGTTTTCTTTTTCTAATACCTAAAAAAGTGATACAAGCTTTAAAAAGTAATAAAACGTAAACGCTTATAAAGGCAAGCTACGACAACTTAAACATACCTCTATCTGAGACTCCAGCCTCGACTGGTTCTGTTTTAAAAGTGCAATTTCCTCCACAAATTCTCTCTTGGATTGAGCCAACAATCTATTTACCATTGCTTTTAGAGGTACCCCTTTCTTCTTTGCCGACTTCGGAGTCTTCAGTCGATTCATATGCTGAGTCTTCAACATCTCCCCAACCGACTTCCGAGAGGACTGTGACACGTTCAGTTTTTGGAATGGTTTAGAACATTGAGGAATAAACACTTGACTAAACATAATCTGAGATAAAACTTTAAAAATACTATGTTACTTAAGTAAAAGTTAAAATTGCTTTACATTAACTTCTACTTTCTAATGTTCTAAAACAGTTTACAACACGTAAAACAGCTTGAAAGTACCACGTACTTAGACAAGTCATTTTCTTTTGATATGGTGACAGTACGAGATGAAGAAAAGGATTCGTCGGCCATACTATCATAAAAATCCATCTCAGTGATGTTCATCGATGCCAAGTTGTCTATATCTTTGCTTCTCAATGATGTTGCACTAACTTCGTGAGCATTTTCATTTGGTGACAATTTCGAGTTTTCAGCTTCTACAGAACACGGTCGACCAGAATCTATTTCCAGTGGCTTTCTCGGCATCATAGAACGTTGTCGGAATGGAGTTGTGTTTGTCGATGATCGTAGCGGTGTGCGATGCCTTACAGCTGGCGCAGACATAGTCAAACCCTAGAAAGTGAGATGGCATAAGTTTTTTTTCCAATCAGCTATTAAAATATCAAAAAAACTAAATATCATAAAATTAGGTAATAAAACCTACCGTCTTCACAGCAGGATTCGGAGTCTTTGGAGGTTCGTAGTTCACAGTTTTTTGTTTTATGAACTCAATAAGGCTGTTGTGGTTAACATTGTTAGTTTTCAGTTTTGCCACACCCATCATTTGAAGCGATTCGGCTAAAATAACATTAAAGACCACTAAATTTCATTAAAAATAACGGCAATAGAGAATCAGGTGAATTTCAATCATAACATACCACGTAACTGAGCATCTGAATCCAACTTGACACCATTAATAGTGTTTAAATTCAAGTAAATAAGGGCTTTCAGGGCAATCCTGGCCAAAGAACTGTCCAATTGTGACAGACATGGGTTTTTGGACAAGTCTATTTCTTCCAGAAGCTCCAAGTGTCGAATATGATTTACTTCTCGTAGGTCTTCTATTCTATTATCACGCAACAACAATGTCTTCAATGTGATCGGAAAAGTATTTGCCATTGTCAACGTGCTCAATTCACACGAATTCAGACTCAAGAATTTGAGTTTGGTAAAGGCTGACACATCAAGCGAGTCCCCAATAGCATTTCCATCCAAATTCAACACTGTCAGAACGCCTTGAGTAAAGTAATTAGCTTCAAACTTCTAAAAAAACTATAAAGAAAAGAAATTCGTTACCTTTAATTTGTTGAAACTCAAATTCAACTCCTCTAAAGATGTAAACAAGTGAAGTCCGCTCGAATCTTCTATTTTATCCCCACTAGCGTCGATTACAATAACATTTTGTGCAGACTCCTTGTGAAAGTACAATGAATCCAATTCACAGTAAGAAACGTCAAGCTAAAATTAGGCTATTATCATATCTGAAAAATAAACTCACCTTTGAACGCCTAGTTATCACCGGAAGAGAAGTTAAGGATTTAAACGATTTACAACCTCTGCGAATGACTTCTATTTCACACATTTATAGCTGACAATATAAAACTACAAGAACTTTTCAAAAAAATATTTTTTTGTTTTTTTATTTTATAAAATTCAAAAATAACGCCAAAGGTTTCTGGCAAAAACAATTTCGTTTCGAAACGCAACTACCGTGCCGATGAGATAAATTCGTCAAAGATACGTGCAAAGAAAATACAATATTTGCCGCCATATGACATGTAAATAAACCCATGCTGTGCAGTTTTCACTTAAATTAAATATTTAGTGTTATGCAAATTTTACTCAACTCCGTACCTTGGAAGACAAACATCCTCCTCGTCATACGAATTGACATTGATCATGAGCTCCATTATAACGAACGACAAATATAGAAGATTATAAAAATTGACCAGTTCATAAGCATATACATCCTTACGCATTAAAAAGTCGAAAATATTCAATAGGTAATACGAATTCATTTTTATTCTTATAATCTAATAAAACTAAGGTAACAGATAAACGACCTAAGCTTTGAAACCAGCAAGGAATGAAGTGACCAAGCTTTTCAGTTTCTCGTCGGTTTGAGGAGAGATCTGACTTTCTTCTCTAATTGTCTTCAGCAGGTCTTGGCAATTAGCTCTGATGTGGGTCAAGAACTCCTTCTCGAACTTGGTGATGTGAGCGGGGTCGAGCTTGTCCAAATGTCCCTTTACTCCGGCGTAGATTACAGTTACTTGTTCTTCAATGGCCATTGGCACGTATTGGCCTTGTTTGAGCAACTCGGTCAAACGAACACCACGGTTCAACAGTTGTTGAGTGGCAGCATCCAAATCCGAACCGAATTGGGCAAAGGCAGCTACTTCACGATATTGGGCCAACTCCAGCTTCATGGAACCGGCGACCTAAACAGATAGAATCAAAAATCGTACTCTATTCTTACCTGTTTCATAGCCTTAGTTTGGGCAGCAGATCCTACACGGGATACAGACAGACCGACGTTAATGGCCGGACGAACACCCTTGTAGAACAATTCAGTTTCCAAGAAGATCTGTCCGTCAGTAATAGAAATTACATTGGTTGGGATATAGGCGGACACATCACCAGCTTGGGTTTCAATAACTGGAAGGGCAGTCAAAGATCCACCACCGTGAGTTTCGTTCATCTTGGCGGCACGTTCCAAAAGACGGGAGTGAAGGTAGAAGACATCACCAGGGTAGGCTTCACGACCTGGAGGACGACGAAGAAGCAAAGACATCTGACGGTAAGCGACGGCTTGCTTAGACAAATCGTCGTAGATGATCAGAGCGTGCTTTCCATTGTCACGGAAGTATTCTCCCATAGCACAGCCAGAGTATGGAGCCAAGAATTGAAGTGGAGCGGCATCTGAAGCGGTAGCAGAAACAATGATGGTGTACTTCATGGCGTCAGCATCAGTCAAACGCTTTACAATTTGAGCAACAGTAGACCTCTTTTGGCCAATAGCGACGTAGATACAGTACAACTTCTTCTTGTCGTCTCCAGCATCGTTGAAACGCTTTTGGTTGATGATGGTGTCAATAGCAATGGCAGTCTTTCTAAAAACAAATTAATTAAAAAAAATATAATTATAAGAAAAATTAATAATAGACTCAATGTAAAAATCGTAAAAAAGCAGACTAGACAAAACATACCCGGTTTGACGATCACCAATGATCAATTCACGTTGTCCTCTTCCAATTGGGACCAAACTGTCGACGGCCTTAACACCAGTTAACATAGGTTCACGTACACCAATACGAGGGATAATACCTGGAGCCTTAACTTCTACACGAGAACGCTTGGTGTCCTGGACGGGGCCCTTTCCGTCGATAGGGTTACCCAAAGCGTCGACGACACGGCCAAGAAGACCCTGTCCGACAGCGACGTCGACAATAGATCCAGTTCTTTTGACGACATCACCTTCACGGATAACTTTGTCGTTACCGAATACTACAACACCAACGTTGTCAGGTTCCAAGTTAAGAGCCATTCCCTAAAGCATACACTTGTTTAATCAAGAGAGCTAATATAATATCTAAAATCTGTAAAAAACAAAATCAATATATTACCTTCATGCCAGAGTCGAATTCCACCATCTCTTCAGCTTGGATGTTCTTCAAACCATAAACACGGGCAATACCGTCACCAATAGACAATACTTTACCGGTTTCTTCGAGATTGACATTGCCTTCTTGGCCAAGGATCTTGTCCTCTAGGATCTTCGAGACTTCAGCGCCAGCAGCCGAAACTCTGGATGAAGTAGAGAATGCGCTTTGTGGCACCTGTATTTAAAAAAATTTTAATAAAACATAAAGATTATTTTAGGTATTAAATTAAACCGAAACATGTACCAGAAATTCAAAAAAATACTCACCTTAGCATTGCGCAAGGCTGTGATAACCTGTCTTGACAACATACTGATTGGAGAGTACGTTTACAAACGGAATCCCCAATGTTCTCACAGAAATCAACGAAAAGAAAATTTTTGGCAAACCAAAGAGTGATTCGCAGACACTTCTTTGTACCGTACGCGGGAAATTCAAACGTATATTTTTCGTGACGAGACCTGAAATTTAAGTTTCTGGCCGGACTGGTCGTTCTTTGGCTTTCTTTGCAGAGTTTTTGATCAAAGTATGAGTTCTTAAACATTTTTAAATTAAAATTTAAAAGCTTCTAAAATTTTATTTTACATTTTTTTGAAAATTTTACTTGGATACGCAAAAATTGATGAAAATAAAAATTGATGTCACAGTAAAGTCAACGTCGTAAGTTTTGCAAGAATTAAAAATCAAAGGAAACGTTCAAGGAAATTTATTATAACAAAACAAACAGCTAAACTTATATAATTTCAGAGTTCTTTCTGGATTGTTCTTCTTTTATCTCGTGGAATATCTTGTTCACTTCATCGAGGTCTATCTCGTCTCGTCGTTCTCCGGCCATAGAATTTGTAGTGCTGGCCCTGGATCTTGTCTGGTCGTACCAGACTTGTATTTTGTCTGCAAACTCGGCCACGTCTTGGGCTTCGAGTCTGTTGGCTACACGAACAAGATTACTGTTATCCAATGTCTTCCTGGCCTTCTTCTTTATTAGAAATGATCTGAAGAACTTCAGGTTGTACTTCTCGAAGGTGTTACGAATCCAGTGGTGTCCATACTTGCCAATTACAAGCTCTAGGCCTATCATTGTGTGGTCGATCAGCTAAAATACGATGTTATTTTTTATTTATCAGTTAAAATAGGTATTTTGTTGTCGAGTTGATCTATTTTCAAAATTTTATGCTGAAGTATAGCTTGATGTGTTAATAGTTGAGCTTACATTTTCGTGCACTTTCTCGACCATTCCCTTCTCGTAGACAACTTTACGTTCAACTTGAAGTACGTTAGCAATAGGTTTGAGCGTCATTCCCTGAAAATAAATTGTTTCCTGTTCAACTACTTACTTGCAAGAACACTGTGAAGTATATTACTACAATACACGAAGTAACAAACATGTTTTTGGCTGGCAGATCATTTGGTAATGCTACAACTAACCCATATCTAAATTTGAATATTAGAGACAAAAAAAACGGGGTACTATCAGTATTTTAATATTATTTTATGTTTTTTTATCTAACGACGTACGCTATGGCACCACGCAGTCCTCCAAACGCGATGATGAATTGGTCAACCTTGGTAAACTTTTTGAGCCGGAATTTGTTTAAAACCCAACAGATAACAACAACACCTGCAATGTTGGTTATAAGAGACGTAAGTCCTTTATATCTCACCTATGGCCCTGTAGATCATGCAGAATATTACTGTTAAAACAATGAAAGCGGTGTCCCAGTGATGATCTGCCGACACAGTTGAAAGACCCAAGAATATGAAGATTACTGTTTCACTGGCTAGTGCCAAAACCTTTACAAAGTAGTGAATAGACTTGAAAGCGTCTTTTGGTATGTTTTCTCGGATGTATGGTTTCATGGCCGCTCCGCAAAAGACGATTCTACAATTTGAAAGTTGTTTTAAAGTAAGGTTCTTACGCTAAAATGGCTGAGAGACCAAACATTTCACAAGCCAGATACGAAGCAAACGGTATCAGGAACACGAACACTGGGTTCAAGATGGGCACATTGTCAGTGTACCTAGAATGATTCAGTAAAAACAAAATTGGACTTACTTTGTGAGGAAGGCTGTCATCATGGCGAACAGTATTCCTACTAGAGTACCTCCGATTGCAATAACGAAGAAACTAATGATACCAAAAATGTAATCTTGTACTATCAGATTGTCACCTCCTATTTCCACGAACGACACGAACATTTGGTACAACACCTAAATTTAAGTTTGGCAGAAAATCTACTGATCTTACCACGGAAACACCATCGTTCAACAGAGATTCCCCTAAAATAATGTAATTCTTGTTATGTTCGATCAAAGTTACCGAAAACACTGATAAACAGGAGTTCGTTGACATTCATCTCCTCGAAGATGACGATCACGGCCACCGGGTCGACGTCAGCTATCAAGGATCCAAAAAGCAACAAGTCCCAGAAGGTCATCTCCACCGAAAACAAGCCGGTTTTGCTGATCAACCACAAGGATACGCCTAAATTTCATAATGTTGAACACGGATACAGCCTTACCTATGGCGATGATATTCCATGCTGTTCCGACCAGTGCGAACATCAAGCACGATCCAATATTATCGAAGAACGCTCTGGCAGGCATGTTGTATCCTAAACAGTAGGTTTAATGTGTTACCATTTAGCTAGTACACTACGTATATGTTTGTACACATAGAGACCTGCATTTTATAAACTAAACGCTCGTTTGCCATAAGTAAAATCGTACCGGCATCGAACACCAGCGGCGGTAAGAGGTATAACATGAAAACTTGAGATCCCAAGTAGAATTCGCTTCGGTTAACGTGAGCCATATTCAAGGTAATGCCGATCAGAAGCCCGATCAGAATCAGAAGAGAGCTGTCGGGAAACATCTCGGATACCTTTTTGTACACATGAAACACTGGAATAGAAATTAAAGTTTTAATACTTTAAATTGACATCAATGTTTTTTGTTTATAATTCTCACTCATTTTGGCATTGAACCTTACGAATTTTGGCAACACACGCAGTGAACAGCCATATTACTATGGTCATGGGCACTTTCACTTCTTCCCAGCTGAACTCGATGATGGCATATCGTTCGGGCTTCTCGTGCTCGCTTTCTTCGGCATTGATGAAGCCGGCTGTCACGATGAAGAAGGCGACTCCATAGTATAGCCGCCATAGCGTCATCTTCCGACGTAGCGGTAGTAAAAAGACGGCAGGGTTCGTGTTTCCAAGCCATACTTAACTGATAAGAATAATAACTTTGGGAAATAAAATTAGGGCCCTTAGGGTTTTATGACTTTTGACGCAATTATTAGCATGTTAATGTATCCAGAAGTCGCTTCTTCAAAAGAATACATTATGCTGATATAAACCGAGTAAGTGGTTTGGAGCAGCAGTATGATGACATAGCCGCTACTCAGTAATAATAACATAATGCTGTTCGTATCCTTGTGTTTTCTTACAGTAATAGTCTACTGTGACAAGCTGGACCAGTCCCCGACACCTGGTAGGCTCTGTTCCTTTGTAAATGATCATCTTAATTAGTTTCGAGTAGCTGAAAAGCCTACAATAATGATAAGCAGTGATAAGAGTAATCGTTTGCTATGTAAACTTGACGAAAAGAGTACGTATGTAACAATAAATATAAGTTTGAAAAGCATATAACATAATCTTCGAAAGTTAACCTTGTTATTAAAGAGTCGAATCTGAGAATCAAATGCAGGTACTACAATGTAGATGCTGTGTTTGCCAAAAACAAATGTTACGTGTTAGATCAACAACTAGTGGACAGTAAGAACAACGTGTCTTGTCATCATTTACATTGATTTGATGGCAAGATTGCCACTTATGACATAGATGTCATCAAGCATATGGAATTGCGAAACATAGTCAGCGTAAGAGAATCCTTTGTTTGATGATAATATTGATGAAAACGTGTTAACAATACAAATATGTGAAATTTTAGGTTTCTCTTTCAGAGTAATGACAAAATATTGTTAAGTGATCGTGACTACGGTAGCTCAAGTGGAAAAGCAAGAACTTTGTGCGAATACAGTAGGAATTTTACTTTACCGTGATTTTTGTAGTTTTTTAATTCAAATAGCACATAATAATTGCAGAAGACGTATTGTACTGCGACACCGGCTACTTCTTGAACGGTATTCATTGCTACAAACTTCACAAGAACAACGTGAAGTGGGCAGAAGCACGTGATGCTTGTCAACGCGAGGGTTCCATGCTGGCCGTGCCTCACAATGACAACGACGGACAGTTTCTGGCTTGTAAGTAAAATTTTTCATACTCAACGTGACATATTCAGCCATGGTAGCACGTGAGAACATCATCAACGACAATGACAACACCTTCATATGGGTGGGGATGTACATCGAGGATCACAAGAAGCTGAAGGTAGTCGACAGCTCTTGTCCCAATTACTTCCGTTGGTTGCCGATTGGGCACAGTAAGTGATGCAAAACCAAAGTAAACTGATTTTTTAAAAACTTTTCTTCTTTTTACAACATCATTTTAACACGTAACATGTATGATATGATTGTGTCATTTCAGAACGCTTCTTGACCGATGCGTACCAAACTCCCAATACCGTGGTCGCCATTGGTACCAGTGCTTCGAACACGGGTAATGTTGGACAGTTTGGTTACTACCAAGTCATAAACGGCAACTTTCACAAGTAGGTACCATGACTACTGTACTAAACTGATATAAAGTCTACTTTCTCAAGTTCACAATCACTCAAAATCTTTTTATATATCATATCATGCTCCTAAAGCAGGTATTTCAGATCACGTTATGTTATTGTGATTCTGTTTCAGACTACCGTTCCTGTGCCAAAAGCCAGCCAAAAGCGAGTACGATGCCATTTACTATCCCAAAAAGGTCTGAATGTACTTAATAAAACCTTTTGAATGACTGACTTACTGATAAGGAACATTGTGATACGTTATCACTTCGTTCTTCGAGACGTCTTCTTTTTGTTTTAACCAGGTTTAGGCCATAATTGCAATTATCATTTGATTGTGATGGTTAATAAAGTACATGTTTGTTTTGTTTTCGTATGTTCAGGTATTTAGACATATCGTGGAGGTTTATTGCATTGTTCTAAAAGAAACTGAAGCAAGAATGCAAATGATATCGTATCCTGATCTTGGTTGAACTAGATATTAATGCATAGTTTTGTGTTTTAAAAGTTGCTTATGTTAATTTAAACCTATTTTTTAAATTTTATATTCAATTACTATGAAATTCTGAGCTAATCGTATATTTCTTTATGTTTTACTCTCAATTGTTTTAGTGTTTATTTTAATAATCAAAAACGCTAAATTAGATATTAGCCTTCTTGTGAAAATAGATCCTTTTGAAGCTACTGAATTTAAATTTCGAAAAACTATTTATTTTACGTGACTTTGTTACCTGAACTTTGACCGTATTAAAAATAATTTCTGCTTTAAGAAATGTTTTCTATATTGTCGAAACTTAAAAGTTTCTCCAACATTACCTAAACTAAAACTAATTTGTAGACAAAATGGGGCAGTGGTACTCCCCATTACAGGCTTTGGGAATATCCATCGCTTTTTGTATCCTCGATATTATCATCTGTATCGTTGGCTTGGCATGGGATGGTCGCTTCTTCACCTTCGACAATGTTATCCATTGGTTCGACTTCCAGAGCTACAGTTTCACTAGGAATCCTATCGACTTTCTGGTAAGTATGACACTTGTAGGTGTTGATGTCACGTTTAGGCTGTATGTATCGTCAGAATCTGTCTACTGCTTGGTGGAGCCATTGGCGTCTATGCGAATCCGTCAGTTGGAGCTCAAGCATGCTCAAAGTACAGTAACTTGACATTCGCTGTAGTGCTTCTAATGATCGCTTTCTCACCGTCAAAGTTGTTGGCCTTCTACGAACACCCGAATCCGTTGGCAATTGGAGATTGGATTCTGATGATCTGGTCGATGACAGCTTGTATGTTCGTGCAAGTAGGTCTTACCACATAATCTTTACCTGAAACCGGAAGTAATTTTGCTTCAACAAAAAGAAAAACAATTTGGATGCGAAAGCATAGTTTTAAATTTATAAATTAATAAATTAATAAAATTTGAAATTCAGGGAATCTGGACTTCTGTGCTAGGAAAAGTGCGTGACGATACCTACAGAAGACTCGAGGACCGTAACTTCTACGAATGCGACAACGAATATTACGCCGAAATGCAACGCGTAAGTTACAAAAAAGTAAAATCTGACGTTTTTGTAGACAAGTAAAACAATTTATGACATATTATTGTAGAGGGAAGCCAAAGAACAAGAAGAAAAGAGAGAGACCTTCACCATGTTGTTACGTCTGTTCTCTTACATGGCCAAAGAATGGGTGTTCTACATGGTAGCGTTCTCCTTCTTGTTGTTGTACTCTTTCTGTAAGTTTTGATACTACAAACAATTTGCATGTAGTACACATGTTTAAAGTATAATAATGTTGTATGCACCTTTGATTTAACATTGTATTTAGCTAGAGTATTCGCTCCATATTATACTGGAGAGGTGGTTGGTGCTGTTTTTGGTGAAGGTGCTTCGTACGCCAAGCTACACGAGAAGGTGTTGATCATGGCTGCGTTGTGTATGGGTAGTGCCATCTTCGGAGGTCTTCGTGGTGGTTTCTTTACATATTCACAAGCCAGAGTAGACCGTCGTATTCGTAACGACTTGTTCACTTCTTTGGTTCGACAAGAGATCGGCTTTTTCGATGCCAATAAGACAGGTAGCATAATTAAAACTTCTTTACATTAATTATTTCTGGAGTCATTAACTACATTCAAATTATTTTTGAAATCTAAAAAAACATTCAAAAATTGTAAGCTAACGTATTTTAGGAGAAATCGTGTCACGGTTGAACGCCGACTGCCAAACAATGTCAAACACCTTGTCGCTGTATGTGAACGTGCTCGCACGTAACACCACCATGTTGTTTGGCTCTCTCATCTTCATGTTTACTCTGTCGTGGCGTCTGTGTATGGTCACGTTGATTGCCGTTCCAATCATCTTCTTGGTTTCCAAAGTGTATGGTGTATATTATGATGTAAGTAACGCGTGTTATTGAGTATTTTTGTAAACTTTACAGTCGATGTTATTTTTTATGCTTTTGATATAATGATAACAAAAATGCTTTGTTCCTCATGATTTGTGGAACAAAAAATACCCTCTGAACAACATGGGTTCAGAAAAGGTAAAAGCACACTTACTAATACTATTGAAACTTACGATGATTTAGCGTCGGCTTTCGACGCAAAAGTTACTACAGACATAGTTTTCTTCGACTTGTCCAAAGCATTTGATAAAGTTTGTCACAGTATTTTACTTTATAAATTATCAAAAATTGGTGTTAACGGCAAATTTCTATCTCTATTAAAAGCATATCTACATAATCGCTCTTTTACTGTTAAAGTACATGACTCCAGCTCTCAACCTAAAACTATACTAACTGGTGTACCACAAGGTAGCCTCCTAGGTCCTTTATTATTTAACATTTTTCTTCATGACCTTCCTTCTTTCTGCCAAACTGAAGGAGTAACAGTTAAACTTTATGCCGACGATGTTAAAGCTTATTCTCTTTCAACTAACAACCTAAATCTTCAAAAATTCATCACAAAGTTTGTCTCCTATTGCCAAATCAATCAACTAACTATAAATTATTCTAAATGTACAATACTTCACATTGGGAAGAATAACCCTAACTTTGATTATGTTCTTTGCGACGACAATGTTTTTACAAAAGCAACATGTGTAAAAGATTTAGGCGTCTTACTCAGTAACAAACTTTCGTTTAATGATCATATCTATCGTTGTGTATCAGTAGCCAAAAAACGCACTTTCCTTTTATTTAAATGTTTAAAAACCAAAAATTATAAAGTCCTTCGTCACGCTTATATATGCTATGTCCGTCCATTAGTAGAGTACAACTGTCCCCTATATAATCCAACCGTTAAAAAACTAATAGATTCTTTAGAATCAGTACAGAAACTGGCAAGTAAAATAATAATCTCACGTTGTTTTCCTTCATGTTCACACTATACCTATTCTCTTCGTCTTGCCAAACTCGGTCTTCCCACATTGAAATCACGTCGTGATAAATTAGATATAAAAACTTTAAGTTCTATAATAAATAACAAAATAGTTGTATCGTCTGCCCAAAAGCCTGTCCTGAGAGATTCTAGGTCTATATTTACTCCAGGACGTGTGTTTAGGCCAACTCTTTTTTTCCTAGATCATTAAGACAACTAAGGGATCAATAGCTATTTAAACGCTCATCACTGTACTGTCATTTATCGTTAAAAATTTTATTTTATATTATATTGATTTTATGTTACATTATGACTTTACGAGTGAATTTTTGAAAATAAATAAATTTGTCGGTGATTTCAGCGACTCGCCGAAGAAAGTCAAGCCTCGATAGCCAAGGCTAACGATGTAGCTGAAGAAGTTCTGAGTGCCGTCCGTACTGTGAAGAGTTTTGCTTGTGAACACTTTGAATCTCTTCGATTCCTCGGATTCTTAAATGTCACGTTGGGAATTGGTGCTCGTAGAGCCATCGCTCACATTGGATTCTTGTGGACGACTGAGGTAGGTATATCATCACATACGTTTAATGCTGTCATGAATCAAGATATTAAATTGGCTCATTTATTGCTTTCAGTTCTTGCAAATGGGAATCTTAACTGTCGTCTTGTTCTACGGTGGTCATCTTGTAATTCAAGGAGAGGTAAGGAGTGTACTTCTTACTGACATACGATTTTCATTTAATTTATACCTAATTGTAACTTAATTTCAGATTTCTTCCGGGTTGCTGGTCTCCTTCCTACTGTACCAATTCCAACTTGGAGAAAACTTAAGAGTAAGTTATTAAAACGTTAACATAACTTGAATACTTAGGAACTCGGCGAAGTATGGAACGGTCTCATGCAAGCTGTTGGAGCTTCCAGGAAAGTATTCGAATTGATCGACAGAGAACCATTAGTCACAAACGATGGTCGTATTGCACCAGATGGACGTAACTCTCAAATCGAAGGTCGAATTGAGTTCAGACATGTTAACTTCAGCTACCCAACCAGGCCAGACCTTCCGATCATGAATGTAAGCAAATCTTTAGCTTCTTTTGATCTTATAAAATACAATCTCAAACGCATGACAATACCCAAAGATATCAAATGTAACCTTTACTTCAGGACTTGTCATTCACTGTTAACCCAGGCGAAGTTGTAGCCTTGGTTGGTCCCAGTGGTGGAGGAAAAAGTTCATGTATCGCCATGCTTGAGCACTTCTACGAACCGGACAGTGGAGAAGTACTACTTGACGGAGTACCAGTCAGAGATTACGACCACAAGTTCTTGCATAACAAGGTAAGTCCACCTTTGTACACACACAAAGTTTAGATCGCATTGGTCGGACAAGAACCAGTACTGTACGCACGTTCGGTACAAGACAACATCACCTACGGATACGAATCCGGCTACAACAACACTGACTTAATTCAGAAGTCCGCCAAGATGGCCAACGCACATACATTCATCATGGACACGACTGAAGGCTACCAAACGGACGTTGGAGAAAAAGGAAGTCAAATGTCAGGTAAGACACTAACAACATATACCTTTCAAAGATTAATATCTAAAACTTTCAAACTATTGTGACATTACCAAAATCATTGCAAGCCTACAATTACATCTTCAGGCGGTCAGAAGCAAAGAATCGCCATTGCCAGAGCTTTGGTCAGAGATCCAGTAGTTCTATTGTTGGACGAAGCCACTTCAGCGTTGGATTCAGAATCCGAACACTTGGTCCAAGAAGCCATTCAGAAGAACTTGCACGGTCGTACTGTAGTAATGATCGCTCACAGACTCAGTACAGTAGAAAACGCTGACAAGATTGTAGTAATAGCTGGTGGCCGTGTTGTTCAACAAGGTGTGCACAAGGACCTGATCCAACAAGAAGGTCTCTACAAACAACTGGTACAGCGACAGATGCTGAGTAAGTTTTGGTTGGTAAACAATGAAATTGTCACCAGACTTTTTTAAAAACACCTCTCATACATGAAAAGACAATGTTACACAACTGTTTTCAGATGGAAGTCTCCAAGATCCACCCCCACCCAAGCCCGTCCCCGCCCCAGCTCGTTCTCGACAGATCCGCCAGAGTCGAGAGTCTACCTCGCAAGCTCAAAGCTTCTTAGGCACCAGTTTGGCTAGTTCTTATCTCTAATCTTAGCAGTAGAAAGTTGTTTTATATTGTTGTTTGTTTAATTATTTGACTAAACCATTACCTGACCTTTTTTTGAAGATTTTCAAAAAAGTGCTCGTTTAACGTTGATTTTTAAAAATTTAATTAATCAAGTAAGGAACGCGAACTTTACCGCAATTAAGCAATACAAAGCAATAAATTACCAAAATCATTGGTTTTAATATATTCACTATCACTTACAAAATTAACTTAACATACTGATTCATTTGACCTTTGATCCGGATACAACTCTTATCAGTAAGCCAATTTTGGTTAGAGATCAATTAAGTACCTAATATTATTTTTTGACCTCCGACAACTATAACATGTACTATATCTTACATTTTTCCACATATTAATGTTACAGTAAACTTGCCAAAGCGAATGTTACTTTTAAGTCATCGTTTATCACAAATGTTGTTATTTTCGTCATTCGAGAAATGGGATGATCAACGAAATTTTGCACATTATCAGAAAACATAGCACAGTCACTTACCTTCTCCGATATTAACTTTGACTGTCGTGTTTTCTTTTCATTTGGACTTGATTTTTGGTTTAAGTTTGGTCTTCCTTATTAGTTGTCCATTATTGTTAGGTAGTGTGGTCATTACTTGCAAAATAATCAACGTATCTCCCTAAATAACTAGGTTAACTATAAAGATTGGTAAGCTAAGGTTTGTTTCAAAAGGTCCTGAAGAGCCTTTATAAAAAGGCCAAAGATTAATTTTCAACTATGGATTTAATAAATATCAGCATTATTAATGTAATTGTAACGTAATGTATATTATTAAAAACCATCTAACATTGAATTCGTATGTTTTCTAAAAGTCGTTTCTAGTAGTGTTATAGTCCAAAAAACGCGTAGATAAGAGTTTAAAATGGTCAAAATATGTTTTTCGAGTTAGTCAGCTCCGCAAAATGACAATCAGACCATAATACAGAGTACCTTGCAGTATAAAGTTTAGGGTTCATTATTTCGCAATAAATCCACAAGCAACTTCGCAACGTCAAAGTACAACATTGTTATTTGAAGCGTGATGAAACACTTGAAAAATACAAAACACACGTCGAGTTGTAGGTGCGCAACGTTATCAACTTTATAATCGAACCATACGTGAAACTATATAAGACTTACGTTCAAAACAAGACTTGGTCCAAAATCTTCGATGTTGATCACTTCTTCAATATAAATGTGGTCTTTTTCTTGATCTGTCTTGTTCCTTACGTTTTACATTAACATTCGTCCATTATTTGCTCTCCCGAAAACAAAATTTTGTATAAAAAACAAATTCTAAAAAATATGTCATGGGGATGACGTGTTTTTTGAACCTTTCGACCTATTTTGTGGGAAATCAGGCCCATGTGAAGATCCGCTGCTTGCAGAGCCTTGGAAGGGTCAACGAACTTTGCGTTCCCTTCCTATTTTTTGTGTTTCTTATCACTCACCGCTCCTTATCGACCCGTTAATTTTTGCAACAAGAATCTCGTCCACCCTAAGGGGCAAAGTTCGCGCGTAATTTATTTACTGGATCTTCCACTTTTTTTCATATCGTTTTTTTCAGACCGAACAATGAGTACGGAAGCCGAAGGTGTGGACGCTCATTACGCCTACTTTCGGTCGATCTACGGCCAGTTGAGCGAGTCTCCGGTCGGTTTGAGACTTCGCAATCTCTATGACTACACCAAAAACAGCAACAGCATGGTGCAAAAGTCGTTGGACGGTGTAGAAGTACGCTTGTATGATGTCAACGACAGTGTTATTGCACCATTGTATGAAAGATATTGTTATCCAGCCACAGAACGTCTAGCAAAGGCTTCACAAAGCAGTAAGTTGTGTTTGACGTTGTTTTTATAGCGTTAGAGAAAGTAATTTTACTGTAAATAACATGGTCTTTGTTAATTTGTGGTAGCTAGACATTAATTTACTGGCTTGACAGGTTATGATCAAGGAACCAATATCTACCACAGCGTGAAGGACTTGGCCCAAGCTGGTACTACTCTTGGCCTTGGCGTTGCTGTTGTTGGTGCCCAAATTGGTCTGATTGTAAGTGCATCGATGACGAATCTGCTTTTGGATGGCATCATCTTGAGCAAGGACGTTGGAAGCGGAGTTGTGAACAGAACCAAGAACGTCGAAAAACAAGTCGAAGCCAAGATTTTTGCCACTTTGGAGAACTGCAAAAACATCGCTGGTGTAAGTTGTTATTTTTTAGCCTATATGAAAAATAAACAAAGGTGTTTTGAGGTTGTTATATGGTACATATTTATATCTGGGTTGCTTTATTTCATTATAAAGTTTAAGTTTGGCAATTTAGGTACCCGTCAACAAAGCTTCTGAATACACCAACTCCCTTCTTGACGTTATGAACGCCTTCTTGGACAACTTTCTTCATTTGCCAGTGAATGAAAACGAAAACCCAGAAAGTTCGATCCCTCAGAGAATCCGCCATTTGACTTCTCGTGTCAGCCAAGCCATCGTTTCCAAGACAGTCCAGCCATGTCAACAACAAATTGCCGCCCTATTAGAAAATCTAAGAGCTAGATTGACATTAGTAAGTGAAAATAAATACAATTAACTCTTTTGGCAGGTTGAAAACTTAAAGAAACAACGGGACAACGTTCGTACTCACCTCATGAGCACCTCATTGTCAGATCTGTACGCAAGAGTCGAGAAAGAAGCTGCTGAAATCAAAGCCCAACCCTCTGAAGTCTTGTTGCGATCGATCCAAGGTTGTGCCAAAAGATTGAATGCCTCTTTGAGTGCCATCTCTCAAAAGAGCTCACAGGTAAACACTTTTTAGACTTATTATAGTAGTGTATTCGTAATAATGCACATTTTGATACATAATAATGTCTATTTTGATAACTATGTAAAACTATCAAATAATTCTTGATAGGTGAATGCTAATTTACAGACACTCCCTTCATCTGCCTCTGAACGCCTACATTCTGCCATCAACTACATCGAAAACCTGGACAAAACATTTGAAGGTGCTGACAGTATCCACGCCATCAGAGATGAAGTACGAGATTTTCATTGATAACTATGTTGAATATACAGTGGAACTCCTGCATAACGAACCTCTGTGTAACGAAATTTCCGTTTAAGAGAAACTTTTAAACCTTCGTCAATCACTACACAGTACATTAAAAACTCCTCTATACCGAAAAATAACGAACAATTTTTAAATCTCCGAGCGGTTCGTTATACTGGAGTTTCACAGTAGTTTCAGCAGATAATACACAATTTTACATGCTTACGCTAACAATTTTATGTTCAGGTAATCGAGGAGGCCAGACAAAAGCTCAGCGAACTTCTCCAAGTCGCCAAGTTCGCCCCCAAATTTCCAAAAGAGAAAAGCGTCCTAAACGAAGACATCTGAATGTAAAATCTTTTCAACCTCTCATTTTTCCAGTATTTTTTATTATTGTGTGTTTGTTATCAACAGTCAGTCAATAAACAGTTTTTTCGTGTTTTCTTGTACTCATTAAACTTGCAATTTGGTCCCAGCTGGAAAACATTGTCACTGAATCGGAAATCCGTTTGCTTATGGCATCTCGATGAAAATAGTTTCTCATTCGCATTGAAATCATCACTCATTGTTTTATTTACACCATGGTATCCTTTTCTCCATTGCCAGAGTTTTCTTCACTAGAAATGGAATCTTCCAATTGTAAGTTAACAGACATGTTCGTATCTATATTTAACCCTTGTCGTACTTTTGGTGAATTTCTGGGATTTTTGCGAATAATCAGGAAAATTTACAAGCTGCATGTTTTTAGTGCAACCAAAGGGAGGAATGGAGTACTTGGTGGAGTTGATCGACGACAAGAAGAATCTGCAGATGTTCCCGAAGTTGTTCAGACATGTCGATCGCTTGGTGGACCAAGGTGGGTTGAATATACGTTTATTGTGATAGTTTTCTAGAAATTGCTCAAGTTCGATCTTCTTTGTTCCAATTCAATTTTGCAAAGACCGGATTGGACTTGCCTGATCCAATCGGAGAGCCGATCATCGTCAGAGAAAAGGTGTACATACCTGTTGATGAGTACCCAGACGTAAGTTGGCATCATACTCATCCGATTGTTTTAGTTCAACTTTGTTGGCAGAATTCTTGGTCCTCGTGGAATGACAGCAAAACAATTGGAACAAGAAACTGGCTGTAAGATCATGATCCGTGGCAAGGGCTCAGTTCGTGATCGTAGCCGTGAAGCAGCTCGCCGCGGAAAGACCGAACAAGAGGACAATCTGCACGTGTTGATTCAATGTGAAGATGCTCCGAACAGAGCTCGCAGAAGAGTTGACCTTGCCGTGAAGCATGTTAGCAAGCTTCTGGTTCCAATGGTAAGTTAGGTTTACCTCGAAACAGCGATTTTGTGTGGATAAAATAGTATTTATGGGTTTTATGCTTTAGGTAATAGTTTAAATGGTTTCTTTTATAACAAAACCTTTGTTTATAATTTAATTGTTTTAGCAAGAAGGTTCCGACGAGTTGAAGAGGAAGCAACTGATGGAACTGTCGCTCATCAACGGTACTTACAAGCCTCTGCGTTCACCCCGTGTTCGCAGCTCCAACACTGAGACGCGAGAGAGCTTCTTGGACATGGATTCTGCGATTGACTCACCTCAAAACAGTCCGTTCCTGAAGAGTCCAGCGCCGTTCAAGCTGCAAGCTCCGCCCAAGGGACGATCTTCGGTGACGTCTGAAAAGAGCTGGATTTCTTCTTCGCCTCCTACTGATTCTTCTTTTCATATTAACGATTCTGATCACTCAACTTCACCTGAACCGTCATCTGGTAATTCTATTTTGAGGGCCTACATGCCTGGCTACTTCCCGCCCTCGCCGGTTCTACTTGAAGACTCGCAATCTTTTATCTTGGTCTAGTCCTTAATTAGTTAGTTTTCATATCATTATTAATTGTTTAATATTTGGTACGATTTATTTTGAATTTATAGCTTTATAACTTTATCATGATCTTACTTATTATATTGTTAACTTTTGTTAAGTATTATTTTTGTGTTTTTCTTTCTTGTTTGATAAAGTTTCATAGCGAAAGAGTTTGGGCTGGATTATTGGTTATTTTTCACCGCGAAAGTATATGATATGAAGTTGTTAAGTAATAAGTACATGTTCAGTAACAGACAACGTAAATGAGGTAGTGACTAGTTTACTCATCGAAAAAACATAGGAAGTTAGGTTTGCTTTCGTGCATGCGTCTTCTTCCAGTTCTGGTACACACGCAGACGACGATGGAATTCGCTTCTGCAAGCAGAGATCAGTTCAATGTCAGATGTGGTGTTGATAGTGTCCCGAAGTTTAGCGTAAGTCCATTGAGTTAAATCATTTTCATCCTTTGGCTTTGGAGCTGCTTGTTTGTTTGCGTCTTCTGCAAGATGCACGCCGTTTTCCTGTTCCAAACGCTTGGCAAGTTCAAGGTCCAATTGTTCTTGTCTTTCTTTTTCTTCTCTACAATTATGACTGTAATAATAAAATTATAGTCGGGATTCATCGTACCCGCTAGTTTTAGAGCGAATGTTGAACTTTTCCTTACCGTTTCGCCTTTTCGGCTAGCTGTCTTTGTTCTGCGGCTTTGCGTTGCTCTTCTTCAGCTTTCATTTGTTCTTGAATCTTCCTCAAGGCCTCCAGTCTGCGCTTTTCGTGTTCTTCACGTTGTTTGGCCTTCTGGATTTCTTCCAACCGCTTCTTTTCCAGCTCCATCAACTGTCTCTTCAAGCTTTCCTTCTCAGCAGCAGCTTTTTTGACGTCTTCAATCAACTTAGTTGTGTCGCTTTGCAATCGAGATACGGTGTCTTTGTCTGATGGTTGGATGTACGAATTGACGTTGTCCTAAAGTATAATGTATTTTAACAAGCATCAAAGGTTTTACCTTCAAAGATCGGAGAGTAGCGGCCACGACATTTTTGTGCAACGTTAACTGTTGCAATAATTCTGAATCCATGTCTTCATTCGAAGCCAACATCTTCATCGTATTGTCAACATCTTTGATAATGTTAGACACCGTAGTCGCTAGTTTGACTCTCGGAAACACCTTACGTTTCGCGATAAAACCTCGCACAACTGACTGAATCATGATGACATTTGCGGCCCTGAATGCAATCTTCTTCTCCACTAAAAATATTTACTACTCTGCCCTTTGCACTTACGCTTAATACACGACCAGATACCGTACTGAACCTTGCGCCATCTCAGCTTGCACAACCAAGACTGCACCTTTCCAATCATCTCCTTCATAGCTTGTGGATCGTGTCGCAGCAGCTGGTCGAATTCGGCGAACTTCCCGGGCTTGAAGAAAACTTTGGTCATACCAAACTTGTAGTCAGAGTCGTTGAGCCCGAGGACATGGAACAAGCATTTGCAGAATAGTCTGTGGTCCAATCGTGCCAACTTTTCTGGCAACAGGGATGAGTACATGTTGTACAGCTCGGAAAATTGTGTTCTGAAAGGCTGTTAAATTGAGGAGGACAATTACCTTGAGGGATATCCCATTTGCATAAGTTTCAAGACGCTTTCCATACCAGAGTAACGGAGCTGGCCCAGGATCTGGTTGCTTTCAAACTTGCCTGGAGACATTTCACCGTTGGGTTTGATACAGCGTACAAAGTGTGTTCCCTAAAAGTATAATGTTTTGACTAAAAACTGTGGAATCGCTTTACTTTTTGATAGCTGTTCTTACCGTTCTTTGCAATTTGTCCAGGAGTGATCCAAGCTGCTTTCTGAACAAAGCACTGGCTGAAGAAGATATCAACTTGTTCTGAGGTTTGTTTAATGTAGAGGCTTCGAAGAGTTGAGTCAGAATCTGATTGGAAGAGAATGAAATCATGTTCTCCAAAGAAGCGTGCAAGTTGTTGCTGTTCTTCTCGATGAACTGACTCGTTTGATAGCAGACAGAGCCAGCAAAGTGACGGATGATGAAGCATTCATCCTCACGTAGCGCACGGTATTCCTTCACTTTTGAGTTTCGACTGGACTAAAATTCCAAGTGTTAAGAGTACGTAAATACCACTAAAATACAATTTACTGATCAGTACGGTTTATTTCAGTAGATACTTACTGAAAGCCGGAAATGAGAGCCGTGAGTTTGGTGGACAGACGTAGTAAAATGTTGAGTTGTGGGCTTCGGAAGCCGAATCTCTTCGTCCAACAAATCTAGAAGGCCGCCTTTGCTCTCGAACAATTCGATGCAATCGTGGTTGTCATTGTACTCAATTTGAGGAATGTTCAGACTCTCAGCCACGTACAATTCTTGTTCTTGCTTCAGGATTCTGTCGTTGAAGAACTCTTGCAGCTTTTCGTTACAGTAGTTGATACAGAACTGTTCGAACGAGTTGTTCTTGAAGAACTCTGAAAACAAAATCTCAAGTGTGACATTATGTAAAGCACGAACACCAGCTTATTACTCCATAACTTACCAAATCCAGCAATATCTAATACTCCGATGAAATTCTTGGAACCCTGAATAGGAAAACAAGCGTTTATCTTGGCTACAATTGCGTCAAACAGCTTGCCATAGATGGTCTTGGCCAGAGTATCTCGTGTTGCTGCGGCTTCTTTTGACTTGAGCCTGACCTGGATTACAGTACCCTTGATTCCGCCTCTGGTCGGTTGCATAATTCGACTAACTAGTCCGTTGACCAGCTCGTGCTTTCCAATACCCATCAATTTGGCGGCCCAATCTGCAGAAAATTCAGAAGCGGAGGTGATCTTGCAGCCTCCACGAATGTCATCAGATTCCTCAAACACAATGTTTCCAAGGTGGAGGATGCCAGCCAACAGTTTGAAGAGGTTCAGAAGACTGTTCTCATCGTAACCGATGTTCTTTAGCGCTTTGGACAAACGTTGGAAGTCTTCGGCATCGTTCACAACTTCGTCGTAGACCTTAAAAAATTATTTTAATTACTAAATGTTATTTTAAAATTCAAACATAAGAGATAACACAGTACGTATTACTGTAATTTATGTAGATACAAAGACATAACCTACCTTATCCCCCGTGGCTTCTCCGTTAGTAAAGTACTTTGTGAATCCATGCTTCAAGAACTGAAACGTCCAAGATTAAATTAAAATTTTGAATATTCACATACCTCAAAGTCTTGGGGTGTTGTGAGACCAAGGTCCTTCCTAAGACTCTCATCAGCACCAACGAACAGCTGGTAGAAAATGTGATAGTTACGCTCTTCCCTTTGCTGAATACAAATCCTTGACTTTTCCAAGAGATAATGGGAGACATGCCCTCCGGCTACCATGCCCTGAAATGATGGTTGGTTTAGATCAAGTCAACTTACATTTTCCTGGAAATGAATCTCGATGAACTTCCCAAAGCGACTCGAGTTGTTGTTTCTGAGAGTTTTTGCGTTTCCAAAAGCCTCCAAAATTGGGTTTGCTGAAATTGTAAGATTACAGTAGTCTTGGAATCACGATATAGACTTGTCATTCGAAGAGATTCTATTATTTTATTCTTAAAATGGCAATTCCTACTTTCGAGAACGTGCTCTTCTAACGACTTTGATCCAGGAGCACACCAATTCTCGCACAAATACTTCAAAATGCACTTCTGAGATTCTGTTTTGCCGGCTCCAGATTCTCCAGAGACAATAATGGACTGACTTTCTTTGCATCTTCTCATGTCTCTGTAGGCTTTATCGGCTAAAATATAGTTGTTGAATCAAGCAATGGTATCGACTTACCAATAGCAAAGACATGAGGAGGTAACGTCCCCAATGACTTTCCTCTATATTTTGCGATTCTCTCTAAAGAGTACAAGTCAGTCAGGTTCTCGTAAGGGTTGATGGAGATGAGAATGTTGGCCACATATGTCTGCAACATGACACAATTATTTTCGTTTTGGTAATCAATTAAATTTGCTTACACGGTTCTTAAAGAAAACTCACGTAAATCTGCTTCTGATGATAACGAAGTTTGCAGTTTTCCAACAGTGTTCCTTCATTCAAGTACATCAACATACCTGAAAACATTTATCATATAATGTTACCTTGACTTACAATTGTCGTCAACACTCTTGTCGCAGCTTTCCTCACATGGCAAGACCTTTGAGAAAGGTAATGTGACAGTTTTGTCGTCACATTTCACCACTAAAGAGTCGGCCAGAACATCCACGATACGCCCTCTGATGTAACCATCAACATCGTCAGGTACAAAGACGGGCTTGTTGAAGTCGAGGAAGTCATTGGAAACGGCTTGTACCATGCTGGCTACATCGTCGTGCTGAAGCTGGACGTTCTCTTCCTTCTCAAGAGTAGACTCTAAAACCGGATTCATGGTTAAACTTCGACCGGTTCACGGCAAACTCGAGGCAATAATTGAAAGAATTATTTTTTGCGAATTCTCCATCGAAATTTGCATACTCGAAAGCAAGGAGAGGAAGACAAGACTATAAAAACCTTTTTTGGTAATAAATTTCCCGAAAATTTTGTGAAAAGGCGTACTCAGCACACTCGGAAACGTCTATTATTGATTCTGTGGCATTGTGTTCTTTAGTAAATTTCGTTTTTTCGAATTCTTTGGTCAAACAGAAAGAAGAAAGGTCTAGAGACTTGCAAAATGCTATGGCTATTAACTTTAGAGCTGATTTTTAACGTTGGTCAATATTAATTTAGTAGGGTTTGTTTGTTTTATTTAGAGTGGATGATCCGAATCCGGTGGCCAGTCGCGAATCAAACCACTGTATTGAGAGCTGTCTGAAGAAAATGAAGCGCTGATTCTCAGAAATAGAGACAGGCGTGGTTGGGAATCAGGCTGACTGGAGGCGAGCCGTTTTTTATGCCTCTGACTCAGCGATTTGGCCGTTTCATTTAGGTCCGTCGACGAACATAGTGTTCTGGGGGCTATACAGTCTATATTAATGTTCTTTAAGCTTGTACTGTCTATGTTAATGTTCTCCATGTTTTGTTTATTTTAATATCCATTTTACTGTAAAAAACGGAGTAAAAATGTTGATTAACAGACTTATTAGCAGTCTATGTTAATGTTCTTCCAAATGCATGGTTACTTTTGGGTTTTTGGGTCCTGACCTTATCCTTCCCGTCCATTTGCGGGTGTTCTCACGAATCTCGATCGGTTTTAGCTCTTCAAGCAGCTCTTATTTGGACATGCGTTCGGTTCGCTCTCCAACCCCAACTGAATGTTCAGAAAACGGAGATCTGAGCAGTTGGGTCTTACTGGAATCATCGCACTATACGTGACAGATATGTAAATGTCTGCGCGCCATTCGAACCTTTGGAGTGTCTTTGAGGGCGTTAACCGCGATATTTTGTCATGATTTATCTGCTGACCGTCCCTTCCTCTTCAGGTGTTTGCTTTTGCCTGGTCCTTTGAATTTAACGACTTTCGGCTACATTCCTCAATCTGGAGTTCGCTATCTTTTCGCTTAGTTTGAAGGTTTGTTTTTCGAGATGAGGGTACCCTGTGGTGGACGCTTGGCCCTGTTTGCGTTCTATCTCTGCTTATGACCCGCTCCCTCCCCACCGCTGCTCGGCACTCTCTAATCGTCATTCGAGCGTCTTTGCGCGACCCGGCCTTCTAGACTCTGCGATTTTATTATTTTGCCACTTTTGTTCAGATCTGATAACGACCGCAATTTGCTGTATCGGTTACAATAGAAATATACTGTTTCGTACCATTGATTTAACTGTTTTGCTTTAGTCAAGATGCTGGGAATTCCGTTCTTGGACGACGCGGTCAGTCGAATATTCAAACCTCACACTTTCGATGATCCTATCGACCGGTTGAACTACTTCATAACAGCCAGTTTGTTGGCATTTTTTGCCATCATGGTTTCTGCCAAACAGTACGTAGGAGCTCCAATTCAATGCTGGATGCCTATGGAGGTAATTATCGTTTAAAAATTCATATTTTTGAAAAAATTTAATTTTTTTAACTAAAGTTAATTTTTAAAATATTTTTTAGTTCAAAGGAGGATGGGAACAGTACGCAGAGGATTACTGCTTTATCCAGAACACTTACTACGTTCCCATGGAGGAAGAGATTCCTCAAGAAATCTCTGACCGTGACGAACGACAATTTGGCTACTACCAATGGGTACCAGTAGTCCTAGCTCTACAAGCTTTTATGTTTTACATTCCTAACTGGATCTGGAAGACTCTTCATCAACAAAGCGGTAGGTAACCTTCTTTTGCTTTAGTTTTTATAAAAATTATTAATTTATATTGAGGTAGATCTTGTTTATTAATTCTGTCATAACACACTTCACTTACTGGCGTTTATTGAGCTATAGTTGTTGTCGATATCACACAAATATTGCACAAACAAACTGTTATTCAAACATTTGCAGGTCTGGACCTTTCAACTGCGATCACAGATGCCCAGAACATACGATCAATGAAATGCAAAGATAAACACGAAGAGTCGTCCAAACTGTCACAGTACCTTTGTGAATCTCTGGAGATCAATGAAGTCCGCCAAGTGCCACGAACCATCTTCTGTATGCGTTTTGGCCGAAGTTTGGGATCGTTTGTGTCGATGTTGTACTTGTTCATCAAGCTGATGTACTTGGTCAATGTCTTTTCCCAGTTCGTGTTGTTGAACAACTTCATCGGTCGAGGGTTCCATCTATGGGGATGGACGGCCCTTCAGACGCTGTGGACTGGCGGAGAGTGGACAGACTCTCCAGTGTTCCCGAGGGTTTCGATGTGTGACTTCAGAGTACGAAGGCTGGCCAACATGCACAGATACACAGTCCAGTGTGTACTCATGATCAACATGTTCAACGAGAAGATCTACCTTTTTATTTGGTTCTGGTTCATGTTCGTGGCCATCTCGACCAGCATCAACTTCCTCTACTGTTTGTCTCAGATGCTACCACCTCGTGCTAGAGAGAATACCATCAGGAAAATGCTGAAACGCTACGACGATCATGACAACATCTTCGAGCAGCCATCTGGACAACAAGTTATATCTAACTTTGTCAACAATGGTCTTCGTCCAGGTATGATAATCGTGATTATATAATTTTTAAATTTTTTTATAAAATGTTTTTAGATAGTTTTTGACAATGTTTTATGTTGTTGTGTTTCAGATGGAGTCCTGCTACTTCGTTTCATCGAAGGACACGCTGGCGCCATCGTGGCTCGTGACATCTGCAACAGACTGTTCAAGGAATACCTAAAGGGTCTTCAGAAGGACCTACAACAACGACCATACCTTGCTCCACCTAGCTCGCATTCTACCAAATCCACTTCCCCGGGGGTAGAAGAATCGTACGGGCGTGTGCCCCTACCAGAATATCAGGAAAAGCTTCTGCAACCAGACTCGGCCTTCAGTCTGGGAAAGCCCAAATACGTGTAATACCTATAGTGCCATTTCAGTATTGTATGCCTTTACTTTTATTCAATTTCTTTACCTTCATTTGTTTTATTAATCATCTAACCTTTGTTTGTATAAAAAGAACAGTATTTGTACTTCTCGTAAGTAATATTGGTGTTTTTTGAGTATTGTAAGTAGTAACTGACAGTATTTGATTGTTACTTGTATATGTCTGACCCCTTCACTGCCCTCAATTAAACTTAATATAGTTGTTTAATAACCTTGGTTTTAAATAAAGTATTATTACAGAAAATTAAGGAACATTAAATGGTATGTGTAAAGCCATGATAGTAATTGAAAGGTGGGTAACAAGTATATATACCGTGAGGTGTTGATAATTTTCGGCGAAAAATTTTTGAAAAAGAAGGCCACAGATACCTGGCTAAAATTTTTTTTGTCTAGATCTACACGCTGTTGGTCCATTTTTACTCTTTCTTATACAGTTTATATTGGAAACTAAAGTTGTGACGTTCTTTTGTCGATCAATATTAATATAGTTGTTTAATAATCTTGGTTTCAAATAAAAATTTAACAAAAATTTAAGGCACATAAAACGATATCAGTAGAGATAATAACACTTGATAGCTGTTGACGTACGTCATAAAACACCTGATGGCTGTTAACTTAAGGCAACAATAATTAAATAGGAGATTCTGCTGGCTAGAAATACTGTAACTACTCGAGATTCTCTTGAGCGCTGAACTGATCATTAAAGTTTTGTTCGTCATGTAGCATTGACCCCACGAAGTACTCCATGGCTCGATTCAACTCGTTCATGGTATTCATTAAAGTGTCCATCCTGTTTCGTCGCATCTTTAAAGCTTCGATGCCTCCGGGCGTTTCGTCCTCATCAGTAGAACTGACACCGTACATTGCAAAATCTGGGAAGTCTGGCTTCCGTAGACCAAGATGGGACCTACTAAATGGTGTGTCCATTGGTACCGGGAAGGCCGTGTTGTGTTGCTGAAAGTATAAAAGCTGCCTTGAAGCCGTAAAATTCAATATTGCTAAAAGATATGAACCTACTTTGTCCACAACCCTTTGCAGCCTCTCCAATTGGATCTGTAGTTGTTTGTTCTGCTCCTCCAACGCTCTCGACCGTTCCTCCAACTGATGTTCGTGAATTCTCATAGACTTGGCATCCAGAAGGCGTCTTTGGTCGGCGGTGAAGTTTTCGATCTCGCTGTAGCCTCGAGGAAGGCAAGAAATTGACCTTCCGAACGTTTTCCGGTTTTCGTCGCTAAATAGAGACGGCTGAGATACGATTCTGTGAGCAGCGAATCCCTGATTGTGTGGAGATTGCATGCCCCGAGGCATGGTTTGTGTAGAAGCGTAGATTCCCGGTTGCACGGTGTTCCGAGAGCTCAGAAGATAACCAGCTTGTCCAAACTGTCGCATTCCCTCCAGGTTCGGAGCTGAACCCAGATGCCGCTTCTTCTCCACGGCTTCTCGTAATTCTGTATTCTCGTACTGTAGTTTCTGTAGCAGCTGATCCATCTCTTCTTTGTGCATTTGTTCTACTTGTTTTATCAGTTGCGACGGTGACTTTACATCGTTGGCGGTTCGTCTGATTGCAGGCCCGTCAGTAGCCGACTTGTGAAGTTTAGAGAACGGTCGAGAAGTTGTTTCGATCTCGACCTTTGTTTCCTCCTTCACATGTAGCGCCTTCTGAACTCCAGCAGCTGTGATTGATTCTTGTTGTCGCTTCGAGAGTCGTTGTGAAAATACCTGCATTCGTTGATGAATCGTCTCGGTAGCAGGATTCTGAGGTATGTTTTGATTGTTTTCTAATGGTAAACCTTCGTCTACAGTGTCTACAGGCAAATAACCACGTTTACTTCGACTTCTTCGCATCTTGTTCTTCACCATCAAGGTGAAGTCACGGACATCATCTTTCGATTTTGTCTAAAATTGTGATATATATCAAAAATTGTTAGATATGTATGTATTAAGTTTTTTTTGCTTTAGGACTTTACTACAGCATGGTATCGTTCTAAAATTGATTCAATAAGACAATTATATATGTAAAAACATTAGAACTTACTGGAGTGCAATACTCCTGCATTGGATGTGTAAGTTTGTGGCTCTTCGAAGTTCGTTGAGAAAAGAAGCAGTTCTGACATATGTCGTAGTTGAAGCACCGTAAACAACGATACCTCATACCCACGATTGGGAACATCTTACAGGCGTTACACTTGGCTTGATGCTTTGCAAACTCTGAGGAAGCCAGACGATGCATCACCGGCAGCCAAACAAGACTCTGAGGCTCCTTCTTAAGCCAATTCAAGTACTGGTCGACCGAGAGTTTGGCGGGATACTTGTTGTACTCGAAGCACGATCTGACAGAAGGCTCAATGTTTGAACCTCCGAAGACTGCGGCTTCACCCAACAATTTAGTTATCTGGAAAACGCAATTTCATTATTTTACTGTACTCTCGCTCTTCATAATAAAATACAAACTTTATAATTCCACAAATATTCTATAAATAATTATGTTTTATAGATAAGATTTGCGCAACTTGCGAAGTATGTTTCGCAAGTCGCGCCCAAATTTTTCCAAAATTTTGTAAAAAAATATTTTGCGACGGTTTTCCTCACAAACTTACGTGAATCAAGTCGTAAAAGAGAAGTCCTAGTTGTTTGTGATCAACTCCTTCATCCCTTGATATGATAGACAACAAAAATTTGTATTTTGACTCCAGACTCGCGTTGCACAACACCACCATGGCTATCGAGAAGGATACTGTGCGAAGCTTTCCATCTCGGCATGGATCGTAGATGTTCAGAAGTAAGTTCAAGGCCAAATCCACAGCCAAAGGAACGTTTCTGAGCAGCTGAGGATACTTCTGATGAGCAGCTTCGAACAACGGTGCCAAGGTCATGACAACGTCTTCGATCGAGATCTTCTCATCCAACGGTGCATTTCTGAACTTGTGTAGCGCTTGGTCAAGGCTCGGCAAGTCGATCAAGTCCAAGCACATGTGCTTCTGAAGTGCTCTCAGCTTCATCGCCGTTCTGTAGGCACTGAACTTGACCTGATTGAAGTTGCACAGCTTCTCGAAGATCTCCACCATGCTCGGATGATCCCATTGCGTGTTCTCCGTGACATGATCAACGTAGTAAGGCATCTGATTTAAAGCAGAGATGGCCCGTTGCCATGGTGGCTGGACTGAATCGGCCAAGAAATGTTCACTGGAAGGGCCGAAGTCGGAAAAGGCACGTTCCAAAGCTGCCCCACGGATTCCCACGTCCTTGTTCAGCTTCTCGTACCTTGTGTTGACGGTCTGGATCTGCATCTCCATGTGAGGACTGAGGACAATGTTTTGAGCGGCAATTTGACCCGTACAATCGTTGACATCATCAACCTTAACAGCGGCATCTTGAACCTTCTTCTTGAGATTAGAGTGATCAGCTCGAGCTTCCTTCAGTTCTTCGAGCCTCAGATCTTCAACTAACTTCATTCCCTCCATCTCGTTCTCTATAGAGCCGATGGCTAACAAGGATTCTGCAATCGCTGTGTCTAAATCCTGTAGCTCTCTGTGGGCGGTGGCTACAACTCTTTGCCAAGCATTCAGATGCTGTTTCAGAGCATCGTACGACGTCTTTAGTTTTTCACTGTCAGCCAGAATCTGAACGCCGATTCTGCGTTCTTCTAATTGTGCATCTGACTTCTCCATCTCCTTATTCGAATCAAAGACTGAGCCACGATGAATCATGGGTCGGAGATCGTGCTGCATAAGGTAACTGTGAGATAGCTGGATACAGTCCGAGACTTCCCGGTTCTTGCCATCTAGCTGTTTCTCTATCTTATTGATGGTTTCGCTCTGTTTTTGTACTGTCGACAGATCTCCGCCTACTGGTTGGTCGTGCAGAATAGTACTAATTTGCATATCTGTCCAATGTAAAAGTTCGGAGAGGTCTTTGGTCAGCTTTTCACACTCATCTTGAGCGTCTTGTAAACGTTCTCTATAAAGTTATCTATTAATTATTGTGATAACCAACTTGTTCAATAGATAAGAAATCACAACTTATCTACACTGATCAATACTACATTCTTATAGACATCCTTACCTAACAATAGCGTCCAATTCATTGATTTGAACCCATTTCGACTCGACCGTCTCCAACTTGACATACAGGTTCTTTTTCTCCTTCTCCGCTTCCAACACGTTCAACATGTTCTTGCACATGTCCCTGACCGAGGTTATGACTTGTCTATGAGCCTCGATCTCAGCATTAGTTTCGCGCTCCTGTCCCATCCAATCTCTGCGTCTGCTCGTGTCCTTTAATCTCTGTTTATTCTCGGTATCAGCGTCCAGTTGCTTCAGAATGTCGAGTTGTTTGTTCAACCAGCCGTCCAGTTGCGACAGTGTGGTGTGAATATCGTTCCGCGACCGTAGCGATGCCTCGAAGACAGCTCGACGAATGCATACACTAAAACAATTTAATTGTCAGATCAGAGTTTGTAATAACTGACTTTACAGAAAGCTTTGGTTGTTTACCTTTCATTGAACTTGGTCCACTGAGTGTTGAGTTTGCTTGTAAGCTGAGACAAGGTGTGGTTGTCATCGTACACAAACCTGTCAATAATATCATTGGACCTTTGATTTAACTGCTCCATTTGCTCCTTCACATTCTCCAGATTCTCCGTTAGAGCATTCACGTTCTTCAGCTCGTTCTCCAACGTGACTTCGTCCATTTCGTTGACTCTTTCTGTAGCCAGAAGTCGCTCGTTGCCTTCTGTCAACCACAACTCCAGCTCTGACCTCAGTTGTTCCCAAAGTCTCGTTTGATGCAGCATTTCAGTGAGTTCAAGCTTTCGTTTCTTCGAGGCTTCGATCACTTTCTCCAGGTCGTACAAGGCTTGAATCGCTTTGGAGGATATGAGTTGTTCGTCGGTCTTATCTAGAATCCTCTGTAGCTCCATCTTGTGGACTCCAACTTCATTCAAATAGTTTTGAGTATCAGAAAGCAATTGGCGAATCTGAGCTTGATCTGTGATGTTGACGGTAGCCGAGATGGCCCGTTCGATTTCCTGAATCCGACCGGCGATCTGTATCACCTTATCTTGACGTTGCTTCTCTTCCGAAGAATAATTATTTTCTTCGCTTCTGGTATCGTGAAAATCTTCTAAAGTTTCAGCTAATGGCCGATCCAAAGCGTCGTGGAATTCTTCAGTCTCGCCTCGACTACGGTGTTCTGAATCCCTGACAGATCCAGGCGCTGAATAATCTCTGTTAGTGAGAGTACCGTACTCAGTACTGTCATCGCGCCCATTCCTAGGAGCGAATTCCAATTGTTCGACTTCGAATTCTGGTTCTAGGTCCAGTTTCTCCACCTTTTCTTCTTCTTCAGGACCTTCCAACAGTTTTCGGGCTTTTTCGGTTATCAGGTTGAAACGTTTGGCTACGGTATCCACTGCCTAAATATAAAAAACATGTATATCACCGTAGTAAACGCAAAATTTTGATTTGTAAAACAATTCAGACAAATCACGACAAAATTCTGTATGATTTAAAATTTGTATGATCAATTGTGACATTATGTCAAGAATCAAGACGAAATGTCAAAAACAAAATTTTGTCGAAAATTTTATTTTTTTCGAAAAAGTAGTTTGATATTTTTATAAAAAGTTTTTACCTTTCCGGATTGATGGTGAATGTCAGTAGGTGATTGTAGCTCTAGCAATTCCTCTGCAAATTGTCGTTGTAACAGTTGAAGTTGCAATTTCAGCTCTGGAGACTCGGCCACGGTCTTTTTCAAGTTGAATAACATAGGTTTGTATAGTCGCGCGTTTTCTACATTGTGAACTTGAGTCTCCGCGTCTGTAACCCATTGGTTCAGTTTGGCTACTTCTGTCCAGAACTCGTCAGAGATCTCTTTCAGGTCAGCCAACTCCTTAGTTTGTTTTGTCAGAGCAAGTTGAAGCTAAAATGGCATTTGATGTGAGTTGTTATTCTTTTTATTGTCTGCTTTGACTTTTAGGTAAAGGTGATTTCAAGGATAGAAAAATAAGAATAGATTTGAAATTTTAGGTAACACTTACATCACTGATCCGCTTGGCCAACATGGCGATGTCTCGCCGTACGCGATGTTTTACATCAGTGTCTACATCTCCCAGAGCCACAAATCTGTCTTTAAGAATTTCCATATTTTTAAAAGACAAGACTTTCTCATCGACTTCAGTTTGACGACGTTTTGTCTCTTCGTAGGCACTTTCTAGTTTTATGGGATCCAGAAATGATTCTTGAGTATTCTGAAATTGTTCGTGTTACGTTTATCATCTGATTTTACTTTTAAATTAGACTGTACATTCAACGAAACGTAAAATAGTCTTCGTGTTATAGAGTTCGCAACCTTACCACATGTTGTTCCACTTCGTCGCACCAGTTTGAGAAGTTGGTCATGTTTTTTATTAGATATCTCTCGTCTGCCAGCTTTTCCTCCAGTAGAATTCTGTTTTGCCCTACCGAATTCCTGAGCACGGTGAAGTCGTCGTTCATGTTGTTCAACCGTGTAGTCAGTTCGTTTTGTAAAGATGCGGAGCATTTGTCTTTTATGTTGAGGTACCTGTTCTCACATTGTTGGATATGAACAGCCAGTGAAGGTATGAGGTTCTCGGTCTGTAACTGTCCTCCTTCCCATTCTTCCAGATCGATTGATATTCCACTGAGCTTGCGTTTGGCTGGGACATCAGTTTGCCTGATTATGGTATCCAGCTTTACGATCTCGTCTTCTGTTTGTGAAAAGACGGCAAACAGACCTTCTAGTAAGGCCCGGTTGTTGGTTATTGTCTCTCTTCTGGTACTGATATTCTGGAATAAAGTTTTGATTCGATCCACTGAAAGCTGGTACTCGTTCACGTCCATAGTCATCTGCATCTGTTGTAGTATCTGTTGGTCTTCTTCCAGTCTTTGTTCTACATTTTTCAGATATTGTTCTTTCTCCTCTGTTCCCTCGTAAGGAAGGCTTTCTTCTGTGTCAAAGAAGTCTTCAAAAGTGTCGAGGTCGTTGAAGACTTGACCGATCTTGTTTTGCTTTTTAGTAGCATCAGAATAGTACTCCTCGCCCTCTGTTTCCTGCACATCCATTGCCAAGGACAGTCCAGCTCCAGACGACATGGATACACCGTCAGGATGAACTGGCTTTTTGATTAGCTGTTCTTCTTTTTCTTTGTCTGAAAAATGGTCTGGATGGGCAAGAAGCTCGGCCAAGGCTTTTCGGATCGTGTCTCCAGTGAAGTCAACTTCTCCTTGCAGTTCTGTCAGCTTGTCCCGCAATGATTTGCATATCTTCTCCCTGCCAGCAGCCTGTTCTTCAAAATTGTCAATGCTTACTGTAGATTGAATAACTTCTTCCGTCATTGCTTCAAGTTGATCTTGAGCTTTGAGAACGTTTAGCTGATCGGCCAAGTTGAGCTCCTTTACCATTTCTATGTTCTTCTTGTTCATAGAAACGCAGTTGTTAACCATTTCTTCTATGGTATCATACGCGTTTAGAAGTTGACGTTCTTTTTGGATTTCATTGTAATTTTTCGCAGTTAAGGCATCGGCTTCGTCAAGGTAATCGAGGACTTGTTGATCTGACAGTTCCATTCGTCCTTTTTCTGCCCATTCTCTGCCGAACCTCACAATTTGTTCACGGTATTCCTCGTTTGCTGCACACACTTGGTCTGCTATCTAAAATACGTTGTTCTTATTTTATTAGCAAAAATTTTAAATTACACTAAAAATATTTAACTTTTGTCAATAGATTTTTACTTACATTGATTCGTTTTTGCCATTTGGATACTTTTTCCACTGGATATTGTTTGAAGTTGAGGAATTTGGCAAGAGATTTGGCTGAAGTTAGGAAGCCTTGGACAGCTTCTTCGAAGGTTTCATTGTTAAGTTCAATGGCGTGAGGAAGAACTGGTTCTTTCAGTTCACTGGAAGTTTCTTCTTGTTCTGGTACCGTTTTGCTGATGCTTCTGGACTTTCTGTCAAGTTCAGAATAGCGAGCATTCAGTTCTGCCAGTTTAGGGCCGAGCTCTTTGCGGATCTCTTCTTTGGAAGTCAGAAGCTGTTTGTTGGCTTTGTCGAGTTTGTCTCTGGTCTGAAGCTTCTGCTTGGTGTCGGTTGGATTACGTTCGGCCGCATTCACGCTTCTCTCCAACGACTTCAGCGACGTTTTAAATTCGTCAGCAGAATCAGAATCCGCACTTAGAAGGGCATTGTATTTGCTTTTCAGATTCTCCACTTTTCGATCGTACTCGTCCATCTCTGTATGCGAAATACGAACTGCGTTTTGGCTGAGTAGTTCTTTTAGCTCAGTAGCCTTCTTAAGTCCACTTATGGCATTCTCAAGATCCTTCTTGACTTCACCGTCTGATTTTGCCTTTTCGACAGCATCAATACTATGTTTGATACCATCCTTCTCAGCTTCGTACTTCTTGACCAGTTGTGTTGATTGTTGTAGGCGTTCCATGTCATTGACTGCTCTTTGATCTAATGCTTGTGCCTTCTGTACGACTGCTTCAAGCCGTTGGTTACTGATGTTGGCTTGCTCCTCGTCAAAGATTCCTTCTCTTACCAAAGCGTCTTTCTTGTTCTCCAAATCCATTAACTCATCTTGACAACCGGCAATCTGCTTGAGAACTTGTCCAACGTGTATCTCACAGTACTCACAGTTTTCGGCCTTCACACCGGCCAAATCGTCAAGAGAGTCTTCGATTGATTGAATTGTCTTTTCAGTGGATTCTAATGACTTTTCAAATTGAACTGGCTTCTTGAACATGTTAAACTTGGTCTTTAACTCCTCAAGCTGGTCTGAAGCATGGTTCTTCTGTAGTTTCAGTCTGTCAGATGAACTCCAATGTGTTTTGCTCTCTTCTATGAATTCTCCAAGACAATTGAGAAGGGTTTCGTACTCAACAAATTCCGTATTCATTTGCTGAAAATAAGATTTTAAGTATGGGATAGCTCTTTAGTTTTTCACATCACAAGCAAACTGTTTCACTCAACAACATTTCATAGACACTCTAGGTAAAACGTGATTTAGAAACGTGACTACACACCAATGTCACACGAAAGGGGACATTAGAAACAGCAAGGGTGAGGAACTTACAGTCAGAAGGTTTCCTTCTGCACTTGCTTTCTGAAATTTAACAAAAAATGAGTTGGGGTATCGGGGTCATAAAACCTAATGAGCTTATTATAATATCAGAAATATTGTAAAAGTATGCTAAAAACGGGATTCGTTGGTATGAATTAAATAAACCTGGTAAATACCTTGTACTCATGTGGTATGTCTAGCGCGTTGATGTCTTGAGACAATCGCACGTTGAGTATGTGTGTCATGTGTTGGCACCATGTTTGGAAGTTGCAGAGGTCCTTTTCGAACATTTCGCACTTTGAAATGGCTTCTTGTAGTCTGGCACATCGTTCTTTGGCGTGTTCAATGATGGTTTTGCGATGGCCGTTTACTCTGTCGATCTCTCTTTGTATGTAAGTGTCATCGATTTTCTGGTACGGATGGAATGGGTCTACCTGTTCGGTACCAGACTTTGTCAGTTTCTCCAGAAGCATTTCCATATTCTAAAAGGAATGTCATTTTAGTATATTTACTCTGATAAATAGTTTTGAATTATAAAATGTAGTGTCTTACATCTACATGTTCGCTCAGCTCCTCAGCATCTGTAGCCTCTCCACTAGCGATCATAGCTTCTCTAAGTTGGTTGGTCAAGTCCTCTTGCTCTGCCACTACTTCTTGGAACTTCTTACGGTAGTTTTTGGACACAAACGAGATGTACTCTTCCATCTCGTTCTCCAACGTCTTCCACTGAGCATCGAGTTTGGTAGAACGTGTCTTCCACGAGTTGCTGGCTTCGAATTCATCGTTCTCTTGACAGATCTTCTGCATCTCCTCCATTTGCTTCAGGGACTTTGTCTTTTGGCCATAGTTTTGTAAGAATTCGTCACGAAGCTTCTGAAAATAGTTGAACCATTGGTTTTGAAAGCTATTTATGAATTTTAGAAATTTAAACATGACTTTTGCGTATTAAACAGGTTTTTAACACATACTCGAGAGTCTTGTTCGACTGAGTGCATGTCCAAGTCGGAACGTTTTAGATCATCTAGTTTTCTTTGGTACTTATCAGCAAATTGCTCTACACAGACGGCCTTGTGCAATATGTTTTCAATAGTGTTAATCTTGACATCCAGCCCTTCTTTTGTTTTCTTCAGTAAATTGACCAGTTTCTCTGTTTCCGACACAAAATCTTCGTCTGTTATCACTTCCAGCTTGCTTTTTACTTGCTCCGAGACCCTAACATTTATTAAAATTTAATGTTATATAGCACAAATATTAAATTAATGTGAATTTGTACTATATTTGTTTGATACATAATAAAGTGCTTACATTCTGAGTTGTTGTTCTATATCCTTCAAGTTTTTGAGGTCTCCAGCATTGAGTTTGAGCTGTTTCATGTCATAGATGACTTTTCTGATCCACTCCAATGCCTTCTTGGGGTCTTGTTCTGCCTTTAGTTTCTCTTCTTCTGCCTTTTCTTTTTCTTCTTTTTCCCTCTCCTTTTCTCTTCTGGCCTTCTGTTGCAGCTCTATTAACTGGTTCTCCAACGGTCTAAACCTCTCCGTGTTCTGATTGGCTGTCTTGAAGTCGGTGAACTTCTTTTGTAGTTCAGACAGCTCCATCAGAAAAGCATCGATCCTGTGGCCACGGGCTTCTTGAGGTGTGTTTATGATATCTTGCCACAGGGCTTTTGCCATTTCAATCCATTCTTTTAGGTGCGTCTCTACTTTGATTGTGTCGTCTTTGGCTGCTGATGGATTCTGCATGTGTTTGATGCGTTCTGTGAAGTCATTCACCAACCGACCATATAACATCATTGCACGTTCGTGGTTCTCGTTCACTGCGTGCAATTCAGATTGGTTCATACTGCATTCGTGGACCTTTTCGGCCAAGGAGTCCAATTCTTCCACTTGAGAGAGTTTACTCTTAAATGGTCGTGGTTATGTGATGTTTATTTAAAATGTAAATTCTTGTCGATAGTTAGTATGGATTGATATTCATAATTTTGTAATAGAACCTTACCTTAAATTCATCAGCGATCAACGTGAACTGTTGTTTAGTGGGATGCTTGATTTGCTGAAGCTTTTCTGACAACGGCTTTAGAGAATCCTCGAACTGGTTGGTCTTTTGTATGAAGAGCTCCACCAAGTTTATAGTCTCTTGGCTGTGTTTTGGTGCTTCTTCTACTTGAACACTCTTCTTCGTGATCTGCTTTTGGGTAGAGTCGTCTGAAGATTCTGTTGACAGCCGGTTTTCTCCCTGAAAGTGTTTGTAAAAACATGTACAGGTATGAGTTATATATGAATAAGGTATGTCACTTACTTCTTCTTTTGACGACTCTCCTTTGGTCGATGAGTCGGATTGTGATGAAATTGTACGAGGGTTTAAATTAACTCTGTCTAGCTGCAAAGAATACTTTAAATATTTTTTTAATTTCATACCATTTGAGAATGTTCCTCCAATCGACTGACAATATTTTCCCATCGTTGGGTTACTACATCAAAGTCTTTGCTGATCTTCACTGTGAACTCCTGATTCTCGGTTCTGTATCTGTTCCGCAGTTCTGTAGACAACCGTGACAACTCTACGAAGGCAGAATGTTCTCCTTGTAGCGCTTCGTCCATTTCCTTTATCAGTTTCTTTTGTTCTTCAACTTCTTCAGAAGTCGTCAGATGGTGGGCTGATCTCAGTCTGATTAGTTCTTCTTGACGAGCGGTAAGCCAGGCTGACAGATGGGTGAACTTGTTTTGGTATTCCTTTAAGAGATCGCAGATTCCATCCAGATTTTTGGCCCGTTTCTCTGTCCAGCTACAGATTCTGTCCCATCTGAAAGTAATATTTAATGAGGAAGAACATGTATAATATTATTTTCATTATTTTGAATATCTACCGTTCTCCGACTTGTTTCAGTAGACTTTCTATTCTCATGTAGTCCTCGTCCTCCGTGCTCTCTTCACTGACTACAGCCATGTACGATGACAGTTTCTTGATGGCTTGTTGTTGTTTTTCGATTTGTTCTTCAAACACCGTGTGTTCTTCGATCAGCTTTCTACACTGCTCGATATCTGAGGGTAGTATTTTACGTTCATTTACAAGTTCCTCAACTCCAGATAGCCATTCGCAGATCTGCTTTAGTTGGTCACGCTGAAGTCGATTCAGCTGAACTTGTAGCGCGTGTTGTCTGCGCATCGCTTGACATCTTACGTCTTCCCATCGATCGTTGACTATAAGTAGCTGATCGTTGACAGACTTGGCTTCGTCTTCTGATAGCTCGTCCACTAACTTTTGACCTCTGAATAAGTTTTTATGAGTCTAACATCTGTTACAGTAATGTTGTTAATGAACATAATTATAAAAAATAATAGTGTATGTAGAATAAGATTAGCATCAGAAACTGTCAATTTTAACTTCTTACTAAAAATAAAATTTCCAAAAATTATAGGACGAAAGAGTCAAATCTCCAGCTTACTCGTGTAGCACCCTTCCGACCTTATCCTTGCTCTCGGTCAATGATAACATGAATTGTTCGTGTTCACGGAACTGGTTCTTGACCATGTCGACGTCAGATTCGTTGACGGGCTCCATGGAATTGAGTTCTTCGTCAGCTTCTAGAAGCCAAGCCAGAACTTTCTCTAAACATCGTTCGTACTCTCTCAGTACGCTGTCGTTCTTCTTGGCTCTGGATGACTTCCTCGAGGAAACATGACTAGAAGAGGCTGAGGAATGTCGAGATCTGGTTTCGGCCTAAATTAAAGCAACAGTAATCTTGATATTTGAGTTATAATACATTATCACTGTTGAGTAATAGGTATTACACTCATTAGTATAAAAATATAAAGGCAATGTAGTCCCAATATTACACTCACTTCTATCGTGTTCACATCAGAAATGGTTTCGGTCGATTGCTGCATCGGGTCTGTCTTGTGGATTACGGTAACATTGGTGGAGGAGCTTGGAGCTGAAGAATGTGTACTACTCTGAATAGACGTACTGGGTGATAATTCCAATATTGTGGGTTCTTTGGGTGCTAACAGGGCTTCTGGAGGGCGTTCTTCGGATCTTGTTAAGTCCGACGATCTACTGGACTTCTTGCTGGAGCTGCTCTGGGAGTTTGAGTAACAGGCCATGGCTATGTACAACATCATCAGGTAACACAGCACGCTTTTGGAATCCAGATGTTCACTGTGGAATTCTTAAAGGGAGACTGTATAAGGTTTATTATGGCAAGTTACCTTTTGGCTGCAGTAGTTTCGGGACTTTAAAATGTTTTTTGGCCAGATTCAGGGCGTTTTCCAATCTCTCGTCACCTCGCATCGTTCGAACTGTGTTCATATCTACTAGGTTTGAGCTGGAAATCGAAGTATTAGCGTAAAGGTTAAACAAAAGCGAGGCATTACTGTAAAATGCTTTTATAAGATGATGACAGATTTTAGGAACACTTACTCATAGGAATGTAACAGAATATTCAGTGCCATCCCGTCACGCCAGGAAGATGTAAAGTCATTAACGCACACCTAAATGTTAGAATAACTATCAACAACATGCACTTACATCGTCGTAGCCGGCGGTAGCCTCGAGACACCAATCCCTGATGGATTCTGATATCTTTCGTTCACCCATCTCCTGAGGGGCGTACCTCTTCCAGTACATGTTGATGAAGGAGTTGCACAGTATCAGGAGTTGTTTTATGTTTCCTTCACAGAGATCAGGCACGCTGAGGGACAATAGCTTGTCGTCATCGTCTGACGCCAAGGCATGAATAATGGCATCTACATCGTCGTATCGGTTACCGCTGATCGACTGGAAAAGGCATCTTAAGTTTGATTTTGAATAGTTTTTATCATAGCTTTACTGTTTTTGTAATTTGTTATTTAAAGCTATGTATATCATATATATATACTAGATGTACGATTGAATAAAAGTGTATTTACCACGATTCGGCCGGTCACAAGCTTTGTGAATGCTTGTAGAAAGCTGAGTTCGATGATATCTTTGATTTCGTTGATGGGATCGTCGAAAAGAGAGTTGGCCCATCTTGTGAATACGGCCTCTTGCACCTCGTACTTGTCATCTAAACTCACAACCATACTTTATTATGTACTACAGTGCTAATCTGACGCTTACTGTACATTTTACAATTTCAGTACTACTATTTTAGGTCCGAGACGAATCCTAGTAGATAAGGTATTAGCAATATCTAATTGTAAAGGTCAGTTCCGTCTGCAATCCTTACCTCGGTCGAGCTTTTTCTCTCGTTTTTCCTCTTTTTTAGGCTTATTCGTAGGCCCTCCGCCAGAGAAGAGCATTCCACAAGGTTAATATAACCCGTAAAGCTATAGTAAGGAACGGAAAGAAGGGTAGTAGTGGTATGGTAACTCAGAAGTGTAGCATAAAGTAAGCTAATTAATGTGCAAGATAGCCTGGGAGATATGAAAGGAGTTAATAAAATTGGCCCGAGGAGCGATCGTTGGCCAAGACCACCTGTTTACGAGTAAGAGCCCTTGATTAAAAAGCCTCGGGTGCAACAAACATCGCATAAAAGAGAATTAGCAAAATAATGCAGATCTTTCCAAAAAACAGGCACAGGGGGGGGGGGGGGGGGGGTCTTGCGATCGCAAAGAAATAAAGTGACCTGCGACTTCTCCTTGCTTTAGTGCCCTCGATCTGGTCGCGATTCAACCGGTTGATTTGCTTTTCTTGCGCTTCCTTTCCAGGATATTCGATAACAGCTTTGAGCTTAACATTATTTTACTTAATACAATGACGTGTGGGCCTGTAGAAAGAAGATTCCTTATCAGATTTTACTTTCTTTTTGCTTCGAAACATTCTTTTATATATTTTGCTTTTTTTTCTGCTTTCGAGGTGTTCTTTCGGATTTATTACTCGGACATACGATCATAATTTATGACTTCAATTAAAAACAAATGTCACGTTGTTTTATGTTTCGTTATTTTAAACACGGATTTCGGTAAAATAACCTTATTAAAATAATATTATTTTAGATGGAGGAATACCCAGAAAAGGCGTTGTACCCCAAACTAGAAGACGAGAAGGATCAAGAGCCAGAAGAAATAGATCTGAAGACCGTGAAACTAGATGAAGAACCTTCTGTAGACGATGGAATGACTCTCGTCATACACGCTACCGACTTCGCTGCTAGAAGACATCGATTTCAGAAAAGGAAAGACCCTGCTGGCACTCCTTATATTAACCATCCTATAGGTAGGTTATCAAATTAATACAAGTCATTTGCTCGTTTGACCAAAATTTTTCTAACTTTACCTGCATAACCTCAAATTTTTCTGAACTTTGTGGTTTCAGGTACGGCTTACCTGTTGACATCAGTGGGTAAGATAACAGATCCAGTTGTGTTAGCTGCTGCTATGTTACACGACACAGTAGAGGACACGAAGACGACCTTAGAGGAGATAAAGGAAGTGTTTGGGGAAGAGATGTACAACATTGTCAACGAATGTACCGATGACAAAAGTCTCCCAAAGGCCAGAAGAAAGGAGCTGAAGGTGGAAACAGCTGGAGATCTGTCTCATAAGGTATGTTATTAAGGTTGCCACCCTTTAAATTGCACCAACTTTAATCACAGTATAATAGTATTACAAGATGTTGTCAAGTTTAATCTGAAAATATTGTTTTTAGGCCAAGCTGGTACACCTAGCAGACAAACTCTACAATCTTCGTGATATCGAACGCGTAGTGCCAGCCGGTTGGAACAAATCGAGAGTCAAGGAGTACTTCTTGTGGTCTCGTGATGTTATAGCCAAACTAAAGGGAACGAATGAAGCCTTGGAAGTAGCTCTTGATGATGTTATCAACACCACTTTGGCCAAGTATGGTGCCTAATCCAAATACATCTGCTATTACGGTTTCTAACTTCACTTCGCAATGATTAACATATCTGGGCATAATTTAGTAGTATAGCATGGACAGCGTATCTTTTATAGTTAACATATCATCTTGGCTTGTACTAACTCTAATGGTATCTTTTTGGAAAGTATTGTATGTATAATATGTCGTTCCTATTGTATGGAGCGGTCTGTATATTCAAATGTCTTGCCAGTAATCGACCGGTATATTTATATTATTTATTTTACTGATAACAATTAAGCTCATAAACAACATGTGATGGATATATTTATTGGGAAACCGGAGCCAACTGCAAGTTCATCTCGTGAACTTTCATGTGATTCGACAACATTTCACTTCTGAAACAAGTTGTTGCCATTCTAGAGAGAACTATGTTTAAATTTGTTTGAAAAACAATATTTTAAGATTATTTTCTTTCGAAAATACGCCGAAAATGGTCAAACACTTTATGCACTAGCTTCTGGCTGCCAGAGGCAGTTAATGTTTACAGTAAACATCTAAAATTTTGATAGAATACCTTTTTAATTGTAAGTTGACTTACAGACAATTAACTACTACAATATAACCTACCTTTCAAAATACTGGTCACAAATCTGACACTTGACGTCTTTCTCTCCCAGGTGTCGTTTCTTATGGGCAGCCAATCTTACCGTGGTAGAAAAGCATTGTTTACACTTGTCACAGGGATATCTTCGCTTCACATGAACGTGAGAATGTCCTGTAATACCAGAAAAATGTTATTTTATTACCAAAAATTAATTTTACGGAAATTTTCCAAACAAAGATTTGAAAATTGGGGAACTTGGCATTTTTGGCGTTATGTTTCACTACGTGTAGCTACATTTTTCAACAAAAAGATAATTTAACAAAATAGGTGTTTTGATTTATATTTTGTCGATTACCTTGCAAAGCACTCATCGATGGGAATATTTTTGGACATTTCGGACATACGAAGGGACCTCTGGAAGGTAAACTGATTATTTATCGAAGGTATACAATATTGTCTTATAATTTAAAATATGGCATATTTGACTTTTCTTGGTTAAAATATCCAAAATAGTTTTTATATTAAAGTAAAAATATTATCTAAAGTTAGAGAAGCGAAATGTGTTACCTAAAATTTGTAGCACTCACATTTGTTTATGTAGACCAAATAGATGTTCGGCAGTAACTTGTTGTAGATGTTCGAGTGAATGTGTTTGTAGATCTTGAGTGTCTTCGAACTTTTGGCCGCAGTGACAGATGATTTCATCTTCTGTAGCCTTGTTCTCGTCTGTTTTGTCGGATTCTGGAGTGATTTGTGTTTCCTGAAAGTTAGTTGGATCTATTAATTTGTTTGCAATTTATTTGAGAGAAAATTAATGGAGTAATATTGTTAAGTTTGTTACCTTTTCAAGATGATATTCTCCATGACGTCGGAGACTTTCAGAGTTTCTTACCATTTGTCTGAAATTATAGTTTAGAACATTATATTCTTAATGTATAGGGACTTTATGATCCACCAATTTGTTCACATCCATTTTTAATGTATAGGTATAGACATTGTAGGTACTCACTTGCATATTGCACAACTGACTTCGGTGGGGTCTTTTGAGTGATTCTTGGAATGGTTTAAGAAGTCGTTGACGTCGTTTAATTGCACGCGACAGACGGCACATCTGTTGCCCTTGGGGACTTTGCAGTGGTCTAGAAGGCGGTGGATGTCTAACTCAATGTCGTCTCCGAACCTCTGATCGCACACAAAACACTTCAGATTCCGCTAAAAGAAAGTCACTATTGGGCTTCAGTTTGGCACAATTTTAGTGTTTAATATCAACATTTATTGTGATTTATAGGTTTTGTGTCGTCTTTTCATCTTTTTTTAAGTTAAAATTACTTACTACAATAGGCTTTTCAGCAGGTGAAGTTTGATGTAAAGGTAGGGGTAGGTCTTTGTCGTGAAACATCTGAACATGGGTCACGAATATGTCTTGAGTCTGCACGTTGACACCACAGACCGTGCAGTTGAATATCATTATGGTGTTCATGTGTATCACAAGATGGTCCTAAATTTGTTTTAATTATATCATTTTTGTTTCTTTTGGGCACTACAAACTTATAGCTTCTAACATTCAAATTATTTTGTTATATGAGATGGAGAACATGTTGACCCAACTTATACGAAAATAAGTTGGTAATATAACAACTTACTTGGTACAAGTTCTGGTCGGTGAACGTCATCAAACAGATCTGGCATCTGAAGATGACGTCCGTATGTGTAACGGCAAAGTGTTGCTTGAATGAGACTGAATTCACAAACTTCTTGTCACACTTGTGACAACTGAATTCGGCCTTTGTGTTTATGAAATGTTCGCTCAAGTGAATCAGTCGCTCCTGGAATCAACGTTCTTGCATATAATTCGATGGTTATTTTATAGTATCGTTCTTTATCAGAAAATAGGTTACACATTTGGCATCGATACAAAGTAGTAAAAAGAGTATGTTGGTACTGATTAGTACTGTTCTCACCTGATTATCAGTGAATATCTGATCACAGAATTTGCACTTTTTCTCGGGATTATAAGGCTTTAGATGCGTAGATCTCATGTGATCTGTAAGTGTTTGCTTTAGTATGCATAATTATATTACGTTTGTAACAAACAAGATTAAATTTAATGCAAAAACTAATAAAAGTTCATTCAAATATTACCTATAAATTCGTTTAAATTTGAAAACGAAGATCCACAATTTTGACATAGCGGCTTTACCACGCCCTCAGGAGGTGAGTCTTCTATAGCTTCGCTTTTGGGTACCTTAAATCAACCTTTAGTAAGATATAAAACTGAAAATATGATTATGGTGTATACTAGTTGTTTGGTCAAAAAGTAGATAGAAACATCACCAAATATGGTGACTATTTTACGATTCTACCTACTTTTAGACCAAACTAATATGAATTAAGTAATGTGAAAGACACTTGTGCCATTGTTTACAAACCCTATAATTAAAATTAGACTACCTTGGAGTCGTCCAGGAGCGGGGACGTCGAGGCCGACATGATCAGAATCGCACTAAGGGCGAGGAACACTCGGGCCGGCCCCGTTCCCTGGGGAGCGGCCCTTTCCCCCGCCCTCGGCTGATTAGATTGGCCTCTGATCCAGCCGGGAATTGGACGGGCGCCCCCCTCCCGAGGGACCCTTCCTCTCTCCGCCACATACGGTTTTACGAGTTTTGTATGTCCCCTGAGGGCGGGGGGAATTGTGCTCCTTCCCTTCCCTTTACCCCCTCCACTTGCCGGCTTCGTTATGAGAAGTGAGGAATAGTAGCATTCAACAAATTACACAATGCCTTCTGCTGGATAGTGGAACACAAACAGCATGAGCAGAAGGGCGGTCGAAAAGTTCATAGAATAACAAAAATATGAAGAAAAAGAGATTCATTTTTTGATTCTATTCACTTTTGGACCAATGAAAAAAGTATTACCTACTACAAGATAAAGCAAAAAGTTTAAAAATGATATGCGAATCCGAGGAGTTACGACCATGACAACAGGCATAGCAACACAGCCGTCTTCGTGAACAGCTTCAGAATTCGATGGCGACTGTCTACGTTACTCACTCTAAATGCCACGAATCTCTGCTGAATCTACTACACAAACGTATCACGGTCATCAACTACAATGTGAACAGTTCGTTGAAGAGTTTACTTGGTAATGCCTCGTATCTTACTGTAGCAAATGCTGTTTTTACTTTAAGAAAGCTTGAAATTACACTGTAGAATGTGTGAATGTGTCATAAAGTATAAATCATAATTTAAATGACTTTCCTGATATATATGCTGATACCTACTGTACTTCTAATTTAAAAAAGCTACAGTATTCTTATCTAAAAATGATTTTCAGACAATTTGCTCAAAATACGATCCAAGATACGACATCTGGGACTGAACATTCAATGCGATGACACGAGGTTCCTGCTCAGTAAAAAGGATAATATTGTAAGGTATTCACATTGACATATTTACTGTAAGAAAGCTTGTTGTGAATAGTATCACGCTCCAAAATTACATAAAAAAACATTAGCTTAAAAGACACTTCAGCTGACTTCCAGACCGAGCTGATACTGATAAAAATATTTTTTAGCTAGATACTTTTAACCTTTGATTCTAAATACATGTAAGTCATCATGACATTACTGTAAAACAATATAATCTTCAGCACATCCCCACCAAGAGCCCGGAAGGCCTTACCACGTTGATGAGGTTCTGGAGGAAGGTGGAGAGGTCCAAACTTGAGGTGGATTCAACTCTCGACATCTTCGTCACGTTACCATTTAAGGATCGTCCCGAATTACTGAGCCAATTACGACGGGCCTTCAAGACAAAGGTAAGGGCCCGGTTACTAAGCAATATTACACATACGAAGCCTTTCATTACATCTCCTTCCAGGTTTGCATTCGGTTCCTATCACGCAATTCCGATGGAAAGTTTCTCAAAAAGTAGGTTACTGTAACAAATTTGAAGAAATGGTTGTTTAAAGTATATTTTATGACTTTAAAGAGTATTTAGGTAACATTTTGGGCTTATTTGTAATAATATTGGTTTATATACGACATTGATTAGCATATAAACTTGCTTTGTAAGTAACGTAGCTTTACATTTACATTACAGTATACTTTACAGATCTCCAGCTAACATATACCTGAACACAGCGTCGATGAGTGCCACAAGTACTTCGAGAGCTGGTTCGAGCCAAAAGACTGGCTCAGCCAAGTCCAAACTGCCCCATTATGTGACAGGCTACGAGAAGTTACGAACTGTAGGCAAGGGCTCCTTCGGAAGTGCAGTGTTATACCGGAGAAAGGATGACGACTCGTATGTCATAATCAAGGAGATCAACATCGCCGAACTCTCTCAGAACGAGCGACAAATGGCGCTGAACGAGGTGAACTTACTGGCCAGACTCGACCATCCCAACATCATCAGCTACTACGACTCCTTCTACGACGGTGGAGTGTTGATGATCGAGATGGAGTATGCAGAGGGCGGGTGAGTTGGCGGAGGGAGTGGTTGTAGCAGGTAAAATGTGAGATGTTTTATGTTTTTGTAGAAAGATAGATTGATTAATATTAATAAATAATGATGTAAGTAATACTGTAATGATAAGTTATCCATAAAACATAACTTTAGAACGTTGGCTCAGCTCTTGATAAAACAACAAGAATATCTGAATGAGAGCGTCATCATGACTCTGTTCGAACAAATGATAAGTGCTGTTGCCTATCTTCACGATAACAACGTGCTTCATCGGTAAGAATTGTTACCTAAAATATTATACTACGAGAAAGTGGTTACAGTGTACTACTATATAATGTTACAGTGAATTAATGTTAATATCAGTTATGTTATAGTGACCTAAAGACGGCGAATATCTTTCTGACCAAAGAGAACCTGGTCAAGATCGGAGACTTTGGAATCAGCAAGATCATGGGCACGGAGACCAAGAATCTCGGAGCCAACACGATTCTGGGGACACCGTACTACTTGAGTCCGGAAATGGTACGTTTGATTTGGTTACTGTAACGTTGCTTTAGTGCGAAGGAAAGACCTACAACGAGAAGAGCGACGTCTGGGCACTTGGCTGTTGTCTCTACGAGATGACCTGCCTTCAGAAGCCGTTCGACGGTTCCAGTCTTCCGGCTTTGGTCAACAAAATTGTTCATGTAAGTGCTTGATCTGTATATATGTCATTATCATGCAGTGTATTACTATAAGTATGCGTTTACTTTACAATTTCTAAAACTTGAGCAACTTTTACGGAGTATTGTACCAAATTATACTAATGTATGGTACTCTTTCTTTTAAGGCGGACTACGAGCAAGTGAAAGGACCTTACAGTAGCGACCTGAAGCTACTGATAAGGGAAATGTTAAACACAAATCCTTCGCAACGACCGTCGGCTACAGATGTCCTGAAGTCAGTCCAGAAGAACAAATGGCTGAAGAAACGGAATCTGAAGTTCAACGTCGCTCAGAAGCCACAAGACTGTTACTCCGCCTTGTACATGTTCGAGACCGAGCAGGTCATGCTGTCAGCTATATCTAATCTCCCTTACAGAATCAACGTCAAACAGGTATGTTATTTAATCTAGCTTATGTTTAACACACAGTAACTTGAAGAATGTTATTTTACATGAAGTGTCCCACAGTAACCTTTGTTGCAGATATCTCTTGGTCCCAAGCACTTCCTGCTACTGACCACAGACTCTCAGGTATTCAGTTGGGGCGACAACAAGCATGGTCAATTAGGACATGGCGATCGGAAGCCTCGACAATCTCCCACCAAGATACCAGCACTGCAAGGTCAGAACATCCAGAAAGTGGCAGCCGGAGAGTACTTCAGTCTGTTCTGTGCTGATCGAGGTATTGTCATGGTATGTGGGCACAAAAGTTATCTTGGGAACGATGCCAGTGAAGACTTGATGGTTCCGCAGTTAATCGATGCTTTACTGCGGTAAGTCATTGTCATACATACCTTTTCTGTTTAGGATACATTACGTAACGCTCTGTCAGTATTTCTGTATATTGTATATGGCACGGTTTCTTGATCTCACAGTAACAGTAATAACCATACCGTATGGCTTAGAATTAGTAAGATTTCAGAGAAAATATTGTGGACATAAGCTGTGGATACGAACATGTAGTAGGAGTAACAGAGACAGGTCAAGTATTCGTGTGGGGCAATGGTAAAGATGGTCGACTTGGTACTGGCAATTCTCACAACATTGTCGTTCCTACCCAAGTAAGTGTCTACTGCAACATTACTGTTAGTTTTGGTTATTGATAACTTAGCTAATAATGAGTATATTAATCAGCCTCAGGGTGTCATAATTATTATGACACTTTCAGTTGAAAATACCCACGAAACAACTGATAGCCAACGTGAAATGTGGTCCTGATTGCACCATGCTGATTACTGTGTCGGGTACGGTAATTGTGATGGGATCTAATAAGTACAATAAGCTCAACCTCAACTACAGAATGGGATTCTTCGCCAATGTGAAGGACACCAAGGTACTGTAATATATGGCCCTTTATATTATTGTATCATAGCACATAAAACAAGCCTAATTGTAAGCCTACTAGTAAAAGATTTTCAGACCGACATTGAAAACGCGGAAACCCCAATCGCTCTGAAGCCGTTCCCAGCCCGTGTAGTGGACGCCAGCCTCGGATGGCATCATTCTGGCGTGCTTCTGGAGAACGGTCACGTCCATCTGTTCGGGAGGAACGTGATGGGTGAACTCGGCAATGGCACTTGTCAAACCATGCAGTTCTGGATGGCCTACAAGCCAGTGAAGGCCCTCATGTCCAACGTCTGTGTCCAGTTGGTTTGTGGAGATGGCTTCACGATGGTAGCTACATCTACCAACGAACTCTACTTCTGGGGCGCCAAGAAGAATCCGGACGTGGATAAGGATGCGTAAGTCTGGAACACCAAGTGCTACCTAGCACAACCTTTGATTTATTTGAATGAAAAAGTTGTGTTATCCTTTCATATTATATTAATGTATGTTTTCAGAACATTAAATGACGCTTCTGATGCCCATAAGAAACTGAAGTCAGCGCGGAGATCGTGGCAATGGAAGAGGGATTCAAATGCTGCTCAGGGTGTGTCAGATGACGTTCTAATGCAACCAACATTGGTCATGAGGTGAGTAACCAAAGTGCATATACCTTATTTAACCCACTACAACAAACACAAGAGACAGTGCATGTTAAACGCACAATCTTTATTATCAAAAGTAATATATTTTAATCACAAAAAACTTACAGATTAGACGCAGCTCGGACAACTACTGGCAAGAAGCCATTCATACGATTGTCAACGTTGGTTTGTGTGAATCGACGAGTTCTTGTAGCCATTGACACATCCCCCACATTAGTTGATGTCCAACCACCTCGAGGGCAAGTTTTGCAGCTTTTAAGGTTTATAATCATAATATGATTATTATTTTTATACTTTATTCTCACAAAACGTTTTTGAAATCTGTCATAACGACAGATTTTTGTCATGAAACGAAGTGTCAAAATTTATTTTGCATCATATTTACAGTTTTTTGTTTTTAGAATTGTAAAGTAAACTAATAAATACTTTAGATAGATATAGATAAATGGTGGTTACCTTTTTAGAACCGCACATCTGACGACTTATGGACGGAGACAGTCGGCTCCAGAACTGAACGATAACAGTCCGACGAGAACATGGATAAGAAAAGAGCTGGATGAAGCTGAATATATCGCTTATCAGGTAAACAAATTCATTGTTTTGTGGTATTTTAGTAGTTTGTTTTAACCTTTAATTTTTATAGGATACCGGAACCAAAACAGAAGTACAATTGAAAAGCGAAATCGAACAATTGAAATTGAAACTACAAGAACAGAACAATACATTCAAAGATCAGCAGGACCAGATGGCCAAGTTACATGTAGGACTGTTTAAAATTTGTTATCTTTATTTTACGGAAAGTTGGCGATGAAAACGTTAATTCTTTGTCTTGCTCTGGTATTAAACTATTGTTATTGTAGGGTTAAACTTGATTCATTACTTTCGAATTTCAGACAAAGTTGACGGAGTTGCAGCAACTTCAGAAGGCCACTTCACAACGCTCAGAGCCTCCTCCAGCATATGCGCCTTCCACGAAGCCTCAGACGCTTCGGAATCCTCTGTTTCCAGAAGTCAAAACTAAGATTTGTACAATTTGTTGAGTAATAAACATGTTATTGTCTAAAAAGTAAGTGTTTTTTATAATATAAAGATGTTAATGTTTATTAATTTACTTTATTAAAAACGGTTTATATTTAAAAGAGGGCTATAAAAGCTTTGTATTTGTGAAAAATGGCTTTAAATTTGGTATAAACAGCTTGAAATTGCGTGAAGGACAACAAAAAACAGCTAGGACACGACATAAATAAAGTCAACTTAAATTGTCATATCAATTGACTTATGGCTCTCGAATCTGTCATCTTTTGTTTGTACGTGGAGTGTTACGCATACAACTATTATATTTCGTATGTTGTACGACGTGCAAAGCGACCGGATCTCGGGTTTGGGCCCGATGCCGGGGCCGACACGAAACAGGCGTGGGCGAGAGGAGAGATCAGAACGAGAGCGGCGTGCCCTCAGGGCGGTTGGGTGAGAATGGCTGGCTCTTTTATATCTCTCAATGTTGGGGAATCTTTTTGCATCTGAATCTTTTATTCTGCTTCTGGATTGTTTGTTTCTTTTCTTTTTTGATTTTTTATTTAAATTTCAGTGGGAACCGTTTCCTGCTTCTGCCTTCAGTGTCATATCTTCTCTTAGCTTTTCTTCCAACACCACTTCTCATATTACTTTAGATTCATTCTTTTATTACTGACAATTCAGAGTCTTGTTCATCCAAACCCCTTCTCAGTTTCTTCTCCAGAATCCCTTCTTTAGAATCAGGATGATTCAGAAGCCGACCTCGAGGGTTTGTGTTTCAATTGTTGTTATTTGCTTGTTCTGTAATGTTTCGTAGTTATGCGGAACATTATTTTCTCGAGGAAAAGTAAGTTCGAGTGATGGGAATCCGTATTTTAGGATGGTCGAAGTCTCTCGAAGATCCGAGAGTCGCACCTCCAGGGTCAGTGCTCCAGGAGAACGTGAGTTTCCTTTATATTATAATTGATCGTGTAGTTTATTTATTATTTTTTGTTGTTTTTGGTTTATCTTTGGTCAATTCGAATAGTTTTTTGGATAAAATTTTTCGAATATTACACAAAGTATTATCACTGGTAGACTATTTTTAAAGACCATGAACATTTTACGTTATTTTTTAAATCTTTTACATGAAAATGATAAGTAACAAGGAAAGTACCCTACCTGCCCCGCTCAGAATCAGCTCAAAATTTTTATATGAATTCTTTGTACCACCAATAGTACCCATAAAAAATTTTAGCTCGCGCTCTTGAGTTTTAAATTTAAATTATTTGGGTTTCCCGCCAATTTGGCAAATTTCGCATTGTGTTTCAAGTACTTTTTTCGGCTTTCCAGACAAGATACGTTTACAAATTTAAAAATGTAGGTTCATTTAAAGGTTTTTCTACTAGTATATCAAAGAAAAATTATTAAAAGTCAAAAAATGACAAAGTTACAAACTTGAAACACAATGCCAAGTTGGCGGGAAATTCAAAATTTAATTTTTGAATCTCGATTTTCTCGAGATTTTCTGGAAAGCGCGATTTAGTACTTTCCTGAAGATTTTATATTTACATGATCTTTCTATATAAAAAGTTTGAAGTCAATCAGAGCGGGGTAGGTCGGGCACTTTCCTTGTTAGAAAGGTAAACAGTAAGGTGGCACGAGTATTATTTTGTGAATATTAAGTCCCGAATATGACACATGTATATAATAAGAATGCAATCTTCGCCATTATATTACAATGACTGCTAACAGCTGCTCCAAAACACGTCCTTTCTATTTTTAATTGAAACTTTACTAGAAATCATTTGTTTTTAAGATTTTTGATATAAAAAAGGATTTCTAACTCAATAACAACATTTGCAATAATCTTTTACGCAGTCCCAATTTTTATTAGCTAGTTTCATAGGTTTACAACAAGTAATACAGAAAATTGTAAATTAACATTTAAATAATGCGCTTATTAATATAATATAGTAGTCATGTTGCAGATGCCGACGCCGTCCACAACACCTTGACAGCTCTGGAGACTGACATCAAGAAGACGACGGAGATCATCAGACGGAAACATGAAGAACAGGTACTCTTTCTAGAATAGTTCACAGTTTAATTAGTATATCAGTACGATTACTTCCAATACTTTTTTGTATATCTTCTTTCATGTTAATAATGATTGATAACATAACAATTTAAGTTGATGGAGAAGAAGACCTTCCAAAGTGAGATGGAAGTAAATGGTCGTATCTCGGTAGATCCTAATGATGATTGGCTTAAACTCAGGTTAAAGTCCGTTAGCACCGACGACTTGAAGAACGAGTTGGGCAAAGTAAAGACAGATCAACGTAAGTACCGTACACTTTATAAGCCGGGAAACATAATTTTAAATTTGAAAATCATTTTCACGACCTAAATAATGTTGATAAGATTTTATACGAAATAAGTAGCTAAATGATATAAAAATTTGGCGCTACTCTAATGAAATAACCCAGTATTACTAATGAAAGCACCCAATTTTTATCCTATTTAAGGCACCCAAAAGTATTCAAATTTTGCATAATCTTGCAATTTCATTTTGTTTTTCCTATTTTGAAAACGGTCATTCATATTTTATCGACTGCGTGAGGCGGTCGGGTCAGCATGGAATCTGACCGTGGTGATCATGGATCCATCGACTACCTGACAACCTAGGCCAAGATCAACCACCTTCAAAGAAGTCATCTTCTATCGAGTTTATGAAGACTTTTACTATGCTATACAGATGGATAACAGGTAAGAATTTAGTATTTACTTACGATTTTACCACAGTATTAATGTTATCTTAGTTATAGTAGCCCATTGTTTAGTTATAGTAGCCTACTATTTAGTTACAGTAGCCAACTATCTAGTTGTAGCAGCCAATATCTAGTTACGGTAGCCCATTATTTAGTTACAGTAGCCAATCATCTAGTTACAGTAACCAACTATCTAGTTATAGTAGCCCATTTCTTAGTTACAGTAGCCAACCATCTAGTTACAGTAACCCATTATTTAGTTACAGTAGCCAATCATCTAGTTACAGTAACCAACTATCTAGTTATAGTAGCCCATTTCTTAGTTACAGTAGCCAACCATCTAGTTACAGTAACCCATTATTTAGTTACAGTAGCCAATCATCTAGTTACAGTAACCAACTATCTAGTTATAGTAGCCCATTTCTTAGTTACAGTAGCCAACCATCTAGTTACAGTAACCCATTATTTAGTTACGTAGCCAACTATCTAGTTATAGTGGCCAACTATCTAGTTACAGTAGCCGTGCACCTTATTATATTTTTTTCAGTTTTCGCTACAACAATCGCCATTCACGAATTGGACACTTCTACACCACTCTTCGAAAGCGCTACGTTTCATAATGATAAAATTTGAATAAAGATTGCTGGGTGCTTTAAACCATTAGTGGGTGCCTTTATTATGTTGGGTGCTTTCTCTAGTATGGCCCCAAAAATTTTGTTGTTTTATAAATTGAAACTCAAGGATAACATATGTTCAGGACAGAACGCAGTAGTAGATACCTTGGCCGCGTTGGTGTACGATGTTAACGCTACGGCCGAAGTGCTCCGACGTGGATCCCAGAAGCCAAAGAAAGGAAAACTGACAGAAGAAATCGAATACAAACTCAGGTTGACACCGGCTCCAGATGACGACACTTTGTACCACCACGAAGACATACCACAAGATGAGGAACCAGAAGACGACTACATTCTGGAGCACAGGAAGAAGGACTACGGTGTGGAGGGAAGCGAGTCTTTGACGTAAGTCTTTATCGATGATGTGATGATGTATTTAAAGTGTCAAAAATGTACTATTAGAGTGTTTCAGGAGTAGCATGAAGCGAAGAGCACGATCTACTACACCAAGGAAGGTGATCAATGTTGATGTAAGTGTTTTGGGCAGTTGATGCCTTGCTATGGAAATCTAGTTTGAAATATGCACTGTTATAATCCAAGTTACGTAGCTTCATTTTAGGGCTACACTCCCTCAGGCCCGGCCCCAATCTGTGCCTACTGTAGCGAAGAGATCGAAGGCGCAATTCTGACGGCTTTGGCTCCAAACGCTACACAAGCCCAGAAGTTCCATCCGTTCCACTTCATGTGTTGCTACTGCCAGAAAGCCCTGAACCTTCGAGGAACATTCCGCGAGCACGAGAAGCGTCCCTACTGTCACGAATGCTTCTACAAGCTCTACAACGGGCTACTGTACGAGCCAGATGTGAATCAGACCAAGATCGAGAAGTTGATTTGAGTTACTGCCATATATATAACTTTTATACGACCTCTAATCTACATTTCTACGATAAACGTATTTTATAATTTATTTGGTAGTTTTCGGACAGAGAGGGACAGTTGGCTCAAAGTACGAAGAGGGGGACACTTGGCTCAAATTGTTTTTGGAGCTAGCTGATCTTCATTTTGATATATTTCAAGATCAGTATGGTAGTTTAGAAGGCTTCTTTACATTTTTAGCAGTTACAATCGTCTTACTTTCTTATTTATCATTTTACAACATATTACTTTAGAAGTTTTCGTGTATTTTACATACAAATCGACCGGCCTGTTCAGTATTTAAGCGGTTTCTTTACAATATAAGTCTGGTATGCTTGTCGTTTCCTCCGCATTACCATGGTAATGATGAGTGATATCAGGATGATGAGAGCTGCCACGAAGAAGATGGTGTAGGCGACCATCAGGAGCAGCACTGTGTTGGCTTGTTCTCGAGTGTGATGGGCCGGTAACTTGCCTGAGGGGTTGAGGGCGGTGGAGATGGCTGATCGGAAAACATCGCCCAGAGTTGTTGCTTGTACTGAAGATAATATAGTATAGTAATAGTTATTAACATTTATATATACCGTGGTCTTATGGTATAGTAACCAAGAAGTCGTACTACTTACCTGGTTCCATTTGGCCGAAGTCCGCGTAGTCTTCGTCGTCTTCGTATGGTCTTCCTAAAATGATAAATTGTTATTTAGAACCTTAAATGATTAACTAACAAGCAACATTCACGTACCTGTCCCTTGTCTTACGAAGAACTTGTCACGGTCGCTGGTGACGTCATCGTGCGACTTGATGTTGGTGATGTGAACCTTGGAGAACGGCAGTAGAGGACCGTCGTCGTCATACTCGTCGTCATCTTCGATCTGCTGAAGACCCTTTATCTTGGCGATCTGGTCATCCAGTTGCTTCTTGTCTATCGTATCTTCATCACTGTTGTAGTTTTCCTTGTGGGCTGGTGGTACTGATGGTATAACACCCTTCTTGTGGTCTCCACGGGCGATCACCTGGTCGATGGTTAACATCGTGGGGTGGGTGTCTGGCCAGGTGACTTGAGTCTGAACTTGTTGATCTTCTGGGTTTTGAGCTATCTGATTCTGAAGATATGTGCCGTCTGGGGCGTAGCCTGGTCTCCTGGTTACACCTTGGTTGATATATGAACTGTGAGGGTTGTGTTTGTATGAGTTGGGGCGAGTGACATGGTCAGTACCTTGATCAGGGTGGGTGACGTGGTTTGGTTGATTACTGTAACCATTATTATGTTGGTTACGGTAACCTTGATTATTTTTTTGTCGATGTTGTGGGTGAGTAACGGGTTGTTGGTTGTTGTAGGGATGTGTCGTGTATTCTGGGACGTCAGATTCGAAGCTGAAATCGATGGAAACCGGCTTCGTAATCAGGTCGATACTATCGATATCTTCTGTTCTGGCACGATTTGTGGTTCTATATATGTCATTTGATCTAAAACATTGTATATTACAATCATCTACTTGTAAAATCACATTATGTTGTGATAGGTAGACTTACCGAGCGTCACTGTAGCGTTTAGGGTACTTTGCTGAAGAATAATGGAAGTTAGGAGGTATGTCTTGTAGGTCTTCTTCTGAATCAAAGAGAGTCGTCGTATGCTTGGAGACTTCTGAAAAGCGGTATATTAACCGTGATTATCATATAGACAATGTCTTATCACCTTTAGTCTAAACCGATAATAACATACCATTGGCGTTGGTAGTGAAAGGCATGGTCATAGGATGCGTAACATAGACATTGTTACTGTGAGGTAGAGCTCGCTTGGTGGTCGACTTGGTACTGTCGAAGAAGTCTTTGGCCATCTTCTGGAAGTCGTACAACTGACAGTAATCGAGTAGTCGATCTGTGAAGACGACGTCATCTTCTGGCACCACATACGATAGGAAGTAGTCCCTCATGGTAAACCTATTAAACAGTTCGTCCGCATCGGGACAGTAGCCGAACACGGCGTTGGCCAAGCACATGCTGTGATAATGGAGGTGACGGCAGGTCTCCTGAGTCAGCACGTCACGTGTCACGCCTTTGGTGTAGTTGTTCTTGGCTCTCTTCGACATCACACGGTACTTGGTGGCTTCTTGAGCGAACGACGAACACCGTACCTGCATGAAGTTGTGGTAGCGATGCACACAACGAAAGTGCTTTTGGTACGCTGAAATTTGTCTTTTGAAACAATAATAAGCATGCTACGGACAAGAAGGATAACGTATTCTTAAATGTTTGTGAATAGTGTGATTTGATGTTAATATTGATTTGCAATTTGTTATTCAAAGAACGTACGAGATGTCGCCGTGATTCTTCTGCACTTCCTTCGTATGCCATCCCTTTCTGTGTTTACTTTACTTGACTTGTCATAGGCCTTACTGTTACCACATAGTCGAAGACAATCATCGTAATCTGTGAATTTCCTAAAAGATGATTACTATCAGTACAATAGTACAATACTCAATACGTTACTCTAAACATTCCACAAAACAAATCTATCTTTCGACAGCTTTTAAGATGCCTGACCATCAAAACATGTTCAAGATGCCACACAACACCATAAATATGTTATTACAGGACTTGTTGTTCGTATCTTGATGTGTTTGTTGACAGCTGGACAACGAAAGAACACGTTATTACCCAAATTAAAAGATAAAAACAGACCAGCAGATGGACTTGGACTGGTCTGACTTGAGGTGGACCTGGAGTGCCTCTCTGATGTGCTTCACATCTTCTCCGATACGCTGCAGAGAACGGTGGAACAGTCGTTCACATCGGTCGTGACACTTCTGAAACCTTTATGTAAAGAAATACATAAACATAACGTTATATTTTGGTTGTTTACTTTCCTTAAGTTTTGAAAAGAGATTTACATCACCAAGATTACAACAAGAAAGCTATGTACGGTTACAATACTATTGTAAACATATGTGAAAGTGAATATGATTCAAAAACAACTGAAAACTATACTTTTATTTGTAACATAAACAATATTGTGCGACAAAACAACTTGACAAATAAGTTACAGTAACCTTAATGAGCCCGTTAATTTAATTGCAGATCAAATGACATCATAGCCAGGTGTTGATGACACTTGTCATCGTATCACTTACGCTCTGATGATCGTCGGCCCGCGATATGCAAATTACGGTAACCAGCAGCCAGGCGATCTTGGCGATCATGACCTCGACATACCAACTCGACAGAGTAACGGAATAAACAAAAAGATTCTTCCAAAAACCGGCTCGGATTTATAATAAGAGAGGCCCTGAGGGTACGAACAGGCGTTCGTGAGAAAAGCCAAAAGTTGTGGGACGGGCAAGTCATGAGGTAGTAATAGCCCCGAGGCTTGTTTTCCGTCCTTTGATGGACAACGTCCGACCGCGGCCCTCCGGGGACAAAATGTTTTGAATTTATTCAAATACTCGTGAGATCAGATGTCGCTTCCCTTACGTGCACGACGCACAGCACCACCGTTTGTAGGCCTCCATGTTGCAGATGGCTTCCTTGGGTTGTTCTTTCAGGAGTTGGGAACAGAAGAAGGAGTCGCCACAACCTGAATTCATGTTATACTACATTTTTGTGTTATACATGTTGTTATACTACTTTGTTGTGTGGTATACGTTGTTTTGCTATTAGAGTAACAAAAAGTTTCATCAATAATAACATTATTTTATAGTTTCTGATAACCGAAAAGTTTAACCCGAATTACCCCCTTACTTTTGTCATTTAAACTAACCGCAATACCTTTCTTCACTCATTTGTTGGCCCAAACACTATTCTGTTTTATGTTATACATGCCTAGTACTACTTCAAAATGTTAGTTAAGTACCTTTTCTAAGAGTAATTAGTTATTACTTACTCCGCTCGTCCTTCTTGGTCTCTCCCGAACTTCTCGTGCCCTCGGGGTTTGATTTAGGCTTGTTTTTCCGTTTCCCAAACGGTTTCCCCATACATTTGCCGCACTTGTAGATGGAGCATATCTTGATGTAATCGCTCGGCGATGCGTCATTAACCCGGCCAATTATGTCCTAAACATAAATTCAAATTAAAACTCGAAAATCTTTTTTTAAGGCTTAAGATACCATTAACAATATACTTGTAATTGACAATCAATAAGTTACTATTTTTATAAATATAGTAATTAACAATACTGTAACTCCAAAGTGTCAAACTCAAACATAAAATAATTTAAAGAAATTACCTGCATCGAATTGTCTTTGGTTTCCATTGTAATTGCCCCAGGCTGTTCCGCGAAGGCGTCCTTGGAGTAGTGCATCACACTTCTGTAGTCGTACTCTACTCCGTAGGTGGTACTCTCTTGTTTGCCGATCTTTTCAAATTGCGAGTAAAACACTGAAAATAAATTGCGTCAGAAAAGCACAGAATTATGTGAAGGGCCTAGTTTTTGTGACAAACCAATGAAATCATCGTACAAAGTAAAATAAATTACTAAAGTAGATCTTACCGTACGATAAAATAGGAAATTAGTGTGTCAAAAATGTTTAACCCCCCCCTCCTCACAAATAAACTGCTTATGAACGTTTAATAGAGCTACTTACTCGGCTCAATGTTGTCAAAGTGTACTTTGATGTATTTGTCTCTGTCGTATCTCATATGTTCGTGCCACAACCCAATTGTCTATAACGTGACATGGCAATTACTCTTATTATGCAAAATAAATCATAAGCTGCATCAATAATAGCAGATTAACTCACATGCATGAACTCGTGTATCACAATGTCATGTTCAGCACAAGTGGCTACATTGTTGGCTTCTAACATAACTATGTTCTTGCCACGATGTCTGCCCACTGAAGTGTAACATCTGAAAGTGTTTTGTAGTACTATAGAAAGTGTTATGTATTACTATAGTAACACAACTGTAACCCTACCCTTCGTTACTTTCGTTTCGTATGTCGATGTAATCCCGTTCTCGCTCTCGACGTTTGAACTTCAAACAAGTGTTTCGCTCGAGGGCTCTCATCGCCCCAAAGATGATGGTCCTCTCCTCGGGATCTACAATACAATACAACAATATCACGTAAAAGGCAACAAGTCAATTGGTTTTTACACGTACAATGTTAACATAAGTTAAGTAAAAATATCGTAGTAGACATAATGTTTTCAGAAAGTAATAGTATCTTACACTACCAGAACTATTAGTTCAGACTATCTGTAGTAGAACTTCAAAATAGTGTCATAACCATAATATTAAAAATAATCGTTGTAGAGAAAGACCTACCGAACTTGCCAGAGATTGTAAATGGCAGAACGTAGTTTCTGTTGTCATCTCGATACTCTGTCCATCGATTGAGAGAGTTGGTGGGAAGGGCATTCCTCATCTTACCCCATATTCTACAGACAAAATGTTACAGTAAGCTTGTTAAGCAATGACGAAATATAAGATAAACAAAATATACCGTAATATCAAAAACATACGATTTGCCTGGTTTCATCTGCAATATATCTCCTCCGTGTTGTTTGTAAAGATCGATTCTGGTGCCCTAAAAATACATTACAGTACAACAAAGTTTAAGTTAACGTAGTTACAGATTATCACAAAATCAACCAATTTTATAATAAGTTGATCTGATAAAATCAATTTAAACTCAAGTCACAGCTTGCTACATCAAAAAGGCCATTACCCAAATAACCTAACATGCCAAGTCATCTTACCCGTTTACTATCGACTGCCACAACCAGCACCAACACCAACAACTCGGTCAACATAACGACAAGTCGATATAACAGTTGACCGCATAATTGGACACAAATAAATGCCCTGAGGGTACTCAGGTAATAGAGAACAACAATAGACCGCTTTTGATCCTTTGTTTGCGCGCCCATTCAAACAAACTACCATGGTCATCGTATCATCGCCCAAAATAACACACCAAGACGGCCGAGCTTAACAAAACAAAAACAATGTCAGGATTGATAAGTCTAGACGGTATTGGGGGAGTTCAACAGTACGATGTTACAGTAAGACATGTTTGGAAACATTACTGAAAGAATACGGTAGAGCACAGTAGAGAAACTTGTACAACGTCTTATTTTACTACAACAACTTGATAACACTCTACATTAAAACACTGCAAAGCATTGTAGCTATACTGTAACCACGAAATGACAGAGCCCTGTTGTTGTCCCCAAAAATGACAAAAATCTGATTCAGAGTGTTTGCCTTAAGCCCTCCGGCGATTGTCTAAACCCAATTCTGAGAAGATCGCTTTCACTTTGTCACTTCACGCTATGAAGAAAGGTTAAGCAGTAATGGTGTTCTCCGAAGTTGTGGGGACCTTGTCCTTCCTGCAGCCCCAAAACGACGATGACATCACGGACAGAATGCACTACTACTACACCAGCACCTTCCTCCTGGTCACTGCCGTAGGTCCTTCAAATAATGTATTACAACTTTTCTCTAAAACATTAAGTTTTAGCAAATTACAACATAAATAGTATTTTTTATATATCGCTCTAAAAATGTCTGTTTATAAACCTAAAGTACTGTCTAAACCATCCAGCAGTTCATATTGTAGTAGACTATAACCCTTTGAACTTATTTTCCATTTTAGTCTCATAAATTTGTATAAAAAAGATTATTAAACTCAATTTATGATGTTGTTGTAGGTACTGATCAGCTTGAAGATGTTTGGAGGCCGTCCTCTCGAGTGTTTCATGCCAGCTGAGTTCAGATCGTCTTGGGAAGATTACACAGGTAATATACCCACATCTACCGTTACCTACATCAATATGATCTTTCAGAAATATTCTGCTGGGCTTCCAATACCTATTGGGTCGAGAAGAAAGAACAGTTCCCAGATACCACAGAGGAACGACAAGAACGTATGATATCCTACTATCAGGTAAAACTTCAAACATTTTTCACAAATTCTTGAATTCTTTTGACTTTGAGACTTACAATTACCCAAAAGTACCATTCTAGTGGTCGCCCTTCTTCCTGGTCCTCTGTGCCTTTCTGTTCTACTTCCCCTGCTTGATATGGAGAATATTATACACCAAGTCTGGAATCAAACTCACCGATCTGATGTTGTTTGCCAATGACAGAAGCAATATTCAGCCTCGTAAGGATATAATCTTGCCAAAATATCGAGATTTATTTCGTAAATTCAACAAAATGTGTAGAAAACGAAATGTCACAAATTTAAATATTGATTGTCACAAAAAGAAATTGCCAAAAACAAATTTTTGTGGATTTCGGTATAATTTATGGATGTGTGGAACAATACTGCTTATAAAACGATAGTAAACGTGATAGATCAACTAATAAATGAATTAACAGGTACATTATTACCTAATATTACCTAAACTTTAAGATCGTAGAGAATCGAACCTTCGTGGTATGTCGGTTCACTTGGGATCTATCTTCCAACATCGCTACAAGTTTGGGACTGAACACGATTACCACCACAAGTATCTACGTCTACTTAACTTGAGGTATTATGAAGCATATCTGACCGTGTTATATCTTGGCATCAAGAGTATGTATCTCGGGAATGTGTTGTTTCAGGTATGTTATGTTAGATTATTTATGTTTGAAAATTTACTGACGAATGAGTGAGTTTTATAAGTGTAACAAAACTTATTACATTGATGTAGATGTACCTGATGAACTGGTTCCTCCAAACTGACAACTACACCTTCTATGGCTTCGGTGTGCTCTACGATCTCTTCTACGGGATTCGTAAGTTGTCGTATCTTAAGTTGTCCTTGTTATTATAAAATTTTATCAAAGAATATTGTAGCATGGAGTGAGTCCGGCAACTTTCCTCGAGTTACGTTCTGTGACATGGACATACGAATACTGGGCAATGTTCAGCGTCATACTGTACAGTGTGTCTTGGTGATCAATATCTTCATCGAAAAAGTGAGTAAATGTTATGCTATGAACACATTCTAGATATTCATCGTACTATGGGTATGGTACTGTTTTCTGGCAGTTACGACATTGTTGGGGCTGGTCAATTGGACTGTGTCTACACTACCTTTCGAAGAACGCAAGAAATTCATTGCCAGGAGGCTCGAGTTGGCTGATATCGAGTTTCAGGCCAAACCTGATAACAGTCCGCGACTTCTGAATGAGGTATTTACATTATATTTTTGGTTTTTACATACACTATTTTTTGATACTGTAATTACGGTGTCTTTTCAGTTTGTACGCGACTACATCAAGATAGACGGCGTGTTCGTACTCAAGATGTTGACAGTCCATGCTGGGATGCTAATGTGTGCCGAGCTTGTGGATATGATGTGGGAAGACTTCAAGTCCAACAAGCAAGGCAAGGCTTCCGTAGTCAGTACGGACACGATAAAGCGCAAGATCAGTATGTTACAACCATTGGTATCTCGAGATGAACCCACCACCCCCACCACACCCAGTCTACCCAGTCCAACCGAAGGCATTCTCAAGATGCCCTCAGGGTCACAATGACGGTACGACCGGCGGATGAGAGACAAAGAGAACGACAGAGCGTCCAACCGCACTCCACGTCACGAGGTCCGACCTCAGAAGGTGGGGGTGCTCGGCGGACGAAGGAGAAAGACTGGCGGAGTCAGCTTTGCCAAACGACAGGAGACTCAGGGTCTAAAACAACATGTCACACTTGAACTGGGAGACGAGTCCGACGAGTCCCAGGTCTCCTGATTCTGAATCAGCAGATTCCAGGTGACTCATGTTGTTGTTGCAGATGGTATATTTGGATTTCATTCGTCGCGTACAGGTTGACCTGTACGGTTTTTGTATATGTTTTTGGTACTGATTCATGTGTTCATACAAGGCTTATCTTTTACCTTTATACTTTGTTTAATAAATACCGTAATCAATAACAATATACCTCAATGTGTCAATAAAACATCTTTATTTATTTTAAGTTTATGTCTTTATTTCATTTTTAATCAGTCTAATCTCACTAGAAAGTATACGATAACCTTGTATGATGACGTTTCTAAAGTACATTCAACTTTACTTCGAAAAGTACAGTAATCCCGGGGGATTTTTTCGTGTTATCTTGGTCCAAACATGATGAAAATAAGGTCAAGTGCTCGGTACGGGAGGTTTACAAAGGAAACCGAGTTTCGAAAATGATAAAAGAGATAAGACGTTGTGCAGTGTCAGTCACAAGATCATATGAGAGACTAGCCCCGCCCTGTCCATTGGGTCAGCGACTACTTATTTCAGCCATTCTCAGCCACAAGTTAGTCTGGAGTTATGCTTAAGACCGTCGTCTTCCTGGGCTTGGTCAGTCTGGCCGTAGCCAGTCCACGCTTCGGAGAGTAGGTTTGGGCATTTGATAGCGGGGTTGGTTATTTATGACTTTACACGGTTAATTGGACTTATTATTGTGATTTATTACAATATGTAGCCTTGACAAGTTTTTTGTTTTAGAATTCATAACAGAAGTTATAAGTTCTAAAACAATCAATTATGATAACAATATGAGTCATAAACAACTTAGACAAGTAGTAGTTCGTTGTAAAGTCTAGCTTTTCACTTTTGCAGTAGCAGCGAGAATGAAGGAACGATCCGTCAGATGATCGAAAAAGGCTACAGAGACTGGGAACACTACAAGAACATCCACTCCAAGAAGTTCGAGAGCGAGGATGTCGAGAACGAGAGGATGCTGGCCTTCTTGATGTCCAAACAGCACGTCAAGGTGCACAACGATGCCTTCGAACAAGGAAAGACCAGCTTCAAGATCGGTATCAACCACATCGCTGATCTGGTGAGGATTTTACTGAATATGACCCTAGAAGCTTCTATATTAATACTTTTAGTTGCGATACCACATTCTGTACCTATAAAAAGCCAACATCCATCTAATTTTAGCCTTTCGCCGAGTACCGTCGTCTCAATGGATACCGTCGTCTGTACGGTGACAACACCTCCAGAAACGCCACCAAATGGAGAGCTCCATTGAACGTGGAAGTCCCAGACTCGGTCGATTGGAGAGACGAAGGCTACGTCACCCCAGTAAAGAACCAAGGAATGTGTGGATCGTGCTGGGCCTTCTCGGCTACTGGATCTTTGGAAGGACAACACAAGAGAGCCTCGGGCAAATTGGTCTCTCTGTCTGAACAGAACCTGGTCGACTGCTCCGCCGAATTCGGTAACAACGGCTGTAACGGTGGACTCATGGACTTTGTAAGTGAAAAAACTTTGTTTACAAGCCCTGTCAGTTCTTAGAAAATATTTTTGTAAAAGTTGTTTTGGAAGATTGATCGACGTTATCACTGATTTGATCTCTAGACGACCAAGAACTGAAGGACACTTAGCAATGACAACGATATAAAAAATGATTTCAGGCCTTCGAATACGTGAAGGAGAACCACGGAATCGACACCGAAGACTCCTACCCATACAAGGCCAAGCAACGCAAGTGCCACTTCAAGAAGACCGACGTTGGCGCCGACGACACCGGCTTCGTCGACCTTCCAGAAGCCGACGAAGAACAATTGAAGCAGGCCGTAGCCACCCAAGGCCCCGTCTCCGTAGCCATCGACGCCGGCCACCGTAGCTTCCAGCTCTACAAGACTGGCGTCTACTACGAGAAGCACTGTAGCCCCGAACAGTTGGATCACGGTGTCCTCGTAGTCGGCTACGGCACCGACCCCGAGCACGGTGACTACTGGATCGTGAAGAACAGTTGGGGCGAGGAGTGGGGAGAGAGCGGCTACGTGAGAATCGCCAGAAACCGCAACAACCATTGTGGCATCGCCTCCAAGGCCAGCTACCCCCTCGTTTAATTTAAAATGGCACTAATTAGTATGTAAATAAATATTTACAAAACCTTGAATCAAGTGATGATGTAGATTAAAGATGTTAACATTTGGGGGATTAAAAGACCTTGATTTAGGTAGTTGAATATTATTAAACAACACCGTTTACAATCCTTTCGAATACTTTATTTACAAAACCTTATCTTATCAGAGATGGCCGGGCGTCGAGGGAACGAACTTGTAGCAGAGATCCTTGGTCAAGTCGGTCATTAGACTGGACGTGTTGACTGGCATTTGACCGATCACTTTTGCTGAAAGTGTCATTCTCAAACACACCCTCCACGTACAGGCATTTACTTTTTAAAGCTTATCTGATAACATTGTACTTACCTGGATTGCCAGACACGATAGAAAACGGAGCCACCACGGTATCTGGCGACAAAACACTGTCATCCATAATGTAACAACAGTCCTTTATCACAGACGACTGTCCTACTATTACGTTCTTCCCTATATACACATCGGAACCCACCTGAACGGCCGCTACTACTGAGTTCTACAACAAATATAACTTTAGTCCCTAGAGCATTTTTAAGTATTTTAGGTATATTTACATGTAACTTAACATTGTAAGTTAATTTTAAACATTATAAGCTAGGTATAAAGTTCAGTATAAGGTTTTAACTTTGATAACTATATTTCCTTTATGATGAAATATTGAAATGTTGTTGATAAAAAGGTGTCAACAATCGACCACCCACCTCTTTTACGACAACTCTTTCGCCCATCTTGATAGAGAGATAGCTGACTCCGTTCTTGAAATGTTTCTTGGCTGGCCGTATCACCACTCCAGGCTCCAGAAAACAAAAGTTGCCAATCTCGACGGCCGACAGGTCTCCTCGTATTGTCACACCATCCATCACTGTTACCTAAAAACTTTTATAAATATACGACATTATAAACTTTATTTTAAAAATGTAACCTCATTTCTAAAACTGTATATTCATTTCTAACAGCTAAAAACTGAGTTGTAAGACCAGACTCACATTTCCACCTAAAGCAACATTCTGACTTCCAGGTACTCTGCTGCTCTTGCACAACTTATTCTGAAGGTTTTTAGTTAAGAAATAAGTGTCCTTCTCGTATCTCCTCACAGGTATTTCCACAGACATCTGCAATATGTTATTATACACATTTTAGCAATATTAACCTTATAAGTAATAAAAAATTAACCAAGACTTTCCCTCTTTTCGTAAAAGTTAAAAAATATGATAATAATTGTGAGGTTACTACCTCCTTCATCAAGGTACCAGATAACTTATTCACACGAAGTGTTTATTGCAATAAATACATTAAAAAATAATTACATTAACTTAAAGCACTGAAGACAGGGTTGTGTCTGCAGATGCTGGCTCCCTTCTCCATGTATTCTTGTTTCGTGTGTGCAACTTGGTAGAACTCTGGAGTCGATGCCAACATCGATCCACCGAACCAGACGGCGTATCTCTGCATTCGGTGAGACACTACATTAACATCAATCGGCTTCGGCTTCACTCTGTTACCAGACAACTGTTCACTTAAAAGAAGCCTTTGATCTGACACACGTTTAACATCACGCTGAAGCCGTTTTGAGAAGTTATTGAACATCGTTGACCCTCCAGAGAGCACTATATTCTCATAAAGGTTTCTCCTCACATCAATCGGACATTGTTGTATCACCGAGTCCACAGTTTCTGACAATGAAGTCGTGAAGTCGGGATTCGCAAACTAAAAATACAAAGAATATAAACTTCAAAATTAAAAAATCGTAATTTTTACGAGCTGTACTTATGGGTTCATCTACTATAATATGGCATAAACCCACCTCAGGATGAAAGAATATTTCTGGACCCAAAAACTTTTCGTAGCCAACATCGACAGTGAAAGGTTGCTTTGTAATGTTGTTTACTCCCGTATATTGTTTCATGTACGTTGACAAGTCAGCATCGTACTTCGAAAACTCTTTCTGGATATCTGGACACACATAACAATATTGCTCCTAAATTTAAAAAATATAATTCTCTTAAACTAATACCAATATAATTTTTAAAGCCTTTTAAATCAACATACCTTAATAGTCTTGGCTACCTCATAGGACTGTTCGGCTGGCAGATTGGGCTCTCTCTCCCTTAACATATGCTGTATGAAGTAAGTGATATCTCTGCCTGCAATCGGAATATGTTTAATACAGGACCCAATCACATAACCATCAGCAACTGGGATGCAATGTGTAACACCATCTCCCGAGTCAATAACTAGACCGGTCAAGTTGTTTTCGGTGGTCGACTGCCAACTCGCAGCTAATGCCAGAACTGCTTGTACTGCAATATAAAGACCTGGAACGTTGAAAGATTCAAACATGATTTCGGCAGTGTATTCTCGATTCTCTGGTGTGTTAAGAGGAGGTTCAGTCTTAAATTAATCACAATGTAACAGATTTTTAAGAAATATTAATTTGAAATCTAAAATTTAAAGCATAAAAGTAAGACTTACCAGTAAGAAATAGTGATCTTCTGGCTCAGCACGTAGGTATTTAAAGATGCATTGAGACCAGTACTTTTCCATGAGATCCCAATCTTCCACAATTCCATGTCGGATAGGATACTGAAAGAAACAGTGTGAAGTTAATTAACACAAAAACGAAAACCTACGCTTAAATAACAACTTTAATACCTAAAATAAACAAAATAAAAGCATACCTTTACAGAGTAATTAGCAGCATTCGGGGACAATGCCTCGTCCCCAATGTAAAAGTCCAGATCCCCGATCTTGCTTCCAAACTGGTGTCGAGGATCTTTGACAGCGATCGTAGATGGCATTATCATTTGAGGTTCAGTGTTACCTGCATATCCCAACTTTGTGTATCCGCTGCCATTGTCAATCACACAGGCTGGTAGTCGTGTAGCCATGCTGATCTCCTAGTTACAGTTCTATCCCGATCTTGTCCATTCACGAAAAAATAAAAATGATTCATTGTGTCAACTATCGCCCCTCGAGAGCCAAGTCTCACTCTTAAGTTTACTGAACAAGAAGAAGTTTACTTCGAAGATAAAATACGATTTATCGTGCTCTAATTGTTTCAGTTTTACATTATGCCCATTACGTAGCCAAATTGAGATAAAATGAAGCAGGATATTTTTCAGGTATATCATAATATTATAGTAGGTGATGGTTTATATTATTTGATTTAGACAATCGGATCGGATAAAGGATATTACAACAATATGAGCGATAACAGTGTTCCCAGATATCATTGGCTATTGACGAACGAAGAAATCAAGATGCAAGGTTGGTTTGTTGTTGTTTATGTTATGTTTGTATTTTAGAAGAAGATCTGGCTTTGCAAACCAATGACAACAAGATATACGGGAAGGCTTTTGTAACGAACTACCGGCTTAGATTCGAAGGGACTGATGGGACGACGGTGGATGTTACCTTGGGGAGCATTTCAAAGGTAGAGAAGAAGGGATACTCCAATGTTAACAAAGAACATTACGGTATCGAGGTGCACTGTAAGGTAAGAAAAGTGTTTTGATACGAAGAACTATTTTGTTTCTTTTTTGTTTGGGACTTATATTCTTTTTTTAGGACACAAGAAACATAATATTTTTGCATAAACCCGAGAACCACTCTCGTCGACCTTTATACGATCATCTACAACGATATGCCTTTCCCAACACCAACAAGATGGTATGTTTATTCTTTATTATTAATAAACTTTTTAATGTTTTAGCCTTTCTTTGCCACTTTGTACAACCAAACTTTTGCATTTGACGGTTGGTCCCTCTACAAGCCTAAGCAAGAGTACCAAAGGATGAAGGTACGGTCAGACTTGTGGGACGTGACAAAAATTAACTTTAACTATGAGTTTGCTTCAACATATCCCGCCTACGTAAGTTGGCTGTTTTTACGTAATTTCAGGTAAGAATACTATTATTTTAGGTAACGGTATCTTCAATTTTAAATTTTTTCATATCAAAACAACATATATAGTTATAGTATTGTCAATTCTAAGTTCAATCTATATATTATTATAAATTATAGTCCTTAAATGGTTTGTAATTATTATATTATAGTTAATGGTACCAGTGGGCGCACTCAAGCTTGGTGACACTTTTTTGTTTTCTGTAGGAGACTTCAGAAGTAAACGGAGGATTCCTGTAAGTACAGGTCTACCATATGTAACGATTTTGTAGGTTTTGTCATGGTATGATACGAGTTCCACGGTCAGCATTTCACGATGTTCCCAACCGATGGTGGGAATGACTTCAAAGAAGTCTCCCAGTGACGAAAAGTACGTACCCAACTCATTAATATTTTTTGCTAACGGTTGTACATAGCCAGAAAGAATTGAATTGCAAAAACGTTCCAGTTTTCACATTATAGAACAGTAGTATATTTTCAGAATGTTGCAATTAATCATCGACACGAATCGACAGAACTCACGACTGAAAATTCTGGATGCTCGACCAATTGTGAATGCCAAAGTCAATAGGGCAAAGGGCGGTGGCTACGAAGACAACTACCGCAACTGCGATTTGGTCTTCCTCAACATAGACAACATCCACGTGGTCAGGGAGAGCTTGAAAAAGATAAAGGACGCCTGTTTCCCCAAAATCGACCACAAACACTTCTACAAACTAATCGACGAATCCAGATGGCTACACCATCTCCAGACCATACTTCAAGGTTCTCGGATGTGTGTCCAAGAAGTGTTAATACACAAGAAGTCAGTGCTGGTGCACTGCAGTGATGGATGGGACAGGACTGCTCAGGTTACGGCCTTGTCTATGCTGTTATTGGACCCGTATTATAGGACCATTGAAGGGTTTGCGGTGTTAATCGAGAAAGAATGGTGCAGTTTTGGTCACAAGTTTGCTCATGTATGTTTCTTTAAAAGAATATACAAAATGAATATATAAGAGAAGATGTCCGTTCGAAATGTCAAACTATATCTTGACATTACTAAACATTTCTCTGAGATTTGTATTCTGTTTTAGCGAGTGGGGCACGGTGAAGACAAGCACAGTGATGACGAACGTTCCCCGATATTCCTTCAGTTTATCGACTGTGTGTGGCAGTTGTTCAATCTCTTCACATCAGCTTTCGAGTTTAATGTGAAACTTCTGAAGACAGTCCTAGATGAGTTATATGCTTGTAGGTTCGGGACCTTTTTGTACAACAGTGAGAAGGAACGGCGGGACTTAGTAAGTCAATCGTAAGCTACATATTGGTATAGATGGCTACATTATATACATGACATTATCGTATTTAATTACGTATTTTCAGGATGTAAAATCAACTACCGTATCCCTATGGTCGTATGTCATGGAACGGAGGTCAGATTTTGAGAATCCGGGATACGATCCGACCTACACTATCGACATTCACTTCTTCGCGTCCACCTCACCCATTATAACGAAGCTATGGACAGAGTATTACTGTCGGTACAACCCCCAAGTAGTTATACAAAATGACGAGGACGTAAGTTTACAGTACTGCTTTGCCCTTATGAGTTGCTTTTTAACATTGTTATACCTGACAAACAAACTATATCTCTAACAATTTCAGTTTACGAACCTTCCATCGTCCGGTATTCTGGAAGTAACCTCAGTTTAAGTATCCGAGTTGACTAACGAATCTGTGATAATAATATAGTACTTCTCAATGTTTTATTGAAGCGTAATATTAAGATAAAAACCTAAAAAGTAACCGGGTCGTGTCTTGGAGACGAGAATAGTGGTTCTGACGGTAGTGATCGTACCGAAGTGTTCACATTCCACGGTCCAGCATCAGCTGATTGTGAAGTTTGGGCAAAGGTCGGGAAGGGCGTAGCTGTCGGATGAGATAACTCTTCCACCGACGCCGGTCCAGAAGCTGCGGCGAATTGAGCAGACGGTCCATTAATACCCACTGGACTACTAGCATTGTAGGCACGAGATGGAGGAGGTGGTCCTCCGGTTAAAATACGGTTAGCATGTTCAAATATCATGTGCATAGCTCGCAAAACACAAAAATGCAATCCATACTGTAAGGCGACAGCACCCACACCCTAAAACAAGCAATCAAAATTTGCTTGATAAGTCACGAATGATAGAAAATCTTTTCATTACTGACTGAAATTATAAATAATATTTATATAAGAAATATCTAAAGTATTACATTGACTTACACTGTAAAGCGCCCAAAAACCCTCCTTCTGAATAATCGACCTGACACAGTCTACGATGCCAGTGTATTTTACAGTGACAGAAATGGCTGAAGCACCCGTATCCAAGTTGTCAATGAGAGTTCTGGTCCCTTGAATGTAGAGACGGTGGAGGATGGTCTCGAAAGGATAACAAATTAAATCTGTGATGGCAAGCGAAGACATTCCAGCGAAAATCTCCGGCATTATCACGTGGAATCGTGTTCTTTCGTGTACTGGCTTCTTTCCCTGAAATCGTTATGTAAAAGTTTAATTTTACGATCTTGTAAATGGTACTCCAATTCTTATTCACGTTTTTAAACCTAAATTTAAAAACAAACAAAAAAGCGAACTTACAACATATCTTCTGGCCATGGAGTAGATGTTGTTGTAAAGAGAATCCCTGATCATAAACTGAACTGTATAGAATCCTACAGTTGGTCCTATTAAGTATTGTACTCCAATCCGGCGGCTGGTATCAACAGCTCCGAAAAGATCCTGTTTTAGGCGATCCAACCCATTGTAAATAACATCAAAGACGCGGGCATCATCATAACCAAAACCAATACTACTCTAAAGTAAAAAATTATATTTTAGTGTTGCATTTATGTAAAATACGATGAAAATACAACCCACAAACAAATTAGTCATCTTACCCTGACAGTTTCGATGAACGAAGCCACGATAAAGGGTGTAGAAACTGCAAATGAAGCCGCCTTTAAATAAATGTGCTTCCAGTACTTGGCACTACTTCCATTGGGTATGATGTACCGAGGGAGACCAAATGCATCAGCGATGACAATCTCCGTAACTCGACTTAATGCCCACAAAACTCCACTGCCAAGAGATCCCTTCCACAATGTGTAGATCCCCTAAAAGCTGATTACTCAAACAAAAGTTACTTACATCTTTTCCTACCATGTGCACTACAACTGGCAGTAAAGTGATTGGTGTTAGATGTTGTTTCCTCGCAAATTGATGTACTTGACATTGCCTTCTCAAAACCGTGCAAGGATGGGTGATAAAAGCGTTGTTAACAATCCTACAAACACATAAAAACCATCATTTATACACCTAAAACTTACGTCGCTACACCCAAACAAGCGGTTGCAAGTGGATCGTCACCCTTTGGCTGAGCAGAGATGGATTCACTATCTCCATGACTGTCAACCCGATGAATTGGACTAGGATAATCACCTAAACTATATAAGAATACTATTATTGCCTACCTGGTTTCGGTGGACCAAATAACTCAGGATTATATGCCATTTTTAGCAAAAAACCAATTTTCTTTTTATGGCCAAAAAATAACAAAATAACACTTGGCTCACAGAGTCAACTTCTTCTCTGGGCGCGAAAGATTTATAAAAGAGGCTTTTTTGTATTTTTAACTTTAAAGTTTTATAAAGCTTTAACACTTTTCTTAATAATTTTTTATTATTTATATTTTTTGCCATTCTTATTGTTTTATCCATGATATTTAGCGTTAGGTTAATTGTACTGTAACCGATTTTCAAAGCTATTTTTGATTGTTTTTCGTTTTGTTTTGTTAAAGAACGGATAGACATGAGAAACGGGCCGGGCCTGAATGTTAGGCCCGGCCCGATGGGAATTTTGCTCAAAGCCAGCCCGGCCCGTTTCTCATGTCTAAGAACGGAGCATAATCAATTGATTCTTACAGGAAAAGGACTTTTAACCATTTCATAACCATGGAGAACATGCTTCAGCAAGAGGCCACCAACCAGAAGTTTGCTCCTTATGTCGCAGATGCATTGGAATGTGTAAAATTAAGGTTTGGTAAGTAAGCTCATCTTTTAAAATGGAGTTTTTAGTCGGAAAAGATTGCAATATCGACGATGCCAAGGAATACGACGTTGAATTTGCTCACCAGCACTTTGAATCGTAAGTTATCCATGACATTATCAATAACTTTTGTAGAGAGAAGATTGTAGGATACAAAGACTTGAAGGTGGATGTGGTGTACTCTAACTTAACCATGTATTCATATGTAAATATTGAACACAGTGGGGACATAACAGAGGTGGATAAGACTATTGAACCAGATGATATTGTCTCTCTCATCAGAAATCAATACCCAACTGGTCATTCTGCAGCTTTGATGGCCAAACGTGAGGCTTTTAAAGTAGTTTGCGACAGACAGAAGGAGTTCCAACCGTATGGAAAGAAAGTTTCCGACTTAGAGTGGAACAACAAGAAGTACGAGCTCTATAGTGTTGAATTTGGAGACCGGAAACAAGGCTTTGATGAGTACCTCGGCCGTGTTCAGACATTGTCATTGTATTTTATCGAAGCCGCATGGTACACAGACCCGACAGACGAAAGATTCATGTATTACTTCATCTATGAGAAGGAACCTACCTTTGCGTTAGCTGGATACGTTTGTCTGTACCGGTTTTACCATCATCCTGATCTAGTGAGGCCAAGGTTTGCTCAAATCATGGTGTTGCCACCGTGCAGACGATGCGGATTTGGTAACAAATTCTTGGAGATGGTTTACACTCAATTGAGGAGTATTCCTGATGTCTTTGACATTACAGGTAATGCAATTTTAAGTTTTACTTTATCTGAATCTTTCTTTTTGGAAAACTGTTTAAATTTTTAGTTTATTTAATATTTTTACGATGTTGTTTTAGCTGAAGATCCGGCTGACACTTTCTTGTACAGTCGAGACTTCCTTGATTGCAAATTGTTGAAGAATATGAAAGAGTTTGGCTTCGAGACGTTACGAAAGGGATACACAAAGGAATTACAAGATAAGATCCGTGAAAAAGCAAAGATTGGAAAGGTAAAATAATAACTTCATCTTAAAGTGACAGAATCTTTTGTATTATTTATGCAAGTACTAATGTGTACCGTTTTAGGTTCAAGCACGTCGCGTGTACGAGGTCCTGAGGTATTACTATGTCCAGACACAGTTCCCTGAAGACGAAGAAGCCTTCGAAGCAGATGTCAAGAAGAGAATCGAGATTCCATTCAAGAAGTCGAGCAGAGATTCCTCCAAACTCAGAAGTGCATTATCAGATCAGGAACTGTCCGTTGTTAACGCCAACGACAACCCAGAAGACATTCAGAAGAGCGTGGACGCCATCTACGACTCCACGCTACAGGAATACGACGTCGCGTTGGATCGTTTGACAAGGTTCGAACCCGAATTGTTTCCCAAATGTTAATTTATGTTGTACGAGAGAAAATAAAAATACTGGGTATGCGTTCGTTTCCGATTAGACACATTAATATAAAAAGCCGGGCTGACTTCTTATCATGTTTAACATTTATATATAAGAGAGTTCACAGCTTTAGACAACTCTATTTGTGTTGACCATGTCAGTCGAGTTGTTGGATGTCAGGGAACAGATCCCCGACCATTTAAAAGAGGTAATAGTCGATAAAGTACTACCAGTTTTTTAATTCTTAGAAATACTAGTTAGAAAGTCAGTGTTAATCCTTTTATGTAACCTTGTTCGACAATTTGTTTGATATAAGTTTGAGTTAAATAAGTTACAGTATGAAGAAGCAGTATCCAAAGGGGTGAGTGGCTTCCACGAAATGTTCTCGCTCTTTCAAGATCCTGGATTCGAAGCTCGTACAGGTTGGAAAAAAGAAGCCGAGAACCACTGTGGAAGTGTTTATTCACGACAAATCAAACATGGAAAAGTGTTCTGTGCCAAGGTACTGTAATATCTCTTATTCTCAAATTTTTTACCTAAATTCTAGTTTGTGGTAGATGTTGATTTGGAAACTCTAATGCACGACAACTGGAAGCAGCCCGAGAAAATGCCCGAATGGAACACACACGTTGAATTCTGTAATGTCCTGGTTCATATTACAGAGAACATCAACATAGTACATGTGAGGACCAATAAACATTTTTTTAACTCTCAAACATTTCTAAAAGTAATCAAAAGTTGACGAAATAGAGACTTGACGTTACAGTACGGAAACGGTCCAGTCCTGATGGTGTCTGGCCGAGACTTTGTGTCGATGAGAATCAAGAGGGAAGTCGATGGAGTTGTCTACACAAGTGGAAAGTCTGTCGACGCCCCAGGAGTTCCAAAACCAGGAGACAGAGTTCGCGCCCATATTAATCTTGGTGGAGGAAAATTTAGAAAACATCCAGAAGATGACGAAAAGACCATCGTCGAGATCATGCATTGTATCGACTTCAGAGGAATGGTCCCCAAGAGTGTAATCTACTCCGTAAGTATAATATAGTATCTATGGATACAAAATTTATAAAAACTTTGATATTCAACTATTACTTTTTACGTTCACTATTTTTAGGTAATGGGAAAGATGATGCTGAAAGACATTGAGGAACATCAGATTCATGCTAAAGATTTGAAATCCAAGAAGAATTCCAACTAACGCTGACTGAAGGACTCAAGTGACATTAACAAGATTCAGTCTAGAGGACTAGTAATATAATAATATCCTATAAATTGTTTATATAACAAGTCGTGAACATTTTTAGCTTTGAAAAATAAATTATTCTCTGCAATCAATAGTGTCATTTCGTCGCGTTCTTTTATAAAAAAATAATTTCTAAAGATATTTTTGGCAAATTTTATATTTTTTTTTCGTTTGGAAAGTTAAAATGGACAGAAGAAGAAAACATAGCTTTGATGGTGAGTTTTTGATCTTATTATGACAATATTGTTGTTTAGATGAGAGAGGACCAAAGAGAAGACGAGTTCTTGGCGGCGATGGACAAGACACCGGAAATGAGTTGTTGGACAAGATCGCAAATGCTGGATTGAATTCCAGTGTGTCGATAGAAACTTGCTTGGAATCGTTGGCCAAAGAGTTGTCAGACAAGTTACAAACCTACGAGAAAGATGTCATTGACTGTTTGTCTAATTGTGTCGCTTACAAACCTGAGAGAATGAGCGTCTACTCTACTTTGGGTGGTCTTCTTAATCAACAAAGCTCCGATTTTGGTGATAACGTGAGTTTTTTTAAATTTATTTAGGTTCATTTTAACATAAATTATTTTCAAATAATTTTTTAGTAAGTTGACATTTGGTATATATTATAACATAATATTTCAGCTCGTATCGCGTCTTGTTTCTGATCTCAAAAATCGCTTGGTATCTCAGGAATGGAATATTATTGTAAGAATAGTAAGTTTGGCTCTTTTTTTGCGTTTATTATAATTTTAGGTAACATATTTGGGCGATCTTGTTAATTCGTATGTTCTCACACCTGATTCTATTATCGAATTTTTCCTTGGAATGATGGATAATGCTACAGAGGTTAATGTGAGTTTTTTACAGTGATATGATATTATCTTCTTTAAATATACGTATATGATATATAAGTTTAAAAATTTCTTTTTTACAAAACTATAACAAAAGTTAATTTAGTTGTTGAACGATTTCTACATCTACTGTGTTATGCATGCTTTACCGTGGGTCGGAGCGACTTTAGCAGAGAAGAATTTATCTGCATTGGATGAGATTATGATCAGTGTTAACAATTATCTTCAACTCAGACCCAAGACTCACATTAAGATTTTGGGTGTATGGGAAGCTGGATCTCCTCATAATCAAGAAGATTACCTTGAATCCTTGTGGAAGCAGCTTCAGAATTTGAAGGAAGAGAATTGGCTTGAACATACGATCAACAGGTTTTACGTTGGATTCGATTCTGTTCTGAATCAAGCTGTTGCTCACAATCTTCCATCGTAAGCTCATTCGTACTATTCTTTCAATATATTTTTGATTAGGTGAATATATCAAAACATTTTGTTATATTTATATTTTATATATTGTTTTCAGTATCGAATTTCCAAAATTCAACGTTTCGAATTCGAATTATCCTCTTCCAAGAGTTGTCTTCCGACTGTTTGATCAAAGTGATTGTCCTGAGAATGAGCCCCCATTACCTGCAGCCGACTCGATTGACCGTTTCTTGGTAGAAGAAGATGTCAATTGGATTATAGACAACAACTATTTAAATTATAAGATTTGGTAGGTATTGAGAATTTATTTTTAGTTACCAACACAAAATGTATTGGTTTTACGTGGCCAAATATTTAAAAAATGTTGTTTTCAGTGCTAAGGAACTACTTGCATACCAGAAGAAGGACACGGTACCATTGAATTACGTGGTAATTGAAGTGGTATTTAGTCAGTTGTTCAGATTGCCAAACTCACCTCATCTCGAGCTGTTTTACGGAGCTTTGTTGCTTGAGCTGTGTCGAACTGAAGCTTCTACCATGCCTCAAGTATTGGCACAAGCTGCTGAGTTGTTGTATCAGAGGTGCAAGTACTTGCATCCTTCATGTTTGGATCGACTGGTCGAATGGTTTAGTTACCACTTAAGTAATTTTCAATATCGCTGGTCTTGGGCTGATTGGGTGGACAGCGTTAAGGTACGTTTAACGTTTTAGTTTAGATGTATTGCAATAGATATATGACGTGGTGTATAAACTAATTTATGAAAACGTTATAGTTGGACATCTATGACAAGCGCCAAATCTTTGTTCGTGAAGTGTTCGAGAAATGTCTTCGGCTGTCGTATCATGAAAAGTTAATCCAAGTACTACCAGAAGAGTTCGCTCCTCTGATTCCGCCGAAACCTGTAATTTCGTATGTTTTGGACGACAACGATCATCCATTGTTCGAGCAAGCTAGCCAGTTTGCGGCATGTATTAAGTCACGGAAGGCTTCAGAAGACATCCTACTGGATCTCCAGAAGGATCGATTGTCAGCTGAAAACGTTGAGTATGACCCTGAAAGTGTTTCTATATTCACTTCAGTTGTCCTAAACATAGCTTCCAAAACGTTCAGTCACACTTTTGCTGCTTTTACCAAGTAAGTTGTACTAACCATTTGGCCTTAATGTTGCGCAATATGTAAATTTAATAGTTATAACTATTGTTTAATAATCTTGTTTATGGGCACAATTATTTCTATTTTTTATAGGTACGTTGAGTTGTTCCGAACAGTATGTCGTGACAACAAAGACATGCAAGCGGTTGTACTACGGTCGATCTACGAAGCATGGGCAAGACACAAACAAATGTTGTCGGTGTTGGGCGATAAGTTGCTGAAGATGAGGATCGTTGAACCTGTCAGTTTGATTGTTTGGGCATTTTCAGATGACTTGAAGGACGAATTTCACAGGTAGAATGGGTTTTACATTTATTTTAACTATAACGTAGAGATATTGTTTATGATTATTATGTTTAGGAGCTGGGTCTGGGAGCTGGCTAATTTGGCGGTCTACCGTTTGTTCTGTCAAGTGAATGTCTTGAGGACTGAAGTCGGCGTTCTTCGTCAACAAAGTGAAAGGCAAAAGAAGTTCCAGGCATGTTTTTAGTGATATAATAATATATTACATGTTATTATTTAATTATTTTTTTTTCAATTTATAATGTTATTTGTGGATAATATATTGTTTTAGATGGTTGACGAAGCTGGAGAGTACGAAGATGTTGACGGTTTGATAGAAGAACGAAAGAAGGAACTACAGTTCCTTGACCACGAATTGAATGACATAATCTTACTAATTTCTCACAAGTTTACTCAAGCCTTGACACACTTAATTAGTGAACGTAGCCAAGAAATGGAAGACGGTTCTGCTGAATATCAACTTAAATTCAACTTTGTTTTGGGTCGATTCAAGCAGTTCTTTTTAAACGTAAGTTTATTACTATAGTGTAATGTTATTCAGACTTATAGTTGCATTTTATATAGAGTAAAAATTTTAATTTTTAGAATCTGGAGATTATGTGGGAAAGAAGCGACTTTCTCCAGAAGGAAGTCTTTTCTGACGACCAGGTTCATCCACAAATCAAGGAAATCTACGAGCAGTTCTGTTCTCTCAAACGGGCTTAAATAATTTGTGTCATTTAACTTTATATTAATAAATGTCATTAATACCTGTAAAGTTACTTCTTATCGGTTCTTAGCCTTATACTTTTTTTTAATCTTGTATATAATTATACCTATATTTTGGAGTTTAGTTTTGAATTTTAAGAATTTAGTTTTTTGTTTGGGCAGAGGTTGTAGCATCATATCAAGATGCCTTTCATGAAAGGAAACATGCCGATTCGGCGAACATTTTACTACCTGCAACAGGTATGGATTTAAAACTACTGTTTTATACGGACATTTGGTGATGTTTAATTGTTTTTTAAAATTGTTTTAAACTATGGCTTAAAAATGACATTATAGGGAAAAGTGATACTTCGAGACGATGTTGATGTTATGTATTTTGGAATTCACAGAAGGCCGACATCTGAACAACAAGGAGCCAAAGACTTTGTGTTCTGGCATTTTGCTCAGTTACAGTACAAGAATCCGCAGATTCAGCTGATCAAGAAGATGGATGTCAGTATCACACCATTTGCACAAGCTTTTCTCCGTACGTTTAAAGTTTAAACCACAGCATTAGTTCAGATTAATAAGTTCGAATTAAATTCTCATGTACAGATCTTTAGGTGATGGCAGAGAAGTAATGTTCGATTTGGAATCCAAGAATAAAGACGAGATCACCAACATGATCCAAGGGACGTTGGGTAAGACAGAACTGGTGAAGAGAAGAGAGTTCCTCGAGAGAATGCAAGATCACAATCCTGCTGAGTTCGGGAGCAAATGTTCACGACAATGTATGTGCGAGGTTCAAGGTCAGATATGTTGTACTAGTCTTCTGCCAGCTTCAGAAGTTATGCAAGGAAAGTGGAGGTGGAACCACAAGTTAATTTGAATTGTCCATAGATTAGGTTTATCATTGTTATTGTTACATTTGCAAATAAATTTTAAAAATTTCCGGGTTACTTATTAACTAACAGTTTAAATACAAGTATCTATCGTGAGTTCAGTACAGGTGGTAATTTTTCTGTCAACTTCAGAAATTGATGCAATTTAAAATTAATTATAGTAGTTTCGAGTGATCATTAGTTTTGTTTATCTTTAAATTGTGTTAAAATGCTGATATTTGACACACAAAACTGTGGCTTTCAGCAGAGCCTACTGACTTCCAATAGCCGGCATAGGTACCGTGATCAAGAACGGCGTGGGTGTTGCCTGAACAAGTTAGTAGATACTTTTATATAATTAGTTACCTTTTGTTTGAAACATCCATCTGAAGTAAAAGGGAAGATCATCTTTGTGGTCATCGTAGTTCCAGTACTGGCCCTTTTTGTATATTCCAAGCCAAACGGGTTTCTGGACTTTGTCATAAACGTAACCTAACATAAAGAGAACTGTCACTTTTTATGGTTGAGTGATAAGTATATTTATAAAGCATCAGATTGGATTTGATGTTATTACCTGCAAGTTTATTGTTGACTGAATCGCTTTCGACTTTCGGTAGCTCTCCACCGTCTTGCTGACAACGTCTTCTAGCATCATCAAAGGACTTCGTTTCCGTGAAAGGCTTGTAGCAGTAGTCCTCGAACAACTCGTAATCGTTCGGACATTTACTTTTTATGGCTGAATATGGTTTATTGAGTAACATCTCACAATAAATCTATAAGTAATATAAACTTACATAATACGCACAGTGAACTGTCACTGACTTCCTTGAACACGTTTATTCTCTTCAGGTGGTTGGTAACGTATTGTGGCACAGAGTTTAGGCTTACTATATCAGGAGAGTATTTTCCGGAGGCACTTTCTTTTACCGTGTCACAAGTGTAATATTGAGAATCCTTGAATGCAAAACAGAATCCTTCAAGATACACGCAGCGATACGGTATTTGAGAGCACCGTATTTCCCAAAAGAATGATTTAAATAACCGTTTATTTAGAAGCAAATAAATATAACCAAACGTTACCATTAGAATCACAAGTATAAATTAGTCGATTACAAAATAAAATATCTACCACTATCACATTAAATAGTTAATATATACCCTCTACGAGACGAGTTGGCGTATGACCCGGTGGACGTCGCACAGGTAATCTACATAGGACACACTGTTCTGGCCATATCTGTCCTCCACCAAGAACTTCTTCATCCACGACTCCAGGGCGTCTCCGGGCTTGATGATGACAAGTTTCAGCATTCGGGCACGTCGTTTGTTCAGCTTGTCCAGTAGCATGTGGAGAGCTGCGGAATCTGGGTTGTCACGCTGAGCGATTTCAGACTAAAATCGAAATTTTAAAATTGTTAGTGTATGTTTGCATATATTAAAGCAGAAAAAGACCATATTATATCATCTTACTGACCTTTTCTGAATCCAGATTCTCCAAAGAGTGAACTCCGAACACATTCTGAAGCCACTCCTTGTTCACTTCAGGTCCAATCCAGATGAAGGCGACCATTCCGTTGTCCACAAGGTAGGATTCTGTTGCCTGGAAGTACTGCATACTGGCTCTCACATTAACTGGCAATCTATCAGAAAGACTCTCCACATTAATCTGTGTCAGAGGATACACAAACGGATACAGGAATCGAGTCACCTCCTCCGGCTTCATCGATCGTACCAAATGCATCATCCACGCTCTGTCGTCTACTGTAATCTCTCCTCCTGCCACCAAGGCATCGCTCTTCGATATACAACAAGCAAACAGTGGAAGTAGTTTAAGAGCTTCTGGCAATATCAACTGTCCAATTGGAGAACCTTCTGAGCACTTCTCTCTGTAGCCTGCCAGTATTTTAGCCGATATGTTGATGATCTCGTCTCTCATATCCTTCGGACTTTGTTCGCGGACAATCTTCTCGCCTAAATCAAACAATATTACTCTCTTTCTTAAACAATTAACCTATATGACAGTAAAACATACAATGTTTAAACAAATGTGTCACGACAGCATTGTGGTCAACGTATTTGAACAATTCAATGTGATCTGCCGTTACCTTCAACGTCAAGTTCTGTACCCTCAACCTTCTCTGACCGCCAGGACTTGTGAACAACGTGGCTACTTGAATGTAGGCGCGGTCGTTCTCGTTTAGTTTGTCGTCGTACTTGATCTCTACCTGAAGCGACTTGTCTGCGTCTATTGTGCCCATTTCAATCGCTGTTACATTCTGCATGAAGAAAGCTCCAAAGAAGCCGGTCGGCCTTATTCCAGTCGATGTTCTCACTCTCATCATGACATCAAAGGCTACTGGTCTTGACACAGCTCGACGTAGATCGGCCAGGAATCGTTTACCGTCTCGGTGGGCCTAAGACAATGTAATATAATACTGTAAATAGAAGAACAATAAACTAAACAGTTATGAACATAAAATAATAATAATTAGACCTTTATCTTTATCAAAAAGAATACTCACATCAAAGTACTGGTACTTGTAGATGGAGCCACCGGTGATAGTAGCTGCAGGGGCAATCGAAGCTAAATCAATGTGAGCATTTGGGAATAAGAACAAATCAACACCAACACCACTTTTCACACATTCTTCTGCCAAATGACTGTAGTACTCTGTTCCAGGAGATAATACTTGCTAAAAGAATATAATTTAGGTAACATTATATAACTTTTTAAACAACGAAATGTCATTTTTGGCATGTTTTAAAATTAACTTACCTTTTCCTTGTCACTTCCAAGTAGTTTTCTGTCTTCTCTGTTCTTCAACTTTCCTGGTGCTTCAACGGTTGGAAGGTTAGTGTGGAATACGAACAGTTTTCCGCTTCTTCGACCAGCTTTTAATGCCTCCAATCCCACCTTTATCGTTGGGCCGAGGATAGTCTCAGTTACTCTGGTATCAGCAAACGTCTGTTTAATATCTCTCAAACACCTCTCCAGATTCACAGTAGCCGTCTCGTAATCTACAAAGAATCCCTCCACAAACGGCACAAAAACATCCTCAATATCTGATACCACACACATGTGAGTTTGAGATGAGGAAGACAGGTCGTAGAAGTGAATCTGTTGGTCGTATGTTGCCAACGCGATCTTGATGGTTGCTTTAGGTTGGTTTAAATCTCTGAAAACATAGTTTAGATTTTAGTTCAGTAATGTATCAAATTTTGCTCATGTTCTATTTTAAAGTTACATTACTTACTTTGGCAACTCTTTCAAGATCTCCAAAATGTTTGAACAGAAGGTATCCAACAGCCCAGACCGAACACTGATGTAAGACACGTCTAACAGAAACACAAACGCCGGTTCTTGAGGTAACAAGTTATTGCTACAGTATGCTTTGGTGGCCACAAACTCGTACGAACCATACATCAACTCGGGTCTTTGTTGAACGTCAGTTCGTTTACCCGTATGATCCAAATGTGCAAAGTATGCATCTTCTACTGGAGTTGTGGCGTGACAGAAAGGACAACGGAAGCGACGACCACCGTCAATAAACTCCATGAACGAGGAGATATATGCTTTACATCTTTGACATCTAATTGGACCAAGTTCGCCAAGGTCAACAATTGGAGGTTGAAGCTAAAAACAAAGTTTTATTCTCATTTTATACCTAAAAATAAATTAAAGAACCATAATTTTGCAAAAATGTTAATCTAACAAAACAAAGCAATAGAAATACAACTGACCTCATTTTGATTCAATTCGGAAAAGGGAGTAAGAGAAATAGTGATTGGCAGCTGAGAACTCTTGATCATGTCGTTTGACGCAGGAATCGTGTAGACAGAAGAACGAATGAACTTCGGATTAGCATTACCTAAAAATCAAAATAAAACAACAAAACTCTCTTACCCGTATCATAAGCCGTAAAGTCTGTAGTAGCAAGAGGAGGGAGAACGGCTTCCGTAAAGCCGGTTTGGAAAGGATCAAAGCCATGTTCAGCTTGGTCCCTTTGGACTACCTCAACCATCGATGGCATCGCGCTTGAATCTAATTTTTGTTGCGGTCTTTGCATTCCTGGAGCTCCTCCTGGCATCATACCGGGAGGTCCTGGAGGCATTTGAGGTGGTCCAAGCATACCTAAAACAATACAAAGTTGACAAAAGGCCAGTATACGTCATGCCAAAATCTGCAGTAGTTTTTGTTAAACCTTTAGTAAAATTTATAAAGCTTCAGTAAAAAATCATACCTGGTGGCCCAAACGGCATATTGGGCTGTCCTGGGCCTGGAGGCATACCTCCCTGTGGAGGCATTCCTCCTGGTGCCATCCCTTGTGGCTGCATGTTCATTCCTGGTGGTAAAAAAGGCATATTGGGTTGATCTGAACCTGGAGGGCCTGGAGGCATCCCTCCTGGTAGAGTCATTCCTCCTGACGGATGTATTCCACCTGGTTGTAGCATCCCTCCTGGTTGAGGCATCCCTCCTGGTGGAATTCCTTGTGGCTGCGTACTCATACCTGGCGGTGCAAAGGGCATATTGGGTTGTCCTGTAACTGGAGGTCCTGGTGGCATTCCCATTTGAGGAGGCATACCTACAAAAATTTAAAAGTCCACTAAAGGGCACACAATTTATAAAAAGAAGGAAAGATGTTGTACGTTCTTAGGACATAACACTGTGAGAATAATGAACCTTAATGTGCAAAATCTGAACTGTAAAAATCATACCTGGTGGCCCAAAATTCATATTAGGTTGTGCAGTTCCTGGGTGTCCTGAAGGCATTCCTGCTGGTGCCATTCCTTGTGGCTGCATCCCCATATAAGGTGGTCCAGGCGGCATTCCACCGCCAGGTTGACCATAAGGCATACTGGCTGGTGGCATTCCTGGTGGTTGTGGTGGCATTCCTCCTGGTCCCATACCCGGTTGACTGAAATGACAAAAAAACGTAAATATTCATTTTAATTAAATTTATTTAAAAAGTCGTCCAAACGTTTTTTTGGTAAATCCTTTAAAATTGTGGAATGCCAAAAGTATTTTACATAAAAATTTTTACAAACCCTAAGGATATTTCTATGTAAAACGAATTGATGGTAAAATTTCGCCAACGTCTTTTAAGAAACGTCAAATTTTTGGTAAAATAGATACGGAATGCCACAGAACGCGTGGAACGAGTTGGCAACGCAAATCTTCGTCTTGGGAGAAAGCGTTTTACTTATTGTTTTTTAATATTTGTTATACGACAAAAAGTAATTCCTAAAAAAAAATAAAAATGCAGCGAAACTCTTGTGCCTCTTAGTACGAAAACTCTATATAACGAACAACTTAATCTCCGGTCAACTCTATTCATTATATATTATGTTAAATGCCTGCATACCGAAACTCCTTTATAACGAAACATTTTGGATCTTTGAACGATTAGTTATACAGGAGTTGCATTGTATATTTTTAGTGTCTTGTGTCTACACTAACATAGTAATATTTAATTGCATTTCAGTTGATTGTTTTGCATTAAAATGGAAAGTTTATTTAAGAACTCTGTAAATAGACATCGATAAGCAGTTGATCCGATTTTAAAAGTTTCCTTCTATGACATTTGGTGAAAACTCAAGCATAATTCGAGAAGTCGTAAAATTGTTTACGGCGTATTCATGATTTCTGCGTTCCAAAGGTTATAAGCAATAGATTCGGTGTTTTCGGTGAGGGGGGGGGGATGGGATGGGGTTTATGGAATGGTAAAGGAACGGCTTAATCCCTGTATTAATCAACCGGACAGGCTCATTATCCACTCAATCCGATATCCCTTCCCGAAAGAATGGGAAGCGAGCCACGAAAGAGATGGAGGAAAATAAAAAATGGGGGGCAGGAGAGCGGACGAAGGCAAAAATCAATGTTTGCGAGTAGAACCCAACGCGGCAAAACGCGTACTTCTTATGCCGAATGGACGCTCGCTCTTGACAAACCGTTGAGAGGCCATAATCTCGTTTTTCATGCAAATTTCATTGATTTTCTTTCAGCCATGACATCGTATCTTTAATGAAATCTGGGAAATGTCGTCGACTGACACACCGGTCGAATGTTTGACCGCGGGTTACGCCTTCCTGCCCGGCACCCGCGACATCGATGGCCGACCGGTCATCTTTGTGCCATTGCGAAACAACACTGTCCAGTTTAAGGTCGACAGTATCACTTCTGTCATTCATTTCCTCAGGCAATGTATTGGGTAAGGTTTGGAATTAATGCTTATTATCAAACGATATGACTGTGTAAATGAATGTTACAGTACCTAATGTATAATGAATGTTATTCAGAGAGGAATATCTACCAAAGAAGATCGTTTTTGTGGCCGATTTGAGGAATGGAGCACGGTCAGAGCACGTCAGAATGTTCCTTAAGGTTGTCGAGGTAGGTTTAAAAAGTTTGATTTTGTTCTAAAATAAAACAATCATTGATTCTCACTTTAACAACATAAAGGCTTTAATAACAAATTTACATAATTACAACATCTGAGTAACTTAAAAAAATATTATTTTACAGGAGAGTTTTGCCAATTTAACAGGACTAGTACTCATCTTGAGAGCTGACAAATTCTGGGATCGTCACAAAAGTGTGGTGGAGAAGGGGAGGTACACCTTCGGGATCCAAGTAATACCTATCGACAACCTAACTAAATATATTGATAAGAAAGAGTTGGTCAAAGAATACGGAGGCAATTTGGAATATAACCACGGTGAATGGATACGGACTCGACGGGTAAGAGTATATCCTATGAACAATATTTGCATTTAGAACTAAGCATTTACCTTATTAAGCTGATCATTCGTTAAACACTAATATTGTTTTAGGTGTTCGATAACATATTCGAGGAGATCAACCACATCCTCAGCCTCTTTAACCAACAATGCTCGGCCATTCGCAACTTTCCACTAACCAACATGAGGATCAGCGACGCCGACAACAAAATCGACTCTCTAGAACAATATATCGAGGAAACGGTGAATAAAGTTCAGAAGTGTGAGATGAGGGTCAATCAGGTAGGTCATGTTTGTAGTTGTAAATGATCTTTAGGTTGATAACACTCTTTGCAATAACCTGAATCCCGACTTCCGAAGTGCAATCAATCGGCTACACAAGGCGGTAGAAGACTTAAAACGGCAACGGAAGGAAGTCAACTCTCTGTTTAATGCCAAACGACAAGAAGCCGCGGTCATGGTCAACATCAGCAACATCGAGGAGGAGATCGAGAAGGTGAACGACTTCGTCCTCAAAGTCACCATCCACATCAAACCCATCTGGTGTGACATCGGGAAGGACGAGGAACACGCCAAGAAGCTACTGGTAGATCATCTGAATACCATGAAGGCTGTTGAGGTACATTTGTTTTTTCATATGGCATGTCAGCATTTCACTCATAAGAACTTTTTTTAAATTATTTTATATTACTTAAGTTGAGATGATTCGTTTTCAGAATGTGGAAGTGACCTACAACAGACTCGAGATCCAAAGTAACAAGAACTGGAGTAATCGAGCTCAAATGTCACCGATTCGAAGAGGTACCAACTCTAATGTCGCTGTCCAGTTCAAGAACCTGCAGAACGAGTGGAAGATGTTACAGTCGGTTCTGATTGATCGAGAGAAGATTCTGGTAGCTGCTGTCGAATTCCATTCCAAGTACAAGATGGTAGGTAAAATTCCCTATGACACGTTTTTAGTCCACCGATTAATGTATTTGTGATGTTGAGTGTACAGAAGACATTACAGCATATTAATTACGGTATGTGTTGTTTCAGTTTATGGTCAATTTCGAAGGATGGAATCAGAATGTTGGTGTAGATCCTGCTACAGTGCTAAACGCTCCAGTAAATATTCTCCAGAGTGCATTGGATGAACACAAAAGGTTCCAAGAAAAGTTCGAAACTGCTTATGTTGAGGTACTGTAACTCGTCTTTTATCATTTTTAAAATATTTTCATGCTCAATATAGGTTACTTACTTATAAATTTAGGCCTTTTCCTCCGCAAATGAACTCAAGAACCTACTGGACAGTAGAAGAAGGGATAGCAACAGTGTCATAGCTACCGAAAAGTACGTCAAAGCCTGCATAGCCAAGCTGATCAACAAGCAGAAGCAATTAGTTGCCACTTTTACCAGTCGATATGAAACCATTTCCTACAAATACAATGCCAAGATGTTCTTCAACGAATGCGACGAGGTGATCAACTGGCTGGACGAACACGGTGAACCCTTTCTACGTAGGAAGATTGGGATCGGAAGGTCTTTGGAGGAAGCCAAGAGATTCGAGAAGAATCACGATGACTTCAAGAAGATCAGTGAGAATACCTACTTGAGCACGAAGAAGCTGACCGAACGTTCTCAAGATCTGATCGAAAGAGGTAAGCATCAGTTCTGAATATTCTTATTTCTAGGCGAGATTGACCCTGAACGTGCACGGCAGAAGACGGAAGAACTGACAAGGAGGATGAAGTTATTCACAAAGAAGCTGGATTCTAGAACGAGCTTACTCTACGTTACATGCAACTTCTTCATGCACTACAAGGAGATCATGGACTACTACAAGATCTTGAAACAGAGAGGGCAGGTATACTACTTTGTCCACGAAAGCCCAAAAGTATGCGAAGAAAGCAAAAGTCGACTGGTCGACGAAATCAACAAGATCTCCGTGGCCTACAATCACATCATGTCAGAAGCTGTTCGGTTAAAGAAAAGTCTGGACGAACAACGAGAGATGTTCGAGGTTAACAACCAAGAAACGGTCGATTTTGTTACTGATATGATTGAGAGGATAGGTAAGTAAATCTACGACCTTTTATGGAGAAATGTCATGCTTAATTTGAATTACATTCCAATAATTTAGATGCGTGTAATAATGAGGAAAAGAACAAATGGCCCCATCATAGACTGGTCCTCACATTGGCTACGGAAACGTCCTACTTTCTGGCCGAATCGAAAGACGTCATTACCGATATTGTTGTAAGTTCAAAAATGAAAAATATTTAAATCATAGAGAACTATATTATAATAAAAAATATTTCAGGATTGGCATAAGGATCTGACTGATATTTCAAATCTGAACGAAACGATGCTGGAACACATAGCCAACTCACAGCGAGAGAACGTGAACGCAGTCAAGAGAGCCGTCACCAAACTTCTGTGCAAGAAGGCAGAGCTAGTAGCAGACATCAAGAATCACAAAGTCAATCTGATCCTCCCCAGCAAAGAGCCGGTAATCAACCAACTCGATAGAACGGCCAAAGATCTAGACGACGCCAGCAAAGAAGTTATGGAGATAGTCAACCAGCTGAGTAAATCGTGTGTTTTGAAGGCCAAGTTCCACAAGTTCAACACGGACAAGGACAACATCCTGAATATCCTGTGCAACTTCAGAAAAGAACTCATTAACCTCAAATGTAACCCAGAAAACAAACAGGAAACCGCTGCTTGCAAGTTGGCCCATGAACGATATAAGAAAAGGCTGGAGGAGATCAACGACTACTTCGTTACCTTCAATGAGAGCGCTAATTACTTGAAGCAATACATCGTAGACAGTGAGCAGAACATTATGTGGATCAAGGGGATAGACACCGTCACTTCAGAATTCGCCAGGATAAAACAGTTACTGGATAACAGAATCAGAATGATCAAAAGCGCCGATGATTATCATAATTGTTTCGCTAATGTAAGTGATCAGGACATGACTATTCTTATCACAATAGTTTAAAATAAGACATTAGTCTATTAACATGTTTTAGGCAACACCAAGCATTGATCTGTTCGAAAAACAATTGAGAGAAGTCCTTGATCCAGTCCAACGGAAACAAACTTGTCAGGCTGAACTCAGGATGAATCCCTCCCAACGGCGCGAGGCTTGTTTTGCCAACAAAAAAGCGTTGACATCCAAGAAAGAAAAGTTTATTAATGTAAGTTTACAGGAACAAAAAATGCCGAAACACTCAAACCTAAACAGAGGTTGTTCATGATAAACTTTACAACGTTTTCGTTACAGATTCCATATTTTTAGGCAACTAATTTGGCACGAAAGTGCGCCTCAGACCTACTGGCCAAGATCAACACGATAAAAGACACAGAATTCTATGGATATCAGGTTCCTCGCCACATCCTTGAACTAGAAGAACATGCCAAGAACAACAAGGAGTACATTTTCGAACGAGAGAAGAATCTACAAGTTCTATTCACGAGCTGTGCCGAACTTGAAACTGGGTGTTTAAATGCAGCAAACTTGAATTTGATAACAGCAGAGGTAAGGTTTTCGTAGTGAGACCTAGACTCGTATTTTAGCTCGACGAAAAATTGAGTGAATTGGAGAAGAAGATTTTGAACATCAAGGTCATTTCTGTCGATGAAAACAACATCAAGGAATATGGGCAGATACTGAGCAGCTGCAGGTTTGATCTCAAGGTATGTTGTTACCTGAATTTTTAAATTTAATTAATTTTTTACTTTTCTGATGTCATTTCAGTTTCTAAAAAATATTTTCGTAACAAAATTTGCATTTTCAGAAAATCCAAAAGTTGTTGAAAGAAGTGAACAAACATTCGGGACTGTTCTTCGAGCAGTTCAACAGCTCATTGCACATAAATGAGTTTAAAATGGCAATTCCAGCGATTAATGAAAGGTATTCGAGGGTTGAGAAGAGTACTCACGCCAAGGAAGTGGAAATGCGACGACTGTCTGGTGGTGATGTAGGTTTATCCTTTTTTTACATTTAATTTTGAATTATTTTGAGGTTTGTTACCTTTTTTAGACTTTTGCTAGGTTTTTCACATTTTTGATACCTAATTTTTACTTACAAACGCTGATTTTTGACATTTCAGAGTTATCAGCTACTTGTCGACCGAAATAGTGACGGATCTTTGGAGGAGAGGTTAACAGAGAGCTCTGAATGTTCGAGTACCTTCGGATCTGATGTCAACGACAAGTTGAGGTATGTTAATATATTTAAAACTTTATATTCTCGATTTAGAAAACCTTACAAAGAGCTGCTCGACTCGGAAGCCGATTACATATCAGATCTGGGCAAATGCATCAATTGTTACCTAAAATCCTACAGACTATCTGAATCTACCTCTCCAGTGTTGCGGCAGAAGACGTACGAGATCTTCGGTAATATTGAAGCCATCTACGAGTTTCATCAACAAGAATTCCTGGGAAAGCTAAAGGAATATGAAACACATCCAGACGATGTCGGATGTTGTTTTATTCATTACATGGACAACCTGAAGGAGCTGTACACCGAGTACTGCTTGAACAAGTACGAGAACGACAGTATTTTGGAGACAGAGGAGGCTAAAACAATGTTCCAGGTATGCGGTGTTATCTTTTCCGTAGATTTTTGTTATCATTGTATTAAATCGATATTATTTAATATTATAATATGGCTACAGAGCATTAGGGAGTGTTACAACCTTCCTTTGAGTTTGGATATATTGTCTATGTTGATCAAGCCAGTCCAACGGATAACGAGGTATAGATTGTTATTGGATCAAGTTATGAGACATTCCAAGCAGCATACGGGGGAGATGAAGGAGGCTCTAGATGTTGTAGTAAATATTCCTAGAGTTGCCAATGACAGAATGCATCTCAAAAACTTTGAGGATTATCAGGTATGATATTGCATATTTTGACGTAAAGCTATAAGGTCTTTCGTAGTCATTACTTAAATTAACATTAGTTTGCTGTATTTTAAATGAATGTTGGAAAATATAATAATGTTTCATTGCTTTCAGAACCATCAAATTGGCGAGTTTATCCTCCAAGACGCGTTTGTCGTTACTGAGCCTAAAAGGGTGTTCAAGAAGGAGAAGGAGCTACAGGTATTCTTGTTCGAATCTATCATTGTGTTTGCGAAGAAAGAAGAATTGCCCAATAGGAAGATACGATACCTCTACAAGTATAAGTATTTGGTAAGTCCTTGCATTTTAATAAGTTTTCCTTTTTTGTATACTTAAACGTCTGTTTAATGTTTTTTAATACTTAAACGTCTATTTAACGTTTTTTAATACCTAAGCATGTATGTAATGGGGAATTTTGATTGTTTTTAGACAACGGATATTAATGTAGTCGAACACGTTGGCAGTGATGGTGATCTTCGTTTTGGCCTCAGAAAAGGGAATCTACCCCAATCCGAAGCCATAATTCTGAAGACGAATACTCACGAAAACAGGAATCTGTGGGTCAGAACATTAAGGGCATTAACGTTGAACGCTGACCTCATATCCAACAACAATATTATGACAGGTAGGACATGTGTGATGGAAAATAGCTTTTGTGATGGAGATCATCTTGTATTGTTAGGTATAAATCAATTATTTTTTGTATCCTATTATTGTTCGTAAACCGTATTATACTTTAGACAACGAGTCCATCTTGAGCCGAGACCTTACCTCCAGCGTGGGTAGATTCAAACTGTCAGATGTAGACTCAAAGCGTAACTCCAATGGATCCATCACGTCGAGCGAGATGCCTGTTCTGATGCGGAAGTCACCGTCACTCGAGAGTCCCGAGGCTTCTGACGTCCAGAATTGCAATGACCCCAGAAGCACGGTGTATTCAACAGCCAGTAGCGACGGAGACCTGCCTCCGGCACTAGACCACGTGTCCATGGTTGTTCCAGCTAGCGAAATCCTCGGCTGATGCCCTCAGGACACGCACGATATTCAGGAGTTCCTGATGCCCTTAGGTGTTTTAAATGTTTGTTTTGAAACGTTATCTACCGTATACTAACCCATACGTTGTTCTTACTTGTACATTTGTTAACTAACCGTTGGCTACAGTATGTCATTCACAATAGTTTTGAATACAGTAATACATAATCTCTTGCTCTAGCAGCTATCTTGACGGGTCTCGTTGTGACTGGTGCCTATTCTAAGCCCTCTAGTCTTTTATTTGGTCTTGTTCTTGCCCTTAACCTCCACAAAAACGCTAATCTCAATAATGCTCATCTTTTCTTGTTGTACATATTACTCACGATGTAATTTTCTATTCGAATAAAGTTGATTAACCCGATCATCTCTTTGTTAACACAAGAGCTTATTACCTAAAATTAAGTTTTTACTTTCATTTTTTGTATTTATATGTAAAAAACAGTTATAATACTTTGTAAATTCAGTTAAGTTTTGGTCTAGAAGTTCGGAGAAAGTTGTGTTTTTCGATTTGAATTGGTTTTCGACCATTTTTGAATAATTTGGGGCACACCAACATGTACTACAAGATGTTCGAATTAGATTTTATTCCAATAATCTTAGTTTTATACGTACATACAATAAATGTAATGAGTAGAACAAAGGCAGACATATAAATAATCTGTATTCTGCACTCCTCGAGGACCAACAAGCTACATCACATGAGTAACATCTATGTACTACCATAAATGTATGATTTACTACAGTATAATGTCATGTAACAAATACTAATGTGTCTAAATTACATGTGAATACTATGTCGTCTATGACAATATGCTATAATGTCTATGACAATGTGCTACATTGTTTGTTGGTCCTTGGTTTCCTGTGTGAACAGTGTGTTTTGGCTAATTTAAATATACATATGTTGTGATATAGGAGACTAGAGTACATGAAACGTAACCGGACTGGCCTGGGCAATGAGACCTATGACAAAACAGTATCCCCAGGGTTAAAAGAAGAACTCGTCAAGCTCTTTGTTAAGATACGAAAAGGCATTCGGGTTAGAAAGTAATCCAAAGTGAAAAAACAACAAATAAAAGAAGTCGACCTAATAATTAAATCACACTAACATCGTCATAACAGCCGTGTACTCTAAGTTCAGATGAAAAGTGATAAAAATACTTTTTAAAATAATATTGGTCGAAAAATAGGTATAAAATATCGAGTTTTCTCTCTTTTTCGACCAATAGTGTCTACTACAACATAATATAGTACACGGCCGTCATGCTGACACAGAACACGCGGTAAGTGCGAAACAAATGTTACTTTGTCCTTGGAAACCTGACTTATTCCCAAAGCGAAGGCCTCAGGGTTTGTTCGCGTTATGCACACACACTGTTAACGTCTTCTCACTTGGACTTTCCGGATAACACGGACACTAAAAAGAGATATCATAGAACGAGGTATTCAAATAATTACACAGCGAGCGCATCTCAGCGACTCACCGAAGCTGAACAGTTTGCTCGACTTGGAGGTGTTCCCGCTCCCCGGCCGCAGCGGCGAGTTGGCATGGGAGTTGGAGCTAGTGCTGGCCACGGTCTGATGGCTGTTGTTGGCCTTCTTGTTGTCGGATCTGAAACAAAGTATAAGGACGAGAAATTAGAGAATTAAAAACATTCAGAAATCAACAAAATCAGGGTTTAGCAACTCAAAAAGAAGGCAAAAGTTCTCGGATAAGTGACAGCCGGTTGGAAAGAATTTATTAGTCATGTTATTAAGGTATTTCTAGTACAAGTCTCTTATACAGGTGGTTAATATAATGGTATGAAAGTTAAATCGTGAGTTAGTGGATAGTATTGTCAATGGTTTGTTAATAAAGGTATTACTGGTCAGTATCTGTGTTAACTAGTCGACGGTACTACTATCGTCAACGCGATAGTACTGTTAGTAAGAGGCCATTATATCACAAATGGTATAGGCCATTGTTATCACAGATAATACTGTTAGTACGGCGATTGTTATCACAGTTAGTAATGTCACAACCTACATGGAAGTGTTGGCCATGTTGTTGGCCAGCTGGTTCTGGTACTTTTTGGGGTCGACCAGCGCGGCCAAGAACGTTTTCTGTTGGTCCAATTGGGCCGAGATCTTCTGGAGCCAGTTCTCGCGGTCTTCAGCGTTCTCGGCTTCAGCGACAAACTTGATCTGTTGCATGGGATCGTTGCTGGATAGGCCAAAGCGAAGCGGTTCTTCAGGAATGTTATCTTGTAATACCATTTTGTTGACCTGAAAGTAGGATTATGTCGGTGACAATGTCATAGTAGAGATAATAGTATCATAAGTAGAGGATAAAGTATAACAGCCTTATGTAATATAAAGTCATCTTAGTGTATACTATACTTAACATATTAATAAGTCAACCAGTAGTTTGTACTATATCCTGACAAAGTCTGTATCAACAAAATTGTAACATTTCAAGATAGTAGCTGCACTTTTACTGTTACATGGCACTCCTTCATAAATATAATCCGAGTTTTTGTTTACATTAAGGCCAGGCTGTACTTCCAGACTCTTGGCCACACTTACCATAATTTGATTCTTGAAGATGTAGGTGGGATTACCATATTCCTTCTTGGGGGGTATCTCGTCGGCGATGATGGCCGACTGCTCAAAGAGGAATACTCGTCGCGGCTTTCCCTTGAAGGGCTGAGTGGCTCCGCCGTCTGAGATCGAGAGTTTACCCTAAAATACGATTGAATTTAAAAAATGCCATTAAAAAGCAGACTTTTCAATATTTTTATAGTAAAAAAATATAAAAATAGTTAAAAAATATTAAAATGGATCGTTTGTACTCATTTGCACGACATTACCCTTACCTGGAAGATGAGTCGTCCTTGTGCGCTGAGATTTCCTTCAAAGTTCTGTAACCTTCCCACTTGCATCATGTCATCACAAGCCTTTGGTACCACGTGCATCACGTCCAAAGCCCGTTTCAGCACGTCGGTACTCTCTCCTCCTTTCTCTGTGTACTTGAGGATGTCCTTCAACATCAACTGGTACTTCATGATTCTTTGGACTGGTTTGATTAGCAGATCGCATAGAGCCACGCGGTGGCCTAGCCTTTGTTTCGTTTCCGCGAAAAACTAAAATATGAATATTTAGTTCTTAAAGACGAGATTCATGTTGTACTTGAAATTTAAATTTAAGTTTTCCCGCCAAAATTTATTTCAAATTTAAAGATGTAAAATAATGTTGGTAAGTACCTCCGTTAAATAAACTTACTTGTTCGAATGATTCTTGAGATACTAGAAAGTCTGATTTTGGTTTATTCTGACAATATTTAACGTAGTAAGTGTGTAGTCGACGTTCCTGCAAGTTGTGTAGGTTAGTAGTTATATTAAACTATGACTAATGTCAGTTATACCTTAAGTATCCTTACAATTAGTACTGCTTGTAACTTTTACATCTTTTAATGTGACAGTATCTAAAAGCATGATAATACTGTGGTACTTACATGTTTGATAAAAGCCTGACCCGCAGCCTGATAGTCGTCCGTGCTCTTTTCGATGTCACGAAGGAAGATTCTAAAACACGGTAATCATGTAGCCGGAAGTCGCTTACGTTTTGTGAAACTCCAGAATCTGGCCAATGTTGGCGAATATGATTTTGTCCTTTCCCTTCAGGTCCTCAGGCAGTTCCATCGACTCGAGGTTCGCGATGTAGCCCTCGACCACAGAAGTGAGGTCCTTGACGTAATCTTGTTCTGTTTCCACTAATTCTTTGATCACGTAGCTAAAAAAGGGTTAAAGTAATATTCCAAAAAGGTATGCATGTTGTGATAAGTAAATTTGTTGCCATTTTGAAAAAACATTTTTTGAATCATCAAGATTTACATTCCTATTTCAAGAAATGTAATATCGTCGCCACCCTATGTTACACAACATTACTGCACCTTCTCTTAAACTTGGCCAACTCCTGAGGGTTGGTGGGGAGTTGAGTCGGCGGAACATTTTCTTGAATCTCTGGACTGGCCAACTCGCTGGTCTGTGCTCCCGGACTCTTGGGCTGCTCGGAGGAGGAGCTGGTGGACTCGGTATCCGCTACCGTGTCGCCGTTCGGCACTGACGGTTGTTGTAGTTGTTCGTCGGCCGGCTCAGTGGTCGTCGCCGTACCCGGTTCACCCATTCTGCAAGCACAACAATATAAAATAATATTCGCACAGCCAGCCAGGGGAAGTGTTTGAGAGGCCCTGAGGCACACCGAGACGTCTGCCGCCTTAGGCACAATAAAAGGCTCTTTAACTTTAAACACGGAAGCGACGGGTTTAAGTCCATAGCCGAAACAAAAAGTGAGAAAAGGCTGACAAAATTCAGAATTTAATCGAATCAGCGCTCCTCAACACTCCGTGGCTTCTAATTTCGTTTATGTCATCATATCTGTTACATTCGCGGACTTGTGTGACAAGTGATATTGTAAATAGCAGATGAATTGACAAAACAATGTTAATATAAGACAAGGTATGCACAACATAATCTAAAGAACGTTGTATCATCTGTAGATGACATTGTAATCCCAGTACGAAAGCTTTTGTAGCCTACGCATGCCGTTGTAAGTCATACAATTGTCATGGCAGGGATTAGTAGAATTTCAATTATTAAATCCACAAAGCATCAAAAAACACAGTGTAACATATAAGACGTTCTAGACACATAACAAGGCCGTTACATTAATACAAAGCACGTTAGATTTATAACATGACATATCAACACTTCAGTGGGATTATAGGTGCATACGTTAAGTATGGCTCAACGGAGCGTTAGAAGTAACAATAACAACACAAAGATGTCGCCGTAGAAGGCTCATCAATTAATCAAATGGAATCCAGAATAAAAAGTTACATCCAGAATGTCTCACTCGTCTATGTTAAGATACTTTAACTGAACATCGTTAACACAAACCTTAGCTATACTATGATAACAAGATTTGATATAACAGTGTTTAAACGTGTAAGGTAATGGAAAACAACAGCATACATTCAGAACGGAACATTATACATTCCTACGTAACATACCATCGCATATCCCCCAAACACGCCCCAGAGTATTTGAATATAAATTTTGTAGGGCAAAACAGAGTAAAAACGGAAATAAAATGTGAAAAGTGGAGGAATCTAAAGCATATTCCAATTCTTTGGCAGCGCCGATTATGGCGATTACCACGAACATACACAAATGCAAGATTACTGGGCCGCCAACATGACGTCTCGCTCTGATAAATGGACTTTTAATGCGTATTCAAATAGATAGCGGTCGGAATAGTACAACGTCAAGCTCCAGAAATTAACGTCTTCTGAAGCCGACAAAGTTCAAGAGTCGGGAGTTATAAATTAGACATTAACATCTTGGTAAAGCCCAGGTATATTAAAAATAAAATATATCTATTAAAAGCTGAGACATGACAGTAAAGTGTTATTACAGAACTTAAGATGACCATCCCTTCTCAATACTAAGTCAAGATTCACCCTCAAAGTCAAGACCAAACCCCTAAAGCAGTTTTATCACCCAAAGTCAGCCCTCCACTCATAAGTAGCGTCGTAAAAGTCAGAAGCCGGCTCTATTTACTGGAGCCGAGTTAACAATAATTCAAACCCCATTTCCTCTTCCAAACACCAAATTCGGTTGTTTTGCGACGTAACGTGGTTAGCGCTCGATTACTGAGTTACAAATCAAATAAGACCCAGAAGTTAGTGACGCAGTATTGGATCTCGGCCCAAGACAACAATAAAACAAGACGGAAGAGGCAGAGGTAAGGCAATCCCTCCTTCAGAAGCCTTCGAAAAGGTTTGACATGGAAACAGAGCGGGAAGGTCGCAAATCGGATAAAACACCTTCCCCATGTCGACTATGATTCCGCGACGCTGACGTCATCGCCGGATTCGGCTTAACGGAAGGTCACTTGACAGGATAGGTCTGAGGAGCAGCTCGAAAAGGGCCGGAGGAAGAACTGTCGCTCGGTTCTTGGCCATGGCCTAAGGCCAAACGAGTGACAACTGGGTGCAGAGTCTCGCAAAAAACGAAAGAAGAAAGGAGAAAAGTGAGTAGCGAGAGTGAGGAACAAGAGGAGGAGAAGAGCATCCCCCTCCTCGACACACCAGCCCAAGCAGGTTGGGTTCGTTTTTTGAGGGAACGGACGCTCGGCTGGCCGAAAGCCCCTAAAAAACACTTTAAGGGCCGTGATGATGATGATGAAGTTGTGGACCGGCTAAGAGATTCCCTTCTCGTATTATCTGGCCGCTGGAAACAAATCTCATTTCCTCCGTCTCTCCGCCCGACCCGCTCTCTCCCCCCAATTACAAGGTTCGTGATCAGGAGAAAATGGAAATGCTCCTACCTTCAACCTTCTATCGCGCTTCCTTCCCAAACAACAAACAGGGTCGCTGACTCGGTGATATTATTAACATAAACCAATTACATCAAGCCTCGATTCACGGTCCAAACACAAAGTTTATTAATGAATCACGGGGCGGCTAGGCTTAATTTATTCCATTACTAACAGCCCAATTCCTGATTCAATAAAAAAAAAGAATTGCGAAGCTAGAAAAAGCAGGTATAGAGATTCTGAAGCCTAGAAAACAGCAAATATTACCTAATTAGAAAAATAATCTTACAAGGAAAGAGCCCGACCTGCCCCGCTCTGATTGACTTCAAACTTTTTATATAGAGAGATCATGTAAATATAAGATTCCAGCAAAGTACTAAATCGCGCTTTTCAGGAAATCCCGAGAAAATAGAGATTAAAAAATCACATTTTGAATTTCCCGCCAACTTGGCATTGTGTTTCAAACCCAAATAATTTAAATTTAGAACTCAAAAGCGCGAGATAAAATTTTTTATGGGTACTATTGGTGGTACAAAGAATTCATATAAAAATTTTGAGCTGATTCTGAGCGGGGCAGGTCCTCCCTTTCCTTGTTAATTTAATAATCGCTTAAACATAATATTACCGAGCGTTTGAATCTATTCGAGGTTTAACATCCTCTGAACCTAAACTATTACCTAAATTTCGATTTTATTCACAGTTAACAATCATTTGAACCTAAAATATTACCTAAATTCTCAGATACAAGGTATTTCAACAAACTTTATGACCTAGATCTTATATACCACAAAAATAACTTTACCATCTTGCACTATATCCGTCTTTAAACCAAAAAACCACAATTGAAAAGCGAAAGTAAGTAAAATATTGTTTTGAATTCCAAATAGTTTTTATTTCGATGTTTACTCGCCTTTCGCCAATATTAACAAAGCTATTGTCGCATAAACAGCTTCGAATTTCAGTATTTAGATCTTGCATGGATAATAATTTTGTTATGAAATGAAACAATCCCATTTCTTCAAACCAAAAATTATTTTTTTTAAAAAGATTTCATAATTTGAAATGTGACACTTCGCAACAACTCAAAAATCAGTTGTTGAAACCCGCCGTTTGTTGTTCTCATTATTTTTATTGAAATTTTTGGCAGAATATTGGTAATTGAAGTCCAATTATATGTGGTATAATTAGAGATCTGCTTGAATATGATGTTGTGTTACAGTGCAAGAAAAGGTATGTCATTTTACATCGTTGTGAGGTTACTACAATATGTTATATATTTTAAAAAATTTCAATGTTTTTTATGTTATTGGAAAGCTCTGCGGTTAAAATCGGTCATTCTTTTTGGTACAACCTAATACTATACAAGTTAATGGGTCTTTCAAGGTATCTTTTAGAGCTCAAAAATGTTTGAGAAAGACGTTGCTATATATTGTTTGTTTTTAAAGTATACCTATTTTTTTAAATTTATATGTTTTGTTAAATTTTTGACCTAGTATAATATAAGATTAGGAAATTGAAATATTCGTTTAAACATGAAGCAATAGAACATTAGTTATTGTCTAGGAAAATTGTTTTTTAAGAGGCGGCTAAGTTGTTATCAACTTCAAAATTTATCTTTAAGTTTTACAAATACTGTCGCTTTACTTATGGTAACATCTATAACTTGTGATACTTATACTGTTAACATCTATTACTTCAGTTTAACAACTTGAACTCAAAAATGGCGATCTTTATTTATTATTTAAAGTAAGGGGAATCGATTTATTACGGTATGTTGTAAGTATTAAAAACAGGGAATTGGAAATGGACTTAGAAGTATGGCACGTTGTAAATTAAGTCCTTGCGCACGCTTTGGGGGTGTGGTTTCCCTTGAGCTTCACACTGAAACGGTAGCGGTTACTGTATGTATTAGACGTGATTGTTAGTATTTTGTGTTATTTGTGTTGGCTAAAGTAAAAGTGACAATACTGTGACCTAACTGGAATATTACTGTAATCTTCTACATTGCAGTAGTTACAGTATTCATGTAATCTACAGTGAATTTTACTGTGATCAAAGTGACAGTAGTATTACTGTGAAATTGTGTAAAATGTTAAGTAACAGTAGCGTTACTGTGAACTAAAGAAGGATTACGAACTAAAACAATATAAAAATGAAACTAACGATGTTTTGTTGTGATTGTTCCATCAGCATTTATTTGCTGAATGGGTTGGTTTTACCGGCTTTCTCTAACTGAAATGCGATAGAAAGTATACTGGCTACTGAACTACGAACTTACAACACGGCCGAGGGAAAGGAGGGTGACACAGACGGAGAAAAGATCGCGAGCTTCGAAGAGGTCGACCGACTGGAAGGTTTCTTCGGTGGGGACTCCTTGCTTCTTGGCGAAGTCCACGAAGGCGTTGATGTTTTCCATGCAGGCGAAGTTGGAGATGGGCTTTTGGATCTTCTTGATGCTACCGGGGACGATTCCGTTGGCGGCTCTAGAAGTTTAAATAATATTTTTTTTATAAAGTTCAGTTGCATTTCAGAGTGAGCATGTGGATTTTAAAATACACATTTTAAAATGCAACTGATACTGCTACTGGATTGCCAAAAGCATAAGAAAAGGCATGTTGTGTCTTCCTGCTGTTATGTTACACTTACTTGCAAAGAAGGGTACCATCTTTCAACAAGCGAAGGAAGTTGTCACGGTCTCCAGCAGTGCTCACGTTTTCTCCACTGAGTTGCTTGATCCATTTAAGAAGGAGCTCGGCTTCGTCCTCGTTGTATTTTGAGGCTTGCTGAAATTATTTGAATACAATTTATATCTTGAACTAGTATACTCATTGTACAGAAAATTCTTAAAACAGTTATTATCATACTGTAATATTTTTTAGTTTGGTTTTGTAGGTGGTAGTAAATATAAAGAGTCTTAATACTGTTACAAATTACTTTGGAGAGTCTTACTGTAACTAAGGCAAAAGAACCTTGCTACAACTAAGACTACTCAAACTTACCTTGCTCATGACGGCGAAGCCGATACCTCCAGCGGTTGTACGAGAAGCCATGGTCTGTGTGTGTGAAGTGAGTGGACTAGACTGACGAGTAAGATCGGTCTGTGCCGATTCGGTCGATCTGTGGGGCTTTTGTTGGGAGGACGAACTTTCGGGAATCGCACCGCCCACCGGCAGAGTGCCACGTATTTGTTTCCAACCGCCCACGCCGTTAAACAGCCGGAGGGCCGAGGAGTGTGATGGCCAACGTTCGATCGAGCGAGCCGAACTTTCTTTGTCCTCAAAATGTGCTCAAACAACAAAAAATGCATGCGTGCCACCGAGCTGAATCACACTTCCTTAATGCACAAGATCTGGCCAGATACTTCTGGAATCACACACTTATTTCGAGATATTATTTTGGTTTAGGGTTGAGTCATGTTGTGGATGAGGAAAAGGTTACTCGAGTCTTGGAGGATTGAGAAAGTTGTTGAGAGGATATTGGTTTTGTCATAGGAATTTTGTTTATCTTATAGTTGTTCCACTTCACTTGTAAAAAGCCATTTTTCGGGTTTGCTTTTGTTAGTATATTGTAAGTAATCTTATGGCAATATGTCAATCGTAGTATAAAAGACTCAGCGCTTGTGAGAAAGTCTAAAATTGTCTTTTGTACCAAAAACAGCGTTTTATTGCTAAGAAGTTGTTTAATCCAGCCAAAAACTGGGTATTAATTGCACATGTTGGTAACACGGAAAGCAACACATGGGTCTGGTCTTCAAGTTGATGGATCACTACTTTAAACGTTTCGTTATGTTGCTAATTGTAAGCTATTCTTTGGTCTGTGAAGTTGGCAAATAGGTTTTACCGTGCTTTCTCTTTTCTTTGTATATTTGGATAAACTTTATATGGCTACTATGCTGGTGTTTCTTTTTGTAGAACGTCATTAACCATACATTGCTTTTAAAGCACACGTTTACTCAAGCAGTATGTTGCACTAATAACATCCCCGAGCTACATAATGTTTGTATCGGTCGTACTTGTTGTGTTTGACGAATGTGTCATAACGATGTTGTTTCTGGAGATGTCAGCTGTTGAGTCTTTAAAGATAAAAACTGATTAATCTATCTTCAAAGTCAATTAATTTTTATTTTTTGAGATCAAACACAATCAGCAGAGATTATGATAATATTAATGTCATGTTAGACGGTGGGGAACTCTCGCATCACTTGTCGTATGATCACTTCGATCCCTTGCCAGGTCTCTTTGGCCGTAGGTACCAGCCAGTGGGGCTTCATTTGGAAGGCGAACCAGGCTGAAATTTTAAATTAGATATCAACTATGAAAGTGTGAATGATAATTTGATGTTATTGTGCATTTAGCACAGGGAATGGTCAAATGTAAACGTACTGTTTAGTTCAGGCGGCAGTTCTAGCACATACACATATTTTATGAGTGTGTTCATCTTGATCCAGTCAATCGCTCCTCCAGTAGCAGGTCCTGAATGTGATGTTATCTTAGAGATCTTGATCATTTTTATCAAACACAAATAATAACAACTTTTTGTACACAGAATGTCTTAAAAGTAGATGTTACCTAACATGTCAGCGGCCGTGCCAACTCTGTATTCAGTATCTCTGTAGCTGGCAATAGCTGCTGCTGCTCTTCGTGCCACGCCTTCTAGGTCTGCGTAGTCTTCTGGATAGGTTTTCCTGTTGAAGTTGTACGGTATGATGAACAGCTGGCCGTGAGTATGTAGACTTACCATAGCCTTTACTTTACCGTTTATTTCTGGACTCAGTACAAAGTCTCTCATTGCTCTGAAAGTTCGTTGAGATCAAGGAGAAATGGTACTGTAAGGAGATTACTCTTTTGAGGATAAATATTTTTAATAAGACACCCGTTAGTGTTAACACCTTATCATTTTACTCACATAGTTTCTGGCTCACTGAACGGATGTGGACCTTGGAATTCATCGGAACATGGGTTGTTGAAGGGATAGTTATTCTGTCTGAATCCGACGTCCCAGTTACGGTTGAGGTCTACACCGTTACAGCAAGTTGGGTCTCTTTTGAAGCTGACGAAACCAGTACAATTGTCTGGTGCCATGTTCTTTCTCCATTGTCGTACCTAAAATTATATAAGTTTTGAGTGGTAATTTTAAAGTTATGATCATTTTAACAGAGTAACATTTAGTGCCAACTCATTTGAATTTGCATGGTTTGGTTAAAGTTAACATTATTAAATTACCGCGTCTTTTGTAGATGTTCGTGAGAAGATGAAGCCATCTGGGTTGAGAACAGGGAATACGTATATGTTCAGTTTCTCTATGTACTCGGTAAACTTTGGTATCTTACCATAACCGGTAAGAAGCTGAAATTATTGTTTTGCATTTTAGTTTAACAGTTGTTGATTTAACTTTAATGGTAACATATTGTTGACTTTATAATTATCTTTGTAATCCACAGCATCTTATTTCTTACTCTGTCAATAAAGAAAATACAAACGTGGAACGCTGGCCACTCTCTGGCGTGATTTCCTCCATCAATCCAAACAGCTGGCTTCGAAACATTGGAGGGCTTTCCAATCTAAAGTAATATACTTTTTAATCACTTCCAAAGTGATAGTTAGGATTGTCCATAAAACAATCGTTTGGGTTTTGTAGGTGTTTGTCAATATATACTTCAAGTTTGCACTTACTTTAAGACCCAACAGTTTACGCCCTTCTCGACTAGTACCTATCACTTTCAAAGTGGATATGTGGGGATATCGCCTCGCTACTGAGGTTATGTACCATTCAAAGTCTGGGTAGTCATGATAACTGCAAGAAAGTAACTTTTGAACGCATTACACACCAATATGTAACAAAATAATTAAAAGAAGTTCGAACACTGACTCCAAAAAAATTTTTTAATAATTTAGTATGTTTACAAGCTTCAAAATCGTCAAATTTGATTACCTTTTGAAGTCGAATCCCTCGACGGCTTCGCTTTCGGTAGCGCCCACGGTTGTTAGAGCCAAGACGACCGTGGCGGTGACTAAAACGAGACTGAGACCTATATAATTGATGTCAAACTCACTCGAACATGGATTCTGTCGCTTCCCGAAACTCGTTTGCGCGAGATTCTGTTGGCGATGGATGAATCTACAACAATGTCGAGACTCCCGAGAAGAGTGACACAACCGTTTGACTCGCTTAAATGTCACTGCAGACCCCGCCCTCAACTTTAATATTTATTATGTGTAAATCGAAATTAAATAATACAAAAGCACCGGTTTTTGCGTTAAAACTTTGGTTTCCTGAGGGCCGAACACGAGTCAGGAGAAGGCCTCGTCAGTGTAATGAGGTCGAGACAATGGTCGAGAGTGTCGTCGCATGTTGTTGTTGTCCATGAACAGTTTGTGGCGCGTACTCGACTTAAAACAGTAGTTGTTGTAATGTTAAGTACCGTAATAAAGGGAAAAGATATCAAAGGGGGTTTTTGATTACAGTATTCAACTACGATTTGAATTTTAATCAAAATATTATACTCAAGGCGCGAGTGATAAAAAATATTCAAATTCTAAAGAACTTACGATTTCTTTCGTCCCGCCCACCGACAAGAACACGCCTCGAGGCATCACGGGCGGCGGCAGGGTTGCCGAGGTGGTGGACATTACCGTAACGCGCTGAAACAGTTACAGTCAGTTTAAAGTGGTATTACCTTTTCGGAGGATCTCAATTTGCCCTGCTTTTTGCGCGTTTCTTGATGTCGATATTGTTGTGACCGCTGCAATATTACAAGATATATTATAGTACATCGAGAAAGGTTGTACGGAGCAATTACTCACCAAAGACGAGTGCCGAACTTCTTTCATTACCTCCTCCACACAGTTCTCGAACGATGCGTAATCCACGGGACTGTCGTTTTCCTCAGTAAAATACGACGGCTGCGTTACGGCGCTTTCATTGTTGAACACACAATTACTTTCCTTTTCCTACAACATGGTTACATTTAAAACATCATTTGGGTTACGCAACTTATAATTGGTATGTAAGAGCATTTAAAAGTAAATTAAATGTTTTAAAAGGGCATCTTGAAGAGATCAAACAAACAACATATTATAGTAACAGCCGACCTCATAGAAGAACATTACGGATTTGCATCCACCGTTCTTTTGGAAATCGACAAAACACATCTCCAAACAGTCCATCAGATTCCCGGCCTTCACCGTGACAGATGTGAAGCCAAGTAGAACTCTTTGTGGCTGCCGTACGATGGGATATCCTTTACATAACTCTACCATGCTCCCTTGAATAATATTACTTTAACTTTTGAAACTTTAGGCTTTAAAAAATCTCTATTAGGCACAATAAAATCAAAAATCATAGTACATACACATTAGTAAATACAACAGAACAGAGCAATATGCATCTCAAATACAGTACACTAGGATACACAGTAACTTACTAGACACGCAAGTCTTCTCATAGTGGGTATAAGAATCCGCTGGGATCAGATTCTGATGTGCTTTGGGATTGGACTTGTATATCAGACAGCCGGCTTCATTCGAGTACGATGCTGCAGAACACTTGTATGGTATATGCCCTCGGGCAAGGTTAACTAAACAAGAGAATACACACTCGGTCTCTGAAGAATTCTGAGGTAACGGTATCACCCCAACTGCACGGATTCTGAAGCCGACTGACTTCATCAGAAGCACGTCTTGGTTCGTGGAGCAGTAGTCTAAAACAATTTCAGTTTATGGTCATTTATAGATAAAGTTTTGGTGATATTGACGATGACAGTTTCAAGATTTATAACGGTTATGAGGTAGCTTCTCTAGACATATATGGCTAAAAGTTATACTTACCCTTAGGAGCTATCATGACTGGATTACTGGTAGCTTTGGTAACTTGTCGCCGTCGTTCTTCTTCTCCAGATGCATCGCTACAGAAAATATTGTAAAATACGATGGTAACTTACTTTGAATCCACTAAAACTGCAGGCAAAGGAGCTTTTGTGTAAAATAAGGTATTCAGTCCATCTGAAAATTAAATTTTTAAAGACTGTGGGATACGGTATTTTTTGCTAAAATCTACCATCTAAGGTATGTTAAAAATAAGTATACTGTAAACAGTACGATTTAAAGCACCGAGTTTTACCTCTCCAACAATCCAATGCTACTGAGTTGAGGGCTTCGTAGTAAGTAGTACCAATGTAATTCACGGTCCTAATAGGACCAGTGCCATTTCTTTTGTCAAAAATGTCACAAATTGACATCACTTTTGAATAAGCAACTGATTGACAATAAGGATGACTAAAATTTTTGTAAAATAATTAACAAACCACTTAATATAATAAAATTCAATATATTATATTAATATACCGTTATATAACTGTCTTTATCAGTTATATTACAGTAGAACTCACTGTCCACAGAAGTTGATGCACTGGTCTTCTTTGTAGTTGATCCTCCTCTCCAATGGCACCGCGTCCATCAGCAGGCAGTTCTTCACCCTCCTGAAGCACTTCTTGACGTAATCTCGATGTGAATCTCGGATGTCTTGGAAGTCGTCCACTTGATCGTCGATCTTGCACAACTCTTGTTTCGTGTCATCGTGCAGTACTTCTACTTCAATATTGTCTGTTTTAGTTGTGATTGGCACAAGCTTCACTGCTCCTAGTCTTTTCGGAGGTCCCAGTCCAATTGGTACCCAATTGAGAGGTCCCAAAGACTTCCAGGCCTTGACCTTCTGGTCCTTTTGTTTTGGGACGTGGAAGAAGGGCTGGGGAGTCAGGCCAAGTCTCTTGTGGAGGTAGTTCTTGGGCATGCCTACCATTACAGGCATGGTCTTTACTGCGCGAGACATGCTCAGTTTGATGGGTTTCGGAATTCTGAACACGACGGCGCCATTATAGGCTGGAGTCGTTTGAAGGAATTGGGGGTCATCTTAAATATTACATCATAAAATTATGTCACAGTTCAGTAAGTTGATAGAAAAATCGTAAAAACTGTATTTTAACGACTTGCTATTACCATAATGATATGTTCAATTTGTTAAATTTAGCATGTTAATATTATACTTAACTATTACTATGTTATGTTACATCAACCTAATAGACAGAGTATCCTGTACCTTACCGTGGTGTTTCTTCGGCTTCTCGGTAACCCTATTCAGCTTCAAAGGTGGGTATTGGTGATTCAGAAGCTTCATCTGACTTCTGTCTTGCACGGAAGAGAAGTACGATGAAGACTTGTTTGGATCGTACACCTTAGTAGGTATCGTCCGTCCTCTTCCAAAGACTCCAACCCTATGGTCAAGGTGTTTAGTAAAAGGCTCCAGAGTCTGAGGTCGTGTAGTTGGATTCGAGGTTCGTGGTCGTAGGTCGGGGCTGTAGCCTCGGAAGTCTGACGTCGCGTGTTTTGGAATTAATACCTAAAATAAAAATTAATATAATATTATTGGACACACTTCATTCTATGTAATCATTCCATCTACTTTTTGACCAAGAAACTTTAAACAAAATCTTACTTCAGTATAATAAGGAGTAGTAGAAGTTGGTGGAGGTACTGTAACAGAAACATGATGAGGACCGAACGAAGGTGGAGCCGAGACGAATCCAATCCCTGGAGGGCCAGAAGATTCGTGAATCTGAGTTCCAGGAGGTCGTGACGGCCCAGAATCACCGAACGGCAAGTTGTAGGCTTTGGTCGATAATCTTTCAAAACTGTCAGTTCTACCGTAGTCCTCCGTTGTTACAGTAGGCTCCTGGATGAATGATGGAAATGAAGTTGGAGTGAAGTAGTTCGGATTCTGAGTGATCTTCTTGTTTCCTGACGGAGTTAAGTTATTATCAGAAGGAGCAAAGTCTGCTTTTTGTGAAAAAGACCCTTGGTTACGTACAGAAGGGTTTTGATGTGACGGATTCTGAAGATTCTGAAGTGAGGGTCTTTGAAGTAAAGAACTTTGAGGAGCCGGCTTCTGAGTATATTCTGTTGGACTGAGAAACTGATCATTCCTTGATCCATCGTTAAACAGATCGTCGTCTATCGTGAACGTTGGTGTAGCTTGAGGGACAGAAAAGTTTGGCCTAAAGTTATTTCTGTCTTGTGGCGGTGGTGTAGGACGATCGATGTAGCCAGGCTTTTCTGTGTAGCTAATTCTTTCATTGTAGCCCGGTCGTTCTGAAACCCCAGCTCTTTCTCCGTAGCTAGGCTTCATAATCAATGTTGGTGGAGCTACAGGAGGAATGGGCCTTGTAGGCTCTGTGGGTAACTGGGGCAAGATCAATCGTGGCCCAATGGTGTAGACTTTTGGAAGATCGACGTCAGAAGGCATCTCCTGAGGGATCAAAACATTGTCCGTGATTTCGTTCTTGTACTTCGGAGTTCTGATGGAAACTGGCATGAAGGTGGGGTTGGCTACGGAGGGAGGCTGGCCTTCTGCAATATCGTGCACGTTGATGTCGCCCCTCTGCATTTCCCAGGGATACATCTTCATCGTGGGCACTTCTGTAGCCTGACTGACCGACCAGTCGGTAGTTGTGACAACATCGTCCAGAGTACTCGTCAGAGCGTTCTCCAAGGCATTTGTCACTTCGAAGGGTTCTTCTGTCACGTCGTTGTCAGAAGCGATGACTTCGTCGAACTTGGAAGACAACATCATCTTCACGGCCCAATCTGGAGGTGGTGGGGGTGGCGGGGTGTTCTCATCGACCTCATCGTACGATCTGTTCTCAAGTGGGTATCGTGCTGTGTCTCTGTGAATCCTCTCGGTCGTCTGAAGACTCTCCTGCACAAAGAATGGTTCTCGAGTTGTTGTCCGTGGAATGTAGCCAGAGATGTCATCTGAAGCCGATAACGAGAGAGTTCGATTTCTGAAGGATATCGTCTTGTTCTCGGGTTGGTCAGTTTCTGTCAATGGAGTGGGGTCGTCGTTGAAGGCAAAAGTTGGCAGGGATGGGTAGGTATCCTGAAGTTATTTTAAGTCTCATTTGGTAAAAAAATATAAATATTGTAAAAGAAAAACTACTGTAAATTTTTAAAATTAAGTAGATCATCTTTTGAATCTGAACATACATCATTCCTTGTTTTAAAGTTAACAGCTTGATGAAATATGGTCTCGTTCAGCTTCTGATAAGCCCAATCAAAGTTGTCTGGAGGTACTGTAATCTCTGTATTCATCTTTCTGGTCGGAGCCATACGGTAATTACTCTTGTGTTTTTCTCTGAAAATGAAAACTTTTTATTAGTTTGTATTATGGTGAATGAAGTAACTCACTGATTTTATTACCTTAAATAAATTTTAACCTAAAATGAGCCGCGAAGTGTGATTTAAAAGATGATATTATCATAAAATCCTGCTTTACAAAATGGTTTTTGAGTGACCGCAAAGGCTTACCGAGTTGTGTCTCCAGGGTCAAATTTTTGTGCGATAAAAACATCTGAAAGTACAGTAAGATTAATAAAAACACCAGATACTACAGTAAGATAAATAATCTGAGAGTACAGTAAAAATGACCATAACCAAAGTATGACCTACTCATAGCGTCGAGGTCGGTGATGTCCTCCAAGGCCAACAGAATGGAGGGGATCCAGAGAAGGGAGGCCACAGACACCCCAACTTTCATGACCTCATTCGCCAACGTTCAATGGAAGAGAAGAATGAATTCTGAAACCCTTTTCTCCTCCGGATTCCGAATTCAATGAAACTTATTCTCGATTATTTAATATTAAGTACAAAAATCGCGGTGAAAATAAGAGGCTCTTAATGAGGATGCCCCCGTTATGTCAATGAAAGTAACACTTGGAGTGGCAAGATTCACTCTCGACTCCCTCACTTTTACAGTTTCGTGTTGCGATCTGCGGTGGCGACATAAAAATGTTGTTTGTGATGACATAAACATGTTGTTACTATACTTTAGATGTTAACTACATACATAGAATTAGAGACCAGAGATAAATGAATGAAATATGTAACTAAACTTCACATATTATCATAGATAATATTCAGCCGAACAAAAATGTGAAAAAACATTGAAGCTCTCTCAACAAAAACAGTATCACTAGACTTGTCTAAATAATTTTGTAAATAAGTCAAATATAATTATTAAGAAAAATTATAATATCCTTCAACAGTTCTTTACCTCAATGATAATATTACCCACAAATATAAGTCCCCTCCAAATTTATTTTTATCACAGTCGCAGGTAAAATGACTATAAACAATCCTTTTAAGCCAACATCTACCTACCACAACATGCCAACATAAATGCAACAAAGTAAAATAACCCGAACCGTTCCAATCTAACATCAATAAATTAATAACAAAAGTTGAGAAACTAATCAAATCCATCTCCCAGATTACATTAAACGGCGATACAATATTATTGTTACTCGAAACTGGATCTCCAACATTATTGTAGCTTCGGATGCCGGAAGAGTTGTCCATTGAAGAAAGAATAACTTTGTCGTGGTACTTGAACAGTTGTTATTAAAGTAAACTTTGTCTTAATTACCTCGCAATGACCGGAACGAGCACCGTAACCTCGATGTCTAGAGTTATATTGTTGTAAACTTTGAAGAAGGTTTGAAACTTACTGCTTTATATTCCATTCATGTTGAAAATTGACGGTAAAGTTAAAAATATTATAAGATTTTACACTGATTGGAGAGAAAATTGTTTGAGTCATGTCTTTCTTTTGTCAATTGACAAGTTTTCTTCTTCATCAACGCCAGACATTTCATGGACCAATCAGAAAATATAAGAAAATTTAATTGTAGCCGAATTGCAAGTCTTTAAATATGTAAAAATTTTAAGTTGCATTAAATTGAGCTAGCGGCGAAATTTTAGGTAATAACTAACAATTTTTCCAATCTTACACCGACCGAACAGGAGGACGATGATACAAAGGAGTCCAAGAAAGTTAACCAGGTGCTATATACGGGCAATGTTCGCAACAACAAGCTTCGTCTGACAGTACTATAGAAGCTTAAGATTCTTTTTTTGGGTTAGAAGAATTGGAACTCTAAGGATATTCCGTATTTTATGTATTTTCACACAAGCTTCATCTACAATACTTTAAATTACATTATCTTTCATTCATCAGTTGTTAAAACTAAATGTATTGATGATTATCCGATAGTTTTTGTCACGTTTTAAAATTTTTACCGCAAACTTTGTACCAATATTTATATTTCTGTTTTAAAGCTTTTATGTTATTGCTCTTGGGAATAACAATGGCATTCTGTCTCCAATGCTGATTCCACGCGCAAAGTATGTTCAAATGATGGTTATTACATTCTGCACGACTTTTTTCGTTTGAGAAATAATTAATAAAAATTAAAATAACATTGCATTAGCAGTAAATTAAACCTAAAACATGTCATAAGTTTTGATTTTTTGAAATGCAACATTCCTCAATACCTTGATTTCTACATTTTCTATTAACTTTTTGACCACCTAAACTTGAGTGAATTTGGCAGACTATAATGAATACAAAAACTCAGAACAAGCGATTCGATTGTACTTAGGGCGATGATGAATGTAGCAGCTGTCATGCGCGGACCTTCTGTAGGTGGTGGTCAGCCGCATCTCGGGGGTGGGGCGGTGTGCCGGTCAGAAATGGCAGCTGCGCGGCCCGATCTATCCGGGATGTGTCCATGCACATTCTCGACCCCTGGCTTTGCTTAATAACGAGAGCGAGGGGCCGCGTCTTGAAGCCAAACGCCCCAAAAAGGCCTGCCAAAAGCCCTTGTGTCGTCTCGCTGCATGTGCCCGGAGGCACCGAGAAGCTCACTCCGAGTGTCAGTTAGCAGTGGGGATTCGTCGTGTTTTGTGTTTGACTTGTCCACCTTGACCTCATCCATGTGATCGCGACTATGGGCCTGCAAATGGAAGAGTCCCAGAGTTCTAACGCCGAGGCCGAGACGGCCCGGCCCTCGAGCACTGATAGTAATGGGTTTCCGGTCAAGGATTCCGACGCCATTAAACTTTTCGTCGGCCAAGTAAGTGGAATTGAGTTGTAAAGGGAATGGTTAATTTGCATAATTAAGCTCAAACTTGTTACGTAATGCGATTAGGCAACGTCATGGACGTCTTCCTTTCATAAATAGGCTTCTGTATTTCGAAAAGGAGTTCGCTTCGAGCATTTCAAGTAAAAGTTATGTGTTTTGCAGACTGGAATGCTATGAATGATGTCAAAGTGTTATGAATGCTGTGCTATGAATCCTGTAGAAAGCTTTCGGAAAATACGCATGAATAAAAATGTTATTGCTAGAGTAAAGTAATCAATAACAAAAATAATAATTGCTCGAGGCCGTTATTGAAGCCGCAAACACACCTAACGCCCCTGTTTTCAGATTCCGCGCAATTTGGAAGAGAAGGACCTCAGGCACATGTTCGAATCGTTCGGCAAGATATACGAATTCACCATCCTCAAGGACAAATATACGGGTATGCACAAGGGGTGCGCCTTCTTGACCTACTGTCACCGTGACAGCTCCATCCGATGCCAAGCAGCGCTACACGACCAGAAGACGCTTCCGGGAGTAAGTCTAAATAAATAAAGTAGCGCTTAGTCACTTCTGAGGCAGAAAAGTAGGTACATAAATGAAAAAAGTATTCGAAGTACATCAAATTTAAAGTAAGAAACGCCCTGAGGCACCGAATTTGGTGCAATTTGGGTAAGAGGAGGGGAAACGAAGGCCGACGCCGGAGACAAACAATTCCGAGCGAAGTGTGGCCCCAATTCCAAGGTTCGCTACCTCCACAAAGTTTACTTTCTTTTCTTCAGATGAACCGTGCCATGCAGGTCAAACCCGCCGATTCCGACTCCAGGCCCAGCTCTCCCAAGGCCAACGACGATCGCAAGCTGTTCATCGGGATGTTGTCGAAACAACAAGGTGAAGAAGAGGTAAAAGCCTTGCTGTCAGCCTTCGGAAAGATCGAAGAAGTTACAGTGCTAAGGGCGGCAGATGGCGTATCAAAAGTGAGTTGAATCTTTTGGTTATGTCAACTCTTCTTTACATCGTAAAACATTTATACCTAATCATTTTCTTTCGCACCAATGTTAAAACTATAATAATTTGGATCCAAAATGCAAATCATGCTTCTTATTAATACCCATTTATAAAAAACGGACTACATTAGTACCGTAGCCGTCTTCTTGTAATCGAAAGCACATTATCCATGTTTATGAACACTTCTCTCCAGGGATGTGCATTTGCCAAGTTCGCAAACGCCAGCGATGCCCAGAGGGCTATTTCCGCCCTTCATGGAAGTCAGACGATGCGAGGTGCTTCAAGCAGTTTGGTGGTCAAGTTGGCGGACACAGAGAAAGAGAGACAGCTGAGGAGGATGCAGCAGATGGCCTCCCAGATCGGGATTCTGAATCCACTATTGGCGGCACAGTCCGGCATCTACACCGCCGCCCCAGCCAACCCTCTCAATCAGATTAATGTAAGCCTACAATATCACAGTAGAGTAAAAAGAATAGTAGTTTTGTCAAAAGGTACGAGCAATAGAAAGAAATAGACTTATTCATCATGCTATCAAATTCTTACTTGACCTAGCTTACTTTAAAATATATTGTATTAGTCTTAATACTGAGAATTTACAGGTGCTACAACAACAACAAGCCGCCCAACTTGTAGCAGCTGCCTCCATCCAGAACCCGGTATCGGCTTCGTATCTTCCGATCCTCCAAAGCCAGACCTTAACCACCCCAACTAGTATATTACCCACACAAACCTCCACCAATCAGGCGGCCGTAGCAGCAGCTGTGGCCGCTGCTCAAGCCCAGGCACAAGCCCAAGCTCAGGTACAGGCAGCCGCCCAAATTCAGCAGCTGGGACTGCAAGGACAGATCCCAGCATCAAATGGACAATTACAGACTCAACTGACTGCGTTGGCCGCTCATCCAGGTACAACATCCACCGCCAACACAACCGCCGACTTGACTACGACAGCTGCTTACAATGCTGTCCAGGCAGGTAACTACAACCAGCTGATTGGCTACGATCAGACTCAGAATTGTAAGTTTTCTACAACCATTATATTATCTATAACGCGCCTTTTCTGAAATTAAATAAACTAAACCATTTTCTTTCAGCTTCGGCGGTTTATAATCAAACCATCCAGCAATTACAACAACAACAACAAATGGCACAATTGGCAGCTGTAGCCGCGGCTTCTGGAGCTGGACTATTACCTGGATTTGCTCACAAAGAAGGTAAAACCATTTTTGCTGCATTAGAAGCGTGAAATAAATACAAAGTTGGCAAGTCTAATTGCATCTTGAAACGGTAAAAAATAATTGAAAACTTTTTGCAAAGAATTCGTCAATGAATCTGGACTCAGGGCGCAGTTTGGGACAAGGGTTTCGCAGTTTGCAGAGAAATAAATTACCCAAGGATATTTATTTGGGAAAAAACGGAAAAATATACCGACTTTGGCTGTTTTTTACCAAAAATGTCAGTTATAAGATTGTACTTAAAATGAAAGTAATCTTTACCTCTTTATTTTCAGTTCCCGGCCCCGAAGGCTGTAACTTGTTCATCTACCACCTTCCTCAAGAGTTTGGCGATGCTGAACTCACTCAGATGTTCTTACCTTTTGGCACCGTTCTCAGTGCCAAGGTCTTCATAGACCGTGCCACAAATCAGAGCAAATGTTTCGGTAAGTCGAGTACTTTTACAGAGTAAATGTTGGCATGTTGTGATGAACAACTTGTCAATTAAAAACAATTGATAAACTGTTTGTCTGGCAATAGTCATACGATCGTATACATACACTTCCATGCTTCATACGAGCGTATTTTACATAGTTAATGTATAATCGTGTGGTATCATAGATGTTATGATACGATCGTATAGTAGAGTTTGAATTGTATGGTACAGGTTCCATCGTATGGTACACTTAGTCGGTTCATGGCTTTTTTCTATTCAAGGCTTTGAACGCGGTACCAGCGGTACCATTATATATAGTCGGTTGGTTTGGATACTGTAAGGTTGTCGAGTACTGTAACATTACTTTTGGTTGGCTTTTCGGAATTGAGTTTACATTCTTGGCATCGTAAAAGTGTAGTTACAATTATCAGTATCGTACTCCAGGTTTTGTTTAGGGTACGGTATTGTGTGGAGGGATATTGTAGTGCTGGTGGTCATGAAAGGATACAGTATTAGGTCGTTGAATATATGTACTGTACTATTTTGTAATGTGTTACAATAACAGTACTAGCAGACCTATACTGGCACTGCAGTACCCTCTGCGGTGCTTTTGGTTCTATTTTCATTTAGCACGGTGACTTTCCTTATCGTACCTCGTACTGTGCTTTCTAGGGTTTGTATCGTACGACAATCCGAATTCGGCGATGGCGGCGATCCAGGCGATGAACGGCTTCCAGATCGGGATGAAACGCCTGAAGGTGCAGTTCAAACGCCCCCGAGACAAGCCCTACTGAGACTACTGTAACATCTCCTCGAAATGTAATTGTACACTATATATTTTGGTTTTCATTTGGTTCTTTTGTTTTCGATTGTGACCATATTGTAGCTTTTATCTTAACATTTTAAGCACTAATTGGCATCATACAATGTTCGTATGTAAACATGTGGTATGGTCGTATGTTCCATGATATCCGGTCGAGAGTACGGTAGGGAAACCGACTTTACTACGGTCGTATCTTCAGATATTCGTTTTCCGTTAAGTTTGCTGTAGTTACTGTATTATTATTACAGTAACTACAGTAATATTTTGGTTACTGTACTAATACTTATACAAGAGTTACAGTAACCTTTCCCGACCGTACCTCGACATACGATCTCTTCATTGTGATGGTCTATGTCTTTGTAGCTTTACCTTTATTACGACCTGCGCACTGATACTTAATATTGTTTTTGTGATTTGGTCTGAGTGTACATCTTCGTTTGTGGACTACATGTATACCATTTACAGACCCATCTTCTCTGCTCGTACAACGTCGGATAATATGCATTTAAGGAGTCCCAGTAGCCCCACCCAGTCCCCCCGCTCCCCCGATGGTACTACCTTTGTAGTGGTGCTATTTAAGTATTTACAGTATGAAAGTCCCCCCCCAGGCCCCTTTTTGACCCATAAAATGACTCCACTTCGTCTACATTCCAATGATCTCAACTGTACAGTCTTTTGTAACTCTTTTTTAAATAACTTTGGTTTAATATTACTATTATAAGTAAGGATATAACATTTAATACCTGTTTTTGTAACATACTTAACTTTACTACACTTGATCTTATTTACACTACAATTACATTTCACTTACTTCGAGATGAAATACGAGGAACGATGTAACAAAACCCTGTTATGATCATAGTCTTTTCAACACACATCTAGTCATAATAAACATCAGAAATCAATTATATTCAAATACTTAAATTAACTCGGTATTTACAGTATACGCTTCTATTGTAAGTTAAGGGTTAACCTCACTAATACGCCTAACACAACATAAAGATAAAAGTTTTATTCGAAATATAAATACATAGGAACAACCTACTTACTTTTAAAGCTACAGCTATCTTAAATACAGTGGGCAGTAGACGTATGTGATCCTGAATGTCGAGACAAGGTAAATGTGAGCAAGAGAGTGATAAATGCAAAATAAGTTAATGATAGTTGCAGCGATGGCAAGATATCTGTGAGAGATTAATAGCAGTGTTAGTATGATATAAATAACAAAAGACCCGTATGTGACAGTAGGTTTGGCTACAGAGGTGACTACAGTGACGATGATTGGTTACGAAAGACATCACCGTTGAGCTACCGAGTATAACATGATATAGAGGTCATCGTGCAGCTACTGTTGCTTCTAGATGGCATGTTAGTATCGTATGTCTCTGTTGTCCATCGTCTCCAGGTTACCTGGTCGGACGGAATCCAGGGAATCGAATGAGAGCGTGGACTGGTTGTCTCCCTCGATGTTATACATCCTCAGCTCGTCGTATGGGCCGCTGTTGGGGTCGCGGTCCAGGTTATCGACCTGCGAGTTCAGTCCGTCATCTAAAACAACATAAGTTAGGTTTCAAAGAACTTAAGATAACAGATTTTTAAGTTTTAATACATTATTTTCTTTGATACAACAACATAAACTTACCAGCAGGTTTGTGTGGGTAGACTTTCTGGCCCAGCCCGTTTCCGCCTTCGAACGGCATGACCGGCTTCCTGAGGTTGGCGATGTTGTGGCGGTTGTTGTCAGTCTCACCTCCACCCTCCAACGAGTACTGCCTGAGGTTGTCGCGTTTGAACTCTTCTGGATTCACGAGATCGAATGGAGATCTCTTCTTTCTTGTGTAGGTCACCATCACCAGGGCCAGCAGAATCAGCATTAGCAGACATACCAAGATGAAAATGAGTGCTGGGCTGGTGATACTCAGCGAACTGACGGCAGCCACTTCGTTACAGTATGACAAAGTACCGTCTCCCTTGAGAGAAGCGATGGCACCATCAGGACAAGTGCAGATGGGGCCTTTCCAATGATCTACGCAGACTTGGCCAGCTGGACACATTCCCGAGCCAATGCCAGCACACGTCGCCAAGTATGGGCAGCCGTCTTTGATTCCGAACTGGTCGAAGCGGGAGCCCAAGTCGAAGCTCGTCACGTCGTTGTTGTCCAGATTGTCAGCCGTGAGGTTCTTGTAGTCTCCGTTGTAGTTCAGTCCTCTCATACATCCAGCGAATCCGAAGGACGCGGCTCCAGCAGTGATGGTATGAACATCCTGAAGTGTCCTCATGTTGTTGGAGATCACCTTGGTGACGTGGGTCGTGTAGTCAACAGTCATAGAGGACACGTAACGATCACGATGCAGTTTAACGTGGTATGGAACGCCTGGAGTTAGTGACAGTTTGTGGAATTGTAGCTTCTCGGAGTTGACTATGTCATTCATTTGGGCTACAGGGGATTGGTTCTCGAGTTGGAGGGTTGACAAGGGCTAAAACAAGTTATTTATACTACAAGTTTATTATTATATTTGTTACCAATGTGAAAATATCACACAAAAACCTTATAAAGTAATATGACAAAACATATAACTTACAACATCATCCTTCTCCAAGGTCAAGATACGACTATCTTTGGGTTCACGTGGAAGAACAATCTGAGCTTCCACATCGTTTCTGATGTTGTAGTCTTCGCTTTCCCTGGTGGTGAACTTGACGAAGCTGCTTGAATCCACAAACTGAATCCACGGTGCTACATTCTCGCAGTTCTTGCCCATGTAGCCGGGAGGGCATCTACAACCCTCCACTCTTCCCTTTACCTTCACGAAGCACTTTCCGTGAACACAACTCTTGTCCTCCGTACAACCACACTTGTTGTCCGAGTCGTAGGCGACTTCTGGACTCTCAAGGTCGTACTCTTCTCCGTTCACGATAAAGTCCATGATACAGCCATTGAATCCGCGTTTGTTTCTGATGATCGGATGAATATCAGCTTCATCTTCGGCCAAGTAGACTCCACCGATCTGAAGAGGATTCACAACATTCAGACGCTCATCGTCATCGGCCTCCACCATTCTGTAGGAGTTGTCATTGTCGTTGTTACTGTAGTCCAAGATGACTTCCAACTTTTTGTGGGTTTGGATAATAGTAACATGGTGGATTTGGTCGTCTGTCAAAACAGCACCAACAGTAATATTGACAGGTAGACGACCATTCAGTTGTCGCACCACCAGAGCACCTTGTTCAATACCAGCATAGAGATAGTCGGAGTAGCGGATCTTAATTCCAATGTAGGCTTCAGCACGTTTGAAGGGACCGTTGTAGATCAAGATTCCGTCTTCGTTTCTGTAAATACATATTATAATATAACCTTTTTAAACTCAATAAAAGTTACAGTAGCAAAACTTAAGTTGACTATACTTACGTTCTGAAGGAGAAGGAGATGTTCAAGGAGGTGCACGCAGGCATGCTCTTGAACCAGGCGTAGCCTTCACCATGGAACGTTCTGGTCGTTCCTTGGCATCGATCACCAGGCAAGTCTTTCTTACATTGGCACGTCGCTCCTGGGTTCAAGTTGTGACAGATACCTCCGTTGTAGCAGTATCCAGCCGAACATGAACTGGCAGCCGTTTGGATGGGACACTCACAGACATCAGTGGACGTTGAGTTGATACCCACAAGTACCGTATGATTATGGGCAACAACAACTCCAGACTAAAAAACATAATATTAATCATCACATTAATCATATCATAGTATTAATAAGAACAAGCGTAAATAGTTATAAAAAACAATATAAACATACGTTAGACGCGGTGTGTCGAGTCTGGCATCCGTTGTCACACCTTGTGTCCTTACACATGTCAATACCCACAGCCTTGATGTCAGCTTGAATGGCACGTTCGAACTCATTCAGATGAGCGGAGATCAGACCTTCTACAGAAGTCTTTGAGAGGTATTGGCCTCCAGACTGCACGGTGAATCTGATGTCGTATGTTCCGTCGTATTCAGATCCCTGGATAGAGAAGATGTCGATGATGGTAGAGCCATCCCGGACCTTCTTGATCTTCTCCTTCAACAAGCTGATGAAGGCTTCTCGAGACCCATTCAGGAAGTACGATGGGTTACCGAAGTAGCTTCTGCTCTCAGCTGACACTCTGATGGCAGCCTGATTGTCGAAGGCGATCTGTGGGAACGCGTAGACGTTCACGGTGACTGTTCCAACCGCGTTTCCGGAATTCACAGCGTCGGTCACGTCCACTTTGAACGTGTATTGGCCTGGAGGGGTGTCAGATGATATTACAATCTGAAACATGAGTCATTTATATTAAAAAAGTTAAACATTATCATAATAATATTACCATAAACAAAAATATTTCAAAAAAATTTAAAATTTTTCTAGGATTTTTTGTTATAACCATAGTTAAAAATTATTTTAAAAAAATGCACTTACATCTCCTTGTCTGTCAACCGTGAAGAACCTTTCGCTTTGCTGCATCTCAAAGGTCTTATCAGGAAGATCCCAGTCGTCCTTATCGTTAACATACACTCTTCCGATGCTCTGACTCTGTAGCTGACCTTCGTAGCTGTATACCTCGATATTCATGGCTCCATCGCTCATTTTGTTGTCATTTTGATCGCCAATAATAACATAGACCTTTCTGGTGGCTGCCATTCCTCCTTGATCTTGTACGTTGATCGGAATCTCGATGACCTTCTGTTCTTCACGATCGAACTCCTTCAGAGCCCTGATGATCATGCCTCCGTTGCCGTTGTCCAGACTCTCGTCGAATGTCACACTGACGGCATCACTGTCAGCGAATGTACTATTAAGTTCCATTTTGAATGGAGGACCGTTCTTTTTAGTATCTGGATCGAATCCGTGGATCTCACACAGTGGAAGTTGCTCTGGAGGAGTGTTCTCCATGAAGATACATGGTCTGGAGACGTTGAAAGGGTGTAGCACGGTGTAGAGCAAAGGAGCGTTGTCGTTCTCATCGTCCAAGTAAAGGTCAACGTACTGGGTACCAATGTTTCCGACTAAAATACAAAAATTAATTTAAGGTATATAGAAAATACGGTAAATACGACAGTAAATAGATAACAATAAGCTAACCAAATATAATACTCAAAAGGTCAGTTATTCCTTCTCAAAGTAATAATACAATAGTAAATAACACTATAAAGATACACACAATGGTCAAAATAACAACAATGACCACAATGAAAGTAAAAGCCATTGTAAAACACTTACTCTGATCGAAAGCTTCGATTCTCAAGGCGTACTGCTTGATGTCTTCGCGATCCAAGGCTGCGGCGACCTTGAGAGCTCCATTCTGGTCGATACTGAATTGTCTCTTAGGATCGGACTGTCGGTTAATTCGATAGCTATAAAAACAAATTACCTTCACTTAAAATAATATAGTCAAGAGAGAGAGCATTGTTAGAAGTGGAAAAACATTATTAAACCATTCAAAATGATCTCAGCATTTTCACAATAATACCGAATAGTATTCAATATAATTAAAATATTGTGCCAACATCAAAAACATTGAGAATAATAGAGTAACTATATTCCCTAAACTTACGTCAAGTTATAGTTCGGAGCTGTTTTATCCTCAGCTCGGAAATTTAACAAAACAGTATTAACTGGAGTGTTTTCGCTAATGTTTTTAACGACACTCAGCATAATATCCCTCGGGTTCTTGGCGGCAAAGTTCATGAACCGCGAGTGTCCGATGTTCGAAAAAGGTAATGAGAGGTCCGGCTGAGCATTAACAATGCCCAGTCCCAACAAAAAGACAAAGATTAGCAAACCCTGAGAGGAAAGGTGGGGAAGGTACGTACGTGCTCTTGTCGTTCTGGTCGTTGTCGCTGGCGGAGAAGCGGCCGATCTCGGTGGCGACGGCCGTGCCTTCGCTGAAGTGAATCCGTTTTGGGCCGCTGATGACTGGCGAGTTGTCGTTCTCGTCCTCGAGTGTGACAAACACCTTCGTCGAACCGTAGAAGCGTCCGTCGAAGACGCGAACGTCCATGGCGAATCCATGGCGTTGTTGGGGATCCTCGTAGTCGAGTGTCTAAAGTGTTGTTGATATGTGGCTCAGATGACAAACTCTCCCCACTTTTAGCCCCAGGGTTTACAGCTGTACGGAAAAAGATTACAAAAGACAAAAAGACTGGGAATGGACTCTGAAACGAAAAAACTTCTTATTTACGCTCGGAAACTCGGTATTTGAATACGCAATTACGCAACTCGACGGTGAAATGCAACAACGCGAAATAATGGCTAATTTCACAAAAATGGGCAAAACAATCGACGGAAACCGGGTGGCGACTAAAATGAGAAGATCTCCTCCACCTGCAGAAAGCAATCAGATCTCAGCCTCGGATCGCCGCCACCGCCCCAAGGCCATTCACAGAATCAACTCCCCAGCAATGACTCACTTTCTCTCAACGTCAAAAGCGTACCGTTTGAGCGCATCCCGAATGCAGCTTATCTTACGCATAGAAAAGACTCACACGTCTTCGCATTTGTACAACGGCTACTCGCAGCGTGGAAGGAAAGACCTTTCCAAAACTAACACTCCTGTTTATAATTGGAAACATAACGTTAATATTCAGATTAGGAATTTCTTAATTAGAACCCACAAAAACTTCTTTAATCCCCCCCCAACTTGGCTTACAACCTAACAACTTCACGCTGGACTTAACAATTATTATTAGTACGAAACACTGAAACAAGCAAACAACTAATGAGCCATCTATCGCCCGGGAATTCGAACTGATAAAAGAGCGGAAAGCAAAGTTAAACCCGCGCTATTGTCCCTATCATAAACAGGGTTTATGGACATTATGATTCACAAAACATACGCTTAGTCATAGCATTGAAACAATGTTAAACAGCAAAGTAGCCTGTGAAAGGACAATTTGCGACAGCTTTGACACTCCCGAATACGGCCCCAAACAAGTCTCCAGAGGCCGCGCTGAAACAGGCGTCATTCAACATCGATAGTCAAAAAACAAACCGGCTGACCCCAACTTTCCCGTCGGCCATTAGTCTAATTCGAGAATTGGCTATTCAGCTCGAGACTGGCGATTCACGGTCCGAAGGGGGAGGGAACGCCGAAAAAAGGCCTCAAAGATATGCAAATTTAAAAGGTATCCAGCCAGCGCTGGAATGGAAAGGTGAGGTCGTTTGGCAAGCGAAGGAAACACCGCAGCAACCAAACCCAACAAGGTCATTGCGCAGCACGCGAGCTCCACTCAGACAACCTGTCTGTGTGCGTCTCTTCTGAACCCGATCTCTCGCCTCTACCTGCACTCTCTCGCTCTTCCGAATGACCACAACGCTGGCTGGATGACCACCTTCTCCTTCCCACAAGTGCAGGTGCTATGCATTCTCTTCCTTCTTCTCTTGTAACACGGCCCGTCGTCACACTTTGAAGAAGCGCAAAACACTTGACAATCAAAGTCAAAGTTCTTGTCATGAACATTGGGCCTCGAGAGTAATATCCCGAGTAATATCCCCCACCGAAGGAAAACCTGTCGAAAACCCAGTCCAGTTTTGAAAGATTAATTCGTCTGTTTTCCACCGAATAATCGACAAAAGCGCTCATTTTGATTTGAAACGAAGGAGAGAAAACTTAAGCTGAGAATTAAATCGGACAGAAGATCACCGGAATCTCACAGAATCCTCCTCGAGTCAAAAAGCGAAAAGAGAAGCCGGAGAAGCTTTCTTGAATCCCTCTCTCTTCACCTTAAAAAAGTTGTCATTGCCCTTTCGCACAGAATCCCAGAGGGCAAATTCCGAGCAAATTCGCATGCCACAAAAGAGGCAAAGGTCTCTAGGCCCGTGTAAAAAGTGCAACCCCAAGTGGTAGGAGAATCGGTGAAAGTGGCCAGAGAGAAAATAGAAGTGGACACTTGAAAATGGCCACGAGGACCTCCGGAACAAAACATTTAATGAACTCAGGTGACAAGACCGATAAAAAATGTAGAAACATTCACGACAATTCCCATTCATCACTCCGAAAAAACGAAAGGCCTCGGGCCATGTTAAACAGCTGACAACCCCAATTCACCTGAGGCACCCTTTTCCCAAAGTAATTCAAAGTAAGCTAATTCAAGCAAAAGAATTAAAATTCCACCGTTCCCAACAGAACACGATAAAATCAGCCAAGCTCCAAGGTCACGTTAACAAAAACAATCCTTTAATGAGCAAGAACCTTTAAAACTGTGACTAAGTGGATAATGGGAGTTATCGGAGACTAAAACATATTATAGTAAATAACACATATAAATAATATGCGCCTGGTAATTTATAATACGGGGTTGCGCGCGGCCCTAGCCTCATTCATATGCAACGGAAATGTAATATGGGAACTGCGTCCAAGAAATTGGATTAAACAACGTATTATAAGCAAGGAATCAGCCAAGGCTATCATGTTGAAAAGACTTTGATTTATACCCGGAAAGACATAGTTTCTTCGGTAAAAAACTTGAGACGGACGACTCACTTAACACTGTTTTTTGCGATCCTGGCACCGAAAAACGCTTCCGCAAAGGATCCCCAGCTCATTTCTAACAACAACAATCACAAAAGAAGTCTCTATTAAAACATATCACACGGTAGGAGTTACAACACAATCGACCAAACAGTGGAAACAAGGTTATACAACACATTCCACGCACTAGAGTAATGTCGGAGAAATCATTATACAACATTATATCCTGCCGAGAACCCGAAATTGCATTACCCCAATAACTCGAAACGAGAAGATGAAGAAAACCGCGCACAAAATAAAATAAAAAGAGGAAGGGTCAACTGGTGAGAGGCAAGAATGCAAAGTATTTGTTAGCCGTTGGACTTACACCGCGAAACGGAACAATGCAGAAACACTGGTTGTTTACCTACGTTCCGAGTGCAGGCCTTATTACGCTGTTATGAGCTCATAACATGGCCATTACTTTGTTTTACTACATAGTAATACTTGATTTGAGTGTATAATAATACTCGGCCTTACATTTAATGCCAAGTAATAAAAAGTACATAAACCATCGTTCTTTTCAGATAATTTCACATAAATCATCAGATAGACGTGCGCTCACAACAAATGGTCGTTCCAAAACTTATTTTGAGTGTAATGATATAAAGGGTATCCCATTATTAATTGCCAGACGTCAGAAAACCTTATTCTACCAAGTTACCCTTCTAAATCAGTTAAACATTTCTATCCAATATAACAATGAATTCTTGAATAAGATTGACAACAAAAGTTTTAATAGACCATTTCCAACTCATACAGATGCTCCCACACTACCTACAACACAACCCAAACATCCTCACACAGATTCAAGCTATGTTTAACCTTAACCAAAACCTCCCTAACGAGCACTCCCCTTCTACATCAGAAGTTGAACATCAATTTGCATAATTCGATTGCCCTGGAGTGGCCCAATTAATGGCCGTTAAGTGTGTGTCCACATCAATCTCCGCGCAATCCGGAAATGGGCGACTTTTAACGGAAGCGAACGCCCCAACGGCCCCAAACACACAAGCAGAAGCCAGGGCGAAAGAAGTTTTGGCACCTAATCCAAACAAATCGCCAGCATATTATTAAACAATGGCGATCACAAAGACTTTGTTTTCCGTACAGCTGTTTCAAAAAACCGAAATGACCCAACTTTTATTAGTCCCCAACCTTTTTATCGCTCACCTTCTTCACCCGCAGGATTCCAACACTCAGCCCGGAGGTCATCATCTCCGTGGTCATGTAAAATTGGTCAGAGAGATCCAGTAACTCGTACGAAAACACATTATTCCTACAAAAAACGAATAAAACTTCTCAAAATCTCACAAAATAAAATTATTCGAAAAATGTTTTCCAAAACTAAAAATCTGCGAAATAAAACGAAATGTCAAAATTGATTAACAATTGAATTCTTCTAAATTCCCTAAAATACGATTGAAACATGGAATTACCTGGCAGCTGTGTCAAGATCAAACGCGATCAAAGTTAAAACGGCAGAATCGATAGGCTGAGATTCGGAAACGCTTATATTATACTGGTTATGTTCGAAATAAGGTGGATTATCGTTCAGATCTAGCACCTGGATAGTAACATTAGATCGTGTGTCGCGTGAGGGATAACCAAGGTCATTTGCTATTACTTCTATTACAAATTCACGTTCTGACAACAATTCGCGGTCGAGTTTTCGCTGAAGATAAGTTTAGGTAACAAAATCTTGTAGAAAACAACGTGACACCTAATTTCAGCACGTGTCAAGTTTATCTTCCTTGATTTTACTATTTTTTGAAACAAAATTTTGTCAAATTTGTTAAACAGTGAAGTATTGTTTAAAATTTAGTTTACTTTTTCGTGTAAAATAGAATATTATTGTTTTTCTTACCATTAGAAATATTTTTCCACTCTTGGCGTCGATTCTGAATAATCCCTGGCCGTTGATTTCTTTGTTTACTCCAATTCTGTATTCAACTTGTCCATTTTCAGATGCAGGGTCGTCTCGGTCTTCTGCTGTCACTGTCATCACGTACCGACCAGATTTGCCTGGTTCCTGGTTCTCATCCACGTAGCCAATCAGCGGCTCTCTGAAGACGGGAGAGTTGTCGTTGATGTCACGTAAGTTAACACGAACTGTCGCGTAGTTACTGATTCCGTAGCCGTTGTCATCTGTGGCAGTGATTACGAACTCCCAGATTGG